CCGGTTTCCTATACCCTTCTAAGCGTATTCCTATAGAACTTATTCTTCGCCTATATCTTAAGTATAAGTTCTACTATAGTTTCTAGCGGCTTATAGGTATATATAGTTTCTTCTTTAGTTACTTCGCGTACCTCCTTTTAACTTAGTAGTCTATTTATTATAGGCTTAGTAGGGATCTCTATATATATTATAGTTATTATAGCGCCTAGATATATTATATCCTATAGATCCCTTTAGTAATTAGCGCTTTTACCGATAGTCTCCTTAAGTCTCTATATAAAGATATTATAACTTATAGCGTCCGGTAGCTTATCTACTATATAGTCGGGTCGTTTATTAGGAGCGTCTATAGAGTTCGTTTTCCCTAAGCGGAATATAATAATAAAGTTAAAACCTATAAGGTATTCTACTTAGTATATCTAGCGTCTTATAAGCTCCTTAGTCGTTATAAATTAGATAAGATTAGTGTAATCCGTTATTACTATAATTAGGTACTTATTTCCTTTAAAGAAGTAGCGCTATTCCTTAAACCCTATAAAGATTACTAGTATTTCTTAGTCGCTAATCTAGTAATTTCTCTCTACTATTAGTATCTTCTAAGAGTAAAAGGCGATAGGGTACTAGTATCTATCTTTATAGAGCTATAATATAATTATATAGATAGTAGCTCCTAACGTATCTGTTTCTATTATAGTTTTTAATATAGCGTCGAAATATATAAGTATTAGTATAGTCTAGAAAGCGGTCTTAGTCCTTTTAAAAGCTTCTTACGCTTCTTCTATAAAGATAAACCTTTCCTAGCGTTTATTTCTCCTCTTTTTCTATACGTCTAGCCCCTTAATTAGATCGTTAAAGGGGACGCTAATTATCGACTATTTCCTAATAAAACGTTAGTAGAAGTTAGCGAAACCTATAAACTACTATATATCGAAGATATAGGTCGGCTCTAGCTATTAGCTTATCGTCTCTACTCGGGTAGAGTCTATAGTAACTCCGTAGTAAGAGATAATAAAGCCTAAGAAGTCGACTCTCTCTATATAGAATATATATTTACTAGGTTTAATAAATAATCTCTACTTAATTAGGCGTTCTAGTACTTCTTAGATATAGTATATATAGGTCTCCTTATCCTTTAAGAAGATTAGTATATTATTAAGATATACTACTAAATAGATATTAATAAGTCCTATTAAGGCTCTATTAATATACGCCTAGAAGGTAGTAGGAGTATTCGCGAGTCTAAACGGTATTACTATATATTTAAAATATCTATAGTAGTATCTAAACGCTATTTTCTACTTATCTCCCTATTTTATATAGATCTTATAGTAGGTATCTTATAGATCTAGTTTAGTATAGATCTATACTCCTAATAATCTTACTAAGGACTTATTAATTAGTAGTAGAGGGTAGCGGTTCTTAATAGTAATCGTATTTAACCCTCTATAGTCTATATAGAGTCTAAGCTTACTATCTTTCTTCGGTATAAAGAGGATAGATATACCCGATTAACTCTTTAAGTATCGGATCTAGCTTTTTTCGAGGTTCTTCTTAATATATTAGCGGAGGACTTCTAACTCCTTAGCGGATAGTACGTATATTAGCCTCTAAAAGGGTATCTTACCTAATATTAGCTTAATTACGTAATTATACTTTATATAGATTAGAAAGGCTATAATACCTTCTTTACTTACTATAATAGCTAGATCTTAGTATTCTAGCGGGAGTTTAGTTAGGGGTTATACTAGATAGAAGGTCCTATCCGAGCTTTATATTACCCCTAATATTACTATAAACTCCCCGGTAACCTTATCGATATCTAAATATAGCTCTCTAAGTATACCTTATAGTCTTACTTTTTCCTCGAAGTCTTCTAATAGGAGGGTTTTAACCTTTAGCGGGGCTATATTTCTATACGTCTACTTACTAGTTATCTAGTTAATATCCGGATTTACTAGTCTAAGCTAATCTATTTTTAGGATTATATTATAGATCGTTATATCTATAGCTTTATAAATTATTTTAATAACTCTATAGATTCTATTCCGGTCTATTAGACTAAGCTATACTTCTTAGCTTCTATATAAAAGGATCTTATACCTATTTATAGCTTCTACTAAATAGGTACTTATTATATATATCTCTTCTAGGTTCTCTTTTATCTATTTCTAGCTTATAAAGCTCTAGGTTACGCTACTATTTATTAGCGTCTTAGCTACCCTTATCGGGGCTCTAGTCTTAACGTCTAATATTAGTACGTTATAAATAAATACTTAGTATACTCCTTTATATTCTCCGAAGAGAACTATCCCTAATACTATAGGAGTCTATAGTATAAGATTATTTATTTTTTTAACTCTTCCGCGGCTATAACGTTTACTATAGCTTTCTTATAGTAGTCCTTTATATAGTAGCCTAGCTTACTATAGAAGTTATAGAATTTACTATCTCTACTCTAGTCTCGTTTAGACCTTATAGTAGCTTTTCTACCCTCCGTAATAGTCGTAGCTTACTATATAGGAAAGGCGCTATTTCCCTTAAAGGGTCTTCTACTAGATCCTTATAAGTCTATAGTATTTCTTAGCGCTATCTTCCTAGTCTCTTTAAGATATAATATCCTACCTAGTATTACTTTCTTAATTTAGTTATAGAAGGCTACTTAGTTATCCTATTAATCTATAATAGGGGTTATAAACCTCCTTACTTTATCTTATATCTCCTTAATAATACCCGTCTCTAAATAGTCGATTCTTATCTATCTAGTTAGCGTATCTTTTAGGCGGTTATAGAGTCCGGTAAGCTTTAAGGCGTATTAGTATATATCCTAATACTTAGCTTATATTATCTACTATTAGTCGTATTTAGCTTCTCGCTATATCTCGATAGGGTTAGTAATCTAAATAAACGCTTATATTTTAAAGACTAATTAGATAAACGTTATATCTAGATTATTCCTATAGTATTCTATCTATATTATATTAACCTTTAGCGCTAGGAACTTAGTTACTTAGTCTACTTTACGTATATTACTAGCGAACTAGTTAGGGTATCTATTCTAGAAGGTTTCCTAGTTCGACTTAAAGAGATTATATTTACCTAAACTCTTAGCTCTATATATTATTATATTATAAGGTATATATAGTTCCCTCACTTCCTTCTAATAGGATAGGTAGCCTCCGGTACTTTCTTACGATATAATTAAGTTCGTATAAGTAGTATCGGGTAGTTAGTAAGTAGTTTAGCTAGTAGTACTACCTAGCGAACCCTAATAGATCCTAAATCCTTATATTCTCGCCTATAAGATTACTACGTTTTCTTCTTTATCCTATAGCTCCGCGCGGATCCTATTTTTCTCCTTTACTAGAGCTAGACGTCTTTTAAGGGTCTCTAACTCTCGGAGTTCCGCCTCCTTGTCTACCTTAGTCGGGGTTATCGGATCCGGCGGGTTTCCTCTCTAAGGGTTATCGTCGACTCCCTATATCTCTACCTCTTCTAGTAGGGGTTATAGGGGTCCTAGGACGTCGTTCGTTTCCGCGATCGGGGCTAAGGTTCCCCTTAGGCGGTCGCTTATACGTCGAGTCGTCGATATTACGTATTCTAACGGTCTAGTTTAATTAAGATTTAGCGATTAGAATGTTAGGACCGGCGTGCTAGCGGGTCCTAGTAGGTAATATAGAACTAGAGTAAAGGAATAGCAGGGTGCTAGTATATTCATAAACTAATCGCTAAAGAGCTAAGTTCCCCTAGCAGTCTCTATATGGATGACCTTTGGCGGGTCACGGGACTAGGTCACCTGACCCGGCAGGACTCAGTCTCCCTGGTGCGGTCTCTGGCGGGGGGTCATGCTACCCCTGCTGGGTCACGGGTTCTGGGTCATAGGACCAGGCGGGATCCAGCCTGTGAGGCACTCTCCTAGCAGAGGGTCGTAACAAAGATTTAGTCTTACGAATAATATAGAATCGAATCCCCTTCGTTCTAACTTCGTATCCTTCTCGTATCATTATTTACCTAGTCAATAAGTACTGCCTTGACAAACAGTTACCTTAACATAGGGCGTAGGGTTAAGGCAGTAATTAAGGCAAATGGGCGGTATACTAAATATTAAAAATATGAATTAAATATTATATCTAATTGCCTATCTAATGTATATTCTTATGTAATTTTACTATATAAATTAGGGGTATAGTATTTAATTCAAGTTAGCAGGTTCGATTTGCTAAAATCAAAAATGGGAGATATATATTTGATGGGGTGCGGGTCGTACGGAAACTTTTGCGGTAGAACTGTACTCATAGTCGGGCGACTCCGTAGAAACTTTTGCGGTCCGAGTATAGCCTATCGATGGGCCTAAGGACCGGGCCTAAAGCCTAACCTATTTGCGGGTTGGGCTAGGCTGGGCTTCGGGCTTTGGGCTTTATGGGCTTTGCGGAGGTCTATACCTATCTTCCCCAAATTGGGGAAGAGACTTTGGTTGGTTTCACCCACATGCAACACGCGAATACACATTTATTCCTGTCCTTGTCCATAATAGATACCTAGGGTGAAGTTTCAGAGTAACCCTCTGTACAATACGTTCTCTCTCTGCCGTCATAAGATGGTATTAGATCCCGTTACGCGCGCTACGAAAGCTAGAGATGGAATGAAACTATGGCGTCGCACCACGTAGGAATCTCACACCGAAAGTGAGGTCGGTGCTCGTTCATTATTCTAGTCCTTGTCACAAATCATCCGTTCTGTAGACACGGTATCTAGGTCGCCCACTCACCTTGAAAAGCCAAGCCGTTTTCGGGGAATTCCCCACTTACGTTGGTTCTAAGTTGGAGAGAACCTGGCGAAAAGCCCCGTTGCCTGCCAACCTCGGCATAAATCACTTTATAGAAGGATACCTAATTCCACATCTCTCCACCGATATCTTCAGTGCCAATCTCGCTATGCTGCAGATGTTACAGTCAACTCGAGTTCTACCAAGTCGCCCCTCACTGTCCACTCGCGTTAGGAAAATGTCCCATTTTCGCGTAATCAAGCATGAGGTTCGCGCTCAGAATGTACGAGAACGTCCTGGAGCTGTAAAATTCGGCCATGAACGGGAGCTTCGACTTGAAGTCAAGCAATATATTCCACGGGACAATCCCTTTCCCACAGAGGGCGATCTAACGATCATTGGGGCCCATGCGAACGGATTTCCAAAGGTTGTATAAATTGCCTTTCGAAGTCCTAATACTCGATGCTAAGGTTGATCAGGAGCTTTACGAGCCCCTCTGGGATGATATCTACGAAAATTTGCGTGCTCACAACCGGCGTATTCGAGCAATCTGGATTGCAGATGTTGTTCAACAAGGACAAAGCGGTGTTTTGAACGAAGCGATTTTGGGAGACGATCGTGAGTCTTCCACACGCTATAGTCTAAGTAATTGATACCTAACGATTCATATTCAGCGAGCTGGTTTGATCACGGGCGAGACTTGCTCTTTGTGTTAAATCAGTTCCAGGATCAGATTACCCAGCCCATAATAGGAGTGGGCCACAGTATGGGAGGCATGCAATTGTAAGTGACTGGTACTTGCTTATGTGTCACTCAGACTGCTGACCGGTCTCAGAACTCATCTTTCGTTGATGCATCCGTCACTCTTCCAGGGACTGATATTAATCGATCCCGTCATCCAGCTAGAGAATCCAAGCCTTAAATATGCATTACCCTCTACCTACAGGCGGGATCATTGGCCCTCTCGCGTCGAAGCTGCGAACAAGTTCAGGTCTAGCAGCTTTTACCGAGCGTGGGACCCTCGTGTTCTCGAGAAGTGGATTGAATATGGACTTCGAGATCTGCCGACAAAGGTGTATCCCATTTGCCACGAAACTGGAACCCAGCAACCAGCTGTCACTCTAACCACACCCAAAACGCAAGAGCTATTTACTTTCCTGCGATCTTCATATGTTGATAGGAGATCAGGCTTGCCCCGAGGATCACCCCAGGAGGAAATGCACCCAGATGACATAGATAACAGCCCATTCTATCGACCTGAGCCCCCACACATTTTCCGCCGACTGCCTGAACTGAAACCTGCGGTCATGTATCTATTCGGAAGCAGTTCTGATCTTTCCTCTCCCACTGCCCGTCAAGACAAGCTACGAATCACCGGTACAGGTGTGGGGGGAAGCGGTGGTGTATCTCGTGGTCGAGTGCAGGAAGTTGTCCTTCCCTGCGGTCACCTAGTCCCTATGGAACTGGTTCGAGAAAGTGCCCAAGCAAGTGGTGATTTCATTGATTCTGAATTATCGTACTGGGAATCCCAAACTTCGGCGTTTCGCAAAGCCTGGGAATGCATTCCGCAGGACGAACGCGTAACTATCGACAAGCAGTGGGAAGATAACATTGGACCCTTACCCAAACGGCCCAAGCTTTGACTGCCCATTTATCTTATTTTTTGTATATTATTGAATTTTGAATAAATAAGTCCATCACGGAGTATAGTCGCCGTTACGGTCACCCATGAGGACCCCAGTTCTCACTACTGCACCAAGTCCGAATACTGGGAGGCACTTGCTAAGACACGTGCGAAAGTCTCTACCGCTGAAGGGTCACTTTGGCTTAAAATGGGATTTGCTGGCTGGAAATGCCTAGTTTCAAGCTGACAGAAGACTAAAGAGGTAGAATACCTGTGATTTACTATGATAGACCTTAGTAAGTGCACAGTCAAGAAAATTAGGTCCAACCTTGGAATGCAGAGCTTCAGGACCTATCTATCAACCACTTGATGTGCTATTATATGGAAATTGTTAGCTTGACCCGCCACATCAGTGTTCGACTTGGGGCAATAGTGCCAGATGTTCTCTGTCAACCCGATTGATTCTTCGCCCTTCCTAGGTTACAGGTTTCTTTGAATATCTAGCCTCGATGTATTCTATAATCCAGGCCATCATGACGAGTCAGTGACAGAAAATCGGCTTTCGTCTCAGAACGGACGGATTGCCTTTGGGTCTCAAATTTGACCCGGGTATCCCATCAATGAACAATTTAACAAGTGGCCAACATGTCCACCAGAGCCGCCTTCTCATTTTCGGTGACAGTAAGTTTATAAACAGATTTCACCCTCACCCACATCTTAGCGTATGTGCAGTAATATGACTCTGTTTTGACGTCAGAAACCCAATGAATAATAAAAGCACGCATATTAAGACGTACTCAGAGGAGGCTTCCAGTCTTCAGGCCCCTTGTCACTCTTAGACTGGTTCACATTGTCCGTGACTGCCACGAGCTGGGGATTGGCCAAGTCGTTGGCGAACGATTCACGCTCGTCTGTAGTCCACTTAGATGCACCGGACTATGTGGAACAATCAGTATACGAAACTATGACCATTGTCGGAGGAATGGAACTCACCTTCCATGCATTTGACAGTGGGACGACATGATCGATATCGACATCGCTTTTATCAGTCCAGGTTGCGCCATCATAGGGAGAAACCCAGGTTCCACTCGTAGGAGCGCAGTCAGAACCAGTGACTACGTTGGTTCCATCGCGTTTGAGAACGGTTTCGCGTGTGTTGCACGTTCTAGTGGTACGGATTTGGTTACCATTGCCTCCAGAGGTCGCATTCAATGAAAGGAACTCACCCGCTTATGGTGATCCAGTGCGGAAATAGATCGCGATCATATCCAGTCTGTGATCCCTGTGCAGCGACGGTCAATCCTGCCAGCTCTGTCTTGGCCGTTGATCCAGAAGGGATTCCAGGGGGGCAGGCAAAGCTCCACTCAGAAACGGCTGAACCGCGAAGGCCAAGAGCCAGACACCGTGAGAGATGCCCATGTTGTCTTTGGTCAAGATCGAAGATATGAATGATTCAATTTGAGCCCAGAATTTAATCCGGAGTGCGTCAAATAAGCAATGTCTCCTATGCAAGGAATGCACAATATTGAGATCCTGCAGCTGTGGCTCTTATACCACATCTCGGTCACAATGGAAACATGCCCCTCTTTGAATCAAATGAGAGTACCGAATGGCAGTACTCCATATCCATCTATCTCATGCATTGTAACATCGGCGCCCGAGTCTTGGCCCGGAGCTTTGTGTCGCACGTTGAGGACTCATTGGTCCATCGCGGGACAGCACAGTGGACGAGTTGTCACTGATAAGGTCACCCCTATGCCCCCCAGATTGTCATTCGACATGACACTTCGACGGGACAAAATGTCTGAAAGTAGAAATGTTGAAACAGGACTGACTCTGCATGGAAGGTCACAGTGGGGGTCTTTAATGCAGAAATGATCGGCCACATGCCCCTTTTCGGGCCTTAGGGGCGCGTCACGACCATTATCTCCGTGTTGCAGGTCGTTACCTAGACTGTACGGAGTATAACATGGGGACATGGGAAGACTCCTTAATTAGATTGCTGTCCAATAAAAAAAAGGAAATCCCCAAAGCGGTTGCAATCCGCGAAAATGCTATGAACAATATGTAAATATCTGAATATCTGAATATGCGAATATCCACTCCATACAATTCCTCACATCAGACCTCGCGTAAACTGCCACGGAAGAGACACCTTCACACCCAACTTCTTGGCTGCAATAAGCACCCATTCGGGTTCACGCAAAAATTGACGGGCCATCAGCACAGCATCAGCTTTAGGCTCTTGGCCAGAAAGAATTTCCTCGGTCGCCTGGGCTTCCAAGTCTGCGCCTTCCACGATATTGCGAGCGGACTCGGCCTCCGTAATCAAGCCAACAGCCCCAACCAGTGTTCGTTGATTCGCGGCGTGGATTTCCTGGCGAATTTGGCCGGCGAGTTCGATTTGATAGTTGGTATGGGGTTCAATCCGCTGGTTTCTATGATTACCACCCGAGCTGACATCTAGGAAGTCGATACCGAGAGCCGGCAGCATCTTCGCCAACTGGATTGAAGATGGCATGTCCCAGCTTCCAGTTTGTTCGGCGACAGGTTGGTTCTCAAGCCATTCTGTGGCACTGATACGAAGAAACAAGGGCATTCCCACTGGGACGACCGCACGGATTGCAGTAGCTATCTCCCGTACAAGTCGCGTGCGGTTTTCAAAGCTACCGCCGTATTGATCCGTCCGTCGATTGGTGACGGGGCTTAGGAATTGATGTAGCAGGTATCCATGGGCACCATGAATCTCAATAACATCCACTCCTGCCTCGGCTGCAAGTTGCGCACTCCGTGCGAAGGCCCGTACAAGTTCTTCGACCTCGGCAGTTGCAAGTTCGCGAGGGGCCCAGTATTGGTCCCCGGGCGCCCAGATATGCTCTTCACCACCGGAAGGGGCAACCACGTCGGATGGCCAGCCACCAACATTCTCATCGGCTTTGACGCTGCGTTGCTTCGCTTGCGATGCGAGCCAGGGCGCAACGGTACTGGCCTTCCGGCCAGCGTGCGCAAGCTGGATGCCAATTTTGGCACCTTGGCTGTGAGCAAACTCTACCACGCGACGCAGGCCCTTAAACTGCTCGGAGTCTGTCCCCTCTTGCCATAGGCCGGCATCGTTGGGTGTAATCCGACCATTAGGCTGGACGGAAGTGGCTTCGATGAAGATCAACCCGACACCCTTGGTAGCCAAATGGCCAAGATGTGCGATATGATAGTCTGTGAGTGCGCCGACAGCAGGCGATTGAGGGTCAGACTCAGCAGAATACATGCACATTGGCGCTACCATGATCCGGTTTTTGAGTGTGACATCGCGAATCTGCAAAGGACGGAAGAGTGTTGGGGTTTGGGGGTCTTGCGGGTTCACAGCGGCTCCCGCATCGTTGGCGGGGGTGAAATAAGGAGCATTCTGAGCCTGTTGGACCGACGGCGAGCAAAACGAAGTCGACCCCATTGTACGTACGATGATCATACCAATTGATGAAGGATGGACCTTCTTTTATTAGGTATTCGCGGCCCATCGGCTGACAAATGGCACCCCCGCCCGGAAACACCGGTACTTCGGCTCAATTCATTGTAGAGTTGGGAGTGCACAGATGGTGACCTAACTCGAAATGAGCAATTACCGGGCGTTGGAAAAATCGGGCCTAGACAGGCTCGTACGAGCATAGATCAGTTTCTAGAAAGATAGTGGTAAAATCATGATCCATGCAGGTAAGAATGATGAAGTGTCATTCCCCATTCTGCCTGTTCTCCCCGCCTGCACCGGGCCAAAGTTGATCCCGACAGATGCCTCGTGACGTTGTTCCTGTTGGTCAATCTCCCTCACGATCTCCTTCCAGTACTCCGGAGAGAGGTTCATCCGCCAGGCCACTCAACACACGGATAGCTAGGCAGGTAGCTCAATCGGCCCCTTCATGTCAGACAGGCAGGTTGGTGTCCAGAGCTCCTCGTGACCATCAAACATCCTTCTCCCTGGGAAAAGACCATGGATATCACATCTCGCAATATGCAGCTGTCCAAGTGCCGGGGCAAGTTTGCGATTACACGTCAATAGAATGCGGAATTGGCAGCAAGTCAATAAGGATCTTCCCAACTTGCATTCCCATCTCGACACGCTTGGCACAGACTGGGGATCCTCGCGTAACCCGGTCGGAAGTAATTGACATAGGCCACTCTTTCGAATGAGGAATGATGCTTTTTTTCAATGGATGAAGATAGCTGAAGAACGCACCTAGGCACTGCGTCATAAAGCATTTCTCCAGCTCACGAATCCAGAAATGGCCCTCCATGGGGCCCAGTGTGATCCAGTACTGTTGAGGCTACTGAGAAAAGGAGATTTCGGGAGAGAGGAGGAAGAGAAACTATGACTCTCAGAGCCAGAAAAAGCTGGGACTTTATGGACCTCGCCGATTCAAACTAGTAAACGAAAGAGTCAGTCTGTCAAAGGACGCAGTCTGTTACACAGCACTCTGTCTGAAATATCAGACATCTCAACCAGTACTTCAAGTAGGCACATCTATATTCAAATTGACACTCGGCCATGTCTACCCCAGAACCGGGTTGACCAAGATACCTTGAATATCATTCGGGGTGGAATGATACTCCTGTGACAAAGGCCGGGCACGAGTACTTGACGACAAACGGATGGAGCCGATCAACTGACAGTGGCAAGTACGTCTCTATATAATACTTTCCACATTCCACGCATAAGAAAAGAACAAGATCGTGTGCAGTTAGCCCGGAATTGTTGTCTGTTTTCGATTTTCCGGAGTGGGCTGAAGAGCGACGGCTTTGGTTGGCTCTACGTCTCAGTCTCTTGTCCCGCACTATGAAGTGAGTGGTGACCAGCGTCTCACAACAGGGGTTGACTCAGTCCCGATGAAAACACAAGTGGAAATACCCAGGTATACCGTAGATATATCATAGATATATCATAGATATATCACGTACTGTGCGTAGAGAAACAATGGTATCCGAGTCTGTTGGCGTTGCCCATAGTCAAAGCAGAATTGCCAATGAACAATGAACAAGGGAAAGAGAGTGACTTACGACGCAGTATTAAGAAAACGTGAGAGGAAGTCTTCAACTTCATATTCCGCACAGTCCTGCCAATCGCTGTTTCACCATTTTTTGGAGGTACTACATGGCAATGAAGCCAGCCACTGCCGTCACCGCGCGTTGTCTCGTCTCTGCATCTCCGACACATCACCCCTACAGCAACAATCCAATCTTCACGGTCGCCATCTGATGTTTCAACTACCTAATTCTTCCCGTGCGTCTTCCAAAATGGCCACAATATTTACCAATGGTCGCATCTTCTCCCCTGAGACGGATGGGTTTGTTTCAACTATGGTGGTGAGAGGAGAGCATATCGTGCATGTTGGCTGGGAAAAGGATAAAGCAGTATCACAGATCCAAGAAACGGTCTCAAGAGTGGACTTGAAGAATCGCGTAGTGCTCCCGGGTTTTATTGATGGTCACGTACATATCCTCAACTTCGGTCTGTCACTACAGAAGGTCGACCTTCTACCTTGCAAGTCCCTCTTAGCTATCCGACAAGCAATTACCTCCTATGCAATCACCCATCCATCTGAGCCACGCATCTTATGCCGAGGCTGGATTCAATCGGTGACGAACGGTGACGCTCTGGCAACCGACTTGGACGACCTAGACCCCCGACCTATCTATATCGAGGCATTGGACCTTCACTCTACGTGGTGCAATAGTGCAGCTCTTTCAGAGCTCAAGGTTGATTCTATGCCTGACCCTCCAGGGGGAAGAATTTGTCGTTGCAGTAACGGCTCTCCATCTGGATTGCTCGAGGAAGCTGTGCAGTTCAACATCGTTTGGCCATTTCTAGACCGTGCCGCATCATTGGAAAAGAAGTTGACCGCTATCGATGCTGCACTGGGGGCCCATCGACGAGCTGGATATACCGGCCTTGTAGACATGGCTATGGGTGAAGCTGAATGGACAGCGTTGAATATCTATCGGAATCAGCAGGGTGGGCTTCCAATGCATGTGGCAGCACACTGGTTGGTTCCTTACTCAGAATGCGATCGTGACATTGTGGATCATATTGACCGTGCGGTGGCTCTTCATCGAGATTTCAATCGCACCATCTCTCCGGACTTTTGCATCAATGGCATCAAGCTCCTCTGCGATGGGACAGTGGACGGCTGCACCGCAGGACTACACCAACCGTATGGTGGACTGACCAACATTGTGGACCCTATCTGGCCGGGCAATGCCCTTAGGGCAGCTATTCGCCGTGCTACAGATGCTGGACTACAATGTGCTATTCATGCAATCGGAGATCGAACCGTGCAGTTGGCTATTGACTGCTTATCCGAAGTCCACAACTTGCCAAGCTGTCGTCATCGCATTGAGCACTTAGAGATCACAGCACCTGAGGACGCTAAAAGGCTTGGTGAACTTGGAATAGTAGCCTCCGTTCAACCAGTACACCTCGATCCAGCAACTTTTGGTGCATGGCCAGAGATACTGGGAGCACGCCGGTGCGAACGGGCCTTTGCCTACCAAGAATTTGTGGATGGTGGTGCTCATCTGGCATTTGGGACCGATGCCCCCACTGCAGAACATCTTGCATTGCCCAATCTTTACATTGCCACAACTCGACGGTCGGCCCTGGATCCCACCTTGACAGATACCATCAACCCCAAATTTGCTGTTTCCCTTGCAACGGCAGTCTCAGCAGCCACTGCAGGGGCTGCCTACGCGTCCTTTGCTGATTCATGGACCGGGAGACTACTACCGGGGCTTCAAGCTAATTTCGTCGTCTTGGACATGGAATGGGCCCCGGAGGCTCTTTTAGAAGCCCGTGTATGTCAAACATGGTATAAAGGGAAAAAGGTATTCGACGAAGAGATACGTGAGCCGTCATATAAGGAGGACCCTTGTCTGAAAGGATGAGATGAGCATAGCACGTAAGCGACTGCTATACTGAACAAACACAAACGAGATCCTCGATACAATTGAAGTATGCTGTCATATCACCAGCCTAGTTTTCATCCATGAGCGATCTTCAGACATTCGATCGATTCAAACACCAGTCTCCTCAATTTCAATTCCTGTGCTCATACCTTTGCTATTCTCTCCGATCTTCTCCAACTCCAAATTTGTAGCTGTTGCAATGTCATCCCCGTCGAAAATTTTAGTTATCTCCTCCAGGGGCATGTAACGTGTCTCAACGTAAAACAACCAGATGACCACAATCTCCGCCGCCAAGAAACAGCAGTAGAAAATGTAATAGCGCCAGTGAATATTCTCAAGCGCGATCGGATTCACATACTGGTTGAAAAATAGCGCGATATACATGGCAAACTCCATGATTGTGTATCCCTTGGCGCGCATTGAATATGGAAGAATCTCCGTGGTATAACTCGCAATCAAACCCGACCTTAAGCGTGTCAGCGACAGCCATGGCTCACTGGGATAGTATACTCAACGCACTTCAGGTTGTAGAAGAAATAATATATAAAAATCATCCCCAGTACTCCGGACCCAAGGGCTGAGCTTTCATGCTGATCATACCTCGCCGATAGGACTGTCCATGCTATAAAGGCAACTAGCATGCCAGCGGAGCTGGTGATCATAATTGGACGACGCCCCCATTTGTCCACAAAGAAACTGAAGAAAAGGTTGGTGGCGAGATTGAAAGAAGTCAAAGCCCCATTAATTAACAATTGCTGGTTCGGGTCCTTGATCCCAATGCTATCCATGATCATGTTCAAATAGTATGACACCAACCCGTTGCCAGACCATTGGGCAAACAGCCCAAAGGTTATAATAATGAGCAGTCGCCTGCGGTTTCCTGGAGTTCGCAAAAAATCGACGTAAGAGCCGGAATGGTCAGCATTCTTCTCCATCGTGATCGCCGTGTTGATTTCCGTGAACTCGAGCCGTACAATCTCATCGGTCTCGTCCCCTTCGGCATGGTAATGGGCCAATATATGCAGCGCTTTCTCTGGTTTGTCTTTGGAGATATAATACCGCGGACTCTCCGGTATCCACCACACAACTGCCAGCATCATCAATGTGAACAACCCTTGGATTAAGCTTGGAGCTCTCCATGACCATTCACTCTGTCAAATCGTTATTGGGAATCCCTTAGATCTCCAACATCAATCCATACCTTGATCTTCAGTGTTCCGTATGTAGTCCATGCCGCGATAAAGGCTCCAGAATGATATGTGGCGCCTGCAATGGTGACCAGGATTGCCCGGTCTTGTGCGGGTGCAATCTCGGTGATAAGGAGCGGAGCAGTACAAATCACAATAATATCGCCAAATCCGAGAATGAATCGAGCGCCGACGAACATAGAGAAGTTGATGGAGCCTGATTGTAAGGCCACACCGAGCAACATGAAGAAAGAGCCAAAGACCAGGCATATCTTACGGCCAAGACGATCCAGCATGTAGGGCAAGATTAACAAGCCAGCCAGCGCACCCACGCTCATAACACAGTTGAACAGACCCAGTGTTGGCCCTTTAGGGTGGTGGAAGTAGTCCTGCCAGTAGGACAATGCCTGGAGGCCGTTCCTAGCCAAGACGGTAAGAGGCAGAAGAATGGAAGAGATGAAGCAGGGCTTACATCATGGAATTGTCGAATCCATTGGCTGTATTCGTTGCGATCAGTACTAAAATATAAAAGTACAGGATTCGCATGTTGGGTAGTTTCCACCATTTCACCCGTGGAAATAGTCGCCCTGCTAGGTAGAAATGCCCCTTGGGGGGTTTGACTGTCTCGTACGCTTCTCCCATGTTGGATTGGCCTAGTTCAGAGAATTAGTGGCAATTCGCGAGACACTGAGGGAGATATATGGCCCGAGATGCTGGATGTATATTGCCATGCACTCACGGTGGAAGCTTGACTTGATATAGCCGGTCCAATGAGAGTCTTTTTTCTTTGGTGAAAATACGAAGAAACCGACTTGTAGCCCGGTACAAAGCTCTTGATTCACTCCTTTCAGCCTAATGAGATTGAATGCGGGGGTGAGGGTTATATCCCAGGGATGTTGTCGGATGCCACACCGTGTCTCAACCGGCTAAATAGGCGCCACATAAATGCAGTCGTGATGATGAGATGACCTCGCCATCCTACCTTCTCCAGTCATTCACCACAGCACACATGTTCCACTCCCCCATGGCAGCTGCTCATCATAATCCAATCATCCCAGGGTTTGCACCCGATCCTTCGATCTGCTTGATCGATGACACATTCTTTTTAGTGAATTCAAGCTTCCATCTGTATCCCGGGTTGCCCATTTACATGTCAGATGATTTGATTGCATGGAAGCACATTGGTATGACCCGAAGTATCCCCTTACTTATAAGTTGGGACGTTAATACATTCTAGGAAATGCCATTAACAAACCAGGACAACTGTCACTGGCTCGAGCGACTACCTTTCTCGCACCGTGGGACGATGGCACAACCATGGTGGGAACAGGCGGCTTATACGCGCCCACGATCCGACACCACAATGGGATTACTTACATCATATGCACCAATGTCATTCATGGCCCGTCTAATGAACTGGGCGATGAGCGAAATGAACAGTTCATCATTCACACGACAGACATCCGCTCGGGAAATTGGTCGGATCCGATCATCTTTGAATTTCCCGGAATCGACCCATCTCTGCTCTTTGACGATGATCGGGTCTACGTCCAGCTGTGCAAGACGGGACCTGAGTTCCACATTTACAATTTCGAGATCGATATTGAAACTGGGACCAAGATCACGGAGCCTGCGCTGATCTGGGAGGGTTGGGAGAAAGGATACACAGAAGGTCCACATGTATACAAGAAGGATGGTTGGTATTATCTGTTATGTGCTGAGGGGGGCACATTTCGATACCACATGTTGAGTATGGCGCGATCAAAGTCAATATGGGGTCCATACGAGGCCTATGAGATGAATCCGCTGTATACGGCCAGCGGAACTGAGCAATATGTCCAAAATACCGGTCACGGCGATCTGTTTCAAGACCAACATGATCAATGGTGGGTCGTCATGATTGGGATTCGCAGCAAGGATGGGAGATGTATCATGGGACGAGAGACGTTTTTGACAGCAGTTGATTGGCCTTCTAACGGGTGGCCGAAGATTGAGCCCGTTATTGCCGATGGGGATTTGGGGGCAGACAACCTCCAGCATCAAGAGCCCCTCGCTACTGCCTCCTGGGTCTATTTGAGAGATGTCAAACTAGATCGGTACCGTATACAAGACGGCCTGATCACGGTACAAGCCGACGTCGCGGACATGACCAGCCCAGATGAGTCCACTTCTTTTGTCGGCCAGCGAGTACGAAGACTTGAAGGCGCCGCGATAGTGACTCTGTACAAACCGCAGAGTTCTACGTCGGTGCATGCAGGCTTGGCTCTGTATAAAGATGAACACCGTTTTGTGACCATTGGATACGACACCCAGATGAAGCAGGTCATTCTCAGGGGACTGAATCAAGCAAAACGCTTTTCGAGCAGCACCAGCGAAATTGTTGAAGTCCAAGATTCTCTGTCTTTCAAAATCAGTTACACCGAAACAGCTCTGCAGTTCTTCTTCCAAGCAAATGGACAAGACTGGCACGAGTTATCGACCCTTGACACTGCAATTCTCACGGATTACGACTTCACTGGTCCAGTTGTTGGGGTTTTCGCGATTGGGAACGATGTCGCAGTGAAATTTGGAAGCTTTCAAGTTGATATTGTATAGCGCAGCATTACCGATAGGGTCAACATTGGGATTTGCAATGAAGCACGCAGTTAACATCTTCGAGCATATATTATGTATACTTTTCCTGCTTGGTCCATCGGGGGTATTGATCTTCTAGATGCTTCCAGGCTTGAGTTTCTGCAAATCACCTGCTGTCCAATCTGTCACCAGCATATGGCCTGGCTCATGGGAAAAGACCAGACCGTCGATTCTATCTCTTGCTGCCTCCACAGCTATCTGTGGTGTTACTCCACACGCCTAGAAGGAAGTCAGACACAAGGCATCACCAAGGGTTAGTGTAGAACTGACCCAGAAGACCGGCACTTCACCCTCCTCAAATTGCTGTGGCTCGCCAAAGTCAGGCTTTGCGACATCCAGAATCCCCAGTTGCTTTGCGCCCTCCCATCCCCAGGCGACGGGTTCTCCATGTGTTGATAGATAGGCGCGTGTGATCTCCCGGACTTTCTCGATCTGTTCCGGGCGATACGGTCGCATTGATACAATGCAACTTCCCCCGGTGAATATCCCGGCGGGTAATAAGGGAATGGTCGATCGGTACATGGCAACTATCGTGCCAGTCTTCTGGTGACGCGGTGGCAGACCAGCTGCCGTGAGGGCATCCTCGAATGAGAACGAACACCCAATCAGAAAGCCAACATGATCCTTGGTCCACACATCCAGCAGGTCCCGACGGCTCTCAATATATTTCCCTTTTGAATATACTCGATACTTGGGAAAATCCGTGCGAATATCGAAATCCTCCGACTGAATACACTCGGCCGGGCGAATGGCACTTGGGCTACCGGGAACTGCGGTCATTCCCAACAGTGGACATGGCACTGGATTGCGCAAACATAAATCGTGGAAATCAGCCGCATATTGAACAGGAAGCACCAGCAGATTGGCTTGTAAATATCCTGGCGCCACCCCTGCGGTGTTGGTGAGTGTGTTCTGGCGACAGAGCAGACGTGCCTCCTGCGATGCAGTCGCGATACTCCCCATTTTTGGAAGCTCCTCAAAGGAATCCGAGCCAAGTCAAACGGATAAGCATTTAATATTGGACCATATCGCCTCATTACGCAGCAGATAGCCTCGGCAGAACAAAGATATCGGAATCCACATCCCGACATCCTGGGGAAAAGGTTGGGGCATTCCCACGTTTTCCCCACGTTGACGACCCAAATTGCTCCTCCATCCTGAATGATCCTTGTTGACTTGCCTGTTGCGGTTAGGATCGGTGGTCCAATCGGTTTGGTCTCTCCTAAGTGGCAAAAATGGCCCTAATCACCCTCTTTCTTGGCCCCCAATTTGGTTTCCTGTCGCGTCTTATCAGGGCTTCATCGGCCCGATGACCCACTGCCCATCCACAGGCATGGTATAGCCGAAGATAGGAGCCCATTGACGATCCATTACATCGTTTAATGTGACATTCCTCAGCTCAAATACCACCCTATTCCTCCCCTGTCGACTGAGAGTTGTCAACTGCTAGAGTCTACTATGTCACACGACACCGTTCACGATGAGCCCTTGGAGCTGAAGGACTCCCTGCAAAAGGAGGGTGCCGAAATTGCCAGCGAGGCCGTCATCGGCGAGAACTTGGATGTGGTACTTGATCCAAAGAAGGAGAAGAAGCTGCTCGCCAAGCTGGATCTCGCCTTTGTCCCTGTCATCACGCTGACTTACCTCACTTGCTTCCTGGACAGATCAAACATTGGTAGGCTGTGTTGAGTCACGAGCAAAAGCAGAGGCATCAAGCTTACCAACTCCCCAGGAAATGTCAAGGTGGCCAATATGCCCGAAGACATCGGTGCTTCCCCAAGCCAGTTTGCGACCGCGGTGTCCATCTTCTATGTAACATACGTTATATTCGAGGCCCCATGGGCGGTCTCGATGAAGAAGTTGACTCCTCGCAACATTCTGACGGGGCTCTGTATCGTGTGGTCTCTGACAACTGTCTTTACCGGATTCATCGAGTCAGTAGGCGCTCTCTATGCGACTCGGCTCATTTTGGGTGCTTGCGAAGCCGGGCTGTTCCCATGCCTCAATCTCTACCTGACCATGGTCTACCGTCGGGAGGAGCAAGCAAAGCGTGTATCCTATCTAATGAGCTGTGCTGCCATCGCAGGAGCCGTGGGTGGCCTCTTAGCCTACGGCTTACTGCACATGGACGGCGTTGCAGGCAAAGCGGGATGGAGGTATGTTTTGCCTTATTTTTGCTTTCTTACCTTCTGTTTAGAATGGTCCAAGACTCCCTTTCTGACTGATGATTGTCTAGATGGGTATATATCATTGAAGGTCTCTTCAGTATCTTCTGCGCTTTTCTGATCTGGTTCGGTCTACCAAACAACCCGGCTGAGTCCTACTTCCTCACTGAGGAAGAGAAATGGATGATGCGGGTGCGCAACGAGCAGCGTCGCAAGTATATGGGAAGCGAGGAATTTAGCTGGGAAGAAATGCGCATTGCCCTGAGAGATCCGAAACTGTATTTCAGCGGCGTCATCCAGTTCTGTCAGGATATTCTCCTGTACGGATTCAGCACTTTCTTACCCACTATTCTCGGCGGCATGGGCTACAGCTCCCTCATGAGTAATGTCTTGACCGTTCCAGTCTATGTCTGGGCTGCTATAGTTGCTATTGCGGTTGCAGTCTGGTCCGACCGAAAGTCGAGCTTTGCATTGGTACGTAGTTCCCACTGCATTCTACCTTGCAATCCCTAATTCCACCATGCCCCTCCTAACGCCTTTTCGCAGGCCATTTTCGCCGCGAATATCTTCGGCTTTGTCGGTTATATTCTTCTCCTCGCTGTTGGGAACACCGCTGTTCAATACTTCGCCACTTTCCTGATCGGTGTTACTACCTATACATCTGTCAGTCTTAACGTTGCTTGGCTGAATGTGAACACTGCCCCGCAATATCGCCGTGCCCTAGAGATTGGTCTCCAACAGACAATGGGCAACTGTGCCGGTATTGTGGCGGGCCAAGTGTATCGCACCAAGCCATACGTACTTGGCAACGCCTTCTCCTTGGGATCCCTCGTATTAGCACAATTCACGGTGACTGGGTTTGCCTATTACTTGCGGCGGGAGAATAAAATGAAGGACCAAATTCTTAATGGTGAGAAGGAAGAGACTCGACGGGTTCAAACCGGTGATGGAGCACTGGACTTCAAATATATTTACTAGGTGTCTATATTTGGGGTGTCGAGATGCCCCTTCATTTGGGAAGGGAAACACTCACTGCCGCATAACGCGCTATCCCCGTGTTTAGCTACCCTCGGTCTGTCTGATTGTGATGTATATAGCCGATGATATTATAGTTCTCTTGGCCTAATAGCTAGTACCAGCCAGTATTTCTTTGAACACCTTTTGTGAGACGAGTATTAGACCACATACTACTTACACTAACTTGCGAAATAAGAGGAGCCTGCTGCATTAAATAGTAGCTGTCAATCTCCCACATCGAGCAATTTTGTCGTTCTCAACGTTTGCTAACCTGTGGTCAGTCTCTTCTATGTTTTCGTACTGAATAAACTGCACACGTATGCTGACACCTCAATGTATTTTGTACAGAACTAAAAGAAATCCCTCATTACGCTTGACAATTGTTCCCCATAATCAAACGTGAAGTATCCGTTGGGCAACTGCTGGTAAGGACCTCCATCCGCCACTGGACCCGTCCCTACTCCCATGATTTGATCTTCTAGATTGCCCACTGCTTCAAACCACTCCATTAATTCCTGGGTCATCTGTTCGCCATCCTGTGGTGTTTGACTTTGGTTGCTTGCGGTCTGGGCCAAGGCAGGAGTATCATTGTCATTTGGCTGGTCACCCTCCTCTCCGGCTTGATCATTCACACGCTTTTTCTGAATGCCCAGGCCCAGTTGAGGACCAAGTTTACGGAGGGTTCGAATAGATTTCCACAATCGCCGAGAGATGTATGACTGGGCCGAAAACCCTTTGACAAGCTGCAGTGCCCGGTAGAATTCTTCTTTGCATGATCCACTGAATTGCGAAGGAGCCTGCGCCACTGCAAGGAATAGAGCTGCAAGGGCCGAAACGAGGAACCAATTGAATGCAACTTGTTGTAACTGATAGATGTCTGATGTATCGTTCAGGTTGGTAATGAAACGAATTGTATCTTTAGCAATCTCCACCACGGTCTCGGACTCGCCGGGATACCGCGTAACATGTGCCGAAGTGTGGAGGACAGGTCGATGAATGAGCATACGTAGTTGATTAGCACGGAGGTAGAGAAGAGCACGCAGTCTGCGCAGGCTTCGTGGGCCATCCGTCGCTGGCTCACACTCTGTGGCAGTCGGATGATCGAGTCGCAACGAGTCGGGAATGGCATGCACCCAACGCAGCACTTGCCAGTCCAGATAGTTCATCTCTTCCTTCTTAATTTCGTTCGTATTATTGAACGCTGAGATGAATTTCCACACTTTTCCCGCTATTCGGCTATACCGGATCATCACTCGCAGGTAGGGGGTCTTTTCGGCAGGTTCTGGCAGCCAAGGGTCGATATCGGTATCTTCCAGGGCAAATGGCATTCCAGTTCCAAAGCTCCAGCGCATGTCCAGAATATAGATACACCAGAAAAGTCGAAGGACGCGATCCTTCCCTGCTGCGATGATGGTTGGCTGATTCAAAGATTCTCGTCGGTGAAGACCCTTCTCGAGACACATGCGCTCAACAATACCAACGGTGCGCCATGCCAAAGTTTCCTCGTCCGTTTGAAAATAGAAAATCGACTATGGATGGAATTAGCATCCTGACGATTCATGATTGATTGGGGATGACCAACCACGAGAGTCAAAAATATGATGTTTTGAATTTCCGGCGGACCCCAGACGCAATTGTCCTGGACCTCCCGCACACTGTCGAAGAGTGCGATGGCTTGTTCACTACGACCACTGGCCTCTGCGGTCAACGCACACGCAAATACAATACGCAGAATGAAGACATCTTCATGGGCAAGTCCGTTATGCCCATCGTGCTGAACAAAGGGTCCAACCACGCGATCCGTGGGGCCGTAGAGTAGGTGTACGTGCTCCAAGAGCTCTGGAAGTTCCAGGATCGGGTACATAATTCCCATTTCCTCCTCATAGACACGGCAAAGGCGGAGCGCCTCTGTTTTGGAAAGAGACCATAGTGGATCAACCGTCCGGCGCATTTCAGGTTCCACCATTGGTGCCGATGGCGATGCCAACGGTGAAGGCTCTCGGGTCATATCACCCTCGTCGCCAGTTTCCACCCGTTCCACAATCCCACGTTCCTGCAAGCTTGATTTAGCGAGGTCAAAACTGAAGGCGGACGTGGTTGGGCCTTGGAATGGCGCCTCCTTTGCTGTTGACGCGCGCCTTAGTGACCGTTGGGTGGATATCAATCCATAGGTGCCTGCGGTGGAAATCCCGACGGGAGAATGGTATTCACTGCGGGCTATTGACCGGACACTAGCAGACAGCAGGGTGATCTGATCCTGCATAGCCCTCATCTGGTCAAATAGTCGCTCGAAATTTCTGAGAGGTAAAATTAGTCGCGATCTCAGCGAGCTTCAATGCACATACTCCTGTTCACCGTGACTGTCGCGATGTGTGTTCTCAACGTAAACGCATTCTATATGCTGGCGTCCGCAGCGCTGACAGGGTGATTGGCCATTACATTTGATCTTGCGACGCTTACATTCATTGCTTCTCGGTAATATTAGCTTGCGATCGTGGGGAATGAAAGTTCCAAACTGACCAAGCTTTGGCGATGTATTTGCGGCGTTTCTTCGGGCGATCATCATTCGCATCCACAGGCCTATCCCCATCCACGGGGGCAGTATACATCTGCAGGGCATTCATCCTCACAATGTATTCGATTGAGTACGATACGGTGGCATTGGAGGTATTCGTGTGTCAGGGGAACAGGGGTGTGAAGAGGAAGAAAAGCGAGGCGACAAATAGCGGGGGATTCCGTCCCTCGGGCCTCAACGAGACCCGGCGACTGGAACGAAGAATCCGGGAGTCGATTTCAGAAATGAGATCAGCATCTGCAATGATTGGCAAACGTATGGGGTATTGGGACCAATAAATACAATGGGAACAAATGGTCTAGCCAGGTTTCTTCATTCGCCCCCGTGTAGCCGAGCGCTAAGACCAGGGAGATGCTCACGGGATGTCCGGCCGACGATCGAACAGCTATTTTTGCCAATTTACTTGGTCTTACGGGTCTTGCTTGATGGTATCTCGTGCCTCTAGGAATCTAAATACTGCCAGGAGGCTGAAGTCGGTACATCAATACATGTATGCATGCCTCTTGATTGTCTCAGGACTATGGGGTAAATATATACGTATACAAAAATGGTGAATGGGGGGTCATGTCATAAGTCAATATCCACGATTTCCAAACCGTTTCATAGATACTTTGTACGTTCATCGCTCTCGGCAATCCATTGCTCAAGCTTCTTGGGATCGCGTGCGCTAAATCCAACCTTGAATGGCTTGGGTTCGGTGGTCAGCGCAGTGGCAATCGCATTGCAATCAATTGCGTTTAGAATTGGCCGGTCGGAAGCTTCCTTGGCTGTGTGCATGCGGAAAGCAGTGATGAGACGAATAAAAGCCGTGAACAGTTCGCGATTAGCGAGGTGTGAGCCTGCACACATGCGGGATCCTGCTCCATATCCGTAGTGTGGAGTGCCCGAGCCCTCATTGAGTCCCATATAACGCTCGGGAATGAACTTATCAGCGTCCTTGAAGTGATCTTCGTCATAATCGGCAGCCCAGGCATTCTAATGGTCATTAGCAAAGTCCTGATCAAATCGGAAGGGGGCAATAGCACATACCATGAAGAAAGTAGTACCAGCGGGGATTGTAGCTCCATTCCACTCGATATCCTTGGTGCTTTCGCGTGGCAGACAGATTGGAATGACTGTCCAGAACCGCAAGATCTCCTTGACCAGTGCAGTTACATAAGGGACCTTTTCTTCCACCAAGCATCTCTCCCAAGCATCACCGTTCGGATAGACCTCCATGATTGCATCATAGGCCTTCTGCTGAATCCTCTGGCCATCTTCAGAGGCTAGATAGGCGATTCCCATGATCAAGTTACCCGGAACAGTGTCAAGACCAGCGGACACCATGGTCAAACAAATCGATTTTACCTCGGCTAGGGAATGAATCAGTAATCACCTGAGCAACTACCGGGCAATTGCGACTTACCGTCATTCAGCTTGGCCTCGGGATCTTTCAAGATATTTCCAGTAATACAAGGCTTATCGGTTCCCTTTGCGATCTGATCTTTGAGCATGTCGAGCAGGTAGGTCAAATATTTATCGCGGCGACCGCGGAAGTCTTCGGCCTCGTTGTTCATTTTGGGGAAGATGCGCAACAGAGGAATGTAATCCTGCCAGTTGTTGGAAGTGCTGCGGAAGTTTGACACTCCACGCTCTACGTCCACAATCTCGTGCAGCAGTGTATCATCCACGTTGCCCTCGATACGGAAACCATAGTTGAGAGTCAGACTGGTGTTGAGCGCGAATTTTTGGAAGTATGCCGTGGGATTCACGTCCAGTTTACCGTTCTGGCTATCCCGATAGAGTTCCTTGATGCTGGAGTTGGATTCGAGATCGATGATGGGCATGTACGATTGCACTGCCGGTCGGTTAAGGGCGGTGGCCGCGGCCTTGCGACGTTGCTTGCAGGACTCATCCCAAGGGGAGGTGCCAATCGTGAAGCCTTGGGAGCTGGAGACGACGCTATGGAAGGTGTGGAATGTTGGGCGGGAGATCAAGGCCGACGAATCCTTAATCCATAGTTGACGAACGGAGTCGAAGCTGTTGGCAAAGACGATTCGCTAGCATACGTGTCAGCTGCATCAGATCAGTATAGGCACGTGCGAGGCGCCTACCTTGTTTCCCATGCGGACTTGAAACACGGGGCCGAATTTCTTGGCCCATTTTCCAGCGACTGTCGCATGCTGGTCTCCCAGTTGTAGTAAGTTGCCAAAGATGGGGACACCGGGTATCTCGGGGAGGCCCTTGATTTTAGGGATATCCGTTCGGTTGAAGTAACGGATAATGAGATAGATCACCGCAATGACGGCGATTGCAAGTGTTTGGACTGTCATGGCGAGGGGACTTGACACACAACCCTCCATTCCTGGGAGCATGCAACTCTTATAGCTGCCGGGCCCGTATCAACTACGGCATATTTCCGGAATGTGTAGACACACATGGGTATGCCCGGCTGCAAAATTCGGGGCGACATCCTGCATTGGCCAGTGAGAGGTCCGTGAATCAGCAGAACCCGGTCCTTTGCAGTGCTTCGTCGCCAATCCGCGGGGAGGAACAGCTTCCCCAACTTGCGGAATCAACATTCCGCACGCCCGCGCTTGGGCAACGGCCGGCGGAACGACGAGCCGCCATTCCCGCGACCGTCTTGGACATTGTCGAGTGTTGATTGATCTGTTGATCTGTTCGTGACGTCCGTGTCATCAAGAATCTGAACATGAGGCTACAGGAAGTGAAGTTCAGACTCAGCCGCGCTATTCACTTGGGATTGTCCTAGACTCATGCTCGCAAGCTCGCCAAGCTTAGTGTCGTTGCAAATGCGCGAATACAGTACTCCGTACGGAGTACACGGAGAACGCTTCAGGAGGCTGGAGGTCTGCAGTTGGTCTGGATATACAGGCACACCTAGCAACGTGGGATGTATGTTGTACTCCGTACACATATCAACAGGACTCGAGTGTGAATTCACCATGAATCCACGTAGACACCTCACAGATCAGGCCAGCACATCGACGCGTCGCAATTCTCTTCTCTCGTCATTTCTCGTCTCTCGTCTCCCGAGACATTGGACTTTTATGGACTTGACCAAGGTCTCATGAACCTCATGTTCAGCCATGTCTTCTCCGTCCTTTCTCCCACTTTGCTCTCCTGAATCCCCCATTCTACGACCCCGGCGTCCCAGCCTAGATCCAGAGCGCGAAATTCTCTCCACCCGAGGCCAGCGCTTAATGAACCTTTTGCCTTCTCGCACCTCCAGCTTGGCTCCACCCGACCTCGACGATGAAACCTCTGAGCGGCGTCTTTTCCTGCGTCGTGGATCTTTGTTGATTGGACGCAGTAATCCTCGTTATGAATGGTACTGCTATTCCCGTGACGCAATCGTGCCGAATCTAATCACCGCAGGCAAAGATATTACAAGCCCCCTGAGTCATTAAAGGATCTCCCCGAAGCTATGTTAGTTGGTTGCGCCTCTCAATGACATGTCCTTATAAACTGACATCAAACTAGCCGGAAATATCATGAACGAAATAATGGATTAATTTCCCAATATCTCTATATTGACCGACTGCTGGACTCTTCGTTACCTCATAATCTGATTGAGGAATACAACGAATGCAATCACTACGGCCCTGCAGGAAAATGGAGCAATTCGCTGAACTCTCAAGAAGAGAACGAAGCCGAGACATTGGAACCACATCCCAAAAGCGGAAGGATCAAACGCACTCCGCATAATCTCTATCGAATCCCCGACGAGACAACTCCATTGGTCCAATCCCCTGTGGCAGTTGACAGCCCACCAGACCCATTCCTCGATCTGGAATCGAATGGTGGGATGTCGCCAATTGAGGAGGAGCACGTTATCAACGTGGCGATTCGCCTTAACTTCGTTGCCAACGTGGCTCTTCTTGGATCGAAGATCGCTATCATGGCGATGACTAGCTCCATGTCTATGCTGGCCGGCCTGGTTGACGGAGTTTTGGACTTTCTCAGCACCGTGATCGTCTGGGTGACCACTATCATCATCCGTCGAGAAGATCGCAATCGGTATCCCATCAGTCGGCGGCGGTTAGAACCCATCAGTGTCCTGATTTTCTCGGTTATCATGGTGACTTCATTTTTCCAAGTCGCTATAACGTCGATGAGACAGCTGACTGGAGACGACCGCACGGTTGTTGAGCTCTCCACCCCATCTCTCGCCCTAATGGGTGGCACAGTGTTGGTGAAACTGCTTTGCTGGATGTGGTGCCGGTTGATTCCGAGTCCGAGTGTTCAGCTACTGGCCCAGGATGCTATGACTGACGTCGTTTTCAATACTTTTAGTATCATCTTTCCACTGAGTAAGTCTCATTCTTGTTTGCTACTAGCACACGATCTAACAGACAATAATCGCAGTGGGCACTTTCGCAAACCTCTGGTACTTGGATCCCCTAGGTGGCCTGTTCCTCTCTATCTACATCATGTGGAACTGGGGTCAGACAGCTGCAGAATATATCCGGCGTTTAACGGGTGCAGCGGCCTCTGCTGACGATCACAGCATTTTGCTGTACATGACCATGCGGTTCTCTCGAGTGATTCACAAGATCCAGGATTTGAAAGCCTACTATGCGAGTGACAAGCTGAATGTTGAGGTAGATCTAGTGGTGGATGAAAGAACTAGTTTGCGGGATAGCCATGACGTTGGTGAGAGCTTACAGTACATCCTCGAGAGTGTGCCTACTGTCGACCGTGCATTTGTACACTTGGACTACTACGAGTGGAACTTGCCTAGCCACATGAACCAGATGGACCGGTGAGACCCGTCTTACGAGGGTATGAAGCCAACCTATCTAGGTATGGAGTCTACTTTTTGGACCTCATGTTACCGCAAACTTGTACATATTTGGATCAAAGTACATCAAGATTTGAACATAAAATCATTCATCTAGTTATACATATGAGCCATAATCAAATGGAAATTGTGGCTGGTAAAGTAACCAGGACGCTGAACAACAGAAAGAAAAAGCTATGGACCACGTTAATGTACAACCGATCCCATTACGGTCCGACACCGCATGAGTTCATTCAAATCAATCGTAGGTGACTCTAGCGAGGTTGTGAAGGCGGTGGTAACGGCCCCGGCAGTCCGCCTTGAGCCGAGCCATGGCTGTATACACGATGATGTGTTGGCGCAGAGACAGTGTCCCCCAGCGATCCGGGAGGTCGTTGATGAAGTGGCGGTATAGATCCCGGCACGGATGGCTGAGTGGAAGCATAGGTACCCATAGCACCCCCACTGATGGAAGGGTGCAAAGCTGATGGAGGAGTGTATGAACGCCCAAGGCTCGCCAGCGATGCCATTGACCGACCAGCCTGGGACTGAGGAGGAGTATTGTGGCCATATTGCGAAGATGCACCAGCCAAATTGACAGGTGTTGAGCGGTGGGATTGCGGCTGATGCGTTCCACTGACCATTGTCTGCACGTGTTGCTGATAGCTGTGTTGTTGTATTGGATTTGGCGTAGGCGGCGCGGCTGAGTACGACGCTGGAGTTGCGGACTGGCGGGGGTGCATACCATACAGGCTAGCAGAAGATTGTGCTGGTGTTGGCGGATCTGGTCGAGAACCGTAAGTTATACTGGAACGCGGGCCAGGGGAACCTGGTCGATAGGATGCGGGTTGCGATGTCATTTCTCGGGATCCAGACGTCACAGGCGGCTGGGTTGACGATGATTGGGAGAAAACATTGGGATAAGCCGATCGCTGGGTAGGATTTGTTGGCGGGGGAGTCGGGGCTGGGGAAGGCGCCGGAAGATTCGTCGGAGGCATCGAAGACTGGCTTGGTGTTGCCGCATAGGATGAATAGGAACCCTGACGACTGGTTCGCTGTTGCTGTGATGGCAGTGATTGGGCTTGAGGCTGCGGTGGAGTTTGTTGCGCGCGTGGGTCAAACCGTGCCATCCACTCATTGTTCGCCGATGTGCCTGAGCTGCCACCATGAGAGGATCCATATCCAGGATACTCTGAGTAGCTGCGAGATGACGATGGTTGATATTGGCTTGGTTGAGCGTACCCAGAGGATTTATGCGACATGCCTGATATAACGGTGTCTTCATGGCGAGAGGATCCACTTGTCTGGTATACCGGCCTTGATGTAATACCTGTGGTCGCAGCAGATGCAGATGCAGCCTGCTCGCTGGCAAATCGTTTGCGTGGCTGAGGATCTTCTGGTTCATCATTTAGAATACTCATGATGTTAGACCGCTTGGCGGGTATCTGACGGGTTGCATCAGGGGCAGGAGTGGCACTGGGATGAGGGGCATCCTTCACCGGGGACAAACCAGGACGAGGCGACTGGGATATACCAATAGGTTGGCCTGCAAGGGGATAATACGGGCGTTGGGCGAATGGATCGCGGTGCACAGATGACATGTCATGCTCCGGTCTAAGCTGCTGGGTAGGAGAGTTGGGTGGTTGTACCAGGCTGGGATGACGCGAGTGGCTGGATGAGGGGAGAGACGACGGTTGCTGTGCCGTCATATAGGCCTGTGCCGACAGAGGCTCCAAAGATGGCATTGAGCTCGGGTGACGTGAAGACATTGGCAATTCTTGCCCACGGGTGCTCGAATGGGGCAATACGGAAGAATCTCGTCTATCTTCTGTAAAGTAACCGAGGGGTGGGCCCTGGATGCGGTGGGATGGCCCTCGTTGCGCGCGAATTGCCCGAGTTGATTCTTCGATAAGAGTCGCGGTTGAAGGGACTGGGGAAGCAGCTGAAGCTTGGGCGAGTGGCTGGTAACGACCGACATTCCGCTCTTTCTCGGACAAAGGTCGCGCATGTAGAGGCATTGGTTGTGGTGAGAGGCCAACAGGCTTGCCTTTGGAGGGATATCGTATATCTTCAACCTCAACCATACCGTCACCATGGGGAGCAAGCGGACGAGGGATAATAGAGGACGGAGTCGCCTCATATCGCCGTTTGGGAGCAACACTTGGGATAGGAAGCGGCCCTGTCGGCTCACCGCGCGCCTTCTTTTCCTCTGCATCTGTAACTATCAACTCAAAATCTTTCTGCCCCGAGTCGAGACGGCGTTGGTAGAAATTTTTGACCTGAAACATACATATTAGCTGGTTAAACAATACAAAAAGCAGAAATATGGGACCGTAAAAAAGACATCGGACGAAAGACATCAGATAAAAGGACTTAATACATACCATTACTGTTGTCTTAGTCTTCATCCAGCCCGATATACCCTCAAAATCACGACCATAATGGCCCAGCAAGGCTGGGAAATCACGCTGCTCTGGTACAGACCAGTAACTTGTCGGTTGTGCAGATCCATACCCGGTCTCAGGCTGTTTACTTGCCAGAGGAGATTCAACTTCAGTGGACTCAAAGACATAGACTCCTTCTTTGGCTCGCCCGCGTCCGGCCCTGCCCCGTGGCATTGGCGGCAAGGATTCTTTTTCAGTGCGCTCTCTTTCCCGAGCCTCGTATCCTTCCAACACGTTCTCCGAAACCATCTCCATTTCACTTCCGGGATGAGGTGCTTGTGGTGCTGTTTGAGGCGGATTGCCTTGTGGCACCACCACCGGTGCTTTCGGCTCAACTTGGGTGTTCTTCACGCGCCGTCCACCACGAGTACCTCCACCCCTTCCACCGCGTCGAGTGGTTGATCTTTCCACCGGTTCACCATCTTTTCCAAGCTGACCGCGGCGGCCAATTGGCACACCCTCTGCCTCGGTAGAATCACCGAAGGTGGGCGCTGCTGCACGTCGTGGGCGGCCAGTATCAGTGACAGCAGGTGGCTCGTCCTCGCCAACGAAGTCAGGTTTCACCACACCTAAATCGGCGATGAGAGCATTGGACTTCGGTCTTGGGCCTTTTCGAGAACCTTTTCCACGTTTACTCCAGCGTTTGTTGAGCTTGGCCTTATACTTGATCTCTTCCTTCGTGAGATAATAGTGGACAATACACTGTTGGAAATTTCGACCAGGTAAAGACTCGGCAATTTTGCCCCATCGTTTTGGGTGTGCCATAAAGGCATCCGTAAAGATCGTGTGCTCCTCCGGTGAGAAGTCATTGGGAGGTGGCGCGAAGCCAAAGACATCGAAAGCTTGAGTGCACTCAATAGTGTTGTTCACGTCTTTATAGACGGAAGCCTTCACCTCCCGCGGTTCAAGCATGTTCGGAATGACAGCTTCACGGCCCAAGTCGGGCCGAGCAGTGGCCATCTTGATCCTTCGGCGTTCAATCTCTTCTTGAGCGGAGATTTCGGAGGCCTTTAAAGCATTGAGGAAATCAAGCTCACTATTTCCCTTGTATCGGCGGCCTTCACGACCTTCCGGCATAGGTGCGGGAGTAGTTGGACCTGTAGAACCCGGGGGAGAAGACGGTCCAGGGGTCTCCAACTTTTTGTCCTTCATACGATCGAGCTCCCAAATAGCCATTCGCCAAAGCTTGTAGTGAGACACATATTCGTCCCGGAGGATTGCATTCTTCTTGAAAGTTTCCCCTTGAATCTTGGAAAGTTCCGCGCTGAAAGTATCTCTGAGACGATCTTGGGTAGCAATGTTCTGATGGTATACATTCATATCCGAGATAGGTGTTGGGGGGCCGGTTTGTAAGAAAGGAAGATGGTGCACAGTAACCTCATCACTGGAGGCCAAGGGTGGAATCACAGTATCTGTAACTGGCGCTGGTTCGGAGTCGGACAGTGTAGGAGCAAGAGGAACCACTTGGTCGCTGCTTGGGTGATCTGTTGACACTTCCTTCTCTACTGCAGGCACGGGGCTCACCGGTTGTTCCGATGCGCCTTCGACAAGTCCTTCGCTTGGTTGTTGAACCCTCTCTTCGTTGGCCACCATGCCAAGTAGTTGAATTTTGAGCAAAAGGCCGACAATTTCGGGATCTTCAAGAGGAGATGGAGGCAGTTCTGCTCGAAGCGACTCCATATCCTTTTCAAACATCCGTTCTCTCTCATCGAGGTACTCCTTGGTAAAGATAACATTCTCGCCATCTTCCTCGTCACTGGAACCTTCAAAGTCTGGTATCAAGGTGGTTTTGTCAACCTCATTCTGCTCAGGGAGTTGGACAACGTCTCCTTTTTGAATATCAACCGCCGATGAACTACGTCGGAATGGCAGCTTCATGGATGGAGAGACAGGAGACAGTTCCTTGGCGGATTCATGGGGGAGAATCTCGCCGCTCTCAGGTTCGTCGATATCAGGTGGAGATGGAGGCCGATCATCTTGCCGCTTGGTCTCATTGGCCTGGGAAGCACCTTCACGATCATCGACAAGTTCTTGTTTCGGTGGTGCATTGGGAATAGAAGGTGTTCGGCCATAACCAGGTCGTACCCATTGCTTGCTGCCCTTGCGGCCCCGCGGGGAGGGAGCCTGAGCCTGCCATTGCAGTGCTCGAGGGCCAGTTGGAATGCCAGATGGTTGCATTCGTGGTGACATAGAGGGCTCGCGGGATACTGCGCGTGGGGCAGGTGGGATTCGCGCGAAAGTAGGAGAAGAAGTCAGTGAATTCGACATCCCAGGCCCAAATGGTTCGTTGGGTCCCAACAACGGATCTGGTCGAGTCATGGCAGCGGGAGCGGTTGGCGGTGTTGAATTGGGAAGATTAGTAGATGGTTTTGGAGGCCGAGGAGGCACTGCTTGGTGCTTGCTAGTCTCTCGAGTACCTTCTGGGCGGTTTCGAGGCTCGATCGGCTGTGTTGTTTCTGTTCTTTCTGTTCTTTCTGCCTTGGGCCCCGTCGGAGGTTGGGTTGATGTTCGTTGCGGGACTTCATTGCTGTCCTTCTCTGTGGGCAAGGTGGAAGCGGGGGCCGCACCTTGGTCGTATGTATCTTTATTTGGGTGTGAATCTGGGGCAATGCCCGTGGTCATAGAGCCAAATGCGGGTACTTGAGGAGCAGCTGGGGGAGGTGAATTTCGAAGAATAGGACCAGCATTCTTAACGGCATCCAATCGAGTAGCACTAGGCCGAGTTACATCAGATTTAACAGCATCCGATCTAGCAGCGCCAGGTCGAGAGACGTCTGGGCGAGTAGCACCAGGTCGAGAAATATCTGTTCGAGGTACATCCGGTCGAGAAATCTCTGCTCGAGGAACATCCGGTCGAGAAATATCTGCTCGAAGAATTTCCGGTCGAGGAATATCTGGTCGAATAACATCAGGTCGCAGACCATCTGTTCTAACAACACCAGGTCGAGCAGCAATGGAGTCGCTCCGTACGGTATCTTGTGTAGTCTCTGGAGCGCCAGCGCTGGCAATGATTGCTGATTTTCGACCTGAATCCACTTGGGAATGGTCAGACAAGCGATCTGCTAGGATTGGTCCAGGTCCAGATGCTGTAGGAGGGTGTGAGGAAGTAGTTGAGCCGCTGGCTGCGCGGCTATCTGCACGGCTGGGGGGACGGTCTCGTTTCCAGAATTCCACCGGGCGATCACGATCTTCTCGATCAGGTCGTCGGTTGTCCCAGTCTTCACGACGATCAAAGCGATCTCGGCGGTCCAAATCGCGGTCTGGTTCTCGGTCTCGATCTCTGGGACGTGGAGGGTCTCGGTCACGGTCTCGGTCCATCAGTCGATCGCGATCTAGGACCCGATCTCGATCCAAGTCTCGATCTCTATCACGATCCATGAGTCGATCACGTCCACGCCATGGTTCTCGGGATCGACTGCGGCGGCGGAAAAGGTCACGATCATCAAAAAATGGTGGACGACCGCGACCACGACCTCCTTCCCAATCTCCACGGCCGCGCCCTCCTCGCATAGCCCCTCGAGGTATATGACCACCATTTGGTGGTGGACCTTCTGGGCCTCCTGAAGACGCCGATAGGATACTATCTCTCGAATTTCGTCGCATCCGAACTAGATCAAAGTCTCGCGTCGGAGGCTCCCTTATATCCCTAAAGTCACGCGTCGGCGACCTTGAGCGGCCTCGGCCAAAGCCAATCCGGTTGTCGCGAAGGTCGAAATCGCGGTCACGGCGAACCCAGTCACGGTCCATATCTCGGCGAAATGGGGGTCCATCGCGGTTGTCTCGAAAGTCGCGGTCTCGGTCACGATCTCGTGGATCTCTGTCACGGTCACGAAAGTCACCACGGCCATAACCTCTGCCACGGCCTCCGAAATGGCCACCCCTAGGAGAGTCGACAAGAGCCCGAGGACCACGCGGTGGATCTCTACCAAATGGTGCAGGGCCGTCGTCAGGGCCACGGGGACCGACCGGGGGGCGACGGTCTCCAAATCGCTGCGGAGAACGGTCACGGGAATTGAACCCGGACGAAGGGGGAAATCGGGAGGACATTATCGCGTCATGCTATCATGCAGCTATGGACTGGTTAGCGCTCCAGCACGTTCGAGTATAGTGCAAATAAACTAAAGCCGGTTGGAATGCAGAATCCATCACATACTCAGATGAAGACCGACAGTCGGGAGAGTTTGCACGTGACAGTCAATGCACGGACCATATGAAGAATTGAAGAGTCCCCGATCGGGTAAGGCGTGGCTTTCCACTTTCGGGGGAGAACACAAAGATCCAACAAATGCTGTATAACAAGTCCGTTGGTTTTTTTTTATTTTTTTGTTTTTGTTTTTCGTTTTCTTTGTTGTTAAGTATGAAATCCGACGAATTGCATCAATCAGATCGAATGTAAGATTCAAGCTAGACCACAAGTTGGCAGACTATCGCGCACGCGTCGCGATAACGTTGATGTGACTGGATTTGATGTGGAAAACAAGAAACACGGGCACGTTGGAAGATCGGAGAAATCATGCGAGCTCCTTGCGCCGGATCATGTGCACTGAACACTATGAATCAGGGGGGAGAGTGTCGTCAAACGTGAGCCGAGTTGGAGAAGATGAGTTGTGACTTCAAGGGGGTTTGGCACTAAGCCGATTGAAGGCTAGTAGATGGGGCTACTGCCCCTAAACTCTATCTTCCCTGGGCTTTAGCTACACGATGCGCATATATAACACCTCTATGGAGGTCGGATACTATAGATCTGTTTCAATTAAATCGGATGAGTTTTTTCTCTGCCTACAGAATAGAAATCAGAAATCAGAAATCAGGATTCTTGAGCCATCAGGGCGAGATCAGTCTCAAAATGTAGAATGACTCGAAGTCTCAATGTAGAATGACTCGAAGTCTTGTGATTTCTCAGGCCACAAGGCACCAAGGCATCAAGGCCCAGACTGATGCAATGTCCCCGCCGAACAAAAAAAAAAGATCACCAATTGCCCCTCTTTGATAATTCGATCATTTCTCTCTTCCTCATTATCCTCTCGGGAAATCTGCAGTCAAAGCGGGTTCATTCACATCGTATTTCGCTGTCACTTTTTTATTCCATTCCACTTTCCTCACCGCAGATATGAGCGCTCAACAGCCCTCGGCAGTCCCCGCCTCGGCGACCGAGTCCGTTTTGCAGAGCTCGCAACCTGTCCCGGAGGGGTCTCACGTAGTGACTGGTGTGGATTTCGATAAGTTTCAGGGACGAGACATTACGGTTGCCGAAATGGTGGACAACCTAGCCCACACCGGCTTCCAGGGCAGTGCGGTTGCGGAGGCTGCGCACATCATCAATGAAATGGTAGACCCTCAAATATTAATATGATTATAAGCCATGAATATTCTGTCTAACGTTCAGTCTTTCCTAGCGCGCCTTCCGTCACCCCGAAACTGGAGACAAAACCACCATCTTCCTCGGCTATACATCGAATCTGATTTCATCCGGTCTACGGGACACGCTGCGTTATCTCGTGAAACATAAACATGTGTCAGCCATTGTGACCACTGCCGGTGGAGTGGAAGAGGATTTGATCAAATGTTTGGCACCCACATATCTCGGGTCCTTCTCGACTCCTGGGGCTGGACTTCGTGCCAAGGGTCTCAATCGCATCGGCAACCTACTTGTACCCAACAATAACTATTGTGCCTTCGAGGATTGGGTGGTGCCCATCCTGGACAAGATGTTGGAGGAGCAGGAGACTGCCAAGATCAAGGCTCGGGAGACTGGGGACGAGGAACACGAGCTTCACTGGACGCCCAGCCGCATCACCGAGCGATTGGGTCGTGAGATCAACCACGAGGATTCGGTCCTGTACTGGGCGGCCCGGAACCAAATCCCTGTCTTCTGCCCAGCCCTGACGGATGGGTCTCTGGGCGACATGCTTTACTTCCACACCTTCAAGTCTTCCCCGCAACGACTCCGAGTGGATATTGTGGACGATGTGCGCCGCATCAACACCATGGCTGTCCGGGCGGTGCGCGCGGGCATGATCATTTTGGGCGGTGGTGTGGTCAAGCATCATATCGCAAATGCATGCTTGATGCGCAATGGGGCCGAGCACGCAGTTTATGTGAATACCGCGCAGGAGTTCGATGGGAGTGATGCGGGCGCGCGACCAGATGAAGCGGTGAGCTGGGGCAAGATCAAGGCGGATGCCAAGTCTGTCAAGGTATGTTTTCGACACGATGCCCTCCGGATTCCCAGCTAACTGTCATATTTTAGGTGTATGCGGAGGCAACGGCAGTATTCCCCATGATCGTGGCTGCTTCGTTTGCGCGCGCCGAGCCACAAAATTTGGAGCCACAAAATTGAATGGTCTGACGATCGAGTCTTGTACTCCGTACGGAGTAATCGGTACGAGATCAAATACCAAGCAATGCGGGCACCCGCAGTCTAGGTCAAAGTGGTTTCTCTTGGGACCAATCAGTGTCGATCGACGCAGCGCTCCACCTCCAGGCCCTTGGCCCTATTGTTTCAAGATGGAGATTGGACTCCGTGTCAACTGGGTAGACCGCCTCGACCACCTTACGATGCAGGGCGATTCGCTATTCCAGCAATGGTTTCCCTATGGGACTGCGTGGCGTACTCAGTTGAAAGAGTGGCAAACCGGAGAAAACTCGAGCCGAATCGCCACCGAATGAAACTCGGCATTGAAGGATGAGTGGAGATCTGGATCGGCACACCGCTGGATGGACTTTTGTGATAGGCAACATTTTCCGTTGGGATCGTACGTGTCTTTGGATAGAAGATTATAGAAGATTCAATGGCAGTCAGGAAATCAATTCAGATCTTCCCTTCAACCTGGCCTGAGTTCATCTACCAAGTACGGAGTAGGTAAGTGGGTAGATGGGAGTCCCCCTGGAACAATAACCTCTTCCCTTCAACCTGGCCTGAGTTCATCTACCAAGTACGGAGTAGGTAAGTGGGTAGATGGGAGTCCCCCTGGAACAATAACCGTCGACCCACTCGGCACTCTTCCCCCGGACTCATTCTCTTGCGTTTTGGTTTTCTTTGCACCCGACTTTTCTTTTTCTGTTCCTTTTTTCTCTTCTTCTCTTCGTCTCTCTGCATCCACTCTTCAGGACCTTCGTTCTTTGTTCCCTCGTTTTCCCTCGCTTCTCCCTCTGCTCCATCCTGTCTCCTTTCTCTCCACCTCTCGCCCCACTCAGCCGATAAGCCCTTATCAGTCCTTATTTAGGGAATCGAGTATACCGTTCTATATATCGCGTTGTTGCCCAACCCACATTCGCTCGAAGCATTTGCTCTTTGCCAGAGGGAACATGGATCTGCCACCCAATTCGGATGTCCCGGGCAATGCAGAGACTCCGATGGTGAATCGTCCAGATGGTTCTCCAGAGCCCGAGTCACCAAACCAATCATCTGAATCATCCCCTCCAATTCCTCAACCCGCCCCAATCCTACCCTCAGAAGAACTGGAACATGCATATTGGGCAGAGTATGAGGAAGACACGACAACTCCAGATGAGGATGAGATGAAAGAGATAGATGGCGGCGACTCCGACTATAGCGCTGGTGACCGTAAGTTTCTACCTCGTATGGGATCACCCGGGATCTGGAATTGACTGACCACTCGGCAGATAAATACTGGGAAACCAACTTCTTCCGCGACTTGGGAGATCCCGAATACATTCCCACGGAGAAGGCCCGTCTCACGTGGACGTTCAAGGGTGTTCGAGGCACTCCCGAGAAGCCCAATCGTGCCAAAGTCGTTCGCTCTCCACCAGCGTTTGTTGGGGGATATTGGTGGCGAATCAAGTTCTATCCTAGGGGAAACAATGTTAATGCCCTGAGTGTCTACCTGGAATGCTCCACCACGATGCCCACTCCAGATGACAAGCTTCCCGAGATGGAGTTCACTGTCCGCCGTGGTGAGCCTGATACCTCACTAGATGACAGCACCCCCGATATACATATCAAGACCACAGCCACAGAGGATACGGCAGCATGGCTAGAAAATTACAAAGCTCAATATGCTGCGGCCAGGAACGCCCCCCAATCTGACAATAACAGAACCTCAAGCTCCTGGCGTGTGCCCGCACAGGTAGGTGTCATTGTGTACAATCCACAAGAGCCACGTACAGGGTGGATGCAGTCTTCTTGTCATCAATTCAATCCTCACAATTTGGATTGGGGATGGACCTATTTCCATGGCCCATGGGATCAAATTCATTCCCGTCGGCGTGGTCAACATCGCGCCCTTTTAAACGACGATACACTATCATTCGATGCATATATCCGTGTCGTCAACGACCCAACCAAATCCCTTTGGTGGCACCCAAGTGACTCCGAACCAACCTGGGACAGCATGGCCTTGACCGGCTACCGACCTCTGGGTGACTCTGTCATCAACCATAGCCCAGAGGTAGCTGGATTAGCATCGTGGCTGCACATTGCGCCATTCTGCAAGATCATTCAAAGTATCGATGTACTTGAACATCTCACCAATGCCGATGCTCGGCCTAAGCCTCTATGCGATGCTCTGCAAAAGCTTTTGTGGCAACTTCGTCGCCAAACACTTTCGCCAAGCTATGTCGATACTGATACCGTGACCACCACTTTGCGTAATCTGCACGAGTTTTCAAATGATGTGTCCGAATTTTGGGAGCGCTTACGTCGTACCTTGGAGCTCGAGCTGGATGGGTCGGAGGCTGGCAAGCAATTCACCAAATTGTTTGACAGCCCGGCAGTTCATGCTCCCACTACCGATGGCGAAATCACCGTAAACATGCTACCGACTGACTTCAATTCGCGTCTTTACGTGCCAATTGATCTAGCCAAATCTATCTCTGAAGCTGTCGGTGGATACTTGAGTGCTAAGCCCGGCCGCTGGTCTCTTCCGCCGCTTCTTCATGTTGATATTGGCCGTCATGCCCTGGACAAGGCCAAGCGCTGGCAGCTGCGGTATGACAAGATCGAGCTAGACGAGGAGTTGGATCTGGCACCGTGGGTGGTTGATGGTCAGGGTAGCAAGTATGTCCTTTATGGCTACATTGTTCATCGCGGCCGCCGCACCTCAGGCAAGTTCTTCAGTATTCTTCGCCCAGCGGGCCCGGGCACCACGTGGTTGGCTTTCGATGATGGCAGCGACAACCGTGTGGAGTGTCTGACACAGAAAACAGCCATGGGTCCCCACCTTGGCATCGATTCTTCCCAGACCATAGATCACAAGAAAGGCCATGATGTGCCCGTTATGGCCATGTATGTCCGTCACGATGTGGTTTCAGAGTTTCTGCCAGGTCCCCAGGGGCCTTGGGAGGTCCCTGAGCCATTGAAGCAATACTATGAAACGGGCGTGTATCATACTGGTGATAAGCCCGTCGATAATGTCCAGGTTGAGGTGTATTCGCTTCCCCAATATGACCAGCTGACTAGTCTGTTCGATTCCTATGACCTTATGGCACAGGCCAGAGCAGCAAATAGTGTCATGTACATAACTTTGCCCCGCTCATCACGCTTGGTCGAGCTACGCAAAAGAATCGCCATCTGGAAGTCTGAAGGCTCCGAAATCATTGGTCCTGAGCGAGTTCGCTTCTGGCAAATCGGGAACTCCTTTGCTCAACCTGGATCCTCTTTGGCCTTCGATCGCACTACCGATCTGAATGTACCTCTCGATCCTTCATTGAGTACCATACGGTTTTGGATGGAAATTATTTCGGAAGGTATGGAACTATGTTCGTTTCCAAATTTAATGATACCCTACTTATTCTATAACAGAGGACGCTCAATTTTTCGCCATTCCCGACCCTCCTACAGTCGCCACTTCGGAGGATAAGCCAGACGAAGTTGCAGAAGATCCAATAACCCAGGCATCTGAGGGTGTCTCATCTACAGCCGAAGGCGATGCTGTGGCCAGCTCATCGGGAACTGCTTTGGATGAACCTTCCGCTCCTTCCGACATCGTGAATCCCATTGTGGATACTACCATCGATGATGGTTCACTGCCCGCACTATCAACACTAGCCCCAGAGAATGACACTGTCTCTGCTGAAGGGGACGCACCAGGAGCGTTGTCACCTGCTATCTCGGTCCACGACCAACAGAACACGGCGGCCACCACATCAACCTCATCAACAGAAGGCCTAACCTCTGTTCCTGAAGCATCTCGCAACGACGCGTCGATACTACAGGCTATATCTCAAACGCAGGCCGAAGCTGAAGTCAAGCTGCCTGTTGGACACACATACTACTTCATTCAGATGTTTGACGCGGACAATCAAGTACTACGCACAGTGGGGTCGTTTTTTTCTAAGCTTGATGCCAACGTCAAAGCTTCTATTCGGCGCCATTTGCAACGACCCCTTCGCCAGGACTTCCTCATGTGGAAGCGCGTCGATGGTGCCGCCGTTACTACAGTGTCGCCCGCTGACAGCTTTGATGATGTGGTTGCTCCGCACGGGGCATGCTTCATTGTCGGAGATAAGTTAGCCAAGGATAAGTAAGTAAACATCTCTATGGATTTTAAGATGTTCGGTTCTAACGCAAAATACAGGCGGTCTGAGCTTGCCTCTTCGGGTTTGTTCACCAGTCCCGACCGTCTAGTTCAGTACCTGTGGGCCGGTTCTCGAGGCCATCCAATCCATGGTTTCACTGGGACTAAGACTATTGAAGCCACCTTTACCAACGACTACTACAGTGGTGACTTCCTCAAGGGCTATCATCACGGAAGAGGCACGCATATATCCGGCACAGGCATGGTGTACGAAGGTGACTTCGTCTTCGGCCGACGTCATGGCCAAGGCAAGCTGAAGTACCCCACTGGCGACTCATACGATGGTGACTGGATCGAGGATGTATGCCACGGACAAGGTACCTACATCGAAAAAACCACTGGTAACAAGTATGTCGGTGGCTTCAAGGATGGCAAACGACACGGCAAAGGCATCAGCTACTGGGAGGTGGCCGACGCAGAATTGGATCTCTGCCAAATTTGCTACACCGAGGAAATGGATGCTGTGTTCGCCGAATGTGGCCATCTGTGTTCCTGCGTGACATGTGCGAATCTTGTAAGCCTGTGTCCGATGTGCCGCAAGGAGGTCAAAAAGGTGATCAAGATTTATCGCGCATAGAGTGGGATCATCATTGGAGTATAGATGGGAAGTTGCATTTGAATAGGTTTTCTGGGTTTTTGGGAGCACTTACATTCATTGATTTTAGCGAATGGTTACCTATTTTGGAGGCTACTCATGCGGTTTTGAGTTGATAGTTTCGTTTTGCTTATAGCCGCATATCAATTGTGATGGATATACATGGGTTGGTGGTTCACTGGTTCATCTAGCACAGTCGTCTGATCTTAAATTGCTTGGATACTCGTTCTTTGCAAATTTTGAAACACAGCTTGACCTTGATTGAACTAAAGGTATATATCCATTGCGCCGGGCCCCGGACCTAATACATGATGCTTTTGACTTGCCCGAAGAACGAAAGAGTTATACACAAAAAAAGAGGAATGATCAAATCCGTGATCATTTGCTGGCTTTCTTGGCCGGCTTCTTATCCTTCTTCGCCCCGTTGCCCTTGGCCACGGTCTTCTTCTCTTCCTTGGTCTTCTTCTCTTCCTTTTCCGCTGTGATTGGCTTCTTTTCTTCCTTGGCCTTAACTTCCTTGGTCACAGTCTTCTTCTCGCCTTTTGGCTCATTAGTGGACTTCTTTGAGGTAGTTGGCTTAGGCTCTTCTCCCTGGATTGGAGCCGATGTTTCGCTTGTCTCCTCTGACACCTGTGCCTTGGTCTTCTTAGGCTTGTTCAGAACACCCTTGGGGTTGAGACCCTTGCGGCGTAGACGGTTGCGCTCGGCACGAGCAATGCGCTCGACGTCCTCGGGATCCTCGAACGCGGTGAATGCACCCCCCTCGAAATCAGCGGCATGTCCGTTCTCATCAACAATGGGAGTACGGTCAACGACCTCCTCATCATCCGAGGACGCGGCTGAGGAAGCAGTGCGAGCCTTCTTGGGGCCCTTAGATCGGGACTCTTTATCCTCTGACTTGGCAACAGGGGTCACGGCAGTCTTCTTGAGCTTGCAGACATAGAAACCATCGACGTTCTCGCGGTGCGGGAAGTAACGGCGGGTGAGCGCCATCTTAGGATCGAAAGTCTTGCCCATGTAGCTGAGGAATCCAGGGCTGCCGAAGCTACCGAGACCAGTGTCCACAATTTTGACATTGGGACGCTTACGAAGCACATACTGCACGACAGCCTCGTTCTCTTCGACCGTCACACTGCAAGTAGAGTAGACAACGTATCCACCGGTCTTGGAGGCGTGATCCACGGAGTCAATTGCAGCCAAAAGAAGCTGGCGCTGCATGTGGGGAATAGCAAGGAAATCACGCTCATTCTTGGAAGTCTTGACACCGGGATCCTTCGAGATAACACCAGTACCAGTGCAGGGAGCATCAAGCAGAACACGATCGAAGCCACCCATAGCCTTGGGGAAGGCAGTGCGGGCATCCATGTTCGTCACAATAGTATTCTTGCAGCCAAGACGGTGGATGTTACCAATCAAACCCTTGGCACGAGGCTTACTGGCATCGTTCGCGACAACGCATCCAGTATTGCGCATCAAAGCAGACATGTATGTTGTCTTACCACCGGGGGCAGATGCCATATCGAGGACACGCTCATTAGGCTGGGGAGCGAGAGCCATGACGGGAAGGAAAGAGGAGGCTGCCTGGAGAATGTAGTGGCCGGCGAGGTACTCGGGAGTGGCACCCAGGGGGACCGGGGACTCGAAAACCTGTAGGCCAACCTTGGACCATTTACCAACGGGCTCAAGGACAACACCACGGTTGATAAGGGCTTGGGCGAGTGATCGGCGGTTGGTTCGCAGGGTATTGGTACGGATAACGACAGGGCGAGGGGTCTCGTTGGCCTCGAAGAACGCAAAGGCTTCCATAGGAGTGAACAGGTTGAACAGCTTCTCGGCCAAGAATCGGGTATAACCATAGTAAGTGCAGATATCGTCAAGAAGGAGATCGATGTAATCAGTACGTGACTTTCCGGGTTGGCCGAGGGTCTTCAGATCACCCAGAATTCGAATGGTGTCTGTGATACGCTGGCGAAGCAGCTGCAGGTCAGGAGCGAGTCCCTGCTGGTTTTGGTCGGCGAACACGTCGGGTGCAGCGATGTTGGTCTGCAGGGCGGCCTCCTGCAATTCCTGCTCGGCCTCTTCGTTCTCCTGCTCCTGCTCGGCATCCAATTTCCGCGACAGACCCTCGATGTTTGCGGCGGTCAACCTCTCCTCGGCCTCGGAATCCTCGTCGTCAGAAAACATGGCTCCACGAGTTTGGCGCTCCTCGTCAGAATCAACAACTGAGTTATCATCCTCCAGATCCGACAATCCTTCGACTTCATCATCGCTATCCATTGAGCCTTCACTGATCCCATCAAGATCATCGAACTCATCGTCATCCTCCATATCTTCGTCATCATCAGACATAGGCACAGGAATGGGCTTCTTTGAGGCCGATGGCTGCTTCTTCGGCTGGGGCTTTGGAGGTGCATCATTGACCTTCTTCTTCTTAGGGGCTTCCTTCTTCGAGCCAGCCTCATCGGCATCGGATCTGCGACGCTTTGCTGGTGCAGGCTTCGGAGGCGCCTCTGCCACGCCAGCCTTGCGTTTCTTGAGCATAGTGATTTTTGACTCGTCGAGCGGGGCCGGAGGGCCCTGCTTCTTCATACGGCGACCAACACCCATTGTGAAAAAGTGGTGTGTATGGGGATGTTTATGGTGTTTGCTTTCTTCGGAGCTACGATTTCTTTCGTTCTTTTTTTTTTCTTCAGGCGGTATCGGATGGCATTACCAGGAGAGCAGAAGGCGGTGTACTATGTACCTTGGTGCCTCATCAACCAGGTGTCGATATCTTATCGGCCTCAGGAACCCACCTCGTGGACAAGCTCCAACATCCACTACTCCAACAGCGATTGCCTGGGGTCATTTTCTCTCTCATCTTCTTTGTCCTCAAGATCTCTAGCATCGAGTTCTCTAATCATTCGTCATGTCAGAACTCACTTTTACCAAGTCATTCCTGTCCACGTTGGACTCGCGCCCTATCAAGCTTCGTGCTGATCATGTCTTCGATCCAGAGCAGATCGGACTACGAGTTCCTGTAAGTCCTGATGAGAGCATAGTATGACATCAATGACACACAAATCTCGTCCTAATAAGAATCCTTCATCAACTACAGTACACTCTCCCCCGCCTTTCAGCCCCGCACCCCCCGATGCCCAAGAAGGTGAAATCAACACATGCACCAGGCTCATCCAAATCAATCACCGTCCGTGTCAAGTCTGCTCGCAATCCTGCCCTGGAATTCTCCATCTCGAATACCCCTCTCTCGACCACCTCGATCCAGGATATTCGGGATGCCGTACGCGTGCGCATCACCGATGCGCAGGGAGGCCAAGTTCCGCTAGACAAGATCAAGGTCCTGTATAAACGAAAGCCAGTGACTGGAACTGCGAAGACATTGGCCGAGCTATTGGCAGATGAGCCGGCGATTCTGGCAGGCGGCAAAGAAGTTGAAATCGGGGTGATGATTATCGGTGGCGCCCAGGTGGTTGAGCCTACTGTCGCTCAATCAGAGGTGACGGAGAAGCCAGATCAATCGTCGCCCAAGGTCGCTGTAGGTCCGAGTGGTGAAGAGGTATTGCGTACAGAAGCTTTTTGGGACGACCTGCAGGGCTATCTCCAGCAGAGATTGAAGGACGAGGCAGAAGCAAAACGATTGAGGTCTGTATTCAAGGAGGCGTGGAGCTCAGCTAAGTGAGAGTATGTTCACAGCACAGCACAATGTCAGAAATAATGATAATTCCGAAGTATGCCTCCATCTACTAATTGTACAACACATTCCATTTGCTATTTCGGCCTGAGAAGGGGGTTGGCTTGATGTACGATTTGAATTCGAACGTTGTACACACAACATGAGCCATCAGTGTCCGAGGCAGAGTCCAGACACATTTGAGTAGAAAGAAAAGCCATCCCCAGGCAAGCAATTGAAAGCATCTCAGACTGCACTAGAGTTTATCAGAAGAGTAGATGAAGCAGCATTCGATCAGGATCTGTTCGAAGGATTGAACATGTATCAAAGAGTTGAAGAGAACAAAACATCCACGCACCCCAGGGAATCTTTGTCAAACGACATGTTATCAGCGAAAAAGTACACATGTTGGAAGGGAAATAACAAAAAGAAAAAGAGCAAAGTCATGTAGGAGAGTATCATATGCCAGACAGCTTGAAAGAACACCATTGCAAATGCTCGAAAGAACTGGGCCGACCAATCGCTCATCCAGTTCATGGGATCATACAGGAAACGACGAGCAAACGCGAAGAAATACACACACAGGTATAACGCAAGAAGAATCATACACGGAGTTTCATTTCGTCGTTTCAATCATCGGGAGAAGACCTTGACCACGCCATCTCCGCCACCGCCGACAACCCAGCGGCCATCACGACTCCATACCACAGCACAGACTCCTTCGCCACGCATCAGTCGGTGGCTTGTCAACTCCTGTGTGCAGCTACGCTTCTCAAGGTTCCAAAAGCGCAAGCTTGCATCATGGCCGGCCGAGACGAGCTCACGCCCATCCGGAGACAGCGACAACGAGGCTATCGCAGCGGGATGAGCGAGCATTGTGTATGTACATTGGCCTATATTAAAGATTAGCGTATTGTGGGGAATATGGGGGGGGGCTTTGGATGCCACATACCACTGTTGGCATCGAAGAAGCGGATGTATCGGTCTTCGTAACCGCTAATGATTACACCCTCTACACTACTTGATCCAGTAGCTCCGTGAACCACTTCTTCCTCAGTCATTGCGCGATTGGGATCAAGATTGGCTGTTCCATCAAAGCCAATAGTTGTGGCGACGACAGAGTTCACCCCGGTGGAGGGTGTGCCGTCGTAGGTCTCAAGACTGGCCATGCCAGCAATTTCTTCGCCAGTTCGCGTGTCATAGACGAGTATAGAAGCATCCGAGTAAGAAACGACGAAGTTGACGCCTGCAAGAGACAACGGGCTAATACATGTAGGAGAAGGAGAATCCGTGCGACTGATGTGATGGACAAGGCTGTAGTGGAAAGCTGTGGTTGTAGCGACACTGGGTTGAGGAGAGGATGGGAAGTTGGAACCGGAGGATATCGAGTTCGCCCGCCGACTTCCACCTTGACGGCGATTGCCTGCCGGAGGTGAAGAGACTTGAGGAGGAGCGCTAACAGCCCAGATCAAAATACGGCCATCTGCTGCACCGGAGGCCAGTAGAATTCGATCCGATCCACCATAATGGCCGCTTGAGTCACCGAAGACAGAACCCACGGTCCCAGGAAGAACACAGAGTCCCCAAACTGCATCTGTATGCCCGTCTAAGGTAGCCTTGGGATCAACTCGCCCACGTTCCCATACACGCACGCTCGCATCTTGGCCACCTGAAAACACCCATCCATCACCCAAAACACGACCGCCATTGGATATGTTTTGAGCTGGTGAGCATGCGGCTAGGGAAGTCACAGCGCCTTCGTGTCCGCGATGGGTGAAGTAACTTGTGATATCCAAATCATTACTGGAGCCTGGGCCGTGAGCCCCAAAGCCACCATAAGTAGCTGGGATGATCCATCGCTTTATAGTTCCATCATCGCTGCAAGTGCAGATCTCGGGCTCTGATGGGCTACCGCCACCAGTGAAGATGACAGACCGGATCACATCCAAGTGGCCACGCAACGCAAACCGGACTTTAAAGTTGGAATCTTGCTGTTGCCCAATGCTCGCGCCCGCCTCCCGCACATCAATTGCACCATCGCTCTTGCGCCTTGATCCCGAACTCTTCCTTCGGTGCGGCAGAGACCCGCCCTTAGTCGACTCAGTGCGCACAAAGTTGGCGTTTGGGAAAGCATCAGTATCGGGACGATGAGGTGGAACGGGCTCGGTGATAACCGGTTCTTGCTCCGCCGGCTCATCAAAGTTCCATCCATCCACATCCTCTGTTCTCTGCTCTGCGAGCTTTTGTGGGTTCGTGTCCTCTTTGACAGCCACCTGAGTGCCTTGGGCCTCATGTGTCGGCTTGGTTCGATCATCCATTGTACCTTGTTCGTATACCTGAGTTCGATTTTCGATCGTCGCAACGGGAGCTTGCTGCGGTTCGGTTGACCGTCGATCCATGGAATCCCGAGGAACATATTGGTTTTGGGCGCGAGACATGGCATTATCAGAGTAATGATTCGACATAGGTTGGTGGTTTTGTAGCACCATTTCGCGCGCCATGGCGTGATTTGCCTTCTGACGTTGTTGCTGAAGGTAAGCCTCCTCCAAGTTCTGTTGCGATAGCTGTTGATTGCCATAAAGCTGGCCTGACATGTCGGGGTCGCTCACATCAGGAGGTGGGTGAGAGGTGGGTATAACATGGTACGCGATTTCGCGAGAAGCCTTGGACAAATAGCCTCTGACTTTATCGATGTCCTCCTCATCGTGGCCTTCGTGATGGCTTTCGTTGTCAGGCTCTTGATCATCCTCATGGTCCGTGCTCGGTTTAGGGCGTTGCGCTGATGAACCACTGAATTAATCCTCACATGTTCCGTCCTGATATATAATGGAATCACATACCTTTCAGGAAGTTGATACTTTCACGTGCTGCCTCTTTGGGGTCCTTAGGGTCGTCGATCTTTTCGTTGTTGGAAAGCTTCTTGGCCTTCTCCCTTTCCCTCTTCAGCGCGGTCTCCATCAGCCGGACATGTTTCCCAAGGGACTCATGCAGGCGCTTGCTTGTGCGTAGATCACCTTCCAATCGGCCAATGCGGGACTTCATCTCTGCCCGCTCAATCTCCCATGCATTGCGGTCGCGCTCGTGTCGATGCCATTCTGTCTGAAGGAAGCGCATAACGCCTAGAAGATATAGATGTCAGTCAATGGCAGGCAATAAACTCAGGTGAGGCCGCACTCACCCTGCAATGTGTATTCTGTTCCCTGTGGACCATTCGAACCATCCATGGCTCCGGGCATTCCTCCGATCCCAGCCATGGCTGATGGAGATTGCCAGGACATGAACTAACAGACAATAGGTCGAGGTTCAGAGGATCAGGGGGGAGTTTAGGGAGTACCGAGGACGGAAGGCGAGAACAGGCTGTAAATTAGGTGTGGACAAGGTAAGGGTGAGCTCTGGTTTCTCCTGACCCCGATAAATCGTGTCCGTAGTAAGCGAACCAAGTCTCCTAGTGACGACGGCAAGGAACCACGTTCCACCCCGAGTCAGCCTGCGGATAAGGGGCCCTAAGGAGGAAGATCCAAAGGGAAAAGACCAAGATCGAGCGAGGATATGAAACTTTGAGGATGAAAGTACCTTCACGTATTGTTATGGTGAAGATTAGCCTCGGGGGGCTGTTGACCGCCTTCTATATGGAGAAGGTTGACCTGCACGCATGGACCTGGAGATGGGAATCGGAGGGAGAATTGGGAGCACAATGTAAGAGATGTTGATAATAAAGATCCATATTCGATAGGCAATCACAGAACTCCCGTTTAGAACAGTAAATAGGCCAACTTAGCGTATCTTGAGCGCCTCGGTCTTCGGGTACCTAGGTATCAACTACTATATACATTCATAGTACGGGTCTGTATACCACGCCGCAACCTCAAATTCGAGCGCATGAATCATATCTATATTATATCTCGAATTGGCTATTGGGCTCGTTCGACTTGATGCCGAAGTTGATTGCTAAGCCGTTCTTATGACGTTTAGCTTCTTCTCACGTACCTATGTATTGGGGTAAGGTTATGCATCTATATATAACCAGTGCATGGATATCACAGAGACAATTCAACCACTTCTCAGGTCGAAGTGAAGCAAAAGATTCCCCAGGCGATACGGTGAGCGCGATACAACCCTTACAGACGTACATCGAGCAAGGAAGCAATGGGCTCAAATATTGAATATGCTCATGGTCTCATACAATAATGAATCATGCTATGGTGCATTGGGACCGTCTAGAACTCGAGTTCTTCTACCTCCATCCCACAGTCTACGCACGCCTTGATCCCAACTCCGGTTTCTGGGTTCTCAACAGATCGGCCCCATTGATGAACATGTTTCCGCCCAGACCCTAGATCGTCACCAAACTCTCCTCCTGAAGCACCTTGCCGATTGCGTCGGTAGGCCTCCACACGGGTGCGCTTCTTCAAATCTTGCAGCTTGGTTTTGAATTTGGCTTCTCGTCGCCGTTTTTTGTCATTTTCCCGCCGCTCGAATTCGGCATCCAGCGCATCCGTTGAGCCCCATTTCTTATCAGAAAACGCATACTCTTCAATCTGATATCGCAGATATAACATCATGCTATTCCACGTAGACTTGTGTGGATTGGGACGCTCAAGGCGTGGGAGAAGTTCTTCGTCTCGAAGTTCGGCTGAACGCAAAATAATTAGCAACGCTCGATCTTGGATGAGTCCCAGGTACTCACGATCTGTCAGGAGATAATCTTCTTTGGCTTCCGTCTTGGTCAATAAGCTGTATTTCTCGGGATATTTCTCCTTGCAGGCATGACAGATACAACATTTTAGTTCTTCTTCCCATTTCCAGTCAATTTCGAGACTGCCACATTCGCGGCATGTCTTCTGTGTGCTTTTATCATCGAGGACACTTAGACCTGGCTCAAAGGGTCCCTCCCGATTCCGTTTCAGTGATTGAAGTATCTGGTGGCGTTCCCATTCCTTCTGCGTCATATGTGCTGGTTTCTGCACTTCCTTTCCGTCTGCTACATGCAATTGCTTGTTGAAAGGATCATCCTCCTGTGTCAAGAACCCACCCTTCGTATCGGTCATCTTACTAAAATCATAGTCGACGTAGCTTGCGAAGTTGCGAGCAGGCTTAATAGAGTCCAGTGGGCGGTTTGAAGAGGAGGCGTCGCGCATATTAGCGGGCTGGTTGGGTGCTGCCATCGAGGCGAACGAGCGCTTGGTGCCCGTTGCGGGCTGGGAAGAGCTAGCAGCGGCTTGGGCTAGTTCGGCTTCACGCTGCTCCCGAAGAGCTTTAGCTTTGATGCGATTGAGTTCCTAGCAACAGGATAGTCAGTTTAGATTGACGACAGATGATCTTGATATTTTTGCGGGACTTACCATTCTCCGTTTCTGTTCTGGAGTCAGAGGGCTGCGAGGAAGCTGCCCCGGCCCTGCGGCCTTAGATTGCGCCAGCGGGGTGGAAGATCGTTCTCCTGACATTATGAGATTATCTTTTAAGGGCAATCACGTTTGTCCTTTCAAGATCGCGAACCACTTGACTTGAGCAACAAGGCGGAAGGCGGCAGAACCCCGATCTGCCCACATCACATGACGCAATCTTTGACCCGACGTCATTGGCGCATTTTAGAAGTAAACAGCAACACTTACTCCGTAGGTAGGTTCAACATTTGGAGGAATCGGCCTGCAACGGCAAGAAATTGATTTCAGCCGAGAAGCTATGTGTCTGCAATAGGCAATTCAAACTCTTCTTCTCGGTCCTGGCCATACAAAACCTCACACACGCCTCCAACCGGCACGTCCATGACCGCGTCGGTTCCCTCACTCCAAATCTCCCGCCAGTTGACCTTGCGATTTTGGGGACCCATTATTTGGTAGGATGTTGCACCGGGCTTCATCTTAGTGGCACCACCCGGGCGTCTTCGTGCCTTTCCATCAATCACCGATACATTCGCAACTTCATCCACAATGTTCTCGATGCTGTGCATGGGCAAAGTAAGATAGCCTGTATTATACGTGGCAAGGGCAATATAAATGTAAATAAGTAGCATCACCAACCATGCAGGGATCGCCAGCGACCACCAGCGATTGGGGTAATAATAGATACCGAGCTGATGAAGGAATGGTGACGGGAGATAAGACCATAGGAGATAAAACACTAAGTTCGTCGGGTCAGTACGCGCAAGACAGCGGGGAGCAGTGCAAGGAACTATCCATGGGACTTACAAAAAGCCAACGAAGAAGCCAAGTATAACACGAAGCCATAGTATTCATAGGTAGGAACCTTCGGACTGGCGCGTGGAACAGTAGTTGCACGACGGGCGGACTTGGCAACTGCCGCCTCAGTATCGTTGGGGGTTTCTACATCGGAGCTATCCGGGGTCGTTGGGCGTGATGTAGTGGTTGAGAAAGGTGGCCGCAGAAGCGAAGTGAGTGAGGGCGAGGGTGGTAGAGGGGTGGGTGGGCGATTGTAGAACGGAGGCGCAAATGCATTGGGCCCATGGAGAGAGCTGGAGGACTGGCGAAATGGATGATGCCGGTCAATATTATCAGACGAATCATCGGAGTCTGTATCGGAGAACGATTGATGTTCTAGCGAGTAGTGCGACTGGAAATCTGCATCGTCCTCCACTTCGATATCCTGATAGCCGAGGGAGGTAACATTCTCCTCTTCGTAACTCTCTTGGGGTTCATCTGGAGAGAGGGGATCTTCAGCTAGCAGGGGAGGGAAAGGCTGCTTGGCCTCAAAGGACGAATTGAACGTCCCTTGTGCTGCGTTCTCCATAGTGAAGTGACGAAGATGAAGTCGCTTTCTCCCCTTTTCTGCAATCAGTGGCGTTCACCGCCCGGATCCACCTCCACATGCCCCACCGTTTTCCACTTCCGTATGCCCACCTGGGCAGGTACTTTTGGCCTTTGGACATTCAACGTCTGATGTTGCCCTGAACTCGAAACATTGACTATTTCAAGGTTAGCATTAGCAGTGATTATCGAGTCTACTACATGATCCAGCGGTCCAGAAGGTTCTGCTCTCGAGGGTAATCTCCAGAATCTACGGAGTACATACATACATGTGGACATGTCACATCACGATGTCATATACGGCAGCCCTATATACTTGGAGAGTACATAATGGAAGCTTAGCGGTACCCTCGGATTGAATCAGGGACAGTTTCTTCCTGGATCTTCCCACCAGGACTACATATATGTAGTCATAACAACGATATGTCAGTTCATAGGGACCTACCTACATGTACTTAATCTTGTCGCGGGGATTTGTGGGCGTGTTTAAATTGATGCTCAATATATCCGCTGCGTTGTGTGTTCTGGTTTCCCCTAGGGCCCTATTGATCGATATCCTTGCCGGTATTTGAGAAATTTGTAGTGCGATGATTCTGATAAACGGCATTCCGCACTTTGCAGCCAATGTTGCTATATCGGCTGTATTTATCTCTCAAGGCAACGCGGGGGCTGCGGCCCTGGAGTTCTTTAAAGTGCTGCCTCTTCATTCTTACAACGCTGAGCAAGGGCTTTCAACTATGGATCCTATTTGAATGGGACTCCAATGTCATTCAATTATGAATCATCGTGTAGCCCTTTGTTTTCGACTCGGATTGCTTCCGTCCACAACCCGGCCCACTCCCGAGCTCCGTTTCTCGGCCCTCGACAGCGAGCCCCCCAAATTTGCAGGAACTTGAAATATTGCTCTGGGCTGGCTCATTGACCTGAAACTTCACCCGCGGGGTTTTCTTTCTTCTCGCACACATTGCCGCCATGAACACCACTGAATTAGAGCATATCCGCGGGGTTTGGGAGCGAACCAAACATGAAAGCCCCATCTACCGCCTTCTTCTCTCTGATGTCGATATCATCAATGCCACTCGTGGTCAGATGCAAGCCAGACTTAAGCTTACTGCGGAACACGTCAATTCCCGGGGTACCATTCACGGCGCGGTCTCGGCAGCCATCATCGATTGGGCCGGGGGCATGTCGATAGCCACGCATGGATATGAGAGAACAGGCGCTAGCATCGATATCCATGTCACATATCTGTCAACTGCAACCGTCGGGGATACACTGGACATTTCTGGTGTTGCCGATCGAGTAGGAAAATCAATGGCCTTCACCACCGTCAGAATCGCCCGAGTCGTTGACGATGAAATCGGCCCCTTGGTCTCGAAGGGTTCCCACACCAAGTTCCTGCCTGTATCCAAGGAAAACCGTGCGCCTAAGAGTGAAACTACGCCCTGATACAAGATTTGGTTGTACATATCAACCACAGCGTTGCTCTTTTCTCTTTTCTCTTGTTTTTTGTTTTTTTGTTTCTTTGTTTCTTTGAACTATATCTTCGCAATGTCTCTGAATCATGTCCCTCCCATCGAAGGTATAATACCACCATCTATGATGGCCAGCCACACACTGAAAGATTGTCAGAATATCTAAATTAGGCTTCACTTCGGCTTGACACTTTGGATGCGATAGATGTCACATCGCTGAATGAACAATCGGCACCTACCAGAAGTTTGAGCTGCCGATGTTGTTACATGTACGCAGTAAACAGCACCCCCGGCATTCTAGGTCGGTATAATAGATGCAGAGTGATGGGAAACAAAAGCAACAAGGCATACCCACATTGGGTCGCATATCCCTTCGAGGAGCCTCTGCGTCTGCGGTGTCATCAATACGCCTTCCGATTGCCGCAGCAACAGGCGCAAGTGCCGTAGCCCCGGCTGCCAAAGGTTGTTCCGCTCGTAAAAAGCCATTTAGCCCATGGATCTTCTTTCTCCGCAATCGTCATTGGAAGTGCTCCGGGAAATCCTTGAATCTAGTGGCATCATAACAGCATCCGCTCCAAAAGACGGGTTCTGTCACACCGGTTTGGCTGTTTTCAAAAACAGTGCCGACTTCCAAGGTCGGCTTTTCGGATTGACGATCTCGAAAATGCGAATGAGCGATCTATATTTGTTCTACATGCACTCAGTCCTATCGACAGCCCAACCATGCCCGAGGCAGGGCTGACCCTCTTATCTCGCGAGCTCGCTGCGATGTACCAGACAGGCCGAGGGTATCTCAATGGGCGAATAACAGGCACAGCTGGCGGCAAGATAGTGCTGCACGTCTCACCCATGGCAGCCGTCCCACGCTCCATTCTTGGAATCGTGGCAAATGGAGATTGGATCACCTGCAACGGTGAGAATCAAGCGGGAGAAATGTACTCAACACCTGGCCAAGCGGACATTGAGCGGCATTCAGACAGCTTGTACGGAGTATAGACTCCCATAGTAAGAGAAGGTATGTCGGTTTGCTTCGACAGCGGATCTATCAGTCCGAAGAGGGTCGATTTCGATTTTCTTTTCTCTGCAGCCGAAGACTGGATGAGTCCCCCTAGAATACCTAAGGACCGAGGTATTATCCGAACGAGCCAAAACCGCGATCGAGAAAGGAATGCCATCAAGGGAAAACACAAACCAAACACGAAGAATGGTTCAAAAGTTCCTTCAGTAAACCCGAGGGAAATGAGACCTATTGCAGATGATAGATCAAGTAGCGGGAAGAACCCTTCATGGATGACATGACAAGCTAGAACGACCATGAAAGCGACTAAAGACTATACAAAAATCCAGAGTGACCTCGTAAGCTGCTATACTGCTATACCTGGTCTCATGTCTCTCGTTGGACATGGCCTAGGCCACCATTTCAAATTTGCACGGTTGTGTAGTCCTCCCCGGAGACAGGATGTAAGAGTCTCGGTATTTCAAACCCACCTCGCAGATCTCTAGATCGGATCTCTGTTTTACAATAACTAATACAATCTTGGTCTAGGTAGGTGCTCAGACCTCCAGTCCTGCCTTTAGCTGCGAATCCAGGTGTTAGCCTCGATTGTACGGAGTATACGGAGGACTCCGTACGCCGTGCTCCGTACAAGAAGACAAATCAGCTTTCAACGGACCAACTCCACGCGAGCACGTTGTAAGTGTATCCCGGTTCGTGCTACTGCATTAAACACTCACATTCCTGATGTAGTGCAACCCCGGTTCGAAGACGAGAACCCTTGCGTCCGAGCAAACTGAGGGGAAAAGAGCCGACGAGTTCGAGGCCTGTTCCTCAGCCTGACAACAACGATCTACGGTGAACGGTGTGGAGGATTGTTACTGAGTCTTCCGAAGTACGCAATCTCAGATGCGGTCCAGGGCTGATAGTGTTCGTCAGCTTTGCGCATCGACATAGGGTTCTCACGCTTCAGGGGCTTCATAGGACCCACATTATTTTCTTTTTTTTCCCTCTTTTTCCCTCTTTTTTTCTTTTTTTTCTGTGAGAAAGATGTCAAAGTGTTAGAACAGGTTCCACTCGAAATTAGACCCGCACACTATTGAGATCAACGAGACTATCGGGGCAAATTGGCATTTCCCAGCACATGGAGCATGGGATTCTGAATGATACGTCCAAAATACGGGCCATGCAAAGGAGGGGGACGCATTGCTTTTTCTTTGCTTTTTTGCTTTTTCACATTGTCTTTTTATTTGGGGAAATTGGAGTCGATTCTCGTTTATTATCTTGATTAAGCGTATTAAGGTGCCTAGGTAGTCGCATCTCTGCAATCCGGACATACTCACCATGCCGAGTATAACGGTGCGAGAACTATACTCCCACGCAAGATGAGATGACCTTGCTGATGCATTTTACAGGACAATGACACTAATATCGGGTCATCCCGAGGCGATGCCTCGACGACCTCTGGCGATATCGCAAGCAGTCTTACTGGTAGTGGTGGCTCGTCAGGCTCGGCGCTGATGATGACTCTGTTGCCCGCACTGGTGTACGCCATTTTTTGGGTCAGTTTGTTTCTGATCTTTCGACGAACGCAGCGCCGTTGGTATGCCCCGAGATCTTACCTGCCTGATCTGCACGAACATGAACGGAGTCCCGAGTTGCCCACGGGCTGGGTCAATTGGCTCGGCACATTCTTGAAAATTGAAGACAACCATGTGCTGCACCACTCCTCACTGGACGGGTACCTGTTTCTGCGCTTTTTACGGGTCCTGGCTGCGACATGTCTGACAGGATGTGTGATTACATGGCCGATTCTGCTGCCTCTTCATGCCACGGGGGGTAATGGCAACGCTCAGCTCGATATCCTCAGTTTCAGCAACGTCAAGAACCCGAATAGGTATTACGCGAATGTCATAGTCGCATGTGTTTACTTCAGTGAGTTTGCGCCATTCACTAGCAGAGCACCCGTGGCTGACAAGGGTAGCGTTCGTGTTCTATGTCGTGGTGAGAGAAAGCTTGTACTATGCCAATTTGCGCCAGGCCTACCTCAACTCTCCTGCCTACGCATCTCGAATGTCTTCCCGTACAGTTCTCTTCATGTCGGTCCCGGAAGCGTATAAGAACGAGAAGAAACTGCGACAAGTATTCGGAGACTCAATCCGCCGAACCTGGGTCACTTCGGACTGCTCAAAGCTGGAAAAGATGGTCAGTGAACGAGATAGGTTGGCTGAAAAGTTGGAGACCGCGGAGACCAAACTCATTCGGAGAGCGAACAAAATTCGCACCCAGGCAATCAAGAAGGGCGAAGTGAGTCTCGATACATGTCTGGACTACGAATCCAGCAATCCAGCATGGTCTCACAAGGTGGAACGTCCTACGCATCGACTGAAGCTTTTTGGCGAGAGAGTCGACTCTATCCACTGGTATCGTGCCGCGCTCGCAAAGAAAATCGAAGAGGTATCCAATCTACAGACTAAACACCAGAACGGGGACGGGAAACAGCTCAGCGCAATCTTCGTCGAATTCAATAGCCAGAATGATGCGCAGATCGCCTTTCAAACCCTGTCTCATCACCAACCGTTTCATATGACGCCTCGCTTTATTGGAATTTCACCCCGCGAGGTTGTATGGTCCGCTTTGAATCTCAGCTGGTGGCAACGCGTGGTTAGAAGATTCGCAGCCCAGGGATTTCTCATAGCACTGGTCATCTTCTGGTCATTTCCGGCCGCGATTGTTGGTGCAATCTCGAACATCACATACATCTGCACACTGATACCATTTCTCAAGTTCATCCTTGAGTTGCCCGATGTCATCAAAGGTGCAATTGAGGGCCTGCTGCCTGCTGCGGCCCTAGCAGCCCTGATGTCACTGGTGCCAATCATATGCCGTCGTACGCTATCCCGACTCAACTTCTGCCTTGAACTCAGCTAACTGCTATTTAGTATGTGCGAGACGAGCTGGTGTCCCGTCGAAGGCCCGGGTTGAACTGTTCACACAAAGCGCTCACTTCGTCTTTCAAGTGGTGCAAGTCTTCTTGGTCACGACCTTGACATCAGCCGCATCAGCTGCTACTGCACAGATTATTAAAGACCCTCTTTCGATCAAAGATCTATTGGCCCAGAACCTTCCAAAGGCGACGAACTTTTACATCTCCTACTTCATGTTGCAGGGATTGAGCATGAGCTCCATGGCCCTTGTTCAAATTGTCAGCGCCCTAGTGTTCAAGTTTGTCACAACATTCTTCGCATATTCCCCTCGTCGTCTGTTTCAAGGATGGGCCGAACTTGCTAGTCTCAGCTGGGGTAATGTCTTTCCCATCTTCACCAACATGGCTGTAATTGGTAAGTCATGCAACCAATCATACAATCATTGGTATTGACTGACCAAAGTATCTAGCATTGACATATTCATGCATCGCACCGCTGATTCTGGGATTTGCTTTCCTCGGGCTTTATCTTGTATACCAAGCCTATCGATACAATTTCCTGTTCGTATATAATATCGAAATCGATACCAAGGGCCTGGTATACCCACGAGCCCTCCAACATTTGTTGACGGGGTTGTACTTGGCCGAGATTTGCCTGATAGGTCTTTGCGCGATCAAGGGCGCTATTGGCCCTGTTATCATCATGGCTCTATTCCTAGTCGGCAACATCCTGGCTCACATATCGCTCAACGACGCACTCGCCCCGCTGAATACATTCCTACCACGTTCCCTTGATGCCGAAGAAGAAATGCTCCAAGAAAAAGAGGATGCAGTCGCAGCGATCAACGAACAGCGTCGCCCACGTGCAATGGCCTTTTGGAGATGGTTCCATCCAAACGTGTACAAAGATTACGAAGCATTGCGCCGCAAGGTTCGCCGCAACGTTAAGGAGGTCTCTTACACACCGGAAGAGATGCGCACAGCATATTTCGAGCCATGCGTGGCATCGCCGCCACCGACTCTATGGATCCCACGCGATAAATGGGGATTCAGTAATCACGAGGTTATGGAAACAGATGCAATCATTCGTATTACGGATGAGGGCGCTCATTTGAGTGAGAAGAACAAGATTGTGTGGGACAAATATGACCCCCATCTTCCTTTGCGGGAGTTGAAAACCCTGTATTGACCCTGGCCAATTGCCAGATGATTTGATGATGTGATGACAGAGACGCATTTGTACATTAATGCTCTAGTGATGGGGGAGACGATCTAGAGTCTGTTAAGTGAAGTTCAATTAATTGACCTTGGGTGCCTCCGATATATTTAAACTACTCCTTGGTAAACCGGCTGATATCACATTTGATCAGACAGTCAAAGTGAAGTTGACAGCATTAGAAGCACCATTATCCCGCGGGTAAAATTCGAAAGTGAACACAGTCGATTGGCCAGCAGAGATGACAGCACTAATAGCCGATGAACTGATGATGACATTGGAGGTGTCCCAATTATACTGATTGCTGTAAGTCTGTACCAGTGTTAGTGTTCATGAATGATGCATCATACGAGATTGTGGCTTAACCTACAGCTCTGGCCTGTTGAAGGGGACCCAAATAGACCGTCCAGTCATCGACCAAGTATGTTCCACTCTTGGTTAAAGCCTTGACTGCAGCAACAGTTGGCAGTCCCCCCCAAGTAATGGGAATCGAGAGGTCTGACCCAGAGACAGACGAGGCGACTGCTGACGTGGACGACAAAGTTGGGGCCTTCCATTGAACGATTTGGATGACAGGGGACGAGTAGCCACCGGAGAACTTCAAGGTCAGGGTGGCAATGATACCTGGTGTCGTTGTGGGAGATAGATGCTTCGACAAGTACGACGCTGTGAAGATTATATTCGCGCCGGAGACGGAATAGTCTGTGCCTGAGGACAAGGTTGAACCAGTTGAGTCACTGATTGACGAAAGCATGTTGCCATTGAAGATAAATGGAATAGTCTGGGCCGTGACCTCTGTTCCATACTGATGGAAAATATATGCTGAGGATGACTGCGTGGTCGCAGAGCTGTCCACAGTACTATCTGGCAAGCTGTTGGCCGTAGACTCGGTGGATTTAGTGATGATCGAGATCGAATTAGGATCACGCCAGACCCCGGTAGTGCGGTCCAAATGATCCAGACCGTTGTCCCAGAGGACGCATGAGATATCAAGACTGGCTGCAGTCTTGGTCAAGAAGTCGACGTATTTCCACCGAGCAGCAGGCTCGGTGTTGGTCGGCGAAGCATCGTATTCACCTAGGAGGATGGGTACGTCGGTAAAGTTGTCACGTAGCAGCTGGAAGTCAGATTTCACAGCCGCCTTGTCGCTGTCAGAGCCCCAAATGGTCTTTCCCCTGTTTGATGTCAGTAAGCCACCGGGGAACATGCTGGGCTGATAGCCTTACCAGGCACTGAAGATGAAATCATCTAAAAACGCTCGCTCGATCAGTTCAGCTCACCGAATTGAGTAGGCTCGATTATAACTCACATGGACTATAATAATGGAATTGAATAGCATATGGGTTTGGGAACCCAGAAGGTGCAACAAACCAGTTTGCAGTCTTGATACTATCCTCGCCACCTCCGACTAGAGTAACGACTCTTTGTGAATTAAATCCACCAGCATCATTGATAGCCTGGAGGAATATTTTGTTCAGTTTGTTAATCTCTGTAGCATCAGCTTCAGTATTGCACGGGGGTTCGTTGATAGGCTCAAATGCAACAAGACTGGATTTGCAAGCCAATTTGGTTCCAATTTGATACCAGAGTCGATAGAATTTCTCTTCAATCCTAGTCAGATTGGCTCCAGACTGAGTAACATCGGCCCAAGCCCAGGAATCTGTTGTGCGTTAGTGAGTATTGACTGCAGATACGAGTACAATCGGGCGTACCATGATGCACATCAACAATGGCATAGAGTCCGCGAGATACGATCATATCAACCACATCAGAGACTCGCTGCAACCATGCTGGATCAACGGTCCAATCCGGCGAGCTCCCAGTGAAATGATCGGTATAGGTGACTGGGAGCCGGACGCTCTTGAAGCCGGCAGCCTTGACGGTATCAAATGTCGATGCCACAACAGGCACGTTATTCCAAGATCCCTCGCCAGGAACAGCATCAAGTGTATTGCCTAAGTTCCAGCCGGGATGCAGACTAGACACAAAGCTTGAAGCTGAGACTGCACTAAATGTACCAGTGCAAACAGGCCCTGTCGAGGTAGCAGGAACTGTCTGCGCTGTGGTCTTGGTTGACGTTGCGACAGTTGTAGTAACAGCAGTGCTTGTTGTGGCTCCTGGGATGCATTGGTAGTAATCTTGTAAGGTGTTATTTTGGCGTCAACTGTAAGAACACTCGCTGGGGTCAATGTACAGGCATTTTGCGAAGCACAAAGAAAGCCTGATATGCAAGTAGTGCTCCCCGTATATCCACTTCCTCCGCCTAAATTGCTACTGTCAGTCTAATGTTAAACAAACATGGATCCAAGGTGGATATTCATACATTGTCCATAGCCTGGTACCTGGGCTTGCGCTATCCCAACGAGCGCCAGGAAGGCACCAGAAAGAAAGGGCTTCATCACGGAATGTATCTCTGGGAAATCCCTTGGGTCCCTTATAGATAGTGAAACTGGAATATGGACGGTATCATCGGCAAATCAAGAATATTTATAGTCTCACCCAGGCCTTCAGATGAACCCATTCGAGGCCCGGAGGGGCGGGAATTTAGATCGTTCTCATGCTTCCGTCCGAGGGCCATCCTCAGAGAGTACCTACATGTAGGTAGGCATGTAACTTCCCGGAGTCCAGAATGGGAGATTAAGAGTGGAGGCCGGTTAATACCTTCGTGTACGGAGTGCATGGTGGCGGCATTGTTCACACTCTCCACAATCCCAAGGGACGACCATGCCCTAATCGGATCGGCGGACCGGGCTGTATTCTTCATGGCATTAGTGCGTGACGAAACGCCCTTTGACATCGAGGAATTTCTCCATTGTGCTTACGTTCGGTATAGAGTGCATGCTTCGGTCTTTGGGAACTTGAAAGAGAATGGCCTAATAACTCCTCCAATAAGAAGGCGTTTTCACAAACACCGCGTCCTTTAATTTCCCCAAACTCGAAGCACATCGTCCGATCATTCGGCCAAGTCCCCAAATGAGCATGTAGGCGTCTTGCAGATTGCCTGTTTTATTAGCCCCGCTCTCGAAGAAGACGCGGAGAAGGTCCGTGGTGGTTCTATAAGCCCGTGGAGAATGAGGAACAGGCAAACACCAAAACGCCTCAAGACTAGTAGATAGTATGTTTACATGGAATTAGATAGGTCAACTGAAGACATGTCTCTCTTTATTAAAAGTATCAGATCATCATATTCATTCCATCGAATGGATTAGCGTAAAAGAAAAGGTATCATTCATAGAACTCTCATTATTTCCAAGTTTCGCATTGTTCACATCACGATGCAGTCTTTGTTCCGATCTTTGCTCATTCGATCACCCCCAGTGGATACAGAAGGGCGTGGCCGGTGGGAGTATGATGGGGTTTGGTAACGTGAATTTCGGTGTCCGGGATACTGATTTCCTTGGGCTCCGCCGTATGGCCTTCGATCAGGGGGCGAATAGCGTGGCCCACCGGCGGCTTGTTCATACGGCGGTGGCGGGGCATTCGGGTCGTCGGGGTCGGGGCCGTGGTGAGGATGAGGCCCACTTTGAGAACCGAGCGCATTGGTAACGCTTGAAGTCCGATGAGGCACATTGCTCAAGCGAGGTGAAGGTGATGGTCGGCTGGAAGAATTGCTCGGGGCAGAAGCGCGAGCATCACTGGTCTGCTCATTCCTAGCGCTTTCACGTTGCTCTTCTTCTTGAAATTGGAGTGAGAGCGCGTATGCATAGTCTGCATCACTCTGCTCTTGACTTGGTTCAGGGGACTCTGATGATCCATTTGAAGCCTGGGAGTAGTTGGCTGGCGCGCTGGATGTTCGGGGGCCCGCGAGACCACTTGAGGCCGACGGGCCAGCGCCAACGGGGCGGAAATCGCCGGAGTAATATTCTGTGTTGAATCCGGTCACGTCAACTAGAGATTCCCAGACAACTTCGGCATGGCCTGCATAGCCGGCATCGGTAACCAGAGTATACAATTGGTGGGATTGTGGGTGTTTGTATAAGGTTGAGAAATGGTCGTTGCGGAAAAGTATTGAAACGGAACCGGGCGCAAGTTTAGTTGAGAGCTGTGTCAAACCGAAGGGACTCAACTGTGTCGCATTTTCGATTTCTACAAATCGCTGGATGGTTTGGATGTCCTCCATGGTGCTCTCTTCCTCGGGAGTTAAAGGTTCACCTCGTGTGACTCGATCTTCAAATTCTTGCTTGCGAAATGGGAGCATCTGGATATCCTCGTAGTATTGGGCAGTTCGCGACATTGCCGCGTAGGAGGAACTGGACCAAGGAGCTAGCCAAGCATGAATCAAGGGTATGCGAAACGTGCTGTATAGTTGAAGGTCACTGGTTTGAAGGAAAGTGCCAAAGCCTTCAGTATCGTCCTGATCGTAGGTTAGTGTATGTGAATTTGGAGTGTTACATTGTATCTGCTTACCATAATTAGACGTGGGTTAACATTCATGCCAGTATGTAGCATGGTAAGGAATCGTGTGAGAGCCTCGATATCTGGAAATTCTTCATTGGGGCCTAGGCAAGTTGTCAATTCTTCGAACAATGCCTCGATTAAAAGTCCTAAAGAAATTTGCTCGCGGGTCAACAAAGCTCTGACAATTGGCGGTTCGGCCTTAGAGTCTGCCTGCAGCACCAGAGCATTTATCAGAGCGAGCAACGGGCACGGTCCATTTTGATTTTGAACCAGAATCGGAGATTCGACCAGTTGGCCGCTCCGATCGGTCCATCGGACAGACCGAATAGTATACGTTTCTGATCTTTGTTCCTTTTGTCGCGCGGCCTCTTCTGTGGATGGTACGGGAGTCGGCTGTGACTTTTGCTGTTGCTTTCCTGTTGTCGTCCACTCTTGCACCGTAGAGGACGCCGCATCTTTTGCATCTGACACAAGCCCAGCTCCGTTCGCGACTGGTTCTGAGCACATCGACGACGCAGCATGAGACACAGTTTCGACCCCCAAATCGCGGGTGTTGCCCGATGCATTCAAATCTATCAGTTCATGGGAGGTGGCGGAGGTTGCGCTGGAAAGGGCAGCGGAAGGGGTGTTGATCCCAGCCTCGGACCCGAGCATGCCTACATTAGATGGATGAGAATGTAGTGCATGAACACGATCATACTCAATTGGCTGCACAACAACCTCCGGAGAGTATGGATTAGACTGGATTCCTTGTAGATATATCTCTTGAGGGGCCGAGATCTTGATGGACTGTTGAGATCCCCAAACCGAGCTATCATTCAGGCTGCGGTCGCCCATAACAAGTTGTTGCTGAGAATGAGGATGGGGATGAGGATTCTCGGTCCACGGGGATTCTTGTTCTGGTTCATCTAAAAGAGATAGCCGGGCAGTCATCGGTATATAGCCCTCGGCTGAAGGTTATCAGCTTCAACAATTATTCAAGAAGAGTTTGTGTCAGAAGTGTCATACTTTGGCCCAGGGGCTCACTGTTCGAAGTTGCATGTGAATCACGGCCCCACTCATTGCGAGCCAATAGATCCTCGGTACGATCTACCGACCTGGGCTTCAAGAATGGGTTATTTGATTGTAGCTGTACCGGGAAATCCCCAGTTGATCCATCACTATTGCTGGAGATTGGACGCCACAGATTCTCGGCCGCCCCAGGCTGTTGACCTGGCATCAACGCAGGCGGTACCCAGAGCGCGTTGTTATTCGCAGGTTCTCGGGATGGCTCCTGTAGCTGACTGTACTGACTGGGGTGGCTATGATCCACCTTTTCATGGTTGTCTGGCATTGAATTAGGTGGGCGGCTGGTGGGAGAGCCCACTGGTGACCGTTGTGCCTCTTCGAGCGGCATCAGGTCAAAGGCGGGTGAGGTATTGAGGTCGGGAGAGTAGATAGACTCGTCCGAAGGAAACCGGTTCAAACGAGTTGGACCGTGAGGGGATGCGGAGCTTGGTGATATGGGTGAACGTGCGTTCAATCGAGCATTTGACTTGCTAATGTTCTCCAGGCGCGGTGGGGGCTGTTTGCGCAGGCCCATCAAGACGTCTCTTGACCTCGGGAGGTAGTGTTGACGGGTTGAGTTCGAGGATGAATCGAAGGGTGGAAAAGCTATCTACTGGGGCACCCAACGTCAATCGCGGAAAGAAGAACTAGCCCTTTTAACAGAGAGGCAATCCAGCGCAATGTTGTTCCAAGGCCCAAACAATAGCAATGGAATCATTCGGAGTACAAGAAAAACGCCTTGCGCTTAGGCTGCAGGGGCTAGGGTGCCCCGTGTACGTAAATGGCAACGCCTGCTTCGCCTGAGCTTCAGCTCGAAAATGCCCAAAGGAAGAGGACGATTCCCAGCTTTCCGGCTTGGAATGACGGGGATGATGAGATCACAGTCTCTCGCAGGCACCCGGATTCCGCAGATCGACCGTTAGACCTGGGGGAAGCTCGCAAGTATTTGTATTACCAGTGTATCAATGCGATGTATCTGTTCTAGGCTGCATTTCTGACAGGGCGGAGAAGGGCACTGGACCTTGGCAAGTGATCGTACGGTATTCGGTGGTACTGCGGCACGGGCTGCGGTGACAATGACGGAGTGCCCGAGTGGGTTGCCAGAAATTGAAGGCATCAGCCTTGCAACCCTGGAACTTCAGGCAGCAGCTTCAGGCAGAGACCCCAGGCTCATGAGGCATCCAATCTCCGGATTATCTCCCACCCCGGCTGTGAGCATCCCCGCCCTCTGATTGGCCGATGCTTTATCGACCATAAAAGTCCCCAGAACAATTTTGTCGCAAGAGCTCGAGGCACAGCTGCTCAATCAGCACCATGCATTCCTATATTCGCCCAGGCCAGTTCGTGGCCATTCGAATGCAGTCGGATCAACTAAGACTCATTCAGATCCTCCCCGATACGTGAGTTCTTCCTACTCCATGCGGGGAAAGTGCATCGCGAATTAATATTAGATCAGAGTCGTCAATTTGGGTAGATTCGGGCAGTTCGCCGCCAATCAAATTATTGGACGACCATTCTATTTTACATTTGAAATCCTCGATGAGCGCGACAACTCCGGCCATCAACTGCGCGTCGTATCGGCCACCGAATTGCATGCGGAGACCCTACTCGCGGACGGGGAGGGAGATGGAGAGGGTGACGACGTGGAGACAGGCGAAAATGGAGTACCGATGCGAACAAATCGTCAGATTAATGACGAGAACTCTTCACAAAAACTGACTCTGGAGGAAATTGAAGAATTGAAGAGGGAGGCCGGTGGTGCGGGAAGAGAGATTGTCGCAAAGCTCTTGGAGTCACACAGCGCAATAGACCAAAAGACTGCATTTTCTCTGGCTAAGTACACCTTGCGGAAGCGCAAGAAGTATCTGAAGCGATTCACGGTGCTTCCACTGGATGTTGGCCTTCTCGCCAATTATTTGATCGAAGAACGTGATGCGCAAAAGGCAATGGAGCTACGGGACGAGCACATCGGTCTCATCGGGTGCTGGGGCAATGTACACCACAGCGGAAACCTTGAGGTGGACCCGGGAGTGAAGCCCCATGGACGTTATGTTGTCGTCGATGAGACTGGTGGACTTGTTGTTGCAGCAATGGCGGAGCGCATGGGGATTTTGTATCCCCACGACGCTAACGAAGACTTGGAAGACTCAAGAGAAGAGCAAAATACTTCGGCTGAGAATGTCGCAGAGCCTCCGGTTGTCACTGGCTCCTCAAAGGCCCGGCGCGTACGCCCTCAACCAATGTCCGCTACCACCAACACCATCACTGTTGTCCACGCGTATGCGCAACCGAACCTGTCACTTTTAAAGTACTTCGGCTACGACACAAATAACCCCGATGAATCTCACCCACTCCACACCCATCTCAAAACAGTTTCTTGGATGCAGCTTGCCGACCCCAATGCTGATCCTCTCTATGCCAATGAACCACCTGCGATCCCCGCGGAGGAATTGGCCGAGCTGAAACAAAGCAAACGCACAGCATACTACCACAAGCGCAATCGGTGGGAGCGAGTCAAGGCCGTTGTGGACGAAGCTCGGGCTGGCAACTTTGACGGCCTTATCGTGTCCACATTACTCGAGCCCGCAAGTGTTCTGAGGACAATGGTCCCGCTCCTTGCAGGATCTGCTCCCGTTGTCGTCTACTCGCCAACGGTTGAGTCTCTCGTTGACTTGGTAGATATGTACTCCACTGCTCGGAGAACCGCATTCATCAACAAAAAGCGAGAGCTAGAATCACAGAGCTCTGGAGGGGAGGCAGTTGATCTATCCTCGCTCCATGAAGAGTTTATAGTTGATCCAACACTTCTCCTCCCACCTACCCTGCAGACATCGCGTGTGCGCCCCTGGCAAGTTCTTCCCGGTCGAACCCACCCCCTCATGACTGGACGTGGTGGCGCAGAGGGATATCTTTTCCATGGCATTCGAGTGTTTCCCACAACGCAGAACATTCAGGCTGCCGGCAATGTTCGCAACAAACGACGGAAGATGGATAACACATCCACCCCGGTCAGTGATCGTGATGTGGAAATGACATCCTAAACCCATGAATGAATGTTCTAAACACCCCATAAAATAGACCAAATAGCATCCCAATGTACAAGTATAATAACTTATATACTATATCAATTGTGGACAAAGCCAGTGGCCCGCCAATTATTTAGTCATACTGGATGTCGAGCTAGGTAGGTCTGGTCTGGGGTTGAGTATCACACCCAAATATTGAAGGATTCATGTCCTCGGCTCTGACAACTATGCAAAGCATTGGCGTGTGTTCCAAATCGAGTATCAAATTCCCTGCGCTGAATTTCATCAAAAAATATACAGCAACGCTTGTCGTCTAAAGGCTCTTTCCCATGAACTTTCTCTTGGTGAAACTGAGCCAGAACTAATATTCATCAGTATTTGAGGAAAATTGCGAGGGCATCTGGGTTCCAAATCACCTTTGAGGGTTCCTCTCCACCGGCGTATAATCTAGCATGTAGGCGGAGGGCGATCTCCTGCCGCACTTGCGCAATGAATCTAGAATCGAAGAATAAGTCATTTAGGCCAATATGTGGAGGCATGACGGCGGTATATCTCACTGGCGAAGAGTCTCGGCATCGTGGCGGTTACTCGGGGCTTCAAATGCTTGGTTGAGCGGGAACGACACATCACCGGGGATAGCAAAGCTAACCAGTGCGGCGTTGGTCAGGGCCTGCGGGTATAATGATTAGCGATAGTTCTTCAATCACAAGCCTGCTAGGAAAGGCAACCAACCTTCCTCGCCTCATTGGATGTCATCTCTGGCTTGACTATCCCAAGGCACTCGCTAACAAACAGAGTTCCATAAATGAGCATGCGGTCCGCGGGGCCGTTGATCTCGAAGTTACGGAAAAAGACATTGGCGCGGAAGAGTGACAGGATCTCATCGACGCAGTCATATGATTCACTTTCTGGTGACACATCAAGGCCGTCGGTGGTGGGAAGCTGGGGCAATTTGTATGCGGGGCCATGAGTAGTGGTGCGGAGGGGTAGAATAGGGAAATTTCCTAATCAGCGAGATGGAATGGCCACGTTAGTCCTCTGTGGATTCGGAGCGCATCAACCGGAGCGCATCAGCTGCTGCGCCAGCTTCGGCAGGAAGACCATACCAATCACAGTGACATCGCGGTCCTCCAGGAAGATAGAGTGATAGGCCTGTATTGATGGTCAATAAGGGGGGCTCCGGACATAAGGTTACCAAGACATACAGGCATCTTGAATACGTAGACGTGGACCGAAAAAGCGCTAAGTTGTAAAGAAAGGATCAATCAGAAAGACCACGGAGGAACAAGTTCACCCGTGAAGGTCTACGGGGTTAGGCAGTGAGGATGTCATCTGTGGGGTCTCCCCCCAAGCTCCATGATTTTCCGCCCCGAGCCTCTTTACGCGCCCTGATACGCGTCTGCCCACTTTGCGTTTTATGTGTCCTGCTTCACGATTTGTGACATTTGTTATTTATCTCGAGTCAATATCTCCAACATGTCCGACTACGAGGATGAAATGGATGTGGATGTGCCCCAAGACGTCCAGTTCAGCTCTGACAACGCCAGTGGAAAAAAGAGAACTGTCGCCGATTTACCAGTCGAAGCTCAAGATAATCTGCCATGGTGAGTATTGGAATTATGGTAGTCGGTCAGTCTCGCTAACAACCTTCTCAGGGTCGAGAAATACCGACCAAAGAGCCTAGATGATGTGTCCGGCCATCAAGACATTCTCGCGACTATCAACCGCTTCGTGGAGACAAATGTACCGAATGCTTCTTTACATGGATTCTCGATGAACCTTGACTAACGATTTCATACAGCGACTGCCCCATCTTCTCCTCTACGGCCCCCCAGGAACCGGAAAGACCTCCACTATCCTGGCCCTCGCGCGGCGGATTTATGGCACCAAGAACATGCGACAAATGGTGTTGGAGCTGAATGCAAGTGATGATCGTGGCATTGATGTGGTTCGAGAACAAATCAAAACTTTTGCAAGTTCGTGGCCCAGAAGATATCCGGATGAACGACAGGCTTACCGTCAACCTCAACAGGCACGAAACAGATCTTCAATATGGCTCCTCAGGCCGCCGGCGGCTCCTCTTTGGCAGGGTTTAAGCTTATCATTCTAGACGAGGCCGATGCCATGACCGCAACCGCACAGATGGCTCTTCGTCGCATTATGGAGCGGTACACAGCCAATACCCGATTCTGCGTCATTGCCAACTACACACATAAGTTGTCTCCAGCCCTTCTGTCTCGTTGTACACGATTCCGCTTCAGTCCTCTGAAGGAGGCTGATATCCGCTGTCTGGTCGACCAAGTGATTGAGAAGGAAGGTGTCCGGATACAGCCCGAGGCAGTTGATAGTCTAGTGACCCTGAGCAAGGGTGATATGAGACGAGCTCTGAATGTGCTCCAGGCATGCTTTGCCAGCAGTAAGTTCCTTTCCCACTTCCCTACTCATCCCTATCTTAGCCAAATTAACCCCTACTTTAGGTATCCCGCTGCCAATGAGAGATGCCCCCAAAGCTCCTCGTCCCGAGCCTGAGACTGTCACCAACGCGACGATTTACGATTGCATTGCCGCCCCCCATCCGTCTGATATCCAAGAAATTATGACGACCATTCTCTCCACGAGCGATGTCACTTCCTGCCTAAGTACTGTGCAAACCCTCAAGTCCACCAAGGGTCTGGCTTTGGCCGACATCCTCTCTGCGCTGGCCGACCAACTCCAGCAGCTTGAAGTTCCAGCTCAAACACGTATCACGTGGCTTGAGGGACTGGCCGAAATTGAATGGCGACTTGCTGGGGGTGGTTCAGAAGTTATTCAGACTGGAGGACTTGTCGGTGTGGTGCGAAATGGGTGCGAGTTAATGGGCGATAAAGGTGTCACGGTGGCATAGGGAAAAGCGATCATATCCAAATGTGCTTTCTTGATTTTTTCTTCTTCTTCTTCTTCTTCTTCTTCTTCTTCTGCATGTCACGATATAAACATACCAATTTGGGTGGCATAGGCTCGGGGAGTTTGGGGCGAAATGGAACAACATTCTCATATTCCTACATATCTAGGTCGACAAGAGCGAAAGCCAATTCGTATGGTCCTAACCTGGGACTCATTTTAGCCAGCGCAACCCCCAAACTTCCCAAATCGACAGAAGGTCACAGTGATGGTCGTGGCCTAGACCGAGCGGGGAAGCGAGTCGCAGCACTTTCTCCGCTCTCCGCTATCGCAACATCACACTCGACCGCGGAGATGGTTTCAATTAGCTAATTATTAATTGCTTACTTGGGATCTCCTCGGACTTGGCCAATATTGGGCCTTCAGATTATTCCACTAAACTACTATCAGACTACTAGCAGGGGATGCAACCCATCGGCCCTGTCCGGGCTTACACGCTTAGCGTTTGAACTCGGAACCCTGGAAGAGGGGATGAGTCGATGATTCTGGCCCGCAACAGGACCTGGATTGACTTGGACTAGATAAAAGAGGGATTGCACCCCTCACAAGCTTTGCTTCTTCTCGCGTCTCTTACTCTGTCAGTTCCAGCATGTGGTACTCTATCCAGTCTGGGCTCCTGCTAGCTGCCTCCTTGGCTGCAGTCGCTGATGCTGAGCGTGTCCTGGGCGCTTATATCTTCGCTCGCCATGGAGATCGCACGCCCAAGGTGTTTGGTAGCACTCGACTGACCGATCTGGGCTACCAAGAGGTCTTTGATACGGGGTCATTCTATAACAAGCGATATATCTCGTCGGACTCTTCCAAGCAGATCGAGGGCATTAGCGCCGATCTCGTTAACCCAAAGCAAATCAGTGCCTCTGCTCCGTCAGATGCCGTCTTGCAGAATTCAGCCACTGGCTTCTTGCAGGGTGTATATCCCCCGGTGGGGAAAGTGGCTTCCCAGACCCTAGCCAATGGTGCCTCGGTCCAAGCTCCATTGAACGGTTATCAGCTCATACAGCTTACTGCCGCTACTACAAGCAAGAACGCCGAGGATTCCGCCTGGCTGCAGGGTGCCAGTGGTTGCCAAAAGGCCACCGTGAGCAGCAACAACTATCTTTCTTCGGACATGTACACTTCGCTGCTTTCTTCCACTAAGGACTTCTACCAGTCGCTTTCACCCATGCTAGAAGGCGCTTTTCCCTCATCTGACATGTCCTTCAAGAATGCCTACATCATTTTCGACTACTTGAATGTCGGCAGAATCCACAACTCCACCACCGAATTCCCGCACAGGTCCGACCTGACCGACGAGGTGTACCATCAGCTGATCACTTTAGCTGGCACTCACGAGTTTAACCTAGCCTACAACTCCTCCGATAAAGTGCGTGCTATTGACGGCGCCGTTCTGGCGGGTGAAATCCTTGCTGGTCTCAACGATACCATCGCTACCAAAGGGAAATCCAAGCTGAATGTCGGATTCGGCTCTTATGGCACCATCTTCTCACTTTTTGGCCTTCTGCAGATGCCTACTGCATCTGTCAACTTCACCGGGATCCCTGACTATGCCTCGTCAATGGTCTTCGAGTTGGTGACGAATGCTACCGGCACCGAGTTCCCAGCCGACAAGTCCGACATCAGTGTGCGCTTCATGTTCCATAATGGCACCATCACGGGATCGTCCGAGCCTACCCCATACCGACTGTATGGACGGTCGAGTGAACTTCTATCTTGGGAAGATTTCGCCTCAGAAACTAAGAAGATCGCCGTGACTTCCGATGACGAATGGTGTACTATGTGCGGCAACACAGAGGGCAAGTGCGCTAGCTCTAGAAGCACTGGCAGCGATTCCGCCTCTGCCGGCATCTCTAGCACTGGCGGCTCGGGAATGTCCCTCGCTGTGGCTGGCGTCATTGGCGCTATGGTTACGCTTGCAGTCATTCTTGGCCTACAGGCTATCTTCCTCCTTCTGGGTGGATTCCGCATCGCTAAGCGAAACAAGGCTAGGGCTGATATGAGCTCGCCTATCTCTGTAGAGGCCGATAAGAAAGCTTAGTGTTGTTGGAATGTTGGAAAACAATCAGAATCTAATGGATCAGACGAACGGGAAATTCTCTTTGACTTGCTTGGTATGGTTCGCAATGTGTAATGAATCTATGAGAATGCAACGATGACTTCAACCTGATCTTTGAACCATTAAGCTAAACATTTCCATAGCCTGTGTGATATCTGTAGCTTCACTATTGTGAAGTACAAGTACTGTATACCTATGATATGTGTCTGGATTGTGTTCCTGCAACACAACGGGTCTGACAGCCCTGGACTTCCAGGGCTTACCTACCGAGGTAGTTCCAGCTTCCTCTTCCCCAAGCCAAAGTAGCTTGATCCTTCAAGAAATACCAATCTTTTCATCTCGGAGTCTTCAAGAGTTTGCCATCCCGTATTCCCCAAAAAAGAAGTGACCATCCCGCAGATTCACCGCCTTGAGTTAAATATCAACTTGACTTCCAGCTTTCTTCGCTTCTTTTTTTTAAGCTTCCCCACAGAATGCCCCGCCAACAGATCAATTTAGAACCCTACCGGGAGGAGATCATTACTCTCTACCACCATGGTGTTAGTAGCGACTCTATCGGCCGCACACTCGAAAGTCGACATAACATCCAGGTCAAGGAGCGAACCATCCAGTCTCGGCTTCGCCAGTGGGGCATCCGCAAACGACACCGGACGACGACTGGAGATGAGGCGTTACACGCGCGGATTAGGATGCTTTTCTTACAGGATAGGCTGACCGACAAGGCGATGCTCAACATGCTGCAGCAAGAAGGTTACGGTATCTCTGAACGCACTTTGCGTCGTCTGCGGTTTAAATTAGGACTCCATGCCAGGGCTTCTGAACAAGCACAACACCGAGAACAGATGCAAATGATCATACCGCGGTCTTTGATAGAGGGCCAACCTGTGTGAACCGAGCTTGCTGGAACTGCAGCTTTCTCACCATTGGTCCTTCCACTTCATGCCCTCAAGCAGCAACCCATTCTTGACAGATTACGATTACGATGAATCATCCCACCCTACGCGACAAGATCGAACTTTGCCCCATGCTACTTGACTGCGACTGTTCATGTCTCACTTGTCGACTCCATGGCAGTGATAATCTGGAATTTCCATGTCTGGACCAAAAGCCCACTGCAGGTAATGTGCTTAGCCACCCCATGGCGGAATCAAGCCCTGATTCTTAGGACAGCTACAATCATTGTAACACCAAACGCACCTCACACAAAACAAGATCTCACAGCGGCCACTCAATGAGGCTACGAAGAGCCATCAACACCCAGTGCCACCCATCTCGGTGCCTCGTCATAATGCTCGATATATACTCGAAATCACCGATGTGTGAACCCCAAATATCTCAGCACCTGCTGTTGGTTCCTCCCAAATGCGACAAAAATCCATGTGCAACGCCCAACGCTCAATGCTCAATCTCCACCTGGTGAATGACCTGACTGGTCACTGGTGTCTTTGCTTTCATTTCGATACTGTGAAACATGGACCATGTAGTATTGAATATAAGGGAAATTGTATTCATCTTGAAAAACATCCATCTTTTGTAAACGCGATCTTGATTCTTGGGGGACACCAAGTGAGGGCTAGATAAGAGTCACGTGCCATGACGTTAGTTGGAGCTTTTGATCGGCGAAACCAGATCATTGGATCGCAAGACTCAAGAAGGCTTGTCTATCTTCCCAAACTCACTTTGCGAGTTTTTTCTCTGCTTCTTGTGTCCCGCGCCGTGATCCGGCAGCTTATTTGCTCGTCATGTCCTCACAATACGCCAGTGAGCCTAATCCCACCGCGTCGGCTACGCTCAACACGACCGTGGGCCCTATTCATATCGCACTATTCGCGACCCAGACCCCTCTCACTTGCAAGAACTTCCTCCAGCACTGCAAGGACAACTACTATGCAGATACAATCTTTCACCGTGTGGCTCCGGATTTTGTGATTCAGGGCGGTGATCCCACCGGCACTGGCTCTGGCGGCACCTCGATCTATGAATACCCAGAATTCGAATTCGACCCGGAAGCTCGAGACCCAAATGAGCGGGTAGTTTTACGCGATGAAATACACAGTCGACTGCGTTTCAATCGACGTGGCTTGGTAGGAATGGCCAAGAGCGAGGATGGGACATATGGCAGTCAATTTTTTATCACGTTGGCGAACACAGAGCGCGAGATGAATGGACAATGCACAATTTTTGGGAGACTGGAAGGAGATAGCATCTACAATGTCTTGAAAATTGCAGATGCGGAGCGCATTGCGGGCACTGAGCGACCTGTTTACCCAATCAAGGTGACATCCTGCGAGGTAGGAGAACTGGGGCCATTGGAAGGGAAGTTGAAAGACAGAAAAACCGTCTCAACAGCTGGGAAGCCTGAAAAAAGTGCGATCAAGAAAAAGAAGAAGGCAGCAAAGGGGAAAACGCTGCTGAGTTTCGGAGACGACGAAGGCGATGAGGAAATGCCCATGCGTTTAGCGAAACCGAAATTCAACACCAGCCTGGTGGCAGATGTACCCGGCGCAAAGCTCGAGCCATCAAACTCCAACTCCCGAACTGAAGTCCCAGCACAGCCGCGCAAACGGCTCCGCTCGTCATCTCCAAAACGATCGCCGTCCGCAGACCGTAAAAAACGCCCAAAGACACCAGAACCGGAAACACAACTCCCGGTGCCTGACCCCGAGTCGCCTTCTCGGTCCCCACCCCCAGATGCCGCGCCCCCAAAGGAGTCCAAGTTGTCGCGGACAAACGCTCAGATTGCCGCCTTGAGGGCATCGATGCGTCGCGACGTCGATATTGGTCCCAAAGATACAGGCCGAAAGAAATCTGCCCTCGAAGCTATGATCCCCGAGACCTCCATTCGAGGACGGAAGCGGCCACCCCCAGGTTCTGCCAATGGCTCCAGTCGCAATGGCACTGGGCCGAGCAATGCAGCTGAGAGAGAGGCATTGCAGCTTTTCAACGCTTTCAAAGCCAAGCTCGAGGCTGCCAAACCAGAACCAACGACCGCAACATCAAATAGCAAAACTCACACCGATCAAGACTTAAATCAAGACAAAGACGCAGAAGACGAGGAAGCCCAACTCTGCGATCTGCACTTCATTGCAAACTGTCAATCCTGCCAAGCATGGGACAATCCAGAGGCAGAGGCGGATGATCCTGCACAGCAAGGCGGAGGATGGCTCTCACACGAACTCCGATTCGGAAAAGATACCCTAGGCAAAGATTTGAACTGGAAGCGCGAGCACGGAGGCGATGCAGACTCACTTATGGTGATTGATCCGCGCGAGCGGGAAAAGGAGGTGGTAGGAGGCAAGCGAGGGCTGCAACGAGATAGAGAACGTGAGCGTAAACGAGGGCGAGTGGGTGATTTGGAATGGGATAAGGGGCGCTAAATGCGAATGTACTGCATGTCACATTGTTTTCGAGTTCTACACAGCAATCTAATCCTAACCGATGGATCTTTTGTTGAATATCCTCGAAACGGGTCGATAATTCTCCCTGAAACTAGACGCGACATTCCCCTTGAGAGTCCACATCATACTGCATAGGCCATTGTAGGATACGCAACCTTCAACTGAGATTGGTTCTCATATGCCACGTCTGCATTCATAGTGGCGGTGATCAGACCAGCCTGATGGTCAAGAGCTGACAGCGGGCATGTGCAATATCCTCAAATCAATCGACCACACCGGCACTCCTCGCCAGGAAATCATCGAACGGCATTGTTGTCTTCGCCGGGTAGGGGAATACGTTTGGGGCAAGAGAATCAGACAAGCTTTTGGCAGAGAGGTGCATTTGATTCCAACGTGGGAGTCTGCCAGACCCTACACTGCATCAAGAAGGTGACAGGCGCTATTGACTCGCATACTGGATAGCACATTCTTTAGAAAAGCAAGGTAAAGCAAAAGGTATCTCATTAAATTTCCAGTGACTAGGATAGTTCATGGATCATAGATTTTTACAACCTGAATCCCCCAGGTACATGAATATGCCCATGTCAACTAGATAACGCCCGATCTAACGCCGCGAAGTTTTGTTTCCATAGTCGTAGTCGCTCCATCTGGTGATCCTTGCGCTGTACACAGGATCACGCCTTTCGGCGCCGTTTCGTTGCGCTGCCGCCATCATCCACAGCCTCTACTAGATTCTCTGTCGCTGTGGGACTAGTGGCTTCACTGTCCGTCAACTGTTCAATCACACGCCCGGATTCATCATACCCGGAACCGTCGAAAGCATAGTTGTAGGCAGCGTCCCCGTGCGTGTGGTGAGGGGTTTCAAAGAGATCAGGCTCGGTAGGTATATGGTCAAAATCGAACAGGTCGTTGGTGTCCGCGTTATCACCTTGGATAGCCCCCACAGGATCGTGGGTGTTGTGGCCTGTCCCCAAATGGCTCATCGGATTCTCAGCCTGTTTCTTGATATCGGAACCCGTATCTCCAATATCCGTGAAATAGTCATTGTTGAAGATTTGGTCGAGGTCAAGCGGGGGAGGAGGTACATTGCCATCACTATCGATGCCGGGGATAGTACCATTCGGACTCAACGGCTGGAGGAGGCTAGTCAAATTCTGGACAGAACGATCCTGTTCGGCTTGCATCTTGACGAGGTTGTCGATCTCTTGTCGGGTGCTGGCTAGCCTGCCTGAGTAGTTGTGGGGCATGGGTGGTGGGTTTGGCGAAATGAGGGCATTATTGGGTGAGACCCCAGCATTGGGTTCTGATGAGTTTGTCTCATGAGCCATGAGTCGAAGCATGTCGGCACGTTGATTTGCTGTAAGAGGAACATTGCCACCATGGGTTTCGAGGGAAGAGAGCACATTGGGGAATTCGGAAAAATTGGTGGAGAGCCCGCTGCGTGCATTGGAATTCTGGATTACAGACATGATATCCCTTTGAGGAGAACTCTCATCTGTCGGTTGTCCGGGACGAACGTTCGAAGCGGGCCGAGGACTGTGGTCAAAAACCTCTTCCACGTGGCCGTGCTGGGTGGCGCTGGGTTGCCGAGTATGACCCCGAGACCGCATGTCATATGAACCACTGGCTGCTGGTGAGATCGTGGACGCCCGGTTATATGCATCCGTTGTGGGCGGAGCCTTTAAGAGCAGAGGCTGTTTCTTCATTGTTCGCTGGCCGTTGGGACTGGCCATTGATCCTAAAGCATTACTAAGATAGTCATCATCAACATCCACGATGTTGCCTTGGTCCTGCGAAATGGCGCCCGCAAAAGAATTCGCCAGGTTCTGAGGTCCCCCTTCTCCCTGCAAACTGCGATTGTATACGGTTGCAAGGAATGTAAGAATGGCATTGATTGAATTCTCGTGGCGAGTGTGTTGCTCCTGGAAGTTTGCGGCCTGGGCATAGAGTTGCTCGTGCTCTTTCCGTAGCCTGGTGATTGTGGTGGAGATTATCGACTGTTGCTGACGAATTGCTTGAAGTTCGCGATATACCCCGGAAAGTTGATCATTCGGCACAGGATTATCTGTGACTAATGACAATTGATGTGGCCTAGCGGCACGGTTGTCGCGAGGAACTGCTGCACCTTCCTCGACATAATCATCGATATCGTGCTCATCCACATCCTCCGTCTTCACGCGCGCTGCCCTTGCTAGGTTTACTTGCATGGCCACCTCCGGCATTCTTTGGTTTCTGAATGAGCCATAGCAAATCTGGATGGCCTCGTTTGAAATAAGGGTTGGCATATTCGCTGGGGCTCTTGTTTTTTCGTTCACTGGCGCGCATTGAATTATCGGAAAGTCCGACTTTCTTGTGGAATCCGTACATGTTCAATTGACGAACAAATGATGCGTAGTTATTGTGTTTAAAAAGCTCTGGGATCAAGGTCCTTGCAAACTCATCCTCGTCCAGAACGACAAAGGAATTGCCATCGTCTGACCATCGAATCAATTCCGTGTTCTTGGATTCGTCCAGGAAGCTGCGTTTCTCAGTTAGCTGTGGGTTTCGATCGTACAGTGATGGGCGTGTCATACCTGCTCAGTTTCTGAACAAAAGGCGGGATTTGCTTTCGTTTCGCCTGTGAATCTCTCTTTGCAGTCAAAGCTCTGCGGTAGAGCTCCTCTAGAGATTCTCCCCATGCGCCACTTTCACCATTGCCACTGTTTCCCCCATTTTCCACATATGAGGCCGGAGGTTGCTCGTAGCCACGGTTTCGGCTGACAACCTGGTTCACTTGTCGGCGTGCTAATTGATTGGATGCTGTCGCGGTCGGTGCCGACACATCCTGGGGTGGCGCAAAGCCTGCGGTGTTGTATGATGGATCGGAGAAGGTAGAGGTATTGATGGCATTGGCGGGGGGGTTCTGGCCCCATTGTAAGAATTGGTCGTTTGAGAGTTGAGAGCCGGGGTTCGTGGTGGTCGGAAAGCTCGGTACAGGATTCATTTGAGGATGGGGAGGTGGAACTGCTCCTGGCGCAGCTCTCTTGCGGGTGACTCCTTGCGAACTCATCGCGAATAGACAGGCGCAAAGACGTTGGATCTTATCGCGGTGGAGTTCGATATGGTATTAGGTCTCAATTTTCCCCGATCCTTGGATAGGATAGAGTTGGCTGCATACAATTTGTCTAGAAGACAAATGGACCAGATGCTAACTCAGTATGCGGGAAATATTTCATTCAAGTCGTTTCTGATTTTGAGTCAAAAAGCCTTTGACCCCAGAACCGAGAGCGAAAAACAGGGAATGTCAATGATTTGGACGCCAAATCTGTCGATGGTAACCCAGTAGTAGGGCAAGGACCACAGCAGGCAGAAACAGGCTGCACCTCAAGGTCCAGCAGTGATCGATATTAGGCAGATGACGCTCAAGAGGCGCGTGAATTGTCCAACATCCAGAACAAGGCGGGCGGCACCAGCAGAAAGCGCCCACTTGGGCGGTGAATAGAGTCGACGGGTGATTCGAAGACCTCAGGTGCTCTCAACCGAATGCACCAGACCTGGAGATATATGTATGTCGGCAGCTGTCAATATGCAGATGAAATTAGTGCATTGGACCCCTCAGGTCCCTCAGCGGCGAGATCGCGCTGTGGAGGCGTTGACTGAGTCAGCAGAATGGTGACATCGGGACAGGTACAAGTACCTCATCCCGCCATGTGATCCTGCCTGTTTATTAAGTATAGATACATAGACCCGTCAGATCTCTCCAATGTTGACTCCGAAGATGTCCACAGAAACTCTTATAGATCTCCAGTCTTTCCTCCCCACGCTGCCGGTATGTTAATGTGGCCATTCAAGGATCGCATTCTCCCACGTCAACTCTACTATAGGTACTCCCCCGTTGATCAAAATAATTAGAATAGCCAGCACAGAGACATCCCCAGGCACCTTCAATGTACAGATATACTAGAATTCTAACCAGGTGGTATCCTGTAGTCAATATCAATTATTCAATAGTACGTAATGCGCAAAAAATCAACACAACTAGTCAGATATTCTATGTGGAAGAGTATTCCCCGATCAAACCTCGGAACTCTGTCAATAATTGCTGCCATAGGTCAGGTTGCTGCTTCGTGAAGTCCTCGACTTGCTTGGGAGCTGCCAAATCTTCCTTCATACGCGATTCATTCTTAGTCCCATTCAACACGGCCACATCGCCCAAGCCCATGACCAGAGTGTAAAAAGCAGCTTCGGGTGTGATGTTCACAGTCTGAGCAAGTTTCTGCACAGGCTCCGAGCGTACAAGGTCCGGGTTGGCTGTCAAAGTCCAGAAGCTTTGATAAATGACGTGATTCTCGCCGCAGAATGCACGGAGAGGGACGTCAAACAAGGTCTGCTCGTGAAATCTGTTCTGTACCACTGACGGCTTTACAGTGATCTGGGGCGAGGTACATAATTCTCGGAGCATAGGCAATGTACAATTGGAGATACCTAAATTCCGGATTTGATGGGGGACATAGGTCTCAAGAGCATGCCAGGCTTCCAGGGTATGGGCTAGGGTAGAAAGTGGTGAATGGATGACCACAGTGTCAATGTAGGCCTCATCCACAGAGCTAGGATCATCTTTTGAGCGAAGATTATGCAATGACGATTTGATAGATGCGTGAACCTGATTCGTCACCGTCGCTGACGGGTCATAGGGCATATCAGCCATGTCCTGTGCTGAGACAGGACTGAATTTGGTTTGCACCTATCGATTTATTCTTAGCTGACAGATCGTCCAAGCCATTCGAGCAAATTACGGCTCACGCACGTATAACTCTGTTCGGGTGACAATTCCATCGGTAATTGCTCGGCGAATACCATCGCCGACGAGATTCTCTTCGTAATGACGGGGTTGAGCCGCTGTGTCTACTGCTCGGAAGCCGGCTTTGATCGCGTTGTAGACAAGATCAGCACTGCGGTCTTTCTTCCAGGCTGTGCCGTAAATAAACACTGGAACGGTGGTGGAGACAGTGCCTTGAGTTGGACGCAGGCAGTACTTCTCCCACATCTTGCCGACAGTCCGAGTCATGGCCTTCTGTTCAAGAATAATAGGAGAATCCAAACTTCGATCACTTGATTTGGAAGCAAGGACGCAAAGGTACGTACGAGGCGTGTTCTGTCATGATGTTATGATTGCGGGGGATCCCAGGGCCGGGGCCTCGCCTGGAGGTTACTAATGTGTGGCAGTATCCATGGATCCATCCAATGAAGTTATGACGCCCACTGGGCCAGATTCACCTCACTAGCTCGACAGGGTACTTACTACCTACATGTAGGTACATGTAGGTAGCGAATAGTGTTAATAATAGACAAGCTTAAATTGCCATACGGCGGTTGAGAATCTTGAAGCCTAGAGATCTACGGAGATGTCTTAACGTTATCACCCATGTACTATATATAGCAGAACAACGAGCTCTCGGACCGGCATATGGGGGAATATGGATTAAGCCACCATAATAATGCAATTTGGAGCCTTTCCGATTTCGGCTAATTTTCTCTTATAAATGACATGACTTGGATTCTATTGTGTGAGCAGAACCCTCTAAAAATGCTCCGAGGGTGCTGTACTTAAACATGAGATTTGATCGGGGATAAAGCAGTGGGAGGCTGGTCAAGTAGCTCTGATCTTTGTTAGGCCTGGGTTAATCTAGAGAGTTACTATGGGCACCCGAAATTACTATGGGCACCCAGCGCTAAGCCTATTTAAATATTTCTTCCCGCTGGCCGCTCACTTTGATCCTCTAATAGTATGAAATATGGTATGATCTCTGTTTTTAATACTGAGATCGTATATGTGTACGACGAAATTACTACTGCTAGAAATATTAGCTGATCCTACCATCATTTGATATCATGAAGCTATTCCCAGTTCACAACCCCATGCAAAAAAGGGGAGTTTTCAATGTAGAAATGAGGCTATTCCCAGATATTGATTCAGTGTAAAAAGGGCAGTTTTCAATGTAGAAATAGAGTTTTCTATGCAGAAATGAGGCTATTCCCAGATATTAATTCAGTGTAAAAAGGGCAGTTTTCAATGTAGAAATAGAGTTTTCTATACAGAAATGAGGCTATTCCCAGATATTGATTCAGTGTAAAAAGGGTAGTTTTCAATATAGAAATAGAGTTTTCCATGTAGAAATGAGGCTATTCCTAGATGTTGATTCAGTGTAAAAAGGGTAGTTTTCAATGTAGAAATGGAGTTTTCTATACAAAAAGGGGAGTTTTCTATGCAAAAAGGGGAGTTTTCTATACAGAAATGAGGCTATTCCTAGGTGTTGATTTAGTGCAAAAAGGAGGGTTTGGTAGTGTAGAGTTTTTATAGGGCCCCCTAGATTATATAACCTTAAAATAGATACTGATTTCTAAAATAGTGCTAATCGAGTTTTCTTACGTAGCTAGTATAGTTATCACCCTTATCGATATAGGTAGGTATAACACCTAGCTTAACTATATTATTACCTAGCTAACTTTAACTAGTGATCTATATAATATAGATCCCCCTACGCCTAGCCTTCCTAATACTATACCCCCTTTCCAAACTATCGAAACTAGTATAAACACTACTACGCTATCTAAAAAAGAGGTACTAAGAACGTTAAATACGTAGTCTCTCCCACTCGGCTTCCCTATCGTGATAGTACGTAGTATAGATACGAAGATTTAATTCTAATATAGCCGTGGCCGGGACTATCGGATAGATCGTGCCCCGATTATATAGATACGTAGGCGGAAGCGGTCGGTAATAAGCTATAGTTTCGTAGGTACTCTCCGACGCGTTACTAGTAGTATATAGAGAGTTAAAAGTATTATTACTAAGTATAATTATTATCACGTTAATCCGTCAACTACGATTATTACCTATAGAATCGAGCTTAAGCGTCTACTATTAGCTATTATTAGCTAGATCACTAATAGTATCCTAACTCGTTATATTATAGGTACTATTCGGGGTAAGGCCGAGGCTAATAGTTAGACTTTATACCTCCGTACTCGCGATATTACTAATCTACGGGCTTATATAGCCCGCTAGTAGCTCGTAGGGCGTACCCTAATTTAAGCTCTACTAATAGATCTCCCTAAGGATAGTACTTAGATCATTCGGTATAAGGTAGATATAGCCGATAACTCCCTTAGCACCCTTTTTATAATATATAAGATTAGTCTCTAGTTTCTATATACCTATCTATATATCTTATAGATAGACTATACGTATAAGACTAATAAATAGAAGATGCCCCTACTTAATATCGTAGGTATATCACCTATTAGTAAGACTTTTTATATAGTATATACTTTTTTAAGTAGTGAGAAGTAGGCCTTATACTATCGAGTACTTACCTAGCTTAGGGAGATCTATATAGCTATTAGTATAGGTGCGAGTATACCTACGCTTACTCGCACTACTACTATAGAGTCTCTCGTTACCGAGCTCTTAGTAGCTAATACCTTACTAGCTAAGTCCCTACTAGCTAAGTCCCTACTAGCTAAGTCCCTACTAGCTAAGTCCCTACTAGCTAAGTCCCTACTAGCTAAGTCCCTACTAGCTAAGTCCCTAATTCCCTAAAGTTAGCTAGAGCGCACGTATCTAACGAGCTTTATCTCGTCGAATAAGATCGCGAGTGCCCCCCTATCCCTATCTCCTATTTTAGTCTATAGACTATCTTAATAGATAAAGAATAAGTAGTACGAAATATAATTAATAAGATTAGTATTATCTCTATCCTATATCTCTATATACCTCCTAATATATCGATCTTTACTAGGTTTTCCCGGCTATAAATGCGATACTTTATATCTAGTATATTACCTATAATATCGAGTGCTACGCTAGACCCTTTCTCCGCCGCTAAATCCTCTAAACTATTACCGACTCTAATACGCGGTATACTATTAAAGAGACCACCTAGGAGATTATATTATAGTGGAATACTATAAAAGGGAGCTAGTAGAATATCGTTTTCGCGCGGGAGGTTAACGATATAGAGGCTTAGTAGGGAGCTTTTAGAGAGAAATACTATCACTACCTAGGGTTACTAGTATATATCGATAGGGAATAGATTCGTGGCTATAGCCCCTATTTCCTACGATACTATACTAGTAGGTTTTTATACCTTAATAAGACCTCGACTTCACGCGTTAAAGTAGCTTATCGCTATCTTAAGCTTAACCTTTAGATTAGTACTAAGGACCTCTTTACTCTTAGTATTTAGTTTAAAAGTACGACTAAGCGACTAGCTATTAAGATTAGCTAGAAGCTTACCTCCTAGCGAATAGGGAGAGAGATTAATAGTAGTCTATTATTTAGGAAGGTTAAGACATTAGTTATAGATTAGGTAATTAATAAGGTACGATTAGTATTTAATTACTATCTACCGCCTACTAATAATAGGCCGACTATCCTATAATTATACTTAGGTAGATCGACGTAGACGAAGGGGTATCTATATATCTACCGTATTAATAAAGCCTAGGTAATAGGTGTAAGCCTTACCTAGGCCGACTTCTATCGCTATTATTAGATCTAGTAAGATCAGATTATACTATCCCTTAAGAGTGTATTAGAACTCTAAGTATAAAATCCTTATATAGTACGGGCGCGTAGTTAGCTACTAGCGTCTTAGCAATTATCTTAACAATTATCTTAGTAGGCCTTTATACTATTATCGCGGGTATTATAGCGATTCGAGAACTTAACCCGCCGCGAGCTATCTTAATTTAAAATTATACGCGAGGATAAGGATATAGTTATACGGCGATCGGTACGATAGCAGCCTATAAATATAAGGCATAATAATAAGTAGACTACCTAGGGCGAGATAACCGAGTCTAATGATTAGATAGCGGTTAGTAGGATCACTACGGGAAGGGGAAGGGGAAGGGGAAGGGGAAGGGGAAGGGGAAGGGGAAGTGCTTAATAAGACTTATATCTAGTTTGTATAGTAAAGTTTGGTATAGAATATATTAAAATAACACTATAAAATGATAAGATTTAGTAGAAATTAAGGTGGTAGATAGGGAGGGTAATGACTATACTAGCTACGTGAGAAAACTCGATTGGCACTATTTTAGAAATTAGTATCTGTTTTGAGGTTATATGATCTAGGGGGCCCTATAAAAACTCTACACTACTAAACCCTCCTTTTTGCACTAAATCAACACCTGGGAATAGCCTCATTTCTGTATAGAAAACTCCCCTTTTTATATGGAAAACTCCCCTTTTTGTATAGAAAACTCCATTTCTACATTAAAAACTGCCCTTTTTACATTGAATTAATATCTAGGAATAGCCTCATTTCTGCATGGAAAACTCTATTTCTACATTGAAAACTGCCCTTTTTATATTGAAAACCCCCTTTTTTGTATAGGGTCGTGAACTGGGAATAGCTTCATGATGTTAAATGATGGTAGGATCAGCTAATATTTCTAGTAGTAGTAATTTCGTCGTACACATATACGATCTCAGTATTAAAAACAGAGATCATACTATATTTCATACTATTAGAGGATCAAAGTGAGCGGCCAGCGGGAAGAAATGTTCAAAGAGGCTTAGCGCTGGGTGCCCATAGTAATTTCGGGTGCCCATAGTAACTCTCTTAATCTATTATGTATGGTACTATATATAATCTTGGCGTCTCCTCTCCAACCGATGGGCCGGGTTGACTCCAAAATCAGATTGTATATTACATATCATATCATGGCTATGATCAAGTTCATCCAGGACCAATAGCTCCCACGATGAGTCGCAACGGTCCTTGTAAGTATCCACGCTTAGCCTTTCACTTATAGATCTGACATACCTCCGGGATGAAGCTAACCGACAAATGGCCGATCAAACTATGGCCAAGGCTGCTCAATTCTCTAGGCAGGTGATATCCACCCATTGGGTCCCACAGCGTGGCTTAGACCTATAACACTTGTGTATAACGTCAACTACTCCGTACGGAGTACTCCGCACAAGGTCCCCAAGATAAGACCTTGGTCTTGGCGAAAATGGACTGAAGATTGCGAATACAATCCCGTCCAAACAACCATGTGAAGCATAGCCACGATGCGGAAGAAGTGAGAAACCCATGCACGATATTATTAGCCCCCACGATCTGACTTCCAATCGATCTTGGCGAAATCTTGGCTCATGCGAGAATAACCCAGGCAACTGCTTTTGCATGGTTAGCATTGGCAGCACTCCGCTGATCGGTGGGAGATGCCAGTCCGTTCTTGAATCTGTATGGATCATTACGTAGGGCCGACATGCTTCTGGGGGCTCAGCTCGACTTGTCTACTCCGTACTCCGGACATGTCTCGCGAAACCCTGATCGGCGGGGAATGCCGACACAGAAAACTCGCGATGCAGTTACCCGGATGCTTGGAGATTTGACAAGGGGAAGAAATATAAGTAGTGGCTGGGTTCTCTTGGATTGCCATAATCTCAACCCACCAACTTTTTCTATATACATACAACGACGCCGTACACCAACACCAACAACATCAATCATCATGCGTACTCAGCAGCTCCTCCCCCTCTGTGGTCTCCTCCTCGCGAGTGTTACGATTGCATCTAAACTAGATCATGACGATGTTCCGAATCGTTGCTGGGCTGCCTGCGGTCCCGTTGTCGGAATCGCTAAGAGCTGCGATGCCAAGCACGAGAGGGATTCCGCTGAGATCCAGTGCATTTGCGATTGGGATGCAGCCAAGACTCAAATCCCCCTCTGCTCTGCCTGCATCACTCAGTATCAAAATGACATGCGCAGCAACAGCAACAGCACCACTCACCACGACTATGATCACGATGATGACGACGATGATGATGACTACGACTATGATGACTATGACCACGATGACCACGATGATGACCACGACTATGATGATAACGGTATGTACTATGGGAATACCCGCCCCTCATGCAGGATCCTAACACTTTGCACAGAGGCCCTTGATCTTGTCTACTCTTGCTCGCTCACCACTACTACCTATAACTCTGCCGCTGCCACTACTCTAACTGGCACATCCACTGGTACTGCTGTTGCAACTTCAATTGCAGCCACCGCAACAGACTCTCCCACCACCGGCGGAACCAACAACCGGGACTCGAGTTCTTCAACCTCCGAATCCTCTGACTCCGTGGGTTCCTCATCAGGCTCAGCATTATCTTCTAGTGCCACTCCCGACATTGCAGCTGGTATTTCGGTTCCCGGTACTGCATCCATGGCAGGCGTGATGGGACTGATTGCCCTTGCTTGGCTGTAAGGGTCATTGGTTGGATATGTGTTGGCCATAAGAGGTAGCGAACGAGTGAAGATGTATACGATTGATTTTATGTATCCATTCAATATCGGTCTCTTGTTTTCGAAAACTTGGAAATGATATCATTTTATGAGCCATGGAATAATTTACAGTACCAACATGCAACAAGATTGATGCTTTTATGTCTTTGGGGAAGACCAGGTTGGGTAGAGTAGGTAGGTAACTGGACAATGGCTTAAGTCCTGTATGAGATTGGTTTGAGCAAAAAGGAAAGTCCAGAGAGTACTGTTAAACCGCCCATTCCATTCTCCATTTGGGCTAGATAAATACCATTGTATCTCGCCTAGGGTATCTTATCCATCCAATCCTCCCAGAAGGCATCCCCTAAGAATTCCTCAATTGGTGGTTCATAATCCATGTCATATACATTCTTGTAACATTGTACCTTGGTAGGGCAACTGTTCAGCAGGTTAGCATCAAAATCGTCATATATCTCATTTCGGCAAACTTACAACACGGGATCCTGCCCGAAAATGATATGCCACAAGTACTCAAAGACACGACCGCTCGTTTCATCATCCAATTCGGTCGTCATAAGCCAATGATGATACCATTCATAGTCGCTTCGCGGTCGCTGGAGAACCTGATCCTTGGTCACAGCGAACTGAGCACAGCAAGGTGCAGCAACAGTCTCGGGAACGTTCGTGTTGTTGAAGATCCGGATCCAAGCGCCCGCAAAGGCAAGCTCGGTCGTGCGACCAGCCGCTTGCCGAAAGGGCTGGACTTCGTCGGGACATCCGGGACCCCAGTCGCAACGCAGGTTGGCATATCCAGCTTGTCGGAGATAGTCGAGTTGTAGTTTTTGGACAGTCAATACATTATCCTGCTCCCAAAACTCAACGTGGTTGCTGAATTGATGAGCATGGAGGAAGACCATGTACTCAGGCAATTTGTCGTAATTATCCAGAATATATTGTAAATAGGCATTGCTCTCTTTGCCTTTATTTCGTTCAACCGAGAGAGGCGCTTCGGGATTGTCGACGGTGTACACTGCGTGTTGCCATCTAATATCCCAGTCCTGCATGAGTATCTAGAGCACTTGAAGATTAATGCGCAATTTGTTCGTGGGGTCTTACTCGGGCAGCCCGTCTTCAAGCCAATCCGTATTCTCATACGACATCTTGCCCAAAATGATGGTGCGATCCGTTTTCGGAGTGACCTTCGGGCGAGACGGTGCAGTAGACGAAGGCTCTCTCGGTTGCGCCTCCCCACGCCCTATCGGACTGAGTAGGTCGACATGTATTTTTTGGAACTCAGTCAATTTTTGCGGCTTTCTAGTTCTCCAGAACGGGTCTCGACCAGAGCTGTAGGCACCGGGGACATCGACGGGTACACGCTTTGGTTCATACTCGGGTGTCACTGTGAGGGGCGTTGGTCGGGTCATAGGCGTCCATTTCCTTCGAGTTGGGGCCTGTGCAGTGGGCGTAGGCGTAGGCGCCGAGACCAGCTCGATATATGCATCCCCATTCATGTAGAGATCTCTCATGGTGTTCGTTAGATCGATCTGATCATTTTGCCATTGCGAAATGGAATCCAGGTGAAATTTCACCAACAGCGTTATCACCAGCGTAATGGCTATCGCTGCTCGTACTGGAGTCCGCATTTTCCAGCATGGGCCCAGTTTCAAGATTCAAACCCCGTGAAGTGAACAGAGCGGAAAGCCCAAACTTTTAAGAGCCGCGGATAATCCCCACCTGCACTCAGCACCTTGGCCTCCAATCCGTCGGCTTGCGTGGTTCCCACTGGAAGATCGCAAAGATCCACCAGCCACGAACCAGCTTCACAAGATGATATCTCGCTCCAGCTGAGTGCGAGATTGGTTCAAGATTTCAAACTGCAATATATATGGAATATCCCTGCAGTTCCCATCCTTGGTGAACGCATTGATTTCTCCTACTAGCTTCTCATCTCAATCCGGCGAGTGCAACCTCTTCTCCATGTGGGGTCTGGCACTCGTCACTCATTCGCGTCGAGACTCAGATTTTGTTTCTATGAAATTGACGATTGCCGAGACGGTTAGATGTTTTCTGTATCACAACATCAAGAGTGCTCCATTTTGGTTATATCCTGGTCGGAATCAGAATGTGCGGAGACCAAGGGCATGATGTCTGGAATGGAACACGTTCAATCCCGAATACTCCGTATATACATTCGAGATAGGTGTAGAACCGAAATGCCGACTTTGTACGGAGTAGGGATAAGAGTATGGATAGATGAGCCTAAGTACAACATAGCCATCCCATCGACAAAACTCACTCAAATCTCGCGGAGTAGGGCGAGATGAACAGATTGGACTCTCACATACGTCAGATTGCGATCGCAGTGCGATGCCTCGATTATCAGGCATCCACATCACCTTGTCCATACTGCGTACAATTCGCTCTGGCAATTGGCCTGGAGAAGCCGGCTGGTCTTGAAACCGAGTTCAGGGGGTCGTTTCATATCTCACAGCTGTGACTTATCTTAAAATGATTGTTTTCAGGGTGACTAGGCCGTCCCCCGGCATGGACCAGGGCGCACTGGGCTCTAACGGCCAAAACCCATTGGTGGAAATGATCCAAGACATCTCATGGTCCAGGACAACCCACGATAGGAACCCTACGATGATGCATATCAATATATCCTGTGCTTATGATACCTACTCCGTACTTTTTGCTTCTTTCCCGATCCAGGTGTATTGCATACCATGTACTCCGTAGGTATGGAAGTAGATGGGATCTCGACAACCGTGTTTCCCACCGTTTGAGAAAGTCGTTCGGATTCGAAGCGGCGTCGTACGATCCGAGTTCGGATTCACTGACCGTAGCTTCTACAAAGTACGGAGTACGTGAAGATTCTCCTAGATAGGCATTCTTGGCTATACGTTGTGATCTGTCAGATGCCCAAGGATGGCTGTGCAGCCCGATCACCGGGCCATATTGCTCCCTGTTGATGTACGGCGTACGGTGAGATATCTCTCATTCAGGGGATTGATCGCCTCCGTTACAACCTCACTTATTACCCAATTATTCTATGTGATGCACATAATGCGTTGTAGTGCGCCACCGAGTTGCTTGTCTCCCCAACGTATTCTTTTTTTTCTTTTCTCGCTGGGAGATCATGGATGTCTCCACGGCCCGATTCGGCCCTGTCGATCGACCTGAAACCTCCCATCGGTTACTCTGCACTTTCCTCATCTTGGCCGTTGATCACAACTTTCAGCATCTTTGAGTCACACCGGTCTCAAAGAGAGGCAATGTGATTTGCATTATGACGCACTCGCCATCTCCACGAGGCAGCCATGGCCATAATCACAAGACCAGATCCCTAAGCGATTTCCGGACTAGAAGAAAGCAAAAGATTCCGTAGTCTTTTCTAGCGTCAATGTGCATCCAGCGACTATACCGCATTTCGAAGGCGATTGTCGCAGGGAGTACTCCGTACGGAGTACGGAGTAGGGTGGCCATGAGCCGGAGCTCCACAGACCGGGATCTGACACTGCCACTAAAGGTTCTAACCAGCATCTAGCGGGTTCTAGCTGGGCCACCGGAGCCTCTGAGAAGGTTCGGCGCATGCGCTAGAAACGGGGGATGCGCGGATCGTGGAGACCAGGCGAAAGTTCCAATTTCGTGGAGTGGGACCGGTAGAGCATAGCTTCATGTAGCGTCCATCCGCTCCAGTGTGAAGGCCGTTTAATAAGGCAGGCTGTTGATCTATAGAGAAGGAGAATTTGGAAATCCAATAGTCTCTCACGGCCTGTACGGAGTAGAGTGGCGAGTCACGAACTCGTGGATCGAAGGATGGGGCGGAAGGGAATAGGGGGCTCCGGAGTAATAATAGCCAGAGCAATAAAGGTAATAATAGAAAATTACTCGCCCCTGAAGCCTTTGAGCAAATGAACCCAACAGTAATTACGGAGTACGGAGTAAATGGAGCGGAGTCAACGAGGCCTAAATAGTGTGTCACATATAGAAAATGCAGACCGGTGCAGGGCCCCTTGAAAGCACGAGGCAGGAGGCGAACCCCCGGGATTGGGCATCTGTCAACCGGACTCGTGCACTTCGTCCACGAGCTCTGAAACTCAGATGCGACTAGGCAGATAATCAGATGCTCGGATGTTCAGGTGTTCAGGTGTTCAGGGATTCAGGGACTCGGACGTTCCAGTGGAATCCCACGTTCCAGGATTTCATTAGGAATGAGGAACGCCTTCCTCAAGCCCACTATGGGGTCTGCTAACTCGTCTAGTGACAAGCCTAACGAGACACGGCGTCTTAGCAGAAGGCTACGAGAGGAGCCGGAAGGAGGATGACGGACAGCCGACGACTGGAGCTCTTGCGATCTGAGACGCTGATTTGGCGGTGGCAACGGCTCCGGGAAAAGGCCCGATTTCCAACTCAAACAGGGGCGGATCTTCAGACAAAAGGGGAGGCAAAATAGGGGGATTTACTTTGTATAGTGGGGAGAGACAGCGACAACCTCTCGACTTGGAAGATAGTCCATGGGTGTGCACATGGCTGTTTTAGAGGACGGTGTACTCCGTACTCCGGATGCGATGGTCAAGTAGCAAGCTCATGGGTCTCCCGTTCACCGTATACATGTCGTTATGCAATAGACCATCGAGGGAATCTCGGGAGTCCACTCAGGTCCAGGGGGGAGGAGTCGAAGATCTAATATAACCGCTAGAATAGGTGCTATAAGTATGGCTTCTGATCCGTTTTTAGGGAGGGAGTACTTTACTGGTCATATAATCTCTCTCTCTTCTCTCTGCATATTCAACTGATCACCTGCTTCCTTTTCATTCCTTCTCTACTTCTCTACTCTTCTCGCCTCCTTACTCCTCCGTTCTTGGCAGACTGGTCTCCCTTTTCTGACTACTTTCTCTGATCTGTGAGATCTGTCAACTCTGGTCCGGTTTGGGTCTTTTTGGGATCTTGATCTCTTGGTACTCGGCAATCCAGGTCCACCAGGGATCCCCCGGAAAAAGAAAAGAAGATTGAACGGGGAAAAGGAAGAGAAAAAAGAAAAGAATCCCAAGCATCCCCCCAAAAGCAAAGGGAAAAGATCCCAAAAACAAAAAACAAAAAAAGAAAGCCGAACTGGCCCCTGGATGAATCGAAGCATTTAATTTGCTTCGAAAGTTGGGATCTCTCTCTCTTTTTTTTTTTTCTGCTGTTCTGCCTTTCCGCCTCTCCTCTCTCCCCCCTCCCGATCGGCTTTTACTCCCAAGTTTTCCATCCGCACAATCCCGTCTCTTCGACGGTTACCTTTGTGGAAAAAAAATAAAAAAATCAACCTTGGTCGCTCTCATGGTGGAGTAGTGCAAATCTTTACATTGCTTGGTGGATCTTCACATTCCTCTGGGAATTCTCGGCCATGAGTTATCAACAACCCGACATGTATCACGATCATTCTGCGCGTTCCCCTGGGTCTCAGCGACACCAGCAACCCTTACACCGTCAACCTTCTCGTCAATTCGATGCCTACGGCCCCATGCCGACCAACATGTATGAACAGGACCAAATGCGGTACGAGTCCGCGCGCCTCGAGCGTTTGAACCCGTCTCTCCAGAACAACTCCTATGGATATGACATCTCGGGTTCACAGACCTGGAACCCCAATGGATTTGCTAATGCACAAACTCTCGGGGGGATTCGCTCCGCCTCGGCCAGTTTGAAGCCCAATGCCCGTGGTCGTACCGGTCTGCCCACTGTAAGTTCGATCTTTTCAACGGATTTCCCCCGTTTTCCCGAGTCCGGAGTTAACACCCTTCCCAAGACGTGGTTGGATCAGCAGCCAAACATGCCCCAGGCTTTTTCGAACTTGGGCCCTGGTCCCATTCAGAGCAGCGCCATGCGACCGGAAGCCTCGGCTTCCTCCGCCGACGACGATGAATTGATCCCAACTGCGATTGTCATCAAAAATATTCCATTTGCCGTGAAGAAGGAGCAGTTGGTGCAGTTGATGACGGAACTCAACCTTCCCCTGCCCTACGCGTTCAACTACCACTTTGATAATGGTGTGTTCCGTGGGTTGGCCTTTGCCAACTTCACTTCCGCCGAGGAGACGGCTACCGTGATCGAGGTACTCAATCACTTTGAGCTGCAGGGTCGGAAACTGCGAGTCGAGTACAAGAAGATGCTCCCTCTTCAGGAGAGGGAACGGATTGAGCGGGAGAAGCGTGAACGCCGTGGCCAGTTGGAGGAACAGCACCGTCCCATGGGAGGTCCTCAACTCCAGACTCAGAGCTCCATGTCTTCGCTCACTTCGCACATCCCAGCTACCTCCCCGTCGCCCGTGTCCCAGCGTGGCCAGCGAATTGGTGGGTTACACAGTCTTTTCGCAACCCTTGGAAATTCGAACCTGTCTTACTAACCCGAAATGTCTCATGTGCAGAGGTGGACTTGAACGACACACAGACCCTTTCCTATTACTCTCAACTACTCTTGTTCAAGGAGGATACTGCCCGCGACTCCGTCATCTTCCCTCATAACCTCACTCCCTCCCAGCGTCGCACGGTTCACACTTTGGCTCACACTATGGGCTTGGGTCACGCTTCCCGTGGCAGTGGCGAACAGCGCCAGGTCCAGGTCTTCAAGATCCCTGGTGGCCCCAATGCCAGTCCACCAACATCCTCGATTCCTCCTTCTGGTCAGTCGGACGGTGGCCGTCGCGGCCTGAACCGAGCGGCAACTATCGACTTCAGCGAGGCTCGCCAAGAGGGTCCCGGTGCCTTCAACACCCTCCGTGGACAAACTTCGGGCTTTTTGGGCGTGATGGATCCCCCCGGTAACTTCGCCAATGGTCAGAACTTGCGCGCTGCCAAGTCCTTCGCCGACCTGCGATCCTACACCCCTTCGCCCGTGCCTTCCTCTGCTAGCTTCCCCGCTGCCCTGCAGTCGAATGGTGCCCGCCTCCAGTACGAGGGCGCGCCCACCGGCACCTCCAACACCCCAACTCTCACTCCTGCCCAGTCTGGTTCCTCCCTTGGCATGCAGCGTGATGATAACCTGCTGGTCAACAGTCTCGGAGGTCTGTCGCTCGGCACGGGGATTGGCGGTCCTAACTCTAGCCCCCGTCGTCTGCGAGGCATGTTTTCTTGGGAACAGGACAGCCAGCAATCAAACGCTGGCGCCATTGGTAGCAACCGCGGCATGGGTATGGGTTATGAAGGCCAACAGGAGCGCATGCCTGTCCGCCAACCCCGCGGGCCGACCCCGGACAAGGGCACCGGATTCCGCCGTCAGAACGGCCACCAAGCACGCGGGAGTGATGAACTCCGCACCACTTCCGGGGTAGAGATCATCGTGGAGTAAAAAAAAACATTGGACGAATTTATTGAAAATGGCGACTCCCCTTTTTATTGCCAGCATCCGACTGATTTGCCGCGAGACGAATACGACTTGTATTACGAGGCCCTGTTCCGCGAATTACCGGCTTACGATTCGATGAGGGATGACGAGATGACAACAAAAAAAAAAGACCAGAAAATCCTTTGTTTCGCTGATCTAGCCAAGTTTTAGACGTTTCTTTTTTGGGGCAGCCCAACAGACACGCGGTTTGGATGATTGCTTTTTTTGAAATTTCCCGACTCGCCACAGTTTCTCTCCAAGATAACTCTGGACTTGTTTATTTTTTTTTTCCAACTCTTTTCTGATATTGCGGGCGCCTTGCATGCAAATCCATGGCTTTCTATTATGCTGTGTCTGGCGGAATGAATTCCACGACCCCGAACGCCTCCTGGTGATACGGGACGCATACGAAGAATGACACAAAAGACCTCTTGCCGATGGCAGAAGAAACGACAATACCAGCATTTTGCATATTTTTGTCTGTTTAGTTTGTACATGGGGTGACTCGCATCTGTTTTAATGTTTCTGGCCCGTCTTAGCCCGGTGGCCGCTTTCCCCTAACACCCTGGGGAAATTCATGTTCGGTCTGTCCGGGCTAAGGCGGTTGTGACATGCCTGTTTTCTTCTTTATTTTTTTCTTCTTTGGCTTCTTTTCCGCGTGCTTTGATCCCTTTCCTCTTTGGCCTGATGTCTTTCGTCTCGCGGAATTGACGGTGATTAGGGTGAACCCACAACTCTGATTCAAACCAAAAAAAAAAAAAAATCTCACAGCAACTATATTGTCACTCGCATATCTTGCTGCCTTTCGAATGTGCCGACTCTACAGATCTACCTCACGCAGTAAGAATGCATCTTGTGCATTCCTGTTTCAATGCTGTTGATATATTTCCCAAGTCCTATGCTCGAGGGTTCTATCTCTCTTCATGTTTGGTAACTTACCTTCCAGGGATCTTTTCTTTTTTTTTTACTTTCTTTTTTTTTCTATTTCTTTTCTCCTTTCCATTGCCTTTTGTACTCAGATCCTCACAATTCAATCCATGTACCTTCTAGTACTATTACCGCCCGGTCGTAGGATATGTATATGTACAAGTCCAACCGAACTTGGAATCTCAAGTCGAACCAAATTTCTGGGGGTATCCCGAAAGAGATCCCGACCTCATGTATCATCAGCAAATCATAGAGCATTGAAATCCAGAAACTGCCAAGAGATTACGACACGACACTGCCGTTGTTTATGTTCGCGGGACGTCCCTGTCGATCCCCCGTGCTCCCCGACAGTAGTTCCGGTCTTACATGCAAGGTCTGTCAGCTATCGACGACAAAAGTCTCTGGATCGAACCGCCAATTCTGACCTCAATAGATGTGGATAGGGATCGGATTTATCGAATTCCATCTGCTGGTATAATGCTGGACACTTCGGCATTGGCAAGGTTGGCCTCTTACCCGGGGAATGTGTTCTTCAGAGTTGGGTCCGACTATGAAGTATGCCCAGAGAGGCCAGAGTTGGGATCTACCTACATGGGTATGTCGGTATGTGTGTACATAAAGCACTAGACCATAAACCTCGCTACAGAGCCCAATATCCATAGTGACAGCTTAAAAAAAATAAGAACTCAAGACTAGAAGCCTGACTACTCGCACATGAATGGTAAAGCACATCGAATCAGTAAAATTCCCACTACCAGGATATCCCCATTTTCCCATTACAGCGCCCTATGAACTCGAAATGAAAAACACGATTGAAAAAGCAAAGACCGGGGAATATCAGAAAAATACATCAAAGTGGAGCGCCGTGAAGAACAAATACGAGTGAACAGAAAAGCGGGCGGCCGGGGTCAGTCATAGATTGAGGATTCGAGGTGTTGGAGCCTCGACAGGACCTCCCACAGTAGCGGCCCAGCCTTTCGAATCTTTTCGGGGGTTGAATTAGAGCTCGATCTTGCCGCCCTTCTTCTTCTGCTCGACCTTCAGGAGAAGCGCACGGTTGATGCGGGGTAGGACACCACCGAAAGCGATGGTTGCGCGGATAAGAGTGTCAAGTTCCTCGTCACCACGGATGGCCAGTTGGAGGTGGCGGGGGTAATACGCTTGACCTTGAGGTCCTTGGCGGCGTTACCCGCCAGTTCGAGGACTTCGGCAGTCAGGTACTCGAGAACAGCCGTCACGTAGACCGCAGCTACACAAGGAATGGGTTAGCAACAGGATCGTTGGGAGATGATCTCAAGCGAATGAAGCATACCCTTAGCTCCGACACGCATCTTATTCTGTGTGTTGTTCTTCAAGAAACGCTTGACACGACCACAGGGGAACTAGAGAGAGAGTTTGTGTAAGCAGGCGCGTCATTTTGGACAGCCAGCGATCGGAAGAAAACACGGTCGGGAGAGAGGATATGCGATAGCATGGTCCGAGTTTTATGGTTATCAGGTGAGACTGCCCCTATCGAACAGCAATGAGGGACTCAGTCGACGCGTCTTCGAGGGGAAGGCAGTTTCATCGAATAACTCATGGCCCGCATCGTACGACCTCTCTCCAACAATGTGATCTCCAACCCACTGTCAATTAGGCGAGTCAAGAGCCGACTAACCTGCAGACCAGCCTTTGCGCTGTGAGACTTCTGGGCCTTCCCCGCAGCATCACCCTTTCCACCCTTTCCGCCGATAGACTTTCCCTTTCCACCAGGCATTGCGAAATAAATGTGCGAAGACGGTCGCAAGGATAGATATGGCAGAGAGAACCGGAAATCAAGACGATATTGCCTTGGTGTGGATGTGGAGGCGATTCAGTGTGCGGAAGATACGCGCGTTGTTGATGGATGGAGAAGTCAGAATGTGCCAGGCGCCGGCTGAGCCAAAAAGACAGTTCACGCTAGTCCCAATGTGGAACTGTCCTTTCTCACGGCACATTGAATTGGGGCCTAGGTACATGGCCGTCTGTAGGCCCGTTGGACTGATCAAGATTAGTGGCTGCTGGGTATATGCTGTATATTTCTCTGGAGCAGAGTAGAGTCCATGGTCAGTTGTGTCATGCGCCGAGATACTGCCATGGTAAAAGTCAGTGTGCTTTCAGCCAGCTGAGCGCAATCGAAACCTCCAGGATCTATGGCTGGGGTTTAGTTGTCAGACTTGGGAGAATGCCAAAATCCAGACTATTGTGCAACTGCAAGCAAAAATAGAGGTCCACAATGTGGTGGTTGCTGATCTTTTGCAAATAACCTGGTCAGGTTTGAAGCTGGACCACCACAGCTACCAGCTATGACCAACAGCGGGGGAAGGTCATGTGATACAGACGCCTCATACATCAGGCCGGAGGAATGTTCTGCCTCAGGCGAAATCGCCTCCGGAGATAGTGTCGGTAGAATTGTTCTTCCGGCTCCCTGACCTTCCAGAAATGCCAGGTGGCCCGCGCCTTTCAAGTTTTGTTCGCGTTGTACTCCCCCATACTCAACGATTTCCCCATATCGAAAAGTATCAGGCAAAATGGTGTCTCCTCAAATGTATGCCGGATCTCCTATCTTCAGTTTCAATTATCGATATCTATGGAAACTGACAAAAATCGCATAGTACCAACCTCGCCATCATCTTGGTGATGATGCAGCTGGCCAAGAAGGTTCCCTTTGAGGATCCTCAGGTCCTGATGCTGGTGCGCGGATGCTACATCCTGTCCAATGTCCTCATCCTGGCGGTTCACCTGTATACCCAGTTTAAGATCAACCAAAAGAAGGGTATGTCGCACCTGTCGCACCGATCGCGTGCTCGCCCATTGACCCAAACTAACGAATCTCTCCAGACATGACGACCCTCAAGTATGTTGAGCCCGCCCAGATGGGTAGCGCTGAGGAGCCCAAGCCCGTTACGACCACCAACATGGACTACGATAAGGGTCAGCTGCGCCAGCTGCTCCGCAGCCAGCTTATGGGTGTCGGCATGATGGGTGTGATGCACATTTACTTCAAGTACACCAACCCGCTCCTTATCCAGTCAATCATTCCCCTGAAGGGCGCCTTCGAGTCCAACCTGGCCAAGATCCATGTCTTCGGAAAGCCCGCTACTGGTGATCTCGCCCGTCCCTTCAAAGCTGGGGGTGGTTTCATGTCCCAGGGCGCACCCAAGAGCGACAAGGCTTCCATCGAGGCCGCTGAGAAGAACTGGCGCGGCGGTGTCAAGGAGGAATAGATTGGTATCCTTCGTTGTTTTAGGCTATCAATCGCACCTCCAATTTGTGGGGTATCCGATGGCTGATTTGGATCATAGCACACTGTTCATTTCCCCCATTGTAACATAATCCATAATCCATCCTTTCAAGTCCAGACCCTCCCTTGCTGGGGCTCTGGGCCTTATTTTTTTAATCACCTTTGATTGCCTGGTCATTGCACTTCCTTATAATTCCAATTGCGCCATGCACGAAGACGGTCATCAATTGTGGTAGGGCAATTGTTTCTTGTCGACTCTCAAGCTGCCTAGATGTTGCGCCATTCCCTGTATTTCCACCATGCCGATATGGCCTGATAACGTGGCACTGTAGAAACCCTTGGCCTTAATGGCATGGCGCCAGCTCCAATTGCCCTCCGGCATTCGCCCGGTCTCGTCTCGTTGCGATATCTTCGGATGGACGGGGGGAGCCCTGGAGGCAAAGGGCGATTTATAATCCACTAGTAGTGAGGTCAGGTGCAGGTGCCCAGGTGAGGCCCGGGGTTACCCCAATAGTTGGTCATCCCTTATAAGTGACCATTCCCAAAGGGAAAAAAAAATCGAGGGAAAAAGAAAACAAAAAAACAAAAAAACAAAAACAAACAACCCCATGGCCCCATGCGTTGAGAGGCACCGGTGACTCCTTTCAGGGCGGGGAGCCACAGCTTATATAGAGCCATACTCAATCCGTCCACCGCAGCGCCTCCAGGACAACGGCTGGGGAGTATAATTCAGTTAGATTAGAAGATATAATAAGGATCAATCCAGAAGAGCATAAGCCATTGGCTTGAGTCTAACTGGATTATCCCAGACTACCCCATTCGTACCTTCGTACTCCGTACATCGTACAATGTACTCCGTACCTACTCCGTACACAATGTACGGTGCCCCTCATAGCATCATACCCAACATTGCCCCTCCCTGTCATAGTTCCTTTTAGTCAACCACCTCGGGATCCCTCTCGTCACATAGCTCCTATTATCGTGATCTTCTCCCTATACCCGAGTAGGCAAAGTGTTCAGCAGCGAAGGTCCGAGGGAAGAGTAGTAAAAACCCGACGAGCGTGGGATTGCGGGATTCCTATTGGTAGACGAGAGCTACCGAGGGGCAGAGCTGGGCCCCAATATCGTGGCTCTTCCTGTTTTGCCCGGTGTATGAAACCGGAAATGGTTGCTGGCCAGATGTACAAGCGGCAACAGTCGGGAAATCAACTCAGCGCTCCGATCTTCTGGGGAGGTGCCGTGGTGAAGCCCCGTCCGTCTCTTCGGTGAGGGGTGATCTGTCCGTTGCGTCAGTCATCCATTCATTAATCTTCCCCTCCCCCGCCAGATCTTTTTTCTCTTCTTCTCTTCTTCTTCCCCATCTACCATTCTATCCAATTCCTCCCTTTCCATCTCTCTCACTTTCACAGTAAGTTGCCCATCAACATCTTATCGCTCTCCATTGCCTAACAGCTTCTAGTAAACCGCAATCATGGTTGTCCAGGTCGGTATCAACGGTTTCGGTCGTATTGGCCGCATTGTAAGTACTCTCACCTGGGCTCATCGGAGTTCGATATACTAATCAGCCTCACAGGTCTTCCGCAATGCGTAAGTTGCCTAGAAGAAGAAAAAAAAAAGACCCGAGATGAACTCCTTCTAACCCATAGCTTATAGTATCAACGACCCCAACGTCGAGGTTGTTGCTGTCAACGACCCCTTCATTGAGACTCACTACGCTGTATGTTTCCAGAACCAGCAATCGGCACGATCTAATACTAACATCCAATCTGCGGGATAGGCCTACATGCTCAAGTATGACTCCACCCACGGTCAGTTCAAGGGTGACATCCAGGCTGTCGAGGACGGTCTCGTTGTCAACGGCAAGAAGGTCACCTTCTTCGCTGAGCGTGACCCCTCTGCCATCCCCTGGGGTAAGGCCGGTGCCGCCTACATTGTTGAGTCCACCGGTGTCTTCACCACTCAGGAGAAGGCCTCTGCCCACTTGAAGGGCGGTGCCAAGAAGGTCATCATCTCTGCTCCCTCCGCTGATGCCCCCATGTTCGTTATGGGTGTCAACAACAAGTCTTACACCAAGGATGTCAACGTCCTGTCCAACGCCTCTTGCACCACCAACTGCCTGGCTCCCCTCGCCAAGGTCATCAACGACAACTTCGGTATTGTTGAGGGTCTCATGACCACTGTCCACTCCTACACTGCTACCCAGAAGACCGTCGATGCCCCCTCCAACAAGGACTGGCGTGGTGGCCGTACTGCGGCCCAGAACATCATTCCCTCCTCCACCGGTGCCGCCAAGGCTGTCGGTAAGGTCATCCCTGAGTTGAACGGCAAGCTCACCGGTATGTCCATGCGTGTCCCCACCGCCAACGTCTCCGTTGTCGACCTCACCTGCCGCATCGAGAAGGGTGCCTCCTACGAGGAGATCAAGGCTGTCATCAAGGCTGCCTCCGAGAGCGGCGAGCTCAAGGGTAAGTTAATCCTCATATGAAGCTTTTATATCTGTCAGCATACTGATCAGTATTCAGGAATTCTTGGCTACACTGAGGACGAGATCGTCTCCACCGATCTTAACGGTGATGACCGCTCCTCCATCTTCGATGCCAAGGCCGGCATCGCCCTTAACGCCAACTTCATCAAGCTTGTCTCCTGGTACGACAACGAGTGGGGTTACTCCCGCCGTGTTGTCGACCTCATCTCCTACATTGCCGGCGTTGATGGCCAGTAGGAATCAGGACGGCGTCCTGGGGTCAGAAGTGTTCTCTAAGGTGCTGATTTCCTGCTTGCATAGCCTGCAAAGATGGTTGCATGAAGGATCCGCCTTATAGAAAAAAACAAGATGATAACGTCATTTAATGAAACGAAATTTTTCTAGTTCAAATGCTCCTCTTTAATGAACCTTGTAGGCTGTAATTTGTCTAGGTATGCATCCATTGGTCATAGGTACATATGTATATCTCATGTGAGCGTACCCACATACATGTGCCATTTTGCTACAATGCATCTTGTTGGAATCCGAAGCTACATGTACATAAGTTGATCCACTTTCGGAACTGCGTCATAGGAGGTAGTCCCTGCATGCATGTGACTTTGGATTGCAAAGTGATTGGATATATTAGAGACTCTGGTATAACTAATGAGCCTCAAGAGTCGAATAGTTTCTATATGTGTTTGTCCGTGCCATATACCATGCAAGTAGCTAAAATCGAATCCTTTGACGTTGTGCTGCGAATAATTGAACGGGGGGTAGATGATAAGCCCTCTAAACCGTGGATATGGATAAGTCAGCTCATAATAAATCCCCGCGGCCAACTATAACGTACCACGCTAGTCGATTGTAGGTGGCGGTCAGTTTGGCGGTAAAGGCAATAATGTCAGGCAATAAGAAAGACTGGCCCAAAAGGGATCCAACATGCACATTGATCCATTTCCATTGTCACTCAGCGGACTTGGCTATTCTGTTCTTGGTCCCTGCCCGCTACATGATCATCTACAATTGTGGTTCTCTCTGAAACCAGATCATCCCGACACCACGATCGTGTCTATTGCACTACGTGTGCATCGCGCTGCTCAATTCAATCTACGGCAGGAGGTGATTGTATACCGCCGGCGTATGTTCTTCACAGATCACGCTTAAAGCCATTCCTGCAATATTTGGTGGATACCACAATATTTTTCACCAGCTGGAACATTTGACCGGTTGATTGATCACAAAATTTGCCGTGCCAGGCGCATCTGCCAAAGTGAGCCAGAAGCATCAATCGCAACACCATTAGGTTGGTAACGAGCTTCAAGACTGCCGCATAAGCTCAATTTCTCGGTCGTAGCAGTGCTTGGTAATGAGCTCATAAGAGCCAACCTTGAAGTCAAAGAAAGGGCTTTTCGTGGCTTTCCTATCTATGATGGACGAGGATGAGGATACAGTTATGGGAGATTCCCATACCCTTTCCAACCTGACAGTGAATCCATCCTTCACACAATCCCCCCTTCCTGCACATCTCAACAACTGCCCCACGCCCACTCTTGCACCTTCTTTCATTTCCCAAGCAGTTCCTGCATCTCCATCACCAGGCTCTGAACAGTCTCAATCTCGGGAGACCATTGCCTCCACTGAAATGGCCCCTCCTGAACGCTTGAACAAGCCCAACGAGGCACATAGCCATCTTGCGGAACAGTCAAAGCGTGATAGCCTGGTCGAGCCTGACTCGGACTGGTCCGACAACGAGATCATGGCCAAGGCTGGTCTTCCCCTAGCATCGCTTGCCACCGGACTCTGTTATGATCACCGTATGCGTTATCACTGTGAGGTTCGCCCACAGAGTGATGTTCACCCGGAGGATCCTAGACGCATCTATTACATTTACAAGGAGCTTTGTCGCGCCGGTCTTGTTGACGACCCAGACTCGTGTCGCCCTTTGGCGCCAAAGACTCTGCAACGGATTGATGCTCGTAATGCAACCGAGGATGAAGTCACTCTTATTCACACTGATGCTCACTATGCATTTGTCTACAGCACAAAAGGTATGCCCTTTATATGACCTGAAAGACTTGATTTAGTAGACTTCTGATTCGGCAAACAGATTTGCCCAATGAGGCCCTCATTCAGTTGGAGAAAGATCGTGATTCTATTTACTTCAACCAGCTGACCTTTGCTTCGGCTATTTTGTCTACTGGGGGAGCTATCGAGACATGCCTGGCCGTAGCGCAACGTAAGGTGAAAAACGCGATAGCGGTCATTCGCCCACCCGGTCACCATGCAGAGGACAATGCTGCGATGGGATTCTGTCTGTTCAACAATGTGTCTGTTGCAGCACGTGTCTGCCAGAATAAACTCGGAGATGCCTGCCGAAAGATCATGATTCTTGACTGGTCAGTATCTCACATCACCACATACCCCGATCAACACTGACTCTTTTTTTAGGGATGTTCATCATGGTATGCTTGGATTGATAGCACCTAAATCTTGAAAATGTATCCTCACATATAATAGGCAACGGTATCCAGAAAGCATTCTACGATGATCCTAATGTTCTCTATATCTCCATGCATGTCTACCAAGATGGTCGTTTTTACCCTGGAGGACCTGCAGGAGACTGGGATCACTGTGGTGAGGGCGCCGGAGTCGGAAAGTGAGTTCATATTTGAGCCCAGGAGATGAATATATGCTCACGCTTGTTAGGAATGTCAATATCCCGTGGCCCGACCAGGGTATGGGAGATGGCGACTACATGTTCGCCTTCCAGGAAGTGGTGCTGCCTATTGCCCAGGAATTTGATCCGGACTTGATTATCAGTGAGGCAACCCGATGATTCTGTCTCTTATTATCTGAATATTGACCATATTAGTTGCGGCTGGTTTTGATGCTGCCGCCGGTGATGTACTAGGTGGCTGCTTTGTCTCGCCGGCTTGCTACGCCCAAATGACCCACATGCTCATGAGCTTGTCCAATGGAAAGATTGCCGTCTGCTTAGAGGTAAGCGGGTTGTCTCTTCGACCAGTTGCTCGCTGATCTAACTTCAAAAAAAAGGGAGGATACAACTTCAAGTCTATCTCGAAGTCGGCTCTGGCTGTGACCAAGACTCTTATGGGAGAACCTCCGGATCGTTTGTTGAACAATTCTCCCACTGATTCTGCGGTCGCTGCCGTCCGTCGGGTGAAGAGCATCCAATCCCAGTACTGGAGTCGTCTGTATCCCAAGACATCCAATCACCCAGTCTTTGCTGATCGGCTTCACGGTAAGAATCATGGATAACTTGTCAGTTCATGGGACTAATGGATACTTTAGACATCCTCCGCGTCTACCAGTCGAACCAACTGTATGAAAGCTGCAAGCTCACCCCACTTCACATTTATCGCACAGCTATCTCCAAGTCATTTGAAAAACAGGTTCTAGCAAGGTAGGCTAACTACTGATGTCTTTCTTTTCATCCGAGGCTTACCATCTGACAGCCCAAACTACCATGAGGCTGTGCCGCTCATTGTGATATTCCACGACCCGTAAGTGTTCTTAAGATAAGCTGCAAGGCTCATATCTGACAATATCTAGACCTGAGATCGTGGGACAAGCCCATCCCGTGACCAATAAATTGGAAGCACACAATGTCTGGCTAGTATGTGTTCCGTGGTGATTAGGTTTGAGCGTCCGCTAATATCCTGAAAGGCCGACTCGCTGAAGGAGTATGTCAAATGGACCGTTAATAAGGGATATGCGGTGATTGATGTCAATATTCCCAAGCATGTATCTCGGGAAGCGGTAAGTCTCCCTGTGGTCTCATTTTCAATAATGGGCTATCAACTTATTGATATGGTTTCAGGCCGTGGGTCGTTACGAGGGAGAGGACGAGGATCGTCCATCTACCACCGAGGAGCTTGCAGGATACTTGTGGGATAACTACATTGAGTGAGTTGCAACCAACCAAGATCAATAGTTCATATTGCGCTGACGTGTTATGACAGCGCGAACCAGGCAACCGAAATCTTCCTGTTCGGCGTGGGCAACGCTTTCTTCGGTGTAGTGAATTTGTTGATCAACAGGGGTAGGTTCAAAACAGCCGAACATCAGACCGTGTGACCTTGCTGATAACGGAATAGAAAATCTTTACAAGCGTGTCAATGGCGTGGTCTCTTTTGTATCTGAGAATCCAGTGCGCGCGGTCGCATCCCACACCCAGACCTGGCTTTCAAAGTGGTACCGCGAGGTAAGACACGCACGATATTTGCTTTTCGAATCTCTTAACTCACATGGTTCTTTTATTCCAGAATTCCCTCGTGTTTGTTTCCAACTCCCACGGCGTCTGGGCCAGCGCTGATCGACGGCCTTCTAAGCGGTACGGACAGCTGGTGCGTTCCCCAAAATCGGATCTAAATGAGATGCTTGATGAGCATAAAGAGGAAGTGTTCACGTGGATCTCCGACCGTGCGGACAGACTAGACGATGAGACGGACGAGGAATAATGACTGGTTCCTGATCTCTAAGTCGATCCGGCTAGGGACGATGGTTTGCAGAATTATGGCTTGTCTAGGCGACGCTTGCTTACTGAGAAGAGTTCTGTTCATGGTCTACTACCTACATGTAGGCAATGTCATATCAGTTCGAACTATCTATGGATGTGACTTCTACATTCCACATCCATGGGATTAATCGCTGAAGGGGAAGTCTTGGATTATAATAGACAGGACACCATGTGTCCGCAATAGAAATGATAGAAAAGCTTCTCTCGCCAAAAGGACCTCTACCATAGACTCCGCCACTGACGCAAGAGGGAGAAAAGTATGCGGCGCGAGCCCTTCTTGCGAAGCGATACTCTATACTCTAACTCGGCAGCTCTATGTATCCTGTGCGGAATCCTCCGGTCTTTGAGCTTGCGATTTGAGACAAGACCTCTCTGGTCTGACACACCACCAACCAGAATGCGCAATTGCACGGCTCTAGTGACTGCATGACAAAGAGGCGTCAATAAGCCGACTCTGTATATTGAGATACCAAGGTAAGTATACATCTGGGAGGGACATACATCGTATAGTGACTTTCCTGGTGTGGCGTCGATCTGCGCGCTCTGAAATGTAACGATGTCTCACTTTTTTACCCCGGAAATCCTGGGCACTCAGGGCTGTGGAAAAGTCTTTCTTTCTTCCTATCTATCCTTGGCATAATTGCAGTGATCGTGCGTTTGGCACTTCAGAACTCTCGCCGAGAGCAACGCCATCGAAGGATAGGGTCGGAGCGCTCTGAGACATCGTATTCTCTGGTTGTACCCGTGGCTCTTTACTTTCTCGTATTCTCTGACATCGATCCCAGAACAGAAAAAAAAAAAAGAGAACATCCGGAACTTTCCATCTCTTTGACCGTGGATTGCGATGCGGGGGTCTTGGAAGATCCTAACTGTTCCTCTCCGCGTCCGGTGATAGATGGCCTGACCACTGCTGAGTGAATTATTGCATCAATTTGGGATGTAATGTCTCGGATGTGATGGGGAGGCTATGATGCTTTCCAATGATAACCCTGTTTAAGGGTCGAGTCTATATTCGGGTCACAAAACAAAAGACCGCATATAGGCAATGCAAATGCTCAACCCACCTGCAGAAGAAATATATATAAAGGATGCTGGAGCCTGCCTGGGAGAGATATTCTCACCATCACAATCAGATTCCAATAATCCGACCTGAATATACAATATTCCAACCAGAATGCATTTCCCCACTGCAGTCATTGCCTCCGTTGCGGCCCTGGCACCTCTTGCCAGCGCTGTTGGTAACGCCATCGTGACCAACCACTGCGACCATCCCGTCTACCTATGGTCCGTTGGCGGCAGTGTCGGCCCCAAGAAGACTATCCAGGCAGGCGGCAAATATATTGAGGCCCTGCATCACGATAGTGCCTCCGGTGGCATTGCCCTGAAGATTACCACCGTTGACAACGGGTTGTACGACGGCAGCCCTCAGACCAACTTTGCCTACACTCTGGACCCCGGCACAGTCTGGTATGATCTGTCAGATGTCTTTGGCGATGCATTCTCTGGCAAGACCATCGTCGTGCGGCCCTCCGAAACGACCTGCTCGAAGATCTGCTGGACAGAGGGTGTCAATCCAGGTGGCAGTCAGACCAAGACCTGCACCTCGGATAGCAGTATTAACTTGCATCTCTGTGCAGCCAAGTGCTAAGCGTCTGTCTCTGTGTCGTAGGGTGTATAATGGCTTGATATGCTGGAGGCAGTGCAACAGTGTGGGTTGACTAGCCGAGTCGCGGGGAAGGCAAACAGAGCCTCGATGAGGGATGACTCAGGACCCATGTATGTAGATATTGAGGAAATATCATAGTTCCAAGCATTCAAGCTCTAGAATCTAAGCAACGATGAGTCTGCCTTGGGAATACGCTACCGTAGGTGATAGGGGCGCTTATTAGGGCTGCCCAGAGCTAAGGATCACCGCCTGGGAGGCACTCGGGCAAAATACCTGGGCCTGCGATCAACATCGCCTTCGGTTGACTTTACAACAATTCCCCTCATTTGGTGTACAATTTCCACATCAACAATATACATACTCACTCCAATATATATCTATCTGCTCGCGTGTTTGGACGCTCTGGAATTGCTCAGCGCATTGACCTTATCAGTCACGTCATTGGCCTCTCTCCCCTTGGCAACTTCATGCTTCCAAGGTCCTCCAGAAACCTGTGTCACAAACGTCTCATTCGCAGGTCAACCCGTTCTTATCCCGATCTGTTGTTACGCATCTCCGTGACCAGCCCTCATTCCCTACGGCCCGTACCTTTTCCGATTCTCTCATCCGTACATTCGATCCGCCGCTCATTCTCTCATTCCACCATTAATCTCACCGCCACACCCCGAATCATGGCCCAGATCGAGCGTATCACAGAGAACTTGGAGAAACCGGAGCTTGATGATCGTTCGTATCGGGTTATTCGTTTGCCAAACAAGCTCGAGGCCTTACTCGTCCATGATCCGGACACCGATAAGGCCAGCGCGGCGGTGAACGTCAATGTTGGCAACTTCTCCGATGAAGATGATATGCCAGGGATGGCTCATGCGGTAGAGCATTTGCTATTCATGGGCACCAAAAAGGTAAGTCCGCAATCTATCCACCCTTGCCAGCCGAGATGAATGCTCAGTAATCCTTGTTACTTAGTATCCCAAAGAAAATGCATACAACCAGTACCTAGCGTCCCATTCGGGCTCATCAAACGCCTATACAGCTGCCACCGAAACAAACTACTTCTTCGAGGTCTCCGCCACCGGTGACTCTAGTGCCCCGAAATCCAGCGGAGACAGCACCCCCGCCGAGACAACAAATGGAAACAATGGCGTTCTGTCAGATGGGAAAGGTTCGGATGGAAAATCACCCCTTTATGGTGCATTGGATCGGTTTGCCCAGTTCTTTGTCGCTCCTCTTTTCCTAGAGTCGACCTTAGATCGCGAGCTGCAAGCAGTGGATTCGGAAAATAAAAAGAACCTTCAGAGTGACCTGTGGCGGTTGATGCAACTGAACAAGTCTCTCTCAAACCCTAAGCATCCCTACAGCCACTTCTCGACGGGTAACTTGCAGACCTTGAAAGAGGATCCACAAAAACGTGGCCTGGAAGTGCGCAGTGAGTTCATCCGCTTTTACGAGAAGCACTACTCCGCCAACCGGGCGAAGCTAGTTGTCTTGGGCCGGGAGTCTCTGGACACATTAGAGCAGTGGGTTTCCGAGCTATTCTCTGATGTTGAGAACAAGAACCTTGCCCAGAACCGCTGGGACGATGTTCAGCCTTTCACGGAGAATGACATGTGCACCCAAGTGTTCGTGAAACCGGTTATGGATACTCGCTCCATGGACATGTACTTCCCATTCCTTGATGAAGAGAACCTGCATGACACCCAACCTAGTCGGTACATCAGCCATCTAATTGGTCACGAGGGCCCGGGAAGTGTTCTCTCCTACCTCAAGGCCAAGGGATGGGCCAATGGTCTGTCTGCAGGTGCCATGCCTATCTGTGCAGGATCGGCATTTTTCACCATCTCAGTGCGCCTAACTCCTGAGGGTCTGAAGCAGTATCAGGAAGTCGCGAAGGTGGTATTCGAGTATATTGCCATGATCCAGCAACGCGAGCCCGAGCAATGGATCTTCGATGAGATGAAGAATCTTGCCGAAGTCGATTTCCGGTTCAAGCAGAAGACCCCCGCCAGCCGGTTTACCAGCCGATTGAGCAGTGTCATGCAAAAGTCATTGCCCAGTGAATGGTTGTTGAGCGGGTCTTTGCTGCGACGATTTGACTCTGAACTGATCAAGAAGGCGTTGAGCTATCTTCGGGCCGACAACTTCCGCCTGGTTATTGTGTCCCAGGAGTTCCCCGGTACATGGGATAAGAAGGAGAAGTGGTATGGCACCGAATATAAGGTCGAGAAGATCCCGCAAGAATTCTTGAGCGGTCTTCAGAAGGCCCAAGAGTCGACCGAAGTTGATCGTACTTCCAACGTGCATATGCCTCACAAGAACGAGTTCGTGCCGACTCGACTCTCAGTGGAAAAGAAGGAAGTTGCCGAGCCAGCCAACACTCCTAAACTGATCCGCCACGATGAACGTGTGCGTTTGTGGTTCAAGAAGGACGATCGTTTCTGGGTGCCCAAGGCCACCATTGAGGTAACCCTCCGTAACCCTCTAGTGTGGGCCACGCCCGCCAATCTTATCAAAACAAAGCTGTATAGCGAGTTGGTCAGAGATTCCTTAGATGAATACTCATACGACGCCGAGCTTGCCGGCCTGGATTACCATCTCTCGGCAAACATCCTTGGCTTGGATATCTCTGTAAGCGGATACAACGACAAGATGTCTGCTCTGTTGGACAAAGTTCTCAATACCATGCATGGACTGGTTGTTAATCAGGATCGCTTCAACATCATCAAGGAGCGCTTGACGCGGGCATTCCGCAACGCCGAGTACCAGCAACCCTACTACCAAGTTGGTGATTACACCCGGTATCTCCTTGCAGAGCGTAGCTGGGTCAATGAGCAGTATCTCGAAGAGCTGGAGCATGTTGAATGTGATGACGTCGTCAAGTTCTTCCCTCAGCTGCTTGCACAGACTCATATTGAGGTCCTAGCCCACGGAAACTTATACAAGGAGGATGCTCTGCGCATGACCGACTCCATCGAGAAGGTCTTGGGAGGTCGCCCTCTCCCTCCATCACAGTGGTACTTGCGCCGTAACATAACCTTGCCCCCCGGTTCCAATTACGTCTATCCCCGATCGCTCAAGGACCCAGCCAACGTCAACCACTGCATTGAGTACTATCTGTATATTGGATTGTTCTCCGATGAGACTCTGCGTTCGAAGCTCCAGCTGTTTGCACAGATGACCGATGAACCTGCATTCGACCAGCTGCGCAGCAAAGAGCAGCTTGGATATGTGGTGTGGAGTGGCGCACGCTACAGCGCCACCACCCTCGGATACCGGGTCATTATTCAAAGTGAGCGTACAGCTGAGTACCTCGAGTCACGCATTGAGACCTTCCTCCGCCAGTTTGGCTCCATCCTTGAGAAGATGCCCGAGGAAGAATTTGAGGGTCACAAGCGCAGCGTCGTGAACAAGCGTCTGGAGAAACTCAAGAACCTGAGCTCTGAGACTGGCCGGTACTGGTCGCACGTCGGATCTGAGTACTTTGATTTCTTGCAGCACGAAACTGATGCAGCCAACGTGCGCACTCTGACCAAGGCAGATCTCGTTGCATTCTACCAGCAATACATTGATCCTTCTTCGGCGACACGTGCCAAGCTCGCTATCTACCTCAATGCCCAATCAGCTACAAAGGCCGAGGAGATTAAGCCAGCCGAACAGCGCAGCCGCCTTGTGCAGGCGCTTAGCAAGCAGCTTGAGGCTGCCGGCCTGACCGTCGATGCTGCCCGTTTCACAACCGCATTCGATGAGGTTGAGACTAAAGTGGTGGACAAGTCACAGATTGCCTTTGTCGTGAAGAATTTCCTTGCCGCTGAGATGAGTCTGACACAGCAGCAGATTGAGCCCGTTCTTCAGAAGCTGGAGAAGAACCTCGGTTCCCAGCTGAAGGAGCTGGGACTCGGTTCTAGTGATGAGCAAGGCGCAGCCAATGGTGCCGGTGAGGCTTCGAAGGCTATTGTTATTACTGACATCTCCAACTTCAAGGCACGTCTTCCTGTCAGCACTGGACCTGCTCCAGTAACAGACCTGAGTGTGTATGAGGATTTTGATGCGAAGCTGTGAAGAGCATACATTTGGAGTAGATTTGGTGCTGGGTTGGATGGGTGCATGCAAGTGAGAGTTGGGGTGTTTGTTAATTCGAAATACAGTGACTTGCCAATTATGCCACAATAATTCAATGAAAGACATTCAGATCCGCTATATCTTTGTGAATCCTGATGGTAATCCTACACAACTCCGTTGCGTTCGATATCGATGCTTCCTTTCATAGAGTGTGGGTTGTACTACGTATGCTCTGATGTCATATCAAGGAGTCGAACACGGTTATAGTCTAGTATAATAATGCATCCGACCTGTTATTTTTGCCTCGGATTCCTCTTTTCCAGAGCGAAGTTAGATAGCTGGCCAGTACCCCAAAGGCTCTAGTGTCTAGAGGCCATAAGGATCTTAGGGCCCGGGTTAGGAAGATAGATAACTGCAGTGCCCGTTTCATTGAGTAGCCCATGGTATACATCTTTGGTAGCAAAAATTGCCCTCAGACTCGAACCTACGCTCACAGATGAGATTTGCCAATGGAGAGAGTCCTACCCTCCCTTTTATGAGAGATACTATTTGCACACCCCCAAAATCCACCTTTTCGCTATTTGCACACCTGTTTAAACCCTTTTAGGTAAGGTGCCTCTTGGCAACTGATTTCCCTCTGATTTTGTATTTTACACTGTATCCGCGTAGTACTCTCTGCGCCCCATATACGATATCGACGCCCCCTAGCCACATCATATTTCATACCATATCATGATATCGCTGTTGTAAAAAATGAAGCTATTCCCAGTTGCTGATCCCGTACAAAAAGGGCTGATTTGATGGAGTTTTCAGGGTAGAAATGAGGCTATTCCCAGTTGCTGATCCCGTACAAAAAGGGCTGATTTGATCGAGTTTTTAGGGTAGAAATGAGGCTATTCCTAGTTGCTGATCCCATACAAAAAGGGCTGATTTGATGGAGTTTTCAGTGTAGAAATGAGGCTATTCCTAGTTGCTGATCCCATACAAAAAGGGCTGATTTGATGGAGTTTTCAGGGTAGAAATGGGGATATGCAGAGTTTTCACAGAGTGGTCATGTGACTCCAAAATAGGTGTTGATTTTCAAAAATGGTGCTAATCGACGATTTAGCCCTACTTCGTGCTCTATACTCCGTATCTTATCTCGATATCCTTACATCTTTACATCTTTACATCTTTATATACCATTACTAGTATGGAGTATACCGATACATCTTCGCACCCTCGCTACCAAACCATACCCCCTTTCTAGTCTTTCGAGTGCCCTCTCTAAGGAACAAGCACACTTAATGAGTGGGCTAAACTAAATAGATTCGAAGTTGTGAGGTTAAGATCTAATATAAAAGCAGTGTATTTCTACTATAGTATTAGTCGTAAATATAGAGATGATCTTACCCCTACTGATCGGCAGCGGAAGCGATATACCAAAGTACTTAGGTGTATATTCTATAGTACTCTCCGCCGTCGACTACTTCTCGGAGGTTTATAGGAGCTCGTGATTGAGGACTCTTGGTATTAATATCCCCCTACCGACCTATCTACGCTAGGGATATACCGACGTGCGGAAATCTAGCGGATACTCCCTTCTATCACCAGCTAAGTCCGGTAAGGGGTACTAACTCGGTATATCGTCGGCGCTTTACGTTAAACAGCGGAGGATGGTGATACTATATTATGCGTATAGAGTAGGGATATTGAGAACCTACGAGTAGGAATATGGCTACGATATCTTAAGGGTCGTACGCCTATCTAAGCTCTCCTTAAGGATCTCCCCCGTGATGGAAATTGGTATATCCGCTACTAAGTATATATAGTTGATAACTCGCTAAGCACCCTTTTTATTATCTACGAAACTAGCGTTACCCTTCTACGTGCCTATCTATATATCCTATAGATAGACTATACGTATAAGACTAATAAGTGGAAGATACCCCTCCTAAATATCGTCGGTGTATCCGCTATTAGTAGGACTTTTTACGCTATATAGGCATTCCTTAGTAACGAAAAAGAGGTTTTATACCGCTTAGTACTTAGTTAGCTAAGGGATATTTATTTATCCTTTTAAACTAGCACTAAGCTCCTAAGACTGATTCGTATTAGCACTAATAGACTACCGGTCTCGTAGGACCTAACTACTACTAATTAGATTAGTCGCTCTTAAGGTAGTATAGTAAGTACTACTAAGCTCACTAGCACCTAGCTTACTAGTACCTAGCTCACTAGTACCGAGCTCACTAGTACCGAGCTCATTAGCACTAAACTTATTAGTCTATAGACTATCCTTACGGATAAAGAATAAGCTTTACGAAATATAATTGACTATATATAGTTCCTATATACCCTATTTCCTAGAAAAAAGGCTAATAATCAATAGACTTTCCTAAATATAGATACTATACTTTATATCTAGTATATTACCTATAATATAGAGAGTTATACTAGGCCCTATATCCGTCGTTACGTCCTCCGTTAGCCTTCCGAAACCCGCCTTACTAACGATATAGTGCGTATTAAGATTAATATATAGTAGATAGAGATAAAGGATAACTAGTATAGTATTATCTATACCTAGGATACTAATAGTAAAACTAGAATAGAGGGTTAGTAGCTCCGGTTCTAGGATAAATATACCCACTTTCCCGAACTACTATAGTATATAGATACTAAGTGGATTCGAGGGTGCGGTAGGGCCTTCCTACGGTACTATACTAAGTATTTCCTACACTTTGATTAGACCTCTATATCTCGTATTAAGTCTACGCATCGCTATCTAAAGATCGACCTTAACGCCTCGACTAAGGATCTACTAGCTCTTACTAAAACGTTTAAGTCTACGATTAAGCGATAGACTATAGAGATCTCCTAGAAACTTACTAAGTAGCGAGGTTAAAGGCTTATTAGTAGCCTCTTTCTCTTTACACTTATTAAAATAGTAGTCTCGAAAGACGCTATTATAAGGGTATAGTGTGTTTTTAATTACTATCTACTATATAGTACTAGTAAAAAGCCTATTCTATTAATATACTCTTAGTAGTTAATATTAATAAGAGGAATACTATATATTTACCGTATTAACTAGGCCTAGGAGAGTGGTAAGAGCCTCTCCTAGGCTAATTTCTACCCTTAGTAGTGGATTTAACTAGTAGGGGCTTTACTAGCCGGGACCTAGGGGGTATACGCGCACTCCCTAGAGCGGATAGTATAAAACCCCTATATTATACGCCCCTGTGGTCGACTATCTACGAGCTCCTAGCCCTAGCTTCTATTATCCCGGGTATCTTAAGCCTTTGAGCGGTTAACTCGCCGAGAGCCGTCACGATTTGAGTCTATACGTACTAAGGAAACTGCGATAATCCGGCGGTTAGGAAGGGCGAGGTAGCCAGTACGGAGGCACGAGGATTGGACTATATAAGGGGAGACTACAAAGTTATTAGATAATAAGATCGCTATTAGCTAGGTAATATCTAGGAGGGGGTGATTAGATCTTAGTCTTATACGTATTATATTAAATAGTATCTCATTTCTATACCGTATAGTAAAAATGTAATATTTTTAGTGTAAAACTCCGTATTAAACTAGCGGCTAAATCGTCGATTGGCACTATTTTTAAAAATTAACACCTGTTTTGGAGTCATATGACCACCCTATGAAAACTCTATATATCCCTATTTCTACCCTGAAAACTCGATTAAATCAGCCCTTTTTATACGGGATTAGTAACTGGGAATAGCCTTATTTCTACCCTAAAAACTCTATCAAATCAGCCCTTTTTGTACGGGATCAGCAACTGGGAATAGCCTCATTTCTACCCTGAAAACTCTATTAAATCAGCCCTTTTTGTACGGGATCAGCAACTAGGAATAGCCTTATTTCTACCCTGAAAACTCCATCAAATCAGCCCTTTTTGTACGGGATCAGCAACTGGGAATAGCCTTATTTCTACCCTGAAAACTCCATCAAATCAGCCCTTTTTGTACGGGATCAGCAACTGGGAATAGCCTTATTTCTACCCTGAAAACTCTATCAAATCAGCCCTTTTTGTACGGGATCAGCAACTGGGAATAGCCTCATTTCTACCCTGAAAACTCCATCAAATCAGCCCTTTTTGTACGGGATCAGCAACTGGGAATAGCCTCATTTCTGCACTGAAAACCCCCATTTCTGCCCTGAAAACTCCATCAAATCAGCCCTTTTTGTACGGGATCAGCAACTGGGAATAGCCTCATTTCTACCCTGAAAACTCCATCAAATCAGCCCTTTTTGTACGGGATCAGCAACTGGGAATAGCTTCATTTTTTACAACAGCGATATCATGATATGGTATGAAATATGATGTGGCTAGGGGGCGTCGATATCGTATATGGGGCGCAGAGAGTACTACGCGGATACAGCGTAAAATACAAAATCAGAGGGAAATCAGTTGCCAAGAGGCACCTTACCTAGAAAGGTTTAAACAGGTGTGCAAATAGCGAAAAGGTGGATTTTGGGGGTGTGCAAATAGTATCTCTCCCCTTTTATACAACCTTGGCTGCCCAGATTGGAACTGCCCGAGACCGCCTGAGGCAAGCAACCAATCACAAGCCAGTAAAATACACACCGCTATGCACGGCTTTCGAATTGATCTGCTGGCAGTATATAGACTTCGTGTACTAGATAGGAAGGCGGTAGATTTTACCGATAAGGGGGCGATAAGGGAACACATGCGAGACCATGTAGCTTCGAGAGCTCCCTGATCTGTAAACAACGACATCGCCTGACAAAATGGCTACTAATACTGGGGCTGCTAACCAGAGTGGCATTCCGTACGTTTTAAGATGATCATACTCTTATATGGCGATACAACTTCGGATGCCAGGATCCAGCTGACACCATCCTTCTAGGCCCATCATGCCCAAGGACTTCTCCGCACAGCAGCCGGAGACTGTTCGCCTATATCCCCTGTCCAACTATACCTTCGGAACTAAGGAGACTCAACCTGAAGAGGATCCCTCGGTGTTGGCCCGGCTGAAGCGCCTCGAAGAGCACTATGGCCTTCACGGTATGCGACGCACTTGTGAGGGTATCCTGGTGTGCCATGAGCACAACCACCCCCACGTGCTGATGCTACAGATTGCCAATGCATTCTTCAAGCTGTAAGTAATTGAATAGGGCTCGATTGTACATATCCGAAATCCACCGCTAATATTGCCCAGACCCGGCGATTACCTAGACCACGAAGACGAGGAAATTGAGGGCTTCAAGAAACGACTGAATGAGCGCCTTGCCCCTGTGGGCTCGCAGTTCTCCGGTGAAGGTGTCAACGACGACTGGGAAATTAGCGATACGCTTGCGCAATGGTGGCGACCTAACTTCGAGACCTTCATGTACCCGTTCCTGCCCGGCCATGTCACCCGCCCGAAGGAGTGCAAGAAGTTGTACTTCATTCGCCTGCCGAAGAAGAGTGAGCTCCAACCCGCTGTAGTATCTATCCTGGGGAAACACCGCTAACACTAGCAACTCATCATAGAGGTTCTCTCTGTCCCGAAGAACATGAAACTCCTTGCCGTGCCTTTGTTTGAGCTCTATGACAACACTGCTCGCTATGGGCCCCAGCTCTCTGCTATTCCGCATCTCCTGTCGCGATACAACTTTGAAATGGTTGACGAGAACGACAACGTCGTTTCCGTGACTCCTGGTATCCCGATGCCAACCGGCGCACCACTTCGTTCCAGAGTTCTTGCTGGCGGCGACGGCAACGACGATGGCCAGGATACCGGTATGACGGGCGTTGAGGAGGGAATGAAGATCGAGTCCCACCACTAGTGGGGAGTGAGTTTACACTGAACTATGAGCCCTATTCAAGACCGCTTTGCGCCCAAGCACCGCAACGCTCCGGGCCAACATCCTTGCTGGCGGCAATGACGAACAAATTATGGTCATGACTGGCACTGGGATCGGGAATCATTAATGATAGGTTTCTTCTTTTTATTTTGCGAAAGCTCGGTGGACCAATCTTGTGTTTCTTTTTCAAATTAAAAAAAAAATGAAAACGAAAAAAGGACCGAAAAAAAGGGGAACGAGACAGCCAGTCAAATCAATTTTACGCTTCTAATGACCATATCGTTGCAAGATGGCCTAGTATATCGCAGTGACTCCAAGTAAAGATCGAGTTGCTCACCCACGTGTGCAAGATGAGTTGAGACAAGATCGTCAACACCCCGTTGCCAAGCAGAACTAAAAGACCGACCCTGCAAGCTATTGCCGCCCAGTATGCAACGAGCCCAATATGTTCATCTTCACCCAAGTGATCTCGTTCGAAATAATCTCCGTGCGCCGGATCAACGACTGCACGGCACAGGCACCCCCTCACGCCCTAACGTAGACGGAGCACCTCACAAGCCCTCCGAGCCATGAGCTCGCATCCACTCGGGGTTGCCCGATACTTGGCCATGCTAGGTTACATTCCTGGTGAACATTCGCAGCGGCTGCATGAATGCTATGTCGATCCCACCGGAATCCCACCGGTCACGCGTGAAATATGCGCCATGAGCCGGAGATAGATCTCAGTCTGGAAGTACTCTATTTAACGGATGAATGGGATTTCTACCCCGCTCCAACAGCTTGCGACTCGTGGAAGATTTGGGGATCTATATGGATCTGCGTGGGTTCGTCAGGCATATATATAGGAAGCCGTGTCTGTAAGGCTCTCCCTGATCGTGTGTATCCTCGCCATTGAGAAAAGTCCTAGTTCAAAAGAGATCTTCAAGATGCATCTGCTTGGTCGGTCTTTGGGGATTGCTGCTGTTGTGTCGTTGGCTGCTGCTGCGCCGTCTCGTTCTATCCCTCGAGGTATGAATCGCTTTGTATACACCATCTGTGATGCATTGCTTCAGTGACTTACACAAACAACAGATGTGTCGATTGATGTGCTTAGCCAATTGACTCTATATTCTCAGTGGGCTGCAGCTTCATACTGCACGAACAATAACAACTCGACCGGCGATGCGCTCTCTTGCGAAGAAGGCAATTGTCCGTTGGTTGAGTCCGCAGATACAACCACGCTATACGAGTTTGATAAGTACGAGCCAACTCCTGATATCATGTACGGACTGATCACTCATACCACTCAACAGGACCTGCAGCTATGGTAATGTCGCCGGTTTCTTGGCTGTCGACAAGACGAACAAACTGCTCGTTGTCTCATTCCGAGGCAGTCGCACATTAAGTACTTGGATCGCAAACATCAACTTTGGGTTTACCGATGCCAGTAGCCTATGCAGTGACTGCAAAGCCCATAGCGGATTTTTGGAATCCTGGAAGACTGTTGAAGATGACCTGACATCCCAAATTAAGGCTGCGCAAGCTACCTATTCAGGCTACACGCTGGTCCTGACCGGCCACAGCTTTGGCGCTGCCCTTGCCACGTTGGGAGGTACAGCGCTCCGAAATGCCGGATACACACCGAAAGTGGTAAGTACCATCTCTTCCAGTCAGTCTTGTGTATGACGATCCTCATGATGCAACTGCAGTATTCCTATGGCCAGCCACGAGTAGGCAATGTGGCGCTGGCTACCTATATCACGGAGCAGGGCAGTATCTGGCGAGTTACGCACACTGAGGACCTTGTGCCCAAGTTGCCCCCTGCCTCTGTCGGCTTCAGCCATTCCAGCCCGGAGTATTGGATTACCAGCGGCGACAATGTGGAGGTCACCTCGTCTGATATTGAAGTCATTGAAGGCGTAGGTGCGAGGACTGGCAATGCGGGGACTCTGAACCCCAATACCGACGCACACGGCTGGTATTTGGGACATATTGCTGCATGCCAGTAGGATGGGTTAGGTAGGACAACGAATATTCATTGGTCAGATGTATACTCCGTACATTGTGGGCTGATGGTCAAGTCTTGAGGGTTGGCTTCATTCTATCCCGATCTATACATACCACACATCCGCATGCCAAAATATGTAGATATGAATATATGAACATGTTAGCTGTTGCATTTTTCGAATAGGTGTTGGCTTTATTTTATTTTGTTTTGTTTTGTTTTTTTCTGAGTTTATCTTGTTTATTTGGTTTATTTGGTGGGTGGCGCTGATCGAAGCTATAACCTGGAGGCTGGATGTTTGTGTCGAACAAGACGTGAGGGCAATTGTTGTGTGGAGAATTCGTGCGACACGTTATTTCGTTCCTATGATCCTCGTTATATACTTATCAACTCCTTCTCCGCCCATCCCACTTCGTATATCTAGGTAGTATCTACCTAGGCATGTAAGGTGTATGATCCTCCCTACATAACCGATCTCTTGAGCTCCGGGGGATCTGGCCCGTTCTGACCGTCCGCTCTCAACTTCCCAATGACCTGACCACTGGGCATAGTGCCCCCCCCAATTCAACATGCTGTTCGCTCCTAGTGGGCCTAAAGGACCCCGCCGTCGCAGTCGACTAAAAGCTATCTTCCTCACCATCTTCATCGTCCTCATTCTTTACCTGCTCTTCTTTACAAGCTCGAAATCCCCTGTGAGCACCGAAACAGGCACCTATGCGCAGACACATGGATCGAAGCAATCGGACGAGCTGGCTCGTCCTGCTGTCCGCAAGCGCAAAGATATGATTGTTGCCAGCATGAAAAGTGATGACACGTCATGGCTGTCGGAGTACTTTCCTGACTGGCCCAAAAGCATCTACGTGGTGGATAACAAGCACGCGCCGCTGACGGTGATGCGCAATAAAGGGCGCGAGTCGATGGTCTATTTGACGTGAGTGCGACATGCGACAAGGCGTGAACGCTCGGATTCCATACTGACTCGAATTGTTGGATCCCAGATACATCATTGACAATTACGAGAACCTACCGGACACAATGCTCTTCATCCACTCGCAACGTTTCCAATGGCACAACGACGACCCATACTACGACGGTGTCCCACCGCTACGCAACTTCCAGATCGCCTATCTACAAGAGCAAGGATATGTCAACCTGCGATGTGTGTGGACACTTGGATGCCCGACGGAAATCCGTCCCCTCACGGATACCCACCGCAGCGACGTCCACGCCGGCGAATACTTCAAAAACGGATTCATGGAGCTGTTCCCTGGGACGCCAATCCCGGAGGAAGTGGGTGTGTCATGCTGCGCGCAGTTTGGCGTGTCCCGCGCCAAGGTGCTGGAGCGGCCACGCAGTGATTATGAGCGGTTCCGCACCTGGTTAGTGAATACGCCACTGAAAGATGATTTGAGTGGGCGGATTATGGAATATTCATGGCATAGTATGTGTTTCTCTGCTCAGGCGAACTTGACTCGGTTGCGATGAACTTGCTGACATTGGCTCTAGTGATCTTTGGAAAAGACCCTGTGCATTGCCCCAATGCCCAGGAGTGCTACTGTAAAGTATTTGGATTGTGCGATCTGACCTGCCCGTGGGAGGGTGGCTGTGATGATCGCTATTCCCTGCCACCTTTCTCCTCGCTGCCTAAGGGGTGGCCTGATGTTGGATGGAATGGTCAAGCACAAGACAGTTCACAAGGATTACCAGAAACCTGAACTTGGTGAATCTCTTGGACCCTAACCACACACGCTATATTGTGTGTCCCCCTTCCAACTCATTGGCTTGCGACATCAGTTCGGCGTCTTGAATTGCCGTGTATATGCGTTCGTAAATTGCAGTGCACGCCGAGAATGTCCGGTCGCTCAGACAAGACAAGAGGAATCTCCCGAGGTCCTTCTCTGCCCACAGAGCTATGCAAGTGAATATATAGCCCGGGTGCCTTTGGCAATATCTACCTAGGTACTCCGTCCGTAGTGAATCGGATTGAAATTGAGCGTTGAAACCGGAAACATGTAGAGTTATGCTCGACATTACCTCGTACATAAGACCTGCGTCCAAATGCGGAGCCGAGGCTAGTGGTCTCCCCGCATTCGCAACGTCGACTCTGCAACTCCCTGCAACTCTGAACACTCAAGTCAAAATGCTGATTATCGGTCTCACCGGCTCAATAGCGACGGGCAAGTCGACCGTATCAAATATTCTCTCTACGCCACCTTACTCCCTCCCAATTATCGATGCGGACGTTCTCGCCCGCAAAGTAGTCGAACCCGGCACTGCAGGCTACAAAGCAATCGTCAACTACTTCGGTCCCACCACACCAGACCTCTTATTGGAAGATGCGCCTGCAAACCCGAATGGCAAACCACTGAATCGCCCAGCCTTGGGCCGGCGCGTCTTCGGCAGCACAGAAGAACGCAAACGCGACCGGCAAGTCCTGAATGGCATTGTCCACCCCGCCGTGCGGTGGGAAATCTACAAATCCTTAATTTACCATTACCTACGCGGCCAGTGGGCCGTCGTTCTGGATGTACCGCTTCTATTCGAGAGCGGAATGGACCTCATCTGCGGAACGGTGATCGTGGTGGGTGTACACGACCCGGAGATCCAGATGGCGCGTCTGCGGGCGCGCGATGCGCATCTTACAGCTGAGGATGCAGAGAATCGCGTGCGCAGCCAGGGGGATGTGCGAACGAAAGCGACGCAGGCGGAGTTCCGAGGCACTACGACGGCGCGCGGGGTAGTTGTTTGGAACGATGCTGACAAGTCACAGCTGGAGGTTGCTGTGAAGGGGGCTATGGCGAGTATTGCGGCATCGAGTCCGAGATGGTGGGCATGGGCGTTGCTGGTTGCGCCGCCGGTCGGGGTCGGAGTTGCAGCTTGGAATTTGGTTGCGAATTTCGCGACACAGAAGGGATGGGAGAAGAAGAAGCAGGAGGAGAAGTCAAAGCTTTGAGGTTTTGCTTTTTGCTTTTTCTCTTGCGAGGGAATTCCGGACGATACCTTTTTGCTTTGCGGGATTTGTACATATAGTAGTTCTACTCTAGGAATTGATAACAGCGGGTTTGTTAAGTGACATTTAATGATCATCTAGATACATCTCGGTAGGTTTATATTGAGTATTGAGATAAGTATCTTCTCCAGCTGGATAGAGATATACTCGATGGCCAGGATGTGTTCGTAATTTCATGCGAGGCCCTCGAAATTTACGAAATCCTTCAATATAGGAGAGACAATGCCTTCGAAAACACTTTCCGTAAATCCGTCCTCATTGCATAGTGAGCTCACACCGGGCCAGTGTAGACAACTATGAACGGCGTCTGCATAGTGTGCACCACTTTGTAGATACACATGCGTGACAAGCCGTGATGCAGCCCTAAATCTAGTGACCAGCGGGTCCTGATGTTCATCTTCCGGCGCAAAGAACGTGCTCAAGTCTTTCCCTAGCGAGAGTTCCACCAAGGCGAGGCCTAGAGGCAATAAAAGGTTGTTCCGTACACCGGGATAGCGTGCAAAATCGCAATTCTCTCTTCTCGTACCGGGAGCAAGAATAGGCCATGAGAGATATAGGTTCTCCATCAATACGCTGGAGCCGTCTTCACCAGCGGCTAGATAAATATCGGAGCTATCCCATGACGCTTTGAGCCAATTGCCGCAAAACTGGATCACACCACATGCTAGGCCGGCAGCAATATGAAGCCGATCTCGCCGACTGATCCCCGAAAGGACTTCCCGCAAAGGCTTCTGGAGAACTTCCTCCGGAAGGCTTTTCACTGCATACATGGTAAATCGGGAAGAGGAATCCAACTGGTTGCAAATGAACCCGATGGTTTCCTGTAGACCAATGTGTGTTTCATGATTGTGCAAAGAAGAACAAAAATCCTGAATCGGCGGTAGAGATGGGGGCTCAAGATTGATGTCCAATGGCTCCTCTATGAGCGTGCTGTTATCAAAACGAACTCTAGACCTATTCTGGACTTGAACAGATGCAGTAATAGCTCCCTTAACCTCTTGCACCTGCGAAGGCTTGAAGACCACATTCGCGCAGGACCACAGGCAGTCTGTATTTTCAGAGCTGGGCGTCGCCATTTTGTTGGAAAATACCATTCGGAGATGACTCTGGGAAGTGGTGTGATAATGGTCTTTGGCATTTTCAAGAGGATTCGTTTGGAGCTGGAGTTGGACACAGTGTTGTTCTATACAGCTACAACGCCAGTAGTTTCCCTCCACAATTGTTCGAAGTAATCGTTCTGCGTGCATGCGTGTCCGTTGATAACGTTGAAGAAGAGGACTCCAGGGCTGGCCCCCCTTTTTCCTCGCTTCCCGGTGGTCTATTTGGTCCACGAGGAGCTTCAGCGTTGTATTTGCCGCATCAACCTTTGCTAAGAGATCGTCATAAACCGCCTTGCAGAGGACTTTACGGAATTTCCATAGATCCCAGGTATCGGGGCTGGCCTGATATAGTTAATCCAAGGTTAGAGCACAATAGACCAGGATGACTGAGTTAAACAACTCACACTCTTGCCGTTACCCCCAATTCGCAGCCTTTGAGACAGGTCTTCCAACAATTCCGAGAGGGCAGTCATATTCTTCAGAAACACATCGTAGTTTCGACTCAGTTTGCTGCGGAGACGAGTACGCAAATTCACATCTGTCCATTCTTCACCCTGAGGGTTGCTGATGAGTCTTGATATATCTTCCTCGTCGTCAACAATATCTTCGAGAGCATTCTCCAGTGTATTCAACAAAACCGCGCGTTGTGTCTCCAGTCCCAGCGAATAGCCTCTAAACTCCCGCCGGTAGCGCCGTAGAATCTTGATCTTTTCAATGCCAAGGGCATAGGAGTCGAGTTGGTTAACAAGAAGAGGTATAACAGCAAGTGCAAGACCCGCCGCCTCTATGCCAGTCATTGTTTAGTGCGACCCGGCGGTGCCAATGCATCAAAGGAGTGATACATGAGTATGAGGCTGAATTGCCATCTTCACCAACTGGATGATACCCCGCTTCGGTCAGGTGCGTGGCCTAGCGACCTGCGAGGGAAACATCCGCAAACACCTTGTCATGTAGGCATCCCGCTTCAACATTCAGCAGAAGATGGCGAAAGTGTCAGAGTTGGTTAAGAGTTGTCTTCTTGATTTCAACACCTTGATTTCTTCGGATGGACTCGCCGGAAAGATCCAGGAGGTCCCATTGCAGGCATGGAGGGACGAATTGGGTCGATTACGAGTCTGGGTCGCAAATATCGGCGCTCACCAGACTGGACAGTCTTCATTGGATTACAGGCTGAGGGATGCATCACATATCAGCGGTCAGATCATGTCGCTCTTGAGGCGAATAAAAGAGCTTCTTCTAGATCTCACAGAGATACTGGAGGAAGATACAGCTATGGCTACGTCCGCAGACGATGGGCCGGAAGATTTTGGCCAACACCTAACAGATGAGCACGAGATGACGGAGATACAACAAATCCACCAAGGACTGCTCGAAGCAATCACCCAGCTCTACCAGATGTCCATAATTATTCGCCAGCCAGCACATCACGATCGGCTCATCGGGACACAGAAGAACGATATCGAGCCATTCATCTTCTGGGCCAGGCAACATGCATCCCATAAATACCCACATGCAGATGAATTGATTATAGACCGAATTAGTTCCATGATGGCACGGGGAAAGGCCATTCTGAGATACCGTGAGAGACATCATTCAAAATTGAGCCGAGGCATCGATCCGGAAGATGAGCAATCTACTGTGCTTTCAGAGACAGTTGTTACCGATGTATACAACGAGACCAACCAATGCCACGACATGGCCTCACAGTCTGGCATAACACAGACGTCATATCGCGACACTCTCCTCGGGGGAACAGATGAAGGTGGACGGCCAATACCGCCTATTCCCAAAGACGGTATCGATCAAAGCCCATTTGAATGTCCGTATTGCTTTTATATCATCACCGTCCGCGATGATCAAGCGTGGGCACGACACATTTTCCAAGATGTTATGCCTTATATATGCATCTTTCCTGACTGCCCTACACCCAATAAGCCATACGAAAACCGTCGAAGTTGGTACGCCCATATTCAGCAGAAACACCCACTTACAGGTACCTCCTATGACTGCTCCATTTGTAGGCAGGACTCTCTACCTTCTGTCACGTTCAAGCAGCATGTGGCGGGACATTTACAGGAACTTGCTCTCTTATATGTGCCAAATACGAGGATTGGGGAGGATGAAAATCTACAAGCAAGTGCTCTCTTTGAGGAGAATGGAAATATAGGAGAAAAAAGTGAGCGAGTATATAGGTGTTGGATGTGCGATGCACGTTACCCGAGCTTGGGTGCATTAAAAAGACATCTGGCAGCACATGAGATTTACGAAGTGATCTGGTGCTGTACGGAAAAAGACTGCAAGAAGATTACATTTCGGCACGACAGAATACAGGAGCATATGGCTCATATACACGGTATACACAGCCCGTCGGCAGTGCAGCTGCTTGCCACCAAGAGGTCATGTACCCCTCCAACCAGTTGTCCAATTTGCTTCCTCTCTACGACTTCTTGGGATGAATTTTACAGGCATATCAAGGAGCACTGCCTTGTTCCTAGTTCTTGAAATGCCTTAGCGCTGATCAATCTCTTGGGGGCAGCAATAGTGGAGGGAATCGGACGGTGGGAAGGGCTATGGCCGTTCTCAGCCGGGAATAACAAGTTAACCACACAAACCAATTATCTTAAATTTACCTTAGAAGTTGAATTACGAGACTGTCGGGACTATGTATTCAAGTCAGTGAATATTTTGACAAGATTGTAGGACAAGAGGAAAGAAAGGGGAGAATAAGCATCATATATGTCAACACTCCAGCACAAGCACCTGCTTCAAGAGTCATCCACGCAGCCTACAAATTCTCTTGGAACTGGGTAGTTACAGATAGTATATAGTACATGTAGTGATTATGGGTTATACTTGGATGTACCTATATAATATATTACATCTACTTCTTGAGCATGAATTAGACGCGGGATGTTCCAGAAACAGGCAGCTATCTCATGAGGTTATGATAGTTTTTAAGAATGTGATAACGGGTGGTGATGAAAAGAATTGATTGATGGAACCCCCCAGACGCCATCCATGCTATGCTCAAACGCCAATTCAAAACATTTCAGTTCGTAGCCGAGATATTGTGGAGCTCGGCATCATGGTTTGATCAGTAACTCTTACGCTTCTTCTTCTTCTTTCTGTCAGAGGACGGGGCTCCCATCATGGCCACTCGGCCAGTTCCAGAGATACTGGTAAGTTGAGACAGCTTCGGCGGTGTTATTCTCGCCTTGGCTTCTTCCCTAGCCCTGGCTTGATCGAGCATGTTGTCAACATCCTGTGTACTTGCCGGGTTGACAATGGGGTCTTTATTCTCATTGCCCTCCTTGCTGGGTGCAGATTGTATCTGTGATGGATTAGTACAAGATATTAAACCCGAGAGAAGGAACACTGACCTGGCGCTCTTTGCGCTTGAAGTTGCCATATGACCGACGTCCACCGGAATAATCCTCATCATCTGCATCCAGCGAGTCTGCTGCTAAGACCATAGGTTGTCGAGTGGATTGGGGGGCAGCTGGAACATCCAAAACCCAGTGCGTTTCACCTGCTTCCGCGGCCGCTCGTGCGACAGCCTGCTGTCTCTTTTCTTCCTCGGCCGCAAGCGCAGCTGCGATCGCATCCATATCTGAGGTAGGAGGACTTTCAGCTTCGGTCGAGAGACGGGGACGCTTGGAATTGCGCGAAGTGGCAGCAGGGGAAGGGCTCTGGGTTTCCTTTGAAGCTGCAGCGCGTCGCATGAACTATAGCATAGCGTTAGTGGCACGGTGGTTGATCTAGAAACTGTCGTTCATACCTTCATGGTTAAGAGATTTGACGACATGATCTTCTCAGGCTTTCCAGCCGAGGAGGAGGATCCAGTCATGGTGAAAGGTGAGATCTGAATGCGACTTAGGACTGGAATTGACGAAAAAAAGATGTCAAACAGCTTGACCTCTTTCGCAAAATAAAACGATGCGGCAGAAAATCCGGGTGCAGGGTGGAACTATCTCAACACGGCAGGCGGTGGCCATCCACCAAACCACACCTCGCGGATTATTCAGTGCCGACTTGCACCTAGTCCCTTGTCAACGCTCTTTTTGTCCTTCGTCATAACCAACCACTCCGGGGAAATCTGCCCAGTATGATGTCCTGTGGCCGCAGACTTGCGACCTTTGCGTCGGTTCGCCCGCGCTTCGTTGTCCGCGCATACTCCTCCACCGTGCCCCGTTTGAACGAGAACCCTATCCAAGTCAACGACTCGACCCCGCGGAAGCCCACACCGAATGTCTCCGCTACCAATGCTGTGCCCAACGACTCTGTTGAAAGCTCCGCTGGCACCCTTCAGGAATCCCCCGAGGTTGGCGAGCGTATCCGCAGCATGCAGGCTCCTAACCGCGCTACCACCTGGGCCGCCAGCCAGCAGCCTCGTGAGAAAGCTATGGTTGGACCTCGCTTTGAGCAGACTATCATGGAGGCTCAGGTACGAATTTACTCAAAGAAACAATGCTCGTGCAATTGGCGTTGCCAATGCATAGCAAGCCCGGACTGAGACTGACTTGCTTCCGTTTAGCCGCAACCATATGCCGCTATCGACCTCATTCACAGACAGCCCGTCCGCTGGACAAAGTCCAAGGTCGTCAGCTGTGACGGTGGCGGTGGCCCTCTTGGCCACCCCAAGGTCTTCATCAACACCGACAAGCCCGAGATCGCTACTTGCGGATACTGCGGCGTTCCCTTCGTATGTCCCCTTCATACCCGCCGTCTTCCCGTTGGTGGCCATTGGATATTTTACTGACGTCTTTATAGGCCCACGAACAGCACCGCGCTTACCTCAAGTCTCTGCCCGCCACCAGCTACCCTCTCGAGCCCACCGGTGACTCCGCCGAGGTGAACGAGTCCCAGCGCGTGACAGAAGGTGGCCTGGAGCAGCGATAGACCACTAGCATGAGATTTCCTTTATCGGCGTTGAACACTTTGCGTTTTTCAATTGGTTTTGGGCCCGAGGCCGTGTACAGAATATCGATGAATGGATCCGCTGCCCTTCAATCGTGTGTGACGATGGCATTGTCCTCAAAATTTGTGTACTGTTTCGACTACCTGCATATGGGATGATATCATATAATCAGGGTCATATGTCGACCGTCTCGCCGACCCACCGGGTTTGCCCAGGTGCCTTGTTTTTGTCTTACATCACTCGTAGCCGGGACATTCTAGATAAATCACAATTGCCCGCGCTCAGCCCCGTCATTCAGTCAAGCCTTCTGACCCTGGATCGTCGCGACCACCTTGCGGCTGTGGCGACTCGTTCGGAACTCCAGATACCAGATACCCTGCCACGTTCCTGTTGCCAAGCGACCGTTCGTAATGGGGATGTTGACCGAGGCGCCAATGAGCGCGGATTTAATGTGAGCCTATCGCAATTGAGTCAGTTCCCGAGATTACCATACGACAGGAATGCGCGAAATATAGTCAAAAGCTAGACTATCAAAGAGAGTATAGCATCTAAGACCAAAATACCCCACTATATACACATACCGGCATATCATCCTCGCCCTCGGCAGAATGACGGTACAAATCCCCCTTTCTTGTCCATGGGCGCAATGCGATCAAGCGCGTCGCTCATATCGGCGCGCACATCATCATCCCAGTTCTCGTTTAGCGAAAGCGCGCAGCTCGTGTGCTGTACGAACAAGTTCAGCATGCCCACTTTGTAGTCGCGGATCTCGGGGACCTCTTGGAGCACATGGTCGGTGATGAGGTAGGAGCCACGACTGCGGGCGGGGAGGGTGAAGTTTTTCTGGGACCAGGACATGATGGTGTGAGAGATGCTGGAAAACTGCTCAGGTGCTGAGTGTTGATATCGAGGGGAAAAGAGAAAATCATAGCGTTGTGATTGGGTGTGGGGTTCTGATGTCATTGGTCTACAGGTCCATCTACAAGACCCCGGCTTACAGCTGTTGCAAACAGCCTGGATACTGTGTATCCCAGGCTAGAATAGCCTGTTCTGGAGGGGCTGAGTGCTTTTGAAAGACTCAATCAGAGGCATATCTGTTCCACTAACTACTGTGGTCAAGTCTAAGGAGTGACAATACTGAACGCAGGGTTTGGTACTGTGACCAGCAATGTGATATTGGCCCAAGCCTCCACATCCCCAGACGCTTCCAACTTGTCCAGACCGATGGACTTGCCGAGATATGCAGCTCCAACAAGTTCCACAAGCTCTTTGTGCGTCAGCCAGACCATCGGGGTAGCGGTAGTACTCGGCGCCCCGCCAGTCCCTCCTCATTTGGATCGCTCTGAGTTGCAAAGACAAGCTTATCCAAGATGGTAGCGGCAAATCGGAGATTCTTGTTCTTGCTATACTCCTGCGCCTTTTCGAGAACCGCTTCACTCCCGCCCATGCATTTGACAAACTCAATGGCCTCTTCTGCTGGAGGAAGCGGCCAGAGATAGGCAGGGTTCCCATCGAACCAGCCCATATATTTGTCATAGACTGCCTTGACATTGTGGTTGATTGAACCGTAATAGTCGCGACGGTGGGCGCGCACCTCGAGGTTTGGAGGCATCTTGATCTCCGCAATCTTGACAGGGGTTTTGCCATCATTGAGCTGTCGAAGCGTCTCGTTATGCAGGTAAGCGTAATAATCACGCTACTCGGATAAATATTGGATCACCAGCTTTTCGCCATCTCGATTCCAGGTGGGCCAGTGGTGGATAGAGAAAACCACATCAGTCTTTTTGCCGAACAGAACGATCGACTCATCTAGGTACCGGGACCAAAGCCGTGCATCCCGTACTGGAGCACCTCTCGGTGTTTGTATATACTGTGGAGTGTATGAGTTGCATTCTCGGCCATGCACAAGGCGTTATAACTTGGGAAGAAGAAGTTGACTTCTGCCGGAGCCTCGGTTCCGGGCGTCAGCTGGCAGATAATCTGCAGACCTTCAACCCCTGGCTTGAGGGTGCCATTGTCGACAATAGTCTGTGTTGGTGCCAGGAGGGAACTGGTCCCGGTAGACAAAGCCTGTCCCAGTCCGCACCCAATCTGCCCGGTGGGAGACTTGTTCAGGGCTTCTCCGTAGGTATAGACAGCTCGCCGGGTCATCGCCGGGCCTGCATAGACATTCTCGGTTACAGCATGTTGGAGCAAGCCATCAGGCCCTGTGATTCGAAGAGCGTTGCTTCCATCTTTGGTTGCGATATCACTGATGGCCTGGGCAACCGGAGACCCAGGCTGTGAATTTAGTTGTCTTCGAAGCCAAACGCAGTGGTCTCGGTACAGGCGATGGCCAGATATTGGCCTATATGGCAATGGTGTGGGCTTCACGGAAAAAACGAAATCAGAGTGACAGTGCGGTATATGGTTGTCTAACCGACATCCATGAGTTCCGTTTTTTCCATATTAGCCATATTAGCCATAAGGGACTATGGTCTCAAATGGTTTTCCTGTTTTCTCTTTGTGATGACCGCCGGCAAGGGATGAATACTGTTAACTACCTGGCATCCTTCTTAAAACACCGGCTTAACACATCCCCATGACACTCGTCAGTACCATCTCATCAGTCTTATTCGTCATCCCAAGACGCTGTTCCTATTTCTCCCCTTGGTGCTGGGCTCAACGCTATCATGGAAGACTCTTCTCTTTGAATTCCGTGGTGTAGCTTTACTGTCATGCCTCATGATCAGACAAAGGAGGCGTGACTTGAGACCTGTATTTATAGGCTCATTATCTCTATTTTGAATGCATTGTTGTCCCAAAATAATCGTGTTAAAGACACTTTGTTCTTACTCTACGAGTCGAGTATTTAAGGCCTCTCGAGGTCCGGCAATAATCTCTATTCTTCATCATCATCATCATCATCATCATCATCACATTTCATCTTCATCTTCATCTTTCACATTTTCATTCTACAACTTATAGGCTCTTTTATTTACTTCTCATCAATCAGAAACTATGCCTTTACCACCTCACTATCCCTGCCACGCTCACGCTGGCCTGCCTCGTGCTTGGCTGGGCTGGGGTGAGTTGGGTAACCGCAAGGCAGAGCTGGAACACCAAACGGACAAGTAAGTGACCAAGAACAATCCCGTCAGAGAGCATATACTAACAGTTTGCTAGATATTTCCAGAAAAATGACCCTGATTTCATGTTGGTTCCTGCGAACCAAAAACGTGGCTGGGAGGTCCATCTCAATGTCATCCGCCAGTCGACTCGTTGGATCGACTGGAGAATCCAGGTCACAGGAAATAAGAAGCAGCTCATTCTTCCTGACATGATACCGTCTCAGCAGATTTCGAGTCTTCTTCATTTCTTCTATACGGGTGACTATTCGGTTGAAAAAGCCGACTTGGAGGACTACCCTGTCCCTCCATCCTCCAATGGCTGCATGACTTGTACGCAGATCTGCCGGCTGTTGCGTGTTCACTTGGCTATGTTCCAAACTGCCCTCCTTCTTAGAATCACTGACCTCCAAGCTATAGCTTTCCGCAAATTCCGTGATCTCATGGATACTGGCTCCTCGTTCGTTTTGCAATCTGCTGTCCGCGCAGTGTATACTAAGAGTCCCATTCCCGATGGCACGAATAGCTTCCAAATTACAGGCTCCAAGTCCATTCACGACTATCGGCCTGAACTGGTCCTTCCTGCAATTCTTCGGTACTGTGGCTACTACCGCCTCAACCCCAATCTAAACAGACAGAGCGGCCGGACCAGGAACTCTGCGCGGGCATTAGGCGAGGTGGAATTCCGAGAGCTGCGCGAAAAGTCCGCTCACTTCAATAGGCATATGACACAGGGATTGTGGTTGGATACTCTCGATATCGCAGTGCCAACCATTCAACTATCCCGCAGGTCGGAACCCATCAGGTCTCTTCATCCGTATATGCAGATTCCACCCCCATCCCAGAGTATGAACGTGCGGAGGTCGAACTATCAGTATGTGAGTTACTTACAGCCACTACCCTTTGAAGAATTTACCAAGCAGTTACCGTTTGAGAACCCAGCCGCGGGGCCTGCAGGATCGTTTTACTCGAGCTCTGCCAACTTGCAGAGACCTACTCAGGTCCTACCGGCGATGTGCCCGACTAATCAGAGAGCCCAGGCTCCCATATATCAAAATCAAGGGATGCCTCAGATGTTCCCGGCAGGACCTGCACCATTTAGTACCGAGGGACACGCTCTGTTCAATACGCTGAACTCAGATACCAACCTAGAGCTAGATGCAGCTGCCATGGCCCCGGCGAGTACTAATAGAGTAGATTGGACACAGACTGTCAACTGGAATGGGATGGGCTCGTCAGAACTTACTATTGACAACCTATTGGATAATACTGCTTTCCTCCAGCCTGACGGGACTTCCATGGCCCCAGCCAACCCTAACGAAGTAGGCTGGACCCAGGCTGTGGAGTGGGACCCATCGATTTCGTCGCCACTACATTTTGACAACTTTTTCAATGATGAGGCTCTGGATTCGAACACATCTGAGCCAATGGACGGGATCAATTGGACTGCAAATGATCTCAACAATTTGAACTACACCGATTTCCTGAATGATAACTCTACCGACGGATTATTTATTGATCCATCTACGATGAAGAGTATAGATGTGGATCAGTCTCAACAGAACTCCGTTTATATGGGGGCTCCAACTCCAATGGATCTCAATGGTCTGGAGAACAATCAACTTGGCTCTGAGGAACAACCCATGGACTTGGACAATGATGCACCGATTGAAATATCGACCCCAGGACCCCAGGATGAGCCGGGGGTGGGATTCCGGTATAATTTGAGGTCTCGGAAGACAGATGAGACCTGCGTTGATTTGACTCAATAGGTATCATCATTGCTCTCTTGCAATGTTCCCTCGTTTTCCCACTTTTCCTTTGTTTACATGTACCTTATTTCCTTCGCTTTTGTATCTATATATCGATGTGTGGACGCCCCACCGTTTAATATGATTGTGAGTATATACAAATGAATCAGCATGAGTAAGATCCCAATCAGGGATTCTTCTGTAGGGACTCCCCGGTAAGTATGTAGTTCTACGACCTCGGGATGTCTGTTTTCGGCCAAGCCCTAAGGCGCCTATAATAGTGCAGCCTACCGGTGGGTCACCAGAGACACAGAATCGACTGTTATTCGTGCCTTTTGCTCCTTGGTATTCAGCTACTCCTCTTCCCCTCGTCTACATACGTATACTAGACCACGATGTTGACTTGGCTCACGCAACCATGGAAATGCGCCGAGTCCACTACGTCAGAGAACGGGGTACCTGCCCTGTTCGCTTTCTCCTGGAGACTGCAATGTGTATAAATTCCGAACCTGTTTACACGACCTTCCCCTTCAGTACAAATACAGAATGCAATGAGGTGGCTATATTCTCCACTCCGGCATTGCGTCTCACTCGATGTCGGCCTCTCACGGTCGCGGCTTTTCTTTTGTCTCGGCCTGGCAGCGACCTTACTGCTCCTATCATATCAACTGATTCTTAACCAAGTCCCAAATGTGCCCGGCTGGACGAAAATCCAAGGCCTGGTCGTGCTGGGCGATCATTTCATTCTGGACCCTGTACAACCCGCCAACAAGGAATTGGTATTCGCCGCTATGCAGGACAGCAATATGTCCTGGGTGAAAGAACACCTGCCAGACTGGGAAGCTAACATATATCGTGTTGATGCGAAAGACGAAGATGGTGGCTTGACAGTCCCTGTGAATAAGGGTAATGAGGCTATGGTATATCTCACGTATGTTTTCGATGCGGTTGCTCGAAACCAGGACTGTTCACATACTGATTGACATCTCTTCAATAGCTATATTATTGATCGATATTGGTCCCTCCCGGAAGTTTTAGTCTTCTTGCATGAAGGCCGCTACCAATGGCATGTTGATAACCCACTATACGACTCTGTGATTTCAATCTCCCATCTCAACCTTGACTTCGTCCACGAGGCTGGCTATGTGAATCTGCGCTGCGCCTGGATCATCGGCTGTCCCCGAGAACTCGAGCCGGCTCGCTATCTCCGCGAGAGACCTGATGACCACGACCATCCGACGGCAGTTGAGTATCCCGATCGATTTATGGAGCTGTTTCCTCGTGCGGAGGTCCCCGAGGCTGTCGGGACGCCGTGTTGTAGTCAGTTCGCGTTGTCGAAGACGAAGATCCATGAACGGAGTCTTGAAGATTATGTTCGTTTGCGGCGCTGGTTGTTGGAAACGGAATTGGAGGCTGGCATCAGTGGGCGCATTTTGGAGTATTCGTGGCACAGTGAGTCTCTCGTTGGCGCTTTGGCGCTGATCGTTCTGGTGATCGTTCGCTAACTGCCTTTTATAGTGATCTTCGGTAAACCTGCTCAATACTGCCTTGATCAGCGTGAATGTTATTGTCGGACATATGGTTATTGTAATATGACAGACAGCGACATCGAAAAGCAATGGGTATGGCGTGGTTTACAGTTGCCGGAAGGATGGCCGGAACAGCGCGAGACTGCGTGATGGCTTGTATACAACCCCATTCTCCTTGAATGAACTGAATATTCCTAGATATCTATGTACCCTCGATCATGATTTCATAACGCACGTTCCTCATCCAAAAGACGCCTTTTGTCTCTTTTTTCCCTTTGAACTCGAGTCAAACCCAGCCTCGAAATACTACTCATGCCATACAGGGGATTCCAGTGATGTATATACACTTGGAAAAAGCATCACCGCCACAGATCCTGCTTACTCAATCGTTTATGTCCTTGACTACTTCTCGGTCGCTCTTCATCAGTTGGGACAGCAAGGAACCCACCGAACCCGTTGCCGACGAGAACGCTCTTGCGCGAATCGCCGCCCCAGGACCGATTCAGTTGGGCCTCGTGGAAGCTTACGGGACGCGTGCTGGTGTCGCGACGTGCATGTCCTGGCATGGGGTCGTAGGGGGTAAAATTCCACTCGAACTCATCCATCCCCTTGCTATACACGTTCAGAGGTTGTGAGAGGCCCCCCCTTGGCTGGGGTCCATTTTCACCGCCACCATAGAGTCGCGGTGGGGGCATCAGCAACAGCGTGTCGGGAAATTGGGAATCCCGGACGTATAAGTCTCGCAGGGCTGGTAATGTTCTGGCCATCAAAGATGAGATAAGATAAGTATAGTATGAGGATGCCACCGGTGGCATTCCGTGATTATCAGTCTTAGATGTGAGTTCATAGTGCAAGAGACGCAGCGACTTGGATGCCAAAGGGGGAATCTGCTCCATGGGGAATGAGCGAGAGACCTCCTGGATGACAGAAAGACTCTCGAGTCGCGGAGCCCCTGGGAGAATGCGATAGAGTTGTGACGGGGCTATGCCGGTAGAAGATAATATCAAAAATTGCAAGTTCGCTCTGTTCGCTGGCAAAGACAGTAATGTGGCAAGCCCGCTTGCCGTGACATTGGGGGTATCGCGAAGTGTAAGAGACTGGACGGCAGGGAATGGTGGGAGAGGCACGTTCACAGCAAATGCCGAGTCGTCGAGCCAACTGAGGGCTTCGAGCTTGAGGTCCCGAAGATGGGGGAATGCACCCAACCCGCTGCGCAGAGTACTCGGCTCCATTTGTACCCCCGATAGCTCGAGCACCTCCAAGTTCATCCATAGCTGGGATCCTGGTAGACGCGCAAAGCCACTCTCAGCACCTCGGCGATATGTCATCCGACGCAATTCGGGGCAGCGGGCCATCAGTTCTTGTTTCAAAGGTAGAGATGACTGCTCGTCACTGTAAAGACCCACCGGCAGATCAACATAGCGGAGATTAGGAAGGACGGAGATAGTGCGGGCGATGGTGGCCTTGTTCGCTTCGCGGGTCATGTATGGCAGTCGAAGCGACAAAACCAAGTTCCCTAGCCCTTGAGATTCCCGCACCGATCGCATGAATAGCTCTAAACGGACCTGAGGAGCATCGATTGGGTCGCCATTGCGGTCAAAGAACGAGCGGCGCTTTCGTTTGACGGATAATTCAATTTCAAGCTCACAGTAATGAACGGGATCGATTCGAACGTTCGTGTAACTGGATATGGCCCGGCATTAGACTTGCCAGAATGAAAGAGACCGTGGGGAATGTCCTACAGCAATGTCCGCGCAGTCAAAAACCACCGCTTGTTGACGAGGGCGCAGTGTGCTAGATCGCGCATGTCGCATGACATGCAGCCATCGCTGGCAGATTCCTCGGAAGTGTCATATGTGTTATCAAGGGCATGAGGGCAAACAAAGAAAAAGATGCGCGCCAGCACTGGACGGGAGAGCTGCTTGGTGTAATCCGAGCCGCGTACGCTGTAAACGGGGGGCGACGGGTCGGTGGCACTCCCACTGCGTCGCGAGCTTCGGCGCAACTTGGTTAAAAAGCCCATTCTGGTTGGAAAGGAGGAATGGGGAATGTGAAGTGCCCCAGAAGCATTTAAGAGGGAAGATGGACAAAGCGGCGATGCAGGGCCCACCCCCTCAGGTCTCAGCTTTCAGCCCCTAACATGAAACACCCAATCAAACTCCTCTTTGTTTCATGCTTTCGAGGCTTAAGGCCCTGATGGAGGTATAGATTATCGCTATGTTGCAAGTTGATGAAGGGATTCTTGAGGAAAATACAAAGCAAAAATGAAAACAAGCCGACCTCCGACAGAGAAACACGGCCCATGACATCACCGAGCCAACAGCTTCAGCGTTGTGGCTTTTGCATGCTTTTGCATCTCATCTGCACCGAAGTGATTGAGAATCCCACGGCTATAGACCACCAATTGAACCTCTTTGATCACTTGGGGTCCAATGGAATGAGTATTCACGGGGCCATCTCTGGCTTATATACGCCCAGGACAGCATCAACGTCCGACTTCCCCTTGGACCGTCGCAGCCCTGTCCAGATGCGATCATCGAACTGACATCATCGTGGTACCAGCTTGTTTAGAAGAATCGCGCCTGGATGGAGCGAAAGATCAAGCTTATCAATCAGTGTCTCCTGCTTTCTCGCAGGTACAAACCGCTTCGTATACCACTTCCAACCAACCCACACACCATGGCTCAATCCGGCTTCCCTAATGCTGACAGTCCTTTGCCCTGCCCGGCAGTCACCAACATAATCCCCGAAAGTTCCCCCGAACAGGTCTGGAGGCATAACCCGCCATACGAGAGACAAAGCGAGGGATTCGGACCAATCCAGTGGCGTGGGAAGTGTCTTTGTGGGAGGATCACTTACGTCTTGAACAGAGCCAAACCGCTGAATGCCAAGTACTGTCATTGTCGTGGGTGCCAGGTTGCTCATGGCGCTTCGTTTCAGTGGGCAGCCATCTTCCACAAGCATGAGATGGCTTTTACCAGCGGGGCCAGCGGCTTGGTCTTCTATTCTTCGACCCATCACTCCCAGGAGCATGACTTGCCCACCAAGGTGTATTGTGCCAATTGTCGGACACCTATTATGGACGAAGGACGGAAGATGTGTTTGATCTTTCCTCAATTGATTGAGCTCGAGGGATCGAGTGACGAGCAACGACAGCAGAGGGAGATTTTCAAACCGACGTATGTGCATCGGCTAGTGGATTCTTCATGAGTATGAGTATGAACTAACCTACTTGCTAGATGCCATATGTTCTACGAGTCCCGCATGATGGATATTCCTGATGGTCTCCCCAAATGGAGGGGAATGGAAAACTCCAGTGACCTCCTGGACGACCATGGGAAACTGATCGAGGTTGAGAAATGATACAGCGGTGATTAGTAAAATCGGCTTGTATAGGCCCAAATTGGACATGAATCCTGACGAGCAATAGCCATATATGTGTGCCATTCCCATCCCAACAGCACATCCCTCCACTACTTTCGGGGTGGAATCGAGGGAAGCCAAGCCCTTGGCCCGGGGCTGTCGGAGACTTCTCTCGGGGGGCCTCCCCGGGGACTTTCCCGCGTCGGCCGGTCGATCAGCCGAACAAAGTCTCCGCCAGGGGCCACCAGTCCAATCAATCGAGCCGATGGCAGGACTGTTACAGAACTGTGGCATTCCATAGTCCATTGATCGATAATTGCTGTATAATGTGTCCATCGTCGCGGCGAGAAATTGGCCCGACTTGACAAATCGAATGGCGCCGAAGGTCTTTTTAAGATGCATGATTCGGAGTATAGTAATTCTGTATAGGGAATTTGAGCTCTTTTGTTGTTTATCTTGGGTTCATCGTGATGGCTTCGTATCCTACCTCAAGTCCTGAGCTTCTGTCCGATTCCGAAAAGCTATCAAGCGACATATCGGAGGCAGAGGAAACGCGGCATATCACCGGTGCCAGGGTGGGTTTACTTGTCATGGGAACTAGATCAAATGGCTAATTCTACATCAGTGGTTCGTGTTTCTGCTCAGCACATTGACAGCTATCTTCATCTACTCTCTCGACAACACAATTGTGGCCAACATCGCTCCGGTATGCACTGCAAACCTTCTCGCGATATACACATGACCCAAATGAAGAAGCATATACTCACGTACCTCGTCGGTTCTTGACAGAAAATCGTCAATGATTTCAATGCAGTCGAAGATTTGCCTTGGCTATCGGTTGGGTACGTAAGAAGCTAGTGCCTCGCTAGTGACATCGCTGACAAGCCCTGCTCGGTAGATTCATGATTGGAGGAATGGCAATGATTCTGCCATTTGGCAAGCTATATTCGCTGTTCGATGCTAAGTGGGTATTCATCGTATCCACCATTGTGTTCATGGCAGCCTCTGCACTCTGTGGTGGAGCGCCAACAATGGACGCTGAGATCATCGGGCGAGTCTTTGCTGGTGCCGGTGGTAATGGAATGTACTTCGGGCTGCTCGCCCTCATTTCTATGAACACTACGAGCCAGGAACGGCCAAAGTGGCTCAGTCTGAGGTAAGCATATGCTTCCTAGGAATTGGCTTGCAGTACACTAATACTCCTATGCTAGCGGCTTGGTCTGGGGTCTTGGAACGGTGCTAGGTCCAGTTGTCGGCGGCGCATTCGAGCTGTATACCTGGCGCTGGGCCTTCTATATCAACCTGCTATTCGGTGCCATCCTACTCCCGACCTATCTTTTCGTCATTCCATCCAACGACCCGTTGCCCGGGATATCGCGATGGCAGAAACTAGCCACCTTTGACTGGGTAGGCACTGTACTGAGCATTGGGGCATTTACGACCTTGGTAATGGCTATAAACTTTGGCGGAACACTGTATGCATGGAGCAGTGGACAGATCATTGCACTCTTTGTTGTTTCCATTGCTCTATGGATAATCTTCGGTCTTCAACAGGGTTTCAATATTGCGACCTCGGTTGACAAACGAATTCTACCAATTCATTTGTTTGCAGAGAAGGAGCCAGTCTTGCTCTTCATATCCTGTGCTGCAGTGGGTGCTGTGTCTTACGTTACGGTCTATTACGTCCCTATTTACTTCCAGTTCACCCAAGGAGACGATGCTATTCAATCTGCCGTCCGCCTACTGCCCTTCATTTTCCTACTGATCACTACCATCCCAACTAGCGGTGCCATGATGTCTCATTTCGGTTACTACAAGCCCTGGTACCTAGGGGGCAGTATATTTGCACTGATCCCGGCTGTTTTGATGTGTAAGTCACACTCTGAATACAGTCCCCTAGATGCTGCGTGTTAACAATCGGGTTCACAGCAGCCATCATTCATGTCGACACCCCATCAGGCGTGATATATGGGCTTGAGGTTGTTCTGGGTCTTGGAGCTGGTGCCTACACTCAGGCCTCCTTCGGAGTCATCCAGGCTGTGGTTACCCCATCTGAGGCGCCCAATGGATTGACTCTCATGCTACTAGGTTCGCATTTCCGCTTCCACACCAAAGTCTCTAGCTAATGTATACTCTTTAGCCCAATTGGCCGGTATGACCTTTGGTCTGTCAATTAGCGGCGCTATCTTCGTTAATCTCGCGTCGAACAATCTTCTCGCCTTGCTTCCCGAATACCCGCAAGATCAAGTCCGACAAATCGTGTCCGGGACTAGTGGCAAGCTGCTTGCGTCGCTGTCCTCGTCGTTGCGGGACCAGGCGCTTGATATTATCGTTTCTGCGTGGCAGAAAATGTAAGTCCCAGTTCCTTGCTAGTGGAAGAGATACTGATCTGCCGGGATAAAGTTTCATTTGTGTGTATGTGGCAGCTGCTGCCAGTTTAATATGCGCAGTCTTCATGGTAGTAAGTGGCATTATTTCTGGCCGAGGGAGATCATGGTACTAATTAGATGCAGTATCAACGGTGCAATGTCTCGGCCGCTGCAGGCGGCGCTTGAGATTTGGATCAATTCAACCTGGGAGTTGGGCTCCATTGGCTAATGGTGGACTTCTCCCTCGTAATATCTGAATTGGATGTTGACTATAGGGTTGTTTCAGAGGGCATTGCTTACTGCATGGAAGACAGAATAAAGCTTCATCATCTACAAGACCAATTTTCAACTCGCTAATGCAGTATGGAGAGACCTTAAAACAACAGAATATGTAATTTTAATCCTCATAGTGGCTGTGATTCCCACCTTGAGCGATTTCCATGCTTTTGAATGAAGGCCTTGCCGCCCCGTCTGTGGTATGTAGTTACAAAAACGATGTTTCTATGCCCTTGTCTTGGAGATGAGTTATAAGTTGCCGCTTCCCTTCCGTGATTCTCGCCCCCAACCCTCCAAATGAGGGTACAGACGGATATAAGGCCTCAAGCGGTACCTCACGGACGGCGATTTGAGAGCCTTTGTCGGTGATCACCTTATTGGTTTCGACAATACTCCCTCGCCCCCATTGTGGCTCTTTCAGAACACGAAGAATGACCCCGGCACATTCGTGAGCCGTGAGGTATCGACCGTCTTCTTCCAACTTGTCCCTAAACTTGGTTTCGAGTAAGGGAGTCTATTGCAACATTCTCACGTTAGCATTGGTCACCTGCAAGGCATCGAAGGGATCCGGAGTCAGGGACTTACGATGACGACCCCTGGGCAAACTGCCGAGATACGAATTCCAAGGTGATCATTCAGCTCGCCCAGGCTTTTGATGAAGCTTACCAGGCCTGCTTTGCTCGACATGTATAATGGGCTTTCCATGGAATGTAGATAAGCAGCCATACTTGCCACAGCGAGATAATTCCCCTTGACCTGGGAATTCTGACACCAATAGTCTATAGCCATCTGGGCTAGACGGATCGGGGCGATGTAATTGGTTGAGATGGTCCTGTAGGCCCCAGGGCTTGCATCGGGTTTGTCCTTTGATTCTGGAGCCTCACCAGGTAATTTCCAGAAATTGCTGGACGGTGGCTCATAGATGCCCGCTACATTGGCGACAATATCAATTTGACCAAATATCTTCAACGTGGTGTTCCATAGATCACTTAGTTGTGCCCAATCGGTCACATCAGTCTTGTGGAAAAGTGCGGCTGGGCCTTTCTTGTTAAAAAGAGGATATCTTGAGACGGTCACTGCAGCTGCATATCGTAAACTTATATCGGCAAAAACGACATTGCAGCCGGAGTGAAGCAGCAGCTCTGCAAGCGCATGGCCAATACCGGAACCCGCACCAGTAACAATGGCGAATTTGCCTTTCAGATTGTAGGTAGACATGGCTATCGTCGCAGGGCCTTGGGAATGGGACTGGCGAGAGGACGGCTGGGCCTGTAGGTTGGGCTGTGTTGGGCAGATGTGCAGACTCAGCTTCTGCCTCTCTTTTGGGGGGATTGCCAGATCAAGATGAGCATGTGTGGGCCATCTTGGAAAGTATCACACTTAAATACGCTTCAGTGTTACCAGAAGGGGTCTCGATCTCTGGATTCTGTCAAGTAATGAGATTGGCTCGAAGGCAAGGGGTGTTTTTATGAAAATGCCAGGCCTCGGGATACGCGTGCAATTAGACGGCGTCGACGTGGAGGGGAAATGTGATGTATCTCCCTTCCTATTCCGGGGGTTCAACCAGATACAATCACGACGACGAAGACACGAGGAGCCTCCGAGGCGACAGAGCATGAAACAGGCAATCCCAATAAACGCGCGCCGTGTGGGAGTAGTATGCCGAGGAGGCCGAAGAATGTGGGTATCGCTCGGATATACCCCTTTTAAGAAGCAAGCATTCGAGTGTTTCCTGTTCAAGACTTTCCTGGAGGATATTGATTTCGATCGGAGCGTTCTCTGTGTCAAGGAGCCTGAGATAAAAGAAGCTGTCTGGCAGGACTTCAAACATCGGATTTTTAGCTGCCACACGAATCCAACTTGATAGATCCCTTTCTGATCTCCCATATAGATCTATGCACTTATATCATCGCTGTGTGGCTACCGGGTGTCCTTGTGCTTCACCTCTGTTAGAACATGCAAAAAGGAGATCCAGCACGAACAGAGAACTTCATTCTTCCCAAAGCATCTGCAAGTGGCAACAATGGCCCTGCAACAGCGAGAGATGGTGGTCCCAACATCTTGGTATCAGGGAGTGTTGATGTCTCTTTGCTTCGGCACCAACTGAGAATTGACGGACATCTATACCCCAGTCGAGGGCAGGGGATGCCAATATCACCCGGGATAAAGTGACACTATACGCAGGCTCTCCGAGGGAAGAGCAGTGCCGATCATCCAGCGTGGCGTACCCCGGGGGTTTCATCCACACTGGCAAGTTACATCTGATACATAAAGAGAACGAGTTGGAACAGGGATATATGGAAGAACAGGCGGATTCAGACGCAACTACTCTTCTGGTGTGCATACTGTCACATCAGGTCTCGGGGACTCAGATCGCTTTGCCAATATTCCCATTTCAGGTGCAGGTGTCAATCTACCTAGACGAGCAAAGGACCCATGCCCCCCAAAAAGACTACAGTGTCAGGGGGGAAAAACAGACTATCTAACTCTAGCAGCCATCATGATACATATCTATCGTAAAATCATTAGTCGTACAATATACACCGCGCCATGCTTCCGTCCAAATGCATATAGAAAGGAAAATACGCCTCACTCAGACCGGAGAGGGGAAGAAAAGGCAGACCAGGCATTCGGCTATTGCTTTCCCAGTATCAAGGCACGGGCTTGACGAGGATCTGTGCCGAGAACCGTAATTAGATAGTCGATGCTAGCTTCTGAAGCCAGGCGCCGCTTCTCGTCCTGGAACTCCTGATTACACACATCCCAGGTCGCGGCCCGTTCTTTGGGGAGGACTGTCTTAACGCGAATCTTGAACGCGGCACTAACCGGCCGGTGGTCGGAAGCACGGACCTCATGTCGTCGATAGTCGAGTTGTTTGACGCGTCCTAGACCACGGTAGAGCACGCGGTCGCACCAGGCTGGGGAGCGTTTCTTATCACTGGAATCGTAATCGTCCGTGCCGACGTCGTATTTATAAGTCGGGGCGAAGGTGATAGGAGATTCAGCGAAGGCACGCAGGCGGAAACCGGGGTTCTTCCGCCGGGAAGCAAGTAGCTGATCTCGATCCAGGAGTTTTGGTAGGTTGTTCTGGCGGACTGCATCGATGATCACATTGCGAGGAATTGCATCGATACGGTAGTTCAGGTCTCCGTTTAGAATGCACACTTCATGGTCCATGATCATCGATCCATCACCACCACTAGCGAACTGATCTGTCCGTAGGGTCATGCTATTTTCCGCAGGCAGAGACTCGGCTTCTAAGATGGCTGCAATATCGTTGTTTCGGTTCGCGGTCTGGGTTTGGCCAGCCGCTAGATGACAGTTCACAAAGCACATGGAGCTATCATCGAGGACAAAGCGGAAGACAAGGGCACCCTAATAAGGTCAGAAAAGAAAAGGCATAAAGAAGGCTAGAGGGACCACGAACCTTGTTGCCATGCAAGCCACCCATTCCACGCTTAATTTCCGAAGCACTGATGTTTTTGATGTTGTGACGCTCCTTGTGTTTGACGAAAACACAAGTAAACAATCCAACCATGTTTGCAGTATGCAAAAGAACGTAGGATTCCTCGAGCGGCATGCACTCGTGAAGAGTACGAGTAAGATGCTCGATCCATACTCGATATTGGCGACTCATGTGTTCCTTTTCGCCGTTCTCTTTCTTTTTACTACCAAGTAGCAAGCTCTCTGTGGTGATGTCAGCAAATGTCCACAAAAGATGGCACAGAAGATGACCCACTAGCTGTGATCTTCTTATTTTCAAGATCGACCAACTCCTGGAATCCAAATATCACAATCTCCGGCGGATCTTCAGGAGTGACAACATTGCGGATGAAATCGGATGTTCGCACACTGCCAGGAGTAGAAGCACCAGCATTCCAAGTCAAGACAACAGCCTTAATTTCTCGGAAATTGCAGAACTCTACATCTCTGGTTTGCATACGTGAGTCTGCAATGTGTTAGAGAGAACGCGACCACCAGACGAAGACAATATTTTCACTTACCCAGCCAATCGTTCTCGAGCATTCCGTCCCAGAGACGAATACAATTATCCGTACCTAGCGAAGTCACTTGCAGGCGATTCATAGTCCAGACGCTGCTTGTGTCTAACACAAAACCGGAAACTGGACTATCATGGGCGCGCCAGTCTTTCTTCACAGTCCAGGGATTGGTGGATACATCGTAGACGTAGATCATGCCGGTTTTATACGCAGCCCAGAGATAATCTCCCACGAATCCGAGGCAGTTTATTTTGTATACACTGACATTGACCACTGCTAGGCATGTGAAGTCGGTCGAGGAATATACAGTGACCTTGCCATCTGCATGTCCCAAATATACTCGGCCCCCCCTCCCGCGTGGTATAGGCCCCGGAAGTGACATCACCCGAATGCTGCAACCCAAGAGGCCGTTTGAAGACTTTGAAGGAAACATCGTCCTGTGCAGAAGGGCGATATACATGAACGTCTTTGCCCGCTGCCAGCCACAACTTATCGTCAACAACCATGGAGAATGTGTGACCGCGAGCGACACGCTCGGACGCATTGTGGTAGCTGTACTGCAGGTTCGGCGTGCCAGTCTCGTCTGGCTGCCACACAAGCAGTCGCCCTTCATCATCAAAGGTCCACATCTCTTTCTTGTGTCGCAAGATCTGGATGACTTCTCGCCGGGACGGGTATGAACGGGTGGCCACGATGGATTGACTCGGGATATCGACTTCGTGGATGTCACCAGCGCTAGTTCCGAGCCAAATGCGCTTCCCTTCATCTTCGAGTCCTTTCCCTGGCTTAAAAGCGAGGGACAAACTTTTCACAGTCTCCCCGTGACTGAGACTCATCACTTGTTCACCAGTAGTAAGATCCCACACTCGAGTCAGATACCCCGTTGTACACACATACTTGCCACACACAGCAAGCAACCGGGTATCATATTTCGTCAGGATTTCTCTCGGTCCAGTTTTTAATTGAGGTGGTCGGCGATTGGCCTTTGACGCATCAGGATAGTCGGTCCGTAAGATAGATGGCTCTTCGGCTTGCTCTTCTTCTTCTGTGTCTGTACGCACTACTCTTCGCTCAGGGAGGGAGGAGGATAGCCTAGGTTCCCGGGGTAAAGAAGGTTGCCGCTGGGGAGGTTGCCGCTGGGAGGGTTGCCGCTGGATAGGCTTCGGGGCCGAGGGTTCGTTGACACGCGCGAACGAGGGGATAGACTTATGGCCCGGCTTCATATGCGCAGCGGGAGTCAAATTCTTGGGAGGCTCTCGTGCAGGGGATACTCCGCTTCGACGGGGACCACCAGATGGTCGTGGAGGAAGCCCAGGGCGGTCGTAAGGATTATCGCTGGCTCGATATCTTTGCGCCGAAAGCGGAGGAGCAGTAGCAGCAGACGTAGGGCCTGCCGCAGGAACTGATGGAATTTGCACCATCAAGGGCTTGGTGGCCCGTGAGGGTTCTGGGCTAGGGCGAGTCCTTGAAAATCCCATCTCTCTAGCGTCATGTCTGGCATTCAAGGTCGGTGCAGGTGAGCGCTCATCAAATGAACGCCTGCCAGGCGGTTCTGTCGTTGGCCTAGCTATGGGTGTTCTGGAACTGGGCTTCTCGGCAGATCGTGGCTTAGCCATAGGCTTCTCCGGGCTACCAGGAGGGGTGCTAAAGGGTGAGATGCTAGGCTCGGGCGATGCACGTTCGAGCTGGGGAATCAACGAGGCTGTATCTGGGTGAGAAAGCATAGCCGGTTTCGCCGGGATTTTCGGTTTTGCCGCTCGGTTGGCTGGAGGTGGTAACGAGGCACTTTTTAATTTGCGATCCGCCGGACTGCCGGTCAGATTAGGACGTAGAGATCCAGACTGTAATAGAGGAATCGTATCCCCTACGTGAACGGATGGTCCGAACTTCGGCACTGGAGAGAGCGGCCGAGGTGGTGCCGGTGAAACGGACATTGATTCTCGTGGGCGGTGCCCTGGACTCCGAGCTTTGCGGCTATCATCACGAGGAGACCGGATATTGTCGTAATCTTGTCCGCGAGGTGGCGATTGAGGCGACTGGACTGTCAACATTGGCGGAAGCTGTGGCGATGAACGGTGGAAGTTCATGGAGATGGGCCGCCCATATCGTCTTCCGGATAACCCGCGGTCCCTCAAGTCCTCCCCATTTGTGTGCTGGTACTGAATCAGATTCTCTTCGGCCGGGGTCCATGGAAATTGCTCTCTGGGCAAGTCTAGAGAAGCACGGCTAGAAGATCGAAGCTCATCACTGGGTTCCGGGGTTGCCAACAAATGGGTTGTAGAGGTACGTGGGCTGGCGACTGCAGCAGAGGGAGCTCTGCGATGAGAGAGATTCTCAAAGTGAGATAGTAAGGAAGATACCGGTCTTTGTGGCTGCGTTCATGTCAGTTCAGCGTGTGCCACAAGGCGGTTACGTATACATACAGTGGGAGGATCCTCATTGTTGTCCGGCTGTTTCCCTGTGCCCGCCATGGCCATTACAAAGGATCCGTCACCGAGACCAGCTGACAGGATGGATCATAAGCTTGAAAATATTTCCCGGGAGTTGAAATGGTGGCGCAAACACAGTGGAGTAGGTGTTCGTGGACGGAGCTGAGGCTACAGGGATGCCGTGGGGCTCGGAGTTTGGAGTTTGGAGCAGACGTAAGCGGCGCAAATGCTTAACGACAAGGAATGAAGCTTGATTGTAGAGGATTCGAGGTATACCGATAATTATCGAGAGGCAAAAGGGGGAGGAGAAGGCCAGGGTCGATGAAATGGAGTGGCGGGGAGGAAAGTGGAGGGAATCACGGGAGTTGGCGATCACTTTGTGTCTGGATTTCTTCGGACTCAAGCATCAACATCTCGCACTTAACCGTCGCTTTTTTCTCGCACGTCATATCCATCATGTGGTGAGTATACTTCTTACGATATTCTTGAGACACGAAATTTTGAGATCCCCTCATTTCCCTTAGCCAAAAATCTTCCGGTAGCTAACACAATCTCCCCGCTCTACAGTAAACACATTCTGAACGCCCAAGTGTCTATTCGCTCACACTGCTGTACGCGTCATTCGACCTTATACTCGCTACTATGGCATTAACGGAACATACTTAGGTCGGAAATGGTTCGACTGCGCCGAATGCCACCAGGAGAGCGAGTCGCACATGCTCCAAAAAAGTGCTGAAATGGTACGCTCCTATTCTTCGATTAGCGCAAGTATGGCGGTCTGACATTCATGGGATAGATCTTCGCATGCAAGAAGTGCAAGAAATGCTTCCGTAAGGACGCTGCAGAATTCGATGAGAGGTATGCACCGAAGGATACAAATGCCAAATGGCAGGGTACTAATCTCGAGTATAATCAGTGACGAGTACTGCCCTCATTGCGATAACCACTTTGTCATTGAGGCACTGCAGCCAGAGGCACGATTGCACGTTGAGGGTGAAGATGCCCGTATGGACAACCGGTATGTTGCGCACACCAAAAACCCATGCCATTGGCAGGATGCTGACCATTCCCAGTATGCTTAAGGATGACCGTGTTGCGCGAGACAAGGAGCGTTCTCTATTCAACATCAGAGATGTGTCGGACCGTGTGGGTTAACCTGGGTTGTCTTTGGGAGAAAAGACAATTGCTGGGGGCAATGTAAATTCATGATGTTGACGATTTGATGGTTACTGTTTCTTGCGATGGCTCAAGGCAGATAGAAATACCCTTGGCATCAATACCCTTTCTGCGTTCGTGTACGGTACAAAAAGAAACGGGAGATGTGTTTTAAGCCTCATGATTTTGGATTCTCGTCAAGGAAGAGACCAACGCTACTGTAAATTGAAACAAATCAACAATCCAGTCACCTCTCAGGCGCCGAATGCTCCAAGTCTACTTAATCGGTCGACTCGCCGCCACCCGGCCGGGTGAGGATTGCCGCTGTGGTGGTCCCTGTCCGGGTCTTCTTCTTGGCTGCTTCCTCCTGCTTCTCGGTCTCAATGCTCTTCACGTACGCCTCGATCTGGTCATCGGGCAACATCTCAAGGGTCTTGCCGGGCGCCATGATAGCGACCTCGATGTTCTTAGCACCTGTCTGCACAACCTCAAGCAGAGACTTGATGGTCAGCTGGATTGTCTGCTCGCGATCCATGTCTTCCTGGTGGTTGCGCTCAAGGAATTCACGGACGGTCTTGCTGGAACGGCCGATGGCGTTGGCTTTCCTACCACGAGGAATGATAAATTAGCATTAATCCAATGGAATATCAACTGAAAGCTCGAAAAACACCTACCAGGCCGAGTAAATTCCAGAGGGCTCGGTCTGGTACAGTCGCGGGGTGGAGTCATTCTTGTCAAATCCAACAACCAGCGTACTGATACCAAATGGACGCACACCACCACTCTGCGTGTATCTCTGCTGCACGCTGGCAATATATTTCGTAATATACTCGATGCTGGCGGGGTCTTCAACGGTCAGGCGGTGGGACTGAGCCTCTAAACGAGCCTTGTCGATAAGGATCCGGGCATCGGCGTTCAGTCCAGCAAATGCGAGACAGGCGTGGCCATCCACCATGGCGATCTTGGAGGGGGTAATGCGGGTATCTTGGAGCTTGAGGGCGGAACGCTTTTCGCAACCGAGGACGACGATATCCTTGCCTTTAACACCAACAGCGCAAGTTCCTAAAATCATTTATCATCAGCAAAATGTACCTCCCTATCAATAGCAAGGGTTGCGGGAGGAACTAAAGCAGAGAAAGCAGCTGTGGCAGCAAATGACGACGGTCTTACCTCGCTTCACAGCCTCCATGGCATATTCAACCTGGAAGACGTGTCCATCAGGACTTGGGCGGGGGTTAGAAAACAAACTCGGGAGCTGAAGTGGTTCTCAAAGACTTCATACCTGAATACTGCGATGAGTTAGCACCCCGCATCTTTCATACTGGTTGGGAGCAAAGGGAGCTGGGCGTGGGGAGCTAGCTGACTTACCTGAAAGAGCTCGGTCGTATCCGGACATTGTGAATCAAGGACAACTGGAGGGTAAATGATTAACAGTTGGTGTAAAGGACAAGTTCAGGAAAGAGCAATGAGGTAGAAGAAGGCAATGTAGACGAGTGTCCAGCAGTTGAGGTCAATTGAGATGGAGCAATGACGGGTTCCGGGCGGTGGACGCGAAAGCCCACGGCTGCCTCAAGTGCACCCGCGCGCGGTACTTCTCTTTACTATGGGGGTATCATACTAATTCAATGTACCTAGCAATCGACCTAAAATCCTTCGGTGTAAGTGCATTCACAAGCCCTGGAGGAATTCAGTGATGTTTTCAGGGAGCAATAAGGCTGACATGCCTATGACCATTAAGCTCGCATCACAAATAGCTAGATCCTGCCTCTATGCAGACCGTGCAGTAATATACAACGACCACATAGATCTAGCCCAAAACAACCAACCTTGGAGCTTTATACAAATCCAGAAGAGCCTAAGACCCACGAGTATACAGAACGAATGAAATATGAAATATGGACAGAACAATCTTTTTTGCTGCATTCACAGTCGACCCCGAAGAGATCCCCGATTCGATGCCGGCGCAAGCTTCAAAATAAATCCCCAACACCCCAAACGGAGTCCCAGTATATCCCCACCCAGATCAAGACCGTGAATTCTCCGACGCTTCCCATGACCAAAGAGTGCAGAAAGGGAGCACAAAATATCTAAAATGCAATGCCAAAAGCAGGGTCGGCACCCAAACCCGCAAATGTGTGCCTGCAGACAAGAAAACCCAGGGGACGAGAGGGGACATTCAAAAAATACACCACCCCTTAAAAGGGGAGCCCCCTGTCGCCGCCGAAAAGAGGATAAAAAACAACCATATAGCGCAAGATGGAGAAGAAAAAATCACATGGGGAAAACAGCTCCACGACCAGAGATAAACAAAGAAATAACAGACCAAAACCAGCAAGAAAAAAGCATCACACAAAGCACAGGGCGGCGAGGCGAGAAAAAGAAATCCGAAAGCTTCGACAACGCTAACCCGCCTGCTCCTTCCAACCCGATGCACCAAAACCGCAGAATCCCTTATACAAATGCGTATCAACGAATATCAACCAACGCAGAAACCCGCCACAATGCAGGGTTGCAATATGGACAACATAAGTGTGAGCGCCCAGTTCGTGAGTGGGGCGTGAAGTAGGTACAACTAGACCCATATTTAGGCGGGTGACTTGTTGGCACCGGAGCCGTTGCGGCGAGAGTGGGAGTCGTCAGATACTGTCAGACCACCGAGGCCGCTGGACAAGAAAGCGAAGGGGTCACTGGCACCATCGGAGCCGTAAAAGGCACCGTTGGAAGCACTGGTGGAGGGCACACCGTGATCCGCACCAGTGAAGGCGGCCTGAGTAGCCGGGTTGGCGAAAGAGGCAGCAGAGTGAGAGGTGCCGGAAGAGCCGTAGCCCGAGTTCATCTGACCCATGGGAGGGTATGCGCCAGGGGTGTTGTTACCAAGACCAGCGGAGGGCAGAGTGTAGTTGTTGGGTGGGCCGCCGAACTGCTGGCTGAAGCCACCGAATCCACCAGCGGTAGAAGCGAATGGAGCCGGGGCGGGAGTGCTAGCCATTGAGTTGGGTCCCATATTGAACTGCGACGGTGGATCCATTGGGGACGGGAACGCCGAGTCTGCCACCACAGCAGCGCCAGAGCGAGGAGCACCGCAGCGTAGACAGTTGATGTTCTTCGCGAAATTGTGATAGCCACATCCCTCAGAACCACACTTCCAATCACCAGCACGGAAGGGAACAACGCCGCCGTTGCCGCCCATACCACGCGAGTGACCACCACCCATGCCGTGACCACCGTGGCCCATGTGAGGGGGCATCATTGATGGCGGACCGTAACCGTAGTTTCCGTAGCTCATTGGGTCAGGCGCAGCAGCCATGGCGGGGAATGAGCAGCGGAAGCATGCTGTGCGGCGCTGGAAGTTAGAGAAGCCACAGGACGGGCAAGTCCAATCACCAGGGCGGGGGCGGTTCTTGGAGGGCGGGAAGGGAGTGAGGATCTCGGCGGCCCGGTCCAGAACTCGGCTGGAAGAGGGAGAGACCTCGATCGCTTTTTCATTGAGCGCACGACCATTCATGCACAGGCTTTCGGCAGCCTAATAGATCGTCAGCGGTATTCCATTGAAAAGGAAGATAAGACTAAAGGTATATCGGCATAAGAGACTGAAAAGTCGGGTTATAAACTCACCTCCTCGTGAGAAGAGAAAACGGCAAAGCCAGTGCCAGTGGGCTTGTGCTGGTCTGGGGTTCGCAGAGTCCAGAAGGCGATAGGACGACCGCCGAACTGGGTGAACCAGCTCTCCAACTCAGATTGAGTGGTATCGTGAGGCAATCCACTGAGGTGCAGGACCTTGCTCCGTTCCGCCAAAAAGGCCCGAACGTCAGCGTGAGCATCCATGGGACGAGTAAGGATCTCAGGGTGTTCCTGGGGCGGCTGCGACTTGCGGATCAGACCACGAAGTACGCGGGCCAGAGTGACGGATTCCTCCATAGCGCGGCGGGGCGAAGCGGGGGCCAAAGCTTGCAAGTGGAACGGAAGGTTGTGCTTGATCGGGGCGGACGACTGAACGGGTTCCACCTCGAGAGCGGCGCAGATGTTGGAGAGCGAGCTAGGACCGAAAGGCAGCGACTCGGGGTGATGGGTCTGCCAGCGTTGATATTCAGTTCGCAGATCGAAGGTACGAGAGTGCTGCAGGTATGCGGGCAGCACAACAGCCTTGTCGCGGGCCTCGCGGGGCAGCTGCACCCGCAGATCCCACGAGTCCAGCGTCACAAAGGCAAACTCGAGATGTTTGCTCGTGAGGTGTTCCTGGGCGAAGGCGTCGAATCGAGAGATGGCATCCCGGAAAGTGCCTGCGGAGCGAACGTGTTCCCATGTCAAGGTGGTCAAGCTCGCTTGAAAGAATTGTCAGCCACAAATCCTAGCAAAACCCAATGCAATCCAAGGTTGTTTCAAGGCGAGCTTACTGCAGAGCGGGGTGATTGGAGTGTTAACGGGCTTGACGAGGACGCTTTCACGGTGTAGCTACATCATTGGGATAAAATGTCAGCTTTCAGGTTGACCTCGGGGGTATATTGGATATTGGGTAGTAGGCCTTTGGGGGAACGGACTTCCTCGCATGTCTTGGTATCCAAAAGGATCCATCCTAACTCAATGACCTCAGCCGAGTCCTTAGTGACATAAACGCCATGCTCGTCGCAGGTGGTTGCAACGTGGATGACAATGTATCGATCCAGCTTGGGGGTAGGTGCTGAAACGGCCGCCATCGCTGACTTGTCCGCCAACGGAGCGGCAGAGGAATCCCGGGGGAAATGAGGAAAATGTCTCTGCGGGAAAAGCAGAAGACAATACAACACGACCGAAGGAGCGAGTCGTGGAAAGAATATACGAAGAGAAAGCCCGGGGGAGGAGAGAAGGGAAAGGGGGGGGGGGGGAAGAAGAAAAGAGAAGGCCAACTCGGTGGAGTTTTGGGAGAAAATGAAAAGTCTCGGGGCTCACGGGGCGGAGATTACAATGTCAAATGGCCTGTAGAGGTTCAATCAAATAAATTCAATAAATTCAACAATTCTCTCTCTGCGAGTCTCCTAGGAATCTTCGGGTTCAATTCCCCTGGAAATTGTGTGTTCGGACTGGTCTTGACCGTGCAACCCCAACCGGGGCCCAGATCCCTGCGGTCTTACTATCAACGCCCTCTCTATGACCTAGCAACATCAAATAGAACTAGTAAATGATATATTACCGATCTCCTCCGGCACATCCAATAGTCGATGGATTATAGAGCTATCAGATGATAGAAAAGCAGAAGCCATGACTCGCAGGTGGGACAGATGGCGATGTCTGGGGGGTTGACAGTGAAACACCGGGGGACCTGGGACGAGGACAGTGTCGCTGTCACAATGCACGGCCGTCACGTGGCCCATCACGTGTATGTATATATCGGGCATCGACAGGGACAATAGTAGTCAATGGAGGCAATGTTCAATTCGATGAGGTATTCGAGGAAAATCAGAACCCTATGTACAAAATCCCTAACCCAAGCCCATATTTCCAAACCCCAACGCCAACCCTAGGAACAGATCATCAGTCATCACCCGTCTCTTCCTTAATTATAGTCCCTCGGCTAGTATCATTGTCATCCTCCTCGTCCTCTTCCATGATACTGGGTTCAATCGAGACAATGGGACGATTGGCCGAGACCGAGGTAAACCGGCTATCACCCTCGCCCTCATCTTCCTCCATGATACTAGGCTCGACAGAGACATGACGACGGCTCCACCCACCAGTAGGGTCCACGGAGCGGCGGACACTGCCAGAGCGAACACTAACTGCATCGTCAATATCTTCGGTGCCTTCTCGGGGACGAGCGCTAGCGGCGCGACCATCTTGCGCAACGGCCAAGATTTTCAGCACCGCGTTCTTAGCCTTCACGAGGGCGTTCCGACTAGAGGCTTCAGCAGCAAGACCATCCTCGATAGTCTGGTCCAACAACTCCTTGACCTCGGTGGCGAGTTCTGCATTTTCTGGATCAATCTCGACACTGGTAGCGCTGCGGGTACTGTTGCGGAATTGATCCTCGCCTTCCGGGGCGCGAGAGCTAGCACGTGCAGGCAATGTAGGAGCAGCAAAGTAAAGCTTGCTAAGCAGGGAGAAGAGCAGCTTGCGCTCTTCGCGGGTGCAACGATTCGCCGCTGCATGGACCCCAAGGACACGCTCGAGGATATCTTTGACTAGAGCGAGGTGAACCCATCCGCAGACGTTGAAGCTTGCGGCACCGCCAGCGAGAACCTTTTCGCCGCCGAGACCAACGACGCGACGCTCATCAGTCCACTCAGAAAGCATTCCAATGACACCGGTCAGAAGAGCCTTCACTTCACGATCGCCAACGCTCGGGTCAATTTCTCCATCGCTGTCTTCCTCGGCCTCAAGGGAGTAATATTCCTCTGCGGCATTCATTACAGAGCGGACCACTGATACGGCCACCCGACGCATGTGCTGCGTATTTTCGACACGGGAATGGCAGTATACAGGGAAGAAATAAGCCAATGACTGTCGAAGGGCTGGGTTTTCACGAGTACGTGGGTGATAGAAAGAGACGACAAGGGATAGCAACAGCGATTCAACGGCATTCTGGTTGTGCTCTTGGATCGCGGGTGGGACATTTGGCCCAGAGGGAGTAAATGTATTGGTGAGTAACAGCTTGCACAAAGCGGCGGCGGCTTCAGACTGCACGCTATTTGGAGAGTTGGCACGTAGAGATCGAGCGAACACCTTGAGCAAGGGCTTTTGCATGGCGGCCGGCGTGACAGTTTCGCCGTCGGGCTGGGTGACTGGGGCGAGGAGAGATGGGTGAGTGGTGATCATATCGCAGAGAATTTGGATAGCAGTGACCTGCAGGGCCTCGTGGCCCTTGCTATAGCAGTGAATGAAGAGGGTCATGTTCTCCTCAGCCAGATTCTATAACGCAAAACATTAGCAAGTCATAAATTGCAACCGACAGAGAAGATACGAACCTTATCAAGTAGACAACAAAGGCCCAAGCACAGGAGCCCGCGCTCTCTGATCGGAGCTTCGTGGCTGCGAACAGCGGGCACCACCAGATTATTGAGCATAGTAACCAGGTTCATGTTCTGCTGTAGGTGACCCTGGATATTTTGCAACATGCATTGAGCAATATACAGACACTTCATATTGACGACGATTTCGCGCACGATCTTGGCCTTGGCTTCTTCTTTATTGAAGGGAGTGACTTCTTCATCTCCCGGGGTTTCGGATCGCCTGCTAGCGTCATCACTGATCTCCGACCTAGCAGAAACAAAGCTATCCTCCGTAGTGATGGTGTCGTGGACTTCAGCGATAGCCTCAAGCACAACACTGCAGAATTCGGCTTCGGCTGCAGCGTCAGGTCCGCAAACACAGCGGAGAGTTTCGACGACCAGCTTAGTGCTCTCCTCCGGAAGTTCTGGTACAGCCAGAGTTTCTCGCAGCAGCGAGAACATCTTTCGTCGGCCGACCTCATCGCTGTAGTCTAAGGTGATGGCGATGTGTAGCAATTGCTCTACAACGAATTCGTGCTCAACAGCGTCATCGTCATTTCCATCGCCAGACTCTTTGGAAATTTTCTTGCGCTCCAAGAGATTTGTGATGTATTTACCCAAGAAATACGCCATGGCGGTGACCTCGGGCATCTTGTCATCGGCGAGACTGTCGTACTTGCCTTCATTCTCCACACGGCAAAAGTCGTTGAAGGACCGGACCAAAAATGCGGACTCGCCCGTCAGACCCTCCCAGAAAGGCTCGTCAAAAACAACAGCTTCGCGATAATCAGCACGGCCTTCCCAGAACCCGCGCATTGCCTCATGTGCAATTCCACTTTCCATCCCAGAGTTAACAACGTCAATTCTCTCTAGAAGTTCAAGTAGTGCGTTAGTGTCAGGCGCAGAACGCTGGCCAGTCGGTCCTGTGCTGGGGTCATTGTTAGTCCCGGCGCAATCCTCAACCCATCTATCGTAGAACAATTTGGCCGTAGCCTTGCGAACGCTCTCGTCTCGATCGCGTAGGCCCCATCGCATGAGCTTCTCTCGCATCGACAGAGACAAATGGCGGAAATCGCCCAGCGTAGGTAGAAGACGTGAGTATAGTGCGCGTCTGGTGGGGGCATCTAGATCACGGGCGCGCTCGAGAAGATAAGGAAGAGTCACCGGAGCGAGAGGGAGGTTTGTGAGGAGCGTTTTGCGAACGTCGGCGCTAGTGTCGTTTTGCATGATGTCGATGAGCTTTTCAAGGAGGGCGGCATTGTCGTCGTCCTCTCCGTCGTCTCCAGCCAATCGTCCCAATCCCAGGACCGCCTGTACTCTGACGGAGGCCTCCTTGTCGCGAAGACGCTTCAGAAGGACTTGTCTGATCGTGTGGTATAGCTCGTCATCGATCGATTCCAGGGAGTTCACAATGTGGGCGGTAATTTGGGTTGCGCGAAAGCGCACCATCTTATCCTTGGCGGCCATGACGGGCACCATCAATGCAACCAGGCTAGAAGTGAGGCGGGCAGTCGGGGTGTCGGGATTGTGATCCTCATCCTCACTAGAGGCGAAGATCTCGCTGTCTTTCTCGGAAGCATGGCTCAAGAATGTTCCCAAGAAGCGCAAGATTCGATCTCCAACCGGCTCGCTCTTCTTGATTGGCAAGATGCGGAGGATGCAACGGCCAACTTCCACATTAAATTCTTTCTCCGCTTCTGTTTCCTCCCCAGGAATCAATGCCTCCTCGGGATCTTGGTCTTTTCCTTTCTTGTTGTTCTTCTTTTGGGAGATACCACAGCAGAATTCCTGAAGTTTTCGCAGACGTACTACCAGCTTTCGATGACCGGTAGCTGAGCGCTGAGCATCCGCAAAAAGCAAGCACACATCGCGACGCAAGGTGGGGGATGATGTTGGCTCTGTCGGTTCTTCAGGTATCGCAAATGATGGGGTCACGGACCCAGCACGCCCAGACGCAGAAGGCTGTGCTGATGACCGGCGTGTCGTTGCAGACGTCGAACGGGCGGCGACTCTGCCAGGCATGGTGGTGTGTTGTCGTTAAACGTTGATTATTCGAAGACGAAAACCACCGCAGACTGCGGGACCGATCAAAGGAGTGGAGGCCTTGGCGGTAAACAAACAGCCCAAAACGGGCTTCCGATAAGCGATAAGGGTAGGTCCCGCACGTGATATTACTAATCCCGACTATCGGAGGCTTGAAGCTCGTCATTCCCCGAGGTCGATCGGACATTTTGTTCCTGCATTGCAAGTCATATACAGCATGTTTCGTCAAAGCGTTCGGCGCTTCGCCACTACTGCAGCTCGTGCTGCTACCGAAGGGTCCACTGCCTACTGTACCCGGGTATCGACTGCCCAAGGCGTCGTCAATGGATTGACCGAGGGTAGATCTAGCTCCGAATCCACTTTACATACAAGAAGCTGACCTGGATATTGCAGCTATTGGAAACACCCCGCTTATCCGGTTGAAGAAGCTGTCAGAGCAGACCGGATGCAATGTTCTTGGCAAGGCTGAATTCCAAAACCCCGGAGGTAGCGTGAAAGACCGCGCGGCGCTGTTTGTCGTCAAGGATGCGGAAGAGAAGGGTCTCCTTAAGCCCGGTGGCACCGTGGTAGAGGGAACTGCCGGCAACACCGGTATTGGCTTGGCGCATGTGTGCCGGTCAAAGGGCTACAAGCTGGTCATCTACATGCCCAACACCCAGTCGCAGGGCAAGATCGACTTGCTCCGTCTGCTTGGTGCGGAGGTATACCCGGTCCCCGCAGTCGCCTTCGACAACCCCCAGAACTATAACCACCAGGCGCGCCGGCACGCCGAGTCATTGGAAAACGCAGTTTGGACCAATCAATTCGATAACATTGCCAACCGTCAAGCACACATTGACACCACCGGTCCGGAAATCTGGGCGCAAACCGAGGGCAAGATCGACGCCTTCACCTGCGCTACCGGAACTGGAGGTACCCTGGCTGGCACCACCCGCTATCTGAAGACTATCAGTGACGGTCGTGTCAAGAGTTTCCTCGCCGATCCTCCTGGCAGTGTCCTCCACAGCTACATTCAGAGTGGTGGCACCCTGATCGATCGCTCTGGTAGCAGTATCACCGAGGGTATTGGCCAGGGTCGAGTGACTGATAACCTCCAGCCCGATATTGACTTGCTGGATGGATCGGTCAGCATTAGCGACGAGAAGACCATTGAGATGATCTATCGCTGCCTCGATGAGGAGGGCCTGTACCTGGGTGCCAGTTCCGCGATGAACGTGGTGGCTGCCAAGGAGGTCGCCGAGAAGCTGGGCAAGGGCAACACTGTTGTCACCATTCTCTGCGATGGTGCTTATCGCTATGCTGATCGTCTCTTCTCAAACACCTGGCTGGAGAGCAAGAACCTGCGTGCTTCCATCCCCAAACACCTGGAGAAGTACATTGTGTTGCCTTAGGCACTGTATAAATTGAACAAAAATTATTTTCATAGAGCGATCGAGACCCTCTAGCCTGCATTGACTATAAGGCAGATCGTGATGAAGTTCATAGGTTTCGCACGATGATAAGATGGGTAGAAAATGACTTGGTATCAACTGTGAGAGGTGAGTCTCAAAAGGCCAGTGGTATATGTCCACGCTAGGTATTGTACAAAAGAGTAAAGAGCTAGACCAAATGGTCTGATATGGAGTGAACCACTATGCCGAGGCCATGCGGTGTCAAACAACACAAGAAAGACAGGCCAAAAGAGCCATGCTCCCAGTGCAAAGCAGATAAGAACAACATAAGAACACCCGAAACGCCCGCAATGCTTCCGTTCTATGCCAGAACGCCGAATGCCGTAGAAATGTACAGGTCGAAAATTGCAACGAAGTCACAACCGTCCAGCAACAAAAAAAGCCAGATAGGATGAACTCGTGCTTTCAAATCGGATCCGAATAAAGCGTTTACTCATCGGCAGGCATTCTCATATAGGCATCGATAGCCGCACTGAACGCCGCGAAACCAGCACACCCAAAGGCAGCGGCCTGGGGACCGGCTTTCGCGCCGAGAATACCACCGGTGACACAACCAGCAGCAACACTGTTGGTAAGATCGTTCTTGGCGCGGAGGCCTTCGATACAGCACTCGGTGCCAGAGTAGAGCGCACCGACGATACCGAAGTTCTTAGCCGAGGACCAAGAGCGGGCGCCCATGTCCTTGAAACCGCGGCGGACTTGTTCGCGCCAGGGGAGGTCGGCGATGGCGCGGCCCTGAGGTGTGAAGGTCGAGTCGTAGGACATCTAGAGCGCAAAGAGATCAGACGCATGTTCGTGGCATGCAATGTGTTAGATAAACTTACACTGGCCATGAAGAGACCGAAGGCACCACCAAGACCGAAACCCATGGTACCTGCGATGACTGTCTTGATGGGGCAAGACTCCATACCAGCTTGCATCTATACACAGATTGGTTAGAATTAGATCATTCCACCATGTAACTGGAGACTAACCATCTTGACCATTGCCTGTTCCTGCTCACTCATTCCTTGCATGCTGGGGTTACCTCCCAGGGAGGTCATCGGCATCGCAGTGCCTGTTGTACCCGGAAAGGCCATCTTGAAGATCGACACGAGTTGGATTTAAATTGAGGGAAATTATAAGTAACGCTTGCTAGATTGAATCCAAGCTGGCCTGATTGAATCAATCCACTGGACCTCGGCGAAAAAAGAAACCGCGTGGACAACACAAGGTGACTGGAGACGCGGAGATCTTGCGGAGGCGAGTAACTGAACCGCAAATTTATTTTACGGCGGACGAGGGTGACCCGATACGCAGCCTTCCACGTGATATATTCCTGTTCCGCAAAATAATCGTGCCGTTCTCGCTCTAACATTGGCTGGAATACGGAGTACTCCATACAGATGGTGAAACAACAAACAGCGTGGAAGAATTACCTAGGTAGTTTATAGGATACATAATCCGTAGAGATAAAACAAAAACAGGAAATTCATTGTATCCATTCATGTAGAGAATCTAAATGTGCAAGCGTCGTGATCAAATCAACTGGTATTTCAATAAATCTTGCAAACAAATTGGCACCTGTATAAGTACTTCCAAGACAGCGAGAGGAAGAAAGTGCAACAAGAGAAGAAGCAACGCTCTCGTAAAGTATAGTTCAAAGGTCGTGGCCCTACGTGATCCCGGGGATAGGGCCGAAGAAGAGGTAGCAAGTATGTACATGGAAAGCAAAAGAAAGAACTAGCTTAGTCCTTCTTGCTGCTCTTGCGGCTGAGCGAGGGAGAGGCATTGCGCTCAGGGGAAGATGACAGCGAGCGCTCCCATTCTGCCATCAGGTTGGAGGCAGTACGTTGCAGCTTGGAGGGAGCAAGCTTGGTGATGGCAGGCCAGGGAATGCCCTCGGAAATATTGTGGTCAAGAGCAGAGGAAGTCGGGTTCCAATCGCCAAAGCTAGGAACGTGGTCAGCGCATAACGAGGTTGTCATAGATGAAATCAGAAAAGGTCGAACGGTACCTAGCGCTGGTTCGAGGGCTACTACCCTGGGTGGTGGGTGACCGATCACGTTTGGATTCAACGGTTGATCGACTCGACGAGGGCGTGTGCGTCTTCTGTCCGGATAAGGGCGCGTCCCAGCTACCCCATTCGTCGAAATCTTCATTCTCTTCTGCATCGATTGAATTACTGGAGCGGTGATCGCGCTGTTCGGCTTCGGTCGCCTCGTTTCGGGTAGCGGCTTTGATGTCGGAGGGGGTGCGTCGAGCGTTCGGAGACTTCTGAGCTGGTGTATCAATGCCGAATTCATTCCAGAAAGATGTGGAAATTTCCGCCGGCTTGGTGTCTTTACCAGTTTTTGTCTCGGCCGCAGGCCCCCTCCCCCGCGAAGATGACGATGATGATCGTGATAACTTGCCATCGGCTAGCAACCGTTCTCGACTCCGGGATTGCGCCAGGGAATCCCGCTTGCGACCATTTGGCGGTGCCAAGGAGTTGGATGGTGACATGTTCCGTGTGTGTGTTCCACTAATTCCTTCCTCGCCCACCGTAGCTTGTCGGATATCTTCCAAGAATGTCCAGAGGCCCTCGCGGAGATCAGACGCCATTTGCTTCCCCGTGCGCACCAATGCCTCCCGTGAGGGGGGAGGAAGAGTGTTACGCCACTGTGCGAGTAGATGTTCTGGTACCTGACTCTCATCCAATTGTGCACTCATCGTGGCGACATTACTGCGGTCGACAGATGGTAATGTGGCCGAACGAGGAAAGCGGCCCACGCGATCCGCTTCTGAGAGGCCCATTTCCCCACGGGAAGAGCTTGGAGCTGTGACAGGTGACAGAAGAGATAAAGTCCGTGTATGTGTGCCATGGAAGACTCGTCGACCATTGGTCCCGATTTTGGTTCCTGGTGCGGAGATTCGCATGCTAGACCGCCGGTCAAGATCCCGGCTCATCCGTTCTTGAGACACCGTAGAGCTCGCCACCGAGCTCATACTCAGTTCCCGGGCGTGTAAACTCGTAGCCTCGGGGGCTGCAGACTCAGGCGACCGGAGAGGCATGAGTGGCTCGGCGTGATGGATTTCCGCGCGCTTCCTAGACTTTTCCGATTGTGCCCATTGCTTCTTAATCGTCACTAGCTCTGCTTCCGCCCGAGTCAGCTCCTCGCGGAGCTCCATAACCTTTCGTTCCTGCGAGGCGATGGCCCGCAGGAAATCGTAGCCATCATCTGGAACATCAAACGACATAGGAGTTCCAGGGGCCTGGGCGGTCGAGGGGCGGGTTGAGGACTGTGTCACGGGGGTTATTGAGCCCGGTGAGGTCAGGTTAGGGTCGGTGGGCTCCGGTTCGTTCAGATTAATCGGGAAGTTCAAGGTGAGGCGTTTGGCATGACGAGCTGAATTTGCGGCCCGAGGAGGTAGTGATGAGCGTTTCCTCTGAACGAGTGAGGACGAGCGCGAGAGGTTCGAGAGCTGCTCGGAACCAGACTCCGGCTGTTGCACCGACGTCGACGTTGAAATCTGATTTGCGTCCGGAGGCGACCCGTGGAGAAGGCTCTCCGCTCCCGGCAGACTCTCCATTGTGGACCAGCCAGTAGGAGAGAATCAAAAGCAATTTCAATATGCAGTCATAGAAAAACAAAAAAAGAAAGGAAAGGAAAGCAAAGAAAACATATACAGAGGAGAGAGAGAGAGAGTTGGGAGGGAAATTAACAGCTCTGACAGGTCTCCTGAGTCCAGCCCACAGCGGGTCTCCCACGAGTCCACGGGCTGTTTCAGGGGGAATTAATCTGAGCGGATGCAAATCCGTTACGCCCGTGGCCTTGGCATCGCTCTAGATGTGCAGGCTGCATGTCTGTTTGAAAGCCGAAATTGAGATTCGATGAGACCTTCAAAGGGGGGAGCATCCCCTGGGAAAGCTGGCCAAATGAGGCTTTTCACCGACTCGCATTGGCAGCCCTGCAAGGTCCTTTGAGAAGCCCTTTTTAAGATTTCTCTAGCCTGATGGCAGACAATCATGAGAATAGGCGTAATTCAGCTGACCTTCTTCTATAGATGAAGTGGGACTGTGACTACAGATATATATCGCCAGATTGAAATCGAGAAACACCTCGGTTGTGTCAGAGTTAGCATCTGCCAAACCCTCCCAGGGCCTCAATTGTCTATTTCCGAGGTCGGCCTGCATAGCTGCAGCCTTGGGTGTATGACTTTCCGGAGGCAAGATGGTTCTCTCATAAGTCTGGACTCTTTTTGCCTCTCTCTTGGTCAACCGAGCCACTCAGCCCCAGGATCGATCTGCAAGGAACGTACATATATGCAAGGAATACGATATGCACGAAGCAGGGAAGCAGGACGTCTATCTTAGGAACGTGGGATGATCAGAGGACTCCAGAGAGACATATCATCTCGCTATATATGTACCTGTATGTACCTGTATGTACCGGATTTTAGGCCGCGGATGCCCATTTCCCGATCGGGGTGCCGCGCTTAGGGTCCTGCTCACTGAGTATTTCACAATACAGGGTGATTGCTTAGCACTCAGGTCTTGCTCACGGAGTACTTAGCATTGCGCTCAGTGAGCAGACATCCTCATCTTGCCCGAAAATACAGGCCGAATCTATCACGGGATAAATGGATCACTTTTCACCCATCTATTCCGTGATACTCGCGCCAGCAACTCAGAATCCTTTACGGAGTACACAATCCATCCTTTTTGTCGATTGCCCCTGCATTAGGAAGTGTATTTCCCAACATAGCCGCCAGAAGACGATGACGCACTTAATAGATGGCTAGGACGATTTCGAGGTATCTAATATCCAGTCGAGCTATAGGTACAGCGATGCTCCGATGAACTAGGATTTTTCGAGAATTCCTTACTAGCTAAGCAATATAAAGAATCGCTACAAATTACTCATTTGAAGTTCCCTGATCGAGATATTCCAAATGGACGGTTGATCTACGCTACAACCTATAGTACTAAGTATAGAGGATTGATATACGATGTCAGAGGCTGCGACTTGCTTTAGCACACACTAATCAATTTCCAAAACAAAGGACCTTTCTTACTCGCCTAGGATGATATACAGAGCTTTATATCTAAAAAGCTTTATGTTGAACTACCTAAAAAGTGGTTATGCGGGAATCTGTAGGGTGTAAAGCTTCATATTACATACGGAATACTGGAGACAGCTAATAGAACTTGAACTATAGTACCTTGCTTGTTAAGGCAGCTGTAATAGTAATTCAAGTAGTTTATTTCTTCTGTTGGTCAGGCCCTCTCCTCGAGAGGATCTTTGTCTAGTATTTCCCAGTAACAGTTGATACCTCTGCGAATCGCCTTGCGCAGCAGCTTTGCGAGGGTTCCTGAGACAGTATAGATGAGCGCGAGGAGACTCATCAACATGGTCATGTAACTAATGCACCATGGGCCTTTTTGCTCATCGTGGTCAATTCGATGGCAAGGTGGGCACATCATGGCCCGCCATCGGACATTGCCCTGGGCTGGAACAAGTATGTGTAAGCCAGTGCCAATGATGATCATAGTGATGTTTGTATATATCCATTATGCATTTTACGCAGGCCTCGCGGATTGTTAAATGGCCATAGGACTCTTCGTTAATTCCATTAGTCGTGTTGGAGAGGGCAGCTTCATTTTGTTCGCAAGTTAATGCAAGTCTGCACCTGGGATCGAATGTAGCCTCATGAATACAGAAATCTTGGTCCCAATACACCTGTTGCTCAGTCATAGTTATCTTGTCAGTGAGATGCGAGTGATGGAAGGTAGACGCTGACATGGGACTGATGTCACTGACGTCCACCACTATCTAGCTACGTAGACCAGCTCTATCCCCCTTAGCCTCTGTCACTTCAACTCTGCCAATCCATCTCGGAGACAAGATGGCCATGGAGAATATAGACCCAGCCGGTCACGGCTTCCTAGGCGACCTTGCACCTGCCGTTCTCCCAGTCTACCAATATCGGGACCGCGAGCAAATGCTCAACACCATCAAGCAAGCAGTCGCGACAGCAAGCAAGGACACTACCAGTGAATGGTGTCTTATCAAACGCGTTAACGACTCAATATTCACAAGTGAATTTCTTCTGGCAAAAGAGGGCCCATTTGCTTCCTGGTCCTCGTATGACGCCCAGTTAGACTGTGTGCTATTAAGAGTGACGAAGTCTGAAGCCCATGAAGTCGCCTCGGAAATCTTTTCAGTCCTACTCTACGATGCAGTCAAGCCTATGGGGATGGATCGCTCCCTTCGCCCAACCGGAAGTGCTACCCACTATGCTGCAATAGGGGCTAAAGAAGCCGACAAGGCGTGGAAGCCACTCCGACTTCCACGCGGCCAGTCGGGGGACTGGCCCAGTGTCGTACTGGAAGTTGCTTTCTCCGAGAGTAGGGACAAGCTGCAGTCAGATATAAGATACTGGCTCCGAGCTTCAGGGGGGATGTGAAAGTGGCAATCACCCTCCAAATCAATCAACACTCCCCCAACATCACCATCGAGAAATGGAGAACCCAGGGCAACAAATCTGTCAATCACCTTCATCAAATCGTGCAGATCTCAAGAAAGGGCAGTAAAATCACAACCACGGGGTCTCCTCTGGTTATCGAGTTCGAAAAGCTCTTCCTGAGACCCCCCATCGAACCGAGAGAACGAGATATTCAGCTCGACGACGGGGTACTGCAATTCTTAGCAGAGAATGTGTGGGACTGCCAGGGAATGTGAGGACAGAGACTAAGTCTTATGTTTAGGTCCATTGTGACAACAGGGAGCCTGATTTGATGAATGTCGCTGAAGCTGGTTTGAAGTGGCCAGAAATAGTACACTTGATGAATCCGTACATCGCAAAAATGAGTCTATTTCACCAATAAGCCAATTTCAAAAGCCAATACTTTCCCAGAAAGAGAACCAAAACCGACAGTCGAGTTTATAAATAGAACCTGCAGGGGTGCATCCGCCCTCCGGCATTCAACTGCATTACCTCCAACCCGCACTCGCCAGCAACCCCTTCTTCGTCATGATTTGGAGAGCGAGATTGGGGGCTATCCGCATCCGCTCTAATGATAGGTCCCTTCAGAGATGGGGGATATGTCCTCGCCTTCCTATTTGGGGGTACCAACGAATCGCCCCCTTGGAGCGCAAACCAGTCCTTTTTCATCGATTCTCATCACAATGGGCATCCAAATCGAGAGTATTCCCAGTCTTTGACCTGGAGCTGTTAGATTCACCACCTAAATTTGAGGAAGAGCCCGCGACGCAAGAGCCTAAGGAGATACATTCGTATCCCGTCCAGGATGAAGAGATCCTGCGCGACAGGTACCAAATCTTGTACAAGATTGGGTATGGACCCACCGCCACTGTATGGCAAGCTGTTGACCTGCTGTGAGTGTCCCAATTGAGTCGGCACGCTGCTATTCTGAACCTAGTCACCCATAGGGAGCCTAGAATGGTCGTTTTGAAGATCTATGTGGTTGACTATATGCTGAAGACTTATGGACGCATCCACCCTCCACCAGTATATCAGCAGCAGATGTGCCCACTTCACAAGGTCAGCGATCGGTTTCTGATCGAAGGCCCTCATGGACCTCATATTTGTGTTGTTCATGAGGCACCCGCAATGGATACCGAACAAATGCATTCGGGAGAGAAGCTGGATCTCGGGTCAATCAGGTCGACAATGAAACAGATGTTGCTCATGATGGACTTTTTACACACAGACTGTTATCTGACTGCCCGTATATCCCCCACCTGTGCCATTGTGTGTAAAAGAAAGACACTGACACTCGGGCAGGAATCCATCCCAACAAATCACTAGACGCTGAGTGTGACCGGGAAATAATTGGCAGCCCCAGCAATGAGGAGCTCATCACTCCAATGATACTCCCAGGCGATGGTGTTCCCCTCCGTCTTGATTCCCAAGACCATGATACCTCTGGCATCGCCGAGAAACATTCCAGGTCCCCCGAAGAGGTTCTAAAATCAAAATATAACCATAAGACTGAGATATGGCATATCGGCTTACTCGTGAGTACACGATCATGTGGCGAAAGGTATAAGACACTCACCTTGGGTATGTAGGCATGGAATTATGCCAGTTCACAAGAGCTGGTCCATGGAAGGAATTCAGACGGAGCCTTCGATGATCGGGTCCATATCGCCGAGTTGGTTGCTCTACTCGGCCCCCCTCCACCGGAATTCCGGGACCAGATGCGACTCGGGTCTATGTTCTGGGACGAACAAGGGAATTGGACGGACCAAGCTCCTATACCAGACCGGAGCATAGAGAGCTTGGCAGCTAATGGTAACATTGACGGCGAGGATGTGGATGGGTTCTTGCGGTGGGTACGAAAAGCTCTGCAATGGAATCCCGAAGATCGACCGACGGCACTAGGATTATTACGACATGAGTGGATGTCCCAGAAGACGAACCCTGCCAAAGAAGAGGTTACGCAGACATCCCATGAGACTGCCTGAGTTGAGTCTTTCCACCTGATATACTCCTGGAATCAGATGTCTGTTGAAGTATATACATCATTTTAGAAAACTCCACTCACTAGGAACCCTTCAAATTCTAATATAACCAATCCTCTCGTCATTCCAAAGCCCACCATTGGAGCTGCATGGAAGGGAGTAAACCAAAGCCCCTGGAACTACGTAGAGCCATATACCGAGGTAGCTTCCAGTTCCTATTTACTTGAAGTCCAGCCGAATTGTTTGTAAATTCAACCTGTTTTGTTCGAATCCTGCTTCTCGCTTGATTCCGGACTATCGCTCCTACTGCCGCTCCTAGGGAGGAATCCAGCTCTAGCGACCTGGATGCAAAAGAATTCTAGACCGGTCACATCTACCACCTAAGTATTTGCTCTCTACTCTGTATCTCCCCGTAGTCTACACCTCTTATCCAGAATGGCGCACGATTATTTTATCAAGATTGTTGAGGCTTGGCCAGAGTTGACTCCATCTTTCAAGGCGTGGATGAAATGCGCTTTCATGGCGATATGGAATCTACGGTCAATGATGCAAGATGGCGATGATATGTGCTTGAGCCATGCTAGAAGAAGGAGTGAGCAGGACACTTATGAAAGGATATCTGCTTTACTCGTCAAATCCTCCACGTCCTGGTCAAATCCCTGATATATATACATAATGTAGTCAAAATCAATGTACCTGGACCTGAGTACAGCTCAAGTGGAGGTTTCAACCTCTGAACCTTGGAACCTGAAAAGGTTAAACTAAAGGAGTGGGGCGGATGTGGGACATGACCCACCTCAATCTTGGGGTCCCATACGGAGTATAGCTGGCCCTTTGAGATGTTTCCTGGGCGTGATTGTGATTCTATGCCACTGGGACCCTCGGGGTATTGTGGCAGTCAGCGGATCAAAGAGAAGGTGCTACCAAGGCATACTATTTCAGCATACATGAGATGCATGTTACAAACTTGTGGCTCAGATCAAGTCTACTTCTTCTCTAGGCCTTGCCTATGACCTAGGTAGTTTGCATAAGTGTGTGTCGATTATTCCAGCGGAAACCATAAATCTTATACGTGAAGACAGGCATCCGAAATGAGTGACAGATCCACAGAATCCACGCTATACCATCGAGGGCTTCTTGTCAACCCGAGGAAGGCTGAAGGCACTAGATCAACATAACATGTCGCGTTCCTTCAATGTTAAATGTAGATACCCTCTATTTAGCCCAGAGATTCAAATGGGACGATGGCACTAAGTCAGCAGCACTTATACAGCCACACAAACTCACAAGAGAACCCGAGAGACGACTGATCCCAAATTGCGCATGCTATTTCTCTCATGAAACCCACACGGACGCTATCAATCCTTATGATGGTCAGTTTATCCCAGAGAGTGCTGGTGTCAGCTTCCGGAGATTGACATGATCACCTTGCATGCCACGGTCGATAAGAGATCGATGCAATACTAGTTAGATATGGGAGGAGCGCGGAATACAGGAGGGAAGCACTTCATGACATCAAGCAGGCCTTTGTGTAGAGGATTCAGAAGATATAGAATGATCAAGAGGGATAAGAGGAGCACAAGAACATCCGAGATCTCTATAACAGTCGTTCTTCAATTCTCAGCTGGGGCTATTGAGGGAATCTTCTCTTGTTTCTCACACATCATGGAAAAGGGATTAAAACACCGAGTGCAGACAGCCGAGCCTTGATCATGGACGTCCACTAGGTAACATTCGAGGAGCAACAGCCCAAGATACAAAGAGAGCCTAAAATGACAACATCCAAGTTACAGCATCTAAGTTCCAAAGCATACACATAGCATATGCAGCTAATGATCAAACCATTCAATGATCATAAAAAGCAAGACGTTTATCACATTTCAGACATAGTATGTTCTAGTACCCGTGGAAGATATCCCAACAAAATCACAGACAAAACCAAAAGACCAATAGACAAAGATAGAAGCACAGAAAGCATTCTATCACCCTAAAAAAAAAAACAAAGAAAAAGAAGGAGAGTACACAAGAAAGCGCAAAAAGATTAAAGCAGATCATTAGGAACTCCGGGACCAGTCCCACCCGAGTAAGTGACAGGTAACAGAGAAGAGTGAACGGACGCCACAAATGCAGCGAGTGACAAGGGGTTGTACAAGTGCCAGAACGCCAAATTCGGTCTATACAGCGAATGGAATAAATAGTAGTGAGGTGTGGCGGTCAATGGCTGAAGCGGAAAGGTGATGAATGAAGGTGATTATATGCCGCCCCAGCGGTTGCGGAGGCCTTCTGACCACCGCTGGTAGAGGACGTCGGAAAGTTGTTTTGTGTGTTCCATACCAGGTGAAGTTTGCGGAGCGCTGGATGTTGGTGATTGGGGCTGAGGGTCGGGGACGTAGGATTGACGACGCCGATGGCTTTTAAGGTGGGGATTGTTTTGGGCTAGGACGAGACGGGGCCGCGAGGGGGAATCGGGCTGAGTGGACGGAATAAGTGTAGAGAGCCGTGAGTCGGCTTGGAGTTTCTCGTTCATGATTCTCACGATATGGTAGAGGCCTTCAGGATCAACCATTTCAAGGTCACTCCATGCTTCGGCGAGTCTAGAGATAGCCTCACGCTTATCGCCATCTCCCGTGGTAGACAGGACTTCCTGGCATGAAAGTCCTACTGCTTTGCTGTATGCACGTCGCCCAATCTGAGCCTCCTTGCTTGAAGAGTCGGTGGACATGGCCTTGGGACTAGCATTCTCATCAAAGCCCTGCTTTTGTGGGCTCATATCAGCGGTGGCTTTGTCTGAGACTCGGCGGAATTGCCTGACTGTAGACGGGCTGTTGCCATAGGTCAAGTCAATACCGAGAGGCTGTTTGACACCACTAGAGCGGCGCTTCGTGTTGGCACGCCTGACAGACGGAGATCTATCCGTAGGAGCTCGGCGGACTGTGCAGTTAGCCTGGTGTTTAGGCGGAGGGGGTGGTTGACCGATATGCATCTCTTCCATCATCTGCGCTGTTTCGGGTATGTTCTCATCTCCCTCGTCGAATCTCATCCAGTCCGTGCCCTTGGGTTTCCATATGGTAGGGGCCTTGACCGTATCGAATACCCAATCGTCATCGTCGAGATCACCGGGCCTGGTCATGGTGTTGAGAGACTCGGCATAGTATTTCACATCTCTCGCCTCACCACGGCCACCATCCCAGTCCTGCTTGCGATGAATCAGTTCTTGGAGGGACTCGGGCTTTCCCGCATTCCGAACGAATTTGTGTCTCAGGAGCTCCTTTGCACTCGGCCGCAGCTCCGGGTCTTTTGTCAGACATTGTGCAATAAAGTCCTTGAATGTATTGCTGTACTCGTGTCCTTCAAGGCGAGGGGCGGGGTTTTTCGGGATCAGGAAGAGCACTTTCATGGGGTGGGTGCTAGCATGCGGGGGTTCTCCATTGATCATCTCGATTGCTGTAATACCCAAGGACCAGATGTCGGCCTTGAAATCGTATCCAGCCTGCTGGATTACTTCCGGCGCCATCCAAAACGGAGTTCCGACGAATGTGTTGCGTTGTGACTTGATGTTGACGAGCTGTGCGGCGACACCAAAGTCGGCCAGCTTCACCTTTCCGGTCTGGGACAGCAAAACGTTGGCTGCCTTGACATCGCGATGGATTTTGCCTTCGCTATGCAAATAATCCAAGCCCAAAAGAAGTTCGCGGCAGACGATGGCCACATGGGCTTCGTTGAAACATCCTGGTTTCAACTGGGACGGTCAGAGATGCAACCCAGAACATAAAAATAGCAGCAATCGACGTACCAAGTCCAAACAGGAACCACCCCCGAGATATTCCATGACGATCCATAATTTGTGGCCCTTGAGGAAACTAGCCTTGTACTGTGTAACAAAGGGGCTCGCGCAGGTAGCCAAAACGGAAATTTCCTGCTGAATCTCCTGAATATCATCCTCGCTGGACTCGAGATCGATCTGAAAACAGGTCAATTATTGAACGAAAGGCCGGCAAACGAATCAAGGCTCGAAAATCGGAAGGAACGCGTACGTGTTTAATGGCAACGATCTCGCCGTCGGTTTTGTCGATTGCCTTGTAAACAACACCGAAACTGCCACCTGCAAACGGAGAGCTCGGTTAGCCGACGGAAACGTCAAAAAAAAAAGAACCCTTGTCAGAAGGCAACTCACTCCCCAGCTCCTCCATCACCTGGTAATGGCTCGCCATATCGTCCATTGTGAAATAATCGGCCCAGCTAGCTACTCCGGTTGGACAGGGCTGCGATGTGGACAGGGCTCATCCAAGGAACAGATGAATGGAGCTTGGAAGGGAAAGAGAGTACTAAAAGGAGCCATCGGCAATGGCGGGCAAGGGGTGGAGCATCAAACCCCAAACAAGCTCCGTCTCACATGGCAACGGCTGGCCTCAGGCACCGACCGGGGTATTGACGCAAGGGTCCACTCAGCTGATCGGCTTTGGCTTGGGGTGATCAGTTACGTCTTTGTGGGTGCTGCGTGGGCGCAATTTTGAGATGTTTACAGAGGACTTTCCAGGTTGGGTGGTGGCACGACTGGGATCAAAGCGGCGGTTATTATGGGCTATTTCTATATACATGTACACAACCATCTCTAGATGTACTTGTACGGGTTCATGATCCCATTCTAAAGAGCATGTTAGCAATGTGTGCGAAGTAGCGGTGACAACCCAGCTTACCGGATCATAGAGGTTCTTGAGCTGCTTCATGAGCTTCACCATCGTCTCATTCTGGCTGTAGCCAATGAACTCCCGCTTGGCCACGCCAAGTCCATGCTCAGCACTAATACTGCCCTGGCGCTTCTGGATCCACTCATACACCCAGGGCTCGATCGCCTTCTCCACTTCCTTGCTGTACTGTCGCACGGAAACGTTCAAGTGCAAGTTGGAGTCGCCCATGTGACCGTAACCGACAACAGCACGAACGGGGAAGGAATCATCATCACCAACAAGTCCCTTTTCTGTCAGGCGAGCCCTGCAGTCCTCCACAAGCTTGTATAGATCCGCTAACGGGATAGACACATCGTACTTGTAGGTGCCACCCAGGTGGCTGAGCGACTCAGTGATACCCTCCCGCCAGCGCCACAAAGCCTGGAATTGGGTCTCATCCTGGGCCAGGACACCGTCGGCAACAATGCCATCACCCATCACGCTCTCCAAGAAAGACTCCAACTTGGCCATGTCGTGCTCGGCGTTGGAACCACTAGTCTCGACCAGACAGTAGAAGGGGTACTCACCCTCGAGAGGGTGCTTGTTACCGGTAGATTCAATAACCAATTTCTGGCTGCGACCGTCCATCAGCTCGAACGCAGACAGAATCTCCGAGAGCTGGCCCTTGGCCGCAAGGTAGGCCTGCTGGACCTGCTCGAAGCTCTCGAGACCGAAGTAAGCCACATTGACCGCCTTGGGGCGAGGGGGGCACTGGATAGAGACAGCAGTTACAAGGCCAATGGTGCCCTCGGAGCCGATGAACAGCTGCTTAAGATCGTAGCCAGTGTTGTTTTTGCGGAGGGTCGACAGGGCATCGACAATAGTCCCGTCCGGCAGGACTGCCTCGAGGCCGAGCACACTGCCGTGCAAACTACCGTAGCGGAGGAGACGAAGACCACCAGCGTTGGTAGAGACATTTCCACCGATGTGGCAGGAGCCCTTAGCACCGAGGTCCAGAGGGAACAGGTGCTGGCGGTCGGCCAGGTATTGATCAGCCACTTCGAGGATAACTCCAGCATCTGCGACCAGCACACCCGAGGCAGGATCGAAAGAGCGGATCTGGTTCATGCGCGAAGTGTTGATGACGATCTCATCGAAGACCGGCACGGAGCCACCGACCAGACCGGTATTTCCACCCTGGGGCACAACAGCCAATTTGCGCTCGTTACAGTATTTCAGCACCTTGCTGACCTCCTGAGCATTTTGAGGCTTCAGAACAAGCCGGGTGTGGCCACGGTACTTGCGCATCCAGTCGCTGTTGAAGGGTTCGATATCGTCGGTTGCGTCGGCGGTCACGCCATCAATCACGGCTGACTGGGAGCCCAGCAGCTCCTTGAAGTGAGCAACATCGTCGGCGGAGATTTCGGCGAAGTTGGGATTGCGCTTGAGGTTGGGGTAGGCGTCGCTGGTGAACTTGATCTGTCGGGAGTCAGAGTTGCGAGTGGCGCCGGCGCTGAAGGTGCGTGCAGTCAAGGGTGTGATGGATTGGGTAGGGCGAATGGCAAGACGAGGACGAGGCACTCGGGCCCGCCGCAAAGCAGCTGTGAAGTTCCTGGCACCAGACATGGTTATCACAAAAGCAATAAAAATTCCGCTTGGATGGGAGACCCTCCGATCTGCCTCCGAAGCTCAGGTCCCGTCCGCTTTTGATTCGAGCTCGGGCTTTTTCGGCCTTTTTCGCCCAACCGCTTGCAGGGTCTTTCAAAACGGTTGATATTGCTTAGTGTGGTAGTTTAACTGGATATGAGAGGTCAAAGCTATCGACCTCTATTCGTACAATATACAATATACACAATGTCTCTGAGACCCGGTCAATCCCCCTCAACAACCCTCCGTCGGAGACCGATTTCGCTCGTCTGCATAGTTATATTGGCCATGATATCATGAGGCGTACCTCAACGACATGCATCAAATGGATTCCCGTCGTACTCCGGAGGGGAATTGGTCGCAATACGACTCGACTTCATCTCCACATGCAGCCCTGAAGCCCTGGAGGCCTGGAGTCGGGAGTCAGTTACGTCACAGTGGCCCCGCGCCTTCAAAAAAAATAAAAATCCCCGTTTCTCTTGCACTCTACATCCTTCAAAAATGACATCGACTGTACTGGTGACTGGAGCTAGCGGCCTTCTCGGCCGTGCCGTTTTCAGTACCTTCCAGCACTCTGGCGTGTTGGTCGTTGGGCAGGGATTCTCTCGTACTGCCCCGCCAACTATCTTGAAAGCCGACCTGGAGAAGGAAGAAGATATTAAGACGCTTTTTGACGAAGTAAAGTAGGTATACACCAGGGCAATCCTTGATGATAGACACTAATCGGCTTGAAACTACCACCAGGCCTCAGATTGTCATTCATTGTAAGCTCCGAAGCCCTTGCGAAGTCCCCCACTATAGACTAACAGCTCACAGGCGCCGCGAACAAGTCCCCAGACCTCTGCGACAAAAACCCAGAGCAAGCCCGGAAGGTCAATGTTGACGCTACCCGCACATTGGCCAAAGAATGCCAGTCCCGCGGTGCTTTCCTCATCTACATCTCGACCGATTACGTCTTCCCGGGCACGGAAGGTGACGCACCCTACGAGGCCAATGCGGAGACCAAACCACCGAATCTATACGGGCAGTTGAAACTGGACGGCGAGAAAGCCGTGCTAGAGACAACGAGCGCGGGTCTGGGTGTGGTCTTGCGTGTACCAGTGCTGTACGGACACGCCAAGGCGAACGCGGAAAGTGCCATCAACACGCTGGTTGACTCGGTCAAGAAGGCCACCGATGAGAACGCTGGTGTGAAGATGGACGACTGGTCTCAGCGCTACCCGACTAATACCGAGGACGTCGCGCGTGTGTGTCGCGACATTGTCATTAAGTACCTGCGTGAGAAGGAGAAGCGCAAGGATTTCCCCCGCGTCCTTCAATTCTCCTCCGAAGACTGCATGACCAAGTATCAGATCTGCCAGAAGCTGGCTCAGGTGCTTGGAGTCGCTATTCCCGGTATGGTGGCCAATAAGCAAGGCAATGATCCCAATGCGGGTGTCGCGCGCCCTTATGATACACATCTGTCTACCAAGGCACTGACGGAGCTTGGGATTGACGTGCGGACGATGGATTTCATTGCATGGTGGTAAGTGATGTGGAGAATCCATAACTAGGACCCCCTTTGTGTAGGGCTGTGCTAACGATCTGCAGGCGCCGAGAGTTGGGTGCTTATAGGAAATGAATTGGATTCAAACCCCGACATTCGCGCAAAAAAAGAAAAAAAAAGGAATATAGAGGATCCAATCAAAAGTGAAAAAGAGATTTCAATCCATTCACGGAGCACTGGTAGTTGTGAGATTGCAAACAAGCATCACCGTCGTCTATTCTACGTTGGAGACCATTTGCATGGCTCCACGATATCCACTTGGCCCATCTCTGAACCATCCTCTCGGGTTGGCGACCGTTGAAAATCCGGGGAATAGATCGATCGTAGGATCATCCTGATCGTGAGAGGGAGAGGTATGTATAGTAGGCTAACAAGGCTGTACTCCGTACTCCGTACTGCGTAGTAGCGACGATGGTCTATATCACATAGACATTGAAAGTACATGTAGGTCTCCGTACGGAGTACTCTGTACTCAGTCTTGCTCTTACGATCATCATTTCAGATTTTGACCCTGCATTTCCACCTCCTTTTTCGACTGGGGTTCACAATCCAAGCGTTTCACCCTGTATACCCTAGGGGTGGTATGTGATCGTCTTGTGGACCCGGGGCGATCAGGATCCAGCAGTCGAATCATATTTCGCATGGAACAATCCAATAGTGCCAATAGTACGCAGTACCTGTCGATCTTATCATTTCATAGAACGTCAACGAACGGTACGGGGTATACAACATGCTATACCTCATGCCCCGGTGTCTGGATCGCACAGTATCCAGGGATGGCGGGCGAATCCGACTGCAATGGAACAGCAAATCTCCCAAACCAGACTCGATCAGCATCTCCGATGCCATATATGATCTGTCGAAGGAAACGCGCGAGGCGCCAGGGAAATGTCGCCCGGGCCAGTCCGGTCCAATTGACGATCGGTGCGGGCCGCTAATGATTGAGAACAGGCCGGTTTGATCGCGAGAGACCAGGGGGATTCTTTCTTCTTTGGAGGTCGAATCCCATATCTTGGTTTTTTTTCCCTCATTTCCACCGAATTTGGCGTTTCATTTCCACCTCTCCCAGTCCGTTCGACGTCGCATAGTAACAGGGTTGCAACCTCCGCTTTGGGGGAATTGGCGGAAATTTGCCGTCTCGAAGGCGACGCTAATCTCGTCCTGGCGAAAGAAACCTGAGTCCAAAATTTTCGAAACGCTCGCGCCTTGGCCCCCGGGGGCTGATTTTCACCCGAAACTCCAGCATGAATCCAAACAGTGCAACAGCGGTGCAAACCGTACAGAAATTCTCTCGATATCGCGGCGCACGAGGTGTGGTTACTGGAGACGTCGCAATGGCTCCACCGCCTGCGCCAGTGCCTAGCGTCGAGCCGAATCCCTCGATCGCAAGAAGTAGATCTCGATATCGTCGCAACCGACCACCGGTAGATGGCAACGGGGTACCTCCTATCCCCACAACATTGGCTCACGCGCGACCTCAGCCGGAGACGCGGGGTGAACAGGTACCAAGCGAGCAAGCGGCAGCTAGTCACCAGGTGGCAAAGCAGAACAAGGAGGAAGCGCTGCGCGAGGCGCATCGACAAAATGCAATGCAACAATTGACTGGAGAGGATCAGTCGGCACAACAACCCCGGCGGCCTCAGGTGTTGGCCCCGTCAGCGCAACGGCAACCCAGGTCACAGCGTGCTCCAGATCCTCCACCCAGTTCACACTCGGGAAACGACAGCAGTCGCAAATCTTTCTTACAGAAGGTCAAACTGTCAAAGGTCAAAGACCATGTCAAGAAAGCTGACTCCGCTCCAAAATACATCGGCGTGGGTGGAACCGGCGTGGTACCTGGAGTTGATGCGCCTGTCAGTGCTGTTAATGCCGGAGAGCGACGTGCCCTAGTCAAATATGGGGATTATACCACCGACCTTGTTGTTACCCCGTCGACTCAAGTCCACGACCTACTGTTAGATGCTTCTAAGTACTTGTCCCGCGACATCCAGGCCGACAGGTTTATTCTTATGGAATCGTTCTCTCAAGTCGGCCTAGAGCGTCCGCTCCGGCGGTACGAGTTTATTCGGGAGGTCATGAATTCTTGGTCGCACGACGCCGAGAACCATTTCATCATTATTCCACCCTCGAGTGTGGAAGCGCTGGCTCAGCTTGATGCTGCACATGCCCCGACTGGAGAACTGTCTCCAGTGACGGTTCATATTTATTATTCCCAACGTCCTCGCAAGTGGGACAAGCGATATGTCACTTTGCGTACCGATGGACAAGTGACGATCTCGAAGAAAGAGAATGCGAAGGAGCAAACGAACATTTGCCATATCTCTGATTTTGATATTTACTTTCCCAACGCTCGAACTCTAAATAAAGACATCAAGCCGCCTAAGAAGCTGTGCTTCGCGATCAAAAGCCAGCAGAAATCCTCCATGTTCCTTTCCACAGAGAACTTCCTTCACTTTTTCTCGACCAGTGACAAGTCTGTTGCAGACACCTGGTACCGAGCAGTGCAGAAATGGAGAAGTTGGTACCTTGTGAATAAGAAGGGCGCGGCTAAGAAACCAGAGACTGAAACACTACCGAAGCGTTCTGGCACGAAGAAATCAACCGGTCAACCGAGGAGCCTGCACAATGAAGCTCCTCTTATAGAGCAACAAACTTCAAGCGAGTCTACAAACCAGGAAAGCTCTGACCAACAGAGGCCAACAAGCTCCAAGGAGCTTTTCGCTAGGAAGAAGACACTCCGTGGACACGCGCCCCCTCCATCCTCCTATCCTCTAACTCTCACGCTCGATACCGATCTGGATGGACCTTTTTCTGACAGGGAAGCATTGATCTCGGCCATTCCTCCCGAGCAAGACGATGGATCTACCTTTTCGCCAACTGGACTTCTAGGTCGAACATACACCCAACGACAGACTGCTATGCGAGAACGTGATGATCGTGAGAAAAGAGCCCAACAAGAGCCCTTCTCGGGCCTTGGCTTTATGAGCGGAGCACCAGCACCCTCGCCCGCCTATGACTCAAACCACAGCAGCCGAACCAACACTATGACTCGTGCACCCGACCCATGCCTTTTCAATCGAACACTATCTCTCAACCACCCGAACAAGCCTCTTGTCGATCTTACCCCGGTTTATGCCGAACCGCCGCAACATAGCCGTAAGGGCCTGGGCCACGGCGTCAAAGTGCAACCAGGCATGCAACTGATCGACGGAGCCACCGGTCCTGAGTTGACCCAAGGTGCAATCCCAATTCCATCGGCAACTACCTGGAGACGCCCCGCGGATAATACCCCTCAGCGTCGGAACACCACTCGCAGCGTGCGTAACCACAACCACCTCGCCTCTCCGATTTCCGCTGAAGGAGCCCCGGCACTTCCCAATCAATTTACTCCACATAGTCTGCTAGCGCATTCAGCCAGCACAGCCAGTCATCGCAATCCACGCACCGGACACGGCGTTGCAACGGGTGATCGTAATGCCACACGACCGCTGCTGGATATGTCCCCCGAAAACCCCTTCGCAGATGGCAGTTTGCTCCGACAGCTGTAGTTGCTTCCTTTCCTCTGTTATTTTCACGATGATTATGATTGTTATCTATTGTTCTTTTGCGGGATCTTGTATCAGCATCCTTAGGGTTCCTTTCATTCGGGCTCCTGGCTCATACTCCAAAACTGCGGCGCTATGAAGAACTGAACCCACTCGGATCCGTTCCAACGCCCTCCGTGACATTTTCTCTGAAAATGAAGCATGGATACCCGTTTTTACTATGAACGATTTATCTTGGTTCGAGATACCCATTCCAATTTTCTTGTTCTTATGTTTTCTTTTAGCATGAATATTGTCGAGACACCTCTCTGTAGCTGATTACTCGTGCCTTTTCAGGTCGATACTGAGCCCTTTGTTGGGTTGCTTGCTTTATGGCTGGCTATCAAGGCCACTAGCATGTAGTAAAGAACCAGAGTTTTAATATTCTCCTTCTTCTCTTTGCAGCTTTGGTAGCCTTCTCAACATCACTATTGTGCCGAGCTTTCAAACAAGCAATCTGAATTCACAACCGATATTATAATGGGCACTATGTGCAATCATTGTGTTCTAACGCAACAGCGGATGGCACCAGGTCTACAACAAAGGGAAACCTACAATGTATAGAGGGAGATATCCCCAAATTCTGCTCCTCTCGAAGAAGCAACCAGAATGGATTCATTCTAAGTCCGGTATTGATATGGACTTTTATATATATAACCAAGCAGTTCGTTACAAGCTATTGCTGGAAGCTACCTACCTACAGGGGGGGGGGGGGGGGAGTAGTCCATCGTTTTTTTCGATATTCACCACATCCTGGGACAAAAAGAACAGACAGAAAGGTCAACTACAAAGAAAGACCAGTTACCTCCATTTGGATTTGATCTGGATTTAGCTAACAAACATCTCATTACAGGTTTGCCTTGAGCAACAGTCCGACGGAAAGGGAGCGAACCCCGGAGGAACAAGGACGTGTTCTAGGAGCAAGATAGCATCCGGACAGGAAACTTCTACCTGTCCATTTGAGCAGCCAAATAGCAAAGAAAAATAAAATCCAAAATAAGAGAAAACATCCATGTCTCCAATTTTAGACAGCTTGATAGACCTTGAAGCTATTAAACTCCCAATAGGCATCGACAAAACTGTGGGGATTATGGGCCACAAAACTCGTACAACTCGCCGGGCAATGATACAAAGTATCATAAAACTGTGGCTGGGCAGCAAGATCACCACAAAGATCAATATTAACAATGATACTCTGATTCCTAAAATGCGCCGCAATGTCACAGTCTGTACTGGGGAAGTCGGCAAGCGCAGTACCCCAGGTACTCGGGTCAGGATTCTCACTGGTGATATCAGATGGAATAGAATCCCGAGGGAAGAACCACACCCGGATTCCCTCGGTGCGGAGTTCAAGAGCATAAACACCTCCCCCGAGATTATTCATCGCCTGGCCGTAAGTATCCACGCCTCCGATGACACCACAGCCCGAGTTCTCAGCCGTGGCATTATGGCAGTTCGTAGATACTGCTTGACCGGTTTCTTTGCGCTTGACATCCATATTACATCCCGCGGTGGTGTGGATAGTTATTTCATTCCCGTGGGTTCCTTCGTTGGTGGTTTCGAGAACGTCGATCTCGCCATTATTCGGCCAGTTGTCTGGGTCTGTCAGCCACAGGGCTGGCCATGTTCCACAGCCGAAGGGAGTGTGGATGATATCGAAGATAAAGAGGCCAGTGTCGTAGGTCTTTTTGGACTCGACGCGTACGGAGTTCCGGCCGGAGAGAGTATTGGGCGTGGTAGAATCTACCCGCAGGACGGCCGAGGTGTTGCTTGCATGCGTGAGATTGAGATCTGCAGCGACGTGCTCATTGACGTAGACGACGAAGCCATTTGTTGGGTCTGCATCTGTGAAGTAGGTGAAATGGTCGAAGAATGTCGGGCCGGAGTACTCGTCGGCTAGCTGATAGTGCAAGGGTGTATAGTTCGGGTAGCGGTTTTGGATCACCTCGACTGGGACCACGATCACAACCAAGAGAGCAAGGATAACAGTGGCTCCGACGAGGATCTGCTTGCGCAAGGACCAACCACGTGGGTTGAAGCAGGGATATTTGGTGGTGGCGTCTGTTTCTGGTTGGCTGGCAGTCGCGATTGGGGTTTTGGTTTCGGTGGAGACACGCCGAGATGCCCCGCTGTACTGGTCTTGGGGGAGTTGGGGTAGTTGGTGGTTGTCCATAGTTGACGATTCAAACGATAACAAAAACAAAAAAAAACAATAGTATATAGGGATGTGGGATGAAGATGAAATGTGTGAGAGCTGGAGCTTAACCCGTAGAATATATCCTTGTAATCATATACACACACTATCAACTTCGCCGTCATGGACACCTTCCGTGTTCCAAAGTGGAAAGGCGTCGATCCATCCCGCTTGCACGCCCATGGTTCACCTCGCTATAAATAAACAAGTCTCTAGATCGACTACCTACATCATAGGTAGTATGTACTCCGTACTGTTGACAAGGCTCCGTCAAATATCAATCTGAGATTGGAATTTTCGATTAATTGGTAGCCATTTATTTGCCGCGTAAATGATTTATCCAAGATTTCATTGCCATACTGAGAGACAGAGGAAGAGGCATGACTTCGGCGAAGGGTTGAAGTGAACGTATAGAGGAGAGAGGAAGAGGCACGCTAGCAGATGCGGATTGCAGTGTCGAACTCCCAAGGTCAGCGACTGGAGGTACAGCTGAATCTATAGCAGTCACCTCAAAGAGGAGGCTCAGCCCGACTACCAATCAAGGAATGTGACAGTCGAACCCCCGACGTCACAGCCGCAATTTATGGGAACAAAGAAGACGAATGCAGGATAGAAATTCGATGTGTCCAAAATTATATGATATGTATGTGCATAACGTGATTAGAATCGATCCGTGATGTGTATACTCCGTACTTCGTATGTAGAACGCCAAGCCTCTATAGGTATCAACAAAAAAGCAAACATTCCACCCATTTTCTACCGATTGGATCGGATAGTTGAAGAACGATGCACCAGAGACTCTGCATTTGGAGAAGCCTGTGCCTGCCAGTCATGAGTTTCCAGACCCGAAGACAGACCGGCATCGTTCCTCGCCTGAGATAAGGTACGCGATTGTGATTGGCCAAAGGACGCACCACCACTCAGGTTAGATGCACGGCGGCGCATGCGGCGTTCGCCCTCTTCAGCCTCGTGTCGGTTGAGTGCATCGGAAGGGAGAAGGACAGCACGGTCCAGTGCGTAGGGCAGGCCACGGTGGCGACCGCGAAGTTGCATAGCAATGATCACCAGTTTGGAGACCACATTGAACTGGCCAGAAAAGGAGGTGTTGACATCGGTGTATCCAAACGACAGACCCACAGTACCATAGGCCGAGACAACTTCGAACAGCACGGTGAAGAGCTGGAAGGAGTAATCGGTCACATTCTGCAATCTCGATCCTTCCGCAATAGCGATGATAAACAGACCCAAAAAGACATACCACAGATCAAAACTCAGCTGGCGTCGCAAATGCGCTCCGATATAGGAGGGGGCATTCGTTTCCTCGTCATGATCTTCGTCGGTGGCATCGTAGATACCCAGACTCTTCTCCTCGTAGACATTGGTTCGACGCACAGAAATGGCAATAGGGAAGACTGAGATATACATCATGATCAAGTAGGAGACTTGGATGGCGGGGTGAAGTTCAGAAAGACTGATGATTCCAAATCCGGCTGTTCGTGTCGCAGCAGCTTGGAAAAAGCCGTCCACCACTCGGATACCGGGAGGTAATGCGGTGACAGCAGAATCATTGAGCTGGGAAATCAAGGTCAGCGGGAATCCTGTCTCAAGGGAGACAATCGAAACTCACATCTAGGATAACAAAGAAGATCAAATCAATGCCGTTCAACGCGACAAGAATCGCAAACAACCACCAAGTGGCATTACGAGGAAACAGTAGAGTAAAGCATCGCCGAGGGTGGTCCAAAAGAAACTTCAGCTCCTCCCATAGCGCAGTACCCTGGCGTGTGAACTTCGAAAGAACCCAGATCATTAGACGCAGCATACACGGGAAGGCGGTATTGCCGATGATGATCAAGAAGGACAGCATCAGCAGAGGGAAAACAGCTCTTTTGAAGGAGTACATTGAGTCAGGTGTCAAGGTGAACCCCAAGTCATTGAAGGCAGAGGCAGAGGTAAAGATCCCCCACCATGGCCGCCCAACCCCAGCGTCTCGGACAATGTCGCCCCATGTGTCTGTGGTCATAATCCAGCCAACCATGCTGACCAAACCGATAAGATGAAAGCCGACATAGTAGGTGATAAGAACGACAGCCAGTGTTTTGAGAGCGCGGTATTCGATACCGCCCAGCTCATTACGCTGCTCCTCCGTCAGATCGACGAAGTTGGAGTTACGTGCCACTGTTGCATTCCAACTGAGATATGGTTGAGTAGAGAGGTCGCGCTCTTGTGTCAGGGATCGGAAAACTCCTCTAAATGTGTTTTTCGTGGTAGTAGGAGCAAGCGTAGTGGTTTCGTTGCCATCTTTGGTCTCCCGGAAAGTGGGCCGAGTGTCCAGACGGGGGAAGGTACTACCGCGTGGACGGGTTCTTGAAATATCTGGCTCATTGATGGTGATGTGTGGCCCTTCAAGGGGACCGACATGATCGAGCTCCTCACGGGGTGCACCGTTGCTGTGTTCATCGTCATTGTCACTGGAAGGTTGAGCCTGCTCACCCTCCTGATCCAGATCTTCTTCTAGAGCCTCCGGAGCACCACCGCGGTCATATTCCCGAGGACTGGGGATCCGCAGAGCTCCTTTGTTCTTCCGCTGCTTTTCCAAAAACGCGATATGATGTTCCGGGTTCAAATGAGTCGGCACCTTCAAGCTACCGAGTCCAAAGCGAGGTTCATAGCGAGAGTCGGCGCCCGCATCTGTTCCCTCGGAGCTAGAGTCAACACTGTTTCCCCGAGCTTCTGGAGTGTTCATCCCCGAATTGATGGCTTTGCTTCCCGGCTCTGTCAATCGTCCGTCCCGAGCATCTCCCGAATCATCTCGTATCACCACAATGGGCCGACCGCTCACTCCGAGTTCCGCACGGTGGATATTCTCCTCGTCTCCATCTTCGGTTACTGTTTCCATGCGAGATCGGGTACGTCGCATCGCCCGCGCGTCCTGGACGACATGTTGGAAGCGCTTCTCGAACCAATATAGCCGGATGAAAACCAAAGCGCTGTGGATGAAGATCGGCGTGCACAGACATGTAATCAAATACAGCACAATTTGTTGGTACAACCAAAGGCCATTTATATCGACGGTATTCAATCCACTTTGTGTAGCGGCGCCTGCTGCTTGGAACAGAGCATCGATATAGTCGATGTTGCCCCCGGGGTAAACGATGATGGAACCGATGATCGCCCAGGAGATAATGTACGCATAATGGAGAAAGATGAAATTGAGGTGTAGTTCGTTCAAAAACGGGATCCTTTCTTTGAAGGATGTCACCCGGCGAAGGAAGGCCGAGAACATGTTGAACCGACGGGTGCGGCCAGACCGTCGTTGCGCAGTGAAATCCACTGGCACTGGCCGCAGAGGAGAGATTGTCGGGATCGATTGCTCTCGAAAGGAGGGGAATTTTTCAATCCTGCTGATTATTAGCTTTCGAGTCTAACTATCACGGCCTACGTACATGTGGTCCCGTCGATCGCTACCGGAGACTTTTGACTCGTGCAGGTGAGACCACGGCCGCTCTTAGCCGCGTGGCATTGAGCCACAATTGTGCGTAGAAGTAACTGGGGACATGACAAGAGGAGGTTAAGATGAGAGGAATGGAAACTGAAAAGTTAGAATCACAGCCTCCAAAAGGGAAAAAAATAAAACCTAAGCTGCGATGGGAAAATCCGAAAATCACGCATGCGGGAAGATGACAATACGGTATCGTATTGTCCGCTGCCACCGAAAACGTGGGCTGTCGATCGCTCGGCCGTTGGCTCAGCGAGTTCGAGGGCGGTACCCGGCCAACTTGGGACGCAAGAGATACCTACCTAGGTACCTAGGTATGGCCCCGATGGTAGATACTATGTGCTTGGTGTACGAAGTATCTCCCCCGTCCTCCGTACTCCGTACGGAGTATCTAGGTACTCCGTGGATGATACCAGAACTCATTTGGAGCTCCAGTGGATTCCAACCCCCCCGCCTCCCCCATTCTAGCCCAGCTTTTATTGGGAAGGATTCAAATCGGGGGGTCGTCATTGGGCCTTGGCACGATGGCGGCACTTACTTCCAAGGTCCGCTATGTATAACCGGGAGCTGCAGGAGTGGCGGTGGCTCCAGGGCTGCCTCAAACTAACCTGGGCCGGTTTGGAGATCTGTACGGAGTGACTGGGCGTATAGCCCTGAAACCGCCGTACGGAGTAATCTACCTACCTGGGTAACCCTATTGTCGCTGCCTAGTATCGAATAAAGGGTGTTCTAGATCGGCCCACTTTTCATTCCGGTTATGTCGTGGGCCGTTCCTAGACTTGCCCCTGTGCTGTTAGGGCTGCCGAAATATCACTCCTCCCCGATTGTGATTGGTCTATGGCCGCTGGTTGCATCTTGCATCGATAGGACAGCCGCCCTATACTTGGCAGTGGCATCGTATTGCCTTTTTGTCAATTATTTACGTGTCTCACGCCTTCTGACTTGCATTCTTACTGCTGAGGGGGCTAAATCCAAGACACCCAAGAAAGCCAAGTGCTACACAAGGGGGCATAGGCCAACAACGCCGTCCCGACATTCTTCGCCCGAAGGGATGATCTTTTCCAGATGCTACAGTATGCCCCGAGGATAGCCAGGCCATTCCAAAACCTACTACGAAGTACTCCGTACTCCGTAGGGAAGATGGCACACTCAGCTGCCAAGGTGGTAGCATAGCGGACATCCTATGCCTCGCTTCCCCGACGGATACCCATCCCGCTATATTTTATACTTCGTCGAAAGGACTAGGTATCTACTCCGGATGTGGTACGGAATACTCCGTGCTTTGCATACTGACATGTTCTTAGGGGTCGCTATTTGATCATCCTCAACTAACAGCCAATTTAACCCTTGATTAGTCGTTAAATCGATACTGTGCCAAGGGCCTAAGCGAGCGCCCGTGCTTATGGCAAACGCTCGGACAGGTCAGAAAGGCAGATAAGCAGTATGCAAGATCTGGTAGTCCGGTTTATAATTGAACCCGCTTGGATGTACGAATGTAGGTTTGCCAACTAACGTCAATTAGGTCTCTCTCATCCTCGCCATGAAAAGCATCTCTTTTCGGCGCTTCTTTTGATAGAAATGTACTCCGTACGACTCTCAGAGAAGCGCATCTGGCACACATCCTGTTATGGCGCCATTGGTCCTCCGTAGAATGTCGGAACTACAAACACCCGATACATTGCACAAATAGCAAGAACAGCTTGATTTGCCAGCGTGGCTCGCATTTCCAAGGTAGTATTCATTCTTGTCTCTGTATGGACCAAAGCCGGAAGACAGGCTGACTACCTCCTCATCTGGGAATCCCAGGAAATCTCTGCCGTAACTTGACTTCGTTCTGCCTTTCTCAGTCTACCAGTTCTCTAATTGGGAGCACTGATGGGAATGACCAAGAGCCTACATGCGGGATGGAAAATTACGCGAGTTTAGAGTCTCTTTTCTAGCATTTCAACCCCGTCAGTGGTGTGGTTCCTCGTAACCTATGCTACGACAGTGTGTTGAGTGTGGGCAAATCCTTATTCCGTTTCTTCTTGCATGTGTACTGGGTCATAATCTTGAATTCATATTTGGGATCACTTTTGAGGCCATGGAGTCGGAACTCTAGCAGGTACCTACCTACATACATCATACCTAAGGTGTATGTATCCATATAGTCTCTCCCACTGACGTCATTTTCAATGTCTTATAGCGTGGTTTTCTTTCGGATATCGTGTTTTTTGTCTTTTCTACTATCTAAATTCAAGTCGAACGACAAAGCTGATCCCACGAGTTAGCAGGAATAAAGTGGCTCTGATTTTTCATTGTCAAATTCAATCAGCCCTGGAGCTTTGGTAGGAGCCACTGACCCCACGTTCTCCAAATCCATGTTGGGGTAACTGGTTAACAAAGTGCGCCAGTGATTGATTCAAGTGATTTCCTTCTTCTTTTCCACCCCAGCTTTCTACTCAGGATTCATAATCTCTTGCTTGTGTTGTTGACACATCATGGCCTCGACTCGTCGCATTGCCGTCATTCAATGGCAGATCAAGGTGAGTCTTTCGGTATTAGCGGTCTCCAGGCTTCAAATTGTAGAGAATGGGCAAATATCTTGGAATTGGAGTGACTCACACCATTCTAGGAACTCGATATTGAATATAATTATTCCAAAGCATGCGACTACATCCGAGAGGCCGCCGCCCGACACGCTGAACTAGTTGTTCTTGTTGAAGATACAGAGGTATGATACAGCATGTAGGGTTCAACAATGGGTTCAAATGATACTAGGAATAGGATCTCTCATGGAAGTATTGAATTGTCTGAAGATCTAGGTAATATCTGCCTTTTCCTGCTATTTATGCCCCTTTGTGTGCCGAGGATCGGAGTCCTCAATTTGGCCCCTAAAGGTGGGCTTTTCGGCAGAAAAGACAAAAAGGGCGTAGCGTTGATAATCCTGCGGATGAGAGAATCCTGCCTCAGGCATGGTTCTCAACAGTTCTCCCCGAGTAAGAAATATATCATCAAATACCCTCTCCTGCATAAAGCACATACTACATATCCAGAATAAAGAAAACACTTGCTGATCTTGAACAAACAGATATCATCTCAATGGCATGGTCCCCGGAAACCCACTATGGGCTACCCAAGCCGACGAATCCCCCAAATACATAGCAAACTATCAAGCCCTGGCCAAAGAACTGGGAGTCTGCATTGTCCCAGGTACCGTCATTGAAACTTTTTCACATCCCAACCAAACACCACTGTTCTACAATACGGCATACTTTATCTCGCAAGACGGCGCTATCCTTGGCTCCTACCGCAAAAAGAATATTTGGCACACAGAAAGACCTCACCTAACCTCCTCAGGCCTGGAGCGCCATGTGGCAATCGACACTCCGATCGGCCGGGTGGGGATGTTGATCTGCTGGGATCTGGCATTCCCCGAGGCATTCCGAGAGTTGATCGCCGATGGCGCTCAGATTGTAATCATTCCTACGTACTGTATGTTCCACCTTCCGTGCTCTGCATGTGTATGTGTTATCTAGTCTAACTGGCATTATTGACAGGGACACCACATGATGCCTCCCCCGCAGCCCGCGCGTATAACCCCGACTGTGAGGCCTTGTTTCTGCAGTCGACCATTACATCCCGCTGCTTCGAGAATACCTGTGGTGTTGTCTTTGCCAATGCTGCTGGACCGTCGAAGGATTTCCTGGGCTTGTCGCAAATCTCACTTCCTGTCGTGGGACCGATCGCCAAGATGGGGACCGAAGAGGGTCTTATCATTGCGGACTTGGATATGGCAGTGATTGAGACAGCGGAGAGGAATTATAAGGTTCGTCAGGATCTCAAGAAGGAGGATTGGCATTATGTCTATCGCCATACAAGGAAGTTGTAGAAATGGGTCAATCATACTCGTTTCTTTTGTGTCGGAGTATCTCCTTCAAATATTGGAATTATATATTTTCTACCGTCTGTTTGCCATAGATCCGATCGGAATATTTTACATTCTTTACACCTAGGAACTGTAGTACTTTTCTGAGTATGTCATCAGCAAGCATTTGAAGACAGAGAGGCCGAGTCCTCAGGACGCTGTTTTTGATCAGGGTCTCTCCATAGCTTCTACTTGGATTCTGACTATATTTCTCTGTCAGTCTAGATATAGCTATCTATATGTAAGGGTTTACCCTTGTTGTACTTCCAGCATGTCTTCCAACCGTTTGTTCGTTTGAAATGATGAGCTATAGCTACACATGTACTCAGTACCTGGTTTGTATCTCTCAATAGCCTAGATAGTCTTCCACAATATCACCCTTCAAGGCCTTATCCAGTCTACCATTTCCCATCAGGTCTTTCCTCACTAGCTTCGTATTTTCATGGGCTGGACCAGGAGACTGGCAGCTTTGTGGTCTACCACCATATCGGCTCCTGTGTCTACATCGTGCTACATTCTGGTAGGCAGTCTACTAAAGTTTCCAAGACTCCACGACACGGGACACCCTGTACCATCACAACCGACTCCCGTTGTACTCCTTCATTTGACTCGGTGTCATCCAAAATTGGTATCAACTCGACCCCGCTGCTCGCACATACCACACGGGTAACGAGAGCTCCCATGGGTGGGGTAGACCTGCACACGACCACAGTGTTACGCCGAACCAGTCGACCAAAATACCATTCACCGCATATTCTGAGATTAACAAGGCGTGCAGCTCACCGTACGTCCCCAAGTTCGCATTGTATCCTTACTATCTCGCTGCAGTCGCTGCAGGAAAACGAAAATATTTTCAACTTCACAAACGCCAGGACAATGCTACCAACTATTAGTGTCGGCTCAACACAAACCATTGGATACCTCGAGTCCAGAAATATTCTCAAGGTGGACGAAAACGATCTCGGATGCACAGCAAGGGCGCTGGCGACACCTGGGGACCTGTGGCCATATGTGGGTCAGCTATGTCGGACAGATGCGCTATACCAACCTGAGTTTAGCCCAGAAAAGCTTAACTCCAACGACCAGTCTGCGTCAATGGATGAAATTAGAAATATAGTTTCTATCTCCCCTGCTTTCATACCATGCATTTCAAAGGTTGGATCCATAGGCAAGCGATCGCTTCTTTTTCTTATGATATAAATCGCAATGTACTATGTATACAGATGCTTCATGTACTGTGTTGTCTATAGCTTCTATACATCTCGGAGAACCCTTAAACCCCACCGACAGGATTCTGCATGGAAGCGTTATTTAACCTTAGTTCGTGCCTGTGTCATGGTTTGCCTCTATAATTACAGCGAGGTAGCAATAGCAAGTGTTCCTGATGGATGTATAGCCTGGCGCGAGCGAGTACCGAAATAGCTATATGTATGTAAGAGGAGAAAGACATAGGTCGAGGCTTGATCGGCAAAGGGCCAAATCCATAGAGCAAGCTACGATTCTGTCTACATGTATATACAAGCTGAGGTAGTGTGATCTCTGAATGGTTCACGCCAAAAACCTGCAATGAGAGGCAACGCTACGTAGGCACAGTGTCTCGAGTTCGACAGTGGGAGTCGCAGTCGAACGGTGGATGCGAGCTCTCCTAACGCTTCTTGGCTTCCTTGACTGTGGTGCAGTAAGTATCTAGGTAGGTATTCAAACTCATCAACTCAATGCATCCAGGGCTGTCTTCTCAAGTATGAAGTAAGCGAGGTGTCCAGGCCGCAGTACATATGGCTTAGCCTCAAGTTTTGCTTGGATATGTGCAAGACTTCATCGGTGAAACTAGCTATGAAATAGACATGATAGGGATGATGGCAAATAACTTCCAGTTCCAGGTTAAGCTGGTCTCCGATGCTGTTTTGATACCTAAAACCTTTCATGTCTACTCTGTCTACTCTGTATAGGATCGTCACTATGCAGACCGTAATCTTGCATTCATCGTGGAGGCGAGCCTTAATGCTTGGAATCTGGACAGAAAAGGAAGGAACGGAAACCACCTGATGTGACAGCATACAGCGTGGGATCGCGCCTTCCTAAAAGGGCAACCCACCTTTTTGGAGGCCTATAAAAACCCTCTTTCCCCCCAGTTTCTTCTTCTTTCTTTCTTCCTTCTTCATCTCCCCATCTGTTCCATCCATCATCTTCATCGACTGCCATCTTTCATCGGGTTTCCATCACCAAATGATACATTTCATCACCATCATTGGTCCTCATCACTTCTTAACTCAATGCCTCTACCCCCTATTGAAGATGAAGATTGTCAGCCTTCCTGTCTACCAACTACAGGTGTCTCTCCAAGATATGTCACTTCTGTCATGTCAATATTCATGTGACCCATCACGTCCATTCTGGTCAGTCCATCCATCACCTGTCACCACCTGCTATCCCCATCAACATTGTGTCATCTCTTTTGTCTTTCATCACTCCCATTCTTCACTGTCCTTCTCCCATTTCTCATGTCTTCCCTCCCCCCATGTCTTGTGTCTTCATTGCCTTGCCACGTAATGTCTCCACTCACTCACATCATGCCTCATGTCTTCATGTTGCACTGTTTTCCTTGGTCATACCCCAGGCCCTTTATAACACGAATCTGACCATACCACATAGCAAAATCTTGCCTTCATCTGTTCCGTCCATTGGAAATCTTTCCACTACATACCTTCTGCATGATCCATAAGACGGACGGGAAATGTAAGTTGTTTCTATCCGCTGTTTTTGGTTATTCTTCTTATCTTGATTGTACCTGACCATCACACAGTGAAAACAGATTTCTTCCCGCCTACTCAATGAAATCTTTCCCCCTGCTTCATGGGGCGTCCTTTGCCTCGGCAGCTTGCAACCTCAAAACCAGGTAAGATATCACGTCCCCAACAATTGTCTCTGATTTCGCTCATCACCTGGACAGTACATTGGCTGATACAGGGACATCTTGTTGTCTTGTGTCACAGACATGCTTCTCAAGCCGTCTTGCACTTGGTCTACCACCGACCTTATTTTACGTCAGTTTGCCACCGTCTTCATACCACTAAACAATCACATCGATGGTCTTTGGGCCTTCCACAGGGCTGTTCAATACCAACGACATCCCGTTGTATTCGCAGTCATAATCCATGACCTCAAAACATCTATTTCTCACACCTTATCTTCTTCATGACTGGAGTTGATAACATGTTTCTGTGACAGTCAACTGAGCCGGTGTTCAAATATCAGCCTCAGGTCTCATGTCAACCACTACCCCCAAGTCCAGGAATTTCTTACATGCTGCCATCCGATGTATCCAGCTCCAGGCGAATTGTAGGGTTTGCCTTTCTCACCACACACCATTCTGCATTGGAACCCCCTATCAACGACCTTCAAAACACCACCCTGGTGACTGCCTCAACATGAGCATCCCAGGTCATTGCAACACACAACCATCGAACCTGAAACGACAAAAACATTGATCTCTCTACGCTTAGCCAAGACCAACCAGAACAAAAGAAAAAGAAAAAGAAAAACACAAGGAAAACAGGAGGAAAAGGAGGAGGAACAATCACATCACCACGATTCACCAAAAAAAACAAAACAAAGCAAAAACAAAACGAGAGAAAGATAAAAGCAAAAAAGATGGAATGGAATGGGTTCTTCGACTGGATGGAAGCACACGATCGAGGAAAAGGGATAGGAAAAGGATTTCAATATTTGCCAAACAACAAGACTTGGTGAGATCAAACCAACCTTCCTTGAGCTTTGAATCTGACCATGATCACAGTCCAGTGCCAGATTCACTGCCTCTGTTTTTCGACACGTTCCAATTCCACCATGACCCAGCCAAAAGAGCTCAAGATTCATCCTCAACCCAGTGGGATGCATATGACTGAACTGTCTGTTTATCCCATTTTCTTCTTCTTTGCCAGTGCTGATACTCTCCTTCAATAGCCACTACAAGACCCTCGAGCATTCTGACCGATTCTATCACAACGACCTTCTGCTCACGTCGACATTTCAATCCAACTTCCACCTCGAAAACGAGATCCCCTCCCGTCATTGCATCCCCCCGCCCAGTCCAGCGTGGAAACCCATCGACATGCTGCGGTACTCCGACCCGTGCCTCGCCAGACTCCATCGCTTGACAACGCCGAGAACCAACGTCCCCGACACCAATGGCTGGACTGCGGAATAAGACTCCCTGACACCATACTTCGCGGCACCAATAGGCGGCGTGTTTGTGTTGTATGATCAGGCGATGAACCCTGTTCCCAGATCCACCTGGTGTGCGCTGGAGCACAGCATGAGCTTGCGGAATAAGACTCTCTGACACCATACTTCGCGTCACCAATAGGCGGCGTGTCTGCGTTGTATGATCAGATGAAGAACCCTGTTCCCAGATTCATCCGCTCTAAGCAAACTGTCCGGACACTTAGGTGGGATTGCAGAATAAGACTCTCTGACACCATACTTCGCGTCACCAACAGGCGGTGTGTCTGCGTTGTATGATCAGGCGATGAACCCTGTTCTCAGTCCCCCTGGTGTCACCCCAGGCCCAGTATGAGCTGCGGAATAAGACTCCCTGACACCATACTTCGCGTCACCAATAGGCGGCGTGTCTGCGTTGTATGATCAGGCGATGAACCCTGTTCCCAGATTCATCTGCGCCACTTATACGGACAGGGGTTGACTGCGGTCTATCGGTGCTGGCATCGTTGGGAACTGAACAGGTGTGTGGCCCCGGGGCATTGCGGTACGAATATGGCAGCACATATCATCCAGTCACGTCTCTGTCTCAGCAGGATTCAACACCCATCGATCTCATTATCTCCTGCTTTGGGTCACATCAAATCCCAACACCGGACCCCACGACATCGGTCCCAGCGATCACCTGCTTTCTTTCGCATCAAGTTCCTACATGGCAGACTACCACATCAATACCAACGATCGCTTCCTGTTTTGAGACGCATCAAATTCCAAAATCGAAAATCACATCATCGCCACCAACGACCACACTTTGACTGAGATATGAACATTCAGCACTTTTCACCTCCGTCGACATTGCACCATACCCCATCGACACTATTGCTGAGCACCTCCCACTGGACTGGGATGGGAAACTGAACAACCGGGCATCAATCATCGAGCTCTTCTACCTAACTTCTACTTACGATCAACTTTTGTGACAACTTTGAGGATCTTCCACAACCCGCACACGATTGCCTTTATGCTTTCCATTACTTGATCCACACAGAATGGTCACTCCACGACAAAATTATCGGCTGCTCTGTTATAAATATGGTAAGTTTCCAAAACATTCTTCTGTGAAGACAATGACGCTGACATGCCTCCAAGGCTCAATTCAAAGATCCAAAACGACACTCTGCCACGTCACACTCTGGTTGCGCCCTGATCACAACACTCTTCGCTACTGGCGAAACCTACCATATCATTTGAACAGGGACGCTTCAGCATGACAGCCTCAACCACAAGATCACAAGACCACAAGATCACAAAACAAAACAAAAACAAAACAAAAAGGAATGGCAAGGATCTCAAGCCTCATCGCATCAACCATTAGCTCTGAAGAGAGGCCTTGGCAGCTGGTCATGGAATCATGGAATGGAATAATATCATCCAAATGACACGACCATCTACTTTGGTCCAGCATGGACTTCACAACGACTCCGGCAGCTCACAGCGCCACAACCTGGAAACTGGAACCTGGCTTGGAAGGATGGATATGGGAATCTACAAATGAAACTTTGTGTTGGTATCTTGGGAAGCATTTGGGGATTTGAGGTGTCGCTTTTGTTTCCAATCAGCACTCGCAATTTGCATCGACTCTGCTACGTCTTCACATCTCAGCTCTCAACTTTGCTTCCGTGGACAACATCAAGATCCATGTGAGTGACAGAAACGACTTATTCGCTGATTGTGCTTTGGAGGAGTGGGCTTCTTGTTTTGTTTCTGCTGGATGAATTCCCCAGCTTTCATGTATTCTTCAGACCATCTGCGGGTTGAATCCCGGGTAGTCCAACGTCAAAATTGAGGACTTCATCACCAACTCCCTTTTCTCACTGTAGTCCATAGATTGCGGGCGATGAGGCTGGGCTTGACTTCGATCGTATTGGCTAATATCATCTGGTTGCATTGGGCTTATGTCCAATGCAATGATATTCCTATTATCTGAACTCTTGACATCAAATTCTACAGAGGAGGTATCTAAAATTGACCAAATGGGCAATTGGAATACTGACCCTGCATTGGAGGCTGAATGATTAAATGGCATTGCCAAAGCTACCTAGTTACATTCATGTAGGGAACCCCAAAGACTTGACAACATTACCTGTAGTCAAGTCTGTTTCCCACTTACACTACACCAAAGGACTAGGGAAGGTATCGAAATATGAAAATCTGGATTCTAAGCTAAGTCATAAAACAGAAACAGAGTCATCAATTGATACAATCATCCAGGCGTCCAAGGCAAGCAGTCCGTGAACAGACAACAGACCAAGCAATGAGAAAGGAAAACGGTATAGAGCTCTCAAATTGGGGAAAGGGAAACAAAAGAAAAAGAGAAAAGGCAGGAAGCGCAAACTCCTCCCTTCTTATCAAAGCCATCAAATCACCAAGACGTGAACCCGAAAATTGAACAAAACCCGAAGCCGAACCACCGAGATCAACATCTAAACAAGACCAACAACTGAAGTCGCTAACCAAGGAATGGACCAAAGCAAGTACGGAGTATAGTCAAGAGATTCGGAGTGCAAAAATCACAAAATGCGAGAACTCCGTGAAACGCGATAGCTCAATCATACAGTCGGTCAATGGGGGTGATTTTTCCATGAACAAATGGCCTGGCGACCTCACTAGTCTTTCTTCACTGGACTTGGCTGACGATTTCACTGGCGCGGCCGAGGCTCTCCACCATCTGTTGGCATTCCTTTCGTCGGCGAGTGGTGTAGTCGCTCTCCTTGAGGAGCTCGTCGAGCTCGTTGGTGCGGTACATGTTCTCCAATAGTTCGCGTTGCATTTCATCCTTGGTGAATCTGGAAGATAGCATGGTTAGTATACGCCAAAAACTGGGGGATAAGTTGGCCTCGGTGATACATACTGGACGAGGGTATACATGACAGCCTTGGGGACCATGTCGATCATTGTGCGCTTCACAATGTTGAAGTAGGAGGTAATCAGGAGTTCTGGTTAGATGTTAGCGAAGTGCCGCAATGATTGTATGGAGACTGGTCCACTTACTGATAACCTCAACTTCGGTGGCCTCACGCTCAGACAGGGTAGCTGAAGCCTTGAGAGTTGGGGGAGGAGCCTCCATGAGGGCCATCTTCTTCTTGTTCTTGGAAGCCCAGAAGCTGCCGAAGAACCCGCTGTTATTGGAAGCCTCGGCACTAGTGTCGAGCGAGGGGCTCTGGGCACGGGAGGGAAGAGGCTTGCCGGTTTTAGGGTCGACCTGTGTAGGCTTGGAGGCTGCCTGGCGCTCGTTCACGAGAGCCATAGCGCGGTGTCCGTTCAAGAAATCGGGGTGACCGGTGTTCACGTAGGTGGATTCCATGTTGATCAAATCCCTGACCAGCTTGTTGGTGGGCTCCATGCACTTCTTGAAAAAGGCAATGACAACCGCGTGGAACTTCTCCTTGAGCATGGGGTAACGGCGGAACAGCTGCTTGGTCAAGAGCTGGCTCAGAATGCGCACCAGCTCGTCATAGACCAGAGAGATACACTTCAAGCTGGGCTCTTCCAAACGCCTGATTTGCTGCTTAACAATCAACTCGAAAGCGGTGGTGCCGACGAAAAGTGCTGGTGAGGAACCGGACGAGTTGTAAAGAATGGTGCGGATGTCAATGTCCTTCACGACGTCGAAGGGATCAACGGCCTTGACACCATTTGAGTAGAGTTCGTGGAACACGAAGGAGATACGGGCACCACCCGAAAGCTCGATGCTAGACAGTTCCTGGTTATTTCCCTCCAAGACTGTACGGTACTCGTTGCTGAATTCAGTGATGATGTTCAGGATGATGTTGGCGCTGTTGCCGAGCATAGAGTCACCCAGTTGACTCAGTTCAGCAGTATACTTTTGGAGAGAGGCGGAAATGCGGGCCTTGATATCGGGTAGGGTTTGCTTGATGTGCATCATGAGGATCTAAACCAAACAGTAGTCCGTTAGTTCGATAGTTTCCGAGACGATTGGATTCAATGCATACCAAGTTCAGCTTGCGTGCGAGATACGGCGTACCGCAGTAGGAAGCCTTATTACGGTAGGCCTTGTGGTTCTCGAAGAAGTTCTTCTCGTTCTCCAGAGCGTATGCAATCAATTTCTTGTTCTCAATGTCACGCTGGCCACGGTTGACCACTGGGACATAGCCCAAGCGCAAGGGGATAATTCGTCCAGCGAGAATATCCACCACATCGGTTCCTTCGTCCATCAAATCGACCTTACTCAACACACCAATGGTGCGCTGACCCTCCGGGTCCACCTCACGCGCCAGCTTCAGACCATCCGAGTTGGCAAGATCCTGATTAGCTGATGTGACAGCCAGGATGATCGCATTGGGCTTGCTGATATATTTAAGGACCATATCACGAATCTGACGCTCGATATCCTTGGGTTGATCTCCGACGGGCACCTTGGTCAAGCCAGGCAAATCGACAAGGGTCAGGGTCAGGACGTTGGGGGAGTAGATGCGCAGGTTGATAGGGGAGGGCGAAATTCCGGCGTTCTTTCCGACCTTAGTTTCCGTTTCGCGCACAATCTCATCGCGAATCTTGTTGAAATCGAAGAACTTCTCTCCGGGGAGGTGGAGGAATTCACCATACTCGTTCACGTTGGACTCGCTATCTGTTGTTTCCAACTTGGCATCGCCGTTCGAGGTAGGACTTTTGTTGATAAGTTGCAAGATAAGGGGTCTCCGAGTCACGATTCCAGAGCCACGAGGCAAGCTGCAGGGCAGGTCCCGGGTTAGCAATTATTGTTGAAATCGCCACGCATGCCCCGCCACGAGAGGTGCGGACAGGGGCCGCGCAAGCCCCCAGGAGCAATCCACGTACAAATCCCGGCCCACAATGTTCTCTAACACGGAACTCTTTCCACTAGACTGTGATCCGACGACGGCGATTTGGGGCAAATCGATTGGGTTGTGCACCTAAAGCGAGCAGCGGTATTAGTGCATGGATTACCTTCGAATCACAATTGACCTGTGAGTTTCGAGCTAGTATACTCACTCCAACTGTGGAGAAGACATCTTGGAGCTTGTTGACCAGCGAAATCAAGCTAGGGTCATTGACGTTTATGCTGCACACACGGAGATTAGCCAGACCGCATCGGAGTGGAGGGGACAGGGGGTTGCGCACGAGTAGCCGGTCGTTGGGCTTGCCATGGCTGGCGATATGGAAAATGAAAACTGCTTCTAAGAGAATATTGAGAAAGCAAAAATAGAGGAACAGAAGCGAAGTCGAATAAAGCAGGACCGGGGAGGTGCACGTTGCAAGTGGAGGATTGTTTGGTCAACTCGAAGGCGGTGATGTAGTGGCGTCCAGAGCGGTCTCTGCCTTCGTAGGCTACAGTCAAAGACGATGGTCTGGTGAGATATAGATTGAATAACTGAGAGTCTATGAAGAACTAACAAAGTATTTCTCCGAGCTATCAGCTATCGTCTCTTTATTGTCATTTGGTTTGTGTGTGAGTCTTGTGCTGCCTGACGGGTACAGGCCACATCTACATTGGGAGTATACAGATCGAGCAAAGGGAAAAATCATTGAGTTAGACACAATAACTACAGGGGAATGTGCTCAAACAAACATCTAAAGGAAAATATATGCTAAGCGAAAGAGGTCACTTTCACTCGTCCGTAACCGAAGCGAATCGCTCTGTCATGGACTGGAGGATCTTCTCGTACTTGGCCGAAACCTCCTCCTCGTTCTCAGGGACTTCGAATTTCATGTTGCGCAGAGCGTTTTGGAGGTCAGCTGTGGCATCGCGGACCTTGTTCCAGTGCTGGCCCTGAGCGATGGCCTTCTGGGCCTCGTTGTGGTAGCCCATGAAAGCCTTCATCATGTACTCAGTCTTCCACAAGGGGCAGAACTGATCGTAGTCACTGTATCCGTTTTGCTGAAGGAAATCATCCTTGAGCAGACTGGCCACGTCCAGCGTGATCTTATCCGAATCACCCAAGGCCGCCTTACCTACGAGCTGGACGACCTGGTCCAGATCTTCGGACTTGGCCAAAAGCTCACGGATTTGGTCGCGCAGACGAGGGAACTCGGGGTGATCCTTCTCGTAGAATTTATCCAAAACTGCGTTGTACTTGCTGTAAGAGATTGAGGTGTTGACCGAAGGGAAGTGCTTGCGCTGCGCCAACTTCTTATCAAGACCCCAGAACACCTGGACAATACCCAGGGTACTGCTAGTGACAGGATCAGAGAAATCACCGCCGGGCGGGCTAACCGCACCGACGATGCTGACACTTCCCACACGCTCGGGGCTACCCAAAGCACTGCTCTTGCCAGCACGCTCGTAGAAAGAGGCCAGCTTGGCTCCAAGGTAGGCGGGGAAACCCTGATCGGCAGGCATCTCACCCAGACGACCGGAAATCTCACGCAGAGCCTCGGCCCAACGGGAACTGGAGTCAGCCATCATAGCCACGTTCTTGCCCTGGTCACGGAAGTATTCGGCGATGGTGATACCGGTATAAATGGAAGCCTCACGGGCAGCGACGGGCATGTTGGAGGTGTTGGCGATCAAGCAGGTACGCTTCATGATGGGCTCCTTGCGGCCCTCGACGGTAATAGAAAGCTGTCGAAGAAAAGAAATCAGTAAACCTGATCGTAATTATCTTGAAAGAGGGCACGTACTTCGGGGAAATCCATCAAGACTTCAGCCATCTCGTTACCACGCTCACCGCAGCCAACGTAGACGATGATATCACTGTTCGAGAACTTGGATACACTCTGGGAAATGACAGTCTTTCCACATCCGAAAGCACCAGGAATGCAGACAGTTCCACCCTGGACACTGGGGAAGAGAGCATCCAGCACTCTCTGGCCGACGATGAAGGGCGCATCGGCGGACAGCTTGTCGCTGACCGGGCGGGGAACACGAACGGGCCAGGTCTGCATCATACCGAACTCAGACTTTTTACCATCAAACTCGACCTCGAGGAGCTTCTCATCGACGGTGTAGCTGCCAGCAGGAGAGATCCGAGTGATGGTACCCCGTGCACGAGGAGGCAGCAGGATCTTGTGGTCGTTCACCAGACTGTTCTCGAACACGGTACCCCAGATATCACCTCCAGTAATGTGGTCGCCGACCTTGAAATTGGTGGGCTTGTATTCCCACTTGCGCTCGCGGTCCAAAGCATTCACGGAAATACCGCGGGGAATGTAGATACCCTTCGATTGGTCGGCGATGGCCTTGAGGGGTCGCTGGATACCGTCATAGATCGTCTCCATCAAACCGGGGCCCAGCTCGACTGAGAGAGGCTTTCCTGTCCTCGTTACGGGGTCTCCGACGGTCAAACCGGCTATTATTTGAGAATCACACCGGTCAGCATAGCTCTTTCGGGGGTATGATGAAGTCATGGACGTTCGAGGGGTTGCGGAGCTATACCTGTTTCTTCGTAAACCTGAATAGTGGCCTTGTCTGCTTCGATGCGAATAACCTCGCCGACAAGCAGGTCGTGACCAACACGACACTATCATTTGCGTCAGCTTGCTGGGGTTCTCCACGATCTCGGAGCTTAGACTGCCACCTACCAACTCGTACATGGCACAACCGATCATGTTCTCGGCCACGACGACAGGGCCGGAGACCGAAAAGATCGAGCCATTGTTTTCAGAATCGTCCGAAGTCATAATGGGAGAAGTCTGCGTGGAATGGGGAGACACAGAGTGGGAGGTGGTAGTTGAGGAGGGCGAGTCTGGAAGCGGTGGCAGCTCGGCGGGCGGTGATGGCTGTGTCAACGTGTGCTGCGTGGTTATCAGATCCAACAATGATGCCCGCGCTCTTAATCGAGGACGTCCCAGGCCTAGCATTCGCTCGGAATTGCACAGGGGTTGGATTGATTCTCGATTCTCCTTAAGACCCCGGTCGTGGAGTGCCCCTGATCTATTCGTCCAATCCTCGCTCTCCCGCGGAGCGAATCGCGGCCATGAAAGCCGATCCATCCCCTTGGCTTGTCCTACTTGATCTTGGCTGATTCTCATCATACGGTTTAGTGATATTTCTAGATTTTATACATCTTTCTATTTTGTTTTGTCTCTGCGGGGTTTGACTCCTGCTTGGACAACCACTTGGTTCATATCACCAAGGCGGAGGTGATCTACTTCCCATCTTACTCCACACCAAGTTTTGGAATGGTGCATGAAAATTAAATGCTTCCATTGAGGATGATGATCAAAAAAGACCTGAAAATTGGAAGTGGATCAGGTTGCCCAATATTGAAGGTATTCGGGGTTAATGTATTAGTTGCTGAAAGGTCAATAGCTGTCCTCAAGATCCTCGACAACCCTGTGAACCATCTTGAGGAGATTCCGAAACTCGACCGCAAGATGTTCTGCATGTTGATTGATCAATGACCAAGGTGCAGCGGAGGGGAAAAACACTCGCAGCCTGATCTTGCAGCCGGCCTCGGTATTCATGAATTCGTTCATGATATAGAAGAACTTACTCCCGCTATCAAGTGTTGCTACTAACAACTCCGCCATCTCATACTCCTTGTCCCGTGCTTCCTCCATCCACCCAGGAATATCCTTCTCGCCGCTCATGAGATCCACATATTGAACTTTGGCCATGTGTCCCCCGATGAGCTCCACTCCGCAGTCTGGCCCACTTCCGGCGGGAGCACCTGGCGATTGCATGACCACATAGTGCTCTGGGTGGGTTGGAAATACATACCTCTGTGCCATGTCATGAAGAGGCTTGGAGAGTTGCCAGCGGCTGCAGATTGTTTTCAGGTCTGTCGCTGAGACCCCGGAGACTTTCATATATGTTCTGCATTCTCTGAACACTTCACGGGAGGCATCAATCAGCGATTCAAAGTAATCATTTCCTTCCTGGATCTGTTCCCTTAGCAGACCTAGCATTGGATCTTGAAACAATAAGCACCGTAAGTTGTTGAGCGCGCGATAGCAGGCTTGGAGCTCAAAGTCATTGAGATCGGCCTCGGATTTTGTCACCCCGTTGAGCTTGAACTTGATAGTCGGCTTTGGTTCCATGATTAGTGATGTTTCCTTGCGAGATCTGGTGGTAGAGTGAAGTATCCCGCATAGGTATTGCCGCGGCTTTTGTAATTTGATTCACTGAAAGCCGGTCTCTCCCCCGACCACTACTCAAAGAAAGTGCTAGGGTGCATGATCAAAGGAACGGTTCAACACAAAGGAGCGATCAAAGAGAGAATACGGGGCCATTGAGATCAATCTCAACAAAGATTTACAGCCATTTGATTCGAATCCCCCATAACCATACTACATCATGATCCTACCAAACCAGAAGGTACAACAAATCTACACTTTTTCTGTCTTCTGCGGTCTCAATACCAGTGTCTTGACACAGTGTAGCATCGTAACAGACGGATTCAACTTTACCACAAGTTCTCCGTTATGTAGCACCCGTGGACAGCACATAGTCCACGGGCGAGCTAAGAGCAAGACTGGGCAAGACGATACAATATATCCATGTACTTAACTACCTTAGGTACACCCTAGGTATGTGTATGTACCTCAGGTAGATGAATATAGGTAAGCCATAACGCCAAAAGAATGACCCAAGATTCAGATTGGTACGGGCCTAAGTGATTTGACGCCTTCGCTGATCAAGAAAGTAGACAAAGAAAGGCCACCGAAATCCCGACCTAGAAGGCATCCCCTACCGGCGAGCTGAGATACCACTCTGCGAGATTCTTGTAAATCCGATATAGGTTTCCAGGAAATTGTCGAGTTTAGTCGTACGTATGACGCGTGCTTGACCGTCGAAATAGGACTCCAAAAATAGGTGTCTTCAAATGCCAACGTTGAACGGAGTTCATCAATGATCTCATTACTGGGCTCCTGGATGCTGGGATATGACGCGAAAAAGGAAGGCTGGCTGGCTGGGTCTTTTCTGTCGAGGGTCATGCGCTGGTGATCAATGCCGAGTCCCTTGAGTGCTGTCACATCGATTCTGTGCTTTTCATGCTCGGCAAGCTCATCAATGACAAGCTCTAACTCTAACAAAACCTTGTGATCTTCATAATGCGCAGGAGTTTCAGCCGACATGTATATTGGATGTGTTTGACCCTGACCAAGGCGAGAGATGGTATGGATGGTATGCTGTGAATCCAGAAAGTAGATAGGCGTGGCCTATCGTCACTCGTACCACCAGCCCGGGCCCCGGGCTGCATTTGCGCTGAAGAATCGTGCAAGGAATGACCTCATTGTACGTGAGTAATGTGAATTTGAGGCGGAGGGAATATGTGGTTGGAGACACAAGCATCCCTTGCGTTCAGATGCTACATGTACCTTAAATTCGATCTTGGTTTCTGGTCGAATCAATTTCCCGCCAATAATCATACATAGACCCCCGATCTATATACCTAGGTAGTCGACTTCTAACAAAGCGCTACCTACGCATGTGGGCTAGAAGGCCTTTTCAGGTATCTTTTTATCTTCTATGTAACATATACTTGAATCGAAGGACTCCAATATGCTGTTCTTGCAGTTGCGTATAGGTTCACATAACCAAATGATCGACCGTATAGAGTCTAGACCAGTAGGCCAGTACGGAGGACGGAGTATGGAATAGTTACATCGGTTGACCCTTGGCATGTGACCCTCTATATGATACTCCAATGGTCATCGGACAGCGAACAGTTCCCATTGCGACAATCGGTGATCTAGATGGCTAGCATGACTTCATATGTCGGCGATCAGCGCGTTTGAGCCTGGACCCCTCTCCAGACCGCAGGCCACGGCAAAACTATATAAGACGACTCGCTGGGGCAGAGTGCAAGTTTCTTTTGCGTATTCATACTAAACATATTCTTCTAATAATACCCCTTTTACAGGCATTGTGTTATCACCATGGCGTTCAAGAGCCCCAAGTACGGAAATAGCACCGAGTGCCACTATTGGGGTTACTCATTTCAATGGACTGACCTCCACTCATCTGCTGATGACCTGCGGCCGATGATGCGGACCTGTGATTCACGGGCCGACCAGTGTGTGGAGCGCTTGAACAAGATCCTCTTGGATGAAGGCGCGGATCAGCGGCCGTGCAAAAAGGATCTTTATGGGTCATTGAGGGATCATGCCGATAAAGATCCAAAGCTGAAGGAGTTTTGGACTGAGGTGACCACAGTCCCAGAGTGGGTTGACTGGGCTCAGATCCAACGAGGGCAAGACGTGTTCTTCCGATATGGCCTTCCTATCCTCAATGTCGTGAGTGGTTCATATAGAAAAGATGTCTTGGAATGCAAACTAATGATCCACAGCTGAGCTTTCAGAGCTTACTGGGTGGGATGTACAACTCTCCCTCCTATGTATAACATGGAGTATCAAAAGACTAACACTTTGCTAGGGGAACAACCCGTGTTATCGAAACTCTCTCGCGAACAGGGGGGTTTCGTGCGAAGGTAGTACGTCGACGACTACTAGAGACACTACAGTATATTCTCCAGGTCAACAGCTCAGCGGAAGACATGAAGCCAGGCGGAGACGGTCACATCTCATGTGTTCGCGTCCGGCTACTTCATTCATCCGTCCGCGCGAAGATCCTCAGTCTCATCGAGCAGAACCCCGAGTACTACGACATCGAGAGATACGGAATACCAGTCAATGATCTAGACTGTATCTCCACGATCAATGTATTCTGCAGCTCGGTGATGTGGCTCGGTCTTCCACGACAGGGCATCTATCCCAGCCAGCAAGAGGTTACCGATTATATCGCGCTGTGGAGACTGGTTGCACACTATATGGGCACGCCAACGGACCCTTTTGAAAGCACAGTCAAAGCCCGTGCCTTGATGGAGTCATTCCTAGTCTCCGAGATTGCTCCTACTGAGACCGGCAAAATCCTAGCAAAGAACATTATCATTGGGCTGGAAAACACGGCTCCGATATATGCATCCAAAGAGTTCATGGAAGCAATGAGTCGCATACTTAATGGAGACCAGCTGGCGGATGCGCTTGAGATCCCTCGGTCTAATCTATACCACCGAATGCTAATCTGGGGATATATTTTCTGGGTTATGGCTATCTCATATCTGGTTCCAAGGATATATTTCTTGGACAGGATCATGATTTCGGTTAGTGGCACCATCCACATTCTGTGATATCTTCTAACGAACCACTTAACTAGTACCGCCGAAAGCATTACTACAAGTTACTCCTGGATGAGAGAAGGGGACTCGGGAGGGAAACACGTTTTGAATTCAAATATCTGCCCACGCTCACTCGCACTACCCGCCTGGGCAAACGCAGAAGCACCAAAGTCGAGAGAGGGGGCATTGAAAGCCTTGCGTATCTTGGTTTTGTGACTGCTTTTACCGCGATCGCCACTTTGGCGACGGGTCTCACCTCTGCGGTCAGGATGATTCCGCTGCAGTTTGATATGATGCGAGTATGATTTTCCATGCGCCAATGATTTAACGCAACAATTTCTCAGATCACTTGGATCCAATGTTTTTCCCTGTCATAACACATCGTCTCCCACTTCCACTTCCTATTTTCCTAGCGACCTAAACTGTCCGTTGTTGTGGGTTTTCCTTTAATCAAACCTACGGCCCCTATATAGTGACCTTACGATATTTCTTTGATCAGTTCCTCGAGAGAGAATACAAAATACAGATAGAAGCATGCTTCAAATAAAGAATTGAATCAACCCCATAATTCTAAGATACCAGTATCAAGGTGTAGAGAAATGTGTTGATCTTCCTCGGCTGCTTCGAATACTTTCAACAGCATATTTTCGCGCGTTGCTGATTATTTAACAACTTTGCTCTTGATGGTAACCAAAATCACGAAGTGAGAGGAGTGATCTAAGGTCAAGACTTTTACTCCAAATGAACTGCTCTGCGACGAGACGAAAGCTTGATGACGACATGAACTTTTAGCTCCAGGAGTCAAAAGTGATGCGGAGGCCATCCTCTCAAATTGTTGCATGACAAGAGGAAGAATGAGTTCTATTTTCGATTCACTCATGCTGATATATAGAGGCGCAGAAAGTCCATATGGCCATGGAGAATGGAGGGTCATCATGTGGAGAGCGCCGCATGTCACCCGATCGGGTTTAGCGTCTCACATGCACAGCGAGGTCAGTGGCTTCGGCCAAGCATGGAGCCTCGTATTATAGGGAAACATGTCCATAGAAATCCATTACTCGTCTTAGACTTGATGGATCTGCAACATTGATAACACCGCCTCGAAAGATCATCAAGCCGAGTCACCGGAAATGGTTCAACGCAGCGAACCGGAGCTGCGCGTCGTGTCCCTATATCTGGGAACTACCATGAACCAACAAAGACAGAGCGGCACATCGGGTCGAGTCCATATCTCCACGGGATTTAGCTCTGCTCATCTCTCGGACCTAACTGATTGCCCAACCGTTGTTACTTTGCCACAGCCCGTTCATTCCGTTCATTGGGCTGACATGTATACAATGGATACCTCGAGATCCTACTTGATGGCCCCCAAGTTGTACAGCACCAGGCTTTGCATGACACAGCCCTGCACCGCGGAAGATAAACGTCATGTTCGAATTTATCGCGATTCCGAATATATATAAAGAGCAGGCCGGGGAGCATCGGTGATTGAAATATCCTTCAACTTCATCAAACAGTGCCTTCAACTGGAATAGTTACCCCGTAAGCAGCATGCTGCTACCAAATTACATCCTCACGGGCTTGGTTTGCCTTCCAGCAGCCTTTGCCAATCTTCTAGGTGCGACATTTCCTCCTCCGAGGGATTTGTCGAGCAGCAACAGCCGGGTCGCCGCCAGCTGGAAGAACCTTACTTCTAAACTCAACACGCAACTTAACAATGGAAATACCACTGGAGCCATTGGGGTATCTGCATTGAAGAACCTCACATTTTCTGCTGGCTTGTTTTCCACACTTGACCCTAAAGCCGAACGTTTTCAATTTCACCACACTGCGAGCGAAGTTGCAAACTCTCCCATTGGCGCGAGGAAGGTAGATGGAGATAGCATCTACAAGATTGCCAGCGTGTCAAAACTCTTTACCGTCCTCGCTGGTCTTATTGAGTTGGATCCGCGGGACTGGGACCGCCCACTCACCGATGTCCTCCCATTCTTGGCGGATTATGACCGTCAGAGACGTGATACTTTCCGGCTTGTCTATGATGTTCAATGGGACAAGGTCACCCTCAGATCTCTTGCTGGTCAAATGGGAGGCATTCCACACGGTGCTACAGAAGAATTCTTGTATACCTTTGCGCAATACAAGTACTACGAAGGCTCTCACGATCCCTCGTTGACCGATCCAAATTTCTACGGTCTTCCACCCCTGAACGAGAGTGACTTGTCACTTTGGCCGGCATGTATCGGGAAACAGAAGGAGGGCTGTAATCCAGTCTCTTGGGATGAGGGATACTCTGCGAGGCCTCCAGTGTACCTCCCCTGGGCAGCCCCCGAGTATGCAAACGGAGGGTACATCTTCCTCGGACTCGCAATCTCAAATCTCACAGGGAAGACCATGAAGGAGTGGTATAGTGATTCTATTTTCGAGCCTCTGGGCCTGAAGTCCACTTACTCGGCTCCCCCTGACAACTCTACCCATCCCCGTTCGGTCCTCTCGGAAGCTCTTGAGCAGCAGTTTGTCCCCGATGGTGGTGCTGCGACCCCTTCAGGCGGATTGTACTCAACCTGCAATGATCTCACTAAATTCGGCCTCGCACTCTTGAACTCTACTCTCCTCCCCTCGGTAAAGACACGTGAATGGATGAAACCCGTCACTCATACCTCGAGTCTGCACTACTCTGTTGGTGCCCCATGGGAGATTCATCGATACGTCCACACTGGATCAGGCGTCGTCACTGACCTGTATACAAAGCTTGGAGACTCAGGATTCTATGGTGCTATCGTGGTTGTGATACCCGAATTTCATGCTGGCTTTACGGTGCTCAGTGCTAGCTCCCAAAACAGTCGTAGCGCTCTGACGCTGCTGGCCATCGATCTTATCACGGATTCCATTCTCCCTGCATTAATGGAGCAAGCCGCAGTTGAAACCGCGCAGAAGTTTGCCGGAACATACAAAGCCGAAGACTTGGATTCGTCGCTGACACTTGCTGTTGTGCCGCCCACTCAACCTGCACCTGGCCTGAACATCACTTCGTGGATCAGCAATGGCACAGACATCACGGCTATGGTGCCTAGACTCTTTGATAATGTCGATTCAAGGCTCGTGCCATCCATCGTTACCGAGCAAGCCACTGGAGAAATGGCTTTCCGTGGATACACTGCCTCCCAGCACCCGAACGTCGGAGTGGGTTCCTCGTCAAGTCTCTTCTCATCCTTCTACGATCTCAATGATTGGACTATGCTAGACCAGTTGACGTGGGGTGGTATTTCTACTTCACTGTTTGTTTTTGATGTCGAGGAAGACGGAAAGGCTAAGTCGGTGACACCTGCTGCTTACAGGGTGAAGATGATGAAGAAGTGATCAGCAGAATATCTAACGTGAGATTTAAGGAGGGGGAGATGAGCAATCGGTATGGTTCAGAGAGTAATAATATGATTGGATTCAATGCATGGCTTCTATGTACATATACTCAATAATCGTGAAGTGTCCTAATAACCTTCACGCTTTTCTTCAAGCTTAGCAGTGCCTTTTGCCTTCGCTAATTCGGCGAGCATCCCATCACCAATGATAGCAGTATCAGTGATGATGGAAACCATATCAAAGCCCTGCTGAGTCCGACGAAGAGCATCACTGCCATCGGAGCCTAGTAAAATTAAGGTTAGACAGGTGCGAGGGAAACCCAGCAAGCATTACACATACAGAAAATAGCTGCCTTCTTGCCAGAAGCCTTCGCAGCATTGAGGACTCGTTGGATAGCAGCCTCGTGCTCCTCGCCACCACGAGTGACACGCATCTGTTTAGCCAGGTCGAAGGGCCCTGATAAAAATTAGCAAGGCCGTTCAATCAAAGCAGAACGAAAGAGCTGGTTTTATCTCACCAATAAACAGAACATCAAGTCCCTCAACTTTCGCAATCTCCTCTACATTCTCAACACCAGGCCGCGACTCGATCTGCACAACAACCAGCACTTCATTGTGAGTCTTCGCATCATACTCCGCCGGTGACACGCCTGGGAATGAATGCGCCGTATACATGGGTCCGTATCCACGGACACCAATCGGTGGATACTTGCAGTAGCTGACGACCTTAGCGGCATCCTCCTATTCACACAACCCCAGGTTAGCCGATAGTTCCAAAAGAACAAGGGAAGTCCCGTGTCGATGACAGCGCGGTCTGTACATACTGCAGAGTGACACATCGGGGTCATAATTCCATGCGCGCCAGCATCCAGAGCACGCTTGATCATCCATTCTTCAGGCCAGGGGACGCGGATAATCGGGCTGGCTCCCTCGTGGCCAACGGCATTAGTGAGCTAGTATTTATTAGCGATGGTATTCCCGGGGTTATTGGCAGGCCCAGCGGCTACCTCGTAATAGTGACTGTCGTTAATCAATCCATGTTCGGCGTCCACTAGGACCCAGCTGAATCCACCTTCCGAATACTCGGGGCTGCGGCGGAGGATCGTCTTTGCGACGGCAGCGCTGGGGAGGCTGTTGGGGATGGTCAGTTTGATCTTGGTGAACAGCTCCGCAGAAAATGGTCTGGGGAAACACATCGGGACATCCCTCTCCCAACGCGGGGTTCAACGTACGTCAACCAGAAGCCGTATGCCACGGGGGTGGTTTCCAGGGCGGAGCGGAGTGAGATGGAAGACATTATGCAAGACAGACTGATGTTGAAGAGTTCCAAATCCAACTGGTCTTTTCGACGGGGATTCGATTCTTTTGGAGAGGGACACTCGGTCTTGCTCCGACCGATTACCCGAGGACCCCCCACATCGTCATGTCTACGAAGAAGCTGGGGGTATTATTTTGTGTTGATGTTCTCGACCCTCTATGAGCTAGGCAGAATTGCGTTATCCAGCAGTGTTTGAGATATCCTCCGTGATTGGTGTCGTTAAAGCTATCTACGGTGTATCTCGGTCAATACTCCATTTGCAGGCATCCCGGCCCCTTTTGTCCACGGGCTTGCCTCTCGGTGGAGGACACCCCGAAGACCCGACCATTTTGGCGTGGATTGTGTTCAGAATGGGTGTCAGAACTGAATCCTATGAAACCACCGACTTGGTTGGATTTATTGTATGGTTTCTTGTATGGTCAAGGATATAATGGGTCTTCTGGTCTTGTGGAGGACTGTGGTGGCAATCTTAGGCGATGTATTACCTAGGTAGTGACTCCTGCAGCATTATGATAGAGGGGATATGTTTCAACTGCCATTGCGTGGTATCGAGGTGAGGGTTGAGTATCGAGACCGTTTGCCAGGTGACCGGAAGGAGTAAATCCAAGGATAGACCTCCGCACCAGCCCGCAAAGCCCAAAGCCCAACCCGCCCCAACCCGCAAATGGGCTGGGCTTTGGGCCCGGTCCCTGGGCCCATCGGTGGCTATTGGCCTAGGGTAGAAGCCCACTGGGCTTTTATGGGGGCCCAATGGGCTTCAAACAATACAAACATGCTAATGCTTGGCAGATACATAAGTAATACAGATTTTTCTAGTATTTCTAGGTATTTAGATTACCCCCTAAATTGACTATAGGTGCCTGAATTGACTGAATTGACTGAATTGACTGAATTGACTGAATTGACTGAATTGACTGAATTGACTGAATTGACTGAATTGACTGAATTGACTGAATTGACTGAATTGACTGAATTGACTGAATTGACTGAATTGACTGAATTAAGATTCATGAAATTTGAGAAAAATGTAAATTAATAGAAAGATGCACTGACTTCTCTCTATGTGAAATATATATATTTGCACATTAATTCTCTGTCAACTGTTGAACCCCCGTATTAGGCTAGATCAGGGCCGGCGCCGAGATCTTCCGCGGTAAGCATACAGACTCAAACATGTGTAAAGAACAGACATTAATCAGCAGGTTTATGAGCGCCAAGACTGTATTTATGCATACAAATGGGCTTGAATGGGGGCCTCATGGGCCCCCATAATGGGCCATGGGCTTGGTTGGGCTTCGAAGGTAGGGCCCATAGCCCACTGCTGGTTGGGCTATGGGCCTGAGGTCCGGGCCCAACCAGGCCCATTGCGGAGGTCTATCCAAGGAGTGATATCTCATCACTACCGCAGCGTGTACCCCAAAGTTGAACAATCACCCGGGAATTTGATCCTGCCATCCACGCAATGACTAGGATCATTATTTACTGCCAAGTCCAACACCAACCCCAGTAGCGCTTGGAGTCTCCGTTCGCAGACGTTGCAACGTTCTGCATTCTCGGCACCATGCCGGGTCGAGTTCCCCACAGAGCATCCTGACCCCACGAAGATGGGTCTGTATCCGCAACATTGTTCGGTGATTGAGCACCTTGCAACTCCTCCCAGGTGGATAGTGGCTCGGAATTATGTTCGAGCGGACTATAGAGGAACCTGGGGCAGATCCCTGTCAATGCTATCATCGCCATATTAGTTGTGCGGTTGGGTGGCAAGACCGATGAGGGCAGAGTTATGCACTGGGTACTGGACTCGGGTCTTCGGTGATGGTTTCATGCTTAGTTTATTGGGTTCATGTCTGGTTCCCCGGTGCTTATTTCCGGGTAGAAGTGGCGAATGACCCTTGTGGTTGGTGATTCCAACGCACCATTTTGCAGTCATCGGTCTCGGAAATGGACCTGTGGCTGGCGATGTCAAGATTATATATATATTTCCCCCAAACGTCATTCCCTTTTCAGCTTCCGAAAAGGTGAGGTCTACACTGTACAGGGAAAATCTTGTGGCAATGAAAGTTTGATTCGAGACGCTAGTTTATCACTCGAAACCCATTGTTCCTAGACTCATTGGATGCCTATCAAAAGTCTCATTGGTCTCGTTACATCATCACCTTCAAACGAGTGTGGTAGTGTTGGGTTTACTTCTATAGAAAGGTTAGCCTGGACACTTGCAACGGTAGATATCACATACTCCGCATCCCTTGCAGCTACAGTTGTTGCCACAAGAGCAGCTTTGGGGGGCGCCGGCACAGCTGCAATTCGATCCGCAGTCACAGCCCATGATGAGATGTGTGATATGTGGTCAGTGGTAGATAGGTGGATAAGTGGGAGAATATCGATCTTGGTCTTGAGGGAGTCTAGCTGAATCTGCGGAATAGGCGCCCTTTATATATCCGGGGCGTGGGACTGCGATCATCATGGCGTCAGTGGGAAACCATAAAGTGGGCAGTGTGGCACCTGATTCTTTCTGTTTTCCTTCTTTTTCTTGTTCAGGTTTCCTTTTCTTCTTTTCTGTTCCCCTAGGCACAAAGCTCTTCGGGTTTCTGTTAGCAGGAATTCATGTACGTGAGGGTCTGGAGACGGGAGTGGTGGTTATAGATAGGGCGAATCACGCCTTCTTAGGTGACCTGTGACACTGAAGCCAAATCGACTGGATATTTCTGAGGAATTAGCATAGGAACAAGACAAATTGCAAGCTAAGGAAAGCTGTCTATTTGAGTATGTTCTCATGTGCGGAGTAACCTGTAGGAATCAGGTTCTCGCGGCAATCCCGCTATAGCAATAAGATAGCAGGGGGAAAAAGAGCTAACGTTGAAGGGAAAGAATCTAGTCCAGTGGATCAGCCGAGAGAGAACAAGCAACCGGAGTGTTCAAAGGTGTCCAAGTGTAATAGGGTGACTCCAGATCGTGGATCCTTTATGCCCGCAACGACGCAACGACGCAACGACGCAACTACCCAACCCGACAACCCAACCGTGTGATCTTTTGTTTCAATTCTGCACATCGATTTTCTCCTTTCCAACGGTGTTTCTTCTGAGTGGCCATCTGTAGCTCTTCATCTCCAATTTAAGTCTCTCCGATAAGCCGCCCGAGCAACTCCCCTCTCAATTCCCCGAGCGGAGACATTACAACCGCGTGATTTCTCGGACATCACAGCTCATCCCAGCTCGTTGCTTGTCCGTTACTCCGTGATTGTTATAAATCAGAATTCAAACTTGACCTGGTAACATTGCCTCTGCAACGGAGCTTCCGGCGATTACTTATCGGACACCCACCGCTTGAGGTCTGCTCACCTGGTTCTTTTACAAGAGCCAGGGGATTGGGCAGATCTAAAGAGACTTGTCGAACTGGCTCACAATTTTCCATACCAGCCCTTCATCACCTCCGACCACCCTGAACCTCCTTTCCCCGTCACTACAGCTCCCGCATCGGTAGGCAATCCCGGCTCGCAATCGTCAGAGTTCCTGTCCGCCGCAGCTCAACCATCAACCATTCTATCTGCCCCTCGTATCAACCGCCGACGTCGTCTATCGAGCAGCCCGGAGCACCTTGTTTCAACCGGGGGGCCTGGACATCTCCCAGAATTCGCACGTGAGACCGCATCTCAGAATCACCCCAGCCATCTTTTGGGCCGACCGCAGGGCCGATCTCCTCCATCCAAGCGCAGGCGCCTGGTAATCATGCGTCCCGATGGGATATCTGCAGAGAATGGCTTTTCAGAAGCCTTGAATGGAGCTCCTGCTTCCACGAGGAAGATCGCCTCGAATGGGCAAACGTCAACCAACGGGAACTCTCATACAAATGGCTCCGTGCCGCAATCTTCAACCTACTATGGCCACAATCGGGAGGAGGTGACGCGGATTTTGATACAGAGCTTGTACGAGTTGGGTTATAATGAATCGGCATCCCTGTTAAGCGCAGAGAGTGGTTATGAGCTGGAAACGCCCGGCGTCGCAACGTTCCGGAGTGCTGTGTTGGACGGAAGATGGACAGAGGCTGAGAGAATCTTGATACAATCATTTCGAAATGCCGGGGCACAACAGGGGGACCGGAAATCCTCACCCGAAGTGACATTGGTATTAGCAGAGGAGGCCGACAGGAACGAGATGTTATTCTATCTACGACAACAGAAATTCCTCGAGTTACTAGAGACGCGTGATCTGGCAGCAGCTCTCGGCGTCCTCCGGCAAGAACTGACACCGTTGAACTTCGATGTTGAGCGTCTGCACGCCCTTTCAAGGTATCGCCGATCTATAATTGCCTTATCTAGAACACAAGTTGCTTACCTGTTGTCTTCGCTAGCCTTCTAATGTGCCCGACCGAGAGTTTACATGCTCAAGCGGGATGGGATGGCCCTGTCGCCTCATCCCGCGAGCGACTCCTTGGCGAATTGTCAAGTGAGTCGCGATCCATTGGCCAAAGCTCATGGTGTCACTTGCTAATCCAGCCGTAGAATCCATCTCGCCTTCTGTGATGATCCCGCAACACCGTCTTGCAGTCTTACTAGATCATGTCAAGCAGACTCAAATCAACAACTGCTTTTATCATAATACTGCTGACCCCCGTCGCTTTACTCAGATCACATGTGCGACCGAACCTTCTTCCCACTGGAAGTCAGCGTGGACTTGACGCATCACTCAGACGAGGTATGGTATTGCGAGTTCTCGCACGATGGCTCCAAGCTGGTGACTGCAGGCAAGGACCATAATGTGATTATCTACAACACGGCCGATTTCAGTGTTATCCACAGACTTACAGAACACGAGGAGGGTGTTGCGTTCGCGAGTTGGAGTCCAGATGACTCCAAACTGATTACTTGCTCACAAGACAAAAAGGCACGAGTATGGAGCGTTGAGGTAAGATAATCTTTGCACGCTAATATGTACCTTTGGAATCATATCGTTGACATGGATTGTAAATCATTTAGAGTGGTCGTTGTCTGCTCACCATCAATCATCATCGTCAACCCGTGACTGCGGCGGCCTGGGCAGCAGATGGCGAATCTTTTGTGACAGCCTCTCTCGATTCCGAAGCACAACTCCGTCACTGGAGCATGCGCGGTCAATCATTATACACGTGGAAAGGCGGATTCCGTGTGCAGGACTGTGCCATTAGCCCCGATGGGCGGCGTCTTGTTGCTGCCGACACAGAAGCGAAGATCCATGTCTATAACCTCCGTACATATGAGGAAGATTACTGCCTTCCATTGTCGAGCAAGCCGACCTCAGTTGCTATCAGCAAAGACTCTCGACACGTGCTGATAAATCTGGCCGAGGGCGAGATCCAGCTAGTCGACATGGATACTACTGCTGTTGTCCGTCAATTCAAGGGGCAAAAACAAGGCGAGTTTGTGATTCGCAGCACCTTTGGGGGAGCAGCTGAGAACTTTGTCGTCAGCGGAAGTGAAGGTAAAGTATTCTCAATCGTCAGACCCTGGAATAGTTACTGACTCTGCACAGACTCGAAAGTCTACATCTGGCACAAAGAAAATGGCAACCTCGTAGAGACCCTGGAAGGGCACATCTCTGGATGCGTAAACTCAATATCATGGAACCCAGCAGACCCAGGAATGTTCGCTTCAGCAGGTGATGACAGTGCAGTAAGGATGTATGAACAATCCCCATCCTCTCATATTGGACCTCACTAACCCAGGCTTCTAGTTGGTCCCGCGACACCAATCCCTCACGCCCAACTGGGCCTCCCCAACGCCGAGGTATATCATTAAATGGAGTAATGCGGATTAGTGCATTGAGGACAACATCCGCTTTCTGAATCTCTGGGTATAAACTAGGTATCCAAGAATGACTTCTCCGAACATACCTTCACGCGCGCTGCCTGGCTTTATTTATTTCCCCTAAATCCCCTACCTGATCGAAGGAACGTCCTCGGAGCTTTGGATTGAAAGACGATAAACCTGCTGTCTCGCAATGTTTTCATGTTTCATGTCCTTGAGTTCTCTTCTGTTTCTCCTCTCATCAACTGACCATGCCCGTCATGCTATCTTGCGCATATACATGTATGAGCCCTCCGCTTCACTCACTTTCCTCTGCAGTTAGCATTTGTCTTTCAATACAGGAATCTGGCGTCGGTTCGTATCTCCCGTCTGAGATCTTGGAGTACGTATATTTCGTATGCGTTTTCTAACTAGTTTTGGGCTGCGTTTTTTCTCTTTGTTCTTTTTTTTTATGTTCCAGCGGTTCTGTGATCAGCTCCCAGCTGGTTATTAGTTATGACTTTGATGGAATTGAACTTGACGTTAAGACTATCCTGTCTTGCCATAGATATGTTATTGGGAGGGTACGGGAAATGCAATTATATGTGTAGCGAAAGATGAACCAACTGTCTGAGTCGCCTGGAGCGCATTATCCTTGATTTCTTTACTGGCATTTTTCACACTTCTCGACGTCTATATCATATAGCAAACTAAAGGAAGGCTTTGGCCAATGAATGTTTCCATGTCGAAGTAAAATTGATTCCATCATTCATGATTCCCTAAGTGTCAAACAAATACAGTAGAACAAGAAACTCCTTAAGAACGAAACCCTGCTACTTGGGCTCGAGACCAAAATTTTTGAAAAGAAATAAGCAAAATCGTAAACACCCCCTGGGATGTGAAAATCGGATGGCATTCTTGGACTGTTATCCCCGGTTTGTTAGTGTATGGTTTCGAGAGAGTAGTGGTCATTCGACTCACTGAAATATGTGATTATCCCCTTCCTCCACGCTAGAGTTGGCCTTATTTTCCTGAAACCCATCGTGCCGGAGTCTGAGGCATGTTCAATCAATGCAAGCCTATTTGAAGCCAGGTCGCTTTTGACGAAAGAAAAGATGCTGTAAACACAATATTGGAGATGGGAGATTATGATAGCAAGTCCGCAACTAGAGCAAAGCGTTAGCATGGCAATCGAAAGTATTACAGAGATACATGTCTTACCGTTCATTGGCATCTCGTCAATTTGAGTGGAGTAGTACAACTCGATGTCACGGAGGATGCGAACATCATCGCTGGTGACAAAGTTGATGGCAACACCCTTGCGACCGAATCGTCCGGATCGACCAATACGGTGAATGTAGTTCTCACGGTTGGTGGGAAGATCGTAGTTAATGACAAGGGAGACTTGCTGGACATCAATACCACGAGCCCAGACATCGGTGGAGATCAGGACACGGGAATTGCCCTGGCGGAAGTCCTGCATAATACTGTCACGCTCCTTCTGGGGCATCTCGCCGTGCATACTGGAAACAGTGAAGTTTGCCTCACGCATCTTATCAGCAAGCCAGTCGACCTTTCGGCGGGTGTTACAGAAGATAACAGCCTGGGTGATGGTCAAAGTGTCGTAGAGATCGCAAAGTGTGTCGAACTTCCATTCCTCCTTCTCAACGGCAATGAAATATTGCTTGATACCCTCCAGTGTCAACTCGTCGCGCTTGACCAGGACACGGACGGGGTCGGTCATGAACTTGGTGGTCATGTCCAGGACATCGTATGGGAGAGTGGCAGAGACCACGACGACCTGCGTCGCGGGGGGCAGGTAACGGTAAACATCATAAATCTGCTCACGGAAACCGCGGTTAAGGAGCTCATCGGCCTCATCAAGAACCAGCATCTTGATGTGACGTGTGCGCAGGTTTCGTCGACGGATCATATCAGCCACGCGACCAGGAGTTCCAGAGACAACATGCTGGCCATAGTCGAGTTTGCGGATATCTTCACCAATGTTGGTTCCTCCAATGCAGGCATGGCATTGGACATTCATGTAATCACCGAGGGCCATAACAACGGATTGAATCTGGGTCGCGAGTTCACGGGTTGGGGAGAGGACCAAAGCTGTGAGGAAATTATGGTTAGAGCCAAAAATGTACTCAGATTAAACCGAAAAAGACCTACCTTGGGTCTCCCGCACAACGGTATCAATGATTTGCAATGTACTGATCGCGAATGTGGCGGTTTTACCAGTACCGGACTGGGCCTGGGCGATGGTGTCGCGACCTTTACAGATCTGAACAATGGCACGAGATTGCACGGCAGAAGGAGATTCATATCCATAGGCGTAGACTCCACGAAGCAAGCTTTCCTTCAGGTGCATATCCTCGAAGGTTGGCGCAACTGTCACCTCCTTGGACGTATTGAACTCCATGCGCTCTGGTTGCTGTTAGCATGCTGTATATTGCTCAAGGTGGGAACCACATACCTTCGGCGCGTCTGTCGATTCCGTCCGCCATGATAAAAAGTTGGATATCTCAACGGCAGTTAAGAATTGTATTTGGGATTCACGAGTAGTGAAGCCTTGCAAGTAAGTGAGGTCAATCAGCCCAACTTTTCGCGGCGAAAGTGGTACTGGCCACGTGATCTTCCCGCGAATTGGAGGACTCAGCAAGTGAGGTGTACCTAAATCAGGCAGGCGGTGAGAAAGGCGGTGAGGAAACTGGACCAATCAAATTCAAGTCACAGGTAGCAGTTATGACCGCCCAGAGCTGCCAATCGACAACGGCATTTTGCGATCACTACAGCACTTTGTCAATCACCCACACGCGCAGTTGAAAAGTTGAAAAGTTGAAAGGCCCCCTGCACTGCAGTATTTTATCCAATATGTTGCTTGAAGAGCAGAGGTTTATCCATGAGGATCTTGAGCGCCTGGAACAGGCTGTCGCCGACCGCGTGGCGGAAGATCCCCGAAATGTGAGTTTACCCGCGGTATATACCCTAGCGCATTCCTTTTTTTAATCTAACAGAAGAATTTCGACAGATCCGAGTCCGTTTGTCACGCGACCATGAAGTTGCTCAGTTTTTAGAGAGAATCGAGACTCAATCCAAGCGACTTTTAGAGACCTACCAAGATGCCGATGGGCTGCGAGAGAAAGAAATCCAGTCTATCTCAACTGGCGATCAATTCGAGGAGTTCTACAAGCAGCTGGGGGAGATCAAGGAGCATCACAAGCGCTATCCGAATGAACCCATTGAGAACCTTGAACAAGCATACAACCGCCGTCAACCTGGGGAGGGAGAGGCCCCCCGCACCGGAATCGATAACATGTTCAATGGCGAAGAAGGGTTTGGACAATACCTCGACCTTACTCCTTTCCATAAAGATTATCTGAACCTTCCAAACGTAAAGCGCTTGAATTACGTCCAATATCTCGAAATCTTCGACTCATTCACACCACCAGCTATGCCAATCAAGCGAAACGATAAAACCTCCTCTGATCGTTATTTCAGTTACGTGGGTGAACTTGCTGCTTATTTAGAAAGCTTCATCAAGAGGGTTCAGCCATTGCAACCTTTGGACGAGCTTTTTGCTAGCTTTGACAAGGAATTTGAAAAGCAGTGGTCTGCCAAGGAGGTCCCAGGTTGGACAGAAGAAAAGACCGAGAACGGCACCTCTGGCCCAGCAACTGAAGGTACGGGCGAGGGCATGTGGTGCCCAGATTGCGAGAAGGAATTCAAGAATGAAAACGTCTACCGGAACCACTTGCCCGGTAAGAAACACATTCGGCTGGCAGAAGCTCGGAAGGCAGCAGGTTCCACCGACGCGAAGCCATCCGCATCTCAATTGAGGTCATCTGCCCACAGCTTGAAGGAGCGCGAGGTCGCCCGACGTGAACATCAAATTCGATCCTTGACAAATGTCTTGCACGAAGAGCGACAAGCGACACGAATCAATGTCGAGCGCCGACAGGGTATGACAGAACGTGAACGTCAAGCGGAATTGGAAGCCATCCAGGCTGGGCTCTACAACACGGGTCCCGAGGCTAATGGCGGCGAGGAGTCTGACAACGATGACGAGGAGCAAGTTTACAACCCATTGAAATTGCCGCTGGCATGGGATGGAAAGCCTATTCCGTTCTGGCTCTACAAGCTTCATGGACTGGGCGTCGAATATCCCTGCGAAATTTGCGGAAACTTCACCTACATGGGTCGCCGCGCATTTGACAAACATTTCTCTGAATCTCTCCACATCTACGGATTGAAGTGTCTTGGCATCACGTCGAACACTAATTTGTTCCGTGAGATCACTAGTATCAATGAGGCCATTGCGCTCTGGGAGCAACTTGACAAGGATCGGAAGAAGGAGCGAGATTCGCGCGAAAATGTCGTTCAGATGGAGGATGCGGAGGGTAACGTGATGCCCGAAAGGATCTATTTGGATCTGCAAAAGCAAGGCATTCTCTGAATGGGGACATTCTCTTTTCTTCCATTTCGTTACATCTGGCGTCCTTTTATTTCACACGAATGGTAGGGAGTTCGGCGAATACATGTTCCTTACAATCATGCTGATGTTTCAAATGGCTCGGTCATGGGCCCGAACTTGTTATTATTACTTCTCATACGAATGTACTATTACAATCAACGACTTTTAATATAATGTGGTTCACATTGAGTGCTCATAGTGTCCTTTGTGCGATAGTCTCTCAGTCATCATGACATTAAAGTGGTCACGTGCTCACGTGTCGTTTTTCCTTTTTTCGCGTTCCAGCGTAGGTCTCCCGAGGTCGAGTCTGACCCCGATTTGATGATCTGAAAATCCCACACTTTCCTGGGTAGCCACTGGGTGACTGACCCGCAGATGGGCCATGGGCTTTCAATTTGCCTTCGTGGGTGACCTACTGTCCAGCCTGGACGACAACAGAACGGCTAAGGCATCGACTGCATCGAGGAACGACAGTATCAACACAGTTGCCCAGTGGTTTTCACGTCATGAAGGGGCTATTCATCATGCACAAACAGACCGGGTAGCTTTGCTTTCGTGTATATTTCCCGAAAAACGGACGGACCGAGTATACTCGTTGCAGGCCACGAAACTATCAAGAGTCATCGGCCGTTGCTTAGGGTTGGGATCGTCACGAGTCTCTGAACTCAACCAATGGCAAAATCCTGGCGGTTCTGATCTCGGAGGTTGTGTGGAGAATGTCATGAGGCAGGCCGAGAATTACATCCCCGCTGGCCAGGAAATATCGATAGAAGAAATTGATCGTGCCATGGCCCTGCTTGCATCGCGTTGCCGTCATTCTGGTCCCAAGATCCGCCGGGATCGTACAGCCGTGAATGTTGAGGATATTATATCGAAATTGTACCGCCGATTAAGTAGTCGTGATGCCAAGTGGCTCACTCGCATGATACTCAAAAGCTACTCCCCCGTCGTTGTCCCAGAAAGTTATACATTGAAGAAGGTCCACTTTCTACTGCCACAATTGCTTCAGCTCCAGAACTCCTTTGAAGGGGCGTTGGGAATGCTCGCCTCGGATCCAATTAGCCAATTCCCACCAAATCCGGATGCCAAAACGGCCAAAAGACTTAGTGACATTGCTCGGCACCATTTGCGCCCTCGCCCTGGTGTCAAGGTTGGTCGACCTGATTATTACAAAGCTCGCAGTATCAAACACTGTCTCCAGATGATCAATGGCCGTCGAATGAGCATTGAACGCAAATACGATGGTGAATACTGCCAGATCCACATCGACCTCTCTAACAAGTTCACTCCCATTCAAATCTTTTCCAAAAGCGGCAAGGATTCGACCGCGGACAGAGACAAGATTCTACCTGTGGTAGAGAAATGCCTGCGTATTGGGTTACCTGACTGTAAAATTTCCCACCGATGCATTCTCGAAGGAGAGCTGCTTGTATGGAATGATGATGATGGTGAGCTCATGGACTTCAACAAACTTCGAAGGCTCATTCCACGATCGGGCACTCTCCTTGGTGTCGAGAGTGATTCTCCGTGCGTGTCCATTTCTTATGAAATAAGATTTCTCCGCTGATTGATATAGGCCTCAACCGTATGAACACCTGATGATCATGTTCTTTGACATTCTCCTTCTTGATGATGAATTATGCCTCGCGAAGGCCCATAGGTTACGCCGATTACGTTTGCAGGAAGTAGTGATGACCATTCATGGTCGGGCAGATCTCGCCGAGCAAGAAGTCGTTGACTTCGGCCGAGTTGACAGCTATCGCCGGCTCGAAATAAGTTTCGAGAAAGCGATTGCCAGACGTTGGGAGGGATATGTCCTAAAGGCTTCCGACGAGCCTTATTTTCCGATCTACTGCTCTGGTGTAGATTACATGTTCGGTCGGTGGATCAAACTCAAGAAAGATTATATCCCTGGCCTTGGAGACACAGTGGACCTTGCGTTGATTGGAGGGACTTACAACTCTAAAGATGCTCCTAGCTTAGGACATATCAAAAAACTGAAATGGACGCACTTCTTGATTGGTTGTCTTACGAACAAAGAAGAGGTCAAAGAAAACAATGCCTTGCCGCATTTCCGAGTGGTTGATGTGGTTGGTCGATTCGGTATGAGCATTCAGAACATGCAAATGCTCAATCATCATGGCGAGTTTTATGCCCGTGAACCGGACAATTATGAAGGCTTCCACCTCGAGTACGGATGCGAGAGCCTTCCCATTGCAACCGCTCTGTTCAAGCACCCGTTCATCGTTGAAATGCTAGGCAGTGGATTTGAGAAACCCTCTGGCGCTAGATACTTCACACTTCGCTTTCCTCGCATTTTGAAGATCCATTCGGATAGGACTTTGGAGGATGCAGCTTCTTTGCGCGAATTGCACCTCCTAGCAGAGGAAGCCCGGGCTGTACCCACAGATGAGCTGGAAGAGCGCGAAAAATGGTCACAGCGCCTAATGGCTGGGAATGGGCTAAACCAGTTCGTTAAGCACTCGCCGAGCCCAGAGGCAACCTGTTCAGACACAGACAATGAGACGGATTCTCCGTCAATCCAGGCTCCCAAATTCTCCCAAGCTGCCATATCCTCCGGTAATGGTGTGATGGAGACACTTCCATTGATGGAAGGGCTGCTTGCAGAGTCCACCGGGGATGATAAACATGACGGATTACACAATGACCACCCAGATCCTCCTATGCTCTATATTGATGAGACGATACTTCCCACGGAAGCTCAGGATTCATTCCTCGAGAACAGTGTACTCGCAGACAACGAGAATCTGTCCTCTCGTCGGAAATCTAGCCAGAAAGATGAAAAGGCTGCACCACAGGAATCCGAAGAGTCTATTGCGGCCGTTTGTTTCGATATGCCACCGCAGCCCGTGTATTATGATCTTCCAAGACCAATTCAAAGAACCACTCTTGTCTCCGCACACAGGGTGTATTCTCAAGAATTACAAGACCCACAGACATCACTCTGGGGGAAGTTGGTTGCGCCTATACGAGTTAGACAGAAACGCAAGATCTCACCTCAATCTCCTATAACAACCATCCCTATATGGACACCCGAAACATCTTTGGGAAGCTTCACACTTGCAAGTGTTGATGATGGGCCTAACAAAGCTCCTGAAAATCACGATTTGCATAATTTTATCCACTGTATCTGCTCTGATGCAGCGGCTTCTTCGCTCCAACACTCAAATCCCTATGCCGCATCACAGGGGACACGATTTGGCATTGTGCTATTTGATCCCAAAGCAAGCCAACTAGGTGAAGAAATGCTCAGGATTGCCACAGCCCTTTCCAGCGTTGTCCATGCTGGAGCGAATGTCATCCCTGCCACGGGGAAAATATTCTTCTTAGGATCGACCATCCTAGATCGAAATTTGTCCCCTGGTGACCTTCGCTTTTGCTTGCGTGATACGTGGCAGGATGTTGGATGTGTTGACTCTTATAGCTGTCTTTCTTGGGATCTGAACATGAGATCTGATAATAGAATTAACGAAAGAGAAAATACCCGCTCTGACTTCGACCAACTCTGTTCTTATAGGGCCAATGAGGCATTTGAGCAAAAGAGCTCTGGGCTGATGCCCCCATGGATCCAGATGACCTTTGAGGAGACAGATGTTGCTGTGCTGGGCGAATATATCTCGATCGAACCACTAGCCCATATCCTAGATATTTGATACCCCTTTTTGCTACCAGTTATATTGATAATTGCTGTTCTTTATGACAAAACAGCATGTTATACTAGTTGCCTTGATGTCTGTGAGGTAGCCATAAGAACTCAAGTCATACCTATTATATTTGAAGACTACATGTAGTAAAATGCTTCGCAGTCATGATAATTCATACCTCATTGTATTAGTGAAGCAATCATGCCGCACCTTCCCGTCTCGCTCGAACGTCTCTCATCAATGCCTTTGCCTCCTCCACCTCAATTCCATCCTGACACAATTCGCTTGCGAGCTGGTCTGCACGGTCAAGATCGCCACTGCGGGAGGCGTACTGTGCCAACCACAACCGTGCTTTTGACGTAGTAGCTGTAACGCCAGTGCCGTTCCACGTCTCACTAACGATGGAGTCATCGTTCTGCGCAGCGAAGGACTCGGCCTTAGCGCGGGGCTTGCGATTGCGACGGCGTCGCTGTGACCTATCAGGCTCTTCGTCTCCCGAATGCTCGATCTCGGCGTCGCTTTGATTGCCATGCTCGGAGGGAGAGGATTCGCCATCATCTGAATCCTCAATGGGGGGAGCGCCAGACTCTTGTTGGAGAGTAAGTTCCATGTACGCGGCGGCCTCTTCCTCGTCACCGAGGCGCTCGTACAGAGTCGCGATTTGATGCAGGGTTTCTGGGTCTAGAATCTTGCGGCTCCCAGAGCCCGCGCCTGCACCGGCGCCCGGTTGTCCGCTATCATCCGGCTGTAATGACCCGGCCACCAGTGCACGCTTCAGAGCTTGGATGCTCTGTTCCACACGGCCCATTTTCGCGTAGCAGGATCCGACTGCCTGCCACATCTTTGGGTCATAGGGACGCAGTGCTGCGGCGCGCTGGTAGTAGAACAAGGCATAGAAAGACATGTCTAAGACTTCATAAGCCTGTCCAAGACCATACCAAGCGCGGTAGTCCTTGCGATTGACATCGACAGCTCGGCGGTATGATTCGATAGCGGTGTGAGTATTCTTCATCTCAATGTACTCATGGCCCATAAGTGTCCATGCGGACAAAAAGTTGCGGTCGAGGGTGAGTGCACGTCGGAAGTACATGACTGCCTTCTCATGCTCAGATTTTAATGAGTAGTAATTACCCACGACACAGCAGGTTTCCGGACGGAACTTATCGGTGGCTGTTGCAACTTGAGCGACGAACGCAAGCTGAGGTCGGTGGTCCATAACATAAAGGATGTTCGAATAGTGGTCTAGACTATCTAGACGGTGAGGTGATGTGGCCAGAATATCTTCGAATATGTGTGATGCTTCCTCGAAGTCTGGATTATATCACAATTAGCATCATTAACAGGTTGCATGACCATTGGAGATTTCAAGGTGTTACCTTTCGAATGATATAACAACAATGCATGTTGCGTTTTGAGGAAAGCACTTTCAGGGAACATTGACTGTAGTTCGGACAGCGATCGATATGTGTCTTCCGTGGCCTGATACAGCTCCTGGCTGCAATAGACGTAGAATATTAAGCTCATCACGTTTTGTGGCAAAAGTTCAAGGATTTGTTTCAACTGGTAAGATTAGCGGCGATGAAAGGAAGTTTCTACGGAATAACTTACATCCTCTGTACTGCCTAGAAGATCGTTTAGTTCCTGCCAGGCGCCCCAATGGTATGGGTTTTGGTGCACACAGCGAATGAGCCACTTCTTCGCCAGCTCTTCATTGCGTCCTTTTAACAAGACAACAGCATAGAGATACTCCAGCCATCCCTGCCCTCGATCATCTAACCCTTGTGCGGAGCGGTCAGATAGCCATCCATCTAGACCTCTGGCAAGACCGGATAACTCTCGGTTGACCGCCATCCCACCGTCCGCAGGGCCCAACACCATCTCTGTTTCTTCTTCTTTGCGCTTTTCTCCGGCTAAATATTTAGCATAGAGGGCAAGAAAGAGCGATTTTTGACTGAGCCTGGGATATGGGTTCTGGGATATTTGATTCTTCTGGGTCTTTGGGGTTTGGAAGGGCGAAGCCTTGTCCTTGCTCTTGTGAGAGGTCCGTGGTGGTCTTGACTTGGAGTTGGGCGAGGTAACTGATAAAGGGACTGGAGGCGTTGTTGGAGGGAGAAATACGGCCGCACAGCGGTCATATTCACGGGTATCAAAGAAAGACTTGGCCAGAAGGTACTTGTATGATTCTTGTGCCTCAAGGGAAGCTTCTACTGGGTCGCGGACTTGGAGATAAGGGTTCGTAGCTGGCGGGATTGGGTCTGAAATCTCCATCGGAGACTCGAGATCGGTGTCTTCATGCTCCAAAGGTCGGATAGAATCAAGCATTTCAGCAGCCCTGTGTTCGTTAGCTTTATCAGCACTTCACATTTCCTAGATTGCAGTTTATTATGCGTACCATTTTGACGATTGATAGAGGCATCTTTCAGAGCATTTGATGGCAGCATTTTCTAGCTGGTACATGAGCTCCCGGATGCCCTCATCGTTAGGTTCTTCCATGACAGGCGACTTTGGCCCAAGTGGGTGGAGGTGTTTCGAGGTAAATTGTTTCGTGCCGCGGGAAGTTGATCAAGCTCGTAGGATATTAAAAGCATTCGCGAGAACTCGGTATCATGATTTGTTTCAGTCGTCCGAACGACACCACCGCTGCGGTTTAAAGCCGAAGATAAAGTGCTGTAAATAAAGGTCTTGGCCCTTGTCGCGTTGTTGATATGGACGAAAGAGCAACGCACAGAGCAACGCACCGAGCAGCAGCAACGGAGCGAAGAAGCAGAAGGATCTCAAGCAGGCTATCAATGGTTACTGATCGCACCGTAAGCCGAAGATCGTTCAATGGCCTTGAAGAGTCCGAGTAACGTCGAAGTAGTCCTCGGAATGCGCCTGGAGAAACAGCACCCACGAGGCAAACACAACAAACAAGGCAAACCCACCAAACGGTCCCTCCGCGGGGAAAGGACCCTTTGATTGTTGGGAATGTTTCCCTTCTCTAGTGTCACATCATTAATATTTGAAACACTCTCTCACAATGGCTTCTACTACTAAGCGTGCCGATTTTGAGGCCGTTTTCCCTGCCTTGGCTCAGGATATCCTTGCCCACGCAAAGCGCTACAACCTCCCCGCCAATGCGCTTGAGTGGTTCGAGAAGGTGACTGATCCCCCCTCATTCGTTGTTCTTAGCGCTCAATTGGATCACTAACATGACTATGTGTTTTTGATAGTCCCTCAATGTCAATGTTCCCGGTGGAAAGCTCAACCGTGGCCTCTCGGTCCCTGATACCGGTCTCGCTCTTTTGCAGAAGCCCCTGACCGAGCAGCAATTCGAGCACCTCAGCATCCTGGGTTGGATGACTGAGCTGCTCCAGGCCTTCTTCCTGGTCAGCGATGACATGATGGACAGCTCCATCACCCGTCGTGGCCAGCCCTGCTGGTACCGCCACGAGGGTGTCGGCATGATCGCCATCAACGACGCCTTTATGCTGGAGTCGGGTATCTACCTTATCCTGAAGCAGCGCTTCCGCTCTCACCCCGCCTACATTGACTTGGTTGAACTCTTCCACGAGACCACCTGGCAAACTGAGCTGGGTCAGCTTTGTGACCTGATCACCGCTCCTGAAGATAACGTCAACCTCAACAACTTCTCCATGGAGAAATACATGTTCATCGTCACCTACAAGACCGCTTACTACAGCTTCTACCTTCCCGTTGCCCTGGCTCTGATCTACCTCGAGCTGGCCACCGAGGAAAACCTCAAGCAGGCCCATGACATCCTCATTCCCCTGGGTCAATACTTCCAGATCCAGGACGACTACCTTGACAACTTCGGTGACCCAGCCACCATTGGCAAGATTGGTACTGATATCCAGGATAACAAGTGCTCATGGCTCGTTAACCAGGCCATCGATCGCTGCACTCCTGAGCAGCGCAAGCTCCTCGATGCTTCTTACGGCCGCAAGGACGCTGCTGAGGAGGCCAAGGTCAAGGCCCTCTTCAACGAGCTCGGACTTGAGAAGGTGTACAAGGATTACGAGGAGAAGGTTGTTGGCGAGCTGCGCGAGAAGATCGCCGCCGTCGATGAGTCTAAGGGCCTGAAGAAGGAGGTCTTCGAGTCTTTCCTTGGCAAGATCTACAAGCGCACCAAATAGAGGATGATACACCGTTGTGGATTTAGAATAATACCCATCGTTCAAGTGGTGCGTGCCGATTCATTACTTTAACAGCGCCTTTGCACAAAACTGAACATATTTCGGCGATGCTCCTTTGATTAAATTTAATATTTCGGGTTCATTTTGTCCGATTTAATAATAAGAATGAGATAAGACTTTTATTTCAGCCAATTCAGTGTATAATCTAAAACCTAACAACGCTAAAAAGCAATCCAGCAATCCCGCAAAACATGTCTATATTTATAAATGAGGAGCATTCAGTGCCATCAGACACATCAATCCCGAAACCAATCCCGCACAAGGCAAAGTCAACATCCAACCACCGAAAATAAAACCAAGCTGTCTCCAATTGACAGCCCCAAGATCATAATTCATAAGAGCGACGCCCATGGAAGCACCTGTCAAGCACTGCGTCGTGGAAACAGGCAGCCCCAGTCTCGAAGCCACAAGTACAGTGATGGCTGCTCCGAGCTCAACACTGAAGCCACGCGTCGGCGACATCTGGGTGATCTTGTTGCCCATCGCACGGACAATGTTGTATCCGTAAAACCAAAATCCAGCACCGAGCAGCAGACCTGCAATGACCACGAACCAGATGGGAGTGGGGGCCTCAGTGTCGATAACGCCAGCCTTGTATGTGCTGTATACGGCTGCCCAGGGTCCAACGGCATTGGCAACATCGTTTGAACCGTGCGCGATCGACATCATCATGGCCGATACAACTTGGCAGTATGTCCAGAGATGTTCGACGCGGTCGTCGTAGCGGTGAGCGCGAGCGTGAATTGCCCGCAGAGCAGCCGAGTCGTCGTATGAAACCACATCGCGCGTCACGCCTTGCAGAAGGAGCCATTTGATGTAGCCCCAGGCCTTTTGGGGGTTTGTCCATGAGAGATCTCGGACGGGGTCGATGAATCGCTCAGTGGGTCCAATGTGCTTCTTGCGTGGCTGGATCTCTGGTGAGGGATTGGCCGAATCCATGTTCTTCTCCTCGTCGTCACCAATGTGATCCAGGTGGGTCTTCGCCCTGATCTCTGGTGTGGGCATGACCGAGTCTGCAGTGGCTGTGGCCTCTTGCTTGGCTGCGTCATTTTGGCCGGCTTGCACCTCGCCGTGTGAATCTGAATAGTAGTTGATCACGACCTTGTCGCCCTTGCCTGGGTAATATAGAGGTGGGTTTTCCTTCAGCAGCAGGGGGCCAAGAGGGAGATGATAGAATCGGATTCGGGTATCGTTGTGGATGAGACGGCGTTTGAAGTACGGCATGAAGAAGACATAAGCGATGATGAGACAACCGAAGAAGACTCCCAGGATAATTCCCGCTGCCTTTCCAGCGCCGAATTCCTCCAATGAGGGTGCCGTAGGAGCTTCAACGACAATGAAAAGAGCAAGGATGGCACCTGTGAGGGCAAGGTAAAGTGGAATCAAGCGCATAGCCCACTTGAAGGAATCAGCGCGCTCAAGGACACTGTACTTGAGGGATCCGAAGATGATGGCCGAGAAACCAGCTGCCACGAGGGGAGCAATACCCCAGGATGCAGCAACCTGGGAGACACTCCCGTCGTCCCAGCCCCAGGAGATAGAGGCTCCAGAGGCAAAGCCAACGCCAACGAGGGCACCGACGATGGTCTGCGTGGTCGAGACAGGCCAGCCCAAGTGAGTGGCGAGCATCAACCATGTGGCGCTGCCAATTTCAGCACATCCCATGGCCAGCATGAGTACACCGGGTTTTCCCTCAAACCGATTGATGTCGATGATGCCGTTTTTGATTGTATCGGTGACTCGTGCGCCCATGGCTACCGCGCCAATGAACTCAGTGAATGCAGCCAGGACACCGGCCGTGGCCATGTTGAGTGTCTTGGCTGCAATAGATGTGGCATAGGAGTTGGCGACATCGTTGGCCCCGTTGCCGAAAGCACTGAAGACGAAGGCGATCGAGGTGAGGGCTAGGATCCAGTCATACTTCGCAGTTGCTGCCGGTATCATGGCGGCGAAAAGCTATGATCTGCCACGTAACAAAGAGGAGGGATGGGAAGGACGAGGAAAAAGAATTGACTTGAGCACTATCCCAGAACCCGAAAGTGACGGTATCCTTATAGGAAGTGCAAAATCATCGCCACGACCATCGCCAAGTGCATCCGGCGATAGAGGCCTTTGCTGACCTTGGCCTGATCCATAATGCGCTCCATGCTGGAAATATTTCTAGCCCATCATAAAGATCTCATTCACAGCGTGCACTCGACATGGAGCGGTCATTGGTTGAGTCGTGGGCGACTTTCTCCGAAGGCCAAAGAAGAGCGGGAGATAGCGCCAAGGCCTAGGAGCGGATGCCAAGCGCGGACTATGCGCGTTTTCCGGCGACGATATTTTCTCTGCGGATCATACAGGCCAGTCATATTGGGTAAATCAGCACGTTTCTGGGCGATGGCCTGCGATTGCACGTTTAATAGAGCTTAACGTGGGTTTTGTGTGGGTGCCCAGGCGCTTGGAAGTCTGGGCTTCTCGGCGGGAGTTGCACTGCCTCCGCTTGGCATAATTGGCATAATGTCACGGTCGAGTGCCAGGAACTGGCAAACCGAGGAATTGACTGCTTCCCTGTTATGTCCCAGCGGGGTTATACTTTATATGGAGAGGAGGCGTGCATAACGGTACCACACATGAATATAGCGTAGTACGTCCCAGCACTGCTACTCAAACGCGGAGTGAATTCGAATCCACCAGATGAACACTCGCGAGAACCCCTCAATTACCTCGAAGAGGTTAACACAGTACGCTATGTGTTAGTAGATTAAATGTACGGTGTAGCAAAGTCAAATATACTGACGGTCCACTTTTGACCAACTAAGGAGTACCAGTTGCATATTGAGCCTGTTGCGCTCTGCTCATGGCCATAGTCGTATGTAAAGTCTCCTTGGTATAAGTACGAAACTTGCCACCTAAATGAAATCTTCTGCTTTGACAATCAATTACTTGGTGGTGCGTCATAACATGATATCAATTGGCGAGGGTACGAGTCCCAGAGCACGCAAATCATGTTTCATGCACGACATTCTAAGTCATTAGACACCCATATTGACAAATTTTTCTTTTCCAATCGCTTATTTAGCCCTTAGTTTCTCTGACTTCAGAATCCTGGCGCTATATCCGGGCAAATAACCCAGACCAGCTGACACAAAATACGACTTGCGTTGTGCATGGGTTTTGTTGAGCTGCACATCCATACCGTAGAGAGCCGCCCTAAAGAGGTCTAGATAAGCAGCTTTTCCGGTAAAAAAGATGTGAAATGCAAAACACGAAGAAAAAAAAAACCAATCTTTTGCCGCTTGCAATGCCAATGTAGCATGGCGCATCATGTTGCCACCTGGATCCACCAGAACAACCATACCAAAGTACCGGTCAAAGCAACCCTAATTGGCGGTTCTCGAAAATAGACTAGCCCAAGTGAGCCTCACTGTGCTTCCGAATATCATGCTCAACTATTAGAGCCGCAGGGCGAGGGATATGCGAGGCCGACTTGGCCTTCTCGTGTAGCATTTGCGGGGACTCAAGTTGCATTTGACTGGGGCGAGGCCACGAGGGTTGAAATTTTGGAATGCACCGGGCTTAGAGGCTGCTCGGTATGCCAAGGATGGAACACAGGAAGGAAGGTAAACTTGAATAGGAGAATAGGGTACTCATCATCGAGGCCTGAGGTGTATAGATTCATCAATGCACTATCTGACAGTCAAATTTTGCCAACTCCTTCTATGATGCAATGCAAATAACGCAAGAAAAGCTGAATGTCGCTGTAAAACAAGCACTAAAGGAGCTCTTAGCCCTGGAAAACTGCTAGGATCTGGCGGGCAGGCCCTCGATGGCGCCTACAAGGGTCTGCGCAAATCCTTGGAATCGAGGGTATGACCAAGTGTCCCGATATCTTTCAACGAGCGGCCGGTCATCAGGCTCGGCAGGAGTATCCTGTGGCTGACTCTTTGCGGTCTCATCGTCACCTTCCTCATCACTGTCCTCGGGTTCCATCTTTCCTTCAACTAATTCGCCGAATTTCACATCAATAGGCACACTTCCCATGAATGGAAGGTTCAATTCCTGCGCCATAACCTGTCCACCACCGCTCGAGAATAGGTTGCTTACCTCGCCGCAGCAGGGACAGGAATAGCCAGACATATTTTCGATAACCCCGAGAACGGGAATGTTAGTCTTAACGCAGAAGTTCGCCTCCTTGCGCACATCCGAGGTCGCCACAGCCTGCGGCGTTGTGACAAGTACAGCGCCAGCGAGTCGAGGCAACCCTGTTTGCGCAGCCGCCGCAGCGTCTGTGGTTGAGAGTGTGAGCAGTTGTTCAGCCAGCGCAATGTGCTCGTCGCTGGTGCCAGGCGGTGTATCGATCAGTAGGTAATCCGTTGGGCCCCAGAAGACATCTGATAAGAATTGGCGGATCATGGCAGTTTTCTTTGGTCCGCGCCAGATGACAGCGTCGCCGCGATCGCGCAGAAGGAAGCCCAGGGACATGCAACGGAGGGAACCGCGCTGGGATTGTGTTGAGGACGCCGAGGCTTCGACTTCAGCTGCGGGTTCAGCTCCATGAACTGGTACTGGCATCCACCCGCCTGGCGCTTGTGTGATTTTTGCATCTTCGAGTCCAACTAGTCGTGGCATTGAGGGTCCTGTCAGGTCGATGTCTAGAATTCCAACGGATTTGCCTTGAAGCGAGAGCGCTAGGGCGAGTTGGAGTGTGACGGAGGACTTGCCCACACCCCCTTTGCCGGAAAGAACCTAATTTCAACATGGTCAGTCAGTGTTGGCCAAAAAAGAGCGCATGCTTGCTCTTGTTCATGGCTTCTCGCGATGCCCTCGTTATCGATAAGCCGCGAGGGGCATTGCTTTTTTTTACCCCGAGGGCTCGCAAGACAGGATTGAGCGTAGACGTACCAGCACAACATTCTTGACCCCAGTTAAAGGCATGTCTGCAAGGTGTTCGTTTATTCTAGAGAAGTCAAGATAGGTTGAAGCGAATGGAGGCGCAATGACGGGTCTCTAGAGTGGGGAGCCGACCTCGGGCGCTTATCAATCGCCTCTGACTAACAGGCTCGTTTGGAAAGTTCCAGTCTACAGCAATGAACTGCTCTAATTATACGGATACAAAGCTATTGGCCACTTCAATTTTTGGATCTGGAGCTTGTTGTTTGGCGGGATGCCATTGCGCTACGTAGCAAATATTCAGGTAACTGCTAGGTAGGCGCCAGAGACCTCTTTGGTATCAGATATTTCATGTAACGTTCACCCATACAAACTCATTGCCCTGGTATTCGCTTTTAAGAAACACTCCGATGGGGAGGCAAAGACTCAAGACGAAATCGAAGATTAGGCGAGCGGTTTATGACTGCCACTTCTGGACGACAACGCCTCCACGTTTGAAATCGGGCATGTCGCCGAGAACAAGCTGCCAATCCTTGAGCTCCGTGCTTGGGAAGGTTGTCATTAATACCCATGCGCGATTCGCGCCGTCTGGAGTAGCAGCAGCGACGAAGGAGTAGACATCGCCAATAGTGGCAGTGGTGTTGAACCGAGAAGTCAGCCTTGTACCATCCCCGAGGCGGATTTGTAGAGTGACTGTGGGTTGAGACTCGTCCACAGTTGGCTTGGCTGGTTCTTGAGTAGATGGCCCAGCTGTAGAAGTAGAAGGTGCTGGGGCCTGAGCTCGTACACCTGGCGTCGGACTACCTAGGCGTTGTCCGGATCCTGAAAACGGCTTGTATTTTGGCTTAGGCTTGATGTACTTTTCCTCGTGCTGCTTCAATTCCACATCGACCTCCTGCCCAGGTTGCACATTCATAATAGATAGAGGCGCACGACCTTGGCGGATGCCGTCCAGGATCTCTGCATTGCGGGGATCGTCTGACCGAAACAGCTCGCCATCATCGACCGAGAAGCCATCGGCCCAGAAATGAAGGGTTCTTTGGACGCGCTGGGCTCGCTGCTGAGTCGGTGCAGATGAGGTTTCGATGACCCGGCTGGGCGCATCGTCGCCACCAAGTGTGCGGGCAGTACCGGTGAAATGCGATTCTCTTGGCTGGGGTTCGTCAGAAGGAGGAGGCTGCGCCCTGTTCATTTGAATCTAAATGTTAGTAACTTTGATTATTCGTGGTGTCTCAACAGGACATACCTGCGGGCCTTTTCAAGGATCTTCTTCTTCAAATCATCTGGGTTCTGAACAGCTAGTCCCGACTTCTCACCACCGGCAAAGAAATCATGCTCATCGCTATCATTGCCATCCGACGAGTCACCACCACCGCCACCGCCTCCTGAAGCAAAGTCTCCTAGTGTCGCAAACTTCTTCTTGGGCGCAGCGCCTCGGGCGGATGATGAGGATTCAGCTGCAGTGGAGGACGAGGCTGGTACCGCACTTCCCCCAAGTGTTCTACCTCCTGCCGAAGCTCCAGCAGTACCTTCTGTGCCAATCTGTCGGTCATCAGCATGCGCATCTTGCAAAGCTTCGTCCTGCTCCGCAAAGAACTCTGTGACAGCAGCTTCCATGTCCCATCTATTGGCGATTAGGTATTCCTGGGCCTAAATGAACGCGCGCCTAACTTTAGTTGTTGAACACACAGAAATATTGAACACAGATCGTACCTCTGAAGGCTGGGTTCCAGTCATAGCACAGAATTGAGACACAATCTCATCGTGCTCCGCGGGGTTACCCTCCATGGTTAAGCTTGGTTGGCGAGTTGTGATGATTCAAGCTGGAAGACGGGGATGAGAGATAGATGACAAGAGCGACGAATAGCTAGAATAAGCGATTCTTCCAGATATAAGAAGAAACGATGTAAGTATCACGGACCTGTGTTAGATGACAGAGCTAAACACTCCAGCTGCCCGGTACGTCACTCTCCATTGGTCAGCCGGTGCCTGGGATATTCCGTCCCGCTAATGCCTGAGGTTCCAATATGTGACACCTCAGGCACAATCCACCATGTCCAATCGTGAAACACAGATTAAGGGAAACTCTCTGGAATCACGGATTGACTCGTAAGGCCAGATCAGGATACTCGCGATGAGAGCCCATCTTAAGATCTGAGAGTTATTGGGAATGCCTCAACATCGATTTTCAACTCTCAATATATAACTCTGCGTCGTTGTTACTATAGATTGCCAGTTCTTGCAATTCGAACCCTATGAGATGCCCATGTGACTGCTTGATCTTCGCGAGATGATGACCCCAGATAATCCCGGATAGAACGCTAGTCCTTTCCAATCAGCACTCACGATCCGACAGTATGGATGATGGTGGTGTTTCCGATAATTGACCTACACTAGGTTGGCAGCAAGCATCGCAACATGACATTGACTGTTGCCATCTGATGCATTCGAAGAACGAGATCCTGAACCAATGGCACTGAACAAACGATGTTGATAATAAATTAACCCTAATTCATTGCACCTGCAGCTATTGGAGTGGATCATATCTGCCCCATTCTGCTCTGGGGCATGTTTTGTTGGCTCGAAAGCATACAGATGGCTTCACGCTAGTAGATGCCTTTGGTTGATCGCCCCTTGCCTTTTGCTTCCTCATCTTTCTATTTTCAGGTTGCCCTATATGTGGTTCAAAGTTTGAGGTGCTACTGGGCTTTTGCCGTCAGCATTGTACATAATCATGCGCTTCATTCTCAAGGGCAAGCAATCGATATCGTTCAAGGACAAAGACTCTTCTACCAGCAAGCTCCATGCCAAGCAAAACAAGAATAGTATCAAGAGAAAGAGGTATTCGAACGCGACCCAATTCTTTGTGAAAATCCCTCCTTTACGGTGCAACCAAGAGTCGTCATAAAGGGACTGGGAAGGGGGTCTTCTGGACAAAGAAAGCCCCGTCTGCCAGTTATAGGCGCTGGATTACTTGCCCAACATGCCCTAAGCTACCAATTCTTGCCAAATGTGAGGTCCATGACGGGATAAACCAAGATGTGAGTGCTACTCGGTACGAAGCAACGTCTTTGTCTATGTATGATCCTAGCGTGGAGGCTTGTGGGAGGATTGCCTTCTTTCTACTCCGTACATTCTATGATGCTCTATTTGAAGTATAAGACAAGTCTATGGAACTTTCTGTTCGAGCTTTCTTTCCCATAAAATATCATACTTTCTTCATCTTTCATCAAGGCCTTGCAGAATCAAGCTTCATCAAGCTCATTATACCTAACATGGTGCGCACTACGACAGCGACTCAGACGAAAAAGAAGAAAAAGGTGAAAGCATATGCTGACCAGCCTCCCCGAGTCACGCCTGCGCGGAAGGCAAAATCCAAAACATCATCGGAGGGATCGTCTCGGTCGGCAGCCGTCGAGAAATCACCGGTGAAGGGAAAGAAACGCCAGAAAATAAAGACATCGGACGAGTCAAAGAAGGGTAAAAAACGCCGGAGTGAGGAAGAAACAGATGACTATGTGCCTTCCATACGAGATCTGTTCAACCCTGCTCCAAGAAATGAGGATTACACAATTGAAGACCTGCTTCCAGATCTGTCTACATCTTACGTCGGCCGATTTGAAGCACCGTCACCACCAGCTCGACCGGAAAGAAGGACATGGCCACGACAGCCTACTGACGAGCCTCTTGTCGATCCTGACAACTTGCCTCCCGGCTGGAGCATGACCGAACCAGATCTCGACCAGAAGTAAGTAGTCACCGTAGATTCATACGCATTTGTCTCTCGCTCTCTTGTGCACATACTAATATAAGTGACTTAGCGATCTTGATGCACAAATCGAAAGATGTGAAGTGAGAATCGCCGAGAATATCATGCCCCATATATTCCAGCACAAGCTAGAGCAGCTGAAGATGGAAAAGGCCGAAGAAGAGTGAGAAGAGAATGTAGCCCTATTGACCTATTACATGCTGATCAAAGCTTTTACAGTGTATTGGTCGCGTCAGAGCCAGGAACTCATAGCTGGGATGTACTGAAACGCTTGGAGATGCTGAGGGAGCTTGAAGTTGAACTCCGAAGCGAGGACAGATTTGATCAGCTTGCCAATGTGCAGGCACTCCTCCAGGCCTACCGGCAAGGAAGACTCAATTGGAACCAAGGATTGGTCACTTACTGGTCCCGAGGTGTTCAATTATGCAAGCCGAGGCCATTTTCTTGGGATGAATTCGAGGTTCTAAACAAGCATCATTCTGGTCGAACCGGGTTTTGGATGGAAGGGGTAAGTTCTTCGTTGAAACCGGTCTATAAATAAGGCCATCAAAAACTCATATCCTTTGTGCTTAGTTGGTTGGGCCATCACCCAGACGATTGCTTAGTGCTATCGTCTTATTTGGAGGAGGAACCCCTCCCGCTAGTCACTTTACTCGCAATGTATGTCCCCGAAATATTCTTACTTGGCCGATTCTAAAGTTTCTTTAGTACGAGGTTGCCGTTCGCATTCCTGGCAACAATTGGTGGTCAGAGTTGAGGTTCTGTTATGACACCGGGGCAGACATCATGACGCTGTATCAGGGTGATCTTCAGTTCCTCATGGGCAATTCACAGACTGAACCCACATGCATGGGGATGGACAAGTTGACGTTTGCGAACATGAGTTCCCAATATATGCCAGTTGTGGAACTTGAAGTGAGTATACTGGATGTGCTCAGCCGCCGACGGATGACGAATTGGGTCAGAGTGCAATGCCAGGTGTTTCGAGGGCATTGTACCCGTACGAGCAGCCGATTGGATGGCCCATGGCTACGCTACATGTTATACACAGCAACCGCTCCAAATAACAATGACGATATGGTTGTTAGCAATGTACACTCTCATCTTGTGAATAATTTGCCCAATACCGATGATCAGCCACCACAGCCGATTCCATATTACCGAGTTAATCATCCATACCGATGGGCCACTTTGATGCCGCGTGGAAAAGCCCCAGGCCCAAAGGAGAGCGAAGTCCCAGCACCCGTTTTGACACAAGGCAATATGCCTGGATTCGCAGGAGCCCAAAAAACACCAAACCCAGTACAACCGCCAGCCGGTGGCAACGGGCCGTGAATGATTCAAAACACCCAATTCATTCATGTTACTATTCATCTTTTCATAGTATTCTGTCTGTCTCGAATGTGTGAAGCGAAGATATATCAATGCAAGCCCATCACCATTTGCTTATTTAATGGACTTATGGAAGTTTGGACACAATAAACTCTTACTATTAAACTTGCTGTTGTGTCTCTTGTACTGCTCAAGCTCGGGATCTATGCCTTGATTAACATCATATCCCCACGAGAGCGGTTGATCTCCCGCATTTTCAGAGATCCGCCAATGCCAGCACGGGGCTAGTATGCTGATTTCGTGAGGAGACAAAGCCATGGGCTGCAACGAGCGGCAGCCTCGGTGTAACATCTCTGGGGTTGTGAGCTGAAGGATCGCTAGCCGGATGACTCTCGAACACTTGGTGGTTTTGCCATAAATTGAACATGTGAGACATGACTTGCCTTTTTGTTGTTCCTCGTTGTAGGATTTCTTTTACAGGCCCGGACGGCAGACTATTACAGCCGCAAGCGGACTTTGCAAATCGGACGTGTGGTCTTGATTGTCGGGGGTGCGATTTGTGCAGGTGCTGTCAATACGGCCATATTTCTTGTTGGTCGATTCCTCGCCGGCATGAGTGCTGCCATATTAGGCTGCATTGTTGCCAATCTACCAGTCCGCCATCCAGGGCGGAGACTCGCGGTGTGATGGTCGCTGTGACCGGCATCATGTATGTAGTCGGATACACTTCCGCCGGTTCACTTGGATTTGCCTGCCACCACATCAAAGCAATCGACCCAGCTGCACAATTCTCCTGGCGATTCCCGCTGGCATTCCAAATAATCTTTCCCGTTATCGTGCTTGCTCGAAGTTCCTTAATACCCGTTTCCTACCCAGTGGTTGCTACAGTAAGACAGACGAGATGAAGCATTTGAAATTGTCAAAAGATCGCACAGTGCGCCGGGGGACACCAATAATACCAAAGCCAGCGAAGAATTTTACATTATTGAGAAGCGATTTGAACACGATAAAACCAAAGACCGGAGACGAGCCCTTATCGCATTTATACTCATGTGGGGAGACCAATTTGTCGACGGATGTGTTTGTGATGACATACTACTCCGTACGGTGTTCTTATATATGCCAGTCTCGGACTGGGTGGCTCTGTTCCACTTCTTTTAAATGCATGCTGAACCAGCTTCCTTCTCATTGGAACCACCTGAACTGTGTTTTATATGCACAGCATTGATCGACGAAAATGCATGCTCATTGGATCAATCGCGTGCACTGTACGGAGTATCTGTGATTGCGCTCTAACCGCCAACTATCTAAGTACCTGGGAACAGCTAATCCAGCCGGTCTACGGGGGTGCAGTATTCGTTGTTGTTTTCTTTATTTTCTAGTGTTTCTTCATTGATGCAACGCACTATGTAGCTATGTGGTGGGAATATTTCCGACTCATCTCCGCTCGCAGGGTATCGCGCTTGGACTCAGCAGTTTCTATCTCGCTTCCGAGGTAACTTTAGTTGCCGCTACCCTCAACAGTATTAGATGAAGGTTTTATCTCGTTCTTATTGTTCCCGCTTTCTGCTATATTGTGGCTATCTACTTTCTTTTTCCGGAGACTAAAGGACGGACGCTGGAAGAAATGGGAGTGCTTTTTGGCGATGAGGGTCATGTTGTATCGCACCGTTATATATAACAGTACTCCGTACCGAGGAAGAACGTGCGAAAATTGCGCAGGAGACTTTCCACGATGATCAAGGTGGATCCCCTAGGGACTCACTCCCATGGGCATGAGTCCAAGCCAAGCGTTGTCCACGAAGAGGGGCCGTGAACGTACAGCGGGATCGAGCCTATGTTTCCCTGTTTTGTTCGAAAGTACGGAGTACATTGTGACATATGCTTCGCGTATGGGTGTGAGCGGTGAAGTTATTGATACAGGTCTACCATGTAGGTATACTGTGTAGCACATATAACCTATGTTGTAGCCCTGGAGCATACTACAACAGCACGGTCTTGGCACACATAAATATGTCTATGGCGTCCGTCCACTCTGAGCGTTCATTCCTTGATTGTCTCGGATGACTGTGATGAACTCAATCCATTTCTCGCATCGGATTTTAAGCCACCAAAGTAAAATTTAGTATGAATCCAGGCCATGCTCTCCGTAAGCGGCACGGACCTTATAGCTAAGTACCTTGTAGGATCGCAACGAGGAGAGTGACCCCTGATATTGTTGAGATCGTGAAGGTGTACCTAGTACTCCGTACTCCGTACTGAAAATGTCATTCAAGGGGAGAAATTTAACGCATCCCCTGAATCCGAAAAGGGATAGAACTGTTGAAGTCTGCAAAACTCTGTCTCGGGTCAACGCGGGCCATCTTGGTAAATAGCGCACTATATTAGCCGTGACCAATGGGATCCGCCAATTCCCCCTCAAGCCTCCCCACCTATACGCGGGATCCATGATAATCGCCGATAGTCTGTTGATCCGTGAAGTGGTCCCGACATCGTTTCGAGGATTTCGTGCCGTTCATCCACGGAAGGGAAAAATACATCCACAATACGTATGGAATACGATGATTACTGGCGACTGTAGCCAATAATAGGTACCTAGGTATCACTTGGGCATCTATGTTGTAGGTTCGGTTGAAGCTAGTGTTAACCCGGGTAGCCTAATTAAAAAAAAAAAAGAAAAGAACGGAGTCCATCGTACGGTAGACTTAGCATCCCAGGTTAGCACATGAAAATCCCATAGTGGATGTTGAGAGACGTTGTACTGTCCCCGGGTGTATCAAGGCATTCGAAGGCATTTGAAGGCCTTTTTATTTAGGTTTGGCGGACAACTTGGAACCGGGGATTCGACATTGGTGCCCAGATGAATGCCTTTCTCCACATTGGGCGAAACCGATCTAGCCATCTACAACTACATTCTACTATATGTGACCTATCGAAGCTCTATTCACTACAGTTAGGGCGCCGATATCATGTCGCTCATATGCATTGATGCTTTGTATCTCCAGTCACTACACAAGGAGAAACCCATGAGACATAGTCCAAGTTTCCGCCATGAATTATGTTGCCAGTTGCCAGATGAAACCACGGCATATCAAACTGAAGTTTTACCGCCATTAATCTCCAAGTTATTCTGGGGTTGGCCGGACTTGGCCAGAATGATCACAAGGTGGCACGTTTCTTGGCAGATCTCTCGAAGTAAGGCCTTTGCACGTTGATACTGCATTTGGAGTTCAAGTCTCCGCTTCTCGTACATGTTGTGTAAAGTCTCGAACTCTCGACGAGCTGTGATGGTCTAGGCTTCGCCTTCGTGAAAGGCAGAAAGAGGCGTTGCTTGAAGGGTTGCAGCCATAGAGGATGCTCCTTTCTCGTTTTCTTTGACCGCCTCTCGCAGGCTCGTCAATTGATTCTCGAGGAGATGTCGTTCCGTAAGGATCTCGATGTAGTTGCCCTGGAACTTCAGAGAACGAGTTAGTCAAGTGTGAAGGCAGGATGAGGCAGCTAGGAGAGACTGGCTACGAATGTCCATTCATGAGGAAGACGGCGAGAGGGACTTACGGCAGCCATCTTTGGGGCATCTTGATGCCAGGAGTGAGGAAGGAAGGTGTAGAAATTGGCTGAGGACAAGAAGAAAAGGTGTTTCCATCTAAGAGACCCGAATACTAGTCATATATCAACCTTGGCAGCGTATTGATTCTCTAAGCCTAACAATCTAAATGAACGACCCCTCCTTACCTACTAACCCTCGAGAGACTATCACAGTGTGAGTGCTGTTACATGGGATAGGAAAAACATCATGGCAGTCTAGTATAACGTCCAAACTGTGAGATGATCATGCTTACTCCAAGTTCTAGCATGGAATGGGACCAGGCATGTAGTACAAACAAAGGATAGTGATTGGAATGCTTTCCCACCGACGGCTTCCATGAGACCAAGAAACATCTTAAATATCCCCCAGCACATTAGTCTCCTTATGTCTCACTAACAATACCAAGGCTCTCCAATATTCCAGGGTTGCAGACAATGCTGACGTAGGGCTTGATTCCGCATTTGGACGCCCCACGTCACGTGCTGGGGTACCATCGTCCCGGCGCTTAATCCCAGCTTCTTCGAACAAATCGCGTGCAATTTCAAATTGAGCTTTCATTGCCTAACATGCTGTTTTGGATTAACTAGTGGCCTTGTGGAAATTTACCTCTTGCCAATGTCTTGAATCCACTTCCCGACCTCGAAATTGCTTCTGATCCTCAAACCCCATGCTGCGAATAACCAAATGAAACACCGCTGTATAGGCTGACCCACAACATCCGAGACGGACTAAAGGTATATTATACCGAAGAGATTTCTTTTAAGCCACAATGACATCGCCTTACCCACCATCAACTTCTTTCTCGCCGTCCGTTGCCTCCGACATGGCTGCTGCGCCCAACAGAGCGGTCTCTGATTTGCCGCAAGCCCAGGTAGACGCCATCATCCGCACAAAGCGCAAGGCCCGTGAGCCCAAAGCCTGTTACCCATGCCATGCGCGCAAGGTCAAATGCGATCGTAACTTACCTTGCGATGGGTGTGTTAAACGTGATCATGCGGATCTCTGCTCTTACGAACGCCCTTCCAAAAAGCGATCACAGGCCTTCCACGACAACACCGTTGCTAGCGCATCAACAGCACCTGTGCCTGAATATCAAGCGGCATTTACATACGAAGAATCTCCAGTGGAAGTGAAACATGAACCGACAATCTTGAGCCGACCGATCGCCCCCGCAGCTAGTAGTGGTCGGGTGTCGATCGCCCGCGAAGAATGGGATAATGTGCGCAACAGATTGCGAGAAATGGAGTCCACTATCTCCTCCCTTCGAACCGGGCTGGAGAGGGCAGAAGATGGCCCGTCAGCTTCCCTAGACACCGGGAGTGTGCAGAGTGGCGATGCGAATACCCGTTCTAAACGTGCCTCGCCGGAACGTGAGGGAATACACGCTGCAAACACCCTTGGCAAAGGCACCGTTCATTTGGGATCACGCTCAGTCCTGGCTTATATACTGAACAACCAGTCTGGTTCTGATCAACTCCAGGCTCTTCTGGAGGGTGGAATACTCCCCAAGCTTGGTTTGGACAATGAGTCTGCGACCTACCCGTTTGTTGATCTATGGTCATCCGACATGTCAACATTTGATATCAGTGCGGTCTGCAGTGCTCTGCCCACTGATAATCAGTGCAGGGAGTAAGTGATCGCCTTAAACTCGGTGTTGGATTGGGTCAAATGCGCTAACCTTTTTTTCTCTCACCACAGGTTATTTTATTACTACAAGGACATCTCAGGGGCCATCTACCCTGTTTTAGAGGACATTCGTGAGTTTGAGAACACGCTTGAACTTCTACTACAGACGCGAACCTCTATTGGAGGCGAGTACCGAGCCGACACAGATGAAGCGCAAAAGCCTTTTGGAGTGAGCATTGCGTACTTGGGACTACTGTTTTCCATACTAGCTTCCGGCTGCCAGTCGTCTGATTACGGGAGCAAGGAAAGGGAACTGACTTCACAAGTCTATGGTATGTGATCCATACTAAGCTTAATATCCTAGTTCCTAGCTAACCTGGTTACAGTATGCTGCTCCTACCAATGCCTCCGCATGACAAACTTCTTATCCCAACCTACCATCGAGGCGATTCAGACGCTCCTAGTGATAGGTAACGTATTGTCATACAACATGAATCCTGGGATTTCCTATGTCTTGCTTGGCATGACCCTTCGCATGGGCTTGGCGCTCGGTCTTCACGTGGAGTCAAGTCGATTTACGTCAGCTGAGCGATATCGCCGAAGACATGTTTGGTATGACACTTCTATTTTCCGTGGTTTTAAAGTATGGTTCTGACATAAAGCAGGTGGTCCATGGCCTGGCAAGACAGCCACTTCTCGCTGTCCTACGATCGCCCGTCTACCACTGCAGTGAGCCAGCCAGATATCGCCTACAGGGAAGGCTCAAAACCTGGTGACTTATCTTACTTTGAAACGCTATCACGGACTATATCACTTGCTCTAGAGGTTGTGCGCATTCGAATGTTGAGCCCGCATTCTCAAATGACTCTGGAAAGTATCCAAGGCTACAAGGACCGCATCCGCAAAATCATGGTAGAGGCAAAGCCGTACCTGCGAGACGCAAGGAATTGTTCCAACCCTACGGAACATCTGGAGCGAGTTGTGCTGAAACTGCACTCCTCTTATTTCTCCTCTGAGCTCTGCCGGCCAGCGCTCAAGCCTATGGCGGATTTCAGTGATGCCACCGCCGCCAACATGCGTGGGAAGTGCGTGACGAACTTGATGACGACTGTTGAAGCGTACATTGAAATGCATAATATCAGCTCTCACGCGGCCCGTTCCTGGATTTTATTGCAACGGGCGATCAGCTCCGCATTCTTGCTCGCTGTGATCGACGAAGCAAAAGCAGACCCGAATGTGTGGAACCTCCTACATCAGCTGGAAGGCATCATTGCCCAAAGGGCAAGCACCGAACGAGCCTATGATTCTGGTGAGGGTGCTGCCAATGTGGCCAACATGACCTCGCCGCCCCAAACTCTCGGCACCTACGACCCAATTACAGGCACCACGAACGCGCCAGGGCCCATCGCCCCGGTGGATCCAACTTCTCCGATTGGAATGCCCCCCGATCCACAAACACAATGGGCCAAATCTCTAGCGAAGACACACCGTGCTCTGCAAAAGCTACTTGCCGCATTCGGGAATCCCCATACGCGTGCTCAAATGGGACGCAATGGTACGCCCGCCTACCCCAACACTCTTCCCAACCTCAACCCGACGTCTGCTTCCCTGGGAACACTTGTTCCCGCCCAGGCAAGCATGACCCCGAGTGTTGGTTCTCTCCCACCTCCTACACCAGAAAGTTCTGGTAGTGGCGAATGGACAATGCCCAATATATTGGATCGCGCAGCAGAATATATCCACCCTCCTTTGTGGGGATAGAGATCAGAGCCGAACAGTCCCTCGAAAAGCGTTTTAATTTACTGTTTTATTTTTCCTCAGCGCGGCGCTGGAGTCTCTTTTCGGTCCATCTCATGATTGTCGTTATTTGTGTGATTCTCATTTCGTTAGAATCCTTGGAAGGGAGGTTGTTTTTTTTTTTTTTTTCTTTCTTTTTTTATAGTGTGATATGCACTGTCGGATATCTAGTATGTGTATAATGTTTTTACAACTAAATGTTATTGCAAATCTGCAATACTTCTACCTTGGTAGTCCGGTCAAGGGCGCCTGCAGTCTACCTAGTTCATATTACCCGCTCCATGAATGTGGGCATGCGACGACATAGATGAGCCTCGGTCTATCGATAATCTATTTACCTTGCTAGAGACTTGGCCAAAGACGCCGACGTGCGGAGATACCCAAAATGACTCAACTCTTTACTGGAATATCTCAGTCGTGTATAGCGGTTTGGGATATTGTTCAGACAATGCTATCTCACACCAGCGAGAACTGAGTGCTGTACGCCGGGAATGTCATGGTCAAGATTGCCACAGTGATATTCAAGATCCAACTTAAGGATACGGACCCTCTTTTTTCTTTCCAGCTCCGCATTTCTATTTAGCTCCATCAAAACTGACCCCACTGCGCCGGAGGAGCCCCCCATGTTTCGGAATGGGGCCGGGGGAGGCTCATGACTAATATTAGCCCTAAGTTGACCACATTCAGACCTGGGAAAGTTCGATTTGCGATACAAAGATGATATGATATCTTGCGATGAATACTATGGATGATCACAAGCCTCCAAGGTTCAAGGATTCCTTTCATCAACCTACAGCGATTGATTTACCGGCTTTTTCTCCTGCGCATCTGATGAGACTGGGATCTGAGAACCACAAGTGATACAACCCTCGGATTTTGCTAGATCTATCAAATCAAAGGATAAAACTTGACAGGCCTCTTGAGTGTTACTCGGTGTATCAACCATGAACGCTGAACAAATTCAAGGATGATGGCAGAGACAACTTGAGGTCATTCCATCATTACCTCCAGCAGGGAGAAGCTGGCTTCCTAGTGCTTGAACATGACGATCAGCTAAAGATATGGCTAGCTAACAGAATTTTATCAGATAGGATTGTCTTGTGTATCAGTAATGATATCAGTGGTTGGTTGTTTACATACAGGCGCCAATCGAGGACTGCAGCGGAAGAGGTTTTTCGCGACCAGTCTTCACATCTCTCCATCTCATTTCATTTCATTTTTTTTTCTTCGCCCATGACTTGTTCTTTTCCCGACTTTTGAATAGAACCCTCTGGTGCTATTCATTGTATCGTCACGATCACCCGCTAGGATCACTCGACGTGAGACACGGATTATATCCCGCCGATCCCTGCACTGACATCCGAGACAGCCTCCTTCTTAAGCGCACTAAGCATGCCCATCCTAGTTGGATACAACCACCTTGCCAAAAGTCGCATCGAATCGGAAAATGCGGAGATTTAGGTAGTACACCGCCGGTGAGTTCATTCCACTGGAGTCAGCAGAGTCAGAAATCTACCGAGATAAAATCCACCTCGATCTTTCCAACATTTTCCAAAGCCCATGCCCAGCGCCAGGAATCCTTTATCCTTCCCACGAGACAAACAAGTATTTTCTCGGTACATCACCCAAGACCAGATTGGAATTCATCGACGCAACCATGTCCTTTGAACCCTCGAACAAGTACTACACAGTCGGGGTCCTGTTGATTCCCGGCGGCGATATTCTCGATTTTGCAGGCCCAATCGAAGTCTTATCTCATGTCTCGCACAACCAAAACCTAGATAGTCCGGACAGGATGTTCAAAATCCAAACCATTGCTTCCAGCTTCGCAATCTGTGCAGCAGACACTCTTACGGTTCAGGCAAACATTCTCCTACCAGATGCCATCGATCGGATTTCGGAATTCCAGATGCTCATTATCCCGGGTGGACTCCCATCAGTCCTACAGCCTTTGATGGATAGCAAGGCACCAGAGCTCAATCTAATCCGGAAGTTTGCAGCCCTTCCTGCTGATACGTCATCAGGGCCGAGGATTCTGTTCTCGATTTGTACCGGTGCCTACCTCCTAGGGGCTGCCGGTATTCTCCCTGGAATGAGTGTGACGACTCATCACCGAGGCCTTGACGCACTTCGCGATATTTGTGCTCGTGCCAATGCTCCAGATGGCCCCGCAACGCAAATCACGCACAAGAGATATATTGATGGTGGTCTACTAAAGGGAGAGGGCGTCAGACTCATTACTGCGGGAGGAGTTAGCTCAGGCTTAGATGCTTCATGCTACATTGTCAGCCAACTAGCCACGCATGATATGGCTGCGTTTGTATCTCGAGTTATGGAGCATGATTGGCGTGAGCTCGAAGAGTGAACTTCGGGCTCGGACTTATCGGGTCCTACAGTCTTGATCAAGCATCGGCATGGAAGATAATTTGAGCACAGCATAAGGGCTATCTGGATCCATATATTTAGCTCGCCTGAATTAAATCAAATCTGCTCACCCTGTCCTTATATTATATCATATTGAATAGAAGCTCGGTTACGGACTATGAGCCTCGTATATCATGCGGCAATGGAAACTCAAATATGCTAATGGGATACACGCAACTAAGCATAGTTTGATGGCGCAACTCTGGAGAAAATGCATCTTACTACTGGACTCATTATCTGACACACTCGCCTCACTCACAAACGACTACACTTCCGGGATTAGAATTCCATCCGTTCATACGCCCTTCGTCCATCAGCCCGGATGTCCAGCTCAGATCTCGACGGTCCAAGTCTAAATAGGTTACATTTACCTTGAATATCTGTCATGCATTCCCCAGATAGTTCTGACCATAACTCACTGGCATTGGCAACAGCCTCTCGGACATCCTGAGCCCAACGGCAGCATCGTGAACACATATAGGCCCAAGCATCCCATATGACCAATGACTCTAGAAATTGGATGCAACTCCGGTCATCAAAGACAGTCAAGGGCTGTTGTGCTGTTCCATCAACCTGGGAATATCCTTTAAGTCATCTTTCCATTCGCCTGAAAACGAGCCGTACTGACACTATTCAAGAGACATGGGAAGGTTTCCCACTTCAAGCCACCAAGACTAAGCATTTGACCTCAATTGACTTTTGGCTGAGCCAGGCAACTGTCTTCCACATCTTCCTTTGACCTTGACCCCATCCCCAGGACAAGCAAGAGTGGCCAGGAAATACTTCCCAAGTTGTACAGAGTGATCGTCATTCATGTCGGGGATGTCCTAGATTGAACTTAAGACTTGGGTTCTTAGTCCGCATGAAGAAATACAGTCATCTGAGCGAGGGTTGGACTTGAAAGACCTCCTCTCGAGTGGTCAGTGGTCTGGTCAATGCCTGTTATATAGCACCTTGTGCTTCTATACAAGTCAATACATCTTGTCTCTCAAAGTGAGCTATCTGAGTTGCTTTTACACTGCGCCTTTACATATATTTTCAAACTGTTGACTGGTCCAGAGACCCTACTTTGGGAATATAGTACATCACACTGCGAGTCACAATGGTCACCTTAGCACCAGGTGTGGATATTGTCCTTCCTAGATGCATCTCCCAATTTGCTGAGAATGAAATCTCTTTCTCTCACCAAGAAACGCTCGATCAGCAAGGTACTATGGTTTCTGGACTTGACGCCGCCGATACCATCACCATTCCCACAAATGCCACTACTGTCGATGAACACGAACTAAATATAACTCACGGTACTATTATTCCTGGGACATCAGACCCCGACTCCCAGCATCAGGAAATGACGATGGAGGTCTTGAAGATCATCGAAAGTTATGGCGTTGATTTTGAAAAGACGGGCGCTTCCTGGAAGGGCTTTGAGTCGTTTGCCCCAATTGTACTGGAACAAGTCGCCAAAGAGGAGCCGATTCGCATGATCTTACCTGCTTTCCCGTTCAAGTCACCGAATGCACGCGACAAAGTGCTGGGGACAATGCCGGACTTCGGCGAGGAGCTTGCATTGGCTCACTTGAATGGACTTTGCCAGAATATCGCTGAGGCATACACACCCGGTGCCTATGTGTACATCAGCTCGGATGGTCTTGTATACAATGGTGAGTGAACAAATCAAGGATTCAAAACCTAGCCAACGCTGAAACCCGCCAGATCTCTTGGGCGTTCCTGATGAAACTGTCTGGGACTATGGGGAGACTCTGCGAAAGATGGCCATCGAGAAAGAGCTGCATAATGTCAAATTCATCCGTCTTTACGAACTTCTCGAGCACCCTTGGTTCCCATCTTCAAGTCCAGAATCAGCGAAGGCATTTTACCTCGCTCACGCCGGTTGTCTTCGCCGAGAACTGATGTACACTTTTGGTGACCCGAGCTTCGACGCAACGGAGGCCATCAAAACCGACAATGACACTTGTCTCACATATCGGGGTTACATCAAGTTTCTGACCAAAGACCTAGTTCATCAAGAAGAGTCCAAATTCTTATCCAAACGCGCCCGGCAGACACAGATTGCAGAGACAGCACGACAGATGATCATCCGGGGTAAGATGTTCGCCGCTGCCATCAGAGCCAACCGCAAAGACTACGTACGACTTTCCATCCACGAGTCCGCGGGCGAGAAAAAGCTTTCTGTCTCGCTCATCCCACAGACTCGCGGTACAATCGGGTATACACCGTGGCATTCGTGCGTGGCTGTCGGATTAGATGGTTCGTATCGTACAGTCCATGCTGAAGATGTACGGGACACGCACGACCTCATCTATAAGAATGGAAACCCTTACTTCTTCCGCGAGAAGTCCAGTCTCTTCGATTGGTCTGAAAACGGTTTATCGGTCAAATTTGAGCATCTGTACCCATCCGGACTCATCATTCGGCCTGCCGATATCGACAATGTCAACCCGCCGCCTTCAATCCGTTCAATCCCCATGCAAAAGGTCCGCGGACTATCAAATGGCATGTCGCCAATTATCGTGCGTGGATTTACCGAGACTCTGGAAGAACATCTCTATGTTCAAAAGGGAGAAGAACTGGGAACTATCCTCCCGTGGAGCTTTGGGATCATCCAGAAAGTGCGAGACAACGGCCGCTCCGACAAGATGGGCAACAACGTGACCTCTAACGAGGCGATGCCGATGCACTTCGACGGGATGTTTAAATTCGAAGAGATCACAGACCCGGAAACAGGTGAGAGAAAGAAAGTCCAACGCCCACCGGGCTATCAGTTCTTCACTTGTCCTGCGACTGCACCGAAGGGGAATGGTTATACCTTGTTTGCGAGCTCCAGACTCTTTTTCCGATACCTTCCTCCCCCATGGTCCACTGAGCGTCTTGAGAAGGTTACCTGGGCCATGGATAATGACGGATTTTGGGATGCGAAGCTCAAAGACCAGCCCTTGATCGTGAAACATCCCATCTCCGGACTGCCTTGTCTGCGTTGGCATCAGCCATGGGACTCGACCAAGACCAAGTTCTCGACCTGTGATGTCACCATTGAGAATGATGATAATGGGCTGGTCGGAATTATTGATCGCATCACTTACGACTACAGGGTTTGTCTTCGCTTTGGATGGGAGAAGGGCGATCTGCTGGTGAGTGACAACACTGCCATGCTCCATACCCGCACTGGGTATATCAGCAACTGCGATCGGGAACTGTGGCGAATTCACTGTGATTGACGCACTTTTGATTCTTATTTTGGGCCTTCGTTTTTTCGTTTCTGGTCTGTTGGCACCGTGTCTGGCTTTTTGCGTTTTCCAACCATTCCTTGTTGCCTCTTTGGGTCTTTGATTGGGGGCAATATGACAACATTCGAGTATTTTGGAGGAATTACACATCTTCTTAATGCAATATCAGATAGATCGTATGTGTGGCATCTCTGAACATCTCCCATCCATGTGTAATCGTACTTTTAGCTGTCGTTTATTTACATACGCCTACTTTGCCATGGGACTCCTTTGGGTCACATCGACTCATATGATCTGGTCAGGTCCATGGCTCCGAGTAATCTCTCCTGAGAGGAAATGCGGATTTGATAGGATGGGTCAAGCGAATGTAAACGAGTCAAGGATGATTCAAATCACCACCTCTACCGATTCGTGATAGTCCTGAAAAGAAGAATCTTCATGCCCAGCAGAATCACAGTTCTGAAGTTTTGTCATTCATGTTTTGTAGAAGATGTGTGTTCTAGATAAAATGCCCAAATTATGCACATTCGACCATTCCCGTGCGTTGTATATATCCAAGTTCCAATTGCTGCTCGCCGATCTCTTTTATACACAGCCTCAATGCATTCACAACATCCTAACGGGGTGCCCGCCTAGCGAGGGATTTGAAGTTGGTATCTTGTGCAATGGACACATTTGTGCGTATTGTCCAGTGCTCATCCATGTCCTTGAAGCCGACTGCACATGAGATCCAGATTGGACCGTATGGGGATAGCACAGACAACCCAAGTTCTGCGGAGGAGATTGATGTGGCACAGGGCCATGTTCTAAGCCACTGTGATTACCACTATAGGATGGGTTTGGTGGCGTATATGAATTCATAGATGCTGACGCTTGAGACTCCGGGGGAACGAGCACGATCACTTTGTATTGGGGCGACATAGTGTTGATGACTTGGATGATTTGTGGTAATGCAGCTTCTGCTTTTCTGTCAGTTGGTTCAGATGGTAATTTCGATGTTGATTGTTTGGGTAGATACCGGTTGCAACGTAGTACAGGGGCTGGTTGGGCGCTGAGGTCGACAAGGAGTCTGGTATCAAGGGCTCCGAGGTACCTGCCAGTTCCCGGTATGACTCGCTGCCAACACCAGTAGCTGATGATATACCGTTGGTGGATTGTGAAGAGATAGTTGGTATGGGAGATATCGGACTCGCTTCACTGGCCTCAGTGAACTGTGGTAAGTCTCCAGGACATCCACTGTGTTGTGGGAACGTATTCAAGTCGTTAGACCATGAATGTGATGCAAATGAAGGATATAATGGCATGAATGGAGTGCATTGATCTGGAATTGAAGGGGGGACATCTCGCAAGGCAAAGCCGTGATCATGTTGCGGTACTGAGTGAGCCCTGGGAAACAGCGAAGGGTTATATGTTTGATCCCATCCGTTAAGGGCAGCAGCAGCTCTCAGTTCGTTGGCTATGACACGTTCTTGAAGTTTTGCAATCCGCTCTCTGATCTTGCGGCCTAGGTGCTGTCAGCTCCCGAATCGACGCCATTTTTGTTTATGCAGGGATGTTCGCTTACGATGGTTTCGCTGAGAAAGACGATTCTGCAATCGCCGTCTTTCCAGAGGATCTTGTGTCTGACTGAGGACATCCTCATCTCTGGGACTCGTTGACTGATCTTCCATCTTCATCTCGACAAGCACTATATTGAAGCTTAAACGGATCTTATCGTGCGTGAGGATGTTACATATCTCATATAAATGCTCTCTGGGTTTTGCGAGTCTGTAAGTGTCCAGCGCGGAGACTCAGAACCAAAAGAGCCATCGCTGTCAGCCTCTCTTTCCTTTATACAGACCGTGCGCCCACGAGGAGAATGACGCCTGATCTCACTGTGTCACTCAGTCTGTACAACGGATCGTCGATGGTCAGTGAGTCGGTCTGAAAGTCACTGGTGATTCAACTTCCCCTTCAGCCGCGTGATATTCCGTAATCTGGTTTTGTCCAGTCCTTACCGTTTTCAGCTTGACGACTCCTTTGGTAGAAAGCCCTTGTGCAGGCTGGGGCATTCTGGGAGATGGTTTCAGGACGGTTGCACCGAGGTGGTGTAATCAGAGGCTATCTCCGGTCTGGATGTGTGTACGTGGACATAGCGTTGCCCTGGATTTGCGCATTTCCTCCTCACCTTCTAGGTTTTGCTCAACCCATGAAACCCTCAGCTCTGATCCGCCTTGATAGCTCAAAGGCTCCTGTGTTGTGAGCCCAAGAACCTTGTTTGAGGCCCCTTGGCGTGGCAATGCAGTGCTACTTTTGCTCGGTCAATTGCTTGCCTCTTTTCGGTACTTTGGATGAGTCTCCCCGCCTACTTATACTTCCAATCACATGTGGCGTCAAAGTCTCTTCTTGTATCCTCGGACATCTCCGAGCTCAGCCTTTGGCACATTGGATACACAGACTCCACGTGTCAAGCGCAATCACACAATCTTGTGCCTAACGCTGAGACCAACCCCGGAAAAGAATGTCTTATTGGTGGCACTTGGACTCCAGATCACTCATCGGAAATGTTCAGTGGACAGGGAGGCCAGGTCTATGCCGACAGGCCCCCAGTTGCGAGGCCAGTACCACTCAGTCCAATCTGAAGTCTAAAAATAAGATACGCCGCGTCTGAGCCACTCAATACTTGTGACGAAGACGACTTCGTTCTGAATATGCTCCGGATTTGGCCCCCAACTAATATCTTACCTTTGAGCTGTGTGGCTCTGGCTTCTGGAGAGGTTACATTGCCCTCTTGGTCAGTCCAATAGCCTGAGATACGGCGCTGGATATCTTCGACCAGGTCATGTCTTCAATAGCGTCATCGTGAGTACAAGAATTGGCACACAGACTGGGAGTTCCATCCTCGGTCCAATGGCTCATGCTTGTTGCCCGGGGGCCTCCTCCATGAACCTAGGGCACTGCCATGTGGTGCCTTTGTAACCGCCCATCCACTATCCTGGGATGTCTGCATGTGAGATCCAGCCGTAGAAACTGGCGGAGAATCCGGTTTGGCCTTTTTCTGGATTCTATTCTGGAAGGCAATCCCTTCGTGTAACTGCGTGATGCAAGAAGAGGGGATGTTTATCCCGCAAACAATCCAAGTCCATTGTTTCCTCTCTGATGTATCTGATGGCGTAAGAGTAGCGGAGTAGCGGTAGATCATGATCTATACCGGCCATCAAGGCTTGTTTGAGGAGTATGAATAGCCCTTAAGTGATGTCGGCCAGTGAAATGTATGAACCATGCCAATATCAATGTCATGCGACACTCACATAACCAATGGACGTATTCTGTACATCAATCGGTTAAGCCAGCCTTGTTAACGATTTCAATTCGAAATAACGAGACTTAACCCCAGGGCTCCAGCGCGCTTTCGTCGATCCGCCAAGAATTTTGTAGGCAGCTGCCAAACTCGCCTCCGTCTCTACGGTCCTCCACTTCCAATTACAGACTCTCGATCATTTCTACTCCTTCACTCAATCTCACAGCGATGGATTCTTTTCTCAGGGTGGTGGGAAATCTCCTCCCATACCATCTTCTCTCCTATAGTGCCCTCCTTGGAACCGAGCTCTATCAGGTGCGAAGTCCTCTTTTTTTTCTCCCTCAGAGCCAAGCAGACCTATGACTGACTGCACTCAGAGCTTCATCAATACAAAAATATGCTACCGATACTTGCCTATGAAGGAGTTCATTGCCCTCCAAAAGGGTCTTTTCCCTGTCTACTTCGGTACCCAGCTCGGACTCACAGCATTGACAGCAGCGACTTACCCACCATACAGCGTGCTGTCACTCGTCAAATACCCATGGAGTGCAGCTCCGCTTGCTGTGGTTGCCCTGGCTGGATCGCTGAATTGGTTCATCTATGGGCCGCAGACGACGACTGCGGCATTGGTCAGGAGGGCATTACAAGGTGATTTCCACGAGATATATCTCATCGGGACAGAGTACTAATGTCTGCTGGGGGTTTCTAGAAAGCGAAAATACCAATCCCGACTCTGATGGATTGAAGCTGCAACGGGCTAATCGCAACTTTGCGCGAAATCATGCGATGACTATTCATTTGAATGCCATTGCAATGGTGGCCACTGTCGTCTATGGCTTCTCGCTATCTGCGAAGCTTGTAGCTGGTGTATAGACGGTCTCATCGTCGCAAAGGCTGTAGGACATGGTCTATTGCGGATACATTAGGCGCAAGATGATGGGTGAGAATTGCTTTCCGTTCAAGGTCTTGCGCGCTTTGGCTAGAATATCGCAACACCAAGTTCTGCAAAACCAGCTTTGTCTTCACAAAAGGCGAGACTGATTGACCTCTACTGATATTAAAATGAGATACCACATTGATAAATGAGCTATGTGAAGGGCAGCCATCCAGTAGCAGGAGACGATAATAGAGAGACGATAGGCTACTGAACTGTCTACATAGAGGCAGAGACCATCAACCCCGTAAATAGCCCACAAGCTCATCAACCCGAATCGAACGACCGACCTGGACGCCCCATTTGACCTCACCTGTCGCACCTTGTCATCGAAACAAGTTCACTTCAAGGATTTCCAAACCAACGCAACTAGCAAGTATTTATTCGTAACAAGAGAAGAGAAGAAGATAATGAAAAGCCTTCGGGATATCGACAGCCAATATAAAAAATTGTCGTCACCCGGAGGTGAACCTGCAGAGATCAATCGTCACTCCGACGGAGGCCCTGGGGCATCCGATTCGGGGTATGGACATGATTCCTAATGAGGAATCGCCCAGTCAAAGCGACCACTAGGCCACATGTCCAGATCCCTGCGCGAGTTCTATCGAGGAGTTCCTATAACCACACTGGGGGGAGGGTATCACTCCAAGACACACCAGAGATATATACATCCAGCACCCACCCAACGATCAACCAAAAGATCAAAACCATCGTATCTGAAATCATCCAAGTCTTATTCAGAACTCAAGCCTATTACTTCTCAAACGAACTACAGAGTTAACCTCAGAAAGTCGAGTTTGACGGTGTGACCTCAGCGCAGACGTGTTGACCTTCCGCTGACACCAGGTGCATTAGGGCTTGGAGTGAGACACCCAACTTGCTATATAGTACCGTCAAGACAATAGACATCGTCGTTCTACGCTGTTCAGCTCCTATTACTAGATACACCACAATCAATCCCCGGAATGACTTTCTCCTCAATTTTCAACTTCACACTCCTATCCCTCCTCCTCCCACCAGTCCTCTTCCTAATATGGTACCTGCACGTCCCACGGACCCTCCCAAACCTTCCTAAAATCCCGATCTATGTCTCAATCCTCGGCCTCTGGTCCTCAATGGGCCAAGACGAGATCTACGAACGGTGGTTCAGGGCTCCATTAGAGAAACATGGCGCGGTGATAGTCTGGTTCGCGGGACGGTGGAGCGTGCTCGTTTCACGACCAGATTGGTTGACGGATATGTTCCGGAATGAACATATATATGCGAAAGCCGGGAGTCAGATCAAGATCCCGCATGCTGTGATTGCCACGCTGGTTGGCGATAATATTATCAATGCCCATGGCGAGAAGTGGAGGCTTTATACTGGGATTATGAAACCGGGTTTGCAGAAGAAGGTATTCGAGACAACATCGTTATTAAAGCAATCGAGAAAACTTGTGGATATTCTGATAGATCTGCAAAAGGAGGCTGGAGGAGATAACGGGATTCTGGTTAATGCCGAGGTGCAGAAGTGGGCTGTAGATGTGATGGGCGAGAACTTTCTGGACTTGGATCTGAAGGTATATCTCCTGATCATCACAAGAAAGATAACCGAACATTCGATAGTCCATAGCTCACAAGATTCAGAGCCTGGGCCAACCGAACGGCCATGTCCGAATCGAAGCCCTCCAATCCATCATCAAAGCCACCCTCTTCAAACCCATGTACTTCAGCTTCCCCGATCTCGACCATTTCCCCTGGCTCCTGCCATCCCGCAAACGCGCCTATTCGATAATGCACGAATTCGACGACCGACTATACACCAAGATAATGACCATGCTCTCCGAACGAAGCAAGAACGAGCCCAAATCCGAGGAAATGGTCTCCCACATGTTGGGCGCAGCCTTCACAGCAGGCCGAATAACCGAGAAACAATTCCGCGATAATCTGAAGATAACATTCCTAACAGCCCACGAAAACGCCCAGCAACTCGTGAACTCGATGTTCTGGCAGCTAGGCACAAGAGTGGATATCCAGCAGCGATTGCGGGAAGAGATCCTCGCCACAGCGAAAAATCACCCCGATCCATCCCAGGAAACCATCAATAGTCTACCGTATCTGACGGCTGTAGTGTTGGAACTGCTTCGTCTGTTCCCGCCTGTTTGCCAGCTTATCAACCGTGTTGCGCTGCAGTCGGCGATGCTAGGTGGACAACTCCCTATCTCGAAGGGGACATTTGTGGGGTGGAATGCATGGGCAGTGCATAGTAACCCGCAGATCTGGGGTGAAGATGCAAGGGAGTTTAGACCGGAGAGGTGGGGACAGAGTATGGAAGAGATGCAGGGGCGGTTTCGGAGGGAGACGGTTCGGGGAACGTATATCCCGTTTAATGCGCATAAGCGGAAGTGTCTGGGGCAGGGGTTTGCGTTGTTGCAGGTTAAGATTCTATTGTTTGTTTTGCTGGGGAGGGCGAAATGGGTTGTTGATCCTGAGTATCAGCTGAAGATGACGCCGGTATGTTCATGTCAATGTTTGCCTGGTCGATGATATATGCTGATGTCAACAGGGGGGGATTCTGGCGCCGCTGGATTGTCGGGTGATGTTGACCGAGTTGGAGTCTTTAACGTGAATGAAATGAACCGAATGGCACTATTCGAGGGCTGTGATTTCCCAAAGATCAGTTAGCTTGAGGCTTGCGCTGTGGAGGAAACGAGTCTATAACGGCAAGCTGTTGGTTACATAGACAGCTGCACTCAATGGGAATAAAGGTTAGACAAGATGAAAACCGCACTCGAGAATCACAGCGACAAGCAAATGACAGCACCAAAATACGATCAAATGACCGCTCAATTGTCCAAGGATCTGTCTAAATCGCTCTCGTGGTATCACATATAGAAAAAGGGAAAAGTCGACCCCAGGACGCCTCTAAAAGAAATCACTAAACCTCATCTATCCCAACTTCATCGCAAAATGTCGGGTAGTAACACATTATGATAGGTTGTATGTAGTCCGCCGTAGCCATAATCCATATCTTTGTCATGGAGCCTGCCATTTTTCCGTGGAAGCAGCCTCGAAATCGAACATCTTTGAGCTCTCCAGAAGCACAAATGACTCGTACCGGAGGCCTCGTTCGCGGTCTTGGATGGTGGACCACTGCTGGACGGTACCGTTCCAAACACCAGCGTAGCCATCGAACATAGCCCGCCAGTAACAGGCTTCGGCAGCAGGGGTCAAGTATCGCTCACGGAAGGTCTTCACGCTGTTGTGAGCGATGCGCCGAGCTACTTCAGTGTCACTGACCAACGGCTCCATCTTTTCGGATAAATCGCTGAAATCGCGTTCGACCTCGACATAGTTTTGGTTGGGTCCGTCGGCGACCAAAAGGTAGTGGTGATGCTGGATAAATTGGAGTTTGTGTGCGACAATAACGGAATTGCAGGCTTGTCGGTATTTTAATGAAGCCGAATAAGACCGACCTGGAAGAAAATGAATAGTCAGTGTGGTGTTCACTGGGAGATCTTGTCAAATAAGGAAATCGAAACTCACCTTCAACGTGCGCAATAAACATGTAATGACAATGATCTTCCATTTTGAGGACATTGGAACCAGTCGTCCAATCGACCTGTTTCACATCACCCCAAGGTTTATCTCTGGCAGCCTCCATCAACGCGCGGCGCAATTTTGGCGCGAAACTGGGCTTGCCTCGCCAGACCAATTGGGGAATTTTGTCCTCCCAAGGGATATCCAGTCGGTGAATTCGTTCCACAACCTGGTCATACGGGCCCATATAATTATCAGGGTTATCCCAGGCCCAGAAGCTGAAGTCCGGCATCAGCCAGACGCCTTCTTCCGTAGGTGTTCGCGAAAAGACCCAGACCGGCCATTCTCCCTGGGTTACATCCTCCACCTTATCTTCCACCGAGAAAACGAATTCAATGTCGCGGATGAGAGCTCGTTCCGGGTCGGCGGCCAGCGCGCGGTGAATCGAACTCAACGTCCCCAGGATTTTTCGTCGGTGGTCCTCGCCCTTGGATCGCGCGGTGACAATGTACAATTGGCCGTTGGAGATAAACGCCCGCGCCATACCCTGTTTAATGGTGATGCTGTCCAGTTCTGCAGCTGATAAGCGACCATGGGTGGACCAGAATCTGGCACCGCGGGCGATGTCCTCGAATAACCCGGGGAAGGCAACTTGGCATTGGCTTCGGTTAAGGGTCCCATTACGACCGTCGCGAGAGTAGTCAAAGGACCAGGCTGCGGTGTTGTCGGCTTGCAGAGCAGGTTCGGGGCAAGTCAGACATGTTGAACATTGGAATGTTGTCGAAGATTCACAGGCGCAGTGTCCGGCGGGGATCAGTTGAGTGAGAACTGGGTGGATGTATTCCCGGTCGGAATTCATGCCAAACCAAATGATGACGACGCTGAAGCTGAAGGCGATAATGACGCACAGGAGCGACAAGCCGCGTCGCGGGCGGATTGGAAACGAGGCGGTCATGGTGAGAAGCCAATTTGGCACGGCATGATCTGAACGTGAGGTCGGAGGTGAGAAGAGAGTTGAAGAGCAGAGAAGGGGGGGGGCTGTTGATCCAAAACCCCGAAACGAGCCTTAAATAGGCAGGGATGGACATACTCAGGAAGATCGCCCCCAAGTAATCAAGGCTCCTCGACACGGCCCCAGTGGGTCTGGCGGCGTCATGGGCGTTTTTGGCTTTGGACGATGGACAGGGATTGTGATTGGCCTGGAAGGATGTGTAGGAACAATCCTCCGATATGAGTCCAGGGTTCAGGGTTCAGGGTTCAGTATTCATCTTTTCTGTTTGGCCGTGCATCTGGTCAATGTTCAATGTTCGATGTCGAGTGTCGAGTGTCAAGTGTGTCGAGTCGAAAGTCCACGGGAGTCCCCACACGATCAGGGGTTCCCTGCCCCGTGCCCTGAGAGAAGCTTGTTAATCTGGCCCCGGACAAGGCTGCAAAATAAAAATGTGGACTTACATTTGCACTATACATCTACATGTCGAGATGGAGGTGGACTCTTGTGGGCCTTTTGCACTTTGTAATCGCTTTGGTCTTGCTGGTCTTTCTGTTCTTTCTGTTCTTTCTGGTCTTGGTCTTTTGGGCCTCGTTGGTCCGCTTGTATTGCCCCTACAGGGAAAAGAACACACAAATGACACTGGGCTAAGCAGGAATTGCGCTGGCTCTCTCAATAATTCCACATGGACAAATGATCCGTCGATGGATGCCTGTTTCCCAAGGTGGATCTTCTAATATGAGATGAGCAAAAAAAAAAAAAAGAACACCCCAATTCCCTCCCAACAATGTTGCCTAGAAACGCCCGCGCGAATGCATAGAAATGATTGCAAAATTCGGTTGCCTACGAGGATTGAAAAAAAAAAGGTCATTGGCGGGATTGACTCCGTCCATGTCGTGCTCCGCGACTACGGCCGCTAGATGGAGCTGGCGTTTCGTTGGCGTCTGGAGTTGCGGGTACTGCTAGGCGACGTTGTCGACTGTTTCGTACACGGCCGAGAGCTCGGCGTAACAATCCGTCGGCTTCATCGTCAAGATCCATCTCAACCTGTTCGTGTTCAGCCGAGGGCGTCGCTAGCTGCTCGGTCCATTCTTCCACCAAGGGCTCCTGGCGCCCACGTCGCCGGGACATCTCTTCCGGCGCAACCCGCTCTTTGCCTTTCTGCTCACGAGACCGATTGGGACCCCGGCGCTTGGAAGAAGTTGCGGTAATTTCTCGCATAGTCTCATCAAAGGCGGCGCGGTCTTGTTGTCGTCCTTCTGCGGCCCAGAGCTCGAGTGCACGTGAGAGTAGAGTACCTGCCACGCCTGCACCCCCTGCAGCATCACCACCGCCACTCGCCCCAAGAACACGCACAGCCTCGTGCAGGGCGGTCACGGCGTCTGCGGTACGTCCTAACTCTAGCAACACCAGCCCACGAGATGTATGCAGAGAACCCGTCAGGCCACGATCTTCATAACCCCCAACGCCGGACGCGGACGCAACCGCTCCTGAGCCGCCTGCACCACCGCCTAAAAACGGCGCATATCCCATGCTGCTTCCACCGGCCCCCACGCGAAGACATTCATCGAATTCACGGAGAGCCTCGGACAGACGGCCCATACGACGGAGTGCATGGCCCAGGTTGGCACGTGTAGCCACCCAGGCACTAGGTTCGCAGTGAAGAGAAGTAGCGAGTGCAAGTGCCTGTTCAAACAGTTCGATGGCGCCGCCAAGATGATTTTGGTGATAAAAGACAACCCCTAGCTCGTTGAGAACCAGTGGATCCCCGCCGACCGCTGAAGCTATGGTTGATGAATTAGAAGGGACGGTAGATACGGTCCCTGGGGCAGCTCCAGTCGACATAGCGTGAGCGGCACAGAGATATTCGTGTGCCAAGGACATGTTGTTGAGTGCGAGATGCTGCATTCCCAAAAAGAGTTGGGGCAGATGACTGCCCTGGAACAACCGAGCGGCAGTACTGTACGCTGCAATGGCCTGGTCATGTTCACCCTCAGCAGCAAAAGTGTGTGCAAACCCAATCCAAGCCGGTGCTGAATGCGGATCCAACAATGAGGCCTTGGAGAAGAACCGCCGCGCCTCGGCCACCTTAGACACTGATAGATAGTAGACTCCAATTGCTAAGTAGGTGTACGGCTCCTCGGGAGAATGATCCGCAAGCATATGAGAGAGTAAGAATAGCGCGTTCGTGGCCCCAGTCTCGTACAGACAAGCCAAATGGAGTGGATATATGGCCGGCGCATGTCCAAGGTTGTTTTGTGCAGGTACGCTCGAATTTGGCGCAGATAGATCGGTCGACTGAGATGTGGATAGTATAGAAGAAGTCAATTCCAATGCTTCTGCAAAACGGCATTGTGTATACAGAGCTTCGGCGCGGGATAGGAGAATATCCGGATTCTCTGCAAGGTTGTAATGTGTAGATAGGGTTTCGGTGGCATCGGAAAGAATGGTGGGAGAAGAGTATTTCGATAAACGAGTCGTATACAGCATTTTGGTGAAATGCGCAGCTTCTTGCGCCATCATAGGGTCTGGAGACGAGACGGAATCAAAATCGAGTGATTCAAGAAACTCCAACTCTTCTGCAGGAGACATCAGAGAGTTCTTCATCAGCTGGTCGAATGCTTCAAAACATTGTACATCAATTCGCACGGCATCCTTGTAACAGTCGCGTGCGCGGTCAAATGCATTCTGTTTAGCAAAGCATAGACCTCGTAAATAACACATAGCAGCTTCGAACCGTATGTTGTTAGCATCCTCGCGCTCTCGCTCCTCGGCTCGATCACTGCGGGGTGTCGCGCTCTTCCCATTGCGCAGTGTGACATGGCTTTGGTGTTGGATTTTGCGCCGAGTATGATTGTTGCGAATAAGATCAGTGGGATTGTGTTCACCCAGGATGGTGAGAGCTTGATCGAACTGGTTCTGTTTGATGTAGCAGTGGGCAGCAAGGTAGCGACAGGCGGTGCTTCGAGAAACGAGATCTTTGCGCGAGAGAAGAGCTAGTGCACGCGTAAAGTTGTTGTTGGAGAAGTGAACTTGCGCCAACCAGAATGCGTCAGAGTCACTGTCTTTGGCAACGGGTCAGTCATCCTTGTCTCGTGGATAGGGATTATGGACCTTACTGGTGAGTGCAAGTACTTTGTCGCCAATGTAGATTGCCGAATCATGTTGACCGCGATTCAAGGCATCCTGCCGCCAGGAGCGCAGGAACCTTTCCATCACCAAAAATCAGACGCGTGAGCAATGCGAATGGCAAGTTTGTCATGAGCGGGTACTTCCAATGAGAAGTTGTATTTTGATAAACAGTGGCCCGTGCGCAGGGCAACTGGGCAGTCTCGTTCTGATACGCCCCACCGCCTTCCGTTTCTGCGGGTCAACTCATCCTCCGCCCATCCCACCAACAGTGGCGCCACCACGTGATCAGCTCACGTGATCTTCAGACCGTCGAAGCTTCTGTGGCCCAAAATGCGGGGTTTCCTTTCTTGCCCAGAGCCCTGGTTGCGGACTAACGTTAATCAGTGATCGGAGAATCCTTTCTCCAGGCGGTCGGAGGGAGATGTTCCGTCCCGGGCGGTGTGTCAGATTGTGATAAGCGGATCAGCTGATAATGGAAAGGCTCTTATCAGCATTATGTCAGCAGTGTTATCAGCGGGCAATATCGCAGTCCATTCGAGGTCGCGACCTCATGGCTTGCATTTCCTTTGCATTTCTTTTTTCAACTGTCCACCTCCATCCTCCCCCGCTCTGTCCCTACACCTTCCTTTCTTTTTAAATCAAGTCATACACCATGGCTGAACGAAAGGTTCTTTCCAAGTACTACCCCCGGACTTTGATCCGTCCGCCATCATCAAGAAGAAGCCCGCGGTCGCCAAGGGCAAAAAGCCTGGAATTCGCCTCATGACCCCCTATTCCATGCAATGTACTCACTGCGGTGAATTTATTCCGAAGGGTCGCAAGTTCAACGCCGGAAAGGACATCACCGAGGAGCGTTACATGAGTGTGCGCATTATCCGCTTCCTGATCAAGTGCACCCGTTGCAGCGGTTTGATTACGTTCAAAACCGACCCGAAGAGTGAGTCCTTAGCCCTGTCATATGCCATCTAAATGGACTGAAACTAATGTGTACTTTCATCACTAGACGGTGATTATGCAGTTGAGAGTGGCGCCAAGCGCAACTTCGAGGCCTGGCGCGACGAGACCGACTCCCGCTACCATGAGACCGAGGAGCAAACCCTCGATCGTCTCGAACAAGAACACCTTGAGCAGGAGGAACAAGCCGACCGTGACAAAATGGCCGATCTCGAGGAAAAGATGCTTGACTCCAAGCGTGAGATGGCAATCGCCGATGCTTTGGACGACATTCGTACTCGCAATGCGCGTATTGAGCGCAACGAGGCCCGTGGTGAAGATTCCGCCTTGGCTACTGCGGCGCAGAAGAAATTGGACGAGGAAGGCGCCCGCGAGGCCGCCAAGCAGGCGTGGATCGAAGAGGGTGTCGAAGAGGCTCGTCAAACCTGGAGGGCAATGCAGAACAAGCCGCGTGTCGAATTGGAACAAGAAGAAGTACTGCCTGAGCCAGTAAAGAAACTCAACTCCTTCCAGGAATTCCTGGCCAACGGCTGTCGCGAGAAGGCTGAACGCGAAGCCAATGAACGTGCCGAACTCCTGAAACGCCCCCACGGCGCCTTGTTATTGGGTCGCAGGGAGGCTCGGTTAGCAGCTCGTAAAGAGCAAATCCGACAGGAGAAGAAGGCGGCTCGGGAATTGGCGGCAAAGCAGAAGCAGCAGACTGATCAGGCTGAGCAGCCAGCCGACAAGCCGACCGACCAGTCTGCGAAGAAGCCGAACTAGGCTTCGAAGGGATTGTGAGGGTTCAATGTTCGACCAAAAGATACCAATTTGTTTTGAGGGGTTTCGGTAATGTCCAGCTCTAGGGCGTGTGTAGGGTTCAAGGTCGCCGTCTTTCCGACTAGCGCTCCCCTGCCCATGGACCCAAAGGGAGTTTAGGCGCATGAAACTTATATCGTTTTTTAGAATTTCATAAATGTTTTTCTATGAAAGCTCCCAACCGCACACCCGAACCAATAAATTCATAATCGATCTTGGAATGTCATCGTACTGACATGATCCTCGGGGGTATGTTGTCCGAACCCCGGAATGGCGCAGGTGTTGAGCCGATATGATGCTTCCATAGTAACCATACTTCTCATCTTTGAGGCCTTCTATCTTACCGACTCAGAATGTCCAGGCTCAATTGACCGAACCTCTGGATCCCATTTATAATCCAAAGGAGTCAATTGATCAAGGAGCTACTATATAAGACACACTAGGTTATGTACTAGGTAGCACGACTGCGGCATAACGACTTCGCTGCCCACTTGCTTACATGAAGGGAGTGAAAAGTTACATACATGAACTACGTCCGAGTCAATCGTCAATCCGTGAGTATGATTCGAAGCCCACCTTCACGATATTAGTATTGGTTGAGATAGCTACATCCTAGCCGTTAGCATGTGAGTGGCAGATTACAAAATCAAAACCGAGTAGAAGATTAAGAAATTCAATCCATTAGGAGCTATTGATCTAAGCAACCACCCGAAGGGAGTGTACAAGGTATTAAAACAAGAAAGAAATCGGTATCACAATCATAGTAACGTGAAGTAAAAGTTGCGCATCTCGCCGAAGCGCCACGCTGAGAAAAAGCAAAACCCAGAGACAAAACCACTACGGAGAATAACAAATGCCACGCAGAACTACCTAGTTGCAGGTTGGCGAAACAGAAACACAGAAGCCGGAAAGCATAGATCACAGATACGGCATCCACAATGCATCGCACGACGCCAGATGCTGAGGGTTCACTGCCTTGGAGATCAAGTCGATGGTGGTCTGGTTGGCAGGCAAATTACCCTCGGGCGGGCTAGCGAGACTGACAGCACGGTTGACAATGATCTCGCTATTGTTGTACACCAGGTCGCGGAGTTGACCAGGAGGCAGAGCACCACGGTGCTGGGCAGTGGCCCAGAACATCATCTCGTCGCGGACGAAAATGCTGAGCTGTTGCTCCAGCTCGTGTCGTGGCTCCGTCAAGCAGCGGGCGATCGCCATCATTGCGCAGGCGAAAACACCTTCTGTGGCAATTGGACCCAATAGAGTTTGGATATTGGGTGTAAATCTGAAGGGAACTTGCTCAGGATTGTAGAAGAATGCCTTGGCTGGATTGATGGTAGGGATCAACTCAGAGCCCCAGATATCACCTGTCGAACGGGAGATCATGATCTTGTTCGGATAGCGGTTGCCAATATGCATAACGTAGGTCATGAACGCAATAGCGGCGTACTGGTAGGAGAACTGCCTGCGGAACAGCCAGAAGTCCGAGAAGTTGGGATACGTCTGCTGGCAGTATTCCAACACCACAGTACTGGGCACCCATTTGTCTTGAATAGCAGTGAGAATCTCTGTGCGAAGGACCTGCTGCTGATCGGGTGTGCGCTGGAAACAGTCAGCCTGTGATCTTGGAATGATAGCTGGGACACTTACATTTTGTTTTGTTTCTGCTAATGACCTCATCTTGTCCATTGTAAAGAGGACTGGGTCATCCTTGTTAATTCCCTTGCGCCGGCAGTAATCCTCGTAAATTCCTTGCATGGAGATGTACGAGGAATCGTCGCGCACCAAACGAATGTGTGGTGCAAGAGGCACCATTAATGGGAGATGGAAATACAAGTTGCGGCGACGACTCTCCTTGCGCTTTGCAAGCAAACCATTGAATATACGGAACAGTTGGAGAATCCGTTCTTCGCGCCTGCAGTGGCGAGCAGCGGGATGCTGAACGGCAAATGCCTGAATGCTACCGTCGTGTCCACGAATCTTCAAGCGGCGGTGGCAGACACCAATACCCCGGATAAGATCAACATCGGGGAGGAAGCGATCGATACGGACAAAGTCTTGGTTCTTATCCTTATGGAGAAGATACTGACCAGGGACCTCAACCTCATCAAACTTGAGGAAACGGAACTCGCTTAGATGTGGCGAAGAGTTTTCCAGGTATGTCCACTGCGAGCGGCGGTCGAGCTTTTCCTCGAACTTGTCACGCCAGCGCCGCAGCTTGTGGATGTACTCGTTCATCGTGGGCTTCTTGGTCACAAAGTCAGCCTCGAACGATTTGCGGATATGAGCTGGGAGAATGGTCTCTGCGAATCTAGTGATATTGGCTTCAGTTGCGGCAGGCAACTTGAAGTCCTGGGCATAAGAACCAGGCATACGGCCAACATAAGCCAGCCCATCGTTCAAAAGAGCAACAATGAGACGGTAAGCATCCTCATCTGGGGGACACTTGAAGTTTTTGTGGATCTGATCGACCATCGTCTCCATAGATAGAGCGAGCAAGGGAAAGGCCGTCTTGAGTCCAGACATGATTTCATCTGAGTACTCCCAGGGCTTCTTGAGAGGTTCCTTGTCGCCATCCGCGGATGCGATTTGGCTCTGTAGCGGTGCTCCAGGCTGACCAGGCACTTGCAAATGTGTTTGTTGAGCCTGAGCTGGGGTTTGGCCGGCTTGTGGGGATGCTTGGAGACCGATGTGGGGATGGGCCGGGGACTGGCCTGGGTTCTGTGTAGCGGGTGAGCTAGCAGGGGGAACTGACGGAGAGGCACTAACGCCTGCACTTGCAGCCTGGGCTTTCTGGGCAGGAGAGCTATCGGCACCGGTGACGGAATTTGACTTCGTGTTTGGCGACGATCCTAGCTGCTGTTGCTGCTGTAGTCTGGCTCGATTCAGTTTCTCCTGCTTCTGGTCTTGCTGTTTCTTGATGCTAAGCATGTCCTCTCGGTTTGTACGAAGCAGGAAGAAGAGAGCTTGTGGGTACAACTTGGCAATCTTCACTAGGACGGCCTTGCAGAGGCGCGCCTCCCGATGAGACAAGCTAGTGAGCAGCTGAGGAATGAAGGTAATCCAGTACCAAACAGGTGTGTCTCCCTTGAAGTTTTCGAATGCACTTGCAATTTTTCCTTCCTCATTGTCGAGGCTGAGAAGCCAAAGAATTCTGCTGAGCAACTTCCGTGATTTGGCGCTCTTATAGAGACCAGCCGCCTCCAGATAACAGCTCACAGCATTACTAGCCAGCTCGTAATCAGTGGGGTCGGCCTTGAAACGCTGGTCGCTGTATTGGCCCCATTCTGACCAGGCCTTCGCAAGGCGAAGGTCATAGTAGAGAGCAACACCAAATGCTTCATTGGCCTCATTGACATGATCAAGTTTGGCAAGGAACATGCCCTTGAGGGTATAGAATTCGGCCTTCTGCTGCGGTCCAAAGTAGTTGAGGTTGGTGTTGTTAATCACATCCAGACCGCTGTTCAATTCCTTCGGATTTTGGTAGTGGCACTTAGCTTGCTCCCGAAGCTTAAGGAAGGCCTCTTGGATTTCGATGTTTGGTAGGGTATAAATGCGACTCAGTTGATTGATGCAAACCTCTGGCATCTGGTGCTTCCGAGCGACATGGGCGAAGCGATTGATAATCCAAGCTGTTTCGTGATATCCCCGGTAGGCGTAGGAGTTACTAGCCACATTGTTCGTCTGTGGAGGCAAAAGACTAAGATAAGTGCCATTGATGAGCTGGAAGATGTGTTGACGCCAGGTGACAAGATCTTGCCATGTGTTGATGTCATCCCAGAGATTGGGCAAGCGGTCTCTCCAGGTTCCAAGCAAGAGCTTAAGCTCGGCAGACTTGGTATCCAAGTTTCTTTCGTTTGTCTGGGCCAAGCTGCCACAGATGTGGCTAGCATCATGAAGCTCAACTAAGAGTTGGAAATGCTGCAGGATTGGAATATGAGCATTGGTGATGCGTTTTGGCAGTTGCAACCATTTGCGGATGGAGAGCTGGATGGACTCGTCGCAGACACTGTTGAAGTCCTGAATGTTGTCCTTCTTCGTATGGTATTGAAGAAGAGCCATGAAGGCCTGGAAGAACGTGCGTCTAGGTGTTGGAGCATCGGATACAGACTTAATCAATGACTCAAGCTGCTCGCGATTACCCTCACTCTGCCAATTCTCAATGTTTCTCCAAGCAGCCTCCAACAGAAGATCGTTAAGATTCTCGTGTTTGGCAAAGTCACTCAAAATCTCCCACTGTTGAAGCTTTTGGGCGCAGATCAACCAGTGATCCTCCCACACAAAATATTCGCCTTGGGAAAATGGCATGGCACCGGAACGAGCCTTGATTTGGGCGTTCTCATACAGTTGCTGGGACTTGTCCCACATTCCTTGTTGCTCGTACGAAAGGGCAGCATTGGTTTCAACGAACTTACAACGACGACGCCAGGTTCCGTAGAAAAAGTCGTCCTCTTGGAGTCCCGCGTAGACCTCTACCAGGGCGTCTAGGTTGCTCTCACGCACAGTCGGTGTGTCAATGATAGGATTGATGGCGGTTTGTTCAAGGTAAGTAGCAGCAGTGTACCAAGCGTCGTAGGTCCGGCTGAGATATTTGATGACATGGGGAGGAATCTTGAAACGAGGACTAGCTCGCACAGTGCCTTCCAGAAGAGCTTGGACGACGTTGGGCCGCTTATCGAGTTGTCTGTGATGATACTCACGGGTGAGTAATGTGACCATATCCTTCTCTAGATCAATACAGTCCTTGTTGGAAAGTGTAGACCAGAAGAGGGGGAAGAGCGTTGTCCACAATTTGTACGCGACGTTCGAATCGGTGTGCTGAAGCTGGCACAGAGGCTCTATCAGATCACGCACTCGGACATCGCCAACATCGGACATGAATCGCCTACGCTCGGCGACGAAAGCTTCCAGCTGGTTGTCAACCATTATATCAGCCTTCCTTGGATCTTTGTCACCGCTACCGAAGAGGAAAGACACGGGGAATAGGGTAAAGTCTTCATGGTGCAACCGAGCAGTGGTGGTCATGTCGACACATCCAAGCACCAAGTGAGATGCTTGGGCCAGCCAGAAAGAATCGGCAAGAGTATCCCAGTTTTGGCAGGTCAGGACATAGCTAAGGCGCGAGCTGGCGAGACGAGTCAAACTCTTATCGAAAATCTGCATGAAGCGATTCCTCATTTCGACATCCTGTGCTCTGGCTCCAATTAAGAAGGCGTGCTCCAAGCGGACTGTCAATTCAGTCCGAGTAATCTTGGAGTCTTCGTAGATTCGGATGACAAGATCCAAGAACTTCTTCAACATTGTCTGATCAGTGCGAGATTCGAAGAGCAGCATCTTGTGCAAGACGGCAGTCTTCTCCTTCAAAGTCGGCCATGACTCGGTGGAGTGGAAGATCCAAGATTCGGCCATGCCCAAGATTTTACTGCAGAGTTCATTGGTCTGTGATCGTTCCACGATCTGAGCGAGAACACTGAGGAATGGACGACGTTGATCACCCAAGTGAGACATTCTGACGGAAATGAGCTCGATAGTCTTGAGGATGAGATCAACTCCAAGTTCAAACTCTTGTTGGTCTGTAGTTGGAGCTCCCTCGGCAGGCTTGGTACCATTCTGCAGTTGGGCGCCATTCTGCGTCGACGCAGCGACGTGTTCTTTGGCAAGTTTGGTTGAGAACGCTTTCATCACCGCAGGAATGTGTGCATCGATTTCGGCAGGCTTGATCTTGGAGAGCGTCCATAAGATATTCAAGCTTGACACATAGTTGCTAGCAGAGAGTGTCTCGGTGGCAATGGTAGACAAATATGAGCCAAATTCTGAAGGTGTGCCCTCCGTGTCCATCGCATCCTCATCATCAGGCTGTTCGTCTGGGATGGCCTCGAGCACATGCCGAACAGGAGGCGGTAGCTTGTGCACAACATCCATGTCATCTTCAAGTCCATGCAGACAGTCCTGAATTTCTGGGTTGTCTGATTTCAAAGGCTTTTCCAGAAGCTTTTGAATTACAGGAAGACGAGAAGCGATCCACTCATTGGGCTTAGCCGCGATCAAGACCCTCAGCACCTGGAGCGTGTTGACCATGTAGGTGATTTTATCCTCGATTTTGTCGCCCTTTTCACCAACGAGAATCGGCTCTGTCACTTTTTGATAGAGGTCGATATCTAGGTCGCCCCAATACTCGGGTGAAAGAAGGCTGCGGAGCAAATTAATGGCCTTGTTGATCATCTCTCCGGTGGGCACAGAATTTTGTTGTTTCGTTGTGGGCATTTGGCGAATTTTAGCAGCCGGGACCTGGAATCTTTCGGGGATCGTGGTGATGAAGGTGATGAGGTACTTGATTAATGACGCACGCAAATCATTGGGCACGGTGTATTCAGACCGTTCGCGGCTGCTAGGAGGTCCAAGTGCGGGGGACGGGGATGGCTCTTGGACTTCGTCTAGCTTACGCTTCCTTGCGACTGGAGACTCGGATGTGCCATTTGTTAAATGGTGAGCCTCGGCATTATGAGTCCGCTTTTCTTCCCAATGCCAGATAAGACTGATCAAGTTCAGCGCGAGCTTCTTGCTATCATTCGAGGTGTTCGGGGGACCCGTGATCTTAACCAAGGACGGGACGATAAGAGGCACAAAGTGCTCCCTTGACTCATAGAAGAGATCAGGTTGCCGAACCAGGAACTGGAAGATACTCATGACCTGCTGCAAGTTGGCGGTCTCCTCAGCCAGAATGCGACGAGGCCATTTGGCCCACAGTGGGTAGCGTGCCTCGGCACCCGAGCTGTTGGCTGTTCGCGTGGGGAGCACAGGAGCAAGGACGTCGAGAGCCTGGGTAACGAGAGCTCTGCCTTCGTTCTGGTGAGCCCTGAGGAGTGCAACATAGACCTGAATGACGATCTTGAACGGAGTCTCGTAGTGGGCAATGAAATAACTGATCAAAACGTAGGCTCCGTATTTGTTGATGATATCCTCAAGACGGATGTAATTCCAGGCAAACTTGATAATGTCTTTGCGGGAATCCTGCACAGTTTGTGAGTGATACTTGATCAACAGAGCAGACAATTGAAGCAACTCCATGCGTGAGTGATCGACGCCAGCTTGGTTAGACTCCTCACTTAGATCCGCCAGTTGCGGCTTCCACAACCGACTCTGAATAGACTCGGTCATGCTCTTGTCCATCAGCTTGGGAGTGTTTGGGGGCTATCCCAAGTAGCCTGGACATCCATTGCAAAGATTGGATTCACCAAGTGGCGGAAAGCATATGTCTTGGTCTTCTGCGGGCAGCTTTTCTGGCCGTAAAGATCGAGACAGCGCATAATGACAGACCGCCGGTAATCAATAGACTCGTTGGAGATGATGCTCTTGTAAATAAACCTGGGAAGAGCAAGTGTGCGTTTCAACTCATCGGCGGACAGTCCATCGATCACTTCAAAGAGGAAATCCAAATCATGGGTAGCCTCGGTTAAGTACATGGTGAAGATATCCATCAATCGGTCTTCGGCTTGTTCGACCCGGAGTCGCTCATCAGCCGGCAGACTATCACCACGGAGCTTCCTCTCAAGGTCTCTGCCAGAGGTGAGGAGCTTGGTTCTCATTTCAGCGTGCGACACCAGCCAGCGCTTAGTTGAGCTGTAGGAACAGATGGAGTGCGCAACATAGACTCCATTGATAGCAGCGGTGTTTTTGCCATCGCCAGCGTCTTGAGTAAAGGCGGCAGCGGAGAAGCCATCCGTATCAGCAACGACGGCATTTCGGAGTGCTTCACTCTCCGGGTCAGCCAAGATCTGTCCAAAGAAACGTCCAAATCGTTCATCCTTGAAGCGAGCGAAAAAGAAGGCCAAACTTTCTTTGGGGTAGCGATTTAGATATTTCACTAGTGGCTTGCGGAATGGGCTGTGCGAAGTGCGTCGTAGCTTCAGTTCGAGATCCAGGACCTTGTTAACAAGATGCTCCATGAACGAGGTAGCTGCCGGTGGGAGAAGGTGGAAAATATTAAAGATGGCAGCCACAATTTTCATAGCCGAATTTTGCTCAACGAGGCTGAAGGATACTTTCTGCAGGACAGCATCATCCGCAATGACTTTCATGTGATCAAGCAAACGAGCACCAATTTCAACTTTGAAATAGTTCGTAAGCAGCGTCAACAAACGAGCTAGACCATCCAATCCAGCAACACTCAGGCGCTTGGGATCTTGAAGATTCATGAGAATGGGGCGCAATCCATTTTGCAACAGATCCTTGGGCAGTTTGTTGGTTTGAGTGAGAACATCCCGAAGACCAGCATTCGCAGCTTCGATTACTTCCTGTGACCTAGAGTAGAGTGACTTGAAGAAAACGGAAATGATGCGAGCCCTGCTGGTGTTCTGCGGCGTGTTGGCAAACTCTGAGAAGCTCATCGCCATAGACAAGAGGCGAAGGCAAGCAACACGAAGGTTCACGATCATATCTGCGTTCTTGAACTCGTTGGGCTTAGATGCAAGAGATTCATCATCGGCGTCCGCGAGAGCAAGTGATTCCAGCATCAAGCGGTTGAGCGGTTCATTGAAGGTGACGATATCATGGTGAAGACTTAAACAGTATGTGATGGCATCGATGAAACCAATCTGCGTCGGGAAAGGTAGAGCACGCAGGGGCTTGTTGAAAATCGACTGCAAGAGACGGTCTCTAACGGGGAAGATGAGCTCGTGCACCTCACAGCCCACCACATCCTTTAATGTGGTGAAGCAACGACGAGCAGTCTCTCGAACATGTTTATTCATGTGCCCAAGTTCATAGACGAAGAACCCAGAGAGCGCATACAGACGGCTCTTTTCGTTCTTCAAATCCTCTTTGGGAATGAGCTTGCCACAACGTCGCAACATTAAGGTCATCGTCTCTTGTGACTGGATGCGAGTGGCGGCGGGGAGGTCAGCAGGCGTGTCCTTGATGACATACATCAAAGCCCGACAAAACTCGACGTGTCGCTCATAAAGCCATGTTTCACCCAAGTCCAGCTTGGTTGCGAGCAGATTGATGCCTAGGCTGCCACCGGCTTTAGTGAACCACTCTTCGCTGTAACAGCTGTGGCAGAAGACACGGCCCAGATGCACAAAGAATGGGAGCTTGGCCGCCTTCTCAGGAGATCCAAAGATGACGCCAGCGGCATCCTTCACAACCACCATCGCCTGTTCGGCTGCCTCGCGGACTTGGACTTCGTCAGATGACAGGCACTCGACCAAAGCCTCGGCGAGAATCCTGGAGTCCAAGTACACAGGACCTTCCCCGTTCGCAACGTCAAAGGCCTTCCGGCCGTGCCTGACTTGGGCCAGCGCACGACCAACCTCTACAAGGGCGAAGTGCTTGCAAACATCGGCAACAAAAGCCGTAGCGGTTTGCTCAAGCTCAGGAATAGTAGTGGCGAAGATACAGGCCTTGATCAACTTCTTCACTGTTGCTTCCTGCGCAACCTTCTTCGGAATAGAGGCCGATCGTTCAGATTTGTCGAGAATATCTGCCATAGCACCAGGCTTATTCTCGAAAAGATCGTTCGCATGAAGTCTGATCGAGGCTGCCAAATCTTCGGGAATGTTGTCGTAACCAATTTGGAGCTTAAGGTGGGAACTGAGCATCCGGTAGGCTTGCTGTTTGTAGTAAATATCTGAAGCTTTCCCAGCATCCGTCTTCGGAACTTCCATGAGTTTACCCGCAGCGAGGTCAATACCAATATCAACAGGGAAAGGCCGTTTCTCATTCGGGCCAATGAGTCTGATATCGAAACTGGGATTGTCATCAGAGAATTGCTGGAAGGACAATTCGGGAGGGTGGTTAAGGAACTTCCGGTTCCGTCCGCCAAGTTTTCCAAGGATGCGCATGGTGGTGTGTGCGTGGAAGTGGTTATAAGGCGACGGACGCAGGTGATCCCAGAGCGCGGTCATCAATTCATCCATTATTGGGCCCATAATCGGGTCGAGATAGTCAGCTGTGAGGTTGTCCACGCAGAGCTCGAGAGTACGCAAGCCCTGGCCGACGAGATCAGAATCGGCCCGCAAAGCAACCACAATAGGACGCATCAGATAACTGAGATGAGGAAGGAGATGGCTCAGTCGAGCGGGAACTGTGAGAGTCAGTTCTACATAGAGGTCGCGTTCTTGCGGCTTGCGCGCTGCAAGCAACAAGTTATTGAACGTTTCGAGGAGCATCTCCAGAAGTGGTAGGATTTCTTTGTAGAGAAGCTCAAAGCGCCCACCACCAATGCTTCGGAAGAGAGACCTCAGCAGAAGGAAGTAGTTCATAGGCTCTTCGGCTGTGACTGAAAGCTCAATGCATTTGGTCACGATCTTCGTTACATGAGGGTGGAGGACCTGTTCATTTTGCACTGAGAACAATGTCACGGCCATAAAGGAAAGCTTGAACATCCTCAGCAGTATCTTGGCCTTTGTCATATCTGAGGTCCCGACCTCATCAATGCGCTCCATAAGATATTGTAAGACCATGCCGGAGAATGCAGGAGAAGTGGCCTCGCTGGCGAGGAAGAACTGAGGCAGGTGAAGTAAAGCCCCGTGTTCAAACATGAGCTCATGGAGATATGGAATTTCGGAATGGAAGACTTCGTGGAATGTTGCGGTATCAATGCAGTGGAAGACAGTGCCGAAGCTTTCCAGCAGCTCCTTTTCTTCACGTGTCATCGGTGCTGTGTATTGGCTGGCAAGGAAGTCAAATGGAGATGCGTAGTTCAAGTCAGGAGGTGGCTGATCTACCCCGTAGTAGCGGAACACACGCGCTCCCTCGTGGAAAAGCTTCTTGATGACACTGACTTCCTCTGCATTGTAGCCATACGAGACTTCCGACCAGTTTATGGGGACACTATTGGGATCAATTTGAATATCATCCGGGTTGCAATTCTTCAGCTGCCGGAAGATATTCTTCAGCCCATTGATCAAGTTTCGGAACAGGAAGATGTTGTCCGAAACGGGGTCACCACCACGGTCGCGCGGACTAGATGTCTTGATGGGAGAAGCTGAGAAAATGTCGATCTCATCCCAGTCTGGTGGTTGGTCCTTCTCCGCCAGGTAGTTCTCAGCGCACGGCTCAGTGTCCTTTCGGAAAGCTTTGTATGCCCTAGAAACCTTGACAGCATTTTTGAACTGGTGATTCATTGATGCGAACTTGTCACCAATAGCATCTAAAATCATGATTAGGAAATAGCGTGCCTCACGCTTATCTTCAAGTTTGGAGATATTCTCCGCCATGTTCAAGAGAAGTTTTGCACTCATGGTTTGGAAGCTTGTGCCGGGGAAGTCGTCGTGAAGATTTTTGGTATAGACCTCAACCGTTCGCCGAATCTGGTCTCGGCTCAAATGATCACGAACATGGTGAATCAAATCAGCCAGCATGCTATAAGCAAGTGGTCTCATAGTCTCATAGACCGTGAGGCCATCTCCGATGAGAGTCCGCTCATCCAAAAGCTCATCAATCTTCTCAAGGAATATCTTGCGATAGTTGAAATTTATGATGTGTCGGATGGCGACCAGCAACTCCTTTCGTGCACCCGACTTCTCGCGTGGACAATCTTGGAGGAGGCGTACTACAACAGAAGGAAGGGTGGGAAGGAAGTCCTGCAGCTGATGGGCATAGAGACGCAACAGATATGCCAAGAAACTCATTGTCTTCACTTGAGCTGTGATGAACTCTCCAAACGCAGCACGGTTCTTGATTTCCTTGCAGACTCCCGTGAATATTGTTCCTTGCGCCGCGGCATCCGCATGTGCCTTTTCCTGCGGCTTCGCCTGGAGTAGTAGAATTGTCTTGATGAGCGGCACAAACAGCTTGACGTTAGCCGAAACCGATGCCCGATGCGTCTGGAAGATCGAAACAACTATAATAGGGCACTCTGCAAGGACCTTGAATGACTGCATGCCCTTGAGCAGAACATTACTCGACTGCTGGTCAGGTCCTAGATCTGAGACAGAAGTAGCAGGCGAGCTTGGCCGGGGAGACTGGAAGTTCTGTGCGGTTGCGTTAGGCGTTGATGGCATACCTGAGGGTGTAGCCTGGTTGGGTGTATCGAAAGTATCCCTGACCACTTGCTCCATGGTCTGGAACATTTCCTGTATTAGCTCCAAAAAGCCCTGCACCCGATCTGAAGTAGCCTTGGCTTGATTCCTCTCTAAATCCATGATGGTTTTCATGCATAGCACCGCATTGTCTTCGTTCTCGATTCGCGCAAGTTCCATCAAAAGATCAACCATATCAACCGCATACGGCTCCACGTCCGGTGATCCCATCGGTAATCGATGTAGTGTCTCGAGGATGCAGTTTCGTAGTTTCTAATGCATATCAAGAGTGGTTAGCTGTTTGTGCGCAACATTCACCGAGGTCAATGTAGTCCTCGGTTGTGCCAGGTAATCTCACTTGGTCGTAAGACATGCTAAGAAAGACGGGGTCGCCTTTCAGAATGGTTTTGAACACCGGCCATAGCTTCGCTAGGAATATGGGATAGCTCGCGCCCGAGCATAGGGGCTCAATGCTGTCTCGTAATTCGGTAGCAACATTGGCTCGGACTTTCACATCTATAATAGGGCAAGGTGGTTAGCCCGGGCATATTTTCAGACCTCCAGCTGGTGCGGATGTCATCGACATACCCAGCTTCTCATCGCCAAGCTTGGTGGCATAAATATCTATGTTTCGCTCCATCTTTGCGATCACACCCTTCTCAAGGGCTGCTCACTAAATGGCAAGAAGCAGGAATGACGGCCGGGCCAAGAGGCCGGCTGAAGAGAGGGGAGTGTGCGCAGTCTTCCCAGGGGGGAATGAGCTTCTCATGCGTTGTGGTGTGGCGGCACGGAAGCTGTGTGAACTCGATCGATATGCGAAAAGATCGGAGACGGTAGCGATTAAAGGTAGGAAATCATCAAGTCATTGAGCCTTCTAGGGAGATGAATTGCTTATTCCATTGAGCAAAAGAAAGTTCAAACGGCAAAAGAGTGTATCGAATTACCCCGTGGGGGAGGAGTGGCTGAGGGGGATGGGGAAAGAGATTGGGAGTATTGTATGCGCCGCGATATTCACGAGAGCAGAACAGAAGACGCGGGCTATCGCAGAGACCCCGAAAGAAACACTAGTCCCCTTTAGGCAACTATCTCGGTGCCTGTTGTTCCGTTCCGGGCCCCTTCAACGCTACAGAACTACACTCCGCGTGAGTAGTCTACTTGTTTGATATCAATCGCTTTTCATTTTCTTATTAAATTGGACTGACATTGTATTGGGTGTTCTTTTCTACACCCATGAATTACCCTCATATGAGCAGGCAAAGTACGGCGCCTCCCCCAATTTCGGCACATCCATCACACGGCCCCCAGATTCTAGAGCCGTTAAGCACTACTGTCTAACAGTCCATTGAAAGTGATTAGGTTGACAATGTGCACTTCTTGGTAATTACTGAATGTTCCAACGAAGCTAAGCCTCCAGCTCTCAGGCTGCAATCAATCTACTCGTACGTGTTGAATCTAGATACAAAACTATCAAATATATATCTGCATAGAGATAAGTGTCTGCGTACGTTCTTCATTTATTTGATAGTGAGGATTTGCTCAAACAATACCAAAGCCCTTATCTATATAACTTAACCATACATACTACCCATATAGACAGACATTCAAGCCCTCTATACAGATCCACCTAGATTTAGTTTTGGTGAATGTACAGTACCGTAGGCCAGTAGGTGTATACATGCATCTCGCTTTTACCTCCCTAGATTTAAAGAACAGAAATATTGTAAATGCCGGGCCTACTTCTTCGATTTATGAGAATCCCAAGTTGTCCATGGGCATCCATAGCGCTGAACCTTCAATGTAGTCTTCAAGGTTAAATGTCTCGGTATACGACATGCGAGTTGGACGCAAATCTGCATCTTGTTTTGAGAGAGATTGGTTTCTTCTTCAAAGATATGATAATAAGCTACGACCCAAGATAATATAAAAGAATACGATGAGCTTTGTCTTTAAATGGCGGTGCATATTGATGTTTGAATTGTGGTCCTCTTGCCAAGCGACTAACATTTCAGAACGTGCTTTAAATGTTGGAGGTAGATGCTAATATGGCCAGTAGCCTAGCAATATTAACTCCTGGTTCGACACCAATGATGGCAATTCTATCTGCACCTTGTGATCTCAAATTGCAGACTCACCCTGCGAGCTTAGTCCGGTGAATCCAGATTTCTGGTCAAATCAATAGTATAAATCACCCGGAGCCATGCTTTTTGCGGTCAAAGTACTAGATAGTTCCTCCCTTGCCAGCCTTAATTTACGGATTATATCTCCAAGAGACCCAGAACTAAAATCTGAACCAGTGCCTACCGCATGCGGGTATGACGCATAGTCTCTAGTAAGCCTGTCACAACATGTTACAAAATCTGATTGACTCTCCAGAGTGCATAATGGGAGTTCTGAACCAGACTATATCGAAGCCTTTCCAAAAAAATACGAGAGAAGGATCATCACCACCCTCAGGCCTACGTTGGGGCACAATCTCAACCATAAGCACCATTCAACCAGTGGCCCCGGAAGTGCAGGAACTTCTCTTCGTGTAACTCAAGGCGCTCAAAAGCAAAAACAAATCCTGGAGTAATTCAGCTCCGCGAAGTCATGCAGCAACAGCTGGCAACCCTAACAGAATCCGTTGCATATTGGGACAATTTCTACTCCGTACCATGCAGCAACACGAGGTCACAGAGGCTATTCAGGCGCAACCATACCTGTCGAGCCAGAAAGTGGGGGCTTGAGAGTGACTGCATGAGATATGTCCCATAAGTCGCTCGGAGGGTATTGACATCGTGGCAGCGCCAAGGTCTTGCGTTTGGGATGACCATTTATAGACTATCCCGATCTCACATTTTCCAGAACTAGCACTGAAGGATAACCCACCACCATGACGGCTCCTATCACCGTTCAACCCTCCGAGGTCTCCGCATCCCAGGCCATGGAACCCCGAGATATGCCATACTCCACGCTGAGCAAGTCAATGACCTTTGCCAGCCTGGATCAATACCAGTACTGGCATGCTGTCGCCCCAATGCTAGGGCGAATGTTGGCAAATGGCAATTACAACATTCACAAGCAATATGAATATCTGTGTCTCTTCGCTCATGTCATCATTCCCAGACTGGGACCATTCCCAGGAGGGAGAGACATATACAAATGCCTACTTGGGGGCACTGGCTCTGTGGAGCTCAGTCAGAATGTCCAGAAATCTGGGTTGGTTGCACGGGTCGCTTTCGAGCCTACAAGCTACATCGCCAGTACCGGAATGGACCCGCTGAATCGGCACACGGTGCACGCTACACTGGCAGAGTTGAGGGCGATCGGGTCTGCCACGGTTGACATGGAGTTGCATCAAATGCTTGTCAACGAGTTGACCTTGACAGATCGCGAAGAAAAGCTCATGTCCCGAGAGGAAATTGCGAAAACCGCGTGGAAAACCCAGATTCTCCTTGCTTTAGATTTGACCCAGAAGGGTATCACAGTCAAGGAGTATTTCTATCCCGCGCTGAAGGCTGCCGTGACGGGAAAACGTGTTGCGAAGCTGTGCTTCTCGGCAATTCGAAAAGTGGACAAGCAAGGGCTCTTCGAAGCTCCAAGCAAGGTTATCGAAACTTATATGCAAACACAGGAACAGACAGACCTCTACTTCCTGTCCTGTGACCTTGTCGACCCAGCGGAAACTCGGTTCAAGCTCTACCTTATGGAGTTGGACATGAGACTAGGCAAGGTTGAAGAACACTGGACAATGGGTGGCAAGCTCACCGACGAAGAGACAATGACAGGTCTAGACATGCTGCGGGAGCTTTGGGTCGAGTTTGGGATTATCGAAGGCATGCGGAACGAGCCCGAGCGGCCATCACTTGCTGGAGATCCGAACACTATTGTCCCCTTCATTATGAATTACGAAATGAACCCTGGAGAGAACTTGCCAAAACCCAAATTTTATTTCCCCCTGGTTGGCATTTCAGAGCTGAAGATCGCCAACGTACTCACTGCGTTCTTTGAGCGTTACGACATGCCGGAGCAGGCTTCAGTCTATCGGGAGAATCTGCAGACGTACTAGTGAGTTCTTCCTTCATATGTATGGACGTAGATGGTTGCTAACCTGGAGCGTTTGATATCAGTCCCAGTAAGGATTTAGCTCTTGCAACTGATCACCAAGCATGGCTTTCCTTTTCATACACGAAGAAAAAGGGACCGTATCTCACCATGTACTATCACTAGTACCGTTCCATAGTCAAATAAAAGCTAAACACATATATCAGGGAAGGATTGGCATGGCTTAACCCTGTTTAGTGGCTGAAATGAACCAAAACGTTCCCGCAACTGTCCGTCCTTGCCGTAACTGTATATGATCTGAAGGGCGTTCGCTAACTACAATGAAGAAACCCTTATTCCACATAAGATCTTGTTCCGACTGCCCTCTCGGATACTAAGTATTTCGTAGGAGCTAGAAAATCAGAAATACTGGCCATTCCCACTATTGGCTATTTCTGTCCATGGATGAACATACGGCTGCTTAATGATACCGAACATTATTTAGCAAGCGATGTTGTACTTCAAACCCATCTGACTTCCCCAATTGGAATCTACTTTTTTAACTAAGATTCCTTGTGCCCGGTTGCAACAATACCAGAGTACTTCTGCAGCACCAAATCAGTCTCTCCATAAGCTTCATCTAGATGGCGCTGGAGGACAGGCAAAATGTCTTGCTCGTGTGCATCCCTCCTTCAGCGCGGGCCAGAGTCATGTTCTCCCAGCCTTCATCGGCCTTCTCATAATTCAGATATCCCAGACACAGAAAGCTCTAATCTACATAGGTATATTGCAGCTTGTCAACAAGACATCCCCTGTGCCAGACCTGCCGGATTATACTCTGACCACATTTTCCAGTAGCCAAGGTTGACCCGAGACCTCTCATCGTTATCTATCTTCTTATTTGATCCTGTATTTTCTCTTCCTCTAGAACCCACTGTGCCCCGGGATGTTCCGTGAGTAATTTGGCACTGAAGCATGTACGGAACGCCGCCAGCCTGGACGACTGGGGCGTGATCTGATTTCCCAAGGCTATTCTGTCTTAGCGAGCGACCAGAGTTGATATCCACAACTTACGCAGGACGCTGGTTTCTGGGCTTCTTTAGAGGTTAATCACCCCGTGTCTCTTATGATGGTATTTGATGGCAGCAACAAGACAAGCGATTCCCAGACCAACAATGGTCACTTGGATCCCGCTCAAATGGGGTGCTGCAACCCCGCAGGGGACTGTCACTGTGGAGGTTTTGACTGTGATGATACTCTTGTAGCTACGAGGGCTGTTCATAGGAAACTGAAGAAGAATACCTCCTCTGTTGCGACGGGGTCTTTGCTTCTCCTACAGAGCTTACAAGCTACTCAGCGACTAAGGACCCTGAGCAATCGCTTGCCCGCCCTGATCTTCCCCGTCTCTCTTCTTAACCATGCCTGACTCCATGCAGTGGCTGCCATCCGAGAATGCAACACGCGGTGTGCCGGCACAGCCCTGGCTGCAGCTTTTATTAAATACGAAGTATGGGGCACCCCGAATGATCAAGGAGGCAACCCGGTTCTTGCTTTCCAAGTCATCCATCACGCTGTGAGTTACAGAGGACCCCTCAGCCAGGGGGTATGTGAAAGGCTGCAATACGTGGCTGCCAGAACGCCCTTTCCGTAGGATACGACTGATCTAGCCAGGGAGTACCGAGTACTTCAAGCCCAATACCCGTGGGCCGGAAATGGTTTATGGTTGCATAGTATACTCCGTAGTCGGGCAGTGCTGCCGGGATGCGATGCAAGATATTGCACAGCGAAGGTGAAAATCAAGCTCAGCTCGGCTCTACATCCCACAGACCCGCTCACAGCGAGCCGAGACGCGACGGACTGCAATGCGAAATGCCATGGACCCTGAATGTCTGATACAAGGGGCCTACCACTCTCCACGGAGCTCCCTGCAATGACGATCATTCATGCAGGTAATCGGATGGCCTTAGCATGAAGATCGAAGGATGAAGCCTCGTATTCTACGGAGTACTGCTGAGCTACAGGGTACTTGGCACTGCATTCCAGCCCTGAGTCACGACCACCTGGCCGGTCTGAAGGAATGGCAAGGAATCGACATGCGGGAATTTCTCAGCGCCCAGGTGTGTCCACCTCAATCCAGGAATCACCGTGAAGTCGCGCAGAGTTTCCCTTTGTTTTCCCTTCAGCCCTTGAATTGCCAAGAAGTGGTTTCCTACTAACCATGGTTTTGTGGCGTGTGAACAATCGATTTACGATGATCGATTCCGATCGCTGGTCCTACGCACGTTCTCAATAATTTGCACTGGGATTATGCCAAATCGCTGCTCCTGAATAGCTTTTTTGTTGGCCTGCAAGATCGCCTTACCTCGGCTTAGGACAGTAGGTTTGCCATGGATGTCAAGATACGACGGGAAGTATAGTAAACTCTCTCCAACGGAGATCACCGCAGTCACTGAATGCTGACTGCAGGTACCCTGTGGCATAGTTACATATCGGATAGTGTTGCTAAAGTTAAAGACGCCATGAGAAAAGGCAGCTCCAATACTTTATCGGTGTAACAAAAAAACTTTGCATAGAGACTTGTGTGGCCATCAATCTATCTGTCACTATGGTGGTTGCTTGCGCCCTCGTATAGATTGCGTAAAGTACGAAAAATGTGCTTGAAAGACCGGTCTCACGATATACATTGAGTACTTAGTTCTAAACCTGGAACAAGCGTAAGGCGACCATGTACTGTGTAAAAAGTCCTACAGTGGCTCCAAGATAATTTCCTGCTCGGCAACTTTGAACCATGCCTCCCCTCGTTTCTGGGATTCCTTCTCACTCATGGCAGATTTGGCCGGGGACTTCAAAAGATAGTGCTCCACCGTGTACGCAACCAATACTTTAAGGATGGTATCAGCCAGCGCCTGCGCGATGCATTGGCGTGGGCCAAACCCAAAGCGCCAAAACCGATACCGAAAGTTCGACCTAGACTCTTCTAAAAACCGCTGGGGGCGGAAGATCATCTTGTCAGCGCCCCATGCGTCGTCCCAGATATTCAATGCGTTCGTGTCGACAACCATGAAGGTTCCTTTGGGAATACGGTATCCACCGACATCGCGATTGGTGGGCATCGATTGCGCGTACGTGTAGTTTGTCACTGGCTTCAGCCGTGCAGACTCGTTGATGCAGCTTGAAAGTAGGGTCGAATTGCTGGCAATGTACTTTGCCCAGGAGTCTGCAGTCGTATCCATCCGGGCCTGTGAGATCTCTTCTCTCAGCTCGGTCTGTAGATCACCTTTCTCGGCCAGGAACTGGGGGATCCAGGAGAAACTGCCGATTGTGACATCGATATTGGCAAACAGTGCTTCATCGAGGGAATGCATCAGCTCAGTTGGCGTGATCTGGCCTTGCTCGACGGCTTCGTATAAGGGGACAATGGCGCAAGCAGAGGCAGTCCTTCCGTTTTTGGCATTTTGATACGCTTGTCGATTGAAATTGGCCCAACGAGTGTGGAAAACGTGCAATTTGTTTCGTATTGTGGGTGAGAATATTTTACTGATCCAGAACAATGACAGTCCGCCTTTGAAGGCATACTGAAACACATCTGTTCGTAGATCAGTGATTTGCAGGAGTTCCTGCACCATCCCTGGGGACAACTCTCCGTAGAGGAGATCACTTATGACCCAGAAAGGTAAAAGCTTAAGGTCTTCGGCGGGCATGATGCGAAGTACTTTCCCGCCTTCATATTGCCGATAAAGCTCGGAAAAGTGACGGTCAATCCGAGATTGAACGAATGGCACGTATGTTGTGGGCTTCTGAGTAAATGGTGGTGAAAACACAGCATGGACTCTTTTCCAGTGCCCTTGGCTGATCAGACCGACACCATCTCCAACCAAATCACCCATGACCCACCCACCATTCAGGTTGGAAGCCTTAAAGTGATTGCCCGAATCCTTGAAGACAGTCTTGATCTCATCCGCTCGGGTCAGAATACTGTTTGTTTGAGTTAGCGTAGGCAATGCATTGTAGTAAAAAGGACACACACATTTCTGGCGTGAGGCCAACCCAGATCCGATATACTGGACCATACTTCTCTGCCCATTTCCGCGAGATATCTTCTCCCTCTAAAAATTTAAGACTCCCGCCGCCATCTGGAAATCTGTAGGGACAAGTTGGGATGGGTGTTTGGCCGTCTGCTGAGTAGATCGGGTACCACCAGAGCAAAAGTCCCTACAATATCAACAATGAAAGTTAGCGATGTTCCAGTAGGGTATTCTCAAGAAAATACTGACATTGATTATGTATGACACTACTCGATTAGTCCATGTATTGGGCTGAAAGGCGCGCCACAAAGCGACCAGCAGTGAGACAAGTACCAACTGAAGTGCAAGAAAGATGTAACCTAACATCACGCGGTTGTAACTTCTCAATGTCTGCAGTGACAGAGGAAAATCGGTCGAAGATGTTCTATGAATTTGTAATTGAGTGAAAGAGAGCAATTGCCCAAAGGGGTATATGTTGCGACGAGCAAGTCTGACTGTAACTCGGACATGTGCGGCTGATGTTTTCGGGTACTTGCACCGAATGGCCAGAAGTTCGCATGTGCAGGTCCAATATAGCGCAGCAAGGACATCTCTGCATGGTCGCATTGCGCCCATATGTGTGATCTCTGGGGTCTATATGCAAGGACTTGGGGAAACGGTTGCATGTGTAAGACACGAGGAATCATCAATGCCCAGGTGAGCCTGGGCATCTATATCGGAATTTCAAATTCGTTGCGGCTGACCAGATATTCTTGGCCATTCCTGTGAAGGTACTGTAAGCAAGCGTGCCTTGAGATGATGCTAGCACATATAGTCCAAAGTACTCACATTCTTCGTATATTCATTACTATGAAGATAGCCCAAACCTTTGGGGATAAGCTTGAGCTCACTCACACTGGGAATTGATATCCCTTCACTATCACCATGTGCTCTTATCACGATCATCATACTATTTCTCTCTCTTTGGACAAACAAGTAGAGGCAAGATGGACCAAAAATGGGAAATACTTGCCTCAACCTCATCCCCTCAAGGCATCCTGTGCCCTCTTATTTGGCAGAATAATGGAAACACATACCACGACATTCGCAGTTGTCGAACAACTGGTACCCCCACCGAGGAACGACTGCTTGAAAAAAGTAGTCCCGCCACAGCTAGAAACTTGGGCAATATCAGAATGCCCAAGAAGCCTCTTGATAGATGCAGCCAAGGAAAAGCGCAGGGAGCCTCTGTCAGGAACAGAAGTTCAGACGGCAGTATTCATTAGGTGGCACAGCCAACCTAGCGCAGGTACTACCTCTGTAAGTATATTTCGACCACGATGTTCACACAAGACACTAATGATAGATTAGTTGCCCTTCACATTCAATACTATGATTTTTATTGATTGCAGCATATCGCCCATCGAAATATCCATGGAATACTCGAGGGGGTCTCTCACAATGAACCAAGCCTGGGCACAATTAACATCACTGGTTCACATTTTGGAGCAAGTCATTCTAAGCCCAGAGTTATCCCTCAAAGAGTTAGACTTTCTGGGCTCGCATAGTACCAGATTGATCCGGCAATGGAACGATCCCTATGCACTTGCACGACCAGGCATTTGCATCCATAACTTGATCCTGGGACATTGTCACAGTCGACCGGATGCCGACGCCGTGTGTGCTTGGGATGGATCCGTCACTTATGCCGAGCTTGATCAATTCTCAAGGGCACTCGGGCTCTGTCTGGTCTCCCTTGGCGTTGGCCCAGAGTCAGTAGTGCCGCTCTGCTTTGAAAAGTCGCGGTGGACGGTGATCGCCATGCTGGGGGTACTAAGAGCCGGAGGTGCGTTTGTTTTGCTCGACCCGTCACACCCAGTGGCCCGGTTAGGGGAGATCTGTTCGGAAGTGCAAGCAGAAGTCCTCATCGTCTCAGATACATTACAAGAGCTGGGTAGCCAGTTGGGTCCACAGGTCATCACGGTCCTGGACACAATCCACAATCACGTTCATACATCCACAGCTACATTGAGCGCTCCTGTCAAACCCACCAATGCTGCCTATGTGGCCTTTACCTCTGGTTCCACTGGAAAGCCCAAAGGGATTGTCATTGAGCATCAGTGCTTCAGTGCGAATACCTTGGCTCAGAACGCGGTCCACAATCTTAATCAAAACACGCGAGTCTTTCAATTTGCCTCATATGGGTTTGATAGCAGCATTTTGGAAACACTCATGGCCCTGGTGGCGGGTGGTTGTGTCTGTATACCATCAGAGCAACAACGGCTGAATGGCGTGGCAGATGCCATCCGCGAGCTGCGGGCTAACTGGCTGGAACTGACCCCATCCGTCGCGCGATTTATCAACCCTGAAGAGGTACCGGATGTGAGATCTGTATTGCTTGTCGGTGAGCCCATGTCCCAGGACCACATTACACAATGGTCATCAGGGAACGTGCAACTTCTCAACGCGTATGGGCCCGCCGAGTGTAGCGTGGTAACTACCGTGCAGCCCCACGTACAACTGCACGATCCACAGAATATCGGACGTTCATACAGCAGTCACAGCTGGATTGTCAATCCCCAGGATCATGACCAGTTGGAGCCGCTGGGTGCGGTGGGCGAATTGGTCATCAGCGGGCCGATCGTGGCGCGCGGGTATCTCAACCAGCCTCACCAAACATCTTTCATCTCCAACCCCCGTTGGGCCACGCGCTTCGGCATTCCTCCCACTGAACGCTTCTATAAAACTGGCGATCTTGTGCGATACAATCTCGATGACGGGACGCTGCGATATGTGGGTCGCAAGGACAGGGAGGTGAAGATTCACGGGCAGCGTGTCAACCTGCAAGAAATTGAGCATCACGCATCCCAATTCCAGAAGGGAATGCTGGCGGCCGCCGATGTTGTCCATGTTAATGGTAGCACAGCGGGGAAACTACTCGCATTGTTCATTGCTGTTGCAGATGCCGACGAAGTTATCTACAGTTCCCAGCGAAGCCTCGTTCTGCCTTGGGATGATGCCCTCCGTGCTTTAGTAGCAGGCCTTCAGGACTGGCTGCGAAATTCTTTGCCCTCATATATGGTCCCCACAAAATACATTTTCATTGATCGCTTTCCTTTAACGAGAACAGGAAAGCTCGATCGACGGGCCTTGGTGGATCTTGGAGTATCCACTCACTCGCCTTCATTGTCATCTGGACAGGATCCGTCGAACCGACGTGACAAAGAAGATGCCACACTCAGCCCGGAGCTTGTCGCCAAGGAGAACTCCTTGCGTGCAGTGTTTTCTGAAGTATTGGGGTGTCTAGAAACAGACATCAGCGCAGAAGATGGTTTTTACGACATAGGAGGTAATTCATTGGCCGCCATCGAGGTCGTAGCCCGTACACGCAAGCGTGGCTTGGAGCTCACGGTAGCAGATGTCATCCGGCTTCAAAATCCACGCAAAATCGCCCAACGTACTTCAGAAAGTAGAGGGGTTCGCGAGATTCTCCCATTTTCCCTTCTCAACAATACTGAACAGAGTCTATCGTCCGCCGCCGCCCAGTGTGGCGTTCAGCGAGGAATGATTGAAGACATGTATCCTTGCACTCCTTTGCAAGAAGGCCTCATGCATCTGTCTACCAAGACCCCCGGCGCTTTCATGGGCTCGTACCGATTCTTGTCGGCTCCTTCCGCAAATCTGGATCAGATCCGTGATGCATGGGAACAGCTTTGGATGGCACATCCGATTTTGAGGACGCGGATTATTCAACTTGGTAGCCAAATGTTCCAGGTAGTAACCAAGCCTATGCTGTCCTGCGTGGAAATTTCAAGCATGGGTGATTGTCAACTCATGGCATTGGGAACTCCCCTTGCATATGTCACATTCCATCATGAAGAGACATCTCATGGCGCAGGCATATTTCGGCTGGTCATGCACCACGCGATTTTTGATGGATGGTCTTATTTGCAGCTGCTCGAGGATCTCCAGTTAATTTATGATGGGACTGCATTGCTACCCCGTCCTTGCTTTAACCATGTGATTGAATATATCTCTAAAATGAACCCCGAGGAAGGTCGCTCTTTTTGGGGTCAAGAGTTCACTGATCTCCAAGCAACCTCTTTCCCAGCCTCCTCCCGGCGGTCATCAGCGTCGCCTCAATGGCTATTCAGGAACAAGAAGATTACTCTCGCCGAGTCGGATGTGAAATGGACACTCGCCAGCAAAATCAAATTGGCATGGGCTCTAGTTATATCGTCTCAAACAAACTCTAGTGATGTCGTGTACGGATTGACAGTTTCTGGCCGAAACGCTCCTGTTCCAGGGATCGAGCGTATCGCTGGTCCAACGTTTGCCACATTACCTTTCCGCACGCAGCTTGACACCAAAATCTCAGTGGAAGAGATGTTACTGCAGCTGCGACAGCACGACATTTCCATTATGCCATTCGAACACACTGGTCTTAAGTGTATCGCAGAATCAAGCTCAGAAGCCGCCTTGGCTTGTGGATTCCGCAATCTCCTCACAATTAGATTACAATCGCTTCAGAGCCCTTGTGGTATCTTGATCGATTTGCCGGAGGAAGAGGACCAGGAGCTGAATTTTGCATCATATCCTCTGTCGATCCTAGTCCAGCAGCGAGGTACATTGCTGGAAGTCAAGGCCATCTTCAATGGTTTCATACTGGGCCCTTCTAAGGTCGAGGGACTCTTGGAACAGTTTGATATGTTATTGCAGCAAATTCTCCAAGAGCCCGAAGCATTGATAGGGAATTTGAGGAGTAAGATATCTCCCGAGTGGCAACAGCTGGCAGCCATAAACAGAAAGAGCTCGACACACCCAGTATGCCTTCATGATGTGATACAGAAATTTAGCATCACTCAACCAGACTCAGAGGCTGTTTGCGCCTGGGATGGCTCCTTAACATATGAACAGCTTGTTACATTGAGCCGGAGAATGGCAGTTCATCTGAAGTCTCTCGGATCCGGACCTGGTACAGTTATCGGTATCTGCGTGGAGCGGTCGAAATGGTTTCCCGTTTCCATCCTAGGTGCCCTCATGTCTGGAGCTGCCATGGTCTTGTTGGAGCCTAATTTTCCCCTGCAACGCTTGCAGCACATTTTGCGGGATGCCGGTGCGCGAATGGTGATCTGCTCTTTGGTGTACCAAGAAAGGTGCACGAGAATTGTTGATGAGGTCGTGGCTCTGACTCCCGATATCATGACAGTCGCCAATGATAGTGCCTGGGCTCCATCACCAGTCACTCCTCAGGACCCGATGTATGTTGCCTTTACCTCCGGATCAACTGGTGCGCCAAAGGGTGTTGTGATAGAACATGGAATGGTATCTTCGATGCTACAGGCCCATAAAGACATCATCGGTGCATCAAGTGCTTCCCGAGGCTTGCTTTTCGCCTCCCCGGCCTTCGATATTTGCCTTGCTGAAATTGTACTCATACTCGGTGCAGGAGGCTGCATCTGTGTGCCCTCTGAAGGTCAACGCATGAACAACCTGGCGAAAACGATGACAACAATGCAGGTTAATATCGCAATGCTCACGCCCTCTGTGGCGCGCACCCTTTCACCAACAGCAGTCCCCTGTCTGCGAACCCTGGTTCTGGGAGGTGAAGCACCATCAGCCTCTGATCTGGCAACATGGGCTTTGCGAGTCCGGCTGCATCAGTCATATGGGCCGGCGGAATGTGCTATGTACACAACCACCACAGGACCGTTGGCTGCTAACTCGGATTTGGGCAATGTCGGATTCTCTCCAAATGCATCTTGCTGGATTGTTAACCCTGACAACCATGATGAACTCTTGCCTTTGGGCTCAGTGGGTGAATTATTGATTGGCGGACCTATTGTTGGAAGAGGTTATATCAAGCGACCCCAAGAAACCGCAGTAGCCTTTATTCGTGATCCTATCTGGGGCGAGGAATTTCCTTCTTTACGTGGACAACTTTACAAGACTGGGGATCTCGCCACTCTGAACGCAGACGGATCTTTGAATTTGATTGGCCGAAAGGATACACAGGTCAAGCTCAATGGTCAGCGGATTGAGCTGCGCGAGATCGAGCATTGTGCCGAGAACTATCAACATGGCACCGTGGTAATTGCGGAACTGATAAAAACCCGCGGTACCCAGAGACACAGGCTGGTGATGTTTGTCTATGATCCTAAGACGGTGGAAACGACGGTCAGCATTACGTCTACTCCTAGCGATGATCAACAATTTTTCCTTCCGCCATCGACAAGGAATCAATCCTACCTTGAGGGTGTTAAGCATCATCTCAATCAACACCTTCCGCCATATATGGTGCCTTCCTTTTTCCTCGCACTCTCTCGTCTACCTCTTAGTCCAAGTGGCAAGGCGGACCGCAAGACACTACGCCAGACGGCATCTGATCTGGATCAAGAATCATTGGATATTTATCTGAACAATTCCACTCGAGAGAAGAGGGAGCCAATCACTGAGCAAGAGCGATTCGTCCGTTCAAATTTTGCCACGGCGTTGTCATTGAATGAGGACGCCATTGGCGTAGACGACAGTTTCTTCGCACTGGGAGGCGATTCCATCACGGCCATGCGAGTTCTCACCCTATGTCGCAGAAGAAATATGACCATCTCCATGCAGGACTTCCTCTCCCACAACACTGTATCGTCATTTTGCACACATGTCATTGACATTCATGGCCAGCCAGTTGATGCGAAACGCCAAAAGATTATTCCTTCCCAAGGAAAGATCACAGACGGAGATGACGTCGTCCAGTTTGAACGCATTGGCTATGAGCTTGAAAGGGTGCGATCGCGGCTGAATCTACTAGCATCAGATTCCATTGAAGATATCTACCCTTGTTCTGAAGCCCACAGTGGGATATTGGAACTCTACACTCCTGACTACACGAGCACAGCGATTTTCGAAATCCAGTCCAATAGATCGGTGACTGCAATGCAATTGAGCGATGCCTGGGGCCGATTAGTGCAACGACACATGGCGTTGCGGACCGTTCTCCTCAACGAGCCAAATATTCACTCGGGTTATCTCCAAGTGGTTCTTGACAAGGGACCAACCCAGCCCATTATTCTTCCACCAAGCAAGAACGCTCTTTCGGACCTGAAACGGCTCGAACCGCTCCCATCTTGGGGCTTGTCGCCACCACACCGGTTAATTATCGGGCAGGATCATTCCGGGGCGGTCTTCATGAGACTAGAAACGGGCTGTGCACTGATCGATGCTTTTTCCATGTCCATTCTACTGGAAGAGCTATCTGTTCTGCTCCAAGGTCGGTCTTTACCAGAACCAGGGATCACCTATCGCCAATACCTGTCCCACCTGCGCGGCCAGCCGACTGCAACAACAACGCAATACTGGAAACAAGCGCTTTGTGGCGCGGAGCCCTCCCACCTGCCCAAACTCCCGGCCAAGCAAGCTTTGCAAATAGGTTCCCCTCTCCCGGAACCTCGCTCCCAGACCCGCTGTCTGCCAATTGCACAAGCCAGGCGCTTAGATTCTTTCTGGCGCTCTAACAATATCACCATCACCAACCTGTTCCAACTATCATGGGCCTTAACTCTCGCCCACTATACGAAGTCCCGGGATGTCTGCTTTGGGGCCATTACCTCCGGGCGCGACACCCCGCAACTAGAAGTATGGAATATCGTCGGGTCATTGTTTAACATCCTTCCATGTCGAATTTTGCTTGATCCCAATCGCACCATACTGGACTTATTGCGACACAATCAGATGGAGATCCAGCATAGAAATGACCAGCAGAACTGTTCCATGCCCGACATAATCCAAAGATCAGGAATCAAAAGCTCAGAAAAAAACCAGCCACTCTTCAACACAGTTTTGACAGTGCAGAATCCATTCTCTGCTCAATCATCTGCCAAGGATGGTGTCAATGAGATCGAGATAAAACTCGTTGAGTTAGAAGATGCCACAGAGGTGAGCACATTCAGAACCATAATTCCAAGTGAGGTACTGATAATCTCATTTAGTACGACTTTTGCGTGGCTATTTTCCCTTCCCCCTCGGAATTCCAGGTGGAACTACGCTACTCGTCATCGACTGCGTCTGAGGAGTATGCTTCGGACATTTTAGATTGTCTTTTTACCCAACTAGACCAGATTGTGCATCATGCGACCATGCCATTGAACGACATCACCACGACTACATGAATATATCACGGCAGACCATCACATAGCTATCTCCTGCCCGGCAGAGGAACTGGGCTCAACAATACCGTGCTCCTTGGCTATCCTATCTTGGATATCGTTGAATACCTATTCCCTTTGATACTTTCGGACAACTCCGCATTTTGATTTAGTTTTATGAGTCATGACAATCGCAATCACTTTGAAAAGATACAAAGATAGACCAAGTTAGACGGCCAGCTACAGTGCTGTCGTGGTGTCATAAATGATCAAGCCCTGGTGCAGAGCAACCCATAAGCCTACGATCGGTGCCCCAAGCATCAGATTCCAAGGCAATATCATATCCTAGAACTGGTCTAAAATGATAGAAGAGAAGAAGAACACACATAGACAGCCCACCGACAATCATGGTCGATGGATAAAACGCCATTCGCACCCGTTTTCCATACCCGAACACGGTTCTAAGACTGGGTTCCAACTCAAGTCCGCTCACGAAGACGAGGGAGCCCGTCGCGGAAGGGGAAAAAAAATTGCAAAAAAAGGGAGAAATCCATGTACACAAAAGAAAGGGGGGAAAACGCAGAACAAAAAGGGCACAGTTGGCAGGGCATCAGTCCGGAGTACCGAAAATCAAAAGACACAAATATCGTTGCCCCATAGTCGCTATGCCATCGCAGGAGAAAAATAAACGGAAATTACCATGTCCATCAGCAGTCCATCTCCAAGACATTATTTAGTGGAATTGCTTCGATGCAAGATCTGTACATTGGTCGCGCTGGTACCACTGCCAACCGATCGTCGTCGCGGGCGAATCTCACTGCCGCTGCCGCTACGTCGCCTCCGACCGCCGTTGCGGATGGAGCCTCGGCGTCGTGTCTGGATCAAACGGACGTTTTCACGTTAGAATCACGCTGGCTATACATGGGCGGACGTGGTCTCTTAGCAAAAGACAGATACGAAAAAGAAGGGCAACAAGGCCAGACAAAATGGAAATAGGTCGCATAGGAATGCACGTATCTGGGCAGCAGAGCAGCACGGATCAGAGATGCACAGGACGTACCGAATTAGGGGTGCCTTCCCTGCTGGGCCTTTCCTTGGCAGTATCAGCCTCCTCCGTCAACTTCAGAGTGTTCAACCGCTTTTGGTTCTCGTGAGTCATGGCCTCTACTTCATCGATCGGCTCTGGCACGTCCAGCGCTGGGGGTGGTGGGGGAGGAATGCCGTTCTTCCGATCTTTGGCTTGTTGCTCAATGATGTCCCATCGGTCGGTGCGAGTCTTCTCGCGTTGATCTGCATTGTTCTGGTGTTCCGTGTATTCGTGGGAACATTCATCGAAGAGTTGGGGGTTGATTTCCATGAACATTTTCATGGCATTGTATACCATGCTGTGGATTGTGCTAGGTGAACGGTTAGCTTGGTTCCATTTGAGGTAGTAAAATTTGCAGATCAAACTCACCGGTTCCAGTGTCCCTTTGAGTTCTCGTAAAGGGGCGCGAACATGATCGGGAGAATCGTCTCCACATTGTCGCTCACCAGGTTGCAGAAGTACTCGTTGTTCCAGAAGTACAAAGCACGCTCCGCGACCTGTATGTCCAGGAAATGTTAATCGGGGGACTTGAAGTTGGGGTTCTCGGGTAGTACGCACCTGGAAATGGGGACTGGCAACAGATTTGGCCAACTGATTGAACAGAGGCTCCTGAACTTTGGCAAACTCGCCTGGGTCCATCACCTCGAAGATATCTTCCACCTCATTGAGATACATAACTTCCTTGGTGCTGTTGGTCTTAGGCCAAAAGCGCAATAAGCCGAGGACCACCTAAAGATAGCGGTCAGTGATTAACTCTGAGACTAAGCAAAGTGGAAAGAGAGGCCCTTACATCTTCAGTCAAGGTGGAGTCCTTCTCCAAGAATTGCACAATGCAGTAGGCCAGCTGCGGGTGATACATGCTCAGACTCTTCACCTTGTGCATGGGGAGAAGCACTCGTGTCAAGAAGAGCTTGTGCTCCTCCTTCAGCGGCAAGGCGAATCCGTTGATAATGGAGCCCAGAATCTCGAGCAACTCAGCGATACCGTTATGACGCTCTGTCTCATACATGAACTGGAAGAAGACATTGTTGATAGATCGGCGAATATATGACCGCAGGTTCAAGAATTTTCCGTAGATGCGATGCAAAGTCGTCTTGAGGAAATCACGTTCCCGGGGATCTTCCGAATCAAAGAGGTCCAGCAACTAGTTGCAGCGTTAGCATACTTTAAACAAGAAAACAAGAAAACAGCAGTACATACCGAAAGCACAAACTGATGGTCAATGAAACCCTTCGCGATATTCGTGTTGAAATCCTGGCTTTCAATGAATCGCAAGAAGAATTCATATACGACCTGAATGTGAGGCCAGGCGACTTCCAAAACGGGCTCATCCTCTTCGGGGTCGAACGCTTCGCCTTGGGGCGTCATAGGAGGAGGAATAGGACGGAACAAGTTCTTGGCGAACATCTCTACCACCCGGGGGTACATGGGCTCCGTAATCACCGACCGATTGTTGGCAACGTAATCCAAGAGTTCGTGCAGCGCCAGTCTCTTGATCTCCTTGGACTTCATATCGGCTGTCGGGTCGTTGAAATCGAAGATGATATTGCACTGGTCGATCTTTTGCATGAACAAATCCTGGCGCCGATTAGGAGGCACTTCGTGGAAGCCCGGCAGCTTCTCTAATTCTCTCTGGCGCTGATCGGAGATGTCGAATCGCGACGAATGTTGGCGTTTTGGGGTTCGGATTCCTTCCGAGATGTCCTTAGGAGTTGTCTGTAGGCGGTCGAATACATGAGACTTTCGGGGGGGTGCAAGATCTCCGGGCATCGTTTCGGCGGCACCGGGGGAGGAACGTGCTACGCGATCCAACCACTATTAGCCAATGCAAGTTGCATCCAAGTTGAGAATCGCTTCAGCTTACCGGTGCGCTTGGGCTGATGATGACACTAGGGGCCGCCGGCTGGCCTTGTCTAGTCGGTGTTCCCGGTCCATTGCTTATAGGCTGGCCTGCTATTCCCGGTTGGGGTATGTACTGTTGAGCCGGGGGTGCGCCCGCAGACGATGCTCCGGCGGGGGAAGCGTTGTCCGGAGATTTGTTTCGCGAATCATTGAGAGATGTTGTGGAGGAGGTTGGTGTGCCTTGGTTGGGTGAACTAGACTGCTGCGCACTGGAGATACCAAGGGACTGGTTTTGCGAGTTGGAATCTTTCTTTTTCGAGGACTTGTTGTCCTTCGCCCGCGACAACTGGTCGTGCTAGAGGTCAAGGAGGTTAGATTATTTGCGGAATTGCTTGGGTGGCCACCCAGTGCGCGGTGACAAAGGGAAGAGATGGATAGAAGTGACCGTGCGGTGAGGTGCAGTTGAGCAACAGAGGCGGGTAACTTACTACTCTCTGTCTGAAACCCTTCATTTTGACGACTTATGTAGACAGCCACATGTACTCGGCTAGGTTTGTTGGTGCCAGTGCAGCCACGCGCCGCACTCTAGCCAGAGTAAATTGAGGGGACGCAAGGGAGACAGCCGCTCAGGGTAATAGCGAGGAGGGGGTGGGATTGTTTAGGTCAACCTAATAGGAGAAAGTCATGAGCGGTCCAAGTCATACAGCATGTAAGATTGTGATTGCCAAGGTAGATAGCCCTGCCCTGCTGGTGTCGAGTCGTTGTAATGTTTAAAGGCAAAGCCGGGGTTCAATGGCACTAGCATCAGGCGTTCCCAACAAGGTGTGATTGCAGTACGCGCACGGGGCGACAATTTGGTGCTAGGAAGACAGGGCGTGTACAGGCAATGGGGAGTCGGGCGTCCGATCGAACGTACCTCAGTAGCTTTGAGTTGGGCAATTGACGGATCGAGGTGAAGGCTGTCCGGGCGGAGCAGGTGTTATAGGACGCACTTGGTCGGCGCTGGAAGATCTCCGTGTCGCTTAGTGGCAGGCTGGGAGCGGGGGATTTGGGAGCACCAGAGGGACGGGCACTGGAGTCGCAGCCCACTGCGAAAGCACGAAAACTGCAATTTGGATGGCAGGAGACAAGATAGACGATGTACAAGAAACCAAATAAAGATGATGGCGTTGGGTTGTGGGGAGGAGGGAGGGAAGTGGATTGTTGTTGAGGTGTAGGGAAAGGCGGGCTGGTTCTCCTGGCTGCGATGGTGATGGGAGGGGGACCACGCCCAGATACCATGGGAGAGGGATTCTACTTTTTTAGGAGATTCAGGCCTCTTTCTGTTTGGATCTGACATACATTTACTCGACAGCTATCGTCTTCTCGCCTTTCTTTCTCCTCACACAACTACGCCTTTTTCCTGCTCGTTTCGAAGTATGCTTATGTCATGCTCCACGTGACCCCAGGGGGTGACTTCAATTTCAGGCACAGGCTACGCCACTCACCAAGTGCTGGTGACGAAGGGGATTTTGCGTCATTCCTGAGACATGGGGGAGGTCATACTCCGTACTCTCTCTGCGAGGTGCCTCCAAAACTCCGTGAGACCTGCGAAGGTGGGAATTAGGTCCGTGCTTTGACCCACCCAGCCACTGCTCAGATGGGCCTCGTCCCTATATACATCGAGCACTCTTGACGGCACCTCTGGCTTGGGCTTCATTGCTCGTCCTTGAATCCTTTGGGTCATGCTGCAGGGGTATAACCATGCACTGTTTCAAAGAGGAGTGGAATTTGGAATCGGTCCAAGAGATATATGGCAATCCTTCTCCCACATATTTCATTTCACTTCTCGCCCAATTCATACAGGGCCCGATATATTCTTTCTAGCTCTATAACCGGCACGGGAGAATAGGATTTGAAATTGAACTTTTGGACCTTTATATTGTTGGCAAATAAGTTCCCCTTACTACAATCTTAGCACCGAGTATCCTATCATGGGTCATCCTTGGAAAATCGACTGGAAAGGTCTATACTCCGTACATGTACGTGGTTCATTGACCGCGCATAAAGATGTCCGTAGAAATAAGGCTACAACGTGCAATTCCTGCTTCTACATTTCTATCGATATCCTACCTCGTCTTCCACACGTTCGATGTATACATAGTAATAACAATGATACCATCTTTGCGCTCTCTCGATTCTTATCGTCTGCCTTCCTCTTTTGGAGACTTAACCCAAGCAGGACAAAGAGAAGCCCGTAGAGTTCGAGTCAAATGGCGAATGGATTTCATCAGAGAATATTGTGTGGGTAATAATGGACGCTCAATCTGTCACGATGTCTTAGTTTATCCAGGGTTTACTTCCCAGACCACCAGACAATTTGGATCAACAACGATCATGGATCGGGCAAAAACGACAAAGTAATATTCATGTAGCCCAACGACACATCTGACATGGATTCTGTCGCAGTCCATAACTTATGTATTACATTTGCTCACCTGGCCAAGACATATCCTACGGTTGTCGTCCAGCTATAAACTCGTCTCCTGTGACCCGACGTCAAAGATGAGTCAGCATACTCTTCCCCAGCAGGCTAACCGTTTGTGGAATGTAGACTCGATTCTTTTCTGCAGCTCGAGAGATATCGTTGCGAGCTTTCGTCACGGTGGAGGTGAACATAAATACACGACCCTCTATCTAAAACTGCGTTGAGACCAGAGACTCTGCAAAAAGTGGCAGCGTTGCCTTTGACTGCGAAAGGGCGATCTCCGTGAGCCAACCAACAACAACCGCAACCATCAACGGGTAATCGTGAACCCTGGAGCAAAAAATATTGCAAAAACACCATCCATAAGTTTGATCTTGAATCGATTACCATGGAGGACCAGCGGGTGTCTAGAACAGCCCCGTTCTACGCGGTCCCCTCCCGTCGTCTCGTCAGCGTCGAACACCCTGCCGTGATCCGCAACGTCGACAAAGCGATGGAGACCTTGCAAGGCGATGCAGGAATAAAAACAGTGAGATGAGGCACTCCTATGACTCAATCATGAACATCTACTGACCTCTTATAGCTCTTGGATCCGGCCAAGCACGACACACTGGCTAATCTGGTGCTACGGCCGGAAGATATCATGGCCCGAGCGGTGCAGTCGACGAGTCTACCGTCGAACAATGTGCTCCTCAAAGTCACTGTTCCCAAGCGCACAGGCAGGAGGCGTAAAATAGGCTCAAACGAGCCGTTCACAGATGCGCCGCAATCAGAAGCGACTGGGCCGCCCCCGCGACGGACTGCTAAGGATCTATTGCGCAGTCTGAGTGACAATCCGTCCAAGTATCAGATTGAGCCTGTCGGGAGGGTTGAACGGACACACGTGTTCCGAGGTATGTTGGCTCTTCTGCTCTTAGGTTAATAGTATTGTTGCTGATATACATGCCCAGGAATCCCGGATTTCGTGTATTCGACTACAGCCAGCTCGTTTACAAACCGTTTCCGAGATAAGATCATTCCTTTTGACTGTAAGACTGCCTACCATGCACCTCAAGTAACACCCTACTGACAACCTCACAGTCGACAAAATGAAGGAATACGACATCGAAATGGACAAAGGCGCTGCCCTAAATGCAGATCTCATCCCACCACCATCATTCAGCCACGGCGACGTTCCTTTCCACTACATGTATGAGCCACGCTGAATCCAGAACCCCCAGACCACTAACTAACCAATCTCCAGCTACCGTCAAAACCCAACCGTGAAACGAGCAATTGGCCGATCCGGCGAACTAGAAACCGTCAACACCCAAACCGCCAACAAAGTGCTAACCCACCTAGTCCCCTACGACATCGCCCAAGTGCCCAGCGAACCACGCCCAAATCTCGTCCCAATCAGCGCACTAGACGAAGGCATGCAAAAAACAATCGCAAACCTAAGAGCCCTCTACGAACAGCAACCCGCCTGGACCCGACGCGGACTCCGCAACAACCTAACAAACGACGACGACCGTCTGAACCTCCGCCACGCCATACCATACGTGGGCTACATCTTCCGCTCCGGGCCGTGGCGCGACGCAATCATCAAACTAGGCGTCGACCCACGGACCTCACCCGAGTACCGACACTACCAAACCTTCATGTTCCGCCTGCTCGCGCGCGAAGCCGAACTAGCCCGCGACGGCGGCGGCGGACGACGGCACAACGTCCCCCGCCCAACGGACACACGGGGCCCACTGGACGACGAGAGCACGAACGCGCCGACAAGCGGACACGTGTTCACGGGCAAGCAGCCATTCGCGCAAGACGGACGGATCTGGATGATTGGCGATATCAAAGACCCGCAGCTGGTGGCGGACTTGTACCCCGCGGAACCGGAAGAAGGGTTCCTGCGTAGCGAGTGCGAGATCATCACGGATGGATGGTTCGCGAATGGCACGCTGGCGAAGGCGAAGACGGTAATGAGACATAAGATCCAGGCGCTTATGGAAGGGCGGGAGCCGGTTGATGAGGACTATGTGCGGATTATGCAGTTGCCTACGCATGCGCGGTCGGAGGCTGATTTCTCGCTGTTCACGCTTGATCCGGAGGTTGCGACGCCGAAGGAGATCACGCTTGCTACGGAGGTCAGGGGTGTTATTCGGGGGTCGCCGATGTGGAGGAGGTTGGCGGCGAATGCTGGGTTGGTTCGGAAGGAGGTTGGGGAGGGGAGGCCTAAGGGGAAGGGGAAGCCTGTGAAAGGGAAGAGTGTGGAGTTTGAAGAGCCGGAGCCGGAGCCGGAGGCTGAGAAGATTGATGAGCAGAGTGAAGGCGAGGAGGAGGAGATTGAGCGGCGAGAGATTTTGGCTGCTCAGGTTGCGGCTGCTGTTGCGGCCAGGGATGCTGATGAAGAGGAAGATGAGAGTGACAATTTGGAGGAGGATGATGAGGATGAGGATGAGTGAAAGGGACTACCAAGTTGAGGGGTGCATATCTTGAAGAGAAATGGGAATTTACGCTTCAAGAAACTCTGTGTAAGGGATGTTATTTTTTTCTTTCATTGTACTAGCTATGGAGGGAGGCCGATCGCCTCATACATCGTAAAGCATCAGACATGACACAGACAGGAAGGCAACAATTAGGCGGGGGATATATAAAGAGAGTCAACCCGAGTGACGACAGTGGAGCACAAAAGATACATAAGTCATGGCACACGTTATACCAACAAGAAAAGAAACGAAAACACCATATACGATGAACACCAGTGTTCAACAAAAGGCAACGGAAGCGCCGAACGAGAAAGCAAATAGGTATTGGGGCCACACCGCGGCCAAGGAAAGACTCCGAACCAGATGCAGAGACAAGGGAAGACAGCATATCAAACAGCAGGCTTGTGGCTTCCACCCGCATTCTCTTGGTCATGGGTCTCAGCAGCGAGAGGAGCAACGGCCTCCAGAACAGAAGCAATGGAATTGTCGATCAGAGCCTGGTGGCTCTGGGACAGAGGCGAAGGAGCCTTCTTGACCTCAGGTGAGTTCTCTTCATTGTCGTATACAACCACGTATGAAAACGCATTGCAATCCTCGGCATAATAGTCGGCGGCATTGAGCTCACCAAGAGGAGAACGGGGCTCATCCAGTTTGGGTGCCTTGCGAGCAGCGGCAGCGACAGTAGCAGACGATGATTGGGGAATTTCAATGCCCAGTTCCTGAGGAGAGATGTTCTCCTTTCCCCGGCTACAGGCGTCAGTCTTGCCCTCGTCGTCACTGATATCCAAAACCGTGGTAGAGTGCTGCATAAGGTTGGTCATCTCTTCCTGTTCGGTGTCGACGTGAATATCGAAGCACCACGAGGCCGGAGCCTTGGGCGCGGGGTTGGGAGCTTTAGATTTGGCAAGAGCGGCAGCCAGGGAGAAGGGACGAGCGACGCTGCGCTTGTTGCATAGCTCTGAGCGGGGCTTGGCAATGATGGAACGACGCGTCGCGGACTTGCTGGACTTGAGTGGAGAGCGACCGGCGGGCTTGAGAATTGGAGCAGATTTGGGAGTTGCCGTGGAGGAGATCTTCAAGGGAGTGGACAGCCGAGGGGAGTTGTTGGTGCTGCGGGTGGAAAGAGCCATGCGGGATGATTTGGGCTTAGAGGTACTTTTGGCGTTCTCGTCGTCATCGAGGGTACGCTTGCGCTTAGTTGACAGGCTAGCGGGGTTGATATTCTCGGAATCGGTATCAATGAAGATAGAGGTCTTCATTGGGCTCATAGAGCTCTTCATAGCCATGGCACCTGGGAAATTGTAAGCCAACCGATCCCTGGAACATCAAACCCCGGATCATCACGTACCATTTTGCTGGTTCTGGCGATTAAGCTTCGAACGCATCATCGGACGCATGGGCGAGTCCAAACAGCCCAAAGGCTGGCGTGTGGGAGTCATGGTGAGAGTGGCCATGGTGGAAGTAGGGATGTTTTGTTTTGGTCAGCGCCAAGTGGGGGGCGGTCTACAGCAGACAAAAGCCACGAAAATCTCGGAACAACAGCGATCAACAGTGTAGATCGAAATAGCAAGATAGGCCAAATAATTGAATGAGAGGAATTGGTCGGATGATTAAATGAAAGAATGGGCCAGAGCAGGAAGACCGTGTCCGGAGAGAAGGATGGCTGCAGATAGAAGACGTGCGAAGACCGTACGGAGTACAGAGTAGATATAGCGAGATGAGAGCTGGAGGGGTATCAAGGCAAGGAGCAAAGGACTGGAGGAGTTACGGAGGGCGAAGGGAAGTATTTCAAGTATAGGCGCGTCGCGTTGACCGCAAGTGGCGTTTCTGCAGTGCCAGTCTCCAGTCGCTCGTCTCGAGAGAATCCAATGGCTTTCATTCTTCGTCTGAACAATGTCATGCAGATCGCGGTATTTGTCTTTGTGCGGTTTCTTTTCTTCCATACGGAGAATTCTACCCTCGTGCCACCTGATTAATCCCTGATACCCCGTAGAATTCCCGAATGCTGTTCCCCTAGCAGGGTTGGCAAGTCCACTTTTCTACTTGCATCTCGCGTTCATCCCTTGGACGCGTCGCTCACAAGTACCCGGTACTCGGCATCCCGCCTCCGAGCGGGTACATCGCGTAAGTATCGAGTACCTCCACGTCCACGTCCTTGACGCGCGACTTCGCGTTCACGTTTGCTCCTTACGCACCGTACGCTTATTCGTGAACAGCGTCTACAATGGCGCTAACATTTATGCTGTACGAGGGGTCTAATGAAACTCTGCCAACACATCGAGCTCCAGTGGCTATCCACATTCGGACTCGGAAGACGGCTTGAAACAATGCACAAGTCGAGTGTGAGCTGGTTGAAGCCAAAGTGGAACACTATACGGAGTCCGGAGTCCGGAGTACCCAGGAGCTCCAGCGGTGTCTGGGGATATCGGGCTCCTAGGGCTGGGGAATATGCTCCTGTCAAGGTGTTTCAGAGTTGGAATTCGCGCCCTAGTGGTCTATTCCAGGGTGGACCAGGTTGAGGGGCTATTAATAGGGATACAGGATAGGTTTGTCCAAGGTTCGATGGCACCTGCAATCCCCCTCTTCCTCGTGGGATCGATTTCTTCCCCCTCGGCACCCATATCCTTGTTACATTTCTCTCGATCAATGGTCCCCTGTGCCATCCCCGTACAATCGCGTCGGCATTTTACTGCAACGTGCGGAATACAGAAATAAAGAATGATGCAAGGAATGATCCATATATATTTGAGCTTATCGCTATCTTCTAATTCTGAGTCATGCGTGGCCTAGCAACTTAGATCTCATCTTCGAAAGGAATGCTATCCATGGCGCCCTGGCGTTCTACAGCCCGAGCGGAGGCACGTGCAGCTAGATGCATAGATTCATCCATGACGGTCTTGTACCGGTGTGGCTTCTCAGCGTCTACGAGATCCTGCGCAGCCTTGCCGTCCGCACGACGCTGCTCGCGCCACCGTGCCGCTCTGACCGCATAAGCTCCAACAAAAGTGTCCCCCGCGCCGGTGGTATCCAGGACGTGGGAGACATGGGCCGCTGGAATGTCGTTGGTGAAGCGACGAACCCCATCGCTGGGCCCGGACGAGCCGCCATCTGCAGCGCTGTACCAGACGCCCTTGGCGCCAAGCGTAATAAGAATGTAGCTCACACCCAGTTTGTGGAAATACCGAGCAACTTTCTCATTGCCATCCAAGCCCTTTGCCTCTGGCACCACGCGAAGAAGTTGTTCCTCGGGCGGAGTCATCAGTTCGGCTTCTGTTTCGTTGAGAATCAGATGGTCGACGGCAGCGTACACATCCTCGGGTAAACCACCAGGTGGCGCTGGTGCCGGGTTAAGCATAACATCGGGACCACATTCGGTGCCGCGCTTCCCAGCAGCGCGACTTTTAGCCTTGTAAGCCGCAATCTCCCGTAGTGTTCCGATCACAGTATCGACCGGGATCTCGCCCTGCATAACGATGACGTCTGGCACGGGCGCGGCCAACGCCATACCCAGCACCTCCGGCGTCGGCTGCATACCGTCGTAGTTCGCACCGGGTGAGAAGAGGATGCGGTTCTCACCCCCAGCCGATGAGTCTACGATGATCACCGCCACTCCTGTATATGCATGGTCGACGACCTTCACTCGGGACGTGTCCACTCCAGATCTCTCCAGGGTCGGCTTCAACAGACTAGAGAAATGACCATCCAATGCACCCACTGCGCCCATCATTTCCACATTGACGTCGCCGGTGGGGCTCGTAGTGCCCGTGGGCTTGGCTCTAGACATTCTCCCGCATGCCACCGCTTGGTTTGCACCCTTGCCGCCTGCACTGGTGAAGTAGGATGACGAGGTGATTGTCTCACCGGGATCTGGAAATCGCGACGTGACTGAGACCATGTCGGCATTGAGAGAGCCGATAACTCGGATGAGAGGTGCCATGGTGGAGCTGGTTCGGTTCGATTTGTGGATTATGGGTTGAGAGGCTGGGGTTGTCTTCCGGTTGGGCTGGGAGGATCTGCAAACCGTCAGTAGTGCACGTAGGAGGTGACATCGATACTTCAATCTCCTCAATGCTTTTATGTCTTAGATACTGACTTGATAGATGGCAAATGGGCGTAGTTCAATTACTGCCAGGTAATTGGGAAAAGCAGAACTCGGGAATGACGTCCAGGCGGGGCACACCTCGGATGTGGGGCCGACCTCCGCATTTCCGCGGCTCTGATCTACAGGATTAGGTACCTAGTAGGTACCTAACTATACACTACATCTACCTTGACAATATATCTAGATGGACATCTATAGATGGGATGATACCATTTCCAATGATGTTGGCCGTGGTGCGGAAACTGCAGTTGATGAATTCTATCACCCAAGATGACCAGATCAATGATACATACATCAGGTGGTGTTGCCCCGTGTCTCGATATCGAAGTGAGAACCTTGTCTAGAATAATAGCAGAAAGCGTAGATCAGCTTCAGCATGTTCAGGATCTTGGTAATTGCTTGTATTTTGCTCTTTTCTTTTTTCTTCCCACGCGTTTTCTCCCGACACATTCTTGAAAGTTGAGTCTTCCATGTTTCTTCTTGGGATTCCCTTACAATCACATATGGGATAGAATCTCCTTTCCATGCCCCCAAAAGACTAGCAGTACGGCTGTAGGTGAATTGTTTGGAATTGCATGCGTGCTGAAATTCGTAGTCGACAATATTCATAAGGAACGATGTGCTATTCCCGCAGACCAACCCATCAATGATAGGCTTTTCCGCCATGAGCTTGCCCAAACGAAGACTCATCTACATAATACGATGCGCGAAGTATTCATATTCAATGGCGATGAAAATATTTTGACCCGGCTGAAGGGCTTAGTGTGATACCGACTGATTAGCGACATAGCAGAGCAAATACAAACTATTTGCGACTTATCAGAGGTTTTGACTCATCAAGATGTCCATTTGGAGCTTCGGTTAAGCCCTGGACATCGGGGCATTCCTGGCAACGAGGAAGCTCATAATATGAGGAGACTAACAGATGACCCTTGGGCCCCTGAACGCAAGCCTGGAAATATTTTTTTCACTCTCCCTTTGAGCAACTTAGAAAATATTCATGCCAAGAAGCCCATCACTGCACAGTCGACCCATTCGAATATTTTATTTTTTTGTGCTCTTCCTTTGCATTTCAAGATACCAATGTACAAGTTTCAGTCGACAGAAATTTCACCCAGTAGTTCCTCACTGTGGTGAAATATACCCATGCTACCCTGCTATTCCCGAGACCCCCCTAGTGCGTTTATTGGTTTGGCAAAATCATATGCATATAAACTATTTGCACTCTCTATGTAAATCTTGCTATATCTCGTTAGTAAATATGACTACTTATGGAAGCCATGTTTCTCAACAGAAGGAAAAAATGAAAAAAAAAATAAAAAAATGAACAAAGGAATGCACAAAGGAATGGGTGACTACGCAAAACTGACTGGCTGCGTCCATATCAGTTTGGCCACCGACGGATTGCTAGTTGAGATATGATAGTGAAACAGCAACTATGTGCCAGGCTTCCTACTACCGTCTTACACTTACGCGAGGTTAAGGTGCCGGAATACACGCTCATCAGACACCACAAAAGGTGTAAGTAAAATATGAACAAAACGAAATTGATTGTTACGAAAAACAAAAGAAAACAAAGAGGGAGCCCCGTTGGGGACGCACACGCCTGGACTCGAATCAGGGAGTTTGCATCACTAGCTAGTCGAGGAGCCTAGGTAGCAGCAGTGGTAGGTTCGTAGACTATCAACTGCACCATAGGGCCTAGGCACTCCGTTTGGGTCAAATATAATGGACGTCGGATCAAGAATATAGTGGGTCGGGCTCCACACCACATCGAAGGGGAAAGATCCACCCGTCAGGGCTTCCAAGGTTTATTCCGGTATTAATCAGCGCCAAGGAAACTTAGCTATCATGTATAGATTGGTTGCCTCAGATATAAGCTCGAAAGATCAAGAAAAAAGAACAAAAAAAGAGAAAGCCCCCTGGGGATGCACACGCCTGTACTCGAGGTTCTCGAACCAGGGAGTTTGCATCACGAGCTAGCCTAGGAACCCAGGAACATAGGTAGCAGCAGTGGTTGGATCTGTAGACTACTAACTGCACCATAGGGGCTTTGATGAAAGATATCAATTTTTGGTCAAATATAATGCACATCGGACCGGAATTATCAGGTCCAAACGGGACTTGAAGCTTGCAATTTCTACCATATCCTTATTGCGGTCTGATTGGGTTCACAGGCGATACCAAACTGAATGACAGAGAGCTCCCCAGATATTAACTGATGGGAATCACTCCATTCTCAAGCTTCCCAGTGCGAGATCCGACTCAAATACTTCATTTGGAGACGCATATTGGCACCCTTTTACTGCCATAAACGGTGACACTGACATAAAGCAAGCTGGCATGGTGACGCGGACCAACTGGCAAATCAAATCGAAGGGGCAAGGAGGAAGAAACCGCAAGGTCAGGCTCCTCATGCACGACTGTAAACTTAGCAACCACCGCTTCCCCGAGAGTCTCCAATTCCCTGACCAATCCAAGCCTTGCGCGTTCGTAGTCGGGGTTAATGTCGAATAGGTCTCTTTCAGCCCTGCTCGAGAGTTGACATATCTTACGCTGCTTCGTTCCCTGGGATTCCGCTATAGCCTGGACTTCGATGTATTCCAACATGAATATCACGCTGGGCTAACAGAATCGAGAGATCACAGATCGCCCGGGCTTAGGTAGCATAGGGTCCGTCACCACAATATATCACCGCTAAAGTATCGCAACTTATTCTTCTGATCAGTGAATATAAAGCCCTCCCTTCTTCATCGTATGGGCACGGGACATTGTTCGCCCCATACCTAGATCAAAGAAGGTTTTGTCAGTGAGCGTTTCTTCGGTGACAAAATAATCAGCACCATCGATGTTCTCGAGCGTAAACTTCAGACTCAGGCAGCAAATCTGATTCCGATTGCAACCGACACCTGAGTGCTATACACGTTCGCAGTGCCATACCTCCTTCCCAGGTCGTTCATAATCTTCTATGGTTATATATTCTATCGAAGACAGATAATGAATACATACATTTAGACATAAAAGTCTGACATTTATTTTCTTCCACATTGGGAAGCAAGTTTGTGTTCGAGGGTGCGTATTAGCCCCGTATCATTGATTGACTCATTCATTAGCTCCCAAGATGGAACCATAAATCGCCAATAAGGCTAACCATATCCAAACTAGCCCCAGCGCATATCATCGAGCTGGATGGATATTAAGTTGCGACCAATGGTGTCGCAGGCCCCAAAGTTTCGCCCAATATCTCAAAATCTCGCAATTTCTCGGCCTGAAGCTCGAATGCTACGGCTCGCAGAACATGTATTTGGTGACAAATGACTTCAAAGACACCGTCATCATCAGAGGGTGATAGATGTCGGGCATATACCATCGAGAAGAGCTGGTAGCCTCTTACCAAGCGATTGCCGTGCGCATTTAATTGCCGGCGTGCAATTAAGCGCCGCCTGGCCCGATGCCTGAGAATTCTTAGGACCACTCGGTCATCGTGGCTGAAGGGGTGAGTTGGCATAGCTAGATATAAGGGTGGTCAGCTTGATATAATGAAAATATGTTAAGTTCTCAGAAACCGGGACCTCACTCACTAGTCAATATCGATCGACACAAGCCTTGGTTGATGCCTGAAATCAGCAGTGATTTGAGGGAAACGTTGATAGTAATCCGGATCCTTTTTGAGATGCATTCTGTATCAGCTGGAAACCATCCTTCGTGTGGCATGATGGTTGAGTGCGTCTCACCTTTGGCTCGGCTGGATATGTGGGTTGGAAGAAGGAGATTTGGAAGAAAGACGGATGGGACATCAAAAGAATCCTTATTGTGACCATTTGGTGTTGCGTGGGGTTGGAGGTCCCTGCCAAATCGGGAGTATGAGACTTTTCAGTTTGTTGAGTTTGCAGTGAGATCCCACGAAAAGGAACGCTTCGTCGGATTTCCCTCTTTCATCTTTCCTCTCTGTACTTAGTATTGTCGTTAAATAGCACTCTTATTCTTTTGATCAAACTTGGCTGGTAACAGTTATAGCGGTTCTCAAAATTGTCAGTGATCAAGGCATGGATGACCGATATGACCGCTCCCTATTAGAGACTTGGGCCACATAGCCGAAACTTAGCCTAGCGTACAACTCTCTTTCCAATATATACTCTCACGCCTCATACTCTCAACAAATATATACTCCAGCCCGGGCCTGCTAAGCTGGGCCGGAGTGAGGGAGGTTACTCGGGCAGCTGGGGGTTAATGCAGCTGAGTGTATTGGACTGATTCCCTCCCACATCGGACTCCGGTGGTGGATTGGCAAACTGTATATGCCGGCTAGATTGCCTCCGTGACTTTGGTGACAGTTTCACAATTTTGTGGACTTATCCTCACCGATTAAAGAATATGGGAATCTTTGGACAAAGGTTAAATAAGATAAAATGCGAAGGGTGAGAAAAGGATTGAGGAAAATAGTTATGCGTGGTAGAAGCGTCAATCTTTGCGCTATCAGTCTTCTCAGAGATCTATCAGTTCTATTATTCTTAGCTAGAACGGGAAGCCGGGTATAATTAGCAAATTCGCTAGGAGGCATTGATCAACAGAGGCTAGCGTTGACTCACACAGCTATAAAATGATACATAGTGTAGTGGGGACCTAGGTCTCCCACTATTGTCAGATCTTCATCCTGACATTTGCACATTTGCGTTCTTGTTAGACAAGCACCGTGGGGATATATATAGTAGGTTGATACAGGTTGACAATGATACACACCTACACCCCTCTGATTTGACTCCATGGACTACCCTCTATAACTTACCATTCTCTACAGCAGTTGGTAAATTGTTGTTGGATGGATGCTGCTACACAATTGACCCATGTACCAGAGAGTGCACTGCCATCGAGCGTTCCCCTCTTCACAAGATAGGTATTCTATGAGTCAATAACCAGCTACTAAAATCTGGAGACTACACTGACCATGGGAAAAGTCGAATATTATCTTTTTGCTTTTTCTTTTATGACTTTTTACTATTTTATCCTTTCCTTTTTGAAAGAGAAAAAAAGATTGCCCTTTCAGTTTGCCAACTCCTGGACTCGGACCAAATATCTCGGCATTCCTAAACCTACTCCCGATTTCTGACCCTGTGGTTCACAGTGCAGTTATTCAACTGTACCACTGATTTGATTCTTGAAATTCCCTTGTTTCCGAGCAATCATATGGAAAACTTACACAGACTTCCAAGGTTTGATACCTATACGGAGTACCTGACCCGCGCCGTATCAACCCCACCCCTGGCTCATTATGGGGCTATCAGGTACCCGCCCGGCCTTGGCAGGCCCACATTAACGGAAATGCCGCCGGGCGCTAAACTCAAGTGAGGTTAAAAGTAACCAAGTTTTATCATGCTTTTATGATCGGAATAACTTCGAATGACATTTTGAATGAAGCAATATAGGGCTTTTGAAATCATCAGCTGGGAGGAATAAATTTACAGTGATTTAATGACCCTCTGGAGGGAAATTTGATAAAAAGAGATACTCGTCCAGGAGTCTAGTTCAGGATCAACGACTTGGATGGTCCATGGTAGCATAGAGACAATAGCAGCAGGCTAGATAGGAGGTATTTTCTTGGAGCATAACTTTGAGGAGCTGGAGATAAGGAGGGGTCACTCATACACTTGTATTGCACACAGGTGTTTACACCTTTTTACTGCCATGGAGGAAGATATCAAGACAATGGAAGATGCAGCGACGAAAGGCTAGGGGAAGGAAAAGATGATGATATTCAGCTGTCTCTGTCGGAGGAAATCTCGGGCCTCCACCCCTTGGCGCCCATTCCCCGTCTAACCAGACGTGCGTCCTCCAGACGACTGGGCTTGCGGCGCGACCTGGGCTATGCCAAGACAATTACTTTCCTCGCAGAAAACGCTCAACTTGATAAATTGATGACTAGGAAGATCTTTTTGATGAGGACGGAATGAAACTTGATGATAAATTGTATTCTTGATAACTTCTCGGATGGATGGTAAAGACAGAAAACAGAGGGGTGCCCCTCCTTGATAAAAATAGTGCCCCTTTCCGGACGGTGAACCCATGATTCTCCCATCCCGTTGAAACAATGTAATTCTCAACTAACAACTTGACTGGAAATCCGAAAAGAATCAAAACACTAGAATTCAGACCTAAACAGGTCTTTGTACGATGGACTGCAACTTTGTATGAATTGTTGATAAATTATGTTCTAGCTAAGAATATGACAGGAGATGTGGTTTCCTATTCTGCCGTGAATTTCCGTCCTTTTCGGACTAAACCCCTTTGATAACAATTATCACGGGACACCGTGATTCTTCCCGTCACTACCACAAGCTACTGACGCCGGAGGCGTCGCACGTGACCCAAACGGTCACATGTCCGTCACAGAATGTTATGGAAAGGTGAAAAGAAGTTGATTCTTTGATTAACTAACTAGCGGGTTCATACCCGTGGACGTGTGCTGACCCGTGACATGATGAATAATCAATCGTCCGTGACACAGAAGCTCCACAACGGAGATAAAGGGCATAGATCGCAGCACAGACTACAGAGCCTTGTGCTGCGAGGTGGGGGGAGGAGGGGAAATAGGGAAGGGAGAGGATGGGTCGGGGGGAGAACGCGAAGGAGGAGCAGGTTGTGGTGGGTAAATGGGAAGTTGACGAGGTTGAAGTAGCAGGGAAAGCTTCAAAGGCAGGTTTGAGGGAACAGCTGGATGAGGCTGATTAGTTACAGCCGCAGAGTCAATCAGCACTGTTTCCCTGAATGTTTCAACCTCGCTGGTCGAGGCATCCCTTGGGGGCTCGTCGTTGTGGCCAAGGACAAAGAGCTCTCTTTGAGCTTTCCTCGCCATATCATTTGCAGCAACATTGCCTGGAATGTGGCTATGACCAGGGCTCAGATGCAACTCAACATGTATATCGCGTTGAGCTAACAGCACAGATAGCTCGCAGATAGCTCGAATCTGGGTGCCATAAGGTCCATCACCATGATATGACACATCCCCGTTAAGGCGCCTCAAGACAGTCTCCTCGTCGGTAAACACAAATACTTCCCTCTTCATCATATGCGAATGAGACCCTGTTCGTCTCATTTTTGGACGAAAGAAATTTGTGTCGGCAGGATCATCCCTGGAGACAGTGTACTCAGCGCTATCAATATTGTCAAGCGCAAACTTCAGCCCACATCCAACTGCATATAGCTCCAGTGCGCTGGTGTCATCTGTCTTCTCGTGGAAAGCAACCCCCAGTCCATCCCACTTCGAAGCAGCCCCTCCCGCTTTCCAAACGATGCCTACGGCACCGCGACGATTGCGGATACAGGCATCCCCAAACAGGATTACCCGGCTAGTCACCTGCTCTGGTACCGGGAGACCGTGGATCCTGTACGCCACTTGCATGGCCTCCGCGCGAGTGGTAATTGCGATCGATCCTTCAAATTTGTGGCCCAGCTCGCCACAAAACTTCCGACCTTTTTCTCTTCTTGTTTCCCGAGCGGGGGCCGAATCTAGTGTTTCGGACGGAGAGCGCGCTCGTTTCTTTGAGGCACTAGGCTGAACATTTGTAGGCGAACTTGTGACGGATTGATGGTGTCGTGGGGGCAGAGGAGCGTCAAGGCGAGTCAATACATGAGACTCAGACACCTCCACGCCCGACCCGGGTGAGGGACTGGTGGACCGTACGCGCTGATTAGGAGAACTCGGTGATCCTGGTGACATTTCGATATTTCTGTGCACTTATGCTGGCGAATTGAAGAAGAGTATGGGAATGTCCGGGTGGAAGAGGAACCAGAAGGGACATAGAGGGAGAAAGAGGAAGGAAGAGAGAGAAAAAAGAAAACAAGTAGTCGCATCCCGAATAGGAAGCTGCGTAAAATCAAGACGCTATCTAGAAGGCATCGATTAATGGAGGGCAGCGTCGGCTCACACAGCTATACAATGATACACAAGTGATAGAGATTTGACACGTAAGTAAGAGATATGCAAGGATTACCATATTTACCGTAGAGGAATAATAAAGATAATCCTCATACCTGTCTCAGCAGATCATAGACCTGGTGATGAGGCGACATCTGGGATGTAGTGTCCGACTTAGGATTTTGCGTATAGCAGTCGTATGGTGTTTCATCTAAATCTACATAGCAGGCTGGTGTCTAGCTACTTACACAAAAGCGTTGGCCCGGTTGAACTGCGGTGTAGCTGCAATCTGGAAGGCAATACGAGGTTGTGTCTATATCTCGAGACACTTCGGTTTGCCAACTGTTCGCGCTTAAGCTCCTCGAGTCCTCGGGCCAGAACCAGGGCAATGGGAGTTGCATGTAGGGGAGACTGCGGTCATGGCCACGGTATAATGTCTCGCTCTTAGGAATCCCTGCTGTGTTCCGCCGTCAAAAGAAACATTACCATATGCATTGCTAGTCAACCTTGAGTTGAGCAGGCTCTCATGTGCGCCTGGGGAACTGTATAGCGCTCAGGGGCCGGTTTCAATTGCAATCGAATTTTTTGCCTAGATATGGCTGGATTTTGGGCTGGCAAAAAATTTGAATATATGAATTGCTATGACAGAGACCTTAATCAATGCCTCACCAAGGGAACCTTAGTCCAACCTTGGAAAGTAGGCAAAATGAAGCTTTTCACATCGTCGGCTGCGTTTGCAGGCTTGCAATGTCTTTTTAGCGGTCTTATTGGTAGTCTTTTTGACTGCCTCCTAAAGGCATTTTTAAGAAGTCATCTTTATAGATACCTTCTTCTCTTCTCAGGATATATGTAGTATGGACAGCTTCAATCAAGGGCTGTGATTTACAATACAGTAATGAGCGGTGTCAAGAGGTGTCCAAGATCAGGCAAATTCAGGCAGATTCAGGCAGATTCAGGCAACAAATTCGATTTCAACTGAACCCGACTCCTGAACGCTATGCACCTTTGCAGAATCGGAATTTTGACACAATAAGTGTCGCGTCTCCATCAATCTGTTGCCAATGGGGAACCCTGAGCATTGTGCACCGTGGAATCTTCGTCTCTGAGGACCGTCTATGCTGTTACAACATCCCCCGCCAATGGAAAGAAACCCCTCACTGGAGGGACCAAGTCCATACTCTGCGATAGAGTTTTACGACAAACACTCTACAATCGAAACGGATGAAGAGAAATGAGAAGGAACTTGTTCATGGATGTATGCCACGATCGTCTAATTGTGCCAGACAATATCGTCAACGATATGAAAGCTCCTTGTTGTTCAGAGCCGACAACCGACGCTAGTTGAAGACGAGAGTTCCGTTGTCGTTGCCGATGCGCTCGGAAAGGTTGATATCGGCATTGTGTCCCTCTCCATCGACGTCGCGCAAGACAGCACGGAGAACGGGCACGTCGTCGTCTCCCTCGAGACTGAAGCTGATGTCCTCTGCGCTGTGCTGGAAGTCTCCACCGTCCCATTGGAAGTGACCTAAACGGAAAGAGTTAGAACGGTTGTCACAAACGAGTGGGACCCGAAGGGGAAGAGCGGAGAATGGAGAGACAAGATGGGGACAGGCGACATACCGTTGTCGTTTCCGATGTGCTGGTTGAGATCCATGGTGGACTCCTGCTCGTCACCATCCTCGGTGCGGAGGACGGCCTTGAGGATGTGGCCATCCTCAAGCTCAATGTTGGAAGCGGAAGCGTGGAAGCTCATGGTGTCGATTTGGGAGAGAAGAATGCAAAGTAGAGTGTGGAGGGTAAGTATCATAGGATTAGCTTGGGGGGTGGACACCCTTTATATACCCTATCCAGAGGCGCGCGATACACCCCGAATCGCGATTCGGGCTTACGCTAAGATTGGTCGCATCAGCCCCTGGTTCTTGTCCGACACTTGTCCCCGGCTAATTTGTCGCACGTCATGCAGATTAAGCCATCCTGGCACAGGCGGGGCAATTGTTGGGAATACGGATTATTGGCAAAGCGGGGATTCTGTATAAAGGGGGAAGAGTTTCGAGACAAAGAAGCCCACTCATAGTACAGAGTACGGAGTACGGAGTACACGGTGTACAGAAGGGAAGTGGATAGAATGGGACCATAGCTGACACCTCAGAGAAGTGGAGCACACTCCCAATAGCTGCAGGTGGTGTCTTGTCCAGCTCCCCGCGATGTACTCCGTACGGGATACGGAGTATGGAGTACGGAGTACAGATCGTATTGATGTCCAGTTATCGTGGCGCAGAACATATCAGACTCCAGCCACAGACCGACCAGAGGTTGCACTGTGTCCTCCGTATGCACGCCAAGGTGAGAGCCCATGGCAGCGCGCGGGAACAGCCACAGCCAGTGGACCCGGTTGGACCAATGGGCTTCGAGCCGGAACCAAAATGCTGGTGCCTAATAATGGAGACACGTTATGGAGACGCTGTGTTTGGCTTTGGCTTCTTTGGCTTCTTTGGCTTATTTGGCTATGCCACGGGTTGAGCACTCATATGGTTGGTTCTTGGCAGTACAGTTGTTCGTGTGGCTAGACAGGGCCTTGTGACAGGGGTTGATGGAGGGGTTGATGGAGGGGTCATAAAAATGTGGCGAAGTGGGTCGCTTGTGAGAGAAATTCACCGCACCTTGGAGACGGTGCTGTGGATGTCAATGTCTTGCGGCGCTAGCGATTGGTGAGGGGCATTGAGTAACAAAGGTGTTGAGTCACTAGGATCTCCAAGGTTGCCCAGGTGCCCCCTTTGTTTTGAAATGCTATCAACTGCTGTGCATGCCCAAGTGGAGACAATATATATTAGCTGAAGCAATAAACGAAAATAGTACAGAGTACTCCGTAGAGACACCAATTCATCTAATAGACTAAATACGACATACTATGTACCTATAGACATAGCACACTCCCTCCATGAACCTCATCAATCAACCCCGGAAAGACTAGATACGGAGAGAGGCAGACCATTTACAAACATACGATGCAAGATTGAAGCGAGGACATTGAACATCATTCATTTGAAAGCTATATACACAGACTTGCTTGGTTTCACCATGCAGGCTACTCATCCTGAACACCACGTAGAGGTGCAAGTCGTGCTCAGGTGTTGCATACAGGCCCCATGCAACTGGGTAAGACTCCCCAATTCAAGGTGTAAGGAAGGAATGGGGTCAAGGCTTGGAGGGGAACAGCGGCTACTGTGGGCAGGACGAACTGTATCCGCAGCGGCCGAGGGAGGTTCTTCCTAATGTGTTGAACAAAAGGCGCTTGCACAGCTCGGGTCATCCCAGACTTGCTTCGTGCCCTACCTTTCCCACAGCGCAACAAAGTCCCAAGGGGAAGAAAGGTGAAATCCTCCGAAGAGGGCCCAGGCAAATATATGACAGCACAGCGGATAAGGAGTGGGGCAGAGAGATGAGAAAGGAAAGGAAGGGGGACGGGAATACATGCAAAACGGGGTGGAGGGGGTAGGGGAGTGGAGAAGGAAGAAAAGAAGAAGAAGAATCTGGGGAGAGGAGAGGGTATTTATATCCTGGGGCTGAAGGCGACGAGGGTCACCAGGGTGGGCGACGAGTTCCTTCCCAAACAGGAAGGCACAGCTGCTTCCAGGCTTGGAAGGCGCATCCGGGCTGCCAGGTACATCTACGTTGCCTAAGAAACTTGTGCAGGAAAAAGGAAATGGTAAGACTTGTAAAACATGGCGGAAAAAGATGCAATTGGTCTTATAAAATCTGCTCAAAACCCGATATCAAACACGCCCAACACCGCTTGCAAACTCCCATGCCTTGCAAGGCCAACAGATGTACAGAATCGACAACCCGTCCCATAGCACACATACCAGGTGTATAACAGAAACACATTAACATCATAATAAGTCACAGATTAAACTCCATTACGGTAGATTTGAGATCCACCAGAGCGGATCTGGATAGTGTCACGGCGCTGCAAGACAACCAGTGCCCGATTAAGTGCTTGCTCGCTGTATTGCTTAGCGTCGACAAAGTCCCGGCGCAAGGTCGCCAGGCTTGTGCTCCAGCCAATTGGCAGGCGACGCTTCAGTTCATCTTCAATCTTGCTGGCTGACTCCATGAGTTCCTTGCTGCCTTGGCCTTCACCCTGGGTGATGGCGTCCATGGTGGACGCCAGGAACAGGCGAATGGCCTCATCCACGTGGGCTTCGGTGGCGATAGGAGAGAGAGAAAGTTTGGCGAGGGACTCGGAGATACGGACAATAGCCTCGAGTTGACGCACGGTGATCGGGATGGAGGAACGGGTGTTGGATTCCATCTCAGCGCGGTGGACTTGCTTTCGGATAGAGACAAAGTGGGAGGAGAGTTTCTCCGCGGCTTCGGGCGACAGACGGGGTGCGCAACGACTAGAGAGATATTAGCATATATTCGGCAAGTGATTCAATACTAGGTGACAACAAACCTGCGGCAGTAGCTGATGTAGCGCTTCATCTGCTCCACGGGAATCTCAGCCTCCACTTGCTCCTCCACACCACGACCACCCATGTGCACACCCATGACGTGGCGGGCGATTTTTTCATCGCGGCCACGCTCATGGTCATCGCGGACAATGAAGATCATGTCGAAACGGGACAGAATGGTGGTCTGGAAATCGATGTTCTCACCGGGGGTCTTGAGATCATCGTATCGACCGAAGATAGGGTTGGCGGCAGCCAGAACCGACGTTCTCGAGTTGAGGATTGTGGTGATACCGGCCTTGGCAATAGAAATGGTCTGCTGTTCCATAGCTTCGTGAATGGCTACACGGTCCTCATCACGCATCTTGTCGAACTCATCGATACACACAACACCGCCATCAGCGAGCACCATAGCACCACCTTCAAGATAGAATTCGCGTGTGGTGTGATCTCGCTGCACGGAAGCTGTGAGACCGGCAGCAGAAGAACCCTTGCCGGAGGTGTAGATGGCAATGGGCGCAGCCTTTTCGACGAACTTCAAAAGCTGAGACTTGGCCGTACCAGGGTCACCCAGCATAAGCACGTTGATGTCACCACGTAGCTTCATTCCATCGGGAAGGATCTTCTTTGAGCCACCCATAAGCAGGCAGACGATGGACTTTTTGATATCCGCATTTCCATAGATGGAAGGGGCAATGCTTCGGGCGAGCGCGTCGTACAAATCAGGCCGTCTGCTGAGCTCCAAAAATTCTTGTTCTTCCTCCTCAGAGAAGACCGAGGCGCCCTTTGCTGTCTGGTCGAGATCGGAGGTGATGCCCACTGCGCGGAGGTAGGGGTTGCGGATGGCCACAGCAGCGTCCTTCTTTCCACCCTTCGCCTGGTAGATCGAGAAGATACCCATTACTGTGCAACGGGAACCAGGAACCACTCGATTAGCAAGGTATCGATCTGCAGAAATAAGCACGTGTCGCGGCAGCTCGCCGACCGGGACCTGGTCAGGGGCTTCTTGAAGTTTGAGGACTTGCTGATCCACAAATTGGCATTTCTCATGGTGAACGACGTAAGGATCCAAGGGGCATTGCTCGTTAGGTTGGTCATTTTCTCCTCTGGGTCGGCCGCAACGACGTGGTAGCGACAGGCCGGCGAATCCACCATCGACCTGGATGTTTTCGCTGTGGTCACAGCCCTTACAACGAATGTGAACGACTGTGGACTTAGAGGATATTGTGGAAGCTCCAATCACAATTCCAGGAATGCGAACGAGGTGGGAGATATTAGTGGCAGTGAGGTCACGAATTGAAATGTGCGACGCGGAGGAGTGTAGGAGCAATTGGTGAGAGGGGAGTATGATATCTCGCTGCCCGGGGTAGACAATGCGCGCAGTACACTGCTTCAGAGCGAGCTCGAACTATTTCAAGTTAGTTGAGATCAGAGATAAGATTCAGGACAGGAACCCTACAAGGGGAATGATGTCGCCGGGTTCGGTGGTGAGTTTGTGGGCCAACTCTTCATTGTAGGAGATCAGATGGGCGATATCAATATCACAGTAGTATTGTTTTACAAGTGCATTCTGCCGTAATTGATCACTGTTGAATCATAAATTAGCGTCCATTGAACCCTCGTGAAGTGAGATGTTTACCGGTAAACGAATGAATTATCCAGCTGGAATTCTAGCACGAAATCCCGGAGCCGAGTCTCAATAATTGTGCGATCTTCATCGACACCATTTGTGCTGGGCGCGAGCACGCTCAAAGAATAGGGGGTGCGTCTATCCATGCTGTAGGGGATCGCAAATATGGCAGGTTGGAGTGTGGATGATTTAGCGGAAGGGAGGCTTCAAGAACTTTTGGTTAGTGTGGCCGAACGCGACGCGTGGATTATTCGCCCATGGACGCGTTAAGTGGTTTCTGAGTCATCAACTGCCTGAGGCATGAAATGGATTAACTTTGGGACTGTCAATATTGGCCTGAGGCACACATTATCTGAGTCAGCACGGGGAACCCCCCCGGGCCGGCGTTAGTGTTTTGGCCGATTGGGGAGCCATGGCCAGCTTGATGGAAATAAAGCCACATCACACGCAATCTGCTCCCAGGACCCAGGGAAGTCGGACCAAAATTGCGAATCGCCGAAGCTGCCTTCATCAGCATTGGAACCTAAACCAGAGCCTGTCAAAGCTCTAAGGCCTGGAGTTTATCCACTGTCATGATCAGATAACACGGAACATCTCAACGATCGACCCTCCCACGGTGGCCGTCCGATCGGGCTCGTGGCAGTCATGTCATCAACGAATCCACGAAAATCAATTGATAGCTTGGCATCTGGAGCTTCATCTCCTTCAATCTCTTATTCAACAAGCCAGCTGGAATCTCCGCGCGTGCCCCCCAGCGGTTTCCCCTGAGGAGGGGATCTACCGCGAGCTCAATAGTGAGCATTGGGGGTGTTCTGGACTCTTCTCATTACCATGGATCAATCGCGGAGTCTGGACAAAATGGTTAGTGAATTCGGGCATCCTAACTATCTCATGATTCATTTGTTAATGACCACTCAGCCATTTCAACGCTCCTCCAGCCCCCAATCATTCGCACCGGTCTGTCGGCCTATAGTACTACATCTTCTGCTGGATTCAAGCCTCCATCAACTCGCGATATTCCTCCGGTAACTCTGACGAACATCAAACACGTTGATTCGAAGGTCTTTCAGCCATATCTTTCACAAGTGGGGACTCTATACGATGTATTTCAACAACCGAAGGAAGGCGCGGTGGAGGATACCCAGCCGGCGCAGGCAGCTAGGTCTCCTAAGCCGGACTCGGATCGAGATTCATTAATGCCATGGTCCCCCGAACGGAGGTCCTCGGTCATGTCAATCAGTTCCAGATCATCTTCGCCATATGATACTCGTGGCCGACGCCCATCCGGTGGCCGAGGTCGCGCACCTGCAGTGACTCCTCTATCTACAATCCCCCCAGTCTACTTCGAGGAGGGCTTCCATTTAGAAAACCCGCGTACATTCGATGTGATATCGGAAAAATCGGATGTAGTGAAGCCGCCGAGACCACCGACCAAAGACGACAATAACGTCAATGGATTACTTGCGGAGCCAGTGCAGACTGGAAGAAAAGCACTAGCTACTAATGCTATTCTACAAGAAAAGCTCTCGTGGTACATGGATACTGTGGAGATCCATCTTATTTCGTCCATTTCTACAGCATCAAAATCCTTCTTCACTGCACTAGGTTCGCTCCGGGAGTTACACGCAGAAGCAGCTGATTCTGTCAACCGAATACAAGTATTGAGGAAGGACCTGCAGAAGATCGACAAAGAGATGGCTCTGGGTGGTCTCAAGGTTGTCAATTTGAGAAGGCGGCGAGAAAATGTACGAATGTTAGCAGCTGCCGTGGCTCAGCTTCGCGAGGTTGTCGAATCAGTTTCTCGTTGCGAAAGTCTTGTGGAACAGGGCGACATCGAAGAAGCTGCCGATGGGCTCGAGGAAGTTGAAAAATTGATGTCTGGTGAAAAGGGTTCTAATCGTTCTGCTTCGGAGGATGAAGATGGTGCTCCCAAACGCATTATTGACCTGCGAGGCATCAAGGCCCTTCAGGGAGCATCTGATGACCTTGCACAACTTCGCCAGCGCATCGGCATGGGCTATGAATCCCGATTCCTGAACGATCTTCTGGGAGATTTACGACAGCATGTCCAAAATGTGCCATCAAGCGTAACCTTGCAGCGGTGGGGAAATTCCTTCCAACGGCAGCGCGGTAGTCACCGGTCTGGAGTACCGGCATCACCTGCATACATGAACTTTGATAACGACTTGCGATCCCAATTGAACACTCAACTCAATGGGCTTGCGCGTGCTCACTATACGATGCCAGCGGCAACTTCTTTCAAAACCGCTGTCTTACGAGAAATGAAGGGACTTATTCGCAAACACTTGCCCAGTTCTAGTGATGATGATAATGAATCTATGGTGTCGCTGTCAACGCATGGCGGTCATCAGCTAAGCCAGCAAGAGAAGTCATCAATTCTTGCTCGAAACCTGCGCGCACTTGATCCAGATGATGCTTATGCAATGTTGGTTAATGTATACACCGGGATTAGCGAATCACTTAGGCGACTCAGCGTCCAAGTTAAAATCCTTCTGGATATTGCCAGCGGTCTGGGGAATTCGCCGGCTTCTGGTGTCAAGTCACCACCACGAAGTCCCACCCCCAAAGTATCAACCAGGCTATCAAGTCTCCACAGATCGGACCAACAGCCTCTGATATGGCCCAAGATGAGATTCTCCAGGTTTTGGACATGTCGAGTTTACTTGGTCAAGCAGTTGATATCGCCCAATCCCAAATAACAAAGGTTCTGAAAGTTCGATCAGAACAGACTGCTCAACTTTCAAAAGAGGAGTTTTTGAAATATTTCATTTTGAACCGCCTGTTCGCCGATGAGTGTGAGGCCATCTCGGGCCGCAGTGGCAATGCACTAAAGACCATTGTCGGAAACCAAATCCGTGACTTCATCACACGTTTCGGTGATGGCCAACGCCATCAAATTGTTAATGTTATGGATTCTGATCGATGGGACGCACGAGATTTCGGTGATGCCGAGAATACTATCCTGGCAAGGATTCTAGACGCAAGCACCCACGACGTCGACGCTTGGGTGGAAGCTTCCAAGATTTGGATTCAAGGCGCTAGAAACGAGCAGGACAAGCCTGCTGATACTGCAAACGGGACCGACAAGTCTAAAGTTCGCAGCGCGGTTATCGACGAGCAGAAGTACATCCTACCTGACTCTGCTGTCGCGATGATGCACAGCATCCAAGAGTTCGAATTTCTTATGTCGAACATCCCTAGCATGATTCAGGATATTGCTCCACATCTACTTGATATCCTCAAGCTGTTCAACTCGCGATCATCGCAATTGATTCTTGGCGCTGGCGCTACACGTAGTGCAGGACTCAAAAATATTACGACTAAGCACCTCGCCCTCTCATCACAGGCATTGAGCTTTGTCATTGCTCTGGTTCCTTATGTACGAGAGTTTGTCCGGCGCCACGGTCAGGCCAACCCCTTGATGGCGGAATTTGACAAAGTCAAGCGACTATGTCAAGAGCATCAGAGTGGTATTCACGAGAAGTTAGTCGATATCATGAGCTCTCGCTCCTCGGTGCACGTGAACGCGATGAAGAAGATCGACTGGGATAATAAGGATGCATCACGCGCTGTGAATGCTTACATGGAAGTCTTAGCGAAAGAAACAGGCACTTTACATCGTGTCTTGAGCAAGCATCTTCCAGATATGACGGTCGACATGATCATGGTACCTGTGTTCAACAATTACCGTGATCAATGGATGAAGGCCTTCAACGAGGCCGACGTGCAGACAGATGCTGGAAAGAAGAGGTCAGTTCAAACCACTCGGATCCTAGCCATGGCCCATACTAACCAAATTAACAGGATGGAAACCGATATTGAGCACTTCCGGAGTAAACTCAGCAAGATCGAAGGCGCCAGTGGGGTTGGCAACAAGCTCCTTGAAGTCGTGCGAGCCAAGACGATCACCAGCGTGCCCCAGAAATCTGAGCCGGCGAGTGAAAAGCAGAAAGAACAGGACGACGGCTCTGATTCCACCAAGTCCTGATCGCTCCTTTACCTTTTACCCTTTACCCTTTACCTTTTACCCTTTACCCTTTACCCTTTACCCTTTACCCTTTACCCTTATACATATAATCCCCTTTCGTTGTGTTCCTTTCTCGTCTACATGCTCATTCCCGGGTTACACGCATTTTGTCATTTGCCGCTACAACGTAACTGTCTCAACTCGCATTTATAGAGTTTAGCCCGGCGTTTGTGGACAAGAGATGTCTGATTCCCACCGCTGATATGATTTTCAATTTAATATATTACATTTGAAGCGTTTTGCATCAAAGCGCCGATTGAACTGGCATCTGCTTGCATTTGCATACTATCTTCCCTCGCTCTAAGGATAGGGGCCTAAATCTCACAATTGCGAATATCAATTATAGGATATACAACATGACGAACTCCGGCGAATAATCATACAAGATCCTAGCCATCCCCACAAATCATATAACATCGTAGCAGTCATGCATCCACCACTTATTTACCAGCAGTGTTCTTCTCATCAAGGGACAAGGGCTTCGCAGCACCGCCATGGGGGTGAGCTGAGCCAGCAGTGGGCAAGCCAGGGAAGACATCGCGACCGGAGCCAGTCTGCTCAGGCATGGGGGCAGCCTTGTGGGAGCGGCTCAAGTCGGCAGGCTGTGAGTTTGTTAGACACTGCAGATCAAACTGGAATTGCTGCGGAAGATTTACCTCATTGCCAATACCGTGGGCCTTGTTGGGACCGTTCTCGATAGGGTTGTCGCTCTGGGGGAGACCGTTATCGTACTCTGCGCCGCGGACCATTTTGATTGGTTTGGTAGAAAGATGGGAATTTGAGAATGTGGTTTTGGGTAGAATTGAGATTTTCTGATGAGCAGAAATGGGATTGAGAGCAATTATCACTCGTACTTATACTTGATCTCGGTCGCTGTATACTGGGAAGCGTGACCGCATCATGAAATCATAGTGGAGAACGTGATCTCACGCCCGTTGCAGCATCACGATCTTTGCAACTGCCTTGGAAATGGAGTCTGTAGAATCGATGGAATGGAGAAGAATCAGATGATTAATTGAATTTACTGGCCGGTAGACTTGTCATGGATGATGGTGAGTCATGGTGTAGAAGACGGACTGCGTGCATGCGTGTATGCCGATCTATGTCTTTGAGGTATCCCAATCCATACAGTATCATCCGTCTCGTCAACATATACAAATCGCACCGATTTTTTTCTCTTTTAATGCATCAAATTAAATTCCAGATTCGAATGATTATGCAAGTTTCCTGTTTAGAACTCCCACATGCCTTGATGGCCTCGATGTTCTGCATATAGAGTGATGGGTATCAGGCTCAAGCAACTACCACAACGGGATACAACCTTCCTGAACGCGAGGAACATTCTCGTGGATGTTTTGATCTAGCAGTCAGCAGCTCATGAACTTTCTGCCCAGTATATTAATTCTATCTGGTAGGTCTATTGGAGAATCTCAGCGCGTTACTCACATTGATACATGTAGGTAATGCACCGGAACATAGTGCCTGGTTGCATCCAACGCAAAGTCGGCCCAAGTAGACATCAAATACGCAGCACGTCTGATCAAGCTCAGAGATTACTGCGTCAAACAGGTGATAAGTCATGTATCAATCCAAAAGGAAGTACTACGGCGACTCAACAGTTGCCATGGCAGGTTATCAATTCATACCTACGTGTCCACCAGGGATTCCTCACATACCAGCTAGCCGCCGGTCATGGCAACTGCAGAGGCCGTGGTAGGTGTTGAAACTGAAAGATGTGGGAAAATGAGAGTACACTGTATCCCGTCACATAAGATGTCGATGCCGTTTGCAAGCTGATTCGCCCGCTAAATTGACGAGTATCTGCAGTAAATTAAAATAGTACATTCCAAATTGGACAGAATCAAAGTTGCGCTTGAATGATTACGCTGGTGGTAGAATAAATTCCAAAATCCCTATCAAAACCGCAACATAGATGTCAAGAAATAAGATGCACAACTAATGGATATAAATGAGTTCCAAAGGATGAAAACATGAGAAGAAACTGACCTGATCTCCAGCGACCTTACTTTCAGTCTGACTGGCCATCTAGCCTTCTGCGACATCGTGCCACTGTACCCGCAGAAAGGCTCATTGCCAAGCCCGGCAATGGTTCATTTGAAGCAGGTCGATCGGGTTCCGGAGGGGTGAATAAACCTTCAAGGAAGACACCATATGATGGGGAGCCGGCCACAGGGTATCCAGGCGGGCGAGATCCACCTTGTGGGCCTCTGAGGCCACTGAACTGGGAGGGATGGGTATAGAATGCATGGTATCTCGCTTGGGCTTCCACCCAATTATTGCATAAGGAAGATGGGCGATAGCCTCCCAGCTGAAGATCGCTGGGAGTTGTTGGCTCATATGAAGACACGCAGGTGGAAGTGATGCGTGGTTGATCAGATGTCGAAGGAGGCAATGAAGGTGAACCATGGTGAATTTTGTGGTAGAGATTGTATGGTGGTTTTGCATGGGCTATTGCCCCATGGGATGTGTTTATGGGAAGGGGTTGCAGAGTCCCATTTCGGATCTTCTCTTGAAGTGCACCTTTGCGAATGTTGAGTGGCCGAGGCCGTAGGTCTGCATCGGAGACCTTTGCCCGATGCATCAGGAAAGTATCTTGCTTTCTGTACGCTCGATTCATTATGTTTTCTGTGGCAGACTTGGGTAGTCTGCTGTGAATGATGGATGATGGTGACATATCGACTGAGAACATATCAAAGTCAATCGAATGAGAAAGATGAGCAGAGGGTGAACATGAACAGATGCCCTTTTGAGCGACAATGGGTGAGTTGGAGTCCCGGAGAGCTTGCGTGATGAGACAGGATAACGGGGGATCCGGCCGATCTATAAAATACAGACCCGGGACACAAGGGGTAACAGTTGCAATGAATGGGTGACTCACGTTCTCATCTGTACGTAGCTGCTTCAACTGCCCGTCTTCACTGAGGATCTCAGAACGGAATTCTGGGCTTGTTACAACAATCGCAGGAGGCTCGCACAGAATGTGTTCAGTTTCATACGTGTGAATGATTTGTGCTTTCGGGGAGTTGTGGTCTTCACTACTTGAATCAGAAGAGAAATCGGGGTTCATGACCTGAAGTACTGTAGGCCCATCAAAATCTCCTCGCCAAGTGTTGCGAGGATCAATGCGATGATGAGGTTGGAGGGTTGCCACGGCAAGAGTGACTCTTTCAGGCTGATCATTGCACCTCCTCCATCTACAGGAATGCTCTTGCTGACCCTCGTTCCTTCTGGAGGAAATTGAACTCTCAAGGTCCACGACAGATAGGCTATATTCATCGCTGAACGGCGACATTCTTCCTGGGGTCGATATGCTCTCATTGCGGCCCCGAAAATGGCGAGTGGGATAGCGATCACTCAGTGCATCAAGCACGATTCGTTTTAGGTCGCTATCTGGGATATTTTGACTCCGCCTCCGCTCGATCTTATGGATCAATTTGATCTTCACGTTCCCAAAAGGCGTGAAGACCCAGCTTCTCAGCCAACGCTTTGCCTTGCAACGCTTGCGCAGCTTCTTCGGTTCAGACATAGTCAATGCGAAATGATGTCGATATGAAGGTGGGAGCTCAGAAGCAATAGAGGAGAAGAATGCAAGAGATGATCGGAAGGCTGCAGATTTCTTTTGCACTGCTGTCTCAATCGTGCTCGAAGATTTTATACCTTTTTATCAGGTGGTATTCTGGAATCTCCGATATCGACACCAATGGATCTTTGAAAATCTGCTTTCGAAGTTGCTAACTGCATTGTTGTGGATGCTGCTTGATTATGACCCGGTCTTACTGACAATGAGGATCCGAGCAAACCCAGAATTGAGATTGTTCAAGCGCTTTGTTACTCACATTGGATACAAAGAGATGCCCTTTGTTGCCCGTTGCCTTTGTCTTTCCGGGGTTACGTTCTACCAAAAATTTGGAGCCAACCATACTATCGATTCCCATTAGGGTAGTTACGATGCATTCGATATTTCATTTGAGTGGAGAGATGTGGTTCAGTCCTTTTGGTGCTCATATCCAATATTTCTTCCAAGTTCCCCCATATCCCTCGGATTCGCTCATCATAAAGGGAAAATACCCACAGTAATCGAGTGAGTAACTTTCTAATCCAGTGATAATAAAGGCAGGTGATATCTCAGGAACTAGTACATGGTGTGATAAATCCATACAACATGGAAAATTACCTATGTACATGGACCTAGATCCAACGACATACCAAACTAGGGCATGGCCTGGGAAAAAAGTATCGCCGAATTTCCCGAATCCCGATCTCTTCGACGGAGATGGCTTCATGAGCTCTGGCATTCAGAAGGCGTCCATCTCGTCGGATATATCGCACTATGGGTGCGACCTTTGAACTTCACAAAAAAGAAAAGGACGCTGCTCTCTGGCCGTAATTGGCTGTATCAGAATGTTCGTTGCATCTCTTCGTCGATGAGGATGCCTTAAATCACGACTAGGAGCCTACACCAAATTACCACACTTTGGATTGTAGGGCATGTTTGGCCAAGGAGATTTCGTGTCTCAATGAACGACCAAAGTCCCCTATGTTTTACCTTCCTTGCAGGTACTGACTCGGAGAAATGGGACGGGTTCCTGTCCTGATCCAGGGCCGCAGGGGTATGGAGCATTGTACGTGATTGGTGGAAAGAATCGTGAGACCACATATTGGAGCCCACCTATATCTGACCAGGGAGTGAGCAGAATACCTTGATCCGTTCTATACTAGACGTGATTTCCAACCATACTCCGGAGTACATACACGGATCAGCTAGTGGCAACGCTGCTAGCCTGCTACTAGGTAGATCCATGTACGGAGTCCGGGTTCGCTGTGATATCTCCCACAACGAGGCAGCACGCCGATACCAGGACGATCCTCCAGCATGAACCCCGCATGCATCCTGCCAATAAATGCAGGGAGTGGAAGCCATTCGCACGAAGATCCCAAGCTCGGGCCCGGCAGTGGAGCGATGACATCATCCGGTCCAGCTTTCCCCGGATTGCCTAACGGCCACGGCCATGGGCTCTGGGATAAACCTGTATGGGAGGACATATGGATGGGAGACTCATGATAGTTGCTCAGAATTAAAGAAATTGGACTAACCCGAGGGGTATTAGCCCGCAGAGAGAGTAGAGGACTGAGCGCAGAGCCGTGGTCGGGCCGATCCCATTTTCTGCTACAGTAACATGCTCCGTTTCCAGGTCGCTCGATACATGTGTCAAGAGAATATCATACGGTAGGAAAAACTCTGCGCTATTCCGTACCTTTTTTTTTTCGCCTCAACGGTATCGGGTGGAATTTCCCTGGCTTTTTTAGCCTAAGCGCACGGCAAAAGCGTCACACCCTCCCGCAAGTAACCAGTCCAGAGGAAAACTCTGGACACACCGGGACTAAGAACGGGCGACGTGCATTTTCTTCTTCTCTTCTCCCTTCGCTACGCAGTCCTCCCTACTCCCTACGGAGTCCAACTTCATCTTCTAACTGCCCAGCCCCCAGAAGACCAAACTCGAGGTCCACTTCTCCCCGCACAGACCGAGTCGCATAGCTCTTCCAAGGTTGTTGAGTTCGCCCCCCTCTTCACTTTCTCTTTTTTTTCCCTTTTGTTTCTTGTTTCTTGCTTCTCAGAGAATCATATTTGGGAATCATGGAGGAAACGGGCGAACCCATCAAGCGCGATGTTCGCAACCACATGCTCTTCGAGGTGGCTACTGAAGTAGCCAACCGAGTGGGCGGGATCTACTCGGTCCTCAAGTCCAAAGCTCCCGTCACCACCGCGGAATACGGTGAGCGCTACACTCTGATCGGCCCACTCAACAAGGCTTCGGCCGCGGTGGAGGTTGAGGAGCTGTCGCCTGCCAACCCGGCGCTGCGGGACACTATCCAGTCTATGAAGGACCGTGGTATTGAGATTGTCTACGGTCGCTGGCTTATCGAGGGCGCCCCACGGGTGCTGCTCATTAACACGGGGACCGGTTACAGGTGGTTGGACGAGTGGAAGGGCGATCTTTGGACTAGTTCGGCTATTCCGTCCCCCGCTAGCGATCATGAAACCAATGAGGCCATCGTGTTTGGATACTTGGTCGCTTGGTTCTTGGGAGAGGTACGTTTGAGCTCACTCTTGTCTTTCTGATTTAAGAGTCTGGATTTGTACTGACTTTTTTTTCGCTATAGTACATTGCTCATGACCGTCGTCGGGCGGTCATTGCCCATTTCCATGAATGGCTGGCTGGTGTAGCTCTGCCATTGACCAAGAAGCGTCACATGGACTTGACAACCGTTTTCACCACCCACGCGACATTGTTGGGTCGTTACCTCTGCGCTGGCTCGGTTGATTTCTATAACAACCTCCAGTACTTTGACGTGGATGCGGAGGCCGGAAAGCGTGGGATCTACCACCGCTACTGCATTGAGCGGGCTGCCACTCACGCCTGCGATGTCTTCACCACTGTGTCGCATATCACGGCGTTTGAAAGTGAGCATTTGCTGAAGCGCAAGCCCGATGGTGTGCTCCCCAATGGTCTGAACGTCAAGAAGTTCTCCGCCATGCACGAGTTCCAGAACTTGCACTCTCAGGCCAAGGAGAAAATCAACGACTTTGTTCGTGGTCATTTCTACGGTCATAATGACTTTGACTTGGATAATACTCTATACCTGTTCACTGCGGGTCGGTACGAATTCCGTAACAAGGGTGTCGATATGTTCATTGAGGGGCTGGCCCGTCTCAACCATCGACTGAAGACCGCTGGATCGACTATGACTGTGGTCGCATTCATTATCATGCCTGCACAGACTTCCTCGTTGACAGTGGAATCGCTGAAGGGACAGGCTGTTGTGAAGTCCCTGCGTGACACCGTCGAGAACATCGAAAAGGGCATTGGCAAGCGCATGTATGAGCGCTGCCTTGCCTGGAAGGAAGGCGACAACATGCCCGACGAGAAAGATCTCATCACTAGCCAAGATCGCGTGATGCTCCGTCGTCGTCTGTTCGGCATGAAGCGCCACGGTCTTCCTCCCATTGTCACCCATAACATGCACAATGACCACGAGGATCCGATTCTGAACCAGTTGCGCCGCGTGCAGCTGTTCAATCACTCCTCCGACCGCGTGAAGGTTGTCTTCCACCCCGAATTTCTCAACTCCGCCAACCCCGTATTGCCGCTTGACTACGATGACTTCGTCCGTGGAACCCATCTGGGTGTCTTCCCGTCCTACTACGAGCCGTGGGGATATACTCCTGCCGAATGTACCGTGATGGGTGTGCCTAGCATCACCACCAACCTGTCTGGATTCGGTTGCTATATGGAGGAATTGATTGAGAATTCCTCGGACTATGGAATCTACATTGTTGACCGTCGCTCCAAGGGCGTTGATGACTCCGTCAACCAATTGACCGACTTTATGTTCAACTTCACGGAGAAGAGTCGCCGCCAACGTATTAACCAGCGTAACCGCACAGAGCGTCTGAGCGATTTGTTGGATTGGAAGCGAATGGGTCTTGAATACGTCAAGGCCCGCCAGCTGGCACTGAGGAGAGGTATGTTGAATGCAATTTATGGCTCTATGCAAGATGACTGTGACTAATTTGTTGTCCAGCTTACCCGTCCTCCTTCGAGGGCCAGGAAGAGTACTTCGACATCATTGGCGGGACAGAGCAGAAGGTCTCCCGCCCACTGTCAGTTCCAGGATCCCCTAGGGATAGGTCCGGAATGATGACGCCCGGTGACTTTGCCTCTCTGCAGGAAGGCCACGAGGGGCTGAGCACCGAGGATTATATTGCCTGGAAGCTGCCGTAAGTCCGATCATTTCCCACTACCGAATTTCGTATGCTAATAAACCGAATAGTGAAGAGGAAGAGCCCGAAGAGCACTTCCCCCTGACACTACGAACCCGTAAGGTGACTGACCGGGCTGCCTCACCTTTGGACAGTATATCGGTCAATGGCCCCCAACCCAGTGAGAGTCCGGAATAGGAGCTGTCTTCTTGGCGGATAGAATAGCCGACCAAATTGGAACTCTCTTTGTTTTAGCTTTCATCTTCCCAATTGGCCCTCGTTGGTGTGGACATACTATCCTCCTGACGTCATATGTACTTGTTTAATCCGTGCCCTTTTATGATCTCTCGTTTCCTTGCTGCATCTGAAGCCTTTTGTAATTGAATTGAGCTATGAAATGGAATCGAAATTGCAATATCACGTCAGTCTGGACTGTTCGCGGAGGGATGATCTCCGGCTGTGTACTTTGGACTCCACCCCGGTTGACATCGGAGGCATATCGGACGGAATAGAGTTACCCAAATCATCCGTCTTCTGCGGTATTTCTACCCCTCCCCCTCTCAGTTCCTCTTTCTCCCAACTTCACTCCTACACGTTTCTCTCAACTCATCCAATTTACGTCTACCATCGGTACGACTCTCCCAATGGAGCTGCGCACGTCCGATGCCCTGCGGGGCTGCAGGACTAGGTCCTCGCTACGATGAAGAGATGGATCAAGGTATTTGTTCTTAGTATAACAGTCGTTGCCCACGCATGACAGGTGTTCGGTCCAGCCAGTCGATTGGAAGGGGAAAGAAAAGGCCATACCTAGAAACTCATTTTCTGGACAGTGGTTTCTTCCATATCGACTGGCTGGCTGTTCTGAGATTATACTGTCAAAACTTGATCTAGACAATACTAGCGAAAGGACATGCGTGACTTTGATTGTTCCCCTGTTTGTGCTTTGTGTCTGGCTCTGTTCGATCGATTCCGATTCGATTCGATTAAACCAATTGACTAAGAACAGGATGGAAAAGAACGAACAGAGCTGGGTACTTGCTTTCTTGGCATGCTGACCCAAATGAAGTATTCATTAGCTTGATCTCGCTGTCATCATGGCTACAGACAAGATCACCTTTTTGACCAACTGGTATGCTGACATTGTCCCAGACTCCCGAGTTCTCGAGATTGATACTCGTGGTCTCGATTTTGTAGTTCGAGCATTGGCTAAGTTTTGTTTGAAGGCACGCGACCCCGTACCACGCCCCCCTTTACCTCGCCCAGGCTAGAGGTTACTTCAAGGATGAAGGCCTCAAGGTGGCTCTGCTCGAGCCTAATGACCCTTCCGATGTGACCGAGATCATCGGCAGTGGCAAGGTCGACATGGGCTTCAAGGCTATGATCCACACCTTGGCAGTGCGTATCCATCCTCCCGGATAGAACCAAGAGTACAACCAATACTAAGACTATGTCCAGGCCAAGGCCCGCAACTTCCCGGTGACCTCCATCGGCTCCCTCCTCGATGAGCCTTTCACCGGAGTCGTGTACCTCAAGTCCAGCGGAATCACCGAGGACTTCCGTTCGCTGAAAGGCAAGCGAATCGGCTATGTTGGCGAGTTTGGCAAGGTATGTCCAACCTCACCCTTCCCAAAAAGCGTAATATCTAACCCAAACCCCAGATTCAAATCGACGAACTCACCAAGTACTACGGCATGACCGCAGACGACTACACAGCCGTCCGGTGCGGTATGAACGTAACCAAAGCCATAATCCAAGGCGAAATCGACGCCGGCATCGGCCTGGAGAACGTCCAAATGGTCGAACTGGAAGAATGGCTCGCCACCCAAAACCGCGACCGCAGCGAAGTGCAAATGCTCCGCATCGACCAGCTCGCCGAACTAGGCTGCTGCTGCTTCTGTTCGATCCTGTATATCGCGAATGATGCATTCATAGCCGCGAACCCGGACAAGATCGCTGCGTTCATGCGCGCCGTGAAACGCGCCACTGATGCCGTCCTGGCGGATCCTGCTGCCGCGTACCAGGAGTACATTGAGGTCAAGCCGATTATGGCGACGCCGGTGAATCGGAAGATCTTTGAGCGCTCATTTGCGTACTTCTCGCGTGACTTGAAGAACGTTCAGCGGGATTGGACTAAGGTTACCAATTATGGAAAGAGATTGGGGATTCTCGATGAGGAGTTTGAGGCCAATTATACTAATCAGTATCTTTCTTGGTCTCTGGATGCAGACTCGACTGATCCCACTGGTGACCAGAAGCGCATGGCTGCGCTGCAGAAGGAGGTTGCTGCCGATGGCGGTTATAAGCGGCTCGAGGTTCAGGCTTCTGCTTAGATTTGCCTGTCTTGGGACGCATCGCTTTTGTCTTAGGCTTCACTCTTTAGCCTTGATTGAAACAAATTTGAGAAATGAACCATCTTGGTAACACCCGTGTTGAACAACTGCGTAGAGATTTATAATTATCATACGATTTGGTCTTGACTTCTACGTTCGTATGAATCCAGGGGAGTTTGTATGAATCGTTCATGTCTCCAGTATCATTATACATCAAATTCATTATCATATCTCATAACAAGCACCGTTGTTCAGGTGTCAGTGATTCTCAGGTTGCAGTAGAAGCAACACCCTCATTCCCCGGTCGATCAAGCATAGCCCGTAGCCGATCCTCCGCTGACAGCAAAGCAGGGCTAGCGTCAGAACCAGACATGTTCGCAGCCCATTTCAGCCATCCAAGCAAGGATTGAATGATTTCAGGACCGCTAGTCCCAATTGTAGATGGGCTATCGCCACCTAAAGCAGCTTGGGGGAGAAGGCTATTTTCCGTAGAAATCCCATCATCTGCACTCGCGTCCAAATGAACCTCAGACACCACAGCAGGGGTGACCATCTGCGAGGACGATTGTTCACCAGTACCAGAAGCATTTTTCGCAAGTAAATCACACCCATTATGCTTAGGTTTTGAGGCAAATTCGCGCGTGAAAGGCGTCGGGACAGCCTCCGTTATAGGAAACACAGTCTCCGCCTCGGAGTTCATGCCAGGGGATCGCGGAGGATCCGACTGTCTTTGGCCAGCATTTTGTTCCATCATGGATGTATGTCGCAGGTTTTCCAGGTAGCGATGGAATGAGAACGGATGCATGTCCCGAGCTGGGCCGATGGAATTGGCCTCATCCAGAATGACTGTATGTCCGTCGCCACGCTGTTCCTCCCTGGGACTGGCCTCCTCAACCGGTCCCAGTGGATTTGTCGGAGCACAAATCTCCCCCAGAGGCGCAATGTGACTCCCGTATTCATTGGCCAGACTCAGTTTGCTCCGACCACAGATCTCTGCAATGGAGTTCAGCGTACTGCGGATATCAGGCTCGATGGCCTGCAGTATACATTCAATACTGAAGTCCTTATCGGACGGAAATGTAATCTCAGACTGTGTCGGACGAGACACAGTCGAGGTTCTCGAGCCCGAGAATGGGAAGAAGAGGCGGGACATGGTAGATGGTCTCGAGGGTTTATCCGCATCTCCCGAATACGCCCTTACAAGCACAGGTCGGGTAGGTACAGTCGAGGACCGCTGAGTGCGATTCTCGGCTCGCACAGGTCGGGACGAAGGCCCCGGGGCAGTGTTCACCTGGCGTAGAGGCGTGGCACGATATGCAGCGTGGTCTGCGGACTCGTACCGGGTTGCGTTTGAAGGGCCGGCAACTGGCGCGTGAGATGGGGATCGGGGCCATCCTTGTCGAGGAAAGGAGGATGACAATGGCCGGGGATTGGGAAAGGGCTCCGGGTTCATCTTCGTACTGGTTGCGTGGTCGTTGTAATGCAGGAGACAGCGCAGACCACTGACCCCGCTCTGGCACAAGACTCGAGGGTTAGGTTTGGCTCGCCGTCACCACGTCGCATGCGCAATGCATATTCTCCGATGTGCGCTGGCAGTAGTGTCTGTGGATTGCCGGTTTGGCAGAAGGAGTATGGGAAGCGTTCCTTGGAGTGTGTGGATGTCAATGAAGCTATCTCCCGGGAGAGGTACTAACTATATGAAGAGGTTAGTATTCAACAACCTCCTTGGTAGCGCACAAATCTGAGAATAAGATGTTGATTTCAGTAACTCGAGACTATGTTGTATTTCATTTCAAAATCATGCCACAGAGCTTGGTGTCTTCCGCTGGGCAGCAATTCGCAGGCCATGGACTGAGTTGATATGCCAAGCCAAGCACCACGTTTCCCCGATCAGCGACCATTTGACCATCTACAGCCCACGCTCTTACTCACAACATGGATCGCTTCCAGGTATGGCCTAATCTGGCTCTGCATTACCTTGTATATGTGGCCTAATATTATCTAGTTCGGCGACTCCGACGAGTCTCTCTCCGACTTCGATGAAGACCCCTCCGGCCTTCCCTTTCCCGAACCACTCTCTCGCACCTCGTTCCTGACCCCTGACTTCCAACCGGCCACTTTCCTCTCTTCATTGACCAACCGTCACCAGAGCCTCGAGGACCTGCGACAAGAATTGCGCGGACTAGAGCAAGTGCTGAACAAGGAACTGTTGGATCTGGTCAATGAGAACTACCAGGACTTTCTCTCTCTCGGGACCGCGCTTCGCGGCGGCGAGGAGAAAGTAGAGGGCGTCAAGGTCGGCGTACTTTCTTTCCAGCGCGACGTCAAAGCTATCCGGGACAAGGTCGAGGCGCGACGTCAAGAAGTGGAACAGCTACTAAATGAGAAGCGGCGGCTGCGAACGAATGCCGACATTGGCAAAGACTTGCTAGATTATGCGGACCGGGTCGAGGAATTGGAACATCGCTTGATGATCGAGGACAAGTCCTCGCCGCAAGAGGGTACCACACCGGGTGAATCGGATACGGAGTCTGATTTGTACAGCGGCGAGAGCGATGACAGCGAGGATGATGAGTTACCGGATGGCTCACCTGCGATTTCGCTGAAACGGATGGAGCGCCATACCCAAAAGTTTGTCTATTTGACCTCCATAGCTGCCCGGGTCGGAGAGAAACATCCCTTCTTGCTCGCGCAGCAACCACGAGTCGCAAAAATCAAGTCTACCGTGCTCCTGGATCTCAAAACTGCTCTGGAACAAGCTGTTGCGGCCGGTGGGAAACAGGGCAGACGCGATGCTAGGACAATGGCAGTTCTGCGCCTCTACGATTTAATGGGTGAGGATGTCAGCGCCGTCGCCGCGCTGAAGAACCTCAAACTGTAAAAAAGAGCATGTTTCGTCCTGCAAATTGGCAATGTGCACTGGCTTGCATACATAGCGTTGGCGTTTGGTCTTATAAAGTCTCTAATTCAACAATGATACCATGATACACCAGGTCCTTTCCTAATAAAACAATAAATTTGTACACGCCAAAGGATATAAGAAAATTGAATATGTTACACGCCGGTCAAGGCTGATGTTTCGGGAGAGGCGTCGGTGCGGAACTCGCCGTTCAGTGAGAATCCGGGGCCATTGGTGGAGCTCAGTACCTGTAGAGTTTGTTAGACTATGCATTCCCAAAGGACTTTGAATCAAGTACTCACCACCTCGTAGATCTCCTTGTTGACACGGTCAGTCAGCGCGGAAGCATCCTTCTTAATCTGGTCGATAGTCACGCGCATGTTATCGCGCAATTGCTCGGGGGAGAAGCCCAGTTGTCCGACAGGGAGACGGATAACGGCGTCACGTTCACGGTACACAGTACCACCACGGAGCATCTCCACACGTGCAGCAACATCTTCCACGACAGTACCAGTCTTTGCGCTGGGCATCAAACCACGGGGACCGAGGATACGACCCAGAGCGGCCTTGTTAAGGGCGGGTAGACTGTCCGGGTGAGCGAGACAGCGATCGAACTCGATCCGGCCAGCCTTGACAGCTTCGAACACCTCGTCTTCACCGACAAGGACGGCACCTGCAGCAAGGGCTTCCTTGGCTTGTTTCGAACCGGGAGGACAGATGACACAGATGCGGGATTCGGTCTGAACGGCATGGGGGAATCGGAGCATGTTTCGGATAACGGGACCGTCGCGCTTTGTCCGCAGGCGGATGTGCAGTTCGTATTTTTGAACGGTGGGCTCGCGGCCGACTTCGATGGCCCGGATATATCTGCGGAAGGTAACATGTTAATTGATGAACTGGGAATTACTTGCGTGTTCATGGCAAATTCTCAGGACATACCGCATAGCATCACACAGAGAGTACTGTGGCATGTCTTTCAGGTTCTTCTGTACGAACTCCTGGGGGCCTCGCCGGCTCTTGGTAGGCTGCTCTTTCCCCTTGCCTTTCGGCTTGTTCTTGAGACCGCGGACCTGCTGGAAAGTCGAGACAGCCGGTGCAATTGACGCCTCGCGCAGGGGAATCCGGCATGAGGAAAGGATTCCGCGTGCCGCGGTGGGCAGTACCGAGCCGTAGGACGACATGTTTTCAGGCGTTGATTTGACCTGATCAACTGGATGAAGCGATTGTTTTCTGCCGGAAAGCTGTCGGCATCGGAGAAACGTGGGTCCGGCTGGGTACTGGAGATAATGACTCTGCCCCTCCAGAAAATCATATTGTCTGACCACACTCTACGCAATGTCTCAATACGAGTTGAAAGTGGCCACTCGTGCCAACCACGCGGCAATTCTGCCCGTGGTCCTCATCGTCACCTCAATCAACGAGGCCCGCCCCGCACCTGTGGTGACCATCACCTACGAGGACACTGCTCTTCTCCAGGATGGCGACAAGGCTATTGTGCAGCTCATTAGCGGCACCAACTCTGTCTTTGGCACTGCCAATGCCATCCAGGAGCTCACTGTGCAGTTCCCCTTCCTGACTGGCAAGGATGCCAAGGTCGTAAGTTACCACCCCGCCGCGGAGTTATTTTTCGAACCCGCAATGTTCCTAACAACATTTCTCACAATAGGAAGCCGAGTGGATCTCCCAGTTGGATTCCCTGACTACCTTCGATTTCAAGGCCCTTGACCCCGTGCTCCAGCGCCTTGATGTTCACCTCCTCATGCGCTCTTTCGTCGTCGGATACTCGCTGTCCACCGCCGACATTGCTCTCTGGGGTGCTCTCCGCGGCAACCGTGTCGCCGTTGCTGCCCTGAAGAAGGGATCTCTTGTCAACCTTACCCGGTGGTACCGTTTCTTGGAGGAGCTTTGCCCCTGGACCAGCACCGCTGTGGAGTCCATGAACGCTGTTGCCAAGGAAAAGAAGGTGGCCAAGTCCAAGGAGGGTGCCAGCTACGACATTGCTCTCAAGAACACCGAGAACGGCGTCGTTACCCGTTTCCCCCCTGAGCCTTCGTAAGTTGTACTGGCGTGGTTTGATCTGTTCCTAAGACTAACATGATCATTTCTAGTGGATACCTCCACATTGGTCACGCCAAGGCCGCTCTTCTCAACGACTACTTTGCGCATGAGAAGTACAATGGCACTATGCTTCTGAGGTAAATCAATCTCAGCCCGTGTTGGCAAAATCGCTTCGCTAACATATATTAGATTCGATGATACCAACCCCTCGAACGAGAAGCAGGAGTTCCAGGATGCTATTGTGGAGGATCTTGCCCTTATGGGCATCAAGCCCAACAAGATGACCTACACCAGTGACTACTTCGATGAGTTGTACGATTACTGTATCAAGATCATCAAGCAGGGTGATGCCTACGCAGATGATACCGACAAGGAGACCATGGCCGCCCAGCGATGGGACGGTCTCCCCAGCCAGCGTCGCGACCTTTCTGTCGAGGAGAGCTTGGCTCACCTCGAGGAGATGAAGGCCGGCACCCCCGAGGGTCTCCGTTGGTGCATCCGTGCCAAGATCTCCTTCGATTGCCCCAACAAAGCCATGCGTGATCCCGTCATCTACCGCTGCAACCCGGCACCCCACCACCGCACCGGCACCAAGTGGAAGATCTACCCCACCTACGACTTTGCCTGCCCCATCGTTGACTCCTTGGAGGGTGTCACCCACGCTCTGCGTACTATCGAGTACCGTGACCGTAACCCTCAGTACCAGTGGATGTTGGACACCATGAAGATGCGCAACGTGCAGGTGTGGGACTTCGCCCGCATGAACTTCGTCCGCACCCTTCTGTCCAAGCGTAAGCTCACCAAGCTCGTTGAGACTGGTCTCGTCTGGGGCTGGGATGATCCCCGTTTCCCCACCATCCGTGGTATTCGTCGCCGCGGTATGACCATTCCCGCTCTTCGGGAATTCATTCTCAAGCAGGGTCCCTCCAAGGCTGTGACCAACTTCGACTGGGGTCTTATCTGGGCCACCAACAAGAAGTACATTGATCCCATTGCCCCTCGCCACACTACCATCTACAACAAGGATGTTGTCAAGACCACTGTTATTGGTGGCCCTGCCACTCCTTACAGCGAGGAGAAGCCCCGACACGTCAAGAACGCCGCTGTCGGCATGAAGAAGGTTGTGTACAGCAGCTCCATCATCCTCGAGCAGGAGGATGTCAAGCTGTTCAAGCCTGATGAGGAGATTACCCTCATGAACTGGGGTAATGCCATTGTCCGCAAGATCACCACCAACCCCGAGACCGGTATCATCACCGACCTCGAGCTCGAGCTGCACATGGCCGGCGATGTCAAGAAGACCGAGAAGAAGGTCACCTGGCTCGCCAGCGAGGGCCAGGATCTGGTTCCCGTCGAGCTGGTCGATTTCGATCACCTGTTGACCAAGGACTCCCTTGGTGAGGATGATGTCCTCGAGGACTACCTCAACAAGAACACTGAGTTCCGTGAGGCTGGTATGGCTGACTGCAATGTCGCTGACCTCAAGGAGAACGATATCATCCAGTTCGATCGCAAGGGTTACTACCGTGTTGACCGTGCTTACTCCCCTGGTTCGCCTGCGGTCTTCTTCAACATTCCTTCCGGCAAGAGCAAATAGATGATTTCTCTGGCTATGATGTGAAGCATGCTTTATGAGTATTTATGAGAAATAGTGAAGATAGTCAATGAAAAGTGGTGTATATGCTTCCAATTCGCGTTCTGTGTGCTCGATATATTTCTGGTCTCCCACGGACCTTGATCCATAATCACAAAACAAGAACTGAACTACTTCCATACGTTACAAGCAGCCGGCTATAGTCACTCTCTATCTACGATACTACCTATTCTAGCTTGGAATAACACATCGCTCTTTTACGCATCTTAAGTTCTAGGTCTAGCTGCAGGGGCATCTTGGTATGATCTACCATGGCGCATAGGGATTATGAGGAGTTATGCTCTAATGTGGGCATTTGGGCAGCGAGCGATACAAGTCGGTGCATCGGGTGTTCTATAGTCGCGATGGGAATCATACTGTCTCGTTGCGAAGGGCTGTTTGGGAGTTGTCCGGAGTTGTGAGGGCGCATGTAGGGCTGCTGATGACCACGTGTGGCTGAATGTGGCTGTTGCTTTTCAATAACCTGTCCGAGTCTGCCATTACCATGCTTCTTATAATTTCCAGCCATCGGATTATTTGGTTCAACTCCTAATATTTGGTCCTCTCCTGACGAATCAACAAGGCAATGTGAAATGGATGTGAATTCCGCCCGCCGGCTGTCAGCGGAATGGACGCTCATGACGTCGAAGACTCACAGCACGCCTGCAATTGGCATCCGGGCAGCCGCTCGCCTTCTACAGCTGAAGTGGGCCTCTCTCATTCGTTGACATATGCTAAAGTGACTCCCAAGGCTGTATTTGGTTCGTGATATGAATGTGATTCAAACAGCTTCACAAGCTGTCGGCATTCAATGCCCATTGATCATTCTGGGATGGGTCAATGCACCATCAACGGTCGCCTCTACAAGCCACGGTATATATTCCCTGTTCAAGGAGTGCAGCACAGAGCTTTGCGACCGGAGGCCCAGCCAGCTTCCTGATCCCGTCATGCTACAGGGCCTTCCCGATGGAACATACCCCATGATCCGTGGGTGAGCGCGCTTGGCCCAAAGCCAACGGCCGGTGTCAACAGGCACCACGAACTTGGCTTGACTCTATCACTGGACTAAAGCTCGCTAGCTTGGGGCCAATAGGTTGAACCAATGTTCTCCGCATCAAAATCCCCTGGATTGTCTTTGGGTCGTCCCCGGCTCGTGCCTTTTGGGACCTTGTTTCCCAGCTTAGTGCCCTCCTAGCTTCCGAGCATGCAGACAAAACAATGAGCATACATGCGTGAGCATGAAATGTATCTCCCGAGGGCTTCCTGACTCGACGTCAGCATGATTGATCAGGAAAGGAAGGGTCTTGTAGGAGTAGTAGTGTTTTTCTTCCTTGCTATAGACTGAGAAAACAAAACTTTTGCGTCTCAAGGTACTTAATCAAATTCTATCACTTCTTGTTGGTTAGCAGGTGCTGAAAGCGCACAGAACATCAGACTGAAAAGCTCGTTTCTTTTGTTTGTCATTACTATTCCTCCATTCTACAATAGTCTCCTCCCTGCTTTTCTTTGTGTTATCCCGAATCATTGTGTTGCTTCTCCAAGGTAACTTTCTATCTGAAGTCTTTACTAAAGACCATTATCTCTGATTTCAGCAGCCCATCATGACCGGCCAAGGCTCAGCCGGGCGTTCGGACGCCCGTCGCCGCAGCTCGCGCATCTCTCGTGCATCTCTGAGTGGAGATTGGAACAGCTTGGACGAGTACGGCAAGCTCGTAAAATACGTCTCGACCTTCCGTGATCCCAATGCACTCGATGAAGATCGGGGAGAACTGACAGAGAAACGAGTCTGGTATGCGCCATGGAAGAAGCGGAAAGTCCGGGTCAAGAAGGTCGAAGGGGAAACGGGCAAATTCCCCGATGAATGGACCATGACCGATATCCGAGAGGGTCTTTCTACTCATGAAGTTCCGATCCGCCGTCGTCGGGCTGGGTGGAATGAGTTGGTGTCCGAAAAGGAGAATCCCATTGCTAAGATCCTGTCTTACTTCCAGGGTCCCATTCTCTACGGTTAGTCCTTTGCAATGATGGTAGTCACCAAGTCGCTAATATGAGTATAGTCATGGAATTGGCTGTTTTGCTTGCTGCTGGTCTGGAGGACTGGGTCGATTTCGGTGTCATCATTGGAATCCTGAGTTTGAACGCAGCAGTTGGTTGGTATCAGGAGAAGCAGGCTGCTGATGTAGTTGCAAGTCTTAAAGGTGATATTGCTCTACGAGCGCAGGTTATCCGTGACAGCACCCAACAAGAATGCCTTGCTCGAGAGTTGGTTCCCGGTGATGTAGTATGTCTGCTCAGAGTTCTTCCTATTCACGGTGTACAGTTACTGATAAATCCTTCAGATCGTCGTTGGTGAAGGCCAAGTCGTGCCCGCAGATTCAAGAGTTATCTGCGACGTCAAAGATGAGCATGGCTGGGAAGAGTTCAATCAGCTTCAAGAGCAGGGTATGCTGGGCGGAGGGTCTGAATCCGAGGACGAGGATGACACTGGCAAGACCGACAAGGAAAAGGCCGAAGCTAAAGCGGACGATGAGCATCAAGCGATGAAGGCCCGTAGACGTGGCTATCCCATTTTGGCTTGCGATCACTCTGCTATTACGGGTGAATCGCTTGCCGTGGATCGCTATATGGGAGACATGATTTTCTATACCACTGGCTGCAAGCGTGGAAAGGCCTACGCAGTCGTCCAAACGGGTGCGCGAACTTCCTTTGTCGGTCGTACCGCTACGATGGTACAGTCTGCTAAAGGTGCCGGTCATTTCGAACTTGTCATGGATAACATCGGCACATCTCTCTTGATTCTCGTTATGGCCTGGATCCTTGCTGCTTGGATTGGTGGATTCTTCCGTCATATCCCTATTGCTTCGCCCCATCAGCAGACTCTTCTTCATTACACTCTTTCTTTGTTGATCATTGGCGTACCTGTCGGATTACCCGTCGTGACCACGACTACCATGGCTGTTGGTGCTGCTTATCTGGCGAAGAAGAAAGCCATTGTGCAAAAGCTGACTGCAATCGAATCTCTCGCCGTGAGTACTTGATTAAATAACATATCTTCAGATACTTACATCGATATAGGGTGTCGACATCCTCTGCTCCGACAAAACGGGCACCCTGACGGCGAACAAATTGAGTATTCGTGATCCATACGTAGCCGAAGGCGTCGATGTTGACTGGATGTTCGCTGTTGCTGCGCTCGCATCCTCACACAATATCGAATCTCTCGATCCCATTGATAAAATTACAATCCTTACTCTGAGACAATATCCCCGAGCACGGGAGATACTACGCCGAGGTTGGGTAACGGAAAAGTTCACCCCCTTTGACCCAGTTTCTAAACGCATTGTCACCATCGCCACGTGCGACGGTATTCGATATACATGCACCAAAGGAGCCCCGAAGGCCGTTCTGCAGTTAACAAGCTGTTCCCAAGAAACCGCTGATATGTACAAAGCCAAAGCCCAAGAGTTTGCGCATCGCGGCTTCCGGTCTCTCGGTGTTGCTGTTCAAAAGGAAGGCGAAGATTGGGCCTTGCTTGGGATGCTGCCCATGTTTGATCCTCCCCGGGAAGACACGGCGCAAACTATCAGCGAAGCACAGAATCTCGGTATCAGTGTGAAAATGCTGACCGGTGATGCTATCGCAATCGCAAAGGAAACATGCAAGATGCTCGCGTTGGGCACCAAGGTATATAACTCGGACAAACTGATTCATGGGGGACTGAGTGGTGCCATGGCTAGTGACCTTGTCGAAAAGGCCGATGGCTTTGCCGAGGTGTTCCCTGAACACAAATATCAAGTGGTTCAAATGCTGCAAGAGCGAGGTCACTTAACCGCGATGACTGGAGATGGTGTGAACGACGCACCATCTTTGAAAAAGGCCGACTGTGGTATTGCCGTGGAGGGAGCTTCTGAAGCCGCTCAATCTGCATCAGACATTGTGTTCCTGGAGCCTGGTTTATCGACTATTATCGACTCGATTAAAGTCGCACGTCAGATCTTCCATCGTATGAAGTCATATATCCAGTATCGTATCGCGCTTTGCCTGCACCTGGAGATCTATCTGGTGACATCGATGATCATTCTAAATGAAAGCATCCGTGTTGAGCTGATTGTCTTCCTGGCATTATTTGCCGACCTTGCGACAGTGGCAGTGGCCTATGACCACGCATCTTTCGAGGCACGACCTGTTGAATGGCAACTTCCCAAAATTTGGTTCATCTCGTCTCTACTGGGGGTGCTCCTCGCGCTGGGAACCTGGGTTATCCGTGGCACCATGTTCCTGAAAACGGGTGGCATTATCCAAAATTGGGGATCTATCCAAGAAGTGCTTTTCTTGGAAGTGGCACTCACGGAAAATTGGCTCATCTTCGTCACTCGCGGCATTGATACGTGGCCATCCATTCACCTAGTGACGGCAATTCTCGGCGTGGATGCTCTGGCTACCATCTTCTGTCTGTTTGGTTGGTTCACCAACCAGGATATGAAGACCAAACCCGCAGACAAATTTGTTGAGACCACGAATGGATGGACTGATATTGTCACTGTCATCCGAGTCTGGGGCTACTCGATCGGTGTGGAGATTGTCATCGCTCTGGTGTACTTCATCTTGAACAAGATTCAGTGGCTGGATAATCTGGGTCGTGTCCAGCGTGACAAGGGCGATATCAAAATTGAGAACTTGCTTGCCCATTTCTCCCGTCTTGCGGTTGAATACGAAGAGGGCGGCGTGCAGAAGGGCCGCTTCTGCTTGGCTGCCAGCAAGGAGGAAGAGGAAGCTGAATAAAGGTATGTGTGGTCCAAAAGTGTCATTTTGGGAAAGAGTCAGTCATCTAGAAGTGTTGTTTTGTTCAATTCCCGGCCTAATTTGGTAATATTGATGACCGTTATTATTATGGCGTGTTCTCCGGGGCCTACAAGCAGGGCAGGATAATGTGTCTTTGTTAATTTCTAATGCGTGGAATCTGCTTGCAAGTATCCTAATGGCGCTCAGATACCTCCAGCTTATGTCCTTTCAATCGAATCCACATTTTTTATAGACAATATGAGCTGTGTCATCCTGGTTCCCTGCAGTACCTAAAGCTCCCAGCTGCCTCCATCCTTCGCACTGCATGGGACTTCACATGCTCCCCATTGAGTGCTGCTATAGCTCAATCCTGAGATCACCCCCAGCGCTGCATGGTGTAGAGAGAGATAAAAATGATAACAAAGAAGAGCCTCCTCGGTGACAAGGACAACATCGATGCAGAGCGAGGGTCATCACCTGTTGGAAACTATGTAGTTAGGACTCGGAGGAAGGACAGAGAGGATGTTTGGAACAGGCAACTTCCCAGTCCTGGAGGTGAGCCCCGACTACCTAATCCACATGATCTACGAGGGTATCTCTCAGCTACCAATACACCAGATATCTCAGCGCAGTTAGTTGACAAGATTAAATTTTGGGTATCAATTTTAAACATTAAGCGGATTGAAAGGCATAATCCGAAAGAAGCGAACAAAAAGAATGAGACAGATCGGTCTGTGAGCAGATTCAAAACACGTCTGATATAACGCCAGATCCCACGTAAAGGTCCGTGATATATGCTCTACCAGTTCGATGATATGCACCACGCTGGAGAGCTGACATACGCGAAACCCAAGAGATGGGACACACTTTTAATAGAGTCAATGGTTATCCCTCACATATAATTATTCAAACACGGCTGCGTTGAATATGTCGGAGGTTGTGCGTCAATTTATGAGTGAGGCCTCCAGCAATTTTGTTAGCGTCGCGGAGGCCGCTCACCAGTCCGAGAAGATCGTTGCCGAGGATGGATGTGAGAACGTCGTTATCCGAGTCGTCGTCACTCGAGTCGTCGGTATGTGTGGATGTCTCCGTGGGAGCCACAGTGGTAGTGTAACCCTTGATGCCTGCAGTCGTGGCGGAGCTAGTCGGTTTGGCCTCAGTAGTCGAGGGCTTGGTGGCTGCGGTTGTAGTAGTAGGTTTGTTCGCGGCGGTATTTGCGATAGGCTCAGGCTCCTTGTGCAAAACAGAAGCAGATGAGGAGGAGGACGACGAGAGTGAGGAATCGGGTGCATTGGAAGATTGCTGTGTTTTCGTCTTCGTACTCGTCTGGGTCTGGGTCGCTGTTTCTGTCTGGTGCTGGGTGTTCGTGCTTGTGTTCGGGCTTGCGTTCGGGTTTGTGTTCGGGCTTGTGTTCGTGCTGGTTGTCGTGTTTGAGTTCGTCTTCGTTGAGTCAGTGGACGTAGAAGCAGGCGCCGAGGTTGACGCCGGGTCGGGCGACGAACCGGAATCATCAGCAGCAGGGCCCAGGCTTTTCCGTATGTCCTTAATGAACCCTTCGTTGCCATAAGCCTGGGTGGCATCCCACATCATAACGCCACCAAAGCTGTTAAACTTCCTCGAGTATTCAATCACTTTGTCTAACTCCGAGGCGGAGATGTATCCCGTACCGGCCGCAGTTTTGTATGCTGGAACTCCGACAAGGACTTTGACATCTGTATTGTTCGAGACGGTCTTCGCCCAGCTATCCCACAGATCGAAGTTGTATTGGCTGCTGGCGGGATCCGTATTGAAGTTGTTGACGCCACAGAAGTTGTTATAGAACTGGACCCAAATAGCGTCGATGTGTACAGGCCCATGGAGGATATCCTTGTCTGCTTGGTCTGGGTAAGGGCATTGGGGGGCTGCAGTCAAGTAGAATGTCTGATTGCTCTTATCGGCGTCCATCAGTCGGCGCAACTCATTGGCGAAGGGAGCCATGTGTCGAACATTGGTCTCGAAGTCAAAGTCAAAACCATCGAGAGCAGTATCACCGAAGGGACGAAGAGCCTTGGAATCTGCTTTTTTCGGTCCAAAGGTCTCCCACATCAAATTCGCGCCGTCCCTTGCATCTTGTTCGGATGTAAAGCCACCTTCGTTATAGGTGGCGCCACCGATGGAAAGCAAAATCGTCTTATGTTTCTTTTGACATGCCGCGATGTCCTTTCTGGAGGGTGTCAGCTGTCTGGCATAATGCCAGGAAACGTGAGGCTCTAGAGTTGCTTACCCGATCTTGGGACAGTTTTTCAATTTCGTGCCTTCGAAGACATCGCAGTCTTTGCTGCTGACGGCAAAATCAATCTGTGGGGCGCCTCCTGGGCCATTGACCATCATATTGAAGGCCATTGGGATAACCTGTTCCGTTAGCTTCGTTTCCTCTAAAGCTCCTCTAGTATCACAGGGTCATCCGTACATCGATGTCATCATCTGGGTGTTTTCATTAGCTCCTTCGGCCTTATTTCCAGTCAATTGTTTCACTTACTGTCGCAGTAGTGTGATAGAGGCTGCTGTTCCTGATCTCCTTTTCCGTCGAAAGAATTTTGACCTTCAACGTATCTCCCATGTAAGAATCAAACAATTTGAGCCATAGAAGATAACATACCCCAGTAGACGACCACATTGGCTGTGGAGTTCAAGTTGAGCTTCGCTTGTGCTCCCCCAATTGAAGCTAACAGAATAGACCAAGGAAGAATACTCTGGTACCGACGCATGGTGAAAGGCCAAGTCCAGTCCCTGCTCAATTCGTGTGCTTAGGTATTAAGGTGTAATATATTAAGGTATCGGGCTATGGATGGAGGGTCGGGAACGACAAGGACAAGTCGGAAAACCAGCTCTCCACACAAATTCGGCCTTGGGAGACATTAAATAGTATTCAGCAAGCTATTTTGGTTGTTATTTGCCGAAGAATGGCTGCTCCCCAACCTTCAACTTGGGGCTCCAAGCGCATGGTATGATCTACGATGTCCACGCCAACAGTCCCAAACCCAAACTTTGGGGCCATTCTTTGGCCCTAACGGCTCCAAAGTGGATGCTATACCCGTAGCTGGCTGTTCCGATTGGATTATGAAGTGCTCTCTGCACCCTGGTTTGCATTCCAGTGTGGTTGTCAGGGTGCTAGGAGCCGCTTCAGGAATGTACAGAGGGATGGGCATGTTTGGGCGGCCAAATCAAGTTCTAGGCCATCACTACGTAGCTAGAAGGTCGTATGAGCAGCTGTCAACCCCAGAATGATATATCCCTTGTTGACTTATTGATCACCGCACACCGGCCAGTTGGTCAGATTATCCTCGAATCCAAACATGTTGTAAACCTCGCTATTATGCCATGTTCGGTTTTTCGTGCTTTTATTTCTGTACCTCATTCAATATTTCTGGATAGCTATCAATATAGATATAGACTCAAACGGCGAGCAAGATATTGAAAAAAAAAATAAAATAAATAAACAAAAAGGGAGAGAGTGTGTGTGTATGAAGAGACCCCCTTGGGGACACATACGCCTGGGCTCTAGCCAGGGAGCCTGAGCCCCTAACTAGCCCAGGCAAGCCAGCGGTTGGGCCCGAGGACTGTCAACTACACCATAAGGGTGTTCCTTAGGATATACTTGTTTCTAGTCAAACAGAAGGGACGTCGGACCGGAATAAGGTAGTGGGTCCGTACCCACACTACGTCATTCCGTCTCCATATGTATCAGGTACATACTCTCCAGGCCTGGGTAACATGTAGGTAGCAACAGTGGTTGGATCCAGGATATTTATTTTGCTCATCGGTATATAGAATGGTTCACGGTGTTGAACCCTTGTACAAATGCTGCGGTTGAGGATCGTTCTAGCATACTCAACCCATAGCGGAGGTCACCGGGCGTGTATATATCTCTGCCCCATCTACGGAGCAGCCCAACAATTCCCGAGCGCTTAAGAGATATATTTCCATCTGTCAATATTACTGAGTCCTTAAGATGTTAAACATCTGAGAATTTTGGCATGACAGTGATATACATAACGCAAGCCACTATCACATATAGCCTGAGGACCAGTGCCAGGCCGCCATGCCTAGTTCGGTTAGCGCGAGGTTGCCTTCATTTCGAGAGGAAGCACGCAGCCAAGATAGCAAGGAGAATATAGACGCCCCCTGTGAGGCATTAGTAACACGGAATTCTTTGGCTCTGCGCTGGATCACATACCAAATGCCCAGTTCATGGAAGTATAGCCGACTTTCTCACGCAGGAAACCAGACATGGCTGGCCCAATGGTCATGCCGCTCGTTGCAGCAACGCCAGTCATAGCATATACGCGGGAGAGGCCCCCGTGGTCCAAAGATACCAGGGGTCTTCTCTTCGTAGGCCCTGACGGATGCTGGAAATATCTTATCTTCAAGGTCCGCCAAAGTCAGGTGTCAGGAACACCTTGGCACTCACCAGTTACCTCCGCAGGGCCAACACTAGTCACGAATGGGCGCAAAATACCGAGCCCAATAGTCGATCCTATATACTGCGCTGGACCTCGATTTTGGGAAGTTGCCCAGGGGAAATGTTGATTTCCGGCTGCCCCAACGAGAACAGGAAACACTGCATGGAGAGCGAGGCTGATGGTGATAGGCACTTGCACCCCGACACGGTCGCGCAGCCATCCGGCAGGGGTGCTGAGGAAGAGACATGATCATCCCCATCACTTTCCCCATGTCATTTTCACGTACGGTGTCTGCTGCGGTGGCAAGTCCAACAATCCAAACAGCAGATCCCGCAATGCCTTGAAGGACGCGACCTAGGAAACCATAGAGATAGAGGAATAGTTCTACAAGAGTACCTCGTGATTGAGATATGCACCAAGTCCGATCAACTCCGTTAGATCGGTGGGTTATTCCTCAGATCCTCCCATTTCCAGAAAGGCTTCATAAGGACGGAATACTATAAAGGGCACGGGAGTCCGAGCCGGCGAATCACAAACTCTGCATCCCCAATGATGTTGAAGCATTGGATCAACAAGCTATCGCAATAGGATATTTCTTGCCGGTGTATATGCAATGCTAGGATCATCGATGTGGAGCCCAGAACCAAGTCCAGCATAGATCCACTGAGTGGAAGGCCCACAGAGCAAGTGATAGGGCCGCCTCAAGTGTATCATGGAGTAGTAGTATTCATGTACGCTCGTGTGAGACATTAAACATGTTGGAATTTCCCTCTCACAGCTTGAGAATACCCTGAAGATCACTAAGATTGACCCACAAGACGCCAATCATCCTTTAGGAAGATTGAGATGAGATACTTCTTCAGCTAGCCTTGGCCAAACTGGACTGAGTCCCAGTGAAGTCAGTGATCAGGCGGCAGTACAGTGCAAAGTAGCCGAAGATTTTGTTATCGATGTTTTCCCCTGTTCGCCTTTGCAAGAAGGCATGATGGCCGCGATGGTCAAACGGCCTGGACAATATGTGAGACGCTGGGTGTTTTGTCTCGCAAAGCGTGTCGAGATGGGTGAATTTCGTCAAACATGGAATAATCTTGTTGCTGAATATCCCATTTGGAGAACAAGAATCCTTCAGATATCGGGGCGGACAATGTTGCAGGCCACACTTGCACATAGGATCCAAGGTCAAATGCCACTGCCCAGACCATCAGCCAGTATATAGCGGAGGACAAAACCCAGACCATAGGATTAACCACACGCTTGGTTCGATTTGGACTGATGATTGGGACCCCAAGTGATGACCGGTTCTTTGTGCTCACCATGCATCACGCGGCTCTCGACGGAGTTTTGATCGAAGTGCTTAACAAGATGGAAACCAGATATCATCATGGTCTCTGTAATCCAAGGAGAGATGAGAGAATCCCAGTTCCTTTCCAATATCTGAAGCATCGCATGGACAACGAAAGTGAGGCGGACAAGTTCTGGGGGCAGAAGTTGGGCGCTGACCCCGCCGTCTTCCCCAAACTCCCCTCGCAGAACTATCACCCCACGGCGAATGAAATCCTGGAGTACCGGATGACCGAGGTTCCTCGCCTTCAACATAATGGCATTCGGCTATCGGCTGCTGTCTGCGGCCTCTTGGGCGATTCTTCAAGCATGTTACACGCATTCACCTGACGTGGTCTTTGGCGTTCCAGTGACTGGACGACAAGGAATACCAATCCCTGGCCTCGAGACAATGATGGGCCCAAATGTGGGCACAGTACGCCTACAGACCAAGGTTGACTGGAACGTGAACGTAGAAAGCTTTCTGCGACGAATCCAGACCCAGGTACATGATATGCCCCCCTTCGCCCACGTAGCGCTGCAAAGGATCCGATAGATTGGCTTCCAGAGGGACTAAGCAAGCCGGTTCCAAGACATCCGCGATGTTCAACAGTGGAATGCGATTAGACCGATCGATATGTCCACAATCTCATCGCAGACCACATCAAGCACCGCCCGGATGCACCAGCTATTTGTACATGGAATGGGGACCTGACATACCGTGAGCCTGATGGCCTATCAATCCAGCTGGCCCTTCTTCTCGTGGAACTTAACGTGTCTTGGGGCACAATAGTACCTTTATATTTTGAAAAGTCTAGCTGGACTTTCATTTCAATGCTCGCTGTGATGAAAATAGGGGCCACCTTTGTCTTTCTTGACGAAGCACTACCGCTAGAGCGCATGAGAGAAATTATCGCCCAGACCAAAGCACTCACCTCCAAAAAAACCGAGCATAGAGCTTCCGGGCTTTCAGTACAACCTCTTGTTGCCGGTAAGATGGAAGCAGACTGGTCGCGAAATTACAATGGTTTGACACAAACTCTTCTCGAGGAACTCCATGTTCAGAAAAGCAAGAGCCAGTGCTCAATATGCTCTTCCAGTTTCCATTCAACGGCCATCAAATATCATCGGACTCAATGCTTCGAAGGGTGACATTATCAACAGCTTACTAGATACTGGTCGCCGCATAGGAATGGTTCCCAAGCTTCCCGCTTGGAGTGGTTACTTTGATCTAAAAGTGTTGAGAAAGCAGCACCGAATATCATTCATTCCATGGTCGAGGCTGTTCACCTCCGTCATGCTATCGATGGCTCCCCCTCTATCAACTATCGGCATGAATCGGGTGATACAGTCATCCCAATTCATGTTTTACAGACGGTTATAGAAAAGATGAAACAGGGATCTAGTCTCCTTGTTGGTTTAGATGAATGGATGCAGAATGCCCGGCACGATGAGGGCACATCGGAACTTGTCTTGTAGTTCTTGGAAGCGAGACAAGGTAAAGGGGTGACCATGCCATTGATCCAAATCAATCGCATTGCGTAGTTCTCTGATGCATCAAACCCGTGGACTATTTCGGGGAAAGGGAAGTTGTCGGGGACGAAGCCGAGGGGCCAGTTTGTGCCGGCCTTCTCTAAGTAAGGTGGTCATTCTTGATTTTTTTTTTTCCATTGAGTATTTTTATGATATTCTAGTTTCAATTGTATCCTAGCACGCGGTACTCCGTACTCCGTACGGAGTAGACATGATACATTTCAAATCAGATGCCCAGTCATCCATAGATGTAAGGATGCCCATATTGGCATTTTGATATCCGCCATAATGAGGTGCAAGGGGTTCACTTGGCACAGGAATGTGATTTGGCACCAATGGGTATTTTACGCTGTGTCTAGCCTCCAAACTGTCATATTGAAATTGCATAGCGCCCTCAGCTTTCGGCAATTAGAGCCGACATATGGCATGGGGGAGACCTGCATACCTTCAATGTTGTGAGGTATCATGCATATATGATTATGACCTAGAATTACAAAGTACTGTGTAGGTATGTACGGAGTACTCCGCAGGCAAAAGAGGAATATTCGTACCTAACGGTACAGCATCGTCCAGAGCAGATGCCATATTCGCCTCCTTTATCGATTGTTTGTACGGCCCATTTCTCATCTTAAAAACCAGGTGGAATCTACCTCTTGATCCCGATAACCCGCCGAATGGCTTCATCGTTGCTCATCGCCGTGTCAATCACACCAGCCACCTTGAGCACATCGACAACACCTTCAATGATCTTACCATCCACACCGCGGGTGGCATTGGTGAATTTGACATCCTTCAGCCACTCCTTAGCATCTTCCTCGATATAGTTGCAGCCCAATTCCCCAGTACCAAGGAGCTTGACCACTTGCGCAGTATCAGCCTCAAAGTCTTTAATCCCCTGATCCAAGGCCTGGAAGAGACTCTTCAATCGTTCGTCTTGCTCAGGATTGGGGAACAGAGCCGTAGAAGCGACAATCATCCAGGAAGGCCAGGGAGTGAAGATCTCGCCAATCTTCTTAAGCGGCGGGTTCGGCTTCTCCGCTGTAGGGTGGAAGTATGGCTTAGTAGTGAATTCCTCCCACATGAAGAACTCAGCCGACGGGTTCGCAGGTTGATCGGGGTTCGAGCTGTCAAGACCCGAGACACCATCCCGCAACGGCCCGAAAGGCCCGAGAGGAACGGTACTCAGAGAATCAGCCTTCCAGCCTTGCTGCTGAGCAAGAACGAAGGACATGATATGCGAGCCGCTGGAAGACAAAATATCAGCCATGCCGTGCGCATTGCAATTCATGGCAACTTTACCTTCCCAGCCGGCTAACTCCAACCCGATTGTCCTTCAAGTCCGATACCCCATTGATCTCCTCGCGATTGCGGCCGGTGACAATCGCCCACCGCAGTGGGCTGTCCACCCAGTGTCCGATAACCTTGTATCCCCCGTCTGCGGAGTTCTGGGTCGCTTGCTGTTTCCCGGCTAATCCTGCGACCCATCCCTCGGTCAACCCAATGGCGATATCAATTTCATCGCCGCGCAGCGATGTGATCATGTGCCCCGTTCCGGATGGGAATGGAGTGAGGGCGATCTTGAATGGGAGGGAGGAAACGGTCGGGGAACGGAGTGCGAGATGGAGCGGTGTCAGGTAGTGCTCTAGTTATCCCAAAGAACATATTGTTAGCGATGTTTCAGCCAAAGGGATGTAGTCTTAGTCCATAGACCTTTGCCGAGGACCAGCAAAGAGCTCTCTACCACGGTGGTGGTGCTGCGATCTTGTTCTCGAGGCTCGGGGGCGGAGGGGTTGACATACCGGGCACGTAGCCAATGCGGATCGTGGGCAAATCAGCCATTGTGAAAGTGCTAGCTGGTTGACCAATGCGAAGCGCAGACAAAGACAGTCAATCTGGGGATGGGGAGGATGCTAAGATCGCAGACGTTCCAACCCGAACGCGGGGCAGAACCCCCTCCGGGACGCAATCGGAGATAACAACCGCGTCATATTTTGGGAAACATCGGAGTATCGACATCATCTCATTCAAATTACAAATCTATAATGCTCGCCAAGTCACCTATCTACAGAAAAATCGGGGCTAATCCTTTCGTCACGCGAGGCTTTTCAGTTCATGCGGATGTCCTTCTCGTGATGGCCCCAGCGGCTGTCCTGCTCCGTGGACTCGCCCGAAGTCGGGGATTGGGTAATGTTGGAGAGAGAAGCGGAGTTCGCCTGGGAGTGCGAAGGGGAATGGGAAACGGCGTTGCGGGTGAAGAGATAGAACTGGAATCCCAAGTAGAAGTCGCAGACGCACTGGAAGATACCGCAGAGCTTGAATGCCCATGGGATGGTCTCGGTGCTATTGAAAAAGTAGCTCATCTTCATGGTATCACCCAGAATCCATGCAGCGATAACGGAGACTCGGAACCCCTTACACGAGCCGGATCGGTGGTTGGCGACGATCTGAGGAACAGGAAGGGTAGCTTCGACGGCAAGGCCGATATAGCCCAGGAGGCCGATATAGTATTGCGATTGAGCGACTGGGGTCAGGTGAATGACGGTCAGAATTCCGACGAAGTAGGCCAAGAACATCCAGTATCTTTCAAACATCAAATATTAGTTTCAATCACTGTGGTCGGACCATCGGGAACTCACGGCTTGGTGTTCTTCCACTGCCAGAATTCGTAGGGTCGCGAGAAACCACCATCCGCACCACCGCTGAAGGGTGTATGTTCGATGCCATTTCTCCCGCCGGTGGAGGGCCGATTATCCAATGCGACCTTGAGCATTGCGATCTGTACCACGATCATGACAATCGCTTGTGTCAACAAAGTACCCGAGTAGTACTCTCCAAACCAGAAGAAAACCCTATTGCTGTCAAAATTGGACTGCGATAATAATTGCGCACGCGCCATTGGGCGCTCCATTTGGGGTAGTCTTACTTCAAGATCGATGCAATAAGCATAATCAGAGGAATATCCAACGAGAAGCCCGCGGAGCTTCTTGTGCGATGAATGCTGAAGATCTGGTCGGCGTAGGACGTGACGGGAGACGAGACGAGGCTGTATCAAAGCTGCATCAGCTTTAGGGGTCGGGGAGTCGATTCGGGGAGTTCAATGGCACGTACAACACAGGCGCTGCATAGTCAAATGCAAGCTGGATGAGAGACAACATGTCGGCGATGGGACACTCAGTCGCTATAGTCTTAGGATTGAAATGACCGGGCCAATGTAAATCGTAGATAGGCCCGACAAAGAGAAAAGGGGATCGACAGGAACAAGAGGATCGAGCCGAGACGATGTACGGAGCACTCGCGCAAGCGGTTTTTCACGCTGGCTTATGTCAGCGTGTCGATCTGTTGATGAAGTTGACTTGGCGTTAGAGCTTGATTGGAGCCAAGGAAATAGACCCGAAAGGGCATTGCATGGGCATCTGGAGATATACCTGTGAAATGAGTTGGTTTCAAAGGAGATCGAGGGGGTTGGCCAGATGTAGACCTCCGAGCTGCCTTGGTCAACACGCGTCGTCTACACAGCGCAGTTGGGACTGATTTATATCGAAGAAACAGAAGAGAAACAGCTCCATTGAACGTGGATGATGGATACAAAAGAGGAGAAAAAAGTTAAACAAATTTTTTTTTTAAAAAAAAGATGCTTTAGAAACACATCTAGCTGTGCTTATATACTACCTAGGTACCTGTCATCTATAAATGTACACTACTTACACATCCTCCAAGCAATCCGATACATCCCCCTGAACTTTGAAGAGCATCTATCCACCAAGCAGCTGGTTTTGACAGCCAAAAAGAAACCATTGTTGCCTTAAGTTCCTCCCCAGCAGTTCTCCAAACTTGACATCACGATGAATCGCTGACTTTAGGAGGGGACTGCCTGGCCAAGCAACCGCAGCCGAGACTGCACTGGAAGCGAAAGGGTAGGTTAATGCGTTTCAGCGATCTCGACGTAATTGGTATTTCTACGAACTTGATCTCTATGGGAACGATGATCCCTTGGATGATTTTCTGAACACTGAAGTACAGCTGCGGGAGACTACTCCACGGGAGGTGTAGGTGTACCTGAAGAAACAAGAACAGAGAAGAGAATGGACAGAGGAAGCGCGAGAAGAGCTCGAAAAGCTGGCGAAGCAATACTGGACGCTTGAGCACAAATGGTGGGAACATCGGGGGAAGTTTGGCAATGGTCCGTTGACACGAGCATTCGAGTTCTGGCGATCGAATCGGAGATGTTATATGCATCGCGTTCTACGCTACGACTGCGCGCAGACTGGTGGATGGGAGCCATGAGAACCCGTTTAATTTGATCGACGAAGCATCAACCCAGAGACACCAGCGCTCCAATAGGGGAGTGTGATGGTGATACAGAAGGGTCATTCAGCTTGGTTGGCCAGCAGGACTCAATAATGACAGAAACGGATTAAGCTCGCTCAGATTATGCTTGCTATGCTTGATTGCTCTGATTTGGCTAGTCTCATCATGGGAGTATGTTCTTGTGATTAATAGAAGACCGTGTCACTGAGGGGCTGAAATACTACGACGAAAATATCAAATTTGCTTTTCAAAAAGAACTTTGCTCATCCTGATACAGTTTCATGGCTTCAACGATGCTATTTTAGCATTATGTGCTAAAATTAGTCGACTGGATATAACTCGGAAGGATTAGAACCTTGTAGGCTACCAGATGGGGTAGTGAGTAGTGAAGATAACAGACATTGATGTTCTATAAAGACTAAGTAGCGACAGGAAGTTGGGATAGTTCCTATAAGGAGCTGTTGATAAAACACGTAGGAGGGTTCCCTGAGAATTTTGCGGTGTCGAGCACTCAACACAGACCATCCATGGGAATTCCTAGGATGGAATCAGATCGTGCCTATGGTTAGAAGCACCCATTAGACAGGCTTCTCGCCGAGTAAAGCAAAGCTTCCTTCCTTGTCAACCTTCGCATAGTTATGACCATCATGACCAGCCTGTCTGCTGGTTTCCACGGCTTCTCTTGCACGGGGACGCATCTGCTTCTCGTAACTTCTGACAGCATCACCCATGGACATCTCACCATCTGCAGCACACTTGATAGTATCCGCAAGTTGACAGGCATCCACAATAGCATGGTTTACACCTTCGCCGCGGTCTGCTAAAGTTAAAATGTGCTCCAAGCAAGTTTCTCGCCGGTAGGTCAGACTTACAGATCACCATACAATGAGCCGCGTCGCCAATCAAAGTGCAGGTACCATCCCAGTTATCCCAGTCAACGGAGGGCCAGTCAACCAGGTTGACTTTCGTAACAACGGTATCCTCAGGCAATGACTCGACTAGGTCCCACAAGCGGGGGAAGAATGGCTGACCCTTTTGTTTGAACACATCAAGCAAGGGCTGCTTGAGTAGCTCTTCGTCCGCGTCGGATGCAATCCATGAGAAGTATACCTGGGCGCGGTAGGGCTGTCCGGGGGCTGTAGGGGTGTCCAGCAGAGACCAGAAGACAAAGGTATTTGTTTCCGGGTGCGTACCCATGAAATAAAGCGGATCAACATTGTCTTTGAAATAGTTGACTTGCTCTTCAGTCATGGTCAGAGCACAGCCCACGGCATTGATCGGAAGACGATGCAGCTCGTGCGATGTCGGTGCGAGGAACTTGCGAACGACCGAGGTCGAGCCATCTGCACCGACTAAGACATCTCCTTGAACAATACAGCCGTCTGTGAACTCGGCGCGAACACCACCTTCGATCTTTTCGATCTTGGCAAGTCGTTTGCCCCACTTGAAGGGGAATTAGCTTTAGTGAAGGAGGACTCAAAGTCTCTAACAGGAATGAGATAGAAAAAAGCAAGCCCACGAACCTGGATATCCACACCTTCCATGAGAGCGTTCCGGATTCCATCCCGTCTCAGCCTCAGTCTCTTGCTTTCCGGGACGGACTGCTCGACCTTTCCAGTCGCACCGTTGATCCAAGGGACTCCGCGGACTTCATCACGGCCGATAGCAGGATTGACCTGAGCATCGCAGACACCGTCATAGATCTCCGGCAAAATATGCGCTTCCCACGTAGTCAGGGTGGAGTGGATGGAAACACCCCACCCCTGGTTACGCACTGCGGAAGACTCATCACGCTCGAAGACTGTACACCGGACTCCGTGCCGACGAAGGGCTTGGGCTAGGGTCAAGCCGGCAATCCCTGCTCCGATATATCATTTCGTCAGAACGCGACTCCAACTAGAATTTCAGGTTGATAGCATACTATGATGACTCCAGAATTGGGCACTTGGATTGAAGAATTGGTAGACATAGCGCCGGAATGAGTTGCAGCACGATTGTGATCTGTATATTTTCGCCGGGCGCTGCAGGGGTATTTATGTGCTCAGTTCTTCGGTAATGCGGCATTTTTCTTCATCGGAGAGAGAGACAACATGGTCCCCATTACATGCAAGATAAAATTGTGAAACTGATTGAACAGGCTGGGCGAGGTTTTAGTTTATATACTGGCTGGTGGACCGGTCCACCTGGAGTGTTCATCATCGGTTTGTATCTCCTAATCGGGCGATTCTAGACGCCGGGATCTGCATCAAATTTCCCAAGAGATTCTAATGCGCTGACAAAGCGGAAGGTCGGGGATTATTATTTGAAAGTGTCTCCGAGGTGCATTATTTAGAGGGAAACGGTGGAGCTGGGCTTTCAGTGAAGATGGATGTTCGACGGAGTATGTGGATGGTACCTGAGTGTCAGTTCTAACGGCGAATCGGTGTTGCTCCTTCGTTAGTCGAGTCAATGGAGAAGATAAAATTCTGCATACATAATAGCGATGCCCGGAGTGTGTAAAGGAACGTTTGTCCTCATGAAGTGTTCGTTGGGCGTTTATGAAAAATATCGCTGCATCGGATGGACCGCAAAGCTCCATGCGTCCTATTGGTTCCTCCCCTCCCATGGCTCATGCAAAGAGAACAAGGTCCGTTAGAACACGTTAACGCGAAGTACGGCTGGCATTTGCTGCTCTGGCTGGCTGAACAGTAAGTCCAGGAAACTCGGATTCTTTCCTCTGCGCCAGGAAATCAATATGCCGCCAGTTGTGTTCCAATGGATCTTCCACCTACCACATGAACACGTTTAATATGGGCACGAACCTTCGCCGCCTGAGGCACGGGGTCGAGTTCGTCGTCAAACGCGGGGCAGTAGGGACACTTGTAGGTGCAGGAAGGTAGTTTCTGCGATAGTAAGCACACGACCCGAATGTATATGCCCGATTCAAGCGTGGCTTCTCACTATTATTGCATGGTCCATTGGCCACTGGCTTGCCTGATGGTTGACACAGTTGCAAATCTTCTTGTTGCCCTGGCTGATGGAACCTGTCACCTGAAATGCGTCGTATAGTATCAACGGTAATACTTACACCCACTTACTAGGTGGCACATCTCTGGTTGAGTTCCAGTAGTGGCCAAACATCATATGATGAGCGTCCTGGGTGGATGATTCAGCGTACTTGGGCTCATCTGGACTGGTTGGAGTGCCTTTACCCATGATGGCGGTTGTCGTGTAGATCTCTTTCTTGGAACGTTCCTTGTGGGTTAATATCGATGTACGACAACACTCAGCGAGTGTGGGGATACGAGCAACGATGAACACGGAAAGGAGGAAGCAGTTGACAAGGTGGGAATAGGTAGAGGAAGCAATGGCAAACCAACGACACAATGAGATGGTCTGATCTCAACCAGAGCAGCATCGTGATCCATGGATGGCTTCAATCCAGCAATCCCTCCCGACACAGTAATAGCACCCAAAGACTACGACAGCCATGAGAATTAGCATCCAGTGTTCTCAGTGTCTGCCGATAGATGCATATGAAATGAGAGTGGTGATAAAAGCCTTTTCCAGAGAAATATGAACCACCGCTTAAGACTCCATGCTGAAAATACGACGGTATTAGCCATGAACAATCGATCTCTTGCGGTAAAATTCGCTGCGCTCCAAAGGCCATGGTGCGCCATTGGACTCAAGGTTCACGCAAGGAACTGACCGCCAAGCACTTCTGCATCGTGGGATTGAGACTGAATACTCCGTTCTCCGTACTCCGTAGTCGAACCCGAGTTCTCTTTTGCTTTGGTGGGCCTTTTTTGCAGGTGAAATACCCCAATCCACTCATAACAATTGCCAGACCTGCACACAGGGTCCTACTGAGACACTCGGTTTGGCCGAGATCCAAAAACCGTCGTTAATACGGACTCTCCGCCGATCGTAAGCCACCAAGCCACTAAGCCACGCGGCACTGGGGGGACATACATGCTTCAAAGAATGAAAGGCAGTGTTCTAGTGGATCAAAAGAACTTCAAATGATCAAGCTGTCAGACATGTTCCGGTGCAGGGATTCCATTTAGCGCGTTCATAAAACTATATTTGGCAACGTGCTTCATAAGGCTGCATCATTAACTTCACCTCCAGTGAAGATGTCCATTACTCCTGTTGAATAGGCTGTTCCTATTTAAAGCGACGCATTCCGGATCTGCAACTTGCATGGGAAGCCCAAGACTGATCGACATGATCGACGTTCACATCCTCGATGCGGTCGCACCCACGTTTCAATAACTGCATTTCGAGTGCGATATTGCTTGCTTTCGACCCCCAATAACCCGTCTAGATAGGGGTTCGCTATTTATATAGAAAGCAATAAGCGTCGCGGAGTAGAGGCCTCAATACGATTGTCCAGCAAATTGCCAGCATTCTGGCGGTGTTATCCCCATCTCAACCGGATTTCCAAGTTGGCCACATAAACTAACGTGTCAGCATATAGATGAAGGGATGCAGGACGGCTGACAGCCCCAGCCTAGGTGTAAGACTTAGGGTAGCATGCATCTCGTATACATGAGACCTGTTGCATCTAAATTCGTACCAGATGTTACGCTCAACCATACAGAGTACGGAGTACTCCGTAGGGAGGGCTAACTTCAAAGAACTCAGCTCGTAGGCAGCATGGCTGTGCATCAAGAAGCTATATAATACACGTTCCATTCCCAACGACATCAGTCTTCATCAACACACATACCGCAGAACACTCACAAGCACCAAACGTAACCCATTACACCCAACCATCCCAAAAACCCTTCAAAATGCTGTTCACCAACCTCATTACCGCCACTATTGCTCTCGCTATTGGTGTCTCCGCAATCCCAACTCCCAGTGCCCACACTCGCCATATCCAGCTGCGCATCTTCGGCAAGCCCGGTTGCTCAGAGCTTAATCAGGGCGAGATCGGAGTGTACGAAGATGGTATCAACAAGTGCCATGCGTTCATTGACACGAACATTCGATCCGTGAGCTTTGAGCGTCAGATTGTGGAAGGCTGCACCTGTAAGTGATCTTTTGATTGTGCCTTTCATCCTCTTGTTCTCCGCTGCAAGGGACTAACAGAATACAAGTGTCCGTTTACAACGACATCACCTGTCACCTCAATGAGCACGTGGTTGAGCCTGAGACTTGCCTTTCTGGCGACAAGCTCTATGGTAGCTACTTTGTGCATTGCCCTGAGGCCAGCGAATAGGTCTTTCGATCTGGCATTTCTTGAATCTCTGTTTCTGTGTGAATATAATGTGAATATTCGCCGGCTCGGGCTGGGATGGTGGATGTAATTTTGTGGAGATTGCGCGGAAGTTGGTGTATAGGGTGCACAGTATAGACGGATGGAAAGAACCTCGATGAACGCGGTCACTGAATCCCAACTCTAGCCTGTCAGCCAAGGTCACTTAGGAGCGACAATAAATGATTTCTCCTAGAGATACATAAGCCTGCACTTCAGTAAACATTTGAGCAGACAATGTCAGCCAAGAGGGGCTGGATGATGAAAGGTGTCAACAGAAGGTCAACAGGAGGTCAACACGGCAGAAGATCGATGCAAGATAGAACAAAATTGAAATGACATATGACGAATTATTATGATAATAATGATGGTCACTGCCCCGAGGAAGAGAAGGGGGAACAATGAAGAAGAAGAAAAAAAAAAAAAAGAAGTGTCGGGGAATCGCACCCCTGACTGGGATGCTCCTTATGGCCGCGTCTCACAGGCAATCGTCGCATTTAAAGTCATTCGGTTTATGGTCTTAAATGCACAGATATTCGTCCGGACCTAAACACACTAGGCTAACTTCCCAGGATTACTGATTTCAGTCCGGATTCTTGTATTTAACCTACCATTCCTTCCTCCTTCACCTCATTACACTTAACCACTCCCTGCCATGACCCTACATATTCATTGATGATAACCTATTACCTTTTATTTTCTTCCCCTGCGGCGTACTCCGTACTATACTCTCATTTATTGATTCTCCCGAACCAGAATGATAGCTTCGATTCCGCCTTACATCCAAGTGACATGTTCGCCTCTTTTGTCACGTGTGATATCTACGTGCAGCGAAGCATTTAGACTCATCTCTTTGAGTTAGACCAACACGTAGAGTGCATAAGATAACCGGGAAAAGGGATGTGAAAGAAGCAATGCGACGTTGAGTACGGAGTACTTCTCGTGAACTGCTGGTTGTGCCATGAAAACGATCAGAACAATGGCAGATAGGCATTTGTAGAGCTGGAGACCAAGCCTTCAGTGAGGCTAGGAAGGAACAGATTGTCAGTTAGGTGCCGGCGTGAGATTGCACATTTCAAATGGGTTACAATTGTTTCTATCAAATGGAATGAGACGATAGTTTTAGTTTCCATGGCCCCACAACCCGGTCTTGGCTCCGCGGCCCAGGACATCGGAATGCGGGGATGGCCCAAGTCCGTTCGAGCACCGTGACATCATGGTTTATGAGAATGGCGGACTACTGTGCAAAAGGGAAGAAATCCGAGTAAATAACTCAAGGTTCCGGATTGTATGCAGTTTTATGAACGTCCAATGGTGTAAATAATGCATACATGTATTGTGCAAAAAGGAGACAACGCTCAGAATTCAATCCGCCATGTTTTTCCAATGCTGACATTGGGTTTCTTCACCACAGCATAGGGCGCTTTCCCGCTCTCCTGCTCAAAGAATTCTAGTGAGGCCGTGGAACCCGCCTTGGCCCCGTCTTCAATCACAGTAACGGTGTTCCTGACCTTCCATTCGACGGGAGGGTCGACAACCACCACACGCTCGACTGTCACACCAGCCATGGTCTTAAGGTACTCCGCAGTCTTGGGTCCCTTGGTTCCAATGTCCTCCGACGACAACACTGACTCACGGTAGTTGAAGCGGCGGTGGATATATGCGCCACGCTCGTAATCGAACGTCTCACCATCATCCACGTAGAGGCTTCCTTCAGCCTCGCCGTTCTTGTTGAGGGTAATAATCAATGTATACGGGTCCCATCTCATGAGGCCGCTGCTGCGACGAGGACGATCCTTGCGGGGGATGATGTGACCGCCCTGGATCAGCACAGGCACCTTCTCCTCCGGAGCAGGGACAGTGTGTCGCTTTCCTGCCCCCTGATAGACGGTGAAATCGAAGTAATCGTAGTACCTTTCGTCGTCAGAGATGTAAACCTCTGCACTGTAAGTGTTCTCCTGTACAACGGGCTTCACCAGAAGACCGGTGCCGGCTAGGTACAGCTGATCATCGATGGCGAAGCCTTGCTCGTCCTCTGGGAACATGTAGTACTGAGGACGGACAATTGGTGTGCCGTTGACGGAGGCTTCATGGAAGGCAGTGTACCAAGCAGGCAGAAGCTGATATCTCAGACGGATTGCCTGAGCGATGTAGGACCGCTGCGGCTCGCTGATCAGATACGGCTCGCGGCGACGAGTATCAATATGAGCGTGCGCACGGAAGAAGGGATACCAAATACCCGTCTGGTACCACCGTGTCAAAAGATTTTTATCGGGATTGTGGAAGAATCCTCCGACATCCGCGCCGGCGAAGGGGAAACCTGCAATACCATTGGTCAAAACCATGGGAAGACTAGCCCCCAGGTGCTCCCAGGTAGCCTGGTTATCACCGGTCCACATGGCGGACACACGCTGGGCACCAGCGTAGTACGAGCGCGTCAAGATGAAGGGCCGGCGCATCTCGCCCTTTTTACGCTCCAGCATTGCTTTGTAGGTGGCATTCACAAGAGTCAGACCGTTAATATTGTGAATATCACGATGCTCCCAGTTACCGTAGTGCAAGTTGTCCTTGGGCATAGTCATGTCAGGGCCGTTGAAAACAGAGGGTTCGTTCATATCGTTCCAGATGAACAGGTTTTGAAGCGATCCCTTGAACTTGTCATATTTGTGGAGGGTGGCCCACCAAAGGTGGGCTGCAGGGTTGAAGCAATCGACCCAGTTTGAGGAACCAGGCCAGCACCATCCGTCGTAAAGGTCGCCATCCTTGTTCAGCACAGCGAGGTTCTTGCTTCTGAGTTCCTCGGAAACGAAGTACTTGTCGGTGTTCTTGATGTGGGGATCAATCAAAACTACAAGCTTTCGCTCAGTTTCGTCCAGCTTGTGCTGCATACCCTTAGGGTCGGGGAAGGTGAGAGAGTCCCAGGTGAAGTATTTCCGGTCATCCGTGTATTCAAGGTCCAGCCAAATGACGTCGTACGGAATCTGGTATTTGTCGAATTTAGCGTTGACTTCTTTGACGTCCTCGTCTGTGACATAGTTCCAACGGCATTGGTGGTATCCAATAGCGAACTGTTGGGGTAATTGTGTATATCCAGTGAGCTCGCCGTATGTCTTGCTGATATCATGTGGTGAAGGTCCCAAGAAAATGAACAAGTCAATCTGACCAGATTCAGAGATCCAATGGGTTTTAGTATTTGTCTTCGAGCGGGCGCCCAAAGAGAGAGGGTTGGAGGAGTCAGTCGACTTGACAATATCAATCCAAGTTTCCGCCGCGTTAAGCCAGAAGACACCGACCGTTGAGTCCTTGCGGTGGGCCTGCATGAGGGGAATAGCTCCATACAGAGTCATCGGGCTCTCGAGTTCATACTCGAAAACATCAGAATTATACAAACGGTAAGGGTTCTCATGATTGCCAGATCCACCTCTAGTTTCCTTGAGCGAGAGCGAGTCTGCGTGCTCTGGAATACCATACACATGACTATAACCGGGGAACGTAATATCAAGAGCAACGCTCTCGGGACCACGAGGCTTCGAGTCGGTGTTTCCGCCAAAACTCTCCTCCCACCAGGTACTCTCGTCCTCGCCGGATTCGCCCTCTTTGCCATCCACTTTCGGCCGCCAGTGCTCCATGTTCAACAAGCCCTGGTGGTTCAACTGAACGTGGGTCTGTCCGTCCCTTTGGAAATCAACCCCGAATGGCGCATGACGAATAATGGCCTGGAATTTGTCGCCCGGTCCGTATAGAATGTTGGTAAACCCAGTTTCGCTCTGAGCATTCAATGTGGCCGACTTGCTGATTGTCAGACCCCCAGCGATAACCCACTTTTCAGTTTCATCATATCGCTTCTTGTTCGCTTGGCTACCATGGCGCATTTCAATGTCGCCCTTCATTCGCTTCTCTTCATCCACCACAATTCGGGCGGCCCCGGATTCCAAGAATGACACCGTAAGAGGTAACCGGACCTTCTCATTGGTGGCTGTTGTTTTGATGATAACTCCGGTGAAAAGTCCATCCTTGAAATGTATAGTGGCGGGGTCAAGCTCGTAAGGTGAGCTCCACGAAGTGCCCTGGGCAGAGGCGTTATCGGCGTAGGCACGGTTGCGTTTGCAGAATCCGGACTGCTCGCATGTCTTGAAATCCTGATGTTTGACCGCCACTGCTCAGAGGACGGAAATTAGCGCTCGGCCATCCTGCAATTTCGCGAGATACGTTGGTGAAAGGTAATCATACAACCGGGGACGACAATGCATCCGATGAGGATAACCAAAGAGAGCAGCATTGCCCAACGGGGCGCAGGCGGACTCCTGGCCATGGTTAGATAAGTGTTATTATCAGTCAGAGACCCTCAATCTCCAACAGAATGGCGTTGTTTATCAATGGGAGACCTGCATTTAGAGGCGGAGATGCAATCAACCGAAGCTACAAGCTGGCCTGAGCTGGGGTAAGACACCTGAGGCATCAAGGCAACAAGATCGGTTTTTCAGGCAGCCTATCAGATCATCTTATTTTGAGCCAATCAGCATCCATCATCCGTACCACCAAACCCCGAGCTTCTACATCGGCATCTACATCGACATCTACCTACATCAACATCGATGTTCGAGTCCACGGATATTGAAAATGCCATACGATCTGATTTGGAATACATGTTGAATTTCAGACCAGGTCTTTCTTCGTCGTATCTATCTTTCATGTGATTTGGACTTCACTGCGCTTGTTGATGTCTGGAAATCCAATCCCTCTAGCAACCTCTCGTCGTCCAGAAGTTATAAAAAGGGCTGATTTGATCGAGTTTTTAGTGCAAAAAAGAGGTTTTATAGTGCGGAGTTATAGACTTTTTAGTGTAAAAGTGAGATGTACTACCTATTCCTAATTGGGAAGGCTTGGCATTATTTACTAGGTACATATGTAGCTGTCTTCGTAAGATAGCCCCAAACCCCGAAGGGGTGTGGGGCTATCCTACGTTGGAAGACGAATACGGAATAAAATTAAGCTGGTAGGCTTAAGCCTCGCAAACCAGAGAGGCTTAAAAATCTTCGAGGTACTCCGTTCAAATGAATGAGATGTGACTGTATATCCCGTTAGTTTTACCGATTCTGGGCTTCTCAATACACCGTTACGTCACCTCCTCCTTTTCCTTTTTATCAGTCGTGTGTACCTACCTATCTACCTGCTTGTCTTCCCACTTCCTTTTCACATCTCACCCTACCCTCTCACCCACCATGGATATCCTTCGACCCGACTTAAACACGTCTCAGCCTTCCTCTTCTGAGCTCTCGCTTGTTGAGTACGAATCCGAGGATCCTCTCGCGCAACTAGCGAAGGAATTGAACCCGCAGCTATTCGACACCAATGTAAGATTGCGAAGGTCCTTGGAACACCGTCGACGAGCGCTTGAGCAAGGACAAACTCAGGATCAGTACCTTGTCTTCACGTCTGTACCCCCTGCGCAATCTTCCAGACTGAGTGATGATCAGTCACGAACCAGCAAGTACAGTCGCATTTATTTCAATGCGAAAACTGGAATCATGATTGCAAAAGTCATGCCGAATCTAGCCCACGAACTCGCCATAAGATGATTTGATTCTCTGGTCTCTCTCGAGCTGCGTGCCATGAATGTCCATCATGACGTGAGGCCTTTCGGTTCAACGACAGTTACAGTTGGAAATTGGACAAAAGAGGCTGACTGCTGCTGGGCTCCGGCTTCTACCAATGCAAGGCTGAGTTTCGTAGTAGAAGTAGGATTGTCAGAGTCCGCAAGACAACTTGCTCTTGATGCGCGAAGCTGGCTTGAGCCTCACTCCTCGTCCGTGAAACTGGTGGTCACGATTAGTATCAACCGTCAAAATCCCGAGATTATCTTGCAACGATGGGAACTTGGGCCCCCAGGATATGGGGCTCTTACAAGGTCACGCACTCTTTCGGCGCATTGCACTTCATCACTTAAATTATCTCGAATGAATCATACGACATTGATTACCGGAGAGTCCTACACGGATGGCACAACTACGGCTACCACACAGCTGGATCTACCTTTTGAAAAGGTTGTTGGCCGTCCTCTTCACCAGCCCTTGGAGAGAGACTTGGTGATACCTGGGCAAGAGCTGCGAAGTTTTGCGGAGGACATCTGGAGTGAGCAGAGTCTCCTCTAAGTCGTCTCGATTATGATATGTTTGTTGGCTACTAAGCGGCAGAGATCATGAAAGACTATGATTCGCTCACGAAGGACCTGTTTGTCCTAATGATTGTTCTATTTTTTTTTTAACGTTAACTGACTATCGTAAGCCTCTGTATACCTAATGATATTGTTGAGACAGGGGTCCCATGATGTCAGTCATCGCCGCACCAGATAGGTAGATAGTCGGGAGCCGAGTCTCCTTTTGCTAATATAACTCTCTTCCTCCTCTCTCTAAGCCGCACAACTGTACGCTCTCAATAGGTAAGCTTCATTTTTGTAAGGTGGCATAGATGGCGTGCAAGATTCTACATTCCCGATAGGGTGCCAGATAAGATTCAGATACTGTCCGAAATACTAAGGGAGTACCATATTAAATACGACAGGCTTTGAATAAATTATGGCCAGCGGGAAATATCCAAAAAGAGTTTACTCAATAGTGTGTAGTAAACACAGTGTGCCCGTAGTCGTTCTCATATGTTTTTGCAACGAGCCACGTAGGGAACTAAGGCCCACTAATCTGGCCTGAGCATTCTGGCAGCAACACCCCTCCTCGCGGCCACCAATCACCGGCCCAAACGGGAGGGCCCGAATTTTTTAACTGCCTCTATTTAATCTTCCCCTCTTCCCGCTCTCTTTTCCTGCTTCCATACCACTTACTTATTATCTGGTCATATACATTCAAAATGTCCGCCAACCAGGAACAGACGTATGTGCCCTATACCATCCTTGCTTGATCCCTCCCCCTCTATTTCTTCCCATTACCCCTAAATGCCGGTCAAAGCTAACCAATTGCTCTAGTTTCATTGCCATCAAGCCCGATGGTGTCCAGGTATGGATGCAGCTACGAATCCGGCCGTGAAGAGCCCGCGCAATTGAACAGCACTTACTGACCCGAACTACCAGCGCGGACTCATCGGCCCCATCATCTCTCGCTTCGAGAACCGTGGCTTCAAGCTCGTTGCCATGAAGCTCACCTCCCCTAGCCAGGAGCACCTCGAGAAGCACTACGAGGATCTCGCCACCAAGCCCTTCTTCAAGGGTCTCGTTGCTTGTTAGTTACCTCGCCCGAACCGTTCCGCGCATCGAAATTCACTAACACAACCTTAGACATGCTGAGCGGCCCCATCTGCGCTATGGTCTGGGAGGGTAAGGACGCCGTCAAGACCGGCCGTGTCCTCCTCGGTGCCACCAACCCCCTGGCCTCCGCCCCCGGTACCATCCGTGGTGACTTCGCCATCGTAAGATGATCCCCCACACTCGACTGCTACGTCCTTACATACTAACAATTTTACTAGGATGTCGGCCGCAACGTCTGCCACGGTTCCGACTCCGTCGAGAACGCCAAGAAGGAGATTGCTCTCTGGTTCGGTGCCTCCGAGGTCCTCAAGTACACCTCCGCCCAGTCCGCTTGGGTTTACGAGTAAATTACTCGTTTCCAAGTGAATTGGTCTGATGGGTCTTCTGGCTCCTTAACTTCTAGCATAAAATAACGCAGCGGTTCTGAGAAAGAAGCCCTGATGGCTTGGAAAAATAAACAATACATAAATTCATAAATTAATATGGTCTATATATGTAGTCTTCTCTAGTATCATACATAGTGATGCTGGATCAGCTCAGCCTCTTCTGAAGAGCCGTTTGGCCAGATTTGCCGTCGGTGTGAAGACTGTCCTTGCAAACCACGGTGTGGCCCAAACACTCGCTGCCAACCGAGCTGGCAACAAAGCCTTGGTAATAGCATAAGCCGTAGCAAATTCAAGCACTAATCGCACTCCTGCTCTTTCCGTTCTCTTCTCCCCAGTGGTTTCGTGCTCCGCAACGGTATTGACATCTGCCTCGTCCACCCAACCTTTTTTCTTCAGCCAGCGGCCAAAGCGGGCAGCACCCTCGTCAAAGGCATTGGTCTCGCCTGTCTCCGAGGCAAGGTCCGGCATCCAGGCACCATAATGAAATGCACCAACTAGTCCAAAGAGCGGAAGGATGGCCGTGATTTCATGAAGTATTAAGAATGAGGTGATATGGGTGACCGGTGCGCCGAATAAGGGTGTAGTATATGTGCGGAGAAAGCGAGGTAGGCGGTCATTGAACTTGCGTAAGCGAGAGCGGGAGTCACTTGGGTTCACCTGCGATGCCTTTGGGGGCTGTGAAGGAGAAGGGGGTGTGGAAATGGCTCGTCGTGACGCATGCGGTCTAGTGTTTCGAACCGCTTGGAGACGGAAGTAGCGGAGGAAGTTTGGTGGGCGGGAAGCCATGCTGTTGTGAAGCAATTGATTGAGGTGCGAAGGCCCAAAAAAGAGTTTATATACGTTCAAGGAGCGAATTGTCCCCTCAGCAACCAATGTACGGAAGTGCAGTGTAGTCTAGTGCTCGTGTCAAGCTCGTCGATCCTAAAATGATGCGCGATTCCATTGCTGAGTCATCTCTAGCGCTGCTCTTTTTTTTTGGAGATTTCGAGCATCAGAGCATAGGTACGAGTCCTTGGACATAGGGAATAATTAAGCCTTTATATACATGTAGTGTATTGGGAGTAAATTCTTAATGCGACATGGCCACTCGGCAGCTGTCGACATCATAGTTCCCGATGCGATTGGAGCAGATGTGACATGGTCCACTTTTGCCCGAATCCTCTCTTCTTCATCCCTCCCCTCCCATTGCCGAGTCATACCCTGAAAAGACGCAATGGAGAAGAAGATCACCGAAAAGATCGCGGCGTTGCCGCCAGATGCCAGCTACTTTTCTTTGGAGTTCTTCCCTCCAAAGACCCGGATGGTGGGGTTACCCCGCGTGTTGAATCCATCGTGGAGATTTGCTAATATGGAGTATGATAGGGCTTTGCAAACCTGTCCGCGCGTCTGGAGCGGATGGCTCAGGCACTTCGTCCGCTGTTCGTGACTGTTACTTGGGGTGCCGGTGGTAGCACAGCGGCCAGATCCCTCGAGCTGGCGGAAGTATGCCAGCGGCAACTACAACTGACGACCGTCCTTCATCTGACATGTACCAACATGAGCCGCAAACTGGTGGATATGGCGCTGGATGAAGCGAAGGTTCTAGGTATCCGCAACATTTTGGCTCTGCGTGGAGACCCGCCCCGCAGCGAGGAATACAACATGCATGGAGAGGATGACAGCAACAAAGATTTCACATTTGCGATTGATCTAGTGCGGTATATTCGCCAGACACATGGCGACTACTTCTGTGTTGGTGTTGCTGCATACCCAGAGGGCCACCCTGTGGACTCGTTCCAGGATGTTCGGGATCCAGCCAGAGATATTCCTCACCTGGTTGAGAAGACGCTAGCTGGGGCAGACTTCATCATGACTCAACTGACCTACGACATCGAGGCGTACCAGAAGTTTGAGGATATGCTCCGCAACCATGAATCGGGCGCTTTCAAGACCATCCCCATCATCCCCGGCTTGATGCCAATTCACAGCTATAAGATCTTGACTCGGGTGACAAAGCTCAGCCATGTCACAATCCCGCCTCCCATTGCGAAGCAAATGGAAGAACTGAAGCACGATGACGATGCTGTCAAGCGCGCAGGTGTCGACATTGTAAGCGAAATCGTGGGCGGTATGAAAGAAATCCGCTCCCCTGGCCCGCGTGGATTCCATTTCTATACCTTGAACTTGGAAAAGACGGTATCATTCCTTTTGGAACAATGTGACTTGATCCCCGCTTACTCGGAGGCCGGTGATATTGCCATCGAGGATGATCCTGCCTCAATTCCACTCGACTTCCCTGGACGTATGCGAAGACGTCGTGCGTCTTCTATCAACTCGCAGCCCCACAACCGTGTCATCGTGGACAAACTATCAGTACACGAGTCGTCACAAAATTCCGTTCATGAGGCCCGCGCAGACAGCGCAGGTATGCCGGCACTACCGCCGAACCGAAGCACCACTCTCCTCATTTCCGAGGGTCTTGGTGCGCTTGGTCGAGAGGCAACATGGGATGATTTCCCCAACGGACGATGGGGTGATGCCCGCTCACCTGCTTTCGGTGAGATTGACGGTTATGGTCCCTCACTTCATGTGACTGCCAACACTGCCCGTAGACTCTGGGGTCACCCAGTGGACGCTAAGGACATGAGCGCCATCTTCCGGCGCCACGTATCAGGAGAGCTGCACATGGTTCCGTGGTCAGAGGGAGGTGCCGAGGAAGACGGTGAAGGTCTGAACGCCGAGACCGAGTTGATCCGACCGGAGCTGCTGAAGCTCATTGACGGCCGTGGCTGGTGGACACTGGCCTCACAGCCCGCAGTGAACGGTGTACACAATGACCACCCCATCTTCGGCTGGGGTCCCCAACGAGAGGGATTCGTCTTCCAGAAGCCATTTGTGGAATTCTTTTGCTCAAACAACGACTACACCAACATCCTGAAGCCGATGTTCGCGAAGCACGGCCACGATAAGCTGACCTGGTTCGCTACTAACATCAAGGGGGATTTCGAATCATCTCTCCCCACTCAGCCTGCTGACATGGAACTCGATGATCTCGGTTCCAACCCCGAGAGCGTCAATGCTGTCACCTGGGGTGTCTTCCGTGGCAAGGAGATTGTCACCCCAACCATTATCGAGGAAGTCAGTTTCCGTGCTTGGGGCGAGGAGGCCTTCCGAATCTGGGACGAATGGCGTCGCATCTACCCCCGCGGGTCTCCCAGTGAAACCTTCCTCGACACAACCAAGAATGACTCCTGGCTGATCTGCGTTGTCGGCCAGCAGTTCGGTGCCGGCACCAAGCGCGGTTCCAAGGAAGAGGAAGATGAGGTCAAGTGGATGTGGCGAGTTCTGGCTGGCGAGGAGGCTTAAAGAAAGCGTCCTTTACAATCAGGATAAATATATCCCCTACTCCCACGAGGATCCTTTTATGGTTGAAGGTTTAATAAGGGCAAGCCTGGACATATGAAATATGAATGGCACAAAATCTGGATTGCATTGTGTATACTAGTCTTGACCCCATCTCATTGCGATGAATATTACGAATCTGCGCGCATTTCTACTTTCATGTGTTGTGTTGATTGATAGACTCTAACGCCAATTGCTAAGCAAATGCTTCCATTAACGAGTACCGTTTCTCATGCAAGTGTTGGTCACAGACGACCGCTTGAATCACACCTTCTCAGCAAATCCGTGCTCCTCAAGTCCGCTCGCTCCGGTGTCTGGAGTCGCGACTCCAGACTGAGATTCGGCGAATTTCTGCATCGCATCGTCAAGCAAGCCATATACCTTTGGCATGCGACGGGGTTGGTTAGGTCCATTGGCAGGTAGTTGATATCCACGCAATCTACATGATCGTTAGCATTGAGCAGCGAACTTGCAAGCATTGAATGAAACAAGAATACGCATTTAGAATTGACATACCTGGGACCCTCCCCACTGCTCTCTGGCATCGAAGAGGCATAAACACGAGTGAAAGTGAGAACGTCCTCCTCAAAAGATCCACGCTGAATACTCTCCCGCACTCCAGCGAAGAAAGCATCCATGATATGGAAGTTATGGATTTGAAGGAGCGCCCAAGCAGTCATCTCCTTAGCCTGTAGCAGATGGTGGATATAAGCACGAGAATAATTCTTGCAAGCATGGCATGGACATCCCTCGCCCAGCGGTGATGTATCGATAGCATGATCTGATTTCCACAAATCAATTCCTAAAGGTCGGGATCGGGAAGCGCCATCTTGCAGAGCAGCGGGAACCGGGAAGACGAATTCCATCGCAATTCCGCCATCAGACGCCGCTCCCAGTAGAGGCGTGGTCAGGAGATCTGCTCCCAGAGATACGTCACGCAGAATATCTTGTGGAGTTTCAGGTTCACTGAAAAGCAACCGAGGCAGGTTTGCCAACGATTCTGGAACGAATCCCAGAGACGCGGACTGATACAGTGCCAGTCCAGATATATCCCATCGGAACTCGCTCTCCAAATCATCCAGATAGAGCGACTGCTGCGCATTATCGAGCGGTAGAACAGGCGCAAAATATGCGCTCTTTGACTTGCTTTCTTCTGCTACCAGAGGCCCGTAGAGCTGCTCCAGTGCATCGCGAGTCCACGCGTGCGTTCGGTCAACCATTTTGGCCCGTCTCTTGGATCCCGGCTCCTTGTTGGCCAGGTCCACCATTCCGACAGCAATATCTGGTTTCAACCTTTGGACTGCTTTGACATAATCCGAGGCAGTGAGTTGGGTAAACCCGAGTGAGGTTAGCAGGGCGATAGAATTCGTTGTATTCGCGGGCGGGCATGGGATCGGAGGGAATCGCCGTGGGCCAAGAATCAAAGGCATATCCTCTGGCATACAGATGAATTTCTTCAATGGCGACTCATTATCCGCGACGGGAGTTTTATATACGGCGGGCTGCTTTTTCGCGATGACTGATTCTATGCCCCGAGGGGGCATGCGCTGTCAGCTATATCAAAGACAAACGGTACTCATCACCACATTTATTGCGCTCCACTTACAATCTTCCAGTCCAGTGTATATGCTATTAATTGCAGTGTGCTGGCGCATCACGTCGTGCGCAATATGCGGGACTGTGCCCCGCGAAGTGAGCGGGACATGGTGCGGCGTTGCGATGGTCTTTCGGCCTGGAATTACCAGCTTGCCTACTCGCGGCGCAAGGGTTGGAGCAGTGGATGTCAAGACACTAAAACTCATCGCGGGGGACGAGGATGTCGCTTGGTCCATGGTGCTGGTGATTATTGAAAGGCCATGGTGGAGCGGCGTGGATCTTGTCCTTATCGGCCAGGAGAAATGGGATTTCCCGATAAACATCGCCCTTCTCACTCTCCATTGGACACACATATTGAGCAATTGGCTTTCACATAGCAGAATCTAGGAATCAAGATATCAATTCAGTTAATTGAAAACTTGAGGTGGTTCATATCTTTCTAATCAACTATGACGGACGGTTCAGCGCAGCCAACGCGACGCGGAGCTCTCATTGTCGTCGAGGGACTCGACCGCGCTGGCAAGTCGAGTCAGTGTGAGATGCTACGGGATTCCCTCACGCGACAAGGACACATGGTCAAATACATTCGGTTCCCAGGTACGGAAATATACGTCCCCGATAAATGCGATTGGTCTAATTATATCCTCTAGACAGGACGACGCCCATCGGAAAGTTGATTGATAGCTATCTCCGAGGCTCATCGCATCAGGACGACCATTCTATTCACCTCCTCTTTTCGGCAAACCGATGGGAGGTTGCCAAGAGCATCGAAGAAGATATCGCCAACGGAACCACAATTATTGTAGATCGTTACTCATATTCCGGTGTCGTCTACTCCGCCGCAAAGGCCAACCCCACACTATCACTGGAATGGGCATGGCAGCCAGAAATTGGTCTACCGCGCCCGGATATCTGCCTGTTCCTCAGTATCTCGCCAGAGGAAGCAGCAAAGCGTGGTGGCTTCGGAGCTGAGCGATATGAGAATGAGACAATGCAAACGCGGGTACGAGAGCTCTTCCGGACGATTTTTGAGAAGCAGGAAGATGTTTCCGTTATCGATGCAGGAAAGTCGATTGAAGATGTCTCACAGGAGGTACAGATGGCTGTAGCTGGTTGCATTGCGCGTCTGGACGCGAGTAGTCCCCTCAGGAAATTGGAGCCTCTTACGAATTAAAGATAAGCCTAGGCTTGGTCCTGCATAGCTTTCATTCCACCAGTTCTGCATCATCCCAGTCGCTGTCCTCGATTACTATCTCGAGCTTCGATGGAGGTGCACGAGCTGAGTGGTGCTTTTGTCGGCCTTCGAAATCCGAGTCGGATTCTAGATCAACATCCTCGAACCAGTTGGGCCCTAGGTCATCATGCGCTGGCTCTTCCACTAGTGATCTCGGTTCCATTGAGGATGATCTCGCTCCTGAAGACACCTCAGCCCCAGCAGATTGTTTGCGAAGGCGTTTCTCTTTCTTTCTCACAATGGCATGTGCTTCCTTTTCTGCTCGGTTGCGGAAACTCAGCTCACGCATCATTGTGGGCCATTGTACGAGGTTTCCGCAAGATGGGCAAGTCCCTTGTGCTGGTACCAGGAGATCTGGTTCATTGGCCGCATCAAGGAATTTGGTAGATAGACATAATAAATGGCTCGTTCCACGACAATCTGGATGTGGACACACAACTATATTTTCCTTTGCTGGGGCGACCGATTGTTTACAGACCGCGCACTGTAGGTCTTCCGGATCTTCCAGCATAAACAAAGACTTTTCGAGATAATCTTCGAGTCTAATGTAGTCGACTGATAAATTTTTGATATGCCCGACAGGTGCGAGTTCATCATTTTGCTTGGGTTCCGGCAGCTTTGCGAGATTATCTCCATCTAGTACAGTTTTAATATTGTGCGGGAGTTGACCATTCACACGGTCACTCCAAACGCGCCATACGCGGTAAACATCCGCGCTGAAGAAACGGACTCGTAATGGGCACGCGGAGAAACAAGTTGACCGGAGCAGAGAATGCAAATCCTCTAAATGCGCCGTCAAGGATCTCCTAGTCCGCGTGCGCGGTTTTGGTTTAGGCTTGGCTGTCTTTGTATTCGTCTTGGCTGCCTGAGGATCTATTTCTTGTTCGGAATCAAGGTGCCGGGATCTTTCCGGATGTTGCCAAGCCCATCTACGCGCGATGAGAATTTGAGACGCAATGTATACAAACAGTTCACATGCGACTTACTCGAATTGCAACGCACCGACTCTATTCATGAAACCCTCGACAACAAGGGTCATTTCCCAGGGGCGTAATTTATCCCGAGCGGTTCGTTTGGCCCCACCTTTGGCGACGCCGTTGTGCTGCGAAAGTCGTCTGATCGGGTTTGGGGTCGAGCCGATGTACAGCGAGGCGTGTCGAACTGTCGACCGAAGGAGATAGCAGCAGTAATATGCGGGAATCGGTTTAGGGTGATCTATTCCCTCCATGGTGTCTGGTTTGGGGATTTTGTATTCGTTCACATTCAGGTGGCTCACTTGTCCAGTCCTTGAAATTAGCTCTGCATATCGAATCCGTGCGGGTCCCGACGGCACGGAGCAGATAACCACCAGATCACATGACCGTGTCTTTTTCCACTCCGTTTCTCATTCTGCGCTTTCTGTTCTCTCCAATGGGGACTGCTAGTACCAATCCGAGTCCATTCTTGTAACATGATCGATGGTAACGGGGCGCTGACTTGCAACCGAGTGGTATATAATGGGGTATATAATGGTATATAATGGGAACCGTCTAATACACATTCGAATCTTACATGGATCTGAGTACCAAAACAAGAACCAACAAAATCGATATGATTCAATGCAGAATCAGATCTAAGAGATTGCCGAGACAACCTTGGAAGGTCCCTCCAGTTATGTCTTTGCGGGCAATAGCACGAATATTGCGCTAGAGCATATCCGAGGCTCGTCCTCTATCAATTTTATGTGTCACAAGACACTACACATGTATATATCCACCACGTACTCCGTATAGGCGGCGGTATTATTGGGCTCCCAAATACCATGGGTTCCAACTAGTGGCCACGGAAAGATAGAAAAGTACCCAAGTCATTGCCTGAGTCAATTGGGACACCGTATGATGTCCCGTTTGCAGCGTTGCAGTATAATCGGTATAATTACCCAACTTTCGGGTGGATTTCAGGGCCTAAGCGGTACCTGAGCTCCGATTAGCTCATTCTTACCGTAATTCGTGTACCGTACTGATCGGTACCATCACGGCCGGGTCAAAGGTTCCCTCCAAGTCACTCATTGGTTCCTTTCTGACTGGTTGCCCACACAAAAGGGACCTGGCAATACTTCTGGAGTACCACCCCCAGTCGATCTGTACTGATACTGCACATAATCTCGTTCCTCCACTCTAAGGTTTCTATCCCATCTATCCTTCTTTCCTCTCTACGATTTGGGCCTTTGTTTTTCCTGATTTCCTCGCCCTTTTGACTCCTACAATCTCGTGCTCTCGCTTAGTCCTCACAACTTTCTCTCTCATCCCTCTGGTTCGTCTATTCTTCGCCCTTCGATTATATCGCAGGACGCCGGCTGCCGCCTTTCTTGATATCTATCATCACGTCCTGTCCTCGTCGCATTACAGTCATTTTTAATCAATTTCCCCCAAACAGACGCGCTTAACTCGACATCTCCCCAATAGTCTTTCCTATTTCGAACAATGGGAGCTCCGGCCTCTGCCGGGGCGACCTCGACGGCCACGGGAAGCCAACCGACCCGGTCCTCGAGCACCCATCCGTCGCACTCTCACAATGTACCCCTGAGCGCTCGCAGGTCAGCGCCTCTTGACCTTTCTACAGTCGAACGGCGTGGACAGCCGAACAACCCCAGAGAGCCATCGAAGCGCATTCGTCCCCATGGCATCCCAGAAGCCCCGACCTTTCGTCCGACAGAGGAAGAATTCAAGGATCCAGTAGCCTACATCCAGAAGATTGCACCAGAGGGGAAAAAATATGGAATTTGCCGTGTGATTCCACCAGAGGGCTGGCAGCCGACTTTCGCGATTGACACAGAGGTAGGAGTCTTCTTTTCCTTCGTTCCCTCGCAGTCGCTTAAAGCGTGAGAATAAACCTGACAATGGATGCAGCGATTCCATTTCAAGACTCGTCGACAAGAGCTCAATTCCGTCGAAGGAGGTAAGGTCCCACATTTGGCAGATCACACTGCGCCAGCCGGTTGGACAGCACAAATCTAACCCTTCAATTCAGGCAATCGCGCGAACATGAATTATGTTGATGGACTTGCTATGTTCCACAAGCAACATGGCACTAATTACAGCCGGCTACCCAGTGTTGATAAGCGCCCATTGGATCTCTACAAGCTCAAAAAGGCAGTAGAGACTCGTGGTGGTTTCGAGTCCGTCTGCAAGACCAAAAAATGGGCCGAAATCGGTCGCGACCTTGGATACAGCGGCAAAATTATGTCTTCCTTGTCGACTTCGCTCAAAAATTCATACCAGCGCTACTTGCAGCCATATGAGGAATATCTGGCACGGGCCAAACCGGGTGTTCAACAACAACTTGAGCTTGAGCATGGGGGTCCATATACCCCTTCACCTCTCCAATCTCCCATGACTCACAAGCCCATGGTGGATGAGAATGGTACGCCCTCTAAAATGCGCGACGAAACTCCTAGTCTGCCTCGGATGGCTGCTTCGCATACTCCCATGGCTTATACCCCAATGGCGCATACCCCCATGGAAAAATCGCCAGAGAAGCCAACACCTCCCGTCGAACCTACTCCTCCTCCAGCTTCGCGTCCTGCCGCTACAGGCTTTACTCCTGTGAACTCTGCTCTCGGTGGATTCACCGCCGTCAATCATTCTCCGTTCACCCCTGCGAACAACGGCCCGCAAATTAAGCGCGAAGGAGAGAACGGCACGTTAACACCTAATGTTTTTTCCGAGCATACCTTCGTCTCCACACCCATGAACGGACAAGATGGGGAGACTATGAAGCGTGCTATCAGCCGCGAGGACAGCTCTCAGGGGGAAACTGGCGATGACGATGGCGGAAGTGGCCGACGCAGCAAGCGCCTCAAGAAAGGTAAACTTTTTTTCAATGCCACCAAGGGATCGGAGCAACTCTTATCTAATCGTTCTATTTAGATTGCCTCCCAACAGTTGCAGGTTCTCACATGTCGCTCCTTCGTCCGGCGCCACCTAAAGCACGCAAGGATGGCTCTCAACCCGCAGGAGAGGTACGAGGGGGTTCGTGTTTAGATTGGAGTCATATACTGATGTGTCAACAGAAATGTGAGACTTGTGGCAAATCGGATGAACAACAGTCAATTCTTGTTTGTGACGGTTGTGAGCTTGGGTATCATAAGGCGTGCCTCGATCCATCTACTACGACTCTATCGGATCATGATTGGCACTGCCCCAAGTGTTTAGTCGGCACTGGAGAATTCGGATTTGAAGACGGCGGTGTCTACTCGCTCAAGCAGTTCCAAGAAAAGGCCAACGAATTCAAGAAGAAGTACTTTGCTTCCAAAATGCCATTCGACCCGGTTCTGAATACCCATCGACGTGAAACCGAGGATGACGTGGAGGCTGAATTCTGGAAGCTGGTGGTTGATTTGCACGAGACGGTGGAAGTTGAGTACGGCGCGGACATCCATTCAACCACCCATGGAAGTGGATTCCCAACCATCGAGCGTAACCCACTTGATCCATATTCGTCTGATCCTTGGAACTTGAACGTACTTCCTTTCTACGGTGACTCGCTGTTCCGTTACATCAAGTCCGATATCTCTGGCATGACCGTCCCATGGGTCTATGTTGGGATGTGTTTCTCGACTTTCTGCTGGCATAACGAGGATCATTATGCCTATTCGGCCAACTACCAACATTTCGGCGCTACCAAGACCTGGTATGGAATTCCAGGTGCTGATGCGGAGGCTTTCGAGGCGGCCATGCGTGATGCTGTTCCAGAACTTTTCGAAGGACAGCCCGATCTCCTTTTCCAGCTTGTTACCTTGATGCCACCAGACAAACTCCGTAAGGCTGGCGTTAACGTTTATGCCGTGGATCAGCGCGCTGGTCAATTCGTTCTCACATTCCCTCAAGCGTATCATGCCGGATTCAACCATGGCTTTAATTTCAACGAAGCAGTCAACTTTGCGCCTGCCGACTGGGAGCCTTACGGTGCAGCGGGCGTTGACCGTCTTCAGAATTTCCGCAGACACCCATGCTTTTCCCACGATGAACTGCTCCTTACAGCTGCTGCGCGTGATACTTCGATTGCCACTGCTAAGTGGCTTGCGCCTGCACTAGCAAGAACTTGCGCTCGAGAATTAGGCGAACGAGCCACTTTCTTGTACCGGCAGAAGGAAGTCGCTGCTCGTACCCCTGGGTTTGGCCCTGATTCCATGGCCGACGATGCACAGCCAAAATTCGTAGTTGAGAATGAAGACCTTCCGGAGGATGATTATCAGTGCCAACATTGCAAAGCATACGCTTACCTCACCCAGTTCCGTTGTCACAAATCAGGCAAAACCGTCTGTTTGTCACACGTGGATACCTACGACTGCTGTGGCGAGACACTTGCACAAAAGTTGTGTGGCCCGGGCCACACTTTGCGTTTCCGCATGAGTGATGAAGAATTGCAGGGACTCGTCCAGAAAGTCCAAGAACGAGCCAGGATCCCGGAAGCCTGGTCCGAAAAGCTCGACAAGACCCTGGAGGATGAACCGAAGCCCCAGCTTAAGGCCCTTCATAACTTGCTCAATGAAGGTGAGAAAATCCCATACCACTTGCCTGGCCTCCAAGATCTTGCGGCCTTCGTCCAGCGTTGCGATAAATGGGTTGAAGAAGCCAACAACTACATTACCCGGAAACAACAAAACCGGAGAAAAAACGAGAAGGCTTGGCGCAGAGGCAGCACCAAGGCTGCGCAGCTGGACGATCGCGATCGCGAAGTCCGCAGAATTGAACACATCTACGCCCTTCAGGCAGAGGCTGATAAACTTTCGTTCGACTGTCCACAGATGGCGGCGTTGGAAGAGAAAACCCGCGAAATCGAGAAATACCAACAGGATATTAATACTACCCTGATGAACCCACATAGCCGGCCCCTCCAGGAGATTGAAGAACTTATCGAATCCGGCAAAAATTTTAACGTGGAAGTCCCGGAACTGGAACACCTGGAGCAAGTTTCCCGCCAAATCAAATGGATCGAACAAGCCGCCCGCAGACGAGATCAGTATATGACCCTTAACGATTGCCGGGAACTCGTGGCCGGTGCAGAGAAGCTAGGTCTTTCTGATACAAACGAACATTTAGTCCACTTCAAAGAACTTGCTCGCCACGGTGATGCGTGGGAAATGAAGGCCAAGGAATTAATGTCGGTCGAAGCCGTTCACTATCAACAGCTAGAGGCCCTATCTGCGCAGGCCTCTCGTTTCCCGGTTTCACCCGATACTCTCTCTGCTGTGGATGCTATCTTGACCAAGCAGCGTGAGGCACAAAAGCGGATCCAGACCCTATACGAAAAGAGCAAGGACCCCGAGATGAAGAACCGACCTAAGTACAAGGATATCAGAGACCTTATGGAATCTCTCGAGCATTTAACAAGTCGACCTATTGGAGCAATTGACCTGGAACGTGAGCAAAAGCGGCATGAAGACTGGATGCGAAAGGGCAAGAAGCTGTTTGGGAAGGCGAACGCTCCTCTACATATCTTGAAATCCCATATGGAATACGTTGAAAGGCGGAACTCATACTGCTTCGATCTAGAGGACAGTTACCGACCGCCCGTGGAACCATCATCTCGAGACAATTCGCCTGAAGGTTTACTCGAGACTCCTGGCAATCCGAACATGTGGGGACCAAAATCACGAAAGCGAGATGTGTTCTGTATCTGCAGGCATTCTGAAGCAGGGATGATGATTGAGTGTGAGGTCTGCCACGAATGGTAAGTCAAGAAAACCTTCGGCTTGAGGTTTGGTCTACTCACATTATGTAGGTACCATGGCAAATGTTTGAAAATTGCTAGGGGTAAGGTAAAGGAATTTGACAAATACACCTGTCCAATTTGCGATTGGCGTCAGAAGATTCCCCGTGATGCTGCCCGTCCCAAGCTTGAGGATCTCCAGGATTGGCACGCTGAAATCGCAACTTTGCCTTTCCAGCCCGAGGAGGAAGAGGTACTCGAGAGTATCATCAACCAAGCGACGGCCTTCCGCGATTTCCTGCATGGCTTCACCAATGCTGCCTGCACAACGACCGAGGAAGTGCCTACTTTGATATTCTACCTGCGCAAAATTGAGGGTGCCGAAGTTCTCCTTACGTTTGAGACGAATTTCTTCCGCCAAGAGATACATAAGTGGGCACCTGTCGCACCGGAACCTCCTCCAATTCTGGAACAATCTCTGTCGACCCGAAAACCACGACCGACCAAGCAGCAGAAAATCATGGCCCAGCTTGGAGTGAATCGTCCAGAGGATCTCCCCGAGCATCTTCGACCCAAGCACATCGGCTCCACCAAGCGGAAATCAGTCGATACCCAGTCTCACTTAGGTCCTAGTCACGGTGTACCCTTGCAACCAGCACCACCATCTTCCAGTGGCGGACCAGCTTCCAGCACAGGTCCAACATTGGCTCAATTGTCGGATCCAAATGCTGCTCCATACCCCTTTTCAGCCAATTATTCTTTGCCTGCCAGCGATTCTACGCCTGCATTTGCGCCTACCTCATCATCTGCCTTCCTCCCTCACGCAGCCGCCTCTCAATCTCCATCATTCCTGCCTCGGTCACCTCCTCCGCCACAAGATATGGAAACCTCACTTTTCAGTCCTCCTCGCTTTGGTCATGAGCCTCAGTTTGCGAGCAGTAGCCCTCGCCAGAATCTTGACGACGTGTTTGCAGACTTGACGAATCAAGAGATTGACCCTGAAGCCGAGCCACAACCGATGGAAAATACTCATGCCAATGAGGCCCTAGAGGCGCTCGTCGTTAGCAATGGCAGTAGTCGTGCTCCTTCTGTCCAAGATGATTCAGGCCAACCTAATGAACCTGGTGTGCCGCAAGGTGAGCCCAAACTCGAGGGTACCAATGGAGTCCTCGAGGACGAGGAGCTTTAATTGTCGTGTCCTTCTTCGTGAGCTGTTCCTCAATGAATCTTTCGTTTCTTGAAAACTTGACGACCATTTTCACGGTCTTTGGTTGAGTGATTTGCTGTTGTCTTTCTTGACTTCCAGTCTGTTTTTGCTCGCCTCTCCTCTGCTTTTATCGTTCTGCTCAGAGCAATTTTCAAAATGGTGTATTACACGAGACGGGGCTGGCGAGTCCGGGGGTGTTCTTTTTTCTAGCGACTCGACGCTTTTGCGTTTTCTCTTTTCCTTTCTCCTTTCTTTTTCTTGTTTTCCAAGGTTCCTCCCATACCACAAGACCATGTCTGTCATGACTGCTTTTCTTTGCTGCTTCCGACGCCATGTAATACTAGTTGAATCCAGCCATTCTTATTCAAGATTCCAACTTTATAATGATTGCTTCGATATGGTTTATTTGACATCCACATAAGCTCCCAACGCTGCTTGTCCACCTGTATGAATAAATAACACATTAACCACATCCGATGGCTGAGCGGAGTCCACTACTTCTCCCTCATTCACCCAATGCATCATGCCTCTCGCAACCTTAGCCGTATAAACCGGGTCTAGAACCATGCCTTCTGTCTGCGCCATGGTCTCCAGAGCCTCTTTGCTTTCGGCATCAAGAACGCCGTACGCAGTGCCAACGAACCGATCATCAAGGTACACATCATCCATTCCAATATCCCGCTCGGCATCCAGCCCAATCAACTCCCCAGCCCTCCGTGCGAAAGCAAACACCCTTTTCTCATGATAAGCGCAAGGTTTAGTTGGCGAATTAAGGATTCCAACGATCTTCCTGGGTCTCTTAGCTGTGCTTGATGCATCAGATCCCCGAATCTTGTCCAGCAGCTTGAACCCAGCTATCAAACCCCCAACCGTACTTCCACTCCCACACGCAACAAAAACATAATCAAATCTCCCCGAGCCCCCAAGTTCCATGGCCTCTTCCTGCACAGCAATCTCAAAGGCTGCTCGCGCGTACCCCAACCCGCCGAGTGGATGCAAACTTGCACCACCGGGAATCCAATAGGGATTCTGTCCAGAAGCCCTCAATTCATCGAGGAGAGGTGTTGCGTCTTGTGCTAGTGGGTCGCCTTCTTCACAAACTCGTACCTCGGCACCGAGGAGGTGATTTACCTGCACGTTCCCGCTGCGCTGGAAGGCTTCTTTGTCGCTAGCTGCAGCCAGACCACCGCCTGTACCACGGTGGAGGAGGATGAGAGCTTTGAGGCCGAGTTTACGCGCGAGAGCAGCGACTTGCACGGTATGGTTGCTTTGGATTGCGCCCTCTGTCACGAGGGTTGTTGCTGCGCCGTGAAGCGGGGTTGGGGATGGGTTGTTCTCATGGCTGTGATATAGAGGATCTTGAGAAAGAATGTCTGGAACTATGTATTCTAGTTTGCGGTATTTGTTGCCTGCACAGGCTAGCGGGGAGGAATGGTCCTCTCGTTTGGCGTGGATGGAGATGAGGGGGTGGTGCGGGGAGAGTCTTGGGAGTGCAACTGAGGGTAGAGGGTGGATAGGGGATGGGTTTGGGTATAGAATCTTGTAGCGCGGGATCTGCGCAAATGCTTCTGGGAGTTGCAGAGGGAATGACATTGTTTTATGCATGGCTGTTGGTGGGATTGAGTTGCCATGTCTTTAGTTAGATGTACCTTGTGGCCTCATTCTTCAGGCATTCGGCCCTCACATGTGTCAGCAACTGAATGACGTCGTCTGCATTTGGACTTGTCTGCGATGCATCCCTCCAAACATGACGCTCCTTCAGTTTCTTCGACAAGCCCGTCAAGTGCACCTTGAATTCCTCTCGGGGGCCCTGGTTGAACCCCCGATCTATGTGATCGGCAATCCCTCTGCTGACCTTGACTCGATTGTCTCGGCTATCATCTACTCCTACTGTGCCAACAACCGGCTCCCAATCAAAACCCCACGACCCCATATCCCGCTTCTGAACCTCCCCAATTTCCCTGCTGGCACGGAGCTATTTAGACTACGGCCAGAATTTGCGGCTGCAGTATGGTCATCAACCAATTTCCCTGTTCTGAGGAATGAAGAGCAATTTGAGAACACACTGCAATCTGCAGGGAACTTCCTCCGCGAGCATGTCATGACTGTCGCTGACTTCGTGCAATCCCTCGAAGATCAACATGTTATGAAACAGATCATTGCCGAAGCGACGCTGGTTGATTGGAACGCGTTGTCGTGCCCTTCAAAGACTGACAAGGGCTTTGGATCCTTGATCGGATTGCGGGGAGCCTCTTTCCGGACTATCGGATGCATCGATCACCACGTTGACGAGCACTTCATGCCCAGTCCTGAATCACTACCAGAGGGTCAGCCGATGATCATTCAGCCCGGTCCCGGGTCATGCGCTTCGCTCATCATAAGAGAGTTGCAACAACGGAAACTCTTGGATGCGGCTCCGGCAGAGATGGCACAGCTCGCTAAACTTGCTCTTTCCGCGGTGCTGATCGATACCTCTAATCTCACTGCGGAAGGCAAAGTCACCGATGTAGATCGAGACGCTGTCAAGTTCCTGCAATCTCAAATCGAAGCTATATCAGATAATTGGGAGCTTGAGGCGTTCTACAAGAGCATTCTCCATGCCAAACAGCACAGTCTCGATCTTCTTACTTTGGATGAGATATTAGACCGCGATTATAAAGACTGGACTGAGACCTCGCAGTCCTCCGGTAAGACCGTGAAAATGGGCTTCTGCTCTACCGTCAAGCCGATCCGATGGATTGTCCAGAAGGCAGGTAGTCAAGAGAAGTTCCTCGATGCGATACGCTCGTTCGCGGCTTCTGCCGAGAAAGACTTGGATGTTCTCGTCGTTATGACGGCGTTCACGGGCAGTGATGATCAATTCTGTCGGGAGCTGTTCGTCTCTGTGATGCGTGACAATGAATCGGCTACTACAGGTGTCAAGAGGTTTGTCGAGCAGACGTCTGACCAGCTCGGGCTTGTCAAATGGTCTGCGCTTGATGAGGAGGATATCCATGAGCTGACAGGGGATTGTCTTCCTGCCTTGACCTCGGAGTCGCCTTTCTGGCGGAAATTATGGGTGCAGACTAATGCTGCTGGGAGTAGGAAGCAGGTTGCGCCGTTGCTGCGGGCGGCAGTAGCTAAATTGTAAATAGTATTCCTAGAAATATATATGCGCCGTGTGGGAAATTTTATTAGTTAAAACACTCGCAATATCTATGACCATCTAAAGGCTGGACTCGTGATAATTCTTTGTGCAGTATTCGCACTTGTCTGCGTGGAGGTCGCCTTAAAAAGGTCACTTCACTCAATCTTTGTCCTTCCCCTTTCCAACCTCCCGACCAAGACAAACCCTAACTGCGCGAGTTCACTCCGACTCTCTTCAAAACTTGCCTCGCCCGTTTTGAAAAAGAATACAATCGAAATAATTAGGGTAAACGCTCAACCTAATTGTTCCTGCACCTTATGAGGTCCGGGACACAAGCATCGTCACTCTGAGGTTTCAAATCGACGTACCGGAAACGACCTGACAAAATCGAAGAGCAGAGGACCCTCCATCGGCAGATACACTCCGATGGCCCAGCCATACTGAAGGTGTTAATACCCTAGACATGGTTAAGAAGCTCGAGATGACTGCATCTTTACCTGTGAGGGTAAGGTGATGCTTGCCTGAGCACAAAAACAGGTCTCTCATATCACCTCTCACGACACGACTTGCTCAAGGGGTACCACGATAAAGGATCATACCGTCGACATCCAAGACACGCAAAACGAAGTCAGTGTCCCAACACCCATATGTCGACCGGCAAATCCACAAAGACCGTCATCAATATGTTTGGCTCTGGATGTAAGCTCCAGGTCGTAGCCAACAACATCTTCTCTTACAATGGAAAGCTAACATAGGCCTTTGGCAGAAAATGACCCTCAAGGACTGTGACTTTTCCCACAGCTCAATACTCAACAGCAGCAAGCGTTCTTCGATCAAAGGATGACAGTAACTTTTCTCGATGACAGTCCACATCACAGAACGTACTCTTTGCATTTGATGGAGCGAGAAGTTTGAGACATGACAGATCGATTACCAGGCTCTACTTCACCATCTAGCCCGTGGATATGCAACAAGGCAGAATGGCTATAATGACATTGCGCACCGTGTAAGGGTGCTGCTGAGGTGGAGTTGTAGATTCGTTGCATCCGTGAGATTGGCGAAAAGCAAGACATGTCCGGTTGGAATCTGAAAACTGAACAAGGTCCGTATTCTCGAGTTCAAACTGACCGATATTTCGACAAATCTGACCATTTTGCCGCAGGCAATCAATAAGCGAGCCACGCTGTTTCTGGTGCTGCCTTGTTTGGCGTCCTGAACCCAGGGGTCTTCCTCCCTGAGCTTGTTGTCTTTTTTCAATCCTCGGGGCTTCTTCAGACTGCGGGTGCTGATCTATTTTCTTCGCAAACCTCCTATATTTCAGCAATCTCATCTACATCTGCGTGCTTCGCATTGCCGCTGTTGAACTCACGACGAAGGAAGTTTCACAGGCCTGTTCCTCTCCCAGTGTTTTACCTGACTATCTATGGTTCTTCACCTCTGGGTTGCTGCCCTTGGCATCCCTGGAGAAGGAATGACTTCTATCGTCACAATATATTCAAGGGGACTCGAAGGCAATCATATTAAGGGGGACCCAGCACCGCGGTTAGACTTCGGCAGTATTTTAGAGTCATGATGACAACTGACTCTTGTTGAAGATCTATGGATATACCTTCAGTCTCAGGCATCAGATTCTTCAGGTATTCTTTCCCGTAAGTTTGTCATAAGTTTGTCTCTTCTGTTAGTACGGCCATCGTAGACCTATCTTATACATAGCGTCTTGAACATCTTCTCCAGCGAGTCGATACTCGAGCACTTAACTTCCAAGTCATCACCTGGACAACCTGTGGGAAAACGCGCCAGAAGTGAATCGTTACTCTGCCCTTACTATATATCACCCAAGAGAAGGAAGTAAGATTGAGAATACTCAATCATCATGTGGACTTGAATTTCTCAAACTCCTATTAATCCGGATGCCCAGGCCCCGACCCCGAGATCTCTGGAATAGAACAAAAACAAAGTCGAATGCAATATATGCAATGCCTCATGCTAACCTCATGCAAATGCCAGTATGCAAGAAGGGAAATATGACGGGAAAAAAAATGAAGATATGCAGATCGCATACAAAAGATGAGGGAAAAAAATATTACAAACAGCCACCTCCTGGATGTATGTCAAAAGAAACCAGGATAAACTCCCAACGCAATGTAAAAAGAACAAAGATATCAAACACATTCCCATTCGCAGAATACACACCAGCGCGCGGCTCGATCGGCTAATACCAGACCACGCCACATACCACGCTCGCCGATCTTGATCACAGTCTCCCAAACGCTGCCCTCAGCGACAGCATCGGTCACAGACTCAGTGCCTGTATCGGAGCTGATCATATGCTCGGCTTTACGGGTGAGACGCAGGATCTTGCCTGATGGAGACTGGATCGCGAGTTTTGCAGCTTTGTGTTGCCCGGACGCGGATTTGTTGGAGATAACTGACGTCGAGGCTGAAAACTCGTTCGAGGCACCTGACACAGTTGATCCGCCCGCCGTACTGGATACCATGCTCAACGCACTTGATGGGCGAGTAAAGACGGACGAGGGCGAGCCACGACCGTTGGAAATTGACTCGTCCTTGCTGGAACCGGGAGCGGCGGGGTGTTGTCGGACAGCGAAGACGAAAGTGTTGTTTACTGCCAGGCGAGAGCATTGGGGCTGCATAATGTACAAGTCGTGTCGCTGGGCGTGAGGTGTTGGATGGCGGAGCACAAAGTCGTAGGATGGATTCTCTCCGGTGTGGATGATAGGTAGAGCGAAAGCTAGTGGATGTGGGATATCGCGGCTCGAGTGCATTAGCCCTTTCTTGCCTGCATAGACCTTGAGTACAGCCTGGCCTTCGTCCCCTGGTAGTACAGCCTTGATAGTGATGCGCTTCCGGCCTCGGAACCAGTCCGGCTGGACCAATGCGCGCTTGCGCACAATATCTCCGCTTTCGAAGACATCACCATCTGCGTCGCGCGCAAATGCCGGGGCTTCGACTTCCGCGGCACATTCGACATCCTGAGGGACTATCATGCGCAATTGCATGACCTCTAGTCCCTCAAGACGGAGCAGACTTGTGTCATAATCTGGCATCTGGACGTTGAGTTTGAAGTAAGGCGGACACACGGCAGGCAGGGAGAGTAGAACATCTGGTGAAATGGGTGGACAGATGTGCTGTTCTTCGGGATAGAGCGGGACGTGGGTGTAGCAGAAATCAAGCGGGCGAGTGAGGAAGTACCAGCTCTCTGCTACAGAGGAGTTGTTGGAAACGAATCTACTGCGTTGAGGGTTCGTGGGGTTTGCAAGCGCGCAATCCATAAACCGCCATTCACCATCAACCATGACTGAATTCCACCAGTGATTGGGGTGGGAAAGGCTTTCCAAATCGAGGCTGTCGCCCGGGCTCTTGAGGAACCCTCGGATGACTTCTGTATGTAGCCCTACGGCGGCGCACATCTCGTGCACCAAGACTGCGATTTCCTCGGGTGTACCTCGTTTCGCCTGTAGAAGTCTCTTCATGTCGACTTCGAGACCGTCGACAGGTTCCTCCCACGAGATCTTTTCGCTTACCCAGGTAAAGATGGCCCGAAGACGTTGAACGTCACTCTTGTAGGGTCGACATATGTATGATTGCGCAAGACTCATGGGGTTCGTTAATGGAGGAAGACTGCTGATGAAGCGTGCACTCTTATCAACGAGGTTAAGGTTCGCTGCGTGGAAGTTCGTCGGTTCAGTGATCGGTTGCCCGTCGATGCTTTCGTCTCCTTCCGCGGTATCATACAACTCCTCCACGGAGTAGATGACAGGGTGATCCACCATCTGACACCGCTCTGCCCTTTCGATCCTCTCGTTTCGACTAGGCGACGATGCTCGGTTAACATCTCGGCGGACTTGAACCCAGTCAATGCTATTAGTTCCGAGTCCCATATCGCGAACACTATCACGATTGGAGTGAGACGTCAAAGCTGGCGACACAACGTCTATCCCTCTGTTGCTTTTGGTTGGAGAACTAGCTCTCTCACTGTGACCAACGGAGATACTACTCCTTGCGCTCGCTGCACCAGTCTTGGCCGTTTCGAATATCTTTTTGAAGAACCCTGGCTTTTTAGACTTTGGAGTAGTAAGTCCACCAAAGACTCCGCTATGATCTGTCGAGTCGAGACCAGTAGATGACCACGGAATAGCCGATGACGCACCCTGACGAGATGAGTTATGACTCGAGTGATACGAAACACCTGTGAAAGGTGTCTCCGGGCGTACGTCGCTAAATCCCCGAGAACGGACAGTGTCCATAGCAGTATTAGGCCTCTCGCTTCCAGATCGCCTGGCATAGCTCCCTGCGCTCGTCGCACTAAATCCTCCCGCGGAGAACCCACTCATAACACTAGGATTGGTCTTGTCCGTGCTCGTCGTCATGGATGTTCCATTGCTCTGAACCCCACTGGAGGAATTTGTGGTACTGGATTTATTGGTAAATGACCGGTTGAGAATGTCTCCTCGTAGGTCGTGACCAGAACGACGTGCCTTGAGCGGAGCATATTGTCCTGGAATCGAGTTATTGCGCGGGTGGTAGGTGGCATGTTTTGGAGGAGGCGGAGGAGGCCCACCATCATCATCGTCCTGGCCACCTCGTCGGTCCTCGGAGGACCGATTCTGGTTTTCTAATTGACGCAGCCGGCTTTCCATTCTTTGAACATAGTTATTGAGCTGAGGCGGACCATCCATGTGGTCATGGCTATAAACACCGTTTCGATGGGCCAGCCCACCTTGCGGTTGTTCCTTGTCCCCGTCAAAGCCCATTGATGTCAAAGGCCTGCGTCTGTTCCCTTGGGGAGTCCTTTCGTGTGAGGTATCAAACTCTTCCGGGGCCCATGGGTTGTTAAACATTGGTGACGGAGAAGGCGACTGGGCTTCACGTGGAAGACCCATATCTTCCAATGAAGTCATGACATCTTCCATGGCATCCCGAAGCGGAGATGGTGTATTGCCATGAAGGTCTGAATGAGCTGAAGTAGCAGAACGTGTGGACGCTGCCGATGGGGATGGAGTGCGGTCAATAATCACGTAACGATCATTCATAACTAATGGCGTGGGGGATCGTGATGGACCAGGAGAATGGGACGGCGGTCGAGGAGAGTGTGCGCGGTGGCGGGAGGAATGTGCGGGTGGTTGAGGCGAATGACTTCGTAGATGAGAATGCATTGGCGGCTGCGGAGAGCGCATCTCCGCACGGTTGAGGGCCACTCGGTGTGGCGGTGGGGGAGGAGGTGGAGAGTCCTCTCGCTCGTCCTGCATATGTACTGGGGAAGGCTCACGAGATGCGCCGTTCTGGTAAGAAGCAATACGCCCGTGCGGGACAATCGCAGATGAGTAGGTTTGCATTGGCAATGGCGAGGGAGCCCGGTAAGATGGCATATCACCATGCGGCATGGGCACAGGTGGATGATCTTGCATGTATAATGGAGATGGCCCACGCGATGAAGCTCGGTACATATCATCGTGTGAAACCATTGCAGACGAATGCTCTTGCATTGGCGATGGAGATGGCCCTCGCGATGGAGCCCGGTATCTACTGCCATGTGAACCCGTCGAAGACGCATGCTCGTGCCTTGGCGATGGAGATGTTCCACGCGATGGAGCCCGGTACCTACTGCCGTGTGAACTCATCGTGGACGCATGCTCGTGCATTGGCGATGGAGATGGTCCACGCGATGGAGCCCGGTATCTACTGCCGTGTGAACCCGTTGCAGACGCATGCTCGTGCATTGGCGATGGAGATGGTCCTCGCGATGGGACCCGGTAGGAAGACATACGCCCGGTCGGAACCATTGCAGAGGAATAATCCTGCGTGGGTAGTGGGGATGGGGCTCGATAAGATGACATACTACCATGTGGCATGGTCGCAGGCGGATGATCTTGCATGTATAATGGAGATGGCCCACGCGAGGGAGCCCGGTACATACTACCGTGTGAAGCTGTCGCAGACACATGCTCCTGCATTGGAAGTGGTGATGGCTCACGCGACGGTGGTTGATATGGAATATTCCCATGGGACATCGTCGGAGGCGGGTATTCTTGCATTTGCAATGGGGATGGTTCACGTGATGAACCACGGTAAGATGAAATAGTTCCATATGGTATAGTCGGTGGCGGGTAATCTTGTATTTGTAACGGAGAGGGCTCACGAGATGAACCCCGATAAGATGGGCCACTGCCCCGGGAAATCATTGCAGACGATTGCTCGTGCAATGGCAAAGGAGAAGGATCACGGGACAGGGGGCGATTAGACGAAATGTTACCCTTCGACATCATTGTGGATGCACGTTCCTGTGTCTGGAACGGAGACGGCTCGCGCGATGAAGGCCGAGAGGATGAGATGCCACCCCTCGGCATCATCGATGGCGACCGCTCTGGCTCTACAGACGACCGAGGAGAGATTCCGCGTGATAAAGGCCGGGATACCGATGATGTAGGTCGAGAAAGCGAGCCTTGGTTTTTAACTGCTGTCGCATGCGTGCGCAATGGCTTCGTCCTCCTTTGAAGACTGCCATCTCGGGGTGGTGTCTGGGGGATCGCAGGTGCTGCTGGACTAGACTCGGTTGCGCGCCGAGCAGCTGACGCTGGCGACACGGCTTCTTTATGCGCCTGGAAGGGTTTCCGCCAAACGGTTTTCTGTTTCTTGGGGGCTGATGTGGGATTATTTATCGGAGAAGATCCTGCTAGCACCATCGGACTAGTGTCACGGCTCACGGGCACAAAATCCTCGCTCAAAAGTTCGACAAAATTGGATGGAAACAGCCCAACCGCGCGCCTATCACGGCGCAATCGACCCATCCACCATTGTCCATCGCCGGCATTCAAACATTCGATCAAATCACCCTCCACAAATCCCAGATCTCGTGTTGTCTCCCCACCCCATGAATATACTGCTCGACACCAGCATGGAAACCGCATTGGCAGCTGAGCCATGGTGGTCACCAAAGCACGCTCTGGTCGAGCGCAACACACGAGATTGATCCAATAGACTGTTTCAACACCTAGCGCAACTTTCGCAAGTCCAGGTCAAAATGAAGTTAGGAAAGTGGATTGTCAATCGGCGAAGTTGTATTGTTGTTTCGGATCCAAGACAGCTTGGTCAGATGGGTGACGAGGTCCGCACGGCCGCAGGGATAGCAACGATCGCTCAATCAATCAGCATTGTCGAGAGAATAAGGGGAATTCAATTGGGTATCCAAACGGGATTGGCGTATAGGTATTGAACTGCATCAAATGAAGCCAACAGAATGGTTGCTAGAGGCGTGGGGGGGAAGGCTGAGTGGTTCAGATCGGTGAGGCCTAAGACGACACTTGGGGCGTAAACCAGGACTGGGGTTGTTTGTTTGTGGCCCAATTGGGACTAGCGGTGGAGGGCTCCCTTATCGATAAGCTTAATGTACATTATGTAATAATTCCTGTTCCCCGAATCTGTCAAAGTCAGGTACCTGAGCATTGTGCTACCTCGTGTATTGCAGATATTTTTTCTTGGATTTCGCACGATGGCATGGATTATGTATATGCATGCTTCATGTAAGGTGGGTCCCTCGAGGGCTGTGGTCGATTTAAGTCGTCAATGACGCTCGTGCCCGTCCCTTTCATAGGAGAGCCGCAGCCGATCCATGGTTCCGCGTAGAACAACCCTGGTACTCAGCACAACAGGTGATTTCCACGAAACTAGGAACACCTTTAATTCGATCATTTAGTTTCGTGCATATGAAGACTTGTTTGGAATGACACTTTCTGCAGGTAAAACTCAAACGCTGCCGTTGAGAGTTATCCACCACATGATTAGATTATATATAATCTCCCCTAGCCACCCATATGCGGACCTACTGGTGGGCAAGAAGGGAAACCAAGGACTCGTGACTTCATATATGGAGTAAGATATTGTAGATTGCCAGATGCCAAATATTTCAGTCCAAAGTAGTTACATTGAATGTTCCTACTCGTAGGCAAGACCTCCCAATGTATGGATAGAGGAAGAATGCAAGGGTGGCTAAACTAGGGCCAGGGTCGAATTGCTAAGATATACGGAGTACTCCGTATATATGGCTAGATTAGAACCTTGGAGGTATTAACCATTGCGCTCACCAAATTAGCATTCTTTTGTTCAACTATACGGAGTACTCTGCACGGAGTACAAATCCTCGCATAAAATTGATTTACATAGCTCAATTTAATCGGTTGCAAGGGTACCCTCACACTTTGCATACCCCAAAGAATCATGTTTCACCCGGCGAAGTATCTCATTCGTGCAAGGTGCTCAATGCAAGACTCATATACTCTGTACTCCGTAGTGTTATTGGTAATGGTAGCTTCTCATCCAATCGAATCAAAAGTCGACGCAGTTTCCAAATATTAGCTGTACTGCTTAGCACATGAAAGCCATAGTCTGAGACCCGATGCCATTTAGTGGCAGGATGCCGGATCGAGTAATCTCCACATTCTTTGTGTTGTCGAAGGATTTCCACCCACACAAAACTAGCCCAGTGGTTCTTAATGTCTTAGAGAGTCCCCTTACATAAGTTCAACTCATGTCAAAAATGGAAGACTTTTTAGAGCCAGATCTTCCCCAGCCACCACAACATTCTTTAATGAGCAACTAAACTACTTGTCTTTACCAAACTATGCATATGTGGCAAACAAAAATACTGTTTTGGCTATTTCGAGAAAAATGCAAACATGCTTTTGGATCTTAAATGCTTCCCAATGTGGATCAGAAACAGAAACATAGGCCTAGGCCTTGTCCATGATAATCTCATACAAACTATTCACATATGTCTTTATCCACGTTGAACAGCTGCTGGATTTTCAAAAAGCTAATAACTGTCTGTCTCCCGACTTTGACAGCTATTAGATCAAGCCCAAAATTATATTTACCTTACCAATATTGTTTATTCCCTTCGTGTCAGTCATTGAAATGGCACCTTTGAGAGCTCTCGCGACCTTAGCTGCTACTGGGCTCGTGCATTTAGCCTGGGCAAAACATGTTAACTTCGAATTGGACTTGACTTGGCAAAAGGGTGCGCCGGATGGTAATATGCGAGAGATGATCCTTATGAATGATCAATTCCCGGGCCCTGAATTGCGCATAGACCAGGGTGATAATGTTGAAGTAGGTCTTTCTTTTTGAGACAAAACTACTATGAAAGAGTCTTTACTGACAGCCTATAGTTCGTTGTCCACAACAATATGCCCTTCAATACTACCATACACTTCCACGGCATTGAGCAGCTGAATACTCCATGGTCTGATGGTGTTCCTGGTCTCACCCAAAAGCCTATCCAGCCTGGACACAGTTGGACATACCGTTGGACCGCCACCCAGTATGGCACATATTGGTACCATGCCCATGCTCGGGGTGACATGATGGATGGTCTTTATGGCCCCATTTGGATCAAGTAAGGTCCCACATTTCCGCTTCGGCTCCATAATCGCAGACTGACAAATTCAGCCCTGGACCGGAGGTTCCACAGCCGTTTCATCTTATTTCAGACAATACCCAGGATATTGCGGCAATGAAAAATGCGGAGAAAAATCCTCAACTTGTGATACTCTCTGATTGGGATCACTTGACCTCTGATGAGTATCAAAAGGTGATGGAAGAAAGCCGTTTGGATGTTTTGTATGTGAAGAAGTTGTTATTCGGACTTTCATGGAGATATACTAACAATTCCCAGCTGCTCAGACAGCGTCCTCATCAACGGACGGGGAGCAGTGTACTGTCCAGGAACCGAAAGAATATCGAGTGTAGAGCTTTCTTACCTCAAAACTGCAATTAACAATAAGCCACTCAGTGACAAAGGGTAAGATATGATCTGCCAAAAGAATCAGTATTTTGCTGGCTAACATTCGCCTAAGTTGTCTCCCTAATATTTACGAAACACAGGGTGACTTCCCCCCAACCTATGAGGACAAGATCCCGGCGGGCTTGAATTCTGGCTGCACGCCTACCACCGGTTTTCACGAGATTATTGAAGTTGACCCCAATGCTAGCTGGGTTAGCCTGAAGTTCATCAGTGCCTCATCTCTCAAGGCTCTTATGTTCTCTATCGACGAGCATCCTATGTATATCTACGAAGTTGATGGTAGCTACATTGAGCCTCAACTTGTTCAAAGTGCCACCATTTATAGCGGTGAGCGCTATGCTGCAATGATCAAGCTTGACAAGGCTTGGAAAGACTATACTATCCGAGTCCCGGACACTCAAGGCGATCAGATTATCTCTGGTTTTGCCACGTTAAGATATAAGGGTGCTCAGGATCTTCAACACGCATACCCATCTAAACCGTATTTGGACTACGGCGGAAGAAACACCTCCGCCTCCGTCATTCCATTGAAGAATAAGGCCATCAAGCCTTACCCTGCCGTGACAATTCCTCAGGCTGCTGATCAGCTTGTTAATCTCACCATCGGTCGTTTGGGCTCGTCATACACATGGACTGCTTCAGGTAGTGGCCTGTACGACATGATGGCCAACTGGGACAATCCGATACTCTACGACATCAACGCAAAGGACAATCTGGATCCACAAGTCACTATCCAAACCAAGAATGGAACCTGGGTCGACTTGCTGCTTCAACTAGGCGAAATGCCTAATACTCCTGCGACCCAAGCCCCTCATGTTATGCATAAGCACTCCAACAAGGGCTTCATCCTTGGTGTTGGCCCCGGCTTCTTCGAGTGGTCCAGTACTGAGGAAGCCTATGCTGAGCGCCCTGAGCTCTTCCAAATGGAGAACCCACAAATGAGGGATACATTCGTCACCAATGGCTCTAAGGGACCAACATGGATGATTGTGCGGTACCAGGTCGTTAATCCGGGTCCCTTCATTCTTCACTGCCACATCGAAACCCACATGGCCAATGGAATGGCAATCGCTCTACTTGATGGCATTGATGCATGGCCTCAAGTTCCTGCTGGAGAAGATCAAAGCCCTGGTGCCCAGTATTGACCCACTGACTGCGGCTAAAGTGACTATTGACCAGAGTTACCAATTTGATCATTGGTACATGACATGCGATATGAGGTCTATTTTTGTACTGAGATTTTGGGAGGCTTGCTTTTATGAATTATGTTTGCCTATAATAGCGAGGATACCATTCAGTTTTGCTTTATGAAATCAATTATTTCTTTTGTCAAGATACCCGTGGAGTGCCTTGGTTCCAGGCTTCCACCCCTCCTAGCCAGTTCAGATAGTAGGAGTAGCAACCATCTGCATCTTTCATCATCTCTGTTTATTCATAAAATGCATATGTATAGTCTGCTTGCGGCCGGTGGCCCGATAAGGATGGCCCACCCCGTCAGACATTTGGGAGCAGCCGTGGCCTTCATCGGGATATCGCCAGATAACCTATGAGGTGTTTGACGATCCATTTTTGATGATGCAGCCACCCATCATGCGCAAAAGCATTGATTGAGTCGGTTGAGTTTGCTTTGTACATCTCGGTATACCCTCTTACGTGTATCCTCCTAAGCTACATACATAACTTGGCATCGGTATATGTTGTAAAATAGTAAACAGGAGTTTTGCCGGCGCCGAAGACAAGATCGGGCCGTAATGATGGTATCGGCCCGAGGAGCGAATGTCACCGGGAACTGACAGTGGGCGTAGCGAGCAGGTCTCAGAAAATATGATTTGAACCCCGAGTCATGACGTAAGGAAAACAGTATGATGATGCTCTCAGATGATCTGCATGATATTACTAAAGTTGTAAAAGATCTGCGGCAGCTTTCCTCAATTGGTTTCCTGTTGCATTCAACCCAAGCGTTCTATATCTTCATTGTTTACTTCGTACGAGATGATGCCTCACTTCCGAGTGCCTGCTTATCCTTGTGATCTCAGAGCTTATTGTGGCAGGATCTTACTCCGATGAAAATTGCAGCATTATTTGCATTACCTGCATTACTTGACATTCTTTTGGCACGTCGTTATCATGCAGGCCACTCTTAGGGCTTGGAATACATCACGTGACCAATGGAAGCACCGGCTGTAACCTTCTGAAAGCAGCCACATCACTTTTCTATTGCAACTCCATGATGTTTGTACTTTGTACCGGGACTAAGCTTCCTTGAATCCTCAGTGGAGTGGAAGGATCTGGAATGGGGAAGGATCTGGAATGGAACGTCCGGGTAAGAATTCCGATCCAGTATTGATAACTCTGTTGATTGCTAGTCTTATCCGCAAACAGCACTCGTGGATCGGGGACTTGTGAACTATCATCGGGTTGCCGGTTCAATTACTAGTTGATAAATAAACTTCAGAGCCTAATCGGGCAATCCAAGGAACTGAGGTACAGCTTTGGCCACCCGATCCCTTTCTAGACTCATTTAGGTAGGCATAGCGCAGTCTTAAAAAATCATGGAGTTGAGTATAGTAACGGTTCCATTGATCGATGTTCGAGCCATCGTATCCCCATTAATACGGGTACTACGAGAATCATAAACTTTCGCAACATATTGGATGCTAAGTCATAGGATCCTACATATCCCCATAGTCTCAGGCCAGTGGATCCCGATCCAGGGAGCAAAACAGGGAATAATGGAAAAGAAAAAAAATATTTGCAGCTTGCCATTCGGATACAGCTAAGGCCGTGTCCTGTTCTAATTACCCTTGACCCACTCCGTGGGAAATGCACACATGTATAAAGTATGATATCCGTCGAATCGCCTGTCATTGAACCTTGATTATTCTTTCTCCGTATATCCTCGAATTGGTCATTTGGCTCAGGGGATGAATATGGAAGGCCCCAGTCGTGTGTATCTCTTCGGAGATCAGACTGCCGACTTCGACTCGGGCCTCCGCCGTCTGTTGCATGCCAAAAATGACTCTTTGTTGGTGGCATTCTTCCAAAAGTGTTACTATGCCTTGCGTAAAGAAATTACTTCGCTTCCACCCTCCGAGCGGCAGATATTTCCCCGGTTTACAAGCATTGTTGATCTCCTCGCGAGATACCGAGAGTCAGGGGCAAATCCAGCCCTCGAAAGCGCCTTGACAGCCATTTACCAGCTGGGAAGCTTTATCCAGTAAGAATGACCCACAAGAGCCTTCTTATATGGCGCAAATGATTGTGCCCAGTTTGCTGACAGAATGTGATAGCTACTATGGCGATTTGGGCCATGTCTACCCGTCCGGCGATGAGAGCTGCATCATTGGTCTTTGCACTGGCCAACTCACGTCCGCGGCTGTGAGTTGTGCAAAGACCGTTGGAGAGCTCATCCCCGCTGGTGTTGAGACAGTTGTGATTGCTCTCAGGCTTGGCATGTGCGTCACAAAAGTACAGGAGCTTGTAGAATGCAGCAAACCGGCGGCATCAAGCTGGTCTGTGTTGGTTTCTGGCATGCGTGATCCGGAGGCTCAGGAGTTGATTCAAAGATACGCGCACAAAAATGTAAGTGGATAGCGCAGAGTCCACTTCAGAGATCGGGCATGATTGAGACTAACATTTTAAAAGGCTTTGCCCCGCGTATCCCAGCCTTATATCAGTGCAGTGAGCCCTAATGGACTAACGATCAGTGGTCCCCCAAGCTTTCTGGGCCGTTTCATTGAGACAAGTCTTTCAAAAGAGCACAAGCCCATGAGAGTTCAAATCCACGGTCCCTACCATGCCTCACATCTGTATGATGACCGGGATATTGATCGCATTATGGAGACTTGGCCTGCGGAGCAATTCATGGGTTATGTGCCTCAGATTCCTGTCTTTTCAAGCGAGACCGGTTCGATCTTCGAGGTGGAGAGCCTTGAGCAGCTCTTGAGGATTTCTCTCAAGGAGATCCTGCAACGTCAGCTTTGCTGGGACAAGGTCGTTGAGTCATGTCGGTTGACCTTGAACTCGGCCACACCATGCACTCTCTTCCCTATTGCGAGCACTGCAACACAGAGCCTTTTCAATTCATTGAAAAAGACTGGATTCTCCAACCTTGAAATTGACAACACAATTGGAGACGTGAAAAAGGAATCTGCTGGAGATAACCAAAGTGGCCGTTCTGAACAGTCAAAGATTGCAATCATTGGTCTTTCTGGAAGATTCCCAGAAGCGCCTGACACCGAAGCATTCTGGGATCTTTTGAAAAAGGGATTGGATGTTCATCGGGAGGTTCCACCAGAGCGTTGGGATGTCAAGGCCCACGTTGACAAGGAAGGCAAGATACGAAACACCAGCCAAGTTCAATACGGATGTTGGTACAAAGACGCCGGAATGTTCGATCCCCGATTCTTCAACATGTCTCCGCGTGAAGCACTTCAGGCAGACCCTGCTCAGCGTCTGGCGCTCCTTACTGCATACGAAGCTTTCGAAATGGCTGGATTCATCCCTGATAGCACTCCTTCTACGCAGAAAAACCGCGTTGGCGTCTTCTATGGAATGACCAGCGATGACTATCGTGAGGTCAACAGTGGTCAGGATATTGACACCTACTTCATCCCTGGTGGAAATCGTGCCTTCACTCCCGGCCGCATCAACTATTACTTCAAGTTCAGCGGCCCCAGTGTCAGTGTTGATACAGCTTGCTCCTCAAGTCTTGCAGCCATTCATGTGGCATGTAACTCTCTGTGGAAGAACGATTGTGATTCTGCCATTGCTGGTGGTGTTAACATTCTGACGAACCCTGACAATCATGCTGGTCTTGACCGTGGACACTTCCTTTCGAGGACTGGAAACTGCACTACCTTTGACGATGGTGCTGATGGCTACTGCAGAGCGGATGGAATTGGCTCCATTGTCCTGAAGAGACTCGAGGATGCCCAGGCCGACAACGATCCAATTTACGGTATCATCGGAGGTGCCTACACCAACCATTCAGCAGAGGCTGTCTCAATCACTCGGCCTCATGTCGGAGCCCAGTCATTCATTTTTGACAAACTCCTGAATGAGTCAAACACGGATCCTAAGGAGGTCAGCTATATTGAAATGCACGGAACTGGTACACAGGCAGGCGATGCCGTGGAGATGCAGTCGGTTCTCGATGTCTTCGCTCCTGACTACCGTCGTGGGCCAACTCAATCCCTTCACCTCGGCTCAGCAAAAGCAAACATTGGACACGGAGAATCAGCATCTGGTGTCACGGCTCTGATCAAGGTCTTGATGATGATGCGGAAGAACATGATCCCACCTCACAGTGGTATCAAGACCAAGATCAACCATAACTTCCCAACAGACTTCCCTCAGCGCAATGTTCACATTGCTTCGCAGCCTACCCCCTGGAATAGGCCCAATGGTGGTCAGCGCAAGACATTTGTCAACAACTTCTCGGCCGCTGGTGGCAACACTGCTCTGTTGGTTGAGGATGGCCCACTCAACGAGGAGAATGTGGCGGACTCCCGGTCTGCCCATCCTGTGCTTGTCTCTGCCAGGTCCCAGTCTGCTCTCAAGAACAACATCTCTGCTCTTGTGCAGTATATTGACACGAACAAGAATCTTTTCAATGTCAACCAGGCTAGCTTCCTTGCAAATCTGTCCTATACCACCACAGCGAGACGCATCCATCATCCATTCCGGGTGGCAGTCACTGGATCAACATTGGATGAAGTTCGAAGTGCACTGGCTCCTATTGTCAACCGCGATAGCATTAGCCCGGCCCCCGTCAATGCACCTGGAATTGGCTTTGTCTTTACTGGGCAAGGTGCTCAGTACACTGGCATGGGACGCCAGCTATATGAGGACTGCTCTCAGTTCCGTGCTCATATTGAGCACTTGGACTGCATTGGCCAGAGCCAGGGATTCCCATCTATTGTGTCTCTGGTTGATGGAAGCATTCCGATTGAGGAGCACAGTCCAGTTGCTACCCAGCTTGGGACAACTTGCGTGCAAATGGCATTGACCAAGTACTGGGGCTCTTTGGGTGTCACCCCTACCTTTGTACTTGGTCACAGCCTCGGAGAATTTGCCGCGCTCAACGCAGCCGGTGTTTTGACAACCAGTGACACGATCTACCTTGCCGGGCGACGGGCTCAGCTTCTTACCGAACAATGCAAGGTTGGAACACACGCCATGCTTGCTGTCAAGTCCTCAGTCGCACAGGTCAAGCAGTTCCTCGACGATGCTACTGAGGTGGCTTGTATCAATGCTCCCAGCGAGACTGTTATCAGCGGATCAAGTGCCAAGATTGACGAGCTTGCTCAAACACTTGCCAATGAAGGCTTCAAGGCCACTAAGCTGAAAGTACCTTTCGCTTTCCACTCTGCGCAGGTTGATCCTATCCTTGAAGGTCTTGCCGAAATTGCTCGAGGTGTTACTTTCAACAAGCCTTCAATACCCTTTGTGTCTGCTCTTCTTGGAGATGTTATCAAGGAAGAAAACAGTGAGATGCTTGGTCCCAACTATTTGACTCGCCACTGCCGGGAGACTGTCAACTTCCTTGGTGCTCTTGAAGCTACCCGGCACTCTAATCTGATGAACGACAAGACTATTTGGGTCGAAATTGGATCTCACGCTGTCTGTTCTGGAATGGTCAAGTCAACCTTCGGTCCTCAGGCAACTACCGTGGCTTCTCTCCGTCGCCAAGAAGACTCCTGGAAGGTCCTCTCAACCAGTGTTTCTGCTCTGTATCTGGCTGGAATTGAGCTTCGCTGGAAGGAATACCACCAGGACTTTACTGCCGGACATAAGGTTCTTCCACTTCCCTCCTACAAGTGGGACCTCAAGAACTATTGGATTCCATACACCAACAACTTCTGTCTGCTCAAGGGTGCACCTGCCACAGCAGTGGGTGAGAGTACACCAGTCTCTGTGTTCTTGTCAACAGCCGCTCAAAAGGTCTTGGAGACTAGCGGTGACAATTCGACGGCAACTATTGTCATCGAGAATGACATTGCTGATCCCGAACTGAACCGCGTCATTGCCGGCCACAAGGTCAATGGTGCCTGTCTTACTCCATCGGTATATATCTCCCAGCTCTCTCGTTTTGAAGTTTCGCTCGCTAACTTGGATGTAGTCTTTGTACGCCGATATTGCACAGACCTTGGCCGAATACCTCGTGCAGAACTACAAACCTGAATGGAAGGACCGAGGCTTTGATGTTTGCAACGTGGTAGTACCAAAGCCACTGATTGCAAAGGGCGGCAAGCAACTCTTCCGGGTCTCAGCCACTGCCAACTGGGCCGACGAAATTGCCCATGTGCAGGTGTGGTCTGTGACCCCCGAAGGCAAAAAGATCCTGGACCACGCTACCTGTGAGATCAAGTTCTTTGATCCGAGCACTTACGAGCTCGAGTGGAAGCGCAGCTCTTATCTCATCAAGCGAAGCATCGAGCATCTTCAAGAAAGCACGATCACTGGCCAGGCTCACCGTATGAAGCGCGGAATGGTTTACAAGCTCTTTGCCTCTCTGGTTGACTATGACGAGAACTACAAATCCATTCGGGAGGTCATCCTTGACAGCGAAGAGCACGAAGCTACCGCTCTGGTCAAGTTTGAGGCTGCGCCTGGAAACTTCCATCGCAACCCCTTCTGGATTGATAGCATTGGCCACTTGTCAGGCTTCATCATGAACGCTAGCGATAACACTGATTCCAAGAACCAAGTGTTCGTGAACCATGGATGGGACTCGATGCGTTGTTTGAAGAAGTTCGACCCGAGCGTCACCTATCGGACCTACGTGAGAATGCAGCCTTGGAAAGACGCTATCTGGGCCGGTGATGTCTATTTGTTCGAGGGCGATGATATCGTTGCTGTGTATGGTGGTGTCAAGGTATGTCAAAAGATCCTCCCCATGATTTGAGCGAAATACTAACACAACGCAATAAAGTTCCAAGCATTGTCACGGAAGATCCTCGACATGGCTCTTCCCCCTGCTGGGGCCGCAGCTCCCAAGTCTGCCGCCAAGCGTGCTCCTGCTCCTATTGATGTTCAGAAGGCAAAGAATGGCCCGGTCAAAAAGGCTTCCTCTTCACCAAAGTCTGCAGCTCCTACTCTGGCTAAGCGTGCTCTCACCATTCTTGCCGAAGAGGTCGGACTTTCAGCATCTGAGATGACTGATGATCTCAACTTCGCTGATTACGGGGTCGACTCCCTTCTCTCACTGACTGTCACTGGCCGATATCGTGAAGATATGGGACTTGATCTGGAGTCCTCTGTCTTCGTGGATCAACCAACTGTCAAAGAGTTTAAGTGTCTCCTTGCACAGATGAGTCCTGCCGAAAGCAGCAATGATGAATCCAGTAGCGAAGGAGATACTTCATCGGCCGCATCTTCGACTGATATCTCATCTCCCAACTCCAGTGGTCTACCCACTCCTGCGAATGAGAAGTCCATGACACATGGTTCCCTGGAACAAAATGATACCATGAAGCTCATCACCTCAATCTTGGCCGAAGAGATTGGTGTGGAATCCGAGGAACTCGACGGCGATGCAAACCTCGGTGAGATGGGTCTGGACTCTTTGATGTCCCTCACCGTTCTAGGTAAGATCCGTGAGGAGTTGGACCTTGACCTTCCAGGGGAGTTCTTCATTGAGAACCAAACTCTCGATGACATTGAGGTCACCCTGGATTTAAAGCCCAAAGCCGCCCCCGCAGAGCCGATCAGACTGCCTCAGCAAATGCCAGTTCAAGCCCCAGTGGTCGCCCCTAGGACTGCCATTCAGCACCCACCAGCCACTTCCATCCTACTGCAAGGCAACCCGAAGACGGCGACACAGAAGCTTTTCTTGTTCCCTGATGGCTCAGGCTCTGCGACCTCTTACGCCTCTATTCCTGGAATCTCTCCGGATGTTTGTGTCTACGGACTCAACTGTCCATACATGCGTACACCTGAGAACCTCAAGTTCAGCCTGGACGAGCTCACTGCTCCCTACGTTGCAGAGATCCGGCGCCGCCAGCCTACTGGCCCTTATAACTTTGGTGGCTGGTCCGCCGGTGGTATCTGCGCCTACGACGCAGCGCGTCAACTAATCTTCGAAGAAGGCGAGCGAGTTGAGCGCCTGCTCCTCCTAGACTCACCGTTCCCTATCGGACTGGAGAAGCTGCCTCCTCGCCTGTACAGCTTCTTCGACACCATCGGTCTGTTTGGCGAGGGTAAGGCACCCCCACCAAAATGGCTGCTCCCTCACTTCCTGGCATTCATCGATTCCTTGGATGCTTACAAGGCAGTTCCATTCCCCTACACAGACCCTAATCTTGCTGAAAAGCTTCCCAAAACCTTCCTGGTCTGGGCCAAGGATGGTGTCTGCTCCAAGCCCGGTGATGCCCGTCCTGCGCCTGCAGCTGATGGCAGCACCGACCCCCGTGAGATGCTTTGGCTGTTGAACAACCGCACTGACCTCGGTCCGAATGGTTGGGATACCCTCGTTGGGCCCAAGCATGTCGGCGGAATCACGATCATGGAGGGTGCCAATCACTTTACCATGACTCGTGGCGAGAAGGCCAAGGAGTTGGCTGCATTCATTGCCAACTCTATGGCTTCACAGTAAACGAACGCACTGCATCTTGGGAGTCTAATCAGAGTTACGAGTTTTCGCCTTTCAAGAGCGTTTTTTTTGGCTCTTTTCTTTCTTTTTTGTTGTTCGTTCGCTTTCAATGCGCCCTCAAAATGCCCTCATTGCTCCCCTACTTACTACTGCAGTGTTTACTTCAAAATTTCGTGACATTACCATATTATATGAACTATAGTTTAATTATTAAATGAGAAACAAATTGAATGACCAGATGAAAAATTACCTATTTCATGATTTGGAAGACCAGTAATGGATACTGTCTACGATAGTACGAGAAAATACTAAGACAAACACACTGTACCAACCAGAGTGGACTACGCACCAGCTGTTGCTGAGAAGAAAGATGAAAACCCAGAAGAGCGTGGTGTTGCATCTGAGGCCTACTTTGCTCTTGCGAAACGAAAATCGCTCATGGGCTCGCAGGGAAAGTCGCAATGAATGAAACGCCAGGAAGATGCAATGTCACAACGAGCGGATGAAAGGAAGAAAGATCCATCTAATGTGATTATGAGATGCTTCACAAAGAGCAAATGTCTCATCGTGTGTGTCAGGTCTAGACGTCATAGATTCGACGGGGTAATATAAATGTGTGGGAAAATGGTCGAGTACAGGAGACGTGGAGCACACAGGAGTGATGATTATGAGAGATTCTTAGAAAGGCACCTCTGAGCTGTATCGCAGCGCACTGCCTCTGCCCCCAGTACCACCATTACCATTACCATTACCATTGTGACTGACTCCGGGGCTGGTCGGCCGGCTGTTGGCCCACTTAGGGCTTCTGGGCTGAGTGCTTGTAGAGCGAGTAGATGGGCGATTCTTCCTGATTTCACGAAGCTCGTCTTCCTTTCTGCGTAGGAACTCATCGCGTGTAGCAAGGACTGCTTCCAGCTCCTCAATTCGAGCTAGATGACGAGCGTTATCATCTTTCATGTGCAATTCATGAAGTTGAGTGATATTGCTGTTGGCCTTGCGCTTTAGAGTTTCATTCTCGGCTGTCAATCGGCGAGTCTCTGTGCCAGCCTGAGCAGCAGCTGTAGATGCAGTTTGGTATTGCTCCCGGATGTATTCCGATTGGTTTTTCTCGAACTCGGCCTTGCGCTCAAGATTCGAGTTTTCTTTGGTCAGACGGCGAACTTCCTCGCGTGCTGTCTCTAATTCAGCGGAACTGTCACCACCACCTTTGAGTGTTCGTCTGGCTTCGTCGAGCTCGTTCTTCAGCTCTGTTCGTTCTTCCTTCAGACTCGAGATAGTCTCTTTCTGCTTCTCGACGCGTTGTTCAATAGATGTTTTGGTCTCCGTCGCACGATCACGCTCTTTGCGGGTTGCATGTAGGTCATTTGTCCGGCTTTCATAGCGGTGTTGTAAGTCGCCCAGTGCCTTCTCTAGTTCCTTGCATCGAGAATTCGCTCGGACAAGTGCAGCCTTCAACCGGCCTTTCTCGGCTAAGTGAATGTTCTTCATCTGGATAAGATTGTTCTCCAGGGACTGCAAATCACGATCCAATGTTTGAGTGGGAGGTTTAGTTGACTCAGTAGATTGGGTGTTCTCTTGAGTATCCATCCGGGCGCGCTTTGACGAGTTATCCTCGGGTTCCTCGTCCTAATACACAATCTTAGCAAAATCCAAGTATATCAAGGGGAGGCAAACTTACCAGTGGACGCTTCTGAGCCGGCAGTGATACCTCGCCGGAAGGGCTGGAGCATTCCAACTCCTCCAGGGGTACAAAATGTAAAGGCTGAATAGTTGGCAATGGCCATCCAGCAACAGTATCCAACAGATAAACCAGAATCTCTTCGGCATCTTCATGTACACCGAGGGCATCATCTTGGAGATCGCCAACCTCGTCGTGGAGACGAGCAATGTAATGAACAAGTAAACGCAATCGATCCGGCTCGGGTAAATCAGGTAAACAACGCTCGATATGTTCACTTGTGTTGGCGACAAGGAACCAGATGACGGGTAGTAAGCTCCCGTTCCGGGCATAGGTCGTTCGTATGTGCTGCATGGACGGGCTTTTGGGGCTGAAGTAGGAATCCAACGCAAAAATAGCAGAGGGCGGTTTGAACAGCTCACGTGCGCTCTCGCTGGAATGGATACCAAAGCTGAGCGGCCCCTTTGCGAGGGATACTTCCAAACTGCTGCCCATCTCTCCGCGAGGTCGAGTATAAGTGAAGCCTTTACCCTGCAGATAACGCTCGAGTACGGCCTGTTTCTTTTCGTCTTGGACTGCAAGTATCAGATGGAGCTCGTGTGAGCCTGCTATCTCTATGAGATGGCCGAGGAATAGGAACTTTGCACTGGAATATTCAGCCCAGGATGCCTCTTTGGCAAAATCAGGATCAGGATCTTCTAAATGGTCTGAGATGTTCAAGTCCGGATGTGTCGAAACATTACTCAACCGCACAATGACCTGTCGCATATTTGAGTGCAAATCATCTCGCTGTACAAACAATGTAAGCTGTTTGAATTGTATTCAATACACAATCTCCACTCACCTCAGGTTCGGAAATTTGCGTATTTGGCTGGAAGCTGTCAAAGAATTGACGGATACAGGTAGCTGCATCAGTTAAAACACGTTCATAGTCATCCTTGACACGGGAATCCATCGGAAGGGTAACCGCAAATTCAGATGGTCCAAGGTGGACTGATCCAGGCACAACCTCCTCCATGCTAGTGACGGTCAACGCGCTGGGGTGAATGGTTTGAATTGATGGTTGGCCCATATGACCCGCATGGGCTAGTTCTGAGGGTGGGAGTAAAGGTTCTGAGTGGCCGTGATGGACTGCAATATGCGGGTGGGCAAAGGAATCTGTATCCGCTCTGACACTGAGCGGCGCGGTCGTCTCAGGGGCAGACACAGGAGCTGAAGCCTCGATATCACCTACGGAAGATGGTGTTTCGGCAGCATTAGCTGTTTGCGAGAGGCCAGGTTGGTTCCCTACGCCGAGCTGGGCCCAGGCGTTGTGTATCTTGTCCTTCGGAGTGGATTCCGGTAAACCACTATAGTGGTCCAAAGAGGCATCGGGGAGAGAATAATCCGACGGTTTAGCGCCGTTCTCTTCCATGATTTCGGCAGATAGGTTTGCGCGGCGAGATAAAAGAAGTGCTGGATAGGTGTTGGTTTCTATGGTCGTCTGATCTAGATCTTGTGATGGATTTGGAAGAAGTGTCTCTGGGACCGAGCTTAAACAGGTTGACTGGGCAAGCTCAAAGTCTGCGCAGATGTTAGCAAAATATGAAGATACATGTGGGATAGGAAAATACCTCTTACGAAAGGTCCACAGAAATGGAGAGACTGTGAATTCAAATCACCGTGGAACCAATTTTCGCCAAGAGAAACAGACTCGAAGCATAAGCTAACGGTTCCTAAGCTTGATGCCTGAGGGGGCGTCTCAGCTATCTCGGATACCTTGGGCTCCAGACCTAGACACTGCGTATTTGGATATGATGATTCGAGATTGTCGTGGTTATCTGGGGATTTCTGACGATGCCATGAGCATGCTGCGACAGAATTGGGATTTGGGTCATAGGTTGGACCACACTGCCGGGTGTCAACCACGGTGGCTTCGTCACACTCACCTAAAACTAGGTATGGGGGTGGACTAGACGACTCGGGGACGTAGTCAAAAGTCGCAGCGTTGGCCTGTAAGCGAAAGCTACTCGACCCAGTTGCTGAAAGCGGGGAATGACGTGGTGATTGTGATGATATCTCGTGAGAATGAGTTGAGGTCTCGATGTACTGAGTTTGGAGAGACTCTACGATCTCCGAAAGATTGTTTTGCCGCACGAATAGTGGCGAGGAGGTACCGGAATCAGGTCCACTCCACTCGATCTCACATTCAAAGGGGGTGCGACGGCTGCCCTCTGGATCGTTGGATGCTTCTGAGGATGAGGAAGAGATCACTATGACACCAGATGATTGAGAGGTACTGTCGCGTGTTGCTTCCTGATATGGCTCTTTCGATAATGTCGCCGTGCGTGCTGTTTCCCGAGATAGCGCTCTTCGTCGAGCTTTCTGCTGGTTCCAAACTAGTACAGCAAGCTCACTGGCGTTCTCTTTAGGTTCCTACACAAAGCAAGGGAAGCGCCGTGTTAGTCCAAGCTCATGTCACAACTCTTTGATGCATGCTAAACCCGAGAATAGCGTGGCGACTCACCCAAGTTGGATCGTACGGTCCCTCCCAATCAATGAGGTACTCGGTTTCTGTTTCACGGAGGATACACTTTATGGGCCACTCCTGATCGTCCGATTCACTGTTGTCACTGCTATCGCTTATAATCACAGTTGCAGCTGGAGGCCGGTCAGTACATTTTCTCTGGCGACTATCGAGTTTCGGGCGAGCCTGCTCTCGAAGCATCATGTGCGGGCGATTGTCGGGGAGATGTTGAATAACATGACGGGGAGTGAGATGAGAATACAGGTTCAATACTTATGAAATGCTCAAATGAGCTGCATTGATCCGAGACACATACAATTTTTGAGTCTAGGAAACATCCAGCACTTCCCCAAAGCACCGTGAAGGTATATGAAAGAGAGTACATGCGCGGCGCGCAACGGACGGACGGATAGCGCATCCGTCATCACGTGACAACGCTTATCGGCGGTATCAAGATGTAGATCTATAAGAGTGGGAATGATGCCATGGTCAATGAGTAGGGGTCTATAGTTTTCTAGAAAGTCGATCCTGTGAAGAGTTATATACATCTGGATCGCTATACCGTCTACACCCTGGCATATAGATACTGAACTGCCATCATCGTATATTACCCACTCCTCATTGTATAAAAGTTCATAGATCTATGCCGTCACTAGTATCTCTTGTACTTGCTGATTGAGAACTTGGCAAGTTGGCACCATGATCCTTCAATGTTCTTCCTGTTGCCTCTTCCACTCTTCAAAGTCAAATCCCAGCTCTGCTAGACTCTTAATGCTACTTCGCTTGTGACCTTGCTGCATGAACGCACGCTTGATATCTGGGAAATTGGCCCGCATCCACCTTTCCCGCTCCCCCCACCGAGTCCCAAGTTTGCCTTGCCCGTTGTTTGACAACCCGGGCCGGCGGATGGCCTTTTCGGCCCAATCATACAGAAAATTAAGATAATCGGCATCCATAGGGAATGGAAGAAGATGGAATTGCTTTCCATCTCCTTTGGCTTCAATCTCAGAGACCTCCCATATCTGCATTTCTTGTTTTGGTGGAAGAGTAAGCCGCGATGACCACACGCGAGAGAAAACGGCAGCGTGGTTCTCTGCCATGGGGAAAGGAATGACCCGCTGCGAAAGCACAGGGAACACAAGCGTGGGGTGATCTATATAGAACAATTGCTGGTAGACGTTCCTGGTTCGCCATCCATCAGTCACGGGCGATGGATTCAGTGAAGATAGAAAAGGATATGAATAGAAATAGCCAGTGCAGAAGACAATGGCCTCGACATGTTCTTCAATGCGTCCATCTGCAAATCTGACAGCTCTGTCATGGGTTGTGGGAGGAAGGAATTCGACTATCTCGGGGCAAATGATTTTCTCGCCAGCTGGAGGCGCAGCCAAGTAGGATTCAGATCGCTGAGAAACCAGCAGTTTGCCTTTGCTTACTTCGCTGATTTGGGCGCCAATGTCAAGCCCCGAGGCAGAACTCCCTACTACGACCACTTTCTTCTCCCGGAAGGGTTCTGGAGAGTCGTAGAATTTGGAATGAGAGATCGAGCCAGGGTAGGATGCATCCCAGGCCTGTATCCCTAAAATTTCAGGCACATATGGGACCGTAAAGTGACCACTAGCAACTACCACAGCGTCATAAGTGTGGGTTGTGTCCATGCCAGTAAGAAGATTCCTTGTAGTTAGACTCCAGGTACTCAAAGCCTCGTCCTGAAGTTTCACTTCTAAAACTTGAGTCTGAAATTGAATGAGGCCTTTGACATCCTCGGCATATTCCTCGAGGTATTGTTTCACTGTCGGGTGCTTAGGGAAGAGCTGGGATTCCAATGGAAATGCCTTGTCCGAGTAACGCATCAATTCCTTGGGGATGTTGGTCTCCAGCCGATTATAAACTGGGGACACGAATGCTGCCTCACGTGGCCCCTCAGTATGATCGATCCATACTGGCTGCTCAACTGGCTCATGAGGGTTTAGATGCGGGACCGCTGTCGACATCCCAATTTTGGACGAACTTGCATTATAGTTCCAAGCTCCTCCCACGGAGCTTCTTTGCTCGAACACCTCGACTTGAGTGAAGCATTTCTCGGCGAGGAGGTATCTGAGTCTGTCAGCATACCGTGATGAGGCTAGTCGCAACCCCGCTTACTTGACTGCGGCAAGGCCAGAGGGCCCTGCGCCGATGATAGCTACTCGGCGGACAGGATTTATGAGTGACATGCTTCCAAATGCGGCCTAGGGTTACGGTAGATTAGTTAACGAGAGAGTTGGGTTGATAGAGATGAAATAGCCTCGGAACATGCCAAGCGCTTCCGCCATAGTGGAGCAGGGTGTTTGTGCCTGATAGAGGGGGACGGGGGGGGTGCCATTGGGGATTATGGGGAGTCGAGAGTATTAAGGGTATTCATTCTATTCGTGTCATTTATGCTCAAGTCAGCTTCGAAATAGCGCAACCCATAGAATAGCGAAGCCCCAATAGAGCTACCTAGACAATGTGATTAACGGGGTAATTTTGGTTCTGGCAATACGTGAATTACTCATGGCCGGGTCTGTTATTACCGTGGAATTACCGGGCAGTGCTGCAGTTGCTCACCTCTTTGTTGGCCAAAGATTCTTCTTTGGTTTCTTTCCTCTCGCTCTTTTCTTTACTCTCATATCTTACCTTCTCATTTTATCCCATCTATCTTCCGGATTGACATGTGGTTCCTTTGACGGAACAGCAGGAAAATCGGCATGGACGCGAGAGAGCAGCCTCCTGCGTCGAATGCGCTGGCGCATTTGACCAAGGTTCCGATAGCTCAGCTTTCCCCGGACCTCGACAACGTAGCCGAAAAATCCTTTCTTGCGAATGTGGCACTCGTGTGGCCGTACTCGTCTTCGGCCAAATCTCTCAGCCTTCTGTTGGTGGAGCCGGATGTCCTCCTTCGGCGTGCCCTAGGACAAATCAAGGTCACATTTCGTGGACGCGTGGCGGAAAGAGTCGCAGAATCGCATGTCGGAATTGGTGAGACCATTGGTCTAGCTTTGAAAGACTGCAATTTCGTCAGCAATGCAGACTCTCAGCAAACCCCGGGAAGATGTATCGCGTGGGACGCACACTTCGCAAATGGCGTGACTCTGGAGGTATTTTGCTCTATGATATTCTCCGTGTGTCTCATGAACTCATTATGGCCCACATAGATCTACCGATCTTCTCAAGATCCGTTGACGATATCAGTTGAGCCACAACTGGCAGCGCCGCAGACCGAACTCGCATTGCCCACAACTCCCAGTGGGAAATCGACCAACTCCGAACGTGATCTCACCTCTAGTACAGGTTTATGGGGCTCACCGGTATTCTTGAAGCCCACTCGAACATCGCTCGAAGGAACAATTCGTTCCGCCTTCGACCCTTTCGCGGAAGAAGATGGTTTTGTGCCAGGCAAAGGAAGAAAAAGACCGAGATACAGCTTACAAAGGGAAGACTGGCGAGTTCTCACTGAACCGGAAAGCTCGCAGGAGGAAGACGTTCCTGTGGACTGGCTGCAGGTCTTGGATCAAGATATAGAGCACGAGCTCGACGAGGCGCATACGCCGAGCGAACCCTCAGACGATCTAATGAGCGATCCCGACGAAATTCCAGAGCAAATAGACACTGCACCACAGGAACCTTCTCCGATATTTGTGAAACCTTCTCTTGAGTTGACTGGAAGTATCATCGAAAGACGCGCTGGCGAGTCAAATAATCTTTCGTCTCATGAACAAGTTGATGTTCGTGGAACGTCTTTCCAACTCCCGACTGATACACCCCAAATTCGACCCATTCCTTCTCCCGGGCTTCCGATTCCTTCCCCGATTGTCTCTAGCAATGCTACCTCATCTGATTATTTTCCGCCATGGAACGCATCCACCCAAGTCCAAGAGACTCAATCCGTTCCTATGGAAATAGAGACTATAGCAACCCTCCCAGAGCCATCCATTGAGACTCGCGAAACTAAAGCGATTTCTCCCCCTAAAACAGAAATGATGAAGGTACCTGAGCCGTTCATTGAACCCGCCCAAGAAGAACATATCCTCGATTCCGGTTTCCAGGTCCATGGTGATACAGAACCATCCTCCAGTCCAGCAGATGCACCACTAAACCAGGAGATTGATTTGGTCGACTCTTTTGGACCGATTGATGCATTGGGTGTTTCTCAAGCCAACATTATTACTCATGTTATCGGCGAAGAAGCTCAAATTTCAAACGAAATACAGCAAGATATCCCCGATGACGGTGATCTATCTGGTGCCCCTTCTGAATCATCTTCAGGTTCGGAAGATGAATCGGATGACTCCTCTGAAATCATGGATGAATCGGCAGATCGTCAAATTGACGATGACGCCGAAAATATCAGTAACGAAGCTCAAACCTCAGACGAAGCAGAACTGGGATACATTGTTGATGATGAACCTACATCCCGTGAATCTTCGGTACCACCCCCACGCTCGGAGGGCGAATCCATTGAACCCCCCGGAGTGATTGATGCAGTCGATACGGCACAAACTGACGTCGGCATCCAAATTGCTGGTGAAACTACGGGATCTCCCAGCGATGTAAATGGACTTGATGACGAAGAAATTTTTGATCCAACGCTTCAATCGCTCGATCGTTCCCATCCAATCGATGCCTTTGACCAGGATGCGATAGACGCTCTCGAAATGATGAGAGCTACACGGGAGGAAGAATTTGAAGACAACCGAATCAAGAGGGACGAAGTCCGCATGGAAGCTGATATCGATCATCCATCCAAGCAAAATGACAGTGAAGAAGAGGACGAAAGGCTCGAAGATCACGCAGTTTATGATGGAGAATCCGTTCAAAGTTACAACTCGCAATATGACTCTGATGAGGAGGAAATCCATTATCCTCCCTCGGAGACAGGGCTGAACCAAGATGACTTCGACATCGAAGATGACAGTGACGAAGAGTTCGAACGCGACAGGGACTTGCCTTCCCGAGTTGGAGATCCCGAGATAATTGTACTCGACAGTGATACGGACGATGAGCCTACCTCTGATCATCCGACAGCCCCTGCTTCGGATTCTTCGTCTGATGAAGATAGCTCAGCCCACTCCGAATCCGCATATGCAGGCGCCCCTCCCGCCATGGTCGACTTTGAGATGGGTGAACAGGAATGCCCAGAGTCTCGGTATGCCGATGTTGAGCCAAGCTATCATAGAGCTGTGGAGGAAGAGTCCGAATTCGATGAGCGTGATGAGTATGAAGAACACGAAGAAAGTGACGAGCGCGAATCCAACCATGAAGATGATCGAGTTCACGAGAGCGACATGACAGACGAACCAGCACGAGACTTCCATAAAAACGGACTTCCGTCTGAAATGGCACTACTCGACCCTGAGCAGCAGGATTACGATGAAGAGATGGAAGATGCAGTGGCCATGGAGGAAGTTGAAAACCTAGAGTCGCATCCTACCATTCAAATTGACTCAGACGCAGATGTGCCAGCGGATCAAGATCCTGGCGAGGAGCAACCAGGCAATATTGATCCAAGTTTGTTTGATATGGCTGGTTCACAACTTGCAGAGCAATCCGAGAAAACCGAAGATCCTGACAGGCAAGAAGGACTGTCTGAGTCAGAAAACGCCAACGTCCACATTCATGGTGACGGACAATTTGAGTGCCCGATTCTTTCATCCGCTATCCATGATGGTACAGAATTACTTTCAAGTCATGAACCGGGACCTGAACCCACAATCGAAGGACCTGAAGGACCTGAGCCCCTTGGCGATCTAGGCCTATCAACCGTCATGCCTCAATTTGAGCGACAACTCCCGACTCCGGACCCCACCCAGGAAACCATATTCACCCGTGAAACGCATCATGATTATGAATCTGCAATCTCATCGCTCGAAGAAAATGAAGATGCCACTGGTATGGTGCAGCCTGTTGGCTCTCCTGGATGCGAACAAGACGATACGATCGCGGGCGAGTTCCTTGAAAACACCCAAGAGAACCACGATCACGAAGTAGCCGATGCCACAGCTACTCCGGAACTTGCTCAGCTCACAAGGCTTCACTCCACGCCTCAACGTAGCTGTTCGGTGGAGGTTTTGATCAGCACTGAATCTCCCAAGCCACCGACAGTACTCATTACAAAACCCACAGTCCCCGATCGTAGCGCCTCCGGATTACGGAGCAAGCTTTCTTATTTCGCCCCACTTTCTACCCTGTTTGATCATTACAATGCTTTGGTTGATACCATTTCCATCGTGCACGAGGCTTCACCGATAACTCGTGCCAAAACGGGATCGAAAGACTGGTTTGTGACCATCGACCTCACCGATCCCTCCATGGCCGGCACGACTGTCCGTGCTCAGATTTTCCGTCGTTACAAGTCCTCCATGCCGTCACTGGCTGAAGGCACCGCCATATTGTTACGAGACTTTAAGGTCAAGAGTCTGGATCACACCGTGATGCTCGTCAGTGTTGAATCCAGCGCATGGGCGGTGTTTGGCGAGTCCAGTTCCGATGCAGAAATGAACGGGCCCCCTGTTGAATACGACTCACAGGAACGTGCATACGCGTCTGGCCTGCGTCGATGGTACGTTGAAGTCGGCTCAGGTTGGGTCGCAGACCGTATGCTTCAGGCCTCTATCGGGCGTGAGAGCTTGGAGCGCGATGTGTCACCCAGCAGCCGCGCTCGAAGTGAGTCAAGCAGCCCGGACTCCAAGCGAGGCTCCCAGCGCAGGCGCAGAGGCAAGGGAAAGGTCGCCATTCATGAGTTGAGGGATGGCACTCGCTACACCGATGCCGGCTCTCCAAACAGTCGAAATAGCACTGTGCATGAGTTGCGAGATGGCACTTTGTATGCCACTCTTTGAAAAGCTTTCTTGATACTTCACATCGACCTCTCTGTCACTTGACATTGACCTCAGTGTCACAGGTCAAATGTAACTACGAAGTAAAAAAAAACCAATCAACATTTCATATGAACAAATCAAATTTCTTCAATGATCTCTTATGTTCACATATTTATTTTCTATGAACAAATGTAGTATGTATTATCATGCGTGCCCGACTTTACATCCTCGAGTACTTCTCGGCGGCAAAGTATTCTGCGCTCACGGCAGCCTTAATCAGCTGATTGGCAATAGCTGTCGGAGGAGGCAATCGCAAACCACCCTTGTATTCCGGACCAGGCTGGGAGCCCAAGTCACCTGTGCCAATGCGCAGTGCCTCTTTCACCTCATCAATCTCAAACCATCGCGCATCCTCCAATTCCGGGTCATGCAGCAAAGAGATCTTCTCATGGGCCGGATCACTGACCTGGGCAATGGCACCGATCATCAAATTAGCCGGATAAGGCCAAGGCTGCGAGGAATGGATAACAACGCGGGACAAAGTAACACCGGACTCTTCCCATACTTCCCTCCGTACGGCATCCTCAATCGACTCGGCGGGCTCAATAAATCCGGCCAAAGTAGAGTACCAGCCAGGTGGGAACCGCTTGGAACGGCCCAGCAGCACACGCTTGCCATCTGCAGACACCACAGCCACGATGATAGTCGGATCAGTACGGGGGAAGGAAAGATTTGACAGCGTAGTCCGGGTATTACACTCTGGTCGCTCTTCTGTCTGTCCCTCGGCGGCTCTTGCGATATCCGTGGGCGGGCAAGCGCGCTTCGTGCCTGCATTTACGGCCAAGGTTCGGTGGCCACATGTGCCGCAGAAGGTATTGCGAGTGTTCCAGTCCATCAGAGCACGCGCCTGGGCATAGATAGCAGCTAATCCATCGACATTAGTATGATCCTACCATCCCATGCGTAAGGATTGCCATTGCATACCTTCATCAGCAGAGAAAGTCATGACAACTCGAGTCTGGAAGAAGGACAGTCCTTTCGCCTCCATGGCACTGATCACATCCTTTGCTGCGGTTTGCTGCTCTTCGGAGCCCTTGGGAGTTACATCAACTGCAAAGTACGGTGTTCCTGAGTAGATCTTCCACGACATGCCATCTTCCTTGGTAGTCTCGTCCAATCCAAGGAAGATGAGAGTGGGATGAGTCTTGCGAGAATCGTAGTTCTTGATCATCTCTTCTTCAGGTAGGTCAAAGATATCCTGCGGTACAAGCTTGCTGATATCATCATGTTTGGCATAGTGTAATTGCGCCGGCGACGGGGTCAAAGGCGCAAGTTTGTTCAATAGTACGAACCGTGCCGATGGGTGCTTCAAGGCCGTTGAAAGGAACGGATGATCGGAGCGCAGGAATGACAACCGGTTGATTGGAGAACCTAGAAATTCTTTAATATGGGCCCGGTATATGAGGATCTAGGATTTTCTTACTGGAGAAGTAATTCACAGTCTCTCTGCCGAAGTGCCGGGACAGCATGGAATCCGCGAGCGTGTGAGCCGGGTTGGGGATTTGGGGGATTGTGGTCATTCTGGAGGAACTTGTTTCCAATGTTGCCAGTGATAGGTGTCTAATAGGGGTTGATAGGAAAGAAACCTTTATCAGTCTATATCTAAGATGCCGGAGAGAAATAGACGCCCAAACTGTCCCAGACGGGGCCGCCTCTGATTGCAATTAATCAGCAGCGCAACCTCGGGACATGTATACACACGGATTACACGTTCCCGGTCGGAGTTAAGCCGATAACCGCAGATAAGGAGTATATTACAGTAACTTACGGTCATCCTGTTACGAATGACGCGGGGAACCAAAGCTCCCCACACACGTGACTGCATTCTTTTGACTCTTATCGCCGGCGAGCCCGCTCTATGTAAGGCAACAGACACAGATATTTCAGTATCAGGCATTATGGGGCACCTGGTCACTCTAGCAACATGGTAAAGCAGGCTCTTTTGCTATCCGAATCCTGAAGATCCCCCGCACTGACTCTCTCTAGCTCTCTGAACCAGTGGGCTCTCGACTTTGAGGGCAACGCGGAGCGCATCATTGAAAGTATCAGGCAAGCTAAAGCTGCCGGTGCCACTTTGCGGGTTGGTCCAGAGCTCGAAATTACCGGTTATGGAGTTCTTGATGGCTTCCTGGAGGGCGATACTTTCCTGCATTCATGGGAAATGCTTGCCCGCATCATCGACCACCCTGATTGCCAGGATATTGTAGTCGATGTGGGATTGCCGGTCCGTCATCGCAATGTGCGCTACAACTGTCGGTGTGTATCTCCAATGACCAACCCGTGTCGCTTCGACTGATATCCTGTGAAGTGTGATTTTCCACAACCGCAAGATTATCCTAATCAGGCCTAAGATGTGGCTTGCCAATGGTTCGTACAATTGCTTTGAATATTGCGTAAGAAGTTCTATTAATTTTGGCTCTCAAATTAGACGGCAACTATCGCGAACACCGACACTTTACTCCTTGGCAGCGCCCCCAAGAAGTGGAAGATTACTATTTGGAATCAATTGTTGGAAAGGTCACCGGGCAGTACAAGGTTCCATTTGGCGATGCCGTTATCAGCACAAGAGACACATGTCTAGGCCTTGAGACATGTGAGGAGCTTTTCACTCCCAATGGGTAAGTGTAGGAAGTACCGTAATGACTATGACCCGAGGTGCTGACACTCAAATATAGTCCCCATATCCCGTATGGTCTGGCTGGTGAGTCTCACATATCTAGACGGCTAGACGGTCATTAACTAACTCATACTAGGTGTCGAGATTATCTCCAATTCATCTGGCAGTCACCACGAGCTGAAGAAGCTTGACACTCGTGTCAACTTGATCACCCAGGCTACTAAACTTGTGAGTCAACACTAAAGCTAAATAGGACATTCTTTTTTAACATCACGTAGAGCGGTGGTATCTACCTTTATGCCAATCAGCAAGGCTGTGACGGCGATCGTCTTTACTATGATGGATGTGCTATGATTGTCGTCAACGGCGACATCGTGGCTCAAGGTTCGCAGTTCTCTTTAAACGACGTGGAAGTTGTTACCGCGACAGTCGACATTGAGGAGGTCCGCACCTACCGGTGCAGTGCAAGCCGTGGATTGCAAGCAAGCAAGCAGACGCCCTTCGTTCGCCTTGATCTTGATATCAGGCTTTCTCGCCGTGATGAGGATGCCGACCCTGGCCTCGCAACTTCCCTGCCTATCAAGCCGCGGTACCATCCTCCCGAGGAGGAAATCGCTCTGGGGCCTGCATGCTGGCTGTGGGATTACCTTCGGAGATGTGGAGCCGCCGGCTTCTTCCTCCCTCTTAGCGGTGGTATCGACAGCTGTGCCACAGCAACCATCGTTCATTCCATGTGCCGTGAAGTACTAAAGGCCGTTCGGGAAGGTAATGAGCAGGTCATCAAGGATGTCCGCCGGCTTTGTGCGAAGCCAGCAGATTCGGACTGGCTTCCCACCACCACCCAGGAAATTTGCAAGTAAGTCTTCCGAATATTGAGCCATCATCAGGCGAAATTCAATCTCCACATAGCGTGAGATAAAAATTGACTCATTTTTCCAGGTGTATCTTCCATACCAGCTACATGGGCACACAAAACTCCGGCCAGGAGACACGAGACAGGGCGACCAGACTGGCTAGAGATATTGGTTCTTACCACATCGATTTCAATTTTGATACAGTGGTCACGGCTATCATGAATCTCTTCACTGTTGTCACTAATTTCCAACCTCGTTTCAAAATGCACGGAGGTTCTCCTGCTGAAAATGCTGCGCTTCAGAATGTGCAGGCTCGGCTAAGAATGGTTCTCTCGTATCTGTTTGCCTCTTTACTGCCAACTGTGCGTCAGCGCCCTGGTGGCGGTGGACTGCTTGTCCTTGCATCATCTAATGTTGATGGTAAGTCTAAAACCCCCGGAACCGCTTATTGAGCATCTTCACTAACCATGACATCAGAATGGTACGCCATAGAACTATCTTGATCACCTCCATAATTACTAACCGAATCCATCTAGTTTGCGAGGCTATCTCACCAAGTACGATGCCAGCTCCGCGGATGTAAGTATCCCATTCCGTGAATCCAAACACGTTCTTCAACCCATACTAACCAAACAAAACTAGCTCAACCCCATCGGCTCGATCAGCAAGGTCGATCTCAAGAAATTCATTTCCTGGTCCGGCGAAAGCTTCGACCTCCCGATCCTTGAGGAATTCATCCATGCCACACCCACAGCCGAGCTCGAGCCCATCACCAAGGACTACGTCCAATCCGACGAAGCCGACATGGGCGTTACTTACGCACAGCTGGGAGTGTTCGGGTACTTGAGGAAGGTATCCAAACTTGGCCCGTACTCGATGTACGAGAAACTGCTCCACCTGTGGGGCAATGAGCACAGTCCGCGCGAGATCTACGAGAAGACCCGTCACTTCTTCTATTACTACTCTATCAACAGACATAAGATGACTGTGCTCACGCCTAGCTACCATGCTGAGCAGTACTCGCCTGATGATAATCGTCATGACTTGAGACAGTTCCTTTGTGAGTTTTCTGGATCTGGTAATTGTGGATTGGCACTAATGTTGGTTGTTTAGACCCGCCGTTTACTTGGGCGTACAAGAAGATGGAGGAGAATGTTAAGTACTGGGAATCTAAGGGGTGGACTACAGGCAAGGACAAGAAGAAGAGTGTCAAGGCCGACTAGATCTAGATTATGTGGATTTAAAATTCCAAAAACGTTTTGTGTCTGGCTAAGCTTTGCTTGATATTAACAATGGAGATTGGAGTAGGCTTGGGAACGTAATACTAAGTTGCTGTCTTCTTTTCCCAAGAAAAATGAACGAATGGCTCGGAATCAGATACGACAAGAAAGGGAGAGAGAACGAAAAGAAAAGAAAACGCCACCTCAAGACCCGTAGAACAATGCAGCATAAAGAAACAAAAGAAAGCGCGCTGAAGAGTCAAAAATCAGGGTAGATCGAGTAGATCATGTCGTTCATCATATACAGTGGCCAAAGGCGATTCTAGTCTTTCCAGAACCAACCATTCTTTGAACCATCAGAGTTAGGCTTGGAACCTTCCCGGGGGTGAGATACCTCAACGGACTCGTCAGATTCCTCCCGACCATCAGCGAAACGTTTGGTATTGACGACCTTGGTTTGGACAGAGCCATCGGCAAGCTGCACACGTTCCGTTCGAGTCATGGTGGAGACGACACGAGGTGGTGCCAGTTCTGATACAGCTTCCACGGACTTCGTCTCGGTCTCCTCCAATAAAGCCATGGGTGTTTCAGGAACTGATTTTTTGTTTCCACCAGACACGAGATCGATCCAATTTTCATTATCGTCGCTGCTGTGCTCGTCTACGAGCTTTGGAACACTGCTTCTGTATTTCTCAAGTTCTTCCTGCTGTTGCCGTCGCTCCTCGAGAAGTAGACGCAAAAGAGGGCTTTCGGAGGCTCCGCGGAAGAACTCACGTTCGCGGTTTTCAATGTCCTGCAAGAAACGCTCATACAGTTCCAACTCGCTGTCAGGGGAATCGTTCTCTTTCTTGGGTACAGACCGAGACCGGTCCTGATCTGAGTCTGCATGGCCAGAGAATGTGATTCCTGACCAAGGCTGGCCCTCCGTGCCAGGCACGTATTTCCACTGATCTCCTAAACTACCTCTCTTCACAAGTCCTTGTAGCCAGTTCTTCCCTGGCTCCGATTTTGTGGTGGTATCGCGATCGAGCATGGGCTTTCCATTCTCAAGTCGAAGCAAATCCTCAAACGCTTCTCGCCATCGCGGTTCAGAAGAATCGGGATCGGAGCTGAGATGCAAGGATGACATGACAGATGAGAGGACACCCCTCTCGCGATGCGCCCAGTATTTTGCCTGGCGCTCTAGATGAAGAGGCGAGTAGGGACTGAACATGATATACGCGATCGGCCAGGTTGGCGAGCCCGTATCTTCGAACAAATCCGGCAGGAAAAGCGTGTGACCAGGATGTAGGAGGTGTGCAGCGAAAGGGAAAAAGCGGTCCTCGAGCCAGAATCGGTCGAAGAAGGAATCAAGGCCGAAGAAATCGGATGGTCCATTACACCACTTTCTCCACGATTGAGAGTGCCAGGGGTCATCATTCTCAGACCAGCGCGATCGGGAGGACTTTCCATAGTTGCGAGGATCATCTCCGCCCGGATATCCACTTCCACTGTCTCGGTCTGATGGATAACTCCGGTCCCTGTCCGATCCCTCGCTCGTTCTTTGACTCGCTAATCTGCTCTCGTAGCCATGGTCACTCGCAAATATATCCCAGTGGCCGCTGTGAGGCGGGGCTACCATTGAAGGGAGGCCCGTGATAGATTGAAGCATGGTGGATACCTGCTCATCGGCAAAGCGCCGGAAGGCAACGAACGGATTGCTCTCATGATCTGGGCAATCTCGGTTGTGGGCCGGAGGGTTATCGTTCTTGATGTCTTCGTTCTTTCCCATGATTCTGATAATTTCAAGGGAAGATAAAAGTGATACCAAGGAGGTGGACTGATGAAGGAAAAAGTGAGAGTTGAATGCATGTTGGGGAGCCCCACCTGCCACCACGTGATCCCCCAATGTATTTTCGTCGTTTGCGTGTGGCTGCTTCTGATTTCTTCTTGTTGCTCTGGATCTTGACGCTGTATACCGTTTCTTTGAAGAATTCCCTCGATTTGAAGGCCACAGTTGGTGCAACTTCTGCTCTCTTCTACAAGGTGCACACAATGGCATTGAGCCGCTGGCGTCATTGGCGCCCCACTGCAGCTCGACGCCAAAACCATACTTCGACCGCCCGATCTATATGGGTGTCGCCCTGTGGTTTCCTACCTGGCCGACTTGTATCGTGATTTTTACTATATCCCAAGGCAAATCTCAGATAACAAGGCAGCTGGTATTGATGGCGCTTACATCTACCTGTGTATGTAACAAAAATTAGTAATTCCAGGGAAGTTCAGTGGCCTAACTCCCAATGCCATTGTTATACTCGAAGAAAGATAGAGTGTGCAAATATACGTAGCCAGGTCCCTTGTAAACCTACCGGTAGACATATCTCAGGACAGCTGTAGGTATCGTGGGATACCAAGGTATGATGCGCTTCCACTTCTTTGGCCCCCACGTATAACCCAGGCCCCATCCAGCTTTTGCGTCGATCTGCTCTGTTCCTATCCTTTCACGAGTGCCATCGCACTAGTCATGTCTAACCCCCTTCTAGGGATGGCCCCAGATTTTCGTCTATGGCTTGGTTCTGATATCAATCAATTTCATGATTCTACGCTTTACCACGCATCCCGATGGAGATTTGGAATCTTTGCTTCTTCCCGATTTGGCTTTTCAAGTCAATGTATAACGTCTCACTCGGTCAAGATGTCGAGTTATCCGATATTTATAGAAGCTAACCAAGTTCCGACCGTTTGATTCAGACTGCATCCGAAAACGACTCCGAAGCGAAAGACCAACTGAGTCAAAATCCAAACCATGGCCAAACAAGAGGTCTTTTCAAGAGTTGGAAATTCCTCGCGATTGTGGCCTTCATATCGAGTATCGTCGTCTGAATTTTCAACATCGATTTTCGGATTTACACGGCGACCCGTGCCGAACACGACAGAAGCATCCTTTGCGAAGGGGAGCTGTGAAAGGCTCCATCAATTAAGCAACGGATTCCACGTGTTGATTGACTTACTGGGTACCATTCTACCCAGTGCCAGCAATTTTGGGATAGTATCAACACCAATCATCTCAGGGCTTAGGAACCATACAAGCGAACTGTTATTGTGGATCTAGCAATGTTCGGCAGCTCCATCGAGAAAGAAGATCGATCGAGCTCATAGAAAAGAGATCGCTGGCTCAATATTGGGGTTCCAAGTATTCGCAGCGAATAGAGCTGCTTCAGCAACAGCTGGAAAGGCCTCACGTCTCCCATAGCCCTAGGCTAGTCCAGCGAAGCAATCACTTCCTTTCAATCGCCTACCTGTATGCTTTACCGCTGATCACGACCTCGACGGTACTACATTGGCTCATGTCACAAAGTCTGTTCATGATTTCGATCGAAGCATATGACATAAGTATGGAGAGGGAGCCGTCGCGGGATTATTTGGCATGTGGGTCCTCACCTAAACCCATGCTGTGTACGATTCTGGTCAGGATTGGCATATTCGTTTGCTAGATTGTGCTTAGTCGTCGACGGGTGGCGTCGGCGAGGCCCGTGGCTGGTGGTTGCAGTTTAGCTATTGCCGCAGCATGTCATCCCAGGTATAATCCACATGTGGACTCGGCAGAGCCTCACCCGGTGGGGGATATCGAGTCTGAGAATGAAGAGGAAATGGCATTCATGCCTGTTCAATGGGGATCAATCCCGGTCGACGGCCGTGTGGGACATTATGAGTTTACATCTGGAGATGTGTATCCTGCTGAGGCTGGAAAGAAGTATCAATGATCATTCACTCAATAGGCACCGCAAGTATAGTTTGCCGCTCGCTTTGAACTATATTGAGTCATTACCTCAGCTTATTTGAACCATGCGATTGTCTTTGAATGGCATTCTTGTGATAACTTGGCATGGTATCCACTTGGGCATCCATCTGAAGGGAATCTTCGCAGGTTGATTTTCATGCACCACATATGTTGTAGTCGATGCTGTAGCCCTAAGTGCCCTCACAAAGCGGGGAAATCGTGACTGCGGGCTAGAATCCGAGATATCGAGCAGCATAAGTGTACGATCTGCAAAGAGTCTGATTCAGATGATGCCTGGTAGAATGAATTACCTAGGTAGATTACTTGCCCCGAAAAACCATTCCCCAGTCCCGCAATTAACGCGGTGAAGCCCAAGGCCATCTTCACACATCGACAATCAGAAACCCCGCGATGGCGTAAGAGCTCTTGTGCCGACAATCCGAAGTCAGTCATGTCATTCGAGAAAGTCGCCGATCAATACTGTCCATAGCCGCTAACTCAGACGTATCGCGGATCAAAGTTCCCATCGAGGATCATGCCATACACCTGCCCCGCAATGCGCCCTCCCGGATCACTTACGCCTTTGCTGGCCTGACTGCCGTGCTCAGCGTTTGCTATTTAAAGTCTTCTTCCCAAATTTAGATGTTTCTGATTTTCCCTTTAACCAACTTCTAAACAAATAACCTCTGCACCACCTCACTATGGCGTCTGTTTCTCACTTCGCCCGCTGCTCTATTCGTCATTTCTCCGCGCAACGTCCTCGTCCCGACTCTCGAGCTGCCCGCGCAATCACCATGGGCTGCATCGCATCCGGTGTAGTGCTCCCATTTGTTCCCCCTGCCCTGGAGAGTTCGCGCCACCGGAGTTCGGGCGTATCCGCTAGTGCCAAGTGAGTGAATGCATTCACGTCTGCATTCAATGCGACCTGGTGTGGAGAAACTAATGTCACCTCTAGGAACCCCCCACTCTGCTTCCATGCACGCTAGTCACCACCTGAACTGTTTACAACTCGCAGACTGGCAGGGGCTGTCAGTACGGGCGCGGTGGTAGGACCCTGTCGTGTGATGCATTATGAGGAGTTTGGGAATCGGCGTTATGGTCCTCTTTCGTCTGGCACTATGGTGCCATGATCCATTTTTACTACTGAGCTTTGGGAACGGGGGATCTGGGAATTGATTAGTATCTTTTATCATGGCCGTCCACGGACGAGACAGACATTGAGATAATTCACGTTAGCCAATGCGGCGAATAATCTTCTGAAATTGACATCCCATTCTAGTCATACAACACGCTAATATTAGACAACGAACCAGATGTAACACAAAATTAGATCGAGTCCGGACAAACTCCAGCTCTCAAAAATCTCCATTTTGGCCCACACTCTTCTATTTTATAGTAGTCTGCATATCAAACGGTACAGTGCGACCCGCCGCTCAGCTGAACCGGTTCCCACTCGGAGGCCGGTACGGCTGGGCCGTCTCATATTTGCCCTTCTCCAAGACCCGATCGGTCTCGGTCAGGGGTTCGTGCCGGGTAGCTGCCGGGTCGTGGGACGCCTCGACACTCGGCGAGGCGGCATCGTCGGAGGCGTTTTGGGATCGTGCCATATTTGCTCGCTTCAAGCTAGCGTCGTTGCTTGGGGTTGGTGTGGTCGCAGGGACTGATTGGCGCTTGTGCTCCTCCTCCATGCGCTTCATCTGGGCCTTGTGCTTAAGTTCGGCTTCAAATCGGGCTTGTCGGTCGGCATTGATCGACTGCTTCGCGAAGTAGTAGGCTCCGCCGCCGGCTGCAGAGAATTGGTCAGTCGCTTCCTACGATGCCCAATCACTGGACTTGTGACAGGAACATGGGCAGATAACAGTTTACAGATCACATACCAAGGCAAAGGGCGCCCCAGCCCATCCTATAAGTAGAAGCTGCATCAGTCATCGGGTTCGGGGGTTGTCGGGTGATGCATCTTTCCGGGGACACGATTTTGCTCACCAAGTAGATCTGATCTAGAATATCACATAATTAGCAATAGTCATAAGTGCATTATACAGGGGAGTTTACCGTATTCATGTTGAACGGTTTGGTAGTTGTTGTCAGTACGAAGCAACAGAAAAGGATGCTCTACGTCAGTCATAACGGCTATGCACGGGCCATCGACAATAGTTGGTGCCTCAGGCCAAGAGGATTATCAACCATCGCATCGTCTTTCGAACCTCGAATTTCAGATCGCCGACCTACACTTTCACATCCTCTTTCATCATATCGTTGTCGCTTTAGTCTATATAACAGTCCAACCCAATACTTTCTCCCTTATTACCGATAACTATATCGCTATTTCCTGACAACTTGGGCTTTCTTTTGAAACAACTATTAGTCAAACGCTGCCTGTTCATCCGGCGCAGCATCTTTGATTCCATGCTGGCGTGAGAAACTTTTCTAAGGAGCATCGCTCCATATCACAGGAGGTTCACTCCTCTTTGAACAGTCATTCCGCACTGTGCTATCTTGCTTAACCCAGTTCAAACATGCCTCCCAAACGCAAGGCGGCCGATAGTAAGTCTCCGGTGCAGGTTCCCAGGTGACAGGCGACTGATCATACCCAGCCGGTCGGTCTAGCAGTGCTTCCAAGCGTGCCACACCAGTTCCCGATATTACAGAGATCTCCAGCAGCGATGAATACTCAGACCCGGAAGATTTGCCAGACGAGTCAAATTTGAAAGGTACAGTGTGGCGGTCTGCTCACTCGAGGTGAACCAGAGGCTAAAACCAGGGTATAAAGAGGTCGTCAACAAGTTCTCTCTCGAATCATTCAGCAAAAAGAACCAAATCGAGAAGACGGACCCCAGATTTGGTTACAAAGATCTTTCTTCGCTGCCGCTGAAGCGCGACCACTACAACCGACCGTTATGGATCGAACCTTTGAAAGGCACAATCACCCTCGAGAGCTTTTCTCCGTTGGCGCCGCAGGCCCAGGATTTTCTGACCACCATCGCGGAGCCGCTCTCCCGTCCGACCCATCTCCACGAATATCGCTTGACCGGACACAGTTTATATGCAGCGGTCTCGGTCGGTCTCAAACCACAGGACATCGTTGAGTTCTTGGATCGTCTATCGAAAACACCATTACCCGAGAGCATTCGGACGTTCATCATCGAGTTCACCAAGTCTTATGGCAAAATCAAGATGGTGCTGAGGCACAACCGATACTATGTGGAAACGACGGATCCTGAAATGCTTCAGCGGTTGCTCAAGGATGAAGTGATTGGCCCCCAGAGGATGGACAATACCGAAGGCATCATCGAGCGGGCTGCTCCGAAAATGGGTGGCCTTGTCATTCCCGGAACGAAAGATGCAGCTGGCGTACGAGAGACGACCCAACAGGAGGCCACTGCTGCTACTGCTAGGGACGAGACCGAAGATGGAGGGGCCGTGAACTATGGAATCGATGATATTGGCGAGGATGAGTCCGAAGAGGCAATCACGTACAGTTTCGAAATCCCTGCCGCTGGTGTCGAAGTGGTCAAGGCCCGCTGTCAATCCATCGGATGTCCCGCCCTGGAGGAGTATGATTTCCAGGGAGATACAGTCAACCCAAACTTGGATATGGACTTGAAACCTGCAGCGCGGATTCGGTCCTATCAGGAGAAGAGTTTAAGTAAAATGTTCGGTAACGGACGCGCCAAGAGTGGTATCATTGTGCTTCCCTGTGGTGCTGGCAAAACCCTTGTGGGTATCACTGCTGCTGCCACCATCAAGAAGGGTACTATTGTACTCTGCACCAGTTCGATGTCCGTCGTTCAGTGGCGAAATGAGTTCTTGCGGTGGACAACGATCGACCCAGGTGACATCGCCATTTTCACATCTGACCACAAAGAAAAGTTCAAGCGATCAACTGGTATCATCGTTTCTACGTATTCAATGGTGTCACAAACTCGTGCTCGCTCTTATGATGCCCAGAAGATGATGGACTGGCTACAATCAAGAGAATGGGGTATGATGATTCTTGACGAGGTGCACGTCGTACCAGCGTCGATGTTCCGAAAGGTCACATCTGCAATCGCCGCCCAAAGTAAACTCGGTCTCACCGCAACATTGCTACGTGAGGATGACAAGATCAAAGATTTGAACTTCTTGATCGGACCGAAGCTTTACGAAGCAAATTGGATGGAACTTGCGGCTCAGGGCCATATCGCCAAGGTGCAGTGTGCTGAGGTGTGGTGCCCGATGACGACCGAGTTCTACTCGGAATATCTCCGGGAAAGCTCCAGGAAACAAGCTTTGCTTTATATCATGAATCCTCGCAAATTCCAAGCGTGTCAGTTCCTGATCGATTTCCACGAGAAGCGTGGCGATAAGATCATTGTGTTCTCTGATAATGTTTACGCCCTGGAGCGATATGCGCTCAAACTAAACAAGGCTTACATTTTCGGCGGAACTCCGCAGAATGAACGCATGCGCATTCTCGAGAATTTCCAACACAATGAGCAGGTCAATACTATCTTCCTGTCTAAAATCGGTGACACCTCGCTCGATTTGCCTGAGGCCACTTGCCTGATTCAGATCTCGTCTCACTACGGTTCGCGTCGTCAGGAGGCACAGCGCCTGGGACGCATTCTGCGAGCCAAGCGTCGAAACGATGAGGGCTTTAATGCTTTCTTCTACTCACTCGTCTCCAAGGACACCAATGAGATGGTCTACTCGGCCAAGCGCCAGGCGTTTTTGATCGATCAGGGATATGCTTTCAAGGTCATTACCCATCTACAGGGCATAGACAACTTTGAAGGACTATCGTATGCAACACCAGCAGAACGCCGCGAGCTTCTGCAAGAAGTCATGCTGCAGAACGAGTCATCCGCGGACGTCGAACAGGTCAATGATGATCTGTTCTCGATGCGCTCCGGCAAGCGAGTTGCACCCAAGAAAGGGGGTGCTAAACGCAGCGCTGCGACTCTCAGTGGTCTGGCTGGTGGTGACGACATGGCCTATATCGAATACAACAAGAGCAGGAACAAGCAGCTCAAGGACAAGGCCGGACACCACCCGCTGTTCAAGAAGATGGAACGCGACCGGCAACGTCGCAAGAAGGAAAGGGAGACTGGTGCGTAAAAGCAGAAATGCCTATATTTGGTTTATTCTTTCTCCTTCTCAGCCGCGTTCCTTGAATTTTCCCGAGGTCTACTGCACCCCAGAATGACAGATACCCCCGATCAATCACACATTTGTAAACAATACATACAAAAAAAGATCATTAGTACTATAGAGCAATCTAGATTCAACCCTCTAAGCTCTAGCCCCCGTAGAAGAATCCAATCAGTCAGAAAGACCGGTCTAGAAAAGGGCATTTAGCTCATGCTGACCGATCGGTATGACGTGGGTTCTCCGCTTTTCAGCTCCGGCGTTTCGGTGCTCGAGTAATTGCACAACCCTGATAGGCTCACTGATGCATCTGGTTTTCTTCACAGACCTGTCTAGCTCTCTCCACAAGGTGTTCGGCTTCATCTCTTGCTATCCAAGGACTTGCTAGATGGGTGAAGCTATATAAAGGACATGCTACCCCGTGTTCAAGCTCACAGACTTCACCTGTTCAGATCCAGACCGACAGCTACAAACAAGTCTCGGTTGCTCTTACATTGTTCGAGTCTACCTTCGCCGATTCAGACGGTTATTTCGTCTTCGGTATCTCCATCTCATCTACCCTTTTGGCGACTAGCCGCACAATATAGCTCGCATAGCTCCAACGCCAGCAATATTTCCCGTGCCATTCCACCCAAAATGGCCACCTCTACCAATATCCATCTGTCAGTAGAGACAGACTCGGGCATCTACAGCTCAGGAGCGAGGGAAGATACTGCGCGGACCGCCAGCGAGGTCTTGCAGGAGGACATGAAAAACCACCATGTCTTCTTCAACGATGAAGGGTTCCATAGTATGTGGAAATAACAATCGTTCCCCGATATTCATGCTCTCTAATAAAGATATATAGATCACATCCCCCACCATGTCCTTACTATCTTTGCGCTAGGCGCAAAACCAGAGGATATCAAGGCTTGCTATGAGCGGAATAAAAGTTACCAAAGACCCGCACTACCGGCGAACCAAGATATTATCCAGTCTATGCACGATCCTGCCAAGTTTATGGAGTGCTTTGGGAAGGAGAAGCATTATCCTGATTTCCTGGCTTTCTTCCAGGGTGAGATTTCTGCGAAGGGCGTCGGTACGGTTCTGGCGGAGTATGTCTTTGCGGAAGATAAGCGGGCTGAGAGTATGATATGTCGACTTTATGGTGGTAAGTAGTATGCTCTGTTTCATCAACCTTTCTTGGATATTCGGGCTGATCTATCCAGGTCTGGTTCATCCACTCATCCAGCTCGGTTTCGGAATTGAGTTCAACCAGCCTGCCATCGTGGCCCAGGGCCTTGCCCAGACGGCTGTGCATGATGACTGGCTTGGCCGTCAATTCTTCCTATCGGCAGAGAAGATGGCGGGTGGCATCGGAAAGCCCGGCCAGAAGTCGCTGTTTCAGCTCTTAAATGAGATCCGGAACGATAAGGATCTTGTTGAGAGTGTTCGGTGGTCTGATGTTAACAAGATCAGGGATGGCGTGCTGCATAGAGCACCGGAACAGATGTTGAAGTATGCTTCTCAGTTTACTGTCTCTGAGGATCAAGTGGAGGAGCGGTTGGCAGATATGATCAATACAGTCGGTAAGACTATATCATGTCCCGAACTTCCAATCGCCGTGAGTGAGAAGCCATTACCGACTCTATCTCCTCAGTCTATTATACTAGTGCCGCCCAGCGTCCGACCAAGGAGATGAGACTTGACTTTTTCTTCATCCACTGTGTCAATTCATCGATCTTCTTCTCTAAGATCATCAACCTTCCATTCTTGGACCAACGATCCAAGCTGCGCATGTTAGAATGGAAGGGACGCATGGATCTTCTAATGTACACTTCACGCGCATCGCCGGATCTCCTCCTGGATGAAGTAACCAACTATCCCATAAAGGAGGAGTGGTCAGAGATATTCGCACGCAGCATCGCTCACCCAGATGATGATGGACATCTAGCCAAGCTGTCACGGGCTTTAGCCCATGGTCAGAAAGTGTGCCAACAATTTGAGAAGAAAATCCCGGAGATGCCAATAAAGGGAGACATGTGGCTTCGAATTGGGAATCTCGGTAAGCAGGACCTTTCATCATCCTTTGTTTGCTTTACTAACTGCTCGACAGCTGTTGACGCCACGGTTGAGAAGGGGGACAGACCCATGTGGGTCCGTTCTACTGGTTTTGATGAAGCATGGGAACCTAAAGGGCGTGCAAATATCTGAGATAGGTGTGGTATGGTCCATAGGAACCGACATGGCGATATGTCGAGTTTTCTTTCCAGTATATGCAGTTATTGTTATATGTGTCGCATCTCCATTCAGAAACGTTGTTAACATTAAGCTTCTCGAACGCAGACAGAAGTGACTAGCAAGTATACACCAATCTATGCGCAAATCCGCTGTTCCTGAGAATAGTGAAGGAGGTCATATATTATTTTCTAATCGAATATAGCCCTCTTTGCGCTTGTTTTCGAGATATTCATGTCGTACCATCTCCAGCTTGTTTTCCCGGTTTTCTCACCTATCTTTTCCACCATCTTTCCATATGGTTTTTCATCTGCCAAGTCAATCACCAAATTTTAGACCCGTTTACCTAGAGAGCCTTAGAACTATAGGTGTAGTCAGAAAAAGGCTCGGTGTATATGGGAGAGGTCCTAAAAAGACTTAGAAGTATGACGATATTAGATGCAGCCCGGAACCTTCCTTGGAACTATATAGACGGACTTTCCTATCTTTCTCCCTCCGTTTCCTCCATCAGTTACATCCACCATTACCATCTACACTCAGTGATCAAACCTCGTATCCAGCTTGGTTCATCATGGCTGAGCAGCTCCCTACTGATGATCACCACATCTTTTCCGAGTTTGAAGACCCTGAGCGCAGAAGCCTCAATGCGCATATTGTGCCAAATGGACTGAACCGAACCAGCCAAGACTACCTTGACTGTAGGGGCTGCTGGGTGTGGCTTGATGCATTTTGGGGTACACGCCACGTGCATCAATGGAAAGCACAGCTTCTGAGTGAAGGCGCGATTGATACTGAGCGAGTGTATAATATGATTACTGTGGATACGCAAACACGCGAATACTGGGATTTTGCCCTTTGCGCATTCCGTCCTGTATCGGTGAATGCAGAAAAAACAGAGATACACATTGCATTCCACTGGCTACCTTTTGTCGAGGATGGGCCCTTGAATATCCCTATCAAGCGATCCCAGCGTGTACCAACCACAGAGCACATCTTCAGTGACCCCTACTACAAACCTCAAAGCGGTGCTGGGGATAATAACCAGCTTTACCATAACCAAACTGATAGGCCAATCACATCCGGATATGTGTTCAAAATCACAACAGATGATCCCAAGGAGCGGCCACTCCCTTCAATAGAACTGTTGCAATTGAGGTGGAATCTGTCTCGTATCGCTGCGCTGCCGGGAGCTAGTGAGGACGAGGACGGCTATGATGGCTCCGATGCAGGTTCTATGCATTGATAGGTATTCCTGTAGGCTCTGGATCACTAACCTGGAGATGAGGGCAAGGCGCCCAGGCGGGTGTCTCTTGAGAACAGACTGCCCTACCGCTAATTCACTTAATTCTATTTTGAATTTATTGATACTATCGCTGTGCTTATCGCGGCATAGAACGGTATTCTAATGAGATCCTCCTCCGTTCAACCTAGTGACTGTGAATGTAATGTATGACGGTGGCGTGGCACTCCTGATCCTCAACCCAAGCCCAACAACAAAGGCCATGATGTAATATCAGAAGTATGGCAAGAAGCAAGACACAACCCTGCGTAGGTAGTCTTAATCACTGATACCTAAGATTGAAGGGGAAAACATGTACACCGTCCGGAGTAGGGTGCATGGTAGAATAGAGCATAGACCAACAGTGATGGGTTGACAATGGTCCAATGCCTATCACTACGGATTTAGTTCTCTGTAATATAAAATGACATTATGAGCTTCTAGACCAATACCAATAATAATGATGCATTGGCTGATGATGATAAGGGAGTAGTCGTACAGAAGACACAAAGATCCTCGACACACCGCCTTCCAGACCCGGTAAACTGTATATCACGCCGCCTTCTGCCGACATCCTCGTGACATCTCAGGTATCATCACGTGCGATAAGCAGCTTCGATAAAAGAGTGGGAACATCAGCCTGGAGACATGTCTCTTCCTTTCGACACCGTCGTTCCTATCAATCATGGAGAATCGTCAGATCGTGGTTCCAAAGGCTGCGTTCGCAGCGCGCCTCTTGAGGCCCGATCCTACTTCGGTGTCCCAGGATGAGATAGGCGCGTTTCACACCCTCCTCGAGCGCGTGTTGTCGCATTGCTCTCCAACAAACATCCAGGTCTGAGCCGTTATCGCCTCTATTACCCCTCACTTTCCAGTCATTAACACCATATGTCCCAAATAGATATGTAAAGCATGGCTGCTTCGATTTGTCGCTTTCTCGTCTAGTAGGGTAGGAGGTTTGGCCAATTACTTGGAGGCTCTCGCTGCCTCCATCGAACAACCCCAGTCCACTGGATCCAAAGGCTCACCCAAGCGTCGACGACTCCACATACTTTATCTACTCAATGATTTGCTCCACCATTGCAAGTACCACCTAGAACTCGCAACAGTCTTCCCCACGGTGAGCGGGTCCTTGCAGCCCCATATCGTGAACCTGGTGGGCCACGCAGCAGCCTATGATCGCCAAAAGAACCCTCGGCATCACCAGCGGCTGGATGATTTACTGGATCTCTGGTCCGAGCACGGATACTTCCATCCTGCGTTGATCACGAAACTCAGGGAAACTGTGATTACCCCGGCTAGCATGGGGTTAGCCCCGTCTTCCGAGGAGGCAAATCCAGCAAAGAAGTCTGGAAAGCATGCACCCTTTGTTGTGCCATCTACTCATGGTGACCCATGGACCCCTTGGTGCGATCTTGCTTCGGGCAATCTTTTCCCTCACATCATTCCCAACTCGACTATGCCCCTTCACCCCGGTGACACCAAACCAATTCACTTACTAGCAGGTCCTGCCGAAGGGAAATCAGTAGACACTCTCAAGGGCTTTTTCATTGCAGTGGACAACTTCCTTGGCACGCGTGACCTCGAGGATAATGGGCATAAAGATACCGATGAATTCGGCCAGATGGTCCTTCGCGACAGTCTCATTGGCGAACGCTACCATGCATGGACCCCTGAATCCTGTCAGCAGGCGAACAAAGACTCCGGGGACTCTTCGAGCGAAAGCTTGAGCCAAAGTGGAGAACGAACTCCAAAGCGTCGGCGCTACAGTGACAGCTCCAGCAGTCCCTCATACACGCCACCAGCACCGTCCACTTCACACTTCCCACCCCCACACCAACCTCAGCATGCCCCCATCCCCACCGCCCCTTTCCCCCGTGCTCATAACCCAAATGGACAGTATCCGAACCATCCCATGGCTCCTAATGCTGGTTATCCTCCTCAAACCGGCACTAACTACGGTGTTTGGCCTCCTCCCCAGCACATGCCAAACATGCCCTATCCCCAGCCCGGACCCGGCTTCCAATCTTCGGCTTTCCCTCCTCCCTACAACCACCAACCTTCTTCCTCTATGCCTATGCCACAGGGACAAGGGCAGGGACAGGGACAGGCCATGCCTCCCGGCCAGTATCACTTCCCTCCTCCTTATTCAGGGGGCCAGCAGGGCGGCGCATGGCGACCACCTCAAGGTGGCCGCCGCTGGTAATGAACATGTGCACATGAAGCTATGTATGATTATTTCGGAGAGTTCTTCGATTCCAGTTGAGTTGCTGGAAAGGAGCGTGCGAAGACTTCCCAATTCTGCGATTTGTATGATTAGAGGGCAAGCGCCAAGGGCAGGCCCCGAAAGGATCATGTGAGGCGTAATTTGTTGGAGATAAGAACCATTGCTCTCAACTCAACTATGTTTTATTTGCTCATTGTTTGTCCATCATATCCACCATGCACAGTAAAATCTCAGGTCCAAAGTACTGAGGCAGCTTCAAACATTCGCAATCCGTACATATCATTCACCAGTAGGGTCCATTCTCGGAGGCTGTAGTTTATCTTTGCTTTGCCCTAAACACTCCGCGAAGAGACAAATTCCCGAGATAAGTTCAAATGCATAACTAGGTGAGGTAACATGTAATAGTAATATAGTAATACTCGGCAAACTTCAATACATTTGAATATGACCTAGTGCATGGCATATACTACGTATGAATGATCTCGGAAGTTGACCACAGAAACGAAATCAGTCCGTAGGGGGTGTCTGTGGCAAATGACTAGATAATCACCTGTGAAATTGTATATAAGAAGTTTATACGGAACTACACATCGTGATCCCCAAGAATCAAAAGTGTAGAAGTAATATGGGCGAAGAATTAAAAAGAAATGAAACCAAAAAGTTTCTACCGTGCTCTGCTTACAATCTCCAGTCTACAGAAGTGTACGTCCTCACTCTCAAATCATGTCGCAAACCCCCGACATTATCGGATAGTTGACATTAGGTGAGAGTGTCCATGATCATATCAGCCTGAGTCTCAGAGCTCTGCCCTTGGTGAGAATAGTAGTTCTTCTTGACCTGCCCGAAAGGCTTGCAAGCATTGAGCGTTCCCTAGAAGAGAGATATGGTCAGTTAGGTATTCTTCTTTCAAAGACATGCTATAAAAAGAAAGACGGAGAGATAAGAACGACACTTACATCACCCTTGTTATCACAGCACATTGGAGAATATCCATGTCCGTGGCAGGTACCAGGAGCTTCTCTCTCAGGCATTTTCTTGCCTGTGAAAGTCAATGGAATTAGTAAGTGATGACGAGGATGTAGGCTGTGGAGGAAACATACATTGGAAAGACAGAGACGAGCTCACTTGCAGTCCACCGAGGATGGGGACCAGCTCGCCAAGAGACTTGGCAACATCCTTACCAGTCTGCTGCACAGACATGCAGCACGACTTGAACTTATCCTTGGGACATGTGTAAGCCTCATAGGGGTTGGGCGTGGAAGAAGGCGAAGCAGAGGCGGAGGCAGAGCCCGAGGGGGTTGGCGAGATGAGGGGGGTGGACACCGAGGGTGTAGGGGTTGGCCTTTCGCTTGCCATAGGGATAGCAGTAGTGACAGAAAGGAAGGCCGTAAGGCCGGTGAGCAGAGTTGTGAAATGCATTATTGCTGGATTGCTGATGTGTGGTGTGGTTGTGTAGGTACCGAGAGTATAGACGTGCTATCACGCTGCGGATGGCTATGGCTAGGATATCTGAAATGAGGGTGAAAGTAGAGAGCGACTAAAAGAGCGTGTATGGGCCTCCAGAAACGAGACCGAAAGGAATGAGTGGAAGAAGACCGGGTTGGTTGTCGCACGATGTTGTCGTTCGTGGCCGATGAGTGTCGATGGGGAGAAGGAGGAGATGAGTTTCCAACGCAGAGAGTCTCCAGATGAGTAGCCCTTCCAGCCACTGGACGGAGTAATTCACACGGCATCGGAGCCAATTTCCTTTGCTTTCCCCCTTCCTTCGGCTCTTTGGTCGAATCCCGGGATTCCAGGGGGTTCATCCCTCTGCTTGAAAAGGTAAGGCCCAGCTCTCATTTGCTACTCATTGGATGCTCTAGAATTTGCACGCTCAGCACCAGCATCTCGGACTTTGAGCTCTGGTATGTGGGCTCTCCTCTTGGCCTTGATGTTGTCTCTTGGGTATCGCCGTTCAAGGGTCATGTCTTCCTATTTGGGCCAGTGCAGTAGAGACACTGAATGTTCACGTCCGATATTCTCCCAAACGTAGTAACTATCAGCTATTCCAAGCTGTTTCTCAATTCACCTGAGGGCCAACTTCAACTTCACTGTGGATGAACTGGATTCCCATTCGGATGTATGCAAGGGGTGCATTAATCACGCAGCTCTTCGCACTCAAACCCTCTCGGTAAATTAGCTTGGACGGAGTATTCTTTCTCCTTATTTTGACCAGAGCAGAGGAAATGAATAAACGAGCGATCACGGACACTATCCAGTTGCCATCTATTGATGACAATATCAACACCACATCGGAAGTATATAATCCTACCAATGCCAACAGAACAACTGCAAGTAGCTTTCCGTTTGATTAGAGAGACTTGTTTGGTTAGATAGCTAGCTTCAAACTGCTAGTAAGTTGAGTTCCAACAGTTTGAATTGGGAAAATATGCGTGTATGCAGTGAATATATATACGCGGTAGTCACTTGACCTTGGTTCTGCATCAGACCGTCGCCATACTGTCAACTGTTTTTTTAGTTCTCGTATTTCCAACTTCTATATATATCATTTGCAAGGAAGTCCATCTACATCCCGTAGATGTATATGCCACTTCCTAGGATACCCCGTGTCTAATACACGAAGATTTCCCGCATCTCCGAGGAGATCCTGCATATGCATCCTGCCAAAGTACCATGCAGAACAGCCATCGGTCAGACCAAAGACAATATGCAGCAGACCTAAACGACACAATTACAACGTGTCGCATTGGGAAGCCCGTGTTCAATGCAAGCCACAATGCCACGGTTGATCTGACGTCAATTTGCCTCGGAAGATCAGCCGTGTTTCAGCCACCAACTCGGGGGAGTGTATTTGGGAAACATAATGTCGTAGATTGCGCTTTGGACCTAACATCATGCCTCTTTTACACTACGCGATACTACGACACCAGTCTCTAGCCATAAAAAGACAGGAACCCAAGACAACAGATAGAAGAAAGACAAATGTTCCAGTTGTCGCGCATAATAGTACAGGTCATCAATGGCCAACATGGCCAAGTCACATCGTAACAGGGTATTCTTTTTCTCTCGAGGGACAGTCCAGTATCCTCGACTCGGAGAGTGTGTTGGTTCATCGAAGAATCAAAAAAAGGCAAAGATCGCTCGCTCGCTGATAAAAGGTACAGATACAGGTAATGTACAGGCCAATATTCCTTCGCAGAAGGAACATTAAGCGCATGGGGATAAGGTTAGCATAAAACCAGACCCCGGAAAAGTGGACAGTGTATGGAAAGTGTTCGAGATGATGAAATATCGTTTGTAGACTGCTCTCAAGTCCAAGGAGCAACGCCCAAACAGCCACAAATGATGAGAAGCCAAATGACAATGAGCCAAATGAACGACAAGAAAGAAGAAGGCAAGGATGGAGAGTCAAGTCATCAAGACGACTTGCTCTATTTGGGCAATTTTTTTGTAATTTGGGGACGTGAAAGGAGGGATGGCGATGATTCACGACCAAGGGTCCTGATGAGGCGCAATACACGCAGTGAAACCACGCGTGATCCGGCTCCGAGAGCCAACGACGAAGTCGACCGACAGAGAAAGGACGCTAAGGATCAATCGATATCCTGGAAATGCTATGCAAAAGTAAAAATCGAACAAAAGGGGCGGAAAAAGAGGGACCATTTCGCAGTGACCTCGAGTCGAGGGCACCGGGAAATCAAACCGCAAAAATTCGCTATATCGCTTGAAAGCAGGCACGCTCTCCCGCGCGAATCTCATAAAACTCCGCAGAAAATTCTGCTTGTAGGAAGGCATTGGCTAAAACATACCCAGCTGTTGATGGTCCCGGGAAGGACACCATCGCCAATGCTGCATCATAAATAACGTGAGGGTATCATCATGATGCCAGGTCACGGTCTGTGTAGAGTGGGACCGCTAGAATATCTCCCATTAGACTTTTGGCATATTGGAGCGAGTGAACCGAAAACAAATACATACCCTGAGACAGGGTGCAACCTTAGTACCTGACGGTATTAGTCCCGGCCATGTCACGAGAACTGACCTTGGCGCCGGCAAGGTGAGCTGCATTGTTGACAGAGGTGGGAGGTCCGTGAGATTGACTGCTGCTATTGCTGCCACTCGAGGCACTGCTGCGACCACTTTGGCCACTGCTTTGGCTGCTGCGACTGCTCGAGCCGTTGCCACGGTGAGAGTCATCCGTGTCAACAAAGGAAGACATTTGACGCTGAGTATATTGCAGCATAGACCGGTTGTAATCCTCAAGTGAGGCACGAGCGGGATCCAGCGACCGGTAAGAGTCGACATGAGTCTCACTGGCCATGTTATCTATCCCACCAGAGTCCGCTGGAAACATGGACTGCATGTTCTCAGCGGGCTGATGCATTTGAGCGGCGTGAGTCATGGTGGGAAATGTCTAACAGGTCAGAGGGTTAGCTTAAGTTGCAGGCCTAGATGAAAATCAGTGCCCGAAGTGCTGTGCGCTAGCTTCTGGATGAGTTTATCGTTTGTACGCTGTGATATGCGACGATTGAGGCATGAAGCTGATGTCTAGGACGATCGCCAAGGGTGGGGGTTGAAGCCGTGGGTGTCGTGAATAATAATAATCCGGAACGATATGGAGTACTGTATTCTCAGGTAATTCAAGTATGCTTACCTGGGATGTCGGAACAAATCAGAGTCTAACCAGGTTGTCTGGTTGTGTTGGATAGTAATGATACTGATGGTTGCGGCTGAGGCAAGATAATGTGTCGTTTGTACGAAGGCGTGGAAGTCCAACGGGCCAAGGATACGAAAAATTGTATGGGGCAATTCCAGGAAGTTAGGGCATAGATACGAAGAACAATCGGACCCATTTTGCGAGTAAGGGTATATATAAGACATCCAAGGCTCCACAAGGGATTGTATGAAATCACATCGGTGGGTGATCAAGATGGCAAAAGCACCCGACTTTGCACTCTCTGATAGGCCAACACAGGGCCTCATTTCTCCTGAGAACGCCCATGGTCGACACACGAGATAATCAAGCGATTACACCGAGCGGAGTACGGTGACATCATTGGCCAAAAGGGGGGAGGGGGAGAGAGGTGGAGGAATATTCTCTCCTAGGCGACATCATAATAAGCATGAGTACCCCCAGTCTGCGAAACGTCTGATGTACACCGTAGGAGACCGTCGACCTGGCAGAGCATGGGGTGGAGTTCAGTTATCCCAGAGGACGTTATGAAAAAAAACTAATCTCCACATGGCCATGAAGAGTGGTGAACTCTACCAGCGATATTATCAGCTGGCCCACCCACAAATGGGCTAGAGTACTCTGATGAGGTCACTGGGGAATGTGGATGAATGGATGGACCATTGAGAGCTGAAAATGTTCTGAGATCGGCACAACCAGAGTGCGGTCCCCTGCAGATCTTCGCCTGACGTCTATAGGACGAATCATAATTGGAATCATCATGACTCTTTGAACGTCGAGGCCCATCTCACATTCTGTACCGCTACGGGATAGGGTGTCCTCGACACTCGCGGAAGAAATGTGGATATCCTCGGTGGAGTCCTTGAGAGAAATGGTAAACTCGTTCCTCCGTGGATCGGGGTAAAGTGACCTGGAGCTTCGGGTGAGTACTCCGTACAAACTAAACCGATAGTCAGCCCAACATGCATGCCAAATCGATGTACTCCATATATCGAAGTAATCTATGTGACGCAGAACAGCAAACGCGTCTGCGGCGTGGAGAAAAACAGTGTGCTGGAGCTGAGGCTCAGGTTAAATGGAGCCATGTCGTCATACTCTGAGGCATCGGGGCGATCCGAGCAATCGATGTCCATCGGCTACATCCACTCCCTGCAGGAACCATACAGAGCATCGCGGGTCATGGAAATGAAAAATGGATTTATATCTCTCCGTTGATTTGACGGTTTTCAGAAGTGGAACGTTCCTCTTCCGGAGATTGACTATGGGCCCGAAACGGATCCCACGAAGTCCATGGAGACTTACAGCCACGATGGAGACATAGTTGCAGTGCTGGAGGTTTATTTGGCCCTTGGATGAGTTTCATTCGTTGCGGAAATACTAGACACGAGCAATCGGGGCGATGGAGATGTGGAGATGAGCGTAAGACTTGGGAATGTGCCAATTTGCCGCCTGGGTTCATGCCTGAGGCAGCATGGCACCTGACGTCAGGGAGCCCTCATTAAGACTGTGACTCTCAATTTGTATATTGACCATGAGTCTACCTATCCTAGTTGGCTGCAACTCTGTCTAGATCGAGGGAGATGATTCATATACGCTCATACAGGTACTCAATTCAGGAAATCCCAAAGCTATGGGCTGATCATGGTCGATGTTAGCGACCAAACTGGGACCGAACACAGAGTTCCGCTAAACCCTTCGTTTTAGATCGCAGTGACCGAAGGCAGAGGAAGTTCTTGGCCGGAATGAGTAACCCGCATAGGAGCCAGTGACAGGGATGTTTGCATACAAAAATACGGGGACTGGGAAGATCAGTCTTTGCCATCCAACGGACTCGGGACGAAAATTGATGCCAGCGGGGGAGGCAAATTACTGTACGATCGGCATGACACCAAATCCATTATATCAGAGCATTTCTTACTGATGACGCTCAATTCCAAGATGCTGCCGAGTAACATTAACGCGAAGTCGGCGCTCCCAACATCCAGCGTATAGACTCTGCTTCGCCACCAGAGACGTTTCATTTCAGAGCAACATAACGTCAGGCAAGCTATTGCAGAACAATGGATCTAGATATGATATTGTGTAAAGTTCTGATTGGCCATGTGGTATTCCGACCAGGCATTCCTTCTCAACGTTTCGAGTAAGAATCAATCTAAACTCCCCTAACTGAAGCGGGTCTATAACATACAAGACTCGTCGTACCCCAAAGGTCGTAGACTGCAGAGTCCTCCTCTCGCCAGAGGCCGTGAAGAAAATTTAGAGAAGAGGGCTATGATGCCTGTGTGATATCAGGGTTAATATCAGACTTGACGCACAGTCCGTACCCCGTGCTCCGTACAGTTTGCATAGCATGACACTTGTGAACCAGCCCCTTACTAGATGCAATCCAGACTCATGGGGATTGCCCGCCACCACTCCGTACCTCGAGCATTTGGCCCCATCGATATGACAGCATAGGAGATTGTACCAACGGCCGAGCATGTCAAAATTTTCATAGGCGTTTCAAGACAAACATACAGCATGGTACGGACCATACCAGTGCGCGCTTCCAGATTCGTCAGCTCAAGTCCAAAGGACATACAACGTATCGACTTTGTAGCCAGGCCATCGCAGTCCACTTTCCTTACTTGTCACATTGAAGTTTATCTTATCATTCCTGTGAATTCGTAGGGATATGACAAGCGTCGGACTGCCCCGACACGAACACAACGCACTGCCTGCCGATCAATTGAGGGAGTCAGATATTGGAGATGAATCAATACCAGTACATCCTAGATGATATCACACCCAGCCTTCAATGGCGATCCATACGCAAAAGGAGACCGAAAGGCATACGTTTCCGCGAGTATATGAGGTCACTGCAAGCATTCTAATATCCTACAATGCTGCCTCACGTCATAAGATTCGCATTCTTCTCACAGAATCAACGTCCCTAGTCGTATTCTGTGACAAAGATATCACTCCACAACATTATTCAACATCTCACTCGGCCATGCGCCCATCGTACAATGTGGGTACATTTCTGATCAACATGTTTTGAATAAATCCGTCTCGAAAAATGGATTTTTCCGTAGCTCGACGGCAGCCAATGCATTAGCGTCCAATGATTCCTTGGTGATATGCGCTTGCCATCTGTGACACCATATCTCTTGCACACGTCGGATTGTCGCGCGAAGCTCAACATTCATCGATGTGCGGAAACCTCTGCTCCACTCCCTGGTCTCAAAAAATAGACCATTTCCTTCTGAACTAGACCATTACTCGGAAACTTGTTCAATTCCTGCGAGAATGCGTTGAGGATATTGTGCCCCATAGGCTGTAGCCGATTCCCCGACTGAGCCGTCATCCGACATGACACTTCTTGACAGAGAATATTGTTGACAAAGTCGTTCATCGGTCTGGACTCCGCAACAGACCATTTAGGCTCTCGGATGAAAATACCGCTTCCCAGAGAAACCGGTTATATCCCTGCGGTCGTGTAGCAACGAGCGATATTGCCTTTCCTATCGCGCTGGGTTCCCATATTTCGCTGAATATCAAGGATCCCTCATCGGTCTCGGTCGGCGACAGTGCACACGACTAGAGATTGTCTTCTGCCAGAAACCGGTTCCATCCCTGTCAGCATTGAGCATTTCGAGGTTGCAACCATGCAGTTACCTCTTTCATCATACACGGGGAGGAAAAAGGTCGACATCGGTCTCGAATCCACAATGGAACATCCAGGTTGCTGGGATGAGGAACCGGTTTCAGACCCTCGAGCATGGAGCATTGAGCGGAGCGCAGCGCGTACTCCGTAGAACGTGGACCATTGAGCGTCTCAAACAGCTTTGCTTTTTCTTACGCTTTTGCAGTGCCTCTTGGTCTTGCCCGGGGGCCAATCGATTTTCCCCGTAAGTCTCAACTCCCCTAATACACTGTAGGCTTCCAGGCCCAGTACGAATGGCCTGTGAAGTCATATATTCTCCGAAATTGGGTTGCCATCGTTCGTTGTACGATGAACGGACCACCATGGCTCAACGCCAACTATCATATCAAGGTTTCCCTCCATTTTTTTGATCAAACCCAGACAACATCATAGATTTTGCAGTTAAAATAACTAGAACAACACGCCAGAAATAGTAGTAAAATGCATCATATTATTCTTCATGCTCATGCATACATCACACGTAACCTGTTGCAAATTAATGTCACTAAATATTCTCCAAATATAACACCCAGCAAGACCATAAAAGCCCAGAAACGAGCATCTACTGCCTTCATGTCCAAGCGGCAATGGGGGAAAGGAAGAAAACATACCTTTCCGAGCGCCCTGGAAGAAGAAGCGCACAACGAAGACCTGCAACGCGGCCATGGAAACCATCATCAATGACTCAATCACACTGAAGTTAAAGATCCGACGCTCGGTACTGCGTACAGTACTGAAGTTTCGGTTCTCTCGGGTGCGGAAGTATTTCTGGTTGCGGGAGACAGTTGAGAGCTGAGCGGAGAGCTTGTAGATGGACTCCTCCAAGCTGCTGGTTTGTTCGGGGCTGGCACCCTGGCGAGAGGGGAGTTGGGCGCGCTGCTCGTTCTCAACCTGCAAGTTCATTAGTACTTGCTGCCTGCTTCTTTGAGCTAGATGGATATGGAACGTACCGCAATCTCGAAATCGACCATCTTCTCGGCGAAAGTGGACATCTCGTTGTTGAAGCAGAAGGTATATTCACCAAGACTCTGTGCAGTGAAGACGAAGTCACCCTGTCGTTCCTTTGTTCCATCTAAAACGATCTTGCCGCCCGGTGCGGCGACGGAGTAGTCGACATCGAAGGAACCGCCGGATTGGACCTGCATCGCACATCAGCACTCGGCGTCACCATATGCACCCATACCTCCGATATGAGAAAGAGGATATTTGCAGATTGAATGTATCGGATGGATAGTCAATGGAACCTACCGCGAAATAGAAGGCTATCTTGGCGTTGGTCTGGTCAACCTTTGTGTAGAAGCATGCTTTCTCGTTCGCCTCGAGTCTGTAGGTGAGGGCTGTTGCGGTGACGGATGAGACCAGGGAGGCCAGGCCAGCAAGAAGAGCGAACCGCATTGTGCAGATATACCGAGAAGATGCCGTTGGACTGGGGGATGTTATTCGCTTCAGGAGGTGGTGTTCTGGCCAGCTTTCCAGGTTGACCTCCGGTGTTTGACTTGTTTGCATCCAAACAAACTTCCACATACATCGGGCCTTTTACTGCTCAATCATACTTGACACAGGGACGAATGAACTATTTGCCCTCATCATATAGATGGGACTGTCTTCTACTTAGGCTGGATACAGAAAACATAAGAAAAGAAACGAAAAAAAGGCATGATCATCGCATCAGGCGGTCGCTGCTCATGTACCGTATCGCAGCATACAGCCCTTCTTCAACTCGTGAACCCCAGCGCCAGAACTATAACACTTGTTTAACGAATGGAGAATCCATCACTCTTGCCCCAGAAGCTCCGACTCTTGTTGGCATGGTCAAGACCCAGATAATCATCAGCGCCAGCTGCTACATCCGACAAGATATCACCTGAGAAGCGTCAGTCAGCATGAAGGAGGTAAAAACAGTGCGGGGATAATTGAAGCAGAGGTACTCACCATCTTCGAGATACTTTGCGCTCGAGAAGGATGTACGGGGGACCACGGCGAACTTGATCTTCTCGAAGTTCTTGCCTTTGATCTGTGTGCGTGCCGAAAGACGCTTCTTGGTCTCCGCGAAAAGTTCTCCGGGCTTCACAACAAACTTGAATGGAATTCCGTGTGTCCGGTTGGGCTCGCGATCGAAGCTGAATACGCTAATTACGCGATCCTCGGCATCCAATTTCAACTCTTCCGTTGGAATCTTTTCGGCGTAGAGTGTGGCGTACTCGTTGATGACAGCGACGTTCTGTTCTTCTCGAAGCTCCTTGTAAACCTTTCCACTGTGGGTTTCGGCCACCCGGATCTGCTCATCACCCAATTCTAACTTTTGCCGCAATGCTGACAGAAGATCTGCCACGGTGCCGCTGCGGGAAACCAAGACCTCCACATTCTCCTGCGTAAATGTTAGTCGTTTGCCATGATCGTGGATCGGTTTCAATGGGGCATGCGTAAGACACGAACCTCTTTGGCAATACCATCTGGGAGCCATGTCACTTTGAAATTTTTCTTGCTCTCATAGTCACTCAAGCTCATATCTAGGATCTCATAGTACAAAGCGTCTGCTCGGTGCATAGTGTACCCATAAGCACCATATTGACCGTTGAGGATTTGAGAAAGGCTCTGGTTGATGTTTCGCTTTAGGAAAGGCTTGGCCTTGCCGGTATTGGCCATCACGGGCGCGAATCGAAGATGAGTCTCGTCCACCTGGAGATGCTCACCAACCTTCTTTGCGAACTGGTCATATGTCATCTTGCGGCTGAGAGCCAAAGAAAAGGTGTCCCCTTCGTTCGTCTTGATTGGGGCAAATTGGACTTCCATGCGATTCAGAAGGTAGTCATAGAATTGCCGGGCATCTGTGTAAAGTGCCGCGGCTGGCAGTTCCGATTCCTTGATTGTTCGCTGGAAGGTGATGATGTCGCCGTCCTGAATTTCGGATTGCTGGAACGTCTGCTTGGGTTTCATAACGTCGATCATGTTATGCTTGATCTCTTCAAAGAGCATGAACTCTGTACCCGCAGGCCAATCCATCCTGGAGAGAATTGTTGGGGCCAGCTCGCTCACTTTTTGGGTCTTGTTGACGTAGACAGAACCAACACCAGTCAAGGTTTGGGCTGTGATGTCAAAGTTCTTCAGGAAAACGACGATTGAATCACTATCAGGCCATGGAATAGGCTGTCCATCTGCACCGGTCGATGCCACCTCCATCCACAACCGGAAAAGCTGGCCTTTCGTGCCGAATTTGGTGTATGCCTCTTCCAGGGTCATTCCTTGATCCCGGATCACCTGATCGGGTCGGGTGGTCTTGTTCTGGCGATTGACCATGACCCAGAATCGAATGGATTCCGCCTTGAGGCCTCTTTCATCGGCAATTTCTTGTGCAAATTCTTTGACTTTCTTGGCACGCAGGACCTTGTATTGCTTAGGAAGTGCGGGATCCTCCGCAGGTAGGTCATTACTAGTGAGATCAAAGCCGTGGTGGTTTTTGAACGAATCATCGTTCAGGACGCCAACGTTCATGTAGAGGTGTGCTTCTTCTCTCTCCTTCTTTCGACGCAGCAGCTCCGCCCGATCTTCGGACAATCGCTTCTCTATCGAATTATTAGCCGACCAATGAATCAATTAGAAGTACACTGGAATCTCTGAACATACCAATGTGAGAGGGCACATCATCCTTGGTGACGGGGAAAAACACATCGTCCTGTTTCGTTTTCCTGACATAAACCAACATGTAGGCGTTGTTTGTGCGGATGGCGGATCGGCCTCCGGTGACTCCATTCGTGCGTTGCTGAGAGTCTCCGTAGTTCTCATCCAGAACTTCCTTTTCAGTAGCTCGGTTGACTCGGTCGTCGTCGAAGCGATACCAGTGTCCATCCTTTGTGGGCTTGAGGAATGCATAGTAATGCCCAGCATCAAGGTTACCGCTGTGCACGAGCACGCCGTGCAATTGGTAAACCCAAGACTCAGACTTATCGGCGCTCTCGGAAAGATAAGGAGCAGCATCGAACTCCATAGGGAATGTGTGATAATCGTTGACCTTAGCCATCATGTCGAGGTTAAGGTCGTATTCGAAACGCTTGAGGTGAAGATGCAACACGGGAGGGAAACTCTCGAAAATGACGCCCTTCTTAGCGTCTTGCAGGCCATATGGTTGTCCAGCTTCGTATTTGTTTTCTCCTTCCAATGTTTCAACCTGGATGTAATCTCTGAAGCTGTCATCCAGGGTCTTATTACCGCGAACATTGAGCTGAATATCCCAAAAGTCTTCTACGCGAGAAGACTCGTAATCGACATTGATGCAAGAAATGTATGTCTTTGTTTTCCCAACGAACAGATCTGGCAAAACCTTTTCAGCAACAGTGTCTTTCATCTTGTGTTCCAACCGTTCCATAAGCTTTCTTGAAAGCTCCTGTACATCTTGCTGTTCAAAAATCTGACTAGATTGCCAGCCAAAGGATTGTGTGAGCTCAGTCGTGGAAACAGCAGTTTCATTTGTCTGCAAATTGAAGAAGAGCCTCTGAAGGGCCCACGCGCTGTTCTCGCGGGAAGCTTCCTGGTCGGTCGGTATTTGATACACAGCCTGGGAATTCCATTAGTTCTCATAGTTAGTCTAGAAACATTCGATATGTTTCATACCTTGCGGAAAGCATTTGTGAAATAGAGCGACTGCAAGAGTGAGTTCAAGTAGCATGTAGCTCCCTGATTCCTCAATCCCACCATTCCGGTCTCCTTCTTGGAGTCGTAGCTACAAATGAACACGTTAGCCTCACCCGGAAAAATCATCCGAAGAGAACCCACTTTTGGAAACTATGCCACAGGACGCCTGTGGGATCTTTCACAACACGAACATAGGCGGTGACAATGGCCTCATCATCCTGCACCAACGGGACGCTTTTGCCCTCCCACGCATGACTAAACAGGGCCTTAAGGTCGGAGAATCTGGTGAAACCCCAATCACCCTCCTCGGCCGTGAACCGGTGGGTTGCGACTAGATCCAACTTAGCTTTCTGACTGCGCAATTCCCCAAGATTTGAATGTCTTACCGTGGTGTGTGTAAATGGAAGGATCGTTCACATTCGACAACACTAGCGCGAACTGCACACAGGCGTACCAGTTCTCCGGGGGTTCGCCTTCCCACGCGTGTTCGAGGTAAAATGAAGCATACTCGGTCTGATTGCCGTAGGGGAAGAAGAGGATGCGCCTATTCTCGAGTTAGATCGGATGACCGCACAGAGCCATCCAGGCTAAGAGATTTCATGCACCTACCACGGGGAGCCACCACACTGGAAGATAGGTCCGTGTGATTTGCGATCCATCTTCCGCCAGTCTGACAGGCGCCATGAGTTGTAGGCCTCGTCTAGGGTTTCGAGGTCCGGGTTGTGAGGAAGAACCTTAGCCATCATAGCCGCGTCTATACCCATCGAGGCTCTTGGTCAGCTACCACACTGGGACAAACAAACATGGATTGCATAGCTTGAAGGTGATCTTGCCAGACACCTCACTTTGTCCAGCGAACGTATCGAATCACCTTCATGATTGTGATTATAGGCAAGGGGAAACAACAAAGAACGTACGGTCATCTGCGGTCGGTGCGGACTCGGGCTCATCGGACCCGGACCGGGAGACGACGACGACATCGGTCTTTTCGGCAGGATACTGATCATAATCGTCGACAAGCATGTCGTTCTCCGCGAGCTGGTAGAACAGGGTTAGTCCAATGACGACACTAGCGAGGGGCACGGTCGGGGAAACTCTCACGTTTTCCATCGCGGAAAGCGCCTTCCCGTTCCGGAAGGCGACAAATGTTGTATTTTGGGTAGAAGATGTGTGAATAAAAGGGAAGAATGCAGGGGAGGAATATACTGTAGGGCTGGTGGTGGAGGAAATTCTGCTGAACCCGCAGAATAATAAGGGCCGGAGCTAGCGGTGGCGGAGCCTCGAGGCTCGGCAGCGATTGTTGGTTGGACCTGGGGTTTGAGATGAGTGTGAGATTGGTTTTTGACTAGATGCTTATTTCGCCTGGAAAGTCTTCATTGGGGTTTGACTTTGCTCTCGATTCACTGAGGTAAATGAGTAAGTCTGTCAAGGTGCGTAATTGGAGTGGTGCATTAATATATGCACGGTATAAGTGTGTACAATGGAAAGCCCTGAAGACCTATTCGGATTAGTCCTATATATTCCTATTTATCCTACGTATATGGCTACAGCTAAGAGTATTCCGAACTCTCAAAAGGCACCTCGTTCTACATCTTGATGAATGTTCCGAAATATGTCAGATCTGCCCTCAGATGATGTCTCCAATGCTGCACGAGCTGATCCACTCGGTCTTAGCCCGTGCGGATGAGAGTCCCTCAGATCCGAGGCAACTTCGGGCAGAGACGAGAATGCAAATCGTACGATTCCGACCGTTGCTATATTTGGCGAGATCCATATACACCCATATATATGTATATATATATGTATCCGGGGTATCATATCAACATCCAAAAGAGAAAATCAACGTTGCAGTCGAAAGGTAAAGCCCATGGTGTGTTGACCGGTGTCACATGCTTGACTCACCGCCCGCATTCCCAAACTCTCGAAGTCCCAACTGCGCGCGTGCGCATGATAATGAGTTTCTATATGGTCTATTTACTCATTGAGTACGTGAAGGGGGCACAATGAGGTTGCATAATCCAGCTAGGAGCTGGCAGCTCCTTCAATCTCCGCCCAAACGCTTCTCTTCTGGAGCTTATAACCCGCCGCCATGGCGCCCAGTTTCTGCGATAGATGAGTACGGATGACTCACTTCCCTGAAGCTTGAAATCGCGATGCTGATTTGAGTGCTATGGCAGATGGGTGAAGCGAGCTATTCGACCTATTAGTCTCCGCCAGTTGACCTTCTTTGGTCGGACCTTGACCGAACCACGACTCATTAGCTCCGCCAACTATGTGCGGACCGAGCTTCCTACTCGGTAGGTAGGGCCATAATCTGCAGTCATTGGGAATATGCTGATCGTTGTGGCTGTATAGCCTTGCACATCGTCTGCGAGATATCCAGCAGCTGCCCTATGTTGTGGTTGCGAACCCCCATCTCACCATTGTATACGAGCTCTACTACAAAGCGTTTGAGAAGTTCCGAGTGATTCCTGAAATCCGAAGCCTGGAGGACAATGATCGTTTCTGTGATACTCTCAAAGAAATGCTGAGAGAGCATCTGATTGCAATTCCCAACCTGGCAATGGGAGTGCTGGAATGTCGCAACCTCGCTCCGGCGGACGAGATGGACCGGCTGATGAACACACTTCTCCGAGCGGTATGTAAAGCCCACCCTTCTATCTACTTCATAGCTGACGAGTATTCCTTCTGGCAGAGAATTTCCCGCCGAGTCATCGCAGAACAGCACCTAGCTCTGACCGAGACCTTCAACTCACCGTGGCATTTCCCGGATTCCCACGACAGAATGGATATGAACGCAGACTTCGTGGGGGAAGTGTTCCTCAAATGCAAGGCTAAGGAGGTGGTCGAGGGATGTGGGAAGGTTGCACAGGAATTGATGCGGAATATATCTGGATCGAACCAGATACCCGCCATCACTGTCAAGGGCCATGTCGATGCAACCTTCCCGTATATCTTGAGCCACCTTGAATATATCATCGGGGAGCTTCTCCGCAATTCAGTCCAGGCAGTCATGGAAAAATATCATGATTCGACGGAAACGCCACCACCCATCGAAGTGCTCGTCTGTGAGACGCCGCAGCATGTGATCATGCGCATATCGGACCAGGGAGGAGGAATTCCTCGAGAGATTCTCCCATATCTATGGTCTTTCAGCAAAGGCCCTCGTACGCAATCCCGGCTGGAAAATCTCGGACAGGTCCCTGCAATGGCGGCGACAATGCAAGAGTTGAAAGTGTCAAACGAACTCAAACATATTAACCGGGATACATACCACGAGGGATCCCTGGACACATTGACGTCACGACCACCCAATCTTCGTCTAGGAATGGGACTCCCAATGGGTCGAGTTTATGCTGAGTATTGGGCGGGCAGCTTAGAGTTACACAGCCTGGAAGGATATGGAGTGGATGCCTTCCTACAGATCTCGAAGCTTGGCAACAAGAACGAGCAAGTCACGACTCGGGCGGCAATTGATGCAGTGTAGAGGTTCAGACTGGGAATATTACAGGAAATTGATTCCCAGTACCTCCACGTCTTCTCCAAGTCCGTGCAACGTACCTGCCGTCCACTGCACCTGCCTTCGTACACAAACACCGCCACATCTTCTGTCTGTGGCGGTGCCCTCTAGCTCGGGATGACGTCATAGACTATGCGGTCAAATCAGCTTCACAGCTGCCTTCAGCCCTACAGGTTCTCATAGTCCCAAGTCGATCTTCTGACGTCGTGGCCAAAAACAACATGAAACGCATCAATTCCCCCGTGGATGACAACGTTCCTATTTATATCTTCATCCTCCTCTTTATCATTCCCCTTCTCAGTTTCCTGGCCACCACCGATCTCAGACAACATCGTTCTAACAGATCTGACCCTGAATAACAACCTTCGAATCTAACATCAACCCCAACGCAATCATGGCCGGCACTTGCTCGATGCTATGTTTGATTATCGTCACCATATTCAGTCAGTATTTCCATGCCAAAACATCCCCACAGCAATCCCCACATCAGCTTATCCAGTCCCCATCGCAATGCTCTATGTACTAACAGATCAAACAGTTCCTCCACTTGGTGTCTTCTTGATCTCAGGCTGCGGCGTTGACTTCTGGATCAACGTTTGCCTCACAATCCTCGGGTGAGTATTGAAACAGCTATACACATCAACCTCGTCACATTCGAAAGCTAACCAGCGGCATCTCCCAGCTACTTTCCCGGACACATCCACGCCTTCTATCTGGAATATGTCTATTATGATCGTCGCAATCGTGATCCACTCACCCGTGCTACTCAAAGGCCCGCACCCGGCGTTTACTCCAACCGAATCCAGAATGGAGGCCATCATCACACACACGCAGACCGAAATTATGGCACCCTGTGATTTTCCTGCGATGAATCGGAACTCTTTCGAGTATGCTTGATGACACATGCTCCGGTAGCTAGCATGTACTGTGACTTTGAACCTAAGCGAGTCTTTACTTTTGCTGTATCAATAGCGTCGATCCTTTTCTTTCAGATGACTACCACCTTGGAAGAAGAAATGAACCCAGGATAGTTTTTCACACCAGATTGATTAAATACTCTCATGTATCATTTTCAAAATGCGACTGTATAGGATGGGCACTGTAGCGTAAGCCCAGAAAAGTAACCAAAAAGAAAAAAAAGCGAATCCCAACTCCCAATCTCAATGGTCTCAGCCATGACTTATGCACTAGCCTTCTGGGCCTCCTTAGCCTTCTCCTCAGTAGCAGCCTTTTTATTCCCCTTCAACTCAGGGAAATCAAAAGGCTCACTACTGACAATTGTGCCTGCAGTCCGGGGCACGGCACCAGTACCAGGCGCCCAGAACAGAGCCCCAACCCACGGCTGAACATTCCAGCCAACATGAAGTGTGACATTCTGGCGCTCCGCAAGACGACCGGTAATATCACTAACCTGGTACTTGCCCTTCTGGCCACGCAGCCTCAAGACCCCGGGCGCCGGAGCGTCCTTCTTTTTCTTGACAGACTTGGATGGCTTAGCATGGCGCTTGGCGTTCCTTTTCGCAGCTGAAGCAGCCAACGAAGAAACAGATTCAGGAACATGCGCAAGGACCTTGTCTTTCAGGACATCCCAGGAATACGGCGACGGTGGTGCGGAGATGATGGTATCCCAGATGATTGTTTCGGAGTCGCGGACCTGCGAGCCGGGCTTATCGGATGAGGAATAAGTGGCATAGACGTAGACGAAGAGCTGTTTTGTGTTCCAGTTGAAGAGCGGGCTCAGATCGGCGTCGAGATCGAAGCGGAACTGTGCGTATTCTTCGCGTTTCGTCGAGTAGTAGTGCGGCCGGCCTTTGACGCTATTACACCGGACAATGACTCTCAATCAGTAAATTTGTTTCTCTTTGCAGTCGCCGTAGAATATAGGGGCGAAGGAATATGAAGATCGCGATTCACTTACACCTGCACGTTCTTTAGTTGCACGGAGGCATTGGTCTCGTCTGCTGGGAACAGGAGTACTGAGACGGCTGCCAGGGCGCTGACAACCAGCGCGACTGTAGTGAAGAAGCCGAATACAGCCTGGATGCGGTTCAAAGAGGAATGCATGGTGTGTTGGTCGTCGAGGCAAAGATGAAGCCAGCTGGACCTGTTTGGATGTTTGGGCCTTATCGATAAGCGGGATCTATAAGCGTCCCGAGGGCTATCACCTTCAGCTCGAGTCAGCTTTTATATCGTTTTCCCTTTCCCTTTTGCTTTTACTTTCTCTTTATATACCATATAAACCAAGCCGATACAGTACCTCTCATATCTGCATAGCATCTCGTTATCTTTGAAACACCTCTTCTCACCTCTCACCCAACAACCACCCTACCTCCATCCCAACCCCACATACGGAGTACAAAATGGGCGATCACGTCCTCTTCTTTTACGGTAACACCAAGATCCAGATACGAAATCGAAAGTCAGACTAACAGTATACCAAGGACTTCTCATGGCCCCCCAAGTCTTACACCGAGTAATCCACGGCCAAGCCAATCCAGAGCCCTGGCAGAAAGCCATGCTCCGGTTCCAGCCCGCCGTTCTTCACGGGTACCGGCGACATCGTGTGCAGAATGCAGATTATCCAGGCATTGCGCCAGTCAAACAGACTTCAGAGACGGATTCATCTGAGCCCAGCACCAACGTCAAGACATCAGTCATAGGAACCCTCGTCTCGGGGCTGACAGATGGGGATATTCACCGACTTGACAGGTTCGAGGGCTCGGAATATGAGAAGAAACCCGTCGTCGTGCGCACTCTGCAGGGATCATTGGATCATGGTAGTAATCAGACGGGGGCTTCTGCTTCTGAGACCCAGCTGCGAGATGTGCTAAATGCAGTGAATCCCAAGGGTGCGGACGAGGGGGAGGAAGTCGCAGCTGTGGCCTATGTTTACACTGCTGGGAGGGATATGCTCGAGGATGCAGAGTGGGATTTTGAATCGTTCAAGAGGGACAAGATGGCATGGTGGATTGGGGCGGATGAAAGCCAGTGGTAGCTTTATCCAGGGATCTGTATCTCTTGCTTACTATATACTTCGGGCTTATACTCAATGTTACTATGAGAGATAACAATGTATTTGCACATAAAGATTAGATTTTCATTGCGACGCAGACCATGGTATCTTATGCTATGTCTGTATTGACACTCAATGAAAAAATCACCGTTCTCCTCATATCGAACGCCGACACCAATGTCCGTGCTGGACATGTCATGACGCATCCGGGGTAAAAACGCTAAAAAAAAAAGAAGAAGAAGAAGAGAACATGTTCAGTTCATGATGTAGATAGTGAGTCCCGGCCCAGCCGGTACTGTATTCAGAGATCAAATTATCTTGCACAACAGGTTTGTAGTAATTGATTGATCAATTGCCAACCCTTGTTGCAAAGGGAGGTCGGCAACTTCATCACTTTCGAGTTTGGATTTTTAGGTGATATGCCAGGAGATTAGGGCATTTCCTGGCTTCCTGACGGTTGAACAACCTCTTTCTTCGGGGAGAGGCAGTATGATCTTGCTTGTAGTGCAATATTCATTCCTTTCGCAAGCCCTTTCGCAGGGCTTTTTGCTTACGTTCCTTTCTGGTCGGTGGTGGTGTACCAGGCACTTGAATGATGGGTCCCTCTTCTAGTTGGTGAACAGGGTCTCTCTGTAATGGTGTGTCTGCAGACGGATTGGTTGCTTTTTTATCTGGGCACTGAGGTTGTTCAGTAGGAACCAGGTGCATCTGGTCCGCAGTTGAATCTTCCCGCTGGTTCTTGGCCTTTGGCTTTGCACTTGTCGCATGGTCTGAGTTGGAAGGATTCGTGTCGGGCTGGGATTCGGGTACCACATCAACACCTGGAATCTCCTCCTGGCAAGGGAGTGGCGGGCCAAGCAAAAATGAGACGGGGGATTTGTCAACCAAGATCGGTCCACTGGCGTTCTTCTGTTCCATGTACAGTTCATCTAGGAATTTGCCAAATCGATCCCGAAGAAGACCAGCACCTAGCGGAGGCCAGTCCTCATCAATGCGCATATTACGCTGCAGCACCTTCGCCATGAAGTAATCAGGGTGCTGGACAAACTTCTCCAAGTATGTCAACAGATAAAGGCCACAGTCCCAGTAGTTCGGCTGAAGAGGGATATCGCGCGCTCGCATGCCCTTGATCTCGGTTGGGTCGAGTTGTACGCCACGCTTGGACGCCGCTTCTTTGCAGGTGTAGTCGCGGAGCAATCTGATAGTGGGCGATCGAGGCGCGTCAAGTGAGTCGAATGTGACAATCGTTGGTTGATTGGGATCCAACTTCAGCCCTGCCCTCTTCTTCTTCGAGAATTTGCCTTTCGACTGCGATGCAGCTGCGTGTTCCTGGGCAAGCTTTTGAGCTGCGAACTTGGAGAGATTGGCCGGTGGAGGTGGGTTGCCGCTGCTTGCCGTCGACTTGGCAAAGGCAAAACCCTGGGCTCCGTCACCAGATACCCCGATCTCCGTGGGGCCAAGGTCCTTCATGGACTCAGATTCCCTTTGGAATCCCGTCAGCTCGTCGTCACTCTTCTCCGCACTTTCCTCAGAGGCGTCCTCTGACTCTGGTCTCAGCTCCGGCTCAGGTGTCTCTTGAATTTGATGAATTTCATTCTCAGAGACACTGGAGATTTCTTTCTCCAGGGTTGGTGTCTGAACCGACTCGATGCGGTCGGCAGAATCAAGAGCCAAACTTGGCAGGTTGCAAATGATAGCAACGTACCAATGAGCATTCTCGTTGATGGGAACGACAATGTAGTCATAACTGAATAGATCTACATTGCGCGTCCACTTCTCCACACCCGCGTAGTTGATACCACGGGTGCGAGAGTCCTTCGAGAGAGTCGCAAAGAAGTAAGTGTTGAAGAAGTAAATGCGCTTCGCAGCCTCCGGGTTGGTACGTTCGAGATGGTCTTGAAGGAAACGCATGTAGAAAGCAATGAGGTTATCATTGAGAAAATCGTCTGTGCGTAACCGATCACGATCCCCGAGGTTCACCTCAGCTTTTTTCTTGCCATTTGGCGGATAAACCAAGGGTTGCTTCCAGTTCTTTCTGAAAGAATCATCCTCGAAACGCGGTTTTGTATTTTCTTTCAATGCGAGGGCTCCATTCGACGGCTCAGTGTTCCGAGTGGAACGACGGGTAGAGGATCGTGTCTCGCGTTCCGGTGGGTTTCCAGTAGAGTCCAGGGCCTCGACGGGGATATCAGCACCAGTGTCTGTATCGCTGTGAGTCGGGTGATCCTTTTGGTATTTGGCAGATTTCCGAGTTTCGACGTTATCGTTCGCTAGTTTTTTCTTGTTCTGGGTAGGCCGCTTGGTTTCAGGTGAATGATCATTGCCCAATTCGCCGTAACCATCTCTCAGGGAATCCGAAAGTCTGGGTCGTCGTGGGGCAGGATGAGCATCAAGAGGATCGGAATCTTCCACCTGCTCATCGAGAGGCCGCTTATGAGGCACTTCGCTGTCGTGAAGAAACTGGCTCGCATACTTCGCAAAGGCCTGGTCCATCCATTTCCTGTTACAATGTTAGCAAACTGTGATCTGATGTGAGAATTGGCTGCCAAGTCATACATGTCTTTGCTGATGGTCGCAACGTTGGCTTGTCCCAGCACTCGTTGGAAGCTGATCTTCTCATCGGTCCTCCAAAACTCAATATCGAGCTGGTCGCCGGCTTCGACGGAACCTTTCAGCAGTTGAATCCTGAGTTTTCGGCTGGGCGCCTGGCCCATGTAAATTTGCCTGAACTGGTGAAAAAGAATTGAGATTTGGTTGCCATCGCCGAGCACATCTTCGCGAAGTTCAAGGCCCTTTTTGGTCGAATAGATAGGTGCGAATTCTCTCATCTGACAGGTCTTGTTGAATGCACCAATTCGGAACCTGCACGACAGCCATTGCTTCTCGGGAGTCTTGCCAGCAAGCTTGGCCTTCTTTGCGCCTTGCGATGGAGATGAAAAATCAGTAGGACGGATATCTGCTGGGGATCGTTTTCGGGTCGGCGTTTCAACGCTAGTCTGGGGTTGAGGTTGGCGGGTGGTTCGAGGCTGTTTTTCATGCAAGGATTTCGGCAGTGGGTGAGTGGTGATATCGCCTTGAAGTTCGTCTGGACTTTCTCTGCCGTTGAGAGGACGAGGGAGTTGATCAGAAGGAAGTGCAGTGCGATTTCTACTAACCTTCCTTTTCCCGATCTCATCTCTGTCCGGAATTACGGACTCGACAGTCTGGGTTGGGTTGCGATTGGCTCGATACAAGCGGGGATCCACGAATTTTGCGGCATTGGCAGTTCGTCGTTGCTGGGCTGCGTTCTCTGTGAATTGTTCATCCCGGGAGTCACCAGAAAAGAATTGATCAAGTTGAGGACGGAGGGAGCCCTGCGCTGCCTTGCCCCCACTCTCGGGGTCTTTCAATTCAGGACGACGATTGCGGCGGTTTCCCTTTCGAATGGCAGGAGCTTGAGGAGATCCTTGTTCTGATCCATTCATGGCTGGATATACCGGGGCAGTAAGATCAATGGTTTCGCTGGTCTCGCTCTGACGCCGCTTCTTGATGGGACGATCAGATTCTTCAAAGGCATGGCCCAGTTGGGGCGATTTTCGTCTCATCAATGGAGATTGCCGGTTTGATTCCCCGTTCGCACGGACCGGTCCGCTGCTTCGGGCATGCTGTGAAAGCTTATCGCGGGGGGAGAACGCGAAGTTTGACTGTAGCTGAGGATCAGACAAAATGTCATAGGCATGAAAGAAAAAGGCTGGATCTCACTCCTGGTTTTTTGTTTTTGGATAAGAATGTTGCGCCGGGCTTTATCTTGACAGCTTGAGAGTCACTATGAAAGAATGGAGCAACCACCGGTCAGCACAAATATCTCGAACCATTCGGCACTCAATGGGAGAACATACTGATATCTAGCTCCTAACAAACGAGCTTCATCTTGCCGATCCCGGGAATCCTTTTTCTTGTCTTTGTCCAACATGGGCGACGAATCACCCGGTCTGGAGAGGGAGGGAGGCATCAGCTTTTGCCTGCCGGCAGGGGAAAGCTGAGGGTTGCGATGGGACATGTCTAACCGGGTGGATGAACCTAGAATAGGGCTCGAAAAACGTGTGTGCAAGCGTTCACTTGCAGTTGTGGATCCTGGTGGAGAAGAAAGAGTATCGACATAACTTTCAATAACCTAAGAAGATTGATCAGTCTCGAGTTCGACAGCTGCAGATGGCATATAATGGGACGAAGAAGCGGATCCGCAAGTCAAATGACGACGTTGGAGATCCAGCGTAGAGGGGCGCATAAAAAAAAGATATGAACCGCGCCTAAAGCAAAGATGCGCTCTACGCGCATGGAGATATGGATAACACACCTTGGGATCAGCAGCGATATCAGCGTTCCGGGGAGTTGTGGGTTCGGCCGGATCGTTGATTTCGGTATGAGGTCGTAGGGTAAGAGGGTAGCGGCCAGATCCAGCTGGACAAGAGGGAGGGGTCGAGGGCGGAGGTTGTGTAGGTACAGTAGATCGTTGATCTTGGGACCGTTGGCGGTTGCGTCGTGGGGAGAGCTTGGTGAGGAGATCTGCTAGGCTTTTAAACACAGGCATGAAGGGAGCCACAATATTTTGATCTGATGCATTGCACAAATACCATATCAATTGAGCATTTGCCTATTGTCTTTTTTTTTTTTTTTTTTTTCTTTGCTCCCACTCATGGAACGCAACTACGCCGCATCGTCATCTAGGCCCTAGGGCGGTCAGTAATGTTGGACACCTGAAGGTCTAGGCAGCAATCCTTTTCTATAGCCCCGTTCTATACATTCTACCTACATGTATGCATTCGTTTTACAATCGGTTGATTGCCTTTCTATACTTCAATACTTTATTCTGGTCATAGGGACTATTCATGTTCAAGCGCATCAGAAGAACAGCTCAATAAGATGAACAATACTACCTAGGCAGTAATTGACCTTTGATCAGGGTTTCTGGTTTCCATATGAATTGCTGTATTCATGTCCAGGGAATTCTTTCTCCGAGGTATTTGGTTACACTCAATCCAATAGGACGAATGAAGAACCCCGAGCGCTAAAAGAAATGGTGTCAAAGTAAAAGAACCCTACTTCATACCGAGACGTATGTAACTCACCATGGGCCTAGCGAGCAGTATGCGTAGACAATACGGCGAGGGGAAAAAACCAATGGCAGTTGATACTGCATTCATGTTGCATACATAAAGGAAAACATCACGCATGAGCTCGGCAGACACAAAAAACACATAGCACAGATGAGTTCACTGAAGACATAAACTAAATCAAACCGCTGAGTTCGCCTCGTTGCCCCGCCGCCCCTAAGACCCAAACGCGTCCCAATGATTCGTGAATGAAGGTTTTTTTTTCGGGTTTACTATACAGGGCTCAAGGCCAGGCTGGGATTTTGGATCCGTTCATAGGGCCACAGCCGCTTTGATTTTGTCCGAGTCGTCCTGGTTTGTACGCCGCCGTTCTTGGTGACCTGTGCCGGTTACGGTCTTCTCGTGGCGAGCCTGGTCAATGGCAGAGCGCTGTGCAATACTGTCGTCGTGGCTCTTCCAGATGATGTTGGTGTCTGTCGGGAATGCTAGTAGGCGCTTGATCGTTTCTCTGCAGCAGAATTAGATATACTACGCGATGATAAAATGGAGATATGGGTAAATACCTGATCTTGATGTTGCGCCCCCCATCAATCCTCGTCCAGACACTCAAAACGTCCTCGCCGCCTCGGACGCTCAGCACGGCACCGCAGACTTCATCTCCGGCCTCCGCAAACTGATCACCGACCATAGCCAGGAGGAGATCCTCCCAGTATCGATCGGACACGCCCTTCTTGAAACGTACGATCCACTTACCTCCTCGCTTGTTCGCCTCGTCTTCCCAGACGGGGCGAATGCCCTTCTTGAAGATATGGTAATCGGAAACTGTAGGAAGAAGAGAAGGTCGCTTCAAATGAGAGTACACCGCCCAGAAGCTCTCTACGGAGGATATCGAAGCGAGCGGCACGGTGGACTTCTCGTAGTCGGAGTATTTGGGTGTCGGAGGGCGGTACCAGACAATCCACGTAGACTTCAACGGGTGCTCGCCAGGAGCAGAGAGGGAGTGACTGTCAAAGGCCTTTCGGGTGGCATCGTCGTCCACTGGTACCTCCCGTCCTCCGGGTGTTTTCAACTCGGAGCCACCGGGTGTCTTCGGAGCACCGAACGAAGCGAATGCGCCGGACCCCAGACCGAAAGCGGAGGAAGCATTGGTGGATGGCGAAGAGACACCGCCGGATAGTGGAGATATTGCGTTAAATGGATTCGAGCGGCCATGCGAGCTGTCAGGTCCGAACCGCTTGGAGGGGCGGGGCAGTTCGACACGGGCGCCGCCTTCTTTGGCGTCCGCCCCAGATGTTGAGAGTGACAACTTGGAGGAGCTATGAAACAGAAACACGCCCCGTAAGTTACAATGGTCACCTGGGTGAGGAGGGGCACACGACTAACTTGGTCCGGCGGGTCCACAGGTTTGCATTATCCATCGCGGCGGGTGAGAAGACTGCCTGAGACACGAACGGTCATCAGGGGGAAAGTGAAGGATCCGAAAGAAGCGTTACACAAAGAAACGAGACGCCCGCGCTGTTATCTCAGTGACGTAGTATAGTGACAAAGAGGCGGAAATTCTGCGAAGGAAGAAGAAAATCGACGGATGCGTGGGGAAGTGAAAAAAAGGAGAGCTGAATAGGAGATGTCGGTATAGAGGAGAATAAGTTAAAGTAAAAGGGTATAGCGAGAGAGAAAATTAACGATGGAGGGGGAATCAGAAGGGAAAAGTGTCGATGAATCGGAGACTCGACGACTGCAGTTGGAGGAGCAGCTTCCTGGCCAATCAGCGCCACGTTCGCCTGCAGCCCGCACCGTCTTTTTTCCAGTTTTCCCTTTTTCTTCGACTTTTTTCGGTCGATGTTTTTTCTTTTCTTCTTCTTCTCTCAAGACCACCAACTCAAATCAACGCTGGCGTCTCATTCTTTTTACAGCCCTGGCGTTTCCGATGAGTGTGTCGAGATTGAATTATATCGCATCTAAAACCATCATCACGAGGGCTTACGAGCAACCCATGACACGTTGATGACCTGATTGACGACACATCCCAATTTCTACCAATTGCTTCTTTTGTTTATGTTTTTAGTATAGGGTACGTCTTGTTCAATAGCAATCCAATCTACATTCCTGAATCTGCAATGAAGAAACTCTTTTGAGCTCTCTGGTAATCCGAGGTCTCAACCGCCGTACTACTTTGGCCTCCGGGCTCACGCGCTGGTTGGGCATGCGGTCAACAGGCAAAGTCTGAGCCTTTCAATGTACCATGGTTGTCATGTCTGTGCGAGTAAACAAGTGGCTGACGAGTTCATGGGGCACCTAGGTGGATTGTATACGTAGTATCTCTTGTTGACCATAACATACTTCTAAATCAACAAAGCCCTAGTCTCACGCTTGATACTACATACAGAATATATGGGTCTACTTGGCTCAGGCCCCTGATACAAATAATAACTTCGGTGTTTGATCTAGAATTTCATCGATCAATGGGCAATATGTCACAAAATAAAACCAAGCCCGGAATAATCCCAAGTACCAAAGGTGGTGAATCTCGTTAAAAAGTAAATGCATGTCATTCCACCGGTCCACGTTAGATGCAGTAAAACAGCGAAAGCAAGTGAAAAACAACCAGCAAATGAACAGTCATCATGGAACAGAGGCAAGGTCACTTGAGTCTTGCTTGGTCCGCTTAGAGTCCCGATCAGTGCTGGGAACGGAAGCCTCGGCTTTGCGCTTGTCGCGATCCTTCTGGTTCTGATATTCGACTCGGCGAGCTTCCTTGCGAAGAGCCTTGGATTCGAACTCGTGCCAGTCCCCTTCGACGTGCTCCAATCTGCGGGCAAAAGTTAGCAGCTATAATTGGTAGACATAAGGAGAATTGGGTGACATACTCAATTGGCGGGTGAGGAGCTGGTTCTTCTGATACGAAGTAGGGATGCTTGAGGACATCTTCAGCGCTTGGTCGGAGGGCAGGGTCGTAGCGGAAGATGGAGGAAATAAGATCCATCGCGCTGGGCGTCAGCACATCACGGTACATGTCTTCAAAGACACGCTTTTTCCGTTCAGTGGGTCGCATCAGGTGGAACCAGGGCATCTCCACAAGGTCTGGCCACTCAGTCTTGGTGGGAGTACCCAAAGCATTATAGATTTTGTCCATCTGGCTCAGTTCGCCACCCTCGCCGGGGAAAACAGCCTTCTTAGTAAACATCTCCATGCAAACGCATGCAGCACTCCATAAGTCCACGGCAGGGCCATAACGGGTTTCACCCAGGAGAAGCTCAGGGGGCCGATACCAGATAGTAATAACTCGGTTGGTATAGTCAAGTTGACGACTTTTAGAGAAGAAGCGAGCCAGGCCAAAATCGGCAAACTTCAGCAATCCACGATTGCTGATTAGGATATTGGCTGCCTTGATATCGCGATGGAGAACACCACGGTGGTGAAGATAGTTGAGACCTTCGAACATCTGCTTCGCTAGATCCTTTTTGTGGGAAAGAGTGAGAGAGAAGGTGGGGTGGTTGATCAAACCGGTGAGATCGTGTGAGAGATATTCGAAGACCATGAAGCACTCATTCTTCTCGACCATGACCTCAAGGAGACTGACGATATTGTGGTTTCGGAGATGCTGGAGCAGCTTGATTTCTCGTACAGCTGTGACGGGAAAACCATCCTTCTCGCCTTCCATTCGAATCTTCTTGAGAGCAACCTTACGCTGGGTATAGACATGGATTCCTTTGAACACTTTGCCGTATGTGCCTGCGCCGATGACAGACTCGTTGCCTGGCTTTCGGTAGTAAACAGATTCGGCGTTGGCAAATTCCTCTGGAAGCGTAGGGCGTGGTTTGGGGCGAGTAACGATCCGTATTTGCTTGGGAGGTGCTTCTCTTGGCGGTTCTGGCGAAGGTTCGCGGCGGCGATCTTGCCAGTCTTGAGGCCTGTCTGGGGGTCGCTCTCCTTGTCGTCGATCACGACGTGGATCAAACCGGCGATCGTCTCTTCGGTCCCGAGGATCGCGGAATTCTTGTGGCTCACGGAAGTCTCTGCGGTCCCTGTTTCGTCCACGATCCCGATCGCGGCGATCGGCTCTTGGTTCTGGTTTGAATTTGGGCAACGGTCCATTGGTAAATCGGTTGCGGGGCTGTTGTGGTGGTTCGGGTGCACGCTCGGGTGCACGAGGGGCCGGCTCGCGGACCTGTTGCATACGCTGAGCGAGATCAGGTACTGGCTTCGGGGCAGGAGAAGGCGCAGCCTTCGACTTGAAAGCAAAGCTGAATTTTCCACCCTTGTTTGCAGGAGTCGTTTCATTAGATTCACGGGTCGGGATTGGCATGGACTGGTGATCTCCGCCCGCGGATTGGATTTGTGTCTGGTGCTCATCTTCGTGGAATTCCCGGTTGGGGGGCCGGGAATAAGTATCATGTTCATCATCTCGAGGGGATTGCGGGTCGTTGTGAGTCTCGGGACGATTGGGAGTTTGGGATCCATGGCCGTGTGCCGGGTGAGGGCTGTGTTGTCTCCCACGGCCTCGGGCTCCAGATGCAGTCCATTGCAGATTATTAAAGTGTCCTCTCGAGCCGCGTTGTGGGGGTCCATTGTGATATGTGTGAGAGCCGGGACCAGAAAACCGGCGGTCAGGGCCCTGGTTTGAAAAGTTTCCTCGATGACCACCACCAGAGTGGCCTCCTCGGTGAGGGGGCCCGCCATAAGGAGAGTGATGGTTACTAGGGCCATTGAAATGACCTTGGTTGTGATAATAGTTTCCAGATTGCGATGGGTAATTGTCCTGTCGATAAGGAGAGGCATGCCTTGAGAATGATGTTAGTATACTGTTAGAATGTAAGATGTAAACTCAATGAGCACGCGGTGAGCACCCAATGAGAACGCAATGATCACTCACCCAGTTCCAGGGTACGACGGCGGACCAGACCAGCCTCCTCTGCCGCCGGAGTAAGGCGAGGTCGGCTGTGGCGAGCCATGGTATGAGCCTGGTGCTGTTGGATGTTGCGGGGAGGTTGGATATGGTCGGGTATCGAGATGTGATCGAGATGGCTGACGGCGTGGCTGGTTATTCACGTCAGAGCGCACACCATGCATTGGGAAGCCATCTCGCACGTTAGTCGAATTTTCCCCGGGAGGACCGAAGTTATCTGAGTCAAAGCTCGGAATGGGGCGCGCTGGAGATGGGGATCGAGCAGCATCGTCCCCAAGTGCCTGATTTGGTCGGCTTGAGTTCATAGCTGAATCACGCCTTGATCTGCGAGATGATGCCGAAAATCTCGAGTTTGCAGACCGTACAGAGTGCCGCGAGTTAGACCGATAATGGGATCCGTGGTCGCTATAGTTGTCACCCCCAGGGGACCGTCGGTCGGGCGAAGGATGGAATCCCCGGTCATGAACTGGTGATCCTGGTCGCGGGATGTCTGGGCGACGGCGGTCTCTGCCGCGTCGATCCCGGCCCCTGCGAGGCGATCTTCGCCTTGGAGCACCACGACCTTGGGTGCGGCCACCTCGCTTCTTGAATGAGGGACTTCGGTCCCGTCCTTCTCCGTACTTGGGATAATTTGGACGTGATGGAGGGAGGGGGCCCCAGCGGCCACGTGGAGATGGGCTTCGAGTTCTTTGCCGTTTGGATGGAGGGCCGCCCGGTGACTCCTCTCTTCGAGGACCGGGGGCTTGTCTTTCGAAATGTCCGGGGGGATGGGCGTTCCAGTCACCAGTTGGTGATGCAGGTACATTTGAGTCTGGTCGACGATTGTTATGGAAGTTTGGAGGTGCAGGAGAGCCACGAGGAGATCGATCTGGAGCAAAATCACCTAGGTCGTGAGAGGAGTCAGGGCCAAAGCGGGACGCGCGTGGTGGCGACCGCCCAGAGCGATCGAAATTGCGATTATTGGGCCGCTGCCCACGACCGCGATCACGACCTCGGCTTCTCCCTCGATCGCGGCCTGACCCTCGACCTCTGCGTCTGTCCATAGCACGGGGATCGCGGTCTGGGTCAGCACTCCACTGATCTCTCAATACCGGACTCCTACGGGACCCAGCCATGTAAACTTCGCCAACGGCATCTGGTTCAATCAGGGGAAGTGAAGGCTATCAATGAGGCCAGTCCTTGAAAGAAGACTCGACCTAGTGATAATGATGAATAGGCGCAGGGAGCGATGTTGTCCAAGCGTGTCCGCGATCGCAGGCGGAAGTCTTTCGGGTTTGGGGGACCCGGAACGAGGGTTTTTCCGGACTCTGAAGCACACTGCCATCAAGCGCTTGTGAACAACGAGGACATAAGTAAGGGGAGTGTTGAATAGGGCATACGCACCAATTCAGATTTATCGAATACACAGTCTCACCCTTCCAGTAAAACAAAGGCAGACTACTTGGTAGAAGGTGAGCTTCCCAAAGTTTGATACCCTGGGAGTTGCTGACTGATCTTGCGGCTCTACAACTTGATTCGATGGTGGAATGTTGGTGTGCAGCTGTAGACAAGTGCAAACTGTAACCCAGCTTTGCTTCACCAGTCTTTTCAAGCGTCGAATGTGTCGAGTCTTGGCGCTCAGCACATGATCATCTGATCAGGTGGTGCCCAAGTTTTGGAGCAACATGCTAGCCAGGTTGCTGGCGCACAGGGTCTCTCCTTTGTGCTCGCCTGTCCTGCATTTCTGTCCAGCAGTTTCCGACCTTTGGCAAAGCCATAGACTGCGTTGGCTTGTCCCTCGAATAGAACTATCTACGTATTGCACAAGGCCAGATGGGCCAACATCCAAGAGGCACCATTGTGAACATAATGAAACCAGTGTTGGAACATCAGGTCACACCATAGTATCAATAGACGCGGTCCCTTATCATTCGCTTCCTGGAATCATCGAGCTGTTGGTCAATTTGGAGCGTCGATTTAACATGCCATGGCTCTTTGATGGAAACAACTTCGACGGCCTGATATCACTGTCAGCCAGTCGATATCCGAGGTTCTGTAATTGTAAATTGGTCAATTGCCAATGTTCTGGTCGTCATGCACGGACAAAATTGATGCGTGTCGAAACGAGATGTTGTCGCAATTTACAACAGAAAGACAGACAGTTGACTATCGGGGAACAAATACCACTGTGACCAGAGATCAAACATAGGCGGGCCACCTATAGCAAGGCATCTCTAATGCGACCTTCTCGGTTTCGGTGTCTTTATGGTTCCGCCACACACGCGTGCAACTTCACGTTGGTGATATCCGGGTTTCCAGGTTAGTTGGCCAGGCAGGTAAGGCTGGCAACAATATTGGGGGTGTACCGAATGAGGGGGTCAATATACGAGACGTTCAAGGTAACAAGAACTCAAAAATAAAGTTGTTTCCATCCCAGTCCATCAGGGTGAGCAAGCCCCCAGGCCTGTCGGTGAAATGCTAGCCACTAGGCCTTGCGCGCCCAGCCAACCCCACCTCTCACATTAGATAGCGAGACCAATTCCATGACCAGAAGCTGATAACTTGTAATCTAATAGGAAGCAACGCCTCATGATGCTGGTGTGGTTGAAAGGAGATCAAAGCCGTGCTGAAGGTCAGGCCGAGATCGAGCGGGATGGACTGGGACACGACAACCGGCCATTCTCACCCGGGGAAAAAGCATATTCCACAGAAATTCCAGGGAGCTTAATTCAACAGAAACATCATCTCTGAGTGATCAGTAGGGGCATACGCCACGTCGCATAGGCGAGGAACTAAGATAGCAAGAGGTAGGTTGATGTCATGGGCAGGTCGAAGTTCCAAGTGCCGGAACTGAGCGTGGGGTCACATGTGATCACGTGGTGTCATATTGTCTCCGAAGTACATAAATTAGGGCAACAAGGAACGCTACTACGAGCAGATTGTTGTCATCATTGTACACAAATCGTATGTTTAAATTGTTCTAGCCTCTATCCTTGAGTGTGAGCCCTATAGAGCGGGGTTAGCTTGTCTACTATATCCTTATGACCCTCATTGTCTGTGAGAAAATACATAAACGGCTTGAAGTCACAATAGACACTTCTGATCCGATACAGCCGAAGGCAATGTTGATCGGTTCATGGGACGGCAGTTCACCTTCTACAAGCCGGAAAAAGATGGTTGTACTCATACATATTTATTCTGTACATACTCCTGTAAGTTACTCCATCCTCCTCCTCGAAGATTGACAAGGTTCTCACTCTCACAGTTCGTTTCTCCTCGTTTCATCATCACTTCATGCTTACTAGGCAAGCATGAAAAAAGCATTAACCCCAGAAAATACTCATACAAACCGCGTAGTCTTCTCATCCATCGATGGGAAACCGGCCCGGCGCCGGCTGCTCATCAGGGTCCTCGTCGTCCTCGTCGCCCGGCCAAGTGATCGCAAGAGGCACAGCCCCATTGGCATGGGGAGTCCCAGGAGCAGAGACATTAGGGTTCTCACCATCATCCTCTGATTCCGAAGATGAAGTTGAGGACGCCTCCCTTTCCGAAGCCATCGAATCCGAATCATCAGGGTTCATCAGCCTGAGAGCTTGCACGAGGTCATTCATACGCGGACCTGTGATCTCACTTTCCACCAAACTTGCGGAAGGATCGTCCAGTGGGTTTCCCGAATTGGAAGCTGGGGAAGGAGGTGGGACAGGACCAGGTTCGTTCGAATCATCAGCATTATGTAGCCTGAGTGGCTGCAAGAATGCCGTCACACGCGGATCCGAGGTCTGATCTTGCACGGTACCTTGAGCAGCACTTTCATCTGGATTTCCCAAGCTAGCCCCCAAAGGCGGGCCCCCTTCACCTGGGCTCAGAGTAGCCGCCGAGTCTGGAGTAGCCGCCGAAGGTGGCGCAGCCGGCGGGTTAGAAGCGACAGGTGAGCTCAGAGTAGCCGGCAGTTGCGATGTATCGGGTTCATTTGACGAAACAGGCGCCGTGGGTGTATCCTGAAGAGGCGTGATATGGGACTCTGGAGGCACACTACGTCGTATCCAAGGATAAGAGGGCATAGGAAGCATTGTACCCCGGAATCTGGCAGGTTCAAGTCTCATAATCTGAGCACCATTGGCACTTAGCATGATCCATGGAGGTGTTCGGTGCTGAAGACTGCGTGGAGTTGCCACGGGCTGGAGGTTTTCCGGACGAATCCCGACTATGAGTTGTTGCCGAACAATCCATGCTTGAATCATTCTTTCTGGAGAATACAGAACTGGTGCTCCTGGAACCCGTCTAGGAGCGCTTGAAGGAATGTAGGGATTCGCCTCGCTCGATGACCCTCCTTCTAGGGGAGGAAGTGGATAGGGTAAGGGAGGACGAAAAGGGAGAAGATGATCAGGAGGGCCAGGGTTGGAACTAATAGACCGCAAGGGAGCACGAGAAGCCATAGCATACGCGTTGTCATCTGCGCGGCTTGTTCCAGGAAGTGACGGGCTGATTTCGGAGGACATAGCCAACTCAGTAGATGATCCCTCAGGTTGGATCGGGTTATGGAAGGCCTCGGCGGACATTCGTGTAGCTGATTCAAGTTGAACATCGCTGCGAGGAGCAGATCCAGAGTTGTTTTCTGTATGTGACTCGGGGTTTTCATGGACCTGGTAGGGCAAAAGCGAGGTTCCAGTTTCGGCAGTAGCATTGGAATTGATGGGCTCATTGGCAGGGTCAGTGGCATCGACTTGGAATGAGCCGCCGGAGGAGCCGCCTGAGAAGCCATAAGCATCTGAAGATGGGGTGTGTTCCTCCATTGGGTCGGAAGGAATGCCTTTTTTTGTTGGCTAAAAAGCCTTGAGATGTTTCTTTTGTTTCTTTTTTTTTCTCGGTAAATCAGCTCTAGACCCCATGTCAGTCATATCATTCGATATTTGCTATATTCCAATAGTTTCAACGTACCTTGGATATCGTCTTATCTTCCTAGATCTGGAAGGCCCTAGGATATTGGGATTATGAGAGTGGAATCCTGCATAAAGCAAACAAGTTAGTATCCAATTTCACAATCACCAAACAAAAACCACGTGTGCATGAACCAGAGCAATATTTTTTAACAACAGAAAAAACGGCTAATGTGAATAACGACCACCAGATCTTCCAGTAAAGCTAAGAAACAGCATCAAATGGAAAGCAAATAGCAGGTTAAAGCCGGCTTAATGCCTATAGCCTCAATCTGTCTCCAGTGAGAACAGAACTTGGCAAAATGAAGGATTTTGCCAAAACAATACTCATGAATATGGACAGAAAATATTCACAGAAGGCATGGGTGTTGAGGATACATCAGGATTGTTCATGATTCAGGTGTAGGATGGCAAGGTGTCAATCAAGCATAGCAGTGCCTCAGAAAAAGACCCGGCATTGCACGTAGTACCCGTAGAGAGGACAGAATCAATTAGCATATGACTTACAAAAGCAGATGATATCGATAACACCCTATCTCAGCTGTGCGGCAGCTGATGAGGTGTGATAAGGAGAGATGTCTGGACGACGGAGAAAACGTGAGATATGGACGTGATGGTGGCGGATGCCTAGGAAAGTCCAATTCACAAGAAGAATCACGGGGAGATGCACGTAGATGCGAACAATAGCCTGCAGACAGAATGCAGATTTTTCGGAAGAAAAGCTGGCCAGCAATAGATGAGAAACCGATAGGAACTAGAAGGCTTCAGCAAAGAGGTGGATTGTGAGGGAAAGATGAAAGAGAAGAAAGGATCTTGAAGGAGGAAGATAAATAAATACAAACGTGGACGTCCCCGTAGCCATCGCCGCGGGCGACGATTAGTCGTCGTATATGGGATCCAATCATTCGCCGAGAGATCTATCGCCGTGGGCAACCTTGGAAGTATGAGTCGTGCGAAAGGCCACGATTGGCCGATGTAGTTGGATGAGTCGTTGACGAGATAATCAGCTTCAGTCCTTGGAAGCGGCCTCTGCCCTGGGAGGTTCCGTGGCGACATCATCGAGCCCGCCGATGAAACAGCCAGGGGCCTTGATGGATAAATAATTACCTACCCATGAATGCAGAAAGGTACTTGGGCATTGTAAAGGTGCTTTGAATGACGGTCGAATCTCTCGAGCGTATATAGACCGTGGAGCCCTGTGTATATCGATGCCAGGCCTATCAGTCGACAATTTTCTAGAGTGTTGATACAGAAACTGCAGAGAAAACCGCTTCAGTGTTACATGAATCAATAAGATTTCGGAAAGAGATTGTACATTGATTCTGATACATAAGTCGTATACAAAAGTGAACAGTTCCCAAAAGCTTCCGACGAGAATGTTCGTAAGCGGCATGGGATCAAGTGTTGAAACAGCCTAGCCAGTGCTATCAAGTAAGACCTCGATAGACTGTATAGCAAAGGCCTCTTGAGGGTTCGTGTTAGTATGACAGGGCATAGAGAGTGAGAGGGGCTTCTTTTTGTTTTTCTCCCTCGGGCCCATCACGGGTCGAGGAAGAGGCGTTCGCCATTACTCACGAAGCCATCAGCCCTAAAGTTGGGTGCAAGCGTCATGGGCGAAGGAACATGGCAAGACACCAGGGCAAAGATTTGCCGAAGTATATGCAGGAAAATCAAAACATGAGAACACAGAGAAACACCAATCCACGCTTAACATGTGAAATTAAAAGCAAAACCACCCAAAAACCTGTTGAAAGGTCACCGCCAAAACTCCAAGAATCCGTAAATAACACCCTAATTTATTTTTGGGTATGGGTGGTTGGTGAGCTGGGTCATTATCTGCGGTTCAGTAGAGTCAAGAACTCTTCGCGAGTCTTGGCGCTCGATCGCATACATCCCAACATGCAACTGGTAGTCGTGGTGCTGCTAACCTTTTGGACACCTCGCATCACCATGCACAGGTGGGAAGATTCCATAACGACACCGACACCGCGAGGTTTGAGAACCTCAGAAATCGCCAACGCAACTTGCTTGGTCAGACGCTCCTGAACCTGGAGTCTGCGAGAGAACATCTCTGCGAGACGAGCCAATTTTGACAAACCAAGGACGCGGCGGTCGGGGATGTATCCGATGTGCATCTGGTGAGGTTAGAATGATTATCACTAAAGGGGGAAAAAAAGAAAAACTAAAAAAGAAAATGCAGCGATTCGTACCTTTCCGGTGAAGGGTACCATGTGGTGTTCGCAAAGCGAAAAGACATCAATGTCCTTGACAATGACCAACTCATCGTGGTCCTCGTGGAAGACAGCGCCGTTCACCAGGTCTCTCACATTCTCTTCGTAGCCCTTGGTGAAGTAGAGCATGGCCTTGGCATATCTCTCGGGGGTCTCGCGAAGTCCCTCTCTTTCTGGGTCCTCGCCGATGCATTCAAGGATTGTTCGGATAGCTCCGGACAGTTTTGTAAGTCGTTGTTCGGTCTCCTCCGGTGTCGCTTCCTTCCGCTCTCTAGTTCCGGGGCCTGAGTCACAGTGGTTAGGCAAATATACTAAGAAATTGGTGTTCAACGATGCGGGCAGATCACTTACAAGGCCAGCTGAGACCATCAAAGTCGATAGGTGGGTTCAATGTGTAGGGGCTGGCGGGGCGGCTGACTGTAGTAGGAGGGGTCAATGGGCCACCCTCATCCCGGGGATCGCGGGGAGGATCATTCAATGTAGGGCTACACCCAGTATTAGCAATCGGTGGAATTTTAAAAATGGCCGCAACATGGATATTGTTGGATGCATACCGCACTGGCACCACACTGCGAATTGGCACAGACACACTGGAAGTGGACTGTGTGGGGTCTGCTCCGGTCTCAGTTTCGTCCTCGGATTCGGCCTCAGCCTGGGCCTTGGCTTCAGGGGATTCAAATTCAATTGGAATTCGTGGTTCGAAAGATGTACGAATTGATGAATTGAGACTCTCGCGCTCACGAGCATCCCGGCTGCCCGTTGAACGTTGAAGCGGGGAGCTCCCGTTCAGCATGTGGGACGGAATAGCTGAGGGCTTGGAGCTTGTAGGCGAACCAGAACCCATGATGAAGATATGGCAAAGACGAGATAGATGGAGTATGGAATAGAGCACCTAAGATGATACAGTCAGAATATGAATCACTTTTTTTTTCCCTGCAACGCTAACTTTCTTTTTCCCCCTCATCACCGCCCCCACCAAATGTCAGCTCCAATCAGCGTCCATGCCGATGATGACATGCGCAGCTCCCCGCGGGCTGATAACGGGCTTCGGGGGCCGACGCTCAAGGTTATGCGCTGCTACGTGGGTAGTTTGCAAGTCTTCTGATATTCCGATATTCCGACAGAGAGATCCCTTAAATGAGCTACATTCTAGTATTAATTTCAATCATACACTCCTTTCGGAAAACCTAATTTGGCCGGGGAATGACCATATCCATATATATCCCGATCTGAATAATACACTGCTATATCTACGGACTACATACATGTACACAGCATGTATTTAGGTAATGTGATCATTGTAGACATATGTACCTAAGCTAGGTATCCATATATAGTTGTCAGTGCATGATTTCACCAAAGAAGGTAAGGCTCATGCAGAGAGATCGTACTGCCAAGATGTGCCTAGAAGAGCTTAGTAGTGTGACGGTACGCTGCCTTTATGTCATCAAGAACATAAGGTTTGCAGGAACTGTATGGCTTGAACTTATCTACGGAGTAATAGACCTGAAATAGACTGGTTGCATGGGCTTATGAGACCCATGAATGCCTCTTGATCTACTGCCCAAATTCATATACAGTTATTCCCCCAGGTAACTACTTGACAGTCATGGTCCTTACCCAAGGAGTGCAAAGATATGGGGATCGGATAGGTGAATGTTGGAAGGGTTGAACGATTACTCATGATAGTCCTAACTCATCTATACCGAAGCGTACAGTTTCAGCAGAAAAAGCATTATGCCTCGATGTCGTCTGTAGCGACATCCTCCAAGTCCTTGCCCACAATTGCATCTGCCACCTTCCATACCTGGAGCAGGTTGTCCTCAGCAGCCGAGCACAAAACCCAAGGGTCGCTGAGATTCCAGCTGAAGTCCGAGATACGGTTGGTATGTCCACCGTGCATAAACAATCTGGAGAGCAATGTCAGCTAAATATTCAAATTCATGGTACAAAGAGAGAAAAGAGAGAGGTCACTTACAACTCTGGTGGTCCATCCTGAGCATCCTCAGGAGTTTGTTCCTCTCCGGCTCGGCTGAGATCCCAGAACATAATCTTGCGATCGTAGCTGGAACTTGCCAAGACTGACTCCTCAAATGGATGCCATGAGATAGATTGCACTGAATCGGTGTGGCCCTCGAGGGAGTGGAGCTTCGACTTGAGATTACGTAGATCCCAGATACCAATTGTTTTATCAGCAGAACCAGTAGCCAGAATAGTCTCGGATGCGGGGTTGAAGGAAATGGAGTTAATAGCATCGCGATGTTGGCCCTCAGCGGAAGCAGCCGCACGAGTGGAGTCATCCTGTCGGGTATCAAGAATTTGAAGCGTGATGTCATCAGAAACGGTTCCGATGAGGGAGGAGTGGAGGGGATGATGCTGAACGTCATTGACGATGGAGGAGTGGTGGGTGAAGGTGCGGCTCGGTCGAACTGCCTTGTTGCCCTTAGTGTATGTGGTAATGTCCCTATGGCGGTTCAATTAGTTGCTTTTCACATCGAACTTCAGTCCTTGGTAGTTCGCATTCTTACCAGAGTCGAACAGTCTTATCCTCACTTCCCGTTGCAAGGTGACCAGCAACATGGGGGTTCCAGCTAAGTCCGAACCCTTCGGCTTCGTGGCCCAGGAGTTCCATTTGAGGATTGACCGTGCCGGTTGGCAAGCTAGGATGCTTTGAGCGATCCCAGATCATTACTCGACCATCTGTGCACATTGTCGCAATGATATTGGGGTTCTGCGGTTGATACCGAGCCTTGTTGACCTCGCCCTTGTGATCAATCTTTTGAACAATGTTGAATTTGATTTCCATCTGGGTCTTCTTTGAGCCCCCGCCATAGCCGCCAATCTCTCCCTTGTCTTCGTCGTAGTCCTCTGGGTTGGGAGCATTGGGATTTGGAAGTTGCACTTGCGCAATCTGAAGATAATTTTGCGCATCTCCAGTGGTGTGTGTGCCGATGAGGAGACGGTGGGTTGAGTAAGGCTTATCCGGTACCCTGAAGAGGAAATTGGTTAGAGTGCTAAATAAGCTAGCGGCGTGTTGGGGGCGTACTCTTGCTTATCTGGAAGCCACTGAGTTGTGAGAGTTGGCCATTCTAATGCCGTACTCAAAATCATATCATAGAGGAATGGCGCATTTTTCTTCCATGTCTTGTACTCTGCCCTCAGTGGATAGAATTAGATATAATGCAATTGACAAAATTAAAAAAAAAAAAAAAAAACAAGCCAAGGATAGTTACCTTCGTTGATTGCCTTCTCATCGGCATGGTCTTGGTCCTCATTCTGGTCTTTCTCATGCTCATCACCAGCAGCTAGACCTTAATTAGATTGAGATTTCACGTCGAGCGCAAGATGATCAATACTGACCAGCGTCGTCTTCATAATGATCCATGGTTCTAAGATCGTGTGGGCCAGATAATATGTTGAAAATGCGGGACAATAGGACTTGAACCGCTTAGAGAGTGTGTGAGAGGGGAATTGGTAGAGGGAAGCTACGCGCATCAGCGCGTTAATGAGTCCCGGGAGACTGTACAATGGCGCTAGTCCTACCTGGGAGGCGGTGAGCAGCTCCCGTTGACTCTTCTTCAGATCGTGGGGACACCTGCTTTCTTGCATCATAGACATCTGAACACTATTGGGCGTTTATTTTATTTTTTTTTGTTCCCTCCTGCTTATTTAACGTCCTTACGTTGTACGCCCCTATTATTTGTTTGAAGAACACATCGGCGCAGTGTATCATCCAAGGTTCATTCATTGGATGATTCCGCCTTTGGTCGCTAGTAACTCTACTGCAGTCCTTTACGAGTACCCCTCTACACTTTCTCGACTCTCACAATAAAGCACCTACCGAATTTTCCCTTGACATTATTGCCTTTGGGTGAACCCACACTTCATCATGGGTGTTCCGAAGTTCTTCCGCTGGCTGAGTGAGCGGTATCCATCAATCTCGATGCTCATCGCAGAGAGCCGGATACCCGAATTCGACAGCCTATACCTCGACATGAACGGTATTATTCACAATTGCACGCATAGTGATAGCGATTCCCCGACGTTTCGCATGACGGAAGATCAAATGTTCATCGCCATCTTCAATTACATTGAACATCTATTTGGCAAGATTAAGCCCAAGAAGCTGTTTTACATGGCAGTAGATGGTGTCGCACCTCGCGCTAAGATGAATCAACAACGTGCCCGTCGTTTCCGTACAGCTCTGGATGCAGAGACCGCAAAGGAGAAGGCTATTCAGCAGGGCCTCGAGATGCCCAAGGAAGATGCTTTTGACAGCAACTGCATCACTCCGGGTACCGAGTTCATGCAAAAATTGACGAAACAACTCAAATACTTCATCAACAAGAAAATCTCAGAGGATACGGATTGGCAAGGCGTGGAAATTGTGCTCTCTGGCCACGAAGTCCCAGGAGAAGGCGAGCACAAGATTATGGAATACATTCGCTGCTCGAAAGCGCAGCCCGACTACGAATCCAATGTCCGCCATTGTCTTTACGGTCTGGATGCCGACTTGATCATGTTGGGTCTTCTCAGCCATGACCCTCACTTCTGCCTTCTTCGAGAGGAAGTGACCTTTGGTCGCCAAGTGTCGAAGAAGCCTAAAGAACTTGAACATCAAAACTTTTATCTTTTGCATCTGAGCATGGTCCGGGAATATCTGGAGTTAGAATTCCAAGAGCTAGAACAAGAAGGTGTTCTGGGTTTCCCATTTGATATGGAGCGTGTTATTGATGATTTCATTCTGATGGCCTTTTTCGTTGGTAACGACTTTTTGCCGAACCTGCCAAATTTACATATCAACGAGGGTGCCCTTGCCCTTATGTTTAAGCTCTACAAGGAGGTGCTGCCGAAGATGGGCGGCTACATCAATGAGCAGGGTGTCATCAACGTGCAACGGTTGGGCATGCTTGTGACTGCTCTAAGCGCCGTGGAATATCGATTCTTCGAGGCAGAAAACTCCGATGCTCAGTGGTTGAAATCAAAGAAGGGCGCAAGCCTTGATTCACTCTCGCAACAGAAGCCGAAAGAGCTTACTCTCACCCCTTCCCAGAAGGAGATCCTCAAGACGGTCAAGAAGTACGTTTTGAACCGGTCTGACAAGGCTTCCGGGCCTTTGGACCTCCCTGCTACCCTCACGGCTCGTGATCGTACCTTCGTTGAACAGCTTGCGGATGAGCTCCGGCTGTCCTGGTCTTCCCTCGACAATGAGAATGGTGATCGGTTCATGAGGCTCTCGTTGCCTCAGACCCAAAGCGATAGCGATGACGAGGAAGAAGATGAGGAGGCATCGGTGGCTGTACAGCGTATCATTCGAAAATATGAGAAAGCCAAAGTTCAGGAAATGACAGCCGAGGAAGCGCAGAAGGCTGCACAAGAGAAATATGATGCTAAGTTCCTCGAGTGGAAAGATAATTATTATCGGACCAAGTTCGGCTGGGGCCTTGACAACAAGGAGGAAATGAAGAAGCTGGCGCAGAACTATGTGCAAGGATTACAGTGGGTCTTATACTATTACTACCGTGGTATTGCATCGTGGCCCTGGTTCTTCCAGTACCACTATGCTCCTATGATCTCTGGTTAGTAGCACTGAATTCTTTTTGTGGGGTTTCAATAGCTGACGATGGAACAGATGTGAATGATGGCCTTGGCGCAGACATGGATTTCAAATTAGGACAGCCTTTCCGGCCTTTCGATCAACTCATGGGTGTCTTGCCCGATCGTAGTAAGAAAATTGTGCCTACTGCCTATTGGGATCTGATGACCTCGGCCGAATCCCCTATCTATGACTTTTACCCTCGTGATTTCGATCTCGACATGAACGGGAAAAAGATGGAGTGGGAAGCCGTCGTCAAGATCCCATTCATTGACGAAAAGAGGCTGTTAGCGGCGCTCAAAACGAAAGAAAACCAACTCAGCGCGGATGAGAAAGCCAGAAACGACTTTGGGGCATCACTTAAATTCACCTACTCTCCAGATGTGAACTTCGTTTACCCGTCTTCAATGCCTGGCGTGTTCCCAGACCTTCCGAACTGTCGTTGTATCGAGAACCTCTTTGACCTCCCTGTCATGGATGGGCTGGTGCCTTACGCTGGCTTGATGGATGGCGTGCATCTAGGCGAGGCAGCTCTTGCCGGCTTCCCTAGTATCAAGACATTGCCGCACCACGGTCAACTAGGTTTCCATGGAGTCTGCGTATTCCAGCAAGACAGCCGCAATGAGAGTCAAGTTGTTACACTACTCGACCCGGGAAGTCGGTCGAGCATTGAAGTAGCCAAGAAGAAGCTTGGGAAGCGTGTCCATGTGGGCTACCCCTTCCTCCAGGAGGCTCTCGTGGTTCGTGTCTCGGATGAGCTATTTGATTATATCCTCCCTCCAGGAGAACAACACCCTGTATCCATCCCCCACACCCCTCAGCAAATCGAACAGTGGAAAAGGAAGGCCAATAAGATTGAGAGTGTCTACAGCAAACGCCTTGCAATCATTATCGGAGACGTGGAATCATTGGTTCACATTCAACTCCTCAAGGGAATGACCAAGACAGATGATGGTGCCACTATCAAAGAATTCGCTGAGATTCCCGGCCAAGAGACGGACTACGCTCTCCAGGTGGTTGTCGATGATGTGATTAATCCCGACCAGCGTTTCATTGAACGGGAAGCTGTCGCCATCGAGGAGGAATTCCCCGAGGGTTCTCGTGCCTTCTTCTTGGGTGATTTCAATTATGGAAGACCTGTGCATGTTGGGGGACATGAAGATGGAAAAGTGAATGGATTGATCGCGGCCGTGAAAGGCCGGGAGCCAGAATTCGGTCGAGAGCGTGTCAGAGTCGCTGAGCAGCTTTGTCCCTACATGCCTTCGTACGCTGTGGCACGCAGCCTTCGCCTTAATCCTTTGGTGTTAGCTAAGATCACATCTTCCTTTACTGTCGATATCGAGGGCCAGCGTGCGAACCTTGGTCTGAACCTGAAGTTCCAAGCAAAGCAACAGAAGGTTCTTGGATACTCCCGTCGCGGAGAATCTGGCTGGGAATTCAGCCAGAAAGCAGTGGAATTGATTCAGCAGTACATGATCAACTTCCCCGAGTTCATTGCTGGCATCCAGCGCAACCCTCAGAGCGACCGTTATTCCCCAACTGATTTCTATCCCGAGGAAACTGCTGCGCTCAAGATGAAGGAAATCAAAGACTGGCTGAAATCTGCAGAAGCCAAGAACTTCGATAGAGTGCCTCTCGATGCTGAGCAACTTGATTCGGATATTGTGATGTTGATTGAGCAGGATGCCGATGGTCTCAATCTGTCCCAGCCAGACATGCAACCGAAGAAGGTTCGGGGTGTACCCCGAAGCGCCCTTCTTCGTCCTGCCGATGTTGAGCACCGTCTCGGAAACCAAACCTTCAAGCTTGGCGAGCGAGTTGTGTATGCCCAAGATTCTGGCAAGGTTCCAATTGCTACACGTGGTACTGTCGTCGGTCTCACCAGAACCCCGCGAACCCTTCTGCTTGATGTTGTCTTTGATGTGTCGTTCATGAGTGGCACGACACTCGGCGGTCGTTGCTCGCCTTTCCGTGGCCAAACTGTTCTAGCTTCCTCCGTTCTCAACATTTCCAACCGACAGCTCATCACCAGCTCCCGCGCTGCGGCCAGTCAGCAAACTCAGCAGACGCAAACCCCGTTGACTGTTGCCGGGTACGGTGCCCCCTCTGGTCCTCACGGACAGGGACAACTGAGAAATGCAGCCCCTCCCCCGCCCTTGAGAGGCTCTTTCCGAGGAGCAGTTTCCGGACAGGGTAATGGAAGCGGCCGTGGAGGCCGTGGAGGTCTTAACAACGGGCAACAAACCACTCTTCCGTTCCGTCCCCACACCAACGGTGGCGGTATTCCCCGTGGGCCTCGTAATGGTCGTGGAGGTGGCCGTGGCGGATACATCCCAATGGAAAACGGCGATCCCAATGAAGGTGTGATCCAAAACAACCCCAACTTCCGTCCCCAAAACTACAATAACGTCCCGCCGCCGCAAGGCATGGATCGAGGACGTGGTCGTGGCCGCGGTCGTGGTAATGGATTCCGTGGTAGAGGAGGCCGTGGGCGAGGTGCGCCCCAAACCAATACCCAGTGAATGAAGAAAGAGGTATTTGGGGAGGAAGCTACGATGAAATGATTGGATTTGAACTTTGTATGTATATGGAATCTTTAGATATTGGCGCAGTCTAGACAATTATGTCACGGCAATGCTTATATCCATTGAAGATGAATGCAAGATGGAATTTAAACCAAAGATTTGATTCTCGTATTTCTTAATTGGAGCTCACTCTCTTGTCAAAGAGCCACATCATCCAACAACCAAGTATGGCACAACGTATGAGCCTCCAACTGTCCAAGCATCATTCCGCAAATCTTCCAATGTAAATACACTCATCTACTCAAAGCCCAACAGGTCTTTTGCGGAACAACATCTCAGCACTCATACTGGGAAGAATATGCTCCCCAACCACAAGATTGGCAGGTCTCTTCCCCTCCAACCCGTCAACAAACTTGAACTCGTAGTCCAGGATAATACGGCTCAAGATTGCTTTCAGGGTATTAGCCGCAAAGAACCGACCGGGACAGGCCTGCCGTCCAAAGCCAAAATGCATATGAGCTGGTGTGATCGAAACGAAGTGTGAAGAAGACGCAGGCTTCTCAGCCTGGCCCTTCTCAGTGCTGCCATTCAGTTCAGGAGTCAGGGCAAAACGATCGCTAGGGTCCTGACACCAGCGGAATCCGTCGAAGACTGATGGGTTTGGAATGAATGCGTCGTCTTTGCTAATGGGACCTGAAGGGAAGCAGACATGTGTCTCGACTGGCAAAGTGAGACCGTCACTGAGTGTGATGGGCTCCTTCACGATGCGGTGGAAGGATACTACACAGCTCAAGGGTTAGAACATGATATGAAGTCTCATATCTCATATTCCCTGTCTATGACTGTTGTGCGCTGTTATAAGGGAATTATCCACAAAACTTACATTCACCGGGCGGACCGAAGCGTTGAGACTCCCGCAGGAAGCTATCCAAACGAGCCTGCTCATGTAGCGAAGCCTGAGTTGCCTTGTACCAGCCATCGGGCAGGGTGCGACGCATTTCCTCCCGCAGAGGCTCGATGTATTCGGGCTTCATAATCAGATCATAGAGACAGTGACACAACGCCATAGTACTGGTGTGCGTGACAGCCAGTGTAACCAGAAGCAGCATGTGATGCGCCAGGGAATCCGGGTCGAGGTTTTCCCCCTCGCTCTCGCCCAAATCCATCATCCACTGCAAAAAGTCGTCTGGCTTGGAGGAAGCCGCACCGTCAGCCTTCTGCGCCTGCTTGCGTTCGTTGATTAGCGGGATGAAGAGGTCTTTCGCGAAGCGAAGCTGCTCCTTCATATGCCGGATGCAGGGGAGGAGACGCGCGACGATGGGACGGAGATACTTGGGAACTGGGCGGAGAAGAAGCAATGTGATGCCTACGTTGTGGGCATAGCTGCTTGCGATATTCAGCCATTCCTCATTTTGGCGGAGGATGTCACCGGCCATTACGCGGGATGTTGCGAGGGCGATGAGCCGCGTGGACATCTCGCCTGGGTTGATTTTGACCCAATCGTCTATACTCGGCATCTTGCTGTTAGTATACTAGCGCTGATCATCTGTCACGCAAAGCAGCATATTTCTCACCTTCGCATCCTGCGAGGACGGTATCGAATGCTACCCTGAGCTCGTCGATAACCCGGGGAATGACATGGACTGTACGATGACACATGGCATATTAGCTCCTAGTCTCGCGTAACGTCGAAAATAAGAAGCCCAAAGGATGGCAGTACCTAGATTGGGCGTTAACCGTTTTCGCACAGTCAGGGCAGGCAAAAGAGTATCGATTCTGATATTGGTGTACTCTCCCAGTGCATTCTGCGAAGTAGGTCAGCCCTAAATTCTGGAAGTAACGTAGCACCATTCTCAGCTTATGGGATTACCTCGTATTGAGCATGTAAAGAACTGAGTTTCGACGGCGGCAGATGTCTCAGTTCATGTTGGTATTTCACAGGCAAAACGATGACTTCTCCATCGCCTGTGAGGATGCGGAAGGGAGTATCCTTGTACTTAGATGCAGATGCTGGTCAATAAGGCTGGATCACCAAATACAAGTAGACCACACACCTTGTGATATCCTCGACTGATCATGCTCGCCGCTTTAGGATAGTAGAGAATACGGTTGAGAAAATCCGGGAGATACCACTTGTACCTGACCGTGGGAACCTGCCTCAAACTGGAAGCCGGTGCTCGCCAGAGTAGGTAGACCACGACCAACACGCCCACGAGGGGCCAAAAAGCGAACCCGGCCATCTAGAGCTGACTGACTGATGAAGCTTTTGTCTTGGGACAGCGAGGAAGATGTACTTAGATAAGTGATTCTCCGGAGCCTTGGATTGTCCGGGATGCTGGGACCGGGAGATTATGGAGGTAGTTGGATGGTAAGAAGAGGAAGAAGGGTAGAGAGAGGGTGGTACAGCAGACATTCGGATAGTATTAACGCTTTTTTGATTATTTTATATGGAGAGCGTTTGCTACAGATGGACAAAGGGCCCGTTTGAGGTCTCAGAGAGCTCTGGAGCGGTACTTGGAGTATTAATCACAAGGCCGCGAAGGCCGCGGTCTATTTCCCTTTTTGGTCTTTGCTACTATATACAAAACGCCTGGCTCAGATGCAAGTAGACACACACTAAGAAACCCATATAAATCATTCAAGGCCAACCCATTCACCCTCTCCATCGTCAGCATCGACCATCTGATCATCAACCTCGGCATCCTCGGTTTCCATGGCTAGCAGAGCTTTGCTTGTCTTCTTGTCTCCGAGGACAGGCTTTGAAAGCAGATAGTTGAGATCGTAAAGGTTCTTTTCGGTCAACCGCTTGAGGTTCTCGCGGATATCATCGACAGCCCGCTGGACAGCACGGAGCTCAGTTGCGAAGGTACCTGTGTTTTCCTTGAAGTATCGCCCGTGGCTGCTGAATAAAGACTCAATCCACATGAGATTAAACTCAAGATGGGGTGTCTCTTCCGCGGCATGTGCAACAAATCGGAGAAGGCGAGGTAGATAGACTGAGGGCACGGACCGAACCACATGGGGAATATCTGACGGAGGGATTGCTTCATATACGACACGGAGTAACTTTTGTTCGTTCAATCGGAAGGCCATGATCAGAGCTTTGAGGAAAGTGTTTTCCTCATCCACGGTGTCGGATACGGCAGCTTCCTTGGCGGCATCTAAGGTGGCAAGAATGCTCGAGGGTGTGATTGTAATGTCCAAATCATAGGGATCAAAGACAAAGTCTGTATCCAAGCTGTAGACCAGCAGGCCTTCAGTAGATGCGGCGCAGAATGCTCGTCCAGTCGGTGCGAAATCCACAGACGTCACGCGCACTTCCGGGCGTGTCGTGCGCGCACCGGCATCACCGCGCTTCGCGCCGGGAAGGGTGTTATCAGCACGATCCTCGCGATCAGAAGCTTCACCAGTCTCATCAATAAGAGCACGAGGACCGGCTTCAGTCATATCACGACTCGTCAGGAACTCCTGGGTGCCATCGATCGAGGTGTTGACGGAGACGGTGAACTTCTTGATCAATGAACCTGTTCCAACATCATACAAACAGATATATTTGCTGTTACCGCCAGCCAGAATGCAGCTACCGTCTGCGCTGTAAGTGATTCTGTTGAAAGACTTGGTGCCTGCGGCATTGGCAGCAGTACGGCGATCAGCCACCCGACGTCCTCCAGAGACGTCACGGCGACCATCGACTCCACCTTGCTGGACGGCGTCTTCAACTGACCAGAAGGAGAGTTGACCATCTAGCGTAGAGGCAGCAACTTGTTGTCCATCTGGGCGGAAAGCCACACTGAGAATATCTGACATAAGCTTGAGAGGTTCGCTGGTTTGTGACCGTCCGAAGATGCTCCAGATGCGAACTGTGTGATCCCAACTTCCACTGACAAGGTGGTTGCCATCGGCAGCGAAAGCAAGGCTGGAGACTGGACCCTCGTGGCCGGAGAGCTGGTCAAGCAATTGACCAGTCTGCACGGACCACACGTGAATGTCGAAGGAGTCCGGCGAACCGGCACAGATCACCTCTCCACTGGGATCCACAGCCAACGAGGAGAACGAAAGTCGGGATGGTGCTGTGAAGGTTCGGAAGTTGCGGTAACGGATGAGATCCCATGCTCGGATGGAACCATCCAGAGATGCTGTGAACAACACATTTCCTTTCTTTGCGAACTGACATGCGGTCACGCCACTAGTGTGCTCGGTGAATGTAACAATGCAGAAGCCCGACTTGACATCCCAAACCTTGATTTTGCCGTCATCAGCAGCCGTGACGATTCTTTGACCGTCCGGCGAATATGCCAGTGCGTTCATAGAATCAAGGTGTCCTTGTTGTTTGAGGATATACGACTCGGACTGCCATTCCCACACCAGCAGCTGACCGTGCTTCGACGATCCGAATGCTAGCCACTCACCTGATTTGTTAATCGTCACAACATCGATGTTGCTCTGTGAGACACTAGAGGGAAATATGTTAGCTCCCATGAGAAGGAAGATAAGATTGCAGACTAATGTACCTCAGAAGGTGGATCATGTTGAACTCTGGCAGGTCGTAGAGTCCGAAGAGGCCGTTGGAAAATCCTACCACTAGGAGGTTTGATGCAGCATGGAACGCAGCACACTTGACCTTGGCGTCATTCTGCATGAAGAAATCTTTCTTCACAATCCTCCATCGAGCGTCGGAAATATCTTCCATCGTTTCCTCGTCTTTCTTTGTGACATATTCCCAGCGGAAAAGCGCACCATCCTGGCTGACAGTATAAATCTTTATATGTAGTTAGTATGGCATTTCAGCGCAGAAGATTTCGAGTAGCACCCACCACTTCTTGTGTCGCATTGAAATAAGCTGCGACAACACCCTGTCTGTGTCCAGCCAAAGTGGTCGGCTCAAAGCCTTCTTCCGGATCCATACTCCATACTCGCGCCGTCAGATCCTTAGCGGCGGTGAGCAAGAAGCGTGAATCGCTAGACCACTCGACACTTTGGATGTCGTCGAAGTGCGCGGCAAGATCCCGGTGTAGAACGAACGGTGCGAACTCAATCTCGCCATTGGTTTCAGTCCCGGGCGTAGAGGGTGTCTGCCAAATCTGCAGGCGCCGTCCCACACCAACGGCGAAATGTCGGCCGGAGGGGGAAAACTTGAGCGCAGACACTCGTCCCTTGAATGAGAAGTGGTGAATGGCGATGCGCCGTTGGAAATTGGTCAAAATTGCGCGGCCATTCTCGTCCACAGTCAACAAAAGATTACCCTTCGGCGAAAGGTCGAGGCGGTCGATGTTTGTACGGTGCGAAAAGGGCAAAGTGTATGAAGTATTTCTATGCCAGCAATTGTAAGTGGACTGTGTTCCCAATTCGCAGAACGAAAGAACTCCAAGCGACACCTACTGCACCAGATCAAAGACTGAGACTCGATTGCCTACGGGTGAGAGCAAACATGTTCCATCGGGAGTAAAGAGAAGATTTCCTTTGCGATAGACCGTCCCCAAAAGGTTGGAGAACTAAAATTGAACATGTTAGTACAAATTTCTATGACTGGGGCTTGCTGTAAAATGTATGCGATCAAAGATTCGACCACAGTACGTACCTTGAAGTCTGTCTTCATTTTGGCAGTCGGCGATCCCAATGATCAAAAAATTAAAGATAATTCCAAGCTACCGTGATAAGACCCTGCGGATCATCTATGGCCCGACTCCGGGCCCATTCAGTACTAGTGCGTCACGCTAAACCCAGATAGGCAAGGTGAGGTATACTCCAGAAAACGAAAGGAGATTCAGGGGGAAGCAGCGACGGGCAGTTCGAGAGATCCGATTTCACGACCTGCGTTACTCCTTTTCCCTTTTTTCCTCTCAGGAGTCGACTTATTCTTTCTTCTTACTTCTGGTCTTACTCCCTACAGAGGCCTCTTCTTCATCTTCTTTTTTTGTTGTGATCCCGAATTGTTTTTAATCCCCCCTATCAGCCATCATGTCCACCACAGAGACCGCCTCGCCCATTGGCATTGCCAATGTAAGCATTTTTGAAAGCCAGCAACTTCTCCCTGAACCCTGATAGCTAATTTGCCGTTTTCGATATAGCTTCCCAACCAGCGGTGTGTGTGCCTTTGATTACGGTGGATGCGAGGAGAGGTTCTAATTAAGCTGTATAGCCACAAGATCGTCGCGAAGCGGGGTGCAGCCTTCACTATTATGGTGTGTTTTGCAATTTCTGGGACAATCATCAACGCGTCCCGATGCTAATGGAGCCTCCATCAGGTTGCCGGAGAGTCGGGATTGGGAAAGACAACATTCATCAACACTCTCTTCTCCACCACCATTAAGAACTATGCCGACCACAAGCGCCGCCACCAGAAGCAGGTCGATCGAACCGTGGAGATTGAGATTACCAAGGCTGAGCTCGAGGAGAAGTTCTTCAAAGGTGCGGCCCAATTGCCTTTGTGGAGGGAGCTTTCGACCCCTGTGTTTTGGTAGCTAATCACGGCCGATTTTCTAGTCCGCCTCACCGTCATTGATACCCCTGGATTTGGAGACTACGTGAACAACCGTGACTCGTGGCAGCCCATTATCGAATTCCTGGATGACCAGCACGAGTCATACATGCTCCAGGAGCAGCAGCCCCGCCGAAGTGACAAGATCGACATGCGTGTTCATGCTTGCTTGTACTTTATTCGCCCCACCGGACACACCCTGAAGCCTCTCGATATCGAGGTGATGAAGCGCCTGAGCTCCCGTGTCAACCTGATCCCCGTGGTTGCCAAGGCCGATACCCTGAGCCACGCAGATCTCGTCCGCTACAAGGAGAGAGTGAGTGAACCGAGGACTAGAAGGATCAGATTCGGAAATCGAAGTTAACAATACATTAGATTCGCGCTGTTATCGAGGCCCAGGGCATCAAGATTTACACCCCACCTATCGAGGAGGACGACGAGCACGCCGCTTCCCACGCCCGCAGCCTCATGGCTGCTATGCCTTTCGCCGTCATCGGTTCCGAGAAGGATGTCAAGGCCAACGATGGCCGTGTTGTCAAGGGTCGTCAGTACGCCTGGGGTGTCGCTGAGGTGGAGAACGAGGATCACTGCGACTTCAAGAAACTCCGTTCGATCCTGATCCGCACTCACATGCTTGACCTCATTCACACTACGGAAGAATCGCACTACGAGGCCTACCGTGCCCAGCAAATGGAAACCCGCAAGTTCGGCGAGGCCCGGCCACGCAAACTCGACAACCCCAAGTTCAAGGAGGAAGAGGAAACTCTGCGCAAGCGCTTCACCGAGCAGGTCAAGGTCGAGGAGCAGCGTTTCCGCCAGTGGGAGCAGAAGCTCATCTCCGAGCGCGACCGCCTCAACAAGGATCTCGAGGCTACCCATGCTGCGTATGTTCTGAAAGTTTGCCTGGGTGATTTGTGCATTACTAACAAATTACAGAATCAAATCTCTCGAGCAGGAGATCGAGAGTCTCCAAGGCTCCAGCACTCGCAGCCACGGACGTCGTTAAGATGTTGCATTTTCACCGGGAATCGACCCGAATCATTCAAAAGGGGAGGAGTCGAACCGTGCTCTTGTTTTTTGTTCTCTTTTGAGTACCCTATGTCTTGTCGTTCGCGCTTGGAAGCACCTTTGTCTGAAGGGCTGGTTCATTTTTGTTATATCCATTTACCGCTGGTAGCTAGCGATGGTGTGTCTACAACCTTGATAATAACCTCCTCTGTATTCCGTAATGTGAAATACAGAGTTAATTCTTATGGGTCACAGTTTCAAAGTCTGGAAATTACCTCGTAATGTCGGCCCATTTCCCGAACTGGTGGACTTGAAGCTCCGAGCTCCATCCCGCATTTTCCCAACTCCACCAATTTCCTTACTTTGACCCCAACTCAACGGCCATGCCCCGGACAATATTCCCAACCAGGCCCATCCACACTCTCAAAACACATAATGGTGAGCCCTAATTACCTAGACGTCGTGTCACTCCCCAAATACGTCCTGAGGCCGAAATGCTAATACCTCCCAGGCGCGGTCAACGCGGTAACCTACTCAAGCTCCGGAGGCACCTACATCCTCACAGGTTCCTCAGACCGATCAGTCCACCTCTCGCGCGCAGTTCCCGCAAATTCCAACGGCCTAGCGACACCCCAAACAACAACCCCGATCCAGAAATACGAAGCCCATGGCTACACCGTCCTAGACGTAGCCGTCGCCGGCGACAACGCCCGCTTTGCCAGTGTAGGCGGCGACCGACAAGCCTTCCTCTGGGACGTGGAAAATGGAGTCACAACACGGCGATGGTCGGGCCATAATGGCCGCATCGAAGCGGTACAGTTCGCAGGCGATGGCGACTCAGTAGTCGTAACCGGTATGAATTACAGCTGTCCAAGCAAGAACATATCTGACTAGTTTCTTTTCAGGCAGCGCAGATACAACCATCAACCTCTGGGACACGCGGGCATCGAGCTACAAACCCATTCAGACGCTCACGGAAGCCACCGACACGGTCTCAACGCTGCATGTGCATATGGGCAGTTACTCGATAGCGAGTGGAAGTTACGACGGCCACGCGCGGGTCTATGATGTGCGAACGGGAAATACGACTGTTGATGTCCTCGCGCATCCGGTGACGAGTGTGCGCTGCTCGGATGATGGTAATGCGTTGCTGGTTTCGACGCTGGATGGGTATATTCGCATGCTGGATCGGTTGGATGGTAAGTTGCTGACTGCGTTTGGGGGGGAGAAGGCTGCGCGGCCGGGTATGACGAGGACGCGACATGTGTATCGCAATGCGGAGCTGCGGGTGCGGTCTGTTTTTGCGCAGGGGGGATGCGGTTGTGCTGAGTGGGAGTGAGGCAGGGGGTGGGGATGGGGCGGCGGCTTTTGCTTGGGATGTTCTTAATGGGGAGGTTACTGCGGCTGTGTCTGTTGGGGGGATGGTGAAGGCTGTCAGTTGTGTGGCGTGGAATGAGGGGGGCGGCAATTGGGCTGCTGGATGCTCAGATGGTAAGGGTTCTGTTGGCTTGAGATTTTGGCGATTCGTGTGCTGACTATTTTTCTAGGTACTGTCAGAGTCTATGGGTGAGCTTAGATTGGATTTTCTCGGACTTAGCTATCATGATCGAACAACGCAAGGCGCATTTGGCCTGTTGAGCGGGACTTTGGGTTCTCCGTCAACATCCACTCATGCAGTCCGTCAAGCACCACGCGCTACATAATGCCACCGTACCCCAGTATGCGCATCTGATACCAATTGTCGCGCAGCCTCTCGGTGTCTATGGCGGTTTTGCTGCCTTGTTGCAATCCCCGTCGCTCAAAACACGGCGTTGATCAACTGGATAAAGCGCACATCGCACTTGGAAGGCTATGGTGCTGTTTTGGGTAAAACTGTGGTACTATCAAGCGGTACCTTGCGAACAACAGATCCCAATAAAAGCTGGTCTATATGTAGACTGTAGCTACCTAGGCTGATGTCAAAACAATTCATTGGGCACATTACTAGACCTGCTAGGTGCTTTATATGTCCAGTCTATATGCATTTTGAATGACATATGAAATTAAGCAACAAACAACCAATTGCTCGGTACTTTTAATTTTTATCCCACCTCTTCCTGTATAAGTTGTCGTGGTGAATATATATAGTTGTTGCGTGAGCTCCAACAAAAATAGAAAGTTGAACCCCCCGTTTGGGAAATATCGTACAATACCCAAGGTATTACCTGTCCAATAGCCTAACCTCCCTATTAAACACAGAAAACGCATAGAAAAAGAAAAGGGAGGCATCCTGCGATACTAGAAGATTGATCACATAAGTGAAGAATATCATTAAGCCAGCAAATATGTACATAGATACCATCAAGAGAGATGAGAGCGAACATGACCGGACCCCATAAAGCAACATTTAATATACAAATATTAAAACAAGGCCGAAAAAAAAAAAAAAAAAGAAAGAAAAAGCCAAAAACTTTTCTGAGCAATCCGAACACCACATCAAACATCAGAGCATAAGTCATAAAGCCGACATCAAAACCAACCCCCTATTCCCGCAGATGATCAGGCGTCTGCGACTCCATCTTTTCCGCCTCAAGCGCATCAATCGCCCTCCTCAACTCATCCTCGCCGACGATAATTGTGCCGGCACGAGCAGTGCTCAAGAAACTAATCTCGACTGCATCAGCGACGGCGTCCCTATCAGGCTGGAGATGATGGGTCTGCGATAAAGGGTGCAGAATGTGAGATGGGGTGGCGTTGCTTGAGACGGAGAAGGTGGCTAGACGCGTGTCCAGAGAATCCAGGGGCTCAGATGCAGAGACGCTGACACCTGTGCCAATTAGCGGGCTCGTAGCGGCATCGGCGAGACGGCCGGCGACGCCGCAGACGATGCCGGAGGCTTCGAGAGGGAGATCACGGAGATCGAGGGTGATAGGGACGAGGTGATCTTCTTTAGAGCCGAGGAGAAGACCGGAGCCGTCTTCGTAGCCGTCTTCGTGAGGGGATTGGCGTGCGAAGCGGGGGAGGAGGCGCTTCTCTAAGAGAAGGGAGGCTGCTGGGTCGAGGGCGGCGAGGGTTAGGGAGAGGAAGCGTGGTTCGTCAACGAGCAGGACTGTCGTGAGGGCGTCGCGGAGAATGGACATTGAGCTCTTTTGGCAGTGGTACTCGTGGTGGGCGGCGCACTGGACTAGGCGTAGGGTGGCGTCTACGGAAGGGGTGATTCGGTGTTTGCGGAGGTTGGCGAAGGTGCGGGTTTGGAGCTCGCCTAGAGTTGAGGGTGGGGGTGTCCTCGGGGGGATGAGGTCGCTGAGTCTTCTTTCGACGCTTGGACTGAGGGGGTTGGTGGCGAAGGATGCGGTTTCGGTGTCAAATTGGAAGCCTCTGCTTTCGAGGGCCGTCATTACGTTTGCTTTGCTTTGCAAAGGGAATACAATATAGTCGGAGAAGTAGGTTGAGATAAAGAAGATGGAGCTTTGAAGGATGTTAGCAAGGGTGTTATATTGGAGATATAGGATGTCAAAGTTCACATACATGCCTGCTAAGGCAAGTGGACTGGTCAGTTCCAAGACTCGCTTGCCGGCCTCGAGACCCTGGCCGAGAACCTGCATGGCGATATAGTCCTTTTCGCTCACGACTAGCCGAGACCGGAGAGAGGCATCCAGTTGGTCAAGTTGATCCATGACTGGGATGAAGTACTTCTCGATCAAGCGTCGAGGACACATGACAGACACTTCGACTGGGGTGATGGAGACGTTCATGAATGCTGGTGGTCTATATGCAGAGTCTTGCTCTGAGATATTCTCGACATCATCATCCACTGCATTGTCGTCGTTCTCGTCTTCAAGTGACGAAGTTTCATCGAAGATCAGTCTCAAAACAGACTTCAAGAAGTAGGGGTACAACTCCAACGGAATGTGCACCAGTACCACACGCTCCTCCTGGCATTGGGGTTAGCAGGCGTTGAGGTTGACTGACATGAATGACTCACGAGGAAGTGGACTTGTGCATCGATGAGAGTCAGCGATTGATCCATGGTATTTTTTTTTCTTTTGGATATAGTTGAGTCAGGGAGAGCGAAGCCGTATGACTTGGATGTTAGAACCGGATATTCCCCACAAACTATTACGCCATTGAGATTCGATGATGCTATTTGAAGCCAGGAGACGCCATCGACCGAGTATATAGGGTGCGTTCAAGGGTCAAGACTCAACGTGCAGTGGGAAGAAAGGCAAAAGACAAAGAGATACCCCTCTCTGATGAACTCCTTTTTTCCCCTCCACTTTTCTCCCCCTTCACCACCCTCTGTGACTCCGTTCTCCACCGTCTGCTATCTCTTTACTCAATTTCCTCAACTAAATTCTACTCCACAGCTTATCTGAGCTTCGAGGGCGCTATAGGCCCGGTTGCGCACGGACACGCAGCTTGTTCCTGTGGGGACGCCGATGTTTTCCGATCAGACTGGCCCTGACTCATTCTCTTCAGCTGCTATTGCTTCTGCTGCTGCTTCTGCAAGATACAACTGCAGCAGATGAAGACACCAACTGCGAGGGTCTGCTTCTAGCCAATCCTGGCACATCCCCCGCTTTTTCGGGCCTAACCTCTGCGATAACGACAGCGTACGGACCTCCAGCACAATGCATTGGCCACTTGTGATCTGAGCGGTTTTTTCTTTGCCGCTGTAGCAGAGGGCTTTTGAAGTGGTTGCTGGTGCAACGTCACACACCTGGGATATCGCTGTCGACTAGAAGCAGTTGAACCCATATCTGTGAGCATCGGGCCAATAAATTCATATGCGAGATAGACTATGCAGCGTGTGTGTGTTACAACGATCTTCAGTGGTCCAGGCTGTGCCCTATCCTATGCTGTTGCGAGTTAGGGTTCGTCGTTGTCGATCACCGCGCTACTCCGAAGATGTCTACTGCATACAAGGTGAACACACACTTTGTCTAATCTGGCTATTAAAATTCGACTTCATATTCCCCTTGTTTACTCTGTACTTTGTACTTGAAACTGCCCGATATAAACCTGCCAACTGGAGTATGTTCCCCCTTGCGTGGCATATCAAAATTCATGACCAAGCTGGGTGAACTATCTACATTCCACCCCTCTGAGCATACACAGGGCATTCCTCGATGGTAAACAACACCGGCCGAGAACCGAACCTAGTACGGAGGACTGCCTGCTATGTGCTCTAGTTTCCTAGGGCTCTGAATGAAGGGCACCACCCATGGCACATCGGCAAGCATAGAAATGAGATCCGATCCGAGCAACATACTCGGGCCCCTGGCGCAGATCGACAGGAGGTTCTTTGTTTTTGCCCTGATCATGGATAAAGAGGCCTGTTTTTCCGGCTCATCTTTGGCCATCCAGCACAGCGGCCGACCTGCGCCGATTTCGACAACCACGGTCTAATACCTTTTCTTTTTTGTTTTTTTGATCCGGCCTCGAACACACTCCTTGGGAGGATTTGACTATCCTTCTGATTCGGGTCGAACGCCATTCCTTCAATATCGTCGCAATGACAAGATTTGGTTTGTTGGCGTTAGCCACTTGGGCTGGCCTGGCCGCAGCCAAGGACGTATACCTCGACTGGAACGTCACTTGGGTTAATGCTGCCCCTGATGGATTTGAGCGCCCGGTCATTGGTATCAATGGCCAATGGCCTTGCCCACAGATTGATGTGGATGTGGGCGACCGTTTAATCGTCGATGTCTACAATGGCCTTGGAAATGAGTCCACTGGTATTCACTGGCACGGATTCCGCCAGTTTGGAAATGCGATTATGGATGGGTCTGTGGGAGTCACCCAGTGCCCTATTGCTCCTGGCTCGCGCATGCAGTATCAAGTTGATGTAGATAGTCCCCCGATCTGAGAAAGCTGTGTATATGCTAATGCTGGTTACAGATCGACCAAACTGGAACATACTGGTACCACTCGCACGACATGGGCCAATACCCTGATGGATTCCGTGGTCCTTTGATTGTCCATGATCCTAATGCCCCTTTCGAATACGATGATGAATTTACGATCACCCTGAGTGACTGGTATCATCAGCAGATGCCTGATCTCCTCAATTCCTACCTTTCTGAGGCTAACCAGGCCGCGTTTCACGGCAGAGAGCCTCTGCCTGACTCGGCACTGATCAATGACGCGACCGACACGAAGATCAAGGTTCTGCCCAACAAGACCTACCTGGTCCACATTGTCTGCATCGGAAACTTCCCCGGCCATACCTGGGTGTTTGATGGCCACGAGATGACTGTTGTTGAAGTCGATGGCGTCTACACTGAGCCCTTCCCTGTGGGAGACAGATTCCTGCGCATCGCAACTGGTCAGCGTATGAGTGTTTTGATCAAGACGAAATCTGATACCAGCCAGAACTTTGCCATTTGGGATACCATGGATGTAAATATGATGTTCTTCTATGAACGTCGTGACATCCCCCCAGGCTACAATCCCAATGCCACTGCCTGGTTGGTTTACGACGAGTCCAAGCCTTTGCCCGCGCCTCCTGTTTTCCCTCCCAGCTTCGACTTTGTCGATGAGCTCGAGTTTGTGCCTGCCGACCGCGAGCCTCTGCTGGAGCCAGTGAACCACCAGATTATTCTTGACACCGGCTCTACTGTCATCAACGGCATTGGACGCTTCACTGTCAACAATAAGACATATATCGCTCCTAAGGTCCCGACCCTGTACACTGCTAATACAGTCGGTCCCGAGCTCGCCTCCAACCCCGAAGTATACGGCCAGGTCAATCCTCTCATTGTCAAATACGGCGATATTGTCGAGATTGTGATCAACAACAACCACGGCAATCTGCACCCATGGCACTTGCATGGCCACCAGTTCCAGGTCCTGCAGCGCAATGGAGTCGATGAGGGCTACTACAGTGGTCTCTTTAGCAACATCTCTGCGACCCCAATTAGACGCGACACCATCATGGTCGAGAACCACGCTCACACCGTTATCCGCTTCCGCGCTGACAACCCCGGTGTTTGGATGCTTCACTGCCACATCGAGTGGCACGTCGAAGGTGGTCTGATGGCCACTCTCATCGAGGCGCCCGAGACCTTCCCAGACAGCCTGAAGGCCCCTCCCAAGAGCCATTATGATGCCTGCGCGGCCTACCCCCAGCCCCAGAGTGGTAATGCCGCTGGTAATAAAGGGCTTGACATGACTGGACTCGAAACCGAAGTTACTGGCGACAACCACGGCGCTCTGTATTCTCCCACTGAACACACCAGCGTTGTCCCCAGTGTCCCTGTGGCTAGTAACCCAGCCTCCGCCCCAGCACCAGTTCCATCATCGTCAAAGCCCAGCACCAAGACCAGGACCACTACTCGCCGGCCAGCCCACAGTCAGACACTTGTCCCGAAGCCCAAGTCTCCCGCACTCCCTGTAGAGCACGCTCCCGTGCCCGCACCTGTTGCCAAGCCACATGGAAACCCTCACCACTATTGGAAGAACCAGCCTCTAGCCCACCCCCACGAGTCAACCCACACCACGACCCAAGACACCAGCGGTCAGTGGATGACGGAGGAGTCGAACGTTCACATCGAGAACCCGAACCGACCACACGACCACCACTTCACGATCCACCAGGAGCAGATCTACGGTCCTGGTCCCGACCAGAAAAGCAATGGCCAAAAATGGTCCCCCGGCTCTGGGTAAGTCCATAACAAAACAAGCTCAAACGTGCTCATCAGCTAATTCTCTCTCAGACCTGGTGCCATCCTCAACAGCTTCGAGGATTTCTGATTGATACTGGCATGTTTTGAATTTTTGGCGCTTTCTATAAAATGTTTGTATACCAAATCCTTTTCTTGTGTTATTGTCAATGGTAAATTTAATCATCTTTCTTGAGCATCTTTCGCGAATGACGCACACTATATCGATGTTCCACTGTCTTCAACTGTGGACTCTTCACAAAGACCCCGACTTCCATGGATGTGAATAGTGGCATGATAGGTATCTACTTCGAGAATAACCGTAACGATACCTGTAAACACCTGTCACCTGTGCTAGTACGTAGGTCAATATTAGCACATCCTGACGAGCTCATTCATCGTCGGTACAATAAACTCTCATATTAGCAAAGTAAGAAAAAAGATCACCAACGTAGAACAACACTCATTCCACAAACACGCAAATCAAACGGCCAAAATGTCCCAGTTATTCTGCTGTACCAACGTCCAACCCATCAACGCCCCAAAGCCCGACCACGAACACACCTTCAACGAGTTCACAAAATGGGCAAAAATCACAATAACTAATCTCCCAGACTCAACTCCCCCTCCCAATACCAGCCTCGGCATCCAGCTAGTTCAACAGGCCACCGAGGGCCCGATAGAGTCTGTCCGGTATTTCGTAGCAACAGACAAGCCCGGCGATTTCGAAGAATTCTCCGAGGAAGGGATCCTGAATGCGAATTTCGCCAAAGTAAATGAGTGAGTTTGCTCCCTTTCTTTCCCGCCCACTTGCTCATACCCAGGTATCATGTATCAGGCGTCAAACCTTCCAGTGCAATCAACACAGCCAAACCTTTTACCTCAACCTATACGAGCGGGGCGAAAATGCGAACTCGCACCACTGGCGAGCGAATATCGCCAAGCCGTTGAAGAAGCTGGAGCATGCATTCAAATCCAAAACCCAGTCTGGCTTCGACCCTAGATCAGCTTTGCGAGCATGGGGATCTGTGAGATCTAATGGCCCCCGAGCCAGCTCGGCATATGAGTATGCATATGGCCTCGAGTGGGAATCACACTTGGGATCTGACTGGGGATCTGATTGGGGGACGGGGAATTTGGATATTACCGACAAGGATGTGGCGTCTTTGACGAAGGTGGAGATTGGGTCTAGTGATTCTGACAGTGAGGATCCTGGACAGGATCTTGCAGTACCTTTATCTAATGATGATGAAGCTAACAATGGGGTTGAAGATGGTGAGCAGGCTGACTCTGAAGATCAAGGTGTGTCTTCGCCGACTCTTGATGATGAGGCTGTCGACGAGAGTTCCTCGGGAGATGACGAGACGATGTCATACTCGTCGTCCGAGATACAAGCTATTGTCCAAGATAGTATCGTGGAGCAGAGCTATTTGGATGTTGAGGACTATGGCTTTTATGATTCTGGGCTGTCTGCGGATGACTATGGTGGTTACCATTGTGATGGGTCGGATCAGGACTTGATGTGCGATCCAGACTGTGGAGACTGTGGGAATGATAACTGTTGAGACATGTAGCTATATCATGATCTACTGATGCTTTGAAATGTTGCTACTCGTTAGCTCTTGATTGAATTGGCAATCTTCTGATATCTTTGGGGTCTCTGAAATAGGATAGGAATGTTGTTCAATAAATTGATTCTTGTGCTATGGAAAATCTTGAATGTGAACACCTGACCGATTTGACTGAAAGAATAAGGGCGATAGTACATTAAAAGATAATGTGAAGGAAAAGGTATTCCATGTTCCCGACCAAGTGTGCAGGGTGACTCGTCTAGACAATGACATCTTCAATTGCTGGATTGACCGTGATGATGTGGTTTATTGTGGATGGCTGGCCGACCAAGACCCTTTGCGAGGCCATGTTTGTTTGCAGATTGCATAGAAAGGGTTGATAGGGGACAACCTTGGATGTTTGTGTTGAAGGGTCGAAGGATTGTGAGATAATGTTCATCCTCAGAAACCGGAAAGAGGTGATCATAGTGGACTGTGGTGGATGATGGACGAGCGTATGGTAGAAATTCCATGGTGTATGGTTGTCATGGCGATGAGTTGAGAGACAAAGACCAATCAATGGGAATTTGGATGGCTGATGGTGGTTAAGATGCAAAAGCTCATTGGTGAATGACTTGAATGGCTTGTATGGTCAATGATAGTTGGTGGGCAAACTGCGAGGCCTATGGCGGGCTCAGTAGATGGTGGACCAGGGGGTCATAGTTGACAACGGTCAGGATACAAAGACGAGTTGTTGGATGGGTGGTATGGTCAATGGTGGTCAAGATGGAGAGAACGGTTGGTCAGTGGTGGACTGTCAAAATGCAGGTCACTTGGTGGATAATGGTCAAGATCGAAAGGCTTGTTGGTGGTGTGAGGTCAAAAGGTCATTGGTGTGTGGTCACATTCAAAATTGATGGATAGTGCGATGGTGGTAAAGGCGAAAAAAAGAGCAACATGAGAAAAAGAAAAGCAACACGAAAACCTCGGAAGGCTCGTTGGTAGTGGGAAAAAAAGAAGCTGATGATGGTTGATGCGGAGGCCAATATTGGAAGGGCCCGATGAGGGTAAATGATGGTGGGCGCTCAAGATAAGATGGACATGATGGAGAAGCCCGTTGGTGGACGATGATGGTAGAAGATGATGGTAGGTGGACAGTTGTCAATGGTGGACGATGGTCAAGATAAGAAGGACATGATGGAGAAGCCCGTTGGTAGACGATGATAGTAGACGATGATGGTAGACGATGGTGGACGATGGTCAAGATAAAAGGGTCATGATGAAGAAGCCCGTTGGTGGACGATGGCGGTGGGTGGATGGTAGGACAATGGTAGACGATGGTCAAGATTAAAGGGTCATGATGGAGAAGCCCGTTGGTGGACGATGATGGTAGACGATGATGGTGGACGATGGTGGACGATGGTCAAGATAAAAGGGTCATGATGAAGAAGCCCGTTGGTGGACGATGGCGGTGGGTGGATGGTAGGACAATGGTAGACGATGGTCAAGATTAAAGGGTCATGATGGAGAAGCCCGTTGGTGGACGATGATGGTAGACGATGATGGTGGACGATGGTGGACGATGGTCAAGATAAAAGGGTCATGATGAAGAAGCCCGTTGGTGGACGATGGCGGTGGGTGGATGGTAGGACAATGGTAGACGATGGTCAAGATTAAAGGGTCATGATGGAGAAGCCCGTTGGTGGACGATGATGGTAGACGATGATGGTGGACGATGATGGGACGTCAAGATGAAAGGGTCATGATGAAGAAGCCCGTTGGTGGACGATGGGGGTAGGTGGATGGTGGACGATGGTCAAGATAAAAGGGACATGATGGAGAAGCCCGTTGGTGGACGATGGCGGTAGGTGGATGGTAGGACAATGGTAGACGATGGTCAAGATTAAAGGGTCATGATGGAGAAGCCCGTTGGTGGACCATGATGATGGACGATGGTCAAGATAAAAGGGACATGATGGAGAAGCCCCTGATGACGGAAATGGTGGATGGTGGTTGATGAAAAGGCCAAGATTGAAGGCCGTGGTGAAAGAATGCATGATGGTGGGAACGGTGAACGGTGAACGGTGAACAGTGGTCATGAGTAATGATTGGGTGGTTGAAAGCTCAAGATGTAAAGACCGTGTTGGAAGGTTTGTTTTGCTTGATGATGGACAAGAAGAAGCTAGAGCTGACATTCAAAGATCCAAAACAGGAGGTCTATGATGTCGATGATGAATAGACAGTCATGCAGAGAATGGTTAAGCGAGGATGTGGTTGTCACCGTGGATGTGGTTGTCACCGTGGATTTGGTTGTCACCGAAGTTCCCACCATCATGCTTCCTAGTAATAAGTTAGCGAATTCATTCTGCTCAAGGGGAAGGGGGGTTAATAAGATATAACGGATGGTGGGCATGGTGGAATATTAGGTACCTAGTCATCACCATGGTGATCCCACCATCCGGGTCCTAGAAACAAGTCAGCCAGTTGATCATATGTGGGTGGGGGAATAAAAGAATGTTATCCTATATGTGTAGCATGGTAGATGGCGGATGGTGGGCACAGTTGAGAGTGGACAGAGGACAGAGGACAGGAGACATGGTGGATGGATGTGGCCATGGCAAAAGCCATAATGGATGGAAGATCAAACAAGAGATCAAACAAGGGATCAAACAAGAGATCAAACAAGAGATCAAGCAAGAGATCAAACAAGAGATCAAGCAAGAGATCAAACAAGAGATCAAGCAAGAGATCAAACAAGAGATCAAATCGACGTGTGAATGGATACGTGGATGGATGAATAGGTAAACAAGGCCATGATAGATGGTTATCGTTTTGTCATGTCCCTCACTGTGGATGCCCCACCACCGTGTCCTGAAGACAAGTTAGCGTGTCCATCCTATGTATGGGGAAGGGAAAGGATGTTATCATGTAAAGTCTTAAGGCCATCATTGTTGGTGCCTGGGGTGGATGCCTGAGGTGGAGGGCAGAAGCAGAAAGGAGATGGGGAGGAGAAGAAGAAGAAGAAGAAGAAGAAGGGGGGAAAGGCCGGTATTTATGTCGCTGGGAGAGCTTATGGCGATGGGAGGACGGGGGGTGGGCGACGAGGACCCAAACGGGAAGGAGCGGATCTTCGCGAGATCCCTTGAAGGCAGGTGACAGAAACACCAGAGCTGCCCATATGTTGTCACTTTGTCAGGGTCAAAGCCGTGAACCATCTAGGTTCGGGTATCAGAGCTTATTGTTCTGATCATCCCTGTTCTAATGGATGTGTTAACGAGCCAATGCACGACAATGAATCCATGCAGAATGGTGTTTGGAACTGATATCCAGTGGCAATGATGTGCTGTGGACCCTCAACCCCAGACCCAACATCGGGGCTCAAACTTTGGAAGATCTAACTAAGCTTAATTGGCTTTCAGCATATCATCATTTATACCCAAGATCAGCAATCAATGAGCAAACCATGACCAGCTCAACAGCATTAGCAGCTACAGTTTTTCCGAACATCAATCTTCAGGTCTAGGTCCGCTCTATTTGTCACCTCCGTTCCGAAATGACAGACGACCAAGCGTTCTGTTGCGAGCAAGTGAGGCCTCAGAGGCTCCAGTCCGAGTATTACCGACTAGGTCTCTTTATATACTGGGCAACAGCGAAAAACAAGCAAGCAAGACCAGATGGCAAGAACCCAGGACTCGATGTCCCGTTCTGTGTCCAATTATTTCGAAGGCCCTATAAGACCCCACGCATGTATGTGCCAATCGGCTGGGGGGAATTCGCTGAGATCGACCGAAAGTTACTCGCAGATCCATGGATGATAAAAGAGTACGTTTCCAGAGAATGCTTGTGATAGTTTCAAGGCTTACCATACTCGAAGAACGGAATATTACGATTGCAAATCCCACTCTACAGCGTTTATGGTCAGATTCTACGAAAGGACCCCGATTCAATCTCCGGTCCAACAGATTCAAAGCCCAGGAATGACCAAAAACGGGGGCACAGACACCCTGGGCTCAGATCATGGCAGTTCTCCAGGTCTTCCAACGAGCTCCAGTGTCAAAGCTCTCGAGCAATGTGGCTGTAGCCAATTTTCCTCGAAGATATTGAAAGGGAAAGCCAGAATGACGGAAGACTTAGAATCTTCAAAAATCTTCTCCGCTCAAACGGGGTATAGAGCAAGCACTTTTGGTTTGGAGACAAGTTCTGATGACTCGGGGTTTCTTTTGTTGATGAAGATGCCTGCCGGCCAATATGTCCTTGACTTAATCGAGTCGGCAAATGAAGGTATGCCAGCCCGACTGGTATATAGCGCTAGAAGCCAGAGACTGAGGATGCTGGTGTGTGAAGAGCTAAGGAAATTGTCACGATCTGTCGATCAAAATTTCCCCGTTTGGATGGGAGTGTTCGCAACGCAACAGATTGCCAAGTTGATCATATGCTACGACCCTCTTGATGAATACGCCAAGGAGAACACAGAGAGGATACTCAATGCCACTGCTTCCGCTGTTAAAAAGGTTCTATACCATAATTATGGTCATCGAGTCTACAACGACAACTCCGATGAGATTGTTGAGATTCTCCATGAGATTTCCCGACAGAACCCACATAACGGTCACCTTCAATCATTGGTGGGCCGCACTCTGAAGACAATGGTAGAGGGGATGAAATCAGAAATGGATGAACAGACATTGACGGAACAAATTGAGAGGAAATTGCGTTCATCAATTGACGATGATGATAGCTATGATCACTGTACTGAGTCTAGTTCCGTGGATATCCCGTCAGACTCGACATTCTGAGTTGATATCATCGCTATGATTGCTATTAATCAAGACCTTACAATAGCTGGACATAACGAATTTATTGCTATACCATAAAGTATAACCACTTGCAAGACGAGAAGAAAATCGAATATGGTAAACAGAACTCCAAATGTAAGTGGAACTACATCATGTCCTCACTCAAAAGCTTGGGAATCGTAAGGATATCTAGTCATGACCCTTGTAGTCCAGACCCCTGAAAACATCATCAAAGCGCAACTCATTCCAGTGCACATTAGGCTTGAGCCCGGCAAATTTCCAGACACCATTGACCTTCCGATAATAGTGTTCATTTGTGGCGTGACCGTGACCGCGTAGCTTGACGGTCTTCAACTCGCTGGTCTCGTAGACCTGGTGCGCAGCACGCAACTGATGGTGCCCGATAACCTCAGTGTCAGAAACCTTCTCCCACCAGGTCTGTCCAAGCAGATGTTGGGTCTTGATAGTCTGGTCACCCAGGAAGCCGGGGTGGGACATCATGGCCATGTAGTCATCCGCGGCCATGTCATCCCATCTCTTCAGGCCGATCTTAGTGTAGTCGACTGTGAGTGTAGGGGCAATGATACTGCGCAGGCGGTCCCAGTCCTAGAGTATCGTTAGTGCAACTGTCGGCTTGATGTTGAATGCGATAGAATGTGTACCTTGGTATCATAGCTATCAGCCCAGTCGAAGACGAGCTTTGAGAGGATGAGGTAGTCTATTGGTGTCAGTGTGTTGTAGGTGAGGGGATGCGCATTGAGACACACCTTGGAAGCTGATGTCCAAGTTGGGCTCAGTCGTGTTGTTCATTACAGCGGGAGACATGATTATCCAGTCGTGTTTTCTTGTAAACGTTCTGAGCGCTGACTAGAGCTGGGAGGCGTGAAGGGCGAGTATATCCCAAATTTGCTTCGGACAGAATTGCCCAAAGCGACCACTCCCGGATTTGGGTTCAACACGTACGGAGTATGTATACCAGACACGAGGATTCAGGAATGCAACCCAATCGCTTGGCGTGCGATAGATTATGCAGCCAATCTACTCGTGTCTTTCCGAATGCGGTACGAGGTAAGGCCAAGACTCTACACTTTCGTTCGCAAGCAACCAGAACAAACTAAGACCTGAAAAGAGCCAGGGAACTACTCCAGGGCTGTGGGCCCTACGACTACCAACATAGTGTGTTGCAGACGGATTCGGACACGATTCCCACTTGCTGCAACAGGCAGTGGTGAATAATGGAATCTGAAACCAAAACATCCAGCCGAGTGCGGCCAGGTACCACCCAGTGTGATGGATCTTAACAATAAAAGATTCAATATTAGACTACGGTTCCCATCCCCAATGTCATTCTGATTCCTGTACAACTCTTCAATCCTCACGTTCTTCAATCCTCCCGTCTCCCATCAAAATACCCAAAATGGTCGTCCCCAACCCCAACGCCGCACAACCCGAGCTCGCCGGCAAAGTCGCCCTGGTGACTGGCGGTGGCCGTGGTATCGGATCAGGCATTGCACTGGAACTCGCAAAGAAGGGTGCAAGCGTGGCCATCAACTACGCCAGCAGCTCGAAGACCGCCGACGCAGTGGTGCAACAGATCCAGGCACATGGCGTCCACGGCGCAGCCTTCCAAGCCGATCTGACACAAGTCGAGTCGATCGAGAACCTCTTCCAACAGGTGGTAAACCACTTCGGCCGACTGGACATTGTTGTCTCGAACGCGGGAACCGAGAAGTTCGTGCCCTTGGCCGAGACTACACTGGACGACTTCAACGAGGTGTTCGACCTCAACACCCGCGCGCAGTTCTTCGTTACGAAGAACGCCTACAACCACATTCAGCCTGGCGGACGCGTTGTGTTGATGTCATCCATTGCCGCAGGTCTGGGTGTTCCCGGCCACTCGCTGTACGCCGGTAGCAAGAGCGCCGTGGAGGGTTTCACTCGATGCTTTGCTGCCGATTTCGGCAAGAAGAAGGCTACTGTGAATGCGATTGCCCCTGCCGGTGTCAAGAGTGACATGTGGATGAGCAACGCGTGGCGCTATGCACCCGGCTGCGACCAAAGCTCGTCGATTGAGGAGATTGAGACCGCTCTGGCTAATGGTAGCCCCCTTGGGCGCTGTGGTGTGCCTGCGGATATTGGCCGCATTGTGGCATTCTTGGCCAGTCCCGCTGGAGAATGGATCAACGGTGAGTACTGGAATGCTGACTTTACTGTGAAAACATGGCTAATCATTTACAGGTCAAATTCTTCCCTGCAATGGCGGAGCTAACATTTAATGGAATTGGATAAATTGGGCATTCGGTGTTTGTTTGGATTTGAGGTTATTGGAAACCTCGAAGCTATCTATAGAATCATGTTTAACTCTTTTCTTGTCTAAGTGCTACTTTTATATCTCTTCTATAAAATAAAAATGAGAGGCGACCTATTGGCAGCATTTTATTCCTGTAGAGTACATATAGTCATTCCACATAGAGGAAGTACTTCTTCAATGCAAGCTGCATCACGACGCCGAAACACGACACCGAAACCAGTGACGGGACCAAATGCCACAAATAAACCGCAGTCGCAGTCGGCTACCCGACTATCTGAGACTCCCGAGGTATGACCGACATCCGACATCCGACATTCCTTCGATTCACGATCTTGGACATCCGCATGCGGATATCCAAGCAACCATGCCCGTCAAGGCACCAAGATCGCCAGCGGACACTCGGTAGATCGCTGCCGATCCCGCTCAGTCCAAAGCTCATGGAATTGGCTGTCTACTGTTTGCATCTGAGACGACATCATCCTGTCTTCGCTGCACTTAGGTAGTAGCTGTTACCAGCGAGCACCACTGATACCAAAAGCCGCAAGATATCACATATATGTAGTTCATGAAAGGAAACAAATCCTGCCTAGCCCATCAGTCTGCATTATCCGTAACACTATCAACATGACACGCTGGATTCTCGGAGACAAGTTCGACACTGTCTACCCTCACCAGGGGTCGATCAAGGCCCTGTGGGAGAAAAAGTGGAAATTCCCTGTATGTCTCAATCCATCAACAAAGAAAAGCAAAGAGACTAATATCTATCAGTGCACCAAATCCATCTACCCATTCCATGATGGATCCCTGGAAGATTTCGAGCCCATCTTCGAGAAGCTCATCGCCGTAAGCACTGCCCTAACCAGGACACCTCCACCAACAAGACTAACACCAATGACCAGGCGCACATCAACGATGCCGACACCGATGCCTACACAGAAGCCTTCCTCCCAACCGCAACAGCCCTAGAAAACCAAGGCGACGAAGCCCTAAACAACGGCCAACGCGAGCACGCCGCAGATCTCTACCGTCGAGCCGCCGTCGTCCTCCGCATCTCCCGATTCCCCTACGTGAGCCCAGCAACCCGCCCAGAGACATCCATCAAGCGCGTCGCCTTCGATCGCCAGAAGAAAGTGTACCTGAAGGCAGCATCCCTATGGAACCCAATCATCACCGAAGAAGTGATCCCCCACACGCACCGCGCCGGTCGTGATGGGCCCACGATCCCACTGTACGTGCGAATTCCCGAGGAGGCACGCGGAGGCAACCGCGTTCCCGTCGTGCTCCTCATGACCGGACTAGATGGCTATAGACCCGACAACAGCCAGCGCAGCCACGAGATCATCAACCGCGGCTGGGCGACGGTTATTGTGGAGATTCCCGGTACGGCGGATTCGCCTGCGGATCCAGCGGACCCTGAGTCGCCCGATAGGCTGTGGTCGAGCGTGCTCGATTACATGGCTAGTCGGCCGGAGTTTGATATGTCGCGGGTTGCGGCTTGGGGGCTGAGTGCGGGTGGCTTCTATGCTATTCGGGCGTCTGTCGTGCACCGCGAGCGGCTTCTTGGGGCTGTTGCTCATGGGCCTGGATCGCACTATGTGTTTGATCCGGAGTGGTTGTCGAAGGCTAATGATCATGAGTATCCATTTGAGTGAGTCTTGGTGTCTTATTCTTTGATGTTAGTAAACTGACGGTGTGTTAGGCTTACTTCTGCTATGGCGGAGAAGTATGGCTACGACAATGTGGAGGAGTTTGTGAAGAACGCCCAGAAGAAGTTCTCGCTCGTGGAGACTGGTATTGCAGGCCGGGATAACTGTCGCCTACTGCTTCTCAACGTATGTACCCCGATCTAACTGTATGTTGCAAGCCACAAACGCTGACTATTTCCAGGGCGTGGATGATGGTGTTGTCCCGATCGAAGACTGCATGGTGCTTATGAACCATGGAGGTCCTAAGGAGGCCCGCTTCTTCGAGAACAGGGTGCACATGGGATACCCTGACAGTCTGCCTGTGGCTTACAAGTGGTTGGAGAGTGTGCTGTCTCCCGATATGAAGAAGGTGAAGAACTGAGTGAGCATCAAGGTGTCGGAGTTGTCGTTTGTCTTAAATAGCTACATAGGAATAGAACCGGAGTATCATCACTGGGTCAAATCAGTCTCATTCGAGGTAAAGGCTTGAGTCGAAGAGAAATAACCAATACTCATCCATGGCCTGGTAAAGGGAAGAGATAGAGAGCCAGAGGTATGTCCCGAAGTAGCAAGCGCGAGGCAGGAGAGCAAACATCAAACCCATCCATTTTAGGAAGGTGCGCTGGGTGGGATGGGTATAAAAGGTCCTCCTCTTCCTTTCTTCCTCTTCTCTTCTTCCTCTCTCCATCCCCCTCTCCACCATCTCCCTGTAGCCCACTCGAGATCGCGTCGGCAGAGAGGGTTCGCACGCACAGCGCTTTCAACACTTATTGTTGTCTGCCATGCGTCAATACCAGATCAAACCACCCAGTTCTTGTGCGAGTAACGGCCAAGTCCTAGCTGAGAATACTTGAGGGTCACCTCGATGAAGCTCAATAGCTTTGACGGTCCCACAGAATACATTTGACAAGCCGTAGACACGTAGAATAAACATTCTATCTTCTTGACTAGGTACCATCTACTCTGGTGTAAGTCCCAACATGTACTGCACCACCCTGTATCAACTGTTGTTCTCTAGTACAGTAGGTAGTCATCACTACATGTATGCACCCGTATTCTAGAGAAGAAGCGTTAAAGGATGGAATGGAACACGCAAGTGAGATTAAACGCTCTTTTAATTTATAGCTGCACATAAAATAGCGTCTGCCATTGACCATTACGAGTGTGGTTGACTCGCTTCAATTCCGATTTCCTTGGAGAAACAACATGGTAAAAATCAGACTGCCAAAAACGCCCGCAATGCATTGAGGATATTTTTTTCCGATGCCCAGAAAAGATCGCAAGGAAACATAGTGTCACATATGGAACAAGATTTAATAAGGGTGGATTCATTCGTCGTCGACCCTCGGGCGTTTCGACTTGCGGTCATCATTCTCAGCTTCCTGGATTCCATAACGCTTCTGGCCCGAGGTCACATCGGCGATCATGTTGTCAATACCGAATGGATCGGCGGTATCCTTTTCGAACTGAACAGGACCCTGGCGCTCCTGTAGATAAACATATTAGCAATGAAAAGATTCAATATTAGACCAGGACTTACCTCAGCTTCAGCAGCGCCTCGGAAACCCTCCTTGGCGCGTCCCAAGACCTCGAAACGCTTGGTCTTCTCAAGCTTGGTCATCTCTCCCTCTCCTCCCTCATCATCATCGGCATCAGCCTGGGCACGTGGACGATAAATGCTGTTAATGGCGTCCTGCGCGGCGAACAGCGGCTTGTCGTAGGGGTTGTCTTCGTTGAAACCAGATTGCATGCCACTGGTCTGGTTGAACAGACGCGAATCCCACATGGTTTCGGAGCTTTGTGTTGGCTTGGCGAGACCAAGTGCCACCTTCTCAGAGATATCACGGTTCTGTTCCCGGGCCATGGTTTGAATACGGCGCTCTGTGCCCATGCGAGACTGGCGCAGCTGGCGCTCATCCTCCCGTCGTCGCTCACGACGCTGCTCTGCGCGGTCTCGAGCAGCTTCGTCATCCTCGCTGGGGGTAGCAGACCTCGATGATACAGAGACACTGCGGCTGACACTTCGAGAGCGAGAACGGGCCCGCACTTCGCGATGGCTGGGGCCAGCGCGATCCTCGCGAGCCTTTTGTGCCAACATCCGGAGATGCTCTTCTTTCTGTGCCTTCTCCTTCTCTGCCAACTTCTGCTGCATTTGAGCGCGAAGCTGTACCTCTTCACGGGCATGTCGATCCGCTGTGAACAAAGCCTCGGCGAACTGGGCGAATTTATCGTTAATGGTGACATCTTGCAGCCCACGGCCATCGGCAGCCAAACGCTTGTCGAGCGGCACAGTGTAACCCTTGGGATTCTTCCAGTTCGACACAGGCGGGGGAATCTTCCAAGCTTCTTGATCCTCAGCGGTGAGCTTTCTCGGCGGCGAATGCATAACGGGAGGCGGGGGGGGAGGGCGGGCCACGGGGAATCTTCTTGTGCTTGAACTTGGGCGGCTCCATGGGATCTAGCTGTCTCTCAACAATCTTCATAATGCGATCGTTTTGGCGGCCATTGTTGCCCATCTGGTTCGCCGGGGTGTAGCGAACGAAAGTCGGTTCGGCGCGCTGTCCGCCCTTAACGTTCTTTGGCTTCTGCGCCGATGCAGCTCCTTCAACCAGGGTTGCGAGCGCAGCTTTGGTCTTCTCCATCTGAGCCTGGACCTCCTCTTCCGATGGCTTTTCCAAAGAGATCTCTCCCATATTCACCCGCTGTCGGAGCGGAATCAAATCCTTGAACGATGCATGAACGGTGCGGTTGTCGGCGTGTCCACGGCGGGCGATTGCGTCATACTTGACCTTGCCCTCAGCATCGACCTGAACAGCAAGCGCATTTGAAGTCGCGGATGTCCCCTTTCGACCCATGTCAAGGGGATACTGTGCAACTAGAATCTCGGGGAACGCGCCGCCATCACCGAAGTCTTCGGGGGCGCGAGGTCGCCATCCTGCACGGTTTCCATAGGGCGGGGGTCCGGTTCTCTATAGAAGCAACCCAATTAGTTACTGTGCCAGTATAACAATAGAGTAAGGCAGAACTCACCCGTAGGACGACCTGTGTCTCATCAAGCTGGTCGGCGCCCACCACGCGCGGACCACGGGGTTGTGCATGCTGTGGCAACTCCTCGTCCTCGCCAGTGTATTTTGGTTTGGGGAGGGACTTGAAAAGCCCAGATGCAATAGATGTTGACATTTTGACAGTGAGCAACTCAAGAGCTGTACACTCGTCGTTGATGATGAAAGATCCTGGGGTGTCGCTCCATTTGGCTTTTCGGGACGAACTGCGCGGTTGGTCTATATGTGGAGACGTACTCAAATGCCAAGCCTTCCAACTGACCTGCACCTTTTGTCTGTAAAGGCTGCCGTATTCAAATGCCAAGACCTCTGACGTCAACTGTCGTACTCCAAGCTCTAGGCCTGAGTCCTTGAATAGACTGTCTGTTCACCAATCGTCCGACATTCCATCTGGTCAAATTTCTACAGATACAAGGGGAGTACACGTTGAATGTCAGAGTGGCTCTGAGCTTAGAATGATTAGTCGCTAATGAACGACCCAATGCTATAATTACATGGAAACAAAGTTCAAGCATATTGCAAACAAGTAAATGAGTCTGAAATATACCTAAATGGCAATGAAATGCGTGCGCATGGGGCATGCGATATCCTCTTTATCGCTTACATCGACAAAATGATCCCGTCCCTGGAATTTGTACCAGATCTTCAATCGCTTGGGCAGCAGTGGCGCAGGGTCATGGAATCCCAAGATTTGGAACTACATACATTGATTTAGTATTAGTGTTCTGGGCCCAAAATAATCAGGAGAGTTTAACTTACCTTGATGGATTTACCAGAGATCACCAGTTGGCCCCGGTTAACCAGCGCAGCAACAGGAATAGTAACATCAATCACCCGTGGCTCCGTGAACCCATTCTTGGGTTTCTTGTTTGTTGGTGGAATATATCCATACTCGGCTTTCACGATGACAAGGCCATCTTGTGTTTCCTCTCGCGCTTGGCGCCTTTGCACCTGATCCGTCATGAGCTCAATGGCCTGAAGACTCTCCTCGCGCTTCTTGGGAATAAGCTTCTTTAGCTCGCGGTGGCGGCGGGCGGCTGCCTGTCGACGCTTCTTCTTATCGCGCGGTCGGATATAGCCGAATTCAATCGCGCAGTAAGCTAGCCAAGGGAAGATAGCAGTCAGTGCTGCAGCACCGCTTGTTGCCTCATTGGCCGGGCAGACATTGATCGGAATATTAATGTTTTGACCAAGTCGGCTCCATGAGACTGTCATCATGATACCCTTGTCTGCGATGCCAATGCCGAGACCAACGCGGGTGTACTCGCCAACTCGACGTACGCCCTTGATGGTCCAGTTGAGAGACATGTCGAGTCCAATAACACTAGCGATCTCGAGTCGGATGGCACGCGCCTGGTCCATGGCCGGCATCGGGAAGTATCCCTCAGAGCTCCATTCAGTCTTCACGGGATCATCAGCGGGTTTCCCGGAGAAGAGATTCCGTGAATAGTTCAAGACAAATGCACCACCCCCAGGAGTGACCTGGAGATGGGTCTGCCATGCCTCGGCAGACTGGTTAATCTTGCGTTTCTTCTTGAGAAGATTCTGCACGTCCTCATCTAATTCGCCACTTTCTTCATCGTCATCATCGAAATCCACTGTACCTTGCCCCTGATCAGGAAGCGAAATTAAACCCAGTTGCAGGTTGCTCACTTCGGTTGCAGATGTCATGGCGCTCTGTACTCCCATTCCGATTGATGGGAAGAAGTTGAGAAGGAATTCCGGCCACTCAACGGCGCCACTAGACCATGTGAGAACACCGATCTTCCTCTTAGCCACCTCTCTCGAGATTTGAACTTCAAAGGAAGGTGGTGTTTCCCCTAAGGAACGTGTGTGTATACTCGTCACGCTAACCTGGAACGGTTTGGTGCCGGGGACGGGCTGGAAGGCTCGAGAGATATTCGCTTTCAAGGTTGGATTAGGGAGAATGAGGGCGTCAAAGGTGATTTGAGAGTCAGTAAGGAAAGAGAAAGGGCGTTTAGCCCAGATTCCCTTAGTTCCGACCATGTTTCTGAAGTTGGGAGTCACAGAGGCGCCAAATTGGATATTCTGTGCTGCCAGGATTGGTGGCATTGTATACTGAAAATCGGTCAGCTATGTTTTGGCTTCAAGAGATCGAAGTTTGGCACAACATACCTTTTCCTCCCCTTCCGTCCCATCCTCGTACTCTACTAACACTGTCTTCACCGGGCGAGCCAAGCCTCCAGTTATGCCCGCATTCAAGGTCACTTGCATGTCCTCTTGTTCATTTTCCTCCGCATCTTCTCCTGGACTGCTTTCCGTGCCATCGGATTCTTCTTCGTTATCCGACGTGCTCCAAATCTGGGGTAATGATACCGGCGTCTTGAAATTATACGAAAGACCATATGTGCTCACTTGCGGCGAAGGAATATGGAACTGGACATCTTCATCCTCGTCGACTGAGATCATAGACGATGCATTGACTCCCAAAGTAATACCGCCCTAGATGCGCGATGACTATCAGCAACGGCTCAACCATTGCACCCTCCCATAGTCAGGTGATCAACCAAGAAGACACATACCTTGCTGGAGACCAAGCTCTCTACAGCCTTCCGCTCACGTTTTTTCATAGTTTTCAAGAACCAGCGACGAAACTGATCCGGCGACATCGCCCTAACACCAACATCCTGCTTGTGCGCCTCTCCACTAGTCCCCATGGCCCCAGACGGGCTCCATTCTTTCCGAACACCCTCCACACCGGCTATATCATATACAGTGCGCTTATTGGGATCAATGAGCGTCTCATACGCCTCCTGGATTTGTCTGAACTGGGTCTCAGCCGCATGGCGGAGATGCGTCGGTTGTTTGTCCGGGTGGAAGCTGAGGGTCAGGTTGCGGTATGCGGACCGGATCTCGGCGTCTGTTGGGGGTGGTGTGCGCGAAAGGCCCAGCAGGACATAATAGTCGACTTCCTCCGGGTACTCGCCGATCATGCTGTAGTCGGCGTCGAGTCCGTCATCTTCCACGGTGGCGCGGAATTCCTGCGCCCCGGGGAACTGCTCGAAGGAGGACATGGTGATTTTGCGCGCTCTATTCTCAGTTGTATGTATATATATATTAGATCAGCCCCATCTTGGGGATAGTTTAGACGAGGTGAATGAAAGGTAACAATGTGAAGGGAAACGTAAATTCGTCGGAGAAACTTTCCGCGTCTCCGAATCCCCGCAGGCGATTGTTAAAGTGGATCGCTCTGGAGTATGGGAGTACTTCCATAACGGTCTCAAGCTGATAGAAGCAAGTATGTGTATTATTCATTTTCTACTTGGGAATTCGATGGTCACAATGTGCTTCTTATTGCAAGCAACCCATTCACTCTGGTTGGCTCCTCATAGTTGCATTTGTGATGCCGCATGTACATACCCGTGAACATGTAGCTATTGGTCCCTTCTCCTGCAACACCTTCATGGTCGCATTAAAAAGGCCTTGGAAGATCTAGAGATTTAAAAATTGGAGATCCATTCAATGCATAAGGCGACTAGCCTCGCATAATTTGTCTATCCCTACTCCGTACTCCGTACCCAAATGCAACCACGATGGCTGAGTCTGACTGAAACGCGATCAAGGCAAATATCACTCCAGGACAATCGAGGGATCTGCGTTGGCCCCTTGCGTATCATGCGCAAAGAAATAAACATAAGGGTTATCTGAAGCATCTAGATAATTCGAATCCATTCGGATGTTCGGCCTAAATGGTTGAGGTAATCGAACTGGGAGTTATTAAGACATAGATGGTGATCTATCTGAGTAGACTAATACACACAGTTAGCCAACTGCTTTAGCTAAAACATACATCTCCATTGACTTCACTGATAAGCAAATAGATGACAGAAGCCTATTGCCGAGTAAAGACGAGGATCGCTGCGAAGTACTCCGTACTTCATTACAGCTTGGGCCACGGAGAGGCGTTGCAGTGACGATCGTCTGTCTCTCGAACTCTTGGGCAATTGAGTTCATGCCGCTCCACTGAGTCTGCAGATAGTCTGCGTTGTGAATCTGAATTTGGAGATTGTCATCAGTTCCTCAAAGATAGAGCTGCCGATCAGTGCAATTCAAAGCCAGAACTGCACTGCCTCGGCAATATAGTCCACAGAGAACACGACACAAAAACAAAAACCACGACAGCAGAGATGCCAGCTCAACACCCAACTGGGGCTAGAGATGCCGGTTGGGTACCTGAAGCATGAGGCGCAGGTGGAGCTTCATAGACGTTACGTCTTGGCAAAACGAGCCACGTCGAGCCCTAGACCTCCTTTCAGTTAGAAGAAACTCCGTATACGTCAGCCTAGTGGGAGTCATAACAAACAACTAGCTCATATAAGGTGAGTCTCAGGTGTTCGGGGATACGTGCAGAATTCTAGGCAATAGTTCTTCCTTCGGGGAACCTCGTGTAACCCAGATCACATCGTCTCTCTCTGCTATATCAAGTCTTTCTCCAAGCTTGAGGTTCTCACAGGCTATACAGACTCAATCAGCTGTCGACTTGCCAGGCAACACTCGTGAATAGGAAATACCTCTCAAGTCTCACTCAGCCCTACCTCATCTCATATTTCTACAACCTCCAACTACATTTCTACTTCGCGTTTTAGACGAAGTATCATCAAATCACATCAATGTCTGCCGCGCGTTTAAAAGAACTGGGGGCCAAAGGCCCCCCAGTATTCAGAATCAACTTGTCTCTCCCACCAGAAGAGCGCTACAAATCCCTGGCCCGACAATACAAAGATAGAATGCGATCAGTGACGGGGATATTCGACGACGTAATTCACACTCTATCCCCCAAGATCCCCACAAAGCCAGTCCACTGGCTCGCTCGAATGTGTCTGCGCAGATTGTACAATGACGAAGAAACCGCCGAAATCCGAGGCATCAGCCAAGTAACTGGGATCGAGCTTTATTTCCTGATTTGTCTGAACGTGGTGCTCGATCTCCTGATGGGATGCACGAGTGGCGGTGTGCGAATGCTGGACGGGCTCTGGACGAGAATGGTGCATTTCCGCACGCTGGACTGGGGAATGGATCCACTGCGCGATCTGATCGTGCAGCTGGAATTTGTTCGCGATGATCACCCCGATAAAGTGCTAGCGACCTGCATAACATACGTTGGGTTCGTGGGTGTGCTCACGGGCGTTCGAAAAGGTCTCAGTGTCTCACTCAATTTCCGGGCTGTGCATGACTCGAGTCGAAATAGAGGCTTCTATTGGAACTATCTGCTCGTTCTGCTCGGCTTTCGACAATCCATCACATCCATGCTACGGCAGACTATCATTCCTGGACCCGTTGGGTCTAGTAAGAATCCACTTTCGGTGACGTCGACAATATGGGACATCATCGTCGAAGTTCCGCCGATGCGCAGCACGGCTGCATACCTGATCTTCTGCGATGGCTCCAAAACGACGGCCATGGAGAAAGACCATAAAATAGCAACTTGGCGCACCTCAAGTTCCTTCCTCATCACAACCAACCACGACGAAGAGCCCAGCCAGATCACAGCTGAAGCCATCGCAAACGATAAAGGATATACAGGCCTGCGAGTGGCCGATGGCACTCAGAGTATGGCGGAGATTATCGAGGAGAGCAAAGAGCGGCAAAGGTCCATGCAGAAGAAATGGGATCGCAGAGTGCAAGAACACAAATCATTCCAACAAGAACTGAGGAGACGCCGAGTCAAGGAAGCTGCTCTTCCACAGAGACAACCAACACATCTTCGATGGAAAAGGAATACAGATATGGGGTGGCAAGATCCCTCTGAGTCCGAGGTATCGATTACACTTGGAACAATGTTGGGGTGGTTATGCTCATATCCGATTGTCAACGAGGATACTCACTATGCCGTGTTGATGGATCCGGCGGAAGGAAGGTTCATATATGCAGGGAAGTTCCCAGCTTCCACGGGTTCACATGTATTTTTAGAGAAATAGCGCGATCTACCTAGGTAGTCTCATGTCAATAGTACTGTAAACAAGTATCAGGCCTTATTTTTGGTTCCCGTGCTCATAAATCCAACTTCATATCCCCTGTAATGCATTTCCCAGTCCCTCCTCTTTCTGGATGCCTTGTGCTTATCTGGAGGTACCCATAAACTTTTCTCGCCATATAAAAGATTCGTCGATATGGGTAGTCACGATCGGGTTGACGTCCTTAAAAGCGAGATCCCATGCCAGCCTTTTGGGTCGATAGCATGTTTGCCACGAATGGAAATTGTATTGTGGAGATCAGCTCTGGTTAAGAAGTTATAAGCAGAAGATTCGGTGAGATTGCACTTGCGTACATATGATACATGAAGGGGTGTAGAACCAAAATATATATTTGTGCAGCACTCACCGAATCAATATTGCCTTGGGGACCTCGATCTCATCCCGAGCTGTCGCATAGGCCAGCGCTCCAGATCCTCATAATGATGGTGGATATGTTGTTCGGTCACGTCAGAATCAATAGCAAGCTCGCTATATATATTAGACTTGGTTTAGGAATGATCATATGGTGATATCTGGTTTTAACCTCCCTTTCCACCTGTCTTTTCACCTGGCTTTTTAATTACATCTATAGATGTGGATTAAGCAAAGATCAAGTGAAAATATGTGGACCTTCATACCTACAAACCCATGGGAAAGATACTTCAATACAATATCTAGGCACGTTGCACTTAAGACATATAAAACCCTACTGCTACTTCCTGCTGGCAAAATCAGGATACTGATACTGGACTTACTAGACTGGCCTACTAGGGGATCAGCTAGGCGCGGCTTGTCATGAAAATGAGGAGCTCTCAATCCAACTAACCGACACTATATCTAGTCTTCTCCCAGGAAAAACTGTGAAAGTGCGATCAAGTCTCTCTGAGTTTCCTCAGTTCCTTGCGTTAATCAGGCTTCTCTTCGAAATCAAATCCCGTAAATATAAATACAAAAAAGAAGGCAATAGAGAACTATCACAAAAGGATAAATCCAGAAAGTAATGATATCCTATAATACAGAGATGTAGAATAGATAAAAGTAGTAGGGGGAAAAGAAGAAAGTCATACACAATCCATTCTATACACATAGTACTTTCAAGTCAATCAAACCGCCATGATCGACATGCATTCATCGTATCGTAACAGGATAAAAATGTGAAAGATCTCAAGAAAAAAAAAGGGGGGCTCCAGCAGTGGGAAGTCCTTGGAGATTCCAGCCATTGCAAAAGGAGAAAGAAGAGGGAAAGAGAATTCCCATTTCAGGGATCTCTTATCCAGGCAATACCACTCTCCGAGATGAGTGTCTTGTCAAGTCGCAGAGCATTCAAAAGGACTTCTTTGGGCATGGATCCGGTGAAAAGATCCTCGCCCAGAGTGCCCGGCGGGGTGGAATGCAACGCGCCAGAGTGGACTTTAGTCTCGAGTGATGGGCCATCAAGAGCAAAGCCCTGTTTCTCGGGGAAGGCGCTGCGCTCGTTCAGACAATTAATCATCAGACCCAGACGTCTGTGGAGAGCTGAGACTAGTTGCAAAGAACTATCCCAGTAGCGGCCCAGTTCCTGGACTGTGGCGAGCGCGCCTCTAGTGTATGAGATACACTCGCTCAGTTGAGAAGCAAGACCAGCGGAGCTGAGGACATCGACAGCCGATAGGATCACGTAACCGAGGAAGGGGTTCAGGAAAGTCATATGGGATACAGAGGGCTCTATGTTATGGCGGGATTGAATAATGTCCTTAGCGTATTCGTCGAAGGTGAGAGATATACGGAGGATCTCGACGGCGTGGTATCGAGCGCGATGGATGTACCGGCCGAGAACTTCGGGTTGTAAGCTTTGGTAGCGGGCGTGTCTGTATAGTTTCATCAAACTGGCGTGGTAGAATAGATGAGTGGAGATGAAAGTGTCTGCTTTTCTTTGACGAATGCTTCGTTCCAGGTTTATGTGGGAAAATACGAGGTAGTCGGGGAGTTGGTTCATCCATTGGCTTGATTTTTGAACGATGGTGATGTGGAATTCTTCGGCGAGTCGACTATATGATTCCGGGGGATGTGCGGTAAACGGATTATGTGGAGGGAGATTTCCCCCCAAATAGCCATGATCTCGACCAAAAAGGCCATCGGGCTTAGTGTGGAGCGGTCATTGCTGGGGGAACTTGGGGTGTAGTTGAGGAAGGATTGGAAATAGGGTACCGTCGCGTATTGTTGAGATTCATAGATTTCTTCTCGGCATGGAAGCCTCAGCAATGCCGCATCCGACGATATGAAAGTCGAAGAAGCGGAGTAGAGGCTAGAGAAGCGCTGTTTGTTGGTCAGTAACCAACATTCAAGTCTAAGTCAGAGGGTGTGCATGTTCTTACATCAAGCACGAATGCGATCCAAAAAGTTCGCCGTCGGCACTCAATCAAAGCCTGCGGATGTAACCCGTAGTCACAAATCTGGGTTTGATCTACGACAACGCCTCCAGCTTCCACGTTGTAGCGCAGCCCGAAGACGGCCCTTCCCGCCGCGCCTATCGAGTCCCAAGACCCAACCAGTGACCCTGCAGCATAGTACCAAAGACTCATTATGATATGGCTTTGGGCAAGTTGCAAAGAGAGTGCATGTTGGCTCTTGTTGATAGCAAAGCGTGCTATGCGAGAGTATCGTCTCATGGCTGTCATTTTGTCTGGCCTGTCTGAAAAGACGGATCCAAGAGACATCATAGAGTAAAGAAGCATCTTGTCTTCGGCAGACTTGGTGGGGTACGTCTTCAACCATACACCGAATCGTCCATGCGGGAACATATGATACAAACCATTGTTCACATGCAGGAAATAACAGTCAGTATAGTGCGTTGTCGTCTCCGGGTCACTTTCGTACGGGTCCAAGTGCCAGGAGGCCATGAGTGGGTCGTCCGAGGTGTTATCCTTGAGTTCTCCCAGGATTTCAGAGTATTCGGGCGAACGACTAGTCTCGATATATGCCGAGGGTCGTCCAAAGGTGCCATCTGCGCCGGCGAGAGGTGGTGGGAAGCGGTAGGATCGAGATCTTAAAGCTCTGTCTGCATCGGCCATGGTTTCATAGGTGGGTTCTTGACCTGATGGCGTGAGCATCGAGGCCTCTGACATCGGTGAGTGACCGGTAGTGCCAGGAAGAGAGGTTGCACTCTCCGAGGCTCGAGTGATATCGTAAGATGAGTAGGAAACGTCTAAAGCGCTCTGACTCGCGGCGGAATATTGGTCTGGTCTGCCAGATGGCCCTGCTGATCCTCTTCTCAGGGGGGCACGGTTACCCCTCGGGCTGGAAAAATATTAGCATTGACCCAACAAATGAGGTTCGGGTATTCATTTTCTTCAGAGGTCATGATCACACTTACGCACTTTCGAACCTGCACTCCCGTCCAGACTTTCGGCATTGATCGCACATAGCCTCTGGGGTCGGGTTGGGATTACACTTGATCTTCTTCTCGCGGCATGTCAGACATGCAAGCCCAAGACGTTTTCTTGGCCTACCAGCCTTTGTTACACCCCAATTAGCGTTCACGGGTGTTCCGTCGATGAATTTGGGACAGAACGATCCGTCTGCGTATACGAAGCAAAGTTCCCCGTCGATAACTCGTTCATCTACCACATGAGGCCGAATGGGCTGGTTGTGTGACCGGGTTGAACTTTCCGGTGATGATAACTCCCCACTAGGTACTTGTTCGTGGGAGGGCGTGGTGTGGAATGGCAGCTGCCCGTGTGGGAAAGACGCAGCGGACGGGTCGCTCCTTGTAGATACGTGATTTCTCATACCTCCGTGGCCATGGCCATGTAGAGCTACTTGCGACAATGGAGGCAGGCCAGTGGTATGCGGTTGTGGGAGAGATTCAGAGCGGCCTCTGTCGTGTACAGGGGTTGGCGAAAGCTGGAAGATCGGATCCTGATGATGAGGTGGATAGGGAGATTCCCGACGTCCATTGTGGGGTGTCGAAGTTACAAATGGTGGAGGGTATTGTGGTGAATTAGGACCCGGTACGGGAGTAAGTATATGTCTCACGGAGGGAAGTTGCTCTGGTTTCTGATGATGTATTGCACTGTCCTTGCCCTGGGGGCTATCTTGCTGCCGTGAGAAAGGATCAGATCCAAATTGTAAACTGGTCGGTACACGGGGGGGCGGGAGCTGATATGGGGGATCTCCGGATTCTTGTAAATTAGCTGAAAGCTCGGATTGCTGCTCCGAGGATGGGCGATCGGTGGTGGGTAACATACGACCGAAGGGTCCAACATATAAACGTGGGCTTAAACCAGAACTGAAACCGGGGGCAGAAAGAGAACCAGATGCCGATCCTGGTCCTGAGCCTGGAGTTGCTGCCATGGCGTTTGAATTATATGAATGGTGAGGAGTGAGGGTGATTCACACAAACTGGCTGTCTACATAACAGACTCAAGTAACAGCCAGTGTGGCAAGCTTTTGTGTTCAATGTTTTCGTACTGTTCAGTAGGTATACTGTCAAGTAATGCGCTTGGTCTGGTATGATCCGGTGAGGTTTCCTTTGGCTCGTTCTCGACTCCGTGTGATTTCCAGGTCCCAAGGAGGTAGTGTACAAAATGGGGTACCTATTGAAAGGAGCCGGGCGACTTAGCAACAAGTCCCTTCTTTGATCTGTCTTCGGCAAAAAGTAGATGCTTTGCACGTACCAATGTAAGCTTTTTGGTGAGTTTGACAAAAGGATAAACAAAATCGGGACCATGCAGAAGAAGTAAAGAGTGATAGTTCGGTCGTGATATTGCAAGTTTGGAATCGAATGGCGGGCAGGGATGACAAGAGGACACAATCTGTACGGAGATGGCCAGCGAGTTTTAGACAAAAGATCTAGCGCTTGAGGTAGTCGAGATCACGTCAACTCGCATAGCCTGTCGGTGAAACCAAAGGGGAAAGGAATGAAAGCTGAGTTAAATGGCCAGCATCTCGCAGTAGTACCAGACAGTCACGGTGTTGGGTGCATAGTTTCCGTGCCAGGGTGTCTGCAGTATCCCAGTAGCTCGTCCCAGCATCCAAGGATTTGGCAGGCTTAGACGAGGGTCTATGAAGCTGCAGGCGTCCTCCGGAGTCACGGAAAACCGGGCCGAAGTATAGACAATGAAGAAAGGCCTGCTCGTGAAGCCCAGTAGGATCCACGCTGACCGTGAGAATAGTCGAGGTAACAAGTGGGGAGATCAACTGGCAACGAGATCTCGGTTTCAGACTATCAGGGACCTAAGAGGATAGTGGCGGCACGGTGCGGGTGGGCCTTCAACAAGGATATTCGGGAGGAATCAACGCCTTTGAAGCCCGAAATCCGCATGGATTGAATATAAAAGAGAAAAGAACCAAAGGAATCCGATCCCGACAATGAAAACGAGGAAGGATCGATGCGCCGATGACACACTATGGACGAAATAGCCTCGAAGGAAGCGCCTACCACTGGTCAGTGGGACCCTCACGTAGCGCCTGAGCGGTAGATTCCCAGGACTAAGAACGAGGAGACTTTTGCTCTTCTCGCCCGATCGAAATCCGCGGTTTCCAGCAGCTTTCCCCCCTGTAGGGCAGATCAAGAAATCCTCAGGGGAGAGACAGAAGCCCCCCAAAAAAAGAAAAGAAAGAGGAAACCAGGATACAGAAGAGAAAGCGCTCCAAATCCAAAAGGAAGAAAGATTGAACTCCCAAGGTGCCAATATGAAGAGGGATGAAAAAGGAGGGGTGTGCAGCTATCGGCTTCAAAAAAGGGCCAAAGCAGAGAGTCGCAGAGTCACAGTATTAGATGTATGCCCAGATGTATTCCGAGTACATCAAAATTACCCACTCCCCATATACTTGGCGATTGCAAGGGTTATTTACTTCTGAAATTAAATGTCTAGGTCGAAATAATCATATCCAGAGTTCACCGTAAAGCAGAGAGCAGGGGAAATTTTTTGGAATGAGACAGTCAAAGCCCATTTTAGGCGGCTCCAAAGACGCCACATTCGGAATAGGGGAGGTTACTATGTACGTTAGTACCGGAAATTTACTGAGAAATTAAACCAATTCGAGAAATTAAAGAAACAAGAAATGTTAGGGCTTATTACGGTGGGTACCAAATGATATCGGCATTTCGGGCTTCACACTAATCCCAGAGATGATGGCGTAATCTGCTGGAACGGCAATGGGGAGACTATGTGGAAGAGAGAGGGTATACGGAGAGGCATCATTATAGGGCGGCTTGGGTATGAGCCAAATAGTACCAAAGCCCGGTTCATCCGTGGCCTACTGCATCTTTATATTAATGGCAAATCCTCCACAGGGATCAAGGATTGTATGTATACGGAGTACGGAGGTAGTCTTCGCCCTCTGGACACAAAGCAACATTGAAGTCCCCACCCTGCAGTACTTTCTGCAGCATGACCAATCTCATGTCCGAGGATTAGGCATTTGAAAAATTGAGACGTGCGCCAATAGAGAACGCTCGGGCTTTGCCGCGTCTCCAACGTGGATGCAATCCATGGGGCAATTCAGAAGGCATCGCGAAACGCCACCTGCTAAAACGGAGATCAGCCATCAACGATCGTTTGGGTCTTATATAGGCAATCCGTGAAGCAAAATATGGCACGAGAAAGACACGGGTAACAGGCGATGAGCTTGATTCGGAAGAGTAAGATGCCGCGAATACGTTGGGTCTGGGACCTTCGGCCGGTGGCGCGGGGCGATTCGACGCCTAGACGGGCAAGTCCTCCCTCCCATCGGGGCCACAGGGCTAATCTCACTTTTGGATAGCCCTCTGCGAAGATCGACCTGGGTCCGCAAGTGGAGCGGGCTACGGTTTTGCACCGGGATGAGGACCTCTCAAGTTCTCCATATCTCTGTGCCCATTTCCGAACTACGAGACTCCATAGAGCGTCAAAGCCGAGACCGTCTGAGGTTATATTATGGTTCAATATTGGGATACGATGAGATACCCGTAAAATCCCCAAGGTGTGCTTAGCGCAGAGTTTTACAAGGCGCTTTATGTATACATACTGCAATTTGCCATGTTAGTCCTGCAGGGATGGCCTTCTAGAGGCATCTCAAGAACGCCAAATCCAGGCAAATCCACCCTCCGCCTGGCTTATGTCGTATTAGTCCAACGGCGATGCACTCCGGAGTTGACCACGTATGGTGTCTCAAGTGTTGGCGATCTGATCTGCAAGCCGTCACTGGGGATCGTCGTCCCATTTGAGCTCAGCCCCTACGCGGATGTGCGTTTGCTCTTCTAGGGAAAGCCTGCGATGGAATGACGTCCGAAGCTCTTTAATTGAGTTTTTTTCTTTTTTCTTTTCTTTTTTTTCTTTTTCTCTTCACTTTTCCAAGCCTCGGGACTTTCCCGTTAAACTCCAACTCGGCAGTTTGGAGCAGCCAATGCTCAACGGAACCAAGTTTCTCCGACCCAATACCGATCCACAACAGTATACAGAACATACAGACGTGCTATGTATATCTTCCAAGCTACACGGAGTACACTCCGTAGAATCTCAGACAGATCTTTACACAGGATTCAGGAACAGAGTGCAATATATCCCCCTGCAGTCTACGGAGTGACCCAAAAATGGTATGGCGTGATGCGTTGGAAAATAAAGAAAAATCAACGTCCCATCCCAATGGATAGAGCCAAAATGCCACGGTGTTCTTTTGTTCCTGGCCTTTCTAGCCCATCCTACTGGATTGCAACTCTACTACTGCAACAGCTCATGTTTTGCATCCACCGAGCCCTTAGTGTCGGATTGACTCCCGATAGCGCAAGGCGCTTTGGTCCGCACCCCTGAACCGATTCGTGTTAGGTGAGACATGTCTATACTTAGAGTACACCCGCTTCGTGATCTGCGAATAGAGACACCCCATCAGTGCACTACAGCCATTCCGGTGCTGGTGAGAAAGGATATCCCATATATCCATGCAGTAGGCACATACCTCCGTACGGAGTACGGAGTACGGAGTACAGTCTCTCCTTGCTCGTGCAGCTTATGTTCGGTTGATCTTACCGAAACTGCCCTTTGCACGTTCTTACTTTCTTTTTTTGGCTTTTTCTCGTTTGCGTGCTTTTTCAACGTAACCCTTTCGGGGCGGCGAGTTCCCCTCCGATCGAGGATCTCGGTTACCGTGTACCTGATCGATGTTGCATTTACAATTTACCTGCGCGGAACTATCGCTTTACTAGAGGAATACCAAGATACGGATCTTTGGATCTATCAATCATACCCCAGTCTTTTTTTTATGTAATACCTATTGTTGCCCACAAGTGTGAACCCAGACTGAGACATCCCCCGACGTCATCAAATCATAAAAGCACTCTAACCCTCCTCCACTCGGGTCAATAGCTGTGCAGAAAAAGTGAAAGGACATTTTGTTCGCTCCTGTACATCCTTATTGAAGCCCCGGGGCGCAGATACCTCCGACTATCAGCCGCGGACCCTGACGGTGTTCTTGGCAATCCGCTCTCGCACGTCCCTGATCTCCGTGCCCGACTGTACTAAACCGGAGCTCGCTTAGACGATCATCGGCTTTTGTATGGGTTCTCCGACTCGCTTAGTTTCCAAGGTTGTACTCCGTACTCCGTGACTACTCCGTACCTAGGTACCATAGTCCTATGGACGGAGTAGTTCGCTTTGCATGCGACGGAGTCATCATTACCGGTCTCTACCCAGGGGGACAGAAACCCCTACAACCCGTTCAGTCGGGAGAACGGCGCAAACTCTGCTTCTATACCATTGTCCTGCTATTTTTTGGACTTTTTTTTCCCTTGTTCCTTTCATGCCTCTGAGCGCCACCTCAACGCACCAGACCACCGGGAACGGGGCCCCCAAAAAAAATAGACAAAGTCAAAATAAATTGCAAAACAAAACTCGCATGTGAAGTATTCCGCGAAATAAAATAAACCTGCTTCATTGTCAACGCTTCTCAAATCTCCGCGACGTTTCAGCTTGAGTAAGAGTAAGACTGTCCGGTATGTATTTCGAGTGCCAGAAATTGCTATACCTCGCTACCGAGTTCTCGGCCAATAACAGATCAACCGAGAAACTAATAATAAATATCTTATGATCGAACTGGCGGGACTACGGCCTTTTGTTTATTTGTGGGTGTAGCTGTCATGTCGGGATACTCGCGCTAGTCCAGGAACCTTTTGCAAGCGATGCTGTATGTTTCACTTGCTTTCGGGGCATAGGTTATGCATTGGGACTTGTTTCCATGTGCATCGGCGTTATATTACCTAGGTCCTTGGGATTGGGCACTGAAGAAGCTTGTAACATGTGATATCTCGGGTGCTGCATTGTTCCTTGTGCTTGACGATTTCCAAGGGCGTGCGGGATTTGTTGGGATATTGTACGGGTATGTACGGAGTATACATACCCAGGTCCTTCTGTATATAGGTGTACGGTTGAAGACTTTCAAGGTTTAAGCCACCGGTTTTGCTTCTGCCGATAGAACGAAAGACTGTATCGTCTCCATCTACAACTGCCTCGGGTGGATTGCTTTTTTCCGTATGTCTAGCCGGAGAGCGTTACGTCTAACCGTAGAGCGTCTACTGAGGAACTTTATGAATCGATTATGCCATGGCCATCATCCTTGGAGCACTCGGAAGCCTGTGCTGTAGATTTGTAACACTGTCGATGAGTTGCGGATATATATCCTTTGAGCACATATTTTCATATACACTTGTAGACTATCCCCGCCCCAGTCCTACGCTCAATTAAACTAGACAATCGTGTCAATTGCATGAAGTGCTGCAGATGTTGATACCTATCCTGTAAGAGAGACATGCTGAGGCTCCTTCGTTGGATTGTGACACCCAACGCCCGAGCATGTAGGTACATACCTACACTGTCCCACACAGAGGACGATACTCGGACGGATGACGCGGATGGCCGGTGCCTTGAAGGCACGATATGTGAATAAGCCAAGACAAATGTCCTGTAGATAAACATCAATGTTTCCCTCGTGAGCGTTGGCAAAAGCATCTACATATCGTACCCAAAGAGCCCCGGTGGATCCATGGATCCATGCCGACGCCAATCTCTCGAAGATCATCGCCAGATGTATGGGGAATACCGAGCTGATCCAAAGGATACATGGGACCACAGAAAACAAACACCCAACCTACACATCTACAAGACTTACCAGGCAAGATACAGAGATTTCGAGGGCCACATAATAAGAACATAGAACCGATCACATTACTACTCCAAATAGACCCATGGGTATTGCAAAAAAGGCATTGAATTCATTTTTGCTGACTACCATTTTGCCAACCAACCGTTAACAAAGAGCTAGCAGAAGAGAGAAACCCGCTTAGTTCTCGTAGAGAGTGGCGAGGAAAGTCTCAGCAGGAGCAGTAGGCTTGCCACCCTCGACGGTCTGCTGGCCAAGCTTCTGCTTGGAGTAGGCAGCGGCGTAGGGGTTGAGGCGGAGCATGACCTGCTTGTTGCGGAGAGGGTTCTTCTTCTGGACGTTGACACGCTTGGTGCGGGCCTCACCCTTGGGGGCGCGGAGGACGGACTGGATTTCAGAAGAGTTGATGAGGCGGGTGATATCGGCGTTGGCAACCAGGTTGGAGGGCAGGAGGTAATCCCGCTTGAGAGCCGAGGGGGTGGTGGTGGTGCCGTAGACCTGGTCGAGGGCCTGGAAGGCGGAGGAGGTCCAGATGACGAAGCGGCCGAGGTGACCACCGGGGGCGAGCTGGAGGAGGTTGAGGGAGAAGACGGGGGAGGTCTCAACACCGGGGATGTTGCGGAAGGCCTTGACGAGGTCCTTGCCGTCGGTCTCGGGGTTGTAGACAACGAGGGGACCGCGGCGCTGGCGGAAGCGGCGGTTACGGAGCTTACCCTTACCGGCGCGCATCTTGCGGGACTTCTGGACCTTGACGAGATCGGGACCGGCACCGACAGCCTGGAGGAGAGCGATGGCAGCCTTGGTCTTGGTCAGAGCAGCACCCTCGAAGACCTTGGAGTCAACGACGAGGGGAACCTCGGGGACGTTGGCGACACGGTGACCGCGAGCGAAGAGCAGAGCGGGGGAGGCAGAAGCAGCCAGAGCGGAGGCGGTAGCGAAACGACTGTTGGCGGGAAATTATTAGTTCTTTGTCGTTCTTTCCCGGGCGTTCCAATTCTTCGTAGATTCAACATACCGCTGGCCAACGTTGACCTTCTGGTGCCACTTGCGCCAGACCTTGGTAGGGGCGAACATACGACCGGAACGGCACTGGTTACCGAAGGCAGCCTGGCCGGCACGGTGGGTACCACCACCGGAGACACGGGGGATACGGGCAACAGCACGACCTAATCAATCGAAACAATCTAGTCAGCGCTACGTTCTCCATCCCGAAGAATTTGATGATCGCAAATCTCTTTGCGAGTTCGGATCTGATTCTCCCAATCTCGAAAATTGGGCCAATTTCACGTACCGGTACCCCAGGACTCAGCAGAGGTCTGTTCACCAGCCTTCTCGCTCACGGCGTAGGGCTGGCGCTTGTTCTTGGCCATACCGGTGTGAACCTGCCTGTAGAGCGACCGTCAGCACTTCCCCTCCATCGATTTGTGAATCCTTCAATTTCGTGGCGAGCCATACTGGACAATATCCGGGCGGATAGGAGCAGAGAACACAGAGGGAAGGGGGTGGGAGGCCCCGGAGGGCTTGCCCTCAGCCGTGGCGATCGAGACAGTCGGGCGGGAGGCCATTGTTGCTGGTCGGTGTCGATGTGAGGTTGAAGATCCAATCTCTGACTCGGGGGGCTTCAAGCTCGGTGGATTTTTTCGCTTACTGAGATTTCGCTGTGGGGCGGCAAACCCTAAGCCCTTCTTACTAGACACGGTTTAGCGCACTGGCCTACTTATCTAATCTTAAAGATCACGTGCTAACCCCACAAGTGGGTCTGATGTGTATCTGGCAGATGGTCCGAAATGAGAACATTGTCAACACTACCTACCTATTACCAACTCGAAAGGGTCATCTCAGATATAAACCTGGCCAGCTTCTGGGAGGAGAGCCTCCTCAATCTTTTTGCCCTTTTGGATACCAGTCTCATTAGTGCGCAACGACATCTACGAACGTCATCCAAGAACGACGGGGACAAACCTACGAGTGGACGTGAAACAGGCACCATCATTGCCCAAGCAGTACTCCGTACAGACCTCTATATTCGGCTGACAATGCCATATATACAATACCCAAGTGCGTTGCTATTTCAACTGATACAAAGTACAGCCAAGCTATGTTCATATTGAGACTTATGAGATGTCCTATTTTCCTAGCCCCTTAAATGTACAGAATGAAAGTGACATAAATTGTACCGAAATCTAAGAGGGTTCAGCCCAGTACGAATACCTTGGAGCTAAAAGAAGGGATGAAACAAAGCACAAAGAAAGAATTGAAAAGAATATCATCAGAAAAATATCATCCAGTGATGAAGAAATGTCATAACATCCGAGGCCAGCGGATCTTGTTGCCAGGTATCTAAGAGAAGTGAGAGCCGTGGATGTTGCGCTTGCGGAAACGCATGCTTGAAATGTGACGCGCCTTCTTGGAGGCAGCGACAACGAGTTCTGCGCTTTGACCGGCGTTGCACTCGGTGCCAGTCGACATCGGCTGGGACACAGTCCAGGTGCCAGAAGCGCAGCGCTGGAATGAGCTGCCTGAGATGCAGTTCCACTGACCCTCGGTACTGCAGGCACCCGTCAAGGCACCGGAGCTGGAGCTGGAGCTGGAGACGGAAGTGGAGCCATACTCGCCATCAGACTCGGAGGCGGAAGACTCAGAGCTGGAGTTGGAGCTGGAGCCGGAAGTGGAGCCGTACTCGCTAGCAGACTCGGAGACGGAAGACTCAGAGCTGGATTCAGGAGCTGGGGCAGCAGCTGTGGGGGCGGGCTCAAAATCTGCGGATGCGTTTGATGGAACAGCCGAAGCGACAGACACTGAGACAGAGAGGGTAGGAGCGCTTCCCGCAGGCGCGGAAGAAGTGCCAGCGGAACCAGCGCCAGCGGAATCAGAGCCAGCAGAATCAGCGCCAGAAGCACCAGCAGCACCAGCACCAGCGGAGTCATAACCGGAGGAACCAGAGCTAGAGGCAGAGCTAGAGCCAGAGTCAGAGCTGGAAGAGCTGGAGGAAGCAGTGTTGCCGGCGCCGCCGAAGGAAGCAGCGCCAGTGCAAGCCTCGGAACCCTCCTGGGCGAGATTGGCAGGGTTACCAGCGTACTCGACATAGTCACCTGCCTGGGGGAAACGGATATCGAGATTCTCCTTGGTCATGCAGCCGTTGATATTTGCGACGAACATAGAGGGGAAGTTTGCAGCGCGTCTCTCGAGTTCCTCGGGGGAGCGCTTGGAGGCACCACCGGAAACAGTGATGGGTGCGCAGTTCATGTACATCTCGCGGTTGCCGATGCGGTTGAACCAAGTCCAGGCCAAAGTGTACTTGCCAGCGGAGATGCCGTCAGGAATGCTAAAGTTGAAAGTGGAAGCACCAAGAGCGTTAGGGTTAGCGGCCAGGTTGCCCTCGATGTTCGCAGGGCAGCCACCCTCGAAGGACTTGATCACTTTCCACTCGGAGGACTTGGAGGGTTGGAGATCAGTGGTCAGACTGACCTGGCAGGATCCGCCGCCGTGGATAGCGCTGCCCTTGAAGGTCAGAGGGTAGGACTCGCCGATGCCGATGATCGTCTCAAAGGCTGGGGCCTGGAAGGCGTTTTCACGAAGCTTGCAAGGGAAGTCACTGCCATCTGGGGCGAGAGGAGAGTTGTTGAGGGTATCCTCGCTGTAAGGGAAGGGCGAGGTCATGACCATATGGGCATTGACCATAGAGAGGCCCATCAGGGCAGCCATCACAGTGGACTGGATGAACATCATGGTTGATTGGACTTTTGTGAGATTTCTTGAAATTTGGTTCGACAGAAGGATGCAAAGGGATTCGATTCGTGCCAGACGAATGGAATCAAAAATGGTCAAAAGGAATGGACCTTGGCTTCGGAAGGAACGAGGAGCTGTCGTGGGATGTTAGCTTCAGGATGACAGAGATGGTGAGGCCAAGAAGGAAGATGGGATCTAGCAGTTGATATAGTGATGAACTCCACGATCTCTGACGTTAGGCATCATGTCGTGTAATAGATCTGATCACCAATCTCCCGACAATAGATCCGCAATCAGACGCAACAATAGATCGGAGGTAACCATGAAACAGACAATCACAATACCTTTGTAGCAGAGTGTATGAAACAATATGACTCAAAGATGAGCTTAAATCCAACCTCTTTGTCGATTGAACTGATACAGCCTCTTTATTGTTCTGTGTCAAAGACGAGAAGAATTGTTCCAGAAAAGGAATGTGTGAACCTGCCAGAGGCAAAATAGAGAAGAGAAAGGAAAGTAACACAGGACTAGCCTGGATGTCGAACCGGGAAGCTAAGAAATGAAGAGACTGAGTGACCTTGAAGAGAAGAAAAAAAAAGAAGTCCGGATCAGCTAGGCGTTAAAGGTATATATATCCCGACATGGGGAACTCTCGGGCCTTCCCAGCAGCACCAAGTAGAATCCCGGATCTCAGGCGCTGAATGGACCGATACTACGTGCATGGCACTCAGCCAGACACACAACGAAAATGATCTCCATAGGTCAAGACAGAGACATCCGTTTGGCTGACCTGTACTTCAGGCTTCAGAGTGGGGTCAAAACGGAGGTGAGAGCTGGGACGTTTCAGAAGTCCCCATTTTGGCTCTCCACTGAGGTTGGCAACTTGCAAACCACGACAGATGCAGCGAATGGGCAAAACAAAGATGACCAGTGGGACGATCGGAAAGACACCTCGCATCGATCCGCCGGACTGGGCGGCTGGCGAGTAACCAACCACCGCCCACACTGGCGCAAGGTACAACGTCAAAGCCCCCTGGATTGTCGCACCATCAACCGCTGGCCCAGAAGCACTCTGGGTATTGGCTGTCAGTATAGCCGCCCAGGCTTTTCTCAGCGGGTCGACTGCCAATTATGGGATTCTCGGTGGCAAGAACTTCACCCTCCCCCTAGTGTGATTGTTGGACCTCCCTCCTTGCAACCTAAGAGTACTCCGTACGGGAATCCAGAACGCATATCATGCAGCCCTGCGACTCGCCGTGAAAGTAAACAAGAAAAAAAAAGTACCAACGAAATCTTGCATGTTCTGTTTGCCAGATGCCATCTCACGTCGGCAGTTGAGTGTGGAGTGCAGCCCAACTGTTCCCCTCTGCCAAGTCCACGCCCAGTTTAACACTCTCGAGACTAAACGTCCAAACGGTGTGCACTCTCAATGACGCTGGTTTAACGTGTTCTCTGCGTCAAACTCTGATCGCGTTTCAGTCACCACGTCACATTCTACTCCGTACATCCTATCGCAGTGTAGACACGTTATAATTTTATAAACGTCCAGGATCATTATGACAGCTCCACCAACTGCTCTAGCACTTGATTGAGCAGGCATGATTTCCGCTAGAAATCAAATAAAAGAGACTTCGGAGTACGGAGTACGGAGTAGTGGCTACTCCTCTACGGAGTGCTCCGTGCTCCCACATTTTTGAGACCTGTTTCACATAGACTACGCCGTGAACTCTTCAAGTCTGGATATAGCAGGGAACCACCGGGTTGGCGGGTGAGACACTCCTTGCAATTTCATAGGAACATGTCACACTGTTCGGATCATTCGAGATCTGGAAATGAAGTCCGAGAGGCTTGAGGTTCGTACTTCGTGTCGCTGTGACTCCGCGGTAGCACATGTGTCCATGTTGTAATACTCGTCGCTCCTCCGGGGTTTCGCCCTTTGCATGTGTATGGCTACTTCAATCTATTTCGATCGAAGCGCCTGCGGTGCATATAACGTCAAAATTAAGCAGTGCATACAAACCAGGCGCCCCATAACAGTCTTACTCGGTGCGTGTTAGCGAAATGCCGTACTCCGTAGGAGACCCTGCATATCGGCTTGCATGTGTGCTGATATCTGGCGCAACTCAGTTCCACTTCTACGGAGTACGAAATACATAGACCGATGATTATTGGAGACATTGAGATATTGGAAACCCTGAAAAGGAGATGGGGAGACATTTCCAATCGAGCGGACCGAACGACCCACTTAGGTTAGGGGATATAACTCCTACTCTTCGGTAGTCGGCAGTATCAAGTCTTTCCACACTCGGTATTCCCCAGGATGTAACTTCGTCGAAGCAGAGAATTACTGTGGCTTGTCTCATGTTATTTCCAACGTTGCCTACTCGAAAGGTACGCCATAAACCCGTCACATTGACCGAGTCCTTTGTGAGCAGCGAAGCAGATTTGTTGCAGCTGCATGTGAGCCATAAACCTGCCCATGCCGCCGTGGCTTCCAACGCGAAGACCAATCCATTGGCAAAATCCTGGTGTTCGGATCCCCATGCATTGCATTGCCCGACAGGACCGCATAGTGAGCCAAGTATCACCATTCTTCCACTGTGAGCAATATCGAATCATCAGATCGACATGTGCGGAGTAGTCTCAGTCACTTCCCCAGAAGGAAAGGCGTATCTGGCAGTGCTAGTGCCATTGATGCCCTGCTCGAGGTTTCATCAAGCACCCTGGTACGGTAGACACGGGAAGTTTCATATTGCTCGCCTCCCCAGGGCCAGATTATCCCATGTGAATGAATTGAGGTACAGACTCACAAACATCAAAAATGATCAGGGAAATCAATGTCCCCTCATTTCTTGCCCTTCTTCTTCCCCCTTTCCGGACCCGTGGTCTCCTCCTTGTCCTTTGTAAAGCCACCCTTAACCAAAGCATCACGACCAACATCATTAATGAGCCGGAACCGAGCTGGGCCAAGATGAATGCCCCCAAACCACCGCGTAACAACAACCACCACATTCCACACATCCATCAACTGCATAACATGCAATAATCGCCCTCCAGCAGCAGTCTCCCCATCATCGTCATAATCCTGAACAACTGTCTCTTCATCCGCACCACTCTTTCTCTCCCGAATGCGCCATGCACTAATATTATGCGTTGCAGCCGCAACCTTGCGATCAGTGGCCGTAAGATGATCCAGAAAAGCCTGCGCCTGCGCTAGGGATGTGACATGCGCAACCCGACCCACGAAAACTGACTTCTTCTCCGTGACAACATCCGAGAGGATCCAGTCCGGTGGAGTATCGAGGCCGAACGCATCGCGCAGCGACAACGATTCAAAGGCTTCCGTAGATTCGTCCACAGTCGCTGTCTGTGAGGGTCCCAGAACTTCGTCTTGGCCGATCCTCAATTCGGGGAACACGTCGACTGCTTCGCTGATTACGTCGAATAGACATACGGCGCCGGCTTGCCATGTTCGCCGGATGATATCTTCTAATACATCGACGGCGATCTTGCCCTCCCCGCGGGCGGCAGTGGATGCTGTTCCCAGTACTGCGGGTCGGGAGTCTGGGTATGAGGCCTCGAAGCCAAGAATGAAGGATATGTGCTGCTGTTCGGGGATTTGGAGGGTTATGACTGTGGTGTGGACATTGTTGGAGTGCATGGGGGTTCCTAGGTCGAGGGTGTTGTTGGTTGCCGTGTGCGGGGGGTTTGTGCGAGTCACGGTTACTGTATTGGGTTCATAGATGGCATTGACCGCTTCAATTTCTTCGGCGAGGTCTTGATTCTCGGGAATTAGGGACATTGTGCTGTTTAGGGAGCTTTACGCTCATGCGGGGGGAGGGTTTAATTATTTTGTTCGGATTGACCCCACAGTTTATTCAGGCATCAAGGCACACAGGCATCTCTTTTAATATGTACGAGTCGACCTAAATCACAGTGCCGTGAAATTATTCACGAGTCTTAAGGCTGTGCAATTGAAGATAACGGCTTTGATTCTTTTGCATTGAACAGTTCGCTGTCCCACCGAAAAGACTACTAAATATAGAAAAACTGAAAGCCACTTCATCCGAAGAATAACCCCATTTCCAACTCTGATCGTGAGTGGCAAGTGTCGACACAAGAATGTCGATAACCTCCATGGATGGGAGTTGAGGTTTTCAAATCCAACAAATACCAGCAATTATTGGTTGAGTGCACTCAGTACATGTAGTCAACGAAATCGTCCCACGTCCTTCAATATTCCCAGCAATCCCAAGCAAAATTCCCCATCCCAGGATTTCCGTATTCTTCTCCGGTCACAAGATGTAAAGTCCATTCCATGATGAAGAGCAGGGCCAATTGATTGTGTCTCAAGGTGACATCATCCCATCGAGTGATTCCATGACCCTCTGCCAATAATCTTTTCAGAACTGTGGCACTCGGACGTGGGCCTTTGTTTTCGTTTGAGGCTGTCCAGGAGTATGCTGGTGGGATAAACTTTCAAAGCCACAGGGACTGCCCAGAAACTTTGCAAGGTTCCTTGATGTTGCAGAGTATATTGTGTATCAGAAAGTGATTGGTGTTTTGTCGTTCATGTCTGAAATCAGGATGTATTAGTCTTCATTTTGGGTGCTTTCAGAGGATGAAGGAAGCAAGCGATGGTTTTTGTGAAATGTAACGAAGTGAAAAGAGAAGTGAAAGCTTTTTTATTTTTTATTTTTTGGTGTCACTAGAAAATCTCAACCAGAAGATATCGAGTTTTGGAAATGTGTAGCGTTTTGTCAATTGCACACCTCCTGAAAGAAGATAGATCATGAAGTCTGTTGGTTGCACGAACGGTCGTGGTTGGATTGGAAGGGATTGAAAAAACCCCAGTGGGACTGGAAGGAAACTGTGATATTGGATTAGCTTTGAAGAAACCTGGAACTGGGGCTGCAAATCTTACCAAAATTGAGTTCTCTTTTCCCATTGACTATGCATCTTTCATCTTCCTTCCTTTCTTTTGATTTCTCCCCCTCTCCTCCGGTCTCTTCGGTTTCACTTTTGACTGATTTGATAGTGATTGAGATGATAATGTTCATGATTCAAAGATGGTCCTGAAGTCGTATTGAGACCCGCCACGGTCACAGTTGCTAGAAGGGTTCAAACGATGGATTCAACGACGTGGATTGAAAGCATGGATTGAAGGAATTATTGAAGCAGACTGTGCCGATTGTCCTGAAGTTTCATGGAAACCCGCCACGGTCACAACTGCTGGAAAAGGTGTGGGAATGTCGATAGAGAGACTTGTTGTTGGTACACACTGTGCCGATTGTCCTGAAGTCTTATTGAGACTCGCCACGGCACAGTTGCTAGAAGGGTTCGAAAGCGTCGGTGGGAGGGAGCGTGGCTGGAAGGGAGCACAGTTGAAAGAAATTGTTGAAGCAGACTGTGCCGATTGTCCTGAAGTTTCATTGAAACCCGCCACGGTCACAGTTGCTGAATGGTTTCGAAAGCATCGGTGGGAAGGAGCGTGGCTGGAAGGAATTGTCGAAGCAGACTGTGCCGATTGTCCTGAAGTTTTATTGAAACCGGCCACGGCACAGTTGCTGGAAAGGATTCGAGGACGTAGATGGAAGGGTTCGAAAGCGTGGTCGGAAAGCGTAGTTCGAAGGAACTGTCGAAGCAGACTGTACCGATTGTCCTGAAGTCTTGAGACCCGCCACGGTCACAGCTACTGGGAAGCGTCCGAGGATATTGGATAGAGACGTCGATGGGAGTAATTGTTGTCCGAGCAAACTGTGCCGATTGTCCTGAAGTTTCATTGAAACCCGCCACGGCACAGTTACTGGAAAGGATTCGAGGACGTAGATGGAAGGGTTCGAAAGCTTCGGTCGGAAAGCGTAGTTGGAAGGAACTGTCGAAGCAGACTGTACCGATTGTCCTGAAGTCTTGAGACCCGCCACGGTCACAGCTACTGGGAAGCGTCCGAGGATATTGGATAGAGACGTCGATGGGAGTAATTGTTGTCCGAGCAAACTGTGCCGATTGTCCTGAAGTTTCATTGAAACCCGCCACGGCACAGTTACTGGAAAGGATTCGAGGACGTAGATGGAAGGGTTCGAAAGCTTCGGTCGGAAAGCGTAGTTGGAAGGAACTGTCGAAGCAGACTGTACCGATTGTCCTGAAGTCTTGAGACCCGCCACGGTCACAGCTACTGGGAAGCGTCCGAGGATATTGGATAGAGACGTCGATGGGAGTAATTGTTGTCCGAGCAAACTGTGCCGATTGTCCTGAAGTTTCATTGAAACCCGCCACGGCACAGTTACTGGAAAGGATTCGAGGACGTAGATGGAAGGGTTCGAAAGCTTCGGTCGGAAAGCGTAGTTGGAAGGAACTGTCGAAGCAGACTGTGCCGATTGTCCTGAAGTTTCATTGAAACCCGCCACGGCACAGTTGCTGAAAGGGTTCGAAAGCGTGGGTGGGAGGGAGCGTGGCTGGAAGGGAGCACGGGTGAAAGAAATTGTTGAAGCAGACTGTGCCGATTGTCCTGAGGTTTCATTGAAACCCGCCACGGTCACAGTTGCTGAATGGTTTCGAAAGCATCGGTGGGAAGGAGCGTGGCTGGAAGGAATTGTCGAAGCAGACTGTGCCGATTGTCCTGAAGTTTTATTGAAACCCGCCACGGTCACAGTTGCTGAATGGTTGCGAAAGCATCGGTGGGAAGGAGCGTGCTTGGAAGGAATTGTCGAAGCAGACTGTGCCGATTGTCCTGAAGTTTTATTGAAACCCGCCACGGTCACAGTTGCTAGAAGGATCGGAGAACGAAGACCAAAGAACGTGGATCGAAGGACGTGATATTGAGGAATTGTCGAAGCAAACTGTGCCGATTGTCCTGAAGTTTCATTGAAACCCGCCACGGCCACAGCTGTTGGGAAGGATCGAAAAACGTAGACGGGAGGACGTAGACGGAAGAATATGGATGGAAGGACGAGAATGGGTGGAAGGAATTGTTGAAGCAGACTGTGCCGATTGTCCTGAAATTTCATTGAAACCCGCCACGGTCACAGCTGCTAGAAGGATCGCCGAACGAAGACCAAAGAACGTGGATCGAAGGACGTGATATCGAGGAATTGTCGAAGCAGACTGTGCCGATTGTCCTGAAGTCCTATTGAGACCCGCCACGGCACAGTTGCTAGAAGGGTTCGAAAGCATCGGTGGGAAGGAGCGTGGATGGAAGGAATTGTCGAAGCAGACTGTGCCGATTGTCCTGAAGTCTTGTTGAGACCCGCCACGGCACAGTTGCTGGAAGGGTTCGAAAGCATCGGTGGGAAGGAGCGTGGATGGAAGGAATTGTCGAAGCAGACTGTGCCGATTGTCCTGAAGTCTTGTTGAGACCCGCCACGGCACAGTTGCTGAAAGGGTTCGAAAGCATCGGTGGGAAGGAGCGTGGATGGAAGGAATTGTCGAAGCAGACTGTGCCGATTGTCCTGAAGTCTTGTTGAGACCCGCCACGGCACAGTTGCTGAAAGGGTTCGAAAGCATCGGTGGGAAGGAGCGTGGATGGAAGGAATTGTCGAAGCAGACTGTGCCGATTGTCCTGAAGTCTTGTTGAGACCCGCCACGGCACAGTTGCTAGAATGGATTGAGAGCGTCGGTGGATGGTGTTGGAAAGAGAATTGACCGAGAAAGACTGAAGACTGAAGACTGAAGACTGAAGACTGAAGACTGAAGACTGGAGACTGGAGATGAAGAATGACGATTGAAGAAGATTGGAGACTGGAGACTGGAGACTGGAGATTGAAGATTGAAGATTGAAGACTGGAGAACAAGAATGAAGATTGAAGATTGAAGATTGAAGACTGGAGAACAAGAATGAAGATTGAAGAAGATTGAAGAAGATTGAAGATTGAAGATTGAAGACTGGAGAACAAGAATGAAGATTGAAGAAGATTGAAGAAGATTGGAGAAGATTGAAGATTGAAGACTGGAGACTGGAGAACAAGAATGAAGATTGAAGAAGATTGAAGATTGAAGACTGGAGACTGGAGACTGGAGACTGGAGACTGGAGACTGGAGACTGGAGACTGGAGATTGGAGATTGAAGTTCGAAGAAGATTGAACAAAGATTGAAGACTGGGGATGAACAATAAATAATCAAGACTGGAGATGAAGACTGGAGATGAAGACTGGAGATGAAGACTGGAGATGAAGACTGGAGATGAAGACTGGAGATGAAGAAAGAAGATTGAAGAAGATTGAAGACTGGAGACTGGAGATTGGAGATTGAAGAAGATTGAACAAAGATTGAAGACTGGGGATGAAGAAAGAATAATGAAGACTGGAGATCAAGAATGAAGATTGAAGATTGAAGACTGGAGATTGAAGATTGAAGAAGATTGAACAAAGATTGAAGACTGGGGATGAAGAAAGAATAATGAAGACTGGAGATCAAGAATGAAGAATGAAGATTGAAGATTGAAGATTGAAGATTGAAGATTGAAGATTGAAGACTGGAGATTGAAGATTGAAGATTGAAGAACATGGATTGAAAGCTGGGATTGTTTCAGCGCTGTGGCAGTGTCAGTCCCAATCTATACAGATGAGAGTACTTATGAACAGTAAGCAGAAAATTGCTTGGTGCAGAGAGCATAAGACTGATGCAAGTATATACCTTGATTTGTGCCATCTGGGACAAAGACATAGGTGGCGAGAGGACTAAGTGGTTCCAGGTGTTGGAAGACCGGGTGGAAAGACTGTTCCATGCACAGATCAGACAAAAGGTGGGAGAGTGTGGAAGGTGGGAGAGGGTGGAAGGTGGGAGAGGATGGAAGGTGGGAGAGGGTGGAAGGTGGAAGGTGGGAGAGGGTGGAAGGTGGAAGGTGGGAGAGGATGGAAGGTGGGAGAGGATGGAAGGTGGGAGAGGATGGAAGGTGGGAGAGGATGGAAGGTGGAAGGCGGGAGAGGGTGGAAGGTGGAAGAGGGTCAAGGTCGGTCGAGGGAAGGATGGAGCCTTATAGACATGGAGACTTACAACTTGTAGTAGACATAAGAGATGGCAAGCCAGAGCATGGAAGTTGATGTGACTTTTGGTCTGCAAGTAAGACTTGGTCAATGAAAGTCTGTGATAGAAAAAGGGGGGCACGTAGACTTACCAATAGACAAGGGCATCATGAGTCAGATGATAAGAGGATGTGAGGCGAGGGGACCTGGATGCAGAGATGAAGGAGGAAGCTGTGGGACCCAAGCTGATGATGGAAAAGTTGATGGACCAGGGGTGATCGATGAAATAGTAGTTGGGGAGATGAAGAAGAGAAAAAGAAAAAGAGGGGGGGAGGGGGGAGAAGGGGGTTTATATAGACCCTGAGGTCCCCGTTTAGGAAGGCGCGCACGTCTCAACATATGACTTCACTTCAAGGGTCGCTCCTTCCCTCTGTGGCAGCAATTCCAATGCCCTGCTAGGCCTGACACTCTTCCAACTCGCGAGACCGACCTGTCTAGCCAGGATCCTGCACAACAATAGTAGTCGTAGTCTGGGATGAGAGATTTTCGATGCTATTTACTATGAAGAATTGAGCCATCAGGGCCAAGCATACACCGAGTGCTGACAGTCTTCTCCGAAAAGGACCATACCTTGAAGGCGTCTAGATCCACTGCTAAATTCACCTATGCCAACGATGGATGGGACCTAGGTAGGTATGTATGTATCCCCGGCTACTGTCCGTCTCTGAAGATATTAATGCGACTCGGCCTTGTTAGTCTTCCTTGATGCCACATCAGAGCCTAGATGAGAGATAGACAGGCATCGGTCGAGTACAAATATCATGTTTCAACTCGGCCATGCTTTATTATGGCCACCGACTTGACTATTGGGAGAAGACTCCAGGGGACAACATGGGCTTCATTTGCTCTCGCAATGTCGAGGTCTACCTGGGTGATTACTCGCAATCTAATCATTCACCAGCTACTCATAATATACCATTGCAATATGTCTTTACTTGCAGCCATAGGAGAGGACTTAGAAGACAAATGAAGTGACGATGAACCAACGATGAACCAAAGGTTGTCTCATTCGTTGTTAGTACTTCACCTCCTACCGGCGAGTTCCCAGACCGGACGACCGGTTCCATACCAAAGGGATTGGGGGTTGGGGAAACCTACATACAAGACAATGAGATCGAATCTCCATCCGACCATTTGGGTTGAATGTCTCATTGATTGGCCTTCATGCATTATGGCATTGTCTTATGACGTTTTTATCTCATGTATTCTTCTGACCTTTTTATGGCAGTGGATCTCGTATTGATAGCCGAGCACTCGTTACTTCATGAAACTATCTAGATTGATTGGGGAGTATGATATGCGGATGGCGTTGGAAATCCAAGACTCTGCGAATGTCTATATGTCTGTATACAAGTCGAATCAACATGACTGTGTCTCGTGGGGCTTGGCAGTCCCTGTGTCGGCTGCCTATGCAAGAAAGCTTATTGGGGACATTTGGATGATCTGTGCCCCATGAATGCGCACTAGATGGTCCTCTTCACTGGCGGAAGGTCCATGGTCTGGCAATAGGAAAAGATCGATGCGGTGAATGGCGATGACAATGTTGATATTGCGATGAAGGCTCCACATCTGGGGCCAGTAATCAACCTTAGAACTTCCTAGGGCAATTTTAGTAGCCTGCCAAGGCACACGTGTGTCTTTAATTTCGCTGAGTGCCCCGAGGAACGCCACCAATCATGTCTATTCCGTCCTCATTCAGTAACGGGACTTGTAATCCCCCCCAGGGCTGGTTTTGTTGTCGCACAGTGTAGGACGAAAGCACGGATGGAACGATGATATGGTTTGAAACGCTCTGATCGCGTGCGTAAGTTTTCCCTGCATTAGCGCAATCTTTATGAATTTCTCCGAATCGACATGGTCATCCAAGGCAGACTGTCAACGCAGAGAGATCATGTTGCCACACCGTCACGCGTGTGGATCTGATTGGGTGCCTGGTTGCCTGACGTGGATGTCCACTTTTTTTGTCTTCCCCAGATCTCATCTCACATCTTGTCCCTCTCCGTATTCTTCCCATATCTTTTTGTTTTGTATTTAGTTATCCTATCTTTTCATGTTCTAGGTCGAGCACAGGTACCTTGCTCTGTTCGCTTCAGGGTCGCGTCCCTGGTGATCCTCCGCCTTACATACCAATCAACGGAGCCCTGGAGATCCTCGCTGCTTATCGCAACGCTAGCGCCCACCAGCCACCAACCACCGACATCATACATTTGTACTCCGTACCCGATCGTACGTTCATTGTAGTTGTTCCAACTACACCTTTCTTTCCCTGCGAGTCAGCCCTTCATCATGTTTGGAGAGGGTCGAGAGGAGGCCGCCAGGCTATATGTTGCTCCACTCCTTGAAGATGACGAGCGTCTCGCCGATCCCGAGGCTTCCGAAGACCTGCCGCCGCCCGACGTCGAGGCAGGCAGCACACTGCCCGTCTGGTTACGGGAGTCATCGAAATCATTCCGCTGGGGATGGGTGCCGCTACCGCTCCGAAAGGTTGGGCGCGCGACCGCCAACTGGGTCAAAGGCCCAGATCCGCCGCACACGCCTCTATTGAAACCATTGTTTCCGCGAGTCCAAGAACTCCCAGTCCAATACTTTGACCGTCTTTTACCCAAGCACAAATACAAGACTGTATTATTATTACTGCTTTATGCGTCTTGGTTCTTGCCTTGGTTCTTGATTTTATTGCACTCACGTTCTTCCGGTTATATCGAAGGGTATGGTCAGCCTCAAACATTGTCATGCTCGACGAACTTTTGGTACGTACATTCGAAGTAAAACCAGATCAATCCGTCTTGAAAAGTGCCTAACATATTTGCGATTGGCTTAGGGAGTTTGACAATGGTTGCGGTGTTAATGGAAACGATTGCCGTCCGTTTTCTTCCTCCACCATTCCCTTTCGGTGTCCTGCCAACTGCCGTGACACCAAACTATTGGAGCCTCACATCGTGGGAAATCATACATACAATTACCAAGGGCTAGTCATTGGAGGACCACAGCCGGATTCATCCGATCCAGCCCTCTACCGTGCGGATAGTTTTGTGTGCCAGGCCGCCATACATGTCGGTGCAATCTCGAACGATGGCGGATGCGGTGTAGTCAAGCTTGAGGGTGCTGCGCACTCTTTCCCTTCAGTGAAGCAACACGGTATACTATCTGCCGGATTCCCGTCAACCTTCCCGAAGGCTTTTAGCTTCCTCCAATTATCCTCGCCACAAGCCAGCTGCCCGTCAGATCCTCGGTGGACGCTCCTGGGAATCACCGCTGCTGCTGTTGGAGTTCTCTGGCTCTTTTGTACATCACCGCCTGTGCTATTCTTCAGTACGTTTTTCATGGTGTTTTGTCATACGGGACTTGTTGGGGATCCCCCCTCGTATCCATTCTTGACCGATCTTGTGTCCAGCCTTCTATCTCGGCTGCTGCCGGCGTCGTTTGTCGTCTACGTACTTTATAAGTTCTGCGCGGCACCACTTTTGCATCCGATCTCTTCGCCCATCTACCAATTTTCAAAGATGTTCCTCTTCCTGCCCCCGCTGTTCATTGGAGCCTTGAACAACTACACCTTTGCCCGGTTGATCCCACTGCAGCGTTTGACGCCGATGGACATTCAGAAACAACCTGGGGCAAAGCTGGCATTGGCCCTCGTTATCCCGATTGTGATTTCGATTATCCTTAGCCAAGCCTGGCAAATCCGACAAGGCGGCCTGCTCCCGCGATACTTGAAGATATATTGCACCATGGGAGTCATTATCTTGATTCTGCTTCCTCTTCCCGGCCTTCGCCTTAGGATTCATCACTACATTCTCGCCATCCTACTCATGCCTGGCACTGCCTTCCCCACTCGCCCCTCGCTCGTCTACCAAGGCTTGCTGTTGGGCCTCTTTATCAACGGAGTTGCTCGCTGGGGTTTCGCCTCGATCATCGAGACCCCGGCAGCCTTGGGAGAACAAGTGCCGATTGGAGACGGAATTCATGGCTGGTGGGGTGCTACCTACCCCAATATCACGAACGCATCGGTGAATATCTCCCTACCAGAGTTAGGATCGAATCACACCTATCGTGGCAATGGTAACATCACATTCGCTCTGTGGGAACACGAGCGTATGGCGGATCTGGCGGTGGATGGCATATCAGTTCTTCTCAATGACGTTGAACGCTGGCGCGGTTATCTCGATGAAGACAAACGCGGAGAATTCACTTGGCATCGCCATGGTCATGATGGCCTGGAGCTCCAGACAAATCCGCCTCGCCTAGTCAATCGCAATGTTGACCCAAGCGTTGAACCCCAATCAATCCTGTTGGCCGATAGTAATTCTGAAGACGAACCCGAAGATCTCTTCTTCCGGTTCGCATTTTTGAGAGGCTCAGAGGCTGGCACATACAGCCCGACAGGGGTCTGGCTGAGCGACGGCACATGGTATCCCCCTGCGCCACCCAAGGCGTGAATATGCCTCTCTTCTCCATCGGATGCCGTTTTCTGCCATTGCGTGTATATTCCACTGTTTTCAGGTAAGATAGATTATACACCTCAAGTACATGTGTGCTGGACACTCTGTACCCATTGGAATATTAGAACAGGCACGGCATTTGCTGGATCACTTTCGTTCATAGCGGGCGACTTTCAACCAAGAGGTTACAGATCGCGATTATTTATATGTGTTGCTGGCCAATTGAAGCGTAGAAAATCCATGATGTCCCACCGTACATTCGTCTCCTAGAGTGACACTTATGTACATGCTGGGAATACCACCAGATGATTGTACAGTAAAAGCAACCAACTGTGTCCAGCTCAAACACTTCAAGGTTCATTTATCGCGCTTTAGCAGTACCGAGGTATCAAAATATCAATTGTGCTAGACGCCCAGTAGCCCCAAGACTAAGTCTTCCTTAGAATGCTTGCGGGGTTCAGTCAGCACTTGCGCCAGCAGAGCTCCCATGCCATTAAAGTAACAGACGGAAAGATATATATCCCTTCTTCGTATTCCGCAAAATCTAAAAGATAGCCCCCCATTTACATGTAGCATGATAAGATTCCAATATCACACCTAAGGCGGTATAACTATGACGTATGCAATTTTCTGCCTGAACGGCGCAACAATCCCAACAGTCCACCGTAGTCCTGAGTCAGCACCGGGCGGGCACCTGGATCCAGGCTCACCCGTGGACCAAACCGGGGCCGAGTCTACAAAGCAACACACCCGGATACCCCATAGCGCAGCCATGGAAAACGCAGACCCATTCCTACAAGTCCAAGCGTAAGCCACCCAAAGCCCCCAGGCAGCGCATGCACCTAACCGCCATCCCAGCGACGTGGTGTCAACTCTACAAACCAGCCGTCCACTGTTCTCCTCATACCTCCGCATCCGGTCGCTGGCCAAAAGTCCGTCGAACCCAGAGCTGAAGCAAGCGCGCTCCGAGCTCGAGGCAATCTTAACAGAGCTAACAGCGGACCTGAACGACCTCGTCGAGAGCGTGCGCGCAATCGAACAAGATCCCTACCGCTATGGACTGGAATTAGAGGAGGTGCAGCGCCGGCGCAAGCTCGTTGACGATGTCGGCGATGAAGTTGAAAGGATGCACCAGGAGCTGCAGCAGACGGTCTCGAATTCGGCTGTTGATACGCTGCCCAACCCGACTGAGTTCGACGCTGCGCTTGAAGAAGAGGAGCGCGGTGGCCGTGGCGATGATTACTATGCTTCTATGGAGCAGCAGCGCCAGACGGAGCTTATGCATGAGCAGGATGAGCAGCTTGATGGGGTCTTCCGAACTGTTGGGAATCTGCGTCAGCAGGCTGATGATATGGGCCGTGAACTGGAGGATCAGGCTGTCATGATTGATGAGGTTGATACACTGGCAGACCGGGTTGGAGGGAAGTTGGCGAACGGGATGTCGCGGATTAAACACATTGTGCGCAAGAATGAGGGTAAGATTGTCGCCTTTCTGGTTGTTCTGTCTACGTCTATGCTGGATCTCTACGGGAGATGGACTGGCATGGTATGGGAATCACAAGTTCATAACTAACATTTTTCCGACTAGATACATGGTCCTCGTTTTGCATCGCGGCGCTCATCTTCGTTCTCGTCTTATTATTAATCCTCCTCATTGCACTGTGATAATACATAAATCAAGGGGTTAGGAAAGAGCAAAACATCAAAAGGGGGGGAGAATTAGGGCGTTTCGGGTGCATGGATTAATTGCGAGCCTTCTTGCGCGGGCGCGACTCACTTTCTTCATCAGAGTCCTCTCCCTCGAACTCTTCCATATCGAGGTCCATATCTTCGAGCTCGTCGCCAATCTGGAAGGATTGAACTGCAATCGAAGTCAGCGGGTGAAGACATCTCACTTGCCACCAGGGGTCTACATACCGTAGTAGCTCAACGCATCGGGCCAGAGGTCCTCGGCAATGGCAACGGCCAGGTCGTCACCGTCGGGGAAGATCTCAGCCTCCTCCAGCCCATCGCTGGACTCCTCATCTTCGTCGTCAGAGTCCTCATCACCCTCAGAGATATCCTCGCCTCGCAGGACCTTGGCCCAGCGGGCCTCGATCTCCTTAGCAGCCTCCTTGGACTGAGCAGCGGAGACATCACGGCCACGGTATCCGAAGAATCCAAAGAAGCTCATACCAACGGGGCTGGGCATATCCTCGTCATCCTCATCGGCGTCCTCAGCAGCGGCAGCCTCAGCATCAGCCTCCTCAACCTTCTTAACAAGAGCAGCATACTCCGGCAGCTTCTTGCGGTCACCGCCCTTCTTCTTCTCAGCGTCAGCAAGGTCGCAAGCAGCATCAAGCAAACCCCGGGTCAAATCCATATCCTTGGTCCAGTTGATGCGGACAGGCTCGGACACCAATCCCTCCCAAGTGCGGGTACGGCCAGCGGCGCTCTTGGAAATCTCCTGGCGCCAGTAGAACTCCTTAACGAGCTTCTCGTTTGTGAAGAAGGGGTTCTCCTCGCCGGTCTTGAACTCGAAGATGAAGCGCAAGCTGCGGGGCTCGCCATTGCCTTGGGCATCGAGCTCGAATCGCTCAACGGTGAGGTTCTTCAGGCTCTCGCCGAGGACCTGGGCGTCGCGAGGCAGGATATACTCGTCGATCTCCTGGGGAGCGCTGGCGAACACGCGCATCCAGAACTCGGGCTGCACATCGGGCAATGTGATGATCTCGCTACGCTGCTGGATCAAGGGAGCCATCAACTTAACACTGTGGCGCACTAGAGATTTTCGTGTATGTTAGCAATTGACATGATTTTGCTCCCTGGCGTTTCAATGGTAGAGTAGAATCGGCAAGCTATTTCCTCCCCCATCACACAACAGAAACCAAGCTAGGAAATTCCAACGAAACTCACACTGCTCAACCTCAGCGCGAGCGAAGCGCTCCTCCAGAACGGCAATCTTCTTCATAGCAGCCTCAGGGATGCTAGGCATCTCGATGCGCTCCAGGAGCGACTGATCGTTAGACATGATATATTCGTAAAAGCCGTGTCGTCAAAAAAATGCAAGAGTGTGTCTGAGGTTTAAAATAAAAGCAGGTGGGAAAGAAGTCAAGAGGGGACAAGAGACGGGGAAGAAAAAAAAAAAAAAAAAAAAAAAAGGGAGCTACAGGTGCGCATTACCTTAAAAGCTAGGAGCTACATGACGATACTTGCTGGTACCTCTGGTACCGTGGTACCACAGTGGTTGACCCAGGTATTTCTGTGTACCCAAGGGCAACAATGGTGGGGGGCAAAACTACGGCCTCAGGTGTCGAGTGCTACATCATCCAGTCGAGAAAACTCTGACGCTGATCTTGTGGATCAGGAGGGCCCAATGTGAGTGCTTTGTTATTTATAGGGCTTGGCTGGGAATATCTGGAGGGGTATAACTTCAATGCAAGTTCATATGGAGTATATCGTATGTACTGTGCAGTGGTATACAAGTTGTCACTAGCTACAGGTAGATCTGAACAAGAAGGATCATCTTTCAGTATTAGGACTGGTCTGTGATTTTGGTATACCAGCGTAGTTCACCGAATGTCTATACCTAAACACCCTCTGAATGAATTGATGCCCACCAACTAGCATATGGTCCGTGACAGATGTCCAGGGCCTCTTACACCGAGTTCCCAGATGGTAACCAGACGTCATGTCACGTTGTACCTCTACTATCACAACCATATAGCCACGCAGAGATCAACGTACTTCTAAAAGAAGCCCCGAAAGGAGGAAAAGGCAAGCTTGGAAGTATCTAAGCCAAACTATAAATGAGCAGCACATACCTTATTTTGACGGCAGTCAAGTCATTCGAGAATGCAACACGGTCGACAGAGATACGGGATGTCTCCATCCATCGCCTTTACGGAGTCGTCTGGCTGAGATTTAGATTGAATCTCTCAGATTGCAGCTCCTCCTCTCAGGGGTCTGAGAGTCCCTGGTCTGGTTGTTCTAGCTGATTCATTGGCTTCTGCATGATCCAGTTAGATCGGAGGAGCGGTCTGCGTGTCGGACGTGTAAGCCTTTGATGTGGACGCAGGGGAGCTGCAGGATTGGTTAATTGGGGTCAAGAGGCACGAGGGAGATATTCCTGGTATTGGGGCACTGAAAGAAAAAGGATGATCTCGCGTCTAGGTCTTGGAACCCCTGAAGCTGATATGTGCATGTCCAGACAGCCAAGGCGAAAGAATAGATAAGCATAATCGTGGTCATAAATTTGAACACATAGAATCTCTTGGCCAGTAGCCAAAGTCGAGATATCTTATTCCGTATTCTGTTTTTGTTTTTTGCCTCCTTTTTCGAAGCTTGGGGGTTGAGAATGGGGGTTTATTGAAACCCATAAAATGTAAAAAAAAGCCACAAAGTCAAGTAAATATTGAGAAAATAAAAGAAACGACAACTTTTTTTCCGTGATTCGGATCCAAATCACAAAAGCAAACTGAACAATCCTCGTTCAATGCTACCCCAAGCATCTTCCAATTAAGAACCGAGGTTAAGTTATGAAAGTCCATATATCCCATGCCCATTCGCCAAGAATGCAATGATTAAAAACACAAGAAAAAAAAAGAAAACAAAACAGCAAGGGCAGTTCCATATGCACAGAACACATCACCATGCACATGTCTCCGCCCCCATCGAACTGTCGTGATAAAAGCAAGAAGAAAAGCGATAGAGAATGTCATCAAGACGTCGCAGGCTAGACCGGAAAGAAGAGGTGAACTCAAACCATCCAGTCAAGCCCATTGGCCTCTTCTTCCACGGGGAACACCTCACGCGCATACTCTTCCATATCTCGCCAGCCTTGCCACAGATGTCGGGACTCGTCGGTTACCCGTAACGAGATAACACCACCGGGTCCTTGCATCATACCAGCACCAGCACCCTTTCCACCCGCCGGACCGAGACCCTTCGGTGAACCTGCAGCGGGCTGTGAGAATTCCGGCTGCGGGAAGTAAGGTGCGTCGCATCGTCCAAAGAGCTCTTCCAGCGCTTCAAGCTGTTCTCGATATCCTGGTGGGATATTGACCTTGATTTCAATCTGAGGCACGCGGACATACTGGCATGGTCGATCCAGAGCTCGCGAGAAAGCAGCGCACACTTGTAATGGGGAGAGTGTTTCAAAAGTGAGAGCAATACTAGAAAAAAAAAACAAGCGGTGTGGTCAGTTTCTTTCTTCTCTTTGTTTCAGTCCTTTCTAGGGAATCTATAGCAGCCACAGAATCACCGTCGGTTCCCGCCGGAACTCTGTGGTTGCCATCGGAGGATATCCGAAATTCCGTGATTTGTTCCGACTCACCGATGACCATTCCACTTCTTCGTGCCGTCCTTGAAGATCTGCAACAGCGTCGGTCCCACGTCGTGCTCGGCATCAAGCCATGGCAGTGGGATCTCCGGATCGAACGGCGCACGCCACTCGAAGCTTCCATCGGCCAGAAGCTCCATCTGGAAGAGCGGGTAGGGCAAGCTGGTGAAGTTGTTATTGTAGATACCGGCGTAGACGAAGGTAGCGGGCATGCCGAGTTGGCGGACGTAGTTCTCGACGGTGAACTTAGGCGCCCACTGCGGGACGGCGGGCCACGGTCCGTGGACAGAATGATCCGGCATACTGCTGTAGATGTAGTGCTGGATTGTGCCGGAGCGTTTAGCGGCATCGGCCAAGTCGCGGCCGATGGCTACCTCGTCGCCAGACTGGGAGGTTGTGTTGATGAAAGCGAGCTGGGCGCCTTTGAAGAGCTCGTCCATCAGCGCAATGTTGCCGAGGAGCGGGCCTTGCAGGAGTGTCACATTGGGCAGTTGTTGGAGCTCTGGGGCGATCACGCCTTTCAGGGTGTGAATTTGCGCGCGCACCGAGTACCCCACGGCCGACGCGACGCGGATCAGCGACGCCGCTTGTCGGCCTGTCCCGTTGACCACGGCAATGGTCTTCTGCGGTTGTGTCATCCGGGTTGATCGGGGGAGGGACGGTGGGAGGTGGAAGGCGGGGCCGGGAGAGGGGGGGAGAAGTTGACAGTAGGAACGGTGGGGAGGGGGAATGAAGGGAGTTATCAGATGAGAGGGAGGAGGGACAGATAAAAGAGAATCCGGAGTAAGCCTTGGCGAGAAGGGCTTTTGCAATGGTGGGGTACCTTGGGAGGGGAGGTTGGAAAAGTTGTATGTAACGAGAATCGCGATCAGACCTGGATTATGCGATTGGAACAGTCATATGGAGAATTGTCTGATCTGCAGAGAAAGAGAAAAAAAATATACAACTCCATTCCTTGTGAAAACGCGGAGCAGAAAGGATAAGATAAGACTATATATAACGAGCTACATAATGTATATAGTTGCCCCCCCCCTCGACTATATACACAAAAAAAAAGACACGTCTGCTTCCCATATACTATGCGTGATATTCCCCCCTAAAGATGACATCGAAATCGGTTTAAAAAAAAACAGGAAAAAAAAAAAAAAAAAAAGAAAAACCCACTCCCAAGTGCGGTCTCGTTCACAGGCTTTTACGTAAATCGGCACCACTCCAGGGCTGGATTTTCGGCAAGCTGGACGGGCAGATCCTGACTCGGGCACTCGGATCTTGGCCATTGCTTCAATGTTCTTATTGCGGATAGATCCATGAGATCCATATATAGGACCGCAAGGTCTACCTGGATCCCAAAATCCCCTATACCTTACCCTGGCAAACCCGCCGGAATCGCTCAACATCGCAAGAGGCAATAAAAGAGCAAAACTCAATAGCGCAGGTGACTTGCTAGCACCAAAATTGCCCACCAACAGTCTGCCAGGGGCAGGCTCACGTGGTGTATATCAGGAAGTGGGCTGCTGGTCCAATCGCAACGGGGCATTGGCCTTGACGTGCTCCCTGTTGTCCGACTTGCCATTTCACCCGATACGTCCGTTGAACAGGTACCTCTGGGAATTGCCAGGAATTTCTTTCCCACTGAAGAAGGTGCTCAAGGATGTACCTGAACCCCGCAAATCCCATGCCATCACATCATTTTCCTGGCTGCATGAGCCCCAAATGAGACCTATATGCGCGATGAGACAAGCATCCCTCAACCTACGTATCCCTATACCTGGGTCTACTAAGGATTATATATCGCCTTTCCCAACCCCAGAAGAAAAAAGCAAAAACCCCAAAGCCACACATCCTGCACAGAACCCCGCCAAAGTTGGAGAGACTTGGAGTTGTATGGGTGACCGGAGTATACAGTCTAGAACCTCATCCATTTGCCCCAGACTTCACGCTTGGCAGGAATTAGCTCTGTACGCCCGTATCAATACTACACTAACTCAAACCCCAGACCGACAGAAAGAAAAACGAAGGCAAAATAAGTCGACCTTATCTTCCCCACTTGGTGGCTTTGATCCCCGGCTATGGACAGGGGCCGCTCTCCGCGGGTAAAGGATTTCCATATTATGGCGCCACAGAGGTATTGGAGGCCGAGGACGGAGGTCTAACAATTACTTTGTACAAAATACATGTAATATGGACGTCGTTCGGAGTTGAGTAGAGCAGAGTCCACGAATTCTGGCGTCATCGACAGATCCGCGATATCCACCTAATCCACCCTCGGGAAGATGGAAACACGAGAATGTGCGGGAATGGTGTAAGAACGGATCTGATGTTCCGCTATATTACTGACAACATATGTTGGAGGTATTAGTCTATACTACCGCGTCTACACCGATGCAAAGCGCTATGAAGCAATAATCCCCGAGCTGAACGGCTAAGCGAAACAAGACACCGGAGTCTCACCAGAGGGGCCCAAAAAAAAAAAAAAGAAAAAGCCGAAAAAAAAGGAAAAAAAGAGAAGAAAAATCCAATGGAAAGAAATTCCCCTATCGCTCAATCACTCGAAGCAAGGCAATCCTAAACTTGGCACCTGGGCAAGGGAGCTGCATGTAACGAGGAAGCACGCGACACGGCGCCCAACCCCAAATTTAGAGACGACCCCGGCTGAGCCTGAAGGAGAACCCAAGACCCAATGAAGAAACCCCAGTCTAAGATGGCGCAGACCCGGGAATCATCCGCTTCTGACCTCCCCATTCCTCCTCGTCCATCTCGCGCTGGCTAATTTCTTTCGGCCCAACACCCGCCATACCCCAGACAAATGGTCGGCGACGCGCCAGGAGCTCGGCGGCTGGTCGCTCGTCCGAATGCAGGTGAGCGCCAGATTTGCGGAGAAGGAGGGTGTGGTCTGAGAGGCCTGCGTTGGCGGCCAGGAAGAGCGGGGTGCGGCCGGCTCGATTGCGGAGGTGCACGGAACCGCCTTGCGAGAGGAGGAAGTGCAGGATTTCAAGGGAAGGGGAGGTTGCCGCGAGGTGCTGCATTGGGTTAGTTGAGAGAGATAAGAGAGGTAGAAACAGGGAAACCGGAGATGAGGCCTACGATAGGAGTATTGCCGGAGTAATCGGCGTCGTTCAGGAGCCAGTGGTGTTCTGTTTTGATGATCGCTTGGACTTTATCAAGGTCGCCCTGCGCGATAGCGTAGCCCATGGATGTCAGGGTTTGGATGCGCTCGGAGAGTGCGCCGTCTGGATGACGGAAGATAGGTAGGGATGACTCGGTGAGCTCGCCTCGGAGGGATACGGACATGCTCTTTGCGATGGATTCCGGGGTCGACTCGGGGAGAGCGAGGAGGTAGGCGAGCTTCGTCAATGCTCCCTCTGTCGTCATATCGAGGCCGGCGACGACGCCTGCCCGGGAGAGACTCATGCCTGTGGCATAGACTGGACTAACGCTACCAGTGAGGCCTGGACGATGTTAGCATATCGTTTATCCATAGACTGATATAAGCCATCGCAGATATAACTCACACTGTGTTACGTTCACGATAACAATCCCTCGTTGAATCGCACTAGCCAACACGTTGATCATAGCATTGTCCTGACCAGAGGGCGCATTTCCCGCCCCAAAAGTCTCAAGAATCAACCCGCGCAGGCCATCCAGCTTCAGCACCGCATCCACCATCTCCGGCTGAATACCAGGGAAGATACGCAAACAGGCAACATGAGTCGTATCCAAATTCGTCTGAATACTAAACGGCTCCAGACTCCTAGGCCGATGCACCATGTGCCAATTAATATTCGTCCGCATCGAAGTCGTAACCGCCAACGGCGTACAATTCGGCGCATCAAACGCCGCAAAGTCACTCGCCGCAACCTTCGTCGTCCGATTCCCCCGGAATAACCGATTATTGAAATACAAACACACCTCCGGAATCATAAAATGGCCCGCCACAACCAACGACCCCAGCAGATTATCCGTAGCATCGTTCTGTAGCTCTAGCATAGGCGCCTGGGAACCGGTCAAAACAACCGGCTTTCCAAGATTCTGCAGCATAAAACTCAGCGCTGAGCATGTATATGCTAGACTGTCTGTGCCGTGTAGAACGACGAATCCATCGAAAAGCGTGTAGTTGCGTTCGATGGTTTGCGCGATCTGAGTCCACCCCCGCGCGTCGATCGAGCTGCTGTCCAGTAATTCCTCGAATTCGAATACCGTGTACCGGACTCGCCGGCCGTAAGCTGTGACTGGCGTGCGTAGACTTGGGGACGCTTTGGTTTCGTGGGCGTTCGCTACTACGTCTATGGATGTGCTCTCCGAGCCATCGTTGAAGGTTGGTAGACGGGCCATGCATTTTTCCTGGAAGCCACGGGCTGGGACGAAGCCTGCTGGTGAGGGATGCATGCAAATTGTGCCGCCTGTCATGATGACCAGGACGCGCGACTCTAGGATGATCTTCTCGGCTTTGACTTCGTCCAGCTCTGAGATGGTTCGGGGGTCCATTTTGATGTGGTTTGTGTTGAGATGGGGGTTGAGGCCAGCGGAAATCATGGCGATAGTACTCTTTGACAGTCGTGAAATCGTAATTCGTGCAGTCGTGTTTCCAGCTACCTAGGTATACTGGGAATAATTCCAATGGGACACCTCGATAAATTGATTTGATATTCAATCCGTTCGGTTTGTTAATTTCATTTCTGGCCTCAAGTGGTTATGAAGGCTTCCGGTAGGTTGACGTTGGAGTAAGATTTTCCCTCTAAAAAAGGGCGAAAGCCAGTGAAGATTGAAACACCTCGACTTCGTAGATCGTGATTGACTCCTTTGGCCGAAGAAAGTGGAAGAGACTCCAATTGACCCCGATCGCATTACGTACAGCCATTATCATTGGCTCATGCCAACTTAAGCTGGCGACTACCGTTCCAGTTGACTCCACTGCCCAACGACGATCTCGGAGGATGCGGCGGAGTCGAATTCGATAATTGATGTGATTATTGTTTGGATGCTGCATATGTCAAATAGTATTATGACAGACGGCTTGAGGTGCTCTTAGTCGTCCAGACACGAGAGACCTTGCTATCCAAATGCGTTTTATTAATAGAAGATTGAGTATGCCATCTTCACGACCACCCAGGATGGAACTGCGACAAATCCTCCTCCAAAAGTCCCATCATATACTGATTCCCCCAGAACCAATTTCCCAATTGCGCTGCCGCCCCGGAATCTTGACCCTGTGCCTGAGACGAATCAACTGGCGTCGAGAACTCATTCGCCTGCTGCGGCACTGGCGCTAAATCAAAATTCATAGCAGGCATATCCTGGAAATACCCCTGCGGATTTCCCACCTGGATATTTACACCGCTCGTGGGATACACGGGATTTGAAGGCGCAAGTCCAAGAGCACTCAGATAAACATCAAATTCCGGACCAACGTTGAGATCCTGGTCTTGGCCTTCGGCTGTTTGGGTATTGGCTTCGAAGTAGAGGCGAGCGACGGTGCCGAGGACTGAGCAGAGAGTATGCAATCGGTCAATAGATTGGGAAAAGCTTTTAAGTGGGCGGAGCGAGGCAACGAAGTCTTCCAGTCGGGCTAGATCCTCGCGGTTGGATGTTGTGATTACGTTGCAGAACATCACGATGAACGGCACGAATGGGGATATGAGAATGGCCCTGTATTGATCACTTGTGAGCATTTGGTTCGTTTGCAACCAAGGACGGGCAGCCTTTTCATTGGTATTGGGCCAGGAGACTTACCAGTGCATGTAGGAGATTTTCAAGAAGTCGTCAGTCTCATTCAGAGCGGCAATGCACTGTCGGTGGACTTCTAGGGCTTCTCGGGCTGTCTCAATGCATTCAGGTATGAAGCTAACAGCGCCCGAGCCAGTCGATGCAGGAACTGCCCGGTAGATCAAGGTCATGACAGAGAGTCGACTGACCTTGTCGGTCGAGAGGTACATGAAGTCTAGTTCGGACATCTTGACCTCAGACATGAATTTCTACATGTTCTTGCATTAACTACACACCAACATCAAACATGGGGTAACAGTGGCAGAACATACCTCGAACGGTTCCATGACCTTCGACTGCATCTTCGCAGCTAGTCTGTACGCCTGTGTGACTCGTTCGCTTTCTGGCTTTTGCAGTGCCTCGGGGCTGTACAGATATTGGTATACCTCACCCTGGACAATTGCGGATTTAGCCCATAACATGCAAGCAGGTCCCCATGGCTCGGGAACGCCGCAGTTGTCATTGAGCACGGGTAGACTGATGTCGTAGTTCTGGATCGAAGATGCGCGTCCCAACCGCAGAGACATCATATTCAAGACTGTGTATACGGACCAAAATAGAAGCTGCTTTTGGTGTTGCACTGGTACTGGGTCATGCTCCATGGAGGTAAAACGATGATATCCAAGGGTCTGGCATAAACTCATGGCTGTTGATGCTAGAGCCCAGGCAACAGATGGTTTGGAAATCTCGAGTGCGTGCATAGCCTACGTAAAGTCAGTAAGATGACCGAACACCTCATAATGAAGGTCCAAGAAAACGGAGAGATGAAGCACTGACCCCTACAGCTAGCGCTGTGACCGATTCTTCGGTTGCTGGCATCAGGATGTTCAAATTGGCAAGCGCGGTCTCAAGGTTATTCCGGCACATCTCAATGTAGTGCTGATATTCTTCTCGCTTAGTAGCTTCATTCTCGGTGGCGCCCGTTTCAAAGAGAATCATATACAAACAAAAATTAGTCACAACAAAGGCTGCATCGGAGTATTCGTCGACGCAGAAGTATACTTCACGGCACTTTTCGGTGAAATAGTCCACGCTGAGGAATGGAACGTAGCCACCAAAGCATGCGGGAGGTGTTTCTAGATGAGTGAGAAAATGAAACCACCTACGTAGTGACAGTACTTTGGAACAAATCATACCTTGACATTTTCTCAATACGCCCAGAACCAATGGCAAGGGTGGCATCTCCAAACCATGTAAATCACGCCTCAACCCCAATCTTGCATTCTTAGTCAGGAATTGGTTCCCCTGTGAGTCTGCCTCTCGCCGCTGGTTCTGAATTCCGACAAGCTGTTTCAGCAATGAAAGAGCTGCATTGATCTTTGGGCTCGATGAGACTTGTAGCGAGCTTTGGGAAACAGCCGATTCGAGAAGAGCGCTCGCATAGGCTCCATGAGCGGTCAGGGAAGAGCTACCCTCAAACCCAGAGCTGGAATCGTGCTGCTCAATGGTGGGATTTGCAGTGTATAGAGAACCTCTGGGCTTTGAAGGGTTGCCTGCAACAGATGTAGACTGCGACGGGGTTGACTTCTGGGATGAAGGAGCGAAGTGGAACTCCTGCGGTTTAGTCACCGTCAAAGCTCGCAGCTCCGATGTGTTTTTGGCTAGTTCTCGCAAAGTATTCTCAATGCTTGCTAGGCGTTCTTCAATCAAATCAATCTTCTTCTCACTGGGCTCCGGTCAGTGATGGCCTCTCACAGGGGAGAGGATGGTCTTACTACTGATTTGAGATCAAGACTCGTCTACGGGGCTCTGGTGGTCTCTGGCCTTCGCCAGTAGATCGGCATGCAATATTTGAGCTTCGACAGTTTGCACATGGCGTGCGCTTATCGCATCGCACCTGTGGCAGCATGAGATCGTGTCGGGTCACTGCAATGTTTGGGGCTGCATACCTTTCGGAGTCGACATTGGTCGCACTAAATGCATGAGAAAGAATTGATTAGCTATGGCTATATCGGATCCGTCTTTCCCCCATCTCTATAGGTCATCGACACAATACCGACCGCAATTTGTCGGCTTGTGGATCACGTACCGCACGTCTAACCAGCGGACTTGGCGCTTCGCGCCCCTCACGGTCGGATTCCTCGGTGTCCATCAATGTCAAGAAGATACCGCGTTAGTGTAACATAAAGATTGCTCATATACAGTTGTTTTCGAAATCAGTTCTCTTCTGACTTCTCAGAGAAGATATCTGAGCTCTGATTGGGGGCTTCGAAAATAAACCCGTCCCCTAGACCGCCTTCTCAAAGTGTGACTTGTAACTGGAAACGGCCTCTATCTCTCAGTCCCAATATACCCTGGTCACTTCTGAGCTCAATACTTCCGACACGAGAATATGGCAATATGACTGGATTCCCTATATTGAGGCTCTATTTACCTAGGCATTTTTAGTCTTCCTTCACATGTAAACGCTGAGCAAGAACTTGACACGGCCATTTTCCTTCGACATCCAAGGTTTCGGATCGCTCAAATCCTTGAGACTCGTAGTATTGGACTAATTTGCCGTCACCACCTGCATAGCAATCCAATCGAAGTAATGAGGCTCCGGCCTCGTTGGCGAGATCTCGTGCATGTTCCAAAAGGCGTTTGCCAACTCCATTTCCAGCCCATTGTCGATCCGTGATTACTAATTTCACATAAGCCTCGGGCTCTGAGACAGGGGTCACGTAAGGCATTCTGTCTCCAACAGCAAGCGCTCCTAAGATAGTCCCCGGAGCTCCTCCGCTCGTAGTTGTGAGGAGTGAGGTGGTGGGTTGATTTGGGTCTGCCGTGGTGCCATCAGAAACCTTGACAGCGAGCCAAAGGCCAAGACCGCCTGTTGCAAATTCTTTGATTTGTTCAATGCGTCGTGGATTCTCTGAAAACGATGCTTCTCCCCACTGCCCGGCTCTTCCATGGGAAACTAGCCATTTGGCTGCGGTATCGAGGAGATGGAGGACTGCTGGAGTATCGTCCACTGTTCCCCGCACGATGACAATATCGGGAGTTCCATTCTGAAGAGTACTGTTAAGACTTTTAGTAAATTTTCGGTGAATGGGCCCCGAATACTATTCTTCATTGATACTGCGTCCTTCTCCTCTACCTCTGCTTGGGTGAGTAGTACTCACTTTGATGCCATTTTTCCAATCTGGGTTGATATTCAAGTCGTCGAAAAGCTCAAATACGCTGAACTGATTCGAAGATTTTGGGGTCCTCCAAACAAGGAACCATCCTACTCTTATATATATATGTCACTTCACTGCACTAATGTACCTAGGGAATAGCGTCCCTGGTTTGTCTGCCTTCCGGGCTATGTGTCCAGATCCCATTAGCCAAGCCTCCATATTTGCGGTCCCGTGTAGTAGCGTGGGGAGGTCAGCGATTGTAAATAATCCGAATGAAAGGTCCAATCAAATTCCAGCACTTCTACGTGCGTCATAAATATCTCGTATTGATTGAAATGGCGCTGCCTATGGTATGAAGTAGGAGAGATGTTCATTTGTGAAGTTGCTTCGATCTTTATCAATCGTCTTTGCGCTTTGTCTCCAATCTCTTCTTCCTTTCAATTTCGCCCAGGGCTGTTTGTGTATCCGCGATCGCATCTAAAATCTGTCAACTGCATTTGAGAAACAAAAAGTGGAGCAAGTACCAGTGCGGATATTTGTTGGTTTTAGAGTCCTTCAAGCAGGCCCTGTTCCAGGTGGACCATAAGACACCTCCTGCCCACACAGCGAGAACTCCATCCCAGGGCTCAACATCACCGGCAGTTTGTGGTATCACAGAAGAATGATGGGTCGCCAATGCAGTACCGCAGTCATTGCAAAATTGATCTTGGAATGCCCCGTTGCCCACTGGACCATACTAGTCTAACATGGACATGGAAAGCGGAAGAAGATAAGGATCGCAGCTGAGCTCTTGCTTCAACACAGCAGTGTATCTATCCGTGATCGTCTGAGGTAGAGGCGGTAGCATTTGTTGCATATTCGTGCGGATCGAGCTGGTGTTTCAATAACTACCTACATGAGAAGGACTTAGCAACTGAGAAGACGGTTCACGGGAGCTCGATGGGGCTAACTGCAGACATATCAAGATGATCGCCCTGAGTGTCCGATTCAATGGTCCTTTGACTGGGATCGCTATCGGCGGAGTCGGGCATTCAGCCCTCCTGCAATGGGTGAAGTTTCTGAGGAGAACACACAGGATGACAATGACGATGTATAAATATAGTAGTAGCTATAAGCGAAGAAATTAGGCCCCAGGGGTGGATTGACTCATAGTATCAGAAGGGATCGCTAGGCGAATACCTATGATATCACCGAGACAACCCCGCAATTGAACAGGTCAAATACAAAGTAATCGCCCTCTTCTTCTCCTCCAGCTTCACCATCATACCATGTCATATAAACTCACCAGAAGCGACGTCTTGGGGGACAATGAGGAGACCGCCGCCATTCGGGCCGCCAGCAACCCCAACCCAGCCGTCCTTCGTGCTTTGTTAGACTATCATAGACGAAAGCTCCGTGAACTTAAAGGATGCTCGCCCAATGCAAATGTCGGCGGTGGCGGTATGAGCATTTACGAGTCACCACTAACAGCCGCCATTCGCGCCAATTCGTCGGAAAATGTCCGGCTCCTTCTGGCCCGTGGTGCGGATCCCACAGGCATCAACATTTGGACTTTATCTGACTACTCTTCGAGGTTCATGCGTGGCCGAGACGCCAAAGTCGACATTTCGAGTTATGGCCCGTGCCAGACACGGCTGTATATTCTATCAGTCGCAAAGAGAAAGGGAATCACCGAGCAGGCACAGCCGTTGACACAAGCGGAATTGGATGAGCGACGCACCAGCTTTCCACGATTTTGGACCGAGCCAAATATCCCAGGCCAGCGACTTAGGATGACCAAAGGCATCACAGCTTTAGAAGTCGCTGCTAGTCTAGGCTTTGAGGATCTCTTCGCTCTGGTTCGTGAAGCCGGGGCCGATGAGTCTGCGTGGATCAGCCCTTCTGGTCAAGCCGACTTCGATGAGACCAAGCCGTCGTCGCTAAGCATCACATCCCCTGTACACGAAGCCATCGAACATGGCCAACACGCCATGCTTGACAAACTACTCAACAAATATCATTACTCGCCTAATTACCGTGCAATGGTAGCACCCACAGTTGCCTTTCCACCACTTTCCTTTGCACTGGGTCGATGCGACCCAAACGATCCCAACATCCGGGCTTGTATCAGCCATCTTCTTGCGCATCCAGATATCGACCTAAATTTACGGACTCCTATCTTTGATATCCATCCACTTCACTTGGCAGTTGCTCGCCATGACCCAGATCTCCTATCCCTTCTGCCAATGCCGCTTTCCAGCGCAGGAACGACAGCTTTAGGGCATACATTACTCCATATCGCCTCACTCCCACTTACCGCAATGTCCATGAATCGAGAAATCCCTGAAGCCGTAAGAAGTGTTCATTGCGCCCGTACGCTAGATTCAAAATGGCTTCCACATGCACAGCCCAGTCCGCTGCACTTGAATACAGAGAGAACAGTCGTGGTGGAAAATCCAAGGCGCCCTATCGATCCCCCGACTCCTTTGACTCCGGCCGAGCAGGATGCACAGCTCAGCACTCTTCGTGTACTTGCTAAAGCGGGGATCGATATCCGCGCTCAGGATATGGATGGAAATACTGCATTACACTATCTTGCTACTGCGTTGAATGGGGATCCTAGAGCCATGCAACTACTACGGAAAATGAATGGAGGTGAGGAGGTCTACAATAACTGCAAGAACCGGGAGGATCTGACGCCCCGTGCCCTGTGGGCAGCTTGCAATGGAGCTGGATAGAGCAACGGCTCTATACAGAATAATATGGCTAAGTAGAAAAGAGAAAACGCAAATGTTTCGTCACCATATTGGGGACAAATACATTCTTCGAAGAGGATCTTTGCATACGGAATTGTTGATGTTTCGACCTGATCTCAGGAGTGAACTCGACCTTCGTGGTGGCATTTTAATATCTGTACTAGTCATTCGGTAACGGCAAAGCAAGGAAGAGGGTTTGACATATGTACGATCCAACCCAATTATAGAGACCATCCAGCCCTGTCACATTGCTTGATAGAAAGGGCAAAGCAGCATTGTACGGTCGATCTTCCTTTGCGGACACGATTAGGGGGTGAACTAGGCGATAAACAAGGATCTGTAGAACTCGTCTCATCGTGCTATTTTGTATATCGAAAACGAACAATAAAGTGGATATGAGAAATCCTTCCGAAGCAGAATTGAATAGAAACAAAATAAAACAAGTACTCCGTACGGAGTACAACCAAACTGGTGAAAAGTGCGAACCGCCCACTACTTGGGTAGTTAGGGGCTGGCGTACATAGTCGGGGATTGCCGCCCCGGGTGCCTAACAGCTCCTTTCCTACCTTTGCACACATCACTGTTCCTCCATTCAAAGGCTCTTACCTCCCTAGGCATGCCCATGATCTAACAAATTGCGATACGGAACCCGGACACTTCACAGGTCGGCTTTGTTTGCAATCTTCTTTTGTCTTCTTTGCGCAGCCGATTTGTGGCTTTACCTTTCAGGTGGACAAACATCGAGGACACATGGGGATAACCTCAGGGACGCCTCGAGGACTGATGCTCGGGTGGATTTGTATACCGGTGATGCACCACCATTAGTTGTTTTCAATGCTGGCCTTGGGATGCTATCTCACACAGGAGCATATACGTCAAGCGAGATACATTAGACGGGTGAAATATTCATCATCATCATTATCATCTAGTAATTTAGAGCCTTTTCATGAAACCCAAGAATGTGAAACACCAGTGATATGACCATATACATCGGGCAGAAGTTGTCTGCACATATTTCTATCTCTTGGATCTTAGCTGATACTATTCATTGCCGTGAAATTAAATTCGAAGCCCTGCGGAGGATGAATAGGACGCCTTTCGCCAGCAACAAGATCATTTTCCCTACCAGTGTGTCTAGTACCTAGCTAGTTAAAGAGAAGACAGATATCTAGAAACTTATAACAACATTGAAAGCAAGGTAATATGGCCATTGAATTGGCTCTTCCTTGACATAATATATAACGCCCTTTGTATACGCAGGTCTACTAAACACCACGGGAAGCCATCACAACAGCTAGTGTAGGCAATGCCAAAGATTACAATTGTGGGGATTACCAGCACTCAAACTGTGGACCAGGTCAGTTGCTTATCAACATTTTCTTTTGTCATCATGAGCAGGGAATGTTCGACGAGATCATTCTCATCGGTGGCTCTGCTTCAGATCACCCAAACATAGCGATCAAGATTATTGACAAATTTGATGAGTGGGATGGAGTCCTCCGAAGACATCCAAATTGCACACCGTGTTGCCGCCCAGAGAGCAATGAAAATCACATCCGTATCTGAGATGTCAACTTCGTGGCCATCGTCCCCTGCGCCCCCAGAGGGGTCTCCAGATGGTTGGTTGTTGATATCCAGAGACGATTCAGACGGAAGGGACGCTTGTTTATCTGCTTCTGTCCCATTCGCCGCGACGGATTTCCACTTGATAAGATTTCGAGTCCTACAGTACTTGAATTTTGTGACTCCTCTTCCCAAGTGGTAGAGAGGTTGTGGGGGCTGTTCTGCCGGCTGCCGGTCTTCTTCAGTCTGGGGTCCGGCCAGGGTGAGCCTAGGGTCGTCCTCCTCAAATTCTGGTCCTTCGATAGATGATGACCTTCTGCATGACCAATCAGCGCTTTGGGACGAAGCCCTCCCTCCTTCGGATGCACTAGAAGCTTGCGCCACATCTTCAACCCATGCCGCAGTGGGATTGAGTTGAGTAGTTTGGTCCCGTACCGGGTCTGAGGGATCAGGCTCTTGGTCGGAAGGCTGATCTCTGGCTAATGTCGGAATCGGAGTATGGCTGAGCATTTCGAGGATAGATTTCCGGAAGCTCTGATCATTGATGAATAAGAAGGCGATAGGAAGCTTTGCTTCCTTGTTGTTGATCCAAGTCTCTACTGCGACTTCGAATTGGACATAATCCGCCGTTTTAGGGGCATAAAACTTCGCATTTACCCTCCAGTCGAGCGCACTGTGGTCGGGGATAATCCGATGGCCTTCTGTTGTTGTGTTGATTTCCCCTTCTGTACAATGTTCCCACAGGAAGGGCCGGATCAACCGGCCATTTTTGAAAGTGTCGGACGCGACAGGTTCGAGAACATTGGTCCAAATGTTGGATTCTGACTTTGACTTCCATATCAAGTACCCCCAATCATCCCAAGTGATCATCAGCAGCCGGTTAATTATTACGAATAGATCACTCCTTAGAACATTCATGGTTTTTTCTTTGATCTTGACCTGTGTCCACTCGTCAAAAGTGGTCAAAGTGGGCTCGTCATGTGCTATCCATTGTTTCGTCGTGCATGAAGGCACCCCGAGCGCGATGGAAGACTTCTTGATAGAGAGAGGTACGTTGGCCGTTTCAGCCAGACTGAGATAGCTTTTCGTCCGCTGGTCTTTCCCCTCTCCTGTAAATAGCTCGTTCAATCCGGGGTTCATACCATCTTGAACGGGATCTTGTAAGGAAATAACCTCGTCAGGTTGCCCGGATTTGGTATTTGACGGAAGGAAGCCGTGGGCGAGCCAAAACTGCACCACGATCGAGGATACCTGTTTTTTGAGTCTGGAAGATCCCCTTTCCCTGCTCTCGCTCACTGTCTTAGGTGAAAAGGTGACTGTACTTTGGTTGACAAAGCTACCTCTGTGTCGGCCGAGGTCGCGGAAAGATCCCGTGTATCCTTCTATCGATCTAGCCGGGGCGCTTGATAGCTCCCACGTACCGTGGCTACTGAGATAGGCTCGATATCTTTCGCCATGACTTGGACCCCTAGTCCCCTGGTACGGACCACGCGAAACGTGAGTCTCCCAGGATTGGTTGTCCGTCTCCGTGACCTCACTGGCGGTGTCATCGCCTTGGCTAGCCGCGTAATTCGATAGTCGTTCGCCAGGAAAGTCGCCTAGAATCAGACGGCTTGCGGCCCCTCGGTGGGCCGGACTGGAGTACTTTCCGAGTAAACCCAATAGAAGGATCCAGTATCTGCTCGCTGCCACGGCGGTGCGGGATTCGACAATGTCCAAGGTGCCGCCGAGAGAGCTCATGTCCTTGAATGTTTCCGGTACGACTCCTAGTTTATCAGAATTGGGCTGTGGCACGGGCTCAGCCGAGGGTACTGTCCTAGGATTGTTTTGTAGTGCATTTTCTTCGCCGTTGGCATCTTCAATATCACCATCCGCTTCCTCACGACGAAGTATCCTGCGCCAGGACCATCCTGGCCCCCGTGCTTGTTCGTCGATGTTAATGTTGGTTTCTGTAGGGTGATTGGTTGTAGGTTCATGGTTTTCTGTTTCCACCACTTGTTGGGCCTGAATTAATGCACATAACTTGGACCAGCCTGTATTCCAGGAGTTGTAATGTGGCTGTCTGAATTCCAAAAGCCTGCCCGCGTTATCTTCGCTGATCAGTTTTGGAATCTCCGGTGTATTGGTGTTAAACTTGGGTGCAAGGTCAGGGATCTTCGTCTGTCGGAATAAACGCAAATTCCCCGAAATTACGATTCCACGTGTAACATAATCCCCATGCATATCATACACGGCGTTGAGAGCACGGTTCTTATCGCTGAATGCTGCTCTGATCGCCAACCAGGGGCCAAGGATGCCGACAAGAGCGACGAGGGCGAGGAACACAGCAAGCCATGTCCCTGCGGTGCTGATGATGTCGATTGTGTCAGGCCCGGGGGATTCTGTGGCATCCATTTTGGTGATATGCAGCCTCTCACCGAGTTTGATGCTTGTGGGAGTTGAATGCAATTATTGGTCAGTAAGATATCGCAGCCTGACCGGTGTTGTACAGTGAAAGTCTGATCGCATCGCTCGACGTCGAGACGCCGGGAAGAACGTACTTTCGTCCCTGCGGGGTTCCGCTCCTCTGATATTTGGGCAGCCCTGCATGGCCCATCACCACACATCTTCCAATGGAATATGACGAGCGAAAGCGTTCGAGGGTGTAGACTTCCGCAAAGCCCCCACCCCAGGCCCAAAGCTCAACCCGTTGTGGGCTATGGGCCTAACCTTCGAAGCCCGACCTGGGCAACCCATTGCCCATTGGTGGGGGCCTATAAGGCCCCCATAATAGCCCATCTACGGGGTTGAACTAGCATCTTGTAATCGCTGTATTCTAACACTTCTACTAACTTGTTAGAGTTAGAGGTTCTAATTTATAGTCATAATAGGTATATAAGTGTAAGTGCTAATTTTAAAGAGAATCTGACTAGTGGAGGTCGAAAAAATGTTGATATATATTTTGATATCAGATATAGATTAGGTTTATTGAGGATTCACACAGGAGTACCATCACTTTCTAAGTGAATATCCATAATTTAAAAACTTGAGGCCCTCAAGCCTCGTTCACCATGAGCCTTAATCAAAACAATGATAAGGAGTTGTGGTAGAAGGGCATCATTGCCACTATGTACTAGGCTTTGAAGTTTGGTTGCAGATACACGAACTCCAGGGATATGTGCCGAGCCGTGCGCCAACGTCGTTTTACTTAAACCTGCCACAATGTCAAGGATCCATAGGGAACGCTGGACGAATTCAATGATACAGTCAAGGGTCCTCTACAGATGCCTGTCAGCTGATTTAAACACACGTTTCCTCATGGATGGATATACTCTTATCTCTCTTTCAAATGTTTCCTCCTAGCATGCAGTGTGGAGTAGTTGGCCTTGAAGCTCTGAAGATTCGGAATAGATGACCACTTATATTCGTTGAGCAACCCAGTACCAGTGGTAAAGAAATCCGCGGAGACTTCAAATATTTCGCCGCTTGCCGTGCTGAGGATCTGTACAAACCACTTCCCCAACCTGCCATTCCACTGAGCTCCACCACGGCGGCTCTGGAACTTGACACCCTTCCGTAGGTCATATTTTTGAGCAACCCGCTTTCAATACTCCAAGATTTCCCAGGCTTTGGAGAGGAGTTTGCTCCATCCTGTCCAAGAATCGAAGCTTAGCTGATATGAGTGCAACAGTACGTATATGTCTCGCATTAGAGTTGTTTCTCCGTGTCATTCCTTGCCACTCACCACATGCACAGCCTGGGTACTTGTTCTCATACTAGATACCTCCGATCTCTGGGTTCTTCTCGTACAGCACCGAGTCGAGACTTGGAACTACCTTGTAGAAATTGATTGGGGATGAGAGTTCCAGGGACTCCGGAGCCGATGAAAATGGCCTTTCAAGGGCGTCGTTGATCAACTGTTCGCTCCGAGATTAACGGGCTCAGGTATTTGTGATAATCTGCACTAAGTTTGGTTTCTTGGATAGAAGATACTGTCTCGGTATTTGCAACGCTTGAGTCATCTGTTTCGATTTTTGGATACGGTGCGTGCCGAATGCCAACCATAATCTAGCCGGTCTTCTCATCGTTGATGACGGCGGGAACCAGATGGATGAATGAATCTTGTGAGAGCAGCCATTGTGCAAAAGTGGTATTTAGAAATAAATTGTTATGTTCATCATTGTATAGCATGCGACTTAATATGCTTTTATGGGCTATTCTTGCTGATCATCGTGTTATTCAACTTCATATGTTCGTTTGTACTTTAATCGGACTCTTCCCGATCCCAATCGGGAAGCCATTTGCCAAATCTTCCCAAAGACTCGCATTCCACTGGACTCCGTGTTCTATATCGGTACTCTATCATCTTACCCAGCTTTTCATATTGCGGGGAAACCAATCCAATTTTGATAAGCCCCTGATCCCATCCGGTCATTTTGGATTGGCTACCTGACCTACGTCGGGTGGCCTTCCGACAACCAATCACTAACCCCAACGCCTAAAAAGACCGGTTCTAGATCATTTATCTCGGAATTACCTCCTCTAACCATCTTGATTTGTATCCGAAAAAGGACATTCGGGTCTTTTGAGTACTATGCTCTTGGTTCCATTGGCTGTGACGCTACCAAAGCCCCGCAATCTACAACAAGCCGAGATCCTTCGGGCGTGGCAAGACACTGACATTCCAAACTTGGAATGGGGAACCGAGAAGATCAATCCCAAAGAGAGAACACATCCGGACTCGGATATAATGCCGGTCCCCCGCAACGTTATATCAAGTTGGACTACCCGACGTGAACTCCAACGTTTGACACCTCTAGTTACACCATACGAACGCGACACTCCAAATCAAACAAAATGGTTGAAATTCGAAAATACCACTTATTCCCAACAGACCTCATTCCAAACTCGCCCAGACCTTTACTGCACTATAAGAATGTCCTAACCAGGACACCCGGCAGTTCCCATTGCAGCACAGCCGAGGTCTGGGACATGTTCACCGAGAATGGATGGAAAGTAAACTGGATATTCCGTTACAACGAGACACAGTTATCACATTACCATTCCAAAGCACACGAATGCATGGCTGTGCTCTCGGGCACCGCTCGAATCCGATTCGGCGTCGCCGACACCTCCGAGGACCTATACGAAAACACACACGGCTCTGCCTGGGAGGACAGCGCGGTCGAACTAGAAGCCGAAGCTGGAGATGTGTTTATCATTCCTGCCGGTGTGGCGCACAAGACATACAATTGCAAGCCTGAAGCTGAGTTCAAGCTCCTGAGTCCTGGGACGGGACATGGTATTGAGGCCGAAGACCCGAAGAAAGCACTGTCTGAGATTGAGTTGTCTGGATATACTATGATGGGAGCTTATAATGGTGGAGATTGGGATTTCATTACGAGTGGAGGGGACTTTGAGAAAGTATGGTCTGTTCCGAAGCCGAAGTATGATCCTGTGTTTGGAAAATCACAGCAAGGATTGTGTAAGACATGGCGTGGAAGCGGGACTACGCCTGCTCGTCTCTAAATTATGTTCGCTTTACTTGTTATGGTGTATGGGATACTTATTGTTCTTATGATTTTGCTTGAGCATCCCTTACTAGGTATACTAAACATAGCTTGATTTCAGTCATAATTCCTTCCACATGGGCACATTGTGTAATGCCCGTTTCCAAACGCTAATATCCGAAGGCGGCACTGACCGCTTCCATTGGACTGGCAGTATCCAGTAGGTGGGGGTGATAAAAAAAAACGCGATAACATTTTCCCCACAGTATACATATCGAACGTCCCTCGTTTTATGAATTGATGATTTAGTTGTGCTTTTGGTGATATTTGATCGAGAATGACAACCCGCAAACCCCTCCCAATCTCCGACGAGTGGCAAGATCCCGACGAATATGTCCAAGCCCTCCTCTCTTTCGCAACCGAGTCGGTCATGTTCATGAACGTCTGCGGCGGCGTACATATCCTCGATTTTTTGACCCGCGATCCCGATCTCTATGAGTCACTGCTGCCGGAAGACTGGCGATCATTCTTTGAGCATCACGATATTCATAGTATATTGCAACTGCTACTACGAGAGGATATTGGTCCGTTATGCGAACCAGAAGTGAACACAGACTCTGAGAATGTCAGAACCTGGAACGGCGGCGCATTTCCCCCTGAATCCCTCCTCGAATACATTCGCAATATCCGCCGATTGAGCCTCGGTCGTGAGTTCACCTCACCTGCAAAAGGCCAGCATCTCCCGAGACATATTGCCGTTGGCATGAACAAAAAGAAAACACACGAGGTTGAACAATTCTCCCGTTATGTCTCTTCTTTATCCGAGACGGTCAAGGAGAGCCGTGGAGAGCCATTGTCTCACATTGTCGATTTTGGCTCCGGGCAAAATTACCTAGGGCGCATGTTGGCAAGCTCGCCCTATCATAAACATATCATTGCCATTGAGCGCAAGCATCAATATATCAGCGGCGCTAATCGTATGGATATTCATGCGCGACTGGCCAAGGCAGAGAAGAAGACCAGAATGCATAATGCAAAGACGAACAAGTCAAAGAAGCAATGCAAAGATTGTACCGACATCCCAGAACTAGCCCCGGAACAAACTACTTCGGAAAAGCCCGACGTACCTCAAGTGGCTGTTGAAACAAAACCTGACCCAGGAAATACCGTGCCGGAGGAGCCTGCCACATTGGATGAAGATACCGCTGCCTCCCACATGCTAGGCGAGATGACTCTAGAAGCTGATGATGTGCTCGGCCCAAACTCAAGCTACAAAAAGCCACACGTACCAAAGCCACAGCCAGAGATTGACACTAGAGGTACTGTCAGTTATATTGAACATGAAATCAAAGATGGCTATCTGGAGCCAATCATCGACCACGTCGTCGACCCGAAAACATCGGTTGAAACACGTACGAGCACGGAAGAAGTCGTCATCCAACCTACAGAAAAGAAGCCAAGCGATGCCCGGGTTATGGTTGTCTCTTTGCATTCATGCGGAAACCTCGTTCACCACGGAGTCCGATCATTAGTGATGAACCCTTCCGTTGTAGCAATCGCCATGATCGGCTGCTGCTACAACCTCCTCACGGAGCGCTTGGGTCCGGCAACCTACAAAATCCCCATCCTTCGCTCCGCCCATCCCCGCCTCAAACAAACTGGGTCTTCATGGGATCCGCACGGATTCCCTATGTCCAAGCTCTACGAGAACTACGAAGCAAAGACCACGAAGGGCTTCAAACTCAATATCACAGCTCGCTCAATGGCCGTCCAAGCACCCCACAACTGGGGCCGCGCCGACAGCGAAGGATTCTTCACGCGTCATTTCTACCGCGCTTTGCTGCAGCGCGTTCTCCTCGATCGCGATATCGTCCCTAAGCCTGATGTCCCCGACGATCTCTACAAAGAGCACCCAAAGGATTCCGACGCCGGGGGCATAGCGCTGATCGTGGGATCTCTACGCAAATCCGCTTTCGAGTCTTTCACTGCATACGTGCGTGCTGCGACGGTCAAATTGAGCCAGGATGCGACACGTGGCGAGATGGTCAAAGAGCGCATCTGCACTATGTCTGATGAAGAGTTACAGAAGTATGAGGCTGATTATTTGCACACACGCAAGAATCTCAGCGTGGTGTGGAGTTTGATGGCGTTTAGCTCTCAGGTTGTTGAGGCTGCTATTGTGGTTGACCGCTGGCAGTTCTTGCGCGAGCATGACTCTGTCAAGGAGTGCTGGGTCGAGCCGGTGTTTGAGTATGGTCAGAGCCCGCGGAATCTGGCTATCATCGGTATCAAGAAATGATCTCCAGTGATGGTTAGGGTTTTAGGTTGCATTTATAGACAGCTTGGAGTTTATTTCTGTTTTGGGCATTTGGTGGCTTCTGGGCAGTTCTGTACACAAGTACATAGCGGTGATGCATATTTGAACATACCTACGTAGATGTATAGAACATCTCTTCCTCAAGGATCTCTTTTAGGGACAGTAAGAGGTACTTCAAAGTCAGTCTGAATTCCACTAGGCAAGTGATTCTACCTAAAGCCACAAATCGAACCCCGCAAACCTATGTCTAGCCCTATATGTGTATCTAGAAATTTGGAGTCCCCGATATACCGTCATTCATAATTCAAGCAGTGCGAAACTTGCCAGACTGCATAGATACAGCCCGACGCCACTATCTTCCAGCCACCGACCGCTTCTAATCCCACCGAGTCTATAACCAGGAACCAGGCCATCATACAAGATATCAAGAAAACGCCATCCACTGTGTCCCACAAGCAGCCGCAACCTCTTTTGCCGGTCTACCAATCATACCCTTCCAAAACTCCGAAGTCCCAGAAGGAACAAGCTCATCCACCTCCAATGAGAGCAGCGCATCAAAAACCCAATCCTGACATCGTCCCCTAGAATTCCTCGGCGCAGGAGACTTCTCAATCACCTTGATGACCTCGTGTCGTTGCTGAGACGTCAGATCTGCAATCTTGCACATTCCCGCCGCGCCTTTATCGATGATCTTCGTTGCGTAGCGGGGTGCATAGCTGTACCAAGCCCTGTCCGCATCTATGACCTCGACTTGGAGCAGATCGCCGAATTCAAGGTTTCCGGGCCTGTTGATCATGAAGCCCCAGTGGGATCGGTGCGTGGGGATATCGCCGGGTCCGAAGACCTCTATTGAGAGGTTGTAGGCCATGCTGTGCTATGTGAGTGTAAGCTTGATTTCATCTTTTGGGTCAATTCTGAAGGCCTGTAATGGGTACAGAGTATCTTACTGTGAATTGAGATCGAATTGGATTTGTGTATGTCTGTGGAAATATTTTAGGTGATTTTTGGTGTGGATTTCTTGTGAAATGGTTTGTGACTCGTGGCCTGGCTTGGCTCAGCTAGGAAATGGCCCTCTACGACGGGATTTTAAGGATCAGATGACTGCGATGTGATCGAAAACTGGCGAATGCAAGAGCCCGACCAATTGTGAGTTGGCAATTGGCGCCGTAGCCCCTCTTTGGTGGCTCGAATATGCCACTAGCTATGCTGGAGAGAGCACACTGTATTCTGTGAGATGTCGAATGGGGCATAGAGCTTGATTGCTTCGTTTATATGCTCTCACCACAACCAAGATCATGGGAGTATCCGTGATTCTTGGATATCAGAGCAAACAAACCGAGTTCCTGTAGCTCTTTTACTCCATGATCATGTACGCAGTATAACCCAACCGATTATATCAAATTAGATACAAGAATTCCCGATGAACAATTTTTTATATACAATTTTTCTACATATATACTCAACTAATCTCAATACTCCCCTCAGGCACACCCTGCCTACTCCTCAACCTGCGCGCAAAGAACTGCATAACAGGCAACATCTCATCCCGACTAGCCGGCATCCCATCCCCCCTCCTAGCATACCGACTAACCTCCACGAACTCGAAAACCTGCTTCGTCCTACGCACCGCCTCATCCGAGACCGCCACCGAATCCCGCCCGGAAACCAGCAACACCGGCGACCGATTCTTATCCCCCGCCCTCGATCCTGACAACGCGTACGGCGCCCCGATAGAAATAACGCCCGAGAGAGCGCCGACCTCCGCCCCGTCGTTTTTCAGCCCCAATTCTCGCGCAACAGCTAGCGCAGCCATTCCGCCCTGCCCAAAGCCCAGAACCATTATCTCCCGTAGCGCGTACCCGCATTTCTGCACTAGCGTGCCGCGCACAATCTCGACGAGGGTCTTGGTGCTGCGCGTCAGGCCGGCGTCCATGTCTAGCGCGCCGGTCGCGGAGTCGAAGGAGACATCGTCGCCCCAGTGGAAGCCGCCGAGGTCGAAGGGGAGCGGGGCGGTTCCCTGGATTGTGATGATGGTTGTCTCGGGGAGGCGGAGGGCTTGGGCGAATTTTGTGAATGCGGCGGCTGTGTCGCCCAAACCATGGAGTAGGAGGAGGATGTTTGGGGCTGGGGATGCGGATTTGGAGGGGGAGGGGGATGGTGCGGGTGTTATGGTGACGGTGAGTTGGGACGGGAAGTCGGATGGAGTGGGGGTTTTGGTGGGCATTTTGATATGAGGTGAGGCAATTGTGATTGTGAAAGGGAGAGGGGAGAGAGACGTCGCCGTAAGTGGCAGACAATTGCTGTCGTGCTGGTAAGTTGTTGGTGCCGAAGCTCGGGGAGCTTGAAGCTCAGCTCTTCGCGGGGTGTGGCTGGTGCCTAGTGTGGCTCAGAGCTTAAGATATGCGCACGCTCTTTTTGGTAGGAACACGGTGCTCCGTACTCCGTGTACAAAGCAATACGTACTCCGTACATGTAGGGACACTCGGGGTCTCACAGTGGAAACTAATTGACTTTAGGCGGGGCATTATACGGAAGCTGGTATCGTGGTTGCCTAGCCCAAGATCAGCATCAATAGTGAGAATTTCATGGCCCATGGAGCGAAGATGACTATTGCGTTCTAAGTGAATGATCTGACGCATGGCATGCTTCATATATATCAATCGACAGACGGAGTATTCCTCGCATGTATTCCAGAGTCACAGAGTACATAGTACAGCTAATCCGTATGTGCACACTGTTGTATGTGCAGGTCAGTTCTATATAGACACATGATTTAGTCACAGATGAAGACCTATGAACCGGACAAACTACACATCGGGAATTGAAACCAGAGCTGACTGACATCATATGAATTTGTGATGCAAGCCGATATATTCCGTATGTAAGAAAACAGGTCGAAGTGTCGACATGCTATTTTTATCGAAGTGTCCACACTGGGCTGAGGTCAAGCCCGATGAGCACTGAGCAGTACGGAATGGGATGGAGGCAACTGGTCAACACTATCCACTCATCCCATGAGATGACAATTTGGCACCGCTTCAAGTCTTGCTTTCGGATGGGAATGTCCATCAAACAGCCCTTTAATTACTACTGATCCTGACATTCCAATTCACTGCCACCTGGCGTGGCTGGTGTCGCCGAGACTTATAAGGCGTGGACAAGCATTAGAGAGAAGCTTGGCTCGGTGATGGGGGCCCATATGGTCTTGGCCTTCGACCGATCAGTTCCAATTGCGTAATTATGAAAACAATCCTCCGTGCATAAACAAGACCAGCTGCAATTGGATGTTGATTTCATTTCGTACACCGATCCTCCGTACCCTTCCCCTATTCGTCCCCCTGCAGCGGAGTAGGGCTGAACTGACGCATTTTGGTACGACAGATCAGCGCTTTACTGGAGTCTCTGGTGGAACACAGACAAAGCTCTCGTAACACCGAAGGCGAAAGCGTACGGTGGTTTCAGGACTTTGGGGCGCACCACGCCAGTGTCCAGCATAAGATGATTGGTTGTAATGCAGATATTGTACTTATTTTGTACCTTGAAGGATGTACCCCTCGTGCAATGTAACACCGTGCTGTCAAGTAGACGATGATTTACTGTGTCGATGTGCACTATGGGGTTTCCTTTGGGCTATCCCCTGGAGCCAGAAAGCGGCGCAGCTGGAATTTGGCCAAAGACTACACCGGCGGGTGCCTGGGACCAGGAAGGAGACTCCTCCGTATCTATCATTGGGTATCGTTTCAAATGATCCTCCAATAAAGTCGGACACTAGCAGCGCAGTAGGACCGACTATTTCACCGCAATGAATTTGCCCCTCTCTCTCATGGCCCCGTGGGCCTACCATATAGTAACAGTGGAAATGTGATCTGGTCTCCTACCTGACATTCGTCTTGACACAGGCGCGGACCAATGTGCTTGAGCGGGCTATTTACTCCTGCGATAAGACCTACACCGATGTATATCGTGCAATATACGGAGTACTCCGCAGGAAACATCTTCAGCCACCTCTCTCGCAGATTGGCTGGTGGGGCGCAAGCTGAGACAGAGGGGAGAAAGTTAGTCCCTAAACCCAGTACAACATACCCCGTGGAATAGATGTGCGTTGCTCTTGTGGGATATTCTGTAGTCTGCTCTTGCGTGGATATAAGACGCCTTCATCCTCCCTCATCACTACTCATATCCTCTTCCCTCACGAGTTGAATTCCTGCAAATCCTTTCCCACCTACTCTTTTATCTACACACATCCACAATGGCTTGGGGCTGGGGTAAGTTGTCCTCGATATGCACATATCCCTTACTGCTTGCATGCAACAGGGCCCGACCCGACCTGCATAGCCTGCGATACACATCCATTGGCTGCTCAAGCAAGAATCATGCTAATTCCAAGACAGACGAATCTGAGAGGGCGCATCAGGAGGTGTACAACGGTGAGCAGCACCACGAGGGCAAGTTCTCGCATGAGTTCGCTGCCGGTGCTGCTTCCTTCGCCGCCATGAAGGCTTACGAGGACCACGAGCGCAAGGAGGGTACGTTGATCACCCAAATTCCTTCCCCTATTCAAGATATCACCCAGGAATCTTCTGACCCATCCTTGAACGAACAGGCAAGCCCGCCAACCACGCCTTTGCCAAGGAGCTCATCGCCGGCCTCGTCGGTGGGGAGATTGACAAGCTCGCCGAGACCAAGGGCATGGACTGGGTTGACCGCGAAAAGGCCAAACACCACGCCAAGGAGAACGCCCAGCACATGTACGAGGAGCGATACGAGCGCGGCAACTACTGAATCACTCTCGGCATTGGCAATGAATATATGAATGAAACCTATCTTATGAACCATCCTGGTCGCAGGTAGCAAGAGGAAATATGACCGATCCAACGATCTTGATCCAAAACACGGAGTATATGAAACCCCATACCTGGAAAGAGCGGTGAAGTAAGGCGCTGAATGTTTCTCCGATATCGATATTGCGATGTGGTATACGAATTGCTGGCATGGCATAGTTCCGATAGACGTACGTAGGGCTACGTACGTCTGCCTCGCAGAAAGCCCGATGCCCGACGAAAAACAATGCGCCGAGCTTTTGAAAGGGATGCCGGGTGTTTTTCTTAGCCAGTAATCACCATGAGAACCCGCCGGCCACATTCCGGGCTGCATGCCAATGCTGTAGTAGCTTAGATATGGGACGGGCCATCGGGTGAATTGCCCATTAATTGCATGTATTCTGGGTGCTTTTTTCTCGTTTTTCTTTGCGGGAATTGATCGCATGAGCTGCAATTGCAACATCAACTGGACTAATGTGGAAGAAGGCTAGGAGATCCCCGGCTGTTGGATTCCCGAAGTTTAGGAATCTGGCCTTGTGGGCCGCAGGGTCCGCTTACGGCCATTTAGACGCCAATCACCGTCCCGAGCTGACCAATAGTGGATGTTGGCCTGACTATCCAGGCGTCCAATGATGATGAGCTCATACACGTGCGAAAAGTATAGGTTCAGCTAAGAGTTTCGACATTTTCAAGCCCTCACTCGAACGTTGCAGTTGTTCGGGAGGGATTCTCGATTCTTAGTAACTAGCCTCGGCATTCTTTTTTGTTTGTCGTTCGGTTGAGGTTCTTCTTCTCGATCTTGCCATCCAATCCACTCTTACCTCGTCTCAGGAGTGGTGGCTAGACCGTGGCACACCATTGTTGCCCAAAGTTTTGACCCCTCGCACTTGTGTGAGTTTTGATGTCACTAGCTCAGCCCATTCTCCAGGTTTGAAACTGTATGCAATGACGGTGGTTCGTTGTCCAGGATGAAATTTGCCAAGTTTGTATTCCCCCGTGACAGAGTGTGCGACATTCCAGTGGCTGACTCAATCCACAGAGAGCTGGAACAGGAACTTGTTCCTGAATGGCGGGCGAAGTATCTCGACTACAAGGTTGGTTATTGGCGCCACATTTGATGTGTCGCAATTGTGCTGACCCCGTGGATTTATCTAGACCGGCAAAAAGAAAGTCAAGGCCATCACTCGGGCCCTGCAAAAGGCACAACGCAGTCCTCATGTCGGAGCCCATCGATATCCCACCCCGCAAATTCGCGGTGCATTACACGCCCTCACATCGTCCAACCCTGACAAGCAGCTCGATGCAGAAGAAGATGTGCCTTTGACGACGCAACGAGGAAATGCCAAGCCCGCATCGATCACACGCTCCACACCTGTGCCTAGGACCGAACGACAGCCGCTTCGCACGCCGGGATCACGGTTCTCGGAAAACGTTGGTAGTTACGGGAGCATACTTGCAACTCCTCCACAGCAACACTATATCCCAGGCTCAGACACAGCATCCTTTGAACTACCAGACCCGGCAATCGACCCAGACGATGAGTATCTGTCTCACGCAGAGACTGCAGATCGCACCAATGCTCCCCGGACACCATCCCCGGTCATGGATCGACGCAACATCGGAACCTTGAACCCTTCACCGTCTCAGAGCGGCCCGGCCCCCTCGCCGGATAGGAGGCCTCAATCGGAGCCACGTGCGAACTATCAAAGTCCCGCAAGTGACAGTCTCACAAGGGTGTCATCGAGCAAGCGAACATCGCAACTCCTACGGCGTGTATTCACTGCGGAGGGAGACACTAGTGCGAGGCGATCACAATTAGAATCGAGCGCTGGCGCCGAGCTGGATAGACGTCAGGACGAATTCTTTCACTTCTTGGATAGCGAGTTGGACAAGATCGATGCGTTCTACGTGATGAAGGAACAAGAGGCCACGGAGAAGCTGCGGGTCCTTCGACAGCAGTTGCATATCATGCGTGACCAGCGCATCCAGGAGGTTCTAGGTGCCAAGAAAGTCTCCAAAAATAATAACGCGGAGGCACAGCAACGGGCAAATGCATTTGCCAAGCTCAACGGTTCCCTCCTCAAAGACACATTTGTTGGGAAGGGTCGTTTTGGCAAGAACTCGGAAGCACTGGCGGAGATGGCGACGCCTGGCATACATCCCGAAGACCGGGAATTTATCGTCAACCGGAGGGACTTCATGCGGCGGCAGGATCCACCGAATCAAGAGGTCTCATATCGCTCCGCTAAACGCAAGCTCAAACATGCGTTGCAAGAATTCTATCGTGGAGTGGAGCTTCTCAAGGGATATGCTTACTTGAATCGAACGGCTTTCCGGAAGATTAACAAGAAATATGACAAAGCAGTCAATGCCCGTCCACCGTTGCGTTTCATGTCGGAAAAGGTCAACAAAGCCTCCTTTGTACAAAGCGAAGTGATTGAGAGTTTGATGGTGGCGGTCGAAGACTTGTACGCCCGCTACTTTGAACGCGGTAATCGCAAAATCGCAGTGTCCAAACTTCGTCACACCATCAACAAATCCGGTGATTTCTCGCCGAATACTTTCCGCTCTGGCCTTTTGTTGATGGGTGGAGTTTTGTTTTCCGTTAAGGCCTTAGTTGATGCTACTTCAAATCTCCACGCGGATGAGGTAGCTACACAGGTCCAGACTAGTTATTTGCTACAGGTTGGTTCTCCGCCCTTCTGTATATTGCATAGCCCCCACTGACCAGTCGACCAGATTTACGGCGGTTACTTCCTCATCGTTTTTCATGTGTTGCTCTTCTGCTTAGATTGCATGATTTGGACAAAGTCGAAGATTAACCACGCATTTGTTTTCGAATATGATTCCCGACACACTTTGGAGTGGCGTCAGCTACTTGAGGTATGTCCGGCTCTGCGATTACAGCTTTGATCATTGTTACTGACAGGCACAGATTCCGTCTTTCTTCTTTTTCTTAATGGGTCTGTTCATGTGGCTCAACTTCTCGTGGTATAATGACATGTACATCTACTGGCCCGTCGTCCTTATTGGCTTGACAGTCTTTATTGTCTTCTTGCCGGCTCGTGTTCTTTACCACAGAAGTCGCAAATGGTTTGCTTTCTCGAATGTGAGTCATGAAACAATCTTCCTGTTGTCGTTGTGATCTAGCCATTCTGACTGGTACAGTGGCGTCTATTGCTCGCCGGAATTTACCCTGTCGAGTTTCGTGATTTCTTCCTTGGCGACATGTATTGCTCCCAAACATACGCCATGGGGAACATCGAGCTCTTCTTCTGTCTATACGCCTCGTATTGGGACTACCCGCCCAAGTGTAATTCCTCGCACTCTCGGCTGTTAGGGTTCTTTCAGTGTCTTCCCTCGGTTTGGCGGGCATTTCAATGTATTCGCCGCTACTCTGATACAAAGAATGCATTCCCCCATCTACTCAACTTGGGCAAGTACATATTTGGTGTCCTTTACTATGCCACTCTGAGCATGTACCGCATCGACCTCCAGACACGTTTCCAAGCCACATTCATCACCTTCGCTCTTTTGAACGCCGTCTACACCTCGGTCTGGGATCTAATCATGGACTGGAGTCTGGGCAATCCGTACGCCAAGAATCCCATGCTCCGCGAAGTCCTTGCCTTCCGTCGGGTATGGGTATACTACGCTGCCATGGTGCTTGACGTCGTCGTCCGCTTCAATTGGATCTTCTACGCAATTTTCATCCGGAATATCCAGCAGTCGGCCCTACTAAGTTTCATGGTATCCGTTTCAGAAGTCTGCCGCCGCGGCGTCTGGTCTATCTTCCGTGTTGAAAACGAGCACTGCACAAATGTCCTCCTCTTCCGCGCTTCTCGCGATGTGCCCCTCCCCTATGATATTCCATCACCAGCTGCAGCCCTCGACGGCGCACCGGAGGATTTGCAGCTGCAAGACAGCCAGCACCCATCTACGCCCTTCATGGCCCCTGGCGACGTCGAGCATGGCACCCCATCTGTGTCCAGCATGCGCGCCCGCCACCGCCGCCCTTCGGTGACCATTAGTCGTGTCGGTACGATTGTTGCCTCGGCGCATGCCCAGGATTTCGAGCGCAGACGTCTGCCAAACTATCTGTCCAGCGCGAGCGTAGGACAGGATATGGCACACGATGACAGCACCGACGAGGACGACGAGGTCGATCTGAGCACCGACGAAGATTCAGGGTCGCATGTTACTGAGACGTACGAAGGTCAGCAGTCAAGACCGGGATCGGAGCGCAGGGACATGATGGGACGGATTGTTGAGTAGGTTGCGGAAGAAGCAGTCTGTCAATCGCCGTCTCAGGGCCAATGGCAACTGTTGGGGGGACACTTTTACTATCGGCCCCTTTGTCGGGTCCCCATTTTTGATCAATTATAGATATGTTGGAGCATGTTGCATATATCTTTTATTTTTGTTATGCATAAATATTAATATTGGATCTCGGGTTTCGGTTTTTTTTCCCTCTTCTCCGCCACTTCCTGATAGTGAGATACGCCTACGGATCCCTGCCCGAGTGCTTTTCTGGGCAGTTCCTTCCCCGGGAGGGTATCCGCCTGGGAGGTGCTTTTGTCTTCTACAATGCGCGCACTTTTGCTTCAGCCACGGAGACATTGCCAGATGCGGTCAACCGGATGAGTGCTCGTTCCGATTGTGCACTCGGTAAGGATAAGGCGGGCAGGCACCGCATAGGGCACCATGTTTGTCGTCTGCGTGACTCTCCCTAGTCACATCTCTGAAGATTCTCAGCCTCGGCGGGTCTAGAGCCTACGTGGCGTAGATATCTTTCTCATGCGCGAATTCTGAGGGTGGGTTTAGCGGTGTGTATCGTAGGTGCAGGTCTGCCAATCGTATAGCCCTTGCTTAAGCTGTTATCTGCACATGGGGTTCCCCGAACGCTGTATAGCATATTCCCTACGGGGTACTCCGTACATGTCCTCATATTGGCAAAACGACCGAGATACGCAATCTTAAGAGGTTGGTGTTATCTACATAGTTGACTCTCATTAGTACCTAAGATATCACACACATATATGAAAGACAAACTGTTATCTTCACTCATATCATTGAACCTAGGTAGATCCTCATTCGTGGAGTCTTTCGGGACTTTTGATCCCATATGTTCTGTTGGCAATACATAGTAGGGCTATGATGTACATCCTACTACCCTGGGATATGTGGCACCGGGCCGGTCGGTGCCTGACAGAACGGGCTATAGACAATGCCATGGATTCTGGATTCGATTCCCTGTTTTTCGACTCTTCGAGAAACCCATTGTGTCCCGTTAAAGTGAAAGTGACGCAGACAATCGTAAGGTTCAGCGAGGGTAACCGCGCGAGTGAGATGAGCCGGGGTGGAGAAGCCCTGGATTGGGCTAGTCATCGTCTCTACGGGGTATGGGGATGGATGGAATGTCTCAGTTTCTCGCCATATACTTTGGAGTGGCGAGAGGGATAGGGGTTGTGAAGGATTGGCCTGCATGTGGGTCAATCCTTTGTCCACAGCAGGGTGATTGGTGAGTCCAGCGATGCCTACAACATACATGTACGTACGGAGTAGGGCAATATCTTGTCCTCCGTACGGCGTTCTCCGTTGAACTTGAACTCTGTTCCCCAGATTCGCCAACAAGGAGATTCCTATTTCGGGTGCCTCGATTGCACTGAACTTGATTTGATACGAGCGATACGGAGCCCTGACCCATTGAGTTGGGTTTGCACAGAAGGGACATTCTTATTCGAGAACGTCATATCTCAGTCGGTCGCGGGTTGGGCCGGTTTCGGACGCAATTAAATGAGCGGCGAGGGAACCGATGATCGGATGCTTGGCCGGGAAGCACCCCCTTTGTCTTTCTCTTTTTTTCCCTCCGAAACCCCCAGACTCACGGCGCTGACGTCGTTGCTCTTTTGCGGTTATCTAACGTGAGAGATAGCTCAAGTGGACAGACGATAATCATTGACAATGAATAGATAAAACCAAGACATCCCAATGAGAAGCCCCCGAACCAAGAAGAAGCCCCAATTTTAAACCACGCCCCCGAAGCCGTGTCCCATCAAATGCGGCATTTTACCCCAAGGCCGGGGTTTGTCTGCGGGGCGTCCGGGAAGGCGTTTTTGGGGCGCAGCGTACGAACGTTTAGTTAAGGTTGATCGGTATTCACTTCTTCTCGTCTCCCCCATGGGGTATCCTGGACTGTGTAGGCACTTCTCCACAACTCCACGCAATGAAGCCTGTCGTCATGGTGCCCGGCGGTCCGTCCATAGCGGGCTTTTCATAGGATCAAGACGAATTTCCCCATTTGTCGGTGGAGCCTCTTATGTCCCAGTGCAGGCCGAGGGGCTGAAACCGGATTAGCGTCAATATGATTTCCGTTACAGCGACCAGTCTATCCACAGTTGAGTGACCCTAAGCGACTCAAAGAGTCATGGCCAATGAATTATCTTTTATCTGCTGCTCGGCGCCCCATCGGTCAGGCAACCGGTATTCCTGGGGGAGGGTTATAAGCGGCGCGAGAGCCCGCAAACGATCCCGAGATCTGGGTTTTGTGCTCGTTCTTGACGTTACATCTACACCAATATGGCTGATTTGAAGAAAGAAAAGGATCTCGAGGGATTGTCTCCGACCCCCTCGCATTCTCACGATGTCCAGCGTAGTGATAGTCATGCACATGATGATGTGTTTGGAGAGATCACCGAACATGGGCCCAATTACCGTGATGTATGTTGCTCTTCTCCTTTTTTCTGTCTTTTTTCTTGTCTGGAAATATCCCAATTGAGTCCAATCTAACACTGTTCGCAGGTAGGATGGACTGGAACTGTGGTTCTCATGATGAAGAGCCAGATTGGCCTCGGCGTTCTCTCGATTCCTGCCGCTTTTGATACATTGGGTCTTGTCCCAGGTATCATCTGTCTACTCGTTATTGCCGTTATTACAACATGGTCTGATTATATGGTGGGTGTGTTCAAGCTCAATCATCGCTCGGTGTACGGTATCGACGATGCGGGTCAATTGATGTTTGGCGCAATCGGCCGTGAGGTATTCGGCTCTGTGTTCTGCTTGTGTAAGTTCTGTAGACCATTGAATCAATAATAGATCTGTCACTAACCTGAGCTCTAGATTGGATCTTCGTCGCCGGCTCAGGAATGCTCGGTCTTTCCATCGCTCTGAATTCGGTCTCGAGCCATGCCACATGCACGGCTGTTTACGTTGCCATTGCTGCCATCGCAGGCATCGCGTTCGCTAGTATTCGCACCCTCGGACGAATCAGTTGGCTCGCATGGATAGGTCTGGTTTGCATCCTGTCCGCAAGTAAGGCTTCTACATCCATATCGCTAGATACAGCTCTAACCGATTCCAACTATTAGTCTTCATTGTCACCATCGCCGTGGGCGTTCAGGATCGCCCAGCTGCCGCCCCCCAAGATGGAATCTGGGTTTCGGACTACAAAATTGTGGCCAACCCGTCGTTTAGTGAAGCTATCTCGGCCGTTGCTTCGCTGGTCTTTGCCTACGCGGGGACTCCGGCGTTCTTCTCAATCGTTTCGGAAATGCGCGACCCTCGCTACTACACTCGGTCATTGGTTATCTGCCAGTCTACCGTGACTGCTGTCTATGTTACCATCGGTGTTGTGGTGTACTATTACTGCGGCTCATACGTTGCCTCGCCTGCTCTTGGCTCTGCCGGCCCGACTATGAAAAAGATCAGTTATGGCTTTGCCATTCCCGGTCTATTGGTTACTGTGATGCTATTCATCCACGTAAGCATCTCCCATGAATGTTTCTCATTAAATCATGTCTAACCTAAAATCCAGCTACCCGCCAAATTCATCTTCATTCGCGCCCTCCGAGGCTCCGAACACCTCACCTCAAATTCCATGGTGCACTGGGGCTCCTGGATCGGCTGCACACTCGGCGTCGGCCTGATCTCCTACGTCATCGCCAGCGCCATCCCCGTCTTCGACAGCCTCGTCTCGCTTATCGGTGCTTTGCTCGGTACATTCATGTGCTTCCAGCCCATGGGCTGCATGTGGCTGTACGATAACTGGCACAAAGGCAAGGCCGAGCGAACCCCCAGGTGGATTGCCATGGTTTGCTGGAGTTCGTTTGTCATTTTGAGCGGTACCTTCATGATGATTGCTGGTACTTACGGGTCTGTGGTCAGCATTATCGATAGCTATAATGCTACCGGTGGCTCGAGTGCTTGGTCTTGTGCGGATAACTCGAATTCCTCATAGATTGGGGGTTTTAGGGAGGTTATGGTGCACATGGCTGGTACTGGTGCATTGTATTTATCTGTCATATAGACGCATTTTAGAAATGTTGTTGCATGTATAAACTTGCTCGTATAGCAATTAGAGCTTTAATCTATGTACCATCATCGAGTGCTTTTTTCTCATGGATGGCGACATCTTAATTATCAAAACTCAACGTACTTTTCAGAGCCAGGCCGGGCTTCTATATTTATGTCACCTAAAATTCTTGATGTTGTAAACTATGCAAGGGAATTACTACGGGCACCCACTACAAAACCTATATAACCGGCTGTGTTCTGTTAAGGCAGCTCGTTGACCTTGCGTGAGCATCGATGTAGGTAATATTTTTAACCTAGTACCCTACTAGGTGCGTAATGTATTACCTGGAAATGATTCTTGTTTTTCTATAGGTTGCTAAATCAGTGTGATATCATTGCCGGTTTTTATACTATATTATTATGATCTAGCCAATCTAAAGAACTGTGAAACCTGGGGTATAAAGCCAGCCAAGTTGACGAAGTTGTGCGGGAAGGCAAGATCAAAGCCATAGCCCTTGTCGATCTCTACTATATCCTCAGGAGTGCACTCCAGGCTGCAGGCCTCGACATTGGTCTTGAGATGAGAGACTTTGTTTCCGCCAACCATGGGAACCACATACAGACTTGGTCTGGTGAATACGGGAAGTGTCCTTATAAACAAGTTTGAGATTGATGGGCATAAGTTCACCTTCGTTGTTCCCATTTCGTTCTATGAGACGGATCTCAATAAACTGATTCGAGCCGAAATTACAATGGCCTCGACTCTCTCTCATGTATTCGGTATAGTACTCTGCATCTTTGAGGCTCTGCGCGTTGTATACACCCTTTATCGTTCTCATAGCCAGTATCGACAAGTCCCCGCGACTCATGACTGAGTTAGTACCACCATCGATTATACTATATCTTGCAATCTAAGTAAGTTAGTACAGGAGTAAGAGCCGTAGATATTGCCCTGGTAAACCTGGAGTAGAAGGGCCCAGGGCCCACCATAATGATTACGTCATCACCCCCATAAATTTAGCTTATCGCACGTGACCCTCACATCACTTTGAACTCCACCTCTAGGCTTCCAGACACTGATTACTCTTCCTTTCTTTGTCAAGATTTTTGATCCATTCCCGTCTTTCTGACACAAGAGTCTGAGATATCAGCTATATCTCACATCAACACTATGGCTGCAAACGCCAGATATGAGCCCGCCCCCCAGCGGGACTCCTGGACGATCCGTCCTACTCCCAAGCGCCTCCCTCCTATCAGGCTACTGCGGAGCCAGCACCTCGCAGCGAAGATGACAACCTGCCAGATGATTTCAAGGTAAGCCCAGCTCTACCTGACTGACTCTGCGATCTGCTGAACCCCGAAACTAACCAAATCGCATAGTTCGGAGGCACCGTCGCCGAAGGCACGATTGACATTCGCATGCAATTCGTTCGCAAAGTGTATTCAATCCTGTAAGTCGACGCTGACCACAAACCCATACCTCAAGGTCTCCCCCGACCATGCTAACACATCCCCAGAACGGTCCAACTTCTCCTTACAACCATCCTCAGCTCAATCTCCTTCTTCAACGAACCCTACCGCATCTGGATCCAATCCCACTTCTGGGTAATGATAATCTCCGTCTTCGGCGCCCTAGGCTTCATGCTCGCAACATTCTGGAAGCGCAAGTCCTACCCCACAAACCTCCTCTTCTTATCCGGTTTCACCATCCTCGAAGCCTACTCCATCAGCGTGGCGACATCCCTGTACGACGGACGGGTGGTCATCCAAGCGCTCGCGCTGACGCTCGGTATCTTCGTCGCACTTACTCTCTTCGCATGCCAGACGAAGTACGATTTCACGGACTGGATGCCGTACCTTTTCGGCGCGTTGTGGTTCATGATCCTGTTCGGGTTTGTGGCTATGTTTATCCCGTTCAATAGTACTATTGAGATTATCTATGGTGTGCTGGGTGCGCTGATCTTCTCGGGATATATCCTTGTTGATACGCAGCTTGTTATGCGCCATTACCACGTGGAGGAGGAGATTGCCGCTTCGATCTCGCTTTATCTGGATGTGCTTAATCTGTTCATGTCCATTTTGCGGATTTTGAATGGTGCTAACAACAATAACTAATTGCGGACTGGATTCAGGTCTGAGAATGGATACTTATATCCATACATCGGTGGATGTGTCTGGTATTAGTAGGCCCTGGGTCTGGAAGCAATAGCTGGACAAACAAACTTGCATTTCAGTGCTTCTTGAGCTGGTTCCGGGTGAGGATGTTTCTGCTTTGCACCACGCTTTGCCCGAATCGATTTCTATTGTACACTTTTTCTTCACTCATTTGGAGTTTTCTTCCGGTCTGTTCGTTATACGCCTGCCTTTAGTCCTATCTTACCTGCCTTTTCAAACAAATCAATTGCCAATCGATACGCAACTTCATAATGAGCAGTTCGATCAATATAAGATTGAGAACCCAATTCAAGTAGATACACTTCTCCAAGCGCCCCGAGAAACCCAAATGAAATGAAATTTTTAAACTGTGCACAGAGCAATACCCAATAAGGTAAAAATACCACAGCGAACGTCTAAACCCATGCGCAAATAGCAAAGGACATGCAAAATAAAATGGAGTCTGGTGGACGGGCAAAAAGAAGTCGAAGGGACAGGTTTCCTTCGGTGTATGATAGACTTAAAAATCATGATAGTGGCAAGCCTAGGCCAACAAAACGGAAGGAGTGAAGATTCGTGTAGTGAGAAGAGGTCAATTAAGACGAGGCTTCGAAATAGATGTTCGTAATCAAGCACACGACCATGACAAGAAGGCCGTAGATGACCAATGCCAGGCTGAGGCGGCGAAGAATGGCTTTGCGCCAGTGGCGGTTTCCACGGGGCAAAAGGCCACTTTCGGTCAATGAGCGAGCAAGGGTGCCTTCACCCTCTTCATCGTCATCGTCTTCTAAGAAATCACCCTCCGCCTCGTCGTCCTCTTTCATTAGTCCGCGGTGGGTAGGGGAGTCGGGCGAGGAGATCTTGTAGTAGAATAAGCCGGGAAGGATGAAGCTGATGCTCGTGCTGCCCGTGCTTCCGACGTATGCCAGCACTGCTTCGAGAGACGAGACAGTCATGGCAACAAGGTAGCTCAGAATTAGGATGGTGGTTGTGATAACAGAGAAACGGAGATCGGTCATTGCTTCCGGAATGCGATTGCCGCGTGGGCCTAACAGAGGGTGTCGGTGTGGGGAACCCTCTGCACCAATGGCTCGCTTTCGCGGACGCCATTTGAGGACGGCATCGACTGATGCCCGGCATGGGTGGCATTGTAGGGGATAAGAGAAGACCACCAGCATGACGATCGCAGCGCGTCCTATGGTTGCATACACGCCAGGTGGATACATGCCGACAATATTGCCGCCCACACTGTTGCCAAAGGATAAGTATCCAGTGATTCCAGCGAGGATGTAGGTTGCAGCGGCGCTACCATTGCTCGCAAGAATAACGGCAGTCGTGCGGAAATGGCTGTTATTGGCAATTTCGTTAAGGATGGAGAACATCTGGAATGCTTGTTAGAGAGGTAATCAAGGGTTTGGCTTCCACAACATACATTCTGGTGGCAAGTAAATGCAAACACAATGACTGGAAGACTTCGGAGGGTTGGAACTGCGCCAGCCCAATGGCCCACACGAACCGGTCCCCGGTCTTCCATTGTATCTCCCTTGACAAAATTATACACAATCAAGACAACCAAGTAGGCCATGGATACCAAGGCTGCGATACTAGTATACTTCAAAGAATCTAATCGGCGGAGGTAGGAAAGAGGAATCACGATCAACCTAGAGTCAAATGGTCAGCACTTCCTCACTTCGGCACAATGTCACCAGGAAACGCACATGAAAGCTGTAATCCAAAATTGGCGGTCTACCAGGAAATCGTATCCTGGCTCGCTGCCAACAAAGCCCTGTACCACACCTGGCATCAGGTCGCCGATGATGATAAGATAGCTCACTCCGACTCCGAAGCATTTGATCGCGATCGCAGCATCAAAGACCACGGCGGCGTTGGGATATGTCAATTGCGACAGTGCGAAAAAGGACGCGCTTCCTCGGTCGAGATACTGCGCGCACAGCGATTGCAAGTAGAGGCCGAATCCTGCGGTGAGTCCAGACCACAGAACCACGCAAACGCCCAAAACAATTCCCATATGGGAGATTGCTAGGGGCATTGCAAGCACACCGGCACCGATGACTATAATCAGACTGCATCAGAATTTGTAGTTCGGTGGGTGTCGCGTTCTCGCACTTACTGGTATTAAGCAGGTTGATGACACTGCTGGACCAGCTGGCCTCACCCACAATATCTCCAGGTCGCCCGCGGGCACTACGCCTAAACAAATGCCAGGTCAGCAATTTCCTTGACTATAAAGAATATCTCTCCCGGCCTACCTTCGCATCGTATTCTGAGCGCCCCCAGACGGGCCAACTCCGAGCGCGGTCTCCTCCATGATTCGAGTATCTGTTATCTGGGATTGTGGTTATCGATTGAAGATAGGCGCACAATGCATCATTAACGGCCGCTACCAGCGAGGCCGGAGATCAAGTTGATCAAAGGATTGAATTAATAAAAAAAAATTATCCCCTGGAGTAAAGAAGGACAAGAGAGAGCGAGGAATAGGAAAGAAAGGGCCGTAGCCAAGCCTTATCGATAGCACATGACCCTGGTGCCTAAGACTTTTTTGTTTTACTCCAAGACGCTCAGGCAATTTCAAACGTAATACTTGTGCATTTGCTCCAATTCTCATCCTAATTATATCTTGGGCATTCCCCATCCCTTCTGAGACAGGAGACCATAACTGTCTTCTTCCACAGAATGATGGTCCGATGCCGTGTTGCCAGGTCGATTACCAGGGCCCGGATCATTAAACTGACTGACTGATCGTACTGTCTTGGACACCTCCAGAATCGTACCTCCTTGCACCTGAAACTGTGGCCCACCCCCCGAGTCCCCAATCGTCTCGCTGACCTGTTCCTGCTGCACAAGCGCCAGCATCACTTCTGCTACTTCTTCGGGCGTCACCCACGCATCGGTACTGTCATCTACCATCTTCAATTTCTCCGGATGATCAGTCCATAGTGGTGTTTTGATCAAACCCGGAGCCACGGCTGTGACTCGAATACCTAAATTCTTGTCGAGGTCAGCGAGCGACCGCACAAAGCCACTGACAGCGTGTTTTGTGGCGCAGTAAATCGGGGTGGCGAGATTGGTATTCTGGCCCGCGATACTGGAAATATGAACGATATGCTTCGGGCGGCCACTGGTACGATTGTTCAAGAAATGCGCGATTGCCAGCTGCGTCGTGCGGATCGGGTGAGTGATGTTGATATCGATTAAAGCGTATCGGCCCCCAGAAGGCAAGTCCTTGCTTTCGGTCGAGTGAGGGGGGCGCCAGAAGTTGCTCCAATTCTATTCCATGTAGATTTTAGTTAGACATGTTTGTGGTGGTGCTGCGATTGTTGTTGCTCCTACCGGCTCGTAGACTCCCGCGCCCGGGCAAACAATATCAATCTCACCAAACTCCTTCTCTGCAACCTCGAACATCCGCTCAAGTTGTCCCCAATCAATCACATTGGTCTCTTGAAAAACTACTCGTGGGGAACCGGTCTTATGCTTATCGGCCCACACATGGGCCTCCGGACGCAGAGCTAGGTCTGCGATGAGCACATTGCAACCATTCTCGACCAGCAGTTTAGCGAAACTGAGGTTGATGCCTGAGTTGTAAGCATATCATCCAACACTCCTGGGTATGGGAAGCATACCGGAGCCAGCTCCAGTTACGATAGCAGATCGTCCTTTCACTGAGAAAGCCATGGGGTATCAGGATTACAACCTCCTACATGGGGATTCCACGTCTCTTATGCAGCTGGTGAAACGCCTCGGTGGGACTCGTGGGACATGCTCGGGGTCCTTTACAGCGCATACGTATTTCGCTGTAAGACCTCGCGGGGTAAGCCATTTAACCGGGCGTGTGAGGCAGGTGAAGCGAGTCCGGCGCGATGGCCGAGAATTATATCCAATAGGGCTTATATTTCCTCATTCTGCCTAGGCATCGCAGGTATCTACATCTCCGCTTTTTCTTATGGCGGGGCAGCTCAATGTTATGTGCCCAGATGAAGAACACCCCGGTCACATAGGGAGACATTGTGATAACTGGAAATGAGATCTCTAGAAAACCTAGGCGTGTTCTCTTCAACGAAGTGGCCATTCATCGTAACCTGGTAAATCTATAACCGACTCAATGCTAGGATAAAGCTTTAGGTCAAATTGCCCGCAGTCAATCGCCCGCGTATCTGGGTCAGCGTTAGGCGCACGGTATCATCTTGCACATAGCCTAAGACTCCATATCAAGCGTCTCTATCGGGGAGAACTTCCTAAACCTTGACGATTTGTTCGAACGGCTTCTGGTCCTAGCTCAGTGTCAGTGGGTTGCTAGGTATGCCTTCACCTGGGCGGGATGCCCTTTCCACATGGTTAAAAGCGACAAACATGCTCGCAGCTCGTCAACAGTGTCTATGGATTTGTTACCTCGTTTTAAAAGTTAGATGCGCTGCTCGTCTATTCCGGACTATTCGCCTTGCTACTCCAATGTTAGGTACCTGTCAGACTCGGGTCAGGGGCTTTAATAACCTGGCATATCGGGAACCCCTTTCTTGGAATGTTTTATTGCTTTTTCTAGCAGGGACAATTCTCTACTCCGTATGTATCCAATCTCCTAGAGCTGCACCTAACCTCGATTCTTTCATGTTCAGATACCTACATGTAGGGACTAGGTAGTGCCTCCCCAAGTGGGAAACGTTGCTGAATCAAAAATAAAACAACACCTTCTTTCGATCGCCGAATTATCATCACTTTCCTCCCAAGGTGACCTCAAAATGCAAAACAGATGTCTGCAGATCAGGCCTTGTTTCCAAGCATCCGTTCCTTTTCAGAAGAGGTCGACCGACTGCCATCTCATCCAATCCTTGGTATTCTTCATTTCTCCTTTACCCCAGAGTCGATATCTGAGAGACATCACAGCCTGCCTCTCTACTGTGGCGGGAGTCCTTGGAGTTCGTAACGACAATTCCCGGTTTTCAGGGCCTATATTGAGCAGCGGTACTCCGTACACAAGTCTTCACCGAACCAGATCATCGTCCTGATTCAGAATTGGGAGGCGCGCGCAAGCATTTGATAAATCGAAGGCCAACACGCCCCGGCCTTCTTAGACCGTTGGACAGTGAACTACATAGTTGATATAGTCTAGCCATTGGCGATATTCTTTTGTATAAGTGAATCTAGTTTCCATCCTATTTATAAGATACAGCCTAATTACTGTGGGATCTATGTCCAACAACTGGAAGGGATGCGCCAGCGCTGTGTCATAGACACTGCATATATAGCCTTAATGTAATCACGAGCTTCTCTAACGGCTTTTGAGATATATGTTGTAGTCTCTAAACGTCTCATAAGTATCTCCTTTATCTCTCAATTCATCCCCTGACTAGAGAGCATATAATCTAACCAGTTATGTGAGTTTAAACAATCCGTGCTATACTCCGATTTCACCAACTGCATAATTTTCCTCCACGCCCCTTTTCGACAACTGTCAGTCTGCATTAAATCCACTAGATCTTCATCTCTCATCATTACTATCTAAGGTTAGCCTTACCCACTGATGTCATGAAACAGCAATGATCGGGAAAATCACCCAATTGAGTAATATTTTGGCGCATCGGGTTTGCCGACGGCGGCTCGACTACTGTTTACGGCAATATTCCGCCTCGAGCAATGTATAGTGTTACCCACGAAACACATATAAAGCACCAATGCAGATCCCCACAAAGACAAGTTACACAGATCAACTCCCATATCAATCATGTCAATGTCAAATCTTCTCTCAAGGTCTGCCGTTCGAGCAGCGTCTACCTCGGCCCAAACAACCAAGGCCGCAGGTGATATCTCATCAGTCTTCCCCAGCTTAAGGCCCGACTACAAGCCGGAGCCCCTCCCCGCACGATTCCAGGAGCTGAAGGCAAGAATTTTCGAGAAGAACAAGGATGCACTCACTAAGAGCTGGGAGCGTTTGCTTCCCAGCTTGGACGAGGAAGTGCAAAAGATCAAAGCGAAAGGCAGTGATGTATGTGCACATATAACCCGCTTGATCGAGCCAAGGACTGACCTCAAAACAGATCATCCCATCAATTGAATATTCAGATGTTATCTCTGGAAAGATGTCTGATGCTGCATTGAAAGAGATCCGCCACCGGGGCAGCGTGGTTGTCCGCAATGTGATCCCCAAGGACCAAGCCCTAGACTACAAACAGCGGATCCGCGACTACACAGCTGCCAACAAGGAGCGAGTCAAGGCCTTCCCCGCTGACTCCCCAGCTGTCTACGAGCTGTATTGGACTCCCTCGCAGGCTGAAGCCCGTGGCCACGCCAACATGCTCAACACACAACGCTTCATGCAGCAACTGTGGCACTCATCCGATCCCAACAGCAAGGTCTCCACATCCCACCCACTCACCTATGGAGACCGCCTGCGCATCCGTAACCCAGGCGACTCAAAGTTCACTCTTGGCCCGCACATTGATGGTGGTTCTCTCGAACGTTGGGAAGATCCCGAGTACTCCCGAGTGTACACCAAGATCCTGGAGGGCAATTGGGAGCAGTATGACGCATGGGATGCACGCCACCGTTTGAATGCTACCATGGATTTGTACAACGGCGCAGGAGCTTGCTCCATGTTGCGATTCTTCCAGGCCTGGCTTTCTATGTCGAACACAAAGCCCGGCGAGGGCTCGCTGCACGTCTGTCCCATGATCAACCATAGCACGGCATACACCATCCTGCGTCCCTTCTTTGACGTCGAGACCTCAAAGCCCAACTTGGATGCTACATTCCCTGGGTCTGTGCCTGGTGCCTGCCAGGAGTATAACCCGGTCACACACCCCCATCTCGATCTGGAGGCGACAATGGTCTCGGTGCCGGAAGTCGCGCCTGGTGACTTTGTCGCTTGGCACTGCGATTCGCTTCACTCGGTGGATAAAGAGCACCGTGGCACTCAGGATTCTAGTGTTCTGTACATCCCTGCTACTCCGCTGTGTGATATGAACGTTGAGTATCTGCTCAAGCAGCGCCAGGCTGCGCAGGCATATTCGCCTCCCTGGGATTTCCCTGGTGCTGGTGGCCCCGGCGAGGCAGGATTTAAGGGAACTATGGATTGGTCTTCGCTGAACCCGGAGGGCCAGCGGGCCATGGGTATGGGCCATATTCCCTGGGAGATTACCGATGCCATGAGTGAGGGTGAGAAGGAAGCCGTGCGGTCTGCCAACAAGGCCTGCTTCGGAGTGTGAAATTTGTTTGGCCTGGTTCACATTTCTCTGGAGTCTTGTTCTTTTTTGTCCCTTCAACACTGTATATCCCTCACGATCTGCTTGAAACGAGGTGCCTATGTTAGTTCAGAAGCTGAATTTCTGCCGCATTCTATCGGCCGTTCCTTATCGCCCCTCGAGGCTAGATCCCAACAAACTTCCTATAATTCACTAGTGCGCATGCCACCAAAGGGATGCTTGGCAGAAGAGGGGCATCTCGTCTTTATTATATCTCCGAGCAATTCCTTTTTTTTTTTTTCTCATTTCTTTCTCAGATCTCTGCTCAACACACATCTACAATCATCATGGACTTCATCAAGAACGCTGTCTCCAAGGCCTCCGGCGATCACGAGGATAAGGCTCAGAACAAGCCCCAGCAGGACAAGCCCCAGCAGACCGACGACTACCTTGACAAGGGTGAGTGACGATCCCTTTGTCCTTTGAACTTCTTGACTGACCCCCCTATTCCACAGCTTTCGCTGCCGGCGTTAAGAAGGCCGGTTACAACCTCGACCGTGATACTCAGGAGAAGATTACCGACGGTGCCCGTGAGGCCTACGAGAAGTTCACTGGGTGAGTGTCGATCGGCCCCGCCTGGATCTCTTGGAATTTCTCGGATCTGGACTTCCGCTAACGCATTCGGTAATATAGCAAGCACATCAGCGAGAAGTTCTCTAACTAGAGTATCTTGTGGAAAATTGTAATAATATTTGGGGGACATGGAGCGAATACCCAGGCAGGCTCTTTTCAAATAGGTCCATAGAGATGTGAACCTCCATTGCTTAAAATGATTTGTGTGCGTAGATTCGTAATGAGTCTATGGCGTGGACCAAATGGTCAACGATAACGGCAAATTTGTCCTGGACTAAGATGAATGCAGCCGCTCTTGCATGAACGTAAAGTACGAACCCGGGAACGGAGAACTCCGAGTTGGATCAATCAGCTTCCGAGCCCAGCCACAGTGCACTATGTCCATCGCCACTTCAATAGTCGGTGCTCAGCCACTGGGCCCGGCCAATCTCCTCGAAAGGAGACTAAGTGGACAGACCCATGGATCACATGTGCAACATTACGTCGCCCCAAAATCAATAGCGCGATCTAGCAGATCTTCCCAGGTTGGAGCCGGAAATCCAAGATTCCCACCGATGATTGGCCAATTCCATCGTTGATCCCCTAAAATAGTTCTTGGCACATCCATGTGCAAGTTGATCTGCCCCCCGACGTTCAGCCCTAAGCTGTCATTGACCTCGAACCTTTTCATGATCAGCCCAGCGCTCGTACGTAATGGGAATGGGCTTATAGCAGCACGTCCATGTCAGCCGAAAGACGAGGGAAACCTTATGCTGGATCCGGCCAAGTCCGGCACCAAAAAAGAACTAGTTCGACAGGCAAATCACAGCCCCGCTCTTCCCACATGGCGTGATATCCCGTTCTAAGATTGGGTGATATCACCTCACTCGACGACTCAGCTGAAAAGTGGTCCCCAAGGTTCGAGCACCAAACAAGCACGGAGCTGTTGGCATCCTAGCTTCCCCGTGCTGCCATTATTGGTGCCTTGTCGTCTCGCTTGTCCGAATGATGTTGTCACTGAGGGGTATGGAGAGGGGCGATTCCTTTCTATTCTATTCTGCCCCCTTTCTGGCTGGGGGATAAATAAAGTGATCGGCGATCGCCTGGATTCTGTTGATAGAATCCCCTTTAAATACTCCAGCTTCCCTCATCATCTTTGCCTTTGCAAACTATTTCTCTTCCCATTTCAAACACATCCCCCCAACCCACCAAGATGTCTTACCGCAACGATTCCGACAGCTACGGCAGTGGCAACCAGAGCTCCGGCTACGGAGGCAATGACTCCAGCTATGGCAACAAGTCTAGCTACGGTGACAATGACTCCTCCAGCTATGGCAACAAGTCCAGCTCTGGCCGTGACAACGAGTCCTCCAGCTACGGCAACAACAAGTCCAGCTACGGCGACAATGACTCCTCTAGCTACGGCAACAAGTCCAGCTCTGGCCGTGACAACGAGTCCTCTAGCTACGGCAACAACAACAACAAGTCTAGCTACGGTGATAACGATTCCTCCAGCTACGGCAACAAGTCTAGCTCCGGCAACAAGTCCAGCTACGGCGAGAGCAACAAGAAGTCTAGCTACGGCGACAATGACTCCTCCAGCTACGGCAACACCAATAAGTCTAGCTACGGTGACGACAACAAGAAGTCTAGCTACGGTGACGACCACAAGAAGTCTAGCTACGGCGACAATGACTCTTCCAGCTACGGAAACACCAATAAGTCTAGCTACGGCGACGACAACAAGAAGTCCAGCTACGGTGACAACAACTCCTCCAGCTACGGCGAGAGCAACAAGAAGTCTAGCTACGGCGACAATGACTCTTCCAGCTACGGAAACACCAATAAGTCCAGCTACGGCGACGACAACAAGAAGTCTAGCTACGGTGACGACAACAAGAAGTCTAGCTACGGCGACAATGACTCCTCCAGCTACGGCAACAAGTCTAGCTCCGGCAACAAGTCCAGCTACGGTGACAACGACTCCTCCAGCTACGGCGAGAGCAACAAGAAGTCCAGCTACGGCGACAACGACTCCTCCAGCTATGGCGACAACAAGAAGTCTAGCTACGGTGATAACGACTCCTCCAGTTACGGCAACAAGTCTAGCTCCGGCAACAAGTCCAGCTACGGTGACAATGACTCCTCCAGCCACGGAAACACCAAGAAGTCCAGCTACGGTGACAACGACTCCTCCAGCTATGGCGACAACAAGAAGTCTAGCTACGGCGACGACAACAAGAAGTCCAGCTACGGTGACAACGACTCCTCCAGCTACGGAAACACCAAGAAGTCTAGCTACGGTGACAACGACTCCTCCAGCTATGGCGACAGCAACAAGAAGTCTAGCTACGGCGACAATGACTCCTCCAGCTACGGAAACACCAAGAAGTCCAGCTACGGTGACAACGACTCCTCCAGCTATGGCGACAATAAGAAGTCCAGCTACGGCGACAATGACTCCTCCAGCTATGGCGACAGCAACAAGAAGTCTAGCTACGGCGACAATGACTCCTCCAGCTACGGAAACACCAAGAAGTCCAGCTACGGTGACAACGACTCCTCCAGCTATGGCGACAACAAGAAGTCTAGCTACGGCGACGACAACAAGAAGTCCAGCTACGGTGACAACGACTCCTCCAGCTACGGAAACACCAAGAAGTCTAGCTACGGTGACAACGACTCCTCCAGCTACGGCAACAAGTCCAGCTCCGGCCGTGACAATGAGACCTCCAGCTACGGCAAGTCCAGCTACGGTGACAACAACAACTCCTCCAGCTACGGCGACAGCAACAAGAAGTCTAGCTACGGCGACAATGACTCTTCCAGCTACGGCAACACTAAGAAGTCCAGCTACGGTGACAATGACTCCTCCAGCTACGGCAACAAGTCTAGCTCCGGCCGTAACGAGGATAGCTACGGCAGTAGCAACGACGCTCTCGAGGCTATTGGTAGCAAGCTTTTGAACAAGGCTGAAAGTTCGTGATTCCCCTCCTACATACTAGGCCCGTTTTTAAGATGACTTACTAACTCAATGATCGTTTTAGGCTACCTCAACAAGAACCGCGATTAAATAATTACATCCATCCAGTATTCAGGCTCTGTGGACAGGTGCCCATTGAGTCTGGGTAGTAATTTTGACGAAGCTTCCGGGTATATTTGAGCCATTTATGAAAGTTGTGTTCCAGGAACTATTTGTACATATTGAGACATGAAATTTGATTCATATATTGCCTCTATTGGAACACATATCGAAACATCATCCAAAAAGTTACACAAGCTTGATGTAAATCGCATGACTTATGATCGCCTTAATTTGACCATTTGCAAGACCGGATGTTGATCTAGTTACAAGGCGACAGGCGCTATAGTAACCTCTTTAGCTGCCTTGCTCCTGGTCCTTGCTCGCCGAGAAACTAGTGACATGTTAAATGCCATTCCTATGGAAGTGAATGTAAATACGATTCTGTTAATGTGCGGAAGGTGATAGCTGTCTTGAGCCTCTGATTGGTATGCTTTCGTTTGTCGTTCGATATCTATCGAGACTTTTCTGACTCTTCCACAGGCCAACTAGTGGAGCAGACGAGAAAATCGTTTAACCATTACGCATTTCTTTCATATGAGATGACAGTATTTAAAAGAGTCGCGGATGACCCTTTTCTTCTCTTGGATCCATTTGGACACAATGCCACAATTCCATCTCTCTGCCGATTATTCGCCGGTTTCTAGTTACTTGGGTTAGAGGATCTGAGGTGTATTGAAGAGACAAACTTTGACTGCCTCAAGGTAAGTATCTCGAATGAAAGGATGAATCAACATACAGCGGCTAATATATAGAAAAGCGACAAGGGCCTCCGGGGATACGATCATCCCAGCAGGACGAATTAGACCATGAGACAGGTGAAAGTGTCTCTACAGCTATTGCATCACAATCTTCAACGGGCATACCTACTATCACAAGGGACAGTATGATCATCGATACTGGTACAGTTATACCCATCGTGGTGAGCTGTAATGAGAAACTTTCAAGCCCTCGGTATAGTGCTAAGGCAGTGTACTCAGCCAAACACAATGGCAAATGTGCCATCGCACAATGCTGGCAACCGGACATGTAAGCCATGGTCCGCTCCATGAAAACGGTTATGCTTTAATCATGGAACAAAGAGAAGGCCAGAAGTTATGGAGTATCTTGAATGAGCTTTCGATTGCTGAGCAAAGCCATGTGAGAGCCGAGTGTCTTCGTGGGCTCAATGCGCTGCGTGCTGTATCTATTGGAGTAGACGATCCCGGCATGCACAATATTCAGAGAAGGCTTGTTACCCTTCTGGATTTCGAGCTTGCTATTGACTGTCCCCGTCGTATTATATATCCCCAGAGCTTGAAATGGGTGGGATTTTTGGATCTCAGGACATGGTGATGAGGGCTTTGAATCAGCTCTCTATTTCTGACTGTTGACTTGGTCCTTTTGGCTTCCTGGCATGAGCTGTATCTAGCTCATGGAGCCAGAATAGGCTTATAACAGTTGTATTGGTGCTACGTAGATAAGCATTTACACTCTTCTGGCTTCGTCACAATATAATCAGATATATCCCTAGGCAAGATTCCATAAAAGACCTCATAGAACATCGCAAAAGACGCCAAAAACGACGACGTAAAAGATATCGCACAAGACCCAAGGAGCCAACATCTCTTATACCATCTCGAGTAAGCTGGTTTCATCTACTTAGAATACATATGATGTATGTATGTACCTGGCAGGTCCATCGCCACTTGGGCAAGGACAACGGCATGGACTACCAATTCTTCCAAGCTTACAGATATGTAAAATTTGAGTGCAGCTTTCACAAAAGAACACTTTGACTCCATCAGATCAAGTCGAATTTTCTTTCTCTATCCCCCAGTGATAAATTAAGCTCCCTCGAAATATACTCCTGGGATAGACCTCAGTGTGTCGTGGCCTTGGATCTACGAGTATATTACTTAGAGATTAATGGTTTTCAGGGCATGGAGTAGAATCATTACCTCGTTTCACAGAGGTGCTCAATTAAGTCTATCATATCTATATAGGTAATCGTCCATGTGTGAGTGACCTCTGTGTACGGAGTATACTGTACCATTATTCTAAGATCGCCGATAATCCCCCTAGAGGAAGTCGAGGTATGGAACAATCAAAGTGCATGAAGCAAAATATATAAATCAGCCAATGGTTATCCCTAATAATAATTGCTCAGTCAACTTTAGTTGGACATCTATGTGCAGTGGTGTAGGGGGGAAGTTCCAGTTGAGGATCTGGGATCTGGGGTTCATCACCGCCCGGACGCTAAGTTTGTATTGACAACATCCAATTTACGCCATCACTTGCTCTTCCACTCCTCCCCTCTTCAATGCCCCAATAAGAGCGACTGGTCAAAATGCGGCTCCAGGCGGCGCTCTTTTTCGCCGCGTGCCTATCGCCCGCGGCGGCCATCTACTCTGACGAGGTCAATCACATTGACTTCCACCACGCTCTTCTCGGTTCCCCCTCCCCCGACTCGACTTTCTTCCTCAAGCCATCCTCATCCTCGAATGCCTCCCTTCTTTATACGCTATCCGACAAACTCCTTGTGGGTGCCGTGAATCCCCGCGACGGTGCGCTGGTATGGCGCCAGAATCTCTCGCGGTCGGCGGACTCTCCCGCGAATGCGGCGGGTCTCTTACGCGGATTGGATGGCAATGATGCCCTTGTTGGTGCGGCAGGTAGCTATATTTCATCCTGGAGTGCCCAGGACGGCAAGGTCGGCTGGGAAAACCGGATCTCTGACGGTGTGGTCGCCGATCTCGAGCTGTTGGAGCTTGAGGATGCTACCGCGTCCGGACTGCGGGATACGGTTGCTGTGGTTGCTAGCGAGGGTACCGGAATCGTGAGACGGCTTGATGGCAACACTGGAAAGACTGTTTGGGAATATAAGGATACCAGGTTGGTATTATCTCTGACTTTCCACATGTCTCAAAGCTGATGGGTTGTTCTTCTAGTGGTGATGTTCCGTTCCAAGTCTCGTCCTCGTCTACGGAAATCTTCTACATTTCGCTCCAATCGGCATTGTTGAAGGGCTACAAGATCAAGGTCACTGCTTTGGATCCATTGAGCGGACAACCGACTCGCCAGCAGACTCTGAACTCTGAGACCGATGTGACTACCCCGGAATCTGTCCTCTACGTGGGCGCTAACTCCGCCTCGCCCATCATCGTTTGGACCGACAAGTCGCAAAAGTCTCTGAAGGTCAATGTTATTGGTACCAAGGAGGTTACTTCTATTGCCATTGACAATATCTCCGGTTCCGAACTTCGACAGATCACAGTTCACGCTCCTCACAAGCTGAACGCTCTGCCCCATTTCTTGGTTCACTATGCAACTGAGGCTGGAGCCTGGGCTGAGGTTTACCACGTGGACTTGAAGACTGCTAAGGTGACCAAGGCTTACCAGCTGCCATATCTGCGCGGTCAGTCGGCGGTCGCGGCTAGTGTCATTGACGCCAATGTCTACTTCACTCGAATCTCGGATTCGGAAGCTATTGTTGTATCCTCCACCTCTCATGGAATTCTGGGCCGTTGGGATTTGCAGAAGCCTTCTTCTGACAATGCTCTCCACTCGGTCTCCGACGTTGTTGTGAAAGGAAAGTCTGTGGCTGTTAGGTCGGCGCTTTTCCGGAAGCACGGAGATTGGCAACTTGTCCGAAATGGCCAGGTCGAATGGACCCGGCATGAGGGTCTCATTGATGCCGTCGCAGCCACCTGGGCCGAGACTGATGCCCAAGAGGATCTGGTTCATGAGCTGGAGGTCGAGGGCCACCAGACTTTGTCCGGCGCATACCTTCACCGGGTCAAGCGTCATGTCCGGGACTTGCAACATCTACCTGACTGGCTGAAGGATCTTCCTAAGCGCATTTTGAGTAGTATTCTGACTGACGAAGTCTCCAACCTTGACAGCTTTGGAGTCGCCAAACCAGTCATTATCGCTACCAAAAATGGCCGTTTGTACGCTTTGGATACTGGCAACCACGGCATCGTTTCGTGGGGTATCCAGGCTGTAGAGACATCACAGTGGGAAGTGAAGGCTATTTTGGCCCCAGCAGGAGTTGCCACCGTCCACTCTGAGGATGGAAGCTCTGTGACCGTCGATGTTTCGACGGGAGAGATCATCACCCGCAGCGAACCTTCCAACAACAAGCTCCGCTCGATTGCTGTATTTGGGGCACAGGATGGAAGCTCCCTGACCACCGTCGGTATCACTGAAGACGGTTCCCCAGTCACTACATTTGCCAATGAAGATGACTTCTTGGTTACCACTAGTGCTGATGGACGAGTCCTCGGTTGGATTGCAAAGGATAACCAGACCCCTGTCTGGGAGTTCATTCCTCCATCTGGAGAAAAGGTCGTTGATGCGACCGCCCGCCCTGCGCATGATCCTGTTGCTTCTATTGGCAAGGTCCTTGGAAACCGCTCGGTTCTCTACAAGTACCTCAGCCCCAACCTGGCTCTGGTGACTGCAGTGAACGAGAAGACCCACACTGCCAGCTTCTACTTGTTAGACGGAGTCTCAGGCAAGATCCTGCACGCAACCACCCAAGCAGGTGTTGACTCCACGCAGCCCATTGCATCCACGATGTCCGAGAACTGGTTCGCCTACTCATTCTGGGGCGATGTTGAAGGCACTGAGTCCTCTGCCAAGGGCTACCAACTGGTTATCTCGGAACTCTACGAATCCCCCTTCCCTAACGACCGTGGTCCTCTCGACTCCGCCAGCAACTACTCGAGCACTGCTGTCCTACCGCTCCCCCACGTCATCTCCCAGGCTTTCATGATTCCTGAGCCCATCTCCCACATGGCTGTCACCCAAACCCGCCAGGGCATCACCACTCGCCAGCTCCTCTGTACCCTCCCCTCCTCTAACTCTATTGTCGGGATTCCTCGCCCTGTCCTGGACCCCCGCCGCCCTGTTGACCGTGATCCTACTGCGGCTGAGGCCGAAGAAGGCCTGTTCCGCTATGCGCCCTTCCTCGAATTTGATGGTAAATGGTACCTCTCGCACACTCGCGATGTCGCTGGTATTAAGGCTGTGCTTTCTCGTCCCACTCTGTTGGAAAGTACCAGTCTTGTCCTCGCTTACGGAAGCGATATCTACGGCACCCGAGCCACGCCCAGCCAGGCATTTGATATCCTCGGCAAGAACTTCTCCAAGCTCCAGCTTGTTCTCACTGTGGTGGCACTCGGAGCTGGTGTCACCGTGTTGGCCCCGATGGTATGTTCTTCTGTCTCTGATATGGTCCCTGGAGATGGGTTTGCTAATAGTTATCTTGTTTTTAGACTCGGAGGAAGCAAGTTAATGCCTTGTGGAAGGCTTAGATCTTCTTGGCTCATATATAATGTGTCATATTGTGCTTTAGACTGTAATACATACGTCGTTTGTCAACTTCTACGTGTAGCATCTTAAGTTTTACCTGCAGTGAAATAGGCAGCGCGTAGATGAACGTTGATGCTTGGTGACCATTGATCATTTTGGCCTACGTAGTACATGAAAGCGATTTCGAATTTAATCCATCAGAGGTAAAATTCATTGGTCATAGGAAACATTTCATTCATAAAACTTCATAAATATGATGTCGAAGACATCTATCCCGATATCACCGACCTCGGGAATATATACAAAGCAGAACAGGAAACCCCAGAGATCAACTTAGAATCATCCACAACGTAAGATCCAACGTACCAGGTTTCCCGCCAAAGAATCAAACCACCCAGCCAATCTCAATACAACGGCATGGCCGACTGATTAGAATAATCAATATTACTCTCCACATTCTCAACGCGCTCAGCACAAGTCCCAAAAATGCGATCCCAAAGCCTAGTCTGCTTCCCATAGTTATGACTCTTCTTCCAACCCTTCCGATGATGCAAATCATGATCCTCAATAACAAGCTCCGCATTAAACCACCGCAGCGCCCAACTCAACGTCGACGGCGGCGTAGCAAGAACCCGCAATCCACTGTGTCCCGCCAACTCCGCAAACACCACATACTGGTGACATACCCACCACTCGTAGAATCCCATCGGCATACCCATGAACCGCATGCTGTAGTACGCCATGAGCGGGATACCGAGGATGTCGAAGAACTCCTGCTCCGTATCGGCGTATAGCGTTAAAAGCGGGTTCGGATGCTTAGTGAGGTGATGGGTTCGGTGGTATTTCCAGAGTACCTCGACATCATGCATGAGTCGGTGGTACCAGTAGAACCAGAAATCGAGGATAATCCCGTACAGTCCGATCTCAAGGGGCAGCCAGGCAAAACTCATGCTCGAGGGCGGGTGGGTGGCGTGGTAGGCGATGAAGACGGTGAACATTGGACGGAAGGTTGATGTCGACATAAGTGAGCGGACGACCTTTGTGACGCCGATATCTGGTATGCCGTCGCGGGCGTGCTTGTCGCCGTCTAGGAAGCCGTGCTGGTGGCCTAGGCGGCGCAGGACGCGGAGCTCGTGGATGGCGATGGCTTTGAAGGCGATGGAGTACAGGATGAAGGCGCCCCAGGCGCTGAGGTCGCGGCCTGTGAGCTCCACGTAGGCGTGGTGGATTAGGAGGGGGATCACGGCGTGTGTGAGCACCCACCGGTGCATCGACCAGTCTGGGACATAGGGCATGGCGTCTTCTTTGGGATGTACGGGGATGTCCCGGTCGAGATGGTCGGGGTGGATACCTAGTAGCTCGAAGAACCAGTGGGAGAGAGTCCACTCTGAGCGGGCTTGTTGCCGCCAGGTGGACTTCATGGAGTCTTTTGGATTGCGCTCCATTATGGCTGCTTCATACGCAGAACTCTGTGTCTCAAGAGCAGCGGAAATCCTCTAGCCAGGTACCGGGGGCGGGAGTGGGTTTAAATGATTGAGCTTATTGTCGATCAGTCCCCAGCCATTCGGCGACGGGCGATGTTCGGTGCATGTGAAGAATACCCCCTCGCTTTCACGCTCACTGCGGAAGCGAGCCTCGGGCATTTTGGACTGGAACAGGATGTTGATCGTATCCCGTTAGGGTCTGTTCCGCAACCAACATGGTCGTTTTAGCGCGTTAGCTGGCACTTGGCCTCAACAGATCTGTCGTATTTCCGTGATTCCGTGGGGATGATAGCATGATGATGCACGTTGTAGATGCTTAACTTGTCCGAATCGATGTACTCCGTAATCCGTACTGTTGTTGGATTTGCCCCCAAGTCATGTGAATTTCGTGCCCTCATTTTTCATTCGTCACAAGAATCGACCTTTCTGGATGTTTCGTAGGAAGTCCTCTACCGATGACTATCGTATGATTCATGATCAGATAATCGATGATCTTTTCCCTCTTGGAGAATCTTCACAACGGCTCGGCTACATTGTAGATCCTAGGTGGAAGTCAATGATTATATATCAACAAATTCCTACTTTCATTTCTCTGGCTGATCTTTCCGTATCCATTCAGATGATTTTATTCTGATGAAACTCGACAGATACGGTAGGTTGGCAGTATATACCTTGGCGAGGAATATTTATAGAACAACTACGGAGTACGGAGTACTAGGCGAGACACTAGGAGCACACTACATCAAGCATACCCTTTTAGGAAGGTTTGGGCTGAAACAAGCCTTCCATAATCCACAACTGGGGAAGCTGGGGTAAGCTGAGGAAAAAACAGTACATAAATGTTAGGAAACCAAGCTGCTGCTAGGATCCTTTACATTGTAGACACATGTAATTTTTATCTTATAACAAATTATTATGTAGGCAGAAAAGAACATGCCATGTAATAACTACATTAATATATGCCTCGGATTGAGATCTGCATTATCTTGTGCTAAGTCACATTGCTAGTATGTATGTCCACACACAAACCCCGAAACCATTAATCCTGCTGTCTTTCTATAATATGCGCTCTATGCGGCCACAGGGTTCTCCGTCTCATCAACAGACAACTGATTAACCTTAACAGCCACGTTGTCAATAGCCTTCTCGCTGTCCTCTACCGTCGTCTCGGCCTCGGTAGCCGCACAGTCTGCCTTCTCAGCGGGCTTAGGGCTGGGCTCTGAGACGGAATCCTGTGTCCTGGGAACGGGGATGGTCTCTCTCCGCTCCTTTCCATCCACAGTTCCCAGCACCTTGAGGTGGTCACCCTCAAACAGCACAGGACCCTTGAGGATATCCTTCCGTGTTTGGCCAGCGGCGAGCGGCTGCTCCAAACCGCGGAGCAGTTCACGGCTGGGCTCGTCCAGGTTGGGCATCTGGCCCCAAGTCCAGTCGAGCTGGCCCCCGTATTGCTTCGGGATGCTGGTGGGCTCCATGAAGGATGTGAGAGTGGGGGAGACCTCTGCGGCAGAGAGAATGAAGATCTTCGAGGTGGTGCCTGGATCGAACCAGCGCTTGATCCAGCCCCAGACGGTAGGGAAGAACGAGGGGGCTCCGATAATCTAACAGCGGGTCAGTTCCAGTGTCTCTAAACGCCAAAGCGCAAGCGAAGATTGAGGACAGAGTCAACATACGAAGATCCGGTCTAATGTCTCCGGGTAGTGCGCCGTGGCTAAAACACTAGCATCCTGCATGTGGGTCTTCAAATTCCAGAATTGTTTCAGTCCAACACCGCTGACATCGACGATGTTGGTTGAGGTCACGATAGGCGTCTCCGGGTTAGGGCGCTGAAGAGCCGAAGAAAGCGGCATCACGAAGCGAAGAAGGTTCTCGTACAAAGCGAAGAGGTTCAGCAGACGCGCAGGGACGGTGGATGACTTGTGTGTTTCGGGTGTACCGCTGGTCAGTGTGGAGTTGTAAGCGGCAACAGCCTTGCTGTCCAGGTGGCGGATCTCGAAAACGTAGACGGGGATTCCGCGGCGATCGCGACGGCCCGTCCATTGGGGGTACTGTAGAACTCGCACAGATCAGCATGGGCCTTTTATCGGAGTTGCAAGAGACTTTGATACGCACCATGCGCCGAGAGGCCTCGTATGAATCCACGCTAATATTGGCGTATAACGACTCGATGGCGTTATCTTTCCGCCAGTTTTCGGTGTCTTTGAACTGAGCCCAGGCTCCATCGATGTCAAACTTGCGGGCTCGCAGGAAGCGCCTATCGTAGATCCCAGTCAGTATTTGATTGCCCTGTTTGACTCACGTCCCCGGAGTATAACGCGGGGGCGCAACTTACAATAAAGTAGCATCATCGTGGCTGGCGGGCTTCGCTTCAACACCCTCTGCTTGTTCCACAGCAGGAGTATAGTACTTCTTCTCAGCACATAGCGCCTTGAACTGCTGCAACTTTCCCTCTTGTTCCGGTGTAAGGTGGTGCAGGTGTCCGGCGAGCCATGCAGTACCAGCAGCTTGTGAGGCGGAGGCGGAAGGATCGTTGTTCGGTGTGGACTCGGTATGCGCCGAGTCCTTCTCAGGCTCCTGTGGCGTTTTGCTACCCCAAAACATAGTGAAGTCTTGGTGTCTTTTGTCTGTTATTTTTATTTGGAGGAGAGATCGGCCTTTAACCAAGCCCGCGGGGGCGGCAAAGGGGCGGTGAATTCCTTCGGCGAGTTTGTTTGGTTCGAGTGGGGCCTGTGGCTTGTTGGTGGCTTGGCTTGTGGCTTGGTTTGGGGGTCTCCAGGGATCCTGACACAGGTTTACGAGAATCCGAACTATCAATCTGCACTATTGGTTTCACTTTCCACCATGGATATCTGTCATCTCGTGTTCTGCTAGGGTTAGGCCTATCGGATTGGATCCCTGCACTGGGGTGATCGACACAGAAAATGGCATCCTTCCAGCGCACACGGAGCACTCCGTACATACTCCGTACGCCGTACTCCGTACAACTACTCAAAAATCAGTCAACGAGGCTATCAACCTGTCGAATCCTTCGACTATGCATATTGCTGCCTGGAGTAGCCTTATAAATTGCATCAAGGTCCCACGATGGCTAGAGTCTCAATCACTTCTCTTATACTCCGTACCTCGTACCTCGTATTGATTCGTACGCCCTGGCTACTCCATTAACTACCATCACCCCAAGATGAATCAATTCCGTGAATCTCTACTGGGTCCCTCGCCAAAAGGCACCGACCTCACCGCATTTGACAGTGCCTCTGATCAGCAGGATGTACGGGAATGCGTAGCCCGGGGCGAATTTGAGGAACTCCGAGGAGCAGCCTTCTTCAACCGAACTGGGATCATCAGCGAGCGGTACTGCAGGATTGGTGACGGAGTGGACTCTCTCGAAGGCTATCTTCACTCCCTATGGCATATCTACTACCAGCTCAGCCGACATGCGTCGCATGAGACCCCCGAGCAGGATCGTCTGGTTCTCGACATCCTCCGCATCCAGGGAAAAGGCCCATTGACCAGACCCGTGTCAGGAGTGTACGGCATCGAAATTGCCCGGACAGCCGAAGGCACGCTGTGGAACGACCTGCCATTCTTGGTCACCGACATGACCGATTTCTGGGCTGATAACTGCGCGTCACTGGCAGGTGACCAGCGTCTTAATTTTGCGTCTTTCCTCGCTAAACTGGCGTCAACCCGTGTCGGTAAGGATAGGATGTGTCAGATCGCTCTTATCCTATTCCGTGCTACGCTTGAAGAGAGACGAGACCTTCAAACAAGTGAGCCCGATACTGAGGATCCTAAACGGAATCTTGGGGACCTTACCATTGCACAGTTGTTGCCAGCTGTCTGTGCGTGGATCACAGAGGCGGGTCAAAATCTTATTCAACTCTCGGACGTCTCGTGGAATGATTGCTCCGGCACGGTTGGCCAGGGTGGCCAGCTGTTCATTCAGTCGGAGCTTGGCCAGAGATCGCCGATTGGATTCACTCCATGGAGACTGATGTTCTGGCTCAAGCGACTTCATGAGATCCAGGAGGAGGCAAAGGAGGCTAATGAGGCACGCCTGGAGGAGTATGCCACGGACGCAATTGAGACCATAGTCTCGAATGTGGAGGAACGAAACTCGGAGATCCTGAGGGCTTACCAGGCCGGTGGGGATGCTTTGCACCAGGATAAACATTTGTACTGTCTGAGGGATCTTGTGAGCAGTGAAACCCCCGAGGATGATGATGACTCTCTATAAAATCGGATGATAAGCCTGCTCGGGCTTTTGTATCAAAATGGAAGAGAGTCAAAAGTTCCATGATCTAACATGAAGGTAGGCCTATGTGGTATAGGCTATTCAATCTATGCTTCACCATCCTCCACGATGGTCCAAGGATACAATAGAAATCAGGATCAAGGGATATTTCTGCCTAGGGTATTCTATTAATTCAATACTCGATGCTAGACTGAACAACACAAACAAATGCAAATACAAATCCGGCAAAAAAAAAAGAACCAAGCACCATGGGTACCACCGGATGTTAATAATAGGGCCAATCCCATATCTGTACAGATCGTCCTCGTACAGTTCAAAGATTCAAAAAATAAAAAATAAATACACGAAATTAGTCCTCGGTCAAGTCACCGTACTCCCAAATACCCCGGCGCTCAGCCTTGGCCTCGTCCTCAAGAGTGCGCAGGTTGGACAGGGTATCGACGGAAGCACGCTCCCACGCCTTCAGCTTGCGGGGCACCATAGCCAGACCCTCGTGGACGATGTCTGCGTTGATGCTGTTGTCCAGGTTCTTGGAGACAGAGGGGTCGAGCAGGGTGACGTGCAGGGTGCCGTCCTGGTCAACGTGGTCCACGTTTGCGACGAGCTGGCGGTCGAAGGTCTGGTCGCCGATGAAGCCAACGGCGTCTTCGAGGTAGTCCTCGGTAGTGGGGAACTGGAGGAGAGAGAGGACAGCATCGACGGCCTGGGGGCGGAGGCTTTGGCCGGAGAACTGGGGCTGGGTGAGAGGGCGGAGTGCGGCCCATGGTTGAGTCTCGGAGTTACCGAAGTCAACGTAGACAACCTCGGCTTGCTCCTTCTCGCGGTCGTTGCGGCGGATCTTGGCGCGGTACCAGTTGCCGTCTTCGGTGAACTTGGCGGCAACCCAGTCGCCGGCCTTGGGTGGGCCAGGCAACGGGGTGTCGTTGGCCTTGTTGATGTGGAATGAGCGGAAAGCGCTCATCAACTCGGTGAGCGCATTTGTGCCGGTGCCAATCTGTTGCAGCTTGAGCTTCGCCGAGGCAGGGTCGATGTAGGTGACCATCACGTCGCGGTAGTCCTTGCGACGCTGTGCAGGGGCGGCTTCGCTCTCAGTTCCGGTACCGCTGGCGGCCTCGGCTTGCTCGGCCTCAGCAGCCTCCTTGCTGGGATCCCAATCGTGCCACACACCCTTGCGGGCATCCTTAGCACGCTGTTCAGCGGCGAAGTACTCGGTGGCGTGACCAGACTGCTCAGCCGAGTATGCGTGGACGGTTGCCAGACCCTCCTCCAGTAGAACCTTGGTGAAGTTCTCCTTGTTGATGTATAGGCTGCCAATGAAACCACCAACCTTGTCAATGGTCTCAACGTCGATCTCAACGTCGCGCTGCATGCAGCGGCGGTTGGCAAGGTCGTGGGCCTCCTGACCGAAAGGCTCACCGGCGTCGCTGGGGCCACGGGAAGAGCGAGGGCAACGAATACCGGAGAGGACGAGGGTCAATTTGGCATTGTCGCGGGGAACGAGAACAGTGAAGCGAGAGCCAGACTTGACAAAATCGACAATAGCGGGGACACGCTTTTGACGCTGCAAGATACCAAGCTCGAGCTTGGCCTTCTGAACAGTCTCTGAGTAATCAATCACTTGCTTGGCCTTGGGGGGTTTTAGAGGACCACATTCCACGGCCTTCCTTCTGGGCGTCAGCCTCAGCGGCGAGCAGCTCGTCGTAGTCGGGAGAACGGTCGGTATCATCCATACGGTGGCGGATCACAGAGGAGTAGCCGGCTTGCACAAGAGCAACTGCCACATTAGTGTTGCCCTGGACAACAGTAGCAACCTCGCGCTCCTCGTAGCCTTCGTTAGCGGGCTTCTTGCCGTTCACAGTGACCATGACATGCTTGGCGATGATGCGCTTGCGCAGGAACTCCTTGGCCTCAGCAGCGAAGGGAGCCTGCTTGGGGTCAGAAGGCTTAGGTTGACGGATACTGGCAAGACTGATCTTCTTCTCCTGGCCGGCCTTGTTGCGGATGAAGAGGGTATCGGCATTCAGAACACGAGTGACGAGGTAGTCCACAGCGGCGGCGCCAGCAGTTGTGGAACCAGTGTGGCTAACCCACAATCCCTTACGATCGGCCTTGGCTGTAAGTTCCGCCTGACGGAGAAGGGCCATATCCGGACCCAAAAGTGTGGAGTGGTGATCCTGGCAGCGGGCCAGACCAGCCTCAAGAAGGAACCGGGAGATGTTTCCATTGGGGTGAAGCACGGTCGCGACAATCAGGCCCTGGGGCGTAACACCGAGAAGAGAAACCTTGACCTTGCGCTGCAGCAGTCGTGACTCGACAAACTCGTGTGCCTCATCACCGAACGGCTCAGCTGCCGTCTCCTTTCCGTCAGCAGTTGTGCGCTTAGCAGATGGCGCCCGAATACCGGCAATGGCGACAACAGTCTGAATGTGCTCCTGGGGCTTGAGCAGCAAGCGCAGCACGATACGGTCACCATTCAGGACCTTCTCGATGATACCCTCCAACTGGTGGCCCAAGTTGCGCTTCACCAAATCCCGAGCACCGGTCAACTCATAGGTAGTATCGATTTGGCCAGCGTTGCCACCAGCCCAAGTTCCCTTTCCTTCGTCCTGGGCGAGAGCCTCCAATGCTCGCAGGCGCGCTAGGAGCGCAATGGTCTCCTCAGACTCATCTGAACGCTTGCCAGCTTCCTCACGAACACGTGTCCAGCCCTCCTGCACACTGATATCGGGCAATTGAGCATCAAAGCCAGGCAGCTTGATGATACCGTAGTCGCGCTTGGCGCCGGTGGGGATGGTGTAGGCGACGTGGACCTCGACGACTTTGCCGACGAGCAGCTCACGGAGGAATTCGCGGGATTGGAAGGCGTAGGCCTATAATTTGGTTCTTAGATTAGCATTTCCCCTTCAATTTGAGTTTGCCTTCTGCAGTCACAGCTCTTTGATGCCATTCTCCAAGTAGCGAGCTCATGGACCAAAAATTGCCGATTGGAAAGCAAGCAACAATCTGATTCTCAATGGTGCGCCAAATGCAATAAATCTCAACAATGCACCTACCTCATCACCCTCCCTCCTTAATCTAGGAGCAGAGACATAGGCCAAACTCAAGATGCGTTCTTGTGAAGGGTTGGTGATATGCGACAGCACGACCGTGTCACCGGACAGGACGGACTTGACCCGGGCTTCAAAAGGCATGCTGAATGAAACCACTACACCACACGCTTTTTCAAATTGGAATGAAACACCAAGAATTCAGAGTAACACAATTAAGAGAAAAAGAAGTTAACAGGGAGATTGTCCTGAGGGGAAACGTGGCCGGTGTTTAGACTTGTGGGGGAAAGCGGTCAGTGGCCGATCCGAGCTTCTACGGAAAGTCTACGAAGATCGAAGATCGAAGCTATGCCACGATCATGACAGATATACAAGGAAAATATGTATGTCAAAAATGGCATTCATTCATGTATCGTATCCTGGACAGGGGTTATCCTGCACTTTTCAGCCATCAATTACGATGAGGATATCAGAACCGAAGCTCCAAAAAAGGAAAGAGTGCGCATTTATGCGGCAATACCAATGACACCTGATGTTTCTCATTAGCATTCATCTCTACAAGTCACCAGGGATGCACTTACCGCAGGCAGGACGGGGGCCGGCGTTACCAGTCTTCTTGGACTCCTCGTTGCCTCCCTTGCCAAGGTCATCAGTACCGGCGTGGACGACAAGAGTGCGCTAAGCAAAAACAATTAGCAATTTGTCTTGACGATGTCAGGTACAAGATATCAAGATAAACTTACGCCCAGAACGGACTCGGCACCAATCAGCTTGACAAGGTTGTCCTGCTTGGAGCCGTTGGCGTTACCCTCAGCATCGGTCTTGAAGTTGCCAAGGTCACCGACGTGACGGTCAGTATCGGTGGGAGCACCGTGGTTCTTGCCGAAGGGGTTGACTAAGAAGCGATCAGTCTTCTATTCTTTCTGTGCTCCGTGGCATATGAGGCACGACATACAGTGGGGGCCAGCGGAGGTGCAACCGTTGGTGTTGTCACCGAACTGGTGAACGTGGAAAGCACGCTCAGCGTTGGCGTCGTGGCCGGTGATGTTCCACGAGATAGTGGTGGGGGAGTTCTCATCAGCCTGCTCGAAGGTGACGGTTCCGGCGACCTTAGCGTCACCACGGAGGACAGCAACTGTACGGGAAAGAATTGTGGTTAACAAATTGTTCTAGAAGGCTTCTCGAAGGCCTCCCATGGCTCTCCGAGCTCCTGAGGTCCCATCACAGCCCCAATACGGGTAATGCCGCACTGGCCCAAGATCAGGGCAGCGGGTTTCCCCATCGTCCCAGGGGCTTTGACAGACATCCAGAGAGCAGTGGAGAGCTGGAGCGAGGATGCAAGCCGATAGGCTGGGAGTTGAGCCCAGGATCACAAGGTGCTCAAATCTGCTCACACCCAAGGTCCCCTTGCCACGCACGATGGGGAACATGGAGAAGCTTATGTATGGCCCTGCAGAAAGCCAATAATGCACAGTACTTACCAGCCTTAACCATTTTGATTAGATTGAATTGGATTAACTTGAAGGATTGAGGAAGAGGAGTATTGTGAGAGAAGAGAAGAGGAAGTGGGCGGACGAAGATAATAAGTGGATGATGTTGACGTGACTCTATATCTTACGAACTAAGTACCGGGTACAAGTATTGCCGCATCAACAGGACTGTCTACACTGGTACCCGGTACCTAATACCGGAACAAAACATCCCCCACCTTCCCAAGCGGGCAGCGAGTCGGAAGGGGAAATGACATAAGGCGCCCCCGTTGTCCAATTTTTGCGCTGCACCTCTTGCATATACACTGTCTTTAGTGGCATTTAGACTGGTGTCAGCCCCTCTGGTACGGATATATGCTTGTGACTTGCCTCTGCTATTGCTGCGTAGATACCTGCAATGACGTTATATGTAATTCATACCGTTGCACAATGTGCTGCCTCACCTGCCTCACACCATAAGCTGGAATGGCATCCTATCAATTGACACAACCTCGGGTAACATCTCAGGATGGCCATGTCGGCTCTTCAGGGAATGATACCATCGCTGAACAATGGCTAGGTGGTGCGGGGTTCTGAATTGTAAGCCGGCCCGGCCAGATTCCGCAGCTTACCCCTCGGTCTAATTTATACCCCGAAACACCGCAGAAACATGAGAGCAGAATAAGTTCATCAATTCGTATCTACCGATTCCAAATTTTTTTGTGGATCGCCAATTTACACAAAATTTAAACAATTAAAGATGACCCAATTTAAGCCTGGATCTTCTGGGCAAGAAGCTGCTTGAGGGTGACGGCATCGGCAGCGAACTTGGAGATACCCTCACGGAGCTTCTCAACAGCCATAGCCTCCTCGTTGAAGTCGAAACGGAATGCAGCCTCGTTGTTGAGGTACTCGCGCTTCTTGAGGTCAAGGCTGGCGGCACCGGCGGGGTTGAGCTTCTGGGGCACAGCCTCGGTGGAGTTGTAGAGGTCCTCAAGGAGGTTGGGGGAGATGGTCAGGTAGTCACAGCCAGCAAGCTCGGTGATCTCGCCAGTGTTACGGAAAGAGGCACCCATGACAATGGTCTGGTAACCGAACTTCTTGTAGTAGTTGTAGATGTCCTGGACGGACTTGACACCGGGGTCCTCCTGGGCGGTGTAGTCGCGCTTGTGGGCAGCCTTGAACCAGTCAAGGATACGGCCAACGAAGGGAGAGATAAGGTAGGCACCGGCCTCGGCGGCGGCAATAGCCTGGACCAGAGAGAACATGAGGGTCAGGTTGCAGTTGATGCCGTGCTGAGACTGGAGGATGTGAGCGGCCTTGATGCCCTCGTAGGTGGAGGCGATCTTGATCAGGACACGGTCCTTGGAGATACCGTTGTCGGCGTAGAGCTGGGTGGCCAGAGTCAGCTTGGGATTGTCCGGGAGGCTATTAGAAAGACCATTCGACATACCTTGATGATCTCGAGAGCCTTCTTGACGGAGGCGTCGGTATCGAAAGACAGCTTGGCGTCGACCTCAGTGGAGACCTTGCCGGGGATAATGTTGAGGATCTCCTTTCCGAACTGGACGAGGAGACGGTCGAGAGTGGCCTCAACCTGCTCATCGAGGGTCTTGCCGTTCTGCTTGCCGTAGGCAACGGCAGTGTCGATGAGAGCGGCGTACTCGGGCTTCTTGGAAGCAGCCAGAATCAAAGAAGGATTGGTGGTGGCATCCTGGGGCTTGTACTTGCCAATAGCTGCATGTTATGTTAGCGAAGTGTTCAATGCTGGAACCAAGGGGCGGTCGAGGAAGTTGGGAAACATACTGGCGAAGTCACCTAGAAAATTCATGTTAGCGTGTTTTCAAGCCAAATTGAGCACCGTGATAGCTTACCAGAGTCGCAAACGACGACGGTGCCAGAGGCCTTGAGCTGCTCGAGAGAAGAAGACATTTTGAATAGCTAAGTCAAGAAAATTGAAATGACAATCGAAAGTGGATGGAGAAGAGAAAGAGGAGTGGCGGGCGGCGCGGTATTTAGATGGAGGGGTGGTGTCATGGACCAGAACCAGCTCAATTGCCAGGTACCTGTGTTTACTATGGGCCGGCCATAACAAAGACAAGTACCTTGCCCCCCCTGTTTCCCAAGATGGTGGGGCAAATGACGCTGCGCAATGAAATCAGACAGCTGTTTTGTTGGCGCTCTTTTGTTTCTCTTCTGTTCTTCTTTTCGACTCCCTGGAACCTCCGTTCTCTACTCTTTTTTTTTCCAATCTAACGAACCTGTCATAGATCTTCAACTATATGACCTCATAGCTGTTCTGTAGCAGACAGGGGAGAATCCCAAATCCGGCGCAGTGTGCTCCGACTTCCAACCGGAGGATCGTAGACCGGACAACGCGGCCCACTACTGGAGCGGTTACTGCAATGCTCACCGGAGGGCCGGATAAATACGACGGCTACTTATGGAGACCAATGATTTCCAAACATTTTTGCTATGGACACTAATTCTTGGGCTGGCGGGGATCGCCTGAAAAGGAAATCGCAAATGGCCACTAGAGCTGTCTATCATGGGCTTTTACATAGGCCTGGTAGTTTTGGAATCTGACCATGGATATGGGAAAGGGGAAGGGGGTGTGGTCGGGGAAATTTAGCGGCGTTGGATGCAGTTCCACTCATACTATGCATCGTGTTAGCTTCGTCAATTGCATACAACTGAGGACAAGCACTCACCACTCGGCCGGCTTCATCCCCGGTATAGACCACAAGAGGGAGAGCCAAAATACAACTGATACCCACGCTGATGTTGGCACCATTGTCGCGACTGCTGTCAGTGTGATGTAGCTGTCGGATCAACTCCAACTCGAACTGGCCGCCGCGAATGCTCTTGCTCCAGATGTTGACGACGCCACGAGTATGGCCTGTCAACACCAATTCGCGCTCCAGCCACTCATTCTGGAGTCCCTCGTAGAAGACACAGGACAAGACACGATCGTCAGCCGACTCGCAGACCACTTGGTCTACCAATACTATACCATTTAGTGTATATAAAGTCAGGCGATTGCCGCGACAGACCATGATGTCCCCAGAGACATCGTTGATTCGGGCACACTAATTCATCAGTAAAAGAGAGCAACCGGTAGAACAGAGGTAACGTACATCGACCGCACCGTCGGCGGGGAGGGCTCGCACAAATGATCGCCGATTGAGATCCCAAAGCATGATCTGTCCGTCATTGGAGGCAGACAATAAAGCACTGAAAGAGCGTGAGACAGCGAGCACCGTGACCGGTGCTCGGTGGCCAAAGAGAGACCCGATAGGCTGCAAATCGACTGACTTGGACGTTGCAGTCACCGTCCATAGCGAGATGGTACAATCTGTACCGCAAGTGACCAATGTGCGGGAATCCGCGAAACCGGCATGCGACAATTGACCAACATGAAGATGCTCAAAGTGACCCAGCAGCTTGCGAGTATCGGCAGAATAGAAACGAACACTACCATCAAAGAATCCCCATTCCATGTAGTAGTCATAGGTTGGTGGCACATTAAGCCTCAAAGCTGCAGTACACAGCAGACGGTCTTGTTTCATGGATAGCGTGGCTACACGTTCTTCAATATCAAGGAGAGACAAAGGCATTTGTGTCAATGACTCTGCGAGGGTATCTAGACGAGGTATGCGGTGCCGTTGATCTTCTCTCGGTGCATGAGCTCGTTGGAAGATTTGGTGAGGAGTTTGCCCAAAATTGTGGATGATACCGATGGTGGCCAGCCGCTCCATTGGGTCGTCAATGGCATCCAAGTCTTTAGCGCCTTTATAGGAGAGGTGATGGAAGACATTGACAGACTCGACCGCTGCGTCGCCCTTCTGCTTGCTGCCGAAAACCAGATCAATCCAGTGATGCAAGTTCTCGGACACATATGGACTTTCGAGGGCCTCCCGATGCTTTGCAATAAAGATCTTGGGATCTCCCTTTGCCCAAGGTGGCAGTTCTACGGAGTCAATGGCCGTAGTCATATTCTGAAGAAGACCGAAGTCATAATGGTTGGAGTTCACGAGGAATTCTGGCAGGTAGAAGAACTCAGGAATGAGTTCTCGGACATCGGTCATGTTGCCTCGCGATGCCGACTCCCATGCTTTGCGGATAGAATAGAACAGACGATCGGCATGATCAAAGGAGCCGCCTTGTAGTAGGAGATAGGATTTGACGAACGGTTGTAGACGAATGAGGTAGGAGCTGACAATCATGGCAGAAGAGTAATGTGTTCCATAATGGAAAGGAGGGGATTGTTCGTCGCCCATTTCAGCAAAGGCATTGTATCGCTCACGAAAGCCGGCTTCTCGGTCTGGTGTTTGACAGCCCATCGGTTTAGACAGATCTCGGAATGTGGCAGGATTGTTCAGATCGAGTTCTTCGCTAGTATAGTCTGCCAGAACCCATGGGAAGACCGGGTATTGAGTCAAATCGTTGAATGTACGACCGGCAAAAGTGTTGATCAACATCAGATAATGGAAATTAGATATTTCGCCTTTGACCCATTTACGAGTCGCTGGGTTTGCTGGTAGATGACCGAACACACTGGCAAATTTGGACCCGAGAGACTGCGGTGCATCATCCTGACTGCGGAGAGTTTCAAATCGCCAGATATCCTCCGGCCGAGAATGCCCGGTACTTCCGGTGACTTGTGGTGCCTTGATAGCTAGTTGATTGCACAAGTCGTCCCGAGCTCGTGCTGAAAGTAAAGTCAACAAATAGCTCGTGCCATCGGTGAAGAATATTTCAAGTGCAACATCGCGGAACAGGAAGCGGCGCTTCGAAACGCTGACCAAATCAGACCATTTCCAGCTCCTCGTGTCATGTTCTTGCGAGCGGTGGTCGTTGGATTCCCGGCCAGAGATCATACGCACATAAGGATCTCGTTCTTCATTGGGGGCTTGCCAGACATTCACAATCTCGCCATCTGCTCTTTGGAAGAAATTGTCCAAGATGTAGATGCAGTCCTTGCCAAGAATCAATATTCCTTCCACCGCTTCTAGACCGATGATTCGAGACAAGTTGCACACGCTTTGGACCTGATCTCCGCGTTGTAGAGATCGCATCACCTTCCGGTTCCTATCTTCGTAGTCCTCGAGCTCAATCTTAGGGTCGTCGATCATTTCAAAGTTATCTTCCAGGATGCTCTGGTCATCGGCATCGCCGTTCGGAGATTCACTTCCCGTATTCTCAGGGTCCGCATTGAAAGATGGAGGCGCGGTCAGAGCCTCGCCCTCTGAAAGGGCACGTATCCGGGTATCGATCTTGATAGCTGGTGGCTCAGAAGCTTTGCGCTTAGGCTGATAGTCTTGTCGGTCACCCGACTCATCAGGAACCAGACGAAGTCGCATGCGGCTGCGACCTTCCGTTTGATCCAGCCACCATCTCCTCTCCTTTTGTTCTGACAGAAGACCACCCGGTCGGCGCAAGTCTAGCAATAAATTGGAGAAGGCTGACCACATGAAAGTAGAGCTATCTTGGTGGTCTTGCAAGAATCTTTGAGATTTCAAGAATTCGGACGCTGCGATGTTCGAGATCCAGTGTGGCAGAGTAGCATCGTGCTTCCTGATCATGTCTTCATCGAATTTCTCGATCTGAGCCCATTGTCTGAGTTTGTCTTTGCGCTTTGACACTCGAGATCTGACAGACTCCTCGATAGCTGTGTTCTCCTCATGGACAAAAGTGTCCCATGACCGAGAGAAAACACCGAAAAACAAGGCATCCAAGTCGTCCCGCTGATCATCGATCCATTTAAGGAAAGTTTCGTCCTCCATCCCCGACAGGGCATCGAAGCCATCAGCCAATCGACGCTGAAGGTAGTGGGAACCATGACTGAGAAGTGTTGTTACATCATCTGGCGCCTGCACTAGAATGATTCTCCATAAGCGGGTAGCAGCCGCGCGGACATCATCATTTGCGCTGATCAGCTTGGTGTACAGCAGATAACACAGCAAATGCAGATGTTTTCCTTGAGTTTCGGCCGCCGAGAGCAGTACCACCTGCCAATAGTTCAAACGATTTAGCAATGACACTGTCTCGGTGTCATCTGCTTCTGACAATTGGAACAAGACAACTTTGTACAAGGTTGACCGAATCGTCGCAATAGCCTGGCTGCATAAACGAATGCTTTTCAACTGAGATATGTCCGGGCGTTGGAGATACTCTAGAATTGCTCCAATGAATTCAAGGGTAGATGATGCCCCGTTGATGAACCAACCTTCGTATACTGCCTCCGCCAAATGTGTAGCAAGGCGCCCGAGATTCGTGAGTGTCCGGGGTTCATGAAGCAAACCTGGTCGGATCAAAGGCAGCTCTTGCAATGTGGCAAGGATGCATCCAAAAATCCAGGAATTAAAGTATGCTTGATGTTCAAGGAAGCCAGGTGGAGTCTTCAAGTAAAGACCAAGACCGGAGAATTCTTTGCGTCCCAAGAGTTGATCCTCGAAAACAGCGGATACAAGCCCGAATACTGCCTTGATAAGAGGATGAGCTGCAACATCTCTATTTCCGAGAAATGTCGGGTTCATGAACCGCCGTATACGTGCGGAGGAAGGTTGGTGCTTGGATTTACCGGAAGAGACCAGAATGAAAGATGAACCACGTCTCAAGGAGCCAGTGCTTTCCTCAGGATTCCCAGAGTCAACCGTAGTAGTCTGCAAAGCTGCCGAGGCATTGTTGGTATTTGAGCGTGGCCGAAGAACTAGGTTGCTATCATCAAAGCTGAGCCCGCTGTGTCGGAAATTCAGTTCGGTGTCAGGGTTAACGGTATCTGCACCAACAATAACGGGATATAGCACCGAAAGGAGCTCCTGTACGTAAGTAGACTGTGCGGTGAATTCTTGGAAGCTTGGTGATCTAGCGCGCGCTTCTCCCAAAAATTGAACAACTGAGTTGATGAGCACGAAACTGTGGATAATCTGGTCAGACGGAGTAGCGTCTATCAGAAGAAGAGGATGTCAGTAAAACCAAGCCCGTTTCATGCAATATGATAACCCACCAGAAATGCCCAAAGAGTCCAGCTTTGGCTTGTCATATTTGGATGCAAGCTCTTCCAAAGAGGCTTCTGTTTTCTCCTGCCCCTCAGTAGCCATGATGGAGTTCCGCAACCCGCTCTTCAACATATTCACAATGACCGGTAGCATGTCTGGGTAGACAATTTTTACATCGCCCTCAGCCAAGAAAATACCGAGAAGCTCGGGTAGAGCGAATGATTTGTCAAGGTCCAACAGAGCATGATCAATACCAAACAATATACAAAAGCAGATGGGCCACAGGGCAGGAACATTCCACCATCTCTTGAGACGATGTTCTAGAATGATGTATCCACCATTCTTCTCTGCAAACTTCTTACTGTACCCACTGCCGTGAACGACTAATAAACGGCCCAATATCTTTGCTGCAAGGACCACAACTTCGGGCTCATCCTCGCACATGAGATAGAGAAGCCACTGTAAAACTGGTCAACAAATCTCACGAAGATAAATAACTATGAACATACCTTGTTTGTGACAGCCTTGGCAAATTTTCTCAAGGGTGTGGAATCATGCGGATTACATAGGACGGAAGAGTACAGCCGCAGCATTTCAATGCCCAAGGTAACACTAGGAACATACTTGCTTTCCGATTTTGCAGATGCCGGTCGAGGTGAAGCGGCCAAGTACCGTAAGCTCTTCTTTTTTGGAGCCCGGTAGGGGCCTTTGGCTTGTGCAGTGCATATGTGATGGACAGAGCTAAAGAGCGGAGGAGGTCGGCAGAGGGACTGCTTTCCATCAACGAGCGGAATGCCGACAAGCAAGGCTGGAGAGATTCCTCGGTCATCTCCCCGCCCTTGAAAGTTTCCAGCAACTTCTTATTGACACCTAGTTCGGTGAGCTTGGATAAGAACAATGGCGAGGGCCACAAGAAAAGGACGTATACTTACGCATGCGTGCAAGACGTCTGGCATTAAACCGGCGGTAATTGCTATCAGTGGCGAAAATGCGGAATTGAGAGTAATACAATCCAAGCACCTGCGATTCTCCGAGTCGCCAGACGTCCATGTCAACGAGTAGAACACGATAGGCGAGCGGGTTTGTGATAATAGAATGATGAGGGGCAACAAAGTCGTACCCAACAAATGTGAGAGTCAGACGTAGTAGATCAAGCATCAAAGAAGCCAGCTCTTGACGATCAGACGTGACCACAGGGATTTTGATTGCGGTCGGGGAATTGCCCATGGGAAATCCAAGCTTCTCCCGCAACAAGGCGGCAAGAATTCCATAGCCGTTCTCTCGTTCCATAGCCTCGCTGTTTCTCCAATTGTCCTGTACCGCTTCATAGAGGGCCTCTACAGCCATGCGAGTGCTTTCCACGGTGCTCGCCGCCTTGATCAGACTTAGATGGACCGCGGCACAGCCACCCAGACACCAACTGGCATCATCCAGCGCTCTGGGTACGGCAACAACAGGATCTCCTGTGAGGATCCCGACTCCTTGAGGCTGTGTGAGGCCGTCATTAATAGACGGAGTAGCACCGTTCACAGCGACAGCATTACCGCCTGATTTTGTGAGCTGTTGTAAGCTTTTTGCTGCTTGCCGTGAGAGACATTTTATCAACTGTGATTCGTCGACATTATTGCTATCGTCATCATCAAGAATGGCGACAGGAGATACATTGATCAGGATCGAGCTCTCCCGGATCAATGTGCTCGCCCGTCTCCGAATAGCAGTTACTATGTCCGAAGCTTCCTCTTTGCCAGGATGGAGATGTTCGTTTCGTAGGTTGAGTGTTGCAGAAGCCTTGTACGTCTGGAAAGAGCCTAAGCAATCCTGGAAATTTCCATAATAACGTGGCCCGAGGTTGTAGAATACAGCTACCATATCGTCGCTATAAGCCTCATCAAAAAGCATTCCATTGGCAAGGGACCATCGCGAAGTAGACACGCCTTTTCCGAGACGCATTGCCAGGTCCTGGGGGGTGCCAAAGAAGGCTTGAATCTGGAGTGGCTTGTTTGATTGGTGGCTTATAGGAACAGATGGATATTCGATCTTCAATTGTTCAACGAATTCACCATCTATGAATAGAGATGCACGGGAGGAAGACATTGGCTTTGGTCTTTTTTGGACGACAGCAATATGATACCAACGATTTGGCTGGAACTTTACCGACTTAAACCGCACACTGGGCCGGGAACCTCGAATGGAAGTTTGCAGAATAAAATTGCGAGTATCTTTTTCGAGGTAGGCGAGAATGAAACAGGCCTGGCTTGCATCAAAGGCTCCGAAGATGGTGGTATGTGTGTTAGAATCAAACTCGTCGAAACGAGCCCAGACTGCAAGAGTGTATCCCGAGGAATTGATAGGGGGGAATGGCCGTCCGAGTGTTGCGAACTCAACAGAACAGTACCCATGGCGGGACATATCGAACTGTATTGACGGTGGCTCTTTGGAGGACTTGAGAGCCGATAAGAGAACCTTTAGGACCTGTGGATTCTCATGCGCTCCACGATACAAAGCGACAGCATCCTCCAAGTTACTCATACCCTGGACGGTGAGGTATTGAGCGAGATTTTGATATATTGCTTTCTCGCTGCTGGAACGTGCTCCATCGAATAAGAGTGGTAGGATTGATGTGAGCATCTCAGTGGCATGCAAGGCTACCACGTTCCTTCGAGACTGTGCCGCCAATTGGCAGAGACAAGCTGGCAAGGACAGACGTAATACGTCATATCCAGATGAAAGTGATGAGTGCGTCAGCCACACACGAAGGAAAGGTCCCAGTAGTTCCGGCACTTCCACTGTCTCGGCGGATCCAATGCAATGATCCACGGCATCCTGGATGTCTTTCGGAGATAGAACATCCTTAGATTCGGCAAACTTGGAGCCCAGGGTTATGAAGATGCCCGCTACTGTCTCCTGACATAGAGCTGCAGCCAGAATGGCGCCGTAGAGATGCTGTGCATCCCCCTCAGTGGTGCCTATCTTCTTAACCAACGCGGCCAGAATCCGTTCAAGTGCAGCAATACCACCTCCAGGTATTTTCCGGGCAAAATATCGCTTGTTGCCAAAATGCTCCTTCAAGCTTTCCGCCAATACACCAAGAAGATCATTGAATATGCGCAGTAGGCCTTTCCGTTCCTCATTGGACTGGTTCAACGGATCATAAAGCTCAGCAATCTGGGTTGCCAGTGCCAGCAGCGTTTGAAACCCCTGGAGGTATCGGAATGCATCTTTAGCCGTGCGTGGACGTGCATCATCTATGAACGTGTGGCGAAGGCGGAGAAGAGATTCGGTCGTCGACTGGGCCTGGGACAGAGTGATTGCGGTGCCTGCACCGATACTTTTGAGCTGGTCAATTGTTGGAGCTAGCTCTTCGGCCAATCGTTCGGTCGATCCGGACGGGGAAGGAGGGTGGAGGGGAGCCGGCGGAGCCATAGCTAAATCTTATCCACGTCCGCTCCGATGGCGTGTGACCATCAGAGACCGTGAATGTTCAATAGCGGGTAAATCGGTCTGCATTGGTATGTGAGAGTACTAGCGCCAAGATTAGTGGGAAGCCTGGCGGTTAGGGAAGATTTGCAGCGTTCGTCCGCAAAAAGACCCCATGCCAAATATTCAGCCACCGCTGTAATTAGCTATCGTAGACGGTAGGAGGGGAAAGTTGAATATCAGGTGACTTGGTGTTTCGGGGGGCTGGACAACGGCCGTATTGCGTACCGCCTCGAAACGGTAATTTACGAGCGATCATTGATAGGATATGATAAGCGCGATAAGAGGCAGCTACGAGCAATGTGGAGAAAGACGTACACGGGTCCCGGTGATCCAATGATGTGATGTGCTTCTCCGCAGATTGGGTGGTAGAGTATACCCAATAATGGCGCTCCCATGCAGGCAGGGGGGAAATCTGGGCGAATTAATGAGTCACCCGAGCACAGCCTTGGACGCACGCGACTTCGGAGGATGAATTGCCTTGGAAACACCGGGCCGTGCGAGAGGGATCCCTATAGGTGAGACTGCCAGGTACCGGGGGGGATGACCTCTTGCACTACCGCGAGGTACTTTCTTGACCTCTTGTCTGTGGCCGGAAGATATGACCCTACTTAAATTCGACAGACTTGTGTTGAATCATAATGCTTAATCGAATATGTATGTCGTGGCGGGTGGACACTCTTGCGTTCTCCAACTTCCAAGGGTCCCGAGACAAAGGTGACCATACCATACAGTATCGCTTACCCCATTCCCCGTTCTCCACTCAGATCGACATCGACAGGTCATCCGGCGGCGTAATCGTATGTAATCGCCCGCTTGCATCATCGATCCCCGTCTCCTCCCTAGATAAGCTGCTCTTCTCCTCATCTTCCCCTTCCCTTCCCCATCCACCTTATCCTTCACTCATCCTTTACAACCTACGATTATTGTTTATCCAACTTCCTTCCTTGCCGTGTTTAACTTTCTTTGCCCAGCATGAAAGGCTTCCTTAGCCTAACACTGCTTCCGTTGTTGGCAGCTGCCTCGCCTGTGGCAGTAGGTTCCATCCACAATGAGGCTGCTCCTATTCTCTCCTCCATGACTGCAAAGGAGATTCCAGACTCCTATATTGTCGTATTCAAGAAGCATGTTGACCCGAAACTTGCCTCTGATCACCACAGCTGGGTGCAGGACCTCCACACCGCCCAGACCGGTCGGATGGAGTTGAAGAAGCGTTCGCTCTTCGATTTCGACTTTGAGGCTTTCACCGGCCTGAAGCACACTTTCCACATTGCTGGATCTCTCGTAGGATATGCTGGTCACTTCCACGAGGATGTCATCGAGCAGGTCCGCCGTCATCCTGATGTGAGTGATTCTCTTCCCCTCCCGCAGAGCTTCCCAAAGTCGGCGGCTAATCAGATTCGAAACAGGTCGAGTACATCGAGAAGGACTCCGAAGTCCACCATATGACGGATCCGTCCGTTGAGAAGAATGCCCCTTGGGGTTTGGCACGTATCTCTCACCGTGAGAGCCTCTCCTTCGGCAACTTCAACAAGTATCTGTATGCTGAGGAGGGTGGTGAGGGTGTTGATGCCTACGTGATTGACACTGGTACCAACGTCGATCACGTTGACTTCGAAGGCCGTGCCACCTGGGGACAGACCATTCCCCAGGGCGATGAAGATGAGGATGGAAATGGCCACGGAACCCACTGCTCTGGCACTATTGCCGGCAAGAAGTACGGTGTTGCCAAGAAGGCTAACGTCTATGCCGTCAAGGTTCTCCGCTCTAACGGCTCGGGCACTATGTCTGATGTTGTGAAGGGCGTTGAATGGGCGGCCGAGGCTCACATCAAGAAGTCCAAGAAGGGCGACAAGAAGTTCAAGGGAAGTGTTGCCAATATGTCTCTTGGTGGTGGCAGCTCCCGCACTCTGGACCTCGCTGTCAATGCCGCCGTTGATGCTGGTATTCACTTCGCTGTCGCTGCCGGCAACGACAACGCCGATGCTTGCAACTATTCCCCCGCTGCTGCTGAGAAGGCTGTCACTGTTGGCGCCTCCACTCTGGCTGATGAGCGTGCTTACTTCTCCAACTATGGCAAGTGCACTGACATCTTTGCCCCTGGTCTGAACATTCTCTCCACTTGGGTTGGCAGCAAGTACGCCACCAACACCATCTCCGGTACCTCTATGGCTTCTCCCCACATTGCTGGTTTGCTGGCCTACTACGTCTCCCTGGCCCCTGCCAAGGACTCTGCCTTCGCCGTTGCCGATGTGACCCCCAAGCAGCTCAAGGCCGCTCTTATCAACGTTGCCACCCAGGGCACACTCACTGACATGCCCTCTGACACCCCCAACGTAAGTTCCATCCCGTCGCAGCGATTACTTTAGCTTGTACTGACAATTTCATAGCTTCTCGCCTGGAACGGTGGTGGTTCCGCTAACTACACCCAGATCCTTGCTGGTGGTGGCTACAAGGCCAAGGCTGCTGAGCCCTCCGTTGAGGAACGTGTTGGTGGCATCATGAAGAACGCCGAGGAGGCTTTCCACAGGGAGCTCGGTGCCATCTACAGCGAGATCAAGGGTGCTGTCTCTGCATAGATTAGAAAGGCGTTCTAGGGTTATGTCGGTGACAAACCCAACAACTCGGGCATATGGATGAATGGATTAACACAGGCGCACATCATATTTTCTTTGGTTTTATCTCGGTCTTTTTGGATTCTTCGGCACGAATCCGCGGGTCTCCCCGCTACTACACTCCTATACACAGATTGTCATTTTGCTATTTCGTTGCTTCACGTAGCATACCTATGTGCCACCTCAAGTTTGGACTGATCTAGAATGTGTTTTGATTCATCAGACCAATGACTTTTCTAGCCGTCACATCGTAGAGTATCTCATCAGGCTTGTAGCGTACAAATAGCTACATGTGCCTGCCCTCATCGAGATGTAGATAATGTAGCCACTTGCTGACCGCAATGTTCACAAGACGTCCTTGATTCGACGGATGTCAGTTTGTCTTTCCAAATCCCTACACCATTGGCTTGTCTCATGAGTGCGCTCTGGCCCCAGGATTGCCGCGCATTGGTCAACGAACTTCCGTGCCAACTCGTCATCAGTCATGGGACGCTCCAAGCTACCCACGGCAAAGTCCACATGCTTTTCGATGCTACTCCCTCCCTTGACTCACAGCAAGATGGTATTCGTCGGCTCGTAAGCCTTCATCGGGGACCGCCCTGAATCGATTTCTCAAGGCCACAATCCGCTCATCAACAACAATGTGATCTTCGTATTGCGCCGGTGTGGCCTTTCCAAACAAGAGCCCAACTGCACCACCATGATAATACGCTAAACTTAGCTTCCAACCCACCTTTCGGCGCCGTCTTCCCAGTCAACTGAAGCACAAGAGGATGCACATCCGCAATGACCTCCTCAACCTCCTCAACGTCAATCCCAACCCTCTCCAATTCCCCATGCAACCAAACACACCCATCAATAACAGGATGAACAACAATCCCACACGGAAACGGCTTAAACGCATTCCTCGCAATCTCCCACCTCCCATCCCCAAGCCCCGCAATCTCCTCATCAAGCCTATGACCAGAACTAACAACATTCGCCCACCCCCTCTTCGCCTCCAACGCCTGCACAGAACTCGTAAACCCCTCCCGCGCCAACAACCCAGCAACCAATCCATTCTGCGCCGCCCGCCCAGGATGAAAAGACTTCGTATGCGACCCGAACATCTCCCTCAATCCCGTAACCTGCGTCGCCGCAACCCCAATCGCATGAGCCACCTGGTCCGCCGACAACGCAAGCAACTTCGCCACCGCAACAGCAGCACCAATCGATCCAACCGTCGAAGTAATATGCCACCCGACATCTTAATGCGCCGGCCAAACCGCCAGTCCGACCTTACACTCTGCCACGATGCCAGCGACCAGCGCGGTGAGGAACTCCGTTCCTAGAACGGGGTGGTCGAGCGTCTCGGCTATGGCGAGGAGAGCACATGCTACTGGTCCCGTTGGGTGGATGATTGTGTCGAGGTATGTGTCGTTGTAGTCGTGGACGTGTGAGGCTATTCCGTTGAAGAGGGCTGCGTGCATGGCGTCGGTATCAGTGTTTGTGCCGAGGAGTCATGATGTCGGGGGTCCTGAGAAGGTGGATAGCGCTTTGCGGGCTGTTGTTGTTGTTGCGGAATGGGTGCTTCCGCCGACTATGCAACCGGTGATGTTGTAGAAGCTTCGTACGGCGGCATGGTTGACTTCTTCTGGTAGGTTGTCGTAGGAAAGAGAGACTGTCCAATTGGCGAGGGCTTGGGTTGCCATTTCTGGATTGATGTGTGCTTTTTATGTGCAGTGTAGGTTGAATTGAACATCAAGTCACAAATACACACTATCTATGCTATACATGTATGTAAATGTATGTATATGATGCGGAATGGGCCAGGGCTCCGATATAGGAGCTATCCTCCGGGGTTAAAGGCGGGGATAGTGTGGGGGGTAAAAGACCGGGAGTCCACTTTTCCTGATGAGTATGGTATTGTTTGAGCTGAAAATTTCGCTAGGGCTGATTGAAATTAAAAGACGATATTGATTGATTTGATCGTGTTGAAAGACAAATATCTCTGCTAGCAGGGTATTGCATGCATTATTATCGTAAACCGTAAAATCCATGATGTTTGAATATGGTCCGCCGAACGCTTATGGTATAAAAAAGACAAATTTCCACGAGTACGCCGAAAATGCTGGAAATGCTCAAATGAAACATGAAGCTTCCTGCTGAGCAACGAGCCGCCAGAGCATGAGGAAAGGTGATTCTAACCCTTCTTCTCGGTGGGTTCATCCTCGGAATCATCACCATCCAGCTCCATATCACTACCACTGGACTGATCCATGTCGTCGTCAGAGTCACTGCCCCCAAACACATCGCTGTCCACATCACTATCAGCCCAGAAGTCAAGGTCCTCCTTCTCCGCGGGTTCGTGAACCGTAGTCTCCTGGGTAGGCATCACAAAGCCCGCGGGGATATCAAGCTTAGACTTCTCGACATCGGCCTTGACAAGCTCGCGATATTTCTCCGGTTCATTGCGAAGTAGGACAGCAGCGTCGACGTTGGCAGGAGACGAGGGCTCGGCATCGTCAAGCAAGGAAAGGATGGAGATCAGAACCGACTCGACGCGCTGGGCGGGGGACCAGCGCTCCGAGGCAAGCTCGCCAGACATTTCATCTTCGCCGGGTGGGTGGAGGATGGAGATGCACAATTTGCCATTGGTGTATATGTTCGGGTGGTGAAGGGGCTTCAGGAAACAGAACTCTGATAGGGGACAAGACGTTATGGTCAGTTATGTTCGGGTAGGGAGAATGAGGCTGAATGGGAACATACTCGGCGGAGCGTAAGGGTAGTTTGACGGGAACGTCATGGAGGCCTTGAAGTAACCGCCGTAGTACATGGAGTCCGGGTTGGTCACAATCAGTGCGACATCCCAGTTGAAAATATCATCATCGTGCAACTGTAGAAAATTTTATTAGTCGTGTTCACGCGTAACACTTGAAGAATAGGTGGGCTCACCTGGACATGTGCCCACTTCTCCTTGAGCAGGCCTTTGAATTCATTCATGAGAATACGCTCCGCCATGGCGACGGTCAGGGCTCGAGAGTAGAAGAGTGACGGAATGGTAAGTGGGGAAATGCAGTCTTATATAGGTAGGTATCAGGCAACGGTTCGAAATTGCTCGCAGTGAGAGCCTGAGAAGGACAAGGCGGGATTGGGTCGGGATCACGGAGAGGGTCCGGCGGCGAAGACGGGCTCCTGCTTCGTTGCCTGAATTTTCGGTGGCAACTCTGACTAAGATGGCGAGCGCAGAGCAGCTCAGGTGACGTCCCAAGTTTTGGGCAAGGTTCTTTTTACATGGACGTTTTCGTCCTTCTGTAGGTATACCTAGGGACTCTCTCTTGTCTTCATGACCCTGTATTTCTCCAACACAAGACTCTACGATAAGCTCTACAATCCTCAGTGGAGACCTGCGATAAGCACGATCGCGCGTCGAGTCCCCGTCGAGTCACCGTCGAGGCATATGAAATCGCTCCGACTCATGGCCGTGGGACCGGCGAAACTAGTGGAGAAAGATATGCCCCTCGGAGTCCCAAAGTAGTTTAAGTCCTAGGCAATAAAAGCTTTGTTATAGCGGAAAACTAGCTGTACGGAGCACTCCGTACACGATACCTCAATCCACCACCAAAAACCAGTGGTGGCCCATGTCACTTTACCCGTAGTCCGTCCACCGCCGGTTTTGGAACCCTGGCATTTGCCATTTTCTCCTCCCTCGATTTCCCCCCCGCCCTCGGTACTCATCTTACACACTCTCTCATCTTGAATACCTTCGGTGATTCTTCAAGTCGCTGGATCAGAGGAACCCTCGCCTGTTCTCTTACCAACGGCGCTCGGTCCCGGCACCCTCATCCCGGCACCCTCATTTTGAACTCTGCGATGACAGCTTTGTTCAGCAATCAAGTGAAATATCGTTGCTAAAGGGGTGGTGTACAATAAATACCGCATTGCTCGGTGATTTTCGTTACGAGCTGAAGAGCTGCGTGATCGAGTCGCGCGAGGTCTGTGAGCTAGCTTCAGTTTCTGCGAGCTCTGCGGCCCGCCAAGCATGCTGCCGCAATGCCAGGGCCCCGTCTGGGCCATTGACGACCTGTCTCGTTGCTTCCAGCGCAAGTGAGTCTACACCAATGGCAACTCGGAGCAACCCTAACCGTTGAATTTTTCTTTCTTTTTCTCTAAAAGCAAGTGCTAATCACGGCGTATTAGCATCCTCCAATTTATACTTCCCCTCACTGTCTGCGGCACCTCGCTGCTGATAGTTCTAATTCGCCTCGCCCATCGATATGCCCTCACCCGAAAAGATGTCGCATACAAGATCCTCCCGAACGATGATTCCGAAGATGAAGTCCCCAATGCGACGCAGGGAAATGAGTCCGATGCGATGCTATCCCAGGCTGTACAACAGGAACAGTCCCAGGTTGAGGTCGATCGCCCGCGTGGGGAAATTACAGTTGTGTTACTTGAAATTACAGCTCTGATTGGACAGGTTGCGCTCTATATTTTCATTTTGTCGACCCACGCTTGGGGTCGACATGGCACACTCCCTGCCGTGGCGGGCCTTGTATCGTGGGGCTATATCCTTTTCTTGGTGCTGGTCCGGTTCCTTCTATCAACCCTGAATCTTTTCTCCGCCCCGAGACTATGGAATCATACCGCCGCTCTATACGGCTTCCAATGGCTGTTCAACATCATGGTTTTCCGATCCGCCATTATTCACCCATTGTCCCAGCGCGCTATGATTCTCAGCAGCGTTCAGTTCACTCTGAGCACGGTCCTGCTGCTTATTGCACTGACGACTCGAAGAGGCAACAAGCCAGTTTTGGTGGAGCGTGAGGATGGCTTGGCGCCCCCAACGCACCCCACGGCCAGCTTGCTGTCTCTTGCGACATTTGCCTGGCTCGATCCTCTGGTTATGAAGGGTTATCGCCAGCCATTGGAGCTTGAGGATGTTTGGAACTTGACTCCGTCCCAGAAGGCCGCAAATGTTCTTGCAGACTTCCGCAAGAGACAAATGAAGGGGTCTCTGGCATGGAAGCTGCTTCGATTTTTCATGGGGACGATTCTTAAGCAAGGTGCTTGGACAGTCTTCGCCAATCTCTTCGTCTTCATGCCTAGTCTACTTCTCAAGGCTATTCTCGAGTATGTCGAAGACCCTCGGTCGACTACCCCTAATGCTGCTTGGTTGTTCGCCATTCTACTTTTCTGCTGCGCCACGGTCCAAGGTGTGGCAGACGGACAATCTTTGTACATTGGTCGTAAGATGGGTGTGAAAATCCGTGCGATTATCATTGGTGAAATTTATGCCAAAGCTCTGCGCCGCAAGGCAGGCGCTTCAGTTGAGGCTGCTAAGAAGTCTGTGGAAGAGCCAATCTTGCCTAAGGATAAGAAAAAGAGGATTTTCTCCTTCGGTCGTAAGAAGAAGGCTGCGAATGGAAGTGATACCGAGGCTGGAACCAAGCCAGACACCAAAGCAGAGGAACCCACGCAAGCAAATGTTGGCACTATCATCAACTTAATGGCAATCGATTCATTTAAGGTGAGCGAAGTTGGCGCCTATCTTCACTTCCTGTGGGCTAGTGTCCCAGTTCAAATCATAATGGCAGTCACATTGCTATATCACATCATGGGTTTCAGTTCATTTGCTGGCATCGCCTTGATGGCCCTCATGTTGCCTGTCAATCTTGTCATTGCCCGCCAGTTCAACAAGGTTCAGAACCAGATCTTAAAAGGCACCGATGCTCGTATTCACGCCACCAACGAAGTCCTTCAAAACATTCGCATCATCAAATACTTTGCTTGGGAACAGCGATTCCAGGATATTGTCGGTGAGAAGCGCAAGACTGAACTCAAAGCACTGCGCAAGCGATACATCCTTTGGTCCTCGGCCGCAACCGTCTGGTACGGCACACCTATTCTCATCACCTTCATGTCTTTCTTCTTGTACACGGTGGTCGAGAAAAAGCAGTTGACTCCTTCCATTGCTTTCCCAGCACTGTCCATGTTCTCTTTGCTGCGTGTGCCCCTGGATCAGCTCGCGGATATGGTGGCTCACGTTCAAGAATGCAAGGTTTCTCTGGATCGTGTAGACAAATACCTCAATGAAGAGGAAACCGGCAAATATGAGCAACTGTGCGATAGCACGACCGCGGGAACTCCCTCCAAGATTGGCCTCGAAGGGGCAACCTTATCTTGGGGCAACGTGAAGCCCGAAGATCAAGAGAGCGGATCCGATGCTGCCCTGGACGCTTTCCGTTTGATCAACGTCGACGTCGAGTTCCTTGTTGGAAAGCTCAACATCATTGCTGGTGCTACTGGCTCTGGAAAGACGTCTTTACTTATGGCTTTGCTTGGAGAAATGCAACTTATCGAGGGTCGTGTCCACCTTCCCGGCGGGGTTTCCAGTAGGGCAGAGCTCCCAGTGGATCCTGAAACCGGCTTGATTGACAGTGTTGCTTACTGTGCTCAAGAGGCATGGTTGGTTAATGATACAGTGAAAGAAAATATTATCTTCGCCTCTCCCTATGACGAGCGTCGCTACCGCGCAGTGCTAAAAGCATGCGCTCTGGAACGCGATCTTGCCATTCTCGATGCTGGTGATCAAACTCTGGTTGGAGAAAAGGGCATCAGTTTGTCTGGTGGTCAGAAGCAGAGAATCTCTCTTGCGCGCGCTATCTACAGCAGTGGTCGCCACTTGCTGTTGGATGACTGTCTCTCAGCTGTTGACTCCCACACCGCCAAGCACATCTTCCGTCAGGCTCTTACCGGACCCCTTATGTTTAACCGCACTTGCATTTTGGTGACCCACAACGTTGCTCTGACGGTTCCCCAGGCGGACCACGTTGTGGTGCTTGAGAACGGTAGAGTATCCGCTCAGGGCCGCCCCGATGATGTCGCCGCTACCGGTGCATTGGGTGATGAGTTCCTTAAATCTCGGCCCGCTTCCCGGGCTAGCTCCCGTGGATTGTCCCGTGCCCCGTCGGATCACGAATCAGAGGATGAAGATTTGAACGGAACAGCGAACGGCAAAGCCCAGGAAGACAAGGCCAAGCTATCCGAGTCCAAGGCTACTGGTAGCATCAAGTGGTCGACCGTCAGCATGTATCTTCGTGCTATGGGGCCGTGGTACTACTGGATCGGAGCTGTTCTGGTATTCTGCTTGCAACAATTGGGCTCTGTTTCCACCAATATCTGGATTAGACAATGGGCAAACTCTTACCACACCTCTAAGGTTGGTACCGAGGATGCCGGGCAATACGCCGCTGTAGCACATCTCAAGCCCCCCACATTCAATGTTGGAAGTGTCGGGCGCGTGAGCAGCTGGAGTCTTCCTCAGCTGGGCGCGGCTTCTACTCCTAGCGAGACCGATGGTGAAGTGAACGTGGGTTATTACTTGGGTGTATATGCACTCCTCGGATTCCTCTACATCGCAATTTCTCTGTCTCGGGAAGCAGTCCTATTCTGGGGCTCACTTCATGCATCATGGAAGATTCATGATCGTCTTCTGAAGGCAGTCATGCATGCGAAGTTCCGTTTCTTCGACTCCACCCCTCTTGGACAATTGATGAACCGCTTCTCCAAGGATGTCGAGTCGGTCGATCAGGAGGTCGCTCCAGTTGCCATCGGCATGCTTCACAGTTTGGCGTCTGTCATTATGATTGTTATCTTGATCTCATGGATCACGCCAGGTTTCTTGATTGCCGGTGTATTCATCACCCTGGTGTACACTGCCCTCGGTGCGGTCTATCTGAACTCCTCCCGAGACCTCAAGCGTCTGGAATCCGTGCAACGCAGTCCGCTGTACCAGCAGTTCGGTGAGACCTTGAACGGCATCGTCACCATCCGTGCCTACGGCGATGGTCCCCGCTTCATGGTAGACAACCACCGCCGCATCAACGCGTACAACCGGCCACACATCTATCTTTGGGCTAGCAACCGCTGGCTCGCTCTTCGTGTTGACTGGACCGGTGCTTTGGTCTCATTCTTCTCGGCTACTTTCGTGTTGCTGAATGTTGGAACTATCGATGCAGGTGCCGCTGGTCTGTCGTTGACTTACGCCGTCACATTCACAGAGAACGTCCTCTGGCTTGTTCGTCTCTACTCTGAGGTTCAGCAGAACATGAACTCGGTCGAGCGAGTAAGGGAGTACCTTGAGGTGGATCAGGAAGCAGCTTCTGTGATCGAAGAATCTCGACCTGCGGCCGATTGGCCAAGCCAAGGTGCGGTCGAGTTCAGTGGCTACAGCACGCGCTATCGACCCGATCTGGATCCGGTTCTCAAGGAAGTTTCGTTCTCCGTGAAGCCTGGTGAGAAGGTCGGCATTGTTGGCCGCACTGGTGCTGGCAAAAGTTCACTCGCGCTCGCTCTCTTCCGTGGTCTTGAAGCCGAGAAGGGTCAGATCACCATTGACGGCGTCGACATCGGGTCAATTGGACTGCGAGATCTGCGCGAGTCTATCACCATTGTCCCCCAGGACCCGACCCTGTTCACAGGAAGCCTGCGCAGCAACCTGGATCCATTCGGTCTCTTTAGCGATGAGCAGATCTTCACAGCCCTCCGCCGTGTGCACCTAATTGGAAACAATACCTCAGGTTCCGCCACACCAGCAACCTCAGTCACTCTCACTGCCATGGATACAAATGACAACGCCAACGAGGTGAACGGCAGCGCAATGACAGTCATTGACAACAAAAACATCTTCCACAACCTCGACAGCCTAGTCTCAGAGTCCGGTTCCAATCTCTCTCAAGGTCAACGCCAGCTGCTCTGTCTCGCGCGCGCTCTGCTCAAGAACCCCCGCGTCTTGATGATGGATGAAGCAACCGCGTCCATTGATTATGCTACCGACGCCAAGATCCAAGAGACTCTCCGCGAACTGCAAAATAGCACAATCATCACCATCGCGCACCGTCTGCAGACCATCATCGACTACGACAAGGTCCTTGTCCTCGACCACGGCCGGGTGATTGAATACGACCACCCCTGGACCCTCATCAACAAAGAAGAGGGCGTTTTCCGCAGCATGTGCGATAACAGCGGCAACATGGATGTCCTTCTAGACGGAGCCCAGCGCGCTTGGACTCAGAGCCGTCTTGTTGATGACTCCTAGGCCAACCGCACTTGAAATCATCCCCTTTTTTTCTCTTCATTTACCCCATCTTATAGATCCCTTGCGTACATATTCATCGTTTACCCTACTTTGTCTATTGCCAGTTCCTTCGACGTGCCCTCGCCCATCCCCTGGATCGGGAATGCAAAACAAACAGAAAGAGCGCGAGAGACATTGATGTAATCATCATTTTCCGGCTGCCGGGGTTATCGACTCCATCATATCATCGTGATGTTCTTGGTGATCTTCCCTCACGCCGGTGCGGCGTCTTGGGTTGTTTTTTATTTTACCTTCTTTTCTACGGCATCGCGCACATCGCTATCATAACCATATCTGCCTTCTGTGGATCAAACATATATGGATGGATTTGTTGGTATTTTGTAATTATATCTTCAAATTAGCTTGAAGACACTTTTCTGAATCCATGCTTTTGATAGATAATAAGAATGCCTGCGATCTTCACTTGATATGTAAAACTTTCGATCGGACATACTAATGATCATAGAATTGATGTACCATACATATATCATGCAGGTCTATCAGAGCTCGTGCTGTTATGCTAGCAACATGTTATCACTTTGATGCAGAACGAACAGAGCTAGGTTGGCTTCATGACACTGGAAAATAACATCCGATAGTGCCTATCTGGAAACAGTCTCCAAAAAAAAAAAGAAAGCAGGCAAGACCAACCTCATCTCGACATGTCGGTCCCTCTTTAATGTGATGGGGCTCCTCGCAAATCCAAATTTTCGCAGAAGACGGCCACTCTTAGCCATTCGCTCCCAAATAAACCAGCTATCACGAAATTTTCCTCTAGGCAGACATGCCAATTCATTGTCATGAGTTTGGGACGGGACAGTGCTCGCAGTGCTGCACGGCATATTCAGACGAGTCATTTAGGTATGACCAGGAAATTCCATCGAACGCAACCCGTAATCTAAGCCCGGTACTTCCACATCGAGAAAGCATTTCACCGCTTCATTTGTGAAAACAGCCAATATGTCCAACATCGATTTCAACAGGGCTGATTCCAAGTCCCCACAGTAACCAAACAAGCCTCCGACCGAGTGGAGCAAGGATGGAGAGCATTGCATTCCACATATCAGCGCGCATTCCAAGCGATCAGAAATCACGGGTAGTTGGGGGGCCCGGTATCCACGCGTCTTTACAGAGTGGCGCACGAACTCAAAAAAGGAGGGAGTATAGTTCCAACTTCCAACACGGAAATTACCAAATCCCCTCACTTCTTGGCACGGATTCCCCTTCGTATCGTCCCGAAGCACACTATGGCAGCGCCGATAACGAGAACCCCGAACGGCGGCCAAAGAATAGCATACTCCTCAGAAGTTATCCTGAACGCCTCTGCGAGATTCGAGAATGTCTGGGCCTGATTGCACAACTTGTACTTGACCGGTTGTGCCGAAGCAGCCGTGCCGATCTTGGCATCCGGATTCGGAAGTGATTTTTGCTGCGATGCCGGTTCTGATTCCTGGTTGGATGTTGGTTCAGACTCGGGCTTTGATGAAGGGATGAATCCTGCTTCGCGCATGGCTGTCTCTCTCAATATAGCTTCGAGCTCGTCCTGGTCGGGCAAGGTCTCTGGGAAGAAGAAGCGCTTTTGGTGCAGCTGCGGGGGTTGATTGGTGGATGCATGGGAGACCGTGGCTGATACGATTGAGTTTTCGTTTGTGAGAGGGGTTGGGAGGGCAGCGATTTGAAGGGACTGGATTAAAATGAAGATCAGGGCCAGTTTGCGGGCCATATTGTGATACTCCGTAGAGAGAGCGGCGGGTGGGGATCAGATCGGCGTTCAATGGCTGAGGGTGATCTTATGTGGGATACGCAGGCCGGGTTGTGAATATACTGAGTGGAGAGTAAGGAAAGAGGAGGGAGTGTCTCCGAAGTAGTAAGATCAAAGAGACAGGAAGAGGAAGGCACGTGGAGTCGCATTCGGGTTTGCGATCGGAAACGGAGTCGATGGGGGTGCATAAGGCCGAGCGATTTTATGACTATGGAGTCTTTTATGTAGCGCTAGACCCTTCCAGCTAGTCTATCAACTCAATAAAAGCCCAGGCCTGTACGGAGTATCTTTTGGGCTCGAATATAGAGCCCTGTCCGGAGTATTATTGTCAGTCGCTATAATAGCCACTCGCACTTTCCCCTCTCGGCTCTTCCAAATACGGAAGGAACTACCTAGGTAGGCCTTGTATACAATAAACCCATACACATGTACATAAGTAACATAAATACATGTACTCCATCCAGTGCCATAAATCCATCCCAAACTCATACCCTCACAAGTATCTTCCAATCCGAATAATCTCTCAGCCACAATCCTGTGCCAAGACAGAAACCGAAGATAGGCAACACGCCAAGACAAGCGAACTCGCTTGCCTATCCTGACAGCCACACTCCTATAATCGACTTGACCGTCATCACGAAGACACGAAGACTCAAATTCCACTTTTGTATTACGGTGTGCTCTGTACCTATGTGTACATTTACGCAAGGAGCCTCCTCGATTCGATCCGAGCTTGGCGCCACGGTGAAATGAAATAGCCAGCTACATGTATCCATGGATGTTAGGTACCTCCAGGCCGAGCTACATTATGTATGTAGCTATGTAGCTTAGGCCTCACTAAACTGTCAAGAAACGAACACCGAGTTCAAAATGGATTGCAGATTCACTTTGTCATTTTCGTCGAGTCCCAGAAACGCCACTGGTCAGGCCTGTTTTCTCCTAGGGATTGCAGGTATGAGTACGATGTTGTTGTTAGTGTGTCGTAAGGAATGGGCCCACATAGTTCCTCCAGAGAATCCTTAAATATTGTACCTATATTGTAGGAGCTTGGGATGAATCTAAGTTATGTAGATTTGGAGACTTGGGGTAGCTGCTTATCTGTCGTTGGTTACTCCGTATTCCGTTGGTGGCTGGTTTGACAGGTACCTGCAGAAACTACTTTCACTGTAAACACATTCTATGTTTCAGCACGGATAGCTATCAAGATTTTTGTGGTATAAATCTAAGAATTGGAAGTATATCATGAGAATCGAGGTCCTTTTGCGGGAGCTGCTGGTCAGGATTGTGGTTGGTCGCGGGCAGTATATACTCACCCCATAAAAACATAAAATCAACTAAAATATCGAAAAGCATAACAAAATCCGGGCAATTGATGCCCACACTATTCCCCGTTGCAAATACGACTACTGTGTACTCTTTACACACCGAATTAGATTCCTTCGCTTTTCTAACATAGCACCAGCTTTTGCGGACATCAAGGCTCCAGACGGAGGAGCGTTCAGTTTCTTGAACTCGTCGCAAACCTGTTCCATTGCCGCTTTTTGAAGTGTTCAATGAGTCTATTAAACGTTCAGTAATGGCACTCATACGTATTTTCTATCACTGCCTACCTTTCATGCATGAGCAGCACATGAGGCCTTCCTGAAACGTCTGGATGGATCGTAATCGGGAAGATGAACTCATCATACTCCCGGTAGAAATAGTCAAAATGGTCGCGCCAGATATCTTCAACATCTCGCGGGTTGACAAAGCCATGGCCGTTCGGCGCTCTCTTAATGAACATCATTGGTGGTAGATCATCGATGTACCGATTGACGGGATTTTGACAAGCCCTGTTTGGATTCCATGCTCGAGGGGCTTCATCCATTCTTCTGTCTTCTTCTTATAATTGATCTTGGTCCCGCTGTCGCCGGTTCGAAGGTAGTAGGCCTGACAGTCTTCATGGCTCATACTGTGGTCGTACTCGATGCCGTAGTACAGGAGGAGCTGGACTCCTTCTTTGCTGGTTTCCCACCTACTTGCCTTCGATCAAAGTTGACACTAGCTTCCAAAGTGGAGAGAGCCTCACCAGGGTGCCACGCTTCCTCGCGGGGGCTTTCCAATGAATTTCAGTCAACATCCTATATGCTTTTTCAAGCACGTCGCACTGCTGATCTAGTGGCAAATCTGTTGTGTTCTCGTGGGAATATCCGTGCGGGCCTATCTCATGTCCTGCGCCGCGGACGACACCCATATCCTCCGGCAACAACCCGAGGGAGTGGCCGGGGATGAACCATGTCGTTTTGCATACTTCTTGAACAACTTCAATAAATTCCGAGTTCCAACAGTGCCTGCCCAGTACTTTGTATGGAGCTTAGATTGATGTCGTTCGTGGAATCCTCTCCACCGTATGAGCCAAGCCAACCGGCTACAGCGTCGACATCCATACCATAGGTGATGAGAACTCACTTTGGCGCCATAATAGATAATAGAGGAGGATAGATATTAAAAGCGGCTGAGTGATCGATTAGATGTTTGTGCTTGGAGGCAGGTATAGCCACCGGGAAATTCAATGCGGGGAAGTTGAGCCCCTCACCCGTCGGGGTCACTAGTGGCCCACTGGCTGCAGATTGATAGACAATACATGTGCTTTAACAACTCGAGTGATATCGTTTTTGATCCGGTTTCACTCTTCTCAAAATCCTCACGTCTGCCTTGTCTGATGGCCTCCACAATGCCGAGCCGTCCCCAACACAATTGGGGTCAGTTTGGGGTCGAATCAGCACACCAGTGAGCTACTATAGACAATCAGATCCAGCCTATTAGATCACGCAATAGATAGTGTTGGAGGGCTCCGAAGGACTACAGAAGCCACAATGGCGAGTTCTCATAAGCAGCCAGTTTTCCCAGCAAGGAGGATTTCAACGGCATAACTGTGCCACACAGCGACTATGTCCGTTCTTTTCACTAGTATCTCAGCGTGAGTCTCTTGGATACATTGTTGTATCGTATAATATCACTAACAGTCGAGACAGAGATAACCCCGTGAAGCCGGACGATGCACAAGCGCTCCTCGATCCGCTCGGTCTGACCATTGACCCAGCCGAGGCGCAAGATTTTCATACTCTTCTCGCAGCAGTCCACGATTGCGCGGAAGAAGTAGCTGCATTGCCAGATTATCAGCCAGATTCAAATCTGATCAAGTATCCACGAGAAAATGTGCGCCGACCAAGAGAAGAAGAGCAGGTCTTCGGGCAAGCCTGGGCCCACCGGTTTCTTATCCGTGGTAACCCACAAGGCGGATCTCTTGCAGGTAAATCTGTCAGTTTGAAAGATGTGATTGCTGTTGCAGGCGTGCCCCAACTGATGGGAAGCGATATCATTCCATCCTGGACACCGACTACCGATGCAATAGTTGTAACACGGTTGCTCGAGGCTGGTGCTGATATCCACGGTACGTCGACGTGCGAAAATCTATGTCACTCGACTTCTTCATACACGAGTGCTCAGGGTACAGTGGAGAATCCCCATGCAAAGGGATACTCCGCGGGTGGGAGTACCTCTGGCGGAGCAGCGCTGGTCGCGGCAGGCATGGTGGACATTACGATTGGAGGTGACCAGGGCGGGAGTATACGAGTTCCTGCCTCATTTTGTGGATGTAAGATATATTCTTATATAATATTCTGTTTTGCCCTTACGCAGCGCTAATTATTCAGGCATTGGGCTCAAACCAACTCATGGGCGCGTTCCATTCACTGGGATTGCCAGCGGTGATGCCCTGAATGACCATGCAGGCCCGCTGGCCCGAACAACACTCGATATTGCAAGATGTCTAGATGTTATCAGTGGCTATGACGGGATTGACGATCGATCCCTTGGTAGCTCGAAGCCAGGAACTACCCAATTTGCACTGGCACTTCAACAGAACCCGAACAAGCTCGATGGCTTCAAGATTGGAATTTTGGTCGAAGGATTTGATCATAGTAAAATAGATCCGCAAGTCAAGAGTTTAGTATTGACAGCAGCGCACAGGTTCAAGGATCTGGGTGCAACAGTCGAGGAGGTATCTCTTCCCGAGCATTTGCATGGCCCTGCCATCTGGACTATCCAGCAGCGAGTTGCTGGAGCGCAAGCCTTGTTGGGCCATAGCACAGGCCGGAGAGGCTTCTATATGACTGAGATGGAGCGCGCACGACTTCCATGGACAGATGATGGGTTCCAACGGGCATTCCCGTCAACAAAAAACGTTATCATTAATGGTCTCTATTTAGCGCGAAAGTTTCCAGACCTCTACGGCAAGACTGTCAATTTTGGACGATACCTCAGTGACAAATACGAAGCCTTGTTTGAGAAATATGATGCCTTGGTCATGCCTACAACGCCTATAGTTGCCCCTCAACACGGGAAGCGAGGACTCCCACTGGATTCCCTCAGTCCTAGCATGGGTCTTACGATCAACACTGCCGTCTTTAATGTGACGGGACACCCAGCTATAACACTACCAGTTGGCCTTGCTTCAGCGCCTGTAGATGACCAGATCATGCTACCAGTTGGGATGCAGATTGTTGGTAGATTGTGGGAAGAGGAGAAGATCTTGCGGGCTGCTCATGTCTGGGAGACTCATTTTGACTGGAAGAAGATGCGTTGCGCTACAAATAGAGATTAATCACTCTTTCACCTAGAGAATTAACGACTTTGTGCCCTATCAAATGTTGTGTCATCAATATTTCATCAATAATTACGCGATCTAATCTTAAAACTAGAGAGTGATATATCCACCATCAACAACCATAGCATGGCCCTGTACAAACGACGCTTGTGTTGAGCATAAGAAAAGAATTGCATCAGCAACTTCTGCCGGCTGGCCTATTCTCTTCATTGGTGCAGCCTCGATTGCTGGAGTGATGACTTCACGAAGCTCAGGGTTCTGGGTGACTAGTGGCGTCTCAATAACACCAGGACAGACGCAGTTGACTCTAATTCCGTCTTTGGAACAATCGATTGCATCGGCACGTGTCATTCCAATAACAGCAGATTTTGATGCACAATACGCAGCTGTCAGAAAATCAGAGATGTGTTTCCTGTCTAGCCATGCAACACTCACGAGCACCCGGACAGCTGACAATGCCAAGCTGACTGGCAATATTAACCACAGCACCACGCTGAGGTGGGCGATTGGCATCATGGCTAGGAAGTGCGCTCTGTGTAACCATTTGCCTAAGCTCTGCACGAGATGAGAGCCAACAGCCCCGGTAGTTGATGTTGTTCACGCGGTCAAATTCCTCAAGTGACGTCTCTGCCGAGCGCGAGCGTTTACCAAACACACCTGCGCAATTCACAGCATAATCTACGCGTCCAAACTCTTGCACGACTGCATCGATAAAAGAATCTGCAAATTTGTCGTCTGCCATGTCCCCGGCCTTTACCAGGAGTCGTACCTCGGGGTGTGCTAATGCGATAGCTTGTGCAGACTGCTCTAGGGACTTGTCATTCATGTCTGTGATAGCGATTCGATTACAGCCAGCGACAGCAAAGGCTTTCGCTGTTGCTGCGCCGATTCCTGTTGCATGTGAGTCGCATACATTCATATTGCCGTGGCTTGACCTACCTGTGCCCCCGGCGCCAGTGACTACCGCAACTCCAGGGAACATCTTGAGAACAGTTGGAGTAGCCTGAATTATATAAAATGATGAGAGCGATCAGTATGATCAGAATGAGGATTACCCAGGTCTGTACGGAATAGAGAGCAATGTATTTGACCATGGGCCCAATATCAACTCCAACAGCCAGCCCCACCTTTATCGCTTATCACGGGCCGAATGGTCCCGGGGAACCCCAAGTTGGGGTAGTTGGGGTCGAGTCTCCCACATCGACATCCACTTGTCCAACCCCTCAGGCCATTTCTTCTCCAAACCAGTTCTCCATATCCCCCCAATGTTTCAATGTCCCCATCACCCCAGCCGCACCGGGGTGCCCGTGGAGCCAGGGCACGTATCTGTATACACTGCGGTCGGAGCTTCCGACGGACTGAACATTTGGAGCGACACATTCGCACTCGTAAGCAATTTCCGGGGAAAACCCCGCACCAAGCGATGCTAATCCAGTAAACCAGATACCAAGGAGAAGCCGTTTATCTGCTTCTGTGGGGCAGCCTTTACTAGAAGGGATCTGTTGAAACGTCACACGCGCATTTCGCACCAAGATGGAGTGACCTCGCCAAGCGTACCGTCCGAGCCAACGACGAAGACGGATTTCCCGCCAGTGCATCATCATGCGGCTATCCCGCCGCAATATGATACACCGGCTAGGTCCCTACCCGGGGACCCCTTGCAGGATCATCGGTCGTGCACCAATGGGCTGGGTCACAGAGTGCGTCTTATTTAGACCAAGACCATAGTGCAGGCATGCTTCCTGCGTCCGCTACAGTTGCTTCAAGCTCGGCGCTGGATCCTCGTACGGGTATGGTACATGATGCGGATATGCTTCAAGCTGCCCAGCTTCTTCTTCCGGGGGATTATCGAGCCACAAGTAAGTATCGTACAGATGCTCAAGTTTATTCCGTCCAATACCCCGTGTGGTATATACTTTGTGCTCTGTTGGTTAAATACTTCTTGAAAATCCATGGATCTAACAACGAAATAGCACAACCGATGCCTTACTTACCGGAAGATCTGAATCACTTTCAAGAATTCACCCATTTCTTGGATTCGATTGGTTTGCCCGGGGAGTGGCTTCCCAGCGAAGGCGAAACATCTCAGACCAATGAAGCTAACTTTGAAGATGCACGGGAGACTGGCCGACCGACTCACGAGCATCATGAGCGGCCACGCCGAGGTGGAGAAGGTTCTCGAGGAGATTCACCATTTAGATCCTGGCTTCCATCGGTGCCGAGGGGTGACCAAAGCCTGGCGACTTTATCTGATTCTGGTATTTAGCGCTTAATGTTGCTATCCTTTGTGTTCAAAAATTACTAACAACTAACTAGAAGCACCTCAAAGTGCAAGGAGGCCATCCCGATTCAATGTCACGGAGGACCAGCGCTTTCGACTTGCGGCATCTCTGGAAGAATTTCGCAACGTGATTCCGGATTTCGTGTTGCCATCTCGCCACACATTGACTCGGTATCTCACTTCCTATTTTGAAGGCTTCCATCCACATCTTCCGTTTATGCACATTCCAACTTTTCATATCAATGAACGTGCCCCCGAGGTAGTTCTTGCCATCATGACGATTGGAGCTCAGTATAGATTTGAACACCGCAACGCAGAGAGAATATTCCACGTGTCCAAGGCGGTTCTATTTGAACGGATATCCAGGGAGTCCCGTTACTCGACCAAAGCTAGCTACAGCTCAAGCTCTCAGGTACCATTGGGAATATCTCCTTATTCCAACTTTGCCGATAAAGCCCTCACACAACCTCACGTAGCAGCGGAAAGAACTGGCGTTTGGAGGCAGATTGAAATCACCCGCTGTCTGCTTATTCTGATGGGCTACTCCACTTGGGAAAATGCTAGATTAGTCCAAGAAGCATTCCACCTTCAAGGGTTGTTGGTTCGACATCTCCGTGATGCTGGCCTGACAGAAGATACTACACGCTCTGATTCACGCGCATCCCTCGGCTGGTATGAATGGGCTGATCAAGAGTCTACCCGACGCACAAAGTTGATTGCGTTCTGCTTCATCCATGTTCATAGCGTTGCATACAATGCCTATCCATCCTTGCGTAGCAGTGAGATTCATTTACGTCTGCCCTGTTCCACGATGGAATGGGTTGCAAGTACAGCTGCCGAATGGGAGTCAGCTCAGAGAGAACGAGGTCCCCAACAGCTGTTCTTCCAGGATGCATTGGCTCTTCTCTTACAAAAGTCCCGATCTGCTGTGCCATTGGACCCCATCCCGGCTCCACTAGGTAACTATATCCTGCTGCATGGGCTGCTGCAACGAATCCATCTCGTAAGCGAACTATCATTACCGAATGGGAATCATTCCACCACTCTCCCAACAGAGGAACTCAATAAACTGGAGTAAGCTTACACCCACGAATACAACCCCCAACCCTATGTCTAACTTCCAACCCACAGGCGAGCCCTCCGCTCCTGGACATCCGTTTGGCAACAAGCCCCAGAATCCAGCCTAGATCCGCAAAATGCAAATGGTCCAATCCCATTTACCTCGAGTGCATTTTTAGGACTGGCATACGTCCGTCTATCTCTCAATCTTGGTCCACATCGCCGCCTTGAAACCCGTGACCCGACAATAATAGCCACAGCACTCCACCGCTCTCCACGCCCAGAAAGAAGCTACCGCCTCATCCCAGCACTTATCTACGCAGCTCATGCCCTCAGCATCCCCGTACGTTTGGGCATAGATCACATTGCTCGCAGCCAAGCCTTCTTCTGGAGTGTGCGGCACTCACTCGCCAGCATTGAATGTGCAGTATTACTTAGCAAATGGTTATTCACCGTTGCTGAAGCAGGACCAGATCAGTCATTAAGCGGTATGTCTATACTCTCCTATTTGATACTACATTGACTAACTATTTTGATATAGAAAACGAAATCCGTATTCTCCGCTGGACCCGTTGCATCGTTGAAGAGGCTTATTCGTCTATTGATATCGATGAAGAGGAGACCCCGCCAGATCTTGAACCGGCTTCTTTGGGATTGGCGGTCCTCAAACTATGGGCCAGGCTGTTTGGGACAAATACCCAGTGGCCGTTTATTAATGTTCTTGGACAAAGCTTGGAGCAGTATATGAGTATGATTTGATGTTGATATTGTGTCTCAGGCGTTTGTATATACCGATACACAGATATCCCAATTAATGTGTTTATGATTCTATAATGGCGTTGGATGGACCACTTTGACTTGTGTTTGGTCATAGATAATACCCAGGAATGCAATTATTGACCTATAACCTCGTGGCTTGTTTGTTCTTCTAGGGATGAGATTAATTGGATCGTTTTTGATCGCCCAGTAGGATCAAGTCCCCAGAAGCCAGTATCGAAAACAAGTAATCATGCCGATGTCCATTATGCCTACCTATGTGCACGAGTCTCAGCAAGTGTGCCACGCAGCCATTCTTGTCTGTAAATACTAATCTTGCTTTTCGACAAGCGAAGCACACAGACGAAGGCTATTTTATATTAATATGAGCCAATTCATCGAGATATTTAATCTTACCTATTGAGATATAGCGCAAAGGAAGAATGTTTCCCGAAGTATGTATTAGCAAAGAAGCGGGACTGAGATCTTGGATGTCTCTTGCATGGGATTCTGGCCCTTTATACATCAAGGGACATTGTATGGACTCCAAGTAACTCGCAGGGTCGAAAATGCTACTTGTATTAACGGCGAGTATTTATATTGGTGCTGAGGCGACTGCGCGATAGAAGTTGTTCATTGAGCCTACAATTTGATCAAGGATATGCTCGCAGTGGGGTTGATCATTCATAGGATGTTTCGAAACTTGCAATAGGTCCCTTGTTCGTGCATACATTGAAAAAAGCTCTATCAAGAGAGATAGCGCAGACACTATTGTGTTGCACCTAACATAGTGGGACGGGTGGCTATAGTCCATTTTGTCTAGATAGTTGTGTCTTCGCATATCTACGTTAATCATAGTCTCTAGTTCGTTCGACAGTTGGATAATTTATGACGTTAAGTAAACTCGGAAGGGACTCATCTTAAGCATAAAACTACATTGTTCTGATATTCGAGCCCTCAACACTAGCTACTAATGATATTTGCCAGCGTCCGCCGATCCTTGGGATGCGACGTTGCTCCTTTTTTTGGTCTTTTTCCTTTTTCTTACTTTTCTCTTGGTCAAATCTCACCCCCATTCCCATCTCAGCAGATTCCCACCCCCTCACGCTGAGTTCACCCTCACCTGTGAACTCAGCAGAACCAACGCCGCCACAGACACCACAGCAAAGCAAGACCACCCATCAACCTAGAACAGGTCGATCAGAATTCCCTCCGCAGGAGCAGTCACATCTCCCTCAGTTGCAAGAGAGCCGTGATCCTCCTCAGTAGGAGTAGAAAGCTGGTATTGTTCGGGCCCAGAGCGAAGGCTTCCCTCCGTGCTCACCACGTCGGTCTGAGCATACTCATCCTCGAGGTCAATCAGACATGGCTGATTCTCAGCCCGTTCCTTTGCCTCGACTATAGCAGTATGCTGGAGCTCCTCCGCACGTCCGATTGCGGCCTGACGGTCATCCTTGTTAAGTTCGATCAAGGCTTTCGGTTTGATCGTAGCAGACGCTTTCGCCTCAACCGCGGCAGGTACTTCCGGAACACGCCCTCCCCTGAATGGAATGCCGGCCCGGCGGTAATCGTCAACGCGAGCGCCACCGTCCGCAAAGTCCTTCCATCGTTGCAGACTCTTAGCATGCGGATTCGCAGGCTTTTCAGCAGCGGATTTGCTGGACGAGATGCGGCTTGCGTCGTCGTTGCTCTCGGACTTGGCTTCTGGATTGTAGGAGCCTTCCCATTCGACTCCGGGCTTGTACACTTGCACTTTTGTCTGCTTGCCCTCGGGACACAGGCAGTCGTGTTCGTGCGGCGGGGAGCAGATACAAATGCAGGGCTTGCCGCAGCATGGCCGGATTTCGTTGCACTGCAGCTTGCAGGAGAGCCAGTCGTGGTTGGTGCTAATTATCAACGATATATGTTAGTAAGTATTCGCAAGGAAATTGGTGCTGTTCTTGCAGCTTACCGGTGGCATTGATAGAAGCATAAGTGTCCGCATGGCAAAGGCTTGTCACATGGCTTGTCACAGCCGCCGTCAATCCGATCCCAATCCTTGAGAGCTAGAAGCCAGTTAGATTGGAGTTTATATTGCCAAATGATGGCAATGACTTACTTTTGACCACCGTTTTTTGGCTGTGCTGTTTGCAATAAAGAGGAAGGCCGCGTCCGATCCTGTAGTATGGCTCTTCTTCGGACATCGCGTCCACAACGGCATGCAGGAAATCGCTATGCCCAGTAACGCATTGTGCGTTTCCGAAAATGAAGAGTCCGTATCGAGCGCGGGAAAGAGCGACACAAAGCCGATTGTCCTGTGCAAGAAAGCCGATTCCTCGGTGTTCGTTGGATCGAACGAGTGAAAGGATGATGATCTCATTCTCTTCACCCTGGTATGAATCAACAGTCAAGATTTTGACATATGGTGTGGCAAGGACGGGGTTCTGCGTCTTCTTTCGCAGAATCAGTTTCCTTTGGCCATTGTAGAAGGTCAAGATCGTGATACGTTCCGGTGGAACACCGTTCAGGACAAGATAGGCAAGGAACTGGACCACCATTGATGCCTCGAAGTCATTCACTTTGGATGCCAGGCTATCATTGCTCTCATGCTCTCTGTGGTCGAAAAAGAAAGATCGAATGGTTCCCATACCAGGGACGAAGCGTTGATTGCCGACGGACGCATGATCCCGGAGAAGATTACCATAGATCGGCGCTAGAAGGCTTCTGATCTCTGGAAGCATGCGCCTTTGTTCTTGAAGCACTTTGTAGGGCATCTGATTAATAATCAGACGTTCAAACATGGACATGTCGAGATGAAAGGGGCTACCAGCCAATTCGTGATTCGCACACTGACCCCTGAGCTGCTGATGATCACCGACAAGAATCAGATGCTCAAGCGTCGGAAGACATGCGACTGCAATCGGGGCCTCGATTACTTCGGCGGCCTCCTCAATCAGGATTACTCGGGGTTTCAGGCTGGAAACCAATGCTCTGTACTTGCTCAGACCAGTGGTGGTCATGCCGACGATTTTCGCCCCCTCAAGAACACAATAGTCTCGCTCATATCTACCAATCTGGAACTTGCGAGAGGTATTCTCGTAGTTTTTAGCCAGGCGACACACCTCCTCTCGGAGAATATCGAGCAACTGTTTGCGCAGGTAGTCGTAAATGGGACCTCGGTACCTTCTGTGGATGTTCCAGAGGTCGGTCTCTTGGAGCTGCTTTTTCAATGTACCCTCGGTGTAGCGAGAAATGCTGTTGCCGCAGAGTCCGACTTTGAATGGGATAAAACGTGTCTTGAAAGAAGCCCAGTCATCCTCATATTTTCCATGTTCGACTTCAATCTCCCGAAGTTGTTCATATTCAAGATCAATATCATCATCGACGAACCCGAAGTCACCGGAGTATTTGTATTGAAACTCTTTAGTGCAATCTCCAAGCCAGGCCGTTAAAGGGTCAGCATTTGCAAGGGTTTTCGATCGCTCCCATTGACCTGGGCTGTCGCTCAAGGACTCGAACTGCTCTTTACTCAGAAGATTGTGCTGCCGAAAGAGAGATGCAGCAATTGGCTTCTGACTATTCGATGGCGCAAGACATTTCAGAATCTTCTCAATCTCTACAGCAATCTTGTTCTGTTTCCTTTTCGCAGGTTCCATCAGACCGCCCTCAATTATCAACCTAGCCTGACGATGTCTAAGCTCATGAGGGGTGCGTTTGCGAACATCAGGATCAGTAGTCCGTCCACCGAGGCGGACCCAGTTACTCTCAAATTCAGAGATATTCCGGAGAAACTGGTCGAGAGCATGGTTGGTCTGAGCAGCGACAATTATTGGTGGATCGTTTGGACGTCTGTTCCAGAGCATCATTCGGAGAGCGACCATCGAGGTAAATGTCTTTCCTGTTCCGGGAGGTCCCTGAACAACAGCCAACCGTTTGGTCAACATTTCGTTCAGTGCTGACCACTGGGATGCGTCAAGTCTTCCAATTGGCTGGGATGGCCATCGCTCGATAATGTTGTACGTGTTGGTAATATCAAGCCCGGGTTCGTAAGATAATGGGCTGAAGTCCATGTTAGGTGCGGTTTTGAGATATTCTGGGGCATCAATGTCTTCTTCCATGCTGCACACTTGTTCATTCAAAGGAAAGCTAGATCGGGTTAGATCATTTCCTTTGTGCTAATAAAGATGAGGAGACTCACCTTTCCTTCGAGAGCTTCTGCAGTGCAGTCATTGTGTGTCGGCTTGCCTCATAGTATCCCACTCGATGCTCAACCATGATCCATTCTTGCCTATTAAGCATAGAGATTAGTATCACTCACTATCTCAAGAGATACCACATCTTCGTTGTAAATATACTCACTGTGGATCAATTTCCATGTCCTCGGGCGAAGCCAGAAATATATCAACCTCAGGGGGGTCCTTCTCGAGATATTCTGGGAGCCGACAAGCGACAACAGCTACAACACACTTATGAGTAAATGCGTCTTGCTTGGGAGTCAATGCAACGATTGCTCCAGGAGTCAAACGGTTGGAGTATGTCCAGGCAATGTTTTTGCCTGCGCGGCGGGTAGAGAATCGGATATGCAACGCCAGACCCGATCTGGATGCAGTGATGCCGGTGATGAAGACCTATATTGAAAAAAGAAGGAACTTTTATCAGAATATGCAATCTCTCAATCAGATAAAACATAATGGGGCCGAAGTACTCACCTTCTCGTAGATGGAGATATCCTTTGTATCCTTCATATGTGGATCATCCCGAAGCTTGCCTACGGCTCTTCGAAGCGGCGAGACAGAATCTTCCCGAAGCAATTCATAATGAGACTTCATATAATCTTCCTTGGATTTCCAAGGGCCATCAATGCAATTCGGGGTGAGTTGGATTGAGTCTTCGGTGTTTTCTGTTCCGAGGATCTCTTTGGTCGAAGGAAGTTCTGACTTGATCTGCCAGAGGCTCCAGGGACCGTACATTGGAAGCTCTGGATCAAAGTACTGGCGGATCTCACTGTTGACAGGCTTTACCTGTTCACTAGGTGCATAGCCATAACGGAAACGTTGGCGGGACGCCATATCTGAGAAATGAATTGAAGGAAATGAGACGAACTCAGGATTTCGTGCAGATCAAAGGACCTCTCAGAATCGCTTGCTAACGATTTGCTGCTCGAACAATAGATTCTCATAGAAGCAAGAAATCTATGGCATGATACGTGTGCAGGAAAAGAGAGGATGGAGATGGGGATGGGGATGGGGATGGCGAGGAGGATGGAGAGCGGGATGGAGATGAAGATGGAGAGGATGATTTGAAAGGGCTCTCACGATGTCTATTTCAAAAATTGCAATATTAGAAATCGAATTTTCACTTGAAATATTTGCGTATCAAGTACGACAAAACGATTGATACGGTTTGGGCAACAATGCGACGATGTAAGCGATTTAATCGTATGGGCTCGTACTGTTATAGATCGCGATGGAACGCAAAACACCACCAGGGGGCTCGAGCAACTTGTATATAGCCAATATGAGGGAGTGATCCATATCAGCCCTCGTTATAACAGCTATAACAGCTCAATCTGCGGCCTCAAACTCACTAATACACTCATGAAGACGAGAGGGCGAGCACACATGCCCTCGCTGGTGTGTGGATTGGGAACGTCTGGGTGGCTATTATGGCATATGTCCTCTCAATTTATGCATTGAGGCTTTACATACAATAGGACAAGCAGAATTTATATATAGCAAGCTAATTATGTCGCCGTTACCGCAAGAAAGAAATGAAGTATACATCAAGACCCCCAAGGGGATGCCCTGGGGATGCACCAGACCCAACGAGGATGATGTGGAAACTAGTACAGAACTACATCATTGCTTGCATCACATAGTGAGATACATGTAGAGAGCGGTACATCACTTCTTCGTTCTTGCTATGTATTTTCCGTCTGATTTTTGATTTCATGTGCAGTATGTACAGTTATCGACAGCTCGAGATAGGAGGATAGGAAGTCTAGCCTACTCGATATAATCTTGGACAAGTATGGTATATAGAGAGTAAAATTTATAGAGCATCATCTATACCAAATGAATGAAGTGCCTTGGGTATGTTGAATAATGAGGTACTGTGTTTAATGGGTCCACTACCCAAGGCCAATATGTTTCGCAGTTGCTCATGCAAAGCCCTTCCTTCTCACTAGATAACTAGACAATTAAACCCATACACCTATCTATTTGAAGTGTTTAATATGCAGACTGCTGAAGCTTGAGCCCTAACTCAGCGGGTTGCCAGACCCAATTCCGTTATATAGAGATCCCTCAACGCTGATTGGCCTGCTGACCACTGACCGCGGGTATCCACCCATCCTAGGCGGTCCGTCGCATTTAAGCCGCGACCCTCTCAAAGGGAAACCCTGAGTCTTCTGGCTAGCAAGGATCTTTTGAGCCCGATTGCACGAAATCCTGCATCTGCTATCCCATCGGTTTGGCTGTGCATTGGCAGTCTCCATTTGCTGAAGCTCCTCATCCCTGCTGCAATTGCGCACGATAGCTGCTGCTACCCCACAACTGGGACCGTGACAACAGATCCAGGCGCTAGTCATGGGCTCGCTTGAGGAAGAGGAGGACCGTGACATGGGAGGTATGGCGTTTCTTTGTGACACTGGTTGCGCAGCTTCTATCTGCATTGAGCTAACTTTGCCCGTCGTCTCCTAGGCTCCCAGGACGGAAGCTCCGATAACGAGAACGAGAACGATATGGATGATACAATGCGCGACGTCGATAATGATGAGGACGAAAATGACCAGGATCAAGATCAAGACGGCGATGGGGATCAAGATGCGGACAGTCCCTCGAATACGAGCCAGGTATCGGAGAGTGGTGGAATGCAACAAAACACAAATAGCAATGGCGACAGCTCTGTGCCAGAACCATTCTCCATCTACCACCCCAGTGTGCGCTCTGAATGCCTCACAGCCAAAACATATGATATTGCTCCAACTACCGCCGCGCCACATGCCACCTCGATCAATGCCATCACGGCAACAGCCGATATGCGTTGGGTTTTCACCGGTGGATCGGACGGGTTCGTTCGAAAGTTCAACTGGGCAGACTCCATTAACAGCAAACTTATGCTGACCGTGGCACAAAGACACCCCTTTGTGGATAGCGTGGTCAAAGCTGGAGTACTCATGACATACTGGGAGAATATGGACGGTAGCCACTTGTCGCCGGTGTATTCTCTGGCCAGCCAAAGCGAAGGATTGTGGCTGCTCTCTGGCTTAGAATCTGGTGCAATTCGCTTGCAAACTCTGCGCCACGATGAGGGCAAGGAAATCGCACTTCTCTCACAACATACCTCCGCAGTATCCTCACTGAACCTCACATCAGATGAAGAGTCATTGCTGTCTGGTAGTTGGGATAAACGGGTGTTCGATTGGGATCTACATACTGGACAGGCTAGACGGGTTTTTGGTGGCAGTGGCGGACAGATCTCTGCTGTGCAATTCAGACCGGAGTCTAGTCTTCCGATCCCCAAAGACACAATCGAACCCCAGCAGACAAATGGAACATTTTCCTCCAACTATGCTGCTCCGGGCACTGATACCTTCAACTTCATGGATTCATCCCTTGAGAATGGAGATCTAGGCGCGGCAGAGAACCCGCAGGCGGGCTCACCGACGGACTCACTCTTTGGCGGGGCGGACTCATTATTTGGGGATGCAGATGGAGGAGCTGCGGATGGAGGAGAACCATCTGGTGGTGTATTCGGAGTAGATGAAGACGACGAATTTAGTCGCGCGGTAGCCAGTGGTGCTATGCCAGATGCAGATGCACCAGGAGAAATTGACCATGAAATGCCGCTCCCACAGAACACACAAAACGCGTCATCCGCTCAAACGAATACTCAGCAGGATATGTCTGACCACAAAATGGAAATGAACGACATGGATTTTCCGGCTGAATCAGGACATCCAATTATCAATGGTCTTCCTAAAGCGGAGGAGCTTGAGACACCTCCACCAATTCCAGACTTCTCACAAAATACGCAGCCAGAACAAGGTCCTGCGACGGACAACACATTCCTGGCTGCCTCTATCGATGGAACAATCCGAGTATGGGACCGGCGACAGCCTGATCCTGTTGCACGCATCAGCCCTTATAATGTTCCTCCATGGTGTATGAATGCTTGTTGGTCACCCGATGGCAACTATATCTACGCCGGACGGCGAAATGGCACTGTCGAAGAATATAGCCTCCACAAGGGTCTCAGAAATGCCGAACGCACATTCAAGTTCCCTCAGGGGAGTGGGCCAGTCACAGCACTAAAGGCCATGCCCAACGGGCGTCATCTTGTTTGGTTAGTTAAAACGTCTCGTCAAACTATAGTAACTTCACTTCTAATCTTCATACTTTTGTACAGTGCGTCTCACGATATCCTGCGGCTTTATGATCTGCAACACGAGCAAGCCGATTCTTCCTCCCGCCATTCGTCCGTTCCATTCCTGATCATTCCTGGTCATCGAACCGGCACAATCTCCCAGCTGTTCGTCGACAATGCGTGCCGCTACATGATCTCCACCAGTGGCAACCGCGGCTGGGAAGGAAACACCACTGAGGTACTCCTCGGCTACGAGATCGGAGTGCCTCAATAGCCCCGGGGAACAAATCTTGAGTAGTCATAATCGACACGGAAAAGCATAGCATAATCGACAACCCATGACGCATCATTCACGAATATCATGACTTGAGAGCTCAAAGAGCAAACCCACATAGCTCAAATGAAGTAGAGAGCAAATACTCATAGCCGAAAACCAGAAACTCGAAAGTAGAAACATTGCCATATGCAGGTATCTCAAATTGCAAACCAGAAACAATAACGCCGGGTGCCTTCCATATTTCCAGCATTTACAAGGCCATGCCACATAGAGAACAAAATTGACAAATGATTACATCTGTTCATTCTCAACAATCTCGTCAAAATCCAAGCCCTCGCAAACTTCAGATTGCCGGGATCGCCAAGCCCCAAAGTAGGGATTGTTATCCCATTTAACATGTCCATCACGGTCGTTGTCAAAATAAACATAACCAGGCTCACTGCCAACTGCAGATTTCGCCAATTTAGCAGCTCTCTGAGGTCCAGCCACAAGATTGCCAAAACCGGCCAACGCAACATTGGGTACGTGAGTCCTTGTCTCAACTTTCCGACCCTCAACGTTATTGACAGTAATCAGATATATAGGTGGAATATCTGCATTACGATTCGCACGAAGCGGTATAGGAATCCACGCCTCATTGTTGTAAGATTCTGGCCTGTTTTTGTCGTGGCGGAGAGGGAGGGGCCGGGCTAAGAGCATATCGTCCAGCTTGCCTGTGTCTAACAACAGACCAGGCGTTTGAACATAGAGAACACTGTCATACTGCATGAACTGGATTTGGCCTAGGTGGAGCAGTTTGCTGTTTGTCGTTGAGTAGCCCGCCGCTGTGGCTGCTGACATGTCGATGGGAAGCAGCCATATATTGTATTTGAAGCTGGCGGCCCGTAATCGTGCTAACGCTTCTGTGGCAGAATTGCCCAATTGCTGAGCTGACATTCGGTCCCATTGCGCTGGGTACATAAATAGACGGTCCTGGACAGCCGTTCCATTTGTGGCGAGTTGTTTGAAGAAGAGAATTACAGAGCAGATGTCTGATGGGTCTGGCTCAGATAATAGTTGGAGATAGGCGAAGTTCCTAGCTGCTCCATAGTGAGGTTGGGTTCCAACCAGGATCTCGTCATCATCCCCATAATCAGAGTCTGACAGGTCCCGTTTTAGTGGCTTCTGGAATGCGGGGCCCGATTGGTGTTTGCCCATTTTGGGGGCTTCCTGTGGCTTCAAGGCATGCTGGATGCTCTTGACTGACTGCTGCTGCAGGACATATCCAGAAAGAAACAACAGTGTGCTAAATATGCAGATCACTCCCATCGACACAATGGTCGAAACTGTGGAGGAGGTGAGGAGAACCATGGCTCTAAGGGAGGCTGCATGGATTGGATAGTGAGGATGACAGGCAAAATTAAAATTTCAGACATGCATGCCCCCGGGATCTTATTCAAGATATAGCCTTGGAACTAATATCCCGACAGGTCTCATTGTCATTAGGCAGCTTGTTTCATGACATCAGGTTTGTTTACGTTGTCCGTGCGATTATCGATAAGCCTGGGCGGTGTCCCTGGCCTGTGACAATAGTACTGTACAAGTAACTGAGAGGAGAATCGGCACTCACTGACTGAATAAGTGTAATAGGTACTCGTATAAGCTTTTGCGCTGCATGGTTGTAAGACTCATGCAATAAAAGCAAACATATAGTGCAAGCAATGATATACGATGTGTACATATGTAGCCCCCAGACGTACTGTGCCTGGTGGATAACAGTCCTGGCAGAACTAAGGCGGTGGTCAAAGCGGTAACCCCCAAAAGCTGCATTTCGCGATGCTCTCAAAAAGCTATCGCGTGGTACTCCACTTCTCCCTCATGCCCTGGCACCTCCATATCTGCCCTCACCTCCAAAATGGCCGCTCATCGTGCTGATGCCAGCTCGTTTCTCGATAACCGTGGCTACAAGGGTCCCCTTGTCCGTGGCGTCAACCCCGCAACGCTCTTCGAGAAAGCTGTGCGCGACCGCATCACCGACTCATACTACTGGAAGGAACAGTGCTTCGGTTTGAACGCAGCAACTCTGTGCGACCGTGCAGTTGAATTGAGCTCCATTGGTGGAACTTACGGCGTCTCCGAAAAGCCCACACCCTTCCTCTGTCTCGCCTTCAAGTTGCTTCAGCTTGGGCCTGATCGCGACGTCATCCTCGAGTTGCTCAATTACACCGACCCCGGCAGCGGCGATGAGTCGGAAGACCCAGATTCCAATGTTGTCAAGGACCGAGGCGACTTCAAATACCTGCGCGCTCTTGCGGCATTCTATGTGCGACTGACTTTTGATGCGGTCGATGTCTACAAAACCCTGGAACCGCTCCTTCTCGATTACCGGAAGCTGAAGCGACGGGTGCGCGACACTTTTACCCTTACATATATGGATCAATTTGTCGACGATCTTCTCACTAAAGACCGTGTCTGTGGTACAAGTTTGTGGAAGCTTCCGCCCCGAACACAGTTGGAGGACTTGGATTTGCTGGATGAGCGAATCAGTCCTTGTGACCCCGAAGCTTCATGAAATACCTTATGATTGTCAGCATACAAAAAAATCACTCCAAAGAAAGGGCAGAGGTCACCAGCGATGACAAGACTAACACGGCAGGCTCCAGTAAGTTTTGTCTAGGTGACTAGTGTTGTACACTGTCCACGGGGGCCTATATCACAGCACCCAACTGCCGCCAAGCGTCGGGACATCTTTACCCTTTTGGGCAATGCGAGAGCTTCCCCTTCGGTATACTTATTTCCGGTCCTTATCTTCTCTTGTTTCTATGCAGCGTCAATTTATCCAAAAGATCGCGCCTCGAACTCCAAGTTGCACCGTGTAGGGAATGAATTTACTGTTGACCAAATCTTTACCTCCCACCACCATAGGCGAACAACATACCACTACCACTGATAAATGATGCTTTCACTCTGCGGCGAGTTGTGTTTTCATGAACCACTAGTTCGGGGGTATGTCCCAATATATGTACATGGATGTATCAAGGTACATGTACCCACGCTAATCTTGAAACCCCATAGATGTGATAGGCGCCCTGGGATAGCACCATGATAAGCAGTCTCAGCATGGACAACCGGCATTTTCTCTCCTAACACGGCCAAATCAATCGAGCCAGACAATCACAAAAGCTAGTCGATGCGTATCGCTCTCTCTGAATGGATGCGAGTTTCACACCCGCTCCGGGGATCCCTCACCCAGGTGCAACAACATCTGAACGTCTTTTGCTCACCGTTGGCCCAGAGAGTACTTATTCGCTTTGGTCCCCGTCTCCCCGTAACTCAGTATACTTCTGTAAGGACTGCCCACTGCAACTGCACTGATAAAAGTGCTGTATATTGGTTCGCTATCTACCTTCGGCTTGCCCTAACCCGTATGGAAAACGCCGCTATGGACTTTCAGTCCATCCGGGAGAACCGCTGGCCCATTGGATTGGTCCTATTAGTCGCCACTGTGGTCTATGCTGTCATCAATCGGACATTTGGGAAATCTCTCCTGGCTAGAGTTACACTGCGAGGCCGAAAACATTCAACTGCCAGCACGCCACCGCGCTCTTTCTCACCAGACAAGAAATCCACGACCAGCCCGAGCTCACCATCTGACTACACCAATGCCCTGCCACCCCAACGCAGACATGTACTTGTCGATCTGAATTGCCCTGCTGCGTCCGCGCACGATGTGGATGAAGATGAAGTGCGTCAGAACATTCTCCCCATGAGCGCCAATTATATGACCAGTCCCGACGACAAGTATACGCCGATGGGCTTCTCAGTGGGTGAAATCAAAGGATTAGGAGACTTTCCAGACTATGCGACTCTAAGTGGAGTTCCTCTTCCCACTTCATATCCGGAATTCGATATTCAGAAGGCACTTCCTCGCCCATATCGCCCATTCCGATGGGCATACCACCAAACGATGTGTATGTTCCCTAATTCCAAACAAGAATGACCTGAATCTAACCACCTCCTCTCCTTCAAACTTAGCCCTAACAAGACTCGAAACAGATTGGTGGATCGAACTCGAAAACACATACAAGAGTCGCATTGCCCAACGCAAAGACCTCTACTCCAAGAACGGCAAAGAGGTACTTGATGCCATGCCAGGCTCCGAGCTAGCATGCAAGGAACTCATGGAGATGGTGTTACAGTTTATCTGTGCACGATATCCGCAATACTTCACTCTCGTCAACAACCGCGTGCTGCAAAACAAGATCCTTGGTACGGAGCAAGACGTCACAGCCAAGCCCCCTCTCGAAGTTCTTTTGGACAATGTTCCTGAAGACTTCGCCATCATGCTGCGCGACGACCAAACCGGGTTTTATTTCCTACGCGCAGCGGTGATCTGCTCAGCACTAGGATGGAATGTCGCTTCGAAGGTCGGCAAACAGTTGCATGAAATCCACGAGCCGGTTGCGGAATACAAAGAGAAGATGCAGTTCTCAATGGATCGGTATGCTGATTCTCTTTCTTGAATATTATGGCACACTGGTATACTAAAGTGAAAGTCTGGTTTAGATTTTTCACTAAGATGGCTAGTGAAAAACCAATTCAGCGAGGATCGTGGGGCTTGGAAATCGGGCAACCCTTATACATGCCACCCGGAGATCCTCATGAGCTGCTACGGTTGTCTCAGCGAACTGATCTGACGATTGACGAATGCAATATGCGGGTGGACTGGCAGACTCTCCGGCGTTTGCCCTTGTCCGGTGCCATTGTCTTCAACTTCAAAGGGCTTTTCACCCCGGTTAGTGAGTTCCGTGATGAGCCCGGCGTGCCGGGTTTGGTTATGAAGCTTGTGACAGAAGGAAAGAAGAATCTTATGGAATACAAGAACGTTTGGCATGTGCAACATGTTGTAGTTCCCAAGTTGAATGAATGGGCAGAGGAGCAGAAGCAGAATGGACTGGTTGCGGAAGATTGGGAGGTTGCTACTTTGGATGACAGTCCTTGGTTCAAAGGCTGGCAAGAGAAATGGCATCGTCAACAGGGTTTTTAATATATTACTTGCACACAGTTCTGGTTCATTTTTGTCTCTCATTATGAAGCTGTCATTGGTCCCCTCAGCACCCGAGGCAAACTCACTCGCTTTTCAGGCCGTGCTTAGCTGTAAGCACATCTTCAACGTGTGCTTGTCTACACATATATACCTCAACGTCTTCCTTCCCAATTGAGAATTCAACCTTCTTCACTTCACCTGGAAATCCTTCAATATCCTCTTGGTCTCACTCTTCTCTTTTAAGTTATTTCCAACCCTGACTTCACTTCATGGTTCCATCAACTCCTCATCAAGCCAATCCCAGCTGATTCAACTTTAATTCGTCTCTCACTTGTCCAATTCGACATACAGACTCTCCCTATCTCGGGAATTTGCCCCGAGATCTGGCGAGGACTACCAACTCAACGACTCCCTATGATTCCGATAGCCCCGACTCGCGCGTGAGATTTAGATCATCACGAAGGGGATCGAGTCTTCAACAATGATCTTGACTTTGAGAGCCCAACTCTCCCTACGGCTTCAGTTTCCACTCCGATGCCAAGAAGGATAACGGGTCACGCACTTTTAGAAGCTTGTTATTACTGCTAAGATGGGCTTGAAAGATAAATCTTGGAATCCACAGTTCAAAATCGTCCATAACAAATGCTTGTCCGTAGCTCTGGTCTTTGTATAAGATCAACTGTGCAACTTAATGGCTAATCATTGGCTTCATAAATTATAGAAAGATGTCGGTCTCTCGTCGGTTTAGCACTCTCTATTATGTAGGAAGAATCTTGAATCTTCATTTGGCAAAAGTTCAATGCCAATTTCCCAAATTTGAACCTAGTTAGGACTCGAAAGTGCAAAATACTCTAGGGTCACAAATTGCCAACACGCGTGGTAGTCATACTTGAGATGACCTGAAATTAATTATCGTGCTTGATCTTGTAGAACGCGCTGCTCTCCTGGATTACCTGGAGTTGGGTACCACTCCTTGAGGAAATCAGACATTGCAATCGTCTCTGCAGGTACCCATGAGTCGATGAGGGAAGTTGTCAGCCCTCTGGTGGTAGAGGTTCTGCTCTTCGGAAGGTTGAACTCGCCCTCTCCCGGTGGTCTGTGTAATCAAAGGTTAGGTGAATTCACTGTGGTTACCTTGCCAATGGTACGTACGATATACAGATGCTTCTTCCGGCCATGTAATCCAGGTTGTCACAGTTTTGATGAATGGTCCTATAGCCCCAGTTAGTATACTGGGGATATTAGTGGCATTCTGATACTCACGGGTTCCAGCCCATGAGCTGTACCAATCCAAATGGCCGATCCCGCACAATACCCTGACACGTTTCGGACGGTTCAATCGTGTGGGTGTCGCAGATATCTTGGATACATAGTTCGGTTCCTGGCTCAATTGGTGAGCACATATAATCCAGAAAGTTGACTTCGATTAGCCGATCTGTGCTCATGGAGTGGGCTTTTGAGATTGACTTGCAGTCATCTCCCTCTTTGGAAATATAGATATGGCCTTGGCAAGTAGACGTAGCAGTCGGTGTTACTAGTCCACTGGGTGTTGAAGAGGTCACAATTGGAGTTAGTACCAAGGCATTGGAATAGGGATAAGTCGGCATTGGTACGCCGCACATCAGCAAATACAATGACAAGTCCTCTGGCGATATTGGCCAGTGACTATCCGGGGAAGCCATCACAACCATATACTGTAGTACGCAGTCCGAGCATTCATCGAGCTCGCCATTCATAAGATCTTCCATGCATAACCCCGATCTACCGCATTCAACCGTTAGATCTCCCACTAAGCCCATACATTGCACACAGGAACTTGGGACCTACGAGTCTTGGATGCAGGTGAGTTCGTAAATCCATTTGAATTCGCGAGCAATCATCACGGGAAACAGAGTCTCATTATTGTTCTTGGAAGGAATTTGTATGTTTCCGCAGTGCGAGTCGATACCCTTCTGGAAGGTTAGGAGAGAGTCATAGCAGGCCTTAGCACAGTAAGCCTTTGCCGAATCCCCCGTCGGAAATTCTCTGTCCATGATATCCCGCCCGCTCATGAGCTCACTGACACATTCGATGTTGTAGGTGAGAGCATTTTGGCAGTCGACCGACAACGGGGTTGCTAGCTTGTCGAGATCGGAGTTTCGCCACACCTGGAAGGCAGAAACTTGAGGGACCGCGAAAACCGCCAAGGAGATGTATACAAGGGTTGACAGCATGATTCAAATCAGCCCACAAGCTTAGAGCAAGTAGGGAATTTTTGACAAAAGATCAAGCATTCAAAAACTCGCCCCCGGATGTTGCGGGTTGCTCCGACATCCAATCCTGTCGTGGAAAGGGCAGGTCTTGAACTCGCTTAAGGTACGAACTAGCCCAGATTCGGGTCAAATAGCTTCATAAATTGCAACGCAGAATGCTGAAACTAGTTGAGCTCTTATTAGATAGCAGATATGTATTTAGTCTGTACCATCCATGCAAGCGCTTGTCCTCGCACGCTTTGCTCGTCGTTGAGGTCGCTTCTTGCGCATACATTTGGCTTCAGGCGCCTGCACAGCTTAACCCTGTAGGGACTAGGCAGTTTTGACTATAAATAGAACTTCCTCTCTAGTTTCCATTTCAAGTGAATTCTAGCAACGCAGTTTGATAGCTTTCGCTGTTTTTGCAATCGAAACATTGGCACATGGGTGATGATATCTCTCACCAACATCCCTGTCAATCCCAAGAAAAGTGACGGTCAGGATCTAAAACTGTTTGGACATTGCGGGTGAGTGAAAATTCCGTATGTAGGCACTTCATGTATAACTTAGTTTCTCTTTAGATGTTGAGATGGTGGATTATACAGACGTACCAGCAACAATTATATCTATTTAGATACAACTTAAAGTGCATATAGGATCTCTATAAGCTAATTTGGGTCCCTCTTGTAACAGCGACGGATAATGCGTGAGATGAGCCTGAAGCAATAAAGAAAGTTCTATAGCGAGGCCTCATAGTACTCTGTACCATGGCATGCGTTGGCTCAAAGGATATGCTCAAGTAAATTCCCACTTTGTTCGACGTGCACTGTCCCTGCGCGTTTAAAGACATATTTTCCCCAAATGGGGGTTCTTCAATTCTCGAAGTCTTGACTGTTCCTCGACTTCAGTGGAGGATATTGATTTAAGTTGATATGGTCATCAGAGACCTGGTTGGATATGGGCAGATGCCAAAATTGGTGACAAATATCGAGTGGAGGGAGAGACCGGGAGGCAGCTGTATCAATTAACAGAGACCGATTTGGAGGATCCCTAGCCTTGGTATCGAAAATGCAGTCTAGGATTCTACTACCTAGCTAGATCTCAAAGAAATCATTGGCCTGTGCCTTTGGATCTGCACGGACATATCCCCTGCTCAGTATGAAAGCGCTTTAGGTGTGTTCGATGCTGCGATGATGATTTCTTTTCTATCTTTGTTACTATTTGGGTCATTTAAGTCCTGAAATATTGCGGGGATACAGTATTTTCAAAACATGATGTAACAAGTACGGAAGTGAGAGATATGAAGGATATGTAGGTGCAATGCTTTTGGGGTTATACTATGATATCTGAATGCCTAGGTAAACATCGGCTGGGCTTTCATATAATGTGAAGTATGAACCGAATGGGAGAACTTGCAGGCGCATCACCTAATAAGAATGAAGATCCATATCCATGGATATGGTCCTATAGGTGAGTCCTGAGCTGTAGTCTTCTTTTGGTAGCACTGAATACCACTAGAGTAAGCCTCCTTCGATTTATAGCGCTCTTTGTACTTCATTCTTTGCTTTCTGCTTTCTTGGTCCTAAAGAGATCTAAAATATCAACTCCCTAGCCTTTGAGCTAAAGGAATTTGCCATGAGGTGGCCTTCTGGCCTAAAAAGATGTAATTGTAGTTTTAAGCAGCATCGTATATGATGTTTACTCGGGTGAGGGTTGGAGATACCCGACACATTGTAGTGGCACCATCATGACACCGTAAGTTGAGATAAATAACGTCGTATGAGTTGAGGAAAAGCAGAAGATACTATTATTCAATTCTCAGCCTTAAACCGAAACCGCGAGTCCCAAAATAAAGTCACATGTTTTTAGCCACGGATGTCCTCTAGGGTTTGGCGGCTTTGTTTGCTGACAAGGGAGAGATATCATCTCTCATTAAGCATCATATTGGGATGCTTTGGTCTCAACCTTGAATGGTAACAAAGGCTCTTTCCCTTGCAGTCTTTGTCGTCGACAGACCCTCGAAAACCTATATAAATCTCCCATCCTTCGAGAAGCACACTTCCATCTACTACTCATCCACTACTCATCAACTACTACGGCTCCCATTTCTTGTTCTAGAAATCTCTTTACCAGGTCTCCCTTAACTGAACAATCTGTTCATATTTTATTCAAAAAGGAAACTCATTCCAACCAAAATGGCCGATGACCACAGCTGGAAATCCCCCCACCCAGTCTACAACGTTCCCCTCGCAGTCCTGCAAGCCACCAAGCAACCGACAATCTACTGCGACGTTCATCAAGTAGACAATCTCGCACCTCTATCATGGGCAGTCGAAGTCTCCACATGGATCAACACCAACCACTTCTTGTGGTCTCTATGCGCCGGTCTCGCCGACTCCGGCACTGACAAGGACTGGACGGGAACCTTCAACGCCCAGTACCGACTAGTTTGGGAAGAGATCCAAGCGCGAGTCCAAGAGGTCGACGGAGAATACAAATTCGGTATCCTTATCCCGGAACCTCCGGTTCAGGATGCGATGGTCATTCATCGCCCTGGGAACCCCATGCAACAGACTTGGAAGCTGCGTTCGCACCCTCGTCATGTCCATGCTACCCCTCAGGTGACGAGCTACTCTTGGAGTGGTCTGTGGCGATTCTTGCGGTTTGTGACTGAAAATCAGTCTACTGTGTCGGGTCGATTCGAGGTAGTCCTCAGCATTCCATCGATGCCTAAAGATCCACAGGCATGTTTGCTTCTGGCAATGAATCAACGCGACGGGCGAAATGTGTAATTGACACATATTACAACCTTGGCAAGCGAGGCTCAATATCAACGGGACGATGTGTTTTGGATTGTATTCGACACATAGAATAGGATTTTCATTGAACATGGCTCTTTATGCGGACGCACATTTTTCGAGTATTACATAGTAACATAAAAAGAATCAAAACACCATGATAGCAATATCTAATTTAGAACGATGGATCATAGATATCTACCAAGTCGACCTCTTCCCATCGCGGTCTAGGGGTTAGTGCGCACCAGTGCTGAAAAGCTCTAAAACAGGCGAATATGGAGCATATGATCAACTCAGCTCTATACTTCCAACGTCAATCGACCATCGATCAATCCATCCTGTAATTTCGGTCTACAGATGATTCAATGAACCAATATCACAAAGCAGCAAGCGTTCCCCGATCTCAAAGAGACACTAGCTACCAATCATAACTGTAGGGTTTAGAAAAGATGCAATACATTATACACTGTGTTTCTCTTTCACGTATCCTGATAGTGTGCGTGTCCAAGGCCCTCTTTGTCGATTATTTTAAGGAATCGCCACAGATAACTGCCAGGTTTATCCATTCATTGACCGAGCTCACGATGAAAGGGGAGTCGGAAATACTTGAAACACACATGCCGAGTCTTTGGACTTGATATAGATCTAAGAGCCTCGGAAATAAATATACAATGACAAGGCCAAACCTAAATTAAAACCAGCAATATAAACACACTGTCCCCTGAAGGAGTACTTTGTATGATTCATTCCATTCGTATTGCGCTGCAATCACATCGGCATAATCGCAGAGCCCTCTACACCGAGTGACAAGCAGATCAACGCCAGACCTACTATGTCTCAATCCCCAACTTCCATCCTGGCCTCGCACAAGTTCAGGCTAGGTGACCTGCCACCGGAGCTCATCCTGCAAATCGCAGAGTTCGTCCCTGCCCAAGCCCTCTGCAAACTCTGCCAAACATGCAAACAACTGTACTCTCTCCTCTCCAAAGCCGCAACGGGAAAGACCCGCGCGGTGGCTCAAGCACTAGCCCCAAAGGAAGAGTACGAGCAAATGGGCTTCTACTGGAACGACCCTAACAAGATCGGAAAGGAGGTACCCGATGACTACGATTCGACCCTGTTCGAGGGGAGGGTAGGCATATTGCCAGATCTCGAGGTACTACCTTATGCCGTAGTAAAAGGCGATTTGAAAACCGTGCGATACCTCCTGGATGCAGGCGCCGATGCGAACTCATTCTCCGTGGACGGTAGATACCTGCTATATCTAGCGCTTAAGGCGAAGAGTCCTGCGATGGTAACCTTGCTTTTGACATACGATGCCGAACCTGATGCTCTCAACATCTACGACGAGGATGCAATCTGGAAATTGGCGCTGCATACACAGGAAGCGGCGCTGATTACTCCGTTCCTGATCTACGATATCGATGACTTTGCCAATTTGGTTACTATGCTTTGTACGGGGGAGGTTGTGCAGGCTTGTATTGATGCAGGCATGGATCTCAATGAAGTATCTTTTGCGCAAGAGACCGTGGCGCATTCCCTGGGCCGGAGAAATTGCAAGGAGATGTTTGCTTTGGTGGCGCCTCATCTCACAAGCGAGACTTGGAAGATGAGTACAGTGATGGGTTTCACACCGCTGCATCTCAATATGTTATATGATGAGACGCCGATGCTCCTGATGGATTTCATCGACGCAGGGGTTGATGTAAATGCCGTTGACGAGAGTTCGTGTACAGCGCTCGCCTATGCTATTGAGAACGGTCATACTGATACTGCACGCTGCATCTTTGAGATGAATCAGGATCGGCCTTTGCATGAATACACTGGTGGTGTGGAACTGGTCAAGGCAGTCAAGGCTGGGGATGTTGATATGATTCGGCTGCTTATGTCCCTTGGAATGCGCGCGGACCACAAGGTAAAATATAGAGACTCGGCTCTTGTGTGTGCGGCACGAGGAAGCTTGGAGATCTTCAAGTTGGTCTACGAGGAAGGACCGGGGGTGCGTCCTTCCCTGAATGGCACCCGTGGGAGACTTGATTCGCCTTCACCGTACGCGACAGCTCTTCTCCATGGAGAAGACACAGTCGTGAGATATATTGAGACTATCATCGACGGCGAGCACGGCGACCCTTATGTGCCGTGGACACCGGAGAACGAATCCCACGTTGCGCTAGTACGCAATGTGGTAGGAGCCGCGGCATGTCTGTATATTTGGAGCCCGCAACCGACGGAGAATCACTGCCAGAAATCCAAGCTGCAGGAGATTGCAGCGCGTGTTTTGCTTCTGGCAGGGGGCAACCTTGATTCCGAGAAGACCCGTGACATTATACGGGCCATGGGGACTCTGCTTCCATTTCCGGATAGTCTGATTGATATAGAAAGTCGAATTAACCGGGCCATAAAAGATTCCTTCCCATCGACACTCAGCACTGACGAGATAAACCACGAACGCGCGTACGCCATCGCAAGGTTTGCTAACATGGCTGATGACCAAACGATTGATCAGCTCGTATGTGCCATACAAGGTCTTTCGGTAGAAGGTGATACCGATCGAACAGACGATATAATTCAGGTTATTTCGCGTCATTCTTCACTCATCCCGAGCGAGGCCAATCCGGGCAGAGTGCATAAGTTCCTTCAGGTCATAGAGCCTCTTCTTCGCTTGGCAGAAGAAGAAGCCGAAGCTCATTCTCGGGCCCTTCGCCATCCCAAGGAAGCGAGTGACCCTGATAAGACATTCCTGCTAGGGAGGGCCTTTTCACGTTACTTGTACGTTGTCAGGAAAGACCATAGTTCCGAATTGATGCGATTATCTGAGAAGTCCGTGATGGGCATTTTTGAGCATCACACTAAAACGGTGAGAGATCGCCCCGAGAAATATTCTTCTGATCGACTACGAAGGCTTGAGTGGCTTTTGATCAGGTTCAAGTACCTTGCAGGGCAAGATGACTGCGCCGATGAGAAAGCCGAAATGGCTCGGGTCTTCATGCGTCTTATTCGATGCTAGTTATCTTTTTTTTCCTTTTTCTCTATCGATAGTTTTCAAGTTGACAGAACTCCATTTCCTTTGTAATGAAACGCCATCGGGTCTTCGTTAGATCAAAGGGCGGTTCCAATTAATGATAGAAGTATCTGTGTATATAGAGGCTTCCAAGCAATAAATAGGACTGTGCAGAATCATACATGATAGCTTCAGCAAACTATATGAGGAGTCGTGAGGTAGATCAAAATCAACGAATCTCGAGTGAAGGGTCATCAGCGAAAGTAAGCTGTCCTTACTTCCATTCAGAGGTTGAGAGCTGCAGTGTAGATGTGTTGTAGCACGCGGCATTCGGTCAATTTACAGAAGTACCGGCCTTACACACATTATCAATGGGTCAAGCAGGCCTTGGTCCCAAGCATAGAGTACCTTGGTAGTTCATTGAATGAGTCAGTCTAAAACACAGCGCAGGGGACGTATCCCTTGAGATTGAAGCCATAGCAAATGCACAAACAATTAGGACAGGACAGCGCTAGAAGAGGGCTGGGTAGTACAAAGAAAAAAAAGTCGAAAGAGCAGACAAGCAAAGCTAATGATCATATTGGAGCAAATAAGAGCAAGGGAAAGAAAAGAGAGAGAAGGCCACGAGAGTGGTGAGGCCAGAGGCTGGCGATAGCAGTCACCATGGATTAAGGCGGGTGTGTGTGTGAGAAACCCGGAGATTGTGTCAGCATGGGCTAGCGTCACCGATGCGGCGTGGCATGTATGTATGCAGGATAATGTATGTGTTGCTCGTGAAGGCGTCTCAAGTGGCCGGGGCGAATGACCATAGACTTTAATTCAGGACTTGGGCTCTTATTTTTCTGTGTCCTCCTAGTTTGTTCTGGCGGGCGAATACCGATGCATGCACCGTCAGAACTAGGCACTGGTAGAATAAAGGTGCGGCATCATATGCTGTCGTTCGGCATATCGTTCACAACCGCACCTATAATAATAGAAGGAAAGAAAGAAAGAAAAGATGAGCGACAAGTGGGTATCATAATGAGACTGTTTTAACGGCACGGTATTATTGGAGAATGAGAGGTGCCGGACGATGGAAGCGAAAGAAAATGTGGTCGGATGAATCGTCGAGTAAAGTCGTCAGTCCAACCTTGAGAACTTAATCGGGGTTGGTAAGCTGTGAAATTAGAGGTTAGTAGGAATGCCTGTGGCCAGGGTTGAATATTCAACTTACCCGAAGGACAGGACGTGAGTAGTCTTCATTGTCTTGTAGTGAGATACTACTATCGCGGGCACCGTTCGGGTAGAGGACTGTATTGGTCTTCATGCGACGATCGGTGAAAGTTGTGCCCGAGCGTCCAGGCACACCGTCCCCATTGCCCCGCGGCAAGAAGCCTCCCATAAAGCTCGAACCTCTGCTGGTTCTATCGGTCATGTCCTGACTGGGGATAGGGCTTGCAGCGCGAGCGCGTTTCCGGTACACGAAGACCAGGAAGATAAGGGCCCCAACCAGAGCCAGTCCTCCAATGACACCAATCACAATGCCTGCGATGGAGCCTCCACTCAATTTTGAGCTGTCAGAAGAATCGGTCTTTTCCGAGGCAGAACCAGAACCAGAACTAGAACCAGGGTCGGCCGTCACTCTTGAACCTTCGACGGTAATTGTTTTGACCTGACCGCCAGAGTTGGTCTGTGTTTCGACAATAGGCCGGACAGGGGCAGTGGTAGTGGATTCATTCGATGTGGTTGACTAGAATCGAAAGTCAGCGAAATCTGCGACCTCATCAAACCGAGCATGCTAAAAATACAGTTTGCGAAGCCGAGTTGGTAACCGAGGCAGTCACAGTGAGTGTGGTATGCTCAATACTAATCTCCTATCACTGAGATTAGACCCTTATGCCAGGAGAGCGTAGCACACCCAATGATATTACATTGACAAAAGCCTTTGGGCCCAATAAGAAAAGACAAAGCAAAAGCAAAAACACCGTTTAATCAAAAAACCAACACAGGAGGGGGGCTTACCGATGTCGAGGATGAGGATGAGGATGAGGACGACGATGTGCTTGTTGAGGATGTTGAACCACCAGCGGTACTTGTCACATCATGGCCACCAATGTCCAGGTAGGCAAATACTCCTTTGCCTGCACTTCCGCAACTGTCATCGGGATAGCCGGGACATGAAGCATCACAATCAGAGGTTTCAGCCTGTGAACCTTTCGAGGGAGCAACATTGGTGCACCAGCATTTCTTGCCCTGTAACACACCGAAAGCGTACTGGGCACAAGAAACTATGCAGGCTCCATTTGATTGAAAGGTATCAGTGACTGTGACAAGTCAGTGATACCGTCAGATTTATACATGGAAAAAAAAAAAAGACTACAACCGCTTACCCGCTTTGAAGGAAGCTCCAGTGTTGTCTGAAGCACAGAACGCGAGTTCTGAGCTCGCCGACACAAAAGGCTGACTCAGGGCCAGAACTGAAACCACCACCGCGACCTTCATGGTGGGTGTGCGCAATCGACCTAGGGAGGCAGACTGCCCGTGCTTGATGTGATTTTCCTTAGTTTCGACCAGCGATCTCGTTCAGAAGCTTGCGATAGTCAACTGCGGTGGGCAGGAGAAAATTCGAGGTGTGTGGGCCGACCGCGGTGAATGTCGTTGAATGACGATCACGTCTCGGCCAAAGATAGTGGCTGGAGGGAGAATTAGATGTCTTGATGGGAGTCGATCGGTCGGAAAGGCCCCAATTGGTGTTGATCCCCCACTCGACACTGAGTAAACACTGAAGAGGTAGAATATCCCGGATCACAGGCTCATTGTCTATGGGGTGTGAGTAATGCGAGGGTCCGCTAACAAAAAAAGGAAAAAGGGAAAAGGAAAGGACTGAAACTGAAACAAAGAATTCAAGAGAAGTGCTAAGGAAGAAGAGAGAGAGAGAGGAGAAGGGGATGGTCCACAATCACGGGTGTTACTATCCTCGTCGGAGTATGTCGAGCATCCCGACATACCCGCTCCTCGGTGGATACTGATGTTCCTTTTGACGGCTTTGTGGGCTTTAGAATTATTAATCTGGACTAATATATGAGGTAGCTTAATTGTTATACATCAGGGCAGGTTCTACGTCGATTGGAAGTCCTCAGGGGAAAGGAAGCATCCGGAGGAGCAGCGCGTTATCTACGAGCATCAACATAGGACCTGGAGTTATAACTGCTGGGGCCAATCATCAGCTCATAGGGAGCAAGCCACCGGCCAGAACAAGGCAATTCAGTATTTTATTTCCATGTCATTTCCATGTTATTTCCATGTTATTTCCATGCTATTTCCATGTTATTGACCTTTGGCCTAAATCTTAGCTCTCCACTCGAGCCCGACTGGCAGATCGAAGGAAACATTCCACCCTTCATACCTCTCCTTTTTTTGGGGGGCTTTGCTTTCTTTTCTTTCTTTGCTCCCTGCCAATGCATATATTGTGTGTGTTGGATATTGTGGCTGTGGATTGTCAGTGTCCTATTCTTATCCGAAACAGCCCTGGGAGAGAGATCGCCATGCATTATGACCAGGATTCTAGTGCAGGCTAAACAGCCAGCATACGTAATTAAGTGGATTGAAAACGCACTTGCGTCTCAGATCGTTCTATTCCGTACCAGGCTGCTCCCTGATTTTGTGATTTTGTTCTTTTTCTTTTTCTTCTGGACTTTGTACGGAGTACGCCGTACGCATACAACCCACGGGTACGGAGTAGACTACTTCGGACTATTGTAAATAACTCAACCTCCCCATTCACTTGAGTTTCCCACAGAGACTCGGATTCGAAAAAAAAACAGAAAAAAAAAGCAAAAGCAGAAGAAATGCAACTCTTTTCCCCTCACTCCCATTAGTGCCTCGGTGCCTTCGGAGTTGCCTTGGCCTCCTGAAGTACCACTCTTGAATCAACCAGCCACCTGGCAACTGGGAACTCACCAGAGATACCATGTCTAGACCTGGAAGCAGCACATGAAAAGATTCCCTTACCCCGGGATTCATGCATCGAAACAGAATAATGGCCTTGCAACGCTCGCCCTCGCTCTAGGCTCGATGATCAACGGAACTGATCACTGTGATTTGCCCGATCGGAGCAAGTCAGACGGCGATGATTAAACCGACTGCGTTTATGACCTCGCGAGTCCGGAATACGGAGTTCTCCGTATTGCGTACTCCGTATCTGCTTCCAAGTTCCTAGATTTCTCCGTCCAAACTGCATTTCGGACCGAGAACTTGGGTTCCTGGCCTGGTCCTCCATGGACGGGGTTTTTTTTTACTCCGTACAGCTTACAAGATGAGAATGGGTTCCCCTTTTTTTTTTATTTTCTTCCATTTTCGCCGACTCATCCAATGTGAGTCCTCCCATTCATCTCCCGGGTGGAGCGTCTCCACTTCGTAGATGAGCAGTCAACACAATGCCACATCCCCAGATCTGGGAATTGCAAGGGCAACTGGGCCGTGTAGACCGATGATGCGTTGTTACACACAGAGCTAGGATGAAACAAATGACCTAGATGCCCCAGGACCGAGAGGTGATGATGGGCACAATGGGAGTAGGAAATGTCGGCATTTGCATGTGCCCAACCCAAACCCTAAAAAAATACGCCAATCTCCCGTACCGGAGTACATCACATCGTGAAGTACGCTCACTAGTCGCAATAAGCTCCCTCTAGCGATCAATAATAGAGACCGATTAATGGGCAACGAGGTGCTTGTGGCTCTATGTTTTACTCGGGCAATGCCAAGGGCAAGTGATGATGGTGTGGCCGTGAAGATGGCTGAGACAAATCCACTGTGGCGACAGAGTAGGATCCTGAGCATCGACGTAATCTCCCACTGGGCTTCCAAGGCTTGATGGAGGGGCTGCAAAGTGATCCGTCCTCAGCTCCGCCTCGATAAACAGTCTGAGCAGTCAAAAGCCCGGTGAACCGAAAGTCCAGATTCAATTGTACCTGGTGTGGCTTGCAGGTGGCGCTGTGCCTTTTTGAAACAACCTTGAAAAGCAGCGATGAGGACTTCAGAGGCATCTGCGACCCAGAGATGGAAAGTTTACATTGGTGTTTCAGCTACTCCATAACTCATGCCAGGCGAGGATTATTTTGTGATACTGGAATTCGGATTACGATTAATCGACATTCAGTTAAACAGATCAGTTGTCCCATCCGGGACATTCAAACCATCAATAGAAGCTCAACCTGTCCAGTATTGTCCTCCGTACGGTGTACGTACTCCGTACTCCGTACTCCATACAAACACGATGTTAGAACCGCACACTATTCAATCTCTGCCTAGGAAGTCAATTGATAATTGACCAGTCCCGGTAATCACATCAATCACGCTATCGGATTCCTCTGAGCCTACCGGGCCTGATGAGTAGGGTGAACACTTGGAGCCCTTGCTAACACTGCGCGACCGATCGGCCTCAGACCCTGGCAGAGGGCCGATCATCAATTCATTGGAGCTTTCGTCAAGGGATGGATCAGTAGAAAAGGATGAGTGAACCCAAGCTAATATATCATCATCTGGTGTGAAAACAGGTTGTTTGGTGAGGCTAAGCTTGGTTTTTTTATCATCGGACACTTCTGCTTCCTCCTCGTTGTCATCGAAGAGATTGGCCGCAGCGGACAAGGCGACCAGTCGAGCGAAATGCCACTGCATGTCTAACAAGTCAAAACTCGGAAGCGGGCGAACGACGGGGTCATCAGTTGTCAGTTTAAAGCGGAAGCCAGACTCAATGGGCCGATATGTAGGGTCGCCTCGCTCTCCTACCACCACAATCAGTCGATCCACCGTGTTGACATTTTTGGTAGACTGGGGTTCTTTCGCTAGATCAACCATGTCAAATACCTTGTGCGATGCCCTTGGCTGCCAGTAAAACTCGAGTTCCATTTCGGTTTGGTCATCTGCAACCCAGGCAGGGCGTAAGGCAAACAGACCATTTGACCACGCAGATCGAAGGTCTCTCCGAAGACAGATCAGATTTGAACAATCATTGACAGCAAGATTAGGATCGGCTGGATTATTGAAGGCAGCCTTTCGCCATCGTTCAGCTGTTTTCGGTCCCCAAAACACGTCCACGAACCTCCAGATGCTGGGCATATCCGGGTCGTCTTGCAAGCGAGAAGTGTCTGTGGTTACCGGGAGTATCTGGGCAGTCTCGTAAACTTTGCGGGTGCCTGTGATAACACATTTGTATCCATCTCGTTCTCTGGCAGCATATCTTGAAATCGGGGAAGCACCTCGTCGCCTGTTCAAGGAAGAGCCGCCTGAGGAGAGTGAACCATTTTGGATGCCAGGCGCTTTTTTTGTCCACTTGAAGGGAAGAGTGCACGTGATGTCAGCGATGGGATCCATGATCTTTAGCGACAAATGTGCAAGCTTTACAAGGTACTCGATTTTCTCGAGGTCGCATAACTGGAGAACGGCCCACAATGGGGCGGGCACTTCTTGTCCTAGCAGAGCTTTTTTGAGCTGGCGAAGGACAATTCTGCGCTGTGCCGATTGAATATTGAAACGCTCATCATTGACACGAATGACAGTGGAAGGACGACGACGTATGCCTGCGGGACTCCCTACGGACGGGAGGATGTCAGATACATCGGACATCGTGAGAGCAGTCCTGATTCTGTGCACCTTGTGAGTAACGCGTTCTTGAAGGTGACAAGATTGTCAAAGAGGAGATGTGTTTTGTTTTGATTCAAATAGTTCCGATGCCAAAAGGAAAGCGCGTTGGTTCTCTTTGCCCTCGTTCTCCCCGCCCTTGTCCTCTCTCTCCTTGCAGGGTTCTTCTCTCCGTCTCTAGGCAAGCACGCTCTTTGAATGTTTACATGGAGGCCAATTCCAGACGTTCGTTAATAGGCGCATTAATCATTTATCGTAAGTCTCATAATGGGTCATCAAACATCTTACTCATAGGATCTGCATCATCGCCGTTCCATCATCCATTCTCGATCTCTGAGATCTTGCATGCGCTTCTCTACCATCCGTGCCCGTGGGGGGATTCCCACACGAGGTCTCATGCGAGGTGCCATAGGAGCAGGCACAGCGATAGGAGGGACGTAAGCACGCTCGCGCTGGATATCACGAATGCGTCGGCGCCGATCACTCCGGATCTCATCTGATAGTTCAACAAGCTCATCAATATCCTCCTATGCGCCCAAAACAACGAGTTAGAATCCAGTATAGTGTCAGTATGTTCTAAAAAAGGGTCCATACCGGCTTAAGGTATGAGAAGATGTAATAACACGTCCTCGTCTCTTCATACTCGAAGCCCATCTCTTCGATTGCTTCCCTCACTACCAATCTCTTGGCGATCTCGGTCCATCGATCATTTCGTGGTTCCTTCGGTTCTGTGACTTGTTGGGCAACCCGTCCCACTTTGACTTCGTCGACTGGTGCATGTCGGGGTTGAACCTCAAGAACATCCAGCGCACCAGTCATCTCAATGGCCTCGGTCTTGGAAGGAGCATGTACCACCGACCAGTCATCTGTACTTTGAGGAGCCTTCTCCACGATCCGGGCATCCTCGATTTCTATTACCTCTTCCACTTCACGCTTTGAGGGCAAAGCGTTGATTTCCTCCCTATAAGTTATTTCGCTTTCATCATCCAGTGGCTTGGGCCGGCGACGATGTCTAGATCTCGTTGCCCCATCCCATGGGTCATGAAAATCCATAGATGGGCCGCTAGTGGGAGAAATCGAGTCTTCGGGAGTGAGAGAGTCTTCGCTATCACTGTGTTTGAGAAGTATGTCTTCCTCTGAAATTCGTCCTCCTCGCTTGCTTCTAGCTGATGCATTAGCCTGTGGTAATCGAGAACAATGTCTATATCATTCACCGGTGGCGGATATTGATCTCATCAAATTTGCCTCTTAGAGACCGCAGTTTTGGACTGGGGACACGAGGGGGGTGGTCTTCCTCATAGCCTGGTTGGGGTTAATGGGACATCCCTATTGGGCTATCAACACAAGTCACAAAACTTACCATGGTCGATGTGTCTGTGGGTGGTATACACATCCTGGTGGATTGGAAGTACATGTATGGATTCCAAAGAAGGTGAAGGCGCGCGGGATGGAAGCTTCTCCTTTGCTTTCCGAATACTGATCTTTTCCTCGACGTCTTCCAAATCTCGAGTGGTTGACTTGGGGTCAAACTGCGAGCGAGTACTAATCCCTTCGTCTAGTGGAGGCTCTTCCCTTACCTCTCGGCGAAGGCCTCTCAATTCACGTTCGAGATCCTCCGAAGGCACACTTCGTCGCTTCTCGCGTCGTCCGCGTAAGACGAGCTCTTCCTCAGCTCTAGGATCGATGGGCCGTGGCCCTTTGCCCTTCCACCGGATGAGCACATCTTCGTCTTCAAATTCTCGCTCTGGGCGCTCGATTGGGCCACGGTGTCGCTTTGAAGCCGGATCATCAAGAACAACCTCCTCTACGTGGACCCTCCGGGGAGGCGGGGGTCGCGACCGCGACCGTGATCGATGGTATGTCTCTTCTTCCTCGAATTCTAACCTCCGCTCACGAGATCGAATATCGAGTTCGCTGTCCCATCCACGACGTAGAGGAGGCTCATCTCTTTCTCTCCGTCGGATAAGCATTTCCTCCTCCTCGACCTCCCGCTCTGGACGTCGCCTGCGGTGACGTCTTTCTCTATCCTCAAAGAGAAGATCATCTTCAGACCTCCGTTCTGGATAACGTCTGCTTCCTCTGTGGACTCTATCTTCAACGATCATCTCATCTTCTTCGAATTCCCGGGGATGGCGCCTACTTCCTCGGCGGCTTTCGCGCTCGACAGGAACTTCATCGTCCTCAAATCGTGGGTCTAAGCGACGCCTCCTATCGCCTTCTCTTTCGCCTTCTCTTTCGTCCACGATAAAATCTTCAGGAACTCGCTCAGGGCGGTACTTCCTTTCTCGGCGTCTTTCCCGTCTTTCCCGTTCATCAATGATAAGATCCTCATCAACATCCCGCTCTCTTTCACGGCGATGTCTCCGATCTCCATGCCTTTCTCTCTCCTCCATAACCAAGTCCTCCTCAATGTCTCGCGGATGTCGCCGACTTCCCCGATGTCTCTCACGTTCCTCAAAAATGACATCCTCCTCGTCCATTTCACGAGGACGATGTCTTCGCCGAGATCCAGGCGGCCGCATGTACATTTCATCGCGGTCCAGAGGCGGTCCCTCAGGTGAGACTACATCCCTTTCGTCCCTCGACCGCCTAAGAACCATATCCTCGCGCTCCCGAGGCACAAAACTTTCTTCCATAAAGTCTCGCCTAGGGCGCTCGCGGATATGCATGCGCTCCATATCCTCAGATAGAGCCTCGGACCTCCTGCGACGGTAGTCATCTTCTTCGAAATCTCGATCTCGTCGACGCGGTCTGTGTTCTCGCTCGCGCTCTCGTTCCATCTCGTATATCTCATCTTCGTCGTAGTATTCGCGGGGCGGTGGTCGGCGGGACATATTGGGAAAAAGTGCGGGGAATCACCGCATTGGATGTTGTGCTCGATTGGCCGTGAGGGCAGTCAACAGTGAGGATATCTCACAATTCAAATTCCTCTCGGATTTGAAGATCAGCCACTGGGTTTCCTGCGTCTGTTGAAGCGCTGGTGTCAAGGCAACAGTCAAACTCGGTATTTGTTGACTGGTGGGGCTTGCGAGAGAGGAATGTGGGCTGTGCTCGAATCAAAATCACCCAGTCAGGCGGCTAATGATAGGACAAGTAGTATAGTTGAATCGAGAACCAGAATCGGTCCCGAAGATAGGAGCATATAGAAAAAGTAACCTGACTCGTGTGACTTGGAGGGCTGGTAAAAAGCAACCATTGGAAGCGATCGACCCCGCGGCCCGCTGATGTCACCGGATCGAGGAAATAGGTATACATCCCATTCAGCCAGGGTTTCCTTGATACCTTTGTTTACTACGGAGATCTTGTTCGTCAGGTCTATACCCCGGAATTCGACCTAATCTGGTCGTCGGAACCATGGTTCTGTTCTTAAAGCAATCCGTTTTGGGATTCAGAACCAACCTCAGTGAATGCTTGGCGCCATTCAAGTTCTTAGGGCAACCCTGGAGTCTTTGGGCATCAGTCGAAATATTAACCCTGCTAGTGTCGAGTCAGATGCTACCTAGGTGCTTTCATCCTGGTCTGCACTGTTGGTTCTGTTTGCTGTTCATAATTGGCCTCGGCAACAACGAATAAGACGCAAAATTGCTTACTGACCTTGCCAATCTACTTCCAAGCTTGCTTTATTCGCAATGGAATGCCAGATCCATTATGACTCGATAGGCAGTAATGAAGTATCACGTCTTTGATTATTCTTAGTGTTGGTACGTGTTGTGTTTTGGCGAGTAACGGAACTTGAGATATAAACTCGCCCGATCAAGCGATGGTAACATCTTGCTCATGGCATTTCACGGTTGGGTATATCGTAGCTACAGCAAAATGAAAGCGAATTATGAGAGTGCATCAGAGAATAGCAAATGATAGAGAGTCAAGCAAAACTTTATTGAAATGCGAGTCGCATCTGTCCCTTCTCGGGCTTGCTCCCACCGCCACGGCCACCCCTTCCACGAGTAGTTGTACCCCGGGCATTGCTTTTTGTGGAAGGTAGTGGCCGTGAGACCTTCGCCTCCTCTCTGTCCTGATTTGCGAGATCCTTGGCAAAATGCCAATCATCATGTTCTTCTTTTTCATACTCAAGCATAGACTTGGAGCACCGTGGACATATAAACTGAGGAATTCCGCTTATTTCAGAGTCCAGTTGCGGGATCTCTGCCTCTACTGTGATAATATCCTCAGAATGAGATGGATTGCCAAAAAAGCTTTTGATTTTACCCCCGTTGGCGTCAAGCTTTCGTCTTTTTTCAGTCGGGCCTTGTTCGGTGAGGGTATTATCGACATCTCGATGCCTTGAAGAATGGGCTAGAGCCTTGGCCTGATCGCCACGAACCAGGAATCCCTCGATTGCCTTGTTGTTGCTCACGCCATCTTCGAAGCTTGAGACACTTAATGATAGGTTGGAACAGGGCCATGCCTGTCCATCGGCCACCACTTGGCGAAGCAAATTATTGGCTAGATCGTACAGGAGGTTCTCAGTGATTGCATTAGAGCCTGGGATTGCAATTTGACGAGAACGAGATTGTACAATTCGGTGGTGCATCGTAATCACTCTTGGACGACGTCTATTTTCAAGCACGCCATCTTCCACGAGCCGACCATATATATCAGCCGCGAAGATATGAAGCCATTTCTCGGCTTGATCAACTGAGTTGATGCTCGGTCGAAAAGACTTCGCCGATAGCATGGATTTAATCTGGGTTCGAGGGTTGACTTCGCTGCGATCATCACCACGGATGATGCCGTAGAGCCAGGATGCCGTGTGGTCATCCAGTTTGGTGCGCAATTGCTCAAGCGGGACATCAAGTAGCTCGCTGACTTTCTCTGTTCCGAAAGCGGCGGTAATTTGATCACCGAGTTTACCACCGAGCATTCTGATTTGAGTAAACTTGTAACCGCCTAGGAAGTTCTGTACCGCCCGATTCCGCACAATGGTCTGTAGATTCGGCTTATTGCAAGCACTTCCAAGTTTGGCGATCATTTTGTTACGGCCAAGTCCTGCGGAACAGGTATAGCTGAGATTCTCCCATACTGCATTCCTGACTGATCGTACAATCTCGGATCCTATCAGCATGGTCACATCATCCCAGTCTGGATCATCTTCCTCGGTTTCATGCTGGTCCAGATCAATCAAGCAATCTGTATCCCACTGCAATGCTGTAGTCGGTGGGATAGGCAGCTCTGCATCGCGATTCTCATCGTGCGCGCCCGCCCGAAGCTCCGGATATCTCCGAAGAAGCACCCTGTATATCAATGGAGACAGATCAATGAACACTTCATCAATACTGGCTTTCTCCACCGCGGCTGAGAATTCTTGCTTCGGATGCTGGGTTTCGACTTCCGAATCGTCAACACTCCATGTGGCCAGAGCATCCTTCATTGTCTGGAGGATCTTTCGCGACTCTGCTCGGTATGGATCGAGGGACACCTTGTCTGTACTGATGTTCTTGTATGAATCATCCCGATATGCCCACCGGCCTCCCTCGCCTTCTCGAAAAGTCGCGACATGTTGTAAGACAAGCTCTGGGCAAAGTTTCCTGGCTTCCGCAACAGTGATCAATCGACTGATTCCGAAGGGCCGCGCGGCGTAATTGATGGCGATCAAGGAATCCCATTGCCGTACTGCTAATGGTGTTTCCCGTGGAGTTCCCAAGCGGACCATCTCACATTGTGCGTAAAAGGCATCGAGATCGATATGTGCAATGACGCGCAAGGGTGTTGCCGTGGATCCGTGTCGCAACCCGTGTAATTGTCGGTAGGTAAAGCGGGAGACCTTCAAGGGATCGGAAGACTCTGTGGGTTCAGACATCCTCGCAAGCGCATCATGGCGCTGGACATCAAATTATTGGGGTTGTGTTGAAGTCGAGCAGAGCTTGTGTCCCAAGCTTTTTCCTTGGGAAGAGCTTCCCAAGGTTCCAGGGTTCATATGGCTGTGGTGCCTCAGGCCATCAACGGGCTTGGCGGAGCGTATTGTAGAATGCATACCTGTCTGCGAAGGTGTATAGCGCTCAGGGGTCGATTTTGAAATCGGCTCCTAGTTCAAACTTCTAGTTCAAAATCGAAATTGCTGCCTTTGAATGCCTGGTTTCAAGCTGACAGGAAGTTAGAATACCGGAATTACTATGAGAGAGACCTTAATAAGTGCCCAGTAAGATACCTAGGTCCAACCTTGGAAAGTACATGTAGTCAACCGCGTTTATGGCCATGCAATCAATATGTTCTTAGTATGTAGACTTTCTAGTAGTCTCCTTTGCAGTCCCCGGAAAGACCTTTTGAGAACCTTGGAGGACTTTGGTACAGATATCGTCTAAGATTCTTCGCTTCTCGAGATTTATATAGTAGGAATAGCTTCAATTATACCGACGAAAAAAGAGAGAGCCTAATCAAGAATCTCGCCCAGGAGCTAATATCGAGGCGCTATTGTCACTTCTTTGGTGCCAGTCAGCTTTCCGATATATTTAAAGATATCAGACATGCATGATACATGGTACGTTTTCCTCCGTTCGTGGTCGCTGATCAGCGTCCCAAAGACCATGTTCTTCATCGTAACGACCCATGAGCTTGAATCTCCCAGCTCTGCAAAAGCTCTACTACTAAGAGCAGCTGCTACTTCGTGCCCCCGTGGGATTCTTTTTGCGAGAGCTCCGATCCGAAATTCGTTCTCAGTAAATGTACTGGATAAACGTTGGTAACCCGGGAACAGCCGAGAGATGAGAGAGAGAGCAGAGCACTGGCCCTTCCACTCGATGAGATGATGTGAGGAAACCCTGGTCCATGGTGATCAACATGTGTAGTCCCACCGAACGGAGAAGGGATCGAAGAACCAGACGAGAAGCTAATCCCATGTGCGCTTGCCCTCGTGAAGGTTATAGAAGCTGTAGATGACGCAGATGACATTGCTTGAATCTCATTGAAAGTTGGCTCAAGGAGATAATAGGAATCATCTCTGGGAAACGAGGTCAATTAGTGATATAGAGTAAGAGAAGTGAGAGTAATAGATAATAACTAAGAGAGAAAATGAGGGAAGGAAGTAACGAAGAAGTGTCATATGAATTCAGGGTTTAGTGATCCGAAGCCCAAAACCGAGCGACTACTGATTTAAGAGACTTTCCAGTGTTAAATCCGAAGGAAACCTTTATTTAAAGTCAATTTTAGGAAGTTAGAGAGACAGAGATGAAGAACCACCTCATCCCGTGACGATATATATAGCTAGAACCGACGATGAATTAGTGCAGTCTATCCAGAAGACGAAGATATAAAGACTTAGTTTGAACTTTCGTTATTTAATTAGCCAAGAAGCCAATTATAGTACTAAACTTGGAAATAGGCAAAATACTAGATGACTTTAGACTATACATAAATATCGAATGGGTGGGAGGCTATCAAGGTATGAGACAAGGAGGAGTACCTCGATTTTCTACTATCACTACATATTTTTCTTTGATCAATCCTAAAATCTCGAATAAAAGTTTGCCGCTTTCTCTTGACATGCCAATATCAAACTACCAGGCATTTCATCACAGAGCTCGATGCAATTCTAGGTACAAAGGCCAAACTCCTTATAGCTACTTCCGGAACCGAAGTACCACGCAAGTAGCTCTCGGGAATGGTACCTATATGGTATATGCCTGGGAGATTGTGATCGCTCCACGTACGCATCGAGATTGGCAATGTCCCAAGAAAGAGTCAAAATATGAGCAAGGATAGTCGACTCGACGATATACGCCTGTGTAGATGTTCAAAGCAGCGGGAAGGCGGCCTCCTCGCGTTCGGGAGAAACTAGATGTATTATGCGGGCATCGTATGTGTGGAGTATCACGATACCATGCCACTATGACGCACCCCACGGTAAGACCCGGTGTCTTCCTGGCGCCTCAGTATCATTGAATCGAGAGTGAGTTGTTCAGTCTCTTCACTGTTCATCTGACGACTGACCTCTGATGGAGGCCCCGCGTCATTATCAATAAGAGTCTCGATACAGCTATGCCCCCACTCCACCAACTTTGAAAACAGCAGGCCTAACACCTCGTCTCCTATTCTTAGCTGCTGATTATGGAAGAAAAGTAATCAGGGGTGGCGAGGCACCCTTCAAATATATCACACCACATCAAGGCCAAGTGGGAAAGGGTGAGCTCAAGGAGAAGAGGCTACCTAAACGAGTTGCATCAAATCATATTTTATACAGCCCCAACGGAAGCACATCTGTGTACGGAGTACTCCGTACTCCATACTACCTGGTAGCACATTATCATATTGTTCTATGCAAGTATGCCTATTCAAGTACTCAATATTCTCTGGCACTCCACAGTGCACACCTTTGTCTCCACCATCGAGGGCAGAACTTGGAACCTCCTAATACCCCACACGCTATCGCATGACCATTTCATCATCTCCTCTACGGTGTGCTATCGCGAGTCCAGCGACATATTTATATTCATGGCTCGTCAGTTTGATCCCCACCCATGGAATCTTGAGAGACTATTCTTTAGACCCACCTGGGCAGGCGCTACACCGGAAACAGAGTGACCCTAAACCCTTGAACTCGCCCAGAGAAGAGCAAAACAACGAGGAACGGAGCTGCCGAGAAAAGAGGGGCATCGATGTCATCCCAAGGCAGAGTCTGCCCAGCCATACACAGTCAGCCGGTGCCTTCGGGCCAGCATCGGCTTAGGTTTCACGAAGCGCCCAATAAACGTGAGGATATCGACAGCGTTACGGGTCACATACATTAGTAATCTGTAGGATTTTCATCACCATCCATCATCTGTACTATGTGCATGAGTGTATCTGATAGAAGCTACCTAGGTACCTAGGTACGGAGTACTCCGTACATATACATATGTACGGAGAGGTAGGTACATACGGAGTACATCGCAGGATCTTGGGACAACATCCCAAAAAGGACTAGTGGGGCACGTGTGACTCTTCAGCCTCTGGATCACGTTTGTTTGGCTCGTCTTCTTGACCCGATTTCATCATCTTTTGGGCATCGAAAGGAGATCATACTCGCTTTTTAATGACTCAATGGGTCACAATATAGCCACACGGTACCCTTACATGTCTCTATACCCATAGACTGGGGATCTCCCTATGAGCCATGGCTTAGTGATTGCGTATTCTTCTTCAACCTCCCCTGCAAGGTCAAAAGTCCGGTCCTTTGCAGGATTTTCCTAAATCACCCACCGCAAAGGTCTCGAACATAAGAAAAAAAAAGAAACAAGAGAAGTGATCTCCGATATGTGCGATCCAGCTGACACAGGTGAGCTGTGAGTGGATGAGAGGCTCGGAGCCCTCGCACGGGTGCCCAAAGCCACGCATTCGTGCCCAACGTATCTTTCGTGTGGACATCGGCTGCCAGCGTTCCAGGTGGCAAGTTCATAGGTTGCCACAGGTTGTTTCTCTCAGCAGATTGGCCCTGGACTGTCACCGTTATTTCTCAAAGGGTGGGTGAAGGATCAAATCACAACAAGTTCTATGATTTGCCCCCTCAACACTGCCCTCCACCACCACATGGATGAACATCTGACATGTTTGCATGATCTCATGTCTTATCAACCGCTCTGCTTGACCGCTGTTGAAGATCCACTGGTGGAGTCCTGTAGAGTCTCGATACATATTAACCCGGTCCAGGGGCACAGACTGAGGAGCAATCCAAGCTGGTTGAATATGGGGGATCGGCCCTTGTTTTTTTCTTTTTCGTCCCAACTAAAATCTAGTGGGAAAAAAACTCGATCGCCTTTTGAGGTCTAGTTTTAGGGTACGGAGTACCCTCAGGTACACGGAGGCCATTCAAGTGTCTCAATCTGTAGGGATTTTTGGTTTGGACAGGCTTCTCGTCTACCTCCCGATTGTACGGAGTAGAAAGGGTGTCTATACTCCCGAGGTATTGAGTCAGATTGCCCCCCAATGACGATAATCCTCCAATAATCCGGTAAAAATTGCATTTTCCCAGGCGGCTACCGACATCGACCGGGTTGCACATCAGTGTGCCTAATCCACATTTGACCGTGCATGCTTTTGCCTTGATCTCAGTGGGGAGTCGTGGCACCAGCCCAAGACGGCCCAACCGCCCTCGCTTTGAGTAGTCCACTTTAGTTCCCCCCTCTCTCCCTCTTCTTTCTTCTTTCACTCGTCTCTCCTTTCTCCTTCAACTGGCCTTTCTTGCCAGCACTTCATCTCTTTCCCCTTCATCCGGACCACAGACCACAGACCACAGGAGTGTCAGCCGTGTATCTTTTTTCTCCTAATTGATCCCCCGCCGCTCATCCCCTCTTTTTGACACCTTTCGGCCTCTTTTTCTTGTCGCTGTTCACCATATTTTGAGGCCTTCTCTCGATTTCCCAGGATAATTGCCGCTGTGGACAGGATTTCTCCCCAGGATTAACCGGACTTTTCTTCCACTAAGGACTTGTTGCTATTCCCCGACCAGGATCAATTTTGTTCGGGCCATTTCCCAAGGATCATATCTCGTTGGCTGCTTGCCCTGGATTCGAGAAAAAAAAAAAACTATTCAAGTCGTGATTGCCTGGCTTTGGAACTGCGAGTCGCCCTGATAGAATCTGTACATCCTACAATAAAAACGGACTCGTCACCATCCATCAACTTTCCCAGGACTTTCAGACCATCTACCACCCCTTCGGACTTCCTCTTCTCTGGCCATTTGGATCCGAGGAATATAAATTTTTAAACCGGATATTCTCCCTCGGAATACATTATGACTGGCCGCTATGAAGGACGTGTGGAACGTCAAAATGAATATTTCATCCCCGGCGAAGGAATCAGCCGAGAAGTCATTCAAGCAGATATCTGTCGCTACCTTGGAAACGATGCCCTCGTGAGACCCGGCAACCACAATGTTCGTCTACCGTCTACTTCTTTCCGCGATGACTCAAAAAGGACCCTTGGACTGACGTTGAGTAGGGCCGCCCAGGATTCTTCATCCGTGCCTATCGGAATCTCACATCGGTAAGTGGCTATGAACATGCGACGACCAGCGGGATATGTGAAGATGGAATTCTAACCACACGTCGGATACAGGAGATGATTACTGATCTGAAGGCAGACTCCGCCCGTTGGGAGGCGGATGTCTCACGCCGGGTCGATCTAGGCTATCCGCGAGGGAACTACATTCAAGAAATGAACCCTACCCCTAACACCGCTCCAGCGAGCTATGCCCCCCGCGGCAGTCCATGAGGTTCGCCAATCACAGGGCCCATCTCCCACGCCATTTACTGCAGCACCTGCTCAGTCATACATGGACCCTTACTCTCAGGGCCCCTACAGTGGATCCCAGAATGCCCCATACCCCAACCCTTCATCCTACACATCCACCACCCACTCGCCATATGCGGCAGGTACAGCTCCGTACCCTCCGCCCCAGGTTTCGTATTCTGGTTCCAACCAGCCCGTCGTGACGGCTGCGGATATGCACCCCCAATCGTACACATACGCCCCCACAGGCTATGGTTACGACAATGGCCGAAGCAATGCTCCCCGATACCCAGGACCTGGATATGAAGCCGAACAGGAATACTCTCCCGTAACTTCTGGGATGTCTTATCCCACCACTACTGCCCCGGATCCCCGGATAGGAATGGAGCCCAGATACACTCCAGAATATGAGCGCAGGCCACAAGCAACCAGAGACAACCCACACCGTCGGCGGTAGACAAAAAAATGACCGCCTTCCCCAAGGGTTCTCCTGCGTCCATGATTTCTTCTCTATATCCATCCACATTGTGGTCCACTTGATGCTTTCCTGGAATATCTCCAAATTACTCCTAGGAATAATGTTGATGTCTGTGACAATCTTCTGGACAATATTCTACGCCTTTCTCACCACCCGCGCCTACTTTTCCAATTCCCAATTTTGTTTTTCCAGTCCAGGAACTCCAGACCACGCCAGAGATGTTGAACATCCCATTTCATACGGCCCAGTCAGAGGGAACCTCCACTTCCCATCGGACATGAACCCCTTTCTTTTTACCCCCAAGGACTTCCACTGGATTTAAACCCAATTGCTCTCTGGCAGGAGCTTGGATGTCCCATGGACTTTTTGTCTTTATTTTGCTTTCTCTTCCATGATTTTGTGCAACTGGCCAGCCCAGGATTAGGAGTGATACGTCTTGATTGAGTTTGCGAAAAGGTGGCCCGGACTTGAGCGTTTTGTTTGTTTTCCTCTGGTCTCGTGGATTCCGGGAATACTCACCCCACAATAATGAATGCGGTTTTGTTGTTTAACGGTGTACAGGATTTGTGTTTTTAGCAATTTTTCTTTGTTTTGTTTGGTCTTTCCCTTGAAAGGAGGGGAGTCATCCTGTTCTACTCTTTTTTTCCCCCTTTGGTTTGCGAGAGCGCTGTGCTTCGATAAACTAAGGCTGGTGAGCTACATGTAGATATGAGCATTTACGGCGCTGGTCCGTTTTCTGTGATTGATGTGTTGATGTGCGGGATCGTGGATTGACTCCATGACCTTAATGAACCTTCTTACCTTCAGATGAATCAGAATATCATATCAATTCTTAATAACTGATGTTTTGAGTTGGGCTCCGGATTGCAACTTGAGGATATAGTGCAAACTCTGCACAGGAACAAGTGGTAGTACAAGCCCACGAGTGAACCCGGCGAGGAGCATGTCTTCCTTGCGCGAACTCCATCTTAAGCCACTATTAGTACATAAGAGTAGAATTTTCCTTTGAACAGACAATCCACAGTCTTCGGTTTGAGGTATAATCCTCTCTATAACCAAGATACTTTGAGAACATAAAAAAGCGACTTGATGTCGATTATATGATTGCACAAAACATAGTACATACACTGTAGCGCCGGGCTCGACATTCGGCATATGCGCAACAAAATATTGGTATCAAAGCATTTTGACAGCCAGGAGAAGCAGCCCGGGAACAAGTATTTTCAATTGCCCACATTGACGCGATGGGACTTGTTCATCGGTCCACTTGTGGCAGTGGCACAGCCAACTCATCTCCTGCCATCCGCTGAATTTAATCCTCCCAAGCTTGGACAACACACGAAACGTTCCCTAACATCCGATGTTTTTGACATTTTCGTAGTTCGGGAGCCGTTTATTCGTCATCGTAGCCCTTGGGGATCACGCGCGGACCTTGCGGAACTGTAGATATTGAAAGACAGTGGTTAGTTACAGGTTCTCCCCGTGGCTTTTGGATGCTCAGGCACCGAATTGTAGGGATTGAAGGGATTTCATACTGGGATATGTCATAGGAATGGGCTCGGGGTCGACGTCACCAAGAGCGTGGCGGATGGGGGGAATGGTGACCAGGGCAACGGGACCCATGGAGCCGATGAAGAGAGCAGCGAGGATAGCTGGCTTCTCGTGCGCAGCCCAGCGGAGGTAGCGGAAGGGGGTAGACCAGAACTGAGGGGTAGACATGGTTGGAAGAAGTTGGTCGTTGGCGACCGATCGGGGATTTTCTTTGCGGTATAAAAGTGTCAATTCCTGGGGAAGGGAATTTGACAGTTCAAGCGCACTGGATTGAACAGATACAGAAGTCCACCTGGTGGTTGTTGAGTGGCAGGGTTGAGAGCGAGGAGCAAAATTGAAGCCGTGGGGACGAAGTGAAGTTGAAGTTCGGAGATGCGGACCCAGCGCTCTCAGGTCTTGGCACTCGCCCAGTAACACGTCGCCCTTTCTGGTTATCTATACATCTACAACCATCTCCCTTTTCTTTTCGCTTCTTTTTGATCCTGGATTCCGCTTCGCTGTGCGGGATTTGTTCAAAATGAGGTGGTGTCTTGCGTTGTTAATTTGCTGCTTCTTGGCTGCGGTAAATGCGCTGAGCAGCTCTGGCAGTCGCCTACTGGCCATTCTGGAAGACACAGAACAGAAGGACCTCTACTCCACGTTGTGGGCTGATTTGGAGGGTAAATTATCTTGCGCCAATTTATGTGTTACTTGCTGACTCTCGAATCACAGCACGAGGATATGATGTCTCCATTGAGTCCTCCAAAAGTGAACAGCTTGCGCTATTCAAGCACGGCGAAAGAGCTTACGACCACCTCCTGATCCTCCCTCCCAAGTCCAAAGGTGGGCAAATCCGATCTAACAGGTTCAATGTCCAGTCAATTGACCCAAGAAAACAGGCCTGGGCCCCTCCTTGACCCCCAAGCACATCCTCGACTTCATGAACAAGGATGGCAACATCCTCCTCGCTCTCTCTGGCAAGTCTGCCACTTCCAGCGCCATCAGCTCCCTTCTCATCGAACTCGACATCCACCTCTCCACCGACCGCTCACAAGTTGTTGTCGACCACTTCAACTACGATACCATCTCGGCCACTGATAAGCACGATGTCCTCGTCATTCAACGCCCTGGCCCTCTCCGTCCCGACCTCAAGGCCTTCTTCGATGGTGAAGGTGTTCTAGCCCTTCCCCGGGTTGCTCCTCAGACCCTTGGTGGGGAGAGCGCACTCCTCTCTCCGATTCTTAAGGCCCCCGCTACTGCGTACAGCTACAACCCCAAGGAGGGCATCCCCTCACCAGAGGACATTCAGGCCACCGGCTCGCAGCTGAACATCGTTTCCGCTATGCAGGCACGCAACTCTGCCCGCTTCACCGTTCTGGGATCTGTGGAGTCGTTGGAGGACAAGTGGTTCTCCGCCGAGGTCCAGACACCCAGCGGAAAGAAGACCTCCACTGTGAACCGCGAGTTCGCCAAGCAGTTGACCGCTTGGGCTTTCAAGGAGACCGGTGTATTGAAGGTTGACAAGGTCGAGCATCGCCTTGCCACCGAGGGCGCAGAGCTGAACCCCACGATCTATCGGATCAACAACGAAACTGTATGTGAACGAGCCCTTGATTATCTTTATCGCCTAAGCTGACCAACTTTGTTTTTTTGCGTGCAGGTCTACAGCATTGAAGTTTCCGAATATGTCTACGACAAGTGGGTTCCTTTCGAGGTTCCCAGCGGCGACGAGCTCCAGCTCGAGTTCACCATGCTCTCGCCCTTCCACCGCCTGACCCTCCAACCCACCGGCCGTACCGATACCAGCACTGTTTTCAGCGCTCAGTTCGTGACTCCCGATCAACACGGCATCTTCTCCTTCCGTGTCAACTACAAGCGGCCCTTCCTTACCGCTATCGAGGAGAAGCACGAGGTCACCGTCCGCCACTTCGCGCACGATGAGTACCCGCGCAGTTGGGCCATCACTGCCGCTTGGGTGTGGATTGCCGGTCTTTGGTCGGTTATTGGAGGATTTTTGGCCTTTGTCATTGTGTGGCTTTACTCTGCCCCTGTGACTGATAGGCTTAAGAAGACTCAGTAGATCTATATTTAGCTCTGCATGCATTGTACTGTCCCATGATCTTCAATCTTTTTGCATTCGATTCCCAAATGAACACAGGTCCTTCAAATCACAATGTCCCGCGGGATAATCCTATACCTCAACTTCAGGGTTGGGAAAATAGCCTTAACCATTCCCTTGTTCACGCGGTTCCTAGGGCGTGAGACTAATGAACCCCAATGAGAGAGCCTATAAGCGATTGTGTATTCAGGGGGTTTATTGCACTAAATCACACCCTGAGGGCTGAGCAATCCTACCTCGCCATTGATATGTCATTTCAAATGAGTTCGTCTTGTAAAGATATGGATCTCACAACAGTGCAGTTTTCTAGAGTCCCAAATCGATTTTTAATCAATGTTTCTATTCAAAGCCCGAGAAACGAGTGCAAGTTAGCGAAAGATATGAAATACCCAACTCAATGCGGAGTTGTAGTTGAGTTCCCACGACGAAAGTCCCATAGAGTCAGGGCAGAGAACGGCCATCGAAGATGCTCCTCAGAACCAGCTTTTCTTCCACTGATAACCCCGCTCATTGCCAACGTCAATGGATCTTTCCGGTCTTTACAGTTGCTGATATTGTGGTAAATTGCATCCGGGGCACCTGGGTTAGTCTCGCCTCAGCACTGACATGCGTATCAACCCACAGTAGAGTCGCGGAAATCGCCGCAGACATTCTTTTTCTCCTGGGTTTTGTCCAAATCACAACATGGGGGATTGAACACCCTGATACCCTCGCTAGCATCTTCCGCCAGGAGAGCATCCTTGGTCCATTCTTGCAGATACCCACCACTCTCTTGGGAAGCAATAGCCGCCTTGATCAGCACTTCTTGGCCGATACTATGGTCGACACGCTCGTCAAACCCGGGGGAGGGACCTAGCTCTATCTCTAATGCAGGCTTTGTTTTATTGACGAAGAAGTGAGCTACGTCCTTGTCGTTATACCAATGTGACCTCACATGCCGGTTTCTCACAGCCGTTCAATTTTGGACGTTCGGCGTTGGGCTTAATTAGGGGGTTGCCTATTTAGAGGGTTATATTGCCTTGAAGGAATATGTATATGCCAGATATGATCTTGGACCATATTGTGTTGTCTAATTATGGTGTTCAGTGACATGGCTATGGATTCCTGTGGCGATAGCTGCACGGCTACGGTTACTCGAGGCAAGGGAGCGAAGGTGGTGCCTGAGGCTGATAATTTATCCGAGGACGTAGGCCTGAGTATGTATCTTTTGCCTTTTGCCATTTGTGTGAGGGTAGATAGTGATCAGTTGTATCGCTGAGACTGTGATTTTCATTCGGTCGTATCTCAATAGATGTGGGATAATGTCTGGGTATCGCACCAGGGTGTCTATCATCAAGCATTAGTCAGTATGGCGGAGTGGTCTAACGCGCTAGACTTGAACGGAGGTCTTATGGACTTTCCCCGAGATCTAGTCCATTCGTGGACCTGGGTTCGAACCCCAGTGCTGACTTCTTTTTTTTGTTTTTATCTCGCAACTATGCGTTGCAAGTGTCACACCAAGGTAGGAATACTTCATCACTAATAGAGTGTGGAGAAGTGTGCCAAACTCGTGGATTGTGCAAAGTAAATCCGTACACATAGTACGGAGTACACACCTACTACTCGCTATCCCAAGTGTTCGGATCACAGGCTTTGACAGCACAGACACGGTTGGAAACACCGAGGGGTACTAACTTCGCCTGAAACGGTGGCTGCTATTTTGAAGGAAGGAGACCACGCCAACAAACGTGGCAATCGATGAAACCGAGGATTATGTGGGGTTGGAACTCCTATATTGACCGGGAAATGACTGCTGTTGGCCCTGAATACCCACAGCAGGCTGTCTAGTGCCTCCTCCACGGGGAGGAATGGAGACTAGCACCTCAAACTTGCCCAAAGTAGCAATGAATACAAGCGACGGCCTCGTATTAGGGGAACCCGGCAATTAGACTGGAATTCTTGGATATTTGCTATTCCTCTAAACATTGTGATCCTGTGTATACGCCGCTGAACGAGTGAATTCCTTGGAAATGGATAAACCAACGTTCGTCTTCTCGCCGGGTGCCTGGATCAGCACCGTTTTCTTCGACGCCGTGCGTGAGCATCTGAATGACCTCGGTTATCCTTCCGAGTGCCCCGCGCATCCCTCTGTCGGTGCAGAGCCCGCTTTCCTGACACTGGAAGACGACGTTGCCTCGCTACGTAGCGTGTTGACGAGTCTGGCAGATGAAGGGAAGGATATTGTTCTGGTTGCACATTCCTACGGTGGTGTTGTGGCCTCTTCAGCCAGTGAGGGGCTACTGCAGCATGTCCGCGCAGAGAGCGGGAAGACTGGAGGCATCGTGCGCATCGTCTATCTAGCTGCGTTTGCGCTGGATAAGGGGCAGAGCTTGTTGGGGATGCTGGGAGGAGTGCCTTTGCCCCGGATGAGGATTGAGGTTGGTTCAAGTAACATCATATGATCGATATCATACCCCAGAACTAAGCGGGCCAAGGAACAGGGCGACTACGTTTATGTGGACAGCACCGATATTGGCTACCAGGACCTGCCTGTCGAGCAGCAAGAGAAGTGGAATGGTATGACCACGCACACCTCTCGCGCGGTCTTCGCGGGTGAAGCCACCTACGAGCCGTGGCACGATGTTCCCTGCGCCTATATCCTCTGCGAGCAGGACATGGCACTGCCACCTGCTTTCCAAGAGGGTTTCGCGTCGAAGATGGGCGGGCCTGAGATCATCCACCGACTGCCGAGCTCGCATTCGCCGTTCTTGAGTATGCCCGATCGCCTGGTGAGCGTTCTGGAAGAGATAGTGAAGGTATAATATGTATTATCAAATCTGGGTATGAAGGGATCTCAGTTGATCTGGAGAGAAGCAAGTTATCAGAGAGAAGAAGATGTATGTTTTAAGCGTAACCGAACTCCGAGCCATGCCAGCATGTAATCAGCGAATCCGAATCCAAGTACCCTTTTTTTTACAGGCCTCTGGTCTTCTCGGGGTCCATCTGGACTTCGTCCCCGTTGAGCTCCTTGACGCTCTGGTATGCGGGTGCTCCAGCATATAATTGTCCCCCAGACGAACTGCCGGACTTTCCGCCCTGCGATGCCGAACTGGGGTGATTGCCACGGAAGCGTTTGCGCATATCGATCATACCGCGCCTATAGCGAAGGAAAATTCCATGGATTAGTTCAAATTGTTCATTCGGCCACCATATTCGACAGAGACTAGACTCCCGACTCACTTGCACTCGCTGAATCCTTTGGACAGTTGCTGGCATTTCGTGGGTAACTGCTCGGCGAGAGGAGAGCTGAGACATTCACGGGGTGTATGACGCTGGACCATGATACAGTCTGATTCTTGGAGGCATTGGGCCAGAGCCTGCCCTAGATAGTGTTGATCTGTGGTCAGCTTGCGTTGATGGAGGGTTGCGGTGGAGAGTCCAGCTGGGTCAGGAACGTGACGCTCCTTCAAGCGGCTGTGCGACTCGGGGAGTGCAACGTACGGATATCATTGCATGAGCTGGGCATTTTGACGCGACCTTGTGAGCAGACGCGCAACCACAAGCAGCGAGGGTACAAAAGTGACGAGGCCGTGGAACACGGCAAATTTAGACTATCAGTTGTCTCGGTTGTGATTGGTCGATGCATGCCATCCCCGGATGAGATAATCATCGCTATCACATGTCGACTGATGACGTCGAGGTACTTTTCGTCGCATGCCTTCTTCTTTTAAACTCATCTCGTAGCTTTTATTTCTTGCATCAATCCTGCAGAAGTGGATTTGAACATATGCATCACAATTGTTCCAAGGTTGTCTATAATGGCGCGAGTTCCGTTCATCGGGAGGCTGTTCTGGTAAGAATGCGAAACTTGAGAACACGGACTCGACAATTAATCGTCGCATCTTTAGGTATGAGTACCTAGCGCTTTTTGGGTCTTTGATTCTTGTTGCGCTTGAGACGATCATTCATTTAATTACTTGGTGTCTTCGTGAGTGGAACTTCTCCGAAACAACAGCGCTTCCCAATGCTAATCCCCTGATCAGCAAGCCCTATCATCAAGTTTTGCTACGATCAATCCAAGTCGCTGTTCAACCTTTTAATCCCCAATGAAAGCCGCCAAAAGCGCACCAAAGAAGAAAAGTTTGCCAGTTCTGTTGCGGATGCGTCTGATTTTACGGAGATATGCGCCCTCTTCGGGTACCAAGCCGAGGAGCATATTGTACAAACGAGCGATGGCTACCTTCTTGGACTGCATCGGCTGGCGTACCGCAAAGGGGAAGAAAACATGTACGTCAATCAGGGTCCCAGTGCACTCAGGAAAAAAGTTGTCTACCTCCACCACGGACTGCTCATGTCGAGTGAGGTGTGGGTGGCCTTGACAGAAGAGCAGCGTTGCCTGCCTTTCCAGTTGGTAGAAAGGGGATACGATGTATGGCTGGGGAATAATCGTGGTAACAAATACTCCAAGAAGTCGATTCGATTCTCCCCGGGTTCCAATGAGTTTTGGGACTTCTCTATGGATCAGTTCGCATTCTCCGATATCCCCAACAGCATTGAGTACATTCTCGAGGTAACGAACCAGCCCTCGTTATCATATATTGGATTCTCCCAAGGCACCGCGCAGGCTTTTGCTACCCTCGCTATTCATCCACTGCTCAATCAGAAGATCGATGTGTTTGTAGCACTGGCACCTGCGATGGCTCCTTCGGGCCTTCGCAACCGTATCGTCGACTCACTCATGAAGGCCTCTCCGGACTTTTTGTTCCTGCTCTTTGGTCGACGCAGCATATTATCATCGACAACCATGTGGCAGACAATCCTCTATCCACCAATCTTCGTGCGCATTATTGACACCGCTCTCAGAGCACTGTTCAACTGGAAGTGTCGCAACATCAAGCAGACTCAAAAGCTTGCGGCTTACCTGCATCTCTATTCCTTCACTAGCACAAAGACTGTCGTGCATTGGTTCCAAATCATTCGGAATAAGAACTTCCAGTTCTACGACGATGAAGTGTATGCCCCCTTCAGCGTTGCTGCCAGTGAGCGCTTCTATAAGCCGGTCAAGTACCCGACTCGCAACATCAAGACCCCAATTGTTCTTCTGTACGGCGACAGCGACAGCCTTGTCGACATCGGGGTGATGCTGAAAGAGTTGCCCCGTGCCACCGTTGCCCAAGCAATCCCAACCTACGAGCACCTAGACTTTTTGTGGGCCTCTGACGTTGACCGCCAAGTGTTCGGCTATGTGTTCGATGCGCTCGAGACTCACAGTCGTGGCCCGCTTGGCAGTACCTTGGTTTCCTCTGACAAACACGCTGTACCAACCGATGCTCGTGTTTCCAACACGTCGGCCCGAAAAAACCACGTCTTCCCTAATGATGCCGCTTACGGGGCCACGTACGGGGGCTCTTTCTAAGGCTGCCACCTTCCCTTTCCGAATGGTTTGTGGGTTACGGAGTACGGAGCGGGGTGATGGCGTGGCGGGAACATCGCCACACCCATCCTTTGAAGAGATTTCTTGCACTCCGTCCTCCGTACTCCAGACAGATCCATGGTCTGTACAAAATGGAGTTGCATTTAATCAAAAGCCGTCGATCGCCACTCAATCGCCCATGCTTGGCGCGAAAAATCCCGGAAGGGTTGGGAAAGAAAAAAAAAAAAAAAAGGAACCGTTGGTACCTCCAAGTGGCGTTTGGAAGATGCGAGGCAGTTCCGAAGGGCCCGGGTACCTGAACGAAGGTGCTTTCAGGTGCCTGACTAAAGAAGACTAGAGAAGCCCAGTCAAACCAATTTCCTCGTCTCCACAGTCTAGATTGGCTGGGCACCGGGCAGAGTGATAATCTATTTTCTTTCCCAACCCGTTTAGGGCCAAGTGAATAAGCTTTGTCTAATAGTTAGTGAGAAATTCATTGCGAAGGGAGATCATTTTAGAGTCCGTACAGCAATGTAAATTAGCATGAGACATACAAGACCAAATGTAAGGGCGTTGTAATGCCACCGCGCGAGGGGTAATTCGTAAGCATCAGTTGAAAACTCTGATGTTGATTCGATCTAGACCACTGCCTATCTCCACACGACAGGCTAGCGCTGGCGAACAAGTCACAGCGAACAGAAAAACTCAGATCGGTTCAGGAACAAGGTGATCCGTGGGACAGTGCTGGCGAGTCCATTCGGGTTGGTCGGACCAAATCTCGTACCCCTGAACCCGAACGGGGGTCACCAATGGGATCATTGGGATGGCCGTTGAGTCCAGGCACACCACATGGATGCAACATGGTCAACCCATGGTTCCAGGGTTGTGCAGTTCCTCGGCCTATCAAACACCTGGACCCTTATGTGACACGCCCAAAAGCCCTATGTGTACGGAGTACGGAGTACTCCACCCCAAAGAATAAAATGCCGCTATATCCTCCGCGTTTCTCCTCTTTTCTTCTTCCTTTCCTTTGATATCACGATCTTTCGAATCACACTCTTTTAGATTCAATCTCTGGGGCTGAGCCTCCCATCACACTCCCTTTAAACAGTCTGTAGATCAGACTAAAGTCTCTCATTCGGACTTATTCCACGGACTCTACCGTCCCCAATACCTTCCTTACAAACGTCGGATTTCACAAAAAGACATAAGCCAACATGCGCTTCAATACTTTTGCCCTCTCGGCCCTTCTGGCAGTCTCTGCCTCCGCCCTCCCTCTCGCCAAGCCCGACTTCCAAGTCGTCGAGGAGACCGTCTGGGAGACTGTCTATGAAACCGTCTGGGAAACCGCTAAGCCGACTCTTGTGCCCACCGTCGTCCCCGTCGAGGCCGTCGCCGTTCCTTCCGTCACCAACGCTCCCAGCGTTCCCACTGTCACTTCATTCTCCACCGCCGCTCTCCCTACCATCACCAGCATCCCCACCCTCAGCGTGCCCCAGCCAACCGCTGCCTCCAGCTCCAGCACCCTGAGCCCCATCCCCACCAGCATCGTCACCCCGGCCGGCAGCGGCGTCTCCATCGTCAACAACCTCTCCGAGACCATCTACCTGTGGGTTGTCTCCGACCAGCCCGGCCCGATGCAAACCCTTGCCTCCGGCGAGACCTTCAGCGATACCTGGCTCACCAACTCCAACGGTGGCGGCATCTCCATCAAGATCTCCACCACCGAAGTCTGCGACAGCGTCCTGCAGTTCGAGTACACCCAATCGGGCGACATCCTCTTCTGGGATCTCTCCTCCATCAACATGCTCAAGGACTCCGCCTTCGTCGACGCCGGATTCGCCGTCACTATCAGCGACCAGTCTTGCCCCACTGCCACCTGCGCTCCCGGGGATGCCTACTGCGTCGAGTCCTACCAGCTTCCCGACGATGTCAACACCCTGGCTTGCGGCATCGACGCCGCTTACACTCTGACCATCGGTTAGAGTTGTCGGGGATGTTTGATTTCAGGTGTTTTTGGGGATATACCTTTTGGTTAGAGGGGGAGTTTTATATATAACAAATTGCCCAAAGTACAAATTGCGGATTCTTTTTTGGATATATTCTTTGTGTTTATAGAAATTCTTGCAAAAAAACCCCCCCACGGTCGAAAGACAGCAATATCATGAGTTTTTTACGATTTTTTACGATTGACTCCAACTGATATTCTCATGTCCCAATGTACTTCAAATACCCCGTACTCCGTACATGTTCAGAATCCACGGTCCCTCGGGGGGTTGTCAGGCAACCCCTCCCAACGAGGGGCGATCACAGTGCCCATCGCCCCACGCTGACGCACGCCCAACGAGGTCCGAGTGAATTACTATCACAGTCAATTGCTCAATCCAACAATTCAGAATCACTTAATATAAAATTCCTTCGCAGTTATGTAGTGGGGATTCCACAATAGCCCTAATCACCGCGATCTACAGCACTCCCCCAAAAATAGTCCCCGAAACACTTCCAAGCTTCTCATCTCCACCAAGTACGTAACTAATACACAGAACGGAGAAGTGAGTCGGACCATTGAAGCCCAATCCTCAATCAGAGGTATCACCCTAGAACAGCCGTCTCGGCCACGGGCAAATCACATGTGTCTTACCCTCACAGCCGAGACAATCGTATTCAGGCGCGGGGGCTGAAACACAGTCTGCGGTCATGGTCTGCAGCTTACTCTCCAGCTACAGTGGATATCTCATCATGTATGGAGCAGCACAATCCTCGGGCCCGGTTGCATTGAAGAGAAGAGTCGTGAAGAATAGCGCTTTTGGAAGTTGGGGGGAGGCGCACGATCAGAGTCTGTTTCATAGGCTCGTGGGTTTCTTTACTTTCCAGTGCTGGTGTTGTGGATAGCACTGGGAGTGGTGAGATCGTGGTACATAAGAGAGCGGCATTGGAAGGGCGAACCGCATATTTGAGATGGTACAAATATCAGGGAAGTGGCAGGGCTCACGGTACTAGAGTCACAGCCATGCCCTAGGATAGAAATCGATGTCTATCTGTGTGGTATGTGGAAAGAACGGATGCTGAGAGTCCAAAATCAAACGAGGGCGGAAATCTGGAGGTTTAGCTGAGCCAGAGCTAGGCATATACTTGGAAAATCCCGTAGGGCTTTGTGAGAACAGTGGTTTTGGTTGTTGGACGTAGAACGTACAAAGTAGACTGTGTATTAACCCGCTACATCACCTGTGAGTCGAAGAGGTTATGCCTACGATTTGTAATTTGAAATCTCGTTCTGTTAGCTTTGTATGCCTAGGCGTCGTCTTATGGCTGTTCCATAGCACATTACCGACTATGTAGGGTTGAAATAAAGGCCTAATAGGATAACATCTTAACCACGGGCTATGGAGAAACGATCTATGGTTTCAGAGACCTTAAAGCCAATTGCTGGTGTGAACCGTGGAAGATCCCTTGTTTTGAGTTTGATATGCCCGGGCAACGTCTATGCCCTCGTGGTGATATTTGAAGATCGACAGCGCTAGATCTAAGACTATAGGGCTCGCCGCATCATTTCAGTTATTGATATACGCGCGGCCAGAGTTAAACTAACCACAGAGTACTCCATACTCCAGGCAGATTCAGCAAGTTTCTGCATCCGGTTACATCTCGGCCGTGTCAAGTCTAAGTTAAATTAGGTGGCTGGGCTTGATAAGTTTAGTTGGTCTCATGAATCAAGACACCAGTGGCCATTAACACCTGTATCTGTGGGGTTGAGCATAGAACACTTGAAGTAAGGAAGTAGTCTGTATGATTGCAGCGACTCACCCGAGAAGGCTCGAGCATGCTGGTCTTAAGTCCCAACTGACTATTGGTTCATCATAATCAAACCATCTTCTTCTCAAATCCATCCCTTCAGTCTTCCAAGCAGATATACGCTGCAAGGATAGCGCATGCATAACCATCAAGATAGACCGCTATTCCCTGCAAGGAGTCTCCTAGGCACCTTGAGCCTCACCTCATACCCAGATCGAATTGGAGTCACAGGTCACGGAGAATGAACATCCAAGAACCAACACCAATCCTCAAGCCCTGTAATACCCCCGAAGACCCATCATGTAGAATCCCATTCTCAGAAACCAACCTAACCAAAAATCTCACATCATACAAGCACCACCCGAAACATGCCAAGTCTGCCCAGTCAACCACTGCGACTCGGGACTAGCAATCAACGACGCAACCCCAGCAACATCCTCCACCTCCCCAGGCCGACCAAGCGGCGACCACTTACTCAACGCCTCGTCAATCTGCTGCGCATTCATCTTCTCTCCACCGGGGATATACTTCCCCGCCACCTCAGTGTACATATCAGTCTTAACCCCACCAGCAGCAATACAATTCACCGTAATATTCCTAGACCCGAAATCCACCGCCAGACACTTCGTCATACCCTGAACAGCCGACTTAGAAGCAGCATAGACAGCATGACGAGGAACGCCCTAGTAGCACTGATAAGCAATTGCAGCAGCGGACGAAAAACAAATAGAGAAACGCACTTTTACCGCCGAAATCGACGAAGTCAGAATAACTCTCCCGAAATCATTCATGAAGCGATAAGCCTGCTGCGCAACGAAATACTGTCCCTTGACGTTAACCGCGAAGACGGCGTCGATCTCGCTGCCCGTGACTTCGGACAGATCCCCGAAATGCTCGATGCCCGAGTTGCTGACTGCGATGTCGAGACGGCCGAATTCGCGGTGGACAGTCTCGAACATGGTTTGGACTTGTTCTTGCTGCGAGACGTCGGCTTTGCAGACGAGGGCGCGCACGCCTTGGGCGCGGATTTGCTCGGCGACGGATTCGGCGGCTGCGGCGTTGGAGACGTAGTTGATGGCTATGTCGGCGCCGCGATGGGCAAATTTGAGGGCTATGGCGGCGCCGATGCCGCGGCTGGAGCCGGTGACTGTGGTGTCTCTGTTAGTCTAGTGTCATGGTTAGAGTGGGTCATGGAAGCATACTTATTGCGACTTTGCCGGCTAGATCTCTGTTGGTAGACATGGCTGGATGGGAGGTATGAGACTGGAAGGAAATGACTTCAATAGATCAGAGACTGGCATCTCTTATACTAGGCTCTGTGGTGTTGAAAGATCGGTGAGCGTCTGCATGCATCTTGCCCGCTCGGATCGTCCGAGGGGCAGACCTACGAAGGACTCTAAAGAATGTATAATACTGTGTAGCGTTATGTAGAGATTTGCAAATACAGTACAAATCAAGTGGAATTGGTAAGTTGCAAGCACATACTCATCAAATACAGGATGTGGTCTTGCACAAAGCTGGTCCATGAGTCAAGACGCACGCAGGGAAATCAATCGCTTGGAACAATACAGCGCCTCCGGAAATCCATCCCCAATTTCAAACAAAAACATTCATGGGAGAAACGCCTTTCCTAGATGGCACAGAAGGGGAAAAATAAGTATTTTCGGATTACACATGAGAAGAAGAGCACATGCGACATGAAAAAAAGTCGCACGATGATGCGTGGAATGAATTAAGTAGTCAGTCCCCACGATGTTGAGAATTTCATTCGCCCATACCGAACTCAGCGCCATTCGCAGGGCTGTCCCGGTTGGGGTTGTTGAAGGTGAGCTTCAGTTTTGGCTGGCCTGGAGTGCCACTGAGGGGAGTATCAGCACCCGAGGCGACCCCCGTCGAGCCATCACCGGGAACTTGATCTTCGAAGTTAGCGAGCTCGGGGTGAGCTTCGGTCAGACGTCGCAATTCCGATAAGCACTTGGCCTGTTATATTATTAGTATAAAGACCTATCAACAAGAACAATTCAAACTCACCTCGATATCGTTGGCATCCTGGAAAAGCAGACTGCCATCTTCGTTGTAAGTGCGAGCATTCTGGCAGAGCAAGTGAATGTCGTCGCGGAATTGCTTCAAGCTCTGGTAATCGGCCCGCTTGATCTTCTTTTGAATCCCGTCCACAGCGATGGGATTTTGAATAATCATGTAGTAGTCGGGATAATAAGAGCGTGGTGGGGGCTTCATGAATGGATCGATGATTGCACGAACAATGGGACCCTCTTCACTGTCAGAGCCCTCCGGTGGCACTTCAGCCTCCATGTCCATCAGTGATTGGATCACAGTGTCAAGAATGCGAGTCAAGTTGGCACGGTCAGTGGGGTTCAGAGTATCAGGAACTTTAGGCTGGCGGCCTCTCTTGCGCTTAGGCTGCGGGGTTTCCTCCACAACCTCCTCAGCCTTGCGCTTAGGAGGAGGCCCACGACGGCGTTTCTGCTTTTGAGGGGTCTCCTCCTCATCGAGATCAGGTTCAGGTGAAGATTCATCGGCGTCACGCCCAAGCTTGTTAGACCTGCGGCGCTCAACACGAGCTTCCTTGCGGGCAATCGCTTCTTCGATTGTGTCGTCGTCGGCATCAACTGCCATCAACCATTGCTCTTCAGTGAGACCGTCATCGTACTTGGTCACCTTGCGCTCACGAGCACCACGGCCAGTGACTTCAACCTCAACCTCTTCGGTGACAGGGTTGTCCTCCTGCATGTAGATCTCGGGCAATTCTTGTTCGGACATAAGTCGAGGGTAGCGGTGGCCGGGGCCATACTGATCGGTAGCAATTCGTTGCCGGTCAATTTCCTGGAAGATAGGGATTTCTTCTTCGGATCGTGCCATGATTTCGTTGAGTTCGTCGTCGTCCATTTCGTCGTGATCACCAATCTGTTCCGCAGCTTCTGCAGTATCCAGGAGAGTTCGCAAAAGTGCATCTCGCTCCTCATTTGTGGACTTGTTGTCGAATTTTCCAGCTTGGATGACCTTGCCGTCCATGTCCAATTTGAACTGCGCACGCTCGAGAATCTTCTCTTCGACCGAGTTGGAGCTAATAAGCCGCAAAATTCGGACCTCGTTCTTCTGACCAATACGATGAGCACGATCCTGAGCTTGCAAATCCTGGTGAGGGTTCCAATCCGAATCATAGATGATGACAGTGTCTGCAGTTTGCAGGTTCAGACCAAGACCACCTGCACGGGTGGAAAGCAAAAAGCAGAAATAATCAGATCCAGGAGCATTGAACTGTTTCAAAAGATCCGAGCGGTCATCAGACTTGGTTGATCCGTCAAGACGGAGATATTTCATTCCTCGGAGTCGAAGGAAATCCTCCATAATGTTCATAATTTGAGTCATCTGGAAGAACATCAGGACTCTGTGGCCCGTGGCACGGAATTTCGGCAGAATGCGATCGAGAAGCTCGAATTTTCCGGCCGTACGCCACAGAAGGTCGTTGGACATGCGGGTAGGGTTCATCTGATCCTCAACAGGCTCAAAGACGAAGGGGTGATTGCAAAGCTTTCGCAACTGCATAAGCATGTTGCTGAGTCCACGCATTCCGGTCTTGCCGCCCTTGCCGTCGGTCACAGCCATCTTGTTGTGAGTAACGAGCTGCTTGTACAGCTTGGCCTGCAAAGCGGAGAATCGACACTTAATGACACGTTCCTGCTTATCAGGCAGATCCTTCTCGACATCCTTCTTCAAACGTCTAAGCAAGAATGGTCGGAGAACCTTGTGGAGACGACGGATAACAAGAAGCTGTTCTTCTTCGCTTAGATCCATACGGTCCTGACCACCAGTATTCGCGAAAGGAGTATTGAACCACTCATCGAAAGACTTGACAGACTTGAAGATATTGGGAAGCACGAAGTTGAGAAGAGCCCACAACTCGGGCAAGTTATTTTGCAAAGGAGTACCAGTCAGAATGATACGGTAGCGACTGGTGTAGTATGTTGAGAGGGTGCTGCTGAGCTTGGACTGAGTGTTCTTCATGCGGTGACCTTCGTCAACAATCATGTGAGTCCATTTGATCTTGCTTAGAACGGGACGATCCTTGATAATGTATTCGTAAGTGGTGAGAAGGACCTGGAAGTTGCCCCAGCGAATCTGCTGTTGTTGCTGCTTTCGTGCGTTGGGGGGACCTTTGTAGACCACCTTGCTCACGCCAGGCGCCCACTTGTCAAACTCATTGTTCCAATTGGTAAGGGTGGACAGTGGGACAATAACCAAGAATGGCCCGTTGTTCTTCTTCTTTTCGATGATATGAGTAATCAAACTGATCGTCTGAATCGTCTTTCCAAGACCCATCTCATCAGCCAAGATACCGTTCAAGTTATTGTTGTACAGTGATATCATCCATTGCAGACCCTTCAGCTGATACTCTTTAAGGGTTCCTCCCACGAGCATCTCAGGCTGCGAAGTAACCTCTTCGTTGATGCGATGAGCAACTGCATAGTAATCAACCTTCTTCTTTCCAGTGGTGGTGTTACTGTCTCCCTCATTTTCGCTATCCGCAATCTCCTGATCGGACTCTGAATCATAGTCATGCTCCTCACCATAGCGATGCGCCAGGCTACGCTGCTGTTCCTTGACGGACGCAGCAAGCTGCTTCAGGAAATTATCGGTCTGTTTAAGCAGATGAGAGATACGCGAATCCTTAGCTTGTCCCAAAAGCTTGAGATAGGTCTCCTCGTCGTTAGCCTTAAGAGCCTGCAGACGCTGCTTAGCGGTCCGCTCCACGCGCCTCTGCTCTTCACGTTCCATGTGCTGGTGGTGTGAAAGCATCATACGACCCAGCTTCTGCGAACGGGTTCGTTGCTGCAGAGATGCATTGGCGAGTTCAGCACTGTGATTGAGGATCGCTTGCAGCTGATCGTACTGCTTCTTCTTTTCTCGTGATTCGCGAGCGTCGCGCTGTTGTTTCTCAAGCTTCTCGGTGATGCGAGCCTCGCGCAGAGACTGTTTCTTCATACGGCGGTGACTTGATCGATTAGCTGTCATTCCGAGGTTATTGTAATGGAACATCTCGGTCTGGAGCGTCTTGCGGAATTGCCGTTGTTTAGCTAAGAGATTGAGCGATTTGTACTCGATCAGGGCTTTCAACTTGAGAGAATCATCGTATGTTGGCGTGTCACTCTTGCCAGTGTTCCACACACCAAGGTTGGCGGGAAGTTGGGCAAGTTCTGCTTTGCGGGCAGTGATTTTATTATACAAAATGATCTCACGATCTTCGCGCATCTGCTCCATGTCGATACCAGCAGGCAAAAGAGCGGGGATGCGCACGCGATTGGCACGATTGGCGTGGTCAGTGTAGCTAATGGTCTTGGAAAGCGAGTCGTATGGAGACTGGAAGTTGTCGTACCACTCCCGAGTCATGACCTCGCTCTCTGAGCTTTCAGCGGCCTGAGTACCAGAGTTGTCATTCGCAGCCTCAATAACCTTCTCGGCTGCGGTGATGTTGTCTATGGGAGTAGGTGGTTGAGATTTCTTTTGATTTTGGAAAAGCTGCTCTTGGACACGTGGGGGAATGGCGAGGTTCTTGGACAACATCTTGAAAGCCAAAATCTGGTTCCGAAGGGTAGCCAATTGCTCTGGTGAGAAGTTGCCACTGCCGACAGTCGCGTTTTTCTGATTCTGAGCAACTGCAGCGGCATTAGTAGCAACTGCCGATGAAGCTGAGGGGGTGCGACCTATATAAACGAATGTTAGCCACTAGCCCTGCGGAGAGGCAACTTGCATTCAAGCTTAATGTAGCAAATTTAATCGAAGCATAGCTTACCATGAGAGCCATTGGCAACATCGGGGGCAGCGCCGTTGACCTGCTGCTGCTGCTGCTGCTGTTGCTGGTGTTGTTGTTGTAGCTGTTGCTGCTGCTGTAACTGCTGTTGTAGCTGCTGCTGCTGTTGATGTTGCTGTTGTTGTTGTTGCTGCTGATGTTGCTGCTGGTGTTGCTGTTGCCGCACGCGCTGTTCGCGCTGTTGCCTTTGGAAGGTCTGCTGGCGTTGAATAGCACTGAGCAGATTATGAGCCTTGAGGAACTCTGGATCATCAGGGCCCAGGCCTTGTTCTTGCATCTGCTTATATTTCTGCGACGAGGTCAGAACCAACACTACGAGGCCGACGAGATATGAAAGGGCGCAATAATCAATTGAAGAATTGATAGATGGCGATGGGTGTGGTTGTAATGCGACAAACTTACCTGAAGGATCTCCTGGACATTTTGCTGCGTGAGATTAGGCGGCAGGCTCGCGTTGCCAGGCGCCATGTTTGGCGCTGGGTGTAAGGAAGCCATAGTGACGCGTGTATTTTTTTTTAATTCATGAGCAAACAAGGTAGGTCGAGATGGAGGATGGCGTCAAGATCGACGCGATGTTGGTGTGGAAAGTCACGGTCTCCACTTGGTCCTCAATTGCGAGGTCGCGCCGGCAAGAGAGAGGGCAGTCGCGGTCGAAATAGAGGGGCGGCGACCGTATGGGTGAGCTTGCTTGCCGTGAATGCGACCAGTGGGCGACGGGATAGGATGCTTGGCGATGGAAAGCGTGATGTTTGGGCCCGTGGTCGGAGCTTCCGGCGATGCGATGTGGAGAGCGGGTACTTTCAGGGACAAGGGAGTCAAAGAAAGCGAGTAAAAAGGCGAGTTCCCAGGGTAAAACAAGGTGGGGAGGGAACTCCAAAGGTGAAAGCGCGTTGGGATGGCGCGTTCAAAAAGTGGATGGATGAAAATGGAGATGGGGAGGGGACGGAGTTGCGCGACAGGCTCGGGGAAATCTGGGTGCTCAGAGCAAAGGACTGACAACAGCCTGGCAAAGGAGTTTTTCGCAAGTCGCCTTAGTCAGCGCGGCACGTGAGCCCGTGCTGGATTGTGGCCTGGGGCAGCGCAGCTCTGGTACCGTACCGGTTTAGGAAAAGTGTGTTGTAGAAGTGTAGATGGGATGGTTGGGGAGAGGAGTAAATCATTTCATGGCCGCGATCTCTACGCGATAGTTCCTGGTCTCATTTTTGGCTCAGTTCGGTCAATTGTCTGCCTGACAATCACAATCAAAATGACAATACATTGTATAGCTGAACACCCGGGGCCCACCTTTGCTGTCAACGGGGGTCGACACAATCGGAAGACCCCATAGTGATTGTGATTCGTGACAATCAAACAATTAGGAATGCAGATCTCGAATGGACCTATCTATTCATGAGGAGACACATTTATCGCATGTTCATCATTCTAGTAGCTCTCTGCCTTGAAACTAATAACAGCCGGGAAATCCTCCAAACCTCCATGAGAATCCAGTTGGAAAAGAAAAAAATCAAACAACAAAAAATCAAGGAAAGGATAGGATGATCCCAAGTGAGACTCTCTAGGAAATCAGTGACAAAGTGATAATAATAACTACCGCCGCTCACCACTAGCTGTAACCTCCTAAACTCCAAAACCCCATGCTTAAGTCAATATCAAGAATTAACGTGAGATGCATTTTCAAGCCCGGCTCTTACGCATTTGGTGCAGCGAGAAGAGACCGCTTGACCGGAGGAGGTGGAGGGGGCTTCTTTGCACGAGAAGGGGGAGGAGGTGGAGGAGCCTTCTTCGATCCAAGACTGTTCAGGTTGTTTGTGCTGGGTCTGCGGGATGGCACGCTGCCGTGGGATGTTGCGGGAGATATCGATCTGCCACCCCCAAACATCCGCTCGGGGCTCGAACGGCCATATGAGCTGACTTCCTCCGAGTCTGCGTAAGGATCAGCCGAGATGCGACCGCTGCCAACTTGAGTGCTGCTTCGACGTCCAAACGCGCCCATATTCTCGCTGGCAGTTCGCTGCTGTATCCACTGCGATGCAACTGGGGCTTGTTCTTGTCGCAGCTGAGCAGGTCCTTCAAAGGTGGGAACTCTGTTAAGAACCGGACGTGACACCCCATTGGTATTCACGTAGCTGTCTTTCGGGGGCGACTCGTACGGCGTCAAAGTTCTAGTGGATCGGATGGAAGGTCGAGTTTCCGTGGCGTTCATCAACTCTTCCTGCAATGGTTCATAGCGCTCCTGGTACGAATGGGCGGTGTTGGAACGAGGACGGATCGGACGACGGGGAGGTGCCTGTGCTTGACTGGGCCTTTTCAATATTAGTATCGCACATACACTAGAGCTGGGGATGGCAATGCTTACCCAGCCCATTCATTCTTGAGCTGCAGAAGAGCCTCACGAGACCGTTCATGGTATTCAAGTTGGGCATCCAAGAACGCCTGCATGTCCATAACGTTGTCGGTCTCGGCTTCTTTGATATCCTGCATGCGACGCAACACATCGTCGCTGGCTTCTTCATACTTGACTTTTTGGGAGCGCAGCTCCTCCTCCACACGGAAATCCTCCCTCTTGGCCTTCTCCATCTTTGAAAGAGAAGTATCGTATGCCAGTCGTCGGCTGTCGAGCTTCTTGCGCGCATGCTATCACACAGAGTTAACACCTGCATTTGTATATTTGATAACTCATCACAGTCGGAGACCCACCTGCAAGTCTTTCATCTGAGTCAAAGATCGTTCCAGAGACTCGAGCCAGCTCGAGGTCGCCTGCGCGATATAGCTTTCTTGGATACGCGCAATGCGCTCCTCAGTGCGCCCGAACACTAATTGCATGGTCAGCGATGCGATTCTTCCCAGGCTCTCCCCGCATTCTCCCCGCAATTATCATATGACTCACTGATTAGACATTGTCCGTATTCCGAGTGCCCATCGTAGTCTTCGCCGTGGGCCACCATGCTGCCTCCTAAATGGGCAATCGGCAGGGTCTTCTCTTTATCGTCTCCTTCATTGCGCTTCGAGAGAGCCTTCACATAAGAGGTCATGGATTTATGAATGCGGTCAACGCCTAGACGGAGAGATCTTGAATTAGCATAAACAGCAGGCGTGGCTCGTGGTGACTTCTTACCTTCCTGTCGCACACCCATCTCCGTCTCCATTGCCTTGAAATCATCTGAGAGACAGGTCTTGGCCTCTCCACCCATGCGCTCTCCGGCCCATTGTTTGAATCGGCCGATCCTTTTGTTGACGTGCATTCTGGTGACGGGGTTGAGAAGATAGGGGTAAGTGGAAGGATAATCGAAACCAGCGATTGTGTAAAACTGGGACAACGATCGAAACCAGCCCACGATAAAACAACCAAGGGAAGGTTCAAGTGGAATGCTCTAGGGCAGAGACAGAGTAAAAGATTAAGGGATAGGGAGTACTGGGGGAGGGGAGGTTGGGAACGGTTAGATTAAATGGCACGCAATTATGATAAAATAAGGACATTGGCATCTCGACCGCCACCAAGTCTCTGGAAATACCCCAATGCGCTTTTATTTCACATGCATGCAGTTACGTCGATCTGTCAATCGGTGGAGAAGGGGGTATTGTTCTCAATGCTACTAATGAAATGGTATTATTGGTCCCATGAACCCATTCACAAACCCAGCAGAGACTGTCTCAATGGTCTCATTTCCAATGCGAATACTCTGTCCTCCTGTCCTCCTCCGTACGGAAATACCAAATACGGTCTACTCGGACTAGAATAGACGAGGTGAAACCACAAAGATCTGAGGTTGTGACACGCGTTGGTGGGTCGGTGGAGAGAGAGCCACCAGTTCCCATTGGAAGTCCTGTCCATTTGCTATAATTATCTTTGCCACTGAGAGACAGGTCCGGGAAATTATGCACTTCCTGCTTTGATGCTCAATCCCAACTGCTAATTGGGTCGAGTGAACCGGGTGTAGGAAACTCGAGATGTCTTATATACCCGTATTGAATAGGCTTGTAACGGTACATGCACGGGGCACTTGGCTTGGAAAAGAGTTTCAGGGCGGTTTCAGTCTCACGTCGGCTGGCTATAGTGTGGCCCTTTTAGATTAAAGATGCAACGGCTGCGGAGCATGGGTTGCATCGCTCCGTATGTTCGCGTGGTTTCTAGGGGTACGGAGTAATGATCAATCCCGGCTTATCACTGATTTGGTATTAGGCTATATTATTGGTAACCTGGACACCCTCCGTGGGTGCTCCGTAGTGCTCCGTAGGTGCTCCATCCGGTCTACGGAGTACAGGGTATACCAAATATGCTTGATCTCCAGGTATCAATCATGCGGTCGCATCAAAACATCACTCGCCAAAATCATGCGAGGGTCGATGAATAACGAGTCAGGCCTCCACGGATCCTCCTGTTCCGAAGCTAGCAAAGCGTCAAACTCATTCCAGGCACCCATAACCCCCGGGAAATCAACCCCAGCCCCCGGACCAGCCTTCTCACCGGCCCTATCGAAATTTGAGATCTCACCACTCCCCTGCTCCGAGCCCAAGCGCGGTGTTTCGATTCTTGAAGCATCGGACGCCGAGGACGGTGAATGCAGGTTGCTCTGCCCAAGGCTTTCTATATATTGCCCGGGCGTAACGCCGACATGTTTCTTAAACACACGATGAAAATGACTGGGTGTCAACCCAGCCTGCCCCGCCAGATCTCTGAGTTTTGGTTTCAGCCCTGTTATCAGAATGCTCCGGATTGACGTGCAGGCTTTCTCAACCATGGCTGTTTGGGGGTTGCTTTGAGCCGCCGTCTGGCCCGAATGCGGACGGCAGCGCTTGCAGGGCCGAAAGCCTGCTGCTTCGGCTTGCGATAGGGTATCGTAGAATTGTACATTGGCGCGTCGGGCTAGTCGTGCTGGACACGAGGGGCGGCAGTAAATTTTAGTAGTGAGGACGGCGTAGACGAAGGTGTTGGCTGTGGTGTCACGAGTGGCAATGGCTTGCCACCGTTCTGCGTCGGATAGGGGTTTGGGACTGAGTCGGGGGATTCGTCGGGGTTGGGAGAGTTCTGTCATATTATCGATATCTTTGGCTCGTACAGGATAGATATCTTTGAGATGTTGGCGTCTACGGAGTACTATGCATGAATGTTGCTCATCGAGTTGGGAATCCTGCCCACCGGGGTGATGATTGATCTCAAAGTGACCAATCAGCGTTGAGGTTGCCATCTAACTCGCAATAAACATGTCGTTTTCAGCATCGTTATGGGAGGTAGAGACTATTGTGCGTTGTATAGTTAGGCCTTCTCAAGTCTAATACGAGCATGCCTATCGTATTCATTGGCAATTGCGATCACATTTGTTCGCCGGGGAGAAAACATCTGTGGCGTAACCTTCTTTGGGAGCTATAGATACAGATATCAAGCACAACTTGAAGGACCAGATGTGACTCGCCAGCAGCAACCAGTCTATATCCCGTGGCTGCGATCTATATGATAGGATGGGATTGATATTGCTTTTCATCACCAAGTAGTCATTGATTTAACAGAGTTAAACCATAGTTTACGAGGCCAGCCAACAAACATAAATTAGCCTCACATCTGTACTCCGTATGTGCGGTCAATATCAATTTGCGCTTCCAATATGCCAGTGACTAGGAACTGCCCCTGGATGAAAAACAGAATCAAAGGCCCACCGTCATAGGGCTCGTCTACCTCGAATATCGTTCATTGACATGTTTGGAAATAAAAATAGAGCATATATCTGGACTCCGTAGGCGTTGGGAGGATCGGACGCTCCAAGCTCGAGGCAGTGATGATCATCAGAACTCTTACTGGCATCTTCCCATAGGCAAGGGCTATTTTTGAAAGCTATGCTGTATCTCTATATATAAACCTCTCTTATGAAATAACAATGGTGGGTGAGAGACAGGTCAAAATGAAGGAGATTTTCTCAACACCTATGCAGGAGATAGGGGGACGTATGATTGCTACGGTTTGCTCCCATGGCTCAAATACTCCTCTCGGCGTACTCCGTACTCCGTGGGAAATTTCCGTACGTCTCTCTACCCTTTCTTCTGACAAAATTCAAGTGTTTTTAGTAGCTCTGCTTTGGTTGCGGTGCCTGGTTCTAGCTATTACGCCGTACAGCATTGTACAGACAGGCAAAGACTGCTTAATGATCTTTAAGCTCTATAATATACAGTACTACGGAGTACTCGGAGGAGATTGAAATAAACAATTATATAGAATTGCTTATGTGCATGTATTTTCACCTGCGGACGTCACACCGTAACGTCATTCTCTCGACCCGTGGACACTTCCTCATGAACTCATCCCCAGAACCCTGTCTTTGAACTACTGACAACGTATCACCTGGGCCAATCATATCCCTGACAAGTTCCCAGGACCTCTCCGTACAGTCTATTTCCCACAAAGACTCGAGGGTCAGGACAGGACCAACAGCGGTCTAGGATCACACAGCGACCGATTTCTCGTGCCCCACATGGCCGATACCAGCTATAGCTACGAGATTTTGCGTAAGAACCATGAGAGGGAACTAGATGCCTTGATAGAACAGGGTGTTTTCAAGCCACTGTTCCTATCTCATGTCATCATCCTCATCACGTTGCCTCTGATAGGCCTTGTCATCCCTCGCAACAAGGGCGGTCAATATGTCCGCCAAGGTCTCTTCGTCCTCTTTATTGCTATCGCAATTGAGATTGTGGTGAACCGACGAGCTATCACTGGAGGAAATGGATACATGCTTGGCCTGATGACGGCTTGGTGGCTAATTTGGAATGCCACACTGTATGTGTTCACAGATCTGGAGCATGACTTCAAACGCATTGAACGGAAACCCATTGTTACAAAGTCTCAAAATGATGCCAAGATTGAGCATAGTACTATTGCAGAACCACTTGACTCGAGCAGTCAAATATGCAAAGGGGACAGCGACCTTTACGTTTGGCAATCGTATCCCGAGAAGTTTTCACATCGCCTCGAATGGTGCGCTGGACTTTACTTCAATATGAGAGGACCGGAATGGAATTGGCGAGCTCCCCACCTAGGTCCTCTTCCTCAACCAGTTCATGTCCAATTGCATTCAGGATTCACGGATAAAATTGAAGCACATGAGTCCTCTACCTATCCAAGCGGCCCAGACCGCCTGAAGGCAGCCTTTCGAACATTCTTCATGTATTACCTCGCATTGGACATATTGAAAGTCATAATCTTGATGCCAGACCCCTACTTTCGAGGCCTGACATCACCCGATTCAACACCGCCATTCCCGTTCTTCCTCGCAGATATTACAATCCATCCTGTCCTAGCCCAGATCTGCCATAACGTATACTCCGCCGTGAGTGTCTACATCGCCTTCGAGTTCGTGACCTCACTCAACCCAATCTTCTTCCTGGGCCTATCTCTCAAGTTCCCTAACGGAGCCAAAAAATTAACCGGCGCGCCACTGGGTGTCCCATGGTTGTACGCTGATACATTCGGGCCATTCATTACACCGATCCTGGACCACGGGTTGGCAGGTTGCTGGGGCCGCTGGTGGCACCAAGTGTTCCGTCATGGGTTCATGGTTTCCGCGCGCTGGATCTTATCCTTACTTCCAGCAAACCTGGCCTCCAATCGGCAAATTCGTCGTATCACATACCTGATGGTGGCATTCTGTCTTAGTGGCTTTGTGCATGCCTGCGGAAGCCACACTCAGATTGCAGACACACATCCGGTATCTGGAACATTCTTGTTCTTCGCTTCCCAGGGTGTTGCGATCATGGCGGAGCAGGTGTTCAAGACATCGATCTTCCCGAAATTACCTCTTGCTGATACGCCGAGATGGCTGAGACGAACGGCAAACTTCATATTTGTGTTCTCTTGGTTGATGGCCTCCGGTGGTCTCGTGGCAGATGATTTTTCGGGTGGTGGGTTGTGGTTGATGGAGCCCATTCCATTTAGTCCACTTCGCGGACTAGGATTTGGTCGACCGGATCAAGGATGGTTGTGCTGGAAGGAGCCCTGGTTCCAGCACTGGAGTGATGGCACATACTGGGGAACCGGGATACGGATGCTGTAAGCTTGGGCGATCTGATATTTCAAGGTCATTTGGGTGTTTTTGGAGCCATTTATTGCACGTGGAGAAATTTCGGGTCATTCTGAGGACTTTTGGAGCCATTCATTGTATGTGCAAAATAGAAATTATATAGAAGCAATAATTACATAGTCTATCCTTCCATTGTGACATCGTCATCCTCCTCATCGGTGTCAGAATCCATGTTCAGGGTGGGCAATTCGTCATCGCTGTCATCATCAGCTTCCGCTGGGGCCTGTGAGGTCAGGGTGGTAGCGGTCGTGGACGCAGTTGAAACCTTTGGGGCTTCAGCCTGGGTGATTGTAGGGGCTGGCTGAGAGAAAGGTTGCTGGCTCGAGGCGCTTGAGATGATTTCATCAAATCGCGCCTTCTTGGCTTGCACCTCCTGCTTCTGTTGTGCTGGCTCCTGGGTCGTGGTTTCCTCAGTGAAAGTCCGCTTGTGGAAAGTAGGCACCGGGGCTGCGACCTTCGACTGGACCTCCTGCGGTACAGGCAAAGGTGCCGAGACTGGTTGCTTCAAGAACTCGGCAGTTTTTGGGGCGGCAGTGTAGGTATCATCAGCCATCTCCTCGTCTTCTGCTTCTTCGTCTTCATCAACATAAGCATCAAGCTCGGGTGCAGTCATCAGAACTGGCATTCTAGGACGAATCAGAGCCTCCACTTCCATCTGATCAGCAAAAGGTCTAGCCAAGAATGGAATGATGCTTGAGCCTGCTCCACGGCCCTTGACTGCCGGGACGGGGTTGAGCACACTAGCAAGCATCGCATCCTTGTCGGATGTCAAAATGATAGTGCGATCCAGCTCGGCCCTGATGGAAGGTGGAACAAGTTCAGCAGGAATAGAGACAAACACGGCCTGCAGAAGTCCGGAAGCCTTTTGCTGGAGGTCCAAAAACGACGAAGCAATTTGTGCCTGGGTAGACTTTTGCAGATTGGGGTTCAAAAAGGCATCCGCGTTGGATGTACCTTGTCCGCCCTTTGCCTTTGCCTTGGGGTCAGAGCCCGTCGACTTAGACTCTTCATTAGGTGGCAGTAAATCATGACAGCAAGAGCGTAGAACATTGTTCAGGGACACCACGCTCTGTTTCGTCATTGCAGGCCCGTTCACCGGCACCAGAGTACGAAGCAAACCATAGACGGCCGAACGCAGGTCTCTGTTGAAGCTTTCGCCCTTGAAAGTCCAGACTGCCTGCTCTAGAATAGTCTGTGTTACGGAGGTTGCGCTGGTCTCCAACACAGTAATGAGCCTGGAAAGCAAGTCCATGCAGGCAATGTGAATACGAGGCAACTCCATCCAAAGTGCCTCTCGCTCATCGCGGCTAATTTCTTGGTTGAACTGAATGCCAGACTGAGATGAAGCGGCACCATTGGGTGGGACAGTCACAGAAGTAAGCCGGGAAGTCAAATCGAGGATAGAGCCCAATGGAAGAGCAACCGCAGCGGCAGATGGCATCGAGATGAAACCCGAGAGGATCTTCAGGAGTGCAATCAATCTATCCACACCCGAGTGAAGTCCGTTCCAGCCTGGAAGTCCAAGACCATCGGGACCTTGGTCACCCACTTCTTCGCTGCAGTTCGGCCGTGCGTGTCCCAGAGCTCCATCAACAGACTCCCACTGCTCGACGACAGCTCGGAAAACGTGGTCTATGGTTCGGTGAATGGACAAGATTGTCGACTTGCAATCATCTTTCCACCCAGAGCCTGCCTGGTCCTTGGGTGCACACTTGTGGAGAGAAACAAGCAGTTGCTCGGCTGCATCAACCACATGATCAGGGAAATACGCAGGCGAAGAGGAGCCAATGACTTCAGTGAGAAGAGTTCGGAGCTGGGAACCAAATGGACGGAAGATGGTAATGTGTCTTGGGATCAATTCCAGCAAGGCGTGCAAAACAATTTCCATAAATGGAGTGTTAGGCTTCGGCTTTCGGATTGAGCCCGAAGGAGTCTTCGTGATGGTAGAGACCAGGTTCAATGCGGCGGTAATAAAACCTGGCAGTTGCGGGGTTGTAATCTCTCGAACGAGGGTTGGGTACTGGTATGTGAGGTGGAAAATCCGTGTCAGTGTAATAATACACATCTTCCTCGTGGAGATTGGATCGGGTTTCTAAGAATGTATAAGTCCATGAAACGAGATTAGATAGACATCAGTTTTCAGTCAAATACATACCGCCAGAATGCTGATCAAGCTGCGAACAATAGGCTCATAGCCGCGCAGAATTTCCCACTGACCAGCTTCAACAGCAGCTTTCACCAAAACAACGGCGGTCCATCTTCCTTCGACACTGCGGTCTTGCAGCAGACTGGCCAGTCGAGTCTTCAACTTGTGGATCTGGATAGTGGTATCGGAGTCTGACTTTCCCGCTTTCTGAGCTTGAGGCGCAGAGAGTAGCTCGGCGCAATCGCTCAAGGAAGTCGCAAGAAACGACGCTATCGAAGGTAATTGCTCAACCGGAGTGGTGATCAGGCGATGCGTGATGGCGCGCAAAGTAGTGGAGGTCATTGCGATCGGTACAGACCTAACTAGCAGGTCGAGACTCAAATATCAGGCCAATTGACAGAACACCAAGAGTAGACAAAAGGTGAGCCTCTTATCGATAACTTTTTTTTTCGTAAAAAAGCTCGGGCCACACGAGGCCTCGGTGTTAAATTACCGTCACGTACGTAATCGCTCTCCACCCCTGGGCGATCATCGGGCTTCAGACTGACAGTGTTGACGAAGCTTGATTAGCTCTTCTCCTTCGCTATACCACTCGCAACTCCCTGAATTATGGCTGTAAGTGTTTGTCTTATGTCTTCTGTAGCATGTGTTTGTTTGGTTTTCTTCTAAATCATTGATACCACCCAGTATTTATGTTGACACATGCAACCAGGGAGGCAATGCCGAGAAGGGGCAGCGCTACATCGCGGCCTTGGACCAGGCGAGGAGTCAGGGCAAATGGGATGAGGTGTCTGAATTGATTCGCAAAGTCATAAAACATGCACCGCAAAATACTTGTACGCTAGCGCCCCCTTGTCTCTTGATCTTAGCCTAACTGAGCCGTGTCAACATAGGCCTGGTACAGACCGCCACTGCAGAATCGCGTGTAATCGCATATCTTGAACAAAAGTCCTCTGGGGACTCGTCCTCGTTACCGAACCTTGTCGAGTTGATCCCGGCCTTGCTGGTAACAATTGAGAACAATGACGGGTCACCACAAGAGTTATTGCAAGCGCAGGTCTGTCTGGGATGGATCCATTGGGTTTTGGATGAACCTGCACTTGCGGCATCGCGTCTTCCCAGGGACTTTGCGGCAACGGTCGATAGCTTTGCCAGTGGGGGGAGCAACCTAGTTCGTGGACCGAGGTCTGCCTAGTGAAAGGATGCTACATCAAGGGTATGTTTACTTTGTTTATTTCTTGGTGTAACAAGTGCTGCATCTGACAAAAAGCTAGCAACCTCGCAATCCACAGCTTCGAATATTGATGAGACACTCGAGACATTCGCGTCTTTGGTTCCGTGGCTCAACAGTGGCAAGTTAGCCTCAATCACCACCCCGCAATTTCTGAGCTGGTCCGAATCACTCCTTAGCAGCGGTGCTCTTCTCGCCAGCTCCGAAGCAAGCAAACACAATACCTCCTCGGATCCCAGGCATGTTGATATAACTCTGCGATTGCTCAGAACGTGGGCGACGCATCCTGCCGTGAAACAAGGGCTTCCTACTAGCAACCCGCCGAACGTGGATAGTTCGGGCCCGGCTGCACGGGGATCAGTTTGGACTACTTATTACAGATTCCTTACAACGATTCTTCAGGATGGGCTCACACATGCCTGTCCAAAAGATGGACCTGAACGCCCGCAGCTTGCCAGTGAATTGCGCCGCGTGGAGACCATCTGCGAGCGCAACATTCTCTCTGACATGATGTTCCCTACAGCCAACTCCCAAAACTCGCAAGTTGAGGAATGGGTAGAGCTGGTGATCAGCAACTGGCAAATCTTGTGCGGGCCCGAGTGGCAAGATTCGGATTTCGGCGAAGGAGGCCAAGATAGTGTTGGTCGTAATGTGTTAGAGGTGGGTTTAACAACAGATCCTATCAAACCATGCTTGCTGACACTTGTCTCCTAGATCTTGTACCGCGCAGCAGCAAAGACCTACCATTCTCATCTGGTTCTCCGACGGCTCTTCCATGTTCATTCTGCCTTAGCAGATTTTGACCTTGCCGTAAAGGCGCTCGATTCTTATATCGAGATTGTTACTGCAGCCAAAGAGCGAGCAAAAAAGTCTGCAGAATACGGCGAGCTGGAGAAGGATGAAGTACTACTGCAAACTCTCTCCGAAGGTGTCACATTACTGAGCTGCCTTGGCTCGTTTGAGGAGGCAGAGAAAGCACGAGATCTAACTGACATCATAAGAGAGTATATCGGCAAGAATGCTTCGCCTCTCACAGACGATGATACCAGCGATAGTATTACAGATCTGCCAAATATCCCTCACAACGTGTTGGCACTTTCCTACCGGGCCGTCGGTATTGGTCTTGCTTGCTGGGCAAGCTGGACTCCCGTGAATGAATCACGAGACGAAATTAGAGCTGATGCGATCGAATACCTTGAAAAAAGTCTCTCTCCTGAATTAGGAGATAGCTCGAACTATTCCTCCTTATATACATTGGGTGTTGTGTTGGCTGAGAACAGAGATTTGGACAGTGCGATTGACTATGTCAAGTCGGCTTTGACACCAAGTGACTCATCCACTGCTGTGTCAGACGATCTTTCCAAAGAACGGGACTTGGTATCTCTGTGGCATCTGCTTGCCCTGCTGCTGAGTGCGAAGCAGGAGTTCGAGATCGCTGGACGTTCATGCGAAGCTGCATTCGAGCAATTCCCCCGAGAATTATTCTCAAAGAGTGGTCGCGAACGACGATCTCGACAAGCACAAAATCCCAACCAACGCCCAATTGTCAGCCGATTGCAAGGTAGGGAGAAAGAACGCATCGTTCAAACCCGCATCACACAGCTTGCGTTTGTCGAGCTCCTGGAGGGCCCCGAAGCTGCTGTCAACCAGAGTACTCAATTATTGAGTCTTTTTGGGGCTCTGTTCCAAGATCTAAATCTTGAGACTGGGGAGACCACAGCCAAGGCTGGTCACCTAGTGCCCCCAAAGAGCTCTGCCGGAACCATCAGAAGTATCCGTGGTAGCATTTTCAGCAGAAACAAGGCGTCTCAGTTGCCGGATCGCCGTGCTGATCAGAGCAATGGCCTTGATGCTACTATCCCTCCTACCCCAGCTATTCCTAATGGCCATCTGGCGGACGCGCCTTCAATCCAGGTCACGGATGAAGACAACCGTCAGGGAAGAGCGCCAACAGTTGGGAGATCTGACTCAAAGAAATCGAAGAAAAGAAGTCTGAGCTTCCACCGAAACGAGAGGCCGCCTGTTGAACAGCCCCCGCTCCCCAATGGAGGGGAAACCTCCACAGAGATGGTAGGCATTGCAGTTTCCGGCAATGCATCACCAGAATCGACAATCCATCCCATCAAGGGCAAACAGCCTTTGCCGCCGATGGCTCACAATATCAATCATAAAGAAGAACCTTTCCCTATTGGCCATGAGGAGCAACCCCCTCGACAGGATATCCGGCTTCCGAGTTGGCACCGTTTTGACTCACCTACATGTGCTATCACAAAGTACTCCCTAATTCAGTCTCAGAAGCATGCACTGGGACTTCTCGTCAAAATTTGGCTTGTCATCGCCGGTCTGTACCGCCGAGCGTCTCTATTCGAAGATGCCCGTGAAGCCTGTGAAGAGGCTTCGAAGCAAGCCGCGCGAGTCGAAGCACTGGTTGCATCCCACGAATCCTCGGCCCGGGCCTTCAGCAAGCGTGGCTGGGGCGCTGCGAAGAGCTCTGAAGAGCTCTGGGCTGATGTCTACGCGGAACAAGGTCTTTTGGCTCAGTCTCGATCCAACCCCCACCAAGCCATCAGGCACTTTGAGAATGCACTGCTGCGGTACCAAGATCACCCAACAGCCACCATTGGACTTGCCAATCTTCTCTTGGATATTTGGGACCAGAAACTTACTCCAGAACCATTGAATGCTGACGTGGATCTTAGCGTTTCACGTCTTTCCTTGTTATCAGAAACCCACAAGCCCATGTCTGCAACCGCCATCTCGATCGATGATCTCAAGGCAACCGATGAGACCGGAAATTCGGGGCCTCCAGAGGCTCCTTCATCTGCGCAAGATGTTGAGCCTAAGCAACTACACCGTCTCGCAGCCCGCGATCGCGCCTATGGACTTCTTACGGCATTGATTAAGCTCGGAAGTTCCTGGGACAACTCCGAGGCATGGTATGCCCTGTCCAGGGCATACGAGGCCGGCGAGCAGATCGAAAAGCTGAAAGAAGTGCTGTGGTGGTGCATTGAACTGGAGGATCGACGACCGATTCGCCACTGGTCCAATATCGGTTCTGGCGTCTACGTTCTCTGAAGGTGATAAAATCCCAGATGTTGATATATTCTTGTATCTACTTCATTTCTCTCTTTGCTTTCGCATGTCTTTTTTGATTTCCCACAAATAAGATACCTTGTTTATAGCATGTGGCTTGGCCTAATTACATCCTACAAGTCTTCAATGAAGCCCATTTTTCAAGAACGAGTTTTTTTTCGTAAAAAAAATAAGCACTACTGGCAAGATGTCTTTATATACATTTCCCAAATTGACAAATGAGTTGCCAATGGGTTGAAAAAGGAAAACGGGATCAGTTGAACAGCACAAAAAGTGAATTGATTCTGCTACTGCAAATAGATCTACCGCGGAGCAGCGGTGGGGGTCCAGGCAGTGATCTTGGGCCGGGTGCTGGAGGGCGAAGTTAGTCAATGCATGGATCTCACCAAGGTATTGCACATAGGGAGGTCACACGTACGTCGAGTAAGTCTTGAATGCAGCACGGCTGAAAGTCGGGTTAGGGCGGTGCTCGGGCAGTTCCCAGGCGCGGAGCTTGGTCTGCAAGATCTTGTCGGTGAGGGGAGGAGCATCAACGACGTAGGAGATCCAGGCGTGCCTTCAGAAAGTTAGTCCCGCGTGTTCATAGCTGAATTGTTGGCTCTGTGTCCTGAGAAAAGCGCTTACCAGCCGGGCTCAATGTGGGATGCGTCGAATTCGGCCTCCTTGTAGTCAACCCAACGTGTTCGGACTAGCGGGGAAACTCAGTTAGGCTCCTATGCTTCGATGCAATAGTGTTCGTTAGAGAGCTTCTTACGAGGCAATTCCTCCATGTTCTCGAAGTACTTGTTTCCGAAGCGATCGGTTCCGATCAGAGTTCCGGCTTTGGTATCACCTGCAAGAGCATGAATTGTCAGTCAACTGTCGCGTGCACACCAATGAAGTCCCAACCTACCGATGTTCTATATCACGGCAGACAAGGACTCAAGTTAGTTCCGAGCTTATCCAATTGACCTGCTGTTCCGGGGGAGGCGTCCGTCATCGTACCTGCATCTGGTGGGCGGCATCCTGTACAAACGTATTAGCAACCAAGCATTTATAGAGAGCATATCCTCTGAATACTAACCTTGAAGCCAACGCGGCGAAGGTTGCGCAACGTCCTCACAATAGTCGACATCTTTGCTGGTGTATTGTGCTAGGGCGAATGGGGTGCGAGAGATTGGTGATTTGAGGTTGCAGGAGGGCAGTGTGTTTGCACTGTTTGCACCCTACACTACCATGGATTTCCCGATTCAGAAATCCCTCGACTGGGAATATCCAGACATGTTCGGTCGCAGTGGAAGGCAAGCGCTTCGTTTGGCTGGGCGTCGCTCAGTTACGCATCATCGGCTATGCGCTCGCAATTTTTCTGCGAATACCGGCTCCGGAGCTGCTACTACAGGAGCCGCTCCTTCACCTCTAGCAGGAATCACCGCGGAGTTAGACCGCATTGCTCCCCGATTTGAGGTGCCTGCGTCTCAAATTCATATTATTGATAGTCCATCCAATTTCTATTCGACATTGAAGGTTTGTCGGTGTTCTCTATCTGCTTGAAGTGGATTGGAACTAATTCTCAATTTCGCAGAATAAAATCCGCAATGCCCGACGCCGCGTTTACCTTTCTACATTGTACGTTGGCAAGACTGAACATGATCTCATCGATACTTTGGGCCAGGCTCTTCGCGAAAACCCTGATCTCAAGGTTTCAATCCTCACAGACGCTTTGCGCGGTACACGGGAGACGCCGAATCCGTCAAGCGCATCACTCCTTTGCTCGTTGGTCGAGGAGTTTGGACCCGAACGAGTCGAGGTTCGGATGTTCCATACTCCCAACTTGACGGGCCTGCGAAAGAGATGGATCCCAAATCGTATTAACGAGGGTTGGGGCTTGCAGCACATGAAACTATACGGTATCGACGATGAGATCATCCTATCAGGGTATGTTATCTACGGTCTTTGTATAGCGATGTGATGTTAATATAACCGCAGAGCAAACCTGTCCGAGGAATATTTCACCAGGCGTCTAGATCGATACCATGTGTTCGACTCCGCGGTGCTCACCGAATACTACGCTCGAATTCATCATGCAATCTGCAGTTTGAGCTTCCAGGTGCTGCCAGATCCTGAAAAGAAATCCAGCTATGTTTTGGAGTGGCCTTCCACAAACAAAGCACCTTCACCTCTTGAGAGCTCGCGGGAGTTCGTTGCATATTCTTCGGCGTTCTTGAGCCCGCTCATTCAGGCCTCCGACAACAAACCTGCACTTCAATCCTCATCAAGTCAAACCTATGTATACCCTGTATCGCAGTTCACTTCTATCTTGCAACCTGAGGATACATCTACCGAATACCCCGCCGTGACGACTATTTTGGGTCTTCTGTCCAACTCATCGGTATTCGCCGGTGCTCGCTGGCTCTTCACAGCAGGTTACTTCAACATTCACCCTGTCCTTTCCTCCCTACTCATTTCGAGCACAACAACCGCTTCCAAGGATCCTACCACCACAAAAGGCACTGTTCTCACGGCCTCACCGTGGGCAAATGGTTTCTTTGGCTCTTCTGGAATATCAGGTATGCTGCCAGCTGCATACACGCATCTTTCCGCCCGCTTCCTCGATCGCGTCGCTGCAGCAGGTGCCACCGACTCCGTTCAATTGAAAGAATGGCGTAAGGGTACTGTCGGCACACCAGACGGGTGGACTTACCATGCCAAAGGTCTGTGGGTCACACTTCCGCACGAGGAACACCCCAGCGTCACCTTCGTCGGTAGCAGCAATTACACAAAGCGCAGCTACAGCCTAGATCTCGAGTCAGGCGCGGTTGTCGTGACGAATGATCCGGACCTCAAGCGGAAGCTAGGCGAGGAGACAGAGCGGGTTCAGAAAAACGCCAGCCCTGTCTCCAGAGAAGACCTGATGCGGACGGAGAGGCGAGTCACATGGAATGTGAGACTTTCCATGTGGATTGTGGAGAAGGTCGGCGGCGCTTTCTAAGTCGCTTCTCGGCCTCGTGTATAAACATCTTTTGGAAATAGCGATTTTGTAATATATTGGGACGGATATTGATATGACAGCCTACACCGTCGAGGGACATTCCCATATGAATCATACAATGCATCAAGTCAAAACGTGAATCCGTGAGCTGTTATAGAAGTGATACTCATCCATGGAGAGTAAGGATACACAACAGAGTGTCGAGACATAAACATAACTTTTGATCTAGCCATCAAGAGATATCAACCCTAACGCACAGGAATGCCGTATAAAAGAAAGTAAATAAAAAGCCAAACGCCATGTCGTGACTGAGATTTCCCATTGAGCGTCGTCTCATATGCAGTGCAAATCTTCATCTAAGCTGTTCCGGGAACCTTGTCCTTTCCAGGCTGAATCCGAGCTGGGCCGAGACCGGATCGCACCTCGTCAAGCATTTTGATACCAATGGCCTCGTTACCGTTCTTGCCACGCTTGTTCTTGGCGCCGTGTCGCTTCGCTTGTTTACTGGTATTGGGATCCCAGCTGGAGAGGAAATCGTCCATGACATTGTTGAAATCGCTGCGGCTGTGCATGGCTTGGCCATTGCTGTCAATCAAGCTAGGAGCCACTGATGATGCGGTGGACATGCCCGTCATTCCGGTGGCACCTGTCATTCCGCTAATCATCGACATGCTGTCATCGTACTCATCCTCCTCGTCAAGAGAGTAGAGCTGCTCGACCCGGTCGAATCGGTCATCGAGGAGACGGTGGCCCTCAGTACGAGCCAAAGCAGACGACGTCATAGAGTACGCAGATGGGTTGGTAAGAGCACCCTTGCGCTTCTTTCGGCGAATTGGGGTGCCACCAATGGTGAAGGCGGTCGAAGCCATGGTCTGCGACGCTGCGATTGTGGGCGGGGCAGGTTTGGCAACATTGCCAGCCTTAGCATCTTTCTTGAACTTGGCGAACTCGCTCATCCAGCTCTGGTCAGTGGGCTGCATATCGGGAGCAGGCTGGTCATGCTCAGGCAGCTCGCCGGGCTCCATTGGTGGCTGGACAGGGCCTTCTGATGACTCTTCGTCTACTGAGCGATGCGCATTGGTGCTGCTGGGCTGCACGGGAGCTTTCTCGGTGGCATCCGACTCCCATCCATCATCTTCCATATCCTCATCGAACAGAGAATCCTCCCAGTCACCCTGGTCGATTTCCTCGGCTTGGGATGTCAGCTTGCCAAAGATATCATCAGCATCGTCCTCTTCCACAAAGGCCTCATCCTCCAGCGCCTCCAGCGCCTCTCGTAGTCGCGGGTCCATGTCAGGCTTAAATCCTGCAATAGCGTCTGGAACATTCTGCTGATCCTGGTAGGTTGGCTGGCGCACGTAAGATGAAGTAGTTGAACGCATATCGCCATATTGCGAGCCATAAAGACTCTGACCACCGGAGGCGCTCGGGGCATAAGTATCTTTATCCACGAGCGAGACCTGTCGCAGTGCATCTTCCAGCTTCATTCCTCGACCAGCGCGGCCCTTGGCCTTCTCCGTCTTAGCTTCAACGAAGTAGGCATCTCCAGTGCCGCTGCCTAGCTCGCGCAGATGCTGCATGTAATCGTAGCTGGAATCATCGTAGTAAACGCCGTAGTTGGCGGCTTCGCCCTCATTCTTGCGAGTACTGTCGCCGTACTCTGACTGGAGATCGGACAGGTTCCGCAGGGGCTTCTTCGAGGTAGTCGATGCGGAAGACGATGCGGGCGCAGGCGCAGGCGCGGGGCCACCGACCTGGTACAGGAAACGGTCGTCCGCATCGGTATCGTGGATCAGCGGGTCATTTTGAGACCGGTGAAAGAGCTGGAAGGTGCTCGCGCTCTTCTTGTCACTATGATACAGTCAGTTTTGGCGCAGAAGCCTTGGGGACTCCTGTCAGACATACATCCACTGTTTGGGCGGCATCTTTGATTTGGTCGAGGTTTAGGTATCGCAGAAAAAAAGGAAAAAAGTGGGATTGATAGGGTCACGTGTGGCTTATCGCCCCTCGTTCTCCGGGGTCCTCAGAATATTTGCTAACGAATAGTATACAGTGTGCAAGGGGGTTTGTTATTTCGGGTGGAATTTCAGTGTCTTCGTTGAATTTTCATTTTGCTCATTGTGCAACTTCGCTTGGAGACTTGGGTATTCATTGGGCTCGGCCCTCTTGAGGCCCGCTTCAATAGTACTGCATTTGTCCTATATTAGATAGGTGCTACATAGTATAGAGATGAGATCTTATATAGAGATCGACTCAATCATTCGGCTCTTATATGGAATATCTCGGAAAGGTCCAATAGAAACATGACCAACAGCAGAAAGCAATCGAAGGAAAAAGCATCCATATACTTCCCAAAGCAGAGGGGGCTGAGTCAGCGTTATCTTATCCGTCTGAATAATCCAAAATTCCCTTCAGGTGGGGGTTGTGTCTCTCGACTTCAATTTTTCATTTCAGTCCAAATCACATAATTTTGGAAATCCAAAGTCATCGCCATCATGGTTTTGGCTAAATCCAAGCACGCCGTGGGGCTGGGTGCCAGTCTCATGAACGATCGGTTCGGAAAGGGCAAAGCATCCGCTCAGAAGAAGGTCTCTCACAACAATGCCATCCAGCGTACAGGTGTCAATGGTGAAACCTATGTCACCAACGAGGCAAAGGAGGCCTCATGGGTCAAGATGCGCAGTATCACTGAACAGGGCGCACTCGACGAATTCCTGAGTACCGCCGAACTGGCCGGAACCGACTTTACCGCTGAAAAAATCAACAACGTCAAGATCATCCACTCCGACCAGAAGAACCCCTTCCTTCTCACCCCTACCGAGGAGCGGAAGGCTTACTTGAAGCAACAGAGGAACAAGGACCGCCTGACTGTTCCCCGACGACCCAAGTGGGACCAGTCCACAACTCGGAATGAGCTTGAAACGATGGAGAAACAAAGTCTGTTGGACTGGCGACGTGGACTCGCCGAGCTGAGCGAGAACAACGATCTTTTGATGACCCCTTTCGAGCGCAACTTGGAGGTCTGGCGCCAATTGTGGCGTGTCATTGAGCGATCCGATCTTGTTGTGCAGATTGTCGATGCGCGAAACCCGCTGCAGTTCCGTTCGGAGGATCTCGAGAACTACGTCAAGGAGATTGATCCCCGCAAGAAGAACTTGTTGTTGGTCAACAAGGCAGATATGTTGAGCTTGAAGCAGAGAGAAGCTTGGGCTCAGTACTTTGAACAGAACAAGATCAACTTCCGTTTCTTCTCTGCTCACCTCGCCAAGGAGAAGAACGAGGCTCTCGCTTTGCAGGCGGAGCAAGAAGCTGATTCCGACTCCGACTCCGACTCTGAACTTGCCAAGTCTGCAGAAAAGATCAACGTGAATGTGCAACCCGGCGAAGATGATGGATACAAGAAGGAGGATACAGTTGAAGAAGAAATGGCTAAGCTTGCCGACCCCGAGCGCTCGCTTGGACCACACATCCTGGACACTGAAGAACTGGAAGAACTCTTCCTGGCCAATTCCCCGGAAACACTACCACACGATTCTGAGGCTGGCGAGCAGCCCAAGCGCAAGACCACAATCGGTCTCGTTGGTTACCCCAACGTTGGTAAGTCCAGTACCATCAACGCCCTTCTCGGTGCGAAGAAGGTCTCCGTCTCTGCCACACCCGGTAAGACCAAGCACTTCCAGACTCTGTACCTTTCACCCGAGATCATGCTGTGCGATTGTCCCGGTCTCGTGTTCCCCAACTTCGCCACAACCAAGGCCGAGCTCGTTGTCAACGGTGTCTTGCCCATCGACCAGCAGCGTGAGTTCACCGGTCCCGCCGGTATTGTCGCCAAGCGTATCCCCAAGCATTTCATTGAGCAAGTGTACGGTGTGAAACTCAGAATGCGCCCCACCGAAGAGGGCGGCACTGGCATCCCCACTGCCAGCGAAGTTCTGCGTGCCTACGCCCGCGCCCGTGGTTTCTCCACCCAAGGTCTGGGCCAGCCCGACGAGTCTCGCGCTGCCCGATACGTCCTGAAGGACTACGTCAACGGCAAGCTCCTCTGGGTCAACCCTCCCCCAGTTGCCGAGGACGAAACTCCCACCGATACCGTCGAGTTCAACGCCGAGCTTTACGACCTCGCTCATCTTCCTGAGAGACGCCGCGCCCAGCTCACAGAAGCCAGACTCGGCAAGTCCTCCGCACCAGCCATCGGTGACATCGACCCCGCCGACCCCAGCTCATCAAAGGTCGCCGCCATGCCCGAGCTAGGCCGCACCTCCCGTAATCTCGACACCGGCTTCTTCGGCTCAGAAACCGGCCCCTCCGCCGGTCGTCTGACCCTCCCCTTCCAGGCCCGCTACACCAAACAAGGCCAGGAGATGCGCAAAGCACCCACAGGCCGCAAGGAGCGCATGATGGTTGCTCTCGAGCGCGGCGTGGACGTCTCCGAGGTCAAAGCTGGAAACTCCAAGAAGCACTTCAAGGGCAATAAGCGTCAAGCCAAGAGCAAGCGCAACAACCCCGAGGACGACGACTACTGAAAAGTGAATATTCTTTTTTCTTTTTTTTTCCTTTGCATTGTTGCTTGCGCTTGCAGGCGAGTCGAGGGTTTTCTACCTCTCCCTCGACTCTACGAGGTATCATTCTTGGGCTCATGGGGCTTGGGATGGATGAATTGATAAATGGTCTCACATATGGGATTGGCATGTTATGTCGGGATTGAAATTTTTCTTTGTCCCATTTCAATGTTCATTGATTGTCTTTTTTGGCGTTCAGGGTTTTACGAGTTGAATCACGATTTATACCAGTCATTCACTTGATTTTTTTTGAAATTTCTTTTCCATTTTCACCGTAAACTATGAAAAACTACCTATTAGAATCCCGAAGACTAAAATGTAGATCCAAAGCCAGGACAAAAATGTGCATACGCATAATCTTCATATATTCTTATTCCGGAAAGTAACCTACGATATACCCTCACAGATGACTCTTAGGCTTGTACCCAGAAGCAATAAGCAACCGATCCGCCTCCTGCTGCTGCCAATTCAACCTAGCAACAATCTCATCCTTGCGAGACTTATTCTCACGCTTACCAAGCTGCTGCAAATGCACCTCGTCAGGTCCATCAGCAATGCGCAGCGTCCGAATACCCGCCCACAGATACGCAAGCGGCGTATCCTGGCAAACACCCGCAGCGCCGTACGCCTGGACGGCACGATCAATAATCGCCAATGCAGTCTGGGGCACGAGGACCTTCGCCTCAGCAATCTCCTTCAGCGCGTCCTTCGCACCGCCCTGGTCGATCTTGATAGCGGCATTCAAGACGACGAGCCGGGCAGCGTCGACTTCAATGCGCGACTTGGCGATCCACTCGAGGATCACGCCGTGCGCAGCAAGAGGCTGGCCGAAGGTCTTCTTGCGCTCGTCGTTGACGCGGGCGATGAGCCATTCGATGGCGCGCTCGGCGGCGCCGATGGCGCGCATGGCGTGGTGGATGCGGCCCGGTCCGAGACGGCCTTGGATGATCTCGAAGCCGCGGCCTTCGCCGAGGACCATGTTCGAGGCGGGGACGCGCACGTCCTTGAATGTGATGTGGCCGTGGCCGTGGGGGGCGTCGTCGTACCCGTAGACGGTTAGCATGCGGTGGATGGTGATGCCTGGGAGGCCGGCTGGGACGAGGATGACGGATTGCTGCTTGTAGGTGTTGGGGTTTTTGGCGTCGGTCTTGCCCATTACGAAGTAGATCTTGCAGCGGGGGTCGCCGGCGCCGGAGGACCACCATTTCTGTAGATGGGTTAGGAGGGGTTTATTGGGATACAGATTGGGGGTGTCACGTACAGAGCCATTCAGGACGTATTCGTTGCCTTCGCGGCGGATGTCCAGCTCGATGTTGGTGGCATCGCTGGAGGCGACGTCCGGCTCGGTCATGAGGAATGCAGAGCGGATTGTGCCATCCAGGAGAGGCTCGAGCCATTGCTTCTTCTGTGCGTCGTTGCCGTACTTGGCGAGCACCTCCATGTTGCCGGTATCAGGGGCAGCGTTGTTAGTAACCTGGTGGTTTGAGCAATAGTCAGTGATCGGGTATCTTTACATAGCCATTTGCGGTCAACAGTGAGGGAACACGATATCTCACCTCCGAGGCAATCTTGCTCTTTCCGAGCAACTCAGCCATCAAGCCATACTCCAGGTTTGAGAATCCGGCGCCCTCGGCGTAGTGGCCTTTGGCGAGGAACATGTTCCAGAGACCGAGCTTCTTGGCCTTCGCCTTCAGACCCTCCAAGACGGCGGGGGTGGTGTTCCATCGCTTCTCGCCTTCGCCGAGCTGGGCCTGGAAGACGGTGTCGGCGGGGATGCAGTCCTTTTCGACGAATTCCTCAACCTGAGACGATGTTAGTATTTAATTTTCAAGGGTTGAGGATGATATGGTTGAGGTCGGAGGGTATCCGGAAGACGTACCAGGTCGAGGGTTCGCTTGGCCTGTTCGCTGACGAACGGCAGGGCAATAGGGGGGATGCGAGTTGAGGCAGCCATTATGATTGATAGATTGGGATTCTCAGGAGAAAAAGAACGCGAATATAAAGACAAGAGGAAGTCAGGCCATCGCCCCGAACTGCGGAGAAGACGAAGCTACGTGTGGAGAAGCCGAGACAGGCGCTTTGTGCCTCGGCCCAGCTGGCACTTGTCTACACCGAGGAATACGATCTGGAATACCAATGGAAGATTCAAAAGTACGAGAATTGCCTTGTTCTTCATCTCATTCTGTAATTCTCTTCGGAATTCCCTTTGGTAAAGGGTCATTGTACCGGTGGCTGGCCACTCGGTCTGCCACTCGGTCTTTTGCCCGAGATATCAACCTAGGCCCAGCACATGCTGCGAGTCAGAAGAAAGACAAGAAAAAGAATCCAAAGCATCAAAAGCATCCAAGTCTTTCAAAGGCTGCATTGATCCACCCAATGTGCTCCATGAGATTCCATTCCCAATTACAAGTCCCCCATCCCAAACCCCTTAGACACAAAAAAACAAACCAAAGACAAAAAAAGGCATCGCAGGTCATGACAAAAGACAAAAAAGAAGAAAAAGAACATATCCATAGACAATTCCAATCTCGCATCCCATCCAAGATCTCAAATCTATCTCTCCTCAATGCGTCCGATCCAGCGACCGGCGCTAAAAGAGACGGATTGAAGGAAAGACCAGGACAGCACGGAGAGGACAAGCCTAGGCATATCGAGAAAGAAGAATAATCCGAGCCGAAAAAGAAAAAGAACATCCGCCCGAGGATCTAATTTTCACGGCCCTGCTCGGCTGAGGATTGCTCGTAGCTCTTCTTACCGAGCTTAGCGAACAGAGACTGCGGCTTGCCGGCACTGTGAAGAGTTAGCGTGTGGATTCTAGTGGGCAGGAGACGTGGGATCAAAACATACTTCTTAAACCGCTTGCCCTTGATATCGCTCAGCTTCTTTGTGCAGGGGCTCATGATATCATCTGAGGGAGAGACGTAGGAGGTGGGCTGTCTGCAGTGGGAGGTTAGTCGCTTGCATTGGAGTAGCAGTAGAGACGAATCGGAGGGAAATACTCACTCCTCACTGGCGACTTTGCCCTGCAGCACCTGGCGGTGGTATTCCATTGAGGAGATGTCTGATGAGCCCTTGAGATCGGTCTTGTCACCGGCGTTGCCCAGGTGGGTGTTGGTGGAGCGGTCGGCCAGAGGCTGGGTTTGTGTGGTAGTGGCTTCCATTGTGTGAGGGATGTGAGGATGTGTGATGTTGGAGTGGACTCGAGAGAATTGAAGAAGAAAGTCTTGCTGCGAACGTGGATCGGATAAGAGAAAAACGTGTTGTTGGCGTGTCGAGAAAAATGGGCAGCGGTTGATTGTTGGCTGGGCAACTGCCCGGTGACGCGAGCACATTCCACACAAGGGACTAGCAGGTTATTCGGATGACGATTACATGGGATGCTTTTGTTTATTGATGTCTAACTCTCTAGAATCCGATCAGAATGCAACTAGTCAACACAGTGGCAAAACGGTAAACAGAAACAACCGTAAACAGTGGGAATCATATCGTCGTGCCAACGTACACTGGTGTACAGAATAACAATATATGCAAAGCGCCAGGAAGAATCAGAAATGCAAGAGTCGTAAAAGAGTAAAAGAAAATGGCCGAAGCCTCTATAGCCATTATTAGGGGGGATCACAGGTCATGCGACCGTGGATTGTCGTTGGCAGCCAAGTCGTCCTCGGCTGGGGTATCCAGATCCAGATCGCTGGAATGCCCGTTCAGAATGGGCGGCATGCTTTGGGAACGGGGTTGAGGTGTAGCCATCGCAGACACGGACAAGGAGTCAGGAGAACAAGGTTCGTCCATCTTGTCTGTCTCCTCAATGCTTCTCTCAACGGGGGAGGAAGACGTTGGGGTCGGTGGGGAATACGCTGCGGTCGGACTAACAGGAACATCCTGATCAGAGGAGTCAGAGAGGTTCCGACGATGTCCTCCACTCGCGCGGTATGGGGACGAGGCGGGACGCGTGGACCCTGGGCTAGCCGATGGAGAGGCAAAGACCGGAGACGAAGAACGGAGGCTGTAGGAACGAGCGACCATTCTTTGAACGCCTGGGAATTCCATATAGTTGTTGCCCGATCCCCGGGAGAACAAAACGAGCGCGAAGCAGCAAAGAACCATGATGCTCTGGACCACAGTCACTCTTTTCTGGAAGACTAGTTCGTCTGCTAGAACGCCTAGCTGGGTGCTGAGGGAGTGGACTTCCTGGTAGTACTGCATGCGCTGATGCTCGAATTCGAGGGCAACAGACTTCCAAACGTGGTCATACTGCTCGCGGAATTCCCTCAGCTCGGTAAGAACAGTCACATTGAGGTTTTCAAGGAAGGTTGAAGTCTTGGCTAGCTGTCTCTTTTCGACCTTGTTGAACGCGTCGCGCAAGATGCGAGATTGTTCTTCGATATAAAGTAGAGACAGGGTCGAGTTTGACTCGAGCATCTGGAGCCGCTTGTGAACGGATTTGAAGAAGGATTCTTGGGTCGTTGGGTTGGGAGATGGTGGTTGTGTGTTGGTATGTCTAGTCGACTCAGGAGGTGGAATAACCTGTTCCTCTTTCACATTGCCAGTGGCTTTACCCGGTGTCTCGGAAGTAGTGTTCTCCTGAGCAGGCTCCGAGGACACGCTTGAGGCATCCGGAGGGGTCGCGGCGCCTTTGGCATGCTCAACCTGCTTGCGGATCTCCTCTACATCCTTCGGGGAAACGGGCGACCCAGCGTTAGTCGCGGAAACAGCGCTTCTAGCAACAATCGTGGAATTCTCTTTCGAGGGAGGGTTGGTTTGAGCCATAGTGGCTGATGTCGAGGGAATCGTGACGGACGGTCCATCATTGATTCCGCACATCTCTCCATCCAATAATACCGCAAAAGGTGACACGGTTTCTAGAAGAATATTCGGGCAGACCTCAACAATTGGAACAGTAGGCTCCACCACAGGAATAGATTCCTTCACCTTCGCCTCGACAGGCTTGGTTTCCGGGGTTTCAGGAAGTCGGTTAGCTTGGCTGGCCTCCAACTCCTCAACCTCAGCGCGATCAGAGCTTTCGTCATGCTTGTACTCTTCCATCATGGTCGTACCATGCACACGAATCAAACTGACAGGGCAAAAGAACTCATGGCCATAGTGTGTGAGGAACTCAATCCGAAGGTATCGAGCCCAAATGAGGGAGTTCTCTACCGCGAAAGCCTGCACTTCACGAGTGTTGCGAGCCTCATACACCCCAAGCTCCTTCCATTGATCCGGCTTCGCAGGGTACCGATCCGAGACACTAACCCGGAAAGTATGGAAGATAGAGCTGAAAAATTCATAGTTTGCAAGAACAACCGTATCAACCAAGATGTCATCGCACAGCTCCAAAATAAGAAACTTGTTCTGAGCGCGACACTCATTGAGCATATAGCTATCTTTGTTCTCAATCAACACAGAAGATGAACCTTTACACTCGCGATTCGTCTTCAGCACCGTAGCCGCGCAGTCAAAGGAAGCGTAGTTGAACCGCTCCTTGCAAGTAGTACCAGCATCTTTACGACGCGACGCATCTCTTTGGATGGCACCCTGCGCGTGAGCATCGATATTATCCCCCCCATTCGCAATACCGGTCTGTGCTGCCTCGCGCGACGGAATATGCGAGCCCCACGCTGTAGGGCTAGCTTCGGGCGTCTCAGCGCCGAAACCACCGAAATCCAACTCGATCTCAGAATCGTCACCTAGCGAGTCCAGTGCATTATTGATACCCGTCGGTTGTCGACGATCTTCTTTTCCAGCCGCCGCACCACGTCTATTCCCTCCAACATTCTCAGCTGACTGTCCAACCTTCGCCAAGTTCTGTTTCTTCCAATCCTCAAAGGAGAGGAAACTAGCACCGTCCAAAAGCGAATCTGTGTCTTGGTCCTGTTCTGTGCTTTGATCGGGGTTCGTTCGCGCTGTTTTTTCTGGAATCGCGCTCGACGCGACTGATGGATCAGTGGCCGGATCGTTGGCTACCGCACTTGGATCGGATGACTCCGCAGTGATATGCATATCGTAACCTGGTCCCCAGCGCGTCTCTAAGCAAGGTGGCAGATGAAAGAACTCCGCCTCCGTTTGCTGCGCACTCTTTGCCGGACATGTTGTCACCGGGGTGTTGGGGATAGCAGCGTGCGCTCCGCTCGGGGCTGGGTGGGAGGTCGCATCAGGAAGCGCGATTTGTGAAAGAGCCAAAAGAATCGAGGCGCGATATATCCAGAGGTTCGATGACCGGCCCGCGATCAACATGCTGTCGATTAGTTGATGGGATGTTCCGTACTCCGTAGTGGGCGTGCAAGTGCACTTGTATAGCGGCCTCGCGTCTGTCGGTGAGTTCAAGGATACGTGCGAACTAAGCGCATTGTGGCTGGGGGCAAGAGCAATAAGCTGGCTCAAGCGGGGTATAGTATTTTCGCCCGAATCGGGTGAGTGCGAGGGATACTAATGAAAGCCGAGCTTGGCGACAAATGGCGGTCTCCAGAAAGAAATGGATCGAGTGGAACAAAGGACAGGGGAAAGTGGACCGATGGCATCTAGCGCTCAACGGTCGGCCTTACCGCCTTCCAATTATCTCCAGTGCGGAGGCGACGACATACACTAGGTGCAAATAATGACTACAACGTACGACTACGGAGTTGATACTTATGACTTGACAGAACAGTTCTTCGCGGACGGTGATCAATTTCCCCCTTGGCTGTCACACATAGCTAGTTACAGTACATACAACAGGGTTCAGTACGCGATCAAGAGAAAACGGCCGCGGTTGTTTCAACAACCAAGTCGTCCTGCCAGGCAGATCAACTTCACCGCAACTCGTTCCACCTTGTCACCCTAAGGAATCCTCGCGAGTTCAGATGCGAAGGAGATCCTCTCGCCAAAATCAAGTATCCACCAGCGCATTCCGAGCCAGCCTTCTAACCTTTTTGTGGTTTTTCCGTGTTTGTCGTCTCCGCCGTTGTCCAAAGCCCTCGGTCTGATAATGTACAAGGAGAGAAAGAAAAAGAACAGACTGAATGACCGAGGGAGGATCATGCAATGCTCATGGCAATGCGCCGTTGAAAGCAGACGGAAACAAACAAGGCACTCAATCCGAGAACAAAGAGACACAAGACAAGAAAGCGGATGATTAGGTAGTTTATCATGGGTAATTTTGAAGTAATTTTGAACTTTTTTTTCCCAACTGAATCGAAACACGCACGAGGATATCAACATGAGCGGTGAGTTTAGGGTGAGGGTGAAGCGAGGTGCAAGCGAATGCCGAGGAACCTAGAAGTGAGTCTCGTGCCATCCACCGACGAGATCGAGATCATCGTCAACGCTTCCGTCGTAAGTTGGAACAAAGCGATTGGGGACATGGCTGCGCCAGTCCTGCTGTTCGAGCAGATAGCGGCGGCGAGCATCCACAGGCGATGAGGGTTTCGATGAGGGTTTCGATGCGGGTTTCGATTTGGTCTGGTACCCCGAAGTGCCTCGACCCCAATCGTGTCGGCGGGTGTTCAAAGCCATGTTCTTGGGACCAAAGACCTCACGCGACTTGCGAGACTTGTACTTGCGGGTTTCATCCTCGGCCTTGTACTGGCGTCGCACTGCACCGAGCATCGACCACTTATCGGCACTGGACGACTCAGGTGGAGAGTTGCGAAGAGGACGAGGTGTGCTCGAGTCACTATCATCATCTAGGCAGAGATCAACGATTTCACGGCGATGCATCTTGAGCCCCACATCTAGACCTTGAGCGCGTTGGTTGAGGGAAGCGGAGTCCGGCTCGCGCAACCTTGGGAGGGCGACCCCCTGGCTCTCTTGGCTCCAGCTGCGGGAGTTTTGTTCCCGGCGTTGCAACACGGCGAGGTCCTCATTCTCAGATTCCTCTTCGTCCCACATGTCACACCAGCTCTTGGAGATCTTGTCGGCGCCTTGGTTGTTGCCAAAGACCATAGACAAAGAAGGCAGGGGCTTAGTGGCATGAGATGGCAGAGATCCAGTGATTGGAACCGGATCTGAGCGAGGGAGAGTTGGCGCCGTGCGCTTACCGAGGTTGAGTGAAAGCAAGGACTCGCTGAGGTGGGACTCCAACACGGAAGCCATGGATGGGGTGTCCATGTGTGAGAACCAAGAGGTCCCCGCAGCTTCGGAGGCCGGGAAAAGGTCCTCGGTATAGCTCTCGTTGTCCGGGATGGCGGAGAGTTGTCGAATGGCCTGAGGGGGACTCGACTGGAGAGCCTTGGCCCAGGGGAAGGAGTCTCCCTGGTTGACGTGAGGGCTTTGGAGAGAAGGGGTGCGGAGGGGTTCACGGTTGGCGCTGGCAGGAACCGGCTCGCGATCTTCGCTGCCTTCCATGCAGAACCCATCGAACGCCTCTTCATCGGTAGTGAAGGAAACGGCGCGAAGGATGCAGTCACGCACCTCCAGCAAAGACCGCTTTGAGGGATCAATAGTCAAGGCATGGGTCAGGATGTCGTAGGTGTCCTGAGACATGTTGGGGAAGATGTCGAAGAGTGACTGGCGGTCACGCACGAAGTCCGCAAAGAGGATATCGGACTCCGTGGGAGTGACGAACGGATTCCGGGCAAACAGAATGTTCAACAGACAGATACCCACAGACCAAATGTCGGCCTGTGCCGGGGAGTACCCTGTAGTGCTTGGTTCGTATTGCTCGGGAGCCATGTAGCGATCGCTGCCAACACAGGCTTCGTGACACCACGAGTCCTGCGTAGCGAGGCCAAAATCGCCTAGCTTCATGGAACCATCCTGTGTCAGGAAAATATTCTCCGGCTTGATGTCACGGTGATACAAGCCTTTGGCGTGCATGAAGTCCACCGCGCTGATCAATTGTAACATGAAGTCCCGAACGTGCTCGGTCTCCAAAGGACCACGATTGAGGCGGATGGCCTCGTATAGATCACCATTGGCACAGTACTCCAAAACAAGGTAGGTGTGACTCTCGGTATCGAATGTATGAATCAAGTTGACCAGATTTGGATGGAAACCAAATCGTCGGTGGCACTCAAGTTCCTCGAAGCGATAGTCGGACGAATCCGTTGAGGAGTTCTTGAGTAGGCATTTGATGGCTACATCTTGCCCAGTCTTGGTGTCTGTAGCAAGGAACACCATTCCAAAAGACCCATGATTGAGGGGGGCCACTGTTCGAAAACGGCCATCCAAAAGTTGGCCCTCAACGAATTCGTTCTTCAAGCATTCCATGATCGACATGTCGGCTTGATGATCCCAAAAAGGACAAATGCAAAGAGGTGAGATAGGAGGAGGGGAACGGGATGATGTAATGCTCCAACAAAGAGATGAAGTGAAAACAAATCTATGAACCGCTCAAAAGGACACTTAGGTGAGTGAAGGTCGAAGTGGAATAAGCAAAAAGCAACCAGGCTGATGAAGGTAAAAGACAAGAGAAGTATCAGGCACGATAAACCCAAGAAAGTTGAGATGGGTGAAGAAAAGAACCGAACAGAATCAGGATATTGAGATCAAATGGCGGGCTGATTGTTGGCTCGAATGGTCATATATAAAAATGTACTGGTTGAAGTTGATAGACAGATGAAAAGAGGAGAGAATGATGGCGCAGTGGCGCAGCTGAATGAACCCGGGAGGGGTTTGTTGACGCTAAGGAAATGTGTAAAGACCGTTATGTGCTCATTTGTATGTCGTTTTCGTTGGTTAACGGGAAGGGGTCCCAGGTGGACGACACGAATGTATCAGAAAAAGAATAGATGGACAAGTGGTTGAAAGTCGGCCTGATACCGAATAAATGGAAGAGAGTTGAGAGAAAGCGCTGCGTGATATCGTAATTTCAAAGGACAAAGATGTATAGGCGAAGAAACGGAAAGAGATCCTGTGAACACCGGGTTCAAGGTCGAGGGCCGTGACTCAAGTTGAAAGTAATTGGGATTAGTGAGTCATGAGAGGCCAGAGGGTTATATTGCGACAATGTGGATGAGTCAACTGAGGGATCCGGTAGAGCACCCTTCTAATCCGAGTTGGAAAAGCAGAGGTACTCGATGCCAGATTGCCCCAAGGTATGGAACTCCCGAAGTGCGGTCACGGCAAGGCTTGACGGAAGAAACGTATGGTCGCCCGCAAGGCAGGGGACACCTTCGTGTGGATTGAAGAGACGAAGGCTGAATGTATTGGTAGGACGATGGTTATCCGGTAAACCGGGATAGGGGACCCTTTTTATCAAGTTGAAGGAAGTGAGTCACCGTGCTCAGGGTGGACCCAATAGACCAAGGAAAAGGGGTTGAGGACGGAGAGGCGGAATAATACTCTTGTGCCGAGTGTAGATCGAGATCGGATAGTCCAACAGGCAGTTATTGGGGGAGACAAGAGTATAGGCCGTCAACGGTTGGCAGCGTCTTATAGAGTTAACGAGCAGACACGGCAATCTTGATAAGGTTGGAACCGTTGGAAGTGACGGGAAGGTGATGGATAAAGTGACGAGAAAGCGAGCTAGGATCGGAAGGTAGAAGGCGGAAGGAGGAATGGGATATAGGCGAACGAAAGGAAGAGAAAGCGGGAACGAGGGAAGATGATGTTGATGGTATAAGGGAGAGAGAGAGACCAGAAGGAGCCAGGGAGGAGAGGTGGTTGTAAAGGCGTGAGGGGAATTGGAGAGGCACTCTGATTGGCCATTACGGTTTGGTACTGTCACATACGTGTCTTCCCTCGTGGATGGTTCATCCGTGTGATCTGCACTGCCCACTAACTTTGCCTGGCACCCGAGGTCCTTGGCCCGTTTCCGTCTCCCGGAGGAACTGGTACCGTACGGAATGATTACCGGTATTGACCTGGCCCAATCGCCCAGGCTCTCCCAGTTTCATGAACCTTCCAGGCATTCCTGACCCTTGGAAAGGCGTCAACCTCTACGGCGTACGTGATCTCCATCTCAAATGGTTCAACTGGTTCAACTGGAGTACGATAACGTGATACCGTGATAACGTATCTACATTCCACAAAGTTTGGGCCACGGAGTCCTCCGTACCCAAGTCCACCTCATCCCATCTTTGCGATTTCCCAACATCCAACGTTCCCAAGTTTGGCGGAGAGCCAGTCACAATGACGGTTGACATCAGCAGGGGCACCCTCTTCGTTCCTTTTTGGAGTTTCGCCGGCCGAGGGCGGATCAGGGTGGCGCGCCATTCCCGATGCGTCTGATTGCGCAGCCAATTCTGGGGGGGACCGGCCAATCAGAAAAGACTATCTGGCCACTATTTACAGGCTGCATGACGCGATGGAGTGGGATGGCGTGATCTCTTCTGATTGGCTCCCCCCGGATACTTGCTGCAGGTCTCGTTGCTCAATGCTGTCTAAGATGTACCTTGTGTACGGAGTACATGTAGGTACCTTGTGTAGGTACCTTGTGTGTGCTGTGCTCTGTGCTGGTGCCTCTGGTACCATTTCCCGCAGGTACTCGTTTCGGAATGGACCTGGACTAACCTGGACTAGCCTATCAATCTTGTCTACACAGTGGCACGCTTTCGAACGCTATTCTTTGCCGCGCGGGATTCATGAGACAAGTTTCGTCTGGTCCATATCAAAGTCTGCGATGTTGATCGCAAACCTGACTGTTTACCAGGAAACTATTGACACGATGCCAATATCGATGCTCGGATATTTCGGGACTATGGAGCGGACCCAGTTAACTACTTGGACAAATTGAGGTTCACGATCTCCATAATAACCCAACATGGCCACGTACCAACTACGGAGTACGGAGTCCAGTATACTTCGAGCGGAGCGTGCTCGGAGCTGTCATGAGTCCCCAACCACCCTTTGGACACCCACGCAGCCCTGTCAAGCGGTGAAGAGAACGCCCAGCTGGTCTTAGCCATAGACCAGGGTTTGACCGCTCCCTGTGGTCTGCAAGGTTTTACCATGCAGGTCTTGAGATTGATAGGTACATTTTTGCCATTGGCATGCTCAGAAGTACCCGAGCTACTCCGTATTGAGACCACGATAGAGTTGTGGATTTGTGGCACGACTTCGGCGTTCGGCAACTGCGCATCACGCGACGACCCATTCATTTTGCGTTTATCGCCCCATTTGGTGGCCATTCTTCTCGGATACTTCCACCCCGGCCAATCCTATCCGGGGACTCGACACCGTTGTCCATGGGAATCCTCGGCACTTTGTACCCTGCGTGCATAGTACCTAGCATATCAACATCATATCTCGTACATCGTACGCAATATACTACATACAATATGCTATGCGTGCAGGGAGATCTGCAGAAAAGGGAATGTGCACGGGTCAGTGGCTGGTCCTGATCATCCCCCCCTCCATGGGCCGTCGCCGTTGGCTCCATGAATATCCTCCAAGCCCGTTTCTGTTTCATGCAAGTTCGTCGAGTACAGCGGACATCGTACATCGCACATGGGTGTACAGCGTATAGCGTCAAGAGTTAACATCCGCACCAATTGTTCCCAAGCTAGTCTATCACGTAGTCTCGAATCAACCCTCAACCCTCCAGCAGTCATCATCTCATATTGCTCATGCATCGCAAAGAAAACGATCAGCGTGTAGGAGCCGATCCCCCAAGGCGCCAACGAATCTTATACACCGGCATTGGGTCCTCTCGGCCCCAGCCTTCGACATGGAGGTGAAACGTGTCTCTGCTCTGGATCTGGTTTTGGGGGTCTGCGTGATTTCCCCTTACTACGTACATGGCTCTGTATCAGGGAACAAATCGACATGAGACATGGAGGTATGCTCCGAACCCGGCCAGAATACTATCTCAATCTCTTATCTCCGGAGGGCACTCCCGAATCCAGTGAGTGGAGGAAGTGGGCTCCGTCATGATGGCATGAGACGATAAGAAAACGATTCCAGCGGAAGATCCCCAACCCAAGACAGCCATGGTTCAGGTCGACTTATCATCGATTCTTATCGTATACCCCGCACGGCCGTCATTGGGCGGATTTCGAATGTCGGAGAGGGCGATACGGAGTCATGAACACTATCTGAGCACCCGAGATAATGAGATCATTATCGCTTATCGGCACCAGGGTACTTTAGGGTGAGGGTCAGGATGCCCCAAGGGGGGATTCTCTGGCAACTTGCTGGCCAAGAAATGGGAAAAGAGGGGGTGAGACGCGGGAACAGCCAGGGAGCCACTTCCCCGGATTTTAGTCTCAGCTGCTATCTGCCTTTGTCCGCTCTTTGCTTTTTTCGTTGGCCATTGGATCAAATACGGGATGACCAATTTAATACGGAGGACGGAGTACGGAGGGGATATTCGAAAGCGTTCTAGATTAAAATGTAAGCGCTAACTACCGACAGTCCCAATTCCCGGGTCCAGCATACCCTGGACCTATGTGGTCATAATCCGGAGAGAAAGCGGTCTTAATGGCTACCGTCTCACTCGAGGTCAAAGGCACTGCTACTGGAGACTAGGGTCCGTTAGAAGACCCGCACTGCATATGCCTGTGCCACTCCGGAGACAAAGTACATATCCAGGACCTCACCATGCATTTTGCATCGCGCCCTAGCCTCCGTACTGTATGTCTCTTTTTTCTCCGTGTACGACCCCGCAGTGCAGGGAAATGAAACAAACCTGAGAATGTTCAAGATGCAAGGGTCATTATCCCCTGAGGCTTTTTTTTTTTCAGATACATCGGAGGAACTTGCATGTTGTGTATGTTTGACAGGTCGAGTGCCTCGCAACCGTTGCCGAGTCAACAAGACCCTCCTGGGGGGTTATTTTTTTGCCTCGACGGTTGCACACCTCTCGAGACACATCGAGTTTGCCTTATGGAGGGGATTTGTCTCTTCGGATCGGTTGCTCCCGAGCTATAGCCCTTGGCAACGCATAGTTGGCTGATTGGCATGTTCTTTTCCTAACTACCAATGTACTCCGTACTCCGTACTTCGCGGAGAACTCCGTACTCCATATAATGGACTCCGTACCAATATTATGAACTATAATCCAATTGTTAATTGAAGAATTATTGGTCTATAATCTTTGTACTATTGGACGCATCCGGTTCTGCGTGTGGCCTGACAGCCAGACTTGGAGATACCTTCACATATCGGTGTAGGGCTCGACTGGGTACGAACACATGGGCAAGCGGTTGCGACTCACCGATCTATCTTCATGTCGATCACCTGGACAGGAAGCCGTAGCGGCTTCCTCGGAACTTACGATGCTGTCGGCATTACGGAGTATCCATAGGCGTTTTCCCTTCACACGTCCTTTGTTTACACTTGTCCGGCTCTGCACTTAGTACATGAAATATTATGATATTCTGTACTCCAGCTACTAGGAGTACCGCACACGTATGCACGATTGCGATATATTGTCTGGTGTGGCAAAATAATCTCGACAAGGTAGCCAGACGTAAACAAAACACCGTTCTCGGTCTCCTGTGGAAATCCACATTCCACTCCTGTCATCGTCATTTGACCCTGACAACCACCCCCCCCTTTCGGTAGATCATTGTTACATACGGAGTGCCGTATATTAATCACTCAGAAATACTCCGTACTGTATGATATGATACAGGATCGAGTGACGTTGGGGAGACCATATCCGAAACAGACAATGAGTAATAGGGTGGAGACCAGGGCCAAATGGACCTCGGGAGTCATCTTGTGCTGCTATTTTCAGTACTCGGAGTGACGCGGTACTCAGCGAGCTCCGCTTGCATCTAGACTCTCGCTGTATTCAGGGCGATGCGCTGACTTCGACTCTGTGGCGAGTGGGACTGTGATGCAATGGTCGTGTTGGGAATCAACGGATTCGCAATCTGTCCCTTGGAGTTGGGTCTACACCGTACAACGCACATCGTACGTTGTGGTAGTAGACTGACATTGGCTTTGTCTGGAGAGGGTGTGGATCTGGTTGTACACCTACAACATAGTGTGTATGTAGACACGTATGTTGTAGACCACGTTGTAGGTTAGGTGGAAGTCGGTCAACTCCGTGGAAAATGGATCCTAACACTGCAAAATGGAAACAGTTGGGTAGCTTCCTTGGCTATGCTCCTCCCTTCTCATATATCGCCTAATAACGACCATGTAGGGGAGAAAGAGGGATGATCAAATCCGATGCGGGTTGAGTTATATTCTGGTGCCTGGATTGGCCGATATATGTTTGCCCTACCATCTGGGTAGCTCACAATGTCAATCCATAGAGCGTCGAAACACTTACCTGGCACTACCAAACCACATCCATAGACACAGTATATACATTTAATCCCATACAAACGGCTTTATAGCCCTCATCAATTGAAGTCTCGACGGAGGCGATGATTCATAGCACGATGGCCTCTGATTGGCCCAGACCGCCCAACGTTCCGCGATAAAAAAACGACACAATATCAGTCAGAATGTCGCGTGTGGAAGTCCATTCTCGATGAGGCAAAATGAGCAAGCGGTCGCTCGAGGAGTCCAGAGCAGGCGTACATCGGTTGCCCGACTCGGATAACAATGGTCTGCCGCCCATCCACGACCTGCTCTCTCCCGGCGAGGAGGAGCACGGTCAGTCATCCGGACCCTCTAAGAAGCCTAGGAACTTCATCGCCACCGTCGTGAGTGCTTTTATCACCTAGCATCATCCATTTTCGGTCGCCATCAACTGGCCCGGAGACCGCTAACCCTCAGTATTAGGCGTGCGAGACGTGTCGTTTGAAAAAGACAAGATGCGACGAATCGCGGCCAAGATGTGGATTGTGCAAGTCTCTTGGCTTAGAGTGTGTTTATAATGAGCGTAAATCCTCAAAGTAAGTCATTCGCGGTGGTTGATGCTGCATTTTTGCTCACAAAATGCAGACGCGATCAATCTCTCACGATGATCATGAGTACTCTCCATCGGCTGGAGACAAAATTGGAAAATATACCAACTTCCATTTTGACAGATTTGCAGTCCCTTCGGACTCAGATACATACTCCTGCAAATGAACTGCAGACGCAGCTTTCGCCTGCTTTTGGTGATGATGGCAATCAGCACATGTTAATGCTGCCCTCCACCGGGGATAACTTCACACCCGCGGCAGCTGGAGATGGAGATGACTTTGATCTCGAAGAAAATCAAACAAAGCCAGACTCTGCAGGCCGCATTTCTATATCTTTCAGTCAGCATGGTGTCATTGTGTGGCCCGGCGCACGACAGATTCTCCCGAAGCAGTTACTAGCTGCCTACGAAATGCTCGGGAAAAACTATGTCATTGAATTAGAATCGGCGCGGCCTCAACTACCGATCTTTTCCAGCCCCTACCCGCTCCATGCGGGGGATCATTGGTTAGAAGTACTTCCACTGGCAATGATCAGGGGTCTGGCGGATGCATTCTTCAGTGTTTTCAATCCCTCTACGCCGATTATGGACAAAGGGTTCTTCTTTGCCTTCACACTCGGCTCGGCCATCGAGAGTGGGTTTGGATATAACCTAGAAAGCTGTTTGGTGCTTAACGTGCTCGCATTGGGATGTCTGGCTGTTCACGCCTACCAAGAAGGAAACTATCCCCTGCCAGGTACCCAAGGCCATCGATTCGAACCTCCAGAGTGGATGAGCGTGGTTTACGAAGAGCAACCCGGGTTGCGATTCTTCAACGAGGCTCGGCGGCGTATCGGCTTCTTGATTTGTGACAACGATATCCAAAGTTGCCAATTCTATCTTCTTTCCTCGTGCGTATCGATGTCCCATCTTGCTTTCCCATCTTACATGGAGATTGATACTGACCCTCCACAGTGTATATTACACCCAGATCCCTCGTCCAATGGATTCATGGGCAATGATTCATCGTGCTGCCACTTGCTGTCTATCGATGTTAACCAAGTAAGTCCTTCCCAGCACACACACACCCCCAATAAGACACTAACTCCCAAACAGCCATAATGTGAATTTCGACAAGTGGGAAGGCGACATGAAATCCCGCGTATACTGGAACTGTCTCATGAACGAGACAATTCTCGTCCAAGAACTCCACCTCCCCTCAAGCGGCCTCTCCCGTCTCGAAGAACAAGTCCCAATCCCGAAATTCATCCCCTTCGAAACAACCGGCTACGGCGCAACCCGCTTCAACGCAGGCCTCGACGACTCCTACTTCCAATACCATTTCCTCGCCCAAGTAGCCCATCGCATCATCCTCACGCGAATCCGCCATTCCCTTTACTTCTACTGTAAGTCGCACGCTCTCTCCCCAAAAAAGATTACACGCTAACATCAATCCCCAGCCGATTCAGGAACCTTCCCCCTTCCAGCAATCAACACCGAACTGCATCACCAACTAGAACAATGGCGCACCAATCTCCCAACGGCTATCCAATTCAACAACGCCCCCTACTCATCCCACCCAACCCCAGCAGACCCATCAATCCACCCCTCCCCATCCTCCGCAGCATCCCCAATCCACCTCTCATCCCCAAGACCCAGACCCACAGACCCAAACAGACCCCTATCACCAGCAATAGCAATAGCAGACGCCATGCTCAAGGGCCGACACATGATCGCCCGCTTCCACATCGGCCGTCCATATCTCTACAAAGCCCTCCGCATCCCGCACCTCCTCACAGACGAAGACTTCGTGCAAGTGCGAAGCGGTCTCCAGAACGCAATGAACTGGCCCATCGCGCAGGGCATATTCCGGAAAATGAAGAGCTGTGTCCCGATCAAGTTTGCCTTTTGTTCGCAGTGAGTTTGTCCCCCGCATTTTTGTCCCGATGTAGCTCTGGGTTGAGGATGTTGGACTGACTTTCGGGTTCAAGGTTCTTCGGCCAGATCCTTTTGTTCTATTGCATAGCACACTCGCCGAGTGCCCGTCTCCGAGAGACTCTGCCGGACGGCTGGGAGCGCTGGAACGAGGAGATGCTGGGCTTTTTAGAGGACTGTGCGGGGCATAGTCCGGCTGTTGCGCAGGATCTGGAATTGTTGAGGTATCTATGGCCGGAACACTAGTTCTTGGGTGCTTTGTGGGTGTGGATTCCATGATATGATTTCAGCCCTGTCTCATTCTCTTTTCTTTTTCATCTATCTCTCTGGGAATATGTTTGTTTACGCATGGAGTTGGGTGGATTATTCACGGTCTACTTGATGTATTTATGTTTTCCTTTTTCTTCCTTTCTCTTCCCAGAGTGTATACAGCATTAATATTCGGATCCGAATCACATTCAGTATAACCGTGTCTAGTATGTCCGAGGACTTCTCATGTATCATGTAGTTACCTGCTAAGACAAGGGTATTGCGGAAAATCAAAACTCAAAGCCAACATGTGTCTATTCATTGTGCACGGAAGACGAAGATTGAGCGATAGATGCATATTACAGAGCCCAATCCTCCGCGGTCTCTGAGTTTGAGATGAAGGGTTTTTCAATCTGCTTGATGGCATGGTCACCGCAGAGGATGCTGTAGGAAAATATGGTTAGTATGATGAGATTGCGATATCATAGGAGATAAAGAGACATACCAAGCTTCAGCAACTAGCCCATCCAATTCCTTGACAATCTCCTCACGTCGCGAGGCAGCCATATCGCCATTGCTGAGCTGCGCCTGCAGATCCCGAATGTACTTTTTCTTGCCACCAGCACCTTCTAATACCTCCCTACCTAGACAGTCACTGTGGAAGGCATGCTGGCAGGGGAACACGAAGAACTGACGGCTGAGAACAGGCAGCGAGCAGATCCAGCACCTCTCACCCGGCTCAACGATAGCATAGCGAGTATCGAGACCGGAAATCTCACCACGGATTTGGCGCGCTGTCAGCGCTGAGTTATCCATTTCTTGGCGAAGGGCATCGATGTGGCGTGAATAATCTTCCAAGGCAGTACAAATCTCGTCCTTGAAGTCATCAATGACGACGAAGTCGGGGAAGAAGGGGATTAGGTCCTCGATACGAAGAAGCTCGCAGCGGCGAAGGAATTCAATTGCTTCTTTGATACCCGTACCCGGTTGGCGAATCTTTTTCTCCGCGACGAGGAGCCACAGTTTCTTGCGCAACTTGTCGTTGCCCTCTGGGCGGTCTGCAACGATCGCGGCGAGTTCAATGTCATCGTGTTCTAGGGCAAGCTCTACAGCCTGTAGATATTGTCCCATTGTGCTGTAGATGTGAATGCATGACTGGATTCGTTGATTCTGGATGCACAGACGAAGGGCGAAGTCTGCATCATACGGAGGAGGCGATGATGGCTGCGATTGGAGATAGGTTAGCAGTCCAGATTCGGATGATGAAGGGCTGGACGCATGTATTGAGATAAGTGTGTTGTGAACTGCTGCAGATGGATCCGGGTGGTTGACAATGATGAAGTTCAGATAACGGACGGCTTGGTTCTGGTTGAGAGAGGGGATACTGGCTGTTTTGTTGTAATTCAGCAACGCGGGGATCAGTTTCTCAGGATCAAGGTTCGTCTGTCGCATCAGTATATCGACCAGGTCCGTGGGCTTGTGTGTCATCAGCACGCTGCTATATTTATAGAACACGTCCGCTTCGCTCTGCCGCTGCAAAACCTTCAAAGCTTCCAGCCATTTCTCGCGTTGGATCCAGTACGAGAGAACATAGTTGTGATCATTTGTAGCGGTTGCAAAGAACAACAACTCTTCCTCCCGCCCGTGACTGCTGATGATATCGTATACTGTTTTCTTGTCCAAGTCTGCTTTGTGGCTGTTCACAAACTCTTGGAAATCCGTTCGAATGCTGCCAAGCTGATTCTTGATCTCTCCAGGGCTTGTACCCTCTGCCAACTCTGCTTTGGTGGCAATATTATCGTCGAGGGAATTCAGCTTGGACATGAACAATTCGACAAGCCAGCTTGCGACCATTATTCTTTGCATAACCGAGGCTTTCTTGTATGTTGCAAGCTGGGAGAGGAGATAGTTCCGCAACGCATCATGTTCTTTGTGGTCGATCATGGTAAGGCAGACCTCCTCAAACCCTTTGCTACTCTTGCCCCATACTTTGGCTGCCTCAAGGAAGTTGCCCTTGCCTGCCAGGAAATCACCTGTAGCAGTCATAACAGCATCTCGCTGGGACGCACCTCGGGCATAGTGCAGGGCCTCGTCGAATTTTTGCTCTTTCAAAAGAATCTTCCAGATATCTCTGTCTTCGTCACCCGCTACAACCTCAAAAATGGCCTGGCTGGTGAAAAGCCAATACGTGTTTTTGGTGAGATCAGTCAAGAGGCCCAACGCGCTCTGCCCAGGTTCCAACACAGGTTGATCGTGAACAACTTCCTGGCTTAGACGATTGATTGCGACCACCCTTCCTCCTACCAGGGCGAGGACATGCCACTGTGACAAAGTCATTGCGGAGATCGGGTCTTGTATCAATTTTCGTCCTCCTCGTGGCGATTCTGAAGCTGGGAATACCGAGCGCGCAAGCATATTTGCGGACTTGAACGGAGACTCTGATGTGAGCCCGCCATGGTATATTCCCTCAGAACTGAGCCACGCAAATTGTTTCTCGGTATACCCCTCGGCCTGATAGCTCTCCGAGATCGTGGGCGAAATGACTAGAGAAGATGGAGCAGAGCTAGATGGCTTTTGCACCTCATGAATCAATGGCATCTCACGCTGGAAAAGCTCCGAATAAACGCCACTTTCCCTTCCGTGCTTCGAAACTCCTGCCCGACCAATGAAATGCAATAGCTTCCCATAGGTTGCCACAAGTACCCTTCTTTGATCAGGTTTAGCATGAACTAGTTCCACCGAGATACCAACTACCGGAGAGGTATCCGGGACCTGGTAGACCGGGGTGGTATACTTCTCCTGCCGGTAGCTGGAGGGTTCAATATAAGTTTCGTAGACGTTGCCATCAGTGGCGCCGACGAGGATCTCGCGAGTAGATGCGGTGGGTAAAGACGGATTCCAAGCGATGCTTTCGATTGATACGCCTTTTAATCGTGTCAATGGTTTCGGTTGTCGCGAAGGTGTTTGGGCATGGAGATAGTAGTTTTCGCCCAGAGTCGTGGTGATGATCAGATGAGACGCAGAGGGATCGAGGAACATGCGTTGAATCACTCCAATTTCCGAGGATTTCTTAGGGAGATCGATGTCTGTTGTTCATGAGCATGGTTTAAGTCAACTTGTTGTGGCTGGCATTTGCTGCGGGGAAGGTTGGCAAGCCTACCTTCAACATCTTCAGGAGAGTCAAGATCGATTCGGAGAATGCGATTAGTAGATAATGCTAGCACAAGTACATTGTTCGCGACTTGGGCTGCAACGAAGTCCGCGGCGACGGAGAAGGCCAACTGCACCCGTTCGACGTCGAACATGGGGAGGGAAGAGCTCTGTGGCTCCATTAGGTTGCTCGGAGCAACATAACTGCTAGATCCATCCAGCGCCATGATGCGCTAGGTGTAGAGGCACTATGTCATGCCGATCACACAAGAGTTGAGGCAAGTCGATGGTCCTAACCGTTGATGCCGAACGGAAATGAGCTCTTGGGGCCCGAGTAGTGCGGAGACCCTGATGCCTTGACACCTGAGGCCAAGAATGTGGACCAAACTAGACTCATCTACGGGCAGATCTACTCCGTACAAAGAATACAATTCATCATAGACTCATGCACTGGTCAATAAAGGTTACAAATTGTTAAATCACTTCGTTCATGCATTGTGGGTATCATCATCCGTGAAACAAGCAACAGCTGTGCTGGGTATCTCAAAGTAAAAAAAATGAAAGGGAAATCCCATCTTCACATCCCCCGGCTGGCACTCTTGGCCTCACATCACCGTACATTCCCGGTCTGGTTTCTTAGATTTCTCCTTCGCCTTACCTTTGTTTCGCTCCTGATCTTTGGTCCGCCCTCTCCCACGCTTCTCTTTGCTCTCAAAGGCACTGGGGCCGAGTCTCATATCGTCCAGAGTATCTTCAATCTCCAATACAGGCTCATCCCCCTCACCGTCACTGGTAAATTTATCACGACTAAGCCGCTCAGCAAAGCGTGAAATAGTAGCGCTGATTCTGTTTTCACCAGTTTGGCTGCCAGCACGGCTTCCGGGATTACTCCGAGCTGGTCGAGACCCACGGCGCGAGAACGAGGGACCCTTCGTGTTTCCCTCTTCCATTGGTGCTAGCCTTGGCGAAGAAGATGGAATAGATCGGGGATAGAGACCTGCTGGGTTGCTAGTTTCTGAGAATGCTGTGCTGGATCGTCTTGCAGGATTGACAGATATTTGTCCAACAGTATCACATGGGGCCGTGACTTCCACACTCGGTCGATCAGGGGCAAATTCCTCAGAGCTGAACTCTGTCTGATCGGCCAGGGTACTACCATCAGATGCCCGAGATGACGGTGGGTTTGGGATATAGGCCTCAGATGGATCTTCGCCAATCGGAAGGATTTGGTAGAACAATAGATAGGGTGATTCAGTCTTCAAGGCGTGATCAATATCAACCAGTGTTACTCGTTCTGCTGCAAGATCATCGAAGCGCATCCAGTGTTTCGATGACCCCGGGGCCGAGCCATTGACTGGGATACCACCGTTGGGGCTAGTGCCCCGAACAATTGAAATGTAGTGACCTGAGTCAACCGAGTTACCCCTGTGGCAGACTAGAGCCTGTAAAGAGAGTTTGAAGTTGCCAAAGATGGGAGCATTCGCATCTAAATTGTCATCTTGGATGAAATGAGGCAGACCGATTTCGGTTGGTATGTCAATATGTGTATCAAGACGAACTGCCCTGCCGTCTGGCAAGAATGAATAACGTTTGAGACACATCCCAAGAATAGGACGCTTGGTAGAAAAGTGTGCTGCAACTTGGGCATCGTTTGTTGGCGAATTATCAGTATACCATGCTAAGCAATACCAGGTCAGCTCGAGCGTGATTCAAGAACAACATAAAAAGTAGGGCAACTTACGTATCAAACTGAAGAATTGCCACGCCGGCATCATTACCTCTTTCTTGTATGTGCCCCGTCGGGGTAGCGTATTGGTATTGATATCTTGATCTGCACCGGTGCCTCCTTTCTCCGTATCCACAGTTTCAGAGTGTGTATCACCACTTGAGTCTGGAAAGAAACGCTGCTGAACAATACTACCACGTCGACCAGGAGTTCGAGATGTTTCGAGGGATTCCGCAAATTCATGGTACGATGACCACGGGCTTGGCTTTTCTACCTGGGGTGTATTTGTGTTTGTTTGAGCGGGAGACAAAGTGGGTGTGGGTGACTCAATCTCCACTGTTTCAACATGCGCGCTGGACCCTTTGGATATGGAAAGTGAATCCACTGATCTTACTGAATCAGTAGTGTTGCGCCGTTCCATATGTCTTTTGACTTCAATCATATTATTGAAGTAAGCTTCCAGGCAGTCTTCCAGGGTGAGGGAGTGTCCATCAGCTGGCGCAGGTGGTATGGCAACTTCTAGAAGTCTCTCGTTGATGAATTTATGGTCGTCACTCTCGTCTTCCTTTCCAGTGTGATAGATGTCCATCTTCAGAGTCAGAAGTGGCAACTCTAACTTTTCGGTGATGAAAGTGAATGCTTCCGAAGCATCCTGCTGGCGAAGGTTGGCTGCATCCTCCCAACCACATTCTGATAGGGCATCCTGTAGGTGTTTTGTCTAGAGCGAGCCACTCGGTCAATACTAATACGAAGTAACACGGACAACGGCGCAGCGCAATAAACAACTAACCATGTCTGTAGTAATGAGTCTCCCCGAACGCAGCAGATTCACCCATAGTCTCAGAAGGATTGCGAGCTTTCGACGAGGCTCATCATTGAAAGATTTGTATAGAATGCCCTCAAAGCAATCCAGACGCGCAAACATGGCAAATAACAGCGCGTCTAAATAGCATGTGACGCCTTGTCGGTTTTCTGCGCCGAGAAGCTTCGTATTGGGCGTGTAACTTCTGATGATTCCTTCAATGGAGTCCTCAAGCAGAAGTAGCAGACTAAACGCCTTTTCCGCATCCCCATGCGTACTCTGTAACGCATAACTGATATGTGCCTCCTCTAAAGTAGTGATCCCAAGCTTTCTGATTCGTTGAACAAGGGCTTTGACCTAGATGTACATTGAAATATTAGACTGGCCCTAGCTAACTGTTAGATATCTAGGCCATACCTTCTTCTCATTTTCGTGATCATCTTCGAGCGGTGCCTCTGGCTTAAAGAACCCATGGAATAGAGGTCGTGAGAGTATGTGAGATGCCTAAAGAGCACAAGACTTTAGTCAACGAGATTAGTATTCGGATGAGCTGTAGATGTATACCTCTTCTTTGTTTTGCTTGTTCAATTTATGGTTTCGATCGCGACGCGTTAGAAATCGATGGATTCCACTCATCTTGGCGGTTGGCAAAGAGCAAGAATGAAGCAAAGATAAGGCGTGTGTGGATTGAAATGAAACACCCCAAGATTGGAGGCATGCGGGGGAGTCAGAAGACTGCAGACCAGCTCAGAGCTTAGTCAAGGGTGTGAGATTCCTGGAGAGAACATGTGTGATGCATCATAGGTAGAGCTCTTCTGATATGAACACGCGTCGAAATGAACCATGAACGGGCGAATGATCTGAACTCGATCAACGGACCAGACGATTTGCGGGGCAAGGCGGGAACAGACACCTGAGGCAATATCTTGGCCTCGACGCCGCCTTCGGGACTTGACCGCCTTGCCCTAATTCCGGCATTAAGCTGTGCGCATCTCACCGCCCGGATCGGCACGAGATGTATACATCAGCGTAGTAGGTGGGACATAAGTAGGCTCCCATATCGAATTATAGTAGGGCAACAGTGTCGATATAGAGAGAGTTATAAGCCTCCTGGAAATACCTGATACCATGGAGTATATGTCTACTGATAGGTATTCATAATTTCCAATCTTTCCCCTTTACTTTGGAGTTGAACTAAGCCTGGTGAAGGCATCGTCGTTCATACCAACGAGCTCCTCCTAGGACAGCCGTACGGCAAGAGGGATTGCTTAACAGTCATTTCAGCCAGCCAAAAGTGTCGAGAGCCAGTTCAAGACCGAGGAAATTTTGCTGTGTGAATTTTAGGACTTGAGGTATCGTTGTTGTAGTAGATGATAGATGAGAAGATCTGTTGTCTATCCATTGCAATTAGTCAAATCTTCGCGGTTTTAGTTGGTCTGCACGGTATATACACTGCGAGTATAAATTAACATTCTTACCACGAGGTAGTGAGAAATGGACAGAGACAGCCCGTGAGTATGCTCATTGGAATGTGTGCCCGTTTTGTGAGGTGTCAATAACTGACACTTCACGTGACAGGATTATCCGCGCGAACAATTTTTGGACAGGGTCCGGGATGATCACCAATCCATCATACCCAATTCTCACAAAATGGCTGCACGAGAGCCATCTAGGTACCTAACAAGGGCATTGCCTCGGGCCTCAGTGCCATCAATTCGCCCTCAAGGCTTTTTGTCACGCCGCAATGTCTCCGATGAAGCCCCGGCGAGGCGTCTGTCGGACCATCTGACCGAGCTGGAATCGGCATCGTCTCTGTCAACAGTTGTGTCAGATAGCGCAGCAAAATCATTCGATCCCCTTGCCCGCGCAGCCGCTCGCAAGAATCAGCTTCCCCGAGGCCGGTAAGAAAGAACACCCCGACCACATCTCCAGTCGATGCGCATCTATAATGAAAAACAACATCGACCGAGCAATCAATGAACACCGACTAATCCCGACTCTTCCCAATATAGATACCAATTCCGCTCCCCCAAGTACAACCGTGGTCCTCTCCACCCTCACCAACCGCCACCACCCTCCCACCCCTCCTCCCGGCTGTTCGTCCCAGGCCCCTTCTCCGCTCCCCGAGCAGAGCAGACCTTCGACTCAACCGTCTCCCCCGACATCATGACCCTGTGCTACGTGCACACCCCACCAGGCTTCAAGCCTCCCCCGAAGTCGCCCCGTCTCCGGGAGTGGGACGACAGCTCGCCATACCACAAGAACCGTGTTCTCCGCGGACCCCGTGGCGGCGATGTCCTGCGTCTGCTCCGCAAGCCGATCAAGTTCAACAGCATCCCGGAAATTGAGCGCATCACAATTCACAGCTACGTCAAGAACGCTGCCGCTGAGAGGAACTCGTCTTGGCTTCACGTTGCTGGTATCGCCGTCCAGGCTATCTCCAACGTTCGCGTTGAGACTTTCAAGTCCAAGTCTAACGTTGCTACTTGGCACATTGCCTCGGGCCGTGACTCCGTCGCTGTGAAGGCTGAGCTGTTCGGTGAGAACATGTACCACTTCCTTGGTAAGCTGGTTGATGTCGTCCTGCCCCGTATTAAGGATTGGGAGGGTGTCAAGGGTTCCAGTGGTGATAGCAGTGGTAACATTACCTTCGGTTTGGTGCCGGAGAACGTTGCTCTCTTCCCCGAGCTTGAGGTCAACTACGATATGTAAGTGTGTTCTGGGCCTTATTCCTGGGTCGATGCTAATATATCCCAGGTATCCCCCCAAGATGATCCCTGGTTGCCACATCACTCTCCACACCACCGCCCGCACTGACAAGGATGCTCGACTTCTCTTGAGCGCCATGGGTATTCCTTTTTACGGTAAGATCGTGAACTAGATGGGAATTTCCTGGTGACATCTTTTGGTCTTTTATTATATCTCCTCTTGGATAGTCTTGTGATATCCAGCATGTAACTTTAGAGAAGACCTACATAATGGTCATTGTGATTATTTAAATCGTGTACTATGTTGTTTTTAAAATTTCATTACATTTATAGCGACACTACATGCACACATGAGGATTGGCAAAAGTGATAATACGAGCCTTGGCTCAGTTGAGTTAGGTACCATGACTGAGATAATCGTGCAAAGGATGGTAAGGTGACCATCATACATACAACATAGAATCATGTTACGTACATGCATATTGGGTATACACCCGTGGGCGGGAGAGAGGCAAGGTAAAAATTAGGGAACAGCTCGCTGATTATACGCTTATACGATAGGTGCAGCCAAGAACTCGCACTTGAGCAATTCATCGGCACTGGGCCGCTGCTCATACTCCAGGTGGAATGTCATGTCGAGGAAATCCACAGCTTCCTGGCTCACATGGTCTGGAGCAGGGGGACGAGCCTTGTTACTGCCAATAGCGAAGATGGCTTGCAGCTGGCTACAGTCTGGGAAGGGGTGTGCGCCAATGAACATCTCAACGACAAGACAACCCAAACTCCAGATATCTGCTTTCTTGGTATGCGCGGTCTGTCGGACGACCTCGGGTGCCATCCAGTATACACTTCCCTGGAGGGAGGTGCGGTGGATGTGAGTGCTGGCGCTGCCACTGGCGCGAGCACCGAGGAGGTGAGAGGCTTCGACACGCTTAGAGATACCGAAATCGGAGATCTTAACACCACCCTTGTTGTCGACAAGAATGTTGGCACCCTTGATGTCGCGGTGGATGATGTCCCGACTGTGGAGGTATGACAGGCCAGCCAGAATTTGTCGGACGAAGTTCTTGACAAGCGGCTCTTGGAAGGTGTTGTATTGCTTCAGCATTGTGGCAATGGAACCACCGGGCACATACTCCAGGAAAATATTGAGATACTGGTCATCGGCGACGGTGCCAAGGTACTGCACAATGTTCGGGTGTGACATCCCTTGCAACAGCTCAATCTCATGTTTGAGAGCATTGACCATGAGGTTCTTCCGCTGGTCGAACTCCGTACCCTTTGTGGCAGATGGGATCTCAACTTGCTTGACGGCCATAAGCTCTCCAGTGATGGCATGAAGAGCGAGGAAAACACTTCCGAAAGAACCCTCACCGATCAAAGAACCCTTCATCCAATTCTTAGGTGCAAAGTTATTTCCGGCCAGGAAGTCGACAAGACCATCATCCTCTTCTTCGCCATCCTCGGCCACAATCATGCTCATCCGATCATTGAAAGAACCGCCATCTGTGGCAGCAACACTGAGACTCTCGAAGCTCTGGCGCGACTGGCGCGAGAGACTCGGTTCATCAGAGCCGCTTTCAAAGGATACATATGATTTTCGGTTCGGCTCAGTGGGTGACTCTTCCTGAAGGGGCTGGAGGGAACTAGATGCAATAGAATCTCGATAGGAGGCCTGAGGGAGGTTGAACTTGGAAACAGATATGGGTCGTGGGACTCGTACTGCCTGTGCCACTCCAGCGCCATGAAGCCATGCATCGGCAATACTGGGAATTGGGGGTAACTGGGGTAACGGCGGCAGCGGAGGCGCATCTTTCATACTTGATGCAACACTGTAATTGCTCACAACACTCATACGACTTGCGGCACGACTCAAACGTTGAGATCTGCGCATAGTCTTCTCGATATTTTCTCGGTCGTGACTTGGGAAGAATGACTGTAGTTCGTGGATGATCATCTCACTTGGAGGTCTCTGTCCAAAGAACGAGCGGAGTTTGGCCACCGGGTTACGTTCACTGTTCGGTGACTGCGCTTCGTCAACACTCGAGGTAGACGGGCGATGCCGAGGACCCAACGGAGAAAGCGGCTGTTTAATATTATGCCAGGATTCGCCAGTGAGTTGCTGGATCTTATGTTTCTGGCGCTGGTTGGAATTATTCAGAGCATGCTGATGTGTAGCCTGGCTCTCGTCATATGCAAGCTGAGAGGCACGACGAAGCTCGTCTTGATCGGGTTCTCCAGCATGAATCTTTCGTAAAATTAATCGACCTCGCTCGGACTTGTTGTATCCATCGCAGATCTCCATTAGCTCCGGTTCAGTGAGCTTTCTACAATTCGAAAGCTCTGGATCCAATCCATCCAATACATAGAAACAATAATTTCTGTACTGATGCTCTGGGAGCTGTAATTTCTTCAGCACACACAAGATAACTTCATCCGGTGTCCTGCAGTTCCGAATATCCAAGACCTTGGTTTGCCCACCGGTGTAGATGACACGAATGACGGGAGAGTTTGACGGGAGGGGACCCATTGTGAGACCGTCAAGGCTGGGATTTCGGGGATGAGAGCTTGGTCGACCTTCGTTTGGAGTACCGGGGTTTCGGCCAGAACTTGAGCCACCCGAAGAGGGATGATTCAGATACTCCTTGCGCCATGGTCCTCTTTCAGAATCACCGGCTGGTGGGGACGCAGGCTGTGATAGCGATTTGCTGTTCAGATAGCCATCATCAGCCAGCTGAGATGTGCGTCGGTATGGTAGGCGGGAGTGGGAATAGCGGGAGGAGTTTGAAAGCGCCGTGGCTTCGAGCGCAGCTAAGGTATCCTGTTTTGGGTTAGCGAAAAGAACATACCAATATAATGCGGCTAAACTCACCATGTTTTTCTGTCGTGACGTCGTTCCAGATTTGGCTCTGAGCTGCTTGATGGCGACGAAGATGCGCACTCGGTCACCAACCTTCTTGATTCCCATCTCTTGTAGGATCTTTTGGTCGCATTCGAGTAGATTGTCACCATTGAAGTTGTTGGCTAACAATCGTTAGTGCTATCCCAAGTAAAATATAGGAATGACCATGCCTACCTCTGAATATCGATTCATACTGCCCGCATTTGATGCTGTGAAGCCAGGCGACCACTCGTTTCTCGTCCCACGTCCTGTCTGTGGTCAGAATGACTGTGAGGCCTTGGGATCTCCCTCAAGAAACCTTACCGGACCGATCCATAATCCTCTTGTCCCTCCGAAAGCTCCGACTTCGTTGGGCTGGCAAAACCCATTCCATCCTGAACTCTTGTGGCCGTCGCGGGTCTTTGGGACGAGTTGACGTGGTATGCAGTCGGTGTCTGAGACGCAGATACACCCGTCGGTGCAGAATATTGCTTAGGAGCCAGCATGGCTAACTCCGGTCCAGCGAACGATTCGTTAGGCTCACGTGCTGGTAGCGATTGATCGGCACAGTGCCCTTTGCTCCGCACTCTCGGGGAAGTCCTTTGCGTCAAGTTGAACAGGGAATCCGAAGAAAGATGTGTCGATCAATACATAATCCCGGTTTCCTGATATCCAGTCAGCTGCATGTTCTGCGCAGATGGATTTGTTTCTCGGCCCCGGGAGGGGTTTGCTGAGGGGTCGGAAGAGACAGGAGCAGAGACCACCACAAAGAATGTTAGGAGACACTGACCAGGGTAAAACAATGATGTTCCAGCAGAGCAGGCGAAATCGCAATGAGGGACCTCAGCGATGCAGCTTACCGTCTGAGCTTTTTTTGGGACCAGATCGGGACCACTTAGTGTCGTTGCGATCGGGGATATCTAGCACGCTCCCCACCGAAGAATGACAGAAATCAAGCGAAACAGGAAGCGATGAGGTTGGTTCAACGTTGAAGTTAGAGATCTGAAACCAACTCGGGAGTCTCTGACTAAGGTACATCAGGTGCGACGTATCAAGGGGGAAGGCTAAACCCCGATGTTTTCCCCACGCGTTTCTAACTGATGTGTCTCATCCCTTCAGGCTCCCAGGTGGTTTCATCTGAAATTTACATCTTGGGCCCTAAACATTCTAGCCTTCCCTATCACTGGCTCCTGCTTCCCTCTAAGCGGGGCCTTTCAATTATAGATTGTAGCCACTGTGACCAAGGCGTTCACTAGTACTGAAACACATTCGACATCGCAAATAGCAGACTCTAAGGTTAGTGTGGGGCATTATTACTCATGGACTCAAGAGAGAAATGGTTTCATCAGTTTCTCTCTCTGCATTGTTTTTGACTCTGCACTTTTGAAGTCCGAATCGTACATATGGGAAGAGCTTGGGTTCGAGCTATACTCCGTATTTCCAACGTGGGTGGTAGAATTGTGAGCTGTATATTAGTACCCCCTTGCCTTAAGCTATGTAATACATACTCCATATACTCCGTACTCCGTACTCCGTAGTCCTCTCTGGCTCGCTTCTAAGCCACCTGGGATCCCTGCACGGAAATACGAGAAGAAGGGTTTCTGGCACCAGGAAATTAGCTTGATTCATATCGCTTCACAGATAGGCTTAGATCTCGTAAACCCTTACGGAGTAGCTCACAATCCAAAGAGAGTGGGCACATATGCATTGTTGCCAAGGGCAATGGAAGATCATTTGCGAGCAATTGCTAGAGATGGTTTCTCAGCCAAATATAGTCGAACCCTCTCCCTGAAAACGACCCATAACATGATAGTTTTGGTGGATCTATAGCTACGGAGTATAGATCTCTGGATCCAAAAATAATTGTGCTGCCTTCTGATCTAGGTGGTTCGTCTGTCTGATTCGGAGGTTTACTTTGTGTACGAGGCCCTCTTATAGAAAGCCCAGCAAGCCATGAAGTGTCTCTCGAAATAGCAAGGATGTCTCGGCATTCCATAGTCTACAGACGACACAAAACAAGTGTATATTGCCATGGATTTCTGTATCCATAGGGATATTTAAAGAATGCGAGGCTGGCCTCATGGTCGTGGGCTTAGAACCATCTCGTAGATTGTTCTTGATAAAAAAGTGGTGCTCCTACGAAATGGAAGAGGAAGAGACTGGTCTTTCCGATAGGGATCTCTATGTTTCAGCTCCCTATTCCTCAGATGAATCCAGTCTTGTTAGATTATACTCAATCTCCAATGTCATCCAGGCTCATCCACAGTGGCCATGATATGGGCATCAAATGAAAAAGATATTGGGGGGGCATTATTCGTCATGGTACATCCAATCCCCACCGATGAAACAGTGGCTCCGGAGTAAGACCGAAGTAGGCTTGGTGTATGAAGGCCCGTTTGATTCACACGCACCAGATATCTAGTGTGAGTCTATATGAAACACAATCTGCAAGGCATAACGTTCCATATGCAAAGCAATCTACTCCGTAGGGAAACATGACATGTTGGCGGCGTTGGTTATATTGACTACATAAACTACACACTATCGTTGGCTAGATCACCATCTGCATAGGAACACCTTTTATCTTTGGTTGATTCAGTATGAGATAGTGAATAGAGATGAAACACTTCGGATGTAGCCAGGGTCTTTTTTTACATTATCTTCTGGCGAATACATGGTTCATGCATCTATATAGGAGCGTTACGGTCTTTATCTGGAGCCCTCACGTAGAATAATGCCACCATGACCATGATGCCTGTCTGGTCAACCCTGCCCAGGGGTTTCCTGCCTGATTTTATTCATTTCGGACAATTTATAATCGAATAGGGCTCTCCGCACCAGTGGAGACCCGAGTGCATGCATATCCGGTCTGGGCGTCACTATCAAGCACCAGCCCCAGTCCCCATACGCCTCAGGCCACAGACCCCCGAAATCAAATGACATCCAGTAACTTGAGGCCCCTAAATGCAAGAAGATATGACATGTGTTTGTACATTGGAAATGCTCAACAGCTCGATGGAGCACGTGACTGTCCCCTCACTGTGGGGGTTTTAGGCCAATTTCCCCGCTCAAACAGCCCGCGGCCTCAAATTCTTCCCCTCTCTATTGCGCTCCCCCATTCCATCCCCCCAACCTCCAAAAACGATGGAGGACGAAAAATCGGCCAAATCTAAAAAGAAGGGCGCTGCTCATCGGAAATCCCTGTCGTGCGAATATTGCAGTCGATCCTTCGCTCGCTTAGAACATCTCCAACGCCATCTCCGCACCCGTTGAGTAACCCCCATCTTATTCCCGGTTGGAACTGGTCTAATGTAGGACAACAGATACCAAGGAGAAACCCTTCTCATGTGACATTTGTGCCAAATCATTTGCTCGGAGGTAGGCTATCATTGCACCCAATGCGCGGAATAGAATGCTAATCGTTTATCAATATAAATTTGCAGTGATCTTCTAGTGCGACATGAGCGACTAGTCCACCCTGCTGAAAGTGCAGCCAGTCGAGAGCATCGAGCTCCCAATGGCCACGAAAACAACCATGAAATACCAATTCAGTCCAATCTCATCCAACCCGCCCACCATGAGTCGCGTATGTTAGAGCTTGCAGACGCTATCCCAGTCCACACTCAAGTACCTCCGTCCCAACCCGAAATTCAAGTCCAAACCCCATCAATTATAGATACACCTCATTTCAATCCATCCTGGGGCTATGATTTAAATCTCTTATCCCATGCCGCAAGCCATGTTGCTCTGGAGGGCCAACAAGAGAACCTGGAGTCCATGAGAAAACCTCCACACACTGTCGCTCCTACGTCACAGCCACTTCCTCCCGCCCAGGAGAGAGCAATTGCCGATAATTACGGTGTAGAGCCTTCAATTCTCGACCTCACTGATCTAGGGGATCCCGTTCAGGATTTCACGGTTTTTCTGGAGAGTGTGGGATTGTCGTCCGATTGGGATTCGGGTGTGTTCTCGTCGGTTGAGGAGCCCATGCTACCGCCCAGTATGGCAATTGATTCAAAATCGTCCCGTGAGACAATACCAACCCGACTCGGCGGGGATATTATGAATGATCCGCGGGGCGCCGCGGAAGATCATCCGTCGTTCTCGAATTTCGGCTCTCGGCTCCCATCGTTGCAGCCGGAATCTCATGAAATGGACGATCGTATTGGCCTTGCTGATGACAGCACGCGACCAGCATGGGATATTTCTAATTCAGATCGCCAAGCCTTTATTTCGAAGCTCGAAGAGTTTTCGTATGTTCTTCCGAAAGGATTTGTTCCGCCATCGAGGCATGCCTTATCTCGGTTTTTTGCCGGATACATTAACGGTCTGAACGAGCATCTTCCGTTCATTCATGTCCCTACGCTATCGGTCGCTAAGGCTTCTCCTGAACTTACGCTAGCGCTGGCAGCTGCTGGTTCGCATTATCGGTTTGAAAACAGCCGAGGCATTGATCTTTTTCATGCAGCCAAAGCAATCTTATTGGAACGCCTTCGTCGGCGAGACAGCAAGCAAGTGCCTCAGCCTTCATGGAACTACATTTCCCCGCCATCTGGGTTCCACAACTCTCGTGGTTCATCGATGATTTCTAATACGACGAGCAGTCCGTTCCAGCATCATCAGCAAATGCCAAATGCTCCAGTCAATGCATCAATATACACATTGGATGACTCGGATGCTCACATGGAAGTGATTCGGACGTTTTTGCTTTTAACTGTTTTTGCGTCCTGGGAACGGCACCCGGAGCTCTTGCGGGAGATTCTCTCGTTGCAGAGTACATTGGCCAGGCTTGTGCGTGAACATGGATTGTCTGAACCATCTCCGACCGCAGACCCCATTAGCTGGGAGGAGTGGGTACGGAGAGAAGGCAACAGACGCACAAAGCTCATTGTATACTGTTTCTTCAACCTCCACTCGGTCATGTACAACATTCCTCCTTTGATATTAAACGGGGAGTTAAAGTTGAACATGCCTTGTTCTCATGATCTTTGGAAAGCAAACAATCCCTCGCAATGGCGTCGGGTGCATCGGACTCGGCTAGGGTCCGACGTGCCTTTCCAAGAAGCCTTTGCCAGACTCTTCCTAAAATCATCCATGTCATTTCCATCGGCACCGATATCCCCGCTTGGGAATTATATCCTTATTCATGCCATTATACAACAGATTTTCTTTGCTCGACAGCTCTGTCTCTCTGCGCCCCATATGCAAGGCACCAGTCTGAGACAAGAAGACTTGAATGTGTTGGACAATTCATTGAGTGCATGGAAGGCTCTATGGAAACGCACACCCGAATCCAGCATCGACCCTCAGAATCCCGCCGGTCCAATTGCATTCACCTCCACGGCTCTGTTGGGTCTCGCCTACATCCGTCTACATGTGGACTTGGGTCCCTGCCGTCACCTCATTACACAAGACCCAACTCAAATCGCAGGGGCTTTGAATGACTCTCCGGCAATTGCGCGTAGCCCACGATTGATCATGGCGTTACTTCACTCAGCCCATGCTCTTTCAATCCCCGTACGACTAGGTATTGATTTCGTGGCCAGGACACATTCATTTTTCTGGAGTATCCAGCATTCCCTCTGTAGTTTGGAATGCGCTTTTCTTCTCAGTCGCTGGCTGCTTGCTATCCCCGCAACACAATCTGAACAAAGATTGTCAGAGCATGAGCGGAAGTTGCTCTTGTGGATCAAGAGCATGATGGATGAAACCGAAATGGCGGTCGATCCACCCGGTGCACCAGATATGGAGTTTATGGCGAATCCATTCAAAGTGCGGCAGCTTAGCGTTTCGATTGTTCGCGTATGGGCGCGGACTTTCAAGGGCAATACGAGCTGGGCAATTGTTGACTTGGTTGGCTCGAGTTTGGATGCCTATGCTGATCTTCTGGAATTTTAATTTGGGAGTTCTGGGGGCTCTGTATTCTGGGAAGTTGATCTCTGCTCTATTGAACAGAGATCTCTCTCGTGCAGTAATTTCCTGCGTACAATTGAAGTCTCACTTGGCATAGTGCGCTGTGGTCGAGCTTAATGCTCAGTCCACCAATTCTGGTGCAAGGATGCAGTCAACATCCTTGCCAAAACAAAAGACAAAAGAAAAGGAAAAGCTTAATGGCCTCTTTGGAATGGCCATACTAATGATTCTATGTTTTCTCTTCTGGATGATGTCCCTAGGAGTTTTTGTATATGTGGACTGGGATGTTAGGATATCTTCCAAGGTTTGCGTTTGATGCCTTTTATTTCGATCTGTATCTATTATGATTTTATCTCCTACTCCGTACTGTCTATACCCTGTTGCTATTTGCCTTGGACAATAGCAACTTCCTATTTCGTTTGGGTCTGCTCGTTTGGGTCTGCTCGTTTGGGTCTGCTCGTTTGGGTCTGCATCCTTTGATTTCTACTAGAACTTGCATATTGCGAGGTCTCTCTAGCGGCGTGGCAGAGGTTGTTAAAGACAAAGCACCACGCCTAGCAGGTTAGAAAACAGTGTCAGTAATAATAGATAGAATAGTTGATTCATAGATCGGGCTGATTTAGCATTTGTGAACTCGGAAAAGCCGCCCGGGACATATTTACATGGTCCTCGGTATCCCCGGAACCGATTATCAAGATCGTTATGGGCAGTTCCGTTGTTCACCAAGGGTGATATGCAGGTGGATCAAGAAGCGGAAGGCAGATCCGAAGAAACAGTCATTTCCCTTCTTTGCTTCTGTGGTGGTGTTCTCCTCTTTGCTTGCTTTCTTTTCCTTGTTTTGGCCATTGTGCATCAATATCCAGATGAGTGAAGGCCTCGTGACAAACTCCTTGGTAGGTATATAGTTTTCAAATTGGACAAGTCATGGGTGTTTCTAAGATCCCCTTCACAGATGCTTGATTCAGATACCCGCAAAACTCGGAAGGTCCCAAGTAATGCGGAATGAGGTTGGCAGCCTAGATAGATACCTAGGCAGGTCCGAGGGCGAGGACAAACTTTTTCCATCGAGGCGAGGGCCGTTCTCTATCGTATCGGACTCGGCGTTGCGGAAAAGCGCGGTATAGAGGTGCTCACATAAAGGCTGTGACCAGAATTCTCCTTGCTAGCTTGAAAGGATTGCTAGGAGTCTGTCCTTAAGGCTCTAGGCTTCTAAGGGGGACTGAGTCTCTATGGCGGCTAATGTTAGCTATATCGGCTTTGAGCTGCTGGTCTCTAGACTTTGCCCTGGTAATACTAACCGGGTATCTGTGGCGGGCGAGGTTGGCTACGCTGGGTTAGGGCTGCTGATCTCTGGATTTAGCCCTGGAGGTGGCGGCTAGGAGTCTATAGCGGGCGAGGTTAGCTGCGTTGGATCGGGGCTGCTAACTCCAGAGATCAGTAGCCCCGATCCCACACAATTCTTATAAAGAAGCGAAGACACCACGAGGAACTCCTTGGCGGGGCAATTGGGTCGACATCCCGGCCCTCAAGGCGATGCATTTTGTCCCCTTTAGATCCAGACTTGGGTCCAGAAAGGCCTTGACGGCTGCCTTTTTTCCATTCAGATCCGCCAAGTATTTTGGCTGGTAATATCAATGAACAGTAGAATCAAGAGGGGCTCTAGGTTTGAGGAAATTTCGGGCTCCGAATATTTGTTCGTTTTGAGCAGCCGTTTCAAGTCCGTAGGTGCTGTGCCACTGGATATCATTATGGCACAACTGATTCTCTAAAGATGCTTGCAGTTGACTTTTTGTTCGTCACAGCGAGAAGCTCTCTTTGTCTAGCTCTAGCTAGTTGACCGGGTCCATCAACAGGATTACCTCCGATGGGAGGTCTGAAAATGCCATTATAGGGAAAGCGAAACAGACTGAGAAGTCCCGGCTCATGATATATAGAACTTCCGGAGACATGAATGATGGAAATGGGGTTCATTTGTTCATTTGTGTCATATAAGCTTTGGTGAATGTGAATCGGGACCGCATTACATTCGCTGATATGGCTTTTCTTTCTTTCCTTGGGAATTGGAACCGCCGTTTCATCCACGGCTTGGCTTCTGGTTTGCTCTTTCGACGCCAGGGCTGATTGGTTTGATATTGGGCTCTGTGACATCAAGAAGCGGAGATATAATTATTCTCCTTTTGAGCCTCGTTCTTTTCAACCTCTTCCTGTTCTCTCTTCCTCCTTTCGCCATTTTGAAATGACCGTGATCATTATACCATTTAAGAGCAGCAAATGAAGATGATGGAAGAGGGAAAGAGGCGGTGTGAACCCCATAAAGTAGGTAGCCAAGTGATGACACAACCACGACTCATCGCGAGGTCCAGTAGACGGGTGAAGACCTCAAGATGAACTCCTTCACCAGTATATACTTACCAAATTGGACGAGGATGGCATGGATAAAATAACAATGCTACCCAAAGAAGCACTACTTGCCTGCCTTGGAGCGATTTCTTGTGACACTCGCAGGCACAAACTTCAGGGCAGACATGGACTTTGCCAATTCATCGACGTCCATCTCGTCTGATGGTTTCTTTTCGGAGATTGCAGATGTCGATGGATTTGACTGAGATACTGAGCTTCGGCGTCGTAATCTGCCCTCCAGAGCAGATGACGTTGAGATACGTCTTCTGCCGCTATGCATGGGTCGCAGCATAGATGTCTGTTGATCGATGCCATCATTGACAATGTAGAAGTTGTAACTCTGCAGAAAATATCAGGATTAGTGATCAATGATGTTGTTTCCGCTGGCATTATACCTTTGGAAACATATGCTTGTCGATCAGATGCAGCCGTCGTTTTTGCGGAGTGGAGCATTTTCGTTCGCAGTTTTCGATGAAGCATCCATACTGCTTTATGTTAGCAGACTGAAAAGAAAGAAAAAAACCCCCAATTTGATAGGAGGTAGGGTGCAATTACCGTCTTCTCCCCGCGGGCTCGTCGCGCAGCAGCCAGCGGATCATGGTTCTCCTCAATGTGGAGATTGAGCAAAAGACCAGTGGGGAAGTTTCTGCTGCATTCAGAGCAGCGATTAACGTGAGATTGAAGATAATGAACTTCGTACTCCTCGTATGAAGCAAACGAGAGCGTTTCGCGGTGAGGCGGTAAAGAACAATGCATTACCTCGGGAAGCGCGTTGATACCACTGTCGATAAACTTGGTGCGCTCAGAAGGAGGAGTTGTAGTGTTCGCCCCAGTCGGAGAGATTGAGTCTGAGTCGTTCTCGGAAGAATAAGAGCCTGAGCGGCTTCGTGGCCGTTTCGACATGGTGTAAGCTGCCTTGCATACGGAGTATGAGTTGATAGGTCAAATTGACGAACATGTGGACGGCGGGAGGCAGTGACCATGGCAGACTTTACTCACAGCGGGCCTAGCCCGGTTGCTCTCCGCCTAGCTGCGATGACAGATGATGGAAGCCGAACAGGGGTAATTCTCTATCCGACCTTGTTCAGGAAGATTGATGATAGATTTGCTCAAAGCTGAAATCTTTCCTGAATATTCCACGTGGAAGGTGGATGAGTAGGCTCGGAAGATGTAGAAGAACTGGGTATAGAAGTGGAGTTCGCACCAACCAACACAGAACTGGCTATCTATTGAGGCACCGAATTCATTCTCGGGGGTTTTAAGGGCATCAAGGTTATCTGCAGGGTTTGATAAAAAAAATCCTTGGATAAGGAAAAGAAAGAAGGAAAAGGAGGAAGAAGAAGGGTAAGAAGGTACATTGGTATGGATGGGTCTGGGTTATATATAGCGCAATCACCAAGTGCTTTGCCAAAGCAATCAGGCAGCGAGAGATATCGCAAATAAAGGGTTGTATTTTGATATTTTATACATCGCCTTAATAACGAGAAGAGTGAGGAGTGTACGAAGAGCACAGTGGGAGGTTCTTATACCTACATGGTACCTGTACCTCATAGTACCTCATAGTACCTCATAGGTACCATGTACCATGTAGGAGGTACATGGAAGGTTGACTTCGCAGAGCTCCTTTGTATCGCGCTTTTGTGATTTTTTACGCCCATACCAAGCGACCAGGAAAGATACCTAACATGTCCACAGGTATGGAGTAGACCTTACTACATCCTTTAGTGTGTACCTAGTGTGTAAAAGGCAGTCAGGTACTCCCTACATTCCTTGTGAAGAGAAAAATACCTACCTTCTCTAGTGATGCTGACCCTGTATGAGATCCTAGCCCAGCTCGGCGATCTATGATCAGTAGATAATCTATGCCGATGTAGGTAGCCCCAATAGATGTTCAGAATTGAATTTCTCCCTATTCACGCTCCTGTCTGCCCTGCGCATTTGACGGTTGCCCTCCACCAGGTGCATTGGCGACGAAGCGTAATCCAAATACGTGAAACAATACCTCCCGCCTTGGCGGCACCAATCATCACTGTAGACCGGGACCGCATTTATGCATTTTCATACTCATCTCGACTCTCATCCCCATCGGCGTGCGCTTTTCATGTCTTTTACTTACTGATGGCTGATTCACCGCTCACATCTCAATCCATAGCCATCTGACCGGCGAGGTTGACGCTCGGGATCCCCGGGCCAGCTCCCTGATGGCGCCCTCGTTCACAGATGCCTGGAAGTCAGTGCTTTAGTGCTTTCCCCTCAATGGTGAACCCGATCTGATGTGTGTGGATCTAGGACTGCGCTAGGAGCCGAGAAGGAGCTCTTGCAATGTTTCTCGCAAGAACGGCGCACATTTGATGAATTCGAACATTTTCTCTCCGAGTCGGTAGCATTGAAGCCCCGCGCGCATGCCGCTCAGGCTGACCTCTTCACACAGGTTTCGGACTTCCTCTCAAAATGCGATTCTCCTTGACTTCAATGCTGCTCGCAAAGCCGACGTCGAGAATCGTCTCTGGGATGCACATTTGAAAGTGAACAATCGGTTTCGCAAGCAGTTGCTTCGCGTGAGTGTTCACGGAAGGTCCTCGCCAGGGTGGCTTAACTGACTGTGTTCGGCCATCAATTAGTTCCGCGAAGAGCACGGCAAAAAGAAACCAGTCGAGCGACGGAAGCTCGAACGCCATTATCTCGATTTCATCAAATCAAGTCAACGATTTTACCGAGGATTTATTCAGCATTTGTCGTCGCGCTTTGGAGGGATCGTTGAATTGGAGAGGGTTGCGCGCAAATTCAATTTTGAGAGTAAGCGAGGAACATAAACTGCGCCGAGTTACTCGAAATGCTGATCCATGGTGACTTCTAGATTTGTCGGGCCAACCTCCCATAAAGCCCTCCAATGACTTGCGCAGGCTCATTCTTCTGTCGTGTCACGCGACCCTCATTCGATTAGGAGATCTTTCACGTTATCGCGAATCGGAACTCGTCAGCAAGGATCGTAACTGGGGCCCTGCTATCGGTTATTATGATTTGGCGTCGGTGATCAACCCTGCGTCGGGTGCGTCTCAGAACCAATTAGCGATTATTGCGCTCGCAGATGGAAACCACCTTCGCGCTACCTACCATCTCTATAGAGCTCTTTCGGCCCAAGAGCCTCATCCTACAGCCAAGGGGAATCTGGAGATTGAACTTCGAAAAATTATGAGCGCCTGGGCTAAAAGAGAGCTAATTCGCCCCGAAGATGCCGGTATCCCCGGAAGGGCGCTGACCCCGTGGTTTCTCTATCTGCATGCCAAATGTTACAAAGGAATCGACTTTCCGGAGCACGATGAGTTGGAGAGTGAAGTACTAAGCCAACTAGCGGTTGAAATTAGAGAACGTTCGCTAGAAGGAACGCTCCAAAAGTTCTGTCTCATCAATATTGCGGCCGAGGATTTTGCCAAAGTTCGGTCCACTGGTAAGAATGCAAAACATTGTTATTGCTCATGCACCTACTTACCCATCACTTAGAAGAGTCTGTCTCGGATGCCCGCGTCTTTTTCCAGCGAATCAATGTCAAGACCTTTTTCACCTTACTGCAAATACTCTTGGTCGAATTAGAACGAACTGCTTCTTTCGAGGACTCGAATAGCAAGGACGCACTGCCTGTTCCAGACAAGGTGTCAGTGGTTGCTCGTCGAATTCTGCCCGCGCTCCGCCATTACAGCTCGTGGCTACTTACGAACAGTCAGTCCCTGGTTGAGCAAAAAGAAGAAAAAGATTCGTCGCTTTCGATTCAGATCAAAGAGTTCTGGAAAATCTACGCTGGTACACTGAGCTTGCTCGCATCATCCTTCGATGTAGTTAGCCTTCCCGAGGTCGATTACCTCTTAGAAGAAGATGAAGAAAGTCTTGGCTTCGCACCTCTGGACCAGGATGCCACTTCTCGCCGATACGTCGGAGGCGGCGATCGCCCAAAGCCTCGTATGCATGATCTTGGGATCGAAAGAAGTCATCCCAACATGGAAATGCTCTACCGAATTCGTGAATTTGTGATTGATGGACTTGACCTCGTCGTGAGAGGAGTATGTGCAAATCCTTTGAAGGAACATCCTCAAGAAATACCTAGACAGATTGCTGATCTCGTACAGAAAATCCCCGTGGCACTTGTGGATAGTGAAGATAAGAAGACATTTATCTACCAGGAAGAAGATCTGCCTTCGCAATTCTATTCTAGTCCTCATGGCCGACAGCATGCTCTTTCAGCTGCGAGCATTGAGCGTGAGGATATTCCACAGGTCGCTCAAAATCCCTATGCTGCTACAGAAGCTCAAAGTTTATCTGGTGGTTCCCAGTCGGCATCGGCATCCATGTCTGCCAACATGCACCAGATCGTTGAGGGCGTCGAGCGACTTGTTGACTCGGACACATATGAAAACCCACCCAACGATCAATTTGCTTTCCTGAGCCCAGTGGGGGAAATGCCGACACCTACGCACGTGTCATCCAATCCCATTTATCCATTCCGCGAGGAAAACGTACCACAAATCGCCACCCCAATCGCTCCTCCGCCTGGACTTGGCCCGCCAGTTCTCAATGCGGCCGATACATTCAGAGCGCCATCGGCTCAGTCATATACCCCCCGGCCTGCCATTCCTAGCATCCCCAGCATTTGGACGCCGTTGAGAGATACTGCCCTTCCACGTACTCCTCCAGGACTTGGTCCACAAGCAAGCCAGCAAGTTCCGCTACATCCTATGGCCGCAGGAAATGCCATGTCTTCTGAGCGTTCACCGTCACATGACCAACTTGTAAATGAGCTTATGCTTCGACAGCACTTGATGGCCCAGACTCAATTCTCAAATTCAATGGATGTAGGATCAATGCCTACGCCGTGGGCATCATCCAACCTATCCCATGGTCCTTCTGGGGTGAATGGCTGGGATCATGGCCGAGCACCCTTTGGCGCATTTGAACTCCCAACCCAGACAACACCCAGCAGCCTGGGTCATCCCTCGTGGGCCAATGATGCTTTCATCGCCAGCAGCCTCGCTGGGGCCACCCCCTACAGCTCCGGTATCGGAGGGCGCAAGCCTGCCACCCAACTTGGAGCAATTGGTCAAACCCCGCCCTGCGGTCAAGGAGGCTGATTCGAATATCCAAGCTCTCGATTCTTAAGTTCTTCTACATGTGCATAAGCATACAACACTACTAGCCAGACAAGCTATCTAAACTAACTGCGCAACTGGACCTCCAGCTATCCTGGCGTTCCCTGTGTTTTGTCTGTGAGCATGGCCACCTGTGTACTGTGATGCCGACTTTTGAGTCCACATCACACCCATCACCTACTCTGACTGCATATGCACCCTTGCAACCAGACGAGATTGTACTCCAGCTATCCAGTTCACAGGTTGCAGATTCTGCGCTAGTCTGGTGGCAAGGACACTTATGGTATTTGCCCAGAATGCAGGAACTTCTTCGACCCTTGCTCTCGCAATTTGTCTGGACGGATATGTGCGTTCAACACGCGACGTGATGAATATGAGGAGGTGGATATGGTCAACTTGCCATTGGAGAAGACGCTTGCTTCGTTCTGTTTTCTGCCTTTTCTTCTTTTCATTCAATATGGCCTGGAGACCCTGTTCTTCTTATCAGCCTGAGCCTTGTGTTTTCCTTTGCGGTCAGAGAATCATGTGGCACGAAGGTACGGTGCTTTGAAATGGGTATGGGTCTGCATACTGCTTGCGCCCATGATTCTTTTGACATCATCGTCCCGGTCAGACAGTTGAATAGGTATCAATTTGACATTTTACGTGCTTCTGTTCCTATGGGTATATGGACGAATGGATAGAAATCAAGTTAGGTACCAAATTCGTTCGTCCGAAGTTGTTCATTTGTCAACTGGCTGTAACATAAGGATCTCGGTCATATCCGGTTTTAATTTTAAGACTGTACGTTGAAGTCATCAAGTTTTGAGAAAAGGAAAATTGGGTATAGAGGGTTGAATCATCCAAAGTCAAGTGGTGCTCATCCGGTTGTTAGAACTGGAGTATTGCACGAAGTCTTCCAAAATCAATGTTGGAAGATGTGTTGAAGGTGGTTTAGTAGTCTATGCTTTTTCGTAGCCTAAATTAATATCGCTTAAGAGCGAGAGTAGGCCTGCTTGGGGAAGGGGTAACTGGGGGGTTGAAAAATGTTAGCTTATGTTCTTGAAGTCTATTGCCTTGGGAAACTCACGAAGGTCCAAGCTCCTGGATGCTCTTGCTGGCGAGCCACTGGCCCATGTCGATGCTGTCATCGAGGGACTTGCCAGCGACGATACCAGCACAGAAACCACCGGCGAAGGCATCACTGTTAAAAAAAATGTTAGCATGAATTAACGTGGGTGGTCTGAATCATTGTCACTCACCCAGCACCGTTGGTGTCGTTGATGGCATCCTTGGAGATCTCGCGGACCTTGAACTCCTTCACCTCAACGTCACCGGAAGCAGAGCCGATGGCGACGACAGTAGGCAGAGTGCCCTGGGTGACAATGGAAACACGGGGACGCTGAGTGTTCTTCTTGGGGAGCTGAGCGAGCTTCTTGGCGATCTCAGTGATATCCTCGGTGCCCCACTGGTGGGTCTCGGCATAGGCAATAGCCTCAGTCTCGTTACAGAAGGTGTAGTCGGTGTAGGGCAGCACGCTGTCGAGCTGATCCTTGAAGAACTGGGCGATGAAAGGAGCAGAAATAGACAGCATGAAGGGCTGGTAGAAGCGGATTGATTAGTGAAAAAAAGACCCGAAGTATCATAATGCTAATGACATACCTTGTTCTTGGCGGCAGCCTCCTCACCAAGGGCAAGGATGGCGGGCACACAGACAGTCAGGTGGTAACCGCCGACGTAGTAGACCTGGGCCTTCTCGACGAGAGACCAGATCTCGGGCTGCTTAAGGTGCTCAATCTTGTACTCATTGGCAGCAGCGAGGTGGGTGCACATGCTGCGGTCGTGGCCAGTGATGACAACACCACACTTACCGGTGGGCTGGGCCTCATCGACACGGTACTCGGTGTGGACACCGGCCTCCTCGCAGGTCTTCTTGAGGATGTCACCGAACTTGTCCTTACCGATACAGCCGATGTAGACAACGGACTGCTCAGGGAGCAGGTACTGGGAAAATGTCAATATCAATGTTAAACCCAATGGAAGTGATTGTAATACATACCTGAGCACCACGGGCGGTGTTCTGAGCGGCACCACCGGGGATCAGCTTGGCATCACGGGCAAGCAGGTCCTCGTAGATACCCATGTGCTTGTCCTCAGCGAGGATAGCATCATTGGCCTTGAGACCATACTTCTCGAGGAGAGCAGCATCGCTTATATGGCATTAGCCTTTCAATTCATCCAATTACTTCGTGTTTATACATACCCACGAGCCTGGATGTCTATTGCAAGCATGTCAGCATGGTGTAATGAACATAGCCCAGATGATGATTCACATACCAAGGAGGGGGTTCTCCAGACACAGAAGAGGGTAACCTTGAGGAGCAGCCATTATGAAATGATTAATAAAAATGGTAATGAAGTGAAGTAAAAAGGTGGGAGAAGGTGGGAGGACATGGAGGAGATGGAGGGGCTGGCAGAAAAGGGCGGTGTATACCCCCGGTCCACCGGTTACGGCCGAACAACGTTAGGTCATTGCTTCTGCTCAAGCTCCGTGGATATAATAGCAACAATTCCCCAAAATGGCCGGTCATGCAATGGAGATCCCACAGATTATTCAATCTGCGAGTATCAATTATAACCCAGATCCAGCTCATGATATCAACCCAACCACGGCAGCTTCAGAGAAACAACCCGCCGTGGTAGGCCCAGACTCCGACATCAACAGCATTGCCTCCGACATTGTTGATCCAAGCCGATTTATTCGACCAGTCCACCGGCGTCAGAACCTCCCTCCTCTCCCGGATTTGCGCTTTGAGCAAAGCTATCTGGCCAGCATTAGGGATGCTGACACTTGGGGACGAGTGGCGTGGATCACTACTAGGGATCAGGTATGCATTGCTGTTGCTCACCTAAACCCTCTGGGGTGTGAGGAATAAACCGGTTCGCAGTACCTAGCTAACATAGGAACCTTTCCTCTCTTAGGTACTCCTCCCTTTGATCCAAGGAACTGTCTGGACACTTGCGCTCTCGGGCTGGCGCTTCTGGAACCGCAATGCCTCGGTCAGCGGCCACACCCTCGGCAGTCGCATTCGCAGATGGTGGTATGAAGTCAACAACTGGCATTTGCCACAAGTTGGCTCAACGAGAAACCCTCAGCTGGCGTCGCAGGTCGAAGATGTGAGTGCCTCCCCATAATCATCGAGTCTTTGTCTGATCTTGTCTAGAAGTGGAAACGCTGACGGCCGAGGAGTTTTTGATGTTTTACACGGCACAATTCTCCAACTCAGGCTCTGACTGAGGTCGTTTCTGTGGTGGATGCTGCGTGCTGATTACCAAGTCCAGTGACTAGCTTTTGTGTACACTCGATTGTTTGCATTTCTGGCGTTCGCGCTGCTGGAGGCGTCTGCTCTTAATGATTCCCTTTTGAACTTTCTATATCCCTCAATTCTAGTAGAACATTTCATCGTTGCCATGTATTTGGCTCACCAGCAAGGTATCCTAGCCTGCAGCGGTAAATATAGCATTTGTATTGTCAGCTGGCATCAATCTGGGTGTATCCTTAGAATATGTAGTCTCAAGACTTGAGTATCTATTCTATTTCATATTACGCTTATGAGGTAAATTCTTTTTTGGCAATACCTTGCCATTACTACATTACTACGTAACTAGTAAAGCCGCTATCTCAACATCTGGGCACCACTTGTGCCAGTATTATACCCACAGCTCGAGAGAAGAAGAATTGCGACCCAAAATCTATCTAGCAACAGAGAGTAGCATATACATTCCAGATCCCTTTTAAACTCACTAGTCTAAGAGCAAATTCAAACCCACAGCCAGGTGGCTCAAGTCTAATTGACTCCGTTTGGCTCGGTCTGGTGACGAGGCTTCGACACTTCGGGCTTATCATCTGCAGGTGCTGGAGCCATTGAAATAGAATGCGTAGCCAGTGCTCTCTGTACACTATCCCCTTGGAAAATTGGAGCGGAAGAAACAGACGGCGCAGCTTGAGCAGGTGCAACCTGAGTTGGCCTCTGAGATACTGGAACAGAAGGTACAGTCATGGTCGAGACCTGCTGAGCATCCGAGTCTGGTTGATGAGGAAAGCTTGTCTGCAGTGCTCGAGCGGAAGCAGCTGGTGCTGATTCTCCAGCATCTTTCATTTCGATGTCATCAGTAGGGGGCGGTTTGTCAATCTGGACCTCAGGATTGCTAGATGCATCTCCCTTGCCATATCGAAGCTGCACAACAAGGCTTTCTGGTTCCTCATTGTCAGTTGAGTCATCTCCGCTGGCTTCTTCCCCTTCATCATCGCCCTCAAAGTCGTGCTCTAAGTCATCATCAACGCCTCGCCATTCGTTGCCACTATCATCTGCACTTGAATGGACTTCAGACGCATCTTCCATATCATCCGCGCCGTACCCAGAGTATCCATTTGGGTGAGTTGAAGTCCGAGCCCTCTGGGGCCTGCTTACTTCTTCGCCGTCCTCATCGAACTCGTCATCATCAACCTCATCACGTTGCCCAGAGAGCAAAGCCTCACCATAGAGGCCCCCAGCGCGAGACCGAATCTGCCTCCCACTTGCTGTGAATCGAGGCCGTCGAGACTCCGTGGAAGCTTCTGTAGGAGCAGCATTCCTAGTGGATCGACGGGTGGAAGGCTGGTCATCGGAGAATACGTCCTCGTCATCTGAATATGTATATTTCAGCTTCTTGCCGCGGGTGCGACCTTCGTACATGGAGAAACCAGGATCCGGACGAGTGAATGCAGCTTTTCTCGCGAGGCGGTAGTCGCGACGTTTCCGTTTCTGATCAATCAGTCAGTAAAATTAATGCGATGCGCTGGAAGGTGGATTACCTCTTCTGATGCCTCGAATCGGGGGATCGAAGCGCGAATCCTCTCGCTGAGCTTCTTGGAATTGGTTCCTTTTTCGCTCTCGAGTTTCTCTGCAACGGCTTCCAGCTCAGGAATATTTCCCGCAACACTCCACCAAGTGTTGTGCTTTAGAGCTGGGTTACTTTCGCGGTAGAGTCGGAAATTCGTATCATCGTGCCCCTCAATAAGCCAATACCGGCGCTTCAAGCCATCCCGACCCCAAGGTTGGACAGACAAAGGTTGGTTGAGATCGTCATCGTGGCGAGCCTGCTTATAGGATTCCTTTATCTTCGCCTGGACCGCTTCAGACGATGAAAGTGACCAAAGTATCAAGGCTCTCAACAAACGTAGCTGAGATGAGAAGTGTCAATGTTATAAATAGGGTAAAATGGGGTCCTCGAGAGCATACCCGTTCTACCGGGGACATGGTCGCAAAGCTGCGACCACCATGAAGTGGGTTCTTGCCCTCCCATTCTTTTGGCCACTGAGACTGATGTGTATGAATTGCTTCCTCCAGAGGACGTGTGTAGTGGTTTCTTCTGTATGTTTATAGCATTTTATTAGCACTCAGGTTGATAATTGGTGGCCGTGGGTAAAAGCGCGCATTTCAAGCTTTCCGCGCGCCATTGGGATTGGGTGGCGACCATACTCAACTTCCTTCTTACGATTCAGAACTAGTCCAAGTAATGCGCATAGAAGTCTTTCGATATATTCTCCAGGCGGAGCCTCCTCAATCCCCTTTTCAATATCTTGTGGGCCGTAATGTGGCACTCCTCGGGGGAACACTTCATGGAAACGCGCGCGAAACGCGACGATGAACTAAGGATTGCGACAACTCAGCAAGCGTGCCCTTTCGTAGACCGGACGCGTCATAGATAGTCCATATATCAAGCAAATCGAAGAACCTTCGCAAACTCACGGCAATATCAGGGTTGTCAGCTACGACGTATTCGTGCGGTGGTGATGGCTCCCGCTTCGGCGGCGGCGTCTCCGACTCCTTCTTGAAGTACTTTGCGATCCCAGTCGGCTGATCGATCTCCATGGCAGCTTCATCGTCTGTCGGAGGTGCCGACGACAATGAAGAAAGCTCTGACTCTGAAGGCATAATCTGGTGGATATGGTGGGATGGGTGATGGAGGAAGAAGGCAAGTTGCGCGCAATCGAGCGTCACGTCTGCACCGGGCCTGCGCCCGAAGGGCAGCAACTCTTTAGCGAATTTCTGGCACAACTGCTGCTTTGTTTATAATCTTCTACTACTAGGGCTTCTTGATGTCTTCTAGAAGAGCACGACTCAAAGCAACGGGAAATTGATATGAGAGCTTATATTTTGAGGACTTCTTTATGAGATAGAGCTCTAAAGAGAGCTGATAAGGTATTAATAGAGGATGATATACTTTCAAACAAGATTGAACATTTGAACTAAAGGCACACACATGTGTATAGAGCGTAGGAAAGAACGGATAGGGCTTGCTGAGACTTCGAGTGTCTATTGCTTGTTGCTTGATACCTGCAACGTATGGGGCGAGCTTTGCGTACTTCGAGATTGGTGTTGATGACGTTCCAAAAGGGAAGGCCGAAATGTGACGCGAAGATATGAGAGCCTATACCATGAGCAAGGCGTCGGTATCCAGCCCTTCGATATATATCTGCCTGACATACAGAGACACCATTGTCGCAACGTCCAAGAGCGTTGCTCCAATAGGTGCCCAGGAGCTCTTGGCAATCACGTGCGTACGCTGACATAGCTTGCCCTCCCAAATCTAAAGGGCCTCCATCGGATCGCTTCCCCAGCGTAAAACATGCAATATATGAAGATCTCTACCAAAAGAATACCCTTTAAGAGCCACAGTCTATCAAAAGAAGTAATTCAAACCTATGAAACCCTTAAAATAGACGGCCCAATACGCTAAGAGTGCTTGTGTTGCTACCGTTTAACAGTTCCAAGTACAACGTAAGCGACCATGCGCTATACCCGATTCGGTTAGATTAGCGACCGCACCCTAAAGCCCACACAAGTCCCCGTGTCCGATGATTTCTCAACTCGTCAACGACAAGCCAATCTTCAATTCGAGGTACGACTTTTCACCTTCCCACGACATTTCGTCCGACTTCCATACTAACACAGGTTCATCTTCCAGCCAGTCGCCATGGGTCGTGTCATCCGCAACCAGAGGAAGGGCCGTGGCTCCATTTTCAGTGAGTGCGCCTGCAAACTATCCCAGCACGAATTTTGGCAACTGCGCCCCTGCGCGATTGCACAGCGAGACAGAAGTCAACCAGGATATACAGAGAGAATTCAATCTTGGGACACGAAAGCTACAAGGTGATCTGAGTGCTGATATAGAATTTTTTTCTACTTTCTAGCGGCCAACACCCGCCTGAACAAGGCCCCTGCCCAGTTCCGGACTCTCGACTATGCTGAGGCTCACGGCTACACCCGCGGTGTCGTCAAGGAGATCATCCACGATTCCGGCCGTGGTGCTCCCCTCGCCAAGGTCCAGTTCCGCCACCCCTACAAGTTCAAGATGATCACCGAGACCTTCATCGCCAACGAGGGCATGTACACCGGCCAGTTCATCTACGCCGGTAAGAACGCCGCTCTGACCGTCGGCAACATTCTTCCCCTCGCCTCTATGCCCGAGGGTACCGTCATCTCCAACGTTGAGGAGAAGGTCGGTGACCGTGGTGCGCTCGGCCGTACCTCCGGTAACTACGTTACCGTTATTGGCCACAACCCCGAGGATGGCAAGACCCGTGTCAAGCTCCCCTCCGGTGCCAAGAAGGTCATTAAGAACTCTGCTCGCGGTATGGTCGGTATCGTTGCCGGAGGTGGCCGTACCGACAAGCCTTTGCTCAAGGCTGGCCGTGCTCACCACAAGGCTCACGCCAAGAGGAACAACTTCCCAACCACACGTGGTGTTGCTATGAACCCCGTATGTTCCCCCGATGATTTGAGAAAGAAAATAGCTAACAATGGACATAGGTTGATCACGTAAGTTCGAGTCTCGGCGCTGACCGAAAAGCATTCAGAGTTGCAAAATCTAACCATTTTTACAGCCCCACGGTGGTGGTAACCACCAGCACATTGGTAAGGCCTCGACCATCTCCCGCTACGCCACCCAGGGTCAAAAGGCCGGTCTCATTGCCGCCCGCAGAACCGGTCTGCTCCGCGGTACCCAGAAGACCAAGGATTAAGTGCTTTTTTTCTTGGAGTTATTCATGTGACGGGTCGAAAACGGAATTCTGCTATGAGAGAAATGTACCTAGGCGACTGCGGATGAGCGCCTCATGCGCCCTTAGCGAATTGAGGTTGTGGTCACCATTCTTTTTTTCAAGCAATCTAAAGGGTGATGGAAGGGGGTCCGGGGTTGGCCTCTACAGGCGGAATGAAATCAAAAAGCCCTACTCGGGCTGTGGAATGATAACCTATAAGCTTTTCCTTTTTCTCTTACTTCAGACTTTCCCAAGAGCCCGCCGTAAGCTATCTACAAACCCATTATTTTGCCACGAGGCTTCTACCACTGGCGACTCAGCAGCCGCAAGCTACCTAGGAATCCACCTCACCGACAGGCTCGAGTGGGTGGACTTATGCCCAAGCAGTGAATCCAGGTGCCTATGTAGTAGTCTATTGCTCAATCCGTAGCTGCCTGCCCCTATATCCATGCCCTTTCCGATTATCTACAGCAAAAGTAAGCCCGTGCACTCAAAAGCTCCCGGCCAGGCGAGCAGCCTATAGTCAGAGACCGAGGCAGCTCCCCACTATATACATATCACCACTCCTAACAAATCGACCGCCCTCTGGTCGACTGGGCTTGAGTAAGATAAGCCACAAAAAAGCAAAAGCACATCAAATCACACATGCTACCAGCCAAGGCGATTCAAGGAAAGAAAAGAGCACAGCCAACTAAGTGCGGGAAAGAAAGGCAAAGAGAGAGAAAAGGATTCCCGTGACATCTTCTCGCCGAAAAGATCCTTGCCCCGGCTTCCGGTAGAATGCTCCTTCTACTCTCGACTCCAAGTGGCCACAACGCAGTCAAAAGGTGAAAAGATCGAAAAGAAAATTGAAATCAGTCCTCCATGTCATCACCCATCTCATCATTTACTCCCAGATCCTTCTGGTAATGCAGATGAGGCTCGGGAACTGCCAAACCTTCGCGCAGGAGGTGAAAGAAGGATCGTTCCCCGTAAGCGAGCTTTTCAGCGGAAATAATTCTTTGAAAGGCTTCGACAAATTGCCTCACTGCGCGACGGCGCCACTGCAGGATCCAGGCATGCGCTGCTACCTTATCTTCTCCGAAAAGCTGATCTAGCTCTGCAACCACTGACCATTCCGAATACCTGATTCTTCCAAGCATTGCATCTGACAAGGCTCCAAGGCCGGTAAGGTGGGTCACGCCCGGGAAGGTATACGGGCTCACTGAGCGTTTCTGACTAGATTCCCCTGAGGGTTTCCGTGCAGCCAGGCGCATATCTCGGTGTGCATCTGCTACGTCGCTCCAGGTGCCTGCTTCTGCCGTCTCAACTCGCTCATGGTCCTCGTGGATAACCCCAAACCACGGCATCATAGTGCGCCGAAGGCGTGTAGTTGGCCCAGTTGACCCGTGGGGAATCACAGGAAGCGTTAGCCTTACATCCCCGGTTTGACAGACTGCCCCTATGAATTTGGTGCCGAATCTATCCTCGTCTGCCTTCCCCCACATCCAAGGGTAAATAGTAATCGTATGGCCAGAAGTTTGGGCGTCGGGATGGCTAGAAATTTTCGACCACCATTCACGGAGATATAAATGCATCTTTGGGAGGATGATAGTGCAGTTATCTCTATCTTCATCCGTAAACGACACGGACCCTTGCACGGCATTTCCACCTCGGCCTGTTGCGAGGTAGTCACCGATATTCAAATCAATATGAGTGAAACCTGTGTCTTCTCCGGGGTAGGCACTCTTCGTGTAGTAAGGAAATGACATCAACCTCCAGGCATGGTCAGGACGAACCGCAACGTACGCAGCATAGTAGCTAACATCTTGTCGAATCAGCTGTTGAGTGAGAGACTGAAACATATTGCGATTCCACCCCATTCGTGGTCGGGATATAGCGGGTGTATAATGGTAGTCATACATATCGAACTCCAAGTGGATTAGCTGCATCATCGAGCTCACCGGTCGACCTAATTCCCGAGAGAGAGCTGAAACCCCACTAATTTCTGAGATATCATCCTCAAGCCAGCCGAAAAGCTTAGGGAGAATCACGTTCCCGGTCGCAGCGAACTCCTCAGCCTTAGTCTGAGCTATAGAGTCCCTAGTCTCTGTTCCGTCTGTCCCGTAAATTCGCGACCAAACATCCACTAGATCTAATCCCAGCTCGGAGAACCTTGCAACTCTTGGGACTGGAGCTCCGACCTCGAAGCGAAAGGAGCTCCGCGCCACTCCCCCTGGGAATATGCTCGGGGTGAACCACGCAGACTTCAGCTTTATAAATCCATCCCAATCTCCGATCTGCCCTGCAGCGTAGGCCAGCCGACTCAGCATATCTGAGTGGGTAAACTGTCGCGTATACATTCCTAGGTAAGCACTGAGAGCCTTTGTGTGCGCAAAGCAGAGCTTTTCGGCCGAAAGGGTCCCTAGAGCTCTCATAACTTTCCTTAGAATGATGAGTCTTGCGCGATCAGAGGGGGCAGCCGAGCTAAACTTCTGGATCAACGACTTCGATAATGCGCAGGAGCAGGTCTTTTGGAGTCTCGAAGGGGGGCACGTCAGGGACTGGGACTGGCGGTAGCGGTCGTGTGCGCTGCCACTTTGGCCCCTTCGCCTATGCCCACTCTTAGCTGTGGTGGGAGGCGGCGTCGGTGGGCTCTCGCCAGGATTTAGGGATTCCTCTGGGAAATCAGGGTCCCTATTTCGCTGGCCATCTATATCGCCTGAGGCCTCGAGAAATTCCGGAGCCGGCCCTGATACGCCCTCGGAAGATTCGCCGTTGTCGATCTCGTTCTCACTATCCCACTCACAGGCCCGGATATCCGGAGAGGGAGGGCCCTGTTTTTCAACCAGTAAGCCGCATGGGTTCATCGTCAAGCCGTGTCGCTTGAACTGGGAGGAGGATAGGCTGCCTGCACTGGAAGAGCTTGCAGCTTTTACAAAATCTCCTTGGATCAGGTGCTTCGCTTTCCTATGACCTCGGCCTACTGCACCAAGCCTCCGAACCAGCTCGTAATTTAGGCCACGCTTCACCTCTTCGAAAGACATGCCCCTAGCAAGCAGCTTACTGACCTGCTCAGCAGTGGACTTGGTGGGGACAAATTCAAACAACGACCTAGCTTCCATATCACCCCATTTCGAGACGGCTTTCTGGAAAATCGAGGTAATGTAAGCCAGGTTCTGTTGATGCTTGTCGTGGACTTTCTGCACAGCGCCCCATTCTCTGCAAAAGGTGGCGTCGTCCCTTTCGGCTTTCCAGACACCGCTCTGAAGCACATAGTCGTACCATAGGGAGATAGCTTCTGCATTCTCACTCCGCAGCTTCAGGAGGTACTCACCGACCTGCAGCTGCCTGCGGTATCGCTCTTCTTCAGGCTGACTTTCCACGGCGTCCACAATTCTCTGGAAGGTAGGATTGTGGTCTGAAGCAGGCGCTGAACGCTCCCAGATAGCATCCAACACCATATCATCTTTAGAGCCAGTCGACATTATCGTGGTCAGTGCTATAGGAGGGCTCATGCCCTAGGTCTCAGGAGCACAGTGAAGGATGAGTTTCTAGTGAGAAACAGTCTTGGGTCCCAAAGGGAGCTTAAGTAATGTGCGCGGTCATTTCATCACTCAATCCTAGCAACTCGGTGGAAATGAATTGGCCAGGTTCTCGGGGCTCTTCTTTGCAAAGGAGCCAAAGAAAAAACCAGCCGATTTCTGCCGAAAAGCGTCAAAGACAGCTTGAGGGGCTCCTTCTTTGAGATCACTCAGCTTTCCTAGTTTCCCATGAAAGACTTCCATCCTTTTGCCTCTCTTTCATTCTTCACTCTACCGCGCAATTTCTCTTTCATATCCTTCAATTCTCACCATCTGCTACTTCTTTCACCATTCTCGAGCGCATTTGTGGCGCGGCACGTTCAAAAGCTTTCGCTGTAGCGTGATCCAAGAGATTTACGATAAGCTAGAGGAGGGTAGCCCGGCGTTGAGGGAGATTGTGCGCTTTCTTCGGCTTGCCGGAGGAGGCAATCCCCAAGAGCGGTCGCTAGGACCTCACTTTAGGTGCTTTTGCTCCTTCGCATCTTTTGCCTCGGCGCGCTGGTAGCCTCTCTCTCTCTCTCTTTCTTAGTAGCTGTCTTGCCAGATGGGTATGATGCCTGACCCGCCCTTTTCGCAGGGTGGTGAATGACGTAGTCCCCGACTCCTCTCGCACAGTTCCTTGGCCAACAAATCCAACAAATCCAACAAAGGAAATTCAAAATAAATATAACATCAGACAGCACAAAGAAAATCAAGTTGAGTCGGAATCCTGCCACCAAGAATAGCAAGCCATGCAATCTGCCTGCCATGCGAGCGTGCTACTCGAGGCTGGGACAAAGCAGTCTGCCATAGCAATTTGTCACTCGAGATCGGGAAAAGACTGGCACGCAAGCCTATAAAAAATCAATACGAAGACACAAAAAGACAAACGCAGGGCACAAAAGTGCCTCTTTTATTCTCTGTCAAGCCACTCGCGAAAGGTTATCGTCCGCCTCGCTAGCGGCTTCGCTCTCATCTGCCTCCTCGCGCTCCGGCTCAGAGTCCTGGTCAAAAGGGTTATCTTCAGGGAGAAAAGACTCTTGCCGCACGCCCGAGTCCCTGTAAAGTCAGAGTCACTCACAGCACTGTGGCGGCAGCCAGCCACCGAGAAGAGCCTATGAAAAATCGGGCCCCATCCAGCTTTTCTATGGTGTAGGCACCATTTCCTAGATCACTCAAGGTTTCGTGCGGCCCTGTCTATCGGGGCCGTAGCTTCTGCGCTGAAGTGCGCTGAAGTCACGTCTTCTTGTTTCTGCGTGTCGTGCGGAAGGATAAGGCTCCCCTCTGCCAGAGGAATCGTCCTATTTGAATGGGTCATGGAATTATTCTCTGCTTGCCTCTTTGATCTCCTTCTAGCCTTCCTTCTCCCATGGGATATTATCAAGAGGTTGTGTTTTCCCCTTAGTTGCCTTCCCAGCGTAGATCTCCATCAGGTCCATAGTCTCTGCCTTCCGCCATGGTACAGTATAGAGTCCCTCTAGTCGTTGCGGTAATTGTCATCCTATCTGCTAGCAGCACTGTATAAAATTACTCTCTCTATGTGGTGGCAGAGGACCCCCCGCGCCTCGAGCCCGCTGGGGCAGTGAGAAGAATGAGAATAACTGTGCTCAGAGAATAGCCTGAAGCAACAGCATTTTCGGCCGACTACCCAAAAGTAATTTGTGACAAGATTTATTTTACTGCTTATCATCGTCGCAGAAGCAACTTTCGCTTCACCTTATTTTTGGCCCAAAGTGCGCTGACAGAGCCGCATCTGTAAGACCCACAGTGGGACTGGGGCTCGCCCCACCTGTCTTGTCGGAGAATACTCGACCAATCACTTTCGTTTTTATTGAGAGCGCACCCCAAATTTCTCACAGCGATACACCCGCGAAGGTGTCAGGATGGAAAATAACACTGGAGAGGATCCTCGCAGAGGGATCCCTCTGATGGGTGCAGGTGCACCAAAAGACAAAAACTGGGATATCGTGATCGAAGCACTGATCTCAGTACCGGATCAAGGGTATGACCTATGACCTTCCAGATCCAGAATCAGTGACGCTGCACAAGATCACCCCGCAGCTATCACGCCGAGAAGACTTCGACGACTGGGAAGGGGTGGTGATAAAACAACTGCAGGGCCTCAAGCTGCAAAACCTTATCGATGATCAAATTGAACGCCCAAAACGATGTGACCCTGCGGCAAAACGTTGGTGGGATCTTAGTCTACGAGTCAGTAGCTGGTTATCTGACAGACTGGCTCCCCCATTGAAGAACGAGATCGTGCTGAGAGGTAGCAAAGTGAACTTGGCTGATGACTTCATGCGAAAGTGCCGACGACAGCTGAAAGCAGAGGGACACGGTGCTATGGTTAAAGCAACTACGAAGTTCTGGAAGACTAAGCGCACTGACTTTGATACAATCACTGAATTTGTGACGGAAGTCAAGTCTCGATACAAAACCACCATGGATCTTAACTGCGGACTGAGGCCTTACCACGCGCTAGTACTCCTGGTAGACCAGCTTGGTACAGTGCCGGCTCTGTCAAACTTTGTTGGCAGACGGAATGACAGATTGGCTCTTGAGGGTGTGAAAGAGCTGAGCACTCGATTTACCCTCGAAGATCTGCTTGAATACAGTCAAGATGCTATTGACGAGATTAATTTGAAAGGCCTAGACGAAGAAGGTGGGAGCTCGCAAGTAGCCGCTACCAATCAGCAAAAAGGTCAAAGGCAGCAGAATCAAAAGCAGCAAGGGCAGGAGAGGCTTATGAATTATCCTCCCGGCAAGAAACCATATTGGAAGCATGCCGAGGAATGGAGAAATCACAAGATGCAGAAATCAGCAAATGGGAATTGCAGTTTTTGCGATAAACCAGGGCGTGGAGCTAAGAGCTGCTACCATCTGGTAGTTGAAAACCCTTCCTTCATACTGGAAGCCAGTCCCGGGACTCTGGTTTTTGAAAGGGAAGAAGACCCAGTTTCATGAACACAAGTGTCAGCAAGTCGATGGAAAGCTCTCCGTGCGCACCCGCCAAGCCAGATTTGACGTAGTAGAAAGTGCAGCGGTAGGCGACAGAGCTTACGGCCTTGTATCGATGGCTATGGCAAGCGGTGAAATCCAAGAGGTTGAGACTGACTGTGAATATGAGATGGATGGTCTCGCAGTCTCTGCTAGTGTAGCACCCAGTCGCCAGCTACGAAGCGGTGTTGACTGGGTGCTAGGTTCCGGATCTTCCTTGCATATTTGCACCAACAAGAACATGTTCATTACCTTTGAATGGTCCAGCCCAGAAGCTGCTATCAGATGGGAAACCATTACAGGACAACAGGCAAAGGATGGTCATGGAGATGTCATTCTACCTATGAGAAAGCCAGATGGGTCTCGCTATGAGCTGCAAGTGCACTGCGCTTATAAGCCAGACAACGGATTTAGCTTGCTTAGCATGGTTAAATTAAGTCAAGATCTCGGAATTACCTGGGACATAGAAAGCAAGTTGATCAGGGATAAGAATGAGGACACAATTGGCTACACTTTCATCGCTAAACATGTCCCATTTATCGAGCTAGCTGGTGAGGTGCACCCAGCACAGTATTCTAGCAGTCATCAGCAATCTTATGATCAGTGCTGAAGCTGAGCTAGCACATCGGCGCTCGGGACATGCTGGTTCTTACAGAGGCAGGATTAACAAGGGAAAATTCGGCGAAGAGGTCGGAAATGAGATGTTTGACTGTGAACCCTGCGGATATGGGAAATCAAAGAGGATAGTCTCCCGTATGCAACAAGCTACGAGTGCCTTGGTGCCTTACATCACACTCTTAGTCTATGTAGATAGTCGGGAGCTCCGCCTCCCTTTCCAATACAACTCTCTCCCTCCTCATTGAGTCCCACTTCGTAGGCCTCAAAATTATGCCGGCGGGTGAAAGGAGAAGAAGCTATTATACTCTACAGCTGGGAAGTCTGGGGCTGTTTCAGGACCTAGAGAAAGCACAGCCATAAAATTAGAGATCTACGCAGCGCTGTCGACTAGTAGTCCTAACAAATACGAACCAGCGTAGGCTCGCACTAGTTGCCTCCTTCTTATCCTCGTATTTTTCATGCATGAGAAACTTTCCATCCTAGTTTCCCATTTTCTTTCCTCCAAGGGTGACCTACAGTGAGTATCTACCTTCTCTTCCCCCCCCCCTCCCAAAAGATTTCCAAGAAGACATCCCGTTTAGGTTTCGGCCTTCCACGTGACCTTTCACCACGTGATAAGTGCTACATACAGATCACGTGTTGGCGTGTCTTCACGCGTCGGGCACTAAACTCAATTGGTGAGTGAATACGACGTAATGTGATAGTGAAAAACTTCTAATGGCTCCTGATATCAGAAGTCTTCACTGCTCAAAACGTGAACTGTGCCTAATTCAATGAACTAGTAACATTATGGCAGGAAAACGCAAGTCTAATATCGGCTCGGGTGAAGATATCTTGGATAATCAATCTGAGCGTGCGCCAAAAGTCAGTCGTACAGCTTTGAGTCCTGAGGTGACCACCTCCGGCCAGAGATTTGGCGAGTCTGCCGACTTTATTCCATTGAATCAGCTGTCGCAGGTAGTTGGTGCCGATGAAGACGATGAAGGTGCCCTTGAGCTTGTTCAAGGATCCCAGGAAATAGATGAATCCTCTTTGACGAGCTCCATTCTCTATGGTATGCACAGTTCATATAATCCCTACCTATTATCTGTGCATTAGAAACAACACTAAATAACTATATCAGGTGTTGTATCTACAAAGATTGTGGGTGTGCGCTTTTACCGGGGGCGTGCCAACCCTAATGAACGTGTCATCATAATCCGGGATGCCAATAACCAATATGATCGCAATGCCATCCGAGTCGAGAATGTTATGGGTGCCCAAATTGGCCACATTCCCAGACAGGTTGCCGCCAAACTAGCGCCATACATGGTAAGTCTTGCTGATTTGATTGCCTCGAGGGCCTTGCTGACCTTCATCATTGTAGGATGCTCGTGATCTCATTCTTGAAGGGGTGCTGACTGGTGCGATTGGAGATTTTACATGTCCAATGGATGTGAAGCTGTTTGGAACCCGTGATCCCACCAAACGATCCGGTCTGAAAGAACGAATGCAGAAAGACAGGCTTCCTGTCCGTGACTTGAATCAGACAGAGCGCGATGAAAATAAGGCACAGAAGGAAGCCGAGAAACGGCGCAAAGAAGCTGCGAAAGAGGCCGCAAAGAAAGCTCGCGCTATGGCCCTTGGAAAAGCGGCAGCGCAGTGGCAAGCCAACGATAAGTCTGAGTACGCAAATCTCTCGTCCGCAACGGGACTTGGCGGCGAACAGAATGAAAGTCTGGAGGAGCTTCTCAACCAGAGCTCCACCTTCAACCCCCGGGATATTGGTCAGGTTGTGGAAACCTTCGGACAGAAAGAGTCTGACCTGGCCAATATGCCAATGGTTGAGACTCCAGCTGGCCTTTCCACTCAGTTGCTTCCATATCAGCGCCAAGGCCTGGCTTGGATGATAAAGCAAGAGGCGCCAAAGCTCCCTGAGAAAGGCTCTGATGATATCGTGCAATTATGGAAACGGCAAAATAATGACTTCCTCAATGTTGCAACTAATTATGCCATGACCACCCAGCCAACTCTGGCTAGCGGCGGCATTCTTGCCGATGACATGGGTTTAGGGAAGACAATTCAAATCATATCTTTGATTCTTGCAAATGCCAAGCCTCTGACTGCAGGCTCTTCTAAGGCTACACTGATCATTGCTCCTGTTGGTGTCATGAGCAATTGGAGGAATCAGATTCAAGACCATGCTCATAAGGAGACCGCCCCGAGCGTCCTGATTTATCATGGCTCTGGGAAGAAGGAGGCTGCAAACTTGGCAAATTATGATGTTGTGATTACCAGCTACGGAGCCTTGAGCCTGGACTTCAATCCAAAGTCTAGCAAGCCGCCTTCCAAAGGACTGTTTTCGCTGCATTGGCGTCGTGTTGTGCTTGACGAAGGTCACACTATCCGAAATCCTAGTTCAAAGGCCTCTCTTGCGGCGTGTGGTTTACGGGCTGACTCTCGTTGGACCTTGACTGGAACGCCCATTATCAATACTCTTAAGGATTTGTACTCGCAGATTCGTTTCCTTAAGTTTTCCGGTGGCCTGGAAGACCTGGGAATTTTCAACAGCGTCTTGATCAGGCCTTTGACTGCAGGAGAACCCGAGGCTCGACTACTTCTCGAGGCTCTCATGGGTACCATCTGCTTGCGACGAAGAAAGGACATGGGCTTCATCAACCTGAAACTACCGGAGATGACCTCTCGTATCATTCGAATCAAGTTCAATGCCCACGAGCAGGAGAAATACAGTGCTTTCCAGTATGTATCGAGTGGCAATCCAAATTTTGAAGATCGATAACTAATAGCAAACACAGAACCGAAGCTCAAGGTGCTCTGCTAGACTTCAAAGACAAAGATGGAAAAACTAAATATTCTCATCTTCTCGAGGTCATTCTCCGTCTTCGTCAAGTCTGCAACCACTGGGCACTTTGTAAAAATCGCATCGACAAACTCATGGGCATGCTGGAGGAACACAAAGTTGTGCCTCTAACCCCCGAGAACGTCCGGGCCCTACAAGAGATGTTGCAGCTCCAAATCGAAAGCCAGGAAATGTGTGCCATTTGCCTTGACAATCTCGAACAACCCGTTATAACCGCGTGTGCTCATGCCTACTGCCGAGGCTGCATCGAACAGGTCATCGAACGCCAGCACAAGTGTCCCCTTTGCCGCGCCGACATCACCGATACCAAGACACTGGTCTCTCCAGCCGCCGAGCTGGGCGAAGACACTGACATCGTTGAAGCCGACCCCAACAGCCCTAGCAGTAAAATTGAGACCCTAGTGAAGATTCTGACTGCTCAGGGCCAGGCACCTGGCACAAAGACCGTGGTGTTCAGCCAATGGACCTCATTCTTGAACCTCATCGAGCCACACCTTCAACAGCGGGGAATTAAGTTCGCCCGCGTGGACGGCAAAATGCAGTCCGTGGCACGCGATAACTCCATCAATTCCTTCTCCAATGACCCCGAGTGTACCGTCCTCCTCGCAAGTCTGAGTGTTTGCAGCGTTGGGCTCAACCTCGTTGCGGCGAATCAGGTCATCCTGTGTGATAGTTGGTGGGCACCGGCTATCGAGGATCAGGCTGTTGATCGGGTATATCGACTTGGGCAGAAGCGGGAAACGACAGTTTGGAGACTAGTTATGGAGGATAGTATCGAGGAGCGGGTGTTGGCGATTCAGGAGCGCAAGAGGAGTCTCATGCTTGCTGCTTTCCGGGAGACAGCGAAAAAGAAGGCTGAGGACCGAGGTACTCGTGTTGCGGATCTTGAGTCTCTTTTGCAGTAGAGGCCATATTGAAGAGTCCACTCTGTTTTCGGATCTCTTTTTGTTTGTATAGATCACATGTCTATGTATTTGTAGCCTACAATTTATGTACATGGCTTTTTTTTTTCTCAAATGTGCCTATGTCTCTTGATTTGGAAATAACTGAAGTCCGCAGATCCATGTTCTTCTGTCAACGAGATTGCTGTTAAGGTTAAACCCTCCCTCGCTTATACATAGACCAAGAGCCGTGTATTTGATAAATATTCTCGGATATGCGAAGAAAGCATCCTCTGGGCGGTCTTGATCTGAGGTTTTGTGAAGGTTCCAGGACACCGACGATTACACAAGATGCATCAAGTCAAGATGAAGACATGATGAGAACGTACTGCAGTGTATCTACAACTGGAGTGTGCTCCAACGATTATGAGAGGCTAGGTGCCTCAGGCTCAATGGCAGAAGTCCATAGAATATCTTAATTGAGGAAGGCACCACCCACGTCCCTTCCTATTAGGGAAGGGACTCGTCGCCCACCCTGCTGACCCTCGTCGCCTTCAGCCTTCCCAAACACATAAATACCCTCTCCTCCCCCCAGTTTCTTCTTCTTCTTTTCTTCCTTCTCCACTCCCCTACCCCCTCCACCCCGTTTTGCATGTATTCCCGTCCCCCTTCCTTTCCTTTCTCATCTCTCTGCCCCACTCCTTATTCGCTGTGCTGTCATATATCTGCCTGGGCCCTCTTCGGAGGATTTCACCTTTCTTCCCCTTGGGACTTTGTTGCGCTGTGGGAAAGGTAGGGCACGAAGCAAGTCTGGGATGACCCGAGCTGTGCAAGCGCCTTTTGTTCAACACATTAGGAAGAACCTCCCTCGGCCGCTGCGGATACAGTTCGTCCTGCCCACAGTAGCCGCTGTTCCCCTCCAAGCCTTGACCCCATTCCTTCCTTACACCTTGAATTGGGGAGTCTTACCCAGTTGCATGGGGCCTGTATGCAACACCTGAGCATGACTTGCACCTCTACGTGGTGTTCAGGATGAGTAGCCATCGTGGTGAAACCAAGCAAGTCCCTTAGCTAGTTTGAACAATCAACAGTCTTTTGAAAGCCTTGATGTGTATTCTGTAGCTCCATTTATATCTGTTGGTGAGGTGTGATGACTTCTCTACGTAAACAAATCCTAGGGTAGACACGCGATATAGGACGGTGATCACACTCCCGACGTTGTATTTGAGACTCTATGCTCAGTCCATACTGGCCATAATGCTCCTCACAAGTGAATTTCTCGCCTCCATTCTTCCATAGAGCTAGTCCTTGCCCGTTACGATAATCCAAGATTCTGATATATCTACATCCCCATTTCACCCCATTCACATGAGGCGTGTATGAACCAGATAACTACCTACGTGTGAGTAGCTTCCTGCTCTGTTTGCCCCTGTCAGTGTGAAGCTACATGACTCTCAAAGAAAAATTCTATATCAAAACTGGCTCATATTGTGGATCGTAGACAACGGACGCGCTCAACCTGAGTGAATCACAATCCATCCCCCTGGCTCTTGAGTGATGGCTACAATCCCAAGTCGATCACTCCACCGTTTATGCCTATCTTCACAACGGCCCTGTCAGCGCGTGAGATCCTCACCATTTGATGCGTGCCGACTGCCCCGACTCCCCCAGCCGCGCCGCTTACGTTCAGGGACCCAGGAAAGACCGACAGGACAGATGATACCATAAGACGTCACTTTGAAGATGCACCTTCCGCTATTTGACCAGCCACAATGGCCTGTTTTGATGGATTTCATCAACGGAAATCAGTCTACCCGAAGCCTGCACAATCAAAACTGACCCAGGAGGGAAGAACAATTCCCCAAGAAACGAGGAGGCTATATGTCGAGTACCCATGTTTACAAGGTCCTTGAATCAATCCCCTTCATTGGTTTGTTACTAACACACCCTAATTTTGCTTCTTGTCGCTGTCAAGCCCACTTGATCGGCCCTCCAGCGTTCCGACGAATGAATCCATCCTCGATCATACCGCATGGCCACCTCGATGCCTGACATGTAATTTTGGCCTATCCCCGACGCTTTCTCTCGGAGTAGTGGCCAATACTCGTCAGCATTCCAAGAGACTCTGGACTACAAGAATTCCATGGATCCTAGGCCAGTTACGGTTCACCTGACACCGACCCTGTTTCGGAAATGGAAACGTTATTCTGGAGGCAGGAGACACGGCCGGTCTATTCGCAACTTGTTTCGAGCCGGGATTAGGCTCTTCAACGCGCAGCTTCCCAGACATGTACTCACAAAGTTTTGATCTCATTGTCTTTAACCTTTCGTCTTCACACAGCCGCACCCAATTTCCCTGGCTCTCTATACTCTATCCCTTCCCATGAAGTTCATCTGCATGGTTTCACCAGGCTCTAATGCCGTCACTTGTTTGGGTCTGCTACGCGCAGTTTCCCAGCATGTACCTTTGCACTTTTGATATCATTATCTTTATCCTTTCATCCTCCGCTAGCCACATTCGAGTCCTACGGCTCTTTGCACTCTATCCTTTTCCGTGGAGTTCAATTGTATGGTGTCACTAGGCTCTGGTGACAATCTACTCTCACGCCGCAACCTATCTGGGTCTGTTAACGCAGTTGCCTAATCATATACTCTCAAGGTTCTGATATCATTGTCCTTAGCCTTTCGCCCCTATACAGCCACGCTTGATTCCCTTGGTTCCTTGCACTCTATTTGCTTCCGAGAACTCAATCATATACTTCCAAAGTTCTCAGGGTTTGATATCATTGTCTTTATCCTTTTGTCCTCATGCAATCCCATTCAATTCCCCTGGGTCTTTGCCACTTCCGAGAAGTCGATCACCTATCCCGCTGACTTTTGATATCATTGTCTTTAGCCTTCGTCCCTTACACAGCCACGCGTGATTCCCCTGGTTCCTTGCACTCTGTCTGTTTCCATGGAGCAATTGAATGTTCTCGCCAGAACATGACGACAATCGACTCTCGCACCGCAGCCTGTCTGGGTCTGCTACACGCAGTTTCCTAGAATGGAACTTCAAACTTATGATACCATTGTCTTTAGCGTTCGTCCTTTCTACAGCCACGCTTGATTGCCCTGGGTCTAAGGTTACACTCTATCTCCTCCCGAGAACTCAAACACATACTCTCCAAGTCCCAAGGTTTTGATATCATTCTCTTTAGCCTTTCATCCTCACACAGCCACCCTCAATTCCCCTGGCTCTTTGGACTCCACCTGTTTCCATGGGTTCAACGAATGTTCTTGCTAGATCATGGTGGCAATTTACTCTCACGCCGCTACCTGTCTGGCTAGTAAATGCCTCCTACTTTCCCCTTTTCAGTACAATCCGGTCTTTCACTTCGAGCGCCTAGCCGAAAAGCTAGTCGCCGACGGACATAAAGTCTCGCTGGTTTCCTCTTCCTTGCTTTTTTTTCTTCTCTCCTCCATCTACGCCCGAGCACCTGTAGCATCTTTTATCTTTTATCCCACTCCCATCACTGGCCTGCATACCCCCATCACAAGCCCAGCACACCCAGCCCATCGCACCTAGCCCATCGCACCTAGCCCATCGCACCTAGCCCATCGCACCTAGCCCATCGCACCAAGCCCATCGCACCAAGCCCATCGCACCAAGCACGGCAGCCCACCCAACACAAACGCAACGACCAACCTACGACCTTGGGCAACGGCACAGGTAACGCCCCCAGAATTTCCTTGACCCCATGCGAGCACCCCTGGGGGCAAACAAGCTAGGGTACACCAGCGCAACCGAGTTGTGACACGTCGCGGGCACCCCCTGTACAAATTTGATCGTGGGCTTCAACTCCCAGATATGTTCCACAGTCGCTTTGTGTCGTGCTTTTCCTGTTCTGCATTCTGTGAAGAGAACTCTGAGGATGCAACCCGGTCTTTGACCAACCCCAATTTTTGGAACCCCAACACCAGAGATAACACTCTGGTTTCTTTGGCCCTGTGAAGAGGATTCTGAGGGCTTTTTTTGGGCCTACCGCGCACTTGAACGCGTATGGGGGCCCTTGGAAGGTTAGGGACATGCAATATTGCATGGTGAGTATCTTTTTGATTTGTTTGCTGGTATGGTGCTGACTTTTATTGTTCTTGGTATAGGTTTTGGGGGATTTGGGGGGAGGGCAAGGGTTGGGGTTGGATTTGGGGTGTGGACTAGGTGCATGTAGGTACTGACTCTTTGTACTTAGCATGGTCACATGGAGACTCGTTTAGATTGAATTGAAGTATTGTTTTGTAGATAAAATGATAGTTACTCTTGTGTAGATTTTCTGTCTGAGTCTCATAAGATAGAACAACCGAGCATAAGTCACTTAATGATCGATGTACATGAGGAGTTCTGTATGGTATCAAGAGCATAATGCTATTCAATTAAACAAAGAGACCGACGCTAGTGACTAAACCATTCAATCATCAAGATCTATCATTCCTTCTTGTCATGCACTTCCTCGATCCGTTTAATTCCAGAATTTGATCCAATCCCAGAGGACAAAGTAACACGAACAAGCCGCCAAAGCACCCACAAGAACCCAAGAGAGATAACCACACATGTCCCGAGCTCAATGTGCTTACCTTGGAAGTAACCATCCTCGCCAAGTCGCAGAACTGGCACGTCGATATCCTCAATTAGACGCTCACCCGTAGGCTGAAGCTGGTAGAACATGGTTCGCGGGCCAAATAGACCATCCCAGCCGAGATTGGTGCGGTCGAAAGGGTTCACGCCCATCTTCGTTCCGTCCTCGGCGGTACAGGCCCAGAAGACGACGGGCCAGGGGACGTGCGCGGTGCGGTATCCTGTTTCCGAAGGGGGTAGGTAGCGCAGATGTAGAGGAATAGTGGCGGTCCAATTGGAGGAGTCTGGCGTGCTGGCCTCATCTGTGATTTCTGGGGTTGCTAGCTCGAGGAGCCAATTTGAGCCCCAACGTTGAATGACCCAGTCCGGAGCTTCGAGGTCCATTTCACCCGCTAGAGCACGGAGGGCTACGATGTTATGTGATTCGAGGAAGAGCGGATCTGTTGTGCCAAGCTGGAATTGATCTCCAAAGATATTGGATGGGAGGGTGAGGTATGTATGTAGCGCGCAGGTTGCCTCACTGGGTGCTGGGGGCCGTTTAAGTGATGATCGGGGCATAGATATAGACATCATGGGATGGAGACCAGTTGGAGGGGCGAATGAGACGGTGTAGCTCGCTGGTTCGATGAGAGGTTGGTGGCGGGAAGGGAATGAGAACATGGTTGGTTCTGTATAGATGTTAGTTGCCATATTTCGAACGGCCTGGGAGGGGCACAATATGTGCACCGCCACATATGAGCCCAAGATCACATACTGAGCTTCTTGTCCTGTCCAACAACCGCTAACAGGCCGCCCATCTTGATCTCCTCTGGCTCAAGCCCTGGCTCGGCGCCTAAGAGGCCAAATTCAATTTGGTCAGTGGTGGAAGTCGGTGTGTCAAATTGATCTGTCCATCCACCTGTTGGTGGTCTGGTCCAGAGTCCAGACACGGTCAAGGCGTGTGAAATGCTGTCGTAGTCGATATCGACCGAATCTGCAGAGACGAGGGCATGGGCCCAGGTGTGGCACTCGGTGCCATGAACGTCGCTCTTACCACAGACAGCAGTCTGGATATATTTGACCAAAGATTCAATAGAGGTGAGTTGGGTGTGGTATTGGAAGGAGGCGGAGGAAGCGAATCGTGTCGAGAGAAGCGGGGGTGTAATGAACGAGTCCTGTATAGCAGATTGAGGACCAGGTCAGACACAGCATGCAGAGAGGAATCGGAGATCCATGAATGAATAGAGACACGATCAAAATACCTCCGGCTTCAAACAGTTCTTGTATTGAGAGTCTTGATTGGGTGCGACCACCGTGCGGAGCAGTGTGCACAGTGCCTCCCTATCGGACAACCAAATTAGCCAATCCCCTCCTGCAGAAGTCCTCGGTGATAGGATGAGCTCACGAAGACGAGTCCGACGTCAGCGGAGTATAATGCACATGCAGACCAGGCGATACCCGGCTTGTGAAAGGTGCGACCGCATCGTAGGACCGCTCGGAGGCCCAGCGGAGGTGAAGCTCATGGGATTGCTCGAAGACACCGCGCAGCTAAAATTTCAAAAACCTCCAAGTTAGCATTTCCAATGCCACAAATTCTTTTTCTCAACCGATGCTTCTTACCTCGTCTGGAAGCTCATCTAGTCCGACCGTAATACGGTCCTCCCGCGCGGCGTCCAAGTCACGGACGGAGAGGGATGACGTGGTCAACACAGCTTGCTGCGGGTCGAAACCAGCATCAATGCTCTGGACAAATGTGATTCTTCGTTTCATGGTTTATGGGATCAGACTAAGGTGATTCAAGCAAAATGTCAACAGGAGGGACTGGTTTCTCCAAGGTGTGGTTTCTCCGCATTCGCTCAATTAGGTTAGACTATGTACATTACGTTATTCGATCGCACCAGCCCTGGAGCACTCTCTCGAGAGTGTCCTTTAACATGAAGACCATTAACAAGCAAACCTTGGAAACATCCAAGATGATCCAAAAATAATTCATACAAAAGCTCGTTCATATCATTGTCATTAAATACTCCGCCCAGTAAAAACGCTTCCCGCAACGCCAGATATATGCAAACAAACGGAATCATTTCAAGGCAGCACATCCCGGAGAATGTCTTTTTCGGAGGAAGTCAAGCTAGTAGGGAACTTGACGTTTACGCGGATGAGCAGATCGCCGCGCTCGCTTGGATTCTTGGAGATCACCATTCCTTGGCCAGGATAGCGTTCTTCGTGGCCTGGCTGAGTGGGACCGGGCTTTGACACGCGAATGGATTTCCCGTCGATGGTGCGGACAATGCGCTCCCAGCCTGTTAGTGCTTCCTTCAGGCTGAGTTCGACTGTAGTGACAAGATTGTCTCCGGAGCGCTTGAATGTAGGGTGCTCGACCTCCTTCACAATCAGGTGGACATCTTGTCGCCCTCCTTCTTCTTGATCACCGATGTTTCTATACTTGATCTTGGAGCCTGCACGCAACCCGGGCTTGATGTTGGCTTCCAAAGTCACATCCTTAATTGTGCGCTTGCCCATGCTATCAAAGGCTTTGCTCTTTGTCTTGACCTTTTTGGAGGTACCAGTGAATATCTCCTCCAAAGTCAATGGCAGGTCCTTTTCGACGATAGTAGGCTCGGGGGTAGGTGCCCGCTTGGGCTTCGCGTATCCAGGTCGGCTGCTGCGGAAGCCGCCGCCCATTCCTCCTCCAAGCATATCGAAAAGGGTATCATCGTCCATGCCGCCCATACCACCCATACCACCCCCGCTGCCTCCGCCCTTGGCGAAGTTGCGGAAGATATCGTCAGCATCGCTGAAACTGAACCCACCCGCACCACCAGGGCCGGTCGAGAAGTGGAACTTCCGGCTACCACCACTGGGCATGCCGCCGAAGCTGAATCCGCCGGGCATGCCACCCTCGAAGCCGGTTGCACCGCCTCCGGCTCCTCCTGGTGGGGGTGGTGGAGGGCCGCCGTGCATGAGATACTCGAGACCGAACTGGTCGTAGACCTTGCGTTTTTCAGGATCGGATAAGACTTCGTAGGCTTGCGAGACTTCTGTTGGAAGCGTTAGTATTGTACGGAATAGAGTGGTTTGAAATCGTGCGGGGTAACGGACCTTTGAATCTGTCGGCTGCTTGAGGGTTATCCTTGTTCTTATCGGGGTGATGTTTCAATGCCGCTTTGCGGTATGCCTTCTTGATCTCATCTTGTGTGGCATCGGGGTTGATGCTCAAAGCATCGTAAAGCTTGCTTTCGACCACCATAATGCGGGGTAAGGTCGGGATTTGTGGGAAGTGGGAAAGGTCGGTTTAAAATTTTTGGGTTCTGCAGAGATTGGACATGCACGCTTAATAGTTACGGTGCTTTCCGACAGGAAAAAGAATCCTGTGTGAGAGAGTGTGAGAGATGGTGCGGTGTGTTTCTCGAATGACGTAGAAGGTTCACCCAATCGGAACGGCGGATCGTGCGACGACGTGCCAAAATAATCCAGAATTGATGCAAGACTGAAAGCCAGTTTCCAGGAGAAGATGTTTGAGGAAGAAGAAAGCACAAAGCGCTAAGTCCTGTCAGCAAGTACTTGAATCCCAGGGATCAAGTCTGGAGTCGTCCCGAGTGAGTGACGTGTGACGTCGCACCACCGAAGCTTCTCGAAGCTTCGTTTCTACTGTACATGTCAACGCTGTCTTTATGTTTGTTGGAAACGAACAGGGATAACTCTGCAATGATCTGGAGATTCTTCCCTCATTTATGCCCTCTGTATGGTCTGATGTTCGTTAAAATCACCTTGAAGCTCGCATAGTCCATAACATCATATGCCCCACATCGATGTCACTAACATAGCCGAGCCCCTGTATGTACTCGTTCTAGCCGCTTTGACCAGTCTGAAACATGTAGATTTTTTTAATAAAAGAATCATACTCCGTACAGTGTTCTCGTAAGGCATGGATCGATATAAACATAACGCCATCGTGAGGGAAATAGCAGTGACCTCGGTAGGTGCATTATTTACTAATGATTTGTACATCCGTCAATGCCGATTCCACAGGCAAAAGAAGCGTCTGTAGTGCACAATCTATATGTCACTCAAAATGGGCGGTTCGGGTATTGGGTGCCTGTCAACTGCATTCGGAATATCCATATCTACCTATTTGCTGGTAAAATGTGAACACCGGGGGAAGAGGTATCTACGTACTATAACCTCTTTAGGGCATCGATAACCGTTTGGACTGGGGTTTCACTTCTTGGCCTAATTTCTCAGGCAGACACGATTCCTCTTCCTTTTTCTACCACCTCATATATAACATCCAGTTTATATAGTCAAAATGTCAGCTTTTTAAAATTTAAAAATCATATATCATCATGAACAGCTTTCTTTATAATATGTAGATCCTATAGTGCCTGCAATATAATTTCTAATCTTCCCTCGTCCTACCTCGTCCACGCTCCCGCTCCCGTCTATCCCTTTCTTAGTCTTCATGGAATATAAGTCCCAGCTTTTCTAGTTTCTGAGTATCATACCTTCTTCTTCTTCTTCTTCTTATTCTAGTAGCCTCCACAATATTGATAAAAATATCTATCCATGGATGTATAAATACACACTGAGCGTTCAGTCCCACTTTCTTAGATGGACACCATCCAGGTCCGGTTCTATCTTCTTCGCATATACCATCTTTGATGCCAGCTTTTCCATGCATTTGATTTTGATGTCTACGGCCTTCGACTAATGAAGTCCTCACATTCCTCCCTCTACTAAACAATCAATCCCTCTTGACTTCATATTCCCATCTCCGGTAAAGGCCATGGAACATCCGTCATAAGAAACTGGTCCAGATCGAAGTTCTGCAGACTGGGCATATCAATCATCAAATCCCCCAACCACGAAAACTCCGCATCTGAGACCTGCGCCAATGGCGCAGCCTGCACCTGGCTCTGGCCCCGATGTTGATCCAACGCAGAAGGCGTTCCCAAAGTGTCCTTCAGATCCGGCACTGGTGCCGACGCTGGCGCTGCAGCGGCAGCATTCGCTCGTAAAACCTCAGCAAGAGCACGGGTATCATCCTCCTTCCGCCGCTGATGTAACGCGATAAGCAAGTATGCCGTTGAGTACGCTTCGCGCATAGAAGGGGTATCATAGGCTGCGTGAACTTCCCGCAGCGTTCGCATTGCATCGGCGAGCAGGGCTAGCGCAGCCTGGTTATCGATTGCTAACAGGGAGCAGACGACCTGGAAGGGGACGTTGGCAACTTGGTGCCAGGGACAGGAGGAGGCGACCATCCCTCTTGCGGCGCGGAGTCCACGGCCAGCCATTGCGAGCACGCGCTCGAGAAGATTGGATGATAATGGGCCGTATGGATTTAGAGCACGGAGGCGGCGGTAAATGCATAGCATTAGGTTGCATTGGACGAGGACGAGCGAGGGTTCGGAGTAGAGAAGATCTAAGACGGAGGTGAGGGCGACTTCGAGTTCTGGGAGATCTTGTAGCGAGGGGCCTGTGGGGTCGAGGCTTTCTGAAAGTGGGAGAAGGTGAAAGATGTCTGCGCGTGGGGCTCGGGGTGGTGCTTGAGTTGGGTTGCGGGATGGGGGTGTGCTTGAAGGTGCGAGAGCTGTGGCGCCGTGGAGGACAACGCGGGACCGGCCGAGATCAAAGGAGATCCATGTGTTGAGGTGTCGGGCCATGCCGAAGAGTCTTCGTCGGGTTTCGGGGTCGTTGGTGATCTGAGTTTCTATATCGGAACCATCTTGGCTGACACGCGTCTCTGGTGAGGTTGGGAGCAGACCTGCTGCTTCTGGGTCTGAGATTTCCAGGTGTAATCCTGCGGCTTCGATGAGATGCATCAGTGTGCAGCTAGCCATCCATGCAGCATGTGGTGAGGCCGTCATCCGTAGATACGCAGCACGCAACACCCAGCCTGTGACTATGTCGACGGATGGCATTTCCGCTGCGAGGGTGCTTTTATCCAGAAGAATGCGCGCCGTTTCAATTAGGCGGAGTTCTTGAGGTATAACCTCGCGCCGCGAAAAAAGATATCCGAAGGCAGCAACGCCGCATAGTACAGCATCGTAGGGATATTCTACGGAGTCAATAGGAGATGGCGAAGTTTCCCAACGAGTTGCGATTCGAAGGAAGATCATCTTGCGATCCAAGAATGTATAGCATGGATCGACCTTCTCAAAGTAAATCGCTGCTAATCGCCGCATCTCTTCCTGCGAGATGATTTTGGTGATAGTCGCGGGTGTCGCCTCCATGACAGGCATTGATGGAAGCGCCGATGATAGAGTTGGCGATAGTCGCCTCTCGCCGACGTTCCAGGCAAATAACTGCAATCGTGGTGCGTGCGCCGGGTCAATATTCAATCCGAGTTTGCGAACAAATGTGGCTCCAGAATTAGCTTGTAGGGAATGGGTTGCTCCCTCCGAACTTCCCACAGGGCGGGGTGAGGCCTGTATCGCAGCGCTCTCTGCGATAGGATTCGTGACTGCGTTGAACCCGCCATTTGTATCATCTAGGGATAAATTCGCTCGGTAAAGACTTTGGGATCTGGCGCGTTTCTTGCGCGCAGTGTATTGGCATTCTGCGCCTGTTTGAGCGCAAGTGCTACAGGGCTGACCACCGGAACATTTGCGCTTGCGCGACTGACATAGAGCGCAGGCTAATTTTGAGCGCTTGCGTGGTGTTGACTCGGACATATTTGGGGAAGTACGGGGAACATCGCGGGGAGTTGAACGGGGAATGCCGCCAAGCAAATCAGACGGTTTTGGGGGGGCCACCTCCAGGCCGACCCAGCTACTTTATAAGCTGACAACATTCTCATTATCATCTGGATCTCTCTCCTTTGGAATTCCAACTACTTCAACTGCATTCGGAGGTTCTCGCTATTCCCACATCTGTGTCTTAATCCTTGTACTTGCTACCATTGGGATATCCCATCAATCCCTCCACTGCTTTTAAATCTGGCATCCCCGCTGGCCCCGGGATATATTGAAGATTATCCCGGAAGGTCGTCCCATTCCACCATAGTTCGTTCTTGTGCAGCGCATCCATGATCATTGGTGCATCGATGTACGTGCGGATCTCGACCATCTGGCCCTGATGCCAGCGCGTGAACCAGACATTGGTGATATCGAACTTGTCGCCTGGCATGGATCAGTGACGGAGAGATCGAACTAGGAAGATGCCCATACCGGAATTCATCACTCCTTTGAATTGAATTTCCTCCACCGACCATTTAGCATCACATCCGCCATAGATTCCCCGCGGGTGAATCTCAAACAGATCTGCATGGTCGGAAAATAACATGCTGACACGACGTAAGGCGTTGACGTAAAAGTGCATTAGGTCGTGGTAACGGCCGGCGATCGGATGGTGCCCGACAACGGTGAAGCTAACATTCTTATGAATAACTGTGAAGAGCTTGCCCATGTCCTTCTCAAGGTCTTTGAATGAGTCCCAGATGTGCATTTGCGACGCATATTTGCAGTCTGTGGATGGGTTCTCGAACTTGAACCCTTCTCGATCATGGGGTTTGGGACCATCTACGACTCCAGTGCCATTGCACTTGCTATCTGGGTCCACAATTCCCGTCCCATCATCACATCCCGATGTCAAGAGTGGGCTCTGGCTACTGTGTCCAGAGGACAAGGAGCGGCCAAAAGTCGCCGATGGCAGGAGAGATGCCACTAAGGCATAGAACACATATTGAGAGAGAATCATTGTGGAAACTTGTATTGCGACACAGCGTACGGAGTACAGGCTTCTTCTTCTTCTTCTTCTTCTTCTTCGGTTCGTTCTGTTTTCTTGTATTTATATGATGCTACCTCTATCCCATTAATGTGCCGTGAGGTTGCCCTTGGCCGGCAATGTTGCTTCCCAGGTCCCCTCGAGCACTACGTTGTGACACTGAGCGTGAACAAGCCCATTTCGTACCACAAACAAACCTACCGAATCATTTCAAAATTGACACGGCGAGTTTTTCTTACGCAAAGGACCGACAATGGAGCGACTCCTAGTGGTCAATCCGTATCGCGATGTGCAGGGGTACTGCAATATACAATGTGCTATTGGGTGGGGGCAATAGTGCGGTGTACATTGTAAGTTGGACCTAAATCGTACTTCCGACCGAACCCAGGCCATCAAGACGAATGCCTCACATTGCCTCCAAAAGGTGGAAAGTGATCCAACTGGATCGTGAAAACATAAGCAATTCCAAGGATCCCTTCGGTGCCTGAGATCGCCACCGGAACCGGCACTCGGGGATGAGTCAAAGCCCCTAAACCGAGCGGAGACCGGCAGCAGAAATATGACGCTCTCCGATTGGTTGCTGCCGGCAAAGTCGGTGAGATCACGTGCCCACGGTGTCGAGGGTGAAAAACCTCTTCTTTTCCGCTTTTTTTCCGACTTTTCTCCCCAACATTCCAACACCACAACTCATGTGTCGCTAAAAAGCACCCCTTTCCCTCTCTCTACCATAACTCTGACTGCCACCCGCTCAGTCGCGCTTATGTGTTTGGCACCCTCGATCTTCACCTCCCAGGACTATATCTCGGACCACCTTTGGAAAGCCAACATCAACTGAATACCATCACGCTCCCCACTACCTTACAACCCTTACATATAAAACAAAATGATCTCCAACCTTTTCAAGGCGATGCCTGCCCGGGCTTCCGCCTTTGCCTCCGTGCAGCGACCTGCTCAGGCTCGCTTCATGGCTACTGTGCGCCAGCGTGCTGCTATGGAGCCTGCTACCTTCACCATTCGTGATGGTCCCATGTTCTCTGGCAAGTCCTTCGGTGCTCGTTCCAACATCTCCGGCGAGGCTGTCTTCACCACCTCCCTTGTCGGATACCCCGAGTCCCTGACCGATCCTTCCTACCGTGGTCAGATTCTCGTTTTCACCCAGCCTTTGATCGGTAACTACGGTGTCCCATCCGCCGAGAAGGACCCCAATGGACTTTTGAAGTACTTCGAGTCCCCCAACCTCCAGGCCGCTGGTGTCGTTGTCGCCGACGTGGCCGAGCAATACAGTCACTGGACTGCTGTCCAGAGTCTGGGCGAATGGTGTGCCCGTGAAGGTGTCCCTGCCATCTCTGGTGTCGACACCCGTGCCATTGTCACCTATCTGCGTGAGCAGGGTTCTTCCCTGGCCCGTATCACTGTTGGCGAAGAGTACGATGCCAACGAGGATGAGGCTTTCACTGACCCTGAGCAAATCCACTTGGTCCGCCAGGTCAGCACCAAGCAGCCTTTCCACATTGCTGCTGCTGATCCTACCTCCCACGTTGCTGTCATTGATTGCGGTGTCAAGGAAAACATTCTCCGCAGCCTGGTCGGCCGTGGCTCCAGCGTCACTGTCCTTCCCTTCGATTACCCCATCCACAAGGTTGCCCACCACTTCGATGGTGTCTTCATCTCCAACGGCCCCGGTGACCCAACTCACTGCCAAGATACCGTCTACCACCTCAAGCGTCTGATGGAGACTTCTCAGGTCCCCATCTTCGGTATCTGCCTGGGTCACCAGCTCCTCGCTCTGGCCGCCGGTGCCAGCACCATCAAGCTCAAGTACGGTAACCGCGCCCACAACATTCCCGCTCTTGACCTGAGCACTGGTCGCTGCCACATCACCAGCCAGAACCACGGTTACGCTGTTGATGCTTCGACTTTGCCCTCTGACTGGAAGCCCTACTTCGTCAACTTGAACGATCAGAGCAACGAAGGCATGATCCACAAGTCTCGTCCCATCTTCAGCACCCAGTTCCACCCCGAGGCTAAGGGCGGTCCTCTCGACTCCTCTTACCTCTTTGATATCTACTTGGACTCTGTGCTCAAGTACAAGAACAACCAGGCTGGTCTCTTCCCTGAGCGTGACAGCCGTCCCAGCCCTCTGCTCGTCGATCTGCTCGGCAATGAGCGCGTTGGTGTTCAGCTCACCACCGGACAGCAGAACGTGCTGGCCGCTGCTGCCGCCGCCGGCGCTGCTTAAATCTGTCATCTTTATCTAGCGTCGGGGTGTTTATGTTTTTAAGGTTCCATCGGTTATTCTGGGTCCATATTTTATATTTGCATTTTGTTCATAGGTTCCTGAGATATCAAATCAACAGCATTAAACCATAATTTTGTGTCTAAGCTCTTTGTAGTCGTGTCAATATTTTATTTCGTCATCATTCTTGATCCCTTGAATCTACTTGGCCACAATGGACACCACATCCTCGTCCGCAACCAGATGTGACAGTCCCACACGTTGTGGAACGTGTCTTGCGCTCGCTCCCCATACCATCGCATACTTAAATGTGTCCTTGATTGTGCGATGGATCTGGTCACAAACATCCTCAATGGTAGAGTCCTTGCGCACGATGAGCGCCTCATCAAACTTAGGCTCCTCTCCCTTTCTATAGACAATATAACCGTTAGATATGCCATTGAAAGCAAAATTCAAACATCGATGGATCATACCGTTTCGTGTAAAGTCGCATCAATCTCAATTCCTTCCAGATACGTTCAACGACGTCTTGCACGCCAAGGTCAAGTTCACAACTCATGACAGCTGTGTAAGGCTCGCGGGCAAGAGCGTCAAGGAATTCGAGGCCAATGCTATCGACCTTGTTGTAGACGTAAAGACTGGCGGGAAAAGAATCAGTATTTGATAGTTGGATATCAAGTGTCATTAATGTCAATCTTACCAGCGAATGTACTTCCGGTGATCTTTCATAATCACATCGATGAAGTCGTCGATCGTAGCTACAATTGATCAGTAAGTTGGCAGGTTCGATGGACAGAGGTATCACATACCATTTTCATCTCGCACGAGTACTTCGCAGTTGAGAATCTTGTAATCACGAAGCACATTGTAGACCAGCTTCTCGTCCAGGTTCTTTGGTGGTGTGGCAAATGAGATCTTCATACCACCAGCCTTCTTAATTTTGAGGTAAATATTACTGTGAATGGATCAGTATATGAGTTCGAGCAGATTTTCGGACAAGATTGGCATACGGCGGCTCCTTGTTCAACCGAATGCCAACGGCATCCAGTTCAGCCTCGAGCAGGGCACGTTGTTCGGCACGCTTTGTAGCGTCCAGAACCATCAAGATCAAATCACTTGTCTAGGGAAGCCTCGTCAGTATTTCTCTAGCTCTCCTGTCGAACAAGACAGTCCGCTTACCTTCGCGGCCGAGATAACCTGGCGACCACGTCCTTTGCCCTCCGAGGCGCCTTCGATGATACCGGGCAAATCCAAGATCTGGATCTCAGCACCACCATACTCCAACACGCCGGGAATAGCCGTCAGCGTGGTGAAAGAGTAAGCTGCTGCCTCACTCTTGGTCTTAGTGATCTTAGACAGGAATGTGGACTTTCCGACGGAGGGAAAGCCAACGAGGGCCACTCGTGCATCGCCGCTCTTGCTGACATCGAAACCCACGCCACCGCCAGAACCAGCACCACCGACTGGCTCCAAAAGCTGAGCTCTTAGTCGGGCAAGCTTTCTGAGAATGGTGTTAGTTCATGCTTTTAAGTTCGGGTCAGAGAATATTACTATACCCTTTCAATAGACCCAGATGATATTCTGAGAACAATCAGAACATTAGATCAGACTCATTGCCAATTATAAGAAGTCCATCATACCTGTGGCCTTATTCTCTGCGGGGCATTAGCGGGGTGATACATGTTTACGGAGGATAAGACACTTACTCTGCGTCCGACGCATCTCATCCTCAATCCTGTAGACCAACCAATAAGCAAATTGCTCCGCTCAAACCGCAAGTGACAACTGATAAAAACGTACTCCTTGATCTTCTCTGTAATGTTCACCATCTTGCCGGTATTGGAGTCGTGTAGACTGCGAAATCACTAAATCTTCCTCTGTGCCTCCGGCGATCAAAAACGAAAGCCAGGCGGGCACCCGCCAAGCCTTATGTAAGCGCCTTCTTCGCGACCTCAGCTCCCAAAGCCCTTTTTTTGAAGCTCCAAGCTCGACATTCCTCAACGTCTCCGATAAAACTACAGCCATGGCAGAGGTATCGGTCGCTGAGCCCCAGGCTCCCATTTCCACAAATTCCCCCGAACCGGTTGACACCAATGCCGACGAGATGACCGTGGCGACAACCGTCGCGACGGACGACACACCGCAAGGAGATCAACAACTCCAAACTGTCAAGAAGACCAAGATCATTCGCAGGAAGAAGCGGCCCGCGAGGATACAAGTTGACCCATCGACGATCCAGCGCGAACCCGCGCAGCAACCTGGGTTGGATTACAATATTTGGTATAACAAAAGTGGCGACAACGAAGACAAGTACGGACTCAGTCAGCCGGCGACGAGTCGGTGCAATGTTGCGCGTGACGCTGGATACACTCGCGCTGATCGTGTGCCCGGCTCTTTCTTCTGGTAAGAAGACATACATCGCGGACTTCGGGCATAGCTCTTTCACGGCAACGAACATTTGCTAATCGCTATGGTTTGATCTAGCTTGCATTTCGCTCGAGGTGTCTGCGTGAAAGGCCAAGATTGTGAATACTTACACCGTATACCCACCCTTCACGATATTTTCAATCCAAACATGGATTGTTTTGGTAAATATCACACCCCCAAAATCGCTCTTTGATCGTTCAAAACTGGTGGCTGACTGAAGATCATAGGGCGGGATAAGCACAGCGATTACAAGGAAGTGCGTACAATTTCAAAGTGGTCTCGCGATATCATATCCGGAATTCAATGCTAATACTCCTTGAAATAGGATATGTCTGGTGTGGGTTCGTTCATGCGCCAGAACCGCACAATCTATGTGGGAAGAATCACAGTCTCGTGAGTGTCTTGTACCGAAAAATCTACTTGGTCACTTTATCTAACCTTTATCTAGGGACGATATTGAAGAGGTTGTCTCAAGGCATTTCGCGGAATGGGGCCAGGTAGAGAGAACGCGTGTTCTCACTGGCAGAGGTGTCGCCTTCATAACCTATAGTCACGAAGCCAATGCTCAGTTCGGTGAGTGATTCCTCGAAGAAAAACGAGTGAAAGTCATACTGACTTTAACCCAAGCCTTGGTAGCAATGGGAAATCAAGCTTTGGACCATGAAGTAAGTTTGTTCCTCCAGCAAAAAAAAGGACAAATCACTAACAACGAATAGGAAATCTTAGTAAGTTGATTATATCGATTGCCGCTCACAATAATGGCTTCCTTGGACGTTCAAAACTAACATAGGCAGAACGTGCGCTGGGCTACTGCTGACCCGAACCCCATGGCACAAAAGCGTGAGGCACGTCGGTTAGAAGAGCAGGCTGCCGAGGCCGTGCGCCGGGCTCTTCCCGCAGCTTTTGTAGCAGAGATTGAAGGCCGCGACCCCGAGGCCAAGAAGCGAAAGAAGATCGAAGGAACCTTCGGATTACAGGGTTATGATGTTCCAGACGACGTGTGGCACGCCCGGACACGTCAATTGGAGGATGCAAGCCAGGCTGCCCAGCTAGAGGCACCTGTACAATCGATGATGATTGAGTCTGCTCCTGTTCCGGTGCAGGAGCAACAGCGACAGAGCAACGGTATCTTCTCCAGTTCTGCTGTTGCGGCCCTGCGGGGGCTTAACGGCGGAGTAGTCAGTACACAAGCACCCAAGGCCACCGGTGGCCCCTTAGTCGCCTATGGTAGCGACGACGAGAGTGATTGATTCACGTGCGTTTTGCACAACATCTCCTTCGGCTTTGCTTCATTATGATTGCGAAACTTTTCATGTACAACAGCAACGATACCTCTGACAAAATGTTTATTTCTCTCCATCTCCATACAGAATATTCGTATATCTTCCGGGCGTCATTCATCAGGGTATCACATCCCGAGCACTCGCTAAAACACCACACTGAGAGAGGAGAGCGTCAAATAAAACAGACACACATCCACCCATAAAACCAAATGCAAACCCCATGAGTCCCAATATGGGGCCTATGCATGACTTAAAACTCCCCTCCATCACCCTTCCCCCCAATGAAACCAGTCCAGTCGTAAATTCATTTCTCACTATGGTCCCAGATCGTAGTACACGCAGGAGCCTGTACGGTAATTGTAGATAAAGGCATTCGTGTAGCCTTCTGCGTTATCGCCTGTGCGATTCTCCGTAGCCAAGTCGATGAGCATCTCCTGCACTTGATTGAGATATTTCCGCTCGGTCAGTGGTGCATTCTGGATAACGCTGCGCCAGCTCTCCGCGTCTGAGAGACGCGTGTTCCGGATAGCGTCAAGGACTTCGTCGCGAGTGTCGATCGCAACGATGGGGCCGTTGCGGGCATTTTCGGCTACTTCCCGAGAGGAAAGTAAGGCTAATACAAATTCATATTAGTATCAACATCCGGCAACTGCAGTGGAATTACCAAAAACATACCTGATTCAACGATATTCCTTCGGTTCGACTTCTTGCTTCGATGCTGAGGGACGAGGATGCGCACATCGTTCGCCCGTTCCTGGAACGCGAGGGCGTCCTGTTGGCTGGATTGACGAGATTGGCGGAGATCAGCAGTTCCTTCGCGATGGTGGCGCGCTTGCACTTCTGTTCGAAGCCATGACACCAGTTCTGCGGGACGGAGATCAAATTCTTCCTTGCGCATTAGGCTTCGGACTTTGAAGCCACGCTCTTTGCTGTCTTGCTTGGCAATCACAATCCATCGGTGGTTGGAATCTTTGTATTTTGCCAGCAGCTCTTCGAGGGACGAGGCGTCAACAGCGAGCTCTGCGCTTATATCGTTTGACCAGAGCTCTTCAATTAGTTTGACTCCTGTTGTGCGGAGAACGGTTGCGTCGAAGCTGGCAACAAGTACATCACACTTTGTTTGAATGTCAGCAAATCTGCATCGGACGGGTTGGAAAACAAGATAACTTACTCGACGGGCTGCCCAGTACAAATCCTCACTGGACTCGGAATCTTTTGACGGAGCCTTGGCTTTCAGGTAATGAATCATCGAAGAGCGAAGTCGGTCCGAGCCGAGGTTAAAGCCGACTGCATGCGCTTGAGGTCGATTTGACAGGACATTAGGTGAAAATTCCTGTATCAAACGATCATACCTGCCACCTGCGGCAAACACATCACGTCGTTTGCTATCAAATATACACTGGAACAAAATGCTACCTCGGTAGAATTTGTCATGGACGCTGCTGAGTGGGTTGATGTAGACTTTCCGTTTCACGCCGAAACTCTGCAGATAGGTCATGAGTACGTTCAAACGAGCGAAGATTGGTGAAATCCGCTCTGCGTACTCAGTCCCTTCCATGATATGCTGCAATCTGCGCTGTGTCTCCTTCAAAGAGCCTGTATATTATCCATTAGCATATTGGCTCTGCCCGAAAATCAATATTTGACATACCTCTGAAATCGAATCGAGCAAGATCATCCAATGAAGTTGAAGCAACACCAATTGCCGGAGCCCGCAGTTCACTTCGGATCTTTTGCATGCTATAGCTCCTAACATTCAGCTTACTGATAACTTCCTTGACTTTGGGAATTTGTGTAGGCGTGATGCGACAGAATTCCATGATGAGCTGGAGCAGATCGGAGTGGTTGACAAGGAAGCACATCGGGGTAGATCTTAATGGCGGGAATTCCTCGATGATCTCATCCAAGACCTTGATGACTTCTGCCTCTTTCAAGGCGAGGTCCAGGGTATTGTAGGAGACGATATCGAAGTCAACTTCACGATAAGTTCCCGGTTGGCTGCCATGGGTAGATTCTCTGTAGACTGTGCCAAATGCAAATGTCTTCTCAAGCGAGCGATCCTGTCTTGGTATTGCTCGTGCATTTGGAAGTGTCAAATCAAATGGCAGCTGTAGAAGATTGCCAGATGCATCAAGCACGCGTACTGCGCCGTTATTACCGTTATTATAATGCTGGGATCGAGGGAAGAGCATTTGCCTCGTTGACTCAACAGCACCATGTCGTCGGAATATTGAGGTCAGCTTCTTTTTGACTAAGCCCTGAACAAGTAGCTCGTTCGCACCTGGTACCGCATGCGAGTCTATGTCCCAAGCGATATCTTCAAACTTCTTGGGTGACTGAGAAAATATAGCCGATAGAATCTTCTTGTAGTCAGGTGAATTTGGATCTGACAGTAAATGTACAATAGCCCGTCGGAACGTCTCTTCCTCAATCTGAAGGGGGATCTTTCCACTGGCCAGAAGATCGGAGGCGGTGGGACGTTCGCTCGGGGTATGGCTTAGAAGAGATTCAATGATCTGGCCTTGGAGCAATTTGTCGGATTGCTGGAAGGTAGGTGGAAGAGTGTGATCCTTTTCTCGGATTTGTCGGAGTGTTTGATCACGTTCCATGCCAGTTGGCAGTGGATAGCACATCTCAAAAAAGATAACACCAAGTGAGTACATCTGGAGAGCGTGAGCATATTTGTGGTGCCATTTATATATTCCTTACTTACGTCGACTTTTTCGTTGTAGTGTCCCGAGACAACCGACTTCATCTCCGGCGCCACATAGTAGGTCGTACCCAGACTGCGAGTGAAGTCTCCTTCAAAGTCAGCAGCCGCGGACGAACGCACAGCCGTGGTAAATTGACCACTTGTGGCAAGACCAAAGTCACCAATGCGAGGGTTATTTGCAACATCAATGAAAATATTGTCAGGCTTCAAGTCACGGTGTATTATTCCGTGACTATGAATGTGGCTCAGGCCATCGAGAATTTGCCGGAAGAAACGCCATGAACGCTCATTATCATCGTGCAAATCATCTCTTATGACATCGCGCAAGGTCTGCAGCAATGTTAGCCTGGAATATCGAGTAACCAATCATAACAACACTTACATGCTTCTCGCAATACTCCATCTGGATATAGAGCGTTGTTACAATAGGCCGGGCATGAGAGCCCGATCTTGTTCGGATGAGCTCGATGTCCTCTATACTGCCGTAACTAGTGCCGTAACTAGTGCCAGTGAAAGTGTCTGTGCCATTGGTCTTGTTTCGTTCTGGAGTCTTTGGATGAGTCGGGTCGGATAAAGTTCCGTCATTTTCATCGTCGCTGTCTGATGCGGCAAACTCGATCTTTGGGTAGCCGCTAGAGCTGATGAAATCGAGTCCTCCTGTACTGAAACCGTGGTTGTCCTGGCTAGCGAACGAATCACCTTCGGTGGAGGACATTGCCTCTTCTTCGATATGATTGAAGTCCTCTTCAAGCCAGGCAGTATAGTACCGGACAACATACGAATGATTCAGTCGGGAGAGCAACATGGTTTCAGATAGCGTATCTTTCAGTGCCGCAGCTGATGTTTGAGAAATCTTCTTAATTGCATATAACCGACCATCAAGCTTGTTCCGGGCTTTCACTACCTGTCCGAATCCGCCACGGCCCAGCTGGCCTGCCTCATCGAAGTCTTGGTGGTATCGTGAAAAGGCCGGCATACCTCCAAAAGAGTCTAGCCGCGGCCGCCTCTGCAGCGACACAGATCCCGATGCTCTTTCTCGCATCTTCAACGGCGCATCAACCCGGAAAAATTCAGACGGTTGGAGTTGGAAAGCAGTTGGGCGCTTCCTGGGATCTGGACGGAAGAATTCGCAAAGCAAATCTTGCAGGGGTGGTGAGAGCCCCATGGAGACCATCAACTGGTTCGCAGAGGTATATCGAAGGAGGATATCCTTTCCAAAGCCCATCTGAAGCAGCACAATTCCAAGGTCCCAAACATCGGTCTTCATAGATGGTGGGCTCTCCTCCGTCAACTCTGGGGGTGTCCACAGTGGTGATTTCGACGCTGCCAAAGAGGGATTTCCATAACAAGAGTCAGGCAAAGCCTCTTCAACACTAGATTGTAGCTTTACGATAGTTTCTCCAGAGGGATTTCGGAAGAGGAACACTCGGCCGCAATGAATGTTTCCATGCACAAACCCGCTGCGGTGATAAAATTCCAAAGCCTCGAGCAATTGAATCATCCAGCCGCGAAGCATGTCGACGGCCACGGTCCCCACAATATCAAGAAGCTCGGAAAGGGAACCTTTGTTTGAATACTCGAAAAGTGCAAGGACAGTCCAGGAATCATCGGGTGAGTCGAAGTGGCCAAGTGGGCGATTGATTTTGAAACCCACGAATTCAACCAGATTAGGGTGTCGCAAACGCTTAATGCCCTCCAACTTATCCTCACTGGTACGCATCTGCTCTCGGAATGTCACTCCTTCAGAGCTCTGTTCGCTAACGCAAATTTCCTTCAGAACGAGCAGTGGGACGTGGCATCGGTGCTCAGGCGCAATAGGCCTGACAGTGAACGTCTTTTTCCCTGCTTGCTTTGCAACAGGGTTTTGCCATGAATGGCGCGGAAGACCAGTGGCTGTTCACCGGCGTCATTGATGACAAGAGGGGGATCAAAGGAGATGGCGCCTGGGGTATTTTCCACAAGCTCATCGACATCACTTGAATCCGCACCACCAGTTCGACTCTTTCGTCTCAAAATGCGAGCTTTATTCCGCTGTCGCATCTTGTCTTGGAGCATTTCTTGCAATGCGCGCTCTTCTTCGGCAGCCGCAGCTTGCTGTTTGCGAATTTCCTCTTGCTTTTCCAGGTCTGCGCGTTGAAGGGCAGCCGCCTCTTGCTCCATACGCTCCTCTTCAAGACTCGGTAAATCTTTATCCTGTGCTTGTGCCTGAGCAACATCTTCCAAAACATCTTGAATGGACACCGCTAGCTCATAAATCATTTCACTTCCAAGTAAAGATTTCGGCTTGTTGCGGAGAATGTCCTGTATTCTGGAACGCGCGCCATCGCGAAAGCCATCGAGGTTCCCCGGCGAGAGATTAGGGACTGTTTTAGGGTATGTAGCAGGTAGTTCAACTAATAGAATGAGTAGTATGTCTGGATTCGAGGAGGATCGCAAATGGAGCTTGAATGTCACATCGGAGGATTGCTGGAACGCACGGGTTAGTGACCACGGGCCCGCACAGCCCACGCGGAAATTGCACCCACCTGCCAGGCCGACCGCCTGTTTTCGACTTCTTCAAAGTCTTCACCATATATTGAGCGCAGAGCCTCGGCCTCTGTCTGGTGGATTTCTCGATAATTTGTTGTTTTTATGGGGGACGTCGCGGAGGATTCGGGGGTTGGGTTTTTCTGGCGGGAGGGCTTCTTCCTCTGTTTGGGAGACATCGCGGGGCGTGGCGAGAGCTCGCCCTACATGCGACCCTGAGCGTCGTACGGCATTGGGGGCTGGTGATAGATGTGTAAATGGTTATGGATGGTGAAGAAAGAATTGGGCAGTCTTTTTTTTCCTCGAGCCTAGAATAAACAGGCGGTCAGATCACACGCCCTTCCATTAATAGAGTGGAGATGCTTAGTATAAATGACGCCCCGTTGGTTTGACGGTGGATTTGTAGGTTTACTTTTTATAGAGCGCTTAAATTGAATTGCATGGTATGGTTATTTCACGTCGTGGCTACCTCGAAGTTCGTTGAGGATCCTGTTAAACATTGAACTTGGGATTGAAACTATAGGTCAAGCCGAGCAACCTTTGTCCCTGCCCAATAGTGGACCCGGATTTCATGAGCTGGTGAGCTGCTGAGTTGGCATACCCCGAGGCGAGTGGCAATTATTGTCACCGCAATAGTCGATCATTCAACGCGTTCGGTTGTGCCGGCTTTGTTCCAAGTGCGACGCTCACGTACGGTCAAGGACGCCGAGCAACAAGCTACCAACCACGGCAAGCATTGGCGCATAGCCCCAGTGATTCCACTGTCCCTCGCCATAGGTCCAACAAATGAACCCGTCTGCAAATGCAACGCTGCTAGCGGCAATCAAGATCCAACCTAGGGTAGAATGGGTACCAAAGTACGAAGCTGTATAGATGGCAGCCCCCATGAAGATGTCCCGGACCCCATAGATGGCCATTAGACTATCGACCATCTGCTTGTCCAGTGCAGAGCTAGGCGGCTGGAACTCGAAGAAACTGAGGGCATGGTCCGGACGTAGGATGGCGTTGACGCCGAATCCGATCCATATGGTTGCAATGACGCTGGCAGCCACGCGGAGAATACCCGAATTGGAAAGAGGCATAGTGTTGTACTAAGATAGACCTATGTTTGTCGTTTGCGTGGTATCGTGACAGCCACTTGAGGTCTTCGGGCACATGAGCGCTGCGAGGGACGTCCCACGGAGTACTATACTTCGAAACTATGGGAAAACATATGAGCAAGCAATCAGTCCTTATAAACGGACACGAAGTTTGAAATCGGTGGACGTGTAGAAAGCATATTTGTAAGATGCGGTACGAGAAGCCAATGGATTGGTCCAAATCGCAAGGCTGGGAGGCGACGAGATGTCTAGATGTCTCTCACGTCAAGTCCCATTCGTTGACGGGTGGCTCGTACTATGTACGGGGAGTACACGTGCATCTGATATGATGGGGACAACCAGCGTAGACAGAACTGTGCCTCCCCCCAGCAACCGAGTTCGATGCCTTTCGGGTTAATAGAGGAGCAAACTCCAGTTCTAGACCAATTGTAAAAAGTCCTGGGCCGAAAGAGCGGTGCCAAGAGTAAACAGCGCCGTTGAAGCCGAACACGAGCTTATCGATAAAGTTGATCGGCGCTTCTGCTTTTTCCGACCGCGCGAACCGTAAACATTGAATTCACCTTTGTTTGGATTTCTTTCAACTCGAGTCAAAATGCTAGACTGGATGAAGGGGAATGAGCAGGGCACACAGGCTGCAGGTTGGTCTATGGTCTTTCCCTTGAATCCTTGACGTTCTCGTACTAACAACGCGATGCCGCCTACAGATGATTCCAAGCTGCTAGAGCCCCCTGAGACCCCAGGTCATGTTTTTGCCATTCGTGCCTTCAAAAGTGCTCTGTTTGGCACCCCAGGAGGCGAGGATGACGAAAAAAACGCGTCTGAGAAACAATCCGGCCATCAACGAAGCAAGAGTGACACCATAAAACTACCGCCGCCGGAGACCAAGACCGACACCAAATCAACCAGTGAGGACGCGAACTATAATCCTACCGGATCCCCTACGAAAAGCATCCTTGTCACGCCCGGTACAGCTCTGCGTCGCAAGACAGTTTCGTTCGGTGAAAGTGTCATCGACAATGAGGGGAAGCGACCTGGCTCCGCCAGTAAACCAGCCAAAACCCCACCAAATCCTTCAGGAACTATTAGTTCCCAGTGGATGTCCGGGTCCTCGGATGGAAGCGGCAAGCCGAGGAGCAAACTCACCCAAACTCTCATGGATGCACGCGACAACGCGGCCAAGAACTCCGAGTCGGCCAAGTCTGGAGAAAGCACAGGAGAAGCGAAACCGGAAATCGCTTCGACGTCGAAGGATATTGTCGACAATGAAGACATCACCAGCAACCTGGAGGATCCGCACTCGGAGTCGGGCAAATACTGGAAAACCGAATTCGATAATTACCGTGCAAGGACCAATCGAGAGATCAAGAAATTGATCCATTACCGGTGTATTGCCAAATCCTACGCTCGCAAGAAGGATTCGGAGGCTTTGCGGCTGGCCGACAAGCTGAAAGAAGAAGAGCAAAAGGTCGCCGAGATGGAGAGGCAGGTATCACGACTTGCTTCTTCCATGGTTGGTGAGGGATCAATACGCGATAAGGAGAATCTGGTCCAGGACTTGACTAAACAAACCGCTCTTGCATTGCAGTACAAGCAGCAAGTCACCTCGTTGCGCAACGCCTTGGAAAAACATGACGTCGTCAGCGACACAGCAAACATTACACAGGAGAAGAAGGAAGAACCGCCTTCGCGTGCCCCTGCAGATGAGCTCCTCAAAGCACAGCGGGAATTGAAAGAAGCCAATGCTAAAATTGAGGAAATGCAACGCCAACAGTCCGAACTGAGCACGCTCCAAGACCTCGCGCAGAGCTCGGAAAAGAAAGCCAAGGCGCTTGAGGAAGAAAACAACACCCTCAAGCAAACGCTTGCGCGAGTAAAGCAGGAAATGTCCCGATACGAAGGTCGGCGAAAGGACAAGGAAACAAGGCTGAAACAGAGAGAGTCGAGATTGGAACAACGAATCCAGGAATACAGAGAAAAACTCAAGACGGTCTCCCAAGAGCACCGTGCATCTGAGGAGAATTTGAGGAATGCTTCCGACGCAGAGCGTCGCCACATGCAGAAACAAATCGATCTTCTGAAGCTGCGGCTTGGCTCTACCGAACGCTTCCCAGCACTGCCCTCTACTGAGCGGCAATTCTTGAGTCCTCGCAAGGACCACATAGATATACAGGCGTTGGACTTTGCCGATGAGGATTTCGCGGGGCCAGATCTTGAGAAGCCAGAAGAAGAACTCACCGATGAGATCGAACCACCCCCGAGCCCGAGCCCACGGTCCAAAGTACGCGATTCTCGACCTGCCTTGCGCAATGCCACATTGAGTACACTTGGCACGAGACTTAACGCTCGAGCCATGGCCGCAGACGACGATGAAGTGACGCATTATCTAAATGAAATCCTTCTACCGAAGCCCCGGAATGAGTCACATAACACTGTGTTGGATCAAGTTCCTCCTTCATCGCCTCCCGATATTTCGGCCCTGAAATCACTGAATCGCACGTTCTCAAGACGCCGACTCGGTGACGGCCAGCGGCCATATCGAACCTTGAACGTCCCTGCGGATGATGACACGCGTCTCAGCAACCGACAGGCACAACGTGAACGAACCCATATTAAATCTACCCTCGATTCAATCTCGGGCCTTCCATCTCGCAGTCGGTATCAAGGGTATACACTCTCGGCAGGCGAACGTGCGGGTAAGCGGTACGGATTAGCTGATGTGCAGCGTGAAGCTCTCAGTCCTGAACGAATTGCCGCGGCCAAGTCACGGCTCAGGCAAAAGGAGAATCGCAAAGCTAAAGCCCTTGGAAAGGAGAATGTATGATGTCTTTAGCTGTGCGAGATGACGCTAATTGGCTCTATGTTACAATTTTTCTGATTTGGAAATACGCAGATTGTTATTGGGGCGTGACGGAATGGTGTTCAGGTACATAAGCGTTACTCTTTTTTCTCTTAGCCACTGATCTACATTTTTAGCGTCAATTAATTGTTGGATTATTCCTGGCCTGTGAAGCTTAGGATGTTTGTAGGCACTCATCCCAGGCTCCACATGCTCTTTATGTGTTATGCTCCTTAGATCGTGTAAACATCAGATTACGCTGGCCCCCGTGATATCAGTCCGAATCTGGTGTCTAGGATCTTACTCGCAGCATAACCCCTGTTCATTTCTAACACCAGTTGGGCAACTATTCCTTCTGCCATATATACCACACTGACGACCTCGCTTTTTTCAAAAAGCACTTAGTTCCTCATAAAACACTTTGATTCACCTAATCTCGGACACGGAACCTCGGGGGTCTTAATTCCTAACTCCGTGAACTGCGCGAGAACAACCATTATATATTGGGCTCGATTCTCTATAAATATCTATATGGGACCAGATTAAAACCCTTCATATCATCTCTTCCAATTCCTCAATTTCTCTAAATGACATCCAAAATTCTTTTAAAGGGCGGTACTCTTCTAGTACATGATGCCGCCGAAAGGGTGATTCCCCGCCGAGTCGATCTTCTACTCGATGGAAATTCCATTATCAAGATCGAGGAAGACATCGATATCAACGAAGCAAGCGTTGAAGTCATTGATTGCAAGGGTAAACTGGTATCACCCGGCTTCATCAGCACCCACCATCACCTATGGCAAACCCAGCTAAAAGGCCAACACGGCAATCACACTCTGTTGGAATATATGCCATCCGGCAATTTCATTGGCTCGCTCTATTCCACCGAAGATGCCTTCTGGGGAGAACTGAGTGGTGCAATGGAAGCCATCGATGCTGGCACAACATCAGTGGTCGATCATTCAAGCCTCAATATAGGCCCCGAATACCGTAAGAAACCCGTATCCTTGCTTTACTCTCGTCGATACTGAGATCTGGCAGCACCGACTTTGATCAATGCCTTGGTAACTTCTGGTCTACGAGCTGTGTATTGTCAATGTCCCCCGCGGAAGAGTCCAGAAGACGATCCTCTGAACGTCGTGGATGACTATATCCCGACATCCTCCCTCCGCACTTGGAAAAAACTTGCAGGAATGGCTCCGTTCGCTGACGGACGAGTTCAGCTTGGTTTTGCGGTGGATAACCTCTACCTACTCACGAGTCAATTACAGGAACTCTACACCGGGCTTCGATCGATGAACGCAAAGATCATCACGTCACATGCCGCAGCAGGAAAAGCGTTTGGCGGTGCTCCGTCTGTTGTGCAACTTCTCAATAACGCCGGTTTACTTGGTCCCGATATTCTCATCTCGCATGGCAATTTTCCGAAGGATGGCGATGCCCGCCTTTTGGCCACGCACGGCGCCTCTGTGTCTTCAACGCCAAACACAGAGCTCCAAATGGGTTGTCCGCCTGTAGCCTTGATACCTGAATTTCGATCACTGGCGAGTCTAGGAGTGGACTGTCACAGCTGGGGCAGCGGCTTTATGCCTGGACAGATGCGTCTGTTGCTTCAGCATGCCCGAACGGAGCATGCGGCGAAATTGGAGGGGAAATGGAGTCGCCATGTTGGACCTACCGTGGAACAGGTTTTCAATCTGGGTACTATTAGTGGTGCTCGGTCGATGGGAATGGCTGGTGAAATCGGTCAGATCAAAGTCGGAGCCAAAGCGGATTTGGTCATCTTCGACACGACGAGTCCATCGATGTTGGTGGCTGCGCAGGAGGACCCGGTTTCCGCTATTGTTCTACATTCCAGTGAGAGGGATGTTGACACCGTCATTGTGGATGGCGTCGTGAGGAAGAAACGAGGGAAACTGTTGCCCGTTACCATCTCTGACGTTCCTGCGCCTGCTCCAAGCCTCACCTTTGCTCGTCGGCAACTTGAATGGATTGACATTATGAACGCGGTACTGGACAGCCGCAAAAGGATCAAAGAGAAAGCACGAGGAATCGATTTCAGAGTGGCCGAAGAAAGGCTCATCGATGCGTTCCACATGGATCGAAGCACCATGTATGAGACAGTCTAATGTATCAAAACATGAACTACTAGAAATTCCAACTCTCCACTCAATTACTCCCAACTCCACGGATTCTACTCCGTACTCCGTATGGTCTATCAGAGATCCGACCCCCGTTGATTGCCCATGATATCAGCGGCGTCTCCCCGCAAAAGCAAACTGCCCAGGTGGAGACCCCCAGTTTTTACCTTGATGTGTCAGGCCTTCCCAAAGGGTGTACTGCGAAATATGATAAACATGGGCGAGATAACACCGGGAGAGTGCAAATTCCAGATGGTTATAGTATGAACAATGCAGCTGGTGGGACATCCAAGCCGATGGCTAGAACTGTGGTGTCCCTTATGGCAAGCTTCTTTACTTCTCTAGTCATTTGAAGGAAATTAGTGCGGACGTATGATTATTACATTATATGACAAATTGATTCATAATCTAGATTGCGTATTAATCTCTCTTTCTTCCCCTAGATCATCCATCTCCATGTAGGCGTGTTCATCTAATGTGCAAGATTTAGAAGTCTAGCGTATCCATGCGCAATGCCTAATGTACTCTCACGCCTTGCCGTCAGAAAGCGACACGACAGCCCACTTTCCACTCCAGGCCCACTTTCGGGACTCGGAGCCGCCACCTCCAGGCAGTGCGCGAAGCTTCTCGTCCTCGCCGGCGGGGAGACCGACAACGGTATCAGCCTTGCAAGTGCGGAAGGCTAGAACACGGATACCAGATTTGGGGCCTAGCGGGCCGATGGCTTCTGTGAAAGGGGTGGTGGGATCCCATTCCCCCTAGATATCGTTAGTAAAAAAAGGATTCGTAACTACAGAACGAAAAACAAAAGAATGACTTACATCGTTGACCAACTTCCGATAGTTCAAGTCGCCCTTGAACAAGACAAGCTCGCTCTCCTTCAGGTCTTCAAACAGTTCCGGGGCATCGTGTGGCATGCGCCAGTAGCCGCCCTGGGTAGTCCAGAACGCATGCGGGCGCAGGATCAACTTACCGTCCTGGTGGAACTGGCTCCACTGTTCGAAGAGGAATTTCACATTGGAAATCTCTTGCTCGGAAAGAGGAGGGAAAGTCTTTCCCGAATCATCGGCTGCTGTGTAGAATGTCTGAGGGTCGATCATGCTGTTAAGAAGATCGGAGAAGTCCTTTGGTGTGACATCTGACACAAACCAGGGCAGACGCTTGGGGTGGAGTACGACACTAGTCGCAAGTCCGGTGGACAGCAAGTATCCACCGAGGATTAGGTCGACGAATAGCTCGAATCCGGAATTGTCTAAAACAATGTCCACACGGCGCTCGCCATCCTTCTTCTCCTTGCGCGCCTTCTGCATAGCCTCGAACGCGGCGTCAAGGTCGTTGACGATGATGTTCTTTTGGGACGCTTTGCGTGCCTCAGAGCCTTGGAGCTTTTGAATATCCTCGTAGGTGAGGGATGTCAAAAGTGACAGATCGGTGGCATTACCCCACAGACAGATCTCGCACATCTCTGAGAAGAGAAGCTTCTCGGCCTGCTCAATTTCCTCTGGGGACTTGCTATCTCTTCCTTTTCCTGACTCTGCTTCCAGAGCTAATTCACGGTATCGCGCAGCGAGCTCTAGGACGGCGGGACGGGATGACTTGAATGTATCCATCTTTTGGCGGGCAAACACATCATAGCCCTTCCAGTGCTTGGATAGCGCAAAAAGAGCTTCCATGCGGCGGTCTGTGATAGGTATCCGTCAGTATTGTCGTACATTTTCGATTTTGGTTCTGGTTGGAATAGGCCATTTGACATACAAAGATAACACTCTGAGTAAAGCCAAGCCACATCGTGCCAGTGGGGGTTTCCGCGCTCCTCCAGCTCCTTGTTATACGAGGCGATGTCTGGGTGTCCGTCATTGTCTATGGGACTAGCAGCAAATTATATGTCAGCAAAGCAGTCCTTATAGTTCTAGTGTATGTTCTGAAATGACTGACGTAAGTTGGCGGTTGTGCTGAAGCTCATATTTCAACTTGGCGAGGTTGGCAATGATGCCCTTGCCTTCAGTGGCCTTCTCGTCGTCGCTGACACCTAAAACACTGCGGTGAAGGTCATCAATGGCGCCAGTCTACAGCCGTCAAGAACAATCAGCAATTGATCCCCGAGCTATCCATTGTCCGGCGTATGCTCACGATGATAACGGGCCAGCGCTCGTTGGCCGAGATCGAGGCGAAGCTCGTCTTATCGGATGTGGAATATTGGGCTGTTCGGATTAGTTTGGCGTATTGCATAGCGAAGCAATAACACTTACGGGTCTTAGGATCAAATTCCATGGCTGCTTCTTGATCTGCAAAGAGTATATTTGGGCCGAGGACAAAAAGATGTCCAAGTGGCAGAATCGAGGGGGAAGCGCGGGGCAAAAGCGGTGTGAAGTATACAGGTGGCGACGTCAGAGCTACGGGGAATACATCATTCGTGCACATAAATACATTTAGAACTCTAGATCTCTTGGCAACGCCTCGCTTGAAAATCATATATGCCATTACATTCCCGAAAGAATGGAGTTGTTGGCGTAAGCCTGGGATAGTTAGCTGGTAGAACGAGGTTATTATAGATGTTTCGAGGCTTACCATTGGTTTGATATCAGGGTGAGGCACTGCCTCGAAGACTTCGTATGCAAGTTTAAGTTCAGGTCCGATGTTGATATAGGCACCCTTGTTCTCGGTCGAGTCGCAGTACCTGGGAGCGGAGAAGACGGTAATACAACGGCCGTCGTGTTCGACCTCGTAACCGCCCATCCGCACCTCGTGAGAACGAATGATAGCCTCCAGGCCGTTGTTTTCACAGAAGCGCTTGGTCACATCGGGACCGAATTGGAGGCCGACACCACGCTTGCTAGGGCCACGGCCCTCCTCGGTCTGTGGATCGGTCCAAAGCATCTCCATCATCAGACCTGCTTGGCCGGGCTGTCTTTGATTGTGGCGGTTAAGCTTGCGGATATCGTCCAACTTGATCTTGTCGTCGGAGAAGAGACCACCGTGGAGGACAAGGTACTTGTCACCAATCAAAGTGGCCAAGGGCAGGGCAGAGAAGGACTCGGAGAACACCTTGAAGACCCGCTCGTTATACTTGGCCTTACATTCACCCTCGAACCCGTAGACCTTATTCATATCATCCGTCTCGTGGTTTCCACGGTTCAGGAACAGACCGTTGGGGCGCAACCACTTGTAGGCATAAAGCAAAAGTGCGATCTCACAAGACCAGGAGCCACGGTCAACGAAATCACCGTTGAAGAGGTAAGCGTGAGTATCAGAGGGAGCACCGTTTCGTCGGAAGATCTCAAGCAAATCGAAGTATTGGCCTGTTCAATCAGCAACTACCCGTCCCATCGAAGATAGGCGATACATACCGTGTGTATCACCGCAAACTGTCAATTTCTTGCCCGCTTCCACGCCAATTTCCACCATTGTAGGCTCGTTGTAAACAAGCTCTTTCACAGCCTTGATGATCTGGAAGACATACTTGCGGTGGATATTCTTTCCATCCTTAAAGCGTTGGATCATATCATCAATGAACTCCTGCGTCATCTCCTGGCCAAGGCGCACACCATCATAGTTGTCTTCGACGTTGATAGCATCGATATCTAAATCCGCAAAGGCAGAAGGTGGGTCCGAGACCTCAATGGCGCGCTCGAACTCTATACGGCGAACGAGTTTCTCGCACTCGGCGGTCTTCAATTTGGCATTCTGGTTGCCCGGTTCACGTCGGACCACAGCCCTGAAATCCTTCAAGGCCTCCTTGTAGCTTAGAATGGCGGTATTGGCGAGCGCGCGTCTCCAGTATGCCTGTGGTAAACCAGAGTTTAGAATACCTCATCCTCACAATGTCTGCCTCCGCAGGCGCAAGTTGTCGCTCCTGCCGGCAAAGAATACCGACTAACCTTCACATAGTTGGGATCCAATTCGATTGCCTTGGTGGCGTCCGAAATAGCAAATCCAAAAGCCTCGAGTTTAATTTGAGCCTATAAGATCAAACGAACGAAAATTGTTAGCTATGCTAATTGAAGCCAGTGTGCACGCGACTCTTGAGAGCGTGCCGCTATGATCGTCGGAAACGCACCTGGGCCCGGTTGCAGAAGAAGGACGGGTCCTTGTCATATTTGGCAATAGCCTGGTTATAAAAGTCGACCGCGACAGGCCAGTCGTGCTGAGCAAAGGCCTTGTTGCCCTGCAACTTGAGCGCAGTGGCTGCCTCTTGGTCGGTAGCCATTATGTGGGCGGAGAGAAAATGCGAGGGGTACGAGAGGACGATCCGTGCGAAGGACGCGGAGGAGGTAACTATACGAAGTGGAAGAGCAAGATGAAAAATCCGAATAGATCCAAAACCCTCCGAATCCACTCAGATAGTAAGAGAGAAGAGAAAAGACAAAAGCGTGGTGAGAAGGGAAGGGAAAAAAAAGAAGGGAGTCTCGTTCCTGGTTCTCCCATGTTCTTTTTCCCCGATCGTAACGGGCCTTGGCACCCAGACTTGACGGCTCACTTTCTCATTCATAGCTTTCTATCTCTCTCGTATCCCCAAATTACAACATGTCTTTCTACGCCCCTCCAAACCAGCAGCGCACCCTGCGCGCCTGCATGGTCTGCTCTGTTGTCCAGATTCACAATGTAAGAGCTGTTCCATCCCCCTCCGTGCTGCGACTTGCTCTGACGCCGACTGCTCTAGAAATTCATGCGTGAAGGCTGCCCGAACTGCGAAAGCACCCTGCAGCTCCGTGGAAATAACGATGCTATTCAGGAGTGCACATCGCAAGTCTTCGAGGGACTTATCGCTGTCCGGGACCCTGCTGCAAGCTGGGTCGCTCGGTGGCAGCGACTGGATAACTACGTGCCGGGGACATATGCGACCAAGGTCACAGGGACGGTAAGTCCATATCTGCTTCTTGAGGAGATTACACTCTCCCAGCCCTTGTTCGGCACATGATGGCTAACTCGTGCTTCGTTCACAGCTCCCGGAATACATCATCAACAGTCTAGAGGACTCCGGCATTAAATATGTCCCGTACGTGCTACCTGAAATACTCCATCGACCGTTTCCGAGGCTATATTCTTTCTCTCCGGTACTAACACTTTCTGGTTCTAGTCGAGACGGAAGCACTGGCGAAGAAGATGCATAGAGCAGCTACCCTTGAGTCTTTAGCGCTACATGAACCCACCCTTGCCCATACAATCTTGGTCGTGGATACCCCTACGGCGCATATACTATTGAATCGATCGAGATATGCGGATGGAGGGTGGTTTCGACAATTTTGCTGGTCGTTCGGAGTTCGGTTGGGAAGCATTGCCCAGTTTTCATGTTATTTGTTGGATTAAAAGAGCATAACACAGCAGATATTGCTTGGTTCTCAGGAGTTTACAGTTCGGATTCCTCTATCGGGGGAATATAGAAAAATACGAAGTCATTTGCAGTGCAGTTATCTCTACAGCGGTGCGAATGGTTCATTTTGGAGTCATTATTTCAATTGACTAGCGAAATGTCTGAGAATATACATCCAAGGATGTCCTTTTTGTGGTGACATAAAGTCCCAGCAGCAAAGGTGAGAAACTGCCCAATCTAAATATAGAAAACAAAAAAACGCTCATGAACCAATTTAAAAACGCCCGGCCTTTTTTCAACGGCCATATTCCAGAAATGATACAACCGACTCTTGTTTAGAGGGCCTGGATGATCTGCTCGATCTTCTCGAGGAGGATATCGGCTGTAAGGGAAAGATATATCAGTAAATGGTTTCTCGCGGAGGGAAGGGAAAGTGAAACATACCGTGGTGCTTCTGGAAGACCAGCATGGGGCGCAGACGGACAGCAGCGACGCCACTGCCACCGATGTTGACACCGAATGACTTGGCCTTGGCGACGAGCTGGTCACGCTTGGGGGTGTCCCAGGCGATGAAGGTACCCTGGTTCTTGCCACGGAGGTTCTGGAAGTGCTCGGGGTACTTCTCAGCGAGGCGAGCAAGACCACCGTAGAGGTAATCACCAGTGGTGGCAGTGTTCTCAACGAGGTTGAGACGCTCGATCTCGTCGATGATGCCGCGGAAGATCAGAGCGCGAGCTGGGTCACCCATCCAGGTGTTGAACTGGCGGTAGGGCTTGTTGGGGCGCAGAGCAGGGTTGCCATAGTAGTAACCGGCGGCCTGGGCCTTCTTGGAGAAGGTGACCATGTCGGGAGGAGAGGAGAGGTTCCAGTGGTCGTGGGCCCAGAACTTACCAGTAGCACCGACACCAGTCTGCACCTCGTCGACGATGAAGAGGACCTTGTTGCGCGTGGTGATGTCACGGAGACCCTGGAAGAAGGCGGGCGAGGCGTGGTTGTCACCACCCTCGGACTGGATGGGCTCGACCATGACAGCAGCAACGGGGTTGTGGAACTCCTTGATGAGGCGCTCAACCTCAGCCAGGCAGCGCTGCTCCTCGGCGGCGTTCTCCTGGACGTTGTCCTCAAGCGGGTACTTGAGCTTGGGGAAAGTGGCCTGGGGCCAATCGAAGGCAGGGATATCCAGCTTGTGAATGGCCTTGCTGCGGGTGGTGGACAGAGATCCAAAGAGACGGCCGTGGAAGGCAGACTTGAAGGAGAGAATGGACAGCTGGGGAGATCCAGGGCCCTGGTTGTTCATGGTGGAAAGCAACTCCTCCTCGGTGAACTCGACATCGGGACCACCACGCTGCAGCTGACGGTAGTACATGAAAGCGGCCTTGTAGGCGGTCTCGTTGGCATCAGAGCCGGCCATGGCGGTGAATACCTGGTTCAGACCCTTGGGGGAAGCGCGGAGGAGTCCAGTCTTGAGGATGTGAGCCCACTCGGAGGAGGGGAAGTTGCCCAGGGCGGGACGGTTGATCAAGGCAGAGGCCATCTCGGGTGAGGCGGCAACCTTTTGGAGGTGGGGGTTATTGTATCCAACAGGAATGGAAGCAATTTGAGCATACCTGATACGGTCAGATCATAACGTTCCAATTGAATTGTTGTTGGTGACTTACACATCAAGGAGCTTGTTTCCATCGAGATCAGCGATGCTATAGTGGCGTTAGTCAAGCTTTAATGACGGGTTGGGATCCTCCATACTAGTTTCCGACGGACTGGTAGTAGTCAGTCAGCATGTTCAAGCTGCGAACATCGAAGACCTCGTCGAGCTCGGCGGCGGCAGCCTGGTTCTTGGGTCCGGGGAAGGGGCCGGATATGGAGGGGGCGCTGGGCTCATTGGGGAAGTAAGACTTCTCAGCTGCACGAAGACCGGCAGTGGTAGAGAGAGCACGAGCTGCCGGAAGGCGAGCTGCGGAGCGCAGCCGCGTGCTAGCACGGAAAACCGAAGACATTGTGATTTTGATGTACTGGGAGGTAGAGGGAATAGTGCGGAGAGAGGATAGCAATTGAGGGAGCTATCCAATGTAAGAAAAGCAAAGACCCTGGGTGATCAATGTAGTCAGGGGGGTAGAGAGCAGTAGGTTTACGAAATAAAACAGAAGAGAACACGAACAGGCGCGGGGTGACTTTATACCAGGTCTACTCGGAGTATGTTATCGGCCTTATCCTGTAGCTCAAGAGCTTCTCCCCGCGTCGATTGCTTTTGTCTCGGCGCCATTGACCAATCACGAGCTCGCCTCAACAGCGAAACGCCGAGTGACCGATGGAGTATCTGGACGAATCGAGAAGGTGTACGCCGGTGGATTCTTGGTCGAATCGATATGGTAACAGATTCCATCTGAGCGGCTATTCTTGCATTGATCTCAATCAGCATGGAGTCACGCGCACCAAAAAAAGAGCTGTTGTTGGGTGTTCGATGTGCCTGTGCCCCTGCCGTCGATCATGGTCATCTCCGATAAGCTAATCTCGGTCTTGGCATCTATTCTTATCTACGAAGTCGGAGAGGGCGTCTGGAGAAAAAGTACGGAGTATGCGAGCCCTAGTTTCCATTATGTACTTCATATGCTGGGATCAGAATGCGGGGTCTGGATTCTCTCACCGCAATTTATAATCTGTCACTTTTTGCTTGGTAACTGAATCCTTCATGTATCGCTCCTCGGACTTCAGCCCACGAGAGCCGCATTATATATTTTTAGATATACCCCAAGCTATCCACGTCTAAACTTTCATATCTCCAGAGAAATACGAGGGATACAATCGACACCGAGGGATCTCTTAAGTTTATGTATCTTTCCTTAATCTTAAGTTCGATACATACAGGTCTCGATGATGACAGAGTGATTAACCTAAACATCCATGACCTCATCCATAATGTGGAGTAATTTACTTCGTAGACTGTAGTTCCCGTTATTCTAGCACTATTCCCCACATCCAACCAATCAACTGGGCTTGTGGTTTAGTGGTATAATACTCCCTTAGCATGGGAGTGGTCCGGGGTTCGATTCCCCGCGAGTCCAGATCTTTTTGCCTGCCTCTCATAATTAAGGCTGAGTAAGTTTTTATATTTTTGCTGTGCGTATGATACGACTATCAGATATTGAGAGGGATAGACGATGATGCCGAATGAGTGTATCTCATGTAATGTTCACTGGAGGTACCTGTCGACTGCAATTCAGCTTAAGTCTCGGGCTTTAACATAGGCTTCTCATCATACATTAGGATAAGGATCTGGATTCTGACGTTACAACACCGCCCCTGGACGATCTACCCGATTATGCATGTATGTACGAACTTTAATGTACGTGTCTACATAAGATTCAGTAGCAGTGCATCCATGTGCATATCAAGTTTTAAGTTGTAGTCAACTACATGTAGCCCTCTTGATGGATTTGGCGTTTTATCTAAACCAATTCAAATTCCAAAAAGCCAAATATAGCAAAAAGAGTAACCTTAGATAAAATAGAGACGAGAATAAAAAGGTCATGTTCAAATTGGATATCCAAAAGCAAAAAAAGAAACATGGTTCCAGAGGGGGTCGAACCCTCGACTTTGGCGTTATTAGCACCACACTCTAACCAACTGAGTTATGGAACCCGTATTTGATGGAAGGGTCATGACTTTAATGAGATATATTCCAAGTCCAGGATTTATAGTAGGCTTCTCGTTAGTGAAACCAGGCCTGTCCTTCGTTCCTTCCCCCTCTGGGATATCCTTCACATGAAACACTAAATTAGTGGCACACCAGGTATAGCTCCGGAGATTCTCATATTGGCCTGATGTGATAATCGTATCCTTTCACAAGTCCTGGTTGAATTGCATAAATCTTTTCCCCAAGGTCATTCCAAGCCGAATGGCCATAGTAGGCGAAGATGCGTGCATGGAAAGCAAAAACTTTGATGTTGCGGCAAAGGAGGCGAATGCACTTGAATCCAATGGATATTGAATCAAGGTCATCGAAAACAAAATTGTTCATAGGCTCATTTTAATCATGATATCTCCAAGATTTAATGTACAAGGTCTATCAACGTGTAAAATGCTTCTTTCGGTGCCAACCAAAATGAGATGCAATAAAAAGAAACGCCGAAGATGACAACGAATGTATAATGGAACAAAAAACAGAATAGTATACCAAAAGAGTGCGGTCAACGCGACTGGCGATTATCGAAAGGGGACTGGCTATCACTTGGACCAGAAGAGACAGAGGAGCTCACACTAGCAGCAGAAGTGTGCATTACATCATTCTTCATTTCAATGGTTTCCACAGGACTGAGGGTACGATTATGGCCCTCAGATGTGATATCGTAGTCGTGACCCAACTTGCCTTGGTTAGCGGCTCGTGATTCGGACCAGCTCTCCATTTCCACGGTGCGCATGATCTCAAATCGATCGCTGTCATAGCCGGGTTGGCGCACGTCGTCGGCAGCAAAACGGGATGTCCGAGAGCGACCGGTCGAGGACCAGAGCTTGTGTGATTGGTTTCGTTGGTTGTAGGAGGAGCTGAGGTTGCGGGTTGAATTGAGGAGGCGGGGAAGGAAAGCAGCAATGAGGGGACGGAGGGCAGGTGCTGAAGCGCAGATCTGTATCTCTGTGTGAGTATTGAAGGCCTCAAATGGTGTCACTGTTGATCTCTTACCAGTCCCAGACTGATTTCTACCATGGCAGCGATCAGCACTGGCCACCCAAGCCAGGTCGGGTCATAGCCAATTACCATACTCTTCCACACGTAGACGGTTCGGACGGAGCCGGCGACGTTGACGATGACACCGAGGGCGAAGATGGAAATGACGGCGAGGCGTTGGCGAGTGGGGAGTTTCAGTCTCCAGATCAATGGCATTGGTAGGGCCGTGACTATAAAATCGGTGAAGATGTTGATTACGCTGGCAGAGAAGGTGATAGCGCCCTCATTCATACAGCGATATGGCTTGGGAGGGCTGAGTTGCCAGTAGGCACTGATGGGTCTGAAGGGGAGATTAGCAAAGGCATGATCACTGTGACAGAAGCTGGTCTACTCACGTGCACTGGAAGACGCTGATCAGAATGAACAGTATACTAGAACCACCAACGAATATCATGGCTGAAATGTATGTCCAGTTATACAGCGTGAAGTTACCCTTCACTATGAGTCGTCGGCAGAACCACAGCAGGGATAGTTTGGTGAAGGAAGATGATACCGAGAACATGATTTGGAAAGAGAGATTCAGTTTCTGGACAGTGGCGAGTCGCGACATTTCGATATCCCAGATATGGCGATTCATGCCCCAGTCTTCCGTGGCGACTGAAGTGATAACAGCCATTGCGACGGCGGCGACCAGACCGAGGACAATGAACAGGTCGTCGATGCCGATGCTGCATGTGATCCGGAACCGGGTGTATAGACGCATGAAGACTACCAGGAACGTCAACGAGAGACAAATAATATTAACGATGAGGACGCTGTGTCCGCGCGTGGGAGGGTCGATGTAGTTCGCTTCTGGCCATGTAGCCAAGATTTCTGCTGGAGGGAGCTTCATGATGTTATCCGGGTTGGTGAGTACCCGGGCAGGGAAATCAGGTAAAACAGAATATTCGGGGCATCAAGAGAGTGCCAGGGTAAGAATGTGTCTAACTAAGTGTCCCAACCATGACTCAGGCAATAGGTAGAGAGCGGGAGAGTAGAAGACCAAGAAATGAATAGAGTCAAGATAGCCCACTCACGCGGGCATATTGCGCAAAATCATGGAAAAGAAAAATCAGGTGTATGGAGTCCAACCCGCTAAGAAAGCTGGGGACACATACAATAATGTACAACATACATAATATACACGAATGACAGGCCAAGAAATGGGATCCATATTTCCGGGGCAATATCATAAGTTGATCAAAGAGTACCGACAGGATCAGAGTTGCGATTCGAGAAGAACAGACTTCCAGCGCCACTTCGTCTGTGTAGGGGTGCTTCCATAGCTGAGCCCTAGATGCAATCAGAGCCACCGCGCATTGGCCGCCATCTCGAAAATGGCAACAAGACCGAGAATTAGTGCGAAAGCGGGGGGATGATGAACGGCAATAGGCAGATCGAGAGCCGCAAAGTCCCCCTCTTAGGCCCGCACTGTGTCTGGACATTGGGGATCTAAAGCTTGTGAAAGATGAAGTCCTCCGTGTGGTGGACTATGATAGGCCGACCCCTGGTTCGGCGCAGGCACAAAATACCATCAAATTACAGTGAAATTGCAATGCTTGGACCTCGCAATGTAACAGCGGAGAATTGGGAATGCGCCATCAGCCGAGGTTTAGCGAGTAATTTATATTGCCACCTATATCCTCCGTAGACACCCAACGTTGTAGTGACCCCCCAAATCACCTAAATGACTAGCCCTGGGCGTCATTCCGGAGAAATGATTCTCATCTCGCAAGGATGACCTACGGAGTCCTCCGTAGGCCATTTGGGGTTCCCACCACTTGGACCTTCCACATGCGCATCCACGTGACAAGCTACGGGCACATGCAAAAGATCCCAAACCCCAAGGGACGCGGTCATCGCAGCCCGCCATTTGTCCGTCAAATCCCCGAACAACTGGGCGTGCAGTACGGAGTATTTGGCCAAGGACTCCAAATCAATAGTTGTACGCCTTGCATAGTATTGGTGGCTTTCCCCGGAGTATCCGTAAATTATACCCAAATTGTGTCCAAATGGTGCTTATGCCTCTACTGGGTTTGGTGTTTAGGAGGCCAGAAGTTGCATCTCCACAGGGCTTTGGCCTGGCTAGTCCTGTCCTGTGCATCGCGTACGTCCCTTAACTACTGAGGAATGTATCTTGTCGCAGGGCCAAATACCTCATCATCTTTCTCGGAGATCATTCAAGTACCCTCCCAAATCCATTAGTGTCGGATTTGCGATCTTAGCCCGAGAACGATCAACAAGTTCCTCCGGGCGACATCCCTGCCAAGATCGACCATCCTCGACCTGACCCACATCACAGACACCGTTCATAATGTGAATTGCGTGAATGGAGTTGGAAGTAGTATGGGTTAAGCCGCACATTTATTGACAGAAACAAGCTGAAGTTCGTTCACTGAAGATGATCCATATATTCGCTATATTCGTCATGATCGAACCAACTTCATACAGATCGGGTTGATTAATCTAGATTGAGTTTAAGTCGGGATCGGCTTCCTAGGATCCTGAAGATTTCACTCATGTCGTGAAATGAACAGAGCCTGTAGTTCGAAGGGTCTAGACCGATGAGCCTTAGCTTGAAACCTGTCCATCGTGCTAAGAGAGCATGGCAAAATTCGTGCACAGACAAGGGTTCAGGGCTTGAAGAACCATACTCGACCGGCTGATATAAACCAAAAGAAGTAAGTATAGAGACTGCCGGGGAACAGTGCATGGAATATTTAGGCCTAATGAGGTAGCACGACACCACATGGTTTTAATGAGTGATTCAAGCCAGACGTATATAGGTCCTGTAACCGTTCAGATATCCAACTGCAATTAAACGTGCATGGTGATTCGCCAGTTGTTGGACAGGGTATACTGAGACTGCGATGCTTGCAGCTTGTTTCTGGCCAATCACACGCTGTGAAGCGCAAATCCTTGCTAAATGGACGTTTAAAATTACAGCAGCATACCCTTTAAGCTCAGAAGCCACGCGCTCAACAATTCAGATGACCTTAAAAATCGCGGGGAATCGCCGTTTGGCCAATACTTGTGTATCAACTTGAAGCAGTGCAACCTTCTCGGAACTTGAGTCATCTTCTAGACGTCTTTTGTGTTGCTTTGCTGACTGCACGTACTGAAACACCTCGACTCAAAGCCACCAGCGAGACTCGCACCCGAAAGCTCCGTTCTCGAGGTTGTCGCTGGCTAAGCAGAGAGTACTTGTCGACTGAGAACATCGAGGACAGCCCAAATGGATCCAAAGGACCATGACGCGCATCATAGTATGTGTGACCGCTGATAGCCAAACAAAGGGGGAACTAGCGAGGATGGTATAATGTTATATCTGTTCCCCTTTTACAGAGACATTGAAACGATGACTGGCTGATACTGAAGTGATCGAGGCTTTTGGTTGTCTGACAATTCTACTCGATTGATCTTATCTAAGGGTGGATGGCGTAGGTAAGAGAAGTGGCCCGGCTACCATTGCATACATAATCCAAGGTAATTCTTTGCTCAGCACTCGGCGGCCATAGGATTCTGATTCTGTAAGCTGGCTGCTTGTATTTGATTAGTTTGTCCTTGCTATTCATCATTTGTAAACTTTTCTCCTTCACTTTCTCATCCATCAACCTACCTTCCTTGACTCCATTTCATCAACTTTTGCAGTAGCATTTCACCACACACCCTTGTTTCACCTTTTGCCTTCAAGAAAAAGCGTCTATTATTGAGAATGTCTGCTACAGCAGTCCGAGATGATGGCGTTGGGGGGTACGTATCTAAACGATGACCACTATTCTATACCGAGTACCAGCGCTGACACCTTGGACAGAATGACCGAGAATGTCACCGGCGAGTAAGTAAAGCAGCATGTATCGATGCTGGTCGAAATAAATTCTATATCCGAGTCCAAATGAAACTGATATGCAATAGGATCAAAAACCCCCTCGCCGGAATCCCCCACGACCAGCTGATGGCGAATGTAGCTGCTTATGCCACCGAGTATGGCCTTGAAGATATGTTGCCGCTCTTGCAGAAGGGCGCTCTGGTAGCTCAATCTCCCTCCAAGATTACAGAGATCTCGGAGCTTGACGATGGTGACCGCCGCGTTCTCAATGAAGAGCACACACGGCGTTGGAAGCATCCATTTGCGTTGTACTACACCATTATCTTGAATTCGATTTCGGCGGCTATTCAGGGCTGGGACCAGACTGGTCAGTGCTTGATTTGATGAGAGTTTCATGTTTTATACTTGACTGACGCTTTCTGTTATAGGTTCGAACGGCGCTAACTTGACCTTTGATGTCCAATTCGGCATCCCGAACAACTCCCCCCAATGCCCTGACCCGGAGACTTGCAAGCGTAACCAGTGGATTGTTGGTTTTATCAACGCTAGCCCATACATTACAATCTGTCTATTGTGAGTGGGGTCATTGCTCTATAACCCAGCATCATTCTGACACATGTCTCGCTCTACAGTGTTGCTTGGCTCTCGGATCCCCTAAACCATATTCTCGGCCGTCGTGGAACAATCTTCCTCGCTGCAATCTTTAGTCTCCTAGCTCCCTTGGGTTCTGGTCTCACTCAGCATTGGGGTCAGCTCATTGCTTGTCGTGTTCTTCTCGGACTTGGTATGGGTCTGAAGGAAGTGACTGTTCCTGTGTACTCGGCTGGTAGGTGGCCCTGACTTAAACGTCTAGAATCATCATGAATAGCTCACTAACGCCAATTTCAATAGAAAATGCGCCTACCAATATTCGTGGTGGCCTGGTAATGTCATGGCAGCTATGGACGGCCTTCGGTATTTTTCTCGGAACCTGCGCGAATCTCGCCGTGGCCAATACTGGTGATATTGCTTGGAGACTGCAGCTGGGCTCTGCCTTTATTCCTGCTGTGCCCTTGCTGGTTGGAATCTGGTTTTGTCCAGAGTCGCCACGATGGCTGATGACCAAGAAAGACCACAAGAAAGCTTATGAATCTCTTCTCAGACTACGGAATAGCCCTTTGCAGGCTGCCAGGGATCTGTATCGGATCCATGCCCAGCTGGAAATGGAGAAGCAGTTGATCGTCAAGTCGGGTTTTTCCAAGAACGAGAACATGTTCGTTCGTTTTATCGAATTGTTCACGGTGCCTCGTTTGCGCCGTGCTGTTCAAGCCTCTGGAATTGTGATGATCGCTCAGCAGATGTGTGGAAGTAAGTATCGGTTTTGCGAATCGCAAGACATAAAAGCTAACCTGATACCCGCTTCGCAGTCAACATCATCTCATTCTATTCCTCCACGATCTTCCAACTGGCCGGTGCCTCGAACATCGAAGCCCTCCTTGCATCCTTCGGATTCGGTCTTATCAATTTTGTGTTTGCTTGGCCCGCCGTGTGGACAATCGATACATTTGGTCGACGAGGTCTGTTACTTTTCACTTTCCCACAAATGTGTTGGACACTCCTCGCAGCTGGATTCTGTTTCTGGATCCCCACAAGCAGCAACGCACATATTGGGTTGATTGCCTTCTTCATTTACCTCTTCGACGCATTCTATTCTCCCGGAGAAGGACCCGTACCCTTTACCTATTCTGCCGAGGTGTTCCCGCTGTCTCACCGTGAAGTTGGAATGGCCTGGGCAGTCGCAACCAATAACTTTTGGGCTTCGGTTCTCTCGCTGACATTCCCGTGGATGCTGCGCGCATTCACTCCACAAGGTGCCTTTGGGTTTTATGCAGGCTTGAATCTTGTTGCTCTTGCTTTGATTTTCCTCTTCATGCCAGAAACCATGCAGCGCTCGCTTGAGGAACTTGACTATGTGTTTGGTGTCCCGACTCGAACACACGCCAAATACCAGCTTACTCAGGTTCTGCCGTGGTGGATTAAGAGATATGTCTTTATGCGCAAGAATGCTGTATGCCCTGAGTTGTACCGTGTCGCTCAAGATTATGCCGAAGCTCCCCCAGTGACAATTGATGCGGCTTCAGAGAAGAATGTGAAGGCCAACGGAAATGGGCGTCAAGCCGAGTATGTTTAACTACGACATGAGATGCGAGCTATGATCTATGAGATGAACACGGTGGGTGGTGTATCTTTACTCCGTATGGGGGTTCGGTTTGGTGGTGAACGGATGAGGGGGTTGGCCGATTTTAGGGCTGAACTATGGCCATCTTTGCTTTATCACATCGGCGCACGGTATTCGGTTTCTTCTTAGTTTACTCCAATCAACATTACTCAAATATCCTCATTTACACATCTCGAATTCTGTCCGGCGTAGTATAGTTTTGATCGCAGCTTAGGATGTCCACATATTCTTTCCTCCGCCTCGTCGCAACTAAGACCAAGTGTCCGCGCAAGGCATTCAACCTCCACATCCCCTGTTATGTGAAGCCAAACGCCTCTGCTCGCCGCACCGGTATCGTAGCAGTGGGCACCGATAGAATTGAGGTTTCAGTGGCTGCTGTTCCCCGAGATGGGGCAGCTAACATTGCAGTGTCGCATGTGTTCGCAGAGGTGGGTTTGGAGTTTGGAGCTCGCTTCTCCCAAGATGCTCTATTGTTTCCTGTCTTACGAGACATACAAAGATAAAAGACTGATCTGATCATTCATCAGATCTTCAAAGTTCCAAAATCAAGCGTGGAAGTCATTCGTGGCGCAAAATCACGAGAGAAAACATTGTGTGTCGCCGATCTGGAGATCGGAGACGCCGGCGAAGAAGCATACTTGCAACGCGCGACACAAATATTACAGGCCGCCATTAAGACACGAAATTCCTAGCTTGAATTTCCAGATTCGAGGCCTCTTGAGACCTATTTCGCTGGCTCATATTTTCGCACTCGATGGTTGTTTGCTGATCCCGTGACGCAAACTCCAATCACTTTTTTTCTGGCGGAGCTGCGGCCGAACGTCAATCTCCGACAATTCAAACATTCAACGAAACCAGCCATAATGGTAGACCCTATACAGCATGATATGGAAATCGACAAGGTAGACCCTTCACTGGAGTCGGCCAAGCGCAAAGCGCCCGAGACAAAACCAAAGACCATCCATTTCACATCGCGCAATCCACCCTGGACCTACCTCAAGCTCAAGCTGTAAGCTATCCACCTTTGTTCCCAGGAGCTTTACGTTTGAACCCGAAGCTAATCCTCAAATCCCAGTGTCTACCAACCAGGAAGTGCACCACAACCGCTCGACCCCCTCTCTGCACGAACCTATCTCTCCTCCGCATTATCACAATTCCTCGGCCTAACAGGCACAGCCATTCCAATCGACATTCTCAAGATCGAGAACGGAACCTCAACCCCCAAACACGATATCGTATGGATCCGCGTCCCGCGGGAAGACGCCTCGGCCGTCGTGAGCGCAGTCAGCTCGTGGATCGGCGGCGGAACAGCGGGCTCTGCGGACGTCGCGTGGAGGGTTTGCGCCAAGGGGAATTTCCTCGGCGCGCTGGTTGCTGGCTCGGGGGCTGATCTGTTCGTTCCCTAAGTCAGTGGGCTGTATAGACTACTCTCGTTGAGTACGGGAAATTACTTGGACCATGGCTGGTCTGTACACCTGGGTGTCAAATGATTGGACCTTGAGCTGCGGTTACGATCCGTGCGAAATAGCCAAGTCGCATCGCGCGGGTGTTGTGCATACTGCGTGGAGCTAGTAGGCATGGCGCGGGTATAGCTGCGTGGCGGCAGGATACTCACGCGGCAATTCGCTTGATCATAGTCCCTGCAGAATTGGCAAGATCTCGTCATGCACGCTCGGCAATCGAGTGCCTAAGATCGGACTTGACCCAGCTGAGCGCTTCGTGGGATGGACATGAGACCCACGAATATGTCATCTACGTTTGAAGGCACGGGTTGAACAAGTTCATGTGCAAATAACGAAGGTGAAAAGAAAGAAACGTGCAGTATGTATGCCAGATTATGTACGCGACCGCAAGAGTAACAAGTCTCTTTATCTTTCGGTTCAGAGTTCGAGTCGACATGACCCAGATGAAACGCCATAACTCACACGCTGTTCAATATACTTCAAACAATTTAATGTCGCTTTTCCAAATGCACAAAAACCCCAATTCCACCCATCCCCAAGAATTACCCTATATATTGCTCTTGGTGAGGGTTTAGAGAAAAAAATCAGACCGATGATTCAGTAGTCTTCGGTCGAACGTTTTCCCTGATTGTAGATGTATCCGACTCCGAACCTGACGGGTTGATAACTAGCTTGGTGCGAAGCGCGCTGCGGATATCTTCTACGCTGCGCTCTCGCCAGTCGGGGTAGCCCAGCTGGCTAAGGGGGTACAGAACGAGGTTGTCAGCGCGCTGCATGAAGTCGTCAACGTCGGGCCGGGGAGTGGCAGCCATCATGTCGATTTCGTTGGCGATTTGGCGGCAGTAGGTGTCCAATGGAAGATCGTTGACATCGTGACCGAAGGGATTCTCGATTTCAGCGCCGATTGTGGCCAAGCCGAGGATGATGTAGGCGGCAACTGGAGAGTTGTTAGGATTGGTCTTGGTAGTTCAGTTACGGTACTTACCAATCGATGCTGGAATGGTGATCCATTCTAGGACGGCATAGAGCTGGAATGGAAGCACTAGGATATAGATCCATGAAATCTGGGCAATGGCAATGCTGTATGCGGTGGGCAAAGGAGTATCCAGGACACGTTCTGTGCCGGTTACAACTTCGTTCAGGGTGGCCATCATTGTGACTGGTGTTGGGTCAGAATTGGAATTCTTCGGGTTAATAGGTAGAATACTCACTGGCTTGTCCCTGGTGCAGAGTTGACACGAGAGTACCATTGGCGACACAAGAGTCGATATACGCAGACAAGTGGTTGAGGATTTCAAGGGGCAGATGTCCGAGAGGCTTCTTGGATCGCTTGACATACTTGCGAGGGTTTGACTCGGCGAACGATACGCCAAGGTACTCTCCTGCGGACTTCCAAACAGTCTTGGAAGGGGGGTTGACAACATCACGGTCGTGAGCATCACGAGCGAAAGTGTCGAGGTGTCCAGCCACGCAAGCCAGATCTTCGTATGCGATATCGGGCTCGAAACGGAGCTTGTGTTTGAGGGAGACTGCGAAGGCCAGGATGAGATTCATCGCAGAGCTACCCAGGTGTTAGCTTCAAAAATGGCGAGAAGAAGTTCCCGAGGGATTTCGTACAGTTTTCTTAGGAGATCGTCTTTTCCTGCTTCGCCTGGTCGTTCGCCGGTGTTAATCCAGATTGTGCGTGATAGATTGCGCGACGTCTGAATGAGCTGAGCCCAGTATTTCCGTCCGTCTGCCCATCTATACCCGAGACGGATTAGTTTGTAAATCTATACACCAAAGCAGGGGAATCATACCTCTCATATGCAGTTGAGCTACGGAATGACAGAGCCAAACCCACCACGAAACCCAGCACGGTGAGTAGGATGTTGTTGATACCAACTTGTTCGAGTCAATTTCGCTTCCCACAAATTCCGGGATACAGCAATTGGAGGATACTCACGATTGTGAACTTTATTCGAAAAGACAGTAACAGCCGTCGACCAAATGGCGACGGTCAAGATTGGCATAATCATTTTGGGCATGACGCTACCGTGCATTCGCATCATGATGGGCCACTTGGAGTGTTTGTCCATGTTGCGGGGTCCATGCTAGATTGACAAGTCAGCTCTATCCATTTATTGAAGACCATGTTCCTGTGCTGCTTTTCATCTCCTGCAGACACATCCTGTAACAGTATGTACTTACGAAGTAGCGATCCAATTCGCTTGAATCTCGTCGATTAAGCTGGAATTGCGACTCTCGCGAGCTAGCTAGATGCTCCAAGAAGGTCGGCCGAGGCGTTATGCGTCCAACAGAGGAGGTTTGCTCCTTCTCATGGACCGGTGGCGCATCATGATGGCCGGCGTGTGACCGTACCTCAGTGGGCACTGGCGCAGGAGCGCTGTCTACTGCGGCTGCGGGTGCCGGGGCATCGGCTGGAGGGGCGCCTGAGCCGTCGGTCATGGTGAATAGAACAAAAGGATAGTTTGATAGAAACGAAGGGGGGAAGCAAACGAAGGTGAATGAAAGCCGGGACTGGACCGGTTTGAACAAGGGTGACAACCAAACGAACGAAAAAGAAACGAAGCGAAAGTAGAGTATATGAAAAAGGAATCAGAACACACAACGAAACTGGAAAAAGGAAAAAAAGCAGGGGAACTGAAACGTTGGCGTCCGACAGGGGCGTTTCATCGGGATCTAGACCACACGTCAGGGTGGAGTCCACGGACACGTCCGCATGTTTAAATTTAGTTCTTGGCCAAGTTGGCGGTTTCGATTGGTCTTGGTACATTCACGGGAGTTCTCCCCTCGCGAATCGCCTCGATGGCGATTGGGCCAGGGATTGACACTAGCTTCATCGATTCTAGCGAAGTCGTATAATTGTCAGCCTCGGGATATTCAATTTAAAGATGCACAGCCCCGAAGCGGGTAGACCCGTGGACCTGTTTTTATGCCAGAAACCCCTGAACAGCGCATCAGAGTGGGCGTCTTTCCCTTGCAGTGGAACCACTCTCATTGGGAGGAATGAGCCTTGTTCAAAGGAGCCCCAATATTCGGGTGTCGCGATGGAGTGGCCCGTTCGTTGTGGTGCGTACGGAGTACGGAGTACTTCGTTGCATGATATGCCGTGCACCAAGACCCATCAGCCCACAAGTCCACAGTGTGTATTCCGATGCGGAGCATATTGCAGATCGATCGGAGTGTCCCAGTGTCCCAGTGCTCCAGTGCTCCAGTGCTCCAGTGTCCCAGTGTTCCGATGCGCCGTTAATTCCACGTCGTCGGTGGATTCTGCGTGGGCGCCAATAAGCACTAGTCCGGAAACGGCAAAAGGATCCGGCACGTCTTTCCCCTGCTTTTCGCACTTTGACCTGCAATCCCAGTTATGCTCCCAGCTGACAGGATACTTCAGCCAGTATGGAAGAGAGACCAATCGAGGAATTGCTCAATTTGGACGAGATTGAAGCCCTCGCCGCCAGTAAAGTGAGCAAGAAGGCATGGGCATATTATTACTCAGCTTCCGACGACAAGATCAGCAAGCATACCAACACAGAGGTCTTCCGCTCCATCCAATTAAGACCAAAGGTCTTCGTTGACTGCACGGAATGCAATTTAGATACCAAATTGTTGGATAATCCCGTGTCTATCCCCATCTATGTTTGCCCGGCAGCTATGGCCCGACTGGGGCACCCCGCTGGCGAAGCTGGAATTGCCGAGGCATGTCGTAGCTTCGGTGCTTTACAGATCATCTCGAACATGGCGTCGATGACACCGGAGCAGATTGTTGCGGGCGCTGCTCCAAACCAGTCATTTGGCTGGCAGCTGTATGTGCATGGTGATCGAACCAAGAGCGAACGGATGCTGGCTCGAATCAATAAACTGAGTGCAATCAAATTTATTGCCTTGACGGTTGATTCTGCTGTGACTGGGAAAAGAGAGGACGATGAACGCGGCGGAAATGTCCTAACTGTCATAAACCAACCGGGTTCAGAGGAGACTGCCTATCTGAAGGACGAGGGCAAGAACCCATCCACCAATACAAATGCAGATCCGGTATTCAAGGGGATGGACCCTTCTATTACATGGATGGAGACTTTGACTTGGCTGGCAAAACACACCGATCTTCCAGTTGTTCTCAAGGGTATTCAAACCCACGAAGACGCGTACATTGCTTCGCAATATACACCCCAAGTCAAAGGAATCATTCTTTCAAACCACGGTGGTCGGTCCCTAGACACAGCTCCTCCTGCTGTTCATACCCTGCTTGAAATCCGCAAATATTGCCCCGAGGTCTTCGACAAGATCGAGGTCTGGATCGATGGTGGTATCAAGCGTGGAACGGATGTGGTCAAAGCTCTTTGCTTGGGCGCAAGAGGCGTCGGAATAGGAAGAGCTGCGCTCTGGGGCTTGGGAGCTGGCGGCGTGGACGGAGTGAAACGAACATTGCAAAGTATGGATATATGGCCTTGGATATTTCTGAAATTAGCATGCTGACGTCCTTTCCTTTAGTTTTAACTGACGAAACGAAGACATGCATGCGACTTCTGGGGGCGAAGAGTATTGACGAGCTCGGGAAACAACATGTATGTTTGCACATAGCCCGTACATTTCATCCACGACCCAACTGACATGATTGACCCAGATAAACACTCGGCTGGTGGAGAAAGAGATCTATGATGGACCGTCTGGCCTCGAAGCCTGTCGGGCAAAGCACCTGTCGAGACTCTAAGAGCGAGTTTCCGGCGTAACAGGGATAAACCGTCCAATGCGCCACCAATAAATGGAAGACTCCGTAAAAGGAAAGATCTTGTGTCGTTGAGGTGATAATTTACCCATTGCGTTAGACGTCAAACTGCATTTAAAGCGTTTTTATCATAGCTAGCTCAAATGGAACAATCTGATCCAGGGTGACTAAATGGGATCTCGCGCCTGTTTCCAAGTTTTAGAATCTAGAGAAGAGGGTAAGACACTGTCTCGCCTCCTGACCCATTGTTTCGCGTCTCGGTCGCGCGGTTCAATCTGTGACTGGTGTCGTCAGGTTCGATCTTTTCTCGTTCATCCCAAATTATCGTCCGCCTCTTGATCACGGCTTGTTCGACAAGTGCCCAATGATGTTCCCAAAGAGTTTGACTGACCTTTCTTTTATAATCCTAGCTGATAGATCAAGACCGAAACGTCAACAATTCAACACCCTGAGCCATAATTCCTACATTCTTTTCGATTTTTCTCGTTATGAGTTCAATGTCCACTGCCCCTCGAAGCTTTTCAGAGACCCCACCAACTGGACAATCTTGAGATGACCCAAACACACTACAAGACGAGAGGCGTTAGGTGCATCCGAGGACAGTCACCTTCGAACGACACAAACAATAATCAACGGTTCCCATCGATGCCTATCGCAGTAATATTGGGACCGTTCACAACATTCAGACAGATCAACTATTATTGGAGCGTGGAACGCCCTCTCCCCCCGAGTTTCGCCAAGCCGTCATGGACGCCGAGACTCGTCGCAGGACAGGAGCAGTCTCCAATCGCAGGGTGACTGGTGGGGTGGAACACAGTTTAAGGGAGAATTGCTGGCAATGGGATGACCTGCGGCGGGATACATGTCTATCCGCCGTTATGATAGACCTGATTTTGATTGATCAGATCTTGGGTGACATATTCTTGCTCTAGAACCGAGTTTTTTTGCCTCTTGATGAACTGCTGGTTTCAGATAGAAAGAGAGATCGCTTATTTACCCTAAAAATGAGCTTCCTGCATGCATCCAACTTCCATTTCGTATCCTCTCGTTTTTGGGTGGTTTCATGTCCTCGTGTTACTCCGTATAAGGTGCTAATATAATGATCCTGTTCTGTATCCTTCAGGATCGTATGTGTAGCCATGCAAATTTCAAGTGCATAAGAAGAGTGGCTATGTGTATCGAAGTTCTTTTCTTGTTGTACACAAAATTGATTCGTCTAATATGAATGTATTGAGGATATTCAATATTGTATGGAGTCAAATGTACTATTTAGAACAAGAGAGCACTGTCCAAGCTAGAAAATCCTGCGGCTACGCCGCCTTCATTCACCTCCTTTCCTTTGGTTCTCAAGAGATATCCACCTTGCTCATTGTGCAAGATCTTCCCAGTATTCTCCCAGAGGATAGTGCCATAGACACCGAGCTCCGAGATGACATTACCTCGAAGGACCTCGCCGTCATTTCGCAAGGCGACATTCTGAGCATTAGCTACAGGATTGATAAGTTCCATAAGGACCCAGCCTCTCCAATCGGATTCTGGCATGGACCGCAAAAAGTCGGGGATATCGGATTTGTAGATGTTATTGCCACCTCCTTCACGTTGTGGTTTCAGCACATGGTTCAGGGCTGTCTCAGGGTTGAGGGCTAGATCGCGGCCTCGACTGCCAATGGACAGGTCATATTGCGGAGCAAATGTGTCCCGGATTCTTTTGACAACTGCAGCCTCAGTACCATTCAAGAAACTTGAGAGATGGTCCGGTCCTGTCGGCTCTGCTAGGACCTGCTGGACTTTCTTGCAGCCAGACAGCTGGTTGAGCACTGTAGGACATTTGATCGCTGCCGAACGCTCCAGGTGAGTTCGGGCCTCCCAGTCACGGCTAGACTTGTACTCGTCTGGTGCATAGTAAGCTCGAAGATAAACGGTTGTCACCTCGAAGGTTGACGCGGGAGAGTGAGGGGGCTGGTAGAGCAATGGCCGCGAGGGGTTTGAGCTGGGAATAGATGTTTGATCCAAGATATCCACGCTGGCTACGCGGAAGACTGGAATGTTGTGGACTGTCTTGAGCTGCGTCGAGAGCGCATGTTGATCGAAGACGTTTCGTTCTGTCTCCTGGACTACAAATAGAACACAAAGAGGGAGAGCCGGGGTGGACTTGGACACTCCATAAGCCTTGTGAGCTGCTGCTAGACCAGCGGAGAGGGTCTCGACTGCAGGATTCTCTGGTGGAGTCTCAGATTGCAGTAGAGGATGGGGCGGATAGTTGATTGGTGAGCCTGGCGAGGAAAGAAGCTCGGTGTGCATCTTTCGTACAAGAGCTGAAAGACCTCCAAATGATGACGAGATCGTATTGAACTCAACTTGCTTTAGAGATGGGGCACCTGTCGACTGGACGTGGGCCATATAATCGGACCGGAAGAGGCCTAAAGACAGGTTCTGGACATATCCCTCCTTTTGAACGTCCAGATGAACTTTCCACAGATTTGCGACAAAGTCATCAACTTCAATGAGACTGCAAATGGCCGTTTGTTAGCAATGAAGTGTACCAGAGCAGATCTATGCTTACCCTTCCACGATCTTCCCTAGCCATTCTTCATTGCATGTAATATTGGCATAGAGTTCGTTGTAGACCTTCTGCAGAGCAATTGCTTCCTGGAAACACGTTCTAGGAAATGGACTTGGGAACAAGGTCACTGGCGCATTGGTAGCCAATACTCCATTTGAATCTGTCCCTGCAGGAATGATTGCCGGAGAGGGTCGGACAGCAAGTCCATTTTGAATGGCCCAGTCTTTCACATATGTGACCAGAAATTTTTGCTGAGCTGGGGACAGATCTGGGGGATAGTTTGAATAAATTGATTCTGTCATTTTGCCAGTGAAAATGATCAAATAGAATAGATACTTCAGCGATCTTGGGCTTTAAAAAAAGATTCCCGTCACCGAGGCAATTCTGGGGATTGGTAATTGGCGGGGCATTTGACACCTCAGGCACCAGATCAGAGGTGACTGTTTGTTTACACCGCCTTCTGTTTTGAGGATTGATTGATCTCATATCTGCGGCAGATGACTTACCGCCTTCAAAAACATGGGCATAAAACTAGGGCCTCGCGCATACACGGATTAGGAAGGAACGGGGAGGTTGGTCGTAGTTTCCAAACAAATGTAGCTATGATTGATCTCCCCTCTTTTCCCTTCTTCTCTTCTCTCTTCTCTCTTTCTCTCTTTTCTCTCTCTCACCTCAGTCTAAGATAAGTCTCGTCTCAGGTTCTTCTTTGTTTTTGTTCTTTTTTTTAAAAAAAAAAAATTCCTTTAGCTCAGCGTTGTAAACGTACTGAGCAATCCGTATTTCTTCCCTGGTTTGCTTTGGGGGTCCCGACATGGTAAGTCAATAGTTCCATCCAAAACAAGTCCCGTGTGGACGCGTCGGACCCAAACATGTGCGACTCGTCTGTAGCATCTACTAATTCATCCCAGGCCCCCACTGCAAACATGTCTGCTGATGAGGACCCCGCGACCTGGGGTGTTGACGAGGTTGTGAAGTTTCTGTGCCGCGAAGCGGCGGGTGAATGGTCCACCCATTTGCCGAGTCCTGACCTGGGTGTGTTGGAGGAGTCTCTCAAAGCCAATGACGTGACAGGCAGAGTCTTTCTCGACCTCTCGTACGACATGGTCAAAGACCTGGGAGTGGGAGGAATTGGCAAATGCCAGTACGTCTTGGAGGCCCGCAACTTTCTCCGGCAGCGATCGACGGAGTGTCGAGCTGCGCGGCAGCAGCCTGACCTAAGGCTTGCTGTGGATCTACCCGATCCAGCTCCTGCCCTCAAGGAGCCGCAATCACCGGCGACGGCGCCAAAACCAGCCCGCCGAGTACAGCCAACTCCGGTCGTGAAGGCCGCCCCGCTTTCTTCTGAGGCCCAGGAGCCTCACCAACCCTCCGACTCCGCCGCTGCCGCTCTGGGAGATGACTCTTGGCTTGATAGCCTACTGAGGAAATATCCCCCGGAGGAGAATGACGACGAAGAAATCTTCCCCCCCCTTGGCGAGTCGAGTTCCGAGATCGACAGCGACACCCAGCAGGAGATCGCAGAAGACGAAATGTCTGCTTCTTCTAAGCTTCCTCAGAAACTCCCATTCGAGGAGCTCAATGCCATTGTTGATGACTACATTGCCCAACAAGAGGCATCCTTTGCTGCGAGTCGTCTGCCTAAGGAAGAGCATAAGGCGTTTGGTATCTGGCTCAAGGGGCACGATGATCCTGATATCATCAAAAAGCATTCCACCGACCTGGCCCACCTGGAGAAGCGACTTCGAGAGCTCCGCAAAGCATTCATTGCTGCAGAGCACACGTCACGTGGCTCTTTGATCAAAGCATGTGCATCTCTGGACTTTACAGTGTCTGACATTTGCTTCAAGAAATGGCAACTCTCCGTCGTCAAGCAGATCGAAGCCCCGAAGAAAGTTGCTCGCCCGCCACGAACTTCACGCGCAGTCAACCGCAATGTGGACTCGGATGGAAATGAGACTTTGGATTCAGATTTGGGATCACACCCGGAGTATGAAAGTGGAGAGGAGCTGGCCGACGAAACCGACCAATTTGAGGAGTGTGACCAATCACAAGATGAACATGGGCCTGATGATTTCTCTGAAGCCGACCAATTTGAAGATTCGGAACAGTCACAAGATGAGCATGAAGTTGATATTCCCTCTGAAGCCGAAAGGGGTGATGTGCCCTCGAATGAGGAAAGGAAGCGACCTCGCTCAGCTTCTCGAGCCGGACCATTCCGCGACTCGTCATCTCCAGATCGAGACCTCGCACATCTCATGTTTGAAGATGAGGATTACCCACACTCTGTGGCCAAGAAGCGCCGCCTAGAGAAAGAAAGTCCCAATCAAAGTGACCTGAACCCTCCAGCGATACCACTTCAAGGTCTGCTACCTGATTCAGATGAGCCCTTGCCATCTAATGAGGAGGCACCTAATGTCAACATGGGGGAAACGATCCCTCGTCCCTACAGCCCGTCACAAACCAACTTGCGTGAACTTGTGGATACGTCCAGTCAAGACGACATTGAAATTGACTTCGCCGTTGACCTGTTTGATGATGTCTACTCCATGATGTGGGCGACTATTGAGCAGCGTTGTGACCTCTCTCTCATTATAGCAAAGGCCCTCACAGACTTGACCCAAGGTCGAGCCAAGCAACTTTCCAGATTTCTGACTGAATTTGTCCCTTGTCTCTACCGCGACCTCACACAAGATGCCCTGCAAGCTATGACCAAGAATGAGTCAGTTCTTGAGGGACTGGAGCCTGAGCAGAGCCATCTTGCAATGCTACTGGCCACTTTATTCCTATCATGGGTTAATGGCACCAGAGTGCCTGATGGCGCTATCCCGGCAGATCAAGTCAACATTGCAATTGCGACTTTCATGCGAGATGCACCCGATGAAGACGAATTTGCTGAGTTCTTCGGCTGTCTGAACACTCTGGTGAAGGCATACATCAGATGGCTCACTTTACCCGCCCATGTCCTATCCAAAAGAAAAAAACCAGCGATGAGACGCCAGCGGCGGAATGAGAACCGGATTTTGGCTCAAATGCCGCTGAATCAGGCTCAAAAGGAGGGACAGAAACGACAGGAGCAGCAAGATAAGGCCAAGCACGCCCTCCTTGGAACTCGTCTCATAGAAGGGAATGACAACCTCACTCAACACCCAGTTTCGTTCAAAGATCCTGCCATATATCTGGATGCCCACATCGGCAAAGTCGTCAAACATCATCAAGTTCTTGGAATTCAATTCATGTTTCGTGAGATTGTGGATAACCAAGGACCGGAGGGGTGCTTGCTGGCTCATACCATGGGGCTGGGAAAGACTATGCAAGTGTACGTTCTCGTTATTTTGATTATTTTCTCATTTTTTGGGGGCCAGCTAACATTTTCATAGGATATCACTTCTGACCACAATCTCGATCGCCGGAGCATCCCAAAATCCGGATATACGCGACCAGATTCCCGAAAATTTGCGCCAATCCAAAACTTTGATACTTTGTCCCGCAGCACTGATTGATAATTGGCGCAATGAGCTAGCAATGTGGTCTCCTGAGAATCACAATCTTGGCAAGGTCCACTCCATCCCGGGAAAGACAACACTGGGCCCAGGGACCACCCGAGATGACATTATCCGAACATGGAAAAACCAAGGTGGTATATTGCTCATGAGCTACAACATATTCCGCAACCTTGCTGGTGAATTCAAAGGCAAGCACCCGGCTCAAGCATCGGCGCATGAAACTGTCAAAAATTGGCTGTTGAACAGCCCATCTATTGTCGTGGCGGACGAGGCGCAGATGCTACGAAATCATGGAAGCCAGATTGCAGCGACGACCTCCCATTTTCGAACCCAAAAAAGGATTGCCCTCACTGGGACTCCAATATCCAATGGTCTGAAAGACTACTTCTGGATGGTCGATTGGGTGGCCCCGAAATACCTGGGTAGCTTCACAGAATTCAATGACAAGTTCATCAAACCCATCGAGGGTGGTTCGCACACCGATAGCACACACTTCGAGCGAAGGCAAGCACTCCAGCGCCAGGAGCTGTTGCATAGGATCATCAGCCCAAAGGTCCAACGGATGGACATGTCCGCACTGAAAACGGATCTACCGCCGAAGTACGAGTTCTCCATTTACTTTGAAATGACGAACATTCAAAAAGCTGTATACAACCTCTTTGTTGACGTTGTAAAAGAAGGAATGGCCGACAACGTCAATTCACAGCTCATGTCCTGGCTGAGCCTTCTACAGCTTTGCTCTAACCATCCAAGCATTTTCAAGACACAATTACAAAGCAGAAAGACCAAATCGGGCCTTAGCAAACAACCAGACCCCAGCGTTCAACCGGGCCTCAGTGGAGATGATCATAACAATTTTCTCGCCCCGAGTATGCCCATTGACGAGCAGATAGTCCCGAGTCCGGTGTTATCTGAACTAGACAGTCTTCTCGATGGGGTTCCCAACTTGTTGGACCCCATTCTCTCCAGCCGGGTCGCAATACTCAACGAGATTCTCAATCACGCGATTGCAGTTCGGGATAAAGTCCTGATCTTTTCATCTAGCATTCCAACGCTGAATTATCTCAGCCAATTCATGGACGAAACTGGAAGAAAATATTGCCGCATCGATGGCGCAATCACTCAGGCCGATCGCTCTCAAATGATGAAGACATTCAAAGATGATCCCACAGTCAATGTGTTCTTAATTTCCACTCGTGCTGGTGGACTTGGATTGAATATTCAAACGGCCAACAGGGTCGTCATATTCGATTTCATGTTTAATCCTACATGGGAGGAACAAGCAATTGGTCGAGCGTATCGGATAGGCCAGAAAAAACAGGTATTCGTTTACCGACTGGTCGGGGCTGGGACTTTTGAGGAGAAAATCTATGGCATGGCCATATTCAAAAGTCAACTGGCGCTTCGATTGGTTGACCACAAGAACGTCACACGCGAGGGATCAAAATCCCGTGATCGTTTCCTGGTCCACTGCACTCAAAGTTCACACGACGGCGGCATCGATGACCTTGCGATGGCGAAGGATCCAGGTATGATGGGAAGTCTGAAAGTTGCCGAATGTGCTCGATACATTCTCGAAGTCAAGCTAAGAAGTAACGAGATCGATCCCAATGATAGTTTGACATCCGCAGAACGCCAAACTGTAGAGGACGAACTGCACTTACGGCGCTTGCGAATCAGGGACTCGACTGCTTCTACAATGATGCCTATGGCCGCTGAGAACCATCTGCCTCAGAAGGCCCCCCAACGGCTCATTTGATGTTCTTTCACTCGTTTGTTTGTTTTTTTTTTTTTTTTTTTTTTTCTTTCTTTCTTCTACGGCCTGGGAGGTTGCTCCCTTGCTTTTTCTGTCTTCCTCTTTTATCTTGTTCGAGTGATACCCATTCCGTGTTTGATTAGCGACAATGATATGTTGACACCTTTTTTTCCGGTTCGTCTCACTGTAAACATAATAACCCATCTCATCTTTAGTCTGTATCTTTAGTCTGTATCTTTAGTCTGTATCTTTAGTCTGTATCTTTAGTCTGTAGTAGTCATGAGTATAAAATTCGTCTTTGGTGTCTCTCAAAAGCCATCTACAACTCTTGATAATGCAAGTTAAGTCCTAAGAATTGTTGCAATCAATTTGATTTCGAAAGTTATAGACCTGTGTGTTAGAATGCGCTAGACAAATGGCCACATTACCAGCATTTTGATATAAGACTTCCACAGCCAACTAATCTTCTTCTGTCTCTTACATAATACATGTGTACATATACTACATCCATGTGTTATGTCTACTTTTGGGTCCAAAACAATTGGGCGAGGAGACTCACGTATCTCCTGCCCAAAAGCAATCACTTGAAACTACGAACACTACTACCCCCGTCGCAATCTCCCAAAGAACGATGATATAATATGACTGTCCCAAAGAAATTTGGTTTTATATCCCCAACTCGATGCTATTGCCTAGCTAGGACATGTACTGAACGCCCACACGAGGCTCCAGCGAGGTTTTACTTATGATAGTCCCCTCACCAGGCAAGTCAATGGTGGTCGCTTTTCGCATCTAAACTGACCAATGCAAGCTCACAGGTTTACCAAGCTTACTGAGCGAACATGTCATCCTCATTTTCCGAGAAAAGATACCAATCAACTCCCATGTTGACGAATTCCACAATGCCCTGCTCCAAAACCTCCCGCGTTCCACACGGCTTCCAATGAGCGAACGTCTCTCCCCCCAAATGGCAGCAGATAGATACTGAGGTTTCTCACCTTGTGCAGTTTTAAAGCAAATCTCCAACTCTTGCAGTCTCTCAGCGACCCTGTTTAACTCGTCAACCGAATTTCAAGTGAATAGTATGCCTCTAAAGAAAGACCGAGTCCCGAGAAGAATGTTTATCTCCATTTTCAAGATCAAGCTTCGCTGTGATGAGGGCCAAACGACAATCTGACTACCGTAAAGCGTCAAACTGTCGGGGATCAACCTGAGCTACATCTCTTGCGACTCAGATGCTCGACAATTTCCTCCACGATAGTGCCACGCCTGATGGCATGCCACGCTATGGAATGTAATATAGCATAGGGTCCAGCCAAACCCACTCTATGGTAGATTCGATTCGAGCCTCCGCAAAATTTGGGTATCTGCTTCTCTGCTTGTGTTTTTCCCCAGGCAATTTTTCTTTTGCCTTTATATTTTAATTCCGAGCGCTTATCACCTTATTTTCCAGGTAGGTGCTCTGCTCAGGTCAGCCATTTCAAAAACCCTCGTTGTAATTGGCGCCAGCTAGCTATTCACATATTGCCCAACATCAGGCCTCACGAAGGTTAAGTTGACCATTCAAAGTCCACTCAACAACTTTGGATCCATCAAACCAACCCTGCACGAGAGTTTGCTTGTATCTTCTGGTCGTTTCCAATCATTTTCCGCCAACCAACTCCCTCCACCGTCCGGCATCGTCATGGCATCCCCACAAGACCGGACTCCCCGTAATGACCTCTAAGATACCATCCCCTGTCGGCTATTCCGAGCGAAGTCTCATGGACTATGTTCATGATAAACTCGGCGAGTCCACCTGGGTTGCTTTGACCAAGTAAGTTTCCGGCCCCTGCAATGCTCAGTGGTACAAGTTTCTCCCCACTTCCGGCGCCATCGATCCTTCGCAGATAATTGCTGTCTATGACTCCAACCCCCACCACTGCAGAAAGCGCAGTCTTCGCCGATGAGAACGTATCCCGGTACAACAATCTCTACGCCAATCAAGATAGGCGTCCTGTGGGATAAGGAACTTTTTTTGAACGCAGGTCTTCCACACACTACGTCGAACTTCCGTTCGTGGGGGGCGTCATACTGAGTGTTTTGGTCGTCCATGGCCTTTTTCCTTGTAGCTTTGTCAAAAATACCAATACATATTCTCATGTCTCCATCGATAGAGATTCCGAAAGCGAGACTTCTCGGGAAGTCGATAGAACATCGCTTCAACGATGCTCTCCGTAGCCCAGTCTGATATCCAACCCGTAGATCTCATGGCCTCGAGCGGAGGGGTGACCTGGGGTCCAAGAGTTATAACCACTTCACCCGCAGTATAATTGCCTCCGAAGCTGATCGGGCAAAGGCCTTATCGGGAGTACCGTGGTATGACAGTGCCCTTTTATGTCGAGACCAGCGACTAGTCGTCTTTGTAGTCCATCATAAACCTAAATCTTCAACCATTACTCTAGATTATGGCGTCTGCGCTCAGTGATAGGAGACATTACCTCCATTGCTAGGGCATAGGCTTGATCTGCCGACACAGTTCACCACACGACAAAGTGTTAGTGTAGATTTGCTAGATAGTGAGGAAAGACGGGGACACACCATCTGCATTCCACAAAATAATCCATTTTCACTGGTAATGATTATCATGTTCAGAAGCAGAGAGGTTATCTAAGTGTGTTTAGATCTACGACCGGGTTCGTGTTCCAAGAGATTTATTAAATTAATGTAGAGCGTATTACTCCATACCTTTGACTTGAGACGTCCGATTTTACTAGGTCGGTTCCTACGCCTATATATACCCGAGAAAGAAATTGCCACTGCTCTACATTTGTTGTTGAGGAACTTGGGAGGTATGATGAATGTCTATGTGTCGCTATATGTATCTAGGTACCTAGCTATAGGACTAAGAACACAAGTCCTATGGTGTGGTAAATATACATGTAGATTTAGATGTGAAGACAGCAACAAGGTACAAGGATAGAAAATACCAAGCCAGGAGAATGACAGTACCTATTCTCAAGATCAGAGATAGCCATATATACGGTGGTAAGATTCAACCGGCTTATAGATACATGTGCTAGGAACAAGTGCATACAAAGAAGCCTCAAAGTGAACACCTACATGGGTAGCAGCATAATTTATTTGTCATCTTCTATTATAGGTAGGACTATGCGTATATGGAGGCTTTCAATGAAGTCAGCTATAGGTATCAACAAAGACACAAAACCAAATTGTCAAGAGAAGAAAGTTCATTATCAAGACTAACTAAGAGACTTGCTTGGTTTCACCACGATGGCTACTCATCCTGAACACCACGTAGAGGTGCAAGTCATGATCAGGTGTTGCATACAGGCCCCATGCAACTGGGTCAGACTCCTAAAGCGCAAGGTGTAATGAAGGAATGGGGTCAAGGATCGGAGGGGGATAAGGATAACCAGGAAGAAGGACCGTATCCACGCTCAAAGAACCTTGGAAGTGTCCGTGAACTAAGGCGCGCTTCGTGTCGAGACCAACCCCTTTGAGATCCCTATCCCCTAGGGGAAAAAGTGGGAAACCCTCAGATTGCTCTTCATTTGGGGCCGGGCAAGTTAGTGGCGGGCAGTGAAGGAGTGGGGTCAAGGCTTGGAGAGGTGAAAGTGGAATCCGCAGGCAGGACGGGCTGTATCCGCAGCGGCCGAAAGAGTGTCTTCCCCGTGTGTTGAACACAAGGCGCATGTTTCAGCACGTGTCTCCTTGGCATGCTTCGTGACTAACCTTTCCTGCGGCACATCAACAGTCCCTAGAAGGATACAAAGTGGGAAACATCCTCAGAGAGCACTCGTCATAGGCGCCAGGCAGATAAGTGACCGAAGGAATTAGGTATGGGCAGAAAGATGGGAAAGGAAAGGAAGGGGGGGGGAATACATGCAAAAAACGGAGTGGAGGGCAGGGGAGTGGAGAAGGAAGAAAAGAAGAAGAAGAAACTGGGGGAAGGAGAGGGTATTTATGTCCTGGGGAAGGCTGAAGGCAACGAGGGTCAGCAGGGTAGGCGACGAGTTCCTTCCCAAACGGGGAGGCACATGACCCTAAAGACGGTACTTGACACTCGGTACACATATATGATGCTCCATCGAAACAATTTTGGTCTCTGGATGCATCCATGCATGTATTCATGCCTAGCATTTGGTCACTGCTCACCATACGCGTTTAAGCCGACCTGGAATATGTACATACATTGATCGAACTCGACTATAGAGCTTGCCGCTCGTCGTCTGATCCGGCGAACCCATCCTCTTGAACCGCAAACCTCGAGTACTTCACATTTCCCGATCTGACCTGTTCAAGCAAGCTTCCAACACGGCAATCGATTCCCTACCGATGATTGCTCAATCCCCAAGAACCGACCTGTTCAAAACATCCTTCATCCAGTCGGCATTTCCCAAAGGCCCTTCCACGTGTTGACCACTCGGTCAGTATCCACTGAGAACCTCTCGACTCGTTAACAGCCAGCTAGGGAGCACTCCCATATCTCACATGGCTTCAAGTGAGCAACCGCCATCCCATTGAGCGCCATAAGCCGAGCTTTTCATATCTTGACCGGCTTTTGATTGAGGTTCCAATATCATAGCTGGCGTCGAAGTCTCTTAATTGGTGAGCTGGTCTCCGCAATACCTTCATTTCAGATGACTAATGTGCTGCTGGCTCATCTTCATCTAGGTCTTTCATCAGCGCCAGGTCATCATATACTTACTGGCCAACGTTAGACCTCACAGAAGCTAACCTCATTTTTCAGCGTCAGATTACCTGCTTTGGATTCATTCAGCCAACCCTGGCTTTGCCTGATTGCTCTAGTCACTTCCATCCATCGGCTTCCATCCATCGGCTTCGTTCCATCGGCTTCGTTCCATCGGCTTCGTTCCATCGGCTTTGTTCCATCGGCTTCGTTCCACCGTTCACCGTCGTTATGTGACCCCTAAAACAGGAGATTCCCTAAAATGGCCTGCAAATATTATCCGTTGCTGGCTATACGAGGCGAAGGTTCG